AACGCCCATTTCCCAAGAAATAAAAAAAAAAAGCTTGGTTCCTCTCCTTCCTCACTCTCGCGTGCGTTTTTTTTTTTATTTTCGGTCGGAAAACTCTTTTTGCCGTACGCAGTCCCTCCTTTATCAATCATCTACCAACTGAGCGAAAATCTATAAACCCGATGAGGCATTAAGGGTAATTCAGTTCTTCATGTCATTTTTTTTTGCTCTCTCTGTTGGGACCCTTGTTTTTTTTGTGTAGCGAATCAATTGATGGACAGAAAAAGAGTTGCTGATGCGTTGTTTATTGGTCTCGTTTTCTCCTTCCGTCAGGGATAAAATGAGGGTGGAGAATTATCCCTTTGCATGGTTTCGTAAAGCGTAGCAAGTGTTAGTCATTGGCAGGATAGTTGTGTTCAAGGCAACCAGGTCAATCAACCAACCGAGCTTAGAGATTCAAAGGTGAGAAGGATAAGCATTTGAGGGTTATGGCGAGCAGTAGGAGTAGGAGATATGCAATTGAGAGACAGTGTTTTGATCTGCGAAGAGGGGTACCATGTAGGTGTGTGATTGCGAATTGCGGAGGAGGCTGCATTGCGAAGCAAAAAAAGCAAAAAAAAAAAAAAAAGCATAAACAGGAATGAGGCAAACAGATGGGGTCGTCCAACGAACCAGTAAACAGACGCGTCATTCCTAATCTCATCCTGTTCCTCCTCCTCCTGTTCTCTTTCACTACGTCCTTCGTCTTTTATTTTTACTATCGCCATCATCTGGGTCCCCATGAGCTGCAACAAAAAAAGAGTACATTGGCCATATTTTTGTCGCTTGTAAACTTGTAAACGGTGTACATAATTGACATCATGGTAACAAGGTGAGAAGCCAGAATTGTACCTAACAGCCCAGGGGTAGTAACAGGATCCTTTTTTCGTTTGATCCTCTGCATGGCGAAAGAATGACGATCTGCTTTTTCAGAAGACAACGTCTTCTTCGATATTAGGTTGAAGTTAACAAGAATAAGGCAGAACGAAAAAGAGAAACAAAACGGCCCGCCCATTCCTCCGTACCCGTTCTTTCCATTAATGTCGACTATTTTTTTGTCTGTCGTTGACTCGATAGCAGGTAGGAACACTATGCACAAGAACATAAAGCTATGTATGGGTGAAGGGACTATGGGAGAAAGTACCTGATCGAACGCGCAGTCCACGAATTGTTTTCAACTCATACTTGTTCTCCTCATCACGTTTTTGGCATTTTTTCTTTGTAAATCGGAACTAACAAGATGGAGCGACGTAGGCTGAAGGAAGTTATACAAAACTTGTTTGCCTGTGGCCAGTGTCTAGAGACCGTCCTTCCTGCCATGGCCTTGTTTTTAGCCTTGGCTCTTGAACCTGGCTTATTTTTTCTTCCATTTACGGGATCGCCGCGACCGAGGCTACCGTCCCTTTCGTAAGACCATGTTTTTTGAATATTTTGAGTTTTGTCTGTGTGTCAAATGTCGATAAGTGACTTGCGTCTGCGTTGCGTTGCTTATTTCTGTCAAACAGAGCGCACAAGTCGACGAGAATAAATAGGTGTGATTGAATGGGACTGAATACTCTAAAAAATTGGCCCTTCGATCTATCGAAATACAGTTGATTCGCCCCCCTCTTTTTTTTGTGCTTTTTTTTTTTTTTTCTCTATCAAATAAATAGGATCGGCTCAGATTCTTATTTTTTTATATCTTGGTACCAGAAACTCCAATGACTCCTTTCAGAGACACGATGAATAATGCGATAGGGTGCCTTAGTAATGAGGACATTATCTTCTATACCTCTCTTCCGCAGTTTTCAATGGAGTCGTCGAAGTCTTCAGGAGCATCTCTGGCTTAGAAAAACGTGTTGGTGTTACAAGAAGCTAATTGATGCGGCACTCTAAAATACAGAACAGCTAGACAGTGGAATTACAACTATTCGGTGGATCATCCCATAGGAAACAGTAATGACTGAAAAAATGAATAAGGTGCGGCGCAAAAGAGATGAGAAGGAAGTATATAGTACAGGCGTAGTACAAGTCATCAAGGATGCATGGTGAAGAAAAAGAAGTGCAGGTCAGGTCTTAGGGTGGGATGAGCTTGTTCTGTGTTTTTTTTGGCCCCCAGCCAAATTGTTCCTCAGTTGCAATCTGCCAAGAAAACGTGTTTATCTTTCTTCTATCCCATCCTACACTGACCTTTTCCCATGGGATGAACTCTTTTTTTCTCTGTGTGTATGTGATTTCTACGCAAGTAGACAGGCTAGCAAACAAGGTAAAGGCCCGCCTCGTCCCACGTCTTTTCGCAGTTTTCCCTTTTTTTTGTGAGTCTGTGTCTGTGTCTGTGTCTGTGTCTGTGTCTGTGTGCGCAGTATTATTCTTATTTCTATTTCTCCTCTCTTGCAGAACAGCTTTCTGGTTCTGTTTCTGGTACAGTTGTCTCTTTAAATAAAAAGTGTTTTGCTCCGATTCCTGTTTGTTGATTGTCATTGAACAATTACTAAGAGGACGGCGATGGCATTTGTCAGAGTACACGTAATATCTTCTTTTTTCTTTCTGTTCCACTGTTTTTATTCAACCACAGCTTGCGCAATGAATGCAGTTTAACAAAGTGATAAATTGAAAATATGCGTGGTAGCGGAGGAAGAGGAGGAGGAGGGAGAGAGAAGGTTCAAGAAGGAGAGGAAAAAAACACCGAGGGATCAGCACCATTTCTTCCTTTGCGCATGTTCCCTGTCCGTTCGTCTCTTTCAATCAAAGGGGAAAAAATGCTGCGCTCAAGTAAACCACTCAACAATAAACAAAGGAAGGATTAGAGAAGAGATTGAGACAAAGACAACAATCAAGTGAAGTTGAACATAGTGGGATGTTTCCAAACCAAGCATACCGATTCCAAGTCCAATCGTAAGTTGTGTATGTTGGGTACTGCAGTAAGGTCGGGCAAACAAGTTCATTTTAGTAACACACACGTACACATACTCATTCATACATATACCTCGCAACGCAACACAATGCGCAACGAGTCAGCCTGCTGGAAAATAGTTTAATGCCTTTTAGAATTGCCCAGTCCTCCGCTGCTCCAACAACGTAAAGCTCCCAGATAAGGGCAACAGGCTTCTTCTGTCCTTGCTTCAATGGGGGCCAAAAGAGGAAAGGAGGAGTGTGGATAAGCAGTGTGAGAACGAACGAAAGTACAAGCAGGTTGAGGTCAATTAAGTAAGTAGGCAGGCGGGTAAGGGATGTCCCTAAAACCGGTTTTTCATTATTGAGCTCTCTTTTTTTTTTCAGGCACGGGAGAAAATTGATCAATCGAAGGACAGTGAAAAAAACTCTTGCGTGTGGCAAAGGGTATGGTTTGTTCCACCAACAACAACAAAAGAAAAATGCGGCGATAAATGAATGGGGAAGTGGGGTGAAACGACTTCCTAAGAGTCGACAACTCTTTTGTTCTTCGGCTTTTTTGAGTTTGTCTGGTTAGGTTGGTGCTTTGTTCCCTTTGGACTTTTTCTTTCTCCAATTCTCCAACCTTTTAAGCTTCAATCGAATTGTTGACACCCCAACGCCCTTTCCTTTCTTCTTTCAATTAAACTTTTGAACTGGTTATTGTTCTTGTTTTGCTACATCTGCTACTAAACTTTTTGCCTTATACTTTAAACTTTTTAGAGTACCAAGTAAGCATACACAAAGACATGTCAAGAACAAACCCGCCGTCCGGATGTGTGGAGAGAGAGACGAGTGAAAAGTCAAGGAAAGGGCAAGTTGAGTAACAAGAGAAGGCGAGGGATAAAGAGCAGGGGAGAAAAATGGCGAGAAATTAATTTTGCGTTCTGTTCTTTTGTTCATTCGGTTGCCTATAAAAATGTACACAAGATCGATGTGCGTTTTCTCAATTGCTTATCGCCCGATGCGAAATCTATAGATATACCCTATTCTTTTTTTTTTTGCTAATCAGGACTACATCTATGTGCTAGCGAGTCCCCCAGTCGCAAGTCACCAACATCGACGCGCTATTCACATTATCTCATATCCATAGTGTCCTTGGTAATAGGTAAATGAAGATGAGCAAACACGACCAAATGGCATAGTATCTTTACCTCTCAAACGTGAGCGGTTGCCTTTTCGACTGGAAAGTAGATCCTCCTCTTTTGCTCACCGCGATCTAAAATGTTCATGCTCGTCATAGTCATAGTCCAAGTGTGATCAAAGGTCACATAGCACATTACACCTATTGACCATAGAAAATTCTCCGATAGGAGCGCTACTTCGCCATTTTCCGAGGTGTTAGCACTGACCTTGAACCATGAAATGGCGCCTTGTGATATAAGGCACTGAGGACTGACAGTCCAGTATCTTGGTCCTTATTTATTTACCGCAGCAAATGGTGGCTGTAGTGATGGTAACGAGAAGTTTAATTGTTTCAGAACCTTGAAGCGCTTGTTTCTAACGACAGTGTTGGAAACGGGCATAGTTGTTGGAAGGATCACGACGGTTCTCATATGATTGTCGTCCTGGTCACTCAGTCTTCTCCTTCATGACTCACGCACTGACACGACAAAGAAGGGTCGATAAATGCAAACAGGTCAGACGTAAAATATTCGTGTTTATGACAAACGCTCTCGCTCGTGCAAGATCTACTATGCGCTGTTGTCATGCACAGCTTCTCATTTTGTTTGCTCGTGTTGACGGGTTGCTATGCAAGGCTGCCTTCCTGGGTTTATGGACTTCGTCGGAATAACTAACGGAAGGAAGAGATTACCATAGGAGAACCTTAATAAAGTCGATTTGTATGAAAGCCGAGATTGGACCATGTCAGACATGTGTCACGTGTGGAGAAGAGACCTTTGGCCATCACTTTCTCCATTCTTTTTTTTAGTCCTCTTTCCTTCTCACACGACGTTCATCCTTCCGACCTTTTACTTTTTACCATTCTCCAGCACAAGCAAATCACCAACGGTCATAGCTACGACAACCACATCACCACCAACAACGACAAGTAACACTAAGCTTAAATGATGTCAACAAATAACGGCGGACTCTCAAGGCGTCGAGGAGCAGGAGGTGGCGGCGGTGAGGACTCTACACACACCAACTCTTCAAGACCTTCATCAACAGGAGGAGCACCAGGAGGAGGAGGAGGAGGAGGAGGAGGAGGAGGAAACCATGGTCACAGGAGTAGTGTTGATGGCGGAAAGGTCTTTGCTGACCCGCGAGATCTGCAGATAGAGAACGAGAACAAGACACAACCTAGGCTGACCCTCATGGAGGAGGTTCTTCTGTTAGGTCTCAAGGATAAACAGGTAAGAAGGAGCAACACCTCTCGCTTCCTCAATTCCAACCCCAGGAAAGAAGAGGAAACGGATTGCTATAGTTGTTTTGTCGCTTCAGTCGGGAGGGCTGTTTTTTCGTGTGGTATGGCAAAAGAGTACCTTGCTTGCCCGATCCATGCCAGTTGAAAAGAAAAGTGAGGCGAGGGCTGGTTGTTCGTGTAAGGGCTCACTCAACTTTCTTTTTTCTTGTTTTTCTTTTCTTTTTCTTCATTTGTGTGTGGGCTGTTGTACTTTATGATCCAGGCATGTACTCACAGATCGCCACGTTGATATATATATATATTTCATTGTGGCTGTTGTCGTGGGGTCGGGAGGAGTGGAACGGTGCCCCATGGATTCATGGGTTAGGTTATCTATCTATGGGATGAATACGCCTACCTTTCTACTTTTCAATTTGAGAGAGAAGGAGAAAAGGGAATGGGTCCTCAATATCCCTGTTCATTCGAGGAATGACAAATAGTATGGCAGGAGAGGCGAGGCTCGTAAGGGGCTAAGGAATGACATAGGGGAACAACAGGAGGAGCACTGATCAAGTGGGAATATCATATTCCGTTGTGGGCGTTGTTTTCCAATGTGAAAACCCTAAGAAAGGCCGTGTTCTCGGATGCCGTTTATCGATGGCGATCGATCCATTATCATGTTCGCTGATTACTTACAGAGCCCTCATTTTATTATGCAATCGCTTAGGGCTATCTTTCGTTCTGGAACGATAATATTTCATACACACTACGAGGATGTATTCTCATGGAGCTAGCGTTCCGCAAGCGCATTGCAATGGTCAAGGATCCCAACCGTCGCAAATACGCCCTCGCTGATCGCTACATCGAAGTCGTGAACGAAAAGCTGACAGGAGAGGTTCTTTTGGACGAGACATTGAAGATGATCAACTCGACACAGGAGAGAATGAGCGTCGGCCAATGGATCGATCTCTTGAGTGGTACGTCTGTGTGTCTGTTCTCGTCGGAATCTTTTTTTTGGATTGTTTACTGGAATCTTCTGATCTAACCATGTTGCCACATTTACTTTACGACTTGTAGGAGAGACATGGAATGTGATGAAGGTTGGATTTCAGTTGAAGCAGGTGCGCGAGAGGCTGGCAAAGGGATTGGTAGATAAGGGGGTCCTCAGGACAGAGAAGCGCAACTTTTTGATCTTTGACATGGCAACCCACCCAGTGACAGACTCGGCAGTCAAGGAGGAGGTTGTCAAGCGAGCCTGCACAACATTGATCTCTCGCTCCAACGGATCTACCCCTTCGCTGACCGACCGAGAGAGCCCTATGGTGTTCCAACAGCTCCGCACCGTGACGATGGTATGTGCGGCCTATGCGGCCAACGTCCTCGAGAACGCATTAATGTACCTCAATCACGAGATGCGAGAGGTTGCCTACACAAAAGTCGATGAGCTCCTGAGCGATTACAGTCAATACCCCTTTGTCTCGCCGGCGTCCAAGAATGAGGTTGCGGGAAACGATCTGCAGATGGAGATCATTGCTGCTGTTTTGAATGTATTCACAAAGATGGATAGCATTCTGTAGGTTCTTCTTTCCTCTTTCCTTCCTTTTGGACCCTCACATACATTCATACACTCGCACGCACTAGTAAAGTTCTCGCATAAATCTCCTCCTCAAGAATACCATGGCAGCATTACACTATTCATTCCACCAAAATAACAAAACAATGTTTTCGTATATGCGATTATTTTATGGAGTTATTTTCTTTCTGTGTCTACAATGTAAAATAACGTACGCACCATCCTGCCATAATCCTCCTAATCCTCAGAAGTGATCAGCGGCAACAGCAATACCTGCAAGATCGTCCATCACCCGATCAACACCACTTCCAATCTGCTTCGTCATTTCCTTCTGTCGGTTCGCCGGCAAGTTCACAAACTCAAACAACAAATCGCCATCCAAGATACCCTTGACAGGGTTCGAATTGAGTCGATCCTTGGACTGCAGCAGTCGAAACGCGCGTGGGTTCAACCCAGCGGGGTGTTGAACTCCATTGACGATCTGGGAGCTCAGGAGCGCAAGGCGTTTGCTGGTCTTTTCAGGGATAGGCGTGATCATGCAGAGGCTGCCGTCGAGGGTTCCACAGATGGTCAGATGGCTGATTCCTTCGTCGGAGCCCGAGAGTACGATCTTAGGGACTGAAAGCGTTGTCTCGATCTGGGAGCCTACATGGTAATCGCCTCTGCAGATCAGCTTTTGACCACTGAACGATTGGACATCTGTGAAATAGTTGAAGAACGAGTTGGGGTGAGGAGAGAGTCGCGAAAAGATATATACAAGGGTGATGCTAGGAGACACGAGGGATCGATCGATGACTTACGGAATGGTGCGTATTGCAAGAGACGGATGTTCTTCTCTGAATCCGCGACAACAATGTTGAGCGTCTGGTTCTCGATTAAATAACTGACATTCATCGCCTCCATAGGATTGTAGTCCTTGCCCAACATTACCAGTTTTGTTGGCTCATCCTATTATATGAATACGAAGAAAGGAACAACGAACAGGTTACTAATTTGACCATGTTTCGAAATTCTACAAGGCATACTTGTCCTTTCAAACGAACCACGTCTCGCATGGACATACCTGGAAACCAACGAACCAGACACTCTTGTACGCATCCGCCAACATGATCGTGTTCTTAACTACTCTGACACTGGTGACGTAGATCTGGACATCGATGAAGGCAATTCCCGTCAACGTCTCGTTATCCTCAAAACTGCGGACCAAAACCTTGGTACCCACACACGTCAACAGATACCCGTTGAGGGCTGCCATGGCCGTCACTGATCCCTTGACCTCTTCACTATACAGCAACTTCAGCTTGTGGTCCGTCTGAGGGTTGTCGGGCTCTGGGACGACATCGATGATATCGAAAATATAAATCTACAAAGTCAAAGATCCTTAAAAGTCAGTCCCTGAAGTAACGGAAAAAACACATGGTCGCAATGTACATTACTAAAGAGCGTTCACTTACGGTTCCTCGCATGGTCGAATCCTCGCCCTTGATGAAGGATGTGCCGACAGCCATAAACTTCTTGCGACCCGACGCGTCCTGAGTTGATTCCAGGCTCACAGTCTCCATGCTCGTCACAATCTCATACTCCTGCAGCTGGTACCGATCGACAGTCTCCCATGTTACTGGAGAGACAAGCTCCAAGGTCTGTCTATCCGAAGAAGGTCTGAATCCAGGTCCTGAGGACTTGAGCTTGGCAGCTGCTGCGATCGACGCGGTCGGGTCGGCGGAGGTTGCTCCTTCAAGTGTCGCATCTGCAGCCGCAGGAGCAGTACCTGCTGTAGGCATGGGTATACCATTCGCATTTGTAACAGCTGTTCCAGCTGCTGTCGTGGCGGCAGGAGTTGTGCCGTCGTGAACAGCCACGTTGTTTTCGTCCTTGACAATGAAGGGATCAGGAACAGCTGTCACGACAATGTAGGTCTGAGAGGTAGGGTGGTATCTAATGTGGCGCACAGCTTTCTTCATAGGGACCTTGCGGATCGGCCAGGGCATATCGTACTGAATGCCATTCGAAGGCAACTGACTGATTCTCATGTGGCCCTAAAATAACAAGATACAAAATATAGCGCTAGTCAATGGCCGCTCAGCTAGATTATTCCCAAGTATTACAACAACATCAAACGCTTTTCTTACCTGCGCGTTCAACGAGATGAATCCATGTTTGCAGTTCAGGTTATGGAACTGTGTAAAGCATCCAATCTTGCCATCACAAATCATGGGATGAACTCTGGGCAAACCCTTTCCAGAGCTCATGATCCAAAGTGGGGAGGCTCCCAGGACAAACACACCTTCATAGCCAGCCACATCAGAGAAGGGGATCAGGTTCTTGGGTTTCCGCTGTCTCCTCCTCTCCTGTCGGCTGATTTCTCTCTCGACAGCATCTTTACTGTCGTCGTCCATGGATGAGTTGTTCCGGTCGTCCAGGTCGTCCTCATCAGGTGTCTCACGGGCGACTACATCCAGGGGCACTTTCCTGAACCGGATCGCCAAGCGATCAGTGAGATCAATGGGACGACCCTTCGCGTCAAGTTCAATAGTAGGGAAGTGTTGGTACGTTTTGTATACTGCAATGTTGCCGCGATAAGTTCTCACCTACGAGTTTAAATAAATTGACAAGTAAAGTCAGAGAGACAGACGTGTCATATTAAAGTACAACGACATCAATCAGTTGCCACAGCATTTCAGTGGAAACTTACCACAAGATATGGCTCTTTCTTTTGTCGTGTACCCATGTTCACCATCACCATCTCAGAAATCTCGCGTGCATGTCCAGCTGGCTTGATATCCTGGTGAGCCGGTGCATCCGGCAGAACATCGGGCAAGAGGTCAAAGTGCGGGAAGAAAAAGACTTCCTTGAAGTCAGGCAGTTGGTAGATCTATTGGACACATGAAAGGTATGAAGTTAGTACGAGCCAGCCACTGCAAGAACAAATGCAATCATATAAAGCAACAGTACGTTACCTCGAGAGCGCCATCTGTACGATAAATGAGACACCAGTGGGTCGATTGGATAGAGTGGCCCTCAGGGTTGGCCATAGCTGCCTTGGACTTGGACTGAGCGTTACCCATGTCAGTATCTCCCATTGGAATATCGTTGGCGCCAGCAGATCCTTCCATCTCAATATCATCCTCTTCGCTCTGCTCTTCATCCTCTTCATCTGGCTCAGGTCCGTAGAGGTCCAGGTCAATGTCGTCCATGACTCGAGTAGCTTCCTTCTTGGCCTTCTTGGTATTTTTCGTCCAGGTGCCAGCCGCACTTGGCTTAGAGGATGCAGAGGAAGTTTTGGCTGATGCTCGCAAGGATGCCATTGTAGGTGCATCCTTCACAGTCAAGATGGTGTTGGTGGAGTCGGCGTACACGCAGCAGCTCTTGATCGGCAGTGTCTATTATGTACATGAGAGAGAATAGCGCCCGTTGTCAGCACTGAGAGGCGAGAGCCGATGTCAAGCAACGCCATGTCCACTTTCCGTGTGCACTTACATTGAGGATGGACGACTGGTTCAGTACGGTGACATCTTTGGTAGTCATGTCACCTTTCAACATTAGCGCAGATCCGTCGTGAAGCTGAAGCAAGATGTAGGGGTCCATGATGCTTGCTGTGACAACCGAAAGATGCTCGCCAATAGGCACGATCTGTGTAACCTTGCAGTCTATACATCAAACAACGTGGCCAAAGTCGTGAGAGAGTGAGAAGTTGTCTTTGAAAGAGCCACCAACTGTGCCGATGTAGAGGTAGTTTTGTTTGGTTACCTGCGTTCAAGAGACGAACGCCTCCAGCGTAGACCTGTACTATCCGTGTCTCTTCCAAAATAGATCCAATGACAATGGTGGGACCTTGCACAAAGAACTGAGAGTTTGGCAGCTGTCGCAAATCGTCTCCTGAGGTTGCCAGCACCTACAATATGAATCGATTATGTTATTATGTTATGCCTTGAAATCTAAAGATTGCCAAAAGTCAAGGGATATATACATACCAGAGTGTTGTTCGCTCTTGACACGATCAACAGTTTGTCATAGTTGTCATCGTCGCCCTCTCCTGTTCCTGACCCTGTACGGCTCTCAAACTGTGAGACGCCTTCAAAGATGATCTCTTTGCGGCAGTATACAGTCCACAGAGAATCGGATCCAGCCAAAGCCTCTGTTGATCGGACGACATCTGGGCGAATGTTTCTCTACAAGGCAATGAGTACAGAAATAGGTGCTGTCAATAGTTGTATCACCGCTTTGTCGTTACAATATGGAGTTACAGTAGGCATCGTACCTGGAATACCACAAGGGCACCGTTGTGTCCCGATCCAGTGGCAGCAACAAGCTCATGCTGAGGAGGAAAGTCGGCGTGCTACAGAGTAAAAAATCGTGAGAGTCTTGTTAAGTCCAATGCCCAAACAGTTGCTTTTCCTGATGACAACAATAATCCACTGCCTTACTGATTCCTATAGAAAAGTGTTTCAAAGGGTAATGAAAGACGTGTCAGATATTACTCATATCAACTCAAAATGTTAGAGTGCCAAATACCATGTAGCTTGTGTTACTTACATTGCTAGCTCGCTGTCCAATGTCTGCTGCGATAATAGGTCCAGTGTTGGTGATGGTGTCACAGATCTCAAACTGCCATTTTGACTCTCCTGCATCCATTGCATCCTCGATCTCGTCCTTGGACTTGTCAACCTTTTGATCCGCAACCGGCTCTGCAGCTTGTCCATACAACTCTACGTCGCGAAATGGAGCCAGTGTGAGTTAGTATCTCTACGCTCTTTCCAGTCGCCGCCACCCTTTCATGCGTGCCTAAGCCCAGACTTACCGTTGTCAAGATCCATTGAGTTGATAGGGATCGGGACAGTCTTTTTCTTCTTCTAAGAACGAATTATGGACAACGGTTGAGACGGTTAATGTCCAACTCTGCCCTGCGGCTAAGAGAGTCCTGAAGGATGACGGGGCATAGCATGAAGGTGTACCTTGACTTGGTCCTTGGTAGAGTACTTGATCAGCATCGAATCGGCATAGCGAGAGCCAACAAAGTAATATCCTGCACCAAGAGCGCATTTGCAAGACGTCTGCATACTTGTTCCTGCTTTCTCGATCTTGAATCCCGAGAGCGAACGTCCCTCCTGCTGGAGCTCAATCACATACATGTCACCGTTCCTGAGGGTAAAGAGAATTTGGTCCGGTGCTAGGAACACATGCTGCGAGCCTTCCAGAGCGATGTCAAAGTGGTATTGATCCTGAAGAGGGAAGTTTGTCACCAATGGTGCATAACCGTTGACAGCAACTCCCATGCCTGAAGATCCCTGGTCGAGGTGGATGAGCGCGTTGGCCGACACTACCAAGAGTCCTCCGACAGGCTTTGGCATGGCGATGACTTTAGTGCAGTCGTAGGGCAAATTGTCAATCGAGTAGATGATGGGATACACCTTTTGCATGATATTCAGAGAAACAACCACAAGTGAGCATGTATCCTTGCGAACAGCCAATCGCCTAGAAAACGGAGATAATTAGAGGAAAGGTCAGCCATCCTGCCGCTTCGATTCCTAGAATAGTATAGGTGTCCTGTTGGCTTCGATCGCCTTACCCGGTCCACGTTTGTTGAGGTGAGTAGAGAATGGCGAGTGTAGGTTCGAAAAAGTCGTAGAGAAAAACCATGTCGATAACGTTCTTGATTTTGGAGTCAATGTCGGAGAGCGACATCACATAACTTGGCAGATATGGCCACTTCCTAAAGACCCCGTGTATACGAACAATGTGGGTTGGTAAGTAAGAGTTGTTGTTGGTATATCGTGACAGCAACTGCATCCAGTTCCCATGCCAATGGCTCTTACTTGGACGCGTCGTCCTCGTCGCCAATTGTAATTTCATCCTGTCTGAAAGGCAGCACTGCAAGTCGATCTCCGTAAAACGTCAGGACAGCGCAGCGTCGCGATGGGTCCACGCGGATCTCTGTTGGGTGCGAGTTGTTCAAAAACTCTTGCTATATTATGTGAAGTAATAATCAAGTAGGTTAGAACCGCCTCGTCAAGCCGCCATTTTACCGTTTGATCTATGAGCTGGCTGACACAAGGTCGACGCCGGCTCGACGTGGATAGATAGGTACCTTGTAATCATCACGCTCGTAGTAATGGATCGACACTGTGACAATGCTGTGAGTCGAGAACGACCACTCCAACAGGGACATCTAATTGGTGGTTTCCCGACAGGATAGGAAAAAGGTTGCAATTGAACAAATGCAGAGGAGGGCATAGGTTGGTAAAGTGAAGAAAACAATACATTTTATTGATGGTATCCAGTCTCGTTGTTGCGCGCCTATTATACCGTCCGATAGGAAAGGAACAAACCTTGGCGTCCTTGAAGCTGACCAAGATGCTGTCAAGTCCATGCTGGCCTGAAGAGCTCGTTCGAATAACCCCCATCGACGTGATAACACCATTGAACCTATAGCTTGCCACCAGTTCAAGACGAGGCAGCTGATCAGCTTGAGCCGGCTCTGTAAAGTTGTACACCTCCAGGACGGTCGACTTGGACACGATCACATTGAGGATGTCAGGTCGAATAAAGTTGCATCGGACTACACGCTCGATGCCTGTGGGCGGGAAGAGCTCCTTGGCGAGCGTGTACATCGACATGGTGGACTAGTTGGTTGGATTCCTTATTGCTGCAATGGCGTCTTTGTCTGTCCGGTGATTCCTTCACTTGTCCTCTTGGAATTTTCTCGCGAGAGGAATAGTGTCTTGGTTGTCCTGAGTGGTCTCCTTCAATCTGCTGATACAAGGATTACTGGGGCGTGTCAACAACGGCAGCAAGCAGAGGGAAGAGGAAGGGAGGGAGGACAAGTGGGGGCGAAGGTTGAAAGGTAAGAAGGAAGACAAGAGCAAAGGTGGCCTTCAAACAAGTTCACCTCTGAAGCCTCAAAGCCACCACGAATGAGGCTGTTGCACGTGACACATTTCCAGGGACTTCAGGAACACGAAAAAAAAGTTGAACGGAGGGATAGGATATGGTACAAGAGTGAGAGATGCAAGGTGTGGATGTACAGGTGCTATCACTAGACGAAGGAGCATTCGAGAAAGACACCCTGTGGCATGGGAGCAAAGCTCCCGAAGGCCACCTGGGAGAGATCCAGCTGGCCATAGCTGCAGTAGTGGTGAGGACAAGTATCGACGCGGACAACGACACTGTTCGAAGGATCGCCCTTAACTGAAACGCGGATCTTCTTGAAGCACTGGTAATTTGGACCGCGCTGCTCTCCCCGCTCGGCCTCGTTCAGAGCAATAATCACCTCGTCCTGGGAGAAGTCAACCTCGCAAGACCCTTTGGTGCCGCTGAACCACGTGCCACGACCGCGGTAAGTGCGTTCGGTGTGGTGGCCAGTAGGCTTGGACTCGGGCTTGGATTCTGGCTCGGATTCTGGCTTCCACTCGGGTTTGGAGGTGTAACCGTTGTCGTCTTCTTCCTCCTCTGCATCGTCGATCAGCTCCTAACCGATAGGTATCCTGGTTGAAGAACTGTCTCCACGCCTTACCGGAGAACAGGAGCGAGTTCTCCTCGCAGATATCGACGACCTTGTACTTGTAGTGAGTGGACTCACTATCGGCGCGGTTGACCTTGACGTACTTGCTACAGGTGGAGGATTTATGCTTGGAGTTTTCAAACCTGGCAGCGCTGATGGCGACGACGGCATGGCTCGAGGTGTATTCGATATCGCCACAAGCACCATGGTGGAATTGCTCGGTGCCGATGGTACCAAGGCCGGTGTACTTGGTGTGGAGGGCTGTAATATCCACCTTGGCGTCGTGTGACACCGGTGCAGACATGGCTCAAGAGCACTTTGTGAGGGGTGCCTCAAGCGAGTGCGAATGAACATTTCGAGTGTCGGTGATCAGAGAAACCAGCTCCGGCGCGATTCTTGCACCAGGGTTTTCTGATCGGAACAACTGTGCGTGCGCCTGGTTCGCTGTTCAGTGTCAGGTGAATCCTGCTGTGCTTATTCTCACGGTTGAGTCTCAGCGCGTCTTCTCTTCATCCTTACAAGCGCATTGCTCGGTGCATATCTGTTGACATTGGCCAATGCCCCTTACCTCATCAGCACCTTTCGCTCCACAGGGCAAGAATTATTCCCCAAACTAAAGAACAGCAGACGTCAACAAACAAGCGCGTTGCGTTGATAAACAACGGCTGAAGAACAGGACACCTTCCTCCATCGTTTTGGATGAGCTGTAATAGTCTTGAAACATGAGACATCGTACGTGTTTCGATTAGCCTTTGCGGTCTCAGGCTACAGTGTTTTCGCGTCGGTGGGATGGAGCAGCGCCAGGGCATCTCTCCCCTCGCCGGTTGTTTTCTGCAGCAGCAGCTGACTCTTCTTCTTCACGGAGTTTCGCTTACATCCGATATGTTGTCTGGGAGCAGTGCGCTGCTTCGCGTGGTCCGCCTGTCGATCAGGGGCATTCTGTGCTCTTGACGACCTCGCAAAGAAATGTCGAGGAAAATGAACGCTTTTGCCCCTGCATAAAATACAGGTAGACACAAGAGTGGTTCATGCGGCGAAAAGCGCTCAATGTGCTCTGCCACCTTCAACATATGGACTTTTCCTTGCCATATCAGACCAATTGCAGCCTTTCAACCCTTCACCCTTTCCTGCTCATCCACTCGCCTACCCACACCTTTTATCCCTCCTCTTCTTCCTCCATCCTCCCTCCGCCACCCATTCACATCCGCTCACCCCACCAAATGGCATCCCAACACACCGTGCCTGTCCTCAAGGTCGACATGCTCGCTCCGAGCTGTGACCGTTGCGGGAAGGACTTCAAGGCAAAGAGAAAGAGCTGCCACAACTGCGGTATGCATCCCTCGTCCATCGGCTTCGCGATGTGTATGTCAGTTTGCATTCTCATACTCATCAACAGCTATATTCCCACTTTCTCCGTCACGGAAATTACTCCTCCTCCTCTGCCGTGTCAATACAGGTGTTCAAGTGTGCAAGGACTGCAGCAGCTTCAAGACTCGCTTGCCTCAGTTCGGATACGCCAAGTGGGTCTCTTTAAGTTATCATGCCTCAACCTTAGTCTTTTTTTCCAGGAGCCGGCTTAGCTTAACTGACATCTTTTCTTCTTCTAATTAGACCTGTCCGTTGCTGTGGCTATTGCTCTCATTTCCTCTATGGTATGTGTCCATCGACTATTGCGTAGCCTTGAAACGACAAGGATTGCGCCAGGCTACAGTTCTCACCAGTCCCTGTTTTTCTCCTTATGTCACAGTGTACAAGATGGATGACGCAGCCTTGGCAAAGCTCAACATCAAAACTCTGAAGCGGTACCTTGCCTCATACAACATCTCGACGCACGGCATGCTAGAAAAGCAAGGTAAACGCGCTGTGCTTTTGCGAAAATAATGACAATTTATTCCAAAGTAACATACCGGACTTACACCTTCTATGGTAATAGAGCTCATTAAGGCCATTCAGGAGAACCGACCATTACCAGAGGCTTCAGAGGTGTATTTCAGGAAGAACACGCCCGATACAGCCGAAAAGTCCACCAGGATTGAGGAAGAAATCTACTCGACCTCATCGCATTTACCGCAGGGGTCAGGCGAAGAGCGTTTCTGGGATTTGGACAAGTTCTTTGCAAAGCTCTTTGGTAACGACGACGCGCCACCAAGGCCTCCTCAACGACCAGAGCCAACTTCTACTTACGCTCAAAAGCCTCAGACAGCCCCTCGACCCCAGTCTTATCAGCAACAACTTCAGTCCCAACCGCAGCCTCAATCTCAACCAACTAAGCAAGGCCCGTTCAACTTTACACAGCAGCCCCAACCTCAGCCTTACCAGCAACAGCAGTATGGTTATCCACCGATACCCACTCCGCAGCCAGGAGCAACACCTCATCAAGCCATGCCTACCCGGGGAACTCATCCATATGCATCTCCTACAGGAGCGGCCCCAACGTTCTTCCCAGCAGGATCTCCTCCGCCAAACCAAGGATATTTTACAACTTACCCACCTGGAGCGGCTTCGGAGCAAGGAGGCTGTTCACCACTTAACGGACATACTCAGTACCAACAACACCCATTTGCCCAAGGAGCACAGGCAAATTACCAGTCAACCAATGTTCAATACCAGGAAAACCAAACCTACAACCAGCAGACCTACCAACAATGCCCTTCCCAGAAGGGGCAGCAGCAGCGCCCTTTTGCATACTTCCAAGAAGGAGCCTCCTATAACGAGACGCAATCTCGACCTCAACCTCAGGCTCAACCTCAGGCCCAACAGCACCCGTACCAACAGCACCCGTACCAACAGCACCCGTACCAACAGCAATACAACCAGAACCAACACTTTCACAACCAGCAGCAGCAGCAGCAGCAGCACTCGCATTACACTCAGCAACCCCAACCTGCTCCATACCCAGCATCCAGTACATTTAGTGGTTCAACGAGGCACACCCCCAATAGCTCTTATGGATCCAACAATTCGCCGAGCTCTCAGCCCAAGCCTCAAACGACTCCTTCACAAAAACCCACACCACAGGCATCGCCACGACCAACACCTACCCCTCAGGCTGCCCCAAGACCAACGCCCACCCCTCAAGCGGTACCACGACCGACATCCACTCCTCAGTCTACGCCTCAGCCAACTCAACCAACGAGTACATCGCGGCCTGCTTCATCATTCACAGCTCCCGAGACCCCTCGACCGCAGGCAACGTCCAGACCCTCTCCAAGCACCTCATCTCAATCAAGGCCAGCCCCTCCAACACCAGAGCCACCTCATCGTGGACCAAGAGCGCCCCAGGATCGCAACGACTATTCAGCCTTTGGCTCAGAATCAGGATCTACACCCTATTCGTCTACTCACTCGCGCCAAGGCTCTACGGCTCCTGAAAGCTCTGAGATACCACCAACACCAACACCATCATCCACCGCCTCCTCTCGTCCCCCACGACAGTCCAACCGAGGGCCACAGACAGAGCATAGCGCCAGTTTGCTGACTATCGAAGAAATCGTATCTGAAAACGTTGAACCGTCAACACTTTCGATCAAGGTCATCAAATCCTTGTTGGACACCAACTTTGTCTCCTATGTCGGAGTTGTTGAGAAGTCTGACCTGGTCGGTCAGCTACAGAAGCTCATGATTAGTACCAAGGCCGAACAGGTGCGTGTTTTTAATGAGCAGGAGGCGGTCAGGAAGCAGAGCGAGCAGCAGGAACAGCAAAAACAACAACAGGAACAACAAAAACAGCAGCAGCAGCAAAAGGCATCTTCGACTGGATCTGCTACCAACGGCGGAAAGCAGTTTCCAACCACTGACGATGAGCACCGCTGCAAGGTCTGCTTTGAGGCGTCCTTGAACTGTGTGATGCTCAACTGTGGCCATATGTCCACCTGCATGGATTGGTACGTTATATATCCACGACAATGCAAGCATCGTTCGTTTGTTTTCGTTCAGGTTCAGGCTATTAACGATTCGTTTGTGCTGTTGTGTATTACTCCTCTCCAGTGGCAAAAAAATCATGGAAGGACCTCGTGTGTGCCCCATTTGTCGCGAATACGTCGTCAAGCTGCTTCACATCTTCAGAGCATAACCAATGAACTCTTAATAAAAAAACAATCGCACTCTCGGTTTTTAATAATGTCACTCAGCAACGAATAATCTCAATGTCGACTTCCTCAATGACATCCTCGGCTGCCTTGCCATAATAATGCAAGAAAGCTTTCCTGACTTTGTCCATCCGAATGTTCAAGACCGGATGAGTGATTTCCAAAACATTCGAAGGTGAGCCTACCACTTTCCTCTTGTCGTAGTTCTCGGTCCAAAGCAGCGCCGAAAGACCACCAGGCGCGATATCCTTGAGCTCGTGTCTGAATGACATTTGGTGCTGTGAGAGTGAAAGTCCGCTGAGGCAGTAGCATGTATGATAGTGGTCAACAGATCTACAAGGCAAAACATAATAATTGACAGTTAGTATAATGTAGCTAGCAGTGCAAAAAGTATTTTCGTCCGTACTGTTAAACGGTGAACCTTACTTTGAGGGTTTGTCACGAAGACCTCCTGTCTTGGACTGACATGCTGCCAAAAGGTATTCCTGCAGACCATCTACCGCAATGAATAGTCGCAAGAGAACAAGTGAGGTTAGTTTGCTATCAAGTGTAATGCTCCCTCACAGACAGCCTACAACGCTGTTGTCCTGGACGTACCTCGATCGTAGACAAAGTCTAGTACTTCCTGATCTTGACCAGCAGTCTCAAGCATCTTGCCAAGGATAGGGAAGATACCGCCAGTCCAGAAGGCATAGCATCCATCGACCAGCTTGTTTGTCCTGCCCTGGAATCCTCCCTCCATCGACATCTGACGACTGGCACTCCATTTCGTAAACGTATCCAGGTTCAAGATATCGGTCCTTCCCAACAACTCCAATGCCGCCAATCCACAAAAGGTATATCCAGCATGTGCCTCCACTCCAGGAAATCCACCGAGCCCGCCCTCGTACGTCTGACACCGGGCGATGAACTCGGCTGCGTTAGCCGTCAACTCTGGTGTAACAATGTTGGTAATGGTCGCGGCCGACAGGGCACAGTAGCTTCCTCGGACATCAACCTCTCCTCCAACCGCCATCGTAAACGATCCATCCTTCTGCTTCACGCTCATCAGGAAGTCTTTCAGAGTCTCTCGGTTGATCACGTCGTACGCCTCCTTGGTTCCAATAATGGCCAGTGCATTGATGGCAGCATACGTGGTTGCCACGTGAGCCTCCTGTCCGGGTCCACCACCGAATCCTCCTGTAGGCGATTGAATATGCTGCAAGGTCGAGATGGTCCTGACGGCAATGCGTTCAGGGATCCTGTAACCGAGCAAGTCGAGTGCGTGAAGGATCCAGTAGCAGAGCCAGGGTTTGCTGGCATCGAGGGCAGTCAAGTGGGTGCCAGCTTTGTCGATTGCACCCAGGACGTATTTGACATGGCGAAGCTTCCTAAGCTCAAGTCTGTTGTCGTGCAGAAAAAGGCGCATGGTTGTCAATTGGAAATTTTCTCAGGGGTCAGAGTTGGGGTGTTCACGAGGCCGAAAGAGAGTCGGCATGTAAAAAGCAGACTTGCCTGTCAATAGGAAGTGGCATTGGGCTCTCTTGGGTGTAAGGGAAGAAGGCCCGGCGGATGCTCTCCTCTGTCTTGAGCTAGCGAAACAGCAGAGGAAGGAATTGTCTCCTTGTTGAGTTTTCTATACTAGCTTCCATGAATAAAAGGTGGAGGAAGGGAGTGAAGCACATGCTGGACCCGGCTCAAGGAATCGATTTACCTGAACATCCGAGGAATCGGTCATAATGCCATCGTCGTTGTATCCGTATGTTTGCAAGTCTTCTTCGCGGTTGAGTACTCCCATTGTTGACGAGTTGTGATTGTGTCTTTTACAGAAGTGGGGAATGATTCAACATGAGAAAAAGTGTCCATCCATCTCCATAGCACTTTTGCCCGCGTGTGCCTCACGTGATTGGCAGAAATGAAGTTCCTTGCACAAGCAAGCAAAACCGTACCTGGTATGGATGCAAGTTTTATTGTTAGGCGTCAGCTTTCGCACACCACGAAGCGGAACTGGACTGGAAGCAGAACCATATCGTGCAGTGCCGCCTGAGTATCGTACATGGTCAAGTTATTGAATGTAGAGGGATCGACAATAAGATAAGGAAGGGTTGCAACCGCAGGATCTTGAACCAAGGGATGGGCACCCGCTTCTTGTCTCTTTTGAGCCTTGTTCTCTCGAGAATGAGGGTATAGGTCCGGAATAGTACCTAGGCGTTTGGGCTTGTGGCGATGCGTCTTGTGGACAGGGTTAGATGGCAGGGTCGCTGATATGGACTGAGAGGTCGAGGCAGGGGTAGAAGAGACAGGGCTTGGAACGACAGATCCATTGGGTTGAGTAGCATCGACGGAGCATGTTGAGAGATCACCGAGGATCCGGACCTTAGTTTTGTACACAAACTGGTTCCTTGAGATTTCAATGCAGCTGTTGCAGAGTGACGGCCAATTATGCGGCAATGCGATCCCAAACGACTCGGGGTTCTATGGCGAGATACATAAGCATAGTTCACGGATAGGGTTTAGCGTCCACCTGGTTGCGGATAGTCGCCAAAAAAAATATCGTTACAGTAAACACTCACCATAAATGCAAAGTACTCTTTGCTGAGGTCCTTGATGTCGCACTTTTCGTGGAAACATCCTTGTCGAATAGGCTGAGTCCAGATGGGAATCTTGGAAGTCGTCTTCACCTGGGGTTGCTGTTCCAGCTGCGCATAGTTTCCTTGCGCTAGGTTTGCCTGCTGAAGGCGATTAAAATCCTTGATTACCACGATCTGCGACTCCATGATGTTGTCAGCAAGACTCTCAGGAATGGTGTCGGATACTTGTTGGTGATTCTTGATCCTGCCCAATGCTGTCAGTGCAAGTGCGAGGATTGTGATCAGACCAAGTGAGGTGGCAACGATGTGCTTGCACAGGTTGACAAGACCAGGCCGTGAACAAAGAGCTCTTCGCCACCGTTCCCTCGAAAAGAAACCCTCGGATGACTCTTCATAGTCCCACCAAATGAACTTATCGCTCGACGACATTGAATCGTTCCTGCCGCCCGTTTGGAACCCCATCACACCAAACTCTGACATGTGTGGGAGACGAGGGAGCTGCTCTGGAGAAGATGGATCGTCGAGAGCACTGTTGACTTCTGGAAATGACTCCCGACCCTCAGCTGGACTTAACTCTGCCAGTTCAATCTGTACATCGGCTTGTCCTGTTGCTCTTGGCGTTTGCTGGGTGCTCTTCTGTCGTTGATCTGCCGTATTGTTTCCTGGGTCAACTGCTTGTCGAAGCGGTGCTACTTGGTTCCTGCGGTAAGGTAATCGACCCTGTGAGCGCAGTTTCTCCTTGATCTGTTGGAGAGTGTAGGGCCAGTGAACCATAACGACGGGCAATGGGGTTCTGTAAGACTGACGAGGTGTGGTTGGCGGTGTTGATAGGTTGATTGATGTTCCATCGGGAATGATAATCCTCGGCACTGATGGTCTCGGTTTTTTAGGGGTACCTGCAGATCCAGACCCTGCCTCTAATGTTGTTCCTGATCCATCGCCGCTATTGCTTGTCTCGTTATTGTCGCTGGGTTGGCCTGGTGTCGATGACTGACTGGAGCTGCTACTGGTTGAAACGTTGTTCTCGATACTAACAGCACTTCCATTCAATGTGCTATTGCTTCCTCCGATGTCGACTGATGGGCTGCTGTCCTGACCGTTGGATATGGTGGACTTGGCCAGTGATATGTAGGTGAGGCTTGATTTCTCTGTTGCTGGTGATTCGACCAAAGATGACTCTGTGAAGTTTTGTTGGGTAGATGGTGCAAAGAATGGAGGGGTTTGTGGCGAAAGAGGGATATAGTCGGATGATATGGCGATGCGTTCTGGCGAATTGAGTGTCAAGGGGTTATTGGAGGGAACAAGAGGTAGAGGTGAAGTAGGGGTGATAAGAGAGGCCGAGTTATGTTTCCGAGGAATCCTGGATCGTCTCAGTGGCTCGAGTGTGCGACCCATTCCTCCGTTGTAGTCCTCGGCATAGTTGGCAGGCTTGGAAAACTGTCGCCAGCAACCAGACGTAACATCGTCGTTCCTGCTTTTGGGTGACTGGGCATTGCCTCTGTGTGGCGTTGGGGGATCCATGAGGTGGAGAATATATGTTTGAATACGTTGGTGATGGGAGATGTATGGAGGAAAAAGAGGGTGAAGACGGAGAAGAGAGAAGAAAGAAGGAGAAAGTGAGTATTCACCTGAAGAAAGGCCAAAGAAAAAAGACAAAAGAGGTAATCCCTGTGGACAATTCGCAACCACACACCCTCGCCCTTTTACAGGCAGGTTATTGATAATGCTACTGCTATGACAGTGAGTGTTTGGGTGAATGTTCTAGTTCATTGGAGTGTTGCTGCTCGTTCTTCGCGCAGTAGTGGAAGATCCTATCCAACCGTTTCGCGTAATAATTTATAACTGTCAAGAGCCTGTACGCGAGAGAGGAAAGTAACCTTTTTTCCCTCTTTCGTGCAGGTAAGCAGACACCACAACAGACAAAGATAATTAGTAGGATAGGACGAGTGTGATGAATATTAAATATGGGCCTTTTTTCCCTTCGTGTAGGCATAACGGGTTCACCAGAGTTTTCTTTATCACCAGCGATAACAACAGCGACAACAACAACAACAGCGACAACAACAACAACAGCGACCACACAATATATATCCCTTTTTCATTCCACTCCCACCAACCATCTGCGACTACAATACAAAAAAGAAAATATACACAACACAACAGCATGACAAACCCAGCCATCAACGAAGTAACCCAAACATCTGGAGCCGACACCAGGCTCTCCAGAAGGGAGGAGGAAGACCCATCTCCTGGCAACTCTTCCCCCTGTCTTCGAACCCTGGGTTCAAAACTCCCACACAAACGAAGTCACGTGCTCAATCCCTACCCACCCTAGAAGTTGGGGGCGTTATTTTCTTCTTTTTCTACAACGGTTATACGGTTGTTGTTGATCTCCACTCATTCTCTCTTCATTCAGAACAGCAATGCCACTTGTCATTCTCAGCGGACTGCCCACGAGCGGGAAAACAACCAGGGCACAGGAACTAAAGACATTCTTCGAAACAAGACTGGCAGCACAGGCTCAGGCACAGGATGATTCAGCACCAAAGACCAAGGACTACCGGATTCACATTGTCAACGACGAGTCGCTGAATCTCAACAAGCACGTCTCCTACAACACTGCTGCGGACGAAAAGAAGGCCCGAGGCGCGCTCATGTCGGCAGTCGAGAGACTTCTTTCCAAAGATGATATCGTCATTGTTGACAGTTTGAACTACATCAAGGGCTTTCGGTATCAGCTTTACTGCGTTGCGCGAGCCATTGGAACGCCCCATTGCGTGGTAAGGAGCTATTATGGGTTCTATAATCAGATTGTCGCGATGATGATCGCACAACCGAATTCGCAGAAATGCTATGGATTTGAGCGACTCCAAAAGGACAATAGACGGGTTGCTAACATTCTAATTATCATATCCTTCTTGTTTATGCCCGATGATGAACCACCTGGGTGTCATCGATTAGGTATTCTGCGCTTGTATCCCCGACAGAGCAAGAGCATGGAACAAGGAGTCGGGAGCATACCCAGAGACGATATTCGAGGAATTGTTGGTCAGATTCGAGGAACCAGACTCAAGGACACGGTGGGACTCACCTCTTTTCGTCATGGTACCAGAAGATAAATTGCCCGAGGATGAGATCTGGGACTCTGTCATCTTGAAAAAGGCGAAGCCTCCAAACATGTCCACCGTTGTGGTAAGGATGCGTTTCTCATTCTTTTTCTACACTTTCAGGATCGCTTCGTTTTGCTCGTTGGCCATGAACTAAGGTATTTGTGCACCACTTATCCAATGGAATTTATAGAAAGTCGTGAAGGAAACCAACTACCTGTATGAGTTTGATCAGACGACGCAGAATGTGATTCAGGCTATCCTCGACGCCCAAAAGTCTGGAGATCCAACTAAGCAGATCAAGGCGCCACTTTCGTCCATTCTTTTGCAGCTTCCACCAACGCGGGTGGTTACTTTGAGCGAGCTGAGGAGGTTGCGTCGACAGTTCACGTCGATCAACAAGATGCACACCTTGCTCGATATGACTAGAGTAGCCGAGGGCTTTGTAGAATATCTCAACCAAAACCTAAACGCATAGCCACTAAACCATTTTTAACTACGTCACCGTAATGATTATTGCCACATAAAAGAGAGGCGCCTCCTTCGTTTCAATCGTTATTCTCCACTTACCCTCATCCCTTTGCGCTTTCACGACCTCGCAAGGTACACCCAGTCTCTAGGACACAACCGACACTCCTGGAACTGTGGATCATTCCGTCTCTTGACATCAGCCAGGGTCTTTGCCGATCCTAAGTCTTTGCTTGCTAACAATCGTGCCTTCTTTGTTACTGAAACAATTAGCCAACAAACTTTTTCCCAAACTTCAACCAACAACAACACTCCATCATGTCCAGCGCTCTCGACATGTCCCTCGAGGATATTATTAAGACCAGCAAGACCAACGAGCCCCGCAACACCAATAGAACCTCTCGCGGTGGTCCTCGCGGTGCCCGCTCCTCCGGCCCCACCCGTAACGGCCGCCAGGGTCGCGACAACAGACCTTACCAGGCTGGCGTTCAGCAGTACCGCGCCGCCCCTGTCGCACCCCTCCACACGTCCATCATTCGCCAGAGCATCCCCGATGGATCCAAGATGCAAGTCTCGAACCTCGACCACCGCGTCTCGGCCGAAGACCTGAAGGTAAATTGACAGAGACATTTTCAGATCTCTCTCGGACTGGGCTCCCAGCCCATCACCACCTATATCTTCCAGCCAAGTGCCCGCTGTAACGCCGTCTGAACTTAGCCGTTCGCCTCCCTACAAGTTGTTTGTCATCGGATGATCGACGACTCGCATCTATGTTGGCGCCGCGCCATCACGCTAAACCCAGGCATGGGTGAGGGGGAGAGACGAATGCGGTTCTTGGCGTACAGAGCAGAGTATTCGCCGAGGAACTCATTTTTGAGCAACAGGGATGCCGTATCGTTCAAAGACAGGATATCGACCACCCGACACCAAAACGCGCCTTACAATGAACGACAACACATCCAACAGCCTGTGACAGAGCGAACAAGGAGGAGGGTCGGATATTCCATGAGCGAGTGATGATTGCAAGTTGCCACGAGGCGCACACAAAGGGATGACAGAAAGCTTTTGCGCTCCTCTCAGGATAGTCCGTGTACTACCCATTCGTTGCACTTTCCCCGCATCATCAACTCACAGGCTCGGACATCGTCACCCTTTTCGGGGACATAGTCATTTAGGATCGACTCGGCTGGCGGGCCGCCTTCCTCCTGTCCACCACAAGGCTTGTCCAATCGACTACAGCGAGCTGGAGGAAGGCCATAGTGCACACAGAATCTTCAGGATTCTCGACCAAGTAGGGGGTAGTAACAACCGGGTTGGCCACAAAAGGTCGTAATGAGTGGGATGCATTGGTGATCGGGCTAGGATGACCTCTCGATGACTTGAGAGGGTATTGGTGATGCTGGCCTTATCTGGCGGGATGGTGGAGGAGTCGGTTTCCAAACCCTTCTTTGTCATACCATCGGTGGGCTTTCGTTGTCTCCTTTCGAATTTGCCAAGGGTCGGATTCGGACGATCGGGTCCTTCGCGGTTCCGTGTAGGACAGTGCTTGGTGGTCGCCTTTGTGTCCCTCCCCTTCGGTTCCTGTCAGCTCAGCCTCTCACGGATGGGAGGAGCATTCCTTGTTGTGCCACCAGGGGCGCGCGCAATCGAGTCAAGCATGATGGCGTTGACATTCACTTCCAGGATCATCATTTCTGTTGATCTGTTTCCGTGTTTCGGCTGAGCTGAGCTGGATACAGGATATTCCCTCGCCAGTGATATGTCATGCAAACAAGGACCCTGCCGCTAACAGTCGCAACCGCCACTCTTCCGCCTTTCTCTTATTTCCTCTTGTGTTTCCTTCAAACCTTCTCCACATGACTATTGACCCCTCTTTCACGACGCACCTCAACGGAATCGGAATTGGAATCACTAGCTCGTCTTCACCACCAGAGTCGGACCCTTGAAGAAGTGCACCCTCATGTACGACCAGAACGGAAAGTCGACCGGAACCGCCGTCGTCCACTTCACCCGTGTTGGTGATGCTGCCATCGCCTACAGCAAGTTCAACGGCGTCCCCCTTGATGGTATGCAGCGCACTCTTTCCGACAATGCTGTTTGTTGGCGTCCATTATGTCTTGACGAATGCACACTTGTCCTAATAATGTTTCCCTGTTCCCTTGCATGTCAATAGGCAAGCCTATGAAGATTGAAATTGTTTTGGCACCTGCCGCCGCCCAGGCTGTCCTTCCCCCTACAAATGCCCCAAGGTGCGTCGAATTGAAGTTTTTTTTGTGTATCATGACGATGCGAGCAGATATGAAATCAAGTCGCGAGAAAATCAACTCATATTGTTTTCGTTCCCTACTCGTTTTCTTGTTTTTCTAGGGCTCCTGCCAGCTACAACCAGCACCAGGGACAGCAGCGCTCCCAAGGCCCTAGCCGTGGTGGTCGTGGTGGCGGTCGTGGTGGTCGCGGTCGTGGAGGCCGCTCTCAGGGCGAGAGACGTGAGACCAAGACTGCGGATCAGCTTGATGCCGAGATGAACGACTACATGCAGGTTGATGCTTAAGCAACTCCTAGTCAGCTCACTCACGCCTCCACACACACAACAAAAGCAACACACCAACACCATAACACTCTTGCAGCATGTATCCTTGGGCGATGATTTGCCTTTAATCTCTCTCTTTTTTTTTTCTTTCTTGCTCAGTCTACGCGACAGTCTCCTTTGACGACAACACTTTCATGCCCATCTTTTTGTTCATAAAGACCAACAAAATCATTATATTATAGCCTCATGTTCATAATTCTGAAAAAAGAAAAGGGCGTCATTAAGAGTGCTTTGTTGTTACGTGCGGACCTCGTTCCAAGGCGCAAAGTATAGCCTTTCGTGTTTTTTGCGTAGACATTTCGATCCCCGTCCTGCATCTCAAGAAGCATGGATAAAAACGATGAAGAGGGGAAGAACACAACGTATCGGCCACATGGTCGGCAGCCTCAACAATAGTGACGACGTCTCCAGCGACAAAACGCATCGCGGATTGTCAATCCTCCAAGGCGAACACCATCCGAAACATACTCACCAACATCCGTTCTCCTTCTGCCAAGACTATCGGGTACTCCTTCACTCGTTAAGGCTATTATTGAAGGTTCCTTCTCTTATCCAAGCAGCCAAGGCCATCTATCTGTTATGGTAGACGAGGAATCCTCTCTCTCTCTTTACAGAGAACGCTACAGTCACCTCCATCGAAGCTATCGAATTCTCGCACCACATAGGTAACCAAGCTTAATCCTAAACAGAAAGAAATCTTTTGAAGGCGATATAACATCGTCATCCTTCAATCACTACAAAAATCATCTCAAGACCACTCGTGGCATCTTATCCCCTTGATCGTTTCCTCAAAATACTTTGCAAAGTCCAGTTTCGACATTGACGCGTCTTGCATTCTCCTTCAGCAGCGCTTCCCTCCTTTCCACAAAGCAAACGTTCTCATGAAGAATAAAAACAGGTCGCATAATAGTTGGTGGGCCAGCATATTTTTGTGTATTCAGTCATTGGTTTCATCCATACCATGCCCCTCTTCGTTGAGCTCGTATTGATGCCGACTGGTTTCTCGCAAAACCCCCTCGCGCACCCAAAACTGGACTTTTGATTCTAGGGTCTCTTCTCGGACACCTGTCTTGGTCGCCATATCTGGCAATGTCCACGTGTCTATATCCGATCAAAGTGCGAGAGGAGGCGAAAATCCGCTTAGTTAGTTATCATAAACGCATCCATTCAATTCATCAAGAATCTTACGTCGTGTCAAGTGCAAATTACCTTGGTCCTCAAAGAGATATATGATGGTGGCATAGATGGGTTGCACCTGCATTGAAAAGGATCGACCATTCACTTCCAGTTCCAAGTCCACCATTCCCAGAGATGGAAAGATCTTGAGTTTCTGTGCTGGCTTGGTGACCTCGAACGCCGCGTTGTAAGAATTGAGCATTCTATTGGGGAAAGAAAAAAAAACGAAAACGCGTTAGTGACAGCCACCAAGGAAATGCATGGTACATTTGATCTGTAAGAACGTGGAGTTTCCTGTGAACTTACTCTTGTAGGGGTGTCGGGAGCTCAAACTCTTCCTCTTCTTCCTCCTCGATCTCGGGCCAGTAGTATCTCGAAGCGATCGTTGTGCTCACCGCCATCTAGTGTTCAAGAGTCGCCAACGTGAAAAGGTTCCGTAGTGAGTACACCAAGTTACCAAAACGCCTGCTTCAAGTCAAAATTATTGGTAACCAGCTCGAATCTTACCTCCGGATGAAGAGATTGAATGTTGGCGTTGACGCGCTTCGATTCAGCAATATCTGCCAACATGACCTCGCAATGGTGCAGATCCGTGTCTCCGAATCTCAGCTTCAGCAACTCCAGTTGACGAATCTAAGGGAACATGAGAATGAACAACGAGAGCAGCAGTTTAGAACCTATAATGAGAATGTTTTGGACAACTTCCAGCCAATGAAATCAGATCGAGTCAACCCGTCGTACTTCGCGATCCACATTAAAGTCGGTAGCTTGCAACAGCCGATCGGCGAGAATGGCTTGGAACTCTTCAATGAACCTGTCATTCGTGTCGTAGATGCTTGCTAGCACACTAATGATATCCGCCATTTTTCTCCTTGCTGAACTCAGATCTAGCAATATGAATATGGGTCATTGGGTAGTGTGAGTAGGCTAGCTAACTTCAGGAGACCCGAGCATTTGCATCAAGCAATGTGTACCTGGACCTGCATGAACTGGCTCTGGAGCCCAGTTCTCGTCATCCGATCCTTCTTCGTCAGCCTCAAGGGCTCCTGGGATGCCTTCATTCGAATTGGTTAAAAGGTCGCTCGAGTCGTCAACAATACATGCCACGATAGCTCGCATGGTATCGTCTCTCGTTCTGTGTGGGTAGATCAGACGATAGAAAAAAGTCAGTATCGGTCCTGTTCTCGCATAGTAACTGTATTTACTACCTCTATAACGACATACCTGAGGTATTTGTTGATCTGGCGCGCAGTGCGATCCAACATGACACCCAAAGGGTCCATGATTCGGAGGTATTTAATGGCGTAAATGTAGAACTCGATGATGTTCTTAGTCTCAGCTCCTGGATGCAGCAATCTCCTGTCCATACTTCACGATCAACAAGTACAGTGAAAGAGTTAGTATTTTCAATCGCTAAAAACAAACGCCACCAATTCGACACGCAAATCTCACTGTGAATACTTACGCAGCAAGGATGGAGACTTGAAGCTGCTCGCGCTGTCCCGTCCATTCTATACAAGTCTTCAGGTCATTCACCGCCGGCGTTGACTCTGGGCACTCAACGATGATGTCGAAGAACTCGCTGATCCTAAAACATATACCGGTTAGTTTCCGCGTCGATTCAATTTGGTCCGCTCCTAACAAAAGAATTCATTCTAATCCTGTAATAACAAAGGAAAACATACCGGAGATCGCCAAAAGTCTTAAAAAAATAAAACTCGAGTCGACTTGCCCACATTTTGAACCGCTTGCTCGCAGTCAAGTCCTCTAGTGTAAGTAAAGTCAAGCCAGTTGTTAGAGAGGCCCATGATTTAAGCCATTTCCTACTCTAATGTATGTGTGTCGCCTACCTTGGTCCTTCTTGGGGAGAAGCGTAAAGTAAAGGAAACGAAGAATGATGTCCTCCATCCACTTTTTGCCAAGTGCAAGCGTCGCGACGGTCCAATTCTTCTTGAACGAATTGAAGATCTTTCCTGAGACCTCCTCGTACAACATCCCCGTGACTACATGGGTCATTCGAGAAGCAAAGCCAATCTCCTCCAGCTTTTGACAGAGATCGAGGTAATGCCCCATCTTGCTGCTAAGTTCCTCAGATTCCTGTGATCCAGGGTGATCGAGGACTTCTTGCGAGTACTGTTCTACAATGGCATCATTCCTGTCGTCGCCAAACAAATCCATCGCAAACCGGCCGTCCTGCATGATATGCCTCCGCTTTTTGCTGAGTCGTTGTCCTGCAATGGAGTTTTTCATCACATCAGTCCCCTTCTGTTCGCTGGGTGAGGCTGTGTCCGACCTATCAGTGCCACCAGCACCTTCCCACTGCGAACTTGTAGTGTCATGACCAGAGTTCATCTGCGACTGGAGGATCTCGAACTGCCGAAAGTTGGTTCTGAAGTAAAGGTGGGCGATTTGATCGAATGATGGAGGGAGTCGGATAGCTAGCTCAGCAGAAAAATCGGCCAAGAACCTTGATGACACCTGGAGAGTAGGGTCATTGTCCATAGTCCGTACTTGTGTATCGAATATGAGAGTTAGCTGTCTGGAGACGAAAAGACGTCGATGGATCGCGTCAATTAGCTGGCTGAACTTTGGCAGGATCCACTGAGCTGACTCTTCGCTTGTTAATCCTGATGCCAAATGTTTCTAGTTTCATACGCGGAGATAATGCTCTTGCAGGTTAGTACAATAGACGAAGGAGAGAGTTAGCACGCATAGACAATGCAGCTGAGTTTACGCTTACTTGATATTGAGCGTCGATTTCTTCTAGGCGAGGCACAAGGTCCTCCAAAGCTGCCTTGCGGTACGTGTCTATGCGCAGAGGAAATAGACCCATGATGTCAGCTAGTTGGGTATGTGGTGTGTACCAGCGCATTTCACAAGTATGATGGGCTTACCCAACATCCAGTCGCCTATCCATCTTCCGAGTCCCTTTCTCAGCAGGACATTCAAACTTCCTTTGACGCGAAGGTCTATCAAAAGGAACGACGCGTTTTAGTAAGGAATATTTTGCCTGGAGTATTGTTCTGCAAGATGCAACCGCGGTCATATTGATAGCTTACTTTTTGGAGCAGCATCCAGGGACGGATACATGACTTTTGTGACAACTTCGGTGGCCTATGTATGATATGAGCATTATTCAGAACGTGTGTTAGAAGTGGCTACACTTATCAAGCGCAGGGAGAAAGACCAAGAAAATAGTTGTAAACAGTATCTTGCGTGAAGGTTGTTACATGAGCTAACTCCGTTGATGGGGTTTCAGCCTTGGAGGGTTTCCATGCGGTTAGTGTGCTCAGTGCCTTTGTCCATTGGTCCTGGGTTGCTGAGTCCATTGAGTGTGATGAGGGGTGTGCATTGGGGAGTGTGGAGAAGTGCCTGGCATCTGCCTGCAAGTTGAAAAGCAGAAACTGGGCGCTGCTAATTGCGCTGGAAATGGTGACTGCTATGCGGAACAAATCAAGTAACACCGGTAACGAGCCTCAGCCTTCAAGGCAAAGCCTGCTGTTGTAAGTCGGGGATGGTTGTTCAAGTGCGAGCATATGCTCTTCTTGCAAGAAGAAGAGGAAGAGAGCAGGCATCGAAGGGAATGAGGAAAGAGTGAGCGTGTTCAAGTGTAAGGGGGATCGTTGCGAAGGCATATGGGAGACATGGGACAGGCTTAGTTGTGTTGCTGAGCTGCTCTGAAAAGGAACCTTGTTTTTGTTTTCTTTTTTTCGTTTCTTTTTTTTTTGCCTTCTTTTTTCCCCTCCTCTTTTCTTTCCCCATTCTCCGAACATCTTCTCTTCTCATTCCTCCTTCCTCCTTCGCACTCTTTGCTACCCTCATTCCCTCTCTTCCCTCCTTCTTCTTGGCTAATCCCCAATGCGATACCCTGTCTACACTGACTCATCCCTCCTTGTCCCATTCCTCACCCCACTCTGCCAGACCCCATCCCTTGCCCTTGTCACCGACATCTAAAAGAATCACTTTTGCCGGCTGACAAGACTCAAGACAACTTTCTTATTCTTTTCAACAACACAACAAGAACAACACACTTCCAACCAACACACAGCTCTCACACACTTATCTGATAAGCGATGGACCTGTTTTCGTTTGACCACGACGACCACCCCAACCTCCGGGAGCGCACCTTCTCTGTCGACTCTGTTCAGGGTGCGGAGCCTCAACAGGAGGTCCTGGCACAAGTGCAGAAGCAGCAACAGAAGCAGCAGCACCCCCACGGCCTTGCCAATGGCACTGACAAGAGGGCAAACCACATCTTTGCTCCTCGCCCCATCACTGCGACTGCGAATGCGACAGTACCCCTCCTTGCCCCTACCTCGACCAAGGCAGCGGCAACAACAGGATTGTCGCCTCCCTTGGCAGGATTTTATCAGGCCAATAGCAACTCGTCCAACAAGCACCTGCCTGCCTTCTTCCACCAAATCGATCGCGATCAGTCTGCAACTCCCGAAACGACCTTTCGCAAGAGTCAGGCAAACAAGGCCACCATCCCTGCGCCTGCCTTGACCAAAGACACTGCTGCTCCCTCCGCCTCCACTAACAATAGCGACAGCGAGTCAGAGAAGCCTCACAATGTCGAGTACGAGGTCAAGATTGACCAGGACTTTGACGCCCATGCATCCCAGAATGCTGACAGTCGAGGCCAGTCCCCTCACATGGGTCAGTCAGCCTCTGGTTCCGCCTCTGTGGGAAAGGGTGCCACTCCTCTCCAATCTGTGGTCTCCCCTCGTCGCCCCAAGCACAAGATGACGCCAGATGATTTCAAGTTTCTCAAAGTCATTGGCCGAGGATCGTAAGTTGAAAACTGCCATTTTTTTTTATTTTATTCGAATACGATCGGCGATTCATGTTTGCTGTCCTGTGCCCCATGCCTTATCCGTGGTTCATGATCCATGATCCCCGGGTCGTTTTGCAAGAAGGACATGATCCCCCTTATCATCATTCGAAACAACACTAAGATGAAAAAGAGCACGAATTAATAACGAATCCTTTGTTGCACGTTTCCTCTTGGTTTCTTTTGTTGCTTAGGTATGGCAAGGTCTACTTGGTCCGTCACATCGCCACCAATGCTCTGTATGCGATGAAGGTCCTCAAGAAGGCTTCGATCATTGTCCACGCCAAGGACACCGAGTGCACCATGTCTGAGCGCAAGATTCTTGAAGCCATTCGCCACCCATTCATTGTCAAGCTGCACTACGCCTTCCAGACTGACCATCGCCTGTACTTGATCTTGGAGTATGCAAGCGGAGGAGAGCTCTTTACTCACCTTGCCTCAGGTACGTAACATGCAATTTTTTTTTATTTTTTTTTTCATTTCCCCTTTTATTTTAGAATATAGTTGTGGTTTCTTTTTAATATTGAATTCCTGCCCGCATGGATGAGATAGATGACAGACCTCTCTCACTCTCCCTTGCCTCCCTCTCGCCCTCCCTTGCCTCCCTCTCGCCCTGCCTTTCTCCACAGCAAACTCGATTTCGCTCTCGTTTTGTTTGCTCGTCTCCACTTTTCTTTTGCCCCTTTCAACTATTGCCTCTTTGTTTGGTCTTCTCTCTGCTTCGCTAATGACCACTTGTTTCGATCGACAGAATAATCGGCTTTTCCCCACCTCTTCCCGTCATCCTTCCCTCTCCATACCGCCCTCCCTTTCTCATCATCCTTTCTCATACCCCCCTCCCCCTTTCCCTCGATTCAGGCACAAATGGGAGTGCAAGAAATAATAGCGCACGTCCTTTTGACTAACCTTCCCTCCACCTTATTTGCATCTCGATTTGAAACTGTTTTAATAATAGAGCGAATGTTCTCTGAGGAAAATACCGCATTCTATGCGGCTCAATTGGTCCTCGCTCTGGAGCATCTCCACTCCCTGGGTATCATCTACCGAGACCTCAAACCGGAGAACATCATGCTGAACGCTCACGGCGACGTTGTCTTGACGGACTTTGGTCTGTCCAAGGTCCCTCTGGAGAACTCGGATGGACGCACGGGCACCGTCTGTGGAACCATTGAGTATATGGCTCCTGAAGTGATCTCCGAGCGTGTGCAGTATGACCGTACTGTCGATTGGTGGTCCCTGGGAATCGTCATCCATGATATGTTGACCGGCTCGCCTCCATTTGTCGCCAACAACCGCAAGAAAACCATGGATGCCATCATGAACAAGAAGTTGAACCTGCCCTACTACATGTCGTCGGATGCCAAGGATCTTTTGACCAAGTTCCTCAAGCGGACTCCTTCGGCCCGCCTTGGTTTCGGACCCAAGGGAATTGAGAACATCAAGAAACATCGCTTCTTCCGCAAGATCAACTGGAAGCTGTTGGCGCTCCGTGAGCTCGAGCCACCCATTGTCCCCTTCCTGTCGGACCCCGAGAGTGTCGAGAACTTCAATACCGAGTTCACAGGATTGCCTGTCCAGGAATCGCCCATCTTCTCCCTTGGAATGGTTCATATCAACGGAGCAGGAGCTGCTCACTACAACGGTGACGGAAACGGCAGTGGCACTGCTACCCCTGGATCAGGACACCATACACCCGCTCGTTACCTGGCCTCTGCGAACGGCGGGTCTGCGTCGGTCGTCGGAATTGCTACCGCCATGAATGGCTTGTCGGTCCATGACAAGGATGACCACCACCCTGCAGGAATCCCAATGGCCAAGACTCGATCCAACTCGCCTGACCACCACCACTTCCAAGATTTCAGCTATGTCGCGACATCGCACCTTCCGTCCCTGGGATACCTGGACGCTGTAGGAGAGCATTGACTCTTGCGGGAGTTTACGATGAGGTTCGCTGACGACTCTTGTATCGGCGAACCTCTTTCAACAAAACTTATGTCGACTATGATGGATCAGGAACCGGGAGACGGAAAGAAAGAACCATTCAGTTATGACCAGGACATGAATAAAACGTTTCAATTCAAATGGACAAATTTATGCCTTTACGGTTTCTATACGTTTTTTGTTTTTAACATAAATATCCGACTCTATCTAAGGTAGTTTTTTTTGTTTTAATCTACCATGCAAAAACTTCTTTAGCTTCTCTTCTTGCGCTGACCTTCTCCAACAACAGGGACGAGGACATGACCGACCAAGAGATCGCTGAGGGCGAAAAGCAAGATGGTAAACAGGACCATCAAGGATGAGATACAGAAATGACTGATACTGGTTCCGATCTCGAGCCAGGAGCCATCATCTCTGACCAGGTAGAAAAAGTTGAGTGTCATCACGTCAGTAGTCGCCAGTCCCAGAAGGAACAAAGAGAAAGGAGGCAATTCCAGAGATCGACCCAGGACACGGAAGATGGACGAGACCAGGAAGAAGGGGATCAGGATCTTGATGATCAGGAGGGCACCCATGAAGAAGGGATTGAAGACTGTGGTCAGGCGGAAGACGGATTGGAGTGAGAACGAGGCGAGGGAGGCGACATTGCCTGTGCCAAAGAAGGCGACGTTGATGAAGAAGAGGAAGAAGATGGCGGGGCGGGCATCCTTGGGCGACAGACCGCGGATAGGGTAGTCAACTGTTGCTGCTGTTGCTCCATTGGCGCTGCTGCTGTTGCCGGTGGAGGAGGAGGAGGCACCGGTGAGACCTCTCTTTTCCAAGTGGAGAGTATCTGAGAGGGGCTGCATCTCGCTGGCAGAGTAGATCTTTCTCTCGAGCATGAGCCATGACAGCAATGTCGCCGACAAACAGAAGTAGAAAATAGACTCGTACCTACATCGTCCAAGTAAATAACGAAAAGAAGTTAGTGAACGGTGCTATTAGTAGAAGGAGACAAACTGCCCAATTGCTGCGTGGAACGAATACGGCCCAGTTATACTTACGAGATGCTCAAGAGGATGAAGATCGGGGCAAAAGACAGGTAGATGATAACCATACGAAGGAGGTAATGCTGGCTTGAACGGGCGCCATATACAAATGGGATGCTTCCAGTGACGACTAGATGTGGAATATGGTTCGAGTTAGAAAATGCATATTTGACAACACAGCCTAAGGCGAAAAAGATTCAATGCTCGGTCACCTACACAAAATGATCCAGCTGAGGGTCTGGTTCAGGAGAGGCAAGCCCTGATGAGCAGCAAGACTCTTGACAGTGTCATTGACAATGACAGTCGACAGCGCAATCAGTCCAGTCTAAGAAAGAACAATGAAAGTCAGTGTAAGTATTTTGCGTACTTTCAGGACGTAATAACAGCGGTTGCCACCAAATATTAAGCTCACAGTACCTGTAATATCATGACGTTTCTAGCGGTGACGGCAGTGCGGGGTTGCTGAGGATCGGCTGTGATTCCAGGAACAACCGCCGTGGAGACAAATCCACTGACAGTCAAGATCAAACCTCCAGAAAGACTGGCGTAGACCACAAAATGAACGTGTTAGTTACTAGTTCATTACTCACTTTCATAACATGTCGTAATCACGCTGGCAAGAGCTTACATCAAAAACTTATCCTCACCCGTCTCAACAGGGAGAAGGGTGAAAATACTGGTTCCGAGACAGGAAAGAGACCACGAGGCCATCAACAGGGTGTTGTTGCGCTGAACAGCGGCAGGCAGGAAAACAGGCCAGAGTGCCAAGAACAAGAAGCAGATCGAGAGGATTCCGCGGTTGAAGTAACTGTAGACCTACATTTCAAGATTAACAATGAAGAAGGGTTAGGTGAAAATTTACACAAGTAGAAGTCTGTCGACATGCTGGAAATACTAATGGTAGACACTTACAAGGATCTCCAGCGCAACAATGTATCCAAGAACTGATCCGATGGTCTTGACCCAGCCATAGTTTTGCGTGGTCTTGGAAATGGCGGAAAGGAGTTCCCGTCTGTTGAGAATAACACGGCTCCAGAAGAAGACAGGGAATGCAACGTAGGCATAGTACAGTGCTGGCGAGTGCTTGACCGTCAAGATGACCGAGAAAATTGCAAACACGACGACTGACAAAACGTTGACGGCCTGGTTCTCCTGTGCCGATGCAACGTTGGCAATGGGTCGGCGAGTCCTGGGTCCACCGAGAGGTCCCAGACGAGAATCCTGACCACCAACGAATTTCCTGAGAATGAAGTTCAAGCTGAAAGCAATCCAGCCGAGATATCCTGCGGAAATAACCGAGCGAAGGAACAGCCAGTCGTACCTGTTATACAAAACAAATTTGATGGCAAAAGAAATTTTGTTATTAGTGATCGTCCCTGAATCCAAAGAAACGATTATCCTTGAGGTCCTGAGTGCTCTAACTGACGGTTTTTTCATGCCACCAATGCTTACGTTTGGAGATAGCGAAGACCCTCGAGGCAGAGATCCCTGACAATAACACACTCAGCCTCAGCCTCCTTGTACTTGCCAGCATCAATAAGTGCCTGGACCTGAGCCTTGACAGCCTCGGGTGAATGGTTGCCAGTCAATCCAGGGAATGGTTTGAAAAGGAGTTCTGTGCGCCGCTTCAATTCCTGCTTGACATGGTATTGCTCCAAGATTTGAAGGGTGTTGGCGAACGTGGAGGCAGCTCGGAAGGATTCAGGGGTGTCCAGATAAGGCAATGGGAGCTCTCCAACAGAGTTGACAGGATAGTGTGTGCCAATAAGAGATGCCTATAAGAACACGTCCTGACGTTAGCCTCTGTTATTCTACGAAACGCATTCCGTGCGCCTGTACATATTCAGCGGCCTTGACGTATTGATAAAACGACGCGCGAGCTTTGGCCTAAACATACCATAAGCGGCGCAATGTCGGCCTGTCTGACGTCCTTACGGCTGTACTCGTTCAAGTCCCAGTCAGCCGAAAATTCATCGTGTCCTTGAGGATTAACTTTGTTGGGTCCCTGAATACCAGCTCCCCAAGCAATAATAGGTGTCCTTGTGTTGTCGGGGTGTCCATCTCCATGAACACCTAGAAATTCGTGTTAAGGTAGAGTGAATAAACAGGATTTGTATTTTTGTGGGCAAATTGGGCTCTAATATGTAAGCAGTCCTGGCATAAACGTTTTCCCAGGAAACAATTTCACAGAGGCACACAACTTACCGCGGTTGCCCATTCCGTGATCAGCAGTGAAGATGAAGGATGTCTTGCCGTCGTTGTTGTAGAATTCACTGAGCTGCTCCGTGACCTTCTTGATGCCCTCGTCGACAATCCGGATGTTGTTGAGATAGAACTCTGACATGGGCAGATGTGAGTGTCCGTTGGTATCCAATCCCAGAAGGTGCAAGAAAAAGACAATCTTGTCAGAGTGAAGCTTGTTGTGAAGCACGGGGTCAGTTTTTGACTTTTCGAGCAACTCAGTGAAGTGCTCAAACACCCAGGTATCGAGCTCGCTCGCATCGCCTAGATCGTAGATGAGAAAAGCAGAGTGAGATTCGACATGTTACTACCCGATCGGAACTTAAGCTGCGTTAAGGACCGAGTTGATCGACGTGCATTGAAGGTCTCATACCAGTGCCAAAGTCCTCGTGTTCTGCTGGGTACATGATGGTGTCGATCCTGTCAGGGTCGGATGCTCCGTGCGCAAACATGGGGAGAATATCGGGCGATCCAAAGGACCAAGTGTGTTCACTTTGGTTGAAAACCGAATCAAAGTTGACAGGGTTCATCTGCCAGCCTGTTTTTAAAAGGTCAAAGATGAAGGGTAAGTTGCATTGTTCGCAAGAGAAAATGAATCGATAGAAAAACAGCGATCTGCCCCGAAAGAAATATTGATTGACCTTTGGTGACAGCACTGACATCCTCGTAGAAACCAGCAATGATGGCGACGTGGCCGGGACGCGATTCAGTTGGGACACGAGTGTGAGAGACGCCCCAAGAACCCTCCTTCTCAATTATATGGCGAAGGTACGGTGCCCTCGTCGTCAATTCGTTTGTCTTGGGATCTGGGTGAAACTGATAGAGTTTGTCTGCGCGAAGACCATCGGCTATAAGGAACACAAAGTTAGGATTTGTTCATCCGATCAGCTTCCGCCACATGTCCGAGATGGAAAGAAAGTGAAGGTGTGAGGAGCTTACCGACAAAGAGGACGAGTCGTTTGGCGGGGGCGGGTGCCTCGACGCGGTGCTGTTCCATGCCATGGACGAGGGGAGAAGTGAAGTAGATGTCAAAGATTGAGCAGATGTAGGTGACGTGGAAGAGGACGCCGATGATGAGCAGCGATGCGCTCGTGAGTTTGGATGGCAGCCAGCTGGCCATGGTTGATATATGTTTTTCTTGTTGGGAGTATGAGCTGCGATGGTTGTGAGATGTCCGTTGGGGGTTTTGCTGGCGGGTATCCTGGGAAGTGTCCTGGACGGTCAGTTCGTCAAGAAGGAGGAGTGAAAGGAGATAAGGAGTAAAATAGGATCGAAGGACGTTAATTAACTAATATAAAAAAAATGGAAGAACGAATAGCAAAAAAGCAGTCCTTCGATCAATTGGTTGAGGGGTGAACGAACACCAAGAATGCCCTTTGCTTCGACAGGTGCCTTTCTTTTCTCTCTTTTCTCGCTGTTGTTCTGCTCTGCGTCCCTTCACCTTCACCTGTCTTAATCCTTTTTTTTTTCTTTTCCTTTTTCTTTTTTCTTTTTTCCTTTTTCCTTTTTCCCCACGACCACCGCATCCCTTGTCCCCACCTCGCATGGCCGCTGCTGCATGGCCCTGTTCACCGAGACCATGGTCCGCCCTTGTCATCCTCGGGCTGGTCAACACCCTCCTCGTCCTTTCATCCTCCTGCAAACACAACCCTCACGCTCACCCTCACGTTAACGCCTATCTCTTCCGCCCCAATAACAACTACAACTACAACTCCAATGCACACGCTGCTGCCACCTCCCTTCCTCGTCCCTTCTTCATAACCGACTCTCCATGCGTCTGTATCGACCAGTACAGCGACGAGCACACCTGCCCACCACAACCTTACTGTTACTTGGACTACGTTGTAAGTCATCACACAAAAACGATCAGCTTTTGCTCGCAAATGGTCCAAGGGGAAATACAGCATTCTTTTTTTCTTCTCACTTCGGTCCTCGTGGAGAATAAGAGCTGACCTGAGGTCTAATTATCCAATGACCATAGGACACAATACAGGAGACAAAGGCAACTGCTGACACGAGAAGCACGGACGCAACAACGACAGACATACTATCCCGCAAGGATCACGAGCATCCCGCATCAATTGAAAACCAGCCTGCCTCAAGTCCAACCCTCCCTGGATCCACCGTCGTTGTCTATCCACAGGAGTCAGGGCCGTCGCCTTCACAGGCCAACAACCCCGAGTCCACCGTGACTCCAACCAACACAGTTGCTCATAACGAACCTCTGACGACGGGCAACACGTACCCAGAGGAGGCTCTAGTGCATTCGACTCCAGCTGTATCACCATCTACTTCAGGAGATCGACCCACAGAATCAGTCCAGTCTTCGTTCGCCTCAACAGCCGCAACGTCAACAGGAACACCAACACCCAAAAGCCGTCCTACCACAACTGCGACGCCACCACATCCTGAACGACACATCCTCTCCTACGAACAATGGCGGAAACAGGTTCTGGAAAAGAAAAACAAGCCTGCAGAGGTCGCCGAGCGCAAACAGCGGAAAAGGAAACCTTATCAGGAAAACACTGTTGACGTGGCGATTGGAGGGGAGGATGAGATTGGATTCGTGTTTCCCAACCTTGACAGTGGCAACAGCAAAAGTGCAGACGAGCGAGCGCAACTTGTGGGGGATCAGCTTGGGAACGGACCGGACCTCAAGTTGGCTGCTGGACGGGACAAGGAATGGATCAAGTCTGAGTACGCAAAGGATCCCAAGGACCGATTCAACCATGCGTCTGCGACCTGTGCGGCCAGTGTGGTCAAGGCAAGCAAGGATGCGACCAGTATCACAGCCATCCTGAACGAAGGCAAGGACAATTATATGCTCAACAAATGCTCGACCAAGGAAAAGTTCTTCGTGGTTGAGCTGTGCGAGGAGATTCTCGTCGATTCTTTCATATTGGGCAACTATGAGTTCTTCTCCTCGACGTTCAAGGACTTTGTCGTCTCTGTGAACCGATATCCGCCAAGAGACGATGGATGGAGCATTCTTGGGCAGTTTCAGGCCAGAAATACACGCGACGCTCAGGTGAGTGACAAAATATTGTCCGTCCCTGCGTCAAATATGAGTGGGTTAAGAATACAGTGGAATCCTGACTGAACCTATCGCTGTCCTTCTTGACATAGGTGTTCAAACCAAAAGTACCCCAGCTGGCGACCTATATCCGTTTCGACTTTGTGAACCATTACGGAAACGAGTACTATTGTCCGGTTACCCTTCTGCGCGTCTATGGTGCGACAGCATTGGAGCAGCTGAAGCAGGAAGAAGAAGAGGAGAAGCGAGTGGCAGAGGAGGAAAAGAGACGTGCAGAACTGGAGAAGGCGAAGCAGGCAGTCATGGACACGGAGGACGATGATGATGATGACGATAGCGAGGAACCAGAGGTCGTTATAGAAAACAGTGGTGTTACGACAGAGAATGTTAAGGACCACTCAACCGCATCCCTGGAGCAGGCTGAATCCATTCGCAGCGATACTCCGTCGCCAGACAAGCCGGTCGAGACCCAACAAGGACATACAGAGCCAAGTATTCCTTCAGAATCGCTAGAGACCAAGTCAGCACAGCCGAGCTTCGATGGAGAGCCATTGCAGCCTGTAGAAGACAAGCAAGATGCAGACTACAAAGATGTGGGAGAGATACATCCTGACCCTCAGCCTAACTCAGAGCATTCGACCACAGGCCAGCCCACGTTCGTGTTGCCAGAGTGGCCATTAGAGGACTCTGACGAAGAGTCTTTCAAGGACGACTCTTCTGCTCATCAAAGCTCAGGAACTCCCGACACGACGCTGAACTCCTTTGGAGAAACTATGACAGCGACGGTTGACCAACCACCCACCGACATTCTTCTACCCTTCCCATCCACCACACCCGCATCCATGCAGGACGATGATGACTGGGGCAATGGAGACCTGGATATGATCACACTCTCACCAAAACACAAACCAACTCATATCCCGAAACCTCAGAGCGGCTCCAAGGCGTCCTCAGCTGGACTGGGAACTCCAGGCGGCCACTCTTCAGCAACAGACTCTTCTGCGCACCCGCAGCCAACGCTACATTCGTCTCAGGAGAGTGTCTATAAGAACATTGTTAACCGCCTCAAGGCACTAGAGCTCAACTCATCGCTGTCATACCAGTATCTAGAGGAACAGAGCAATGTCTTCAACGAGGTTCTTGAGTCAAGTGAGCAAAAGATCAACCAGCTCGTCACCCACCTGAATGAGGCCCACCGACGACTGGAAACTCTGGTAAGTCCTTGAATATGTTACTATGAGCAGTCCGTAAGCCAAGGCCGAGTTATGTGGATCGTCGCTCATCAGTTATCGTATCTGTCATTACATAGGGACGCAAATACGACCAACTCGCGTATAGCTATCGTTCTCATGTGGAGGTTGACGGAGAGAAACGCCGCCAGGAATTCGTTAGCCTCTCATCCCAGGTCCACCTCCTTGGCACTCAAGTAATTCTAGTGCAGAGTTGACGATTGAAACGTGCGCGCGGAAGTATCAATTAATTGCTTACAATTTAATTTTTCTTTTTGTGCAACATAGCTTGTCTTTCAACGGCAACTGTTCGTTGTCGGTGCTATCACGCTGTTTTCAGTTATCGCCTTTATTGCTATCACCAGGAGCTCGTCCATGCAATACGCTATACACCAATCACCTTTGGGCGTCAAACTGAGAGCCATGTCAAGGCATAAGGGCAACTTACGATCGAACGACATCTCCTCGTCTGTGCGCATTGGCTCAGTTGAAGGCCTCAGTCAATTCGACCAGTCGACTCTCCGAGTCCCTCATCTTGATGACAGGACCAGATCTGCAGATGAGGACTGCCACATGACGCCACCCATATCACCAATGACACCGCTTACCCCGGATCCTGGTCACACAGACGCTGGACGGATGCCGGATATTCATCAGCGGTCAGGAACAGAACCCCACCCTGACGACAACTCTGTTCACCCAAACGGAGAAGTCTCTTGCTCAATGTTTGCTGGAGACAATCGTCCTCCGCTTCCTCATGCCCATTCTCAGTCGGACACAGCCCATCATCAGGTTGATTCTCCCGATCTGCGAGCATCACAACTGAACACGGACCGATTCCTTGTTAGCCGAACACCATATCCAACACCAAAGAGTAGTCATGGATCAGGACGACTCTTCTTACACCCCAACCAAAGCCAATCTTCCGTAAACACCACGCCCTTCCCAATCGATTACCGCCCCGACTCACCAGTCTTCCAAGGACCCTCCAGTGGACAAGACGACGAACAGCTTTCGGACGCTGATGTGGCATACATGTCAAGGGACATGAATGTAGGGAGGATGAACTCTTCGTCACCGGGGTCCCATCCAACGACACCAGTAGCGAAGAGATTGTCCATCAGCTATTACAACCAGTTCCACCACTCGACCAATCGGCCCTCGTCTTCACTCCGGATGGACACCACGGCGTCTTTGACTGAGAACGACAGGACACACCTCTTGCCAAATCAGGAGGACGCTATCGATTCGAACAACACATCGCAGTTTGACCTCGCGTTCCAGAAAGGCACAGATGGCAAGACAGCGATGTCTCCCAAATCCATGGACAGGGCGCCAGACCCTCGCGAGGCGCTTGATGATGATGTCGGATTTGTTTCGGACTCGGTCCTCGACAATGCATCGGAACCCATGGCGGGTCATGGAGAGCAATTGCAGAATGCCCTTGATCTAGGCGATTGGGACAGGCACCGCGGGATTGGCGAGAGTCTTCCAGATGACAAGGAGGAGGAGGAGGAGGAGGATGAAAACAGTGGAGTAGTTCCCGTGTCAGTTGGTAGTCGTCGCCCTTCTGGCTCGGCACTATCAGATGTTGCCGCCGTCGAGGAGATTGATCCGACCAAGGAGCGACCTCGACTGTCCAGGGATTCGTCGTCGAAATCAAGGAGGCGGAGCTCGCACAGCATCTACAGGACGCAAGAGCCTTCAACTGCTGCTCGAAGCAAGAACCACAGTGCAATTGCGGCCGTTGGACTTGGTCTAGAGATGGCCTCACCAATGGAAGCAGCAGCCTCAAACAAGGACCTGCCACCTCGACCTGAGCCATACTCTGTCCAACAACAGCAGCAGCAACTGATACGTCGTCAGAGCTCGAAGGACTTGAAGAAGGACGAGAAGCGTGATGATGAAGCATTCAAGGACGATGATGTTGCCGTTGTGCCCGGATCCATTGGAAGGGGAGAAAGGCGGAAACGAGCTAAATTACCAGGAATGCCAACAGATGAACAGGCGACTCCTAGGAGGCGGGTGAGCTACGGACGGCGAGAAAGTGTAGGGGAAGACGAGATGGAGGAGCAGGCGCGGGAAGGAGATGACGAAAGGTCGCCACAAGTGTCTCGAAAATCGCACGCCTAATGCAGTATGATACTCTTTAGAAGAAATAGAAACTCATGCACACCACATTCTTACCCCTGAATATGACATGAAAAGGGTCCTTGCTTTCCTCTTCCCTTCATTTGTCTTCCATTCCTTTTTTTCACACCCACTCGTCCCCCCCTTCTTCCTTCCGTACTCCACCTGTCCGTCAACCCCACCATTCCGACACACACGCTGTATACATATCGCCAGCCTTCTTCGAGCAGCAACATCACCAACAGCAGCAACCCATGATACACGCACCTACTCGATATGCTCGCGTCGTCCGAGCCCTCATCCCTTTTGCTGCCGTCTGTGGGCTACTTTACCTCTTCTTGATAACCTTCATACCACAACACTTTGGACCAGGGTGGAATGGCCAGGACAACAGTCTTGCAGGAGAACCTCTCGAGGTCGTCTACACCGACAGTGCCGAGTCGTCCTATTCACTGGACGGACTGCAGAAACAGGAGCAGACACTGAGGGATAACCACTTGCAGCAGAAACAACAACAGGTGCCGTATCCAGATATGCGGAACCCGCTGCAGCTTGGTGAGGGTGGAGTCGGTGCGTCTTGGGAGTCGATAGACTCTGAACAGGATATCAACTCTATCGAGGGCGACGGCAATGGCGTGGTTGTTGACATGGGTTCCTCTTCAGGGACAAGGACGAAGGCCGACCAGCCTGCGTACAAAGTCGTCAAGGCGAATGGCGTACTGGTGATGGTCATTACATCCGACGAGGAGGTCCAGGAGGCTCGGGAGACGATTCGCCATATCGAGGATCGATTCAACAGGGGGCGACACTACCCATGGGTGATTCTCTCGCCACAACCACTCTCAAATCGCACCCAGATTCTCCTCCAATATATCCCTTCTGCCTCTCGGTTAACAACAACGAACCATGGCAGCTCTGAAGAAGACGTGGGGGAGGGTGAGGAGGGTGAGGAGGGTGGAGGCAATGCTGCTGCCGCGATTACGTTTGGACTCATTCCACGAGAACAGTGGAAGTTCCCTCGCTGGATAGAGGCTCTCAAGGTCCGGAACGGAGACTTTTCACGGCTCAAGTTGGGTCTGAATGCAACCTCGGTGGCGGTTCGACAGCGTAGGCGGTACATGAGTGGGTTTTTGGCTCAGCATGAACTGTTGGACGGATATGAGTTTTTTTGGAGGGTCGATCCTGGATTGACCGTGTTTTGTGATCTGGACGACGATCCTATGCTGGCAATGAAGCACGCTGGGCAAAAGTTTGGTGAGTGTTTTTTTTTCTTTCTCACGCTTATGGAAATGTAAGCCTGATTACTCTCTCGCAACTAACTCACAAATGATATACCTTGTGTGTGAATAGCATGGTCGGTGTCAGCGGCAGTGAACGAGGCAGGCACTCCAGGAGCATGGTCGATAATCCAAAAATTCAAGGAAACATACCCCGACCACATCCCCCAACCCAACGACGAATCCTTCATCACCCGAGAATCACTGAATGAATTGTAAGTTGCAAAAAAAAAAAAAAGGCAAGAGAGGAGCAGTAGAAAGCTGTATTGAAAGAGCGCGGGGGGGGGGGGGGGGGAGGGGTCAAATGCGTTTATCACATCCATCTAACACCTGCCACGTTTTCCCTTGTTCCCACACTCATTTTTTTCCAAACTACTAGCTCGGCATGTTCATACAACGTCCAGAACTCAATTGGAAGCATCGAGTTTTTCCGGTCTCCAGAATACACGGACTACTTCAACATGATTGACAAGGAGGGGCCCATCTACTACGAGCGCTGGGAGGACGATACAGTTATCACCATCGGACTCTCACTCCTCCTCCCCCGATCCGATATCCGGTTTCTGAAGGACTTAGGTTGGGGTTACAGCAACGGGGGCGCAAGTTCAGGAACAGGGATCGGGGTCGTACCGCTAAAGGGAGCCGCAGCGGCAGCAGCAGCAGCAGTGGCGGCATCGTCGAAAGAGTCCGCGACCTCCCAGATCTTGTACTGCCCTCGCAACCCGGAGCAAAACAAGGTCTGTCACTGTGATCGTAACTGGAAGGCGCCACGGTCGCATCTGAGTTGCACGTCGTTTTGGATGGGATTGACGACGAGTCCTAGGAGACTCCAGAGGAGGGTCTGTACGCCGGATGGGAGCTGTAAGGTGTTTGTCAATATTTTAGAGCCAAAGTTGTTGAAGAGTGAGGCTGATGGCGAGGAAACTATTGTTCGTGCGGACATTGTCGTCTCTGCAGGTGGTCGAGGCGAAGAGTATTATTAAAAAAAAATGGTCCGTATAAATAAAGTAGATAAATAGTAGGTTGATTTATTTGTGTGTAGCTTTTGGCCCATCTTCTCGTTGTTATGTACAAAGAAAAAAAAGAGAAGAGTAAGAAAAAAAACTTGGTATACAATTTTTTTAGACTGGGAGTGTGAGACCAGTTTTCGGGGAAGACACGCGTAAAAAAAAGGGGGGGGGGGGGGGTCCAGCCAGAAGGAAATTAGTGGCGGGTCTTGTCGTTGAGCATACTCTCGTGGATGGACTGTGCCTCGATGTTCATCTCTTGGATCTCCTTGTCGGAGGGGATGGGACCGTGGCGGTCGATGATGGGCTCGGCAGCCATGGGTGGGTTGTCAGGGAGTAAGCCGTTCAACAAGCATGAGACGATCGCAGCCAGCGCGAATCCAGTGTCGAGGACAATGTTGGCAGAGTTGATCAACGAGAGGACAAAGGCGTTGGTGCCAGAGTAGGAGAACATGTGGGTGAAGACTCCGGGGACGACCGAGGTGCCGACACCGAGGGTAAGGGCGGCCGCAACAATGAAGCGCTCACGGCGGGTCCAGGGGAGGAAGGACAAGATGCGAATTCCAGAGACGACGACGCTAGAGAAGAGGAAGGTAGTCATGCCTCCGAGGACTGCGTCGGGAACCATGAGGAAGAGGGCTCCAAACTTGGAGAAGACACCCATGAGGACCAAGAAGAGGCAGCACATGTAACCGGCCATAGTGTTGGCGCAGCGGGTCAAGGAGATGATTCCATTGTTCTGGGCGTAGCAGGACATGGGCGAGTTCATGAAGAGAGGGGCTAGCATGCCGGCAATACCGTCGGCAAGAATACCGCCCTGGAGACGAGACTCGAACTCACGACCCTCAACGGACAACTGAGAAACCTCGCAGGAGGCGGTGATGTCACCAATGGACTCGACCATGGCCAGGGTGTACGTGATTAGTAGCGGAATTACGGCTGGTGCGTAGATGCCGATCTTGTAGGTGCGGGTCCAGAGGAAGGTGACAACGGGCGCAGCATCGATAGACTCGCTGGTAGTGTAACCACAGGCGACGGCGACAATCAATCCGACAACGAGGCCAATGACGACCTGAGCGTTTTTCATGAAGGGCGATCCAAAGAACTCGACAATCATAATAATCGAGAAGACCAAGAAGCCGAGTCCGATCCATTGGGCATCGCCCCATGGTGCAGCACGGGGGGCGCTGTTGCTGGGGCAGTTGACAAAGGGACCAGTCGTGGGCCTGCTCTTGCAGGGACCGTTTCCACCACCCCACTGGGCCATACCCGAAGTGACCAGATGGACACCGATCATCATGACAGTAACACCGGTGACAATAGGGGGGAAAACCTTCTTCAAGACTTTGGGAGGCAAGAACGACAATATCATGGGCAGGAAACTGCAGACCATGCAGGTACCCAAGAAGGCACCCCAGGCATCTGGGCAGGACATGTAGGTGATGTCTCCGGTCGTGGGGTCAACAGTGCTGGGGCAGAATCCAGAGGCGTACATGTTGGCGACAGAGGACTGGAGGACGGGGAGGAAGATGAACGAGGTACCAACGACTGAGAGGAGTCCTGTGCCGAGGAAGTAGCGACTGCGACCGAGGCGGAACCGGGTGATTTGAACGAGGGAGAGCAAGCCGGAGGTAATTAAGGAGGTCGAAATCATTTGTGTGCGCATGGCGGGCGAAAAGTTGAGGCCGTTCTTGCCGCTTCCTGACATGATCAATGCAGGGGTGACAACTCCAGCAATCATGGCCAACGCGTGCTGGAAGCCTGTTTCATTGAACGTGGAGGATGGGAAGAAAAGAAGGGTTAGCATTGCTGTTTTTCAGTTCAAAAGAACAACGGTGTAACAACAAGGAAGAAAGGAGGCACATACCCATGACGATGGCGAGAACAAGGGGGAGGCGGTCTTTCAATCCAAAGAAGGGAGGGATTCTTGTGACCTTGGAAAATCCAGGCAAGGTGGGCATGCAGAGGAAACCATAGTCATAGTCGCCAAACCAGCCGGTGCGGGTGCCGAGCGACTCCTGGACAGTGGTCCATGTGGGGAGTTTGCCGACGGTGTGAGAGAGATCGATGTCCTCTTCCTTTGTGCGGTTGGCGTGGGGGTCGAGGATATATACTGGCGGCGTTGCCACTGCGGGCTGCTGTGAGATTTCAGACATAGCCAAATAGAGGATATGTTATTAAGGGATTGAAGAGAAGGCGAAGAAGGAAAGGGAAGTTGTTAAGGAAGGGACAGGGGTTGAGATGAGATCTGAGGAGAGAAGAAGGAAAGAGGCGGCGATGGCATTGGTATTTATGTGAGAAGAGTTGTTAAAGAGATCACTCTAATCGCTGCGGATAGGTGCACACCTGGTTACTTGTGTTTACGCAGCTTGTTTGTTTGTGTATTTGTTGTGCGCCCTTCTTCTATGAACTTTCCTTCACCCTCACTCTTTTGTTTACACTCTCCAATTCACTCCTTCCATAAACCCTGGTAAAGAGAAAAAAGTCTCTTCGGTACATACTCAAGCGTATTGATATGGTCGTCTGTCAGAGTTAGTCGGTCAGCAGGCTTTTTCGCTTTGAGAGCACCAACTGCCTATCATGGCAGAATGCGGGGTCAAGGTTTTCTTGCTCTCGATCTCGGTCTCTTTACCCCTTGTCCACTTTTTTTTTCTCTTCTTGACCCTTTTTTTCGTTGTTTACCCCACCCAATCTCGACCAATTGCCTTTCCGTTTTGTTTTCATTGACTTCGTCTCCACCTGAATACTTTGACCCTGTTTATTTTGTCCATGGAGTCAGTGGTGGGACAAAAATAATGGCGATATCAACAACGTCGGAATCGAAAAAAAGATTGCGGGGGAGTTGGACCAAACATCGGAAGTGAACAGCAAAAAAGTAGTCTGACTTGACTAAAGGAAAAAGGCTGCATGTAATTTCAAAAATGCATGAAGGCTACATGCTGAGAGCGACATGATTGCATATAATAGACTTGCCAATGAGCTCACTTGTGTACAGTGCTATTACAGCTGCCCTGGAGTCAGTTAATCAGTTAGTCAGTCATCTTGGTTCACCTCGACTCTAACTCTCCGCTTACTCTTTACGAAACCGGGTAATGAGAACAGTAAGAAGAAATGTGGAGTGTGGATCGAGATCGTAAGCTAGCTTGTTAAAGTCCTTCTGCACACGCTCAACAGGTGTTTCTTTCCTTCCGCGGTTCCTATCTCTGCCCTCCGAACAAAACAAAGAGAAGTGGATGAACAAATGGGGAAGTGATAGTCATGGACAAACGACTAATGGATCCATGTTTTTTGGTTATTGTTGACTGAGTCACGAACGATTTAATTGAAAGGAAAGAAGGAAAGAAAGCTGCGACGTAGACACACGCTTAATGCATTAGAGTTGCCCGCGTTTTTTTTTGTTCGTTTTTTTCTTCCTCGGTAACAAGATTCTCTCTCTCTCTTTTGCTCTACTCAAATCAAAATAAGGGACAACCGCAGGGGACACATGTGAGGCCTTGATGTTGATTGGACTGTTCCCGGTTTGCCCGGCCCACCCAATCATGACCATTGAAATCCCAAGGTCGTGCTGCCCCTAGGTCTTGGATACTGGTTATGACCCAATGGTCTTTCACCCTTACTTCTCCTCACCTCCCCAGCATTTTATATGACACCTTTTTTGTTCTTTTGCTCTTTTTGAGTTTTCTTTCCTTTCTCTACTCTCTTCCTTCTGTTCATCTTGTTATCGTCGCTTTTCGAAAATAAGAGGGTCCTTTGAGTCATGGCCCAACAGGACCAACTTTTTCTTGCGACCCCGCATTTTTCGATCCAACCAGGGACCAAATAAATCTACGACTTGTCCATCCCCCTCCACCCTAACCCGGTAATTTTCAGGTCGAGGTTTCGTAATGGCCCAATACCTTATCCTTCTCTATGAGCCATGGCTCTATCGATTCGATTTCAATGGAGAGCGGAGAGAATGGATAGTATCGGTAGCATGGCAGGCAACTCTTTCCGATTCTCAATGACGATTCCCTCAATTGATGAGCCGGCGATTTTGTCTGAGAGAAGCAAGAAGAATGATAACCGACGAACGACCAATTAGTTTTCAGAGATAGACAAAAAAAGAATTATCTACACTCTGTAGACACGAGGGTTCGCACCATGTGTTTGGTCACTATCTCTCTCGAGGTACTTTATAAACTGAAACCAAGGATGAAGGCAAAAAAGCCTGGGTCAAGGAACTTTCGATCGCCGCACAAAGCATTGTTGCTCCGGGATTCCAGATCATCTATCTAAATACAGAGAAGTATCTTTCTAGTGCTTAGTGAAGACCCCCCTGTTTTGTTCATGTTTACAATTATCAGACGTGCAATATGGTGACAAACAAGAAAGCAGGGAGACTTGTGTTTTATTGCCCGCTGCAGCACGTCCTGCCTGATTCTCCGTTCCTGTTTATGTTGTTAACATTCATTTGGAAGTCCTTGCGTCGACAAGTGACCAAAACAACAACAGATCGCGTTCATTTGTCGCTTTTGGGTTTACCGGGCAAAAAATGCACACACTCCAATGTCCAAATGCACTTGACCAAGTATCAATTCTCATATGCTAGTTTGTACTCCATTATTTCGAGAATGAGATCGAGAGCATTGGGCGTTTTGGTGCTGCAACTGTTGTTTTGTTGATTACTGTGCCTGTTGTTCGCCAAGAGCACAAGCAGACATCACAAACATATGTGGACAACTTTTTTTCAACACCTTGCTCTTGTCCAACTCACAACAGCAACCTTTCCCCCCAAAACCCCCCCCCCCCCCCCCATTGTTGTTTCTTCCATTTGAAGTATATCCCTATGAGGCGAATGGCAGCACAAAAGGCGTTTAAAAGTGTCCAGCCTTTTAGTTTTGTGTTGCAACGAAAGGCCGAGTAAGGAGAGAAGCACAGTGACGAGTAAAGGAGTCTACCCTAAAAGAGGAATTTGTGTTTTGCGGGGAGAAGGTTGCAACTCAACCAGGCAACCCTTGCATTACCTTCACTCTTCACCCCCCCCCCCTCTCCCTCCACCTTTTACGCCTCCTCAAATAGAAAGCGAGAGAGCATCGTTGTCTTCTCGCGTCGTACTTATTCTCTGTGTGCCTGAGAACCCGAGAAAAGTATTTGAACTGAACCTTTTTTGCCATCCCCTCCACTCCTGACTGCGACAATCCCCTTGACAACTGCGACATGCAACAACAAAAGACGTTCTGTTTACCAAACTGGCCTTTCGTGTCGTTGTGGTTGTAGCTGAATGTGCCTATGAAAACACTAGCGTGAGCTTGGCTGTTCCTTCAATCGAAAGAAACTACAGAACATACCTACGGCAGGAGACCAGATGCAAAGAGATGTTGTTCATTATTGTCCTTCACAAGAGTTACCATGGTTTTCTGCGTCTACGACTCTCCAAGTTCCATCTTCCTCGTTCACTCTCTCTCTCTCTCACACACACACACACACAGCACAGAAAGACTCTCGCCTACCACTCTATGCCCTCCTAGACAAAATTCATCCACGCAACAGATACACATGACTATCTTCTCCCTCTTCAAACAGCTTTCATTCTCACTCCGGCCTTCATCCTACCAAAGTTATAAAACTGGGCGGAGCATGCGACCAAAACATTCGAGCCTGATTGATTTTTTTGTTTTTGAGTTCCTTAATTGGGGTTCCTTAGTCCTACAAACAAACAAACAAACAGCCGCTTACGCTTAACATGAACAAGGGCTCCCTCCCTCCCTTCGGAACAATAAGTGACCAAAGAACACGGGCAACTTGGGAGTACAAGCGGGCAAGTCCCCTCTTTTACAAAAGGGTCGAGCGCCACGAGGGCAAGCTCTATTTGACGGCTCCTCGTTCAGGTATAGCACATGTCACGTGCAGTAAGCCCTGCCTTAAACGCGTGTGTTTCTAGTTTGACGCGCGTGTGTTTTACCCTCCGACTTTGATCAATGTCTTATCTTTCAAGGTCAGTCCCTCCTGCAGCCAAGAAAAAGAAGAAGTAGCTAACTTGTCATTGGTCCATGGTCCATACAGGAACAAAAATGCCCTATCCTTATCACCCTCTGCTTTGATTCTAACAACGACAACAAGCGGGAAGCACTAAAGCAACGTCACCGAAGTACCTGAGTGCCCTGCTACCAAGACCGCCAGGTGATGCCGCCGCGGCCACTGTATTTTAAGAGATAATGCCATTCACTCTCACCCACCCACTCACTCACTCACTCTCTCTTTCTCTCTACCTTCTTCATTCACTTGTTCATGGACTGATACCTCTCTCTCTCTCTTCTTTTCTTTGAAATAAACAGATTCATATTCAATGCGGTTTTTTCAAGCACAAGCGATAAGCTCTGGCTGTTGATCAGCGAAAAAACCAGATCAAAAGACCACCTTCCAAGTCAAAAGACAAACTCAACTGCAATCAGCTACTCCACAATAACATACTGCTAATGTACAAGCTGTGGCTGCACAATGAGCTCATACTCGACACGCACAAGCAAACCTACAACAACCAACATTCTTGTCAGCAAAGAGAATTCTTTGTTATTTACAGAAGGTGAGACAGCTAAAAAAGAGGAAGAACCAAGAACTTAATAGCCTCAACCTAAAACACACCCACACCCACAAGGGAAGCGGTGAGTGTGATAATGGCAAGAGACAATGGGTGAAGGGGGGTTTTTTATGAGTGAGAGAGAGTGTGGAGTCAATATTTAGCGCTCGAAGGGCGGAAAGGAGGGGATCATTTGACAGTAAATGGTGCCTGGAATTGACAGTTTGACGAACATCTTGATGCATGGCGATGAAACAGGCGGTCTTCTGAAAACAATGCTCGCCAGTGGTCAAATGGCTATTTAGGCAGCCATGGTCAAACAAAAAAAGCTTGCGTTGACATGGGTTACGGATGGAAATCAAAACCCCTGTCAAACATCCCCCGGTTATGTTAAGAAAAAGGAAACTTTTTCAAAACCCCTGTCGGACAACATCGGTCAAACAGGGGGTGCCGAGTCAGTCTTGCGATCCTCTCCAAAGGATAACACTTGCGATATTTCCAGATAACTGGCTTGTGATAGCCAAGCGTTTATGGCGACAGTTGAGCCTTCGATGTTAGTTCTCCCCTCCAAATCTGTTAAGCAACATTCAAGTAAGCGTGGATTGTGGATGCACTGGATTGCACTGGATTGTGCTGGATTGCACTGGATTGCGCTGGGTTGCACTGGATTGCACTGGATTGCGGGGAGAAGAGGAGGCGACGAGTAAATGTGAAAGTGAAAGTTCATAGGAGGAACTCTCTTGTAGTCGTCCATGTACTCGTCATAATCCCAGTGGTGTTGTTGTTGGTCTGAAGACGATGACAGAGGCTCAAGCTTGAAAGACGCCGACGCGGAGCCCGTGGGACGAGCACTTGGAAAGGGGTTGGCGATGCTGCTCCAATGGGGGTGGGGAACGAACCGGCTTGGCTGAGCTGCGCTGTTGCTGGTGTTGTTGGTGTTTTGGTTCGACTAGTTGTTGGGGTGTAAGTTGAGTTCTGCATGATTGCCTTGCCAGTTCTTTGTTGCGGTGTTGCAGTTGTCTATGGATGAGAGAGTTAAGTGCGAGTGTGTGGAAGAGCGACAAGAAGACAACGACAAGGTCAGAGAAAGAGTGAGAGTATCTCCTTCTGAGTTGTCCTGAGAGGAAAGGGAAAGGCTGGTGGAAACGAATGCAAGGGAAAGGCGTGGGCGTGTGAAGGAAGGGAAGAAAAGAAGAAAGAAGGAAGGGTGGAAATGGACATGAGGAAGAACGTATGGAAAAATAACTGAACTTGGCGACAGTATCAAAAATAACAAAGAGTCTCTTGTCTTCTTTGCCTCCTCTCACATAAAGAGAAAAAATCAAAACAAGTCTTCGTGCACGTGCAATCGCGAAAGAACAATGTCATAGAGCGACGGGTGTGGGAATGAAGTTTGAGCTTCGTTCGATCCAACAATCGCTTGGTGGCAAATAAATAAGCCAGTGCTCAGCCCTAACGTAACCATCCAATCAAATACCCCTAAATAAAAAAAGCTCGCCAGCACGAGCATTCTTGAGGAATGCTTAGTTTATTTTGTACACATTTTCGAGAAAAAAGCCTTACGGCAGACACTCCAGAGGAGGAAACTCCAGATCCACCTCCAAAACGTCTAGCTCCATAATATCTGCTTCACAGTCAATAATAGACGCCAAACTGGGTTGGTTCCGGCCAAGATCGCCGTGGACAAACTCCTTGATGTAGGTGCCAGCTTCCGTGTGCAGATGCACCACCATGAAATGGCCCTCCAATGGAAATGCCTTGAGAGAGTGGATCTCCTTCTTGCGGATCATTTGAGCGCGTCTAAAGTACGTTAACATGGAGTAATCGTTTAGACTATTACTCGCTTCTTAGATTAATCTTTCGTTATAAGTCACAGTCCATGGCTGCTTACCTCTGAAGAACGCGAATGGGTGTCTGCTGCTCGACATAGAAAGCCTTGCCGTTGTACTCGTTGACAGCATCGATCATGGCCTGAGTTACAGGTCTGGATGTCCAGCACAGAGCACTATAGCTCTTGGTCTTGGTCTCTTCGCCATCCTTGATGACCTTTGTATCCTCTGGGCGAAGCGAGGCAAGATGACGGATTTGGACCTTGTCTGGCATAATGGTGTTGATCTCGCCTTCCAATTGCTTGATCGTCTTGGAAGGCAGAACGGGTATCCTGGGGTTTATCATTTCCACGTAAAATGGTCGTCCATTGCCCAACATCCTGACATTAGCATCCTCGCGTCCTGCCGTCACAAACTTGAACTCTATTGTTCAAAAGCGTCCTTCAGTTAATTGATGGCCAATTCTTGATGTGTTTGACTGTACTGCAATGTGATCGTCCACAATGTCCTTGGCATACCATCTGCACGGAACGCGCTCTTGAGGGTCTCACAGACAATTCCCGATACTGAAAGCTCTGCCAACATGGTGGTTCCTATCGACCAAGGTGTCTGACTGACGTCGCGAGTGTATTTGAGATAACGGCCGCCCACAAAGACTGACTCTCTCATCATCTCAATAGAGTCCAACTGTGGCCTTGACGAAACAGGGGTTGGAGGAACATGTCCGCAACTATAGTCCGGAAATGACGAGTGACATATCACATATTAGAACGCCGTCCATGAGTCACATCTGATAGTATCCTGGTTCCTGTGACTTACGATACGAAACGGTGATCCTTGACCAGGGTGAGTGCCTTGACAACATGATGCCGTCCATCGCCAACAACAATCTTTTTCCGCTGTAAGAAAAGATAATGAACCGTCGAATTAATAGGTTGCCCTTTGTCAGACTGTTGTATGACGGGAAGCAAATGTGTGTGACGTGCTTACATTTTCCCGTTTAGTTTTGATGATCAATCCTGATTCCTTCATCGTGGAAAGGAAAATATGGTCCTCCTTTGTCTCCTCATGCTTGATAGCGACCTGCATCCTAAGTTCACTCTATTTGTGACAAACAAGGAAAGAGTACTGTTAGGACACACGTTTTTGACCTTGCCCTATAATTACTCACACGACACCAAATACCCTTCAAGTGCCGAGAAGATCGACGTACACCAAAGTCCAGGGTTAATCCTGTTTGACGTTCTATAGGCCAGCTAATCAGCAGCTTGAAAATCTCCTTGATGTCGACCTGAGATGTGGGGTAGGACGAGAGCTTCTGGTTCCAGTAGATCGCCATGGCATGGTTCCTGACCAGTGTGCTGGTAGGAAGGGTGACATTCATGTTGAAGGTCTTGGTGACATAAGCCTCCTTCTGCATACGCTCCACAATCTCCTGAACAAATGCCTCGGCGAACTGGACTGTTCCGACACAGGCCGTGCAGATCGCCTCCTTCTCCTCCTCCTTTTCCTCCTTCTCCTCCTGATCCATTCTAGATTCTGTACTCGCCTCTCCTTCCCCTGCTGCTGTTGCTGCTATAGGTGTCTGGCGGTAATTGGCGAGGATCTCCTTGATCTCCTTGGACGACAGCTCATAGATCTCAAAATCACGGACACCGAGGAATCGAAGCATACAGCGACCACAGCAATCAACGCTGAAGAGGACGTCGACACATCCTGGGTTATCCGTGATTTCTTTCAATCCTCCACTAAGTGCCTCCTCCAGTCGGGCTTTCAGTGCTGTAAGATCAAGTTCGGTTGTAGCCAAGATCCAAGGGGAAGAGGGGGGGGGAGTAAGTATAACAGTGGAGTCGTGTTTTTTTTGGCAAGAGAGTGATGCGAGTTTCGTGTTGGGTTGAGACGAGATGAATGCGGTGCTCCCATACCTGGTTTTTGGTCGGTGTCCATGTCATGCTTCAGCTTCTTTGCGACATTCTCCAGACTCTCTGCCTCATGCTTTGCCATTGTCTTAACTGTGGAAGGTCGTTGGGCGGTTGTGTGCTTTGCCCATGGCATTTTTTTTTCTTCTTTTTCAAGGGAGTGTGCGTTGTGCTTGGAGCTCAGCCACCAGAACAGAGAAAGGTGACTGTCTTGTGTCAGGAGCCCATCAACTGTTTTGAAAGAAGGATAGCACAGAGCATGACATGCAAGAACACCCAGGAACAGCCTGCCCAAAGCAATAAGTGCATGATATTGCGAGGCATGTTGAATATCTTTGTTGTGACGAGATGGCACTTTCATTATCGATTCTCACTCTCACTCAAACAAGGAGAATCTATCTCCCGATCTCCAATCGTCCCTCCCCTAACTCCTGCCTTTTTTTTGTTTCAATGGCAATGGCAATGGCGGGCGTTTGGTCGCTCTCAAGTTCGTCGTCGTCATGCTCCACTTAGCGTTTTCGTCCCTTTCCCATCGACGTGGCTACGTCAAGTAAACGACGAACCCTTTCCTATACTCAGCACCGAAACAGTGCCCCTCTCTCCTATATTCAGGTCGCTGATAATCCAGCAAGCTGGACCATCATCGACATTCCTCAAGTCCAGAGAAATGAATGGTGGAAAAAATCCCAACTCATGTATGACCTGGATTGTGCAATGGCCACCAAAACAACAAAAGATGAGTGGTGCAGAGTAAGCCCACCTGCAGGCAAAAAAAAAAAGCCCTGTACATCCGTCGATCCAGGCTCTCTTTTTTCTTCGATTTTTTGTGGCGGATAACAACAACAACACTCCAAAGGAATTATTTGCCAGCACACAAACACTGGAACGATGTTTTCCCGCGCAAGATTTCTTCATTCTTAAACTCTCACTTGTCTGCTGTTTAAAAGCGGGAGATGGTGGGTGGAATCGAGATGGGATGGGACAGGGGCAAAGGGACTGATACTACTCCACCTTTGCCTTGCAAACACGAAACTGAGGTCCAGACAATATGTTTGATGGCGCCTTTTTGTTCTTTGTATGTGTTTGTCGTTGTTTTAGAAGGGCCGAAGGAGGGAGTCTGTGCCTTAAGCGGATACTTTTTTGTATGTTTGTTTGGATGCAATTGAGCCACAGAATCAGGGTGAAAAAGGAAAAAAGGAGGGTGAGGCGCGCGCGCCAGATAGATGCAAGTATGCGTCTTTTTTTTCTTTGGTGAGCGTGTTTGCTCAGCTTGCATGATAAAAATAAAGTCAGTCGGCCTTTTGGAGCAGTGGACATGAGGACAAACAGGCTGGGAAGGGCCTTTCTTTCGTGCACAACTGCGATTCGTTCAGTAGTAGGTCCACCTTGATCTTCCCTTTCTCTCATTCCCTCAACAAACCCCCCTTGTTTATCGATCGTCACCTTGAAAGGGGTAACTTGATTCATGCAAAAGATCGAGCTAAAACAGAAAGACAGAAGAGGACAGAGTGAGGCCATTGCCAACGACTATCCAACAGACTTTTGAACCAGCCATTCACATCCGGCCAGCCAGCGGGTATTTGTTCACAGTTCTCCAGACTAACGCTTATTTTCATTTTATTTGGCTGAGGTCAGCTTTGGATTCCTCTTTCGAGAAGACATATGGAAAAAAAAAAGACGGACCTGGAGATGGTTCCGACTGACACGCCAATCAGGATCCAGGGCTGCACCTTTGCGACCTTTCTACTTGTCATCATCTTGCTCTTCTTATCCTGACCCCTTTCTTGGTCTTCTTCTCTCCATTGCCTTTCTAGATCACTATCGCTACTTTTCATCACCACTCATCACCACTCATCACCACTCAGCATTCTTTTCATCCGGCTACTTACTTCTCGCTTTTCCTACTTTTATTTTCTTTTCTTTCTTCCTCTTCTTTTTTCTCTTTTCTTTCCTTCCTTCCTTCCTTCACTTTCCTTACATCTTCGTTTCTCCCGCCTTCTTCTCTCCTCCTTTAACTTTTTACTCTTTCTTTTCAGGGGTCAAAATTTTCTCCTTACGCTTTACGAAACCATCCTCACATCAGGAACAAGGAACAAGCAAGGACAAAACCCTTTCTGGACCCCAACCACGCTTCAAAACACCAAAACTCACCCGTTCTCTAGTGCGTTCATTTTCTCAAGAGGCTCCCTTTTTTCACGTCTTCCTTTCGTAATCTCTTGTTCGCTCTTGATCCCCTCGATCCAAGACCGAAAAAAAAACCACTTTCAAGGTAACAATACATAAACATATTTATGCATGCGTAATGCCGCCACCAAATAGAAAGAAATGCGAAATGATACACAAGCAAATAGTGGGACGAGCGAATGATTTTGTGAGGGCAAGAGGCGCGTTTCTTTGGAGCAAGGAAACAAAAGGTCATTTGGAAAGTTGCATGCTCATGTATTTTTTTTTTTGCATGGTTAACGTAGTGAACATGAGAAAAGAATGAGCTTGGGAAGAGGAACGCTCAAATGGAAACTGAGCGTTGACCCTTACTTGAGACTCGCGACTCCTTTTTGATAATATCGGTGCAAAAAGAAAGAGACTACAAAAACAAAGAAAGCGCTGAGCAGAAAGAATAGAGAGAGACGACTAAGGGGTCACTTGTCCTGTTCTTGTTGTTTTTTGATGCTTTGTCCGGAGAAGGGCGAAAGGCGAGCAGTGAGAGGCTGGTTTAGTAAGAAGGAAAGAAAAAAGGCCAAATCACACGGTGTCCGTCGTAAATGGACTGGATATGCGCGGGGCCCGGATGTGCGAGAGTCTGTTTCTGATTTTCATTTCTTTGGTGTTTGTGGTGTCGTCGTGTCGTGTCCCGCTCCCCCTCCACGCCCCTTCTTAAACCAATGGATGGGACAAAATACCGCCCGTTTTTTTGGCTTTTTCATTTTTCTCTTTCCTCCTCATTCCTCTTTCTTCCTCTCCTTCTCCTTCTCCTTCTCCTTCTCCATCCACTTCCCCCTTCTCGTCCATTCCTCTTTCTCCCTTTTCACATACTCACCCTCCACCTTCAATAACCCGTTCCTGCCCACAAAAGAAAAAAAAACTCACTGTTGGTCACGAACAAAAAGTACCCCATGGTGGACACAGCAAAAACCTTGCGCAATCCCCCCTCAACTAGCCTGATATAACGTGAATACTCATCGTCATCTTTGTTTGTGTTCTTTCACTCTGATAGTCTTTCTTCTTTCCTCACTCCCAACGCGAGCCAATGGACCCCAGTCAGCCCCACGCTGATCAGAACGGCCACCAGCCTCCACTGACAAATGGCCTCAACGTCGCCCCTCCAGTAGCTGACGACGATCAGCACCCCTCACCCCAGATTGCCGGCATCGAACGCTTCGACGAGGCAGTGGGAAAGGCTGTTGGCGGAACTGTCATTTCGTCTGATATTCGTCCTAACGACCTGCCAAGTGCCGCCAAGCTGGACGCCGAGCTTGCTAAAAAGAACCCCATACCTCCACAACAACAGGATGTTCCTGCATCGGATGAAAAGGATGCGTCTCCCACTACCAAACAAGGTGGGGCTGTCGACAAGGAGGTTACTGCCAGTGGAGCTGTGCTCGAGGACCCCAAGAGCCGTACACCTGGCGCCTTCCCAGAAGTGACCCGGATCGGTTGGTTGGATGCCTACAAGCGCACTGACGGACCCTCGAACGAGTTCCGCGACAAGTCCATCTGGATGGAGGAGTTTGCCAGCAGTGCCCTCTTTGGCGCCTTCTGGCACAACGCTGTCGCACTTGTTGTGATTCCCATCGTTTGCTTTATCTGCTTCAAGCTCGGAGGTGGTTTTGTGACATTGATCCTCATCATCGCCTTTGGCTGTAAGTGAAAAGCGCCCTATTTTTTCACACCGCCCTAATAAGGATACATTTGAATGTTATGCGAAAAAAGGGGTCCTTTACTGGAACAAAGAAAGACGCAAGAAAACGTTTCATTGGCGCTAATTCTCACGCTTTTCTTCCTGTACCTACCAGCTACCTACTACAAGAACTCCATCCGTCGCTTCCGCCGCAACGCCAGAGACGATATTACGCGTGAACTCATCAAAAACGCAGTAAGTTTTGCCTTTTTTTCACTCCCTCTTCTCTCATATTCAACCCCGTACTTGTCGTACACGTCGCGCTGTGTACGCCCATTGGATTTATTTGGCAACTTCAGCCCAATTAATGCAAAATGTATCTCCTGGGTTAATTTTGTTCCCTAGCTCGAGGAAGACTCCGAGTCAACTGAATGGATCAACAACTTCATGTCCAAGTTTTGGCTCATTTACGAGCCAGTTCTCAGTGCTACGCTCGTTCAAACGGTCGACAGTATCTTGGTTGACCAAACCCCTGCCTTCCTGGACTCTATTCGCCTGACTACTTTTACTTTGGGAACCAAGGCTCCTCGCGTCGAGAGCGTCAAGGCATTCCCCAAGACAGACCCTGACGTTGTGGTATGTTTTTTTTTTTTTTTTTTTAGTCCGGCTACGAGTTTGTGCTCACTTTTGGAGCAACTACTTCTTGCATGAAGCTTGCTATATTTACTAACCATTGGATCACGGCATGGACTTCTTAACTTCTCTCTTATCAACCATTTAGTTGATGGACTGGCGTGTTTCGTTCACCCCAACTGATATTGAGGATATGACCCCCAGACAATTGCGCACTCAGGTCAACCCCAAAGTTTGCTTGACCATCCGCGTTGGAAAGGGACTCATTGGTGCCGGAATGCCCATTCTCGTTGAGGACATGTCCTTCAAGGGCTACATGCGTTTCAAGCTGAAGCTTACCTCCAACTTCCCCCACATCAAGACCGTCGACTTTTGCTTCCTCGAACCCCCAATCATCGACTATGTTCTCAAGCCAGTTGGAGGAGAGACCTTTGGAATGGACATTGCTCATGTAAGGCTCATACGCACTCACATTTTTCGTTGGTTTTATGCCATCTGTGAAAGATCGCCGAATGCTTTCGCTCTTTTGTTATTCCCTGGATCGGGAGAGAGTCCACTTCTGAGCATTCATTTCACTCATGCCATACACATCCTCTACAACCCAAAAATAGATTCCTGGTTTGCAATCGTTCATTCGCGACCAGACTCATGCCATCTTGGGACCTATGATGTACGCCCCCAACGTCTATACTCTGGATTTAGAGCAAATGATGACCGGTGGAGCCTCCCTGACCGCTGCCGCCGGTGTTGTCCAGTTCACCATTTACAACGCCAAGGACCTCAAGAACACCGAATTGGTCGGAAACTCTGATCCTTACGTCAAGCTCCGCCTCGGTAACCGCCCTGAGCTCGCCACTACCGCCGTCAAAGAGGATACCCTCAACCCTGTCTGGAACGAGACCAACACTATCTTGATCAACAACTTGAACGAAGTCGTGTGCATGGAGATCTTTGACAAGGATACCGTCCGCAAGGACCGTCCTTTGGGCCAGGCCAACTTTGATTTGAAGTCTTTGGAGGAGGACCCTATTCAGGATGACGTTTGGTGCAAGGTTCTCCGTAACGGCAAGGAGCGCGGTGCCGTTCGTATTCGTGCCGCCTACTTCCCTGTCCAGGTCCCTGGCCCAGCTGTCGATGGCATAGAGCCTGCCCCTATTGAGTCCAACTCTGGTATCTTGGCCATCAACCTCGCCCAGGCTAAGGACATTGCCCGCACCGGAAAGACTAAGTCACTCTGCAAGGTTTACTTGAACGGACGTCTCGCTCACACCACCAAGAAGATGATCGGAGCCAACCCTGCCTGGGGTGCCGATGTCGACCTCTTCATCACTGACCTTGAGGCTGCCCAGATCACCGTCGAGGTTGTTTCAGAGGATCGCGTCATTGGTTCGTACGGAGCTCCTGCCAGCAGGTTGATCAAGGATACTACTGACAAGGTCGACTGGGCTACGCTACAGGGTGGAGATGGCACCGGAAAGCTGAAGGTGACCGGAGTCTGGAAGCCAATCCTGATGGGCGACGACTTGAACCCCAGCGTCCACAAGAATGCCTTTGGTGTTCTCCGTGTTAAGTTGCTCAGCGGACGCGATCTCCGCAACGTTGAGATTGGTGGCAGCTCGGACCCCTATGTGGTCATCACTGGAGAAAAGGGCATGAGTCGCGGAAAGACCAAGGTCATCGACAGCAACTTGAACCCTGTCTGGAATGAGATCCACTATGTCACCGTCAACTCGATGAAGCAGGAGTTTGAGTTTGAGTGCTTCGATTTCCAAAAGGTTACCAAGGACAGGACATTGGGCAAGACCGAGTTCAATATCAGCGAGGTTGTTGAGGAGTTGCCTGATAAGGCTGGATATGCTGCTCGCCCTATGATCAACCGCTGGGCCCCATTGAAGCAGAAGGACGGTTCGACCAAGGGTGAGCTCAACTACGAGATCTCCTTCCACCCCTCGCTCAGAATTGCCAAGGAGGCCACCGCGGCAGAGAAGGCGGCCACGGCCCTCCCCGACGACAACGCTGCCGTTGAGAGTGTCGAGACCACCCGCCCTTCGCCCACCAACCTGGAGAACCTTGACACTGTCGCTGTGGAGACCGCCGCTGTTACCCTGCCACCCAACACCATCTACGCTCATGAGGCTCTGGACTTTGACTCTGGTATCCTGGTGACGCACTTGATCGGGGCTGATTTGGATCGTTCTGGCACCTACTGCGAGTTCTACGTCGACAGCGACAGCTACCAGTTCAAGTCTCAGCTCCAAAAGTCCCGCAACCCCAAGTGGAACGAGGTTGCCGATATCTTTGTCAAGGAGCTCGAATACGCCAAGCTGGTCGTCATTGTCAAGGAGAAGTCGACGATGGAAAAGGACCCCGTCATTGGCATCTTCTCCAGCAACATCCAAAGTCTTCTCGAAGGCACCCCTGCCGAGGGTGGCTACTTCCCTATTTTGGACAAGACTGACAAGCGTGGCAATCTCCACTTGAAGTTTGAGTACTACCCTGTTCCCATCGAGCTCCTCCCCAAGGAGCGTTTGGACAGTAAGTCTTTTGTCTTTATACCAATATGTTATGCTCGTTATGTATCTGATTTGTTTAATTGACTAAGCTTCATTTTGCTTGTCTAGACATGGGTAACCTGACTGTGACACTTGTCCGTGCCAAGAACCTGATCGCTGCTGACCGTGGCGGCGCTAGTGACCCTTATGTTGTCTTCAAGCTGAATGGCAAGGAGGTTCACAAGTCCGAGGTCGTTAAGAAGACCCTCAACCCCGAATACAACGAGACCTTTGTCCAGCCTATCGTAAGTGTTGTCTGCTTGCCGGGACTGCAGTATCTTCATCATACCTTGGCATTAACACTCGTCCATTTCTTCTGATTGTAGTCTTCTCGTGCAGAGGATCAGTTCACATTCGAAGTGTTTGACTGGAACCAGCTCTCGACTGCCAAGTCTCTCGGCGTCGGCGCCTTGGATCTTCGTTCTATCCAGCTAGTCTTGCCCAACGAGTTCTTGGTCCCTCTGCAGAACAAGCAGAAACAGGGCGAGGTTCAGTTGCGTCTTAAGTTCATCCCCGAGTTTTTGTCATCAAACAAGTCCATGACTGGCTTTAGCTCGACCTTCATTAGTGGGGGAGTCAACTTGGTGTCGTCTGGTGGAAACATGATTGGCCAGGCTGGTATGGCTGGTGTCGATGTCGTCACTGGTGGAGTTGGTGCCGTCGCTGGTGGAGTTGGTGCTCTTGGTCAAGGTGCTGTCGATGTCACTGGAGTTGTCGGAAAAGGCGCTCTCAAGGGCGTTGGCACTGTCGGAAAGGGTGTTGGAGCTGTTGGCAAGGGTATAGGATCTGTTGGCAAGGGTGTCTTTGGTGGTCTCTCTTCAGGAGCATCAGCCCTGGGACTGAACGGTAGGAATTCTCGATCGTCGTTGGAGTCCTCCGTCCCTGCTGAGGCTCCTCAAGTCCAAGCTTCGATGATGCCTAATGCTCCCAGCACCCCCGAGATGGGGGCCATTCGTCCTTCCAACTCTGAGGCCTCCCTCAACGTCGCTTCGCCTACTCTTCCCCGGACAAGCGTCGGATCGACCCGCTCACGGACGTCGATTGTCTTTGACAACGGCGAGATTGTTGGCGAGCCCGGCAACTTAACGATCCACGTCATTGAGGCAACAGAGCTCGCTGGCGTTGACAAGAGCGGTCTCAGTGATCCCTACGTCAAGGTATCCTATGGCAGCAAGACGGTGTTGAAGACCAAGGTCAAGAAGGAGAATTTGTCGCCTAGCTGGAACGAGTCAGCAACCATCCCCGGATTGACTGGCCACCCTGTGACGATCAACTTCCTTGTTCGCGACCACAACACGATTGGAAGCGATAAGGATCTGGGCGAGTTTGACTTGAGGCTGTGGGAGTACATCCAACCGGCCACTGAGGCACACCCTGGCGAGTACAAGGCTGACTTCTGGGCACCGTTGAACGGTTCTGGAGGCAAGCTGCATCTCATGATCGAGTATGATCCCACCCACGACGGTGATGGCGCCCAGCGGAAGCGCAGCCTGTTCAGCCGCAAGTAATCTGTTACACCTCCACACAAAAGTAGGCCAAAAGCCATCACCGGTTTGATGGCGAGTTGGATACGAATGGGAGGAGTTGCTGTTGGTTGACGAGGGGTCAAAGCAGAGCATAAAATATAAACAGCTTGAGCTTTTGTACATTTTTCACATACACCTTTTCGTCTTATTGTTGCGAGTTACTGGTCTGTTAGGATGAACATGGTATGAATACATCTTGATTTTTAATAATGGTGGTGGTAAAAGGTAACGTTTCTATTCAGAGTCCTCGTCCTCCTCATCATCCTCATCGTCCGACTCTTCCGAATCCGACTGCTCCAAGTACTGGATCATAGGAGCGGCCTATTTCGCACGAAAGGTCGCGAAAATAAAAAAAACTAAAGGCGTAAGTATTTGCTTACCAGATCATGCATCTCAAAATGTCAACTCCAACATCTATGATAAACAACAAAACTTACGACTTCGCGGAGCTTCTTCTCGATGTCGGTACCCTGCTGGCTCTTTTCCGAATGGTACCATTCCAGGATTGCATCCTCCTCCAGGATATCCTCGTCATAAAAGTACCTCAATGCGGGGGCAAACACCTTCTGTGCCTGAGTCACATCACGATACAAAGTCGCGCAAACCCTGTGCAGAACATGAGCACCATCGACCTGATCCTCCTCGTCGTGAATCATCTTTCCGACCAAAGGACCCCAACGGCTTAGAATCTCCTTGGCGGTCTTTCCACTGCCAGCCTTGGCGACTGGGTCAATGTGCTTCAACACACCAGGAATAACTCTCTTGCGCATCTCCTTGAAGTTCGAGAACGTCGCCATACGAAGAGTGTTCAACTCCAAGGCCGCAATATCAACATCGTGACCGTCCTGGAAGGCACGGTCCAAAGTAGCCGCGACCTCACGATCCAACTCCTCCTCAGGACTGATAAGGTCCTCCTCCAAGTCCGAAGCCTCCGACTCGAAATCCGAGGCAGAGTCCTCCTGCTGTTTGGCAGCCAACTTGAGCTCCGACATATCGAAAGCCAACATGCTGACCTGCTTGTTCTTAGGATCCTCCTCATCGTCCTCATCGTCCGAGCCCTCAGCCTCGGTGAAGGAGCGACCACGTCCAGTAGCACCGACGACAGCAGGGTCTGAGATCAACTCTGCGTCCGAATCGTCCTCGTTGCCCTCGGCCAATGCTGTGAGTCGGGAGTAGGCTGGTACCGTGGTGTTGGCACCGACCGTGACCTTGAAAGAGATCAGGCATCCCTTGCTGATAGTGACTCCTTGCTCCAAGACGGCGTCGTTGGCGATAATACTCTGCTGAACCACGCAGTTGTCCTTGATTACGACGTTGTCCCAAATATATGCGTTATCAATCTTGACATTCGCGCCTACGGTCATCATCATATTGGTAAGAATATAGACACGTTAGCCAAAAAAAAAAAAAAAAAGTTTGCCATTGCGATCCTTCTGTTTCCAAAGTCGTACTGATAAAATGGCTTGCTTACCGATGATACAGTTCTTGCCAATGACACAGTTGGAGAGAACAGCCCTCTCAGCAATCTGGGTGTTGGCTCCAATGACAACCTTCTCCTCAACAACACAGGTCCTGGACAAAACAACGCTCTTCTCCTTATAGACCAACCCCCGTCGGTACTCATAGCAATCCCCAACCTGCAAATTGCTATCAGGAACCATTGGGAACGTCCACCGGGAGATGATATCCTTGCTGACAGCATCGTACATCTGCGTACTCCGGACACGAGCCGCATAGACATCGCTCACCTCATGGAAATGAATCGTCTTGCCCAACAGATCCGAGGTTAAGATACCGTGGACGAAATCCGCGCGAATATCCTGGTAATCAAAGTTCTCTGTGAACAAGGCGGGGACCTCGACCGAGCAAATGTCGACCTGGCAATCAATCAAGTCGTTGCGGAGCTGGATCTCGGGGTGCTTGTCAAAGATTTCCATGTTCATGGTCATGCGCCTGTCCTCGCGGGTGCTCTTGAAGGCCTTGACGGGCTGGTAGTGTAAGCACTCCTTTGATCCCTGGTCCAAAACAAACAATGATCCGTCTCCGACCGAACTATTTCGCAACACAGAAGGCGCAGATGAAAACTGTCAGTTAAACGGCATCTACAACATCCTTTATTTTTGGAGCACGGTATCGGCAGGTTGCTCCGTGTATCCACTGTTCCATTGTATTTGACGCTTCCAATTGATGACTCATGTTGCAGCCATCGTGACAATCACGACTCCTCGCTTCTTCACTCTTCCTTCTTTGACACCGTCTTAGAAACCTGCCAATGCGCCGGTATCGATATTCGCCGTTGCCAATGTGCTTATGCTCCTGTATGCCATGCCATGAACCGCCACTCCTTCGCCATCCAATTGATATCATCAGTGACTCAAAACAACGTAAATACCATGTCAAAAGAAACAAGTAAAAAAAAAGCACATACCGACTCCGGTGCTGCGGGCTAGCCTTCTTGAGGACCATGGTCATAATAGCGCTCTTATCAGCCTGTCTCCTAGCACGATGTTCTTCCAGAACCCGATCCAGCTTCATGTTCGAGACAACATCTCCTGTGACGAGAATAAAGTCCGTGTCGATCAACTGCTTGGCGTCCAGTTCCCTCATAGCGTCTCCGACCGACATCAACTCCTGCGACACGATCGTATTAATCTTCATGTTGGATGACTTTTCGTATTTCCTAAAACAAATGGTTGGTATGATAGTAAGAGACGTGTATGATGAGCAATCCTGGTTTCGGTACTGGCGTGTTTGTTTATACAAAACAGAAGTGGTGAACAAAGCGCGTTGGAGGAAGGGTGGGGGGGGGACGAGATCTTACTTGACAAAGGCCTTGACCTTGTCGGAATGGGAGCAGCAAAAGACAAAGACCTCCTGAACGCCTGCGACAGCCAAGAACTCGAAGGTGTACGAGATTAAGGGCACATTGCACAGTGGCAACAAGCACTAGTAGTCATTTACAAAAAAAAAACACAATGAACATCGACATGGGGGTCAGCCCGTGTTTTTAAAGTGTTTTTTTTTTTTCTTTTTTTCCACGACCTCTCCGCTCTGTTTCTGGCAGGATTGAGCCTTACTCTGGCGGTCTCGAGGGTGATGGGCTGGAAGCGTTCGTCGAAACTGTCGGCGAGAATGACGGCCTGCAGGACCTGTTCTGAAGATTCGACTTTCTCTTTTGGTGGCATGATGGTTGTTGATCGATTTAAAAAAAGAAAGTATGAGGTGAGGAAAAGAACTGCGAAAAGCGTACTTTTGAAGGGAAAAAAAAATGCACACCCTCGATGACTCACGTACAGGGCAGACTTGGCTCGAGATAAAAAAATTCGTACACATAGAAGTTTCAGCCACCAAATTGACTGATCAGTTGCCCAAACTTGCTTTTTTTTCCCAGGAGGACTCCATGGGCACCACAAACACAAGGCAATGGAAAGAGTGTGATATTACTTTTGGTTTTATTGTGGTAATTTAACATGAGTACGAACGAAGAGGAGGGTATTTACAGCGAAGGATCCGCTACGCTCGTTAAAAGTAAAAAATGAAGTACAGAATAGATGGGATGATAACTAAACTAAAATTTACACGATCTGGTCACCGTTGTGGTGGCGCTGCTGAGCAGACGATCCAGAGTGGGTCTCGACAGCAGACGAGTTTGAGTGGATGGAGGCCTTCTCGGCGTGGAAACCGCCCAAGGTGTGGTCGTTACCGTGGTGCTGGATCTGCGAGAACTGTTCAACATCAACTTCCTGCATGGTGGGGCCATCGAGCAACTCGCCGTTTTGGCGGGCCTGCCAGGCCTCGTCACGGAAAGCACCTTCCCACTTGGCAACAATGCAGCAGGCAGTCATGTTTCCGAGAACGTTGATCGAGGTACGGGCCATATCCATGAAGGCATCGACTCCCATAATCAACGAGAGAGGGTACAGGGGAATGTTGGCGTTACCCAAGGTGGCAATCAAGACGATGAAGGAAGCACGGGGGACGGCGGCAACACCCTTGGAACTCAACATAAGGGTGAGCATCATGACGATCTGCTCACCGACAGTCTTGGTGACACCGGCGACCTGGGCGCAGAACATGGAGGCAAGGGCGAGGTAGAGGGTAGAACCGTCCAAGTTGAAAGAGTAACCCGTGGGGATAACGAAGGCAACAATCTCGGGAGGGCAGCCGAAGGCAACCATGTTCTCCATGGCCTTGGGAAGGGCAGACTCGGACGAGGCGGTGGCAAAGGCCATGAGGAAGGGAGGGCCGACAGCTCTGATGAACTGGACGAGAGGGATGCGGGCGATCAAGAGGATGGGAAGGAGGACGAGGAGGACAAAGATGATCAAGGTGGCGTAGAGCGTTCCGACCAACTTGCCGGTGACGATCAAGACACCCAAGCCGTACTTGCCGACGGTGGCAGCAATGGCGCATCCGATACCGATGGGGGCGTAGTTCATGATGAGCTCAACGACCTTGAACATGATGAGGGAGAGCGAGGAGTTGAAGGCGATCATGACTCTCTTGGACTCCTCATCGGCCTTCATAATGGCGACAGAGAACATGGCGGCGCAGAAGACGATGGCGAGAACGGCCGTGTGGTCAGACATGGCGAGGAAGAAGGTCAGGGGGACAATGGACTCCATCTCGGTGATCCAGGTGATCTCCTTGGTGGGAAGGTCAGAGGGGGGGTCGATGCTCTGGCCAACGAATCCTGAACCGGGCTTGGCGATGTTGACGGCAAGAAGACCGATGAGGAGGGCAAAGGTGGTGACGATTTCGAAGTAGACGATGGACTTGAAGGCCAGGCGACCGACTCTAGCCATGTCAGAGCCGTGTCCGGCGATACCGACGACGAGGGTGGAGAAAATCAAAGGACCCTAATTTCGGTGAATGGACGTTTACGCGGAGGGAAATGGCGTAGAAAGAGAGCAGAGAAGAGAAGAGGGAAGTGTGAGCGTCATTCTCATTGGTAGGCTAGGACAAGTAGGATGTTTGGACTAGCGCGTCCACAGAGGCCAACTCAATCTTTTCTCCCTGGGGAAGAAAGGAGGACGACGAGGGGAAGTTGGTTCAACCAACAATACACAAACAATTCAAACGACCAGGTAGATGACTTTTAACACTTACGACAACGTTTCCGATGAGGCGGACGAAGACATCTCCCATAGGCTTGATCTGGACAGCAAACTCGGGGGCAAACTTGCCGACAATGATACCGATGACCATGGCAACAACGATCCAGATAGTTAGGTTGGTGTGCTTCCTCACCAGTCTGAAGGCGTTGGTGACGGGCGCAAAGGCAGTGGCGACTTTGCCACGGTTCTGCTCATCCGAGTAGAGGACGGGCTGGTCGTTGTTGGGAGTCATTCTGGGCTATTAATGGGAGGAGGGGGTTTTGCCGTGGTTTTTTTTGGAAGAAGAGGTGGGAAAGAAGGAGGTCCTATAGAAACACTAGATATGATTGAGATACAGGTAAGGTACAAGAGTTAGAATGAATGTGGATAATAATGGTCTTAGTCCATTTAAGGATTAGATGCAATCGAGCCGATGAGGAGGCGTTGAGAACATGTGAGGGTGAGGCAGAGGATGGATGGACATACCAAAGTGGAGGAGAGAGTGTGTTTTGGGTATGATAGGGTAGGGGGATGAAGAAAGAAAGGCGAAGGGGAACAGCAGAAAAGAACCAGAGTGGGGGATGAGATGGCAAGTAGGAAAGACGAAGAGCAAAGAAAAACAGAAAAAAAAAGAGAAATGAAAACGAGGGGCGAGGGGTCACTTTTTATACTGTTTTGTGGTCTTAGTTCAGGTATTTGCTCTGAACTATTCTCCCTTCGGAGACGACAAGCTCAACCCGGGGTTTGTCAATCACCACTGGTTGTTGCGCCCCCTGTTCATTCGTTAGCTTGGTCTTTGGTTTACGCCAGCCTCGAACTAGATCCCCTCGCTGCTACTGTCCCCCATCTTTTTCTTTCTTCTTCCCACTTCATTTCTTAGCTTTTCAACTTCTTCATTCCCTTCCTTTACACGGCCATCCTTGCACACCCCTCCTCATTTTCTCTGTTCTCCTTTCGCAAGCCTATCCTCAAAATTTGGCTTCTCGGCTTTTGCCTCTGAGAATTCATCTTGTACCTAGCCAGTACCAATCTTCGCCATTCCTCGAGTCAAATGTTGCCAAATGATGGCTCAACATCTATCCGACAGTCAAACACCAGTTTCTGTCTGTCAATTAAAGAAAAAAGTCCTTTTGGCCGTATTGGGGTTTTGTTCGCAGTCGACTCTACTCTTTGGTGTCGACCCTTCTTTTCTGACAACAGACAACAACATTATCCTTACATAGAAAACGCAAAACACAACATGTTTCTCTTTCTCCTTCCTCCCTGCTCCTCTTATTTCTGCCAGCACAAGACCCACTCCCTCACGCGCGCTCTCGCATATACATACACATACGCAGACACGCCTCTATCAAAGACCAGAAGGACATGCACATACGGCAAAGAACAAATGATAGGGAAAAAAATCAACAACAACGATTGTAATGTAAACAAACAAATAAACTCCCTTCTTTTCTTCGTTCGTCGATTCTCTTGCGTGTCCCAGGGTTTTCGCCCTTTTTAGGGTTTTGTTTACAGGCCGTTCGACCATTTTAGGTCAGAACTGTACCAGGGACACAAAAAAAGCAACAAGAGAGGAAGGTGGACACATGTCTAAGTCCCCTGAGAGTCGATAGTTGATTTTTGTCGATGTTCATTGTCGAATGTCTAATGTCATAATGTCATCGTTGTTGTTGTTTGTTGTTTGGTGGTTGTTGAATGTTGTTATCGACCGAGTATTGGCCGGCGAAACGACCGTAATTTTACATCAAGGGTGGGTTATGTGTATTTGATGTGCCACTTCTTCCTAACGACGGTTCCCTTTGAATCCTCGCTGTCAATGCAACTCTCTCTCTCTTTTTTTTCCCTTCCTTTTGTTCTTCTCTACTTTCCCTCCTGTCCTCTCCACCCTGCCCTGCTCTTCTACAGGGCTCTTCTTCTTTCTCTTTGTTATTGTGTTTCTTTTCTTTCGCTTTACTCTCCACAGATACACAATACAGACCGGTCAAGATTTTCTATTAACGTTTTTGGGTCGGTCGAAAATCTTCCTCTGTTACTCGCTAGTTCGTAACTAAGTCTAAAGGGATCCCAAATCTGCCGTTAAGCCGGTCGGCTGCTTTGTTGTGTTTCTTTTTTCTTTGCTTTTCATGGTTGTACACGCCTACCTTTTTTTTCATCGTCCTCTTACATGCTCGTACGATGGGATGCGATATGAACCCCTTACCAACTCTGTTACATGCCCCCGTGGGTAAAGGGGTATGTAGCGATAATCCAGCGGCATAGATACCTCGCGTCTCGTACGCTTGGTTTCCCCTCCTCGGTAAACAAACATTACAGCCTCTTCCTTCCTTTCCTCCCTTCCCTCATTTCATTCGCATTCACTTGAGAAGGAGCGACCATTGCATACCCACCCAAGAAGAAAAATGGCAATCGAGACTAAGACACTTCTCTTACCTGCAAGGTAGGGTACATTTGTACAGTATCTGTGGGTGCTTTCCTCATTTGGAGTATCACCACAAAGGCCGTTTTGTTGGTTTTTTTTCCCTGTTGTTTTGTAATGATAATGGATGAGTGGATTCGTACATGGCGCCTGTTCTGATAGGTTCAGGACTCTGGGTTTCACAGACCAAAAAGCGCTGGTCGGTCGTATCCACTGTGAACGTATGAAAATAAGGTTATGACGATTCTCTGCAAGCCCATTTGACACGGCGGAGATAAAGAAGCCAAAAGAGAGGGCACTAAATAAATGGAAACCTTTTTTTTGGGAGGCTTTGCTTGCTAGAAATGAGCAAACAGAACGCAACAAATGCTCCGGGGACAGTTACCATCTGCTGTAGCTCTTCGTCATATCTACCCTTGTGCATCCAATAAATCGGCCAAAATGCCTCCTTCTTCTTCATCTCCCCCACCAAAATGATCCCATATGTTTGTTTGGATAATCGAGAAGATACGACAAGAAGATCGTATCCTTCCTGGTGTACACCGGAAGGGCGGTGTGAATCCCAACAACTCGGAATTAATGCTTCATTCTCCACTCTCTGCTACATTCAACTCTAGACCCCTATTTCCTCTTCTTCTTTACCATTCATCCAGTACTGTTGTGTTTTACGTGTACCGTACCTGACCATGAACTTCAGCTCCGCACTCGATTTCTTTTTTTTTGCGACCTTTACTCGGAGGAGCCTGCAGGAGTACCTGTCTCTTAACACTGAGAGACCCTACGTTCTCCGGGCTAGAGAGGTAACCTTTTCGCCCAAATGCCTCTCAAGAACCCTCGTTTGGAGGTTCCAGCTTTCCCGTTTTGTCACACTCTGTCTTGTAAGCGGATAGCACATCCCTGGATTCAAATGTCCGCCTGGAGGTTTGTGGTCTCTGAACTGTGTCAGTGAGCAGACGCACCTCCTCTAGCCGATCTTACGCTACCCTAGCCTAGCTCATTATACTTAATCTCATAATATTCCTTTTACAACTCACCCATTATCCCATCTCATCTCATAGCCGTGGATATCTCGTTTTTTATACCCGTTTGAAACGAGGTAGACAAGTATGGGCAGGATTGCTACAGAATACTCGCACGGTGAGATCAATATACACCTATACACGTATGTAGTTCGCAACTCCTAGGAGCAACACAACAAAAAGGCCCATTGTTTCATCCTGACCACCCACCACCCAACAACCCCTCTTTTCGATGATCCACTCTCTGAGCAGAAAGAGAAGGAGAAGATAACTATCGACCCTCTTCTATGTAATCGGTAGCATTCGCGTCAATAATAACTCCTCCTTCCTGCTCCTCCCTCTGTTGCCATATCCAACAGCTATCTTTCACATCTCTCTTGCCATCATAGATTTCTCGCTAGATAACGACCAAACACCTAGCTAACAACAAAGCCGACAGCAAATCCCAGCTTCCAAACACTCTCATGAAGGCTTCTATCACACACACGCATCTCGGAGATACATGCCGAGGATCATCATTTCCACTTCAGACTCGTCGTGGAAGAAGGTGAGTCTCGCCTCCCTCGTAAGCCCAGCCCAGCTTTCACATCCCCTGCACCCCCACTCCCCGACCAACCTTACATGAAGTGAGCCCCGACTCGTTTTTTGTTCTGAAGCTCCGCCTGCAATTCAGAGACCGTCAGTTTTCATGCTTATTTGGCTTTTAATCCGCTGTTTCTTCCTATCTTTTCACGTTTTGCTCTTGTACCTCGTTCCAAGGTGTTAGACTACTGTGCCTTTTTTTTTTTTTTTTTTTTTACTTTTCCACGCTCATTTCCTCCCCCGAATCGATCACATGTAGTGAGCGAGCTCAAGTAATCAAAAAAACGTACACGCATGTTATATGTACTTTACCATGCTGAGCCTTCCATCGTCCATCGTCATCTTGCTTGTCTTTTTGGAATTCAGCTCTAGGTTTCCCACGGTGTCTTAGTTTTCGAGGAACCAAGGTGGAGGCTGTGAACGAGAGAGCGCACATGATGCAGGAGGAGTGGTGTTAGTGTGAAGAGGTATTGCATGAAGAAGGAACAAGACAGCCGACTGGCAGCATGCAAGACCTGCGAGGAGAGCAAAGAGGCTTGGATACTTTTTTTTGTTCGCGTGGCATTTTATGGGAAATGAGAAACGATGTAGTCTATATGCACCTATGGATCGGGTACTACATGCACCACCACCACCCAGTTCATCGACGCCCAAAAAGACGTCTCTTGTGCAGTGAAAGGGTGGGAATCTGGAATGACCTCGGCGTATTACACTCAAAAATTGACATCTTACATTCGCCCATCCGCCACTTTCTTTTTGTGTTTTTTTTTCTTTTCTTTCCTTGTGCTTCACACAAACACAACTGCATGCAGCGCTAAAAGGGAATACAAAAGGAACGCCAGGAACTGTTCCATCTTGGATCACACTGGCGTCGTTAGGCGTGGGTTGATATAGGGCGACATCGAGCGTTTGATTTGTTTGTGTTTTGTTTTACAGTTCGTAGGCTGAGGGATCGATTGTCAACGGCAAGCTGTTCAAGGTTTTCGAGTGAGCCCTCCCCCTCCTCCTCCCAATTCTCCCTCTCGTCTTCTCCCCCCTTCTATCGGTTTTTTACGTTTGATGGATTAACTCTTCTCTTCTCTGTGTCTCCCTCTCCCTCGCTCTCTCTTCCTCATTGACTGTTCATTTTTTCTCTCTCTGTTGTTTTTGTTTGGACGTCAAACCCTCATTCCCTTTTCCCCTACAAATAACACACAAACAAACACTCAAAAAGGAGAGCAATGGCAGCTGGACAATGCAACAAAACAAAACAAAACAAAACAAAACAACAGCGATACGCAGAAAAGGTGAACGAATAAGAGAATGTATTTTAAATATAATATATATATAGAAAAAAGGTATACTAATGGTCGAGGGTACCGCTGGTCCAGTTTTGATTAGCAGCACCACACCGATTAATATTCGCATACACACCATTCGACCCATCCGGAAGAACATAATTCGCCCACCACGTAGGCGCCTTCACAACCATCTTGTTACTCAACCCACCCGCAAAGAAAATAAAGATAAATAACCCCGTAAATGCGGCGCCCGTGTCGAGGGCAGCCGATAGGATGAAGGTGTACTTTGACCACCAGTTCTTGTGGTAGCGAAAGAGCCAGAACTGCCAGATAAACGCGACAATAACGCTTCCTAGGATTCCTTGGGTCAATCCGTTGCTGAAGGCGCTCATTCCTCCGGCAATGATGGTGATGTTGAACTTTTCCCAGGAAACTTTGGGCCACTTCTTGGAGAGAGCCCAGAGGATGATGGGGAGGATGGCACCAAGGAGGAAGCCGTAGTAGACGAAACTGTACCCGCCAGCAGAGCTGAACATCCGTTGTGGGCCGAGGGCGCCATAGATTTGGGCAGACCCCCAAAAGATCTTGGGATTGTTGCCGGCCCAGACACCGGCGGGGTCGCCTTCGGGGGAGACGAGGACGTCGCGGTGGGCGTTGATGATGACAAGCATGGTGAGGTAATTGAAAATGCCTCCGACGACCGCGCCCCAGCACTGGGAGACGAACATAGCCCGTGGGGGGATCTTCATGTAGTGGCCCAGTTTGAGGTCTGAGAGAAGGGTCATGCACTGGGCCATGGCCATGTAGCCATAGCACTTGAAGGCCATGTTGGCGATGGGTTTCCCTGGGAGCATGAATCCACAGATGAGCTCGGTGATGACGTTCAGACCGGGGCTGAAACCGGTGATGGCGGCCATGGCACAGATCGGGAGAGTGAGGAGCCAGGAGAGAACGCAGGCGATAAGGACGCCCCACCAGGGGAGTTGGAGGCCATAGACTTCACAGACCATCATCGAAAGACCGAGCATGACGATGTAGAAGGCCGCGTACCAGAGTTGAGGCACCTCAGGGTAGGTTCGCATCATCTTTGTATGGATGTCCTCATCGTCGCTGCCTACCGCTGACTTCCAGGACTTCATGATGTCGGCACCGTTGAAGCATATGATATGGGAGACACAACCGGCCAGGGCGACGAAGGAGAAAAAAAACCCGAGGGCGTACATGGGTGTCATGGTCACTGGGGGACCAGCCTCGTAGAGCGTGTTGTTCAGCGAAAAATCGTCATTCAGGTACGGCGCGATGTCGAAATAGGTCCCGTTGGTGTAGTAGAGTGCGGCGGTAAGAGGTTCACCAAAGGACTTTGTACCAAGGGTATTAGTGAACCAGAGGATGGGGAGGATGATCCAGTAGGAAAAGATGATACCACCATAGTTGCAGAGTTGGGCTGATAGAGGGAGCCACATGGTCGAGCCACCGATCGAGGTCCAGTCGAAGGAGAGGGAGAGGATTCCGGGACCGGTGTAGGAGTTGAACAGACTGCCGATATCCATATTGAAGGGGGAGATCCAGCAGATCCAGTCGAAGAACACGAACATTGGCGCCAGGTACTGAGGAACGAACTGGAGGAAGGTATTATTTCAGTGACGAAAAGAAGAAAAAATAACGAGACGAATAAAAAATGTTAGTAAGCGTAATAAATAAAACTGGCAACCTCGAAGTCCGAATGAACAGCAACCGAAATGAAGAGTACACATACCTCCCAGAGGAACATGCCTCCACAGAAGACCCAGAAGTACTTCATATACGACCACCCGTGGATCATCTTCTTGGTCTTGAACTCGTCGGTGTTGTGCATAGCGTTATAGAACACGACCTGGACCAAATTGCTCCACCAGATCATCTCAGCAGGGTAGACCAAGTACTTCCTCAGAACACCAGCCATCCCATACCCCAAACACTGAGTCGTAATAATAAGTATAATAGACCCCAATGCATTAATCCGATGGCTCAAGAACAGATCCGTAACGGTCAAGATATCAGTCGCATACGCGACTGTAGAAGCTGTCGAAACCGCAATCCCAATGACGGCGTGTTCTTTGATATTAAAAGGCCCTGGGTTGAACGACATGGAGTAACTCCCGATGGTGAGTTTGTTGGTCGGCAGGATGCGGGCCATTCCAGTACCAAGGGCGTAAGAGGCGAGGTTGACAAAGTAGATGGAGAAGGTGCCATAGTTGACGCGGAAGTAGTAGTATTCGTTGATGACTGAGCCGATGATGGAGAAGAAGAGGGAGAGGATCCAGAAACGGAAGGTGATGCAAACCAACGTTGGGTCATCGGTGATAGGCACAACTGTGCGATAAAGCAAGGAAAAGACGGAGGGTGGGCATGAAAAAAAAATGGTTAGAATGGTTTGAGGTGGAAGGTAAGTCACATGTAGTTGAGGCTGAAAAAAGTGTACAATATGGACGTACCTAGACGGACAGCTTCGATCTTAGAGTTCTCATGTTCGTCCTCATTCATGTCAACAGTCGGGCCCGCATGCGCCTTCTCGAACTGGTAGATGTCCTTCTCGGGCTCGGACTCGGGTTCGTGTCTTTCGTTCATGTTGTAAGACGAACGACGTGTGTTTATAGAAAAATGGGAGGGATAAAGAGGAGAGGAAGAGGAGGGAAGGAAGGGAAGGGAGAGAAGGGAGGGAAGGAAGAAGGGGAAGAAGGGGTTTTCAGAGGAAAGGTAGACAAGGAGACAAAAAAGTGATAAGTTCACCCTTGTTTTATATTCATCTCGGATATTCGTACAATTGCAATTGAAGGGTTGATGAAGAGCGAATGGGCGTTGTCGATTGTGTGTTGCATAGTGCACAAGGGTAGAACAACGAATGAGGACAGCGGCATACCATTTGATCGTTAAGAAAGACCCTTGCTCTCCTATTTTCCCACCTTCGGATGGATAGTCCGAAACAATGGCAGACTCAAGCGGATGGATAATAAAGAAGTACAATACATAACCACTCATATCCGTCCTGCAAGGACAAGGGGGAGCACATCGGCTGGACACTTGGTTATCCAGGAAAGGGAAAGTCCGTCCAGGTGCCATCAAACTCTAACTTTGCACAGGGTACATCCACACATGCAGAAAAAAATATAATACTACCAATTCACTTTCTTCCCCTCTCATTCGTACAATCGTACCATACGGCTATCTATCCGTCTGTTCCCATCAGCAATACTTTGGACACAAATGAGTACCTCAGCTCCCTTTTTCATGTACATGTACTCAAGCAAAACGTAAATGAAACCCTATTGGCCTCCTCTCTCTCTCTCTCTCTCTCTCTCTCTCTCTATCTCTCTCTCTCTCTGTCTCCCTCGTGCGCGCGCTCTTTCTAGGACAAGAGTACAAGAGTCCTCACTTGTATGCAGAACTACCTACGGTCGGCCTCCCACCCGTAAAAACGGATAGCGTTGCCGTGGGGGACATACTTTCTACGAATAAATATACTCTTACGCTGGTGTTCTGCTGTTTATCCACTATGCCTCGACACTGACCAGCAACCAGGTCATCGCGACCAGACATAAGTAAGCGACCGTTATGAGGGCTGATGCGATTAGCTCATTACTGATTTGTTGCTTGTTTCATGTAAGGTTGCAATCCATGGGTGATCGGTGATCAAAATTCAAGCACACTTTTTTTTTTTTATTCTCTCTTGCTTTTTTTTTTTTTTTTTTTTTTTTTTCGTACACAATTTTATTTCTCTCAGCATAAAGAAGTTATTTGGAAGTAAAAGGGGGCTACAGACCATACTCTTCAGTGCACCATCCACCAGTCGCAGCCCGGTCCAGAACCTGGCTCTGCGCAACAATTATCGCTGCTCTTCACAGCTCAAACGGAAGAAAATAAAACTAGATACGAATGAAAGGGATTCTTCCCATCCTCTCCATCATTGAAAACCTCCTCCTTCCTAACAAACTCTCCAACAACCGCTAGTCAGCAGCGCATGGGTCCTTGGTCGCTCTATGGCACCTTCCTTCATCATGTGTGGCTAGCGAAGCGCTACACGGGCAGAAACTATCGTGCGTGATGTAACCGTATCCTTGACTCCAGTCACATCGGGGGTCTGTGTCCTTGGATGTCTTGTTCTTGGCAGGGTCTGCTCTTGTTCTCTCTTACGCCTTCAACAATGAGATGATAATAATTATAATTTAATGAGTGTGTGTCTGTATTAGAATGAAAATAAATACTAAGGAAGACCGCCAGTCCAGTTACCAGACGACCCACACCGATCAATCGCATAGAACTCGCCATTACCATCCTCAAAAACATAATTGGCCCACCAACTAGGAGCATCAAACTTCAGCTTATCACTGACACCGCCAGAGATGAACACAAACAAAAAGAGACCCGTAAATGCGGCGCCCGTGTCGAGGGCAGCCGAGAGGATGAAGGTGTACTTTGACCACCAGTTCTTGTGGTATCTGTAGAGCCAGCACTGCCAGACGAGACAGACGATGAGGGAACCGGTGACCCCGTTGATGTAGCCGTTGGGGTAGGCGCCCATGCCTCCAGCAATGATCGCCCAGTTGATCTTGTGCCAGGGGACGGTGGGCCATTTCTTGGAAAGGACCCAGAGGATAATGGGGAGGATGGCACCGATGAGGAAACCGTAGTAGACGTATCCGTACAGGCCGTCCGAGCTGAACATGCGTTGCGGGCCTAGGGCACCAAAGATCTGAGCGGAGCCCCAGAAGATGCTGGGGCTGGCACCGGTCCAAAGGCCAGCAGGGTCATCTACGGTACCGTCGAGGAAAGGGCGCTGTGCGTCGATGATGGCGATCATGACGACGTAGTTGAAGACGCCGCCGACAATTGTACCCCAGAGCTGGGAGACGAACATAGCACGAGGAGGGATCTTCATGTAGTGGCCCAGCTTAAGGTCCGAGAGGAGGGTCATACACTGAGCCATGGCCATGTAACCATAGCACTTGAAGGCCATATTGGCGATGGGCTTTCCGGGGAGCATGTAGCCGCAAACCAGCTCTGTAATGACGTTCAGACCGGGACCGTATCCTGTGATGGCCGTCATCGCGCAAATTGGCAACGTCAAGAGCCAAGCCAGAATACAGGCGACGATCATGCCCCACCAGGGGAGCTGAAGCCCATAGACCTCGCAGACCATCATCGAGAGACCGAGCATGATGACGTAGAATCCGGCGTACCAGAGTTGAGGGATTTCAGGGTAGACTCTCATCATCTTGGTATGGATATCCTCGTTCTTGTCCCCAACAGCCGAGCGCCAGCTCTTGAGGATGGTTGAACTGTTAAAGACAATGACATGAGAGACACAGGCGGCCAAGGCAACAAAGGAGAAAAAGAAGCCCAAGGCATAGAGGGGGGTCATCATGGCCTTGTCGCCGGCAGCTTCATAGAGGTCCTCGTTGAGCGAAAAATCGTCGTTGAGGAAATCTTGAACGTAGAACCGGGTGCCGTTGCTGAAATACAGACGAGGGGTGAGGGGACGAACAAACGTCTTCATGTCCCAGGTATTCAGGACCCAAAAGATGGGCAACATGATCCAGTAGGAGACGATCACACCGGCAAAATTGCAAAGCTGGGCTGAGAGAGGGAGCCACATGGTCGAGCCACCGATGGAGGTCCAGTCGAAGGAGAGACCGAGGACGCCGCCGCCGTAGTAGGTCGAGAAGATCCCCCACATGTTGAAGTCAAAGGGAGCGATCCAGCAGACCCACGAGAAGAACCCAAGCATGGGCGCCAGGAACTGGGGGATAAACTAGAAAAAATTGAAAGTTGTGAGTAAGAGAGTATGTGGGTTGTGAGTAAAAGAGTATGTGGAAGTGCTTAACAGAAGGACAGGGCAAGATTGTGTTCCTTTTTGTTTGTTACATACCTCCCAAACGAACATGCCTCCACAGAAGACCCAAAAGTACTTCATATACGACCACCCGCGGATCATCTTCTTGGTCTTGAACTCGTCGGTGTTGTGCATAGCGTTATAAAAGACGACTTGGACCAAATTGCTCCACCAGATCATCTCAGCAGGGTAGACCAAGTACTTTCTCAAAGCGCCAGTCATACCGTAGCCCAAACACTGAGTAGTGAAGATAAGAATGAGGGCACCCAGGGCATTAACCCGATGGTGCAAGAACAGATCGGTGACGGTGAGGATATCGATTGCATAAGCAGAGGTGGCGGCGGTCGAGACGGCAATACCAATGACAGCATGTTCCTTGATGTTGAAGGGGCCAGGGTTGAGCGACATGGAGTACCCACCGATGGTGAACTTGTTGGTCGGCAGGACCCGGGCCATTCCAGTACCAAGGGCGTAGGAGGCGAGGTTGACAAAGTAGATGGAGAAACTACCCGAGGCGACACGGAAGAAGTAGTATTGGTAGATGACTGAGCCGATGATGGAGAATAAGAGAGAGAGGACCCAGAAGCGGAAGGTGATACAGACCAACGCTGGGTCATCGGTGATAGGCACAACTATGCGATGAAGCAAGGAAAAGACGGAGGGTGGGCATGAAAAAAAATGGTTAGAGTGGTTTGAGGTGGAAGGTAAGTCATATGTAGTTGTCGGCTGAAAAAAAGGAGTGCTCAAAGTAGACGTACCTAGACGGACAGCTTCGATTTTGGAGTTCTCAGGTTCGTCTTCATCCAGGTCAACAGTCTGGCCTGCATCCGCCTTCTCGAGCTGGTAGATGTCCTTCTCGGACTGGGGTTCGTGACTTTCGGTCATGTTGTAAGACGAACGACGTGTGTTTATAGAAAAATGGGAGGGACAAAGAGGAGGGGAAGAGGAGGGAAGGATGGGAAAGAAGGGAAGGGAGGGAAGAGAGGGAAGGGAGGGAATGAAGTGGTGAAGAAGAGGGAGAAAGGAGGAGGGTATGGTGGCTGGAAAAGCTGACAAGGGACAAGATCGACAGCGATGCCCGTTGTATTTATATCGAAAAAACTTGTCGATTGCCACCTTTACAACAGTCGGGACCATTCGCAAAAATAGGAGCCCTCTATTTCTCTTCTTTTGATCCGTGCTATGTCAGGGGTTGTGCTATGGCCTTGGTTCGCCATGGTGTCATTTTGACTTCCCTCGGGTTGCTTTTCGACCCTGAATTTCATCCTTGCCCTCTCTTTCTATTCCTCTCACATATGCTTCCCTCGCCTTATTAGGTCCATGTACCCGGGCGTAGCAAACGACGAATAAGAACGAGGCCGACTCACAAATGCTCGGAAACACGCCATTGACTGAGCTAGTACCATACCATGTCGGAGATACTTTTCTTACTTTCTTCAAGTACTTTATTCTTTCTCTTTCACTCTCTCCACCAATAGCATCTCGCCTTTTTTCACACAAACCCTTGCCAACAATTGGTTCCTTCTTTTCAGGCAAATTAGACAAACATGGGTTTGAATTGAACTTTTTTTTAATCCAAAAAGGAGGGCGACGCGTGAATACTATGGGAAGGAGGGTGTAACTACTGGTAAGGGTTGCCGCTATCCCAGAGGCCGGTGGAACCGCAGCGATCGATGCCCATGTACCCACCATTGGCAGTCTCGTTATAGTTGGGGTCGAAGGCAATGTAGTTTGCCCACCAGCTCGGGGCATTGACCAACAACTTCTCGCTGATACCACCTGAGAGGAAAATGAAGATAAAGAGACCCGTAAATGCGGCGCCCGTGTCGAGAGCAGCCGAGAGGATGAACGTGTACTTTGACCACCAGTTCTTGTGGTAGCGGAAGAGCCAGAACTGCCAGATGAAGGCAATAATGATACTACCAACGATACCAGTGATGTAGCCGTTGGGGTAGGCGCTCATGCCGCCGGCAATAATGGTGATGTTGAACTTTTCCCAGGAAACGTTGGGCCACTTCTTGGAGAGAGCCCAGAGGATGATGGGGATGACGGCACCAACCAGGAAACCGTAGTAGACAAAACCGTAGTTGCCATCGGTGCTGAACATGCGTTGAGGGCCGAGGGCTCCGTAGATCTGGGCAGAACCCCAGAAAATTTTGGGGCTGGCACCCGTCCAAAGACCGGCTGGATCGCCTTGGAGAGAGGTTAGGACCTCGCGCTCAGAGTTGATGATGGCGATCATGGTGACATAGTTGAAGACACCGCCGATGAGAGTGCCCCAAAACTGAGAGACGAACATGGCGCGTGGGGGGATCTTCATGTAGATACCGAGCTTGAGGTCGGCGAGCAGGGTCATGCACTGGTATGAGGCCATGTAACCGTAGCACTTGAAAGTCATGTTGGCGATGGGCTTGCCGGGGAGCATGTAACCGCAAATCAGCTCTGTAATGACGTTAAGACCGGGACCGAATCCTGTGATGGCGGTCATGGCGCCAATGGGGATAGTGAGGATCCAGCCGATAATACCGGCAACAATCATGCCCCACCAGGTCAGTTGAAGTTCATACACCTCGCAGACCATGATGGAGAGAGCAAGCATGACAAGGTAGAAGGCGGCGTACCAGAGCTGAGGAACCTCGGGGTAGACCTTCATCAACTTGTTGTGGATATCATCATCCTTGCTGCCGACAGCCATCTTCCAGTTCCTCAGGATGTCTTTACCGTGGAAACAAATGACGTGGGTGACGCAGCCGGCCAGTGCGACAAAGGAGTAGAAGAAGCCGAGGGCATACATGGGGGTCATGGTGGCTGGTGGGCCGGCCTCGTAGAGCTCTTCGTTCAGCGAGTAGTCGGGGTTGAGGTAGTCCTGGACGTGGAAGACAGAGCCGTTACCGTAAAACAAGGTGGGGGTAAGAGGATACACGAACTTCTTGATTTCCCAGGTGTTCTTGACCCACATGATGGGGAGGATGATCCAGTAACCGAGGATAACACCACCATAGTTGCAGAGTTGTGAGGCGAGAGGGAGCCACATGGTCGCGCCACCAATGGAGGTCCAGTCGAAGGACAGACCGAGGACACCGCCGCCAGTGAGGGTCGAGAAGATACCCCACATGTTCATGTCAAAGGGCTTGATCCAGCAGACCCAGCTGAGAAAGTTGAACATGGGGCCAAGGAACTGAGGAACGAACTGTATAAGAGTACCGATAAAGAAAAAAAAAAGTGTCAGTACGACAACATTTGGTGTGAATGTATATGCTAGATGGGAAGGAAAATAGGTAAAGGTGACATACCTCCCACACGAATGCGCCACCACAGAAGATCCAGAAGTACTTCATGTAAGACCAGCCACGGATCATCTTCTTGGTCTTGAACTCGTCGGTGTTGTGCATAGCGTTATAGAACACGACCTGGACCAAGTTGCCCCACCAAACCATCTCGGCAGGGTAGACGAGGTACTTGCGGAGGGTACCGGCCATGCCGTAGCCCAAGCACTGGGTAGTGATGATGAGGACGATGGAGCCAAAGGCGTTGATGCGGTGGTTCAGGAAGAGATCAGTAGCAGACAAAATATCGATGGCATAGGCAGAGCTCGAGGCGGTGGAGACAGCAATACCGATCAAACAGTGCTCCTTGATGTTGAAGGGTCCGGGGTTGAGCGACATGGAGCAGCCACCGATGGTGAGTTGACTCTTAGGCAAGAATTTGGCCATTCCGGTACCGAGGGCATAGGAAGCCAGGTTGACAAAGTAGATGGAGAAGTAACCCACGGCGACACGGTAGTAGTAGAACTGAGTGATGACTGAACCGATAACACCAAAGAAGAGGGACAGGACCCAGAAGCGGAAGGTGACTGCTTGCAGGGAGGGCTCGTCCGTGATGGGGACAACTGTTTAACATGAAGAGAAGGTATTTATTGTTAGAACAGTGTCAAGTCAAAAGTTATTTGAAGATGCATTGTGGTATAAGCAGGACGGTACGAAGGTCAAGAGACTTACCGAGACGGACGGCCTCAATCTTGGAGTTCTCGACTTCGTCCTCCTCGTTGAGCTCGAGGGTGTCACCAGCATAGGCCTTTTCTTCGGCGTAAACATCCTTATCGTATTCGAGTTCTTGTTTCTCAGTCATGTTTGATAGAGATGAATGGCGGAAAGGGAGATGGGTATATTGCCAGTGGTGTCGAGCTGGTCAAGGGAAGGGGGAAGGTTGGAGGAAGAGGAGAGGAAGAGGGTGATAAGAGGAAGGGAGGGAAAGGAGAGGTCTTTGTTCAAGCACGAAAAGGAGACAAGGAGACCAAAAAGGACGGGGATGTGTGCAACTATTTAAACAAAAGGACGGATGAAGCGAAGCAGTGGAAGTATCAATGATGTTGTTACCCCTGTTGCCGCTGTTGGTGCTGTAGACCGTTGTGTTTTTCCTTTTCTTTGACCCCCTTGCTCGTCCAGAGCGGATGGATAAACATAAGCAAGCTGTGAAGTCGCAATAACAAGTGCTTGGACGACGAGTAGATAGGGGACAAGCGTATGTGTTGCTGATTGCTGGTGGGAAGAACGAGTGTCTAGCCCACTGGCTCGCGCGATGAGAGTGCACTTGTTTGCGTTTGTTTGTTTGTTGCTCTCTCTCGGTCGTATTAAGGTTGGATGAACCCACCCTTCTTCTCATCACTCAATTTTTCCCTTGTCTATCCCCTCTTGACAGATGACAACAAATTGCCTGAATTGTGCAATCTCTGTCCACCTGGACGAACACACTCTTTGAACATCCGCCTTCTCTCGTATTTCCTCCCCCCCTAGGTTCCTGTTTCTCTCGAACCGCGTTCCTGGCTAGGACGCAGCCAAAACGAATGGTGGTACTGCACACACATCGCTGACTGAACACGATCTGCATCCAGAGCGCAGAAAAGATTCATTGATTCCGGGTATTCGAGCCGAAAATAGAGACCCAAAAGCCCTACATCCTCCCAGAACTTCAACATGAGTGAGAGAAATGGACACAAGATTAGTAACGGGACTAAATGATATCACAGACATATCGTGGGCGTACTTCGAAGTGAATACCCACTAGGACCGACGATGGCCCTTCTCGACCGCCAATCATTGCTTTTCCTGATCGTGCGCGTGCGACTCTTCGGAGATGCTTCCGGAAATGATCCAAAAGGGAAGTACCAACAGAGCAAAGTATTTTTTCCTTTACTATACCATTGGGCAGGGAAAACATGGTATGATACACTGACATGCTGAGAGAATAAGCGATGACTCGGTTGGTCGATGGGTGAACAGAGAGCTGTTTGTCAACTCGAGTTGGATTGGGAAAATAAAAGGCAGGTTACGAGCTGCGTTGCAGCAAGAATGAAAGGACGAAGGTAACATATGTCTCTTTGAGGCGAGTTTTGTGCAGCTGGACAGTTGCGTTTGTTTTTGCTCTGCTGTCTGTCTTTCGTCCGTACGATCATCCTTTGGCCTAGAATACAACTACTGTATCGCTCTATTGTGACAATGGCAGAGGTTGTTGTGATTGGTCAAGGAAGCGTCCCGAATGAGTTGATGGGTGTATCGATGATGTGATTGCAGAAAAGGAAGGGCAAGGAAACAAGTGACCAACATGGACAAATGCAATTCGGACTCCAAAGGGTACCAATTTTCAACCTTTCCTTGCTTGCTTTGTATTGTGAGCACTGGTTCTTTGTACCTTTGTTCCCCCCTCCTCTCTCTCTCCCTCTCTTCTCTTTCTTTCTTCTTTCATTCACAAACAAACCTAAATGAGTAAAAGATTGGGTGCGGATGACCTCTCCTGTGCCTTCTTTGGATGGTTAGTTTGAATGGCGATAGATACCGGAAAAACCTTAAGAACACAAGCCTGAAAAAATAAACAAAGATGGCCAAGGTACAGTGCTATCGTACTTCACTCCCCCTTCAAAGAGAGAAAGATAGAATATCATCCACTCCCGCTTTTGTTTTACTCTCTCGCTCTTCCTTTAGCCCAACTTTGGTCCCTCGAGAGAGCTACCCAATCACATCTCGCCTCATTACCCAAGCGCACCTCATTCTTGCAAAGAATTGATTTTCCGAAAGAGCAGGGAACATCAACAACAGGAGAAGAGTGCATGCACCGCGAAAGAGGGAGATTTGGCTTGTCTTTGAACAGCTGTTCGGAAATCCGAGCGAAGGAACTAACATCGACCGGTCCAAAACAGGTTCTTCATCAATCGGAATTTCATCCGTTCACCCACGCCCTCTTCCTCAAAAAGAAAAATGTTGGTCCTCCGCCCATTTGTTTACCATAGCACACTTCCCCCCCCCATGACTGAAAAAGAAACAAGTAAGGCGCTAAAAAGCTAAGGTTAGGTTCTTACTTTTATCTTTCTTGCTATTTGCTGGCTATGCTCGCGCAAGATCGGACCAGTCAGAACCTGCGATAACTCTCACGCCCTTCTCCCGTCTCTGAGCCTCTTTTTGAGGGGCTACTGTTTGTATCGTTGAACATGGATTTATCCACGCGAAGACAAAAGGGTTCGTTTGTTTGTTTGTTTACAGGGGAGAACAGCGTACAAGAATAAACATGCTAGACGCGTGTTTTCCGCGAGCCATCTAGAGAGAGAGAATAAAGAACCATAATGTAGTAAAGAGTTCACCCTGTCAATCGTACAAAATGGGCGTTGTTTTTTTAAACAAGCGGAAGAGCTTGCCGGCATGAAGCTTGTCCATGGCAACAGACCTCAAAACAAGGTGTTTCGTCTTGAGAGTGTTAACCCTTTGCAAGGTGCAATTATCCGTAGGCAAATGTATGAAATGCAGCTACGAAATTGTGGTCACTCACATACAAATTCAGGAACTTGATTGTTTTTTCTCAGGAACTGATCAGTTGGGTGAAGTACGTCTCACTTTTTCTCTGATAGTCCGGATACACAGCCGAGAACTCCACTATATACTCGATAATCCGGACTCTACGCGTTTTCTGAGGTTGAACTGTTTTGCCCTGTCGGATGCTTGTTCCATTCCCTTTCCACCCCTCCCTCCCTCCTCCAATATATTTAACGTGTGTCTGACATACCCTCATCGTTGCTGGAGATGTTTATTTTTTAATCCTTCTTTTCTTATTCTATGTTGTTTCCTTTTTGTGCTATCAAGCTGCAACAAAAAAAAAATATCGAAAAAACATGCCTTGCTTTTCGACTGGCGCAACTGCATGCACTTGCTTGAGGGTTTTGGTTCGGATACTATTGCTAATCGAAGCATCGTAAGCCATGAACCATTTCCATCGTATCATAAGTAGCGTTCTTCCCATCCTCTTATTCCTCATCTCACTAATCAGTCAAGCCAACCAACCAAAACCAAGCCAAACATAACTCTCAAGATGCGTTTCTTCGTTTTCCTCCACGCAATTACCGTCCCGCGGGCGCACACAAGGACACCTAACACCCTCTCACCGGAGGCCCTCGTTACCGCTCCATCCTTGGTCTCAAGGGCCAAATGTATGTTGGTCAGCAGTAGAACCAAGGACACAGCTTCCTCCTTCATTTCTCGGTACGCAACCTTCCTTGCTAGGATCAGTAAACCTCCCTTTTGGTGTCCCTCACTCGTGTTTAGGTGCAGACGTACAGTTCACAAAAAAAATGTTCGAGTCAGAGAAGAAAGGGAATGCGTTTATTCTGGAGGAGGGGAGGGTGGGGTATCATTATGAATCGAAACACCGGGTAAGGGATATTTACAGCTTGGCCAAGAACTTGGGTCCTCCTCCAATCCGTCCAATCCGATCCTTCCACTCCGGAACAGCATCCACCTCCAAAGGTCGTCTCTCACCCGTAACACTAATTCGCTCAAAGCTCTTATCGGCCACACCGGATCCGCCGACCGTGACGCTGCGAATAAAGTCGCCCGATTCCTTGAGCGCGTGTTTGGCGCTGGGTAGGAATCCAAATATCTGGAAGACGTGTGGCATGTCGTCGTAGATGCGGAGGAGGACGTTTGTGGGCGCTTCAGCGTGCTTTTTGGAGAAAACGATGGATTCGTCACGGAGCATCTCTGCATCTCCCGCGATCTATAAGAAAAAAGGTTCGTATCACGTTTAGAGTTGACATCCTTGTGAAGCAATAGACAGGCAGAATATTAACGACCAAACAAGCAAGACATAGGAAATAACTGTCGTTAAGACTTACCAGCATGATAGGGCAGCACCCTTCGAGATTGGTCTCCAGAACGGGACTGACGTATTTGCAGCCGAGTAACTTGTTGTTGGTGTAGTGCTGAACGGGTGGCAGCTTCTCAAGAAGCGCTTCCTGATCATCGCCTGCTGATGCGAGAGCTATTTTGGCCATATTCTTGAGAGACGCGCCTCCTCCATGGGTAAAGCCCTCCGCTGGGAGATAGTCCGTTGCCGTGTTTTCTAGCACCGATGGCATCGAGAGAAGAAGATCAATCCTATTGCATTTAATAGGTAAAAAAGGGAGTATGGTTAATATCGCGTGTCCTTCTCCCTTACAAGCGCTGGTAGGGTGCTGAGTGATCTACTGTGTGTCCTGCTGTTTACCATGGGCTCCATCCAATGATACCGCCCGGTGTAGGAAGTCCTGCATCCCTGATAGCGAGCATGGTAGCAAAGGTCAATCCTATCACATGCAATCCAATCGGTGAGGTTAGCCTACCGAAAATAAAAAAAGACAAACAAAGCGACATCATACAACACTCAAGTATTGGAGAACATGGAAAAGTACCTCCTCCGGCGCTGTCACCCATGATGACAATATTCTTGGGGTTGATGGGTGCAAATCCCGCGTCTACTGGTGGCTCGATCAGGTAGAGGTATGCTGCAAGGGCGTCGTGAACGGCAGCGGGGAAGGGGGACTCTGGTGCCAGTCTGTAGTCCAGAGCTATACATTTGCATGCAACAACAGACGACCTTCATTTTTTAGCACAGTCATCCCTTCAACGGTTATGACGGAGAAACAAAAAAAAAGCGGGTGATTGATTCAGTTACCAAAAGCATCGATCAACTTACAAAAGACTTTGGCGCCACCAAGTCGGGCCATGTTCCAGCTCGCCCATCGATGGGTCTTGATAGAGCACAAAAAGTATCCACCACCATGGAGATAAAGAACCGTCCGTCCCTCGGAATAAGACGCATCCTTAACCTTGGTCTCTGTCCACTCGGCCCTGAGCGGCTTCTCGGCTCTCGGATCGTTCTTCCAGTCCCAACCGAGCGTAGCCGAGTCAATCCCCTCTTTGGTCAACAGCTGGTCCACGTAGACGGCTGCTTTGTCCCTATAATTGTTGGGTACCACGGCGTCGGAGGCGTTGGCGCCAGGGTGGACAGGGCTGAGTTTGTCGTTGAGTCGAGACATGGCCTGGAACTGCTTCAGTGGTCGTTCGTCCAGGTGGCCGCCGAGGGACTGAGCGATGGCCATGATGAGGCTGAACTTGTAGGTCCATGAGGGTTTGGCGGGGCCGTAGGTGTAGTGACTGAGGGTCGTGCCGATGAGCAAGGGTCCTTTGGGGAGAACAAAGTTCCAAAGAAACGATGCCTTTTCGTTCATTGCTGTGTTTGAAAGGGAGAAAGAGGGAGATGTGTATCGTGAGAGTGAGAAAGGGTTGAGAGGAATGAGGGAATGAGGGAACTAAGAAGATAGGGGAATGAGAGGACCGAAAGGTGATGAGAAGAAAGAAAGAAAGAAGCGAGACGTTTGGCCGAAGAGAACGAAAAGTGTGTGTGGAGAATCCTTTTAAAGTGAAAAATGACTGACATGTGGCCCTACCGAGACAAAAACAAAATATGTTCGTTCATCTCTCTTGTCCTGTCCCTGATTACTACTGAAGTTCTTGGCCACACGCACACAAGTACACACATTCGCGTTGCTTGTCTTCCTTGTTTGTTCAGTTGGACCACAGCCTGACCCTGACTCCATCCGAGAGCCGATTGCCCCCCGTTCAATTGCCCAACGGCCCACCGTTGTCCATACAGAAGTCTGATCGGTCCGGTTCATGCTCAGAAAACAACAACAAAAAGAGCACTGACCTTGTTTACAAACCTAGCATTTATGGCAAGTCCCTCGTAACTCTCGTTATTATGGCTGTGATCGGAAGCCATCTTCACACTCTCACTTTCATAGGATGCATATGCAAACCAGGATTGAGACAACAAAGAATGTTTATTTGACAATCGATCGACAGAGGACACTCAGGCGTTATGTACAAAAGTTTTTAACTAAGCACCTCCTTCTAATGCCGGATCGGAAAATAGGTGAAAGCGAGTCTACTTATTAGTTGACAGTGCGGCGGACATCACCAGCAGTCTGCTGGAGGTGACCCTTAGTCTCCAAGGTGTGGGTGCCGGTGGCGGCACCGACAGTCGACTTGGCGCGGCCGGTGATGTTGTCGGCGAGACCTTGGGCTTGACCCTGAGCGGTTTGGGTGGCAGAGCGGGTCTCGGCAGTGGCCTTCTCGGCGGCGCCTATTGTCAGATACGAGTTTTTTTTTGTTAGTCGTTTGAGTGGCAGCAAATTTTTAGCTGGAGTGAAAATCGACAAGTGTGCAGGAGGGGAAGAAAATTACTTACCCTCAGCGGCGAGCTGCTCAGATCCGACGGCCCTTCCGAGGGACTGCTTGGCACCTCCGAGAGCGGAGTGGAAAGCGTTAGTGATCTGCTCAGACATGATTAGTGTTTGGTTTTCCTTTGGAGGGATGGGAGGGCGTTGTGTTTTGTGTGAGAACGAGAGAGTTGTGTTTGTAAGATAAAAAGTCATCCGAGTAACCCCACACGGGCCCTTTTATACCTAAACGCGATCGAAGTTCACAAAGTTTATTTTCCGCACATTCATGGTACTGCTGGGCCAGTCAAAGATGCTAGATCGGTTTCTTTTAGAACACAGTGGTCCTAATTTGCAACGACGGACTCGCCATGGTTATGCAAGACTAGAATCTGATCGACCTATGCAGTTTTTTTTTTTCTTCAGAAAGAAGAGTGCTGATTGTTGACGTTATTTTGTTTCAATGTGGTGCGAAAAAAAACGTAGAAGCAGAGGATTGGACAGTTGTCATCGTTTTGATGGTGTGTGAATGAATGTCTTGTAAACCGCCGTTTCATTGGGAATGACATTTTACCAGGTGTGAAAAACGAAAAAAAAAAAAAAAAAAATGGCGAAAACGCGCAATAAAGCAGTGAAGTGGTGCGGCTTGTAAGACTTTGCATTTTCCCAAGAACATACGCATTCATGGCAGAGACACCAAACCACTGTATCGATATTCTAGGACATTGTTGAAAGAAGACGAAAGAGTAGACACTTGTTGGCGTGATCGACTTGTGCTTTGTTTTCCCCTAGCAGTTCTCTCTCTTGAGACGGGGAATGTGAAATCATTTTCTACCTGGCAGAGCAAGAAATGCGACTGTCTACGGATCCAAGATGTAAACAAATGTTTTCTGCCCGATGGCAGTCACTCTCGGATCCCAAGGTCGCCAGTTCAGAGGAGTTGATAACCTCAGGCACCGACCCCCCTCCTCTCTTTACAGTCAACCAACACCCACGCATCAAGACATATGGAGCGCTCCTTCTCCCACTTGTTGCGGACATCCCGCCTGGCGACATTCGACAAGAACATCAACCAAATCTACACCACCTCAGGAAAGGCAAAAGCCATCGGTGACTGGGGTCTCAAGCGCAACCTGCCCACAGTCCTCAGGACACACTACCTCACCATTGAACAGCTCGACACCGCCGAGCATCAAACCCCCTTCCAGTCCGCCACATCCGACTTCCTCTTCCTCCAGCGATGGAAGGAGAACTTCCCCCGCTCTCGCCCTCCTCAGCCTCAACCCGTTGCAGTCAAGAAGGATCTCTCGACGATGACCGACATCGAGTTTAAGAAGTTGCTCGAGACCGCAAGAGAGAAGCGTCAGGAATGGAAGGCTGCTTTGAGCAAGGGTGAGGTCCGCTCGGACGAGCACCTGAGGTTCTTGAACATCTTGACCCGTCACTCCAAGGGTTCGTCTATCGACACCGAGACTTCACAGGCAAGCATTGGAACGTCGCGCTCCCCCGCCAACACCAGCACCTCGGCACCCAACGCCGGATCCAACAGCAAAGTCAAGGTCGGCCCCACCTACGGCTTCTTCGAACCCTCGACCCCCACCATCGTTCAGGGACGCAGCTTGGGTCGCTTCCGCCAGAACCAGGTCGTCGGTGTCTCCGGTGTCGTCGCCACATTACCCTCTTACACCCACACACAAAACACCTCAAAGTCCCTTCAGCCCTACTATGTTCACAAGGCTGAGATCGAGGCCGACGGTCGCCCCAACGTCGTCTTGAGCATGAGCCCACCCAGCCCCGCAAGCTGGTCCACTTCCTCCATCGGCGGCGGTCGCGAAATGTACAGCTACAACAGGAACCGTTACCCCCAGGGCGCTGCTGCCAAGGCCGCATCTTCCTCTTCCTCCGAGACTAGCCCGAGCGAGGGTACTGGACACCGCAAGGTTATCACACGCGTCCAGGGCCTTCTCGAGACCCTTGACCAGCCCAACAACCGCGCTTAAGCATTTCTCCTCCCCTATTCTCCACTTTCATATCATAGACCCTACCATCTTCACAGTTTCTTGTATTAAAACATTTTTCCAAAGATTTCAATGCTTTCCGCTGTGTTTTGCTTTTTGATTGTCAGTTTTATTGAATGTGTCATGTTCTAGGCTCACGTCCTTGATACAAAGTGTTTGTGGTTGCCAAAAAGACGGATGTAGTAGGTTTTTCGTTGAACGTTATGGTCATTTCTCTTTTTTCTCTCCTACCACATTGAGGAGAAACACCTGTAAGGATCTTCCTGGTATTCCTCTGCCGACACCCACATCTATTTGTACAAGGCGGAAATAAGGTGAACCATAAGTCAGTTATCACAGTTGTAAGATATAAGCTAAATGTGATTGCACCCAACGATATCCAAACGACCAGGCGTCAAGGATACATACCTTCTTGAACGTGCTCAAAGAGGCAAGAATAGAGCCTCCGATCCAGGTGCTGTATTTACGCTCTGGAGGCGCAGAAATCTTGATCTTGATGTCCTTCAATGCCAACTTCTTCACCTCCAACAAAAGGCGGTCCCCAAAGCCCTTACAAAGAGTCGATCCTCCAGAAAGAACAATATTCGAGTACAGTGACTTGCGAAGATCCATGTCCGAGCGGCTGATGGAGTCGACAACAACCTGGTGAATACCAGGGAACTCTTGTCCAATGATTTCGGGATTGAACATGATCTCTGGAGCCCTGAATCTCTCCGCGCCCAGCTATTATCAGTACGGTAAAACATATTAGCATGGTTGTATATTGTCATCACTACACCCTTCAAGCAGTTCCGAGTTGCACCATGCTTCGTACCTTGATCACATTGCCATCAGGCAACATAAAGTCCTCGTACTTGCCACCAGCATCCTTCTCCTCCTTTGCCGGGAACAATGGCAAATAACAGGTCTTCTCCTTGATAATGCGGACAACCTCCTTTTCAGCAGTAGTGTGGAAGTGGTATCCCGCCTTGCGGAGGAGCAATTGCAAGTGTTCCGTGACATCCCTATGTAAATGCAACAAGCAGAGCCATACGAGTTTTGTCAGACATCGAAGCCATATGTCGAATTGGTGCACAGTTCCTGATATTTTCTGCAAGCGTAGAAAGAGACGTACCGACCGGCGATATCGACGCGCTGGATAGCATGGGGTATAGCGAAACCTTCGTAAACAGGGACAGAGTGAGTAACACCGTCTCCTGAGTCGAGAACCACACCGGTGGTTCTTCCAGACGAGTACCTATCGTGAGAAAAACATCCTCGCTTTGTCAGAAATGGCGACTGTACATATTTCCTTGGAGTTATTAAAAAGGTCATCCTGCTTGTCTCGCCACTTACAAACTCAAAACTGCCTGTATGGAGGTGAACAAGGCAGGGACATTGAAGGTCTCAAAAAAGATCTGGGCAGCCATCTCGCGGTTCTTCATGGGGTTCAAGGGCGCCTCGGTCAACAAAACGGGATGCTACAATACGCCAACATCAGCAACGAGGGAAAGAGCAAAATAGCTTGTGTGAGCAACAGGTGGTTGTTTCTTAATAGACATGTTCACCTTCTCGGATAGGTTGATAATCGAGGGTGTATGGGCATGGCCATGGTCATGGCGAGAGCAATACGCGTGATACCCAAAAAAAATAAATTGTTGCATTGCACATGACAGAGCAGGGTCAAGTTTGATGTGGCAATAATACTTCAAATGAGAGAGAGAAAAAAATATCTCACAGCGACCTCCTGTCTCCTTGTCTGTCTGTGTGTCTGTCAGGCACGAATGTTTTTTCTCGCCTATGTGCCCCTGCCTTCACCAGCAGCATCCTGACAATAAAATAAAAGCAAGCATCCAAACGACGTTTCCTTATTCCCGAGAGGATGACGACGGTGCGCCTCTTAGAAGCAGTAAAAAATGAAAAAGTCCTTACCTCCTCGGACAAAGTCTTGAGCTCGTCAGAGTAGATATATTGCCAGATACGCTCCATATCGTCCCAGTCCTGCACAATGCCGTGTTCGATAGGGTACTTGATTTTCAAGAGACCGCGAAGTTCCTGAGCCTTCCTGCCAATGAATACGTCGCCTTCGACTGCTCCTGCCATAATCCTGACGTGCTTTGGGCGTCCGACACTGGTATCATTCGTGAATTGCGAAGAGAGCGAGAGAGGAAGTGTGGGAGCGAGTAAGAGATTCGAGGGTGAGTATTTGGCAAGGTGGGGTTTCAGGTACGGAGTACTGATGCTTTTTTTAATCGGTTCACCATCACAAACGACCCTTCAAGCAGGAAAACAAGAGTTTGTCACGCTGTCTACCATGATGACAACTTACAAGGAGGGGAAGAAGCACTTGGGCTGGTCATCTCCAGCAAAGCCAGCCTTAATGACTCCCGAGCCCTATTACCGAAACGCAGAAGTGGAAAAGGTAAAAAAGTGTTGGCCAAGTCAGAATAAACAGTTCAGGTACGCCAGCTGTGATGGTCGATATTACGAATGCAAGGAACAGGTCTTGAGACTCACGTTGTCAATGACGACGGGCTGATTCGTCAATACATCTTCGTACTCCATGATGGTCTATTTGTATCGTTTAGTCGAGATCGACTTTAGCAAGAAGGTGAGAGAAAGTGTTGGATGGGGATGCGTGTTATCCTCGGTGTGATGTCGAGAAGTCGTGGATTGTTGGGTTCCTGTCCGACGTGATGAGTAAAGTCTTGGCGAAAGGGACGGATGGAAGACAGAGATGAAAAAGAAGGTGAGAAGGTTGAAGACGAGAAAGAAGAGGATGGGGAAGGAAGTGAAAAGAAGAAAAGGAAGAGTCGTCAGCCAGGGAGCTGGGGACATCAAAAAAAAAAAGGATAGCGAGGGCTCACCTCTTTTCATTCTCTCAACTTGACCCTTTGCAATCCAAACTATTATCACCTGCATTCAAAAAAGGTGATTCGTGACGTGTATGTATCAACTATGCTCCTTTGATACAAGAACAAACATGATGGTCAAGGAAGATACTTTTTAATGATGGGGTATGCTGGTCCAGTTCTAGGGCTGATTCTCGCCTTGGATAAGATCAACGTTCACACTCTTCAATGCGTTCACCGCCCACTCGGGGTATGCAGCCTTCTCCACAAACAGGTCTTTGAAGAACTTGTGGATGAACTGGGGGAACCGGTCCTCGATAATACTCTCCCGAACCTGTCTCATCAACCGCAGCTGGTATGCCGTGTTGTGGATCGAAATCAAGTGACATCCAACAGTCTCCTTGGTCACAATCGTGTACAGGTACGCTCTCGTGTACGATTTGCACGCAATGCAGTCGCAGCCTTCCTCAATCGGCCTAAAGTCGTCCTTGAACTTGGCCTGGCGCAAGCTTAGCGTCCCCGTCGCCGTCAATGCGTTACCGAAGCGCGCCGTTCTTGTTGGGAAGACACAGTCAAACATGTCCACGCCCAATGCCACACACACGACCAAATCCTCCGCATATCTATACACCACAAATCGAGTTGGAAAATAATTTAGCATCGCATCGCACGCTGCGAATTCGGGTTACCAATAGGACAGACAAATTAAACTTCTGCGCCACTTACCCAACACCCATACAGTAGATAGGCTTCTCTCTGGGCATCAGATCTGTGCATTGCGAAACAACCCTCCAGAACTTGTCCTTCTCCTCTCCACCGCTCAATCCTCCAATGGCGTATCCAGGTGTGTCGCGCTTGACCATTTCCTCGATGCACTGCTTTCTCAATGCTGGATCCAGTCCTCCTTGAATAATTGCAAACAGGTTCTGCGACTCTGGCTTTTTGTGTGCCTTGATACATCTGTCCAACCTATTAAGTCCAATCGATTCGCATGACGGTTATTAGATCGAGTTATGATATACATACAAATGCGGTCCTGGCAAGGCCTAGCGCAAGATGACATAGCAATCCTACCAGCGGATAGATCGCCACATGGCTTCCTCAACGCGAGGTCCAGTAGTCAATGAAGAAACAACATCATCCAGCTGCATCATAATATCAGCGCCGATCGAGTTCTGAAGCGACATAGAGTGCTCTGGGGTGAGGAGCATCAATGATCCGTCGTGAGGGGACTCAAATTGAACACCCTTTTCTGTGATCTCTGCTAACTTCAAGAGGGAAACCATCTGGAATCCACCACTGTCCGTCAACAAGTTGCGGTTCCATCCTTGAAAAACATGTGCCCCGCCGCAGGTGTCCAACAATTCCTGTCCTGGTCGCAAACCCTATCAAATCAATTGAAAGCAAGAATTGGTCTTGGTGAGAGGTTTGGACGATAGTGAGAAGGTAGGCCCAGGCCGAAGAACTAAACAGAGGAAAGGAGCGAGTAGAATGGCGACGTACAAGGTGGTAGGTGTTGTTGAGCATGATTTGACAGCCGAGTCCCTCGATTTGGTCTGGGGTGATGCCCTTGAGTGTGCCCTGAGTTCCAACGGGCATAAAGACGGGGGCGTTGACGGGACCGTGAGGGAGGGTCAGGACGGCGGCACGGGCCTTTGTGGTCCCGCATTTGGCGATAACATCCCACTTGAGGGCAGATTTCATGATGCGAGAAGGGAGGCCCTGAATGGTGGAAGCGCTGGTGCTTGCGGAGGAGTGGAAGGAGGAGAGAATGGAAAAAAAAAAGACCGATGGAATTGAACTCAAACACGACTGAGCAAGTGTTCATGGAAAAAAGAAAGTGTGGCTGAGGTGTTTACAGCGGTGTTCTTTGCTTTTGGCGCACGCTCAGAACACTGCCATTCTTTTCTTTACCGAACACTTCTTTCCAGGATTAAGGAACACATCGTCGCCATGCTTCCTCTCTTCCGGTCAGCACGGGCAACTCGATTGGCTTGCACTATACCCATCAATGGGCCACACTCTACAGCCCTCCGTCGGGGACATGGCGAGGCACTACAGTTCTTTGCCACCAAGCACAGCAAAAGCAGTCCTCCGACTGATATGGCTCCTTCATCCAAGTCGCTTGAGCTTTTGAGGAGGACACTGCAGGACAAACGTGCAAAGCTCCAGGAGATCACTGAACGCCAGGGACCACCCGCCTCAGCTACACACACTCTATCGTCTCATGAAAAAGAAACACCAAGCACAACACAGGAACAAACACCAACATCCAACGCGCCACAACAACCGACTACTCCAACACCTCGCCACAAGTTAGATCGCGCCATGCCCATATTTGCCAGTCCTGCAGACATGAACGTGAGGCTACCTAAGGTCGTCCGGAACTTTTCGCAGCCAGAGAACCCCGAGATCGTCAAAATCGCCCTGATCGGCTCACCCAACGTGGGTAAGTCAACCATTGTCAACGACCTGGTCAAGAGCACCGTCTCGATAGTCTCTGTTCGGCCACACACGACACGGGAGCGGATCAAAGCCGTGCTGACTCAGGACAACAAACAGATCGTATTTTATGATACCCCAGGAGTTGTTCCCGAGAAGAACGTCTCGAGGCTGAACCGCGAGCTGGTAACATCTTCATGGAAGGCCATCGAGGATGCCGATCACCTCCTTGTCGTCATGGATTGCAACAAGTTACTCGAGCACAGTTTGATCACGGAGGCCTACATCTTTGAACGTCTTGCAAAACTTGAGAAGCCTATCCCTGCCACATTGATCTTCAACAAGGTAAGCATTCTGAACTTTCCCGAGTGAACTGCTCGGTTCATCCGGCACTCATTATTAACACGAATAATTAACACCATTAGATGGATCTGGTCAAGGGTCGGGATGAGAAGATACAGGAGTTTGCAGCAAAGTACAACGAGCAGTTCCCCAACTTTGTCAAGACGATATACACCAGCGCACAGAAGCAACAAATCGGAATCCAGGAACTTCGCTCTCATTTGATGTCTCTCACCCATCCTGGACCATGGCTCTACCCAGCTAACCAAAAGTCGGACCAGTCCGATCTCAATCGCGTGGAGGATTTGATTCGGTCAGAACTTTTCGGGCTTCTCAAGGTGCCTTATCACGTCAAGCAGGTCAATGTTGGGTGGACGGAGCTGGAGGACAATGTTCTGAGGATCGATCAGAACCTGTTGGTCGATCGTCCAGGTCTCAAGGTAAGAAATAATCCTTGATATAGTGGTCTGTGGTTGTATTTGTTTTTCCGTCCTGGTGCTAACATTGTGTTCCATGTTCTTTGGCACATAGAAAATCATTGTCGGTACTGACGGTGCAGTGATTCGGGATTTGACGTTGAAGTCGAGGCAGTTGATTGGCAAGGCATTACAGAGGAGAGTCATGCTCAACCTTCAAGTCAAGATCAACTCCAAGAAAGTATAGACGGTGTTGTGGAGAGAAATGTTATTAAACAGTCTACTCCAGAACTACATGTCTTCAACGCTCCACATATGGGCCTCTGCGGCGTTGTTTTTCCTTGTGTTTATACGCTATTGGAGAGAAAAATGAAAAACGCATCGTTAGCGGCTTGGTCTCAGGTATTGGCAAACAAGAAGCAGGACACAGGACATTCCTCAGTAATGCGACAGACGTCATACCTGAATGTAATCCTTTTCAAAACCGGTCGAACGGTCAACTCCATCCCAACGGTATCCCGGCCTGATGTTGAAACGGTTGGAGGGAAAATTTCCTTGATAGAGAGGGAACTTTGGGGCAGACTTTTTTGATTTCTTGGTTCCCGACAGGAACATAGCTGCGGGATCATTCCATCGATCGCGCTCCTTGAGTTCCTCGTTCAAGTCCTTGTCGTCTTTATATCTGGCAAGGGGTTTGAGCTTTTCCTCTTGCTCTCGCTTCTTCTTTTCCTCCTCAGCCTCGCGTTGGACGAGTCCCTTGCCCCATTCCATCTGTCGTTCCTGCTTTTCAATATCCCTCCGCGCCGCCTCTGCTGCCTCCAGTTTTTCCTGAACCCGATCCACTTTCCTGCCTATTCAACATCAATGAGATGATCAATCGTATTAGATGTCTATAGAACTTTGAGATTAACGGATGAAAAGGTAAATGCCAATCAAAATATTCATACCTCGAGCGTCACGGTAGATGGTCTCTGCCTCGCCGCCACCAGAGGAATTACTGGCTCTCATCCGGTTACTCTGCTCTTTTTCTTTCTGCCTCATCATCTCCCGCTTCACTTGGTCTGGTGTTTGAAGGCCGAATCCTGCTTCACGACCAGGCGACCGCGATCTCGATCTCGATCTTGACCGTGGAGATGGACTCCTTCTTTTCCTGGCTGCGTAAGGCGATAACGACCTTGAGGTAGAACGCGTTCTCTTCTGGCGAATAGGTGATCTTGACCTCGAAGGTGAGCGAGAATACCGTACACGTCCGTGCGCTGGAGAAGGTGACCTCCGGCGATCTGGAGAGGGTGATCGTCTCTGAGGTGGTGACGGTGAACGTCCTTTGTTGGCAGGGGTAGTAGATTTGAACTTCAATCCTGACGATTTCGTGCTCTTCGGAGGATTTCTAAGACGTGCACTGGACTCTGATTCCACAACTAATTATTATAATAGCGAGCGAAGATTTTGAGTTAGCGTTCTGTGATGAAATTGCAGGTAATAGTCAAGGATCACTTAAGCAGGCGCAGACTTTACCGATGCCGGCAATGGAAGGTCTCTCGTCCTCGTTTTCGACATCATCCCACTCTGGGACAACGTTCCTCTTTAGTACAGCTTCCCGTGATGGTTCAGGTTCGCCTTCCCGCACCTTAGACCAACTGCTCGAGTTAGACTTGTAGACAGGTGCCTTTGGTTGTTCAACGACTGGAACTATCCAGCAAAGAACAAAGTCGACGAAGACGCAAGGTGTTAGAATACGAGATATCACATCCTATTTAAGCAAACAACAGTTGGTTTGATGTTGTAATTCGTTTGCAGTTTTGCTTACGGTCGTCGTCCGAGTCTGATGCGGCAGCGTTTGTCCATGAGACCTCGTCCTCGTCGTGGATGGCAAAGTTGCCCTTCTTGACGGTTGACTTTGTTGATGTCGATGTCTTTTTCTTCTTGAGCTTGCGCTTCTTGTGCTCGTCAAGAGAAGCCGGCTTGGACATGTACTTTTTTAGGTAATCCTGTGTCGATGACATGGCGTGGCGTGGCGGGTGGTGGTGGTGTGATGATGTCGAGGCAAGGACGCGTTCTGTGTGATTGAAGGAAAAGACGATCTCTGAGAGGAGCAGCCTTTCACACCTTCAAAGGGCAAAATGCTGTAGTGGCTTAGTACCCTCGCCTCCGCCCAACGGGATTTTTCATTTTCATTTTTTTTGGTGTGATTGATCACCAACCCAATTCACAAGTTCATTCAGCACAACTACAAACAACATGGTTCATGCCGACGTACCCGACGATCCCACCGCCTATAAGAGACAGGAGTACTGGTACGGTGGCAGCTTCAAGGACAGCATTATTGGCTTATAAACTAAATCAATTGCCTGAATACTTAAAGAACCAATGTGTTGTGTTTCTCAACCCCTAGGGAGGAGCGATATGCCAAGGAAGAGTCCTTCGACTGGTTCAAGACCTACGAGGATCTGAAGCCTCTGTTGAGTCAGCACATCGCCTCCAAAGACGCAAGGATATTGATGCTCGGGTGCGGAAATTCCAGTATGTGAAATTTGGCAGCTTTCAGAGGATTGTGCTCAACTGAGGCTGATCAGGAATTTATTGAAGCCGAGACTAATAGGTGCACGACCCTTCTTTCTTTGGTCAATTGATTACTGATAGCTCTTTCGGAGGACATGTATGACGACGGATACCACAACATTGTCAACATTGACTTCTCAAAGACCGTCATCGACAACATGACAGAAAAGTGCAAGGATCGTGTCGGCATGGAATGTAAGCAAAAATCACAACCGGCAACAATTATTCAAATGAAAGGCGGGATCAAAAGGACTGCCTAGATATAATCAATCATGGACCATCGTAACTGACATGTTTATCATTTCTTCTCATTCCTGATTTCCAAGGGATCGAGATGGACATCAAGGACCTCAAGTTTGAAGCCGGTTCGTTCGACATTGCGATCGACAAGGGAACCATGGACGCATTGATGTGCGATCGTGGAGATGTCTGGAACCCAGACGAGGAGCTCGTCAGGACTGTGGCTCAGGAGGTCGACGAGGTTGTGCGTGTACTCAAGGTTGGCGGCAAGTTTCTGTACATCACTTTTGGTCAGCCTCATTTCCGGAAACGACACTTGGAGCGCCCATGCTGGACCGTGGAGACTTCTACTCTAGGAGTCGCATTCCATTACTTTTTCTACCATATGATCAAGCAGGACACGCCGTCTTCATAAAACAATTCTTTATACAGGACTTCTTTATTAAAGGATTATGGACGGAGACTACGGAAATGCCTTATTTTACAAGTATTTACAAGTGGTGCTGGGAGCGCGCAGACAGTCGAGGGTGTGTCTATTCAATATGGCACTTCGACGATATGCATTGGGGTTATTGGAGTGCTTGGAACCACGTCCTTGAACAAATCGTGTTTGCAAAGTGGACAGTGCGTTGATTTGAGAGTCAGCCAAACGTCTAGTTGAACAGGCGAAAAGTGATGTGAGTGAAAAAGGATGCTAGCTATTCAGGCAGTATGGTCCGCAACGTAAAAACGCCTTGGAAGTAATGTATAGTGTTCTTACCGATACATTCGGCATGGTATTCATGGCTACAAGGGAGCACACGAAGCTGATCGTCTGGAACGTATTCGCCAAGGCAGATCGAGCATATATCTTCCGAGATCGAGGGGACCGTTGGTTCTGGCAAGGTCTCACTAGAGGCTTGCTCAGGGATGATGGGTATAGCGAATGACGTGGATAGCAGCACTGGGGTCTTTTGCATCATGGCTGTCGTGGATGTTGGCATCTGAGAAGCCTGAATAAGGTGGGGCGAGTTACAAGTTGAGTTGCAGCGAGAAGAATCTCGGCTCCAAAGCCGACCCACGAGTCCGAGTCCCATGAATGAATGTTGTGGCGGAAACTGTATCATGAACTTTTCATCTTCGTTGTTAATATCCTGCTGCAGGCGCTGCTGGAAACTCTCCTGCCTACTGGTGGCGGTTGGTTTGTTGGCTGATTGGCCCAGGCTTGATTTGGAAGTAAAAGACCCGTGGTCAAGGAGTGTTGTCGTAGCGATTGGTTGATCGTCCTTGTCGAGGAAAATCCGTTGTTGGGAAGGGTAGACACGGATAGGGAAGGACTTGTTGATGGTCTCCTGGTTGAGGACTTGAATCTTTTCACGCTCAATCCGATATCTCGTGTACTCTCCATGTTGAGAAAACCGAAGAAGCACAGCCGCCAGGCAGCCTAAACAAGTTTGATGGACACCATGTCAGTCTTTCTTTGCTATAGATTTTCCATTTCGTCTCTCTTTTTTTTTTTTTTTACTCGCCAAGGTTTCTTGGGGTTCAGACAGACATGCAACTTACATAGTCCGATGAGGAGAAGGGTCAATCCTCCAACGGTTATGATTCTCATGGAAACAAATGCTGCAGACTAAAACGCCGAAGGTGAAAAACCACCAGGTCCAGAAAAAACGTTGTTGAGTTAAATAAGTCGACGTTTCTGAAAAAGGCATAGCAGGTGCTTCAAGGGGTAGACGTACATTAGCAAAGTTGGGCGTAGGGACATGGGTGATGGTCGGTTCTGCGATCACATAGGTAGCGGAGGCAAAGGCTGTCCCCACGATTACTGTCCGGGCCATGATCGTTGACAGTGCAGGAGTTGTGTCCATTTGGCGTTGGTTATTGCGGAGTGTCTTGGGTAAGAGGGACACTCTAGTGGCGTAAGAGTAGGGCGGCGATGTTGTGATCGGAAAGTGGAGGAGTTCTGTCAAGGAATGCCGTTTGTCAGGAGGAGTAGGAGTCAAGGAAGGCGGTGCTGGAGGTATAATACAAGGTGAGAAGAAAGAGGTGAAAAGAGAGAAAGAGAGCAGGGCTAGGTAGGGTATGGCGGACTACCACAGAGTACAGACACAGGGTCAAAGACCTTTGAACGGTGAAATTGGGAATCTGTAGGATTTTTTTTCTTTCTGTTACTTGACCTTTTCCTTGGATGTGAGACCAAATCTGAGGAGGAGCATGACAGCGATGAGATCGAATTGGCTCTCACCAACCAAAGGGCTTTCTTGCCTTTTTCTCACTCCTAAGTGCTTCAAGCTACTTCTTCAATAGCTGGTCAATGCAAAACACCGCCACCAAAATGAAGAACAACAGAATCGACGGCAAAGAAAGGCAAGCCGTGCCGGGCGTGTTTCTCCCTTCTAACCTTTCACCCTTCCCCCACACTCACACTGGCCATCAGCTTATGAATGATTTTCACTGGCCATGTTTCTCTCCACACCCGAAAATGGGTTCATCCTTCACTCAATCAGTCATATCTCTAGGCGTCGTCGTCATCCGGACGTTTCATCAACCTTACTTACAGGACACTCTTCTTTGTTTTTTAGACCTTAGACTCAACGCCACTCATATCTAGGCAGCAACACTTTTCCTCAGTCTTTTTCTTTTTGTCGTTTCCATTGACGTATCCCTCTGTTTTCTTTTTCGGTCGTTGTCTTTTCTCATTCATTCCTTTCTTCATTCCTTTCCTTTCAGTCATCTTTCTCTTTTCTTCCTCCATTCAACAACCGACACTCAGACCCCTCTCGCTTCGCCCAAAAGAATTTGAGTTTGCTCCCTTTTCTCTTACATCATCTATATTTTTATTGCCACCAACAAAACACCCTTCCCAATCTTTCACTGTGCAACCATGCCTACAGTAAAGAATCGGACACTCACACAGCCACCCACAAGGCCACAGTTGCTGTGTCGGATTTTCCCTCTGATCCTGCTCCTTGCCACCCTCACAACCTCGGCTCGTGCTGCCTTTTTTGGCATCACCACAGCTCGCCTCTCTTACGACATTGTCAGTGTCAGAAACAATTCCACCGACATTGACAACCTCGACCTCGTCATGGCCGGCAACGATCTCTCTGTCGCTCTCATCGCTAACACTGCCAATATTCCCAAGAGCGGACTCTCTGTAAGTCCACTCTTTTAATATTGACCCACAATTAATCTCGCAACCTGTTGCTGTTGTTACGCTTTGAGAGGTTCCATGACGCTAACTCCTTGTCTCACAACATACCATGTCATTTGACTTTTCTTCTAGGGCCTTCTGTACGATATGGGGTATGCTTGCCAGCCTAGCATCGATCTTAATACAACAATCCCAACTCCAGAGCTTTTCGGACTGAACAAAATTGCTCTTATCGGGAGAGGCGGGCCTAAGGAAGATAACAGCTGCAGATTCCGTCAGAAACTGCTCAATGCCATTAGCAATGGCGCTGTCGCTGCCATCGTCTACAATGGACCAGGACAGTCCGCAATCTCAGGTGCTACCGCTGCCAACTACCCCAACGATCTCCCATTGGACATCCTTAGCCTCCTTGTATCGTACGACACCGGGACGATGCTCAAGGCATTCCTTCGCACGTCGAACGATTCTTCCACCGTATCATACTACGACCGAGTGCTGATGGAGGTGACCCCGGATCTACGCATGCCTGTGATCTGGGAGTTTGTTCTCATTGTCGTTGTAGTTCTCTTGGGTGTCTCCTTCACTGTCTCAGGTACCGTTGCTTGCTGATCTGTGCTTTTTTTGTAATGATGTTGTCGGTTTTGACTGCTAGATCATTGATGACTCATGATCGTCTCCTCTCACTCGTCTGTATTCGTTTGTAGTGGCCTTGCATTGCCGATTATACTTTCTCCGGCAGAGATACCGAACAGAGGCACTGGCACGAGGTGGCGACTTGCTTCCAAATGGTATTATCCGGATGAGGAAAACTATCGACAAGACCACTCTTGATGAGTTCCCTGTCAGAATCTTCGGACAGACCATCATTGCCACCCCGTCAACCTCAGCGTCTTTTTTTGGAGACTCCATGGACCCCACTTCTACTTTGCACTTGACAGAGCTGCCAGTCAAAGATGGAGCACCCGGGTTTAAACTCGATGGAGCGCAAGTTGGCAGTCATGGAGAGTCGGTTGAGAGGAGAGTGCACTCTCGTCCTGAATCTATTTCTGGTCGGTCTACTCGGTCTGTAAAGGCATTGGGGGCAGCGGAAACTCTGGATGCGAATGCTGATGTCGTCCCTCAAGGAGGATTCATCAACGACATGTGCGCCATCTGCCTCGACAATTTCTTGGACGGCGAAGAGATTCGTACACTGCCTTGTCACCACGAGTTCCACTGCGAGTGTATTGGTAAGAATCCTTTGAACTTAATCTTTGAGCACTTATACAACTATGGAGAGTCGACATACTTATTTGTTTCTTTTTATATCTGATCTGCATAGACCCTTGGCTCACAAGAAAGAGCTCTACCTGTCCCTTATGCAAGTATGACTGCACGAAGCGCTCACCAGACGCAACTGGAATCGAGACTGCCAATGCAGGAGTCGGTGCCCCTCTCCCAAACGACCGGTTGATGGAGTTTATCATGGGACCAGAATGGGTTGCCTCAAGGACACACTACGGGCACAATGGAACCAACACCCTCGACAGAGTGGGCCGATTCCTTTCCAACACTTTTAATCACATCCGTGGTCGGCCTACTACTCAGCAGCAACCGGAGATCGATGCAGCAGAACAAGGGCGCGTAGGTGACAATGGCGCAGTTCCTCTTCAATCGATGACACCAGGAGGAGTCACTATTGGTGGACGATCGTCAAACATCGCGACCTCGGACGAGCCAATCGTCGTTGACGTTGACTCCATCCCTTCTCCACTCGACCAAATCATACCACCAACCCGGCAACAGGACGGAATCCGTTCGTAAGCAGCCAACCTGTACTTTTTCTTACTATTCACGTAAATAGTTGTACCATACCCAATTACAATGCTTTATTCTACATGGAATGACATTACAGCACTATTGAGGGAAGCGGTGTGGTCTCAAGGGTCTCCTTTCCCCATCGTTCAACATCCCCTTCTGTCAAGTAGAGGCGAAGCCCCCACTGTGGAATCATCTTGCCATACTTGACAATACTGTGGGTCATGTCTTTCTGAACAAAAAACTCATCCTTCTCCAAGTCCTGCGACTGGCCCGGCTGCCCTCGAAGGCAAACGAATTGAACTTGCGTTTGCCGCACTCGATCACTGAGACGCCGTAGAGCATCATCTCCAATGCCTTTGCTGGCATGAAAGGTTACGAAGATCTCCATGATACGGAGCCAAGCAGAAGGAGTACGCGCGTTTTTACGCATATGCTACGACTATAAAAAGTTACAAGAAGCGGGAATGTTGGAAATGGAAAGCATGAGAGTGGTGGCAAAGGCCACGGAAGAAATATGGTAGAAAATTTGTCCATTATCTCCAATATAGCAAGGAATTAACCGTGACGGTTGAATGATAGATGATAGGCGGGTGGCTTGTGGCACTACCATAAAGTAGTCGTTCTTGAATAGACAGCAGCGCTCACCTCTGTGATCAACAACTTTCTAACCATGCCATCAACCGAGGTGTCCATCGATGCCCGCCTGTTCCACAGGAGGGCTAGAGGACTCGTCAACCACTGGAAGGTGCCGATTCCCCCTTCCTACTCGACTTTAGCAACAAATTCACCTTCATCAACAATAACACTCACATTCAAACCAAACCTCGGCTTTTATATCAACTGTAAACACACTGAAACGACGCGTTAATACTGATTCCATTACCCTCTCTCCACTTGCCAATCCTTCTTGCGACACACTTTAGAAATCAAACGGTCCCGATGACTCTTTCCAGAATGTCAATAGTCTGCTCGTTGTTTTGGGTGACATGACGGATGAGGACAACGTGTATCAAAAGACAACTGCATTGCAGGTAAGGAAAAATAACAAATGAAGACATCTGAAGGAAACGCCACCACATAAAAAAAATGTTTGCAGGGGGGGCAGAGACACTTGTCAGTTTACCCATTGGTGCTGTACTAACGGCGCCCACCTCTCTTTGATGTTATTATTAGATCTGGCTTTTCGGATACGAACTCACCCAGACGCTGATGCTGTTCACCCCCGAGGCTCTTCACATTGTCACTGGAAGCAAGAAAGGTAGGTGACTTTTGGACAACAACATCACAAGCAATGACGTCGTAAACTCTTCAATGGACATCTGCGCAGTAGTCACTAACGCCTTCGACAATTGTATTCCATGCTTGCACGTGTATGTAGCCAAGATCCTGGAATCGCTCAAGCAGTGGGAGGGTCAGCAGTTCCCAGTGGAGATTCACGCCCGCACCAAGGATGAGGTTCACAACGAGGAGCTGTTCCAAAAGATGACCGACATTATGGCCAAGCACGGAGTATGTTTTTACTGTTGGTTGCTGCTTTAACTTCATGTGGAGTGATATGTTTTGTCGTCATGTTCGATGTTGGCGCAGTATGACTGACATTTACACAATCCCGACACTGTTATTTAGAACCGAGTCGGTGTTTTCGCAAAGGATACACAGACAGGAGCTTTCGCCAACGCATGGAAGGTTGCTCTGGAGGGCTCTAACAAGCCCTTTGAGAACGTTGATGTGTCGGGTGGCTTTGCCGATGTCTTTGCTATCAAGGATGACGAAGAGCTGGTATGTCACATACTCGACTACTGGATACCTGGAGTATATGTCATTTTGGAAGTACTGGCTATTTCAAATCGCTAACTGAGAACGTTTTTGAACCGTTAATCTCTTGGTTTCATAGCGTTACACCAAGAGCGCCACCAGACTGAGCTCGCTCCTGATGAAGAACTGGTTCATTGATGAGATGTCCAAGATTATTGATGAGGAGCGCAAGATCACACACGAGAAGTTTGCCGAGAAGACCGAGGATGTTCTTTTAGACGAAAAGATGTTCAAAAAGCTCAAGTTCCCAGCGGATGTAAGTTTGCGGATGACTTACGTTTGCCAATATTATAATTGAGACTCAAATTCAGATATTGACAGGTTAACTTTGTGTTTGATATATTAGGCGGCATCAGGAAACCCCGAGTGGTGCTACACTCCTATCATTCAAAGTGGAGGCGACTATGATTTGAAGACTTCGGCAGTTTCGAACGACAGAGATTTACACGCCGGCACCATTATTTGCTCCCTCGGTGTCCGTTACAAGTCGTATTGCTCCAACATTGGACGTACATTCTTGATCGACCCCAACAAGACTCAGGAGAAGAACTACACCTTTCTTTTGGATGTACAGCGCAAGGTTTTCGAATCTATGAAGGAGGGAACCAAGATCAAGGATATCTACAGCCGGGCAATCGACTACATCAGAAACAAACGTCCTGAGCTGGAGAAGAAGTTTGTCAAGAACTTGGGATTCGGCGTAAGTATTTGTATTTGAAGGAACTGAATGCATGGCAAACTGCGGTGTAGATAACGTTCCAAAGAGACTGACTTTTTACTGCGACTTCCATTCACGAACACTAGACTGGTTTGGAGTTCCGCGAGTCCAGCTATCTCTTGAACAGCAAGAACACAAAGGAGCTTCAGCGTGACATGATCTTCAGCGTCTCTGTCGGTTTCCAGGATATCGATAACCCCAAGGCTGAGGATGAGCAGTCCAAGAAGTACGTCTTGACCTTCAGTTGCTTCTTATCAAACGTATCGATTGCTTAATCTCGAATGAACTCTAACATGTCGGCTTTCATTCGTTGCTCATATAGGTACTCGCTGCTGTTGATCGATACTATCAGAGTCACACAGGAATCGCCACAACTTCTGACGGTGTGTGACACCAGCTTGTCGGATGTCTCTTACTTCTTCAAGGACCCAGCAGAGGAGGAGGAGGAACCAGTCAAGAAGGAGTCAGGCGCTCACACCCGCGCTGCCAAGTCTGCTGTCTTGAACACCAAGTTTCGCAGTGAAGTTGATGAGGCCAGCAAGGATCAGTCGAGAAAGGAGCATCAGAAAATTTTGGCAGAACAGAAGCACGCTGAGGGTCTCGAGCGTTACGGTGATGCTGGCAGCTTGAAGAAGGACAATGCCAAGAGCGTGTTCCGCAAGTTTGAGAGTTATAAGAGAGAGTCAGCACTACCTAAGGAAGTCAGCAGCCTGAGGATTATTGTCGACCAGAGGAACGACACCTTGGTACTGCCAATCTACGGACTCCCAGTTCCTTTCCACATCTCGACCCTTCAAAAGGTCACCAAGACGGACGAAGGCGAATTCTTCTACCTGCGCCTCAACTTTATCACACCCGGACAGCCCGGCAAGAAGGACGACACGGTAAGCAGTCAAACGCTTCGTGAATTGATATTGGCAACATCGTATTCTTATGAGCAAATCCTCTAATACGCACACAATCATTGTAATTGTAACGATGTAGCCATTCGACAACCCCAACGCCAACTTCGTGCGTGCTCTTTCTTTCAGGAGCGCCGATGGCCCAAGGATGTCGGAGATCTACAACCAGATCCTGGAGTTGAAGAAGAACGCCGTCAAGAAGGAGTCGGAGCGCAAGGAGATGGCTGACATTGTTGAGCAGGACAAGCTGATTGAAGTCAAGGGCAAGCGTCCTCCAAGACTTCCCGATGTCTTCGCTCGCCCAGGGTTGGACGGAAAGCGGTCCGGTGAGCTTGAGATCCACTCGAACGGTCTTCGCTACGTTTCGCCTCTTAGGAACGAAAATAGGATCGATGTTCTCTTCAACAACATCAAGCACCTTTTCTTCCAGCCCTGTGATGGCGAGCTGATCGTTTTGATTCACTGCCAGCTGAAGAACCCTATCATGATTGGCAAGAAGAAGACCGAGCACGTCCAGTTTTACAGAGAGGCTTCAGATGCACAGTTTGATGAGACTGGAAACCGTCGCCGGAAATATGTGTATGGAGATGAGGATGAGTTGGCATCTGAACAGGAGGAACGCAAGCGCCGCGCCGCTCTCAACAAAGAGTTCAAGCAGTTTGGCGAGAAGATTACCGAGTTGGTAAGAACTCTTATTTTTGCTGAACCCCTCATTGTCGAGTGCTCTCATATTTTTTTTACATTGCAACTGAACTAACTTCATTTTACGACTTCCTATTACAGAGCGATAACAAGGTTGAGGTCGATGTTCCATTCCGCGATCTTGCCTTCAACGGAGTACCCTTCAGGACCAACGTTCTGTTGAAGCCCACACAGGACTGTCTCGTCCACCTGAGCGAAGCTCCCTTCCTTGTCGTCACTCTTGCCGATGTCGAGGTCGTCCATCTGGAGCGTATCCAGTTTGGTCTCAAGAACTTTGATATGGTTTTCACATTCAAGGATTACTTCCAGGCTCCTATCCACGTCAACACGATTCCCATGTCACAACTCGACAATGTCAAGGACTGGCTAGATTCCATGGATATTGTCTTTTATGAGGGACCGGTCAACCTGAACTGGGGACCCATTATGAAGACGATTCAGGAGGATCCTGCCGAGTTCTACAAGGAGGGTGGTTGGTCGTTCTTGGCGATCGAGTCGGATGCTGAGGATTCTGAGGAGTCTGCGTCCGAGTTTGAGGCATCAGGAAGCGATTTTGGATCATCGTCTGACGAGAGCACGTATGCATCGGACGCATCGAACGATATTGGTGGTTCGGATTCGGGATCAGAGGAGGATGAAGAGTCTGGAGAGGACTGGGATGCATTGGAGGAGAAGGCCAAGAGAGGTAATTCGCATGCATTGTGCTTTGGTTACTGTTGGGTTTGATTGACTTTCATGTCTGTTACTCTGTTCGTGTCTAATACTAAAACAACCATTCTCGACTCTCTTTATAGCGGATGACAAGAAGTTTGGAGGATCCAAACGCGAGGCTGACTCTGATTCTGACAACGACAGAAAGAAGAAGAGAAAGCGCTAAAATAGACGGCCATAATGCTCGGAGGATGAACATATTGGTTCAACAAAACAATGACGGGACATTTATTAATAAAACCATTCAAACCAAGAAGCACCGCAGCTTGTCATGGCGAATAGGTTGAGATAGGAATGGGGGTATTGATTCTTGGTTTACTCTAGTTTGTAGGATAGTTGGTTTTGCGATGGGGTAGAGGAGTAAAAGAGCCAAAGTCATCACGAGAGAAAAAAAAGCGAGCGGCGTTTACGCGCCACCAAACTTGCACTCACGTAAAAAATAAGGCTCTGCGAAGACAATAAACGGCCGACTCTTACTTCATTCAAAACCCCCTAAAAAAATACACAACATTCTTGAACGTCAAATGCAAACGTTTTGTTTCGCGTGATGAAAAATGCTTAAGACATTTATTAATTGACTAGAGTGAACCAGTCTGGATTTAAGCAGCCCAGGAGTCAGTGACGGGGGCAGCGGACCAGTCAGCGGTAGCATCCTCAGCGGTCCAGTCGCCAGCAGCGGCAACGGGGGCAGCCTCACCAGGGGCCCAGGTGCCGGTCTCGGCCTCAGCCTCAACGGGCTTCTCGGCAGCGAGAGCAGCGGCCTCCTCCTCAGCCTTCTCTTCGGGATCACGGTAGAAGAACATATCAACCATGATATCCCAGGGGGCGGAGCGGGAGATGGTGCCACGGAGGCGGAGAACCTCACGAGCCAACATCCAGTAGGCAAGACCAATGGCGTGCTTGGAGCGGTTGTTGGTGGGGATGGCAACATCGACGTAACGGAGGGGAGACTCGGTATCGGCGAAAGCGATAACGGGGATGTTAACGTACGAAGCCTCCTTGATGGCCTGGTGGTCGGTCAAGGGGTCGGTAACGATGATCAAACGGGGCTCCTTGAAGGCACGGGTGATATAGTTGGTGAAGGTACCGGGGGTGAAGCGACCAGCGATGGCCTGGGCACCGGTGTGGGAAGCGAACTTCAAGGCAGCACGCTGACCGTAGGGGCGGGCAGAGATGACGCAGATATCGGCGGGGTTCTCGATGGCGACAATGATACGGGCAGCGAGGACGATCTTCTCCCAGGTCTTACCGATGTTGATGATGTGGAGACCTAATCGAATGTGGTTGCGCGCGATAGCAGAGTCGAGTTAGTTACTGCTCCGTCGATGATAGTGTTCTCTGTTCCTGGCTCTCGTATTGAACTTCCCAATCCCTGTTCCTGTATGTTGCCGGCCCCTCGAGTGTTGTTGTTCTTTACGGATCAATTGAACCCTATGTCGACGGACACAGAGCGAGATAGCAAGGACAGTCTTTGCCCATGGTCCTCTCCTGTACCAGCTCGTCCAGTGGTACTGGCGACTACAGCGATCGCTGAATAGCCGTCAGACAAACATATTCTCTCCCAGACAGATCCACTTGTCCTGCCTAAACTGATCCTAATCCTTTTCCTTGCTCGCTTGACTCCTGTCTGAAAAATCTCGGTATCGCCCCGGGGTGCTTACCATCAGCACGACGCTTGAAGACGTAGGGCTCCATGTGAACATCGCAGTTCTTGGTACCCATGTGGGACTGGGCAGAGAGAAGGAGCTTGATGTCCTCCTCGGTGGCTTTGAGAATAGCGGGCAATCCAGACATGGCGAAACTAGAAGGGAGCGAGGGTAGACAGCGTTGGGTTGATGAGTACTGCGATCTGATGGTGTTGTTGTAGGTGGTTGTCTCCTGATAGGTTGTTGTTTCTTCCTGAGTGACCGGATGGAGTTGTCTTCAAGTGTGATGTCGGTGAAGTAGGATCCCTCTCTCACGGCGCAAGATCTATAGGCCTACTACACCAGCAGTGAGGTAAAGGTCCAATAAGGTAAAACATCCGTCGGTGGTAGTTGCCATCCATCGATCCATCCTGTATCGGTCTGTTGAGGTCCCAGTGTATCTGGGGCATGATTCATAGAGTACTGAAGGCGCAAAACATAATTTCTGGCGCCCCATCGATGGGTTCACTCCTTCGTTCATCCACTACAAGAATCGGTCGTGGTGTCTCCCGGTTACATACAAATACGTTTGCGAAAGGAAGGATCAAACGTTCATCAGTCGAAATCTTTTATCATCTGTTAGAATGCACGTGACTATTCATATTTTCTCGCCCAAGTCCGCTTCATCTTCCTGCTCAATCATTTCTTTCTCTCCACCACCATCGACCATCTACAGGACCATCGGGACCACCAGGACGCCTTTGCAGGATGCCGTGGCCGTCAAGTCACTAACAAGCTTCCTCTTCCCCTTTTTTGTCTCTTTCTTTGCCCTTCTGTTGTTATTGTTCTCCTTACTGCAGTTTTCTTCCATCGTGCCTGCTGTTCATCAGCTTGAATCTCTACGCGACGCATCAGAGTCCTGCAATCATGGAGCAGCTGTATACGTTTCTTTTATGTTTATGTTTATTTGTTATACTTCCACTTGCGTTTATCCTCGAGAGTGTACAAACAGCTCAATTGCTAGGACCTGTGGTCTTCTACAAGGACCAGTTCGGTGAAAGTGGTTGCTTGCCCTGTTGTCTCTCCGTGACGCAGCAGGGTACCTTTTGTGGTTTGGAATCGCAACCATGGAGCAGCTTTGTCCTCTCTTTTTTTTTTTATTCTTCCCTGTTTGAGCGAGCGAAACTGTTCAGCCGAATATACCTGTGGTCACCTTTTCTGGGGCCAGTTCTGCAGAAGTAATTGTCTGCTCCGTTGCCTCTACGCGACGCAACGGTGTATGCAACTATGGAGCGGTATTGTTACCTTTTGTTGTCCTCTTTGGAGATTGTGCAAGGCTGTTCGTTCGACTGAACGGTAAAAGTGGTTGTCTGCCCTGCTGTCTCTGCGCGACGCACCAGGGTACCCTTAGCGGTTTGGAATTGCAACCACTTAGTAGCCTTGTATTTGTTTTCTTCCTTCCTCTTTTTTGTTTCATTGATCACCTCCTGGACTAGATGCCCTGGTGTTCGGGGCAGGATTGACGATCACACATTATGGAGGAAGGTTAGCGCGTAACTACGCCCCCGCACGGAATCAAGGTACCACCTTGATCAAAATATCTACTGATGGGTGCACGCGTTTGTTTTAGGACCAACGCTAACAGTGTTAGTTCTTCTCTTCATTCATTTGTACAATAGTGGATGCAGGATGTTCAATAAAAAAAACTCGTCCAAACATGACTTTCGCTTGAGTGAATTAAAAAAAAAAAAAAAAAAGCAGTGATCAGACTCAATTTCGTATTTTTCTGAGTTATTCTTTCCATTTCGATCGTTTCGTTCATTCCTTATCCTCATTCCATAACCGATTCCACCATGGAGCCGAAAGAACCAATACCTAGTCCCAGAACACCTCCCCATTCTCATACTCCTTCTTCTTCCTCCTCCTCTTCCTCCTCTTCGTCCTCGCCACTTGACACCCCAGCCCCACAAAGCCTAGTCCTCGGCCACTTCTTCCACACCTACGCCGCCCGGCACTGGGGTGACCTCGTCGCATATCTCAGCAACTCCAAGGACCAAGACTCTGTCGAGAACTACCATGCCGCTTATATCCGTGACCTGAAATACATCCAGTCCAGTTCCCTCGTCTCCGATGCTATCAAGAAGCATGCACAAAAGCTTTCAGGTGGCGGCGGTGGTAGTACAAATCTTGCGGCGATGCGGACGGCGTTTGACCATATCCAGTTGAGAGAGTTGAGGAGCCAGGCGACGAATAGCATTCAGAGAGGAATGTTGCAGTTGAATAAGGAGGCTGGTGATAAACTTGCTGAAGGTAATGGAGGAGAGCATAAGTAAAACTTGACGCGTCGTTTTTTTTTCTCGTTTCGTTTGAGGGTAATTAATTATTGACTTTTGTTGTAGGATTATTGCCGAAGGGGGGAAAGCACCATCTACCATCGTCAGGTTTGGATGTAAAGGAGAAGAAGCAAAGGAAGAACGTTGGAACGCTGAAGGTATGCGCGAAAACAAACCCGGGGTGTTGTTATTTTCTTCGTTCGCGTTAAGCGCGTACTCAATCTGTGCTCTTTCACACTTTTGTACACCATCATAGACAAGCCCACAGCGTACACAAGACGCAACAGTTGATGCCAAGACAAGGATAGTTGATGATCCAGGAGAACAGGCAGACCCTGGAGTTATCGGTGACCTGCCAGAAACACCTCCCATAAGTAAATTCACCCACCTCTGGTCCACCTTGGCCATCATAAACTTGGAAGAACGCTAACATTTACTATCTTGATCCAACCAGGACTCGACCTTTTCTCACGCGTGAACCAGGAGATCTCATGGACCGCAGAAGGGCACAACATCCTAGAACTCTTCCGATCATATCAATCCAAGAACCAGCAGATCTTTGAACTTGCACGCGACGACATTGCAGATTTGAGCGGCCAGTCGGGATTCGCGCTCACTTTGACGGCGGAGCAGCTAGGTGCGGCGCTGGTTGATATTTCGCCTATACAGACACCACACGAGGTTTGGCCAAGTTTGGCGGATGTGGTGGCGAGGGTGCTGAATGATCGACATTCTTTTGACGATTCCCTGGCTGCGTCGCGCGCCGAGTCTATGCAGGATCCAGTTGCTGAATACATTCATGGTATTCTCTACTCCTAGTACGTGTTCCACCTTGCTGCACTTTTTTCGGATGTTGGGGTACATTATCCAATGTGAACGACGCTGATTGTGAATGTTTCCTTTTTTTCCTGGTTTCACTTGTCTGTAGCTCAAAGTACTTTCGGTTCTCCGACCGAATCCCTGCAGACCTACGAGAGCACGAAGGATTCTCAGACATGACATGGACAGTCATCGGAGGAGCATTAACACTCGCAGGTGTCGAAACGCGCTACCTCGAAGTACCAGTCAAAGCAGTCGAGGAAAGAAAGAACGCCCACCGGAACCCATTCCTGGACACCAAAGCCCAAGCACATATGGCCGACGGCGTGGCCTTCCGAGGACCTTACCAGATATACCTAGCCGAGGCATCGGCTCTCACCCAGAGCGATACCAGCAAACGAGCCGAAGACGAGTTCAAGCTGAAGAGAGATTTACGGGACACGTTCCAGTCGCAGCTCAAGGATATCTGTGAGGATGGACTGTTGCCGCCTCGGTCGATGCGCGTGTTTGGGTCAACGTCGTTTAATGCCCGGACAATGTTTTATGCCCTGGATTTCAAGAGCGTGTTCAGGTTGCACGAGATTCGGTCGATGATCCTTCCTCTCAGCAAGACCGCAGATTTCACGCTGCGTTTGAAGCGGTGTGTACTGGTATGTCTGGAGGTCGCATTGATGATCAAGGAAGAGCTGGACCGGCGAGAGTCTGCAGACCCTATCCCCCAGGGTCGGAAACAGCTCTTAGTGCAGGCCTGTAACCAGATGCAAGTGACCACAAGAACACCCACCAAACCAAAGAAGCAAAAGTAGCAGTGAGACAACCACATAGACAAAATAAAACAAAAGCGTGCCAAGAGAGCAAGGCGGAAACGTAATGAATGGTGTCAAAGACAAAAGTTATATTTATTCAACTTCGTTCGCTTCAAAGCACATATTCTTCTAACTCGCAACACTTGTGAGGCCTGTTGTAGGACAAGAAGAAACTTAAGCCTGCTGGGGGCAGTCGCGGGACTAGAGGAACAGGTCAGAATATAAAAAAAGGGGTTAGGGCCATGGACAACACCACAAAAGGCAAAAACCTAAAAAATAACAAGGGTTTAGCCAGAGCTGGGAACTTACGATGTGGCCGACCTCGTTGCACTTGTAGCAAGCCTTCTCCTTGCGCTCCTCGGGGCACTCGCGGGAGATGTGGCCAGTGTTACCGCAGTTGTAGCACTTGGAGCCCTGGGTGCAGTCGCGAGACATGTGGCCGAAACCACCGCAGGTGTAGCAAGTGGTCTGTCTGGCCTGGGGGGCATAGCCGCGGGCACCACCGCTGGGAGCGCCGCTGGAGTAACCCTCGGGGCAGTTGCGGGAGATGTGGCCAGCCTTGCCGCACTTGTAGCACTCGGGGCCGGCACCCTCAGCGGGGGCCGAGGGGCAGTCACGGGAGATGTGACCGACCTGGTTGCACTTGTAGCAGGACTTCTCCTTGCGCTCGCCGGTGCAGTCACGGGAGATGTGACCAGACTCACCGCAGTTGTAGCTATGAGAGAGGTGGAGGTTGAGGAGGATTTGCTTGTTAGCATGCGAACACAGCAAGGGACGTGGGACGAAGATGTTTGAAATGAGACACTTACCAGAGGGGAGTGCCGGCGGACTGGCAGTCGCGGGCCTGGTGGCCGGCTGTTTGTTATGTTCGAGTACGTGTACAGACAGACAAGGACATGATTTGTAGAGGAAGCAAAATCAGAAAAGATCCGTATGCAAAACACGACATAAGGTATCACAGGAAAAAATATGTGGAGAAAGAAAAGAAATAAACAAATATCAGCAATCGGACAACATTGACTCTTGGGCAAAGACATAAAAAAGTGTAAACTACAGTAAAAAAAAAAAAAACTCCGCCAACACCTCGTTAACTCATCCTCTTTCTTCTTCTCCTTCACCTCCTCCACCTCCTTCTTTTACGTGTCGAGAAGTGTCAAAAAATGACAATACGTATCATGATGATGAGACAGATATGTTATTGGGAAATAAACAACACCTCCTCGTCCTCGCCTCGCTTTATTATAATAACAAGGACTTATTTCATATTAAAATGAAAGAGGATATCAATGAGTGCGGCTGTACTCTAATCCTCCTCAGAGGAGCAGAGCAGAGGCAGTCATCGATATATCGTAGAGATGGAGGGACGGTATGTATCTTCCATGCATAAGGATCGTCCGTGGTTATTGCATTGATATTTTTTGACTGGTGCCGTAGGTTGTTCGGAGGGTGATAAATGACTCGTTTTCACAAAATATATCACGAGGTTATTTTGAATCCGCAGGAACGAGTTCACTGGAGGCGCTGCTGGAGGGTCGAGGGTGCCGAGATCGTGAAAGAGGTCGTCATGGTGCTGCCCAAGGTTGAGTCGCAGGAGCCGTTTTGAACTGACTGAGCTGGGCTGAGAGGTATCGGCAAGCGTATGTGTGTATGCAGGTTGTCGGCTGGTCGAATAGGTTGGGTTGTTGGTTGGCGCGTGAAAGAATGAAAAAAAAATACCCCAACTACTACCACCTCGTTCACTCTCCTCCCTTCTCGATCACTACCGCCACACTTGGTTCACCACCACTACTTCTCCAAACCAAGATTTAACCACCCAGATACGTACGTTGGCCGCAGGTGTAGCAGGTGCGGGGGGGACGGAAAGACATGTTGTTAGATTGGTGTAAAGGGGATTAGGGGGTGAGGAAAAAAAAAGAGAAAAGAAAAACAAGACCGCACAATAAAAAAATCTTTTTACAGGGTTGCCTTTCGCCCCTTTTGCTGGCAAGTGTTTACAGGCCTCTGGGAGAATCGCAGGCCGCTATTGGGCCGTTTTGATGACGTCATATGGCCTATTTGTGACGGCCTATATCAGCCAGATGGTAGCCTGAAAACACGTCTAAGCCACCTCGATCCTCTTTCCAACTCAGGGACACTCTTGCCCTTCTCCGAAGTGCATTTCGCTCCGTTCAGCAAAACCAACCTCGACACAAAGACAGACAGACATGGCATCGCTCTTCAGGGCCCTCTCCAGGACGCCATTGCTCCTCAACGCAGCCCGCCCCTCTCTCGTATCAACCACCACCGCCTCGCCATCACAATTCGTCCGCAACTTTTCTTTCGGCTCGACCTCGTCACCTTTGTCTCTCCGCAACCATGTCTCTGGCTTCCCCTCGTTCCACCATAACCCCACTTTCACCATGTCACCGGCAGTGCGTTCGTTGGCAACTCCCATGAATAAGACCCAGCGCCGCTTCAACAGTCTGCAGCCCAAGAGGATGAAGTACCGCAAGAAGCACAAGGGCAAGATCCCAATCCCAATCGGAGGCTCGACCAAGGGAACCTATGTCGAGTTTGGTGACTATGGACTTCGTATCAAGGAGGGCGCCCGCTTGACTGCCAAGCAGATCCAGGCTGCTCACACCACCATCCGCAGGAAGATCAAGGCTGTCAAGGGATCACAGATCTGGACCAGAGTCTTCCCCGATATCCCCGTCACATCCAAGGGAGGCGAGTCTCGTATGGGTAAAGGAAAGGGATCGGTCGACTACTTCGCTACCCGTGTGGGACTCAACCGTATCATCTTTGAGATTGGAGGCGGCGGAATCCGTCGTGAGCACGCCAAGGAGGCTTTGAGATTGGCTTCGACGAAATTACCTGTCGCTGTTGAGTTTGTGGTTAAGGCTGACCAGATCAAGCCTCCTAAGATCCCCCGTGCCATCCCCGGCGCTGCCTCTGCCAAGGCCGTTACCCCTGCTGCTGCTGCTGCCCCTGCTGCCCCTGCTGTCGTTGCTAAGGAGGCTGAGGTTGTCGCATAGTCTGCTTTCTTCTCATTTGCTTGTTTTTTTTATCATTTTCCGTTTCATCTTTTTTCTCTTCATCTTTCGCCCTTAGTCATAGTATGCTATCAACCATGCTGCCCCACATCATTGCCATCTCCACTCGAAGTCTTCTTCCCCAATAAACCACACCATAGAATTTCAATCCTTCGCGCTCTTCCTCGTGCCTTCTACGCGACTTTTTTTTTTGTTCTTTAAAAACGGTGACGTCAACAATTTCTCCTATAGGGAGTTTCCTGACCGATGTCTAATTGAAAGGACCTCGGTGATTTTTCTAGGCTGCCCCGATTTCTTAACCTCTATCTCCTCAAATTCCCTTCACACCAAAACTAACACGATGCTCCGCAACCTCGCTCGCCCTGCCCTCCGCGCCACCCAGCGCCGTTGCGCCTCTACCACCTCGGTCGGCTCCGAGGTCCCTCTCACCAACTTGGAGTTGCGCTGGAAGACCTTGTCTGTCCAGGAGCAGGGTTCTCTTGCCAAGCAACTCGAGAAGGCCCAGGCTGGTGAATGGTCCAAGATGACCGCTGACCAGAAGAAGGCTGGTACGAGACTCTCCTTCTTCTCCCTTCCTTCTTCCCTCGACCCCCTTCACCATGCAACACATGACACAACATACGCTACATACACACACTCTCGGGAACAAGACTTTCATCACTTTCCCACTTCTACACATTCCCTTTCCCGAGCACGCGAATCCGAATGGGAGAAAAATAACCTCGAATGCAACCCTCGGACCTGGCAACCCAAAGCACCGCAGAAAAATAATAATTCAATTCGACAGAAATCAACTTAAGTCATGGAAGCAAAACGGAAACGATACAGGGAGCGTGTTTTTTATCCCAACACCTTCAACATTCAACAAACAGCTTCCTTTCCTGAACACAAATGTAACCCGGTGAATGGCATCAGGAAAAGAAGAGAACATGAGCCCGACTTCTTGGATGCCGAGCTAGCCCCTTTTTTGCCTTACTTTTGTCACGACTGATCGCGCACAGTAAAGGAAGGAAAGGGGGGACGCGACAATAACGAAAAAAAAAAATGAACGCACTCCGAACAAACTCTCCCGAGAACCTCCTTCCCTCGCCACTTTCCACACACTCAAGCACACCACACACCATCCAAAAGCTCAAAAGACACCAACAAGAAACACAATACAACGGACTCCAAAATCATACCATTCGAATATATCGATTCTCACCATGCCAACTTTTGTCACCTTCCTACCCTCTCCTCCCCATAATATAGCCTACTGGGTTGCTTTCGGCCCCCACGGTGCCCGCACCCCCCTCACCGGACCCGGCCACTCTGTCAAGGTCGTTGCCGGTGCCACTGCCGTTGTTGCTGCCAGTGGTGCTCTCTTCCTCTGGATGCGCGCCAAGGGTACGTTTATCATTTTACATTTTCAAAATGTCCAGGTTCCATACAATGTTCGGAACTGTACAATTGGAGCCCATCCGAAAGGAAAAAGGTCGATAGTGTACATGACATTCCGAAACATGGGCAAAAAGTCAATATGCACGCCCATTGGGAAAAAAAAAAAAGAAAACAACAACAACAGCGTAACAATTACTTATATCCCTTCTTCCTGTCCGTCTCTCTATCTCATCCCCGACGACACGCATGCATACATGCAACAGGTGGCGAGAGACCCGCCACCTTGACCAAGGAGTGGCAGGAGGCCTCGAACGAGTATGCCCGTGCCAACAAGATCAACCCCATCTCTGGAATCTCCTCCGAGGGCTACAAGGGTACCGGTTTCGTCTCCATCTCCAAGAACTAAAGCGCCTAGTACATTGGACTTTGAAGAGATCCCCTACCTCCACCTCGCCCCACTTACCCAACCCCCCTCTCCTCACTCGAAAGCAATTTGTTACAAGAATACACATTTTTTACCTGCATTTATTTTTTTCACAATATTAAGGTTCTTTATGATACAAAGTGGATGGTGCAAATAATGGTGCAAATAATGATAATCTATCAGGATCATCAATGATGGTCCGTAAAGTGGATAGTCGCGGGCTCGTCGCTATCATACAAGTACTCTTCAGGCTCCTCACCATCCGACGACAACTGCTGCGTAGGGATGAAACCTTGCTGTCGGAACCGTCTGGGTGTGGGCTGATGAAATCTCCGCCCACCGGGCTGATCGTCATCGCTATCGTCGCTGTCGCGTCGGGAATGATGCTCCTGGTCAAAGTCGTCCGTGTTGCTGTTATTATTATTGTTGTAACTGCTGTCCTCCACATCATACGCCGCGTTATAGGAGGTCGAGTAACCGGGATTGGACTGGTTCTGGGGGTATAAATGGTCGTGCGGCAGAGGAGAGATTAAATGCCGGGGCATGTCACGACGGTGTGGAAGAGGTGGATAGCTCCCGTGGTTGTGGTTGTTGTTGTTCTCGTAGGACGACCTTGACGCTTCAAGGTCATCGTCCATCTGGAGCATACTCTTCCCATAGTCGCTTGCAGGGAACGACCACCCGTTACCGATCGAGTTCCGCACAGGCACAAACCACAGGTACCAGGTAGGCCCCAACACCTGAATAAAGTTTTGCCTATTAGGTCATTCACAGAAACCCAAAATGATGATTAATCTATGCTCTGTGCCATTTTTTTTGTCGGTTGTGTTCTCTATCACAAAGACCAAATCGCGAAAACGACGAAAGAGTAGTGAGGCGACTTACTTGCGACCAAGGTCAAATACGTTCAAGAGACGACTCTGCATCACCTCGCCACGGCCACCCATCCGGTACTTGTGCTTCTCGAAACTCTCGATCGTCGTTTTGTTGGCCTTGATCAAGAGTGTATGGTGGATCGCAAAGGGAATTAGGCACAGTCCGAAAATGATACCAATCAGAATCATAAAGATCCATTGAGGGTCAAACAAATCTTCGCTCTATAATTGAAGGGGTAGAAAAAGTAGCGTTAAGGTTAAGGCAGTTACGCGTCCTGAAATTGACCAATAGTCACTCCTGATCGATCGGAGGGACAAACAAAAAGACTTACGTATGGCGCGCTGATGACCTCTGCAGTGACGGGTATCGTACATGCCACAAGGACAACGCAGTAAATCGCGGTCCACAGGACGAAAAGCTACAAAGAATGAAAAAATAAGATGTAAATAATGGTCAGATCAACTTACAGATGAGTAGCATCTTCCCATCATGACAGCTACGCTGCGGTCCTGGTGTTGAGTCCTAGTGCTTACATAAAAGGCCTTGTAGTTCTTGTGTCCGACACAGTTGTTGAGCCAAGGGCAATGGTGGTCCATCTTGAGAACACACCGGTTGCAGGAAGAACAGTGATGCGTCCGATCTGGCTTCTCAAATCTATTAAACGTTGTCGTCATAAAAAAGAGTTCGATTAGAGTTTGGATCCGCTAGCTACGAAAAAAAAGACTCCGGCTATTACTGTAATTGTAAAGTTGCGATCCACAAATGCGTCAGCTATCCCGGCTGGGACTTACTTGCACTTTTGGCAGTATCGCATCTTGCCATCCCGCTTGACTGTGAACCGTCTAGTTGACGAGAGTCCCAATGGCATATTATCCTCATCATCCTCATCACCTTCATATCCGCCCCGACCTCCTCCTTCGGCTCGCTCATTTCCATAGTTCTCGTGGACCGTCCTGCCATCCAGCGCATCGTCCGACAGGTCGACGACTGTGTGCAAATGCTGCTTGCCACGAATGGGCTCCAATGGTGGTGGTGTATGAATCGATGCTGTGGGGTGATGGTGGTCGTGGGAGTCAGGGTAAACCTGCTGAGACCACGAGGCACTATGCGGGTGGGCTGGATACAAGGTCGTCGAATCTCCAATATCGATGTCTTCCGAGAACCTGTCCACTCCAAGCTGCCCCGTAGTTATTGCCTGTCTACTACGATCTCTGACAGCCACTGATCGTCTCCCACCAGCCATCAGTGGTGAGTTGTTAGCGCTAGGAGAAGGCGAGAGATAGAACTGCTCAGGTTCCAGCAACCCGATGTTGGCAGCTTCCTCCTGATGACCTGCACTGTTGTATCCTGAGTACTTTTGCAAAATCTAGCAAACATCATGGAAAAGGGGGGGGGGGGGTGGATGAGCTGTTAAGGTCATGCAGCAACTTCGGGATCGGTTTATCCATTGAATGATTTTGCCTGTAAGAACAAGCAGTAGGGCAAGCGAGTGAACTGACAAGCATCATACCTCAGAGGGGTATCCTGGTGATGCGAAGGTGGCCAAGAAGTAGCTCCAGACCAAGAGGACCACGATCGTCGTGATCATGACCAAATAAAACATCCCTAACGAGTCCCATTGATCGAACAGAAGGTTAGCATACACACATTGGTTATTTTCATGATACAAGTGTTTGTAATTCTGTGAACACACAGTCAGTTTTTTTCCTGTCTGATCGGAGTAGTCCTTAAATGCGGGGGTTGAAGCTTGCGTTCCAGCTTTCCCTTGCCTTGCCTTGCCTTGTTGGTTGTTTGTTCATCTCCTTTCCGCACCAGTTTTTTTTGTCTGTGCTTGTTCTCCTATCTTGCCAACGATAAAAAAAAGTCAAGGGACCCTTGACGCTTTACCTTGAAGGACATGATCGTGTGTGAATAGATATCGGCAGATAGAGAATATGAACACCAGATAACTCCAAGTGACCAAGGCGAGACCTAAGTCGAGGAGAGGGGGGGTGGGGGGGAAGAACGTTAATGAGTAAACGAATGTCAGCTTCTTTATTCAAAAGATGAACTTCCAGAGAACAAAGTGAGCGTTTCACTTTTTTTGCGTCATTGCGAGAAAGGGGAGGGAGGGGAGGGGGGGGCTCATCAAAGAACAGGTTCCAGGGCGATTTCTTACAGATGCCGACAGGGAGCCAAGAGACGACTCTCAGACAGAATTCTCGAGCCTGCCTTGTCTTCATTTGCTTGCAAATGTGTAAATGCGTTGAAGTGAGTGAGGATGTGTTGTTGAGGGTGTGATGAACAAAAGGAGGGAAAGGTTAGAGGGAAGGCGAGAGAGGGAAGGCAAAAAAAGCCAGAAGGTGAATTCAGCTCAAAACTGACAGCGAGTCCCCCCACACCTTGCTGTACAGCCCACACGTGACAGGTCCAGCAAATCCGCTAGGTGGATCTATGGTTCTTCCAAGCTGTTTATTCTTAGACAGGCAGGGCATTAAAAATTACACGATTACTTTCTAGTTTAATTTGATGAGGAAATACCAGCAAGCGCTGCAGCTGTACTCTGCTCGTCCCAGAACTCGGGCAAGACAGTGGGCAACTCAAGGATATTAGTGATCTGGTAGTGCCCAAAGTTGGATTTGACAGGGTCATCCGCCACATGGACCGCAGTCCAGCCAATATCGAGCGCCTTGTCTACATTGGCTGCTGAATCGTCCACAAAGAAGCAGTTGGAGGGGTGGACTACTCCAGCGTCCTTCATTGCCCGACGGAACGAGGCCGCTTCTGGCTTGCAAATAAAGTTGGGTTCTGTGTAGTCGCAATACGTCAGTCCGTCAAAGAGACCCTCCAACCCCAGAATCTTGATCACTCTCAATGCGTGCTAATGTAATGATAAGGCAAATAATACGTCATTAGGGATCCTGCCCAACTGCGTGCTTTCTTGGAAGTGTCAATTGCGCCTGAGGTAAGATGTCGGATGTTTGTTGATACTTACAGCCTCTCCTGCGTTGGTGAAGAGCCACTTCTTTTCAATCTTCATGGACTTGATCATCTCGCGCAGAGGAGGGTTCTCGCTGAGGATATCTTCCAGGGGCAGTGCTCCATCGACTTTAGCATCTACATTTCAGTGACGAATTGGGTGAATTGGAGTCAGAGGGACAAATTCAAAATTATTATCTGGCGAATTATTTCATCTCCACAGAGAACATACAGGTTGTACTACACTTACCATAGTCCCGGATGTCAATCTGAATCGAGTCCGTGAAGAAAACATGTGTCAGCCAGTGAAGTGAGAAGAGACAGAAAGAGTGGTTAATTGGTTGTATCGTAAGGTTCAATGGCATCCAAGACAGCTTCAAACGCATTCCATCCTTGCTTTCATCATCCAACGTTCAAAGTACCTCTAGTGACATCATAACATATAAGCAATTGAGAGAGTGTTAGTCAAAGGCGCACACACATCCACTCGAACATTTTTGGTTTTGTGTTCAAGACATGCCAGCCCCACTGTGCATTTAGATCACTAATCGATTCTTATCACTTACCAGGATGGTGGATAACAAGACCGCGGATGGCAAGGCCATAATCAAGGTAGTAGCGGTATGACAGACTCTTGACTATTGTCATATTCAACAACAAGTAGCCCTTCTGTCAGTACACTGCCAATGTGGGGACACATAGCAAGAGAACAAAGAACTCGATGAATTCAAACTACATACCTTCGTTGTTCTCAATACCAACGTCTTCAAAATACTTCTCGATCCTATTATCCGGTTCGCATGTCAATTGACCAGATTACATCGAGGGTGGTGTGCAAGGAGTTGTGAGGGTCAATGAAAAAAAGTAAAAAAAAATAAAAAAAAGTAAAAAAAAGTAAAAAAAAGTAAAAAAAGTAAAAAAAGTAAAGAAAGAAGAGCATCAGAAAACGTTGAATACACTCATTTTTCGAAATAGCACACAAGTGCCAATCCCTTCCATTTATCAACAAACATTTACAACAACAACAAAAACAACTTACTTTTCACGCATCAAGTCAGGAATGCCAGAGTCCTTGGGGTAGAGGCAGTTATCGATATCGAAAAAGAAGACACGGGCTTCATGGTTGGGGGTAACAGTTCTTGCAATGCTCTCCCCTGCAGCCTGTTGGTCTGGAATCTCTGTCGCATTGATGTCCTCGGCCTTGTTGAAGACGATGCCGTTCGTCTGCTTGTCGGTTTTGAGAAGTGTGGAAGGCATTGTTGTTTATGATGGCTGTTGTTGTTGGGTTTTTTTTGGTACGAGAGGAAAAGTCGATTGTAAAGCGAGGGTTGTTGCTGTTGTTGTGTGCAGGTTTCGTTTTTTGTTTGCTGGGTCAGAATGGAATAACGGTTGAGTGAGTCGTTGAAATGCAAATTGCGAGAGGGAGAGGATTGAGAAAAAGATTGAGGTGAAAAGAGAAGCAGGAGATGAGGTATACCCGGCCCTATATAGATTCTGAAAAGAGGAGCTCCAACACGTTCTGCGCCCTCGAAAATGACTGAAAATGACCCCCAGCAGGAAACTCCTATTGGCTGGGAAGAAGAGCGATCCATGACGTTTGTAAAATGAGGGGAAAATTGTAACCCGGGAAGAAAAAGACCAAAAGGATCCCCCGCAAAGCTCTACTGTCACCGCCATTGTTGGGGTGTGTCGTTCGCTGTTGTACAGTTGTTTTAATCGCGAGCAAAGGGTCATCATATCAACAACGCAACTAAAACTTGGCCGGGTCCAAAAAGACAGGGAATCGTTTGCTTCCATCCTCGCTCACTAACAGACAATTGGCAAAAGATAAGACATGGGCCAAGGGATCAGTTTCAGGTACAAGACGAAGGACAACTGGAGAATTGATTCTCCACAATCATCCAATTGCGCACAAGACAACCACCACAGTAACACAGCAGAAAAAAATAATATACAAACACGCCCGAGATCGCCGCTTGCTTACCAAAAGTTTCGTGTTCTCCCATAGGTGGTGGTGCTTTGATTGTGCCCTGGATGCCATAGCTTGGATCCTAAATAACCGTCGTAACAATGAAACACGTTAGAGAGTCTGTCAACCATAATGAATAAAGGGCGCCGGCGTGTGGTTACCCATAAAAAAATATACAGGCGAAACTTACATCTAGGAACTTTGTCTCCTCTTTGCCTAGCCGGAAACGAGATCTGTTCATCTTGGCCTTGATCACTTCATCAAAGAACATGATCTCAGGGTCGCCAGGGGACCGATCGACTCGGTCCTGCACAAACTGCACAAATGCCTGCGATTCCGTAAAATTTACCATGAACACCTATGTACACCAATGCCAAATGTTTTAGTTTGCATGCAACAAGAGTAAAAAGAAAGCACCATGAACGAGTTCAGCTATCACACCATCTGTTCAGCAAACATACCTTGGCGTCTTTGTCAACATTTTTCATGAACACCTCACGATGGAATCGAACAGTATCACTCTGTATGCTTCCGTTGGTTCCGCTCCTTGCCCTCGTTATGGGTTGTTGGGTGGGCTCAGTTTGACCAAACGCCCTGTTCGAAGGAGGAGAGAATGCGTCCGGTCCCTTTGCAACAGGCGAGGGGCTGTTGTTGGCTGAACTTCTGCTTGTCCACCCACGGAAACTTGCCCAGGAGATTCGCTCCTGTACGCCCTTCTCTCCCTCGCTCCCGGTACTCGACAGTTGTTTTGCCTGAGCATTGGTCCTTGGACTTTGTGCCTGAACAAAGGGCTGCAGGTACTGCTGACCTGCCAAAATGCCCGTTCTGTATCCTCTCAAGATTCCAGCCCACATCTGCAAGACACTCCAACAAATCCCAGACTCGTCGAATCCGCGCGGCACACACGGGTAGAGCAACTCCTCGACACACCCACCGTGCACAAGAAGGGAACATCCTTCACAGCGGTATACCCTCTGGTGCGAAGCAATCCCATGCGTACAGATACCGCAGCGACCACTGAGCATAGGGATCGGTACAGGGCTCGACACAAACGACAGGACATGTCCCTCCCGCCTCAGGGGCAAGCCGGAATGCGGTTCATCATCTACATTACCCTCTACAAACCCAATTCCGGCTTGATTCATCCGTGGAAGCGCATGCGCGGGAAGTGGGAGGGATGAGGTTGACGATGATGGTATAGTAGAAAGCCCTCTGCTAGGTCCATTGATACTCCCCATTGTTGTAGATGTCATCGTAGACATGGGCGATCCGTTCTTGGGAGCAGAAGACATCCCCGTCGAACTGGACTTGAGCCACAAGCTTGAGTTGGAAGATTCAATCGAGGTGACCGATGCTCTATGACTGAGAAGGCGGGAGGATCCGTCACCAGTTCTCAAGTGTGGACCGGATTCCATGCTGATCTTGCTTGTATCCTGCTGCGACCCTGTCTGATGTACGTAAAGTCTTTGCTCGGTCGAACCTTCTTGTCTCCGAGGCATCTCAAACACGTTGGCACGAGAACGTTGAGGGGAAAGAACCTTGCGTGTGGCGGTAGAAACCGTTTCGGTTGTATCCTAATGTCGCAATTGGAAAATAATACATTATTACCCATGCGTTGGTTTGCGCCTATGTCATGCTCTTGCAGTGAAAAGTTGTGACATTACCTGCTCTGGCGCGACTTTGTTTGAAGGCACTTTTGAATCAAACACTAAGGGTCGTCCAGGTATCTCGCCTAACATAGAATCCGATTGCTGGCTTATTGCTTCCTTGCCTTTGAGTACATCGTCAAGTTCCAGCCCCATTAATCCTCCTTCAAGAAGGGTCTCCTTTCCGAAATCCATCTTGGGGATCTTGGGCAAGGCCGGCGGGTTTTGAGCACTCGGCTGGTTTAACGTATGGGTTGATGAGTTACGGCTAGCTCCAGCCAAGGAACCCTGCACAGATACCGCCGTGATGGTCGAGACGTTCGAGGGTGCGGGTGGTCGCAGAGATTCTGATCGTCTACCCATCCGCGGGGCTCGTGATACCCCGCAAAACAACGTCAAACGGGAATGGGGGTAAGCAAACTTGACGTATTCCGGTGGTCCAAAAGCTGCACTCTGTGAGTTCGGGTTGCGTTGCACAGCACTTGTAGGTGCATACATCTCCAACGATTGGACAAGTTTCCGCCTCGGGCGAGCAGGGAGCTGCATGGGGGCCAGCTGAACGTCGATGGTTCCTTTATCCAGATCAACCACACAAGCCTATGGGGAAGATGCTTAGATATGAGTTTCCGAGCATGGGAGTTTGAGCCAAGCATATTGAGTGTAATCATTAGACGAAAGATGCAAGTACCTCTTCGGGTGGAAATTCAGCGTCGCAACAGCTCCGTTCAACTCCAATGATGTACGGGACAGGTGCCTGCAGACAGGTCATGAGTGCCGCTGGTAGGATTGGAATGTACACTCCCTGCCAGTAGAGTGGGAAGAACATGTATAGGAAGCTTTCAGCTGCCAGGGTCAGCATTCCTAAATGCGACGATAGAAATATGACCTTGCCTTCGGCCAGCATGACCTGTAACAATATATAGTCAGTAGAGTTCTTTATCTGCAGTACCCTTGGCTCTCGCATCTGTTGTATGCTTACCTCTATGACAGTAACAATATCCTCGGCAGACAGGCAACGAAAGAGTGGGTATAAGGAGAACTGTAGGATAGCTGTTAGGAATAATTATCATTGGCTAAAGAGATACATAGAGCGCGTATGAAACTTCATAGTAATCTTACGTTTTTTACGATCGGAACGCTGTTGAGTGCCGGTCTGGACGCAAAGATCATCCTGTTGTTGATTGTAATCCCAATTTCCATCTTGCCGAAAGGTGGAACCCCCACCTCGTGGATGATGTTTTTGACATATCTACCATACAAAGGGTCAGTTAGTTGGAAGGTTTTCAGCAGCAAAGGATGCATGGAAAGCCATAGGCAACAAAAGCAGCCCCATTTTTGCTGTTACCTTTCAAGCGGCAGAGAGTTCATGCTCATTCCTGGGTGATCAACACCTCCAGAACAGGCAACGACAACTCCCAGAAGCCAGTCTCGAAGCAAATAGTGGTACGGGAAGGCACTCACTAACCCCACGCACCGCGGAATCCAAACGTCTTCAGCATCCACAAACATTTGTTTCCATGGCTCCATTTGATCCCGGAGAAGAGATAGCTTCTCTTCCGAGTCTGCGATATCTCGCTTGATCTCAATAATCTGCGTTCTCCGCCCCAATGTCCTTTCCTCGCGTAGCCGCTCATTCAGCGTCCGCAGCAAACTCTTCTCCCGAGTGATTTTTGTTTTGATGGCCTTGACATACTCCATCTCGCTCTCTGACTAACGTATTTGAACGAAGAATAGGAAGAGCCATCTGCGTTAGTGATGCAGTTAAGAGACGTCATCTACACAGCGCGATCACAGGTGTAGCATCGTAGATCTAGGTAAAGACTTGCCAGGTGGCTCTTTGTCCACTTCTGACAAAGATACTCGAATTGTCGATACATAGTCGTGGGCATGCGCTCGTACATGATCACACACATGGCGTAAGAACGGTTTCCTGTTTCCTGTGTCATGACGAAAGAATGGTACGTGGTCGGTGGACGTTCAGCCTGCAACTTTAGCGTCAGCTCTCCTGGAAAGCAGAACTAATAGCGTCAATGGAAACGGCAAGCAAGCTGTTAGCAATACCATTGATTAGAAAAGGCTGTTGTTATAACTTTTATGTTGGACAACCTCTTACCATTGGCAGGTGTGGAGGGAATACTTCAGAGTCTTTCCAGTCCTGTTCCGGGTAACGACAGGTGACCACGGGGCTGAACGCCCTTTCTCCCGGATGTATGTCTGGGCCCGTGTAAACGGAACGAGAGGAGCTTCCTATGTGAGCTTTCTGTACTCCGTGGTCCAACTTCGACATGCTCCGAATAACGGCCATATTTTTTCCATGAGCCAAGCCCTTCACATCTTGCACTGAGAGAGTCGCATTCTGTCGGTATTGTTGAGATGTCGGAGCTGGCGTCGGGTGGATTCCATGTCTCTTAGGTCCTGCTAGAAACGCTCAACCAAACAGAGAGGATTATTGGTATATACAAAGCTACATACAAGACAGAGAATTCGCCAAGGGTCATTTAAACACTCGCATAATTTCTTACCAGATCTAGCCTGCGAAGCGTCCGATTGTCCGTGGATCCCTCCATTCTTATCATCAACTATTACGTTCTGCTTCCCATCATCCTCCTGGATCCTTTCTCTGGCAAGCCCCTGCTGAATGCCCTCCTGAACAGACTTGTATAACGTTCCGGCGGATATATGTCGATAGCTTGCCCTGTGATGAAGTCCTGTGCTTCCCTGCTGGCTAATGTCGCTCATGGTGACAGATCTCCGAGTAGGGCGCTTGATGGCGTGAACAGCACCACTGGGGTGCCGCATGGTTACTGAAACATCTTTCGGGTTCGGATCGTCTTCTGGACTCAAGTCTAGTGACAATTTTAGAAGGGTGGGATGGTAAGCAAAGCAGCAAGCAGAAACAAACAAACAGAAGAAAATAAGGTACGGAATGCATTATTTTGAGGGGAGGAGGGACAAGCGAGGGGATAACTCTCGAATCCAGCGAATCACAGGTCCATACCTCTTTGAGGTGCCATGGAGCCATTTTGTTTGTGATAGTGGTCGGGCAAGGATTGATCGATATGGTTGAACTGAGCCATTGACTTTGACCGTGAGCGAGCATGCGATCTGACAGGAGTATGGGCCTGAGGAGGAGAGGTCGTCGTGTCAGCAGAATGGATTGTGTCACCATGGGAAATTGAACTGTGCGCTGCGAGGGAGTGATCGGCCTGTGCTCCTGTTGCTCCCGTTGACTTTGTTGTCGGTGCTGTGTTTGTGGTTGCAGCGGTGTGGTGACCAGAGTGGGTGTCGCTGAGTTCGGTAGAATAGCCTATGCCTTGGTGATCAGCGAATGAATCGTCGAGTAGCGAAAAGTCGTCATGCAGTCCGACCATGAAGAAGTAGTCAGCCATACGCTTTGGCGAGGGTCCCATGTTAGCCATGGTTGGCAGAGTGTGTTAATGAGGGCTGTCCTGGGTGTGTGTGTGTGAATGCGAGGCGTTGCCTGTGTGTGAGTGGGCTGAATGTGTATACGAATGTGAGTATGAATGTTGTATGTAAGTGTGTTTGTGTGTGGGTTGAATGGGCACAGAGAGAAAGAGTGAGTTACGGTTGAATGGGAATTGAATGGAAAAGCTGCTACAAGAGTGGTGGGTGGTGGCAGGAAGTCGTCAAGGGAGAGTTGTGAGGAGGGGTTGAGAGTGTGGGAGGGAGTGAAAGGCGTAAAGAGGAAGATGAATAAGGGACGGTGCAGGCGAAGGGAGGGGATGTGAGTGGAGAAAAGTGAAGAAGGATAGGGAGAGAGTGTACAAGGATCGAAGGAGAACAAAATGCATAAAATAAACAACGACAGCGAAGAATGGAAAATGCAACAGAAAGAATGCAAGAAAGAAAGAAAGAAAGAAGGAAAGAAAGAGACGAATAAGGTATGTCATGGTAATGCCACCACAGTAAAGTGTTTTAATAATGACCTTGTTACTTCTTATATTACGACAAGGCTCATTCATCCTCGTCGTCGTCGTCACCACTGGCCCCTTCCCACTTCCCAATGGAATCCATGCAGCCGGGGCAAGAAGGAAAAAAATATAAAAAGAGAGTTCATGCACCACGTCCTTTTAAAAATAAACACGATTTTTATCATTTCATTTCACAGCAGGTTTTATTTGTTGAAGGAGACGATCCCCGACACGGTGCTCAGCACTTTTATGATTTGACGATAGATTGGTAGGCGGGGCTCGCATTCTCATATTCCGACAGCAACAGCTCCTTGTGGTTCTTTTGCATCCACCTATGTACGAGAAGGGCATGAACAAGTAATAGGAATATCACCACTCATCAGTCTCTCATCCTATACAACACTACTTGATAAACAACAGACATTATACTGGACTTACTTGAGAACATCCACCAGGTTCTCACGGAGAGCATTGATCGAGTCCTGATCCATCTGAGTATGAGCAATAAGCATGGGAAATTGAACTAGAAAAAAAAAAAAAAAGAGAAGAAATGACGCACAACAATCATGTCAGCACTACTGCTCGTCTTCTTGGTTGCTAATGAAGGTGCTTGAGCACCGTCAACATCCTTGAGCGTCAGGACAATATGGACTGTACGTGGCACCTACCAAAGAGTCGGAGCAAATGTTCGCCGCCATAGATCTCCGAGTCCTCCTTTCCAGTGTTCCGCTTGCGAATGTCGACGTATTGTTGACGTTCAAACCGGTAGAGAAGCAGGTTGCCCAGACATTTGTCAAAGTACGTCTTGATTCCTGACAGCACTTCTTGGAAAATCTCGTCGCTCTTTCTATAAACGCGTTCAAACGAGAGCCACACACGCACACATCACATGTTAGATCCTGCTGTCATGATCCAATGAGGCCAACTGATAAAGCATCCCGTCTCCTGATAACGTACCCCTTCTTGTCCTTCTTCGAGTCTCTGTACATGTCGAGGATCTGGACGACATTGGGCGTCCTTGGCAGAGGAACCAGCTAGCGAGACGAGTTGGCCAATAGAAAAGCATGGTGGCGAATGTTAGCTCTCATAGTCGAGTTTCGGGACGCCTATATGCAAATTGTGATGTTGCGCGAAAGCGAGCCACATCCTGTCCTTGTGCCTTACTTGTTGGTGCTTGGTGATGTTTTCCCAGTCATCCACGAGTTGTGCCTTCAATGAGTCGGGTATTGGTACTTTGATCTCGGGCCGCTTTGTGAATTCTTCCTCCTTGTCAACACTCGTGTCCTTTGCTCGCTTCTTTCCTCTATCAGAGCTCTCTGTCACTCCTGATGTTTTTGGTACTGCCTTCTTCTTGCCAGGATATGACTCCTTCAAACTGGCCTGTTTGGCCAAGTTTGCCTCATTCATCTTGAGTGCCCTTGATTCAGGAACCCACTCGTCCCATCTATGTGCCACCAAAAAAAGGCAAAACAATACGTGTTAGTCACCATTCCTTGACAACTTTTGCCTTATAGAAGGGACCGAAAAGCCTTACGTCTGTTTCCAACCGCGGTAATGGACCAAGTAAGCTGGGCCTTCATCGCCATGTGGTGGGTCAAGGACCCTCCAGTCTGTTTTGAGAATCTATAGCACATTAAACAACAGTAAAACGCCCTGTTAGTTTCTTGGGCAAGGGGGATGTCACGTCGTTTAGGCGGAGAGTGACAACAAGAGCATAAGAGGAAGGCTCGTTACCTTGGCCTCGTAGAGCAAAGGGCCATGAAAACAGAGGACGTTTTCATTGGCCTCGAAGGTCATCTGTCGCTTGTTTGCCATGTCGCACTCCTCGTCTTTGGCGAGGGTAAGGTTGTGTGAAGGGAGGGAAGGATGTAGAAAGGGGATCGCCGGGTTAGTTATTGTTTCGAACGCGCCTTGTTTATTCCTTGTTTTGTCCTCGTTTGAATGCGGAAGTGGTCGTGTTTGTTTGGTGTATAAAAAGTGGAGAAGCGAGTAGAGTCGAGTAGTGTAGGTGTGAGTGTGAGCGAGGAAAGGTGCAATGTTCACCTACAAATGAACAATAGGGTACAGGTGAGTGTAGAGTGAGAGAAGAGAGAAAGGGGAAAGGCTGCACGCCTGTAGGTGGTCAATTTGAGAGGGACAGGCATACAGACGACTTGGGTGGCTGAGCATTGTCGCCTTCGTTGTTTGTGTTCGCAGTCAAGGCTACCACAGACAAAGAAAAAAAAAGTGATCTTCCATTCTTAACTTCACAAGTTAGCCTTCACAACCAACCATGGACAACGTCGCAGGAGAGAAGCGCCCCGCAGAGACCGCCGTCGAGGGGACCTCAACTGAAGTCCGCCTTCCCCAGGTACACTCTCGCAACAACTCCAACGCTCATGGGTTCTCGATTGACTTACTTTGTCATCGTATCGTTGTTCACCAGTCTTGTCCTAACTGGTTTTATCGTCGCTGTTGTCTGGCTTTGTTAGAAAAAGTACTTCCGTCAGCGCGCCCACGCCAATGTCTTCTCGGACCACCACCTCGACTAGTGAGTGCTCTCGTCATTACTGCTGTCAATCGTACCTCAGGAAGATCCAGCTCGGACACGATAACTTATACGCCTACTGATCCGTTCATATCCTGCAATAGCCCCGTGAGTCCTGCACACATGGACTGGTCCAAGAACTTTCCCCAGCACTTCGCCCCCAAAGATAGCGATGCCGCAGTTGAGGGAGCAGTGACCAAGGATTCAGGAAAGAAGGTCGAATTCGCCGATATTGGATGCGGATACGGAGGATTGCTCGTAGCCTTGTCCACCGTCTTTCCCGACACCCTGATGCTGGGTAAGTCGACAGTATGGATCAAGTTTCTTGCCTCTTGGCACCACGAACACTCGACGTCGAACACGGATTGACACCTTCACTTTTTAATGTCGCAAACTAGGAATGGAGATTCGCGTCAAGGTCGAGGAATACGTCAACCAAAAGATTTTGGCTCTTCGCCAGAACCACCCTGGATCGTATGACAATGTGTCGATCCTGCGTATGAACGCCATGAAGTTCTTGCCCAACTTTTTCGAGAAGCACCAGGTTGGTATTCAAGGAACTGGGTTCAGGATGATATGGATGGTTGACAACTTGAGACTTGCACTAACAGGATATCGTTTCAATCGGCTGTAAATATTAGTTGTCAAAGTTGTTCTTCTTGTTCCCAGACCCTCACTTCAAGAAGAGAAAACACAAGGCCCGTATCATCACGTATGTTCATTAGAGAGTTGGTCCGAGTAGCGCGTTGTTGCGATGGTCTCACATTTGCCTGCGTTATGCTTTTCGCGCTGCCAATTTGGATGGCACGTCGCGGCCGTGTATCTACTTTCCGCTATATTAACTCATATGGCTTGGTATTCCTATCACTAGATCTACTCTTTTGTCAGAGTACGCATACGTTCTCCGCCCTGGTGGAATCATCTATACGATCAGTGATGTGAAGGATCTTCATCTTTGGATGGTGAAGCACTTAGACGCCCACCCTCTGTTTGTCAAGATCCCCGATGAGGAATTGGTCGATGACCCAGCGGTTGAGCACGTCCGGACTGCCACGGAAGAGGGTCAGAAGGTTGAGCGTAACAAGGGTGACAAGTACCTTGCATGCTATCGCAGGATCACCGACGATGATTGAAAGGACGACTGATTCAACACTTGTACACTACACACTTCACTATACTTTTTTTCCCAATGAATTTTTTGCTTGAACACACTTGCCATTTTTTGCCAGCCAAACAGACGCTTTTATTCTTGTTTGTGTGGCTCACATTTGAATTGGCGACGGATAAACAAATGGCCACGACATGTTGTGGGACACAAGTGGGCCCACTCAAACGTCGAGGCCGTTGCCACCATCCATTGTGGAGAGAAGTGATGTTCAGGGAAGGGTCAAAGTGGTTCCTTTTGGACGCCTAACCGTCACCACATTGAAGATGGGAAGCTGCTGATTGAGAACGAAAGGAAAGAGAAAAGCCAAGAAAAAAGAGAGAACAGCCCGCGTAAGGGACTAATAATCTGTCAGTCCGTGGGTGACGACGTGTGTTTACAGCGTAATGGTACATGGGCAAAAATGTAAGTAATTAGGAAGATGAGAAATGGGAGGCGTGAAGAAGAGGGAAAGGAAGGAAGCCTCGAAGGGAAGAAAGAACAGTGCGGTTTGTAAGAAAAGAAGGGTTCTTTGACCGATGCATAATTTGACACAATAATTGGCCCATTGGGCTAGCGCATTTGGAGAAATGGTCTTCCGCCCCCTCCTCTTTCTTTCCTTCTTCCTTCACCCTTCCTTCACCCTTCCTTTTTTCCTTTTTCTTTTTACTTTTCAACGTTTCTTCCCTTCACGTTCTTCTTTTTCCTTTCCTCCTTATCTTTCCCCCGCCTTGGCTCCCTTCCCTTCTTCCTCTTTTTTTTTTTTTTTTTTTGCTATATCCTCACTCCTCGCCTCTTTCTCTCTCTCTCTCTCTCTTTACTTTCTTCGAACACACTCCTCACAACCCTCACACACACTTACACTCATTCACTTTTTTTTCACAATGGGTATCTTCACAAAGCAAACCGTCATCTCAAATCAAATCGGTACGCCTCTCATCCTTTCTCTATGTTGTTTCTGACAGCTGACTCTGTTGTCGTCGTCCATACTGAGGAGACCTTTTGTGTGTGTGTTTTTTTACTATGGGGGCACAAAAAGTAACGAATGACTAACCAAGCTCAACTTGTTGGTGCATACTTTTGTCTCATGTAGATACCATCACCGCCTTGCAGACTATTACTCAATGGGACGTGATTGCCACCCTCTGTGAAACTGTCAATGCCAAGGACGATGGGTAAGCAAATTCTTTTCGCGGGAATAAGAAACAACGAACAACGAAAGGCTCTACTCTACAGTCAGCAGGAAACGGAATTGGAGTGTGAACGAATACTCCAGACAAACTAACGGCGTTACAACCCTTTTATTTTTGGTTCACTTTCACCTTATGTGCGTGCTCTCTCACTTCTTTCTCTCTTTCTCTCGCTGCGTGTTCACCCGGCTCACTTTCCCGGTCTTACACGTTCTGGATATCAATTGGACTCGGGCTTTTTTTTGGTCTAACAACAGAGCAAAGGAAGCAGCCAAAGCCCTGCGCAAAAAATTGCGTGTGGGACGACCTCAGCAACAGATGAATGCCATTACTGTATGTGGAACGTTTTGACATATTTCTTAAAAATGGCACAAAGCAACATATGTGAGACGAACAATTCGTCTGACTTTTCCGTTTCCATGCTGTGTCTGTGCTTAATAGTTGATTCAGGCATTGGTTGACGGCTGTGGTTCAAAGTTCAAAGGTAAACGACGAAACAGTGCTTCATTTCAAAAAGAGGACAAAGGCGCTTCGAAGCTATTGAATGTCATGTTTAGAGTCAGTCGCATAAACGCTTTTTTCTACTCGCATTTTAACCATGCCCCTTCCTTCTCCTTCTCTTCTATTGTTGTCAATTGGTGCCTGCGCTCTGTTCCCTTCTTATTATTTTTTCTTGATGTCCTCGTGACAGCCCAATTGGCTACCGCCAAGTTCGCGGATGATATCGAGGCTGTGGTCGTCGCAGATGTATGAAACCGGTTCGAATGAATGGCTTGAAGTTCCCCCGGAAAGAAAGAAATCCAGGCTCTATTCAACTAACCCAATGTCATGCTGTCATGTTGTCATACTTGTTCTTTCGATATATGATAGGCCACGGATGCCAATGTCAAGATTCGCCTCATGGAGAGTCTGGAGGGATGGGCTAACACGTTCGTCACGGATCCAGGACTTGCTGTCATCCCTCAGCTCTACAACTCACTCATCAAAAACAACACACCAAGACAGGTACTTGCACGCCGCTTCACTGCTTTGGATTGACGTTTCGTGAGCGCAGGTTGCATTTTCTTTTTCAAGTCGCGACCGACCGTATTGCTAACAATCTTGAAACGGTATATCTTAATGGACAAATAGTCTGGACACCAACGAGCTAACCCTCCTTCACCACTTCGAGCCCCCATCACCCCTGAACAGGTAATTTTTTCGGAGACGGCAAGGTTGATATGCAACAGCTGCATCAACTGAACCAACTGCAACATTACTTTTTGTATAATTCCTTGACACTCACATTACTATTTTTCCATTTGTGTTTGTTAACAATAGCAAATGAGACAAATGGCGCAGGATATCGAGCTGGCAAGGAATAACGCTCACATGTTGATTGAGGCGGTCTCCTTTGCCGACCCAGAGTTGGAGGCGATTGAGGAGAATGAGCTGATCAAGGTAAGACTGGGTCAGAGAATGAGAACAGGATCGGACTGTCTGCTCTGGTCGTGTGGGCTCACTCAACTTGATTCACCGACGCTTGCCATGCTAATTAAACGACTTGATGCTATCAATCATAACGAATTACAATAGGAATTCCACTCCAAGTGCACGAGCCTTCAGCGCACCATCCAACAATACCTTTCAGAGATCACAGAGTCTGCCAACCCTAACGAGCAATGGCTGAGTACGTGGAACACATTGGTTTAGGACTTGTTGTTTGCTTTGGTTTAAGACACAAAGATGGAGCGTTATTGTTGTTTTGTTCATATGCCATACTGACAAATGTTATATGTTTTCTTGTGCCGCGCCTGAAGCATCTCTGTTGGCATGCAATCAGGAATTGGTGCAGTCATTCACGGCGTACAACCAGATGATGGAGCGTCAACATTTGAACAAGGCAACCAAGGCATCAGAGACAACAGACTCTGTTCAGAACCGCAACGGCAACGGATTGCCTCATGGCCAACATGTTCCTACTGACGATTTGCTGTCGTTTGGAGACACTGTTGGATCGGGCGGAGATGGTGCAGGTGTTGGCAATGGTCGTGCCTACAGCAACGGTCATGGTGCCTCAAATGGCAAGAGCGCAGTCCACAATGTCCCTGTATCACAAAACACGTCACAGGATCCTTTTGGAGATGAACCCTATTACGTTGGACCACAGTCCGATGTCTCAACAGCTGTGAAGAATGGGTACTTTTTTTTTTTTTGAACAGTGTTCATGCTGTTATTTTTCTAGAGTTCCCTTCGTTGTCTCGAAGCAAAAAAGAGTGCTCACATACTGATGTTATTTACCTGTTTTCTTTTTTTAATGTTCGGTAGTAAGCGGACGGACAATCAGGACAAGGTGTTTGATGCGTCGGCGTATTTCAGACAACAGCAGGAGCAGCAGGAGCAGTTGCAGGCGCTTAAGGAGCAGCAGAGACAATTGCACCTTGAGCAGGAGCAGTTGCAGAACAGCGGTGGATCAAGTCAAGCCACATCTGGTGCGGTTCCTGTCTCAGCCCTTCCCTGAACACACAGCAACCAATCAATTCTTTAGTCTTACACAGCAAAAAAACGAATTCTTGTCAAATGTCATACCTGCAAAACAAATAAAGCACATAACCTCGATAATCTACCAACACAAACAAGGAGGATCGTTGGGGGACAGTATAGTTTGCACTCTTCAATGCGGAGGGTTAAAAGGCAGGAGGAGGAAGAGGGGTTGGTAGACTCTAGGAGATCTCCCTACAATTAGCAAGCATGAGATTGGAGATTTTGTCGGATTGGCTGAACCTGGCTTGAGTAGACCAGAACCAAGACCAAAGACCCAAGACCAAAGACCCAAGAAGTTGAGAACCCAAGATCCAAGCCCAGCAAGGTGTTTACACTGTTCCATCCTTCACCGAACCTAATGTTCACGAGTCAGTAGTCAGCGATGATGAAAGTCTCCTTCTCCCTTTGTTGCTTGATCTGTTCTTACAAGTGACTACCACATTGGTATTATTTTCCGATTCTTTCTTTCTCATCGGCCTCGTCATTGCTTTGTGCAATAGGAATGTGCAATGGAGCAGTAGATCCGATGGCATTCTTCCCTTTTTTGTTGTCGAGTATGGAGAAGACAGCTTTTTTCATGTGAACAAGACCCCCTTGGCTTAGCTAGGAAGCTCTTTCTTGGCAAGCGTATGGCGATTTGGCTGAGACATGGCCAAAGAAACAACAATGGCCACAGATAGGGGAACGGGGACCCGCCAGGAACAATGATCTTATCGTATCAGAAAAGTGACCGGAGTTGCCCAAGGCAGCTCCTCCTCCTCCTGTCCTTCTTTCTCTTTTGTACCTTCGAGGAGGACGGGGTGTCGGAAAATATAGGTGGACCTGGTCGGTCGATTGCGCGGGGTTCGTTTTATTTTCTTTCTGTTTTGTTCATCGATACTCGTCCTTGTTTCTTTTACCGTCTTCTTTTTTTCCGTTGTCTTCTCGTCCTTAGCTCCTCTTCCTATTCCTCACACTTTTCTCTCATCCGCCACCGTCTTTCCTCTATCACATGGACAACAATGAAAAGGGCCATGGACCCACCTACAACGAGGACGAAGCCCGTCTCGCTGCTGTAAGAACAATAGCCACTCACGAGTGCCCTTTCAACAACAATACATAGCAAAAAAAACGCTGCTCACAACTTTTTGTCCCTGACAAGGAATGAACATGAATGAGCTTCTCATTGCAAACAAAACCATTGACTCTAATGCACTTCGCTTTCCTCATTCACCTTTTTGTGTTCAAACTCTAGTTGGGCTACAACCAAAACATGAAGTAAGCGCATGCGCTCTCAACACACGAAGATCGACAAAAAGAAGAGCCAAGCTGCCCTGCACAGTGTAACCTTGCTTCACACTGCCCTTACTCCCTTCCTCCCCCCCTCCTTCCCATACCTGCTTCTAACAGATCCCATTCGTCCCTCCTTCCTTCAAAAAATAGGCGCCAGTTCTCTGGTCTTCAGAACTTTGGATTCACTCTGACAAACTCGTCGGTGTTGATCGGAATTGTACCCCTGTTCGGGTTCGGAATGGCCACTGGAGGTCCCGTCGCCATCATCTGGGGCTGGTTGTTGGTCGCCTTCTTTGTCATGTTTATTGGATTGGGCATGGCTGAGATTTGTTCGACTTTCCCCACTGCTGGTGGGTTGTACTTCTGGACCGCCAAGCTGTAAGTACATTATTTTGTCTTGCTTGAGATGATGGATTCCTTATCTTATCTGTGTTAGTACTGACCGGTTTTCTTTTGTATTGGACATTGAAAATAGTGGTGGTCCCAAGTGGGGTCCTATGTTCTCGTGGTATGAGGCCTGGTTCAACATGCTCGGACAAGGTAAGGAACGATTCACAACACAACAATGGACAGCACAGCAAACACAATCAACAAATAACAATCAACAAACAACAACACAGCCACATGATAAACAAACGAAACCCCTGCTTTTTGCGATGATCTCATTCGACTCACCAACTGTCCAATCCAATTCGTTCACCTCTATTAGTCGCTGGATGCTCAGGATCGGTGCTGGCAGCAGCAACGTTCATGAACACATTGATTAGGGTCTGGCAACCCTCATGGGAGCCCAGCGGCACAAAGAACTTTTACATCATGGCAGCCCTGATGATCACTGCAGGATTGATCAACTCTGCTGGAGGACGAGCCCTCAAGGTTGCGTCATTGGTCTCGGTTGTGGTCCACATTCTCGGCACCATTGTAGTTGTCATCACAGTTCTTGTTGGAGCCCCCAAGTTGCAGAATGCCAATTTTGTGTTCACAGAGTTCAAGGATTACACTGGCTACACTACCCAGTCCTCGGCCAGCCCTGCTTTTGTGTTCATGCTTGGTCTCTTGCAGTCCCAATGGTCCATGCTTGGATATGATGCGTAAGTCCGTCACACTCTTTGGTTTTATCGATGTCAAATGTTGGCTGAGAAATGGTAAAAATAGGAGAGCTTTTATCTTTTATCTCGAAGGTCTTACGGCTCTGACTTTGTTCGAGTATTCCTTTGCTATCGTTGATACGCCACATTTGTCAAAAGCCTCAGCTTCGATTCATCTGTTTTTCTGGGGGTTTTCCCTGTCGCATATTAATATCCCGCACGTTTCACATTACCGTTTCTCCCTCTAACCCTTCTTTTTCTCACACTCTTCTCCTCATCTCATATCGATGCTATCTTGATACCTGCTTCCTCTTACATTTTACCCCACGACTATGATGAACTTGGCGACATTCCTTCAAATAGCTCCGCTCACATGTCAGAGGAGACCGAAAAGTCATACGTCAACGGACCCCGCGGCATCCTCATGTCGATCTTTGCCTCAGTCTGCATCGGTTTGGCGCTGGCGCTGGCCATGACATTCGGAATCCAGGACTACGACACTACCCTTAACAGCATCTACGGCGCTGCCCCTCAGATCTTTCTCGACTGTGCTGGCAAAGTAGGTGGATCGATTTTCATCTTTATCATCGTCTTTGCTGGTTTCTTGTGCGGTGTTGCAACGGTCGCAGCCAACTCGCGCATGATTTACGCGTTTGCTCGGGATGGCGGATTGCCCTTCTCTCCATTCTTCTCGGTCTTGGATCGCCGCACCCAGATGCCATTGAGACTTGTCTGGTTGTCGGTCGCGATCATTATCGTGCTTGCCCTACCCTCCCTCGGATCTGAGGCAACTCTTAGTGCCATCTCAGGAATCTCCATCATCGGATTCACCGTCTCGTACGCCATCCCCATCCTCCTCCGTATCACCGTCGGAGCCGAGACCTTTGTCCAGCATGAATTCAACCTGGGTCGGTTCTCCAAGCCCATCGGTTGGATCGCCTGTGTCTGGACGGGCTTTATTTTTGTCATCTTTAACCTCCCCCAGTCCTGGCCTGTCGATAACATGGACCATTTCAACTTCACGCCTGCGGCAGTTGGGTTCTTGTTGATCTTTACAACGCTTACTTGGTTCCTGAGTGCACGGCATTGGTTCAAGGGGCCGGTCTCTGAGATTGCACTCCAGGAACTTGATGGTGTGGTCCCTATTGAGGCAAAGTAAAATCCCTGGTTGGGAATTACTTTTTTCTTCCATAGACTTTCTTTGTTATCTTTTGTATTAGTATTCAACATACCCCACCCCCCATCATTTATCCAACATGTTACCGTAGAACAACACATTTTTTCAACATAAACTGTTGGTTCTCATTCATTGTCTAATTCATCATGTTCTTTTAAAGGAAAAAAAAGGGGTATACACCGTTTTGTTTGCTTCTACTATAGTCCGGGGATGATTTAAATACGAGCCCGAAGGGTATGTCCCTTCAAACCCATAGGATTAGTAAAAGGCCGGATATACTGCTCATAGCCCTCCACAACCTCAGTCCGGTTCAATGGCTCCCGGGTCGCCATCTCAGTGTACCTCTCATAGGCCCGTCCATCAAACGCACCAATCGCACTATTGAGCAAGTAATCCGGGAACGCAAACGCGTCCACAAATCCAATAGCGTTGGGTCGGACCTTCTTCTCCATCACATCCATAATCGCCTCACCCAGGAGCGAGATCTGCTTGGCGTCGAGGTAACCCGAGGTCAAGAACTCGCCGGGTTGCTTGTGGATCGTGTGCATCGCAAAGAGGTCTGACAGATCTGTAAGCGCCTCCTTGGAAGCCGCAGAGATGACTGTAGGCTGGATGCCGTCAGGTTGAGGCATCTCGCCCCGAATGCCCAAGATGAAATTCTGGACCAGGATCAATTGACAATGAGCGACCGAGACGTTATAGATATCGACCAGCATCGAGTTCCAGGTCCGTTTCTCAACATCGAGGGCATGGACGATCTGGGCCACCATCGAGGAGGCGCGGTGTCCGAATGCTGCAAGTTGGAGTTCTGGGTTGTGGAATGCGCTGGCAGAGGTGGCGGGGCATTTGAGGGTTGGGTTCTCAAGGTAGGTGTTCATGTAGGCCAGGGTTGGATTGTTAATCTGACTGGCCGAGAACTTGCCCGATGCGCGCTTGGCGACCAGCTCGCGGAAGGACTTGAATAGGTACCGGCCTGTCTGCTGCGTGATCATGTAGTTGTCTCCCTCCCATGTCACATTAGGAGCTATTGTTCATATTCAACAGAAATGTTCGTTACTTTTCCCAAGTCTGCATTGCATCGCTGTACGAAAACAAATAACCCAAAGAAAGGTACCATAGTCTTGCAAGAGCAAGGGAAGACCAGAAAAGGCTGAGAAACCATGACCACCACAGGCACGACGACACTCTTCAATTGCAGAGGCAGCCATGGTGGTCGTCAAGGACTTGAGCCCAGAGCTGGAGGCGTGGACGTCGGCCAGGAGGGAAAAGTCTCCAGTCTCCATGTTCTTCATGTTCAAATGGTAAAGACGCATCATGTCTTTGCTGGTAAAGAAGCAGGCATAGGCCGCAGCAATGATGGGGAAGAGGCGGTACTGCTGCATTGAGTAGTCTAGCACGGGGGTCTCAATGACATCCTTGCCCAGCATCTTGGGTGAGTCTTTGTCAACAAACTGGCGACGGATGGCCGAGTAACGAGTAGCAATGGTGGCAGCTTTGGCCATCCCTTGGCGAGCAGCGCCGACCAACGAGGCACGGACCAGGACCATGGTGCCGTAAGAGAGTTTGGCGTTGGGAGGCTTGACGTATTCTCCAGAGCCGGGCTTGACGCTCGAGTACTTTGCGAGGAGAGAGATGTGGGGGACGCGGTAGTGGTCGAACCACATGCATCCATTGTCGGTCGTATTGTACCTATTCGCGGGTTAGGTAAGAGGCAGCAAGCATGAAATAGCGTTGGTCTGTGTTACCATCCGATCCGATCGATCACGTTGCTAATCCACGCCAAGTAGTTTCTTTTCTGACCGAGCCGCTGCCGCCCTGCAAAGAAAACAAAGAAAAAAAATGATGTGTTCACTTACCCGAACTTGGGACCAATATCGCCAGCCATGACACCAGGGAGCAAAGTATGGTCCTCCATCGAGCGTATAGGAACACATAACGCATGGGGACCATAGTCCTTGCCATTCGTAATCAAACGAGCCATCACGACCGCATGGTTCGCAGCCTTGCCCAGTCCACCGATCCACCATTTGGACGCCGTCAGGTACGGCGTATGGAGCTCAAACTGGTTCGTCTCCGGGATATAAGTCGCCGTCGTCTCGATCCCCTGCACATTTGACCCATGCCCCAACTCAGTCTGGGCATAGCATCCAATAATCTCATAACGCTGAGCAGGTTTCAGGAACTTCTCCAACTGCTCGTTAGTGCTCTGGGAGGCCAAAGTCGGCATAAACATCCCTCTATGGAGTCCAAAAGGTCCAGCCTCATCAATAAGGCTCTCAGCCTGGAGATACTCCTCAGGAGACCATTGGAGTTCCTTTGACAGCTTGACCAGGGCATGGTCTTTACGGAGGGCTGCCGCAAAGCGTTCGGTCCTTCCGCGGAAGTAGCGGTTCGACTTGTCAAAGGCGGGCTCGTTCTCGATCACGGAGAGGAGGCGCTCCTGACGCTCAAGGTAGACTTCTCCGTAGAGGAAGGCCGAGACTTCGTGGATACTGAAAGTTGTATTGGCTCGCTCTTGGGCGAGTAGGTCTGCACCCTGGGGTTCGGAGGGGGGGAGGTTAGGAAAGCGAAGGGCGGACATGGAATGAGAAGTAAGAAGGGAAGTTGACTTTGCTGGGATGAGGTGGATGGGAGAGATGGGAATGAAGAGGTTGTAAAGGAGCAATGGAGGGGAGAGGGTGCGAGAAAGGAAAGAGTCTGGGGAGTAGTAGAGGGAAAAGAGGAGAGAAAAGGCACACACGTTTTATTTTCTTTTGGGGCAAACAAAACAACCGCATAAAGAGACTTAACCCAATAGCGCTCCTTTCCGTGCGACTTTGTCTGTCCACCACAGGAATGAATGCAGTGCAGAAAAACTCGTTCCGGAAGACATTTACCCTTTAGCTACAGAGCATCCCATCCGCTGGCTGACTGTCGGCTCCCATTCTCATCCTATTTCTTGTCGATTGCCCGTTCGTCAGTCCCAACCTTGTATCGATCATCCCCGGTGATGCTCGACCAAACTACGCTTCTTGTTCTTCTCAACCCACAAACAGGATAATCCGTTCTCGCCATCACAAGCTCCATCCGTCGTTCTTCCCACCCCACAACCTTGTTCACCTGATGTTGCTCAGACAAACACATTTCTCCACATCCGTTTCAGTCCCCGCCAGAGATTTTATTTTGATGTATGTACACATTGACGAAAAGGAAACCCACAAACAGATAGATGTCGTCGGTGTGTTCACGTCGACATCCTTGCTTTAGAGTGGAGAGACATAAAGCCGAGAAGAGAAACAGGAGGACTAGAGAGAGAGAGAGAGACAGACATTCCTTTAATCGAACGGCATGCCAGCCTTGTGCCACAGTGCATACACTCCCAATCCGACTAGCATAAATCCTCCTGAAAGAAGCAGCGTCGATGGCTAATTGATCCCAACGTACAAGCAAAGTGTGGTTAGTGGACTGAGTCGGCTCAATGTCTTTCACATTAATCAACATTATCTCGCATTGAGCTTCAATTGCATCAAGGTCATACTTGGCCCATGCAGGCGTTATTCTTCTTGGCCATAGGGAATACGAATTGTGTCCAGGAAAACTCATGTCTGGAATCGCAATGCTCGTCGAGAGAATGTGCCGCAGTGGTTTTGATGGGTGGATCCGTGGCCAATATCGAGGCATTGGAACTTGTGCTGGTAGTTGAACTGCTTCCTGCCCTCCTGTCCCCTAATTCTTCCAAGATGACGTTTTTGCTGGACGATTGAACTGTTGGCGTAAGGGACTCGAGATCGCTTTTGTTGTTCCTCTGCTGCAGGTGCGACTCTTGTTGCAATGACTTCTCCAGCTCTACTTTGGTGTCCTTCAATCGCTTCTCCAGGTCCGCGTTCGTTTTTTCCAGATCCACAATGACGTTTTTCTTTGATTGGTCTGCCTGTCGTAACTCTTGCACTTCCTCCTTGAGTTGCTGAATCTCTCTCCCGAGATCCCGACAATTTTGTTGCTGCTGAAGAGCATCATTTCGGTCGAGAACTGCTGCTAGCTCCTCCTTGTGCCTTGCCGCCATGACTTCCTGCTCCAAATCTGCATCTTGTACAAGTTGGTCAATCTTTTTTTTGTGTATCAACTCCAGATCTGCCACTGCTACTTCATGATGCCTCCGTTGATCCTCAATCTCTGCCCTGTGTCGTACAGTCATCTCGTCCATGCTTGCCATGATATGACCCATCTTGGAGTTTGCCTCCGCAAGTCCCGAGTTACTTTGATCGAGACTTTCGAATAGAGACTCGTTCTCTGCCGTGAGTGGGCCCAGCTGTATCCTGTGACTTTCTGCCTCTGCCCTTGCTTGCCGCAAACTATCAGCCATCCGTGATATTTCAGCCGCATGTTCCTATTGCATCATGTTTCCCCAGAAGAATGAATCTCAGCGGTTGTATTCAATTGAAGTAACCAGTCGGCACAAGTACTGCAAAAAGCATATATGACTTTCTGCCTACCAGGTCCTTTTCCTTGAGGATGCGCTCATATTCGATGGCGGCCGGGGAGCCTTTGAGATGAGAAGTGTGACCATTGGCGGAGGTTGAATATCCATTGGTCAGTGTCGTAGTAGGCGGGTGTCGATCCTTGTCGGACGTATTGACAACAAACGCCTTTTCGAGCTCTCCTAGTCCATGCTTCAAAAAGCCCAAGTCTGCATATGTCTCCTGTGAACGTGTAAGCTCGCTCTGTAGCCGTGAAATGATGAGGTCAATGTTGTCACTTTGACCCCCATGAGCCGGGGTCGAATTGGTCTTGATTGAGTTGACACCCGAGGCAGACGGCGAGACCGGTTTGAGCTTTGCGTGCGAGCTAGGGGCGTTTCAACAGGGGGGTGTGAGTTAATAAGTAAGTTGGGTTGGGGGGTGTGGTCCATGACAGAGAGGTAACGTGCGCTTGTATGTTTGGGCTTACTCTTGTGGAGAACTCCCTGGCGTGGGATAGGACATTTTCGAGATGTAAATCTTGCAAGACACCTTCTCGTGGAGCACTAAGAAAAGAACAAAAAGAAGACAAAGTCGTGGAGCATGGGTCAAGTGAGAAATATTGCGCAAGGTGAGTACAAACGAATGCCAATCGGCTCTTGTCTCGTGTTTGTATTGCGTTTGGGTAAGTCCATATCATCATGGTCGAAAGCGAAGCAAGTTAGTACTTACACGCGCCATTTTCGTCCATGATGTCAATACCAAACTCGAGGCCATCATTCTGGTTTAACTCGAAGCACTCGCTCTCGGTGTTCTCATGACAGAGTCGCTTGCCGTTGAGGAAGGTGCCGTTGCTGGATTTGAGGTCTCGGATATAGACCTTTCCTGCTTCTGACCAGACCTCGGCGTGGACACGACTGAGGACCTTGGAGTCAAAGTATCCGTTGGAGGGGTGAGGGGCAGTAGTGACGCCTGTCTGGCGGCCAATCTTGACCTTGACCTGGTCTGGTAGGTCGAGCGACTTTAGGGCAAAGGTATCGTTGATGGGTTCGAGGACGAGGATGGGGGTGTTGGAGGCAGGTTGGTGGCGGCCGTTTATGGTGGACGAGCTAGCGGTATCCATGGTAGGATTATTTTTAGGTTGTCGAGAGGACTTGCAACTGTGTTAGCCGAAGGTTTCCCTGCGTTTAGGGTGGGTGTGTCGCGGAGTAAAGTACGGCAGAGTGAATGGATGGAAGCAAAGGAAGAATAGGAAAAAAAAGAGAGGTGTTGCGGGGAAGATGGTAAATGCGAAGAGCAAAAGTGTATAGGGAAAAGAAGGTGAAGGAAAAGGGAGAAAGAGCAAAGAGCTGATGAAATAGACAACGACGCTGATGAGGGAGAAAAAGGGAGGGATGGTTGGACAGGTGAGCAGCCGGAAGAAAAGGCAAAGGAGGACTCAGGGGTCAAGAACGATGACACACATCGACTTGTGGTAGTGGTAGTGGTGGTGGTGGTGTTGTTATTGTCGATGTTGTTGATGCAGATGTTTGCAAGTGAGTCGATTGGTGGCAAAAACAACGATAAGACCTTGGGTTGTCGGGTGAGGGTATGGAAGGGAAGGGGTGGATGAGGCTTGTGATGAAGGAGAGGGAGAGAGAGCAGAAGGGTGTACGTGTGTAGTCTCCCTAGACAAGACGCAAGAAAGGAGGAGGGTGAGTGGTGATGACAGAGTGGTGTAGTTAAAATGAACGCACAGGCAAAATATGACCCAGGGGGGTTCTACTGCAGTGTGAGTGGAGGGAGTCCGTTCCTCAGTCTCGAATAATCAATGGCCCAGTTGCCAGACAATAAGCGATTGAAATGTCCTTGTCTGTCATATGTGTAGGTAGCTATGCAACACGAGCATGTATGAATAATGTATATGGCATCGGAGAAAGAGAGAGAGAGAGAGAGGAGAAAGAGAAGAAAAGGAGGAAGAAGCTAGGGGTGCAGAGAGGAAGGGAAAAGGGAAGAAGGTGCGGTTCGAGAGAGAGATAGTGGAGAAAAGGCAAAAAGGAAAATCGTTTGCAGGCAAAGGGGTGAAATAGAGGTCATGCCTGCCAAATTTCCTTTGTTGGCTCGCTGCCTGTGAGAGAGAGAGTATAGTTTGTAGGAGAAGAGCGAGAGAGAGAGAGGGGAGCCGTGGGTGATGTGAGCAGGACCGACTTTGATCCGCAAAAATTGAGGACGGACTGCGAACCATTTTCCTGAGCGTCTCTTTTCTTGAAGGATATTCTTTATTCTTCCTTCCTTCCCTTCTTTGTCCCACAAACACCCCTTCTTCTGTCATCATAATATACCCTCCCTCCCTCTTGAAAAAGAGAAACCAATCCTATCAGTCCCCTTCGTCAGCAGCCCCCAATCCACTCCCTCTCTCTCCCTCTTTCTTTCTTTCTTCTCTACTCCTCTCTCTACTCCTCTCTCTACTCCTTCCTTCTCTTACCTTTCCTCACTTCCCCCTCCTCCCCTGCCTGCACTCTCACTCTCTCACTCACAAATATCCTTCCTCTTCAATCCTTCCTTCGACCATTTCCCTTTCACAACGTCCTTCTTCCTCCCTCCCTCCCCTTGAACTCCTCCTCCTTGACCCAGTCGATGCCCTCCCTCTCCTCCCAACGGTCCACTTTAATTCTTCCATGACCCTTCGTCTGCAGCAGCTTTACCTCTTCACTCGTCTCAACCCTCCTGCCCTCCCTTTATCCACAGCTACATCAACCACAACCTCTACCCACTCTTCCTAACCACAACAATAACGACAAATAGTCCCTCCCTCCCCTCCGCCACAAAAACACATCCAAACCCAACTCAACTCAACCTTACCGAACACAAACTTCTCTCCATGGTCACCAGAGCCATGCGCCAGATCATCCTGATCGGCGTCATTTGCTTAGGCACCATAGGCATGTTCAATGCAATGTCCTCGATCGGCAATGCAGGAAACCACTCGCCCACTGCCCAGAACATGGCCATCACCTCCTCCTCCATAGCATATATCATCGGCTTCCTCGTCGCCGGTGGAACCTACAACATGCTCGGGCCACGCCCCTGTGCCGCTTTTGGTGGATTTACCTTTTTCCTCTACGCCGGAGCCATGTACCTCGCCAGGAACGACGAACATTCGATCTACCCTCCTCTTGCAGGCATCCTCCTCGGCCTCGGCGCCGGCTGTATCTGGGTTACCCAGGGCGCCATGATGATGTCCTATCCCACCGAAAACAACAAGGGAAAGTACATCGCCTGTTTCTGGGCAATCTTTAACGTCGGCGCCGTCCTCGGCTCGGCCCTCCCCCTCATCATGAACAACTCTCTTCACGCTGACCTCGACGACGTCTCCCCTTCGACCTACATCGTCTACATGGCCGTCATGGGTGTCTCGACCTGTTTCGCCTTCTTCCTCTCCAAACCTTCGACCATCGTCCGTGATAACGGAGAGCCCGTGATCGTCGCAAAGTTTGCAGGTGTCCGAGCAGAGTTTAGGGCGATTCTGTCCGTCTTTTGCGACTGGCGCATGCTCCTCCTCATCCCCGCCTTCTTCTTCTCCAACTTTTGCTACACCTACCAGTTCAACGACTTCAACGGATCCAACTTTAATATCAGGACACGGTGTCTCAATTCGATCGTCTTTTGGGTCGCACAGATCGTCGGTGCGCTCGTCATTGGCCATCTGCTCGACAAACTTCCATGGAAACGACCAAAGCGAGCCATGTTAGGCCTCTTGGTTGTTGCCGTCCTCTTCATGTCCACCTGGCTTGGCGCCTTCTTGCTTCAGCTCAAGCATAAATGGCAACGGAGATCTGTCAACCCCGACTTAATCGACTTTGAGCACGGATCGACCTACTCGGAACTCTTGACCATCTTCACCATGTTTGGCTTTTGCGACGCCGCCTTTGCCGTCTACTGTTACTGGCTCATGGGCGCCCTCTCCAACAAACATGATGAGCTCTCACGCTACGCAGGATTCTTCAAGGCGATCCAGTCCCTTGGGAGCGCTGTGGCTGCACCCCTCGATCTCGCCGGGACGCCACTGTATGCCTACCTGGTCACCAATTGGGTCCTCTGCGGTGTCTCCATCGCCGCCATGTTCCTTGTCTGCAGGACCGTCACCGATACAACCATTGAGGGCGACGGCGATTATGATTCTGATGGCGATTCTTACTATGCTCGGTCAATTTCACCCGAGCGGGACGTGGCAGCAGCATTAGAGGCTCCTGAACCTATCAGGACATTATCCAGCACATCTGAGAGGGACTCCGGCGTCAGCGAAGGAAGCGGGACTCTTTGGGATTCAAGAGACAGCGAGCCGTGTACAATCCGTCGATCCAGCAGCAAGACTATCCGCAAGGGTGATGAGCAGTACCTGTCGACCAATGAAGCCACGGTGGACCGATCCAAATGGAGGACAAGCTCTGTTCTGTCGACAACATCCATGGCCGATCCCACAACATGTCCGTCACCGACCTATCAACAAACTCACCACCATGTACGCAGGAATTCCGCGCGAACAAGAGCGCCTCCTATGGTCGAGATCCAGGATGATCAGTCGTATTTGAGCCAGCAACAGCAGCAGCAGCAGCAGCAGCAGCAACAAACTACTTATCCCAACACGCCATTCCTGGCAGTGCCAGACATTGCCTTTTCCAGTCACAATTCGTCCAACCCAGCACTGGATAGCATATCAGGAGTATCGACCGTGATACAAATGCACCACCTCAGTCCACAACCCCAGCAAACAGCCAGTCTGACTGCACAACAAGGATCAACCTCGATGTTTGGTGGCGCTCCTTCGTCTATCTCGACCACATCTGCAAACGGCTTTCTTCAGCCTACGGGGTTGTACCACGGTGCTCCTTCTCCGTCGACATCGGCTACGTCAGCACCCTGGTCGACAGCGTCAACTCGCTACGATGAGGATCAGGATATGGATTCTGTCGAGACCTGCTCCGTCTCGTCCATGTCCTCCGGTCACGACTCGATTCCCGAGATGGGCGAGATGGGACCTGAACCACAGTCTAGGGCACGTCGGATATAAACCGGCGCCTCCCTATGTTACATACTCTTACCCTATTCTGCATTCTCTTTCACCTGTACAACACTACATTACACTTCACACAACGAACCATGCATAATAAACTTTTTCTGTAAAAAATGGTGGCGTGGCCATCTCGTTCAAAAAGAGCCAAAATTTTCTTTATTGTCTTTTCCTCTCTTGTTTCCTTATCCCTTTTTCTCTTTTTCAATCTTCTCACACACATTATCCTCCGACCCACGCACACACATAAGCACAAACATTAAAATACACAGCTATAAAGCACACCCTGACTTGGAACCAAATCCCTTCGATATGGAGTCGTCCTCACCGCCTTCAACGGGTGAGGACCCCAACGTGTGCCTTCGATTCTCTCTTGGACCCACCAACCTCGGTATCCTGCGCCCACACCTCGACATCATGAAGGAGCACCCCGTCGTCATCGAGCAGCGCGACTTTCGCTTCGACGTCTACGGACGGCCAGCCGATGTGGCCACCGCGATCGCCTACAGCTTCCTGAACCCCACAAATAACGCCGATCCTGCGCCACAAGGAACCAGCGCAGTCTTGGCAGGTGCAAGTCCAGGGCAGAAAAGACAGACATCTTCTGTGGTTCATACAAGAAGGGAACAACAACCGCCTTCCTTGGAGCAGACAAAGAATGACCAAAGGGAGAGTGACACGATAGCAGGACGTCTTACAGCAGGCAGGATTCAAATCGATGACCAAGCAACACCTCACGGATATCTAATCAACTTGACCGAGCCATCGACATCATCTACAAAGGCTTTGTCATCGTACGAGGCATCCATAACAACAGATTTGGCCTCGCCACCGAGTATGCAGGGTGTAAATAAGTGGAAGACGGATTACGATCTGGCATGGGAGCAGTTCTTTGGCCCTCGTAACAACACGCAACAAGAAGCAACAGAGTCAATGGAGCCAAAGTCTTGGTCGGTCACGATTCTGCTAAGCATGCCCTTCCGAGTCATCCAGTACTTGATGCTGACCTCTCACGGCTTCAAGACCTATCTTGTCGAGGAGCCAAATTTAGACGCCTGCACCCGGCAAGGAATCTCTCAGGAGCGCATCAAACTCATTGCTGAGCAAGCAGGGATGGTCGTCGCTATCAACAATGTCCAGTTGCCCAGTATTGACTCCAACCCCGAGGAGTCCCCAGTCTGGCTGCAGCTGGACGATCGCAAAGCACTTCGAGCTGTCCTTTTGGGCGTGTGCAAGGCTCTGGAACAGGAACCGGTCCGAAGAGTCATTCAAATGGGACTTGGACAAAGTGAACTGGAGTTGCGCAAGACATGGGACGGAATCCTCGGTCAGACCATCACTTCAGGAACTACACCTAACGAGAGGGAGTGGGTCATGGACGATCGAACGTCGAGAGAGGAAAACGTCCAACCGCCTGCATCGGTCACCTGGGCTGAGTCTCCAACGGAAGCCAGACGAGTACAGGGGGACAGGAACTCAACGGCCCCGGCTGCCCAGCGGAGGCGACAAACTGAGCCAGCTTGGCACCCCGTTACGACAAGAATTACTTCTGTAAGTCGATCAGTCTGCTTCGCTCTTGTTTGTTGTGGTATGAAAATCAAAATGGTACTGTGTGTTAATTAGCATTTTTTGCTTTCGCTGTTGTGTCTGTAGCCCAACAGAATTGCTGAGCACCGTCGAACATCTGAACGGGACGTATGGAACAATCGGCTGACGGACGGATGGGACAGTGCAGCTGGAGTATATCGATCACCGCGAGATACACCGTCTGTGGTGGCGGGGGACCCATGGATGGCAACCTCTCAGAGTGTTGGCAACTTCTTCACAGAGAGCGGGCATAATGGAGCCGAGTCCCTTGTTGATGGTGCTATGGGACCTAGCACAAGCAACAGTAGCCTGAGCGAGGACAGCCAGGGCAATGGACGGCGTTGCAGGAGCACAAGCAGCCAGGAAGCCAGGGAACCCCGTCACCATGATGACAGTAACAGTAATAACAACAATGAGGATCCATAGGAAGTTGGGACTTCTTGGGATGACGCTGGGTCTTAGAGCCGGTGGTCGCTTGGTCTGGTGCGCCACCATTTTTCCCTTGACAGTCCTTATTTCTTTTGCATGAACAAAGTTGACTTTCTAGCCCCTTGAAGTGCATTCTTTGTCCTTTCTTTTCATTCTTCCCACTCTTCCACATCTCTTTTCCCATCAACCACCACCCCTCTCATTCTCGACAACTACAATAATGGTAAAAACACAGGCTCACACTGGTCGTTTTTATTTACACCATCTAGACATTAACATCGAGATCAACTTTGACGCGCGTCAAGGTTATTCCGCCTTCGTCTTGGACCTAACCAATCAATGCCCATGGCCCATTGCTCCTTTTTTTGTCGCCTTCAACTTTTAGGCCTTGTCCCAATGCTACAGAGTAAAGCGCAACACGCAGACAATCTTTGTCAATACCGCCAACCCTAACGCAGACACAGTCTTGACGCTGAAGCAAAGGATCATCAAGGCGCTTTCATCGACCAAGGAACGGGACGAGTCTGCGGCGGCTATCACCCACCCGGCAGACATTCAACTCTTTGATTACAAGAACGCCAGCCGACCTGTTGAGCTGGTTGACACCAAGACTTTAACGAATTCGGGACTTGTGGACCATCAGGTCGTTGCTATGGTCTTTAGGACTCCTTGTAAGAATTTCATGCCTTGTGTTTTTTTGTATGTGCTGTTAAGAATGTAGATTTACTTTTTGCTGTCAGCTTTTAAGAAACTAACATAAACTATTGTTTCTTGTGCATGTATTATTTTCTAGCTGGAGCGTGGGAGGATGTTTATATTGCACCAATGGATTTGGCGGCAGACTTGGACGACTTGGAGGACGAACCTGAGGAAGTGGAGTATAGGGCTTCCAAGGGCAAGGAGCGCGCATAGAACACAACATCCATCCTGGGAACTAGAATGGTGAGGAAATCATGACAGGAAATTCTCCTTTTGCAAAGGATATGAATAAACAACCCGAGACATTCGAAGATTTCGTTTTGAAAATGGAAATTGATATTAGGGGGGAGAAAGAGGGGGGTCTAGTAGTCGTCGCTTTCATATTCGTCGTCGTCGCTGAGGGCTGCTACTGCTGAACTGCGGATCGAAGACTTCTTGACCTACGGAAAAATATAAATGAAGGACGATTGTTAGAGTGCGTGTGTGTGTGTGTGGGCGTGTACCCGACCTGTGTGATATTGCTCTGCCAAAGGAATTAATTATTTGCCTCCTGCAGGATCAATCGATGTTCGTGTGTGTCGCTTATTACCTCCTCAGACTTGGACGCCCTTGATTCTGGGACCTTGATAGCACCCACACGACGGAGGTATGCCTCAATATCTATCACCAAAGAAAAAAAAAAGGGTGGGAACGTCAGCTGAAAGAAATTGGATAAAGGGTGACGTGGGTCTCACAGATTGCAATGGCCTAAAAAAAGCACCAAGAGACGCAGATTTTGAAGAACAAATATCGAAAACGACACAATGAATTAAGAAAAAAGTACCTTCTGGCTTCATGTTGAGTCCACCGAGCTGTGTGGCACCGACGAGCTGAGCCTTGACGTCTCCATCACCATAGATCAGAAGGGTGGGCATGTTGCGATCGGGATAGTCGGGAATGCACTGGTCTCCAATGATTTTGACAAACTTTGTCGACTTGTTCCTAGCGGCGACTGTTGCCAAGTGTGCTCCCATCAGTTTGCAGATTGGCAGACTATGTTTGTGGAACGATGATAGAACTGACGAGTTAGAAGTCATTAAGGGTAGAGAATTTGGAAAGGAGTAACATGCAAGGTGACAGCCACGAGGGACTTACTATTCCTTGTAGAGGTAAGCGACGACCCAGACGACCTTGCTTGCGTCTGATACCTCGCGGATGAAATCCGTCTTGTAAATGTGCTGAATTTCGCCAAACTTGTCCTCGGACATCTCCTGCTTGATAGCGTTCAGTCTTTGCTGTCTAGTATTAACAAAAGTGTGTATAGATAGATCAGCAAGGTGAGCAATTGAGCCATGGCGGAACATTTTTAGAAGTCTTTAGAATGTTTTTTTGGCCAAAAGTGTGAACTGAACAAGGCGACCGACGTCAACGTATGGCATAGGGCGAACAAGTAAACAAAAAGTGAATGGTTACCTGTATTCCATCAACATGCGCTCGTTCTCCTCGTTGTCCTCGTCCAAGAGTTCGTCCAGCTCGTCGACGGTCTTTTGTTCATAGTTCTTTTCGTCGCGTTTTGCAATGGCGTCGTCAATCATGTCAACGATGTCGGCCTCGGTGATCTCCTCTTTCTTGGGGATGATGCCCTTGGCGCGGAGAATGTCGTTCCATTCGGTGTCTTCGTCGTGGTTGTTGGCCATTGTTAGGAATGCGGGTGTTGGCTGTCTGAGGAGAGGGTGAGAAAGAAAGAAAAGTGATGGAAGAGAAAGGAAGGAGAAGTGCTGCTTTTAGTTCCTTTTTTTGCAGTCTTCAGCGATTAATTAAGGATGGATCTGAGAGTGAGAGCGCTGATTGGCTGAATCAGCAAACCGACACCACTCTTTCTCGTCCACTGCGTGTGAAGAGGGAGCAGCTTAAGGGGTGTGGCTTGAGTTCAATCCCGAGGAGAGGCAACTTGTTTTCATACTCGTGCGGCACATTTTTTTCTTTCACTCTTTTTCATTTTTTTTCTTTTCTTGCACGCCTCTCACACACACATTTTTCCACGCAACCACTCAGGACCCTTGTTTTCTTTTTTCTTTTTCTTTTTTTTTTCTCTTTCCTTTTTCCATAATATTTCCCTTTTGTTCACTGCTCAAAAACTAATCCCTCAAAAGTCTCTTGTCAGGATCAACCGAACTCTCTCCACCTCAGTGCTCCATCGTCAACCGGTAAGAGTCTTCTCTTTCCTGCACTCTACCTTCTCTTCTGACCATTGCAAACAATCAACAAACTACCGATGTGTTCGCCTTCCTCCCTCTAATTCAATTGCTCACCGTCTCACGCGTGTCAAACCACTTCCTTCTTCACTTCTTTTCTGGACATAGGCCTGCTCACTGGACTCAAAATCTTTTTTTCATTTTTGCTCCCAACCGGATCACCGACTTGTCCCTCCTTGCCTGTCAGTGACCCTCTTCTCAACAACTCACCCAGGCATAGCAACCAGGACACAATCCTCCCATTTCCGAATACCAAAAACCAATCAACAATCACCATATAATAATCAGCACACAACCATGAGCGCACCTCGGGATTCTTCCAAGGAACAGGACGATGCCAGTGTTGCTGCCTCGTTTGCTCGCTCACTCGCCGGGACCCCATTGGACTCAACTGCCAATGATATCACACTCGCCCTGAGTGGCACAAACAGTCGAGTACCCACCAGCGGCAGCACCAGTAGCACCAACTCTGCCGTTCCTTCCTCAGCCCACAATATCGACATGCTCATGTCGGATATCACCAATGCGGTCCAGAGCAATATCGCAGCCATGGACCAGCAATCCCAACAACTACAGCTTCAACAGCAACAGGCCCAACCTGATGCCCGGATGGCCATTGCGCAGCAATTGGTCTCCCTGTCTCAAAACAACTCGCGTGGCAACGAGTAAGTTCATTGCCATTGTGTGGAGATTATTGGGACATGGCAAGGCAATTTGTTATTTTTTGCTTTGATTGTCGTTTTTTGTTTGCCCGGCTTGTTATTTTTGGACTTGTGTATCTTTGTCAGGGAACATGCCGTGGCAATTGTAATGCATATGCAGGATTCGGCTCTTTTTTTTTACTTTGACCCACAATAGCTAACAAAACAACGCCGCATTGGATCGAATTGATATACCTAACTGACGGTCTTCATTCGTCTTTCTCTTTCTTGCGCCCACAACTTGCTCTGTTGATAGTCTTCATCTTCACGGAACGACTTCGTCAGCGGTTCTGAGTGCTGCAGCAGCGGGAGTTACGCCACAGGACACACCCATGTACAAGAGCGCTGTCGACTATGTCAGCTCTGTCAAAAAAGCGTACGAAAACAACCCTCAGGTTTACAAGGACTTCATGACCGTCCTGGAAAGCTACAACAGCTTGATGTAAGTATTCATCAAGCATCATGACTGACCGTGTGTGATTTTTGTAATATTCAATTGATATTGCTATTCACTTGGTAAGGCGCAAATTCTTATTGGTTAACTCTTGTACTCCTATTTCGTCTGTAATTAGTATCCCAGCAGAGGAACTTGTGCGCACTGTAATGTCTCTTTTCCAGGACCAGCCTGATCTGTTGCTTGGATTTAAAGAGTTCATCCCAGAGACGCAGGAGGTCTTGAACCATTTGGTACCGGTATGTGGAAACTGACAGCCTGAACCACCTGGACACTTTGATGCCGCATTTTGACGATTCTGTGAACCAGGCAACTGAGCACCGTTCTAACTCATCACCGCTCCCTTTTGTTATCTTTCCCTAGCCTATGATGTACTCGGATTATAAGGCACCAGTAGTAGCACAATTACCAGCAGCTACTGCTGTGGCACCTCCAGGTGAGCAGAAGAACCAGGATTCATGGAATATGATGCCAAAAAGGACACTGATGCTAATTTTGAGGACACTCAACGTTCCTGACTTTGACACACTCCTAATATTTTTTTCCTGCTCTTGTCTACTCGTCCGATTGACGATCTTAGAAGCGGCTGATTTCTTGAGCTTGATCAAGGTACAATGCGGCGCGGACTAACAACAGTGGAATGATTGCACACAACTGTTGACAGGACGAAAAACTCCATGTAAAGAGTGTTGACCCGAACCGACTTTTTGTTTTGTACTTCGTCCCATAGGAACGCTCCCAACAAGAGCCAGACATGTACCAACACCTGATCACACTGCTGAGGAACTTCAAAAAGGACAGCTCATACTCCAACGTACGTCTCCAGCAGCATTGCCATTGTTCTTGTGTTCCTATATCAAACGAAGAAACATACAATTCAAACAAGGAGCTAACATTCTATTGTATTCACTTTTAATTATGATAGCTCTACTTTTACGTCTCGATTATCTTGCGGTACCACCCTCATTTACTACAGCGCTTCCACAAGTTCTTGCCAGCGGTGATTGCAGACTGTGAAGTGACGGAGCCCAGGATCATATCAAAAGCTCCACCAGAAGAGTTGGTCGTTTCTCAGGACTTTATCGACGCAAAGGAGTTCATTCAATCTGTCAAGGTATAATCCACTCTTTCAGCATGGTTCGGCGAAGTTTTGAGTTGCAAGTAACGATCCTTTCCAGGATTCTGATCTAACACGAAATCACACCTTTTTTACCGCCAAAAAAATAGCATGCTGCCAAGGGCGATATGTCAATGTACGATCGGTTCATCTTTGCACTGGAAAAGTATCAGCGCAACGGCTGGACAATCGACCAGGTAGGAGCTCCCATCATGACCTGTCGCCCATGTACTCTTTGGATTAAGAGTGAGCATCTTGAACACCATACTCGATTCGCGTCATTAACGTATTATTTTCCTCTTGACTACGTTCCTAGGTCTACTCTGAAGTGTCGCTTATTTTCTGGAATCATCCCGACCTACTTGCAGGATTCAAAAACTTCATCTCTTCAGTACCGACACCTCCACAGCCATAAAGCATTCATCTTTTTTTTCCCTCAACCAACTATCTCAATCGTGCCTTAGTCGTGCAGCATCATTTTTCGGCTCTTGTAGTCTGACTCCCAACCAAACTGGAAAGAAAGGAAGAGACGGACTCTCTAATGAGGTAGCGACTTCATGCATCACTGGACACACTTGAAGAACCGGGTGCGTCTTTATCCGAGTTGATCCGGACGATAAGAGAAACGTGGTCATCATACCCGTTTGGGGATTCTATCCACAACCAAAGATTACCAACCCGGACTCTTTTTTTTCCATCTGTGAAGGCGATGGTCAGTCTGGAAACTGGAACACCGTGCGTTTTGTTTATTTTCTATTATGTTTTTAAGAGACCCAAAGGAAGAGCTCTTACGTTTGGGACAAGTCATTAGGGCTTCACTAGAAAGCGACTGAGAGTCATGGTGTTGCGAGTGCTCTGTAGCCAACTGAACCCGATCGATCGCGTGCTGATCGTTGAGGGGAGTTTTTTCGAACAGCAAGTCAGTGGCCTACTCTGTTTGTTTGGAATGGCTTGGCTATTTCCGCTAAATAGTTGCGTACCGGGACCGTGTATATGTGTGTGTGTGTGTGTGTGTGTGTGTGTGTGTGTGTGTGTGTTTTGAGGCACGACCTCTCCGATTCTGAACCACGGCTAAGGATAAACAGTCATCCCTGACTTCCCAACGCAGCGGTGACGACGAGTGCAACGCGGTTTGCCTGAAAAAAAAAAAGAAATAAAACCCCCACCCAGATAGTTTTGTTTTGTTCCGTAGTTCTTTTTATTAAAAATAAGAGTTGAACGATAAATGTAAAGAAAAGATAGGCCAATCAGGATCAGAGCATTTGTTCTTCTTGTGCACCTGCATTGTCCGTTCCTAGATGATCATCTGGGAGACAATAGAGTTGCTTACTGGAGAGCTCTTAGTATCGACACGTTCATGATTGTCCCTCGATCCTGCGTTTTTATTTTTGAACTCTGGTACAATACCTCAATCTGTTTAAATATAGATACCACTCTCGATCCAAAAAATTAAGCAAGAGCATGGAGCATGCTACGGATACAATGATATGATTTTAAAAGAAAAGACCACTATGGAAGAAGAAAAAAAAATGATGGAAAAGTGGAATCAAATGATTGTGCCTGAAAGTAAAAGGAATGAAAAAAACGTGGCACAATAAACAAAACAATATTCACAAACAACTGAAGAGAACCTCAGAAATCGCGCTCTTCATCTTGTTCTGGGCCTTGACATGATACTTGGCTTGTCCGTCTGCCTTCGCCTTTACAATGGCCCGGGCCCTCGCCTCAATTTTCTGCTCCCGTTCATACTTGGACCTCTCCATCTGAGTCCTGTATCGCTCATATGCGACAAAGTCGGTGAAACTTTCCGGATAACCCACGTTTTCGAAGGATTCTTCCTCATCCTCCAGCAATCGCTCCACCCAGTCATCGGGGTCGAAATAGGAAGGACTGAATGCCTTGGTCAAAAGGAGACCGCTGCTGCCTGAGCTGTGGGTTGACGTTGCCGCTGGTGGTGGTGGTGGTGGTGGTGGGAGTGGCGGTCCTGGCACAGGCTTCAGCATAGTGGGGTTCATGGCGAAGTGGTGGTGGTTGCTGCTATTGTCGACAACGCGGCTGTCATTCTCATGTCCCTGAGTTTGTTGCCTCTGCGGCTGAGGTAAATAACCTTGTTGTACCGAAGTAGAATTGCGCATCAATGGGAAAAGACGATCCTCCATACTGCTCATGGTTGTGCTGTTGTTATGATTGTCGCCGAGCACCATAACATGCTCGCGTCCGCGATCTAGCTGTTGTTGCTGCTGTTGCTGCTGCTGTTACTGCTGCTGTTGCTGCTGCTGCTCGGAGAAGCTGCCTTGATGAGTAATGCCGGTACCGTGCGCTATGATAAGAGAGCGGTACTCGGCAGGGTTCAAGGATGAGCGGTAGTGGTAGCTGTTGAGGGTTGAGTCGAGCTCAGTGCTGTTGCCGTAGGGTGGATGCTGCTGTTGCTGCTGAAGGGAGCGACTCGATTGGATTGAGTTGAACTCGCGTGCGTCTGCCAACGAATGTGGCATGCTTGTTCCATTGGCGTGGTAGTAGCTCTGGTACTGACTGTTATTGAAGGAAGAGGTGGGGTTGTGCTCGGCACTGGCTCCGTCGTTGCTGTAGAGTAGTGATCTCTGCTGTTGTTCCTGCCGCTGCTGCTGCTGCTGAGGGAAGTGGCCGGCGTAGGTCCATTGAGGCTCATGCGACTCTGGATAGGCATGGTATCCTCTCTGGTTCAAGGCAGCGTGATGATCAAGGTCGTAGCTGAATGCCGTCTTGTACCCGCTCTCGTGGCCTTGTGACGCGTGTGTCTGCTGAGAGTAAGCTGTACTCTGGTATGCCGAGCTGTGGGACTTGTGTGTCCCCATAGATGAGCGAGGCGGCGTCGTTTCTAGGGTTGCATAGTAGTTGTATCCTAGGGTCGTTTTGTACACTGTTCCATGTCCATGCGGCTGATGCTGTTGTGGTTCAAGGATTGAATTCTCGGGAATCCAGTGGGAATCTTGTGACTCTGGGTTGGCCTGCTTCCTGGCACGATCCGTGGTGTCCAGATGGCGACTCTGGCCGAGTGCCGTCTGGTTCCCGCTGTCCTGACCTCGCAATGCATGTGCCTTCTGAGAGTGAGCACTCTCGTAGTTGTAGACGGAACCGAGAAAATCATATGTGCTTGGAGACGAGTGAGGTGTCTTGGTCTCTACGATGGTGCACCAGTGGTTGTTATTGCTCTGTATCTCATAATCTCGGGGTTGTTGTTGCTCCTGAGTAAAGGGTGCCTGGTTGACAACACTAGACGTATTCGACGACGGAAAGGAGTTGTACTTGGGAAAGTTCTTGGTAGCGTGGTAGGAGTGAGGACGGTTGTAACTAAACGCCGTCTGGTACTCGCAGGCTTGACCCCACACCTGCTGCTGCTCTTCAGGGAAGAGGCGGTAGTAGGACGGGCTCGACTTGAGTGACGCGGCGAAAGAGCGGGGGGTCGTTGGTTCTGTAGTGGCGGTGGTGGTGGTGTCAGGAGTTGTCGTCTGTCTGGTGGTTGAAGCAGGGGGTGTCGTCTGTGTTGAGGCAGCAGGGTAAAAGTAGTAGCGGGGGTACTCGTTGTAGGAGTAGCTGTTGTAGTAGTGGGGGTAAACGTTGTAGTAGTAGTTGCCGTAGTAGCTGGTAGTGTTGTTGATACCGAGACCGTCGTTCCTGTGGAGTGGTGTTTGTTGCTGTTGTTGTTGTTGTTGTTGTTCATGCTGGGGAATAAAGCTCTCAAGAGTCCAAGCAGGCTTGTGCGTCAACGAAGAGCGGAGTGTGGCTGAGACCAAGTGATGGTCGCGTTTGTGGATGGAGGAGGTTGATTGCGAAGAATGAGAGGGAATCAGCATGGAGCGAAGGTATGAATGAGTAAAAGAGCCAAGGGAATCTATTCGCTGCTGTGGAGGCATGGTTGCGAGAGAGCAAGGTTGCTGGTGATTGTAGCAAAAGAGAGTCGAGGAAGAAGAGGAAAGAAGAAGCAGAGGGCGATTTGTAGGGAGAGAGAGAAGGAAATATTTTGGTGGCGTACTTTTTCGCGTGGGAAGGAAAGCAAGGATTGGACGGAAAAAGAGGGACAGGGAGAGTGAAACATCAGGTTTATGACGAATTGACGTTGGTCGTTGCAGACAAGGAGTCGCAGACAAAGAGTTGTCTGATTGTCGTAGCCCATTTATACTGCTACATTTTCGAAAATGCCTATGAGCTGTGTAGTACCTTGTCCTAGAAACATGTCAAAAGGTGGAAGAAATCGCGCTGTGGTTATTGCTGCCCTTTTTTCTTCTTCTTCTGTTCGTCAATTCAAATTAGTGTCAATGATAAGGTAATCTGGCTGGTCTCTTTCTCCACCGTTCCCTTTTTAATTGCTTGTACAGGTGCTTTGTGGGTTTGTAGGAGTAATACCGGACACACGAGAATATTTGTGGAAATGGAGATGGTTTTCTAGAGTTTGTTCATAACGATCAAAGGCTAAAGCACGTCAAAGGGCAAATAGTTAAGGCGCACATTCCACAAATATCAACATAAGTTGAAATGTCTACTGGGGAAGTAGAAAGGTATTGAGCTTCGACCACGAATTACGCATCATGAGGATGATGTGCCCGCCTTTTATTAATACATGTTTTTTTCAAACTCAAGGAGGTCATCGTGAAAGAAATACCTTTGCTTTGTGGATGGCGAGGGTGAAGACCGTTCTTTACACATATCATTTTGGTTTATCGCGTCGTTGTACGATCATCGTGGCCACTCTTGATCATCAGGCACAATCTTTGCTAACAGAGAGGCTTCGCCCAGCTCATACATCATTTGTCTTTGAGAGCGCCATACACTACACGTGATGTCGAACATCTGCCAGCATTGATAAAAAAAAACGAACGCAGCAAATGTACAATTTTAATAAATTCTGCAAAGGGGGATGATTAAAAGGCAGCAGGCTGAGAAAGGGCGAGGCTTGAGATACCATACCACAGACTCAAACCACCAGCCAGATGCCAGTAAGAGTGTCCACTAAAGAACTTGAACCGATCCAACGCAAACATGGTCAGACCCAACAGACCAAATCCAAGACCTGTCCAACACTCATGTGCAAGAAAACCCCAGATGGTGGCAGGGATCATCGAGACCATCAACAGTAATGACAGCATGGCAGTCTTCTTCCATGAGAAGATAAACAATGCAATCATGCCTGTACACATCACATACGGTGTCCAGTCCCAGTAGATGACAGATGCGATCAAGTCAGGGAGCATGCTTGCATGAGGCTCAGGGAGGGATCTGAGGAGATGGAGGGTGTTGAAGTAGAACATAATGGTGGCGAAGCAGGCGTCGAGGGAGGAAAAGATTTTGTAAAGTGTGGCGTGGTAGAGGGTTGAGGTCATGGCGGTGACGACTGAGAAGAAGATGGCCAGGTGGGTGATGTGGATCTCGGGTGCTGACCAGCGGAAGGTTGGGTCGAGGTAGAGGAGGATGGGGAGGGCGAAGCATGGTGAACTGATCGTGCAGTAGAACTCGGCTATTATTTTCATGCACAAAGTAAATAAGGGCATCGAGTGTTAGCTTATGATCTGAATCAATGTTCATTCTTGTTCTTTGTTTGTTTGAACGTCAAGTGCGTATGCAAGGGAGTGAGATGGTAACTGCGATAAGAGCACAGACAATCGAGAAAAGAACGACGGTAGGATAACAGAAATTGAGCTGCAGTTGGAAAATGATTGTGGCGGGTTCAGGGGTGTTGTTATTCTCTTGAAAATGAGTGGAGGGGCTTGTTGAGGCCTTCCAGGGAAAGTGTAAGGAAGCCCTGAGAATAGAACAGGGATTCTTGAGCTTGGCACTGCCGAAAAGGAGGTGGAAAAAGGACGTGGTGTAGAGGAACGGAGGATAGCGTGCGATGATCATGAACGTACCAGCCCATTGAACGGTAGCGTATTTCTGCTCCAATGTGACGACTGTGGCCTTGGTGAAAAGTTGCTTAATCAGGGGCTGAGAACTGGACAGCGTCCGGCGGTGTCCATGGTGATGGTGGTGGTGATGATGACGGCCGTTAGAGTGGTAATGAAGGCGCTCGTTCTTTTCTGCCTTGAGGATGATCCTTGAAAGCCACGCCAAGGGGGAAGCATTGATGTTGCTGCTGCTGCTGTTGCTTGATTCTGAAGATCCAGCTCCAGAGGAGGGTGCAGAGGCAGCAGCAGTGCCGATCATTCCCGACCCTCCTAATATGTTGTTGTTGGTGTGATCTTTGAGAGTATCGATGTCGACGGTGGCGGTTGTTGCTGCTGCGATGATGTCTGAGCGGGGGATGATATGGGATGTCCGCCGACGCGACATGTTGATGGGCTGCATGGGGAGCTGTATAGGCAACACCTCTGAGGACTCGAATGGAGGCATCTTGAATATGTTGTGTATGTGTGTGATAAGGTTGAGGGTGGCAGTGGTGGTTATTGTTGAAAGGGAAGGAAAGTTGCCTGGTCGGAAAGTTCGGAGGAGGAGGAGAGAGTCTTTATGGTTGTATGAAGGTTGGTGGTACAAACAATGGGATCCAGAGATTTTGGAACGGACTGCCAGGGGGAAGAGAAAGGAAGGGTATCAGGGCAACCGAAAGAAAAAAACAAGGTGAACAAAAAGAGTGGAGAGAAGAGATGTGCGGAGAAGAAGAAGGGGTGAATGGGGAGAATGAGAAGAGGAGATGGAGAGAGGTGGATGCGAGAGATGAGGAGGAGAGTGTGCTTGTGGCTGTTTGATGGAGGATGGGTTTATGTTCGGGATGAGCTGAGAGAGAGCAATAAAATGCTGGAACAAAGCGCTTGTATGCAATTAGAACAAGGCTACTGGGACTAAAATTAGATGTTCAGGAATGAGTATGTGATTTCGGTTTGCGTCTTTTATGTGCAGGAAAAGGAGACGGGGGTGGACGAAATGGGACAAGGAGGAGGAGGGCGAAAGGTCAAGGGAAGGAAAGAAGGAAAGAAGGAAAGGGAGTGAAGAAAGACAGAGGGAAGGAAGAAAAGATAGAGGAAAGAAAGAGAGAAGAAAAAGGTGGGCGATGAAGAGACGAGGGAACGAAGTAAAAGAAGAGATGAAAAAAATAAAAAAAAAAACAAAGTTGGCGACAGATGAAAAGACAGGGACCAAACGGCGAATGCTGTTGGTTGGTTGATTGGCTTATTGGAACATGAAAAAATAAACTAAACAAGGGCTCGCTGCTGCTGTTGTTCCTGGTAGTGGTTGCTATGAATGGATCGAGGAGGAAATACGAAAAAATGAGCAAGCCCACACACCGAGCAGAACGTAAAACGTAAAACATAAAAATAAGGCAGTAGACGACCTCAAAAAATCATACAAGGGGGGGCCAGGCACATCAACCATCTGTCTATCTCTTTGTTTACATTTTCACACACGCAATCGCTCTAAACACACACAAACAAACAATCACCTTCTCCCTTCCCTTACCCACCCACAACACACCCCGTAGGGTTTCTGTACTTTCCATCTGCTATCTTTGCAGTGCATCACTCTGGGTCAATTGGCTCAAGAGAGCGACGAGAAAACATGCTTGGATGACTGACTCGTCCATTACAACTTCACCCCCTTTTGTAAGCCCGCTAATTGATACAGATCCTCCGAACTCTTGGTATTTTTTTTGTTTTGTTTTTTTGTTTTTTTCCTTGTGGGACCCTCTTTCTTTCTTTCCACCCAACCACCAGACCGCAGACAAAAAAGGGGGCTCTGATGAACCAGGAACAGACATATTCCATATGTGAACTTCCAGGACAGAAGGACTTTCACAACCCTCTCAAATGTTTTTTCTATCTCTAAAACTCTTTCGAGAAGCATCCCATGGACTATGGTAAAGCATCAAGCATTGCATGATCCCCGGGAAGAAAGCATGCAGCTTCATTCATTCCATCCTTCTTCTTACCTTCAATCATTCCTTCCCTCCATCCCTTCCTGAGCAAACATGCACTGTTGAATAGGGAATTTTTTTTGCGGACCAGAAAGCAAAGTATTAAACAATCCCACCGAGATGCATGTCTTTTTTCTTCCACTTCTCTCTCTCGCTCCCTACTTCAGCCATGGCTCATTTATTATCTCTGTTTACACTATTTTGAGCATGGGATAAACGATTGGTTGTAATTGGTAGCAGAAAAAAGCATGGAAAAGATGATGCAAGAAAACATGATTTTAAGAATTGATTTTTCTTTTGGTCCTTGTGTTCCCTGCCCATCCTCAGTCCAGCCCTGCCCGCGGAATACTCTTCCGTCCTCGCTTTATCTTTGTCAGAAAACAAAAAACAATCGCACCGCAAGCAAGCCCAACCATCAAAGGGTGGAAAAGGCGAGGTCTGTTCACCACTTCTTCTGAACAAATCAAGCTGTCTCACTCCCCTGGCATACTTATCAATCAACACCCAACAATACACAAAAGCTGCAACAAAAGTGTCATTTTCCCAACAGCAATCGACAATTTCGACATGTGTATGAGAGAAAAGGTACGGGAGACAAACACGGACAGATACACACAGCCAGGACATTTCACACGCAAATGAGTGTGAGAGAGAACGAATGAGGACCCAGCCTATTGTAATGAAGGCAGCACCAGCCTAAGGCACAAGCCTAAAGAAAGGCCAGCGGACCAATCACCCACCCTCTCTGGACTTGAGTATCACACATGTTTGGACGTTCGTTTTTCAGTTTCGTGGGTCTGGCCTGGTCTGTTTGTCTAGTAGTCCTTCTCCAGAAAACAGGAGTGTCGGTAAGAGAGAGAGAAGATATACTGAGTGGCGATTACTTTAAGGTGAGGAGGCTAACAATGCTCCCTTCGCAAACAAAGCGAAAAATGTGACACCTCGGGGCAAGAGCACAAACGTCCTCAATTTGATGAGAGTAGGATAATTGCCATGGAACGAATGGGACGATGGGCTTTTGTGTGCGTGTGGCGGTGATGGGATAGTTATGCAGTTTGGTCTAACGCCCCTCCACTCTCTCTTCGCCCGCTTGCTCTTTGTTTATTTGTGGACATTCGGACGAAGAGAGCCGAGCTCGACCGAATGATGTATTGCCTATTAGAATGAAGTGAGGGTTTGATAACTTTTTCTCGTCTTTCTTTTTCGTGCTGCTTAATACTGCAGGTACCCTTAATCGACTCCTACCCTTAAACCGCGCCTTCATCTTCTCTGACACTTGTTCCTTTATTACCTCTATTTCCATACACTGTAGAAAGCTATACACGAGGGCTGCCATGTCGCGTGAACACTGAGCAGGTCACAGCAGGTTCAGATTGAACGGGACATCACTAGTTCACACTCAACAATGCCGTCTTTTGATGAAATAAAGAAGTTTATCCAGCATAAACTCTTTACAATTGAGAGCATCCGCTCATCTTCTTTTGCCTTTGTCTTTCTTTTTTCTCGTTTCCTTCGCCAGCCAGGCAGCAAGCAAAAGAGTTCAGCCAGTCTAAATCAAAGGACCGAACTAATGCGGTTTTTATTTGGCACAAATTGTACATTCGTTCCTCTTTGCTCTCCTTTCGAAGTCTTGATTGTCTTTTAGCGTTCGTGTGCGGTGTAGATGTAGGCTGATAAGCCACACACATACACAGAGCCAAACGTTGAGGTACCCAGTACTCTGGAGGAAATGAAAGACATTGACGCCAATCTTCGGACATATATCGACCTACTGAACTGGATGTTAAACGCGATGACGCATGGTGTGCGAGGGAAAGAGGGGTTTGAGGGGTTTTGAGCACTGTTCACTCACTAGCACACACACAGAACAGATAACCTAGCAAAAGGACTTGAAGAACCTAGACAAAAAGGGATCCAGTATGGCAAACTATCATTGGGATTGTGTTATGATTGATTCCCGAAAACTATCAATCAAGGGGCACAGGCAATGAAATGGAATTAGGGGAGGTACAGGGGTAAACCGTTGTGCACCCTGAACCAAGAGTGTCAATTCGAACAAAGTTGGGACTAGTCAGAGACCATTTGGACTTCAAGAAACAAACAGACGCACTGTTTAATTATGTGCACACACAGACACCCCTGACAGGCATGCAAATGGACAAAGAAATGCAATTTGTGCACCTTTCAGCTAATGCATTGAGCATTATTGTTTGTGTTTCCTGTCTTCAATGCCCCGTTCTTTTTTTTCTTCGTTCACATCCCTGCCCTTCCAAAGAATCCATAACGTCAAAGAACAAAAAAAACTTGCATATCTGATACCTGTGCTCGTACCTTACTCCCTATATGTGTGCATTGTCCGATATGTATACAACAATATGCGTTTATGCCTCATACTTCATGCTCTTATGCCCATGCGCTGGCCGTTGGTTTTCGTCCCCTTGTCCTTGTCCGTGTACACCCCATCGTACTACCAAACATTCATTTTCATTTTGCATTCTTCATTTCCCGCATTTCATTTTTTTTGCAATGTTCACCCCCCCTCTTTTTCTGCATAGATGTTGGAAACAACAGCATATTGGGGGTATCATATTCACACCCGCAACCACACCCCCTTGTACCTCTTTCCACCCCGATCCCAGGCAATGGCAATGGGAAGAAAAGAACTGCTTTTTCCCCTCATCCTATGCAACCTCAAAGAGCAAAACCAGACCACCCTGTTCCTGTCCCTATCCCTATCCCGTAACCATGCACCTGTTGACGCGTAAGTGTGGCACAAAAGCAACCGCTGGGATGTGGAAAAGAGTGGCTGGCTGGATATGTACCATCAGAAGACTACTTCCTTATTACATCTATTTTATTGTGTACCTTTACCAATCCACCCTAGTCTCGTATTAGGAGGGGTCATCGGGTCCACTCCTTCTCTCTCTCCGCTCGTCACTAGGTCCAATCTTGGTAGTTACTTTATTTGATGGCTCCAAAATTAATGGTAAAGTGAGGCTTGTTTACCTCGAGCTGGACGCGTCGTCTGTTCCTGGTGGACGTTTTATTTTTGGGAAATGATTTCGTTTTACTGGCGCTACGCTTCTGTTACTACTATTGCGAAGCCAAAGCGGAGACAAAAAAAATACATTAAAGAAATAACAAAAGCGGAGGAGTAGAAGTGATAGCATTGAAGGGGAGAGAAGGAGAGGAAAGGAACAGCCTGCTTGCCTAGTAAGTAGATATCGCGCTTTATTTGTCCCATCGTCCTAAGAGCTCCGACGTGAAAAAGGGTGTAGAAGAGAGTAGGAGCTATGAGGATCATGATGACGGCGATGAGGACATTCGAGGACTGAGGATCGTAAGATAGGAAAGCGAGACGACGGCGACGATAGAAAGAGAAAGAATACCTTCCGAAGGCTGGGAAATACTGGTCATGCCTTTTCGGATGTGTACAATACCGATAGGAGAATGAGAGAGAAGAGTTGTCCATGGAAGATGGGAGGGGGGGAAAGCAGATGTGCGAGGGGAGAGAGAGAGGAGGGGGGAGGAGGAGGATGAGGAAGACATGCAAGCGGAGAGTGTGTGCGTGGAAAAAACGCACGAGAAGGTGAGGTGCCGAATGTTTGAGGCTGGGAAGAATAAAGAAGGGCAGGAAGGGGAAAGGGTCAAGTGTGAGAGAGCGAGCATACGTGAGGAGCAATGGTATCGAAAAGAAAAATGGCGGCAAGCCTGTTATTTGTTCACTCGCACGGTGGATGGAGGAGATGAATGGATGGACTCGTTCATGCCATGTAAAACTCCCATGCTCTCTCATTCTTTCTGTCATTCATCTCTGTCTTTCTTCAATCCGTTGATAGATAGAGTATAAGGCGTTGGGCATTGAGCCGTGAACATGTCTATGGGTGTTGTTGCATTTTTCATCTCTTTCACTGCTCATCCAATGCACCACCCCCCTTTTTTCGTGTGCTCGAACTAGTTTCGAGCTCCATGGGGTTTCCATGGTTGAGCTATCCTTGTCCATCCCATCCATCCCGTTCATTCATACCATACCATCCCCATCTATTCATGCAGACATACACACAAACAAACAACAAATACAACCGCATGAATAACGTGCTCTGTCCAACAAGAGAGATAGATAGATACATGAACGAAAAACAATACAAAGAACAATACTGTTAACAGTCAACAGAGGGAGTGAAGTCGTTTTTTACCACGGTTCGATCTTAGTTCATGAACATCTCTCCGTCCTCCTATGCCGCCCTTCTCCCCCTCTTTTTATTGTTCATCTCCAAGGTTGTTTATACCATGTCCCAGTGCCCGCGGTACTATGCTGTAGAGTAGAAGAAGGGGAGGAATGAGAAAAGGAGAGGAGGGTTGAAGCAGACTGTTTCTGCTGCGTCTGAGCACCTCTTTCAAGCACCTTCGCTCCCCCTTCGCTCTTGTTCTTCTCTAGGCCTCGCCCATTCTACAGCACTGTGCCCCGCTTTTGCTCTCAACTCTCTCCAATGCGCACAGTGTTCGTGTCTGTACTCCTGTCCTTTTTTTGTTGTATGTTTTCATTTCCTTCAAGAGGAGTACATGCTTGCATATCTTTGCTGTTGTTGTTGACGTGCTTCCATGTCCCAATGCTCTTCTATCCCTCGAGTTCGAGTTCCACAGCGAACTCAACGGACTTGCTTGTTGCTCCCATATCCATGAACCTTGCCGCCTTGCTTGCATTTTTGTATGTTGTTCGTTTTCTGAGAAGAGCTCAACGCATTTCCTTACCCCTCTCATCTCTTTCTCCTCTTCTTTCCTCGTCCTCCTTTGCGGTCTGTTCCCAATGCCTGTTACCAGTTTCCCCGTCCATCCCCCTTTCGTTTGGGCCATGTTTTCTTAGTGTTTATGTAGCATGACGAAGTTAGGAGGATCGTGGTCCATGGGTCGGTCGAGCCCATCGTTTTTCGAAAATAGAGATACAAGAAGACAATAATAACTACAATAATAAGAAAAAGGCGCGTGGTTTGTTGTCGGTAACATCGTGTATCTAAATTGACTGAAAAGGGTAAATTGAATAGAAACTGCTCGGGAGCAAAGGGAGAAGGATGAAGGCAACAAAAAGAACTCAGTAACGAGCGAATGGACCCATCTGCATGGTAAGGTACAAGTTCGTTCCCATGGTATGTTACAGTGCAGAGAGGACGAACATTTTTCTTTTGGTATGATGGGCATGAAATGATGCGCAGGAAGAGTGACAAGAAAAAGGTAACGACGGGGCGTATGAATGTGATGCGGTTGAAATATGGTCAGTCATGCCTCACTGTCCATGCCATACTGCATTGTGCATGGCCTAGAGTATCAAGCTGTATAATTTTGTCAAAAATACACCAACGCGTCGCTGTAAAGCAGCCAATTTGACACCTCTTCTAATCTCATTTTTTTTTCAAACGCGAAATACTCCTCCCGCGCAAATAGACTCCTCCACATTTATGAGCACAAAAGCAAACAACAAACAAGCAACAACAAACAGCAACAACAACAACAACAAAAAAAAACAATAGAAAGCAAAGCAAAAGAAAAAGGTAGAGCTCGATCATATCTGACAATTGCCCCTACCCCTTCCTATCCCTCAATTGTTTCTTTTTGCACCGCCATAACACAAACACACAACGCAATCCTGCAGCGAATAGAACAAAGCGAGCAAGAGTTATTACACACCTACACCTTTTCTTTTGACCACAAACATACGTACACACAGGTACACACGCTCACTCAAACACACACATAAAATCTTGCTGTGTTTATGACAATAATTGTCTCCCGAGGTTATTGGAGATAAAGGTAAGAAGAAAAAGTTGATCCTCAAACCGCACACCCCCTTTCCTTTGCTCCCCTTCGGTTTATTGTTCTTGTTCACAGGGTCTGCTGGTGCGTTCGCGATATCTCTTTCATGCATGCTATGCTATTATTCTATGATAGCGCATGAGATATTCTTTCGTTTGCTGCACATTTGCACGTTGTTATACCGCGGTTCTTGTCATAGTTCGCTGTAAATGGCGCGATGGGCGTGGCGTCGTTCTGATTTGAGTTGAAAGGTGTCGAGGAGGATGACAAGTGATATCTGGCTAATGGCGATGGTGGAACCAGCCAAGGGCTGTTGCATTTCCTCTAGCACTCTCTCATGGCTGTGGTCGCACAGTCTGTTATAAGAGGATGCTGCTCTCAACTCACCCGACAAACCCCTCGTCCCCTTCTTTCTTTCTGTCTATCTGTTCTTTTTTTTTTCTCCCCGGCGTTTTTTTTGTGTTGTTTCGCCACTGGCGGTTTGGTCAACAACAGGTCAATGTATTATATCCCTAGAGGGGAGAGAGCACCATGCATGCAAGTTTGGCCTAAACCCTTCTCCTACTCCTCCATTTCTCACCCCCGCGCCCTTGTCAACACTGCTCATAATTTTGCCTCATGAGAATGAGAGAATGAATGGGTCCGACAGTTTGCATCTCCCTCTCCCTCCCACATGCAATGCATCTCTCCTCTGCTCACAATGATCCGTTGAATTCAAACCACAATCTGGTGCATAGATTGATCTTGTCAATGTGGGTATCAGTGCACAAAACACACAGCAGTTTACAATACAAAGAGTCGGTTGTTAAGAGTTTGGTGGACCATGCAGCTGCTAGCAGGTTTCTTGTCCTCCTTTTTCTTTGATTCTACTCTTAACCTTCTTACGCCTAGTAGCTAGAGCAGGTTTGTTGTTGCCATTTAATATGCCCAGGTCATAGGCTTTGCTCGACTCCACGTTACTTTTCCACCCCCTCCTCTATACTTGTTCACCCTCTCCATTCTACCCCCGCGCCATTTTAGTTTAGACAGACAGACAGACAGACAGACAGACAGACAGACACAATACTTCCTTAGTGCTCAACTCTCTTTTTTGTTACATGATCGTCGTCATCGTCAAGGCACTAGCACCTAAGCTTTTGTTCTGTCCATTAGAGAGATCCTTGCTCTTGAGCTCTTGCTTTTGCCTAGCCCTGTCTCGCCTCCTGAATTTATCCCTACTACCTTTTTCATGTTCCCATTCTCCTATTCCCTACAAACTTACACCGACAGAAACATGAAAGGGAAACAAAGAATAGGAAGGAGGAAAAACAGGGACGGCTCACACAGAAAAAAAAATAGGGACAATACAGGGGTACAGTGCGGAAAGAAGGTGAGGACGACAAGGGAATCTTCTTTGTTCCTATGTCTGTCCCTGTCCCTGTTTTAAACAGAGAAATGGGTAACAACATCCATTCATCCTCAGGATTATTATTTTCAAGGGCAGCAAGACTTTGGAGCGTTCTGTTCTTTTTTTCTTTCAACGTTGTTCTGTGCATGCAAATTATCCACTTTCTTTTGTTTTTGTTTTGCCTCTCTCAGTGCCATTCATCCCATTCATCCATCCCATCCTATTACTCGATTTCCCTCACCCCCGCTTGGTAACCCATCCCTTGCTGCAACTGAATTGAACTGGTTGCATTTATGACCCCTGTCGAGTTCAAGCAAGGCGGAATTTTTTGCTTGGTTTCTGCACCTACGGCAGGTTAGCTATGCCGCGATTGTGTTATGACTGTTGCACGTTTGGTTCAGTGTGCTCACGACCTTCTTTGCTTCAAGCTTGTGGTGCTCTCATACATACACACATACAGCTCATTCATTCTCGAGGTGTATGAGGAGCGAGAAGAAGTGGAGAGGGGCACACGCATACGCCGTCATAGGTCTAAACTTTCTTTTTTATTACAATTTGTATATGAAATGGTGTGGGGCCTGCTCAATAGGTCTTTTGTTGCGATAGAGTTTTTTCTCTTTCAACATGTACAGTACTGTTACTATGGTGACACCTAGTAGGTTTTTGATGTGGGTGAGTGAGTGAAGGGTGAAGGTAGTGGTAGTAAGAAAGCGAGTGAGCGGGCATTTTACCTATGCAGCTGCAGCAGTAGTGGCAGAAGTAGTGGTGGAAGTCAATGACGAGATGAGACAATAATCTTTGAATGTGTGTGGCAGCATGTCTTTGCTGGCACTCACTCTTTTGGAGTACTGAATGCGAATGAAGAGAGTCGTACGCACTGGAGGAGTAGAGTAGGACAACATCAAAAAATGGGAAGGAGGGACAGGCGTCTAAGTTCTCTTCTTTCAATTCAAACGAATTGGTCTCGTCTGTATTCAGTCAATTTTCTTTTATTTCTCATAAAAAGGGGACGGCCTTTTAGTTCCTCCTCCCCTTTTTTCTCTCTCTCTTTTTTCTCTTCTCCATTTCACCTCTCCTTTTCTTGTACCTCTCTCTTTCACTTTTCATTCTCTTTTTCCAGCATTCATTAACGCATACTCGCACTCATACTCATACTTTCTTATTTCATTCTCGCACACTGTCTCCTAGTCAAACACCTGTCAACCCCCCACTTTTCACATCCACACAGCACATTCTTAACAACACACACATATACACACTTTCAATAATGGCTTTGTCAATGGCCCAGTCAACAATCGACATCCACCCCTCCTCGCCAATATCACCCCCATCCTCCATCACCTCCATCTCCAGCCACTCCAGCACCGGATCCTGCAAATCCGTCCAATTCTCTCGGTTCGTCAAAATCTCATTCACATACCCCAGCGACGAGTACGACCGATCCGCCTTCGAGCCTGCAAAGCTCACCCCTTTGGAGACAACAGAGCTCATTCAGCTTCGCGGCGCCTGGCGTCAAGAGATGGAAGACCGTCTCCATAATGTGACTGAACAGGAGATCCAGATGCCTCTCTCGCCCGTCTCCCCTCTCCTGTCCTCTTCCTCCTCTCCCATCTTTCCAACCAACAAATATCACGGTCGCCCCCACTCGCTCCTCTTGCCGACAGCGGTCTCGTCCAATGTCTCACGCTCGTCCCCTCCTTGCTCGCCCGTTCTTTCGCATCACGACAGCTGCAGCAGCAGCAGTGATGACGACGAGTACCCGACTGTTGTTTCGCCTGCGCTGACAGCCCAGCAACAGCAGCAGAAGCACCGCCTGAAGCGGTTTGGGAGCAGCTGCGAGGGGATGCTGCACCGACACCGTCATCTCGAACAGACCACTCAATGTATCGCCTAAACATTCCTTCGATTTCGATTCCCGGCGGTCCCAGTCTTCGTTCATCCACCCCTTTTTTCTTTTTCTTGCTCTTTCTTACCAAGCAAAACGTCATGCCGGATGCTCCGCTTCGGCATATCCATACCCAGATGCTGTATTTTTCACCTCTTTTCCTTTGTTGTTCCATTCATGTTTATATTACACATCCCTCTCTTCATCCCATCAGCACTTGCATTTTTCTTTTTGACCTCTTCTTTTTTTATCCTTCTTGTTTGCCAAGTCTGCCTACATTTTTTTGATCCTCCGCCTTTAGCTTTTGGTTGGCCCATGGTGCATTTCCCTTGTTGATTGTGCAACCTTGTCCTCTATTTCTTTTTTTTTCTTCTCTGGAATAATCGATTTGATCCCCGATCTGTTCTTTTGGATCCGGTTGCTTCCTCCCTTGACCTCCCTTTGGTTCAAGCCTTTGATCCAATTCGTTCGTTCCCGTTTTCCGTCTCTCCGCCTTGACTGACCTGTCATGTCTCGACCTGTCCGAGCCTTTTCCCCTCCGAGACGAATGCACGCGTCGAACAGGCCCTGCATCTTGTTCCACATTGAAGAGCAATGATGTAGTTGAATTTTTGTCCCGAGCAACCTCCCTTCACAGAGCATCACTGGTGAACCATGCCAGCATATTTCATTTGCGTCATTTCTCAACACGCTTCATGACCTTCCTCTTTTTTTTCTCTCCCCGACACCCTTCTGTACATACACAACATCCACCAAATACCTTTTTTTTTCGATTACCCGTTCATGTTGGCTTTAGATTGCATTCTGTACTTTTATTTTATTTGTTTTATTCTGCCACCCTTTTTTTATTTTCTTGCTTTGTACACCATTGATTACTTTACGATTACCTTTGCTCAAAATAAATGACCTCGTTACGACTCTATCAGCATGAACATGGCAATTTTGCTCGGTATCTTTTGTGTGACAAGAAAAACCGTAGAAGAGCTCAACTTTTTCGGTCGATAGTAAAAAAAAATAGTTGTAGAAGGATGTTGTGGAGAACGACACCGAGACAGGGAGACAGGAAAGAGAACAAACAAAATCAAGTGCAAAAAATGTAGGATGGGAGGGAAGAAGGAAATGGAAAGGGGTAGAGATCGAAAATACTAACCTCAGGACCTTCGAGCACTTGTTTTCCCTGTCTGTCATGTTCTTCTCCACCCCTTTCATGTTTCTTTACCCATGAGGGGTGTGCGTGATGTAAGGAATAAAATATTGTAGGAGGGCAGGGAAGGATAGTCAGGAAAAGTGAAGGGGTTGTAAGAGTAAGAAAAAGCAATTTTGGTATCATTGTCAAACAAGCTGGTTGGTTTGGCCTTTGGCTGGGCAGTGCTAGCTTACAAAAAATGGTTTATTTGGTTTGGTTGCGTTTTTTATTGGCTTGTCCTTGAACCTGGGCTTGTTTGCCGCCCATTTTTCTTTTTTAATCCTCAATCCCTCTTCGCCATTCGATTCAAGACGTGTCCTTTTCCACTCAGCTCTTTGGCCTTGTTCTTTTTGTCGTGAGGATGGTGTGGCACATTTCGTACGACAGAGATGGGTCCTTTGGTGTTGCGGAATGCAAAGCGCATTATTAGACCAGCTATGGCATGGACTATGACAATCGAAGGATGAGATGATAGAGTTCGTTTCTTAGGCGCTTTTTTCTTCGTCTGACAGGACGGGTCTGAGTAAGAAGGGGGGCTTTTTGTTAGTGGGGCGAGATACCAGTCATCCAGTCAGACAACCAGCCTATGGAGAGCAAGCCATAACCAGCCAGCCACTCAATCCCAAAAAGGTTTCATTTTTCCCGTTCTCCTTTAAGAATTGGGTGTTACCAAAAAAGACTCAGAGTAAGGGTAGGGGTAATGGAATTGAAGCAAGTGTTGAAACTGGGGGTTAAAGAAAATTGCGGAGCATGGACATATGTTGTGCCCACGCGTGAAAGAGCTTGTTGAAATAAAATTGCCTCTGCAGGTAGCCACACTCATCTCCCTTGTCGTATCTTATTTTTATGTCGTGCAGCAGCCCTTCTTCTTTGTTGATCCCCCCTTCTTTACTCCCTTCTTTCCTCCCCACCCACATCTACTCGCGATTATTATTTTTCTATTTCGCATTGAGCTTTGACAGCAGAGAAAAGAGGTGTGAGCTCCTTCCTTGACCATGTTTGGTCTTGCCTTTGTGTCCCATCCCTTCCTAGCCCCCTTTCTGTGTTTGTTGAGATGTACTTGATCATCATCGAAGGGGTGCGTGTCTGTTTGTGTGTGTGTGTGTGTGTGTGTGTGTGTGGATGAAGCAAAGCAAACAAATAATGGGATAAAATAGCTCTATAAAGCACCCAATATGACATGCGAGTTATGAACCCTAAAGATGTGCGTGAAAGAAAATAAGCGAGACAGAAGGAGGAAGGAAAGAGCTACAGTACAAATGAAATGCACGGTGGACATTGGGATGTTCTTGTTATTAGGCTGGGAAAAAATAATAAGGGAAATGAATAGAGAGTGTTGATGTTGACGTATTTTTATGCATGGTATCGAGGCAAGTAAGAGAAGAGAAGGGGTTGGATTTAGACATTGGGAATAAAGCAAGGGGGTAACGACTCCCTTTGTTTGAACGCATTGTATGAATTGTTATTCATTGTGGTACGTCTTCACACCTGTCCATGTTCATCTTAGATGAAGAGACGGGTGAATGGTATGAAAGGGATATGTATGCTCACCTTTTATTTTTTTTGCATGAATGAAGGTTTTCAAAATGCTGACTGGGAAAAGGCGACAAGACACACAAAGGAAAAGGCGTTATGTTGTTTTGTATTTTTTTTCCCAATGTCTACCAGGATGTGGACACATGGCACCATTGGGAAAAAAAGAGGGTTGAAGAACATTTGGATCAACTCCCTCTTTTTCCTTGCCCATCATGCATGGCTGTTTGGTCACACATTCAAAAGTATCAAGTGAAAACAGGCGGGAACCCCTGTCGATCGTGAGGATAGTAAGAATAGGAAACAGCAACACAACAACAGCAACACAACAACCAAAATCAAACAAAAAAGCAACGTTGGATGATGTCCGAAGACGATCGATCGTGTCAAATAAGAAAATAGAGTATGAATAAGGCATACACAAAACCCCCGAATAACAAATGCGACCATGGTCAAGCTGCTTGCATCTCCCTTTTTCTTGTTTGTATTCTTATCACGGAACTGGAAAGTAGATAAAAGAAAACTAATGTTCGAGGGTGTAAACCATTTCAAACCATGGATCTGGGCCATGCTCGACGGAACTCTTTCCGATGAGCACGAATCCTACACCTGCATAGAGACCGGTCGTGTGTTCGTGGGCAATCAACAACACCCTCTTCAGCCTCTTCGATCCATGCGCATTGTTATTGAGTCCTTGAAGATGCTGCAGATACTCTCTCAACAACCGTGTGGCGATTCCGCGGCGCTGGAAGGCGCTTGAGACACAGACCGAGTGGATGCAGACGGCATCGCCAGAAGGGTCATGCGAGGACATGGAGCTATGAGTCAGATGGTCTCCGCTCACCAAAGTCGAGACAATGTATCCGACCAACTCCAACGGCGTGTTGGTGGAGTTAGAGCTGGGGTGAAAGGAGGAGGGTGAGTCTTGGTTGTCGTCCTTGCGGAGATAACAGCCGAGAAAGAGTTCCGGAGCGGCGTTCTGTCGAAAGATCAGGTTCTTGAGACTGGCTGCCTCGGACTCGGGGTATTCTATGTTAATTGACAGACCGTCCCATTAAAACAGTATCCCACACGCACGTACACCATCGACATCCATATCCCAATTAGATCCACAAGAAATAAATCTCCATTAGTAGTGGATTCACTCAATTCGAAAACGGTTCTTCAAAAAGGAAGAGGTGTCCCCCTGCCGTGACCTTCGCGACTCTCCTAAACCTCCGAGAGGTAGTTGACTCACTTTATCACATCTATGTTGGAGTTTTTACCTTGGATTTCAATGGCATAGGTCAGGGGCACGTCATCAGCCGAGACAAGTTTGAATTCGAGTGGCAAACTTTCTGCTCTTTTCTTTTCCGTCATTCCTTTGGACTTGATTGAAGAAGAAGTAGATTGGTGGAATTGAGGTTGATGGAACTTAGATGATCTTTGTTCATTCACACATTATTGCATAAACTTTTGTGACTGGTGCTAAGAACTCTCACGCTCGTAGAGTTGTGCTGTCTTCACAAGTACGAGAACATTCTAGGGGTCTCCATCTTCCTATGACTCGAAACGATGCCTATTCCCTTGTCTTCTTTTCGTCATTTACGTAGCTCGATAGTTGGCGAAGAAAGTCTTCCAATGAAAAAGTGGACGCGTCCACCTTGGTGTTGTTGTTGGTGGCAATGAAAAAAGAAGGGGATGAGCATGTTGCATCTCTTACTGACTGACAGTCACATCTCTTGTTCAACTTTCAACCTTTTGCCACCACTTTTTGTTTTTGAATTTCTGTTGCCTTCCTCCCAATAACCACACCCACATACACAAACACCCACTCACTCTCCCTCCACGCCCTGAACACCAACAGCAACTATGCCGGAGGAACCGCAAAAGTCGACTGGCAGTTCGAGTACAACATCGCAGCAAGGAGGAGAAAATGGCAACGGCGGCGGCGAAAAGTCAAACGCGACAAGGCGTGGTAGGTCACCCACGCCAGACGATCCTACTCAACCGAGCCCTTCCTTCCACGAACTCGTCATGCTCCTCGAGGAGATCTCCAAGAAGAGCGACAAGAAACGAGAGTTACTGGGCCGGTTCTTTAACGTATGCTTTTTTGTCTTAACAACACGCGCACACACGAAAAATACCAGCGTCCTTTTGAAGTATCTAGCTTGACGATTAATCTCTGTTTATTTTTGCAATAGGCATGGCGCAAGGATGGATTTGGGAGCATGTATCCACTCATACGCTTGATTTTGCCAAAGGTATGACACGCCGTTGCCAGCCTTTGTTCCGCTTGCGTCACCACGATCAATCTGAGATATAACACACATCATTCTATCTCTTGCCCCTCTGATAGCTGGATAACGAGAGACGACAGTATGGACTCAAAGAGTCAAAGATGGCAGACCTGTACATCTCCAGTCTGAAAATCCTGCCAGGCTCAGAGCCCGCCCTGAAACTCAAGAACTGGAAGGAAGGAACGCGGGTAGGTGTATTAGCTCTTTTTCTTTTGCTTTTAATCCTTGCTTTCCGCACTGATCATATACACTGGATAATAAATATTAATAAATGCATGGCATTGCATTATGTGTGATAGGACTCAGCTGGAGATTTCAGCTTGGCGGTGAGGGATGTGGTGGCGAGTCGGTCTTTGGTCACTCATCCGATGGGACATACAATCCGGGAAGTCAACCAGCTGTTGACTAAGCTATCCAGGAAGTAAGGACTAACGTTCCTTTCATCGAGTGAAATGGAAGAACTGAAGTGTCACCCACAACATTATTAACACACATATTTCTCGTTCATTACTATAGAGGGTCTGAGAAGGCAGAGATATTCAACACGTTGGTGCAGTCATATACGGCGCTGGAGAACAAATGGATCGTCCGCATCATCAACAAGGACCTCAAGGTCGGGATGAGCGAAAACTCGGTCTTTCCCTGCTACCACCCAGACGCCCTCGAGTTGTTTAACGTGTGCAGCGAGTTGCGGAAAACGGTTATCGACTGTGCAGATCCGACAGTCAAGGTGGTCACGGCGAGCGTCAATGTCAACCATCCCTTCAAACCTATGCTCTCGAAACGATTACCGACAGCAAGGGATGTTGTCATCAGCATGGAGAACATGCCGTTCTGGATCGAGACTAAGATTGATGGCGAGCGAGTGCAGATTCACAAGGACGGGGATAACTATCGGTATTGGTCCAGAAACTCGACAGAGTTCACGCATCTCTATGGCGCAACGCCCAAGGAAGGCTCTTTGACGCCGTTTATTCATCCGCTTATTAATCCTAAGGCCGAGAAGTTGATTCTGGACGGCGAGATGGTCGAATATGATCCAGCCACGAAGGAGGTCATTGGCTTCGGAACCGTCAAGACTGCAGGAAATGATCACTCGGACTCGACCCACAAGAGGCGTCCAATGCGTAGGTTGCCTACGTGCCATTGTTGATTATTGTGCTGGTTGATGATGATGTCTGGACCTAACATTTTCTCGGCCGAACTTATTGATATTGTTTAGTGTGTGTGTTTGATGTGATTAACATGAATGGGGCGTCGATCATCGAGCATAGTCTGGAGACTCGTCGCGAGATGCTCAACTCCATTATCCCAAAGGAATCGGAAGGCAGGCTTGAGATCCTGAAGCACACGATAGGAACAACAGAGCAGCACATTGTCGATGCGATTGATGAGGCAATTATGGATCGACAAGAGGGCGTGATTGTCAAGAACCCGAGGTCGGCCTATATACCCAATGGTCGTGGTGAGCAGTGGGTCAAGATCAAACCGGAGTATGTCGACGGAGTCTTTGACAGTCTGGATGTCCTTATTGTCGGAGGTTACTACGGATCGGGCACTCGGGGCGGTCATGGAGTGATCTCGTCGTATATCTGTGCTGTACGGGACAATACATCGAAATCTCAAACGGGGAAGAAGTTCTTGACCTTCTGCAAGTTTGGATCTGGCTTCACATATCAGCAAATGGGAAAATTCAGGCAAGTTATACTAAAGGATTCTGGATTGAGGCATCTGTTCATGTAGTCGAGTGTGATTGTTCTGAATGCTAACGTCAAATCTTTTAATTGATCGTCGTAATAGTCAGCGGCTGGGACCTCACTGGAAAGAGTACAAGTATTACCGGGAAAACCCATGGGTCGACTTAGTTGACAATGCCAAAATGCGACCCGACGTGATCATCGACCCTGAGAAGTAAGTCCGTTGAGAACGACTTTCTATTTCCAATGGGCCGGAAGCAAGAAGCATAAGAATTTTACGCCACCAAATGCTAACTCGTTATCACATATCACATAGATCTATCGTGGTGGAGATCAAGGCATCCGAGATTCTGGCGAACTCAGAGTCCTATGCGTCAGAGTATACTGTCCGATTCCCACGCTTCCTGCGTGTACGAGAAGACAAGGACGCGTCGTCCTGTATGACTATGAGCGAGGTCCATCGCATGTACCGAGAGTTCAAGGGAAAGCTGTCCATGAGAGTCATTGACACCAGCTTGACCAAGTACGTAAATATTGTATATGTGTTGTTACAATAGCTGGATCTTTTGCAACATAAGAGTTGCTAACATATAATGAACTTGCTCTTGTGCATCTCTATAGGACAAAGACCAAGGCGAAGCAGACCGGACCTCGAAAAGTAAGCGGAGCAAATTATTTTTATCCCAAGTGCGACTGCAGGACAAACCTTCCATTCAATTGCAGCTTAGTGGAATCGTGCATACCTAACCTGACTTTCACGTTGGTTACTTGTTTGTATATACCTTTACTAGGTAATACAAGCACATTTGCTGCAAGCCATGGTCGGGGATACCAGTGTGGTCAAGGTCGAGACGGATCTTTTCAAGGGTCAAGTCTTTTGGGTTGTTCAGGGCGATGCAATTCAGACCAAAGGAGAGCTCGAGGTGTTGGTCAAGCGTTTCGGAGGGAAGCAATCGCAGTCGGCGCAAATGGATAACACCATCGTTGTCGCTGGGGAGAATGGTAAGCACATGCTGCCTGAGACATTCGAACTATTGCGACCGAACGAATTGTTTTTTGTATGTGTGTCGCTCAGAGTGTCTAACCTCCTGTCACCAATTCCTATTGTGGTGTGCTTTCTATAGGCCCTGGTGTGGTGGGACTAAAAAGGAGGGGCGACAAGAACATTGTGCTGCCGACCTGGGTCCGTGATTGCGTCAAGGAGTTGAGGCTGATCCCCTTGAACCCAAAGTACATGCTGTTCACCACCAAAGAGACTGAAAAAGAGTTCAGACTGATCATGGACGAATACGAGGACTCTTACACTGACCAACTCAGCACCAGTGCTCTTCAAGAGGTATGACCCCTCTTTCAGCCATTCAACGATATATGTATGCATGGTGGACCTAAGCGAGCAGGAGCTAACCTTCGAGTAATTATTGGTTTAGATCCTCGGCAAGATGGTGAACAGGAGCGACCTGGTGAAGCGAAGACGTGAAGAGAAGGCTCAGGAACGTGCGGCAACGATAAGGACTAAGCGACTCAACAACCTCGAGGACCAACTTGACCACATTGCCACTGGCACAGGGGTCGATAGGGATATAAAAAGCTCACTTGCAGCCATGGAACGCGCAGTTGGAGGCTGGGCTCATCGAGATGCAAAGAGGGCGCGCAAGATCACGGCAGCGATAACCCGAAAATACTATGGACAGGACGGCGAAACTGAACCCCCACTGGGAATGTTTCAGGGCGTCGAAGTTGTCATAGTCTATCCGCCTCAACCAGAAGAGCACTTGGCGAACTCGGTGCTGAAGGACAACAAGGGCAAGCAGGTCATCAAGAGCGAGTATGATCTGGACGGACACGGTGCGAGTTATGGAGGAAGCGGAGCAGGAAACCGTGAGGGTGTTCGCATCAAGAATCAAACCATGTTTGACATGTTGTCCAAGGCAGTTGATCATTGGAATTGGAAGAAAGAGAGTCAAGGCCGGACGAGTCCTTCTGACGAGGAGCTGTCCATCCAGTCGATTAATCGGGAGGTGGATAACTTGCACTGGCAGTTGGTCGCTGAAGAGACAATTCAGAAAGAAAAGCTGGCCCACACTCTCTCCACCCTCACTGACTACAAGATCTGCCGGAACAAGTAAGTATCCCGTTGTTGCATACGTGATATATCGCCCTTCACGTCTCGAGGTACAACAGCTGATCACTTCGTCTTTTTTCCACTCTCTTACTTGACAGCCTTGACATCGTGAAGGTGATCCTGGAGTTCCATGGGGCGAGGGTCATTCCCCAAGAACAATGCACCATTGGCTTTTGTCAACGCCGCCTCCGAAACCGTGTCCGCCTTCGAGAGCGTCTCGATAACAGCAGCAAATCTCAGTTCCAGGAAGCAGAGGAGGAGGAGGAGGAGGAGGATGTGGGTGTGCCCCTGGAGCTGGTGATACTGTTTGATCCACTGTATCTCGACACGGTCGACCTCTGGATGGACGCTATGAAGGTGTCGGTCCTGTACGGTCCTCAAGCCAGCACGTTTGAGGTGCCTCGGTTGGTCACCTCGGACTGGGTCATGCAGTCGCAGAAGAACAGGTACCGTGTTCCTGAGGAAGGCTACTACCCTGTCAAGTAGATTGCATGCGGTTACTGCCTTTGCGATGTCGCTTCCTCACCACTTCTGCTGCTGGCTAGCATAGTGCGTCTACTAGAAAACAATGCGAAGAAAAAAAGAAAAAATAATAATGTGCAACGGAGTCCGTTGCCGTTTTTTCTGCTTCGCCCTCCAATTGCAAAAATAAACTTTCCTTCCCTGATTTTCAGATATATCGGACTTCTTTCTTCCTTCCTCCAGCTACAATGAATGCTCGAGAACAAGGTCATATAATGAAAAATAAACAGTTGTTCATCGTTATTGAATAATGGAGACAACGGCACCTCGATGGAGCTATTATCGCATTGACATCGATACATTAATCAACTCAATTAAAAACACTAATATGGCATGACATGAGATACAATGATATGATTTTGAAAGAAAAGATTATGAAAGAAGAAAAGATATGATGGAAAAGTGGAATCAAATAATCGTGCCTGAAAGTAAAAGGAATGAAAAAAACGTGGCACAATAAACAAAAAAAATGTTCACAAACGACTGAAGAGAACCTCCGAAATCGCACTCTTCATCTTGTTCTGGGCCTTGGCCTGATACTTGGCTTGTCCGTCTGCCTTCGCCTTTGCAATGGCTCGGGCCCTCGCCTCAATTTTCTGCTCCCGTTCATACTTGGACCTCTCCATCTGAGTCCTGTATCGCTCATATGCGACAAAGTCGGTGAAACTTTCCGGATAACCCACGGTTTCGAAGGACTCCTCTTCCTCCTCCAGCAATCGCTCCACCCAGTCATCGGGGTCGAAATAGGAAGGACTGAATGCCTTGGTCAAAAGGAGACCGCTGCTGCCTGAGCTGTGGGTTGACGTTGCCGCTGGTGGTGGTGGTGGTGGGAGTGGGAGTGGCGGTCCTGGCACAGGCTTCAGCATAGTGGGGTTCATGGCGAAGTGGTGGTGGTTGCTGCTATTGTCGACAACGCGGCTGTCATTCTCATGTCCCTGAGTTTGTTGCCTCTGCGGCTGAGGTAAATAACCTTGTTGTACCGAAGTAGAATTGCGCATCAATGGGAAAAGACGATCCTCCATACTGCTCATGGTTGTGCTGTTTCTATGATTGTTGCCGGACGCCATGACATGCTCGCGTCCGCGATCCAGCTGTTGCTGCTGTTGTTGCTGCTGCTGTTGTTGTTGCTGCTGCTGTTGCTGCTGCTGCTGCTGCTCGGAGAAGCTGCCTTGGTGAGTAATGCCGGTACCGTGCGCTATGATAAGAGAGCGGTACTCGGCAGGGTTCAAGGATGAGCGGTAGTGGTAGCTGTTGAGGGTTGAGTCGAGCTCAGTGCTGTTGCCGTAGGGTGGATGCTGCTGTTGCTGCTCAAGGGAGCGCCTCGACTGGATCGAGCTAGACTCGCGTGTCTCTGCCAATGAATGTGGCATGCTTGTTTCATTGACGTGGTAGTAGCTCTGATACTGACTGTTATTGAAGGAAGAGGTGGGGTTGTGCTCGGCACTGGCTCCGTCGTTGCTGTAGAGTAGTGATCTCTGCTGTTGTTCCTGCCGCTGCTGCTGCTGCTGAGGGAAGTGGCCGGCGTAGGTCCATTGAGGCTCATGCGACTCTGGATAGGCATGGTATCCTCTCTGGTTCAAGGCAGCGTGATGATCAAGGTCGTAGCTGAATGCCGTCTTGTACCCGCTCTCGTGGCCTTGTGACGCGTGTGTCTGCTGAGAGTAAGCTGTACTCTGGTATGCCGAGCTGTGGGACTTGTGTGTCCCCATAGATGAGCGAGGCGGCGTCGTTTCTGGGGTTGCATAGTAGTTGTATCCAAGGGTCGTTGTGTACACTGTTCCATGTCCATGCGGCTGATGCTGTTGTGGTTCAAGGATTGAATTCTCGGGAATCCAGTGGGAATCTTGTGACTCTGGGTTGGCCTGCTTCCTGGCACGATCCGTGGTGTCCAGATGGCGACTCTGGCCGAGTGCCGTCTGGTTCCCGCTGTCCTGACCTCGCAATGCATGTGCCTTCTGAGAGTGAGCACTCTCGTAGTCGTAGACGGAACCGAGAAAATCGTATGTGCTTGGAGACGAGTGAGGTGTCTTGGTCTCTACGATTGTGCACCAGTGGTTGTTGTTGCTCTGTATCTCATAAACTCGGGGTTGTTGTTGCTCCTGAGTAAAGGGTGCCTGGTTGACAACACTAGACGTATTCGACGACGGAAAGGAGTTGTACTTGGGAAAGTTCTTGGTAGCGTGGTAGGAGTGAGGACGGTTGTAACTAAGCGCCGTCTGGTACTCGCAGGCTTGACCCCACACCTGCTGCTGCTCTTCAGGGAAGAGGCGGTAGTAGGACGGGCTCGACTTGAGTGACGCGGCGAAAGAGCGGGGAGTCGTTGGTTCTGTGGTGTCGGTGGTGGTGGTGTCAGGAGTTGTCGTCTGTCTGGTGGTTGAAGCAGGGGGTGTCGTCTGTGTTGAGGCAGTAGGGTAAAAGTAGTAGCGGGGGTACTCGTTGTAGGAGTAGCTGTTGTAGTAGTGGGGATAGACGTTGTAGTAGTAGTTGCCGTAGTAGCTGGTAGTGTTGTTGATACCGAGACCGTCGTTCCTGTGGAGTGGTGTTTGTTGCTGTTGTTGTTGTTGTTGTTGTTGTTGTTGTTCATGCTGGGGAATAAAGCTCTCAAGAGTCCAAGCAGGCTTGTGCGTCAACGAAGAGCGGAGTGTGGCTGAGACCAAGTCATGGTCGCGTTTGTGGATGGAGAAGGTTGATTGCGAAGAATGAGAGGGAATCAGCATGGAGCGAAGGTATGAATGAGTAAAAGAGTCGAGGGAATCTGCTAGCTGCTGTGGAGGCATGGTTGCGAGAGAGCAAGGTTGCTGGTGATTGTAGCAAAAGAGAGTCGAGGAAGATGAGGAAAGAAGAGAAAGAAAGAAGCAGAGGGCGATTTGTAGGGAGAGAGAGAAGGAAATATTTTGGTGGCGTACTTTTTCGCGTGAGAAGGAAAGCAGGGATTGGACGGAAAAAGAGGGACAGGGAGAGTGAAACATCAGGAGTCGCAGACAAAGAGTTGTAGCCTTTATGCTGTCATATTTTATTTGAAAGAAAAAGAACAAGAGAAAAGACATACGAGTCAGGCAAAACTCATCCTGTTTTGTTTGTGTATGTCAACGGGGAAATATTCCTCTTCAAGTCCATCGCAAATACAGTAGCCTCTCTGGTTGTAATATCGTTGTTTTATGAAAAGGATAAGTGAAATACTCTAACCGCCACGCTCGCTGACGAGAGGGGTGTTGGCCAGGGGAGCAAGGAGTCCAATCAACCGAGAACAGCTCATCACAAAGACATCGTTCCCTCCCCGGCTCTGTGCATGCTTGGCCCAGCCCACATGGAGCTTCAACTTGGCCAACTGCTCGAATCGATGAAAATGGGCACCCAACCCTGGCACACGCGCAAGGACAAACGCCAAATCCGAAGCAAACGTGTTTGCGCATGCAGATGCCAGATCGAAGTCCAGATCTTCTGCGCGCAACGCCCGAGGCAACTGCGTTTGCGACGATGATGTAGAAGAAGGAGCCGTTGTCGTCGTGTTGTCGAGTGGCGAGACTGCAGGCGTTGTCGTTATGTCTGATGGGGGAGCATCGAGGGGTCCGGCACCAAGTTGGGAACGGCTGTTATTAGTGTTGTTAGCGCTCGTGGGTATACGAACACCGGCAGTGGTAGTACCAGGACTAGAGTGGCTGCGCTGGAGCACATTGCGTGGAGACTTGGGCCGACTGTATCCCATAGCGTCACGAGACTTGCGAGTCGATGAAACCAAAGGGGTGAAAGGCACCGGTGATCCCGATCTCGTAAATCCCAACGCAGGAGATGTTGGTGACGAAGATGACGACGATGAGGATGCCGACGAAGATCCTGATGAAGCGGGAGGCAGCTGTCCCTTGGCCTCGATTGCGTGGAAGGGTGAGAGTGATGCCATCGTGTGATAAGGCTTATCCAACGCCATGCCCATGATCAAACGTTCTTGTTCGTTGGCAGAGTACGAGCGCCCCATCTTGCGGTTACGCAATCCACGGCGATGCCTGCTGGCTCCCTCAAGTTGATAGTCCATGGACATAGTCTCAGGTTCCCGCTTGCTGCTGTTCCTGGATCGACCACTGTTGGACTCGTTGTCCAGCATGTCATTGATATTGACGTGGCGGCAACGATAGTTTTCCTGTTGATCCAAGCCCAGCATATCCTCATCTTCGTCCTCCTCATCGTCCTCATCAAGATCATCATCAATGTCCATGTCGGATGATGACTGCCCATGACCGCTATCGCGTCGGCGGAGTCCACCCTTAGCCTCGATCTCGGACAAAAGTTCACTCTCATCGCGCTCAATCATGTCGGACTCATTGTCTTCGATATCGTCGTCCTCATCGTCGTTCTCCTCCATGTCGGACTCATCTTCCTCAGCAATATCCTTGATGTGGTCCATGTGCTCCATCTCTGTCCGTTGATCGGCGGTAGATTGCTGTTTCTGGGAAGAACTGTCTGACCCTTGTATTAACTCTGTTGAAGCATATCGGTGAGGGTTCTTTATCCGATCCATGACCAACTCCATCTCACGTGCACGCTCCCTGGACGCCGGACTTCCACAGACAACTCGTCGATACTCCTCGACAATGTCTCTGTAGAGTTCCAGAGTGCCCTCTGCTGCGAACGTTGGATTGGCGACATGCCACTGCAGAGCGTGGCCTTTCCAGCCCTGTCCACCTCCGTCGCCCCCATGATGCGTTGGTACGGGTGGAACCACTGGTGCAGGTGGTGGAGCGATAACCAAACTTCCAGGAACTATGGCAAACAAAACAACAAAAAATTAATTTTTCCGTCATAGTGCACGGCCGTTCAGAATGAAGCTATAACTCCGAGACCGATAACCTTTTGGCGATGCAAATCAGCGATCAGCACTTTAAAAACAATCAGACATGATTGAATTCTTACCTGGCGTGGTACCAGTGCCGGTTATGGCCGATGCGGGCATTGGGATAGCACCTGCAGCAGGGACGGCGGCCTGTGCATCGTCATTCTGAGTAGGCGGCACCACCCCAGGTGCTCCCGGTGCTGCTGCTGGGACTACAGGAGGTGCTTCCAGACCACCTTCCACCGGGATCACAGTTCCACAAACGCTCTCGCATCCAAAAAGATATGCGCGCTTGATAAAGCTGTAAAGAGTCTCGTACTCTTCGCCTGGGGGGTTACCGACACGGTCTGGGAGGGCGTACCGAACATGAGTTCGCAGTGGGTGATGGTAAAAATGGACCTCTCTTGAATGTGCAGCCTTCCATCGTGTAAAGAGTTGAAGCAGCTTGTGTTTTCGGAGGTGAGGGGCCGTGATGGGATGGCAGTGTTCGTGGAAGGTATGAGAAGTCAAAAGCAATGGCATTATGTAGGTAGAGTAGAGTCGAGGTGTTGTGGCAGTTGGGAGGAGAAGGTTGAGCGTCTGGTTGAGAATCTGGAACCAGAGCTCCAATGGTAGCTGTGGTGTAGATGACATGGTGCTACGAGTGTGAAGGGATAGAAGATGAGGAGGGTAACAAGGTAGAGAGATTGGATGAGAGAGATAAAGAGAAAGGAGAGTGCGACTGAGCTTGTAATAAAGGTACGGTTGGTATTAGAGTTGTAATGCGGCCACAAATGAGTCAAGGAGAGAGGAAGAGAGGGAAAGTGGATGAGGAAAAAGAAATAGAGAAAGGGGAAAAAAGAGAGAGAGAGACAGAGAAAGGATGGAAGGACAAGAAATTAACAATAAAACAACGTGGGAGGAGAGGAGAGGAGACAAGGAGATAATTGAAGGGGGTTGATGATGGGTAATAAAGACAGGCGGAGGCGAAAGGGCAAGTGTGAGAGAGAAACAAAGCGAGAGAGTAGAGTAATGAAAGAAAGAGAGAAAAAGAGAGAAAAAGAGAGAGAGAGAGTACAGAGTTTAGTAGGCAATTAAAACTAAGGAAGATGATAAGAACAAAACGGAGGAGATCAACAGAAAACGTATGTCGTATACATGTATTGCAGATGAACATATACTACATGTAGTATGCAATCTCAATTACGCACGACAATGACTTGGACAATGCACTTCACAAATGGGTATATTTGCTTGTGTATGGTACCTAATGCATTCATTTGCTTACCAGAGGGAGGAGGATCAATCAAACAACAATTGACAAGGCTTGTCGGACGGAAGAAAAGGGAAGGAGAATAATGAGAAAAGGCAACAAAAGGTTGTTGTGCTGTCTTGTGCCAACAATGAATTGGATGCTGACGACGCTCCCGAAGATAAATGTCGATATCTGGATGATGTGGGATGTGCGAGATGGATTTGGGGACACGATGAGATGACGAGGTGACGAAGTGACGACGACGTCGACGAGGATAGCCTGGACTGGAGTAAGAGTGGAGTGGGGAGAAGTGGAAAGAGAGAGAGGCGCGAGAGAGCAGAGGAATAAGACGGATTAGAAAAGATAGAAAGAGAAAGGGAAACGTAAAGAAGGTAAGGAGGAAAAGAGGAAGAAAAAAAGAGATAGAAAAAAAAGTAAGGATGGGTCAATCAGGAACATTTGGATTGGGAAGAAGTGATATGTTGGAACCGACAGAGGATACCGACAAACCATGCCCAACCCAATGGGAAAAAAAAGAAAGCTACCGCGATGACAGCATGAACGAGAATCATCACCCTCTTCCTTCCCTCCTCCAAGGTGGTGTGGAAAGAGTAAGAATCCCATCTTTCCTCATTGTTGAATGTTCCTGTATTGTTATCCAGGTCGAAATAGCCTCTATGCATCGTCCCCATTGACCCTATTTCCTTCTTTTAAGGGCGTATGTCACTCATGGTATCCTTCAAAAACGTTCTTTGGTGTACAACGCATGAAAGAGAATAACGCGGAAAAACGAAAAACAACAAAAAATCGAGGAGATGGGGATAAGAACAAAGCAAAGGGAGAGAGTCAGAACAAGACCAAGGGGGAGGGAAGAGAGGCATCACAGATGGGGCATGCCACAGAGCAATAGTGCGACCAGGGCGAGATGCGTACATGCGTACATGCGTATGTATGTCCAAGAAAGAGCGAGAACCAGAAGCTGGGGCCAACTGAAAGAAAGGGAGAGAAGGAGCTGTACAGACAGAATCCAATTCACAAGAGCCACTTAGTGACAATCATGACACAAGCGCTGCGAGAAACGGAGAGTAGATGATTGGTGGCCAGATTGGGAAGGAATACAAGTGAGAAATATCGCTGCCAATGTCTGGCGAGGCTAGGCTTGACCATGTCCACGTCGTCAGCCACGACTAAATCAGGCCAGGTCATGTCTAGGTCGGGCACATTTTCACGCACGTTCAGCACACAGGCCACACACACACCTGCACAGCATGGGAACACACAACGTCCATATGTTCGTCACAGGATTGCAGTGAATGCGTGCGGTGCGTGTGCATCTGTCAGCCCGCCGCAACACCGATGTCAAGGGGGAAAAAAGGCCTGCCATGTAAAAATAAAACGCACTCTTTGTTTGTTTTACCACGGAAAGGCACGGGAGAAAAAGAGATGGAGCGAGGGAGAGGAATACGATGAGAAGGAGAAAGGACTCCCTCAGGACAAAAGAGGCGAAAGGCGGAGACAGGTGGGATAAGGATCACCACCATGTCCACCATGTCCGCCATGACAACCCACTCCAAATAGACTGCAAAGACGAATCCTATGCGACTGTGTTCCCTTTTCTCTCTCTCTCGTTGTGGTTTTGTTGTTATACAGGGAGTAATGGGGCTAGCCAATGCGACCCAACCCCAAAGGACAAAGATCACAAATTGACGATGGATAGGCACAGGGGGGTGAGCAAGGAGAGTCAGAACAGAGAGAGAGAGGCTCGGGGAAGGAGACAGCTCATTCCAATAGGGTTCTAGGATCGGGCCATTCCTTTTTTTTGTCTCTCTTACGGCAAAAATGCATAACTCGCCATTATCACACGCATGTGTACACGCACTGACAACTACGCAAGTTACACCCAACACCCACATGTAAATGCCTGAGGAATAGCAAAGACACTATGCAGCATGGTACCTATTTTGCACTGTGATTTTTGATGTATTCGTCAAAGGAATAGGAGTCGATGGGAAAGACGAAAAACGAAATCGACAACGAAAGGAAACCACGGAAAAGACATACGAGGGATGATTGGATGAATTGGGGGGAGGGAAGGAGGAAACAGGGAAGAGAAGGGAAGGGAAGGGAAGGGAGAGGAGGGGGGGGGGGGGGGGGAGAGAGAGATGGTATGGACAACGCGAGCATCAGAGCCAAGATGGACAGGGCAGAGGGACATCGAAAGGAGGCATTGATGAAAGGAAAAAACATATCATGTCCTGTATGCCCTCTCTTTTTGGACCCTGTTGCCCTGTTTTTTCTTCGATGATGGGATGCAATTCTGCGAAGGATAGGAATATGTAGGGGTTTCTTTTTGCTGTCTGTCGACAGACAGCGAGCATAAAAGAAGGAGGTGGCAAACCCTTTTCTTTTGTTGTTTGTTAAAAATAGGAAACATACCTTGGGTTTCTTGTTTCGATGTTGATGCGCAAAAGTTCAAGGAATAAGAGCAAAGAGTGATAGTGAGAGTGGAGAGAGAGGCAAAAATGTAAAACGCCAGGCACGGACGAAGGGGGAAAAAAGATAAACTCTCCGGGAAAGAGCCTGCAGGCGAAATAAATAAAAGAGACTCGAAACAGGAATGGATGGTCTGTGAGTCGTGGAGAAGGCTTTGTCGCACAATCGGGTGGTGGACGAGAACAAGTCGTTCACGGAAAAAAAAGTGAATGGGGTGGTCACAGCAAAGGTGCAACCGTGCCCATAGGGAGATACTGAGAGAAAAAAGCGTGTGCTTGTTGATGCTTTTGTTGCTGTTATAATGAGTTGATGGAGAAACAGCAAAAAAAGTCAAAAGGGATGGCGAATGACTGGAAGTGCAAAGTCTACTAGGATAGGGTATATCTACCAAGGGTTGAAAGTATTAGGTGAATGGTGTTGAGAGAGAGAAGGAGAGAAGGAACGAAGGAAGAATGAAAGAGAGAGAGAGAGAGAGAAAGTAAAAGAAAGAATGGCTGCAGGAGAAGGGTCGATATGGAGGGGGGGTGATGAGGGGGGGAAGAAGGAGGGAGAGGGAGATGGGTGTATGGGAGTATGATGTATGATGTATGGTGTATGGTACAGAAAGGGAGAGCGGCAACGAGAAGGGACAGAAAGGGAAGAGAATGGAGAAACGGGTGGATGAGGAAACAGAACAAAAAAGAGGGAAGTGGGAAGGAGGAATGGATAATGTGTTGAATTTGTAGTCCAATGGTGTGAAAATACATGGAAAAGGACAAAGCAAAAGGGTAATGCTCAGCTCTCCAACATCGACTCAATATGCAGACACAGGCAGACAGACAGAAAGACAGACAGAAAGACAGACAGAAAGACCAAAAAGGGGAAACAGTGCAGTGGGCTAGATACACAAGGGATGAGTTGGCGAAGTAATCGGATCATTCAAAAGGCAAAGGTTGAACTACAACAAACATTGAGCATTGTGAAAAATATAGTCTATGACAATCCATCCATCCCATCCTTTTTTTGCATTTCTGTCTTGTCCCATTCATCCCGTCGTTGAATCTACCCTTGCAAAACAACAACTCACCATCCGACAATAACACCTATTGCTGATTCTTTAGCCTTCTATACGTCTTCTTTTTCTTGCATGGCAACAAAGAAGTAGGCAGAATTTGGGAATTTTTCTTTTAGGTTGCATATGCGGTTTCTTTCTTACCTTCTCTTCGTCAATGCTTTCTTCAATCCATCTTTTTTTCGTCTCAATGTTCTCTTGCATATCTTCCCCGGCATGGAACAAAAGAGAAATACACACACACAAAAACCCACATCCGCGCACTGACACACGGAATAGTAATGCAATCTTCCTCCTTCGGACACACTTTTTCTCTCTTTTTCTTTGTCTATCCGCAACACCGATTCTAAATGTTATCAAGACGCACCAATTATGGCTGACTCGATCAGCAGCGAATGTCTAGCACTACAGAAATAATGGCGATGATGATAAGCTACGCGTGATAGCAAGAAGCTGAGAATGACAAAGACGAATGGTGTTGTTGTTGTGGTGAGCTGCGATTATGACAATGGCAGAAGACACGTAGATCAGCCACTCCGCCGCCTTCCCTTTATCCTTCTGACTCCCTACCAGTCCCCCTTCTTTTTTTTTCTTTCCCTCTTTCACTCCTTCTCTTGCCTTTCCTGCATGCCAGCCTTACCTACTTTGTGTTCCCCTTTTTTTCAAGTTTTTGCATAGTCGATAGCATTTGATGTGTTCATACCCCATTTTTCAGGATGATCGTCTTGAACAAGGATGCTATCATTGAAGCTCTCAAGAATGCACTGCTGTCGTCTGTACACTTTTTTTTATGCGTGCGATGACTCTTTTTCTCCCGCCTCTCGCCCAAATGTCGTCCGGCATGACTGGATACAAGATACCAAACAGATTAGGTGAATGGCTGTGTTGGTTTCAAAAAAGACGCGTCTGAACGCACATTTGTGACTTGCTCTTCTCTGTGCCGCAAGGTGTCTTGGAACTCCAGGAGCAGAAAGAACTACGGCAAATATGAAAACGTGTCGCTTTGAACACTGCGGCATCTCTCTCAACATCACCTTCAAAAAGCTGATCGATTCCCTCCTTTGAAGCATCATTCGATCATACTACACCCCCACCCCCATTCCTTTCCACAAGTCATACCTCATACCCACTGCCGCGCACACTCGACTATGGATCCCGAATTATTCTTGGGTAACAACGCATACGATACGCTTAAATGCTTACAGGACTCAGTCATTTGAGGTCATTGCATCAGCCGCGGTGCGACGAAGACAAAGCAATCAGGGATTCACTAATAAAACGATACTTCCATATTCTGTATGTAGCCCACCAGGAGAAACTTGTTCAATATGAGCGTGACTTCGAGGTTGTGGAAATCCAGCGGGTCTTTGAGGCCTGCACACCTGCTCAATTGGCCAAGAAAGGCCTCGCTGTCCTCGGGTTGACCGTCGCAGGCATGAAGACCGGCGCCGGTGGTAAAAGGTACTTTGTTTACCACTTTGTCAGAGCTCGAAACTTGTTTGCGCATGGGAAACACATGCATTTGTGAATAACCGACAACGCGACATATTACTCACATGGCACTATTTCACGTCTCTAAAAAGTCTAGTGGACCTTGAACTTTCGAATGCCACCTCGACCAGCCCCATATTACCACCCCACCGACTTCGAGTGGGAGATATTGTCGCATTGGAGGAACATGGAACAGGAAGCAAGGCTAAACCCATGAAGGCGACATGGAAACCAAAGCTGGACGGCGTTATCTTTCGAGTCACTGAGACCACCATTGTCGTGGCTATCAAATCGCGAAAGGAGGGCGAGAACGAGGAGGAGATCCCCAAGGAGGTTCAGGAACGCTGTCGACTGTAAGTGTACAACGTGCCTCTTCGCTCTCACATACCTCTTTGTTGTCAAGTTCAATGTTAGAAACTAACGATATTATTGACGGTGGTATTTAATTAGGATCAAGCTGGCTAATAACGTTACCTACGAGAGGTACCAATCAATATGTATTATGGAATCGCAAGGGAACTTAACACAAATGGACGCACGATTGATGCGAATTGCTGAAAATAACAACTACTGCTACTTCTGCTATCGTCACCTGTAGGATGTTGTCGCAGATGAAGTTCCTGAAGGGCTCGTTGGCACAAGTGACACAGAACAGTCTGCCATTGTCATTGACGAACGTACTGTTTGGACGACAGAACCCAACATTTGACGAGACATGGGCGAACCTATCCAGCGTCAAATTCCTTGACCCAACCCTCAACCCTTCGCAGCAGGAAGCAGTCAGATTTTCCCTCGCCGCAGAGCAGGTTGCTTTGATTCATGGACCTCCAGGAACAGGAAAGACGTTTACATTGGTGGAACTTATTCGACAGCTGGTTCTGCAAAAGAAGCGTATCCTTGTTTGCGGACCCTCTAACATCAGTGTTGGTATGTTTATTCTTGTGTCGTTGAGCGCATGCGTTGTTAGCTCTTTTTATGAACGAAGACTGACATGTACAACCCTCTAATGTTGAAAACGTCGGAGTATAGATAACTTGGTGGAGCGATTGGCCGTGTACAAGTTGAACATTGTCAGGACAGGACACCCAGCTCGTTTGCTCCCTAGTGTTTTGGACCATTCATTAGATGTGCTCTCTAGAACGAGTGACCAAGGAAGACTTGTGAACGACATTCGCGTGGAGCTGGATGAGACCTTCCAGAAGATTCAAAAGTGCAAGTTCCGGTCAGAGCGCAAGCAGCTGTACCAGGAAGTGAAGCAACTTCGGAAGGATTTCAGAGCGCGCGAGAAGCTTGTTGTCAAGGAGCTGATCCAGAGCGCTAACGTCGTCCTGAGTACTCTCAATGGAGCAGCTGCCAAGAACCTTTGGGGTGAGAAGTTTGATGTTGTCATTATCGACGAGGCGACTCAGGCTCTTGAAGGTACAGTTAAATGGTGGCAACTCTGCGCCTGTTCGTGTGTAGTCATATTAGTCTTTGCTACAAAGTACTAACCCTTTCCCTTCTCTATCTATTCATCCTACTATCTACTATTTGGACCCATGTCGATAAACCCATAACAGCTGTAAGTTCATGTCTTCTTCGCTATGATCTCCATATTGGATGCCATCAAAAAAGAGAAAAAGAAATTAACTTTCAATTTATTCATAACTTATCTGTGCATCATGTCTATAGGAGTGCTGGATTGCTATTGGGAAGGGAGCAAAGGTTATTCTTGCAGGCGACCATTTACAGCTGCCTCCGACTATCATTTCAGAAGGAATCAGCACGACAGCAACAATGGCAGCAGAGACGCTTGCTTTGACCAAAGAGCTCAAAGACCAAAGGAAAAAGGCGGCCAGGGCAGGTGCATCGGCTACCTTTGAAGTCCCAGGACTGGATCTGGAGAAGATTGCCAGGGACAAGGACTATTCCTCGTTTTTATTGTCGACCACCATGTTTGTGCGCCTCTTGGGATGCTTTCCTAGGGACGGAGCTAATCTCATCAAGCGTACATTGGTGACCCAATATCGTATGCACGAGGCGGTTATGAATTTTCCCAGTGCCCAGTTGTATCAGGGCTTGCTTGTTGCAGACGAGTCCTGTCGTCAGTGGCTGTTAAAGGATCTTCCTTCAGTGGAGAAGCGGTGCAAGTCGATAGATGAGGAGAGCGACACGGACCACGCGTTGGTGTTTTTGGACACGAGCATGGCAGGCATGATGGAAGAAACAGAGGACCAGGACGGCAACCCCATCTCGTCGTCTCTGAGCGGAGGGCCCGACGACAGTAAGCTGAATCGAGGAGAGGCCAGCACTGTTGTCGACTACGTCAAAGACTTGATGAAGGCCGGCGTCGATGCGGGGGACATTGCCATCATCACGCCCTACAGCGCTCAGGTTAGTCCACAACACAGAGATGAAATAGCCTTATGCAGGAGGTCATATTCCGACCAGTCAACAATTTTGCCAAAGCTCGCACGCCTTTGCACTTGTCCTCTCGCATATTGACTGACATACAAATCTACAACCTGTTTGGATCGTATAGAACGCATTGCTTCGGCAATTGCTGAAGGAGGATTATCCAGAGATTGAAATTGGAACTGTAGATGGGTTCCAAGGGCGTGAGAAACAGGCGGTTATCTTGACGCTTGTGAGATCGAACGATGCTGGTGAAGTTGGTTTCCTCTCCGATCGACGCCGGCTCAATGGTGAGTGTGGTATATCATGTCTTGCAATTAGGCGTTAAACCGGACGTTTATCCTTTCTGGTCTTACCGCATGTTCTTTTACTCACTGCTTTTCTCTCTTCATTTGTTTGAAATGCTTTTATATTTTGGATTACCCTTGACCTCCGAAAAAAAAAGTGGCAATGACCCGTTCCAAGCGCCATCTGTGTGTTGTGGGGGACTCTGAGACGCTGAGCAAGAAGGACGCGTTCCTCAAGGCTTGGATGAACTTTTTGGGAGAGCACGCCGAGGTGCGCTACCTTGAATAACTCATTCTATAAGTCGATAATAATAAAAAAAAGGGCGCCTTCTTTTCCGCAAAGGGGGTCGAAAGAAAGAGAAGCATGAGCGAAGTGAAGAGAAACGAGGGGGGGATTGTTGAAAAATGAGGAGAGCACGATGCATTTGTCTTTTTTTTTAGGCTTTTTTGTTGTTTTTTATTCTGTCGGTCTTAAGACTCCGTGTTTCGCGGTCAGGCCATGGTCCCTTCTTTCTCTCTCTCGCTCTCGCTACGCTACATTACGATGCAAGACATGTATGTACGCTTCATTCCATGGGTCACTTGTCCCTTCCCCTTCCTTCCGTGTCTCTTCCCTTTGTGTCTGTCTCTCTCACTCTATCCCCCTCCTGCTCGTTTTTGTGTTTATTTTCATTTTTCTTTTCCGCACTCTCCTTGCCTCCCTTGTGGTTGTTGTAGTTTAGAGAACCGAAAATAGACAGCAGCTTGAAGAAAACCCAAAGAGTAAAAGAGAGAGAGCGAACAAAGAGAAGCTGGGGCCGTTGATACAACGGTCTGAGTGTTTATGTGATAAACGAGTACGCCAGCTGTTGTCCTTATCTGTACTCGTTTTATTTTTGAGAAATTATATGCTATCCAGGATGGATGTCTAATCGCATAATTTTGTGATGAGCGATCGATGGGATAATGGAAGTCAAACAAATAGTGGTTGTTACACCCTCTCATTCACTCTCCCTCCTTTCTCAGACACACTCTCAACTCTTGTGCACGCACATATCTGCCTTTTCATTTCATTTTCCTTCTTCTTTCATTGTTGAGCTCCTGCTCTTATCGCCTCATTCTCTTACTGTTCATCTATTTGATGAGTGATTGAGAGTGAGAGAATTGGATAGACGGCTCAAGGCTAACTGGGGACAAGGGATAAGATGAGGATTGCCAGCGATCCTTTTTTAAAATTCGATTATTGGTGGCATTTCGCGTGGTGGGAGAAAAAAGACAAGGTCAGTGCTGGATGGACTGCCCAATGCCCCCCCAGTTCTCGTGTGGCGGTTGAATTGTTGTTGTTTTTTCGATTTCAAATCCGATATCACTTTCACATTGAAGAGGCGCCGTTGTTGCCAAGCTTTCCTCTCTTTGCGTTCCGGTGTGGGTAGCCACGGGTAACGGTTTCCTTCTTTCTTTTCTTTTCCTTCTTTTTTTTCAACACGTCGCGGGAAGAAAAGTAGAAAAAAAATGAAATACAGGTATACAGGCATTGGTATTGTATTCATGTGTAGGTAGTCAATAAGAAACGCGACAACAGATGGAGGAAAAATAATAAACAACGATAAACAATGAACGAAAGGAAAAACGCGGAAAAGAAAAGGAAACACTGTAAGGGACCTTGGACTAAAGGACTGAGGCGAGGTTGGTCATCGGCTGCCACGAGTAAGAGAGAGAGAGAGACAGAGAGAGGCGGGAAGAGATGCGAGTTGAAGCCATGTTGTTTTACTTTATTACGTTGGTATAGGAAGGATTTGTGGTCACAGACACAACACGAAACACGAACAGCATGGGTATGTGTATGTGCGTACGTGTGTTAGTGTCAGTCAGTCCCTGTGGACATGTACACCTTCGAGGGTTGCTCTCACACTTTTTTCCTACATGGCGACAAGTCTTGCCTTATTCCTGTTCTTGTTCTTGGTACGTAGGTGGTCAAAACGAAGGGTGTATGACAGAGTAGTTTTCTGTTGGTGCATTGTCAGTAATGATTATCGGATGGGTATGGCTGTACAGCAGCGATGGTGTGGCCATAGTGATGTTCATGGTATTAATTGTCGTTGGCTGAAGTCGTTTTCTGTCACAAAAAGTACCTCTCCTTGTGCCCCTTTTTGCAGCAAAAGCGCATCCACTTTTTTTTTTTTCATTGTCATGTTTTGTACCCCCTTCTGTCCTTGCGATTGCATTTTGCTTCCCTTTTTCCGTTTCTTTTTGTTCCTTTCTCCCTTTTGGTGCTCTCTTTCACTTCTCTTTCTCTTTCTCTTTCTCTTTTCCCTTTCCTTTTCCTCTTCTTATTCCTCACCCTCCACTCTCTTCTTCTCTTCCTCCTCTTCCTCCTTCTCTTCCTCTTCGCTCCTCTTCCATTCATCCCTTCTTCTTCTTCACTCATTCCCGCTCATTCATTCTTCACGACTCACCTCACAGGTCACACTTTTCACTGTATGTCCTCTTTTATCCATATGCGCCTTTAGTAGACACGATACGGCCAGCCATCGGAAAAGATCTATCTCCCATCTTCCCGCTTCCACCACGCACAGTCCAACCGCTGCTATGCCACCACCCTAGCATGTCCCTCGCACTCTCTTTCTCTCTCCTTCCTCCTCTTTCTCTCTCACTCTCTCACTCTCTCTCTCTCTCTGAGCAGCTCCCTTCCTTTCTTCCCGCCTACACAACATACATTCTCTCACATACTCACATACTGCTCTTCCTCACCTCCTCGTTCCCTCCTGCTCACTACCTGCTTGTGGTCTTCTGTTTCTGATCCCTCACATTCACTCATTCATCTTTTTGTGCATGGGAAGACAAAAAGACGACAACTGGAATACTCCCTGTCTTCCCCCGCCCACAACACAAAACAACACATAAAGCACAAGCACAAGCCAACTCAAACCTTTTTTTCTTTTTCTTTTCTTGTATTTCCCTCTCCTTACTTACTTGACTCCCTCCCTTTTTTGCCAAATTAGCATCGACTCAAGAGATTGGACCCATTATCACCCTGCCTTTACGCACCCACCCACGAACAGCAACAACCCACAGCAACAAGGACGCATATCGGCAAACACGACCCTTCCCTCTTCCTCTTCAAACTCACACAGGCGCATATTAACAAAAAAAATATTCCTACAACTACCTCACCCAACAACCAACATCTGCGGCTCGCCTTTCTCCCTCTCCTACCTCTCCATCACCCCAACCAACGATGAATTCCGACATGGCCGAGCGCATTGCTAATGCGCGCAAGGAAGCAGAGTACCTGAAAGACAAAATCAGAGAAAAGAAGGCCGCACTCAACGATACCTCTCGTAAGTCAACACAACACAACACAACACAACACAACACAACACACTCACTCACTCGTTCTTTCAGGTCTGCGCCCAAACCTTTTTTTCTTTTTTGTCTATCACAACATACTCAAGGGTCCAATGGTTCACACATCATCCTACAATATGAACAACCCAACGACAATCCTCCTCCTCCTCTCGACCATTGCTCCAATCGCGCCTCATCCTCCAATGAATGTTATACCACACTCAAACCCTCCCTTCACCGACAATGAAGACTCTCCAATTGCTTCCGGAACGACAAGTAACGACGAGCAACAAACTCTTTCGCGTGTGCTCACTCTTTTTCCTCATGTATTCGACGTTTCACCTTTTTATGGACAATAGTAAAGGTCATGTCACAAGAGCTGGAACCCTTGACGCGCATCAACATCCGCATTCGTCGTGTGCTCAAGGGCCACTTGGCCAAGATTTATGCAATGAACTGGGCTTCCGACAAAAAGCACCTCGTTTCGGCTTCACAGGACGGCAAGCTGATTGTCTGGGATGCCTACACAACCAACAAGGTGTATGCCATCCCTCTGCGGTCGTCCTGGGTCATGACATGTGCTTACGCACCGACCGGCAACTTGGTCGCCTGCGGAGGACTCGACAACATGTGCTCCATCTACAATCTCCGAACGAGAGAAGGTTCCGTCAAGGTGGCGCGTGAACTCAGCGCACACTCTGGTTATCTGTCCTGCTGTCGCTTCTTGAACGATCGTCAGATCTTGACATCCAGTGGAGATATGAGCTGTATGCTGTGGGATGTAGACGCGGGCATGAAGACCATGGAGTTCAACGACCATACAGGCGACGTCATGAGGTAAACTTTTCACTCCACTACTTCGTTCTCTGTACTTCCCTCACCTTCCTCTTTTTCGTCCCCCTCTTCCTCCTCGCTTGCCTTCTTCTTCAGTGCGCCGATCTCGCCATCTTTTCCCTCCTTCTCTCTTGCATTCTCCTTCTCGCTCTCCACACTTTTTTTTTCTAAGGGGGTCAAGGAGGCTCTAAATTATCTTGTACTCATCGTCCCGCCCCTGGTTTTTTTTCTAGCTTATCGATATCTCCCGACCAACGCCTCTTCGTTTCTGGTGCATGCGATTCGACGGCCAAGGTCTGGGACATTCGATCGGGACGTTGTGTTCAAACATTTACGGGACACGAATCCGACATCAACGCCGTGCAGTAAGTCCCAGTGCCTCTGGCCTGGTCTGGTCTTGTCTGGTCCGGCCTCGCCTGTTCTTTGTATATTGTTACTGTTCTTGGATTCCGTAAATATCGCTGCTGAACCTTCCGAGTGTGTTACTAACACGAGGAAAATGGGTTCTCTTACGGACAATAACTAGGTTCTTCCCTAACGGCGATGCGTTTGGTACGGGTTCGGACGATGCATCGTGTCGCCTGTTTGATCTCCGGGCAGATCGCGAGATGAACATTTACACACACGACAACATTCTGTGCGGTATCACGTCGGTGGCGTTTTCGATTTCAGGTCGATTGATGTTTGCTGGATACGACGATTACAACTGCAACGTGTGGGACACTCTGCGATCAGATCGTGTTGGTGTCTTGATGGGTCACGAGAACCGCGTCAGTTGTTTGGGCGTTGCCAGCGATGGCATGGCCATGTGCACCGGGTCCTGGGACACCACCCTGAAGGTAGGTTCATTAATATATTTTTTTATCGTTGATATGATTGTTCGTTTGGTTCTTCTTGATGTATGCTAACGTGTTACTTTTCGCAATGTTTTTTTTCGCGCATAATTAGGTCTGGTCCTGAGTGCTTTAATGCGCCGTGTTGTTGTTGTTTTACTGTTGTTTGTTTGCTTCGTTCATAATATTTCGCGCTTTGCTTTTTCCCTCATACCATAAGGTGCTTTTCGATTCCTCATTTCTTTCCCTAATAAAGGCGCCAATGTTTCTCTTTTCTTGTTTGTCATCCCTTGGAGTCTTCTTGGCCCTCATCTTTTGTTCCTGGGTCTTCTTTTCTCTTCAGGGAGCTGTATTGTTGACAGGTCGACTTGTCTTGAGAGCGTTCTTCTTCAACAGAACCTTTCTTCGTCGCACCATTTACGAATATCTAATTGGTCGGCAAAGTAGCGTGCCCAATAAAAAGAAGAGTCGGCCCTTTTGCCCACGATCGTTCTTTTTTTTTTCCTCTCACGCCTCAAACCTTACGCCCCAGTCGACCTTCTTTCCTCTCTTCTCATCTCATCTCATCTCTCTCTCTCTCTCACTTTCTTTTTTTTTTCCTTCATCACCAGCACATTCACCACCTACCCACCATCAATTTTCCAGGATGTCGTCGTTGTCAACATCCCTCAAGGTCCAACCCTTGACCTCCCAGAACCGCCCCGGCGTCGCCCAACTAGTCTTTGACTCCCACATGAAAACCGTCACCCCGCTGTTCCACTTTGTCAAACTACGACCTATCGCCCTCCTTCTCTGGACAGCCATCGCCACAGGGATCTTCAAGTACCGTCAAACCACTCTAGACAGCTACCTCGAGATCCTGACGGTTATGGCGGGTGCGGTTCTTGTTGCGCAAGGGGTGTTGTTTTTGACGTTGCTTTATGAGGCTTCTACTACTGCACCTGGACACTTGGGTGTGGGGAGGTTGGAGTATTTTGGAGATCAGGATCGTTTGCAGGATGAGAAGGGTGCTGGTTCGAGTTTGGCAGGAGGAGTCAAGAAGCGTGCCGTCGCAGAGTCAACAACAACAACAACAACAACAGCAACATCGGAGAAAGATGAGGATGTCGTAGTGATGGGCGGATCACTGGCAGGAAAGGACAACAAATTCTTTGTCCTCGAGAAATCCAGCCGGGTCATCGGCTGCATCGGCGCTGTCGTCGACCGCTCCAAGAACGAAGCAACCATTACCAACTGGGCTGTCAACGTTGACGACCAACGGCGTGGCGCAGGAACTCTCCTCCTCAAGACTCTCATGGAAGCGATTTCCGAGTCGGCCAAGAAGGAGAAGGTTCAGGTTGTGAGGGTCAGGTTGCAAGGCCATCAGGTGCCTGCTTTGAGGTTGTTCCACAAGTTTGGGTTTGCTCAGGTAGATCGGATGCCTGAGTGGATGGGGGAGCGGGTTTTGTTGGAGATGAGTATTAAGGATTGGGGGCGGAACTTGGCCAAGGCTCAAGCTGAGGCCCAGAAGCACGATTGAAGGATGGAGCGAAGGATTGAGGGGTTGAAGGGCACAGGAGGAGACCTTTTCAGAGGAATCGAGAAATCGATTGAGACGAGTGACCGAGACACAGAACAAGAACAAATTTTACCCACTTTAATACACATTATCTAATTGGCCAATTGGTTAAATCATTGAAAAAGAAAACTGCATTTTCTATTATTTTGTATGAGAGGGTGGAGAATGTGTCAGACAATGTGAGAAATGATACAGTCTGTCCGACCAGGGATGACTGTATACCGTTTGTTTTCACTGCCGAAGACACTCAAAGGGAAGAGGGAGGAGGGGCAAAGGATAGTTGTTTTTTTTATCTTTTTCTTGTTCATTTTGGGCTTTGTTCATATAGTAGTAACCTCAAGCCTGTTGATGGTTACAGGCCCAGGCAGAAGAATGCACAGGGTAAGGAACAGCATCTTTAAGAAGCTCCTTCCAGTCGAACCTCCGTATTTCTGACCCGTCCAAGACCACCGGAGAGGACCCTCCATCTTCTGTCTCGGTCTGGGCTGCGATCGCGTAGCAGTGGTCCGAGTCCAGGAGTGCTTCTTCAAAGGACCAGCCTTCTTCTGAGAGCGCTTCTGGTTTTGGCTCGTGGACGCCAATGACTGTTGTTAGGATTGGCTATTGTGCGGTGGAGTGAATGGGTGAGTGGGAGAATAGGTAGGTAAGTAAGGAAGGAAGGATGTAAAGGGGAGAAACGTTCATTAATAAGGGTGCAATTTGCAATTGGGCGGCTAGGAGGTTTGTTCAGTCAATGGAGACTCATCGACGCAAAGAGGTACGGAAATATGGAAGGATCGAAAGACATATGGCAAAAGCCAAAAAAAAAAGTTTACCTTTTCAGTCTCCTCCTCGTCCTGAATCGTAAACTCGATAGACTTGAGATCAAAGTCCGAGTTAAAATCGAGTGCCTTGACGATAGACTCCTTCAGGCACCATACCCGATAGAACCGCTTGAGCTGTGCGTCGACAGAAGCACAATCGGGCGGTGAGGCCTTGACCATAAACGTGATTTCATTCGGCGTGAACTATTAATATTATGGTGAGATAGAGGGCAGCAGAGATAAAGATAGAGATGAGAAAGGGTACTTGAGAATGAGAGTCGGGGCGTGCAAGGAGAGAAGGAGGAAGGTCCTGTGTGTTGTCGTCATTCCCTCACCATCGTCATCCAAAGCCCTTCTGAACTGAACAGATGCCTGTCAGTCCTCTCTTCCCAATTCATGCGACGAAATGAAAGGTTACACAACAACAAAAAAATACAAAGTGACGAAATTGAATGGAACCGGGGGCTCTCGTTTTTTTTTGTGCCCAACGATGCAGTATTAAACAACAACATGAAATGACGACAGAGTTCAGAGAGAGAGGTGCGAATATTCCAAGTGGCCCAGGAGAAGACGAAGCTGAAGATAGTACAAGTGTGGGTAACAGTGAAAACAAATGCGCACCCCCATCCCCATGGTCAAAGAGTTATTTTTACACTGCTCAGATTCACAATGAAACGCGAGTCCAGAGCGTAAAAACGTAAAGGCACAGCTTCATAGTGCGAATGTGAAAAGGACCCTGGTCTGAGCCAGCAAAGGAGACAATGAGTAAAAAAAAAAGAAAAAAAAAACGGATCTAACACCAATTAGGGTAAAGTATGGGGTTCGGAGATGTGCACTGGGCAAAGTCAATGGGAATCACTGTGTCGAAGCCAGAAAACCCTTCTGTCCCACGAAATCGACATCTAAATCTTAGATCCAGACATCTATCGCGTCAACAAACCCCACTGCAACAGTATCAATGGCCCTTGCGTTTCTTGTCGCCCTCATCACGCCGTACTCACTTCATTCTCATACTTCTGGTCAAACCCATCCATGTGTTTATGATAACCATTTCTTACCTGGTGTTGAAAGCATGCCGAGAAGGATTCAAAGGAGTCCCCTGAGACTTGCTCCTGAAAGTCCATGACATCGACACCGAGGCGGACAGGACTATCGCAGGACAGATCGGTGTTGCCGACAAGGATGACCCAATCGCCGTAATGCGAGATATTGTAGCTGACCGACTTCAAGTGTTCTGGCGATACCTAGTTTACACAATGGGCATTGGTTAAACAGAACGGGAATGTCGGGTGTTAGAAGACGTGAAAACGAAAAGATGATCCAGGGACGCGTTAGCGTAAGGAGGCGGGACATGGAGACGAAGAAAGGATGTCGAAGGTAGAGAGAAGAGGGTGAATAGGAAGGACAAGTAAGGAAGGGGATGAAAGGAGGAGAAAAGACAAAGCAATGGGTGCATGTAAAAGAAAAAGAAAAGTGAAAGAAGAGACAACGGAATTCTGTTCGAAAGAGAGAGAGTGTGTGTGTGCAATTGAGTCTTTTTTTTTTGGCCAACGGATGGGAATGGGAATGAGGGACCCGTCCAAAATAAGGCGTGGTACACGCGCGCGGATGGTCAACACCACCACCCATGCCAACCATGTGCAGAAATAAAGTTGAAAGCTGTATTGTTCCATCTTTCCCCCTCTCTCTCTCTCTGTCTCTTTTCTCTGTATCGCATTGACGTTTCTCGTATTGGTATTGTATAGTGTTATGTGTTTTCAATTGAGTTCCTTGAAATAAAAACAACATCCAGAAAAGAAAATCATGTTGGATGTAACAAACAAAAATACACACGACACATGGAACAGGGAGAGAGAAAAAAAGGATGAAAAGAGGAAGAGGAAAGATGAGGAGTAAACAACAGAGAACACACATAGAGATGCATAGTGAGTGCATGGTGCATAGTGCAAACAAACACTAAAAAAATTGGAAGGGCATGTGGGGACGGATGATATGGTATCGATGTGTCCGTTTTCTTCATTTTCTCCTCTTTCTTTTCGGTGTTGTTGCATAGCATACCAGGACAGGCTTGGTACTATCGGTGTGGTCAAAGACAATATTCTCCCATTGGCAGTTGTGGTGTGCGGTGAAGAAGGCGTGGATCATGAGTCGGCCGACCAGGGCACGGCGCATGTCGTCCTCTAACCGTAATTGAAGGAGCGAGTCCGCCTCGGATTTCGGAAGGAAGTTGAGCAGGTTCGAGACAGGGACGATGTTAGGCGGTCGCCTAGAGGAAGAATCGCTGCTGTCGCTGTCGTCGTCTGTGAGCCGGGTGACCAGGGGCTCGACGTTCTCGAGGAGGAGGGGTTGGCGAATGTTGAAGGCCCAGCGTGCGAGAGGCATTATGATTATGTGTGAGTCGTATGTGTACTGTGGGCGAGGGTAGATTATCACCGGGTAATGATGGTGATGTGCTAACGTGTGGTTGTAGTAGTAGTAGGGTGAACGTTGTTGATGGGACGGTGGTTGTAGAAGGTAGGAATTGATGGGCAGAGCAGAAAAGAGCCGACTTCAATTGCATTCAACGCTTGAAAAGGGGGAATGATATGTCCGAGTTTGCGTCGTCCGAGAGAAAAGCGCGAAGGAGGGTGGGTGAGTGCGAGAGTTCAGTTAGAGTGATGGCGAGAAGGAGGTGGACGTGTGAGTAGGAGAACGTGAGAACGAAACGAGTGAAATGAAAAGATGAAGAGAAGAAAGAAAAGAAAACGAAAACAAAACAAAAAAAAGGAGCTTCCTTTTTATGAATTCAACGATCGTCTGAGTTGGGATAGACGCAATGCATTACACAAATGGTAAACACAAAGAAAACACAAACAGACGAGACACACTCCGTGCAAGGGGTGTTGATCTTGCAGCACTGTGTTGGAGGCGATCCAGGAGATGTGCATCGGTCTCTGCCAATCTCTCTCTGTCCCTTCCCTGGCAGAGACTACATTGCATAGTATGTCTCTCTTTCTATTTCTTACCGTGGTATGTCATCCCCCCCTTCCTCTCGATTGCATAGTTCAGACGCAGGTCAAGGTGGTGGTGGCGATGAAGTGAGAATCAGCTCTTTTGTAAGGCGGTACTATATCACCCATCTGTCATTTACTCAGGCAGGTCAATTTAAATACGACGTCATGTCGGATATGAGAACATGATTCTTGAGAGTATGCGTATGTACGTACCATCATCATCGCCAGTCAGCTGCTATTATTATATCGCAATTGGATCTTGAGCCTCGAGGCTCCAACCCCCTGTTGCACTGTCCACTTCATGCAGCAAATCTTCAGAGGCAGTCCGATTTCATTTTGCTTTGGTTTGCCACCAAAATAACAATCCCTATCCCTGAAACTTCAATGACTTTTTTTTTTTTCATTCCCTCGCGTTCATTCCTTCACCTTCGACCAAGCAAGAATCACCGCCGACCAAGCAAGAAACAACCATGGCAAGTGCAGGAAACGAGAAACAACGACAGGAAGAACAAATAGAAAGAGCCAGCTACGGTCATCCACGAGAACGGAATGCAACCTCGTTCCTTCCATGCAGATTCCCACAGAGAGAAGCGAGACTTCCATTGCTTTGCTAACGCTACACTCTCTCACCCCTCTTTCCTTCCTGACGCCACTTTGTCGTCGTCTTATCGACTTTTTTTTTCTCGCTCTTTCTCCCCACCTACTCTGAACGTTTCTTCTATTCTTCCACATAGTCACGAAAGGGCGTTTCGGCAGCAGAGAAGCGCACACGGCTTTTGGATTACTTTCACGAGACAGTAAGAGGATCACTCCCCAGCTTCCCCTTCCTCTTCCCCTTGTTTTAAGTTCTTGACCTGTTTTATCTCCGCAAGGACACTTTATTAATATTACTACTTCTCTTTGGTTATTTTGTTTGCCTTCTTTGCTTGTGTTCTATCCCTTCGTTATTCGTTGTTGTAGCTCACGTTCCATAAACTCCAAGAACTGGAAAAGACTGTGCCCAAAGAGAAAGGAATTGGTAAGTTTTGCGTTTCCTTCATTTCTCGTCAACGAAGAACAAACAAAAAGATCTAGTCTGGACCAATCGAAATCAATCCCCTCTTGGAACAATCGACAACGACAACGACAACGACAACGACAACGACAACGACAACGACAACGACGTGTCTCGGATCAACCGGATCTGAAAATCTGACGATATATGCGTTGATGATCATATCCCTGCTCCCTCATTCCGTCATACTTTCTCCTTCATGTTCACGTTCCCCTCCCCTCTCTCTCACTCTGTCGATTTGTCTTTCCGCGTGCGACCCACCATCGCACTCTTTCACACTGTTCACTAATCTCGCCTACTCTGCCTTCCTGCCTTCTCTTTGTATTATGGTTGACGCGTAATAGTTCAGCAGGCTGTGAAGGATGTCTTGCAGTCTCTTGTCGATGATGGATTGGTGACGGTCGAGAAGATTGGAACCTCCAACTTCTATTGGTCCTTTCCCAGCGCAGTGCAACAAGCAGTAAGAACGCAATACCGTACATAAGTGACAGGGGAGAGAGTGGAAAAGATGATGAGGAAGAAAGGAAGGAAGGGGGAAAGAATGAAAACGGTCATCCTGCTTAGATTGGCTGACTATTTATGTAGACTACCGTTAACATGCATGCCGCTGTGGTCAGGAACATTGAGACTTTGTTTGCATGATAACGGGTGAAGCGGACGACAATAATAACGGGCTGTATTATTTACTACGTTCAAAAATTTGATAGAAAAACGCACAACTTCAGAACTTGGAGGCTGAAATGAACAGGATTGAAACAGCCAATGCAGACCTGGAGAGTAAGATTCAGGAGGCTGCCGGAGGCCGTCAAAACAACGTAAGTAACACAAAACCATCCGCAAGTTGACATTTTAATTGTGTCTCGTTATTCAGGAAAGAGAAGGGATCAAAGGAAATATGTTTTGAGGACCTGTGCATGCTCTTGAACAGTAGACTCTGGGTCCCTTGTTCTGATCGGCATTTAGTGCACTCTTTTCTTTTTGGACTGATATTTGATACTGTAAATTTCTTGCGTTCTGACTCTTCCTCGTCCTCCTTTCGATGCGTAATAGGCACAACGCCAGGAGATGCTCAAGCAGTTGCAGGAGGCTGAGGCACTGGACGCCCAGTACCAAAAGGAGCTCAAGCAGTATAGTGACAACGATCCAAGCTTGATCGAGGCTCAAAGTAAGGACATTTGGTTTAGGCGGATGAGTTGGCAGGCGGACTGACTGACATGTGGGCTTTGTGCGGACGAAACTCGGCTTATCGTAAAAGTCTTATTAACCTATACTTCGTTTCATATGTTCATCTAGAGAGATACTCGCAAATCGCAAAGGACGCCACCAATCGATGGACTGGTAAGAGTAATTGCAGTTGTTTGTATAGCCGCTCCCTTTATAACTGTTTCTGACACCTCACATATTCCGCCTCGATTTGGATAGAGAACATCTTCACGTTCCAGTCATACTGTGTAGACAAGTTTATGGTCGACCGCCAGGAGTTCAACCGCAACTTCAACATCCCCGAGGACCTCGACACTATTCCTTGAGTTTCTTATGCGGCGCCCTCACTCAATACTCTCACTCACCCTCTCTCGCCCGTTCTCTTTTGTGTATTGCGTCTTGGACAGCTTTTCTTTGAGATGGTTTTGAGTAAAGGAACGAGCTACACCTGAACAACCACTCTGCTATGTATTTTTAATCTCTCCTTCCTTTTTTCGCATTTCGTAAATCTTGTGCTTTTTCGATCACTTTGTCACAATAAAAGGCAGAAAACATCTGTGGTAACAAATGAAAGGATATCTCTATTTTCGAAGTACAATACATTTTTAGGTAGTCTGAAAGAGGGGGAAAGGACAAAAAAAAGCAAAGAAAATAATTTTATGCCAAAGCCTCCTCAGGCGAGGCGGGCATCAAGGCGCGCAAGGCTAGGGAGTAGACCAAGAAGGTGGCGGCGTTGCAAGGGAAGGCTCGGATGATGGTGGCATTGACACCCCTGAAAAAGACCCGGAAGCCCTCTTCTCTATACATGTGCTTTGTGCAATCCCATACGCCCTTGAACTGTTGCGATTTCGGTAGCGAGTCGTGCTGTGCCTGAATTCTTGTCTTGATCACATCTATTGCATTTATGGATTGGGGGATTGAGAGTTAACTTGACATTGTTCCATTCAAAAAAAAAAAAAAAAAAAAGGCTGTTTTGTAAACAACTGTGTTGGCAGAGTGAAACGCACCTGTAGGGTAAGTACTGAGCCATCCAGCGATACCTGCAAACCCTCCCGCAACAACCAACCGTCCACTCGACAGATCCTGAGTCCGCTGGCCCTCTGGTGTCAACGCCCTGCAAAAGATTTCGTAGCTCAAGAAATAGGGTCCGTAGGAGGTCTCTCGGAGGATGGTGGACCAGAGTCCACGATAACAGGCGCGAATGCCTCCTTGGCGATAGGTTTGTTTGAAACAGTCCATGGGTCCCTTGTAAAAGGTTGTTCCCAGACCACTGCTGCCACTCTTCACCATTCCTGCGCCCTGATCCTGATTTTGAAGTCGAATCTTTGACAATTCCATCGGGCAACTGATAAAGCTGTTTTGCGGCCGGAAAAAAAATGAGGAAAAAAGGAGGATGTTAGTGTTGAGCGTATGTGTATGAACATTGCAAACATGACCAGTCCTGCGAGTCAAAAAGAAAAAAAAAAGTATTTGAAGGGCGTACCTGTTGACGATGCCAGATCCTGTGCCAGCCAGATAGATCTGCATGAGGGTCGGATCATCCCCAGGGTTTTTCATCTGAATATCCATGAAGAATCCATAGACGCCAAACAGCAACGCGTTCACCAATGCGACTCCGACCTAGAGCGTAATATAAAAAGAAGGTAACAAAGTTGAGTACAATGATGACCTGCTTGTATTTCTCCACGTTCTAATGATTCTAGTTCGAGACCCAGCAGGAGAGAAGGAGGAGCGTTGTCCAATAGGAGGCAAGTGGTCACCTGCTCACGACTTACCATTGGAGAAGCCTGTGAAGTGTGAAATAAAAGTGGCGGCGTAAAAGAAGCCAATTTTCAAGGTCAGTCGATCTGTCATAGGAAAACGACACACGGATACACTTCACACAACTGGAGCATAAAGGATGAGATGGTCGGGAAACTTACCATGCCCTTATAAAGCCCCTTCACCTAGAGGAAGAAACAAAGAAAGGGAAAAGAAGATAGAAAAAGAAGGATTAGTTCCGCTTTCCTCCTTGTCCTGATTGTGCAACCTACGGTCTTGTCTTCTCTCTTATGCCAGTTGGACATGTGTCTGCACATCTTGACTCCTGCAGGGAATCAAGAAAATAAGAACAAACACAACAATAAAAGAGAAGCAGCCTTCCTTCTTTCAACAGATCCACCTACTGACTATTATTCTTACCTTCTCCTGCTTCAATATCGTGGAGAAACAGTTCCATGTCCCTGAGTACTTGGCCGCGAGCTCCTTGGATTGTAGTCTAACCTTGACAGTGTCTGTTCGTCCACGCAAGAAAACAAACAAAAAGTCATCAATTAGCAAAGGTCCTCAACCACGCAATTGAAAAAAGTTAAAGGAAGTGCTGATCGACGAATTGAGATACATACCCCATGGATGGCCTACACAGAGACCCGCGATGCCTTCGGAATGAGTGAATGACGAAAGAGGAGAGAAGTTTTTTAGTGTGATGAACAAAAGGCATTTGACATTAGCTCTGATTCCGTTCATTCCTGCCCTGTGTGCTTTTTGCTTATTATTTTTATTCTTGTTGTGCAAGGGAGTAAGTAGCATACCTCCTATTGTCCCTGCAACAAAATTCGATGTCCAGTCGCTCCCACTAGCTACAAAGAGAAAAGGAAAAAAAAGTATAACGAACAAAATGAGGTTAGAATGAACGATGTGGTTGACCCTTTCCTGGTGTCCTGGTGAGAAGTGACCAACCAGGGGGAAAAATGTTGGGTTCCCCTGCTCACGATTCACGATGAATGAAGGATGAGTATCTGCGCAAAGTACAGCGAGTGTTTGTTGCAGAGAGACAAATATAATATCCGTCTGGCCTGGTTTGTGATCGCTCTACATTCACTTATGTGTGTCCAGGATCCAGAGAGAGCTGCCCTTGCTGTTTCCTTTCCTTGCGGCGACTGGGGACTGAACCCAAATCGTGTTCGTGTGTCATCTGCTCGATGTATAGTCATCATCGTTCTCTTTCACCCATTCTTTCTTCTCCCACCCAGAAAAATAAAGCGACTCGTGCTGCTTGATCCATTGTCTTCTCGATTGGTTCGGAGAATATGTGTTGAACAAAGAATACATTAGTGATACTCTCCCTCTCTCTTTCTCTCTCTTTCTTTCTCTCCCTCCTGAGCGAGCAAAAGACGAAAGTATGAGAGGGGTGAACCTCCTACCGACGAGTTGAATGTGACCCGGAAATAGGCTGGTTCCTGTTTACATTTTTTCCTCCATGATGGCTGCTGCCTTGCTCCTGCTTTGCTGAATCGACTCCAGTATATCAAGGAAGGGGAGAGAAAAAAGCGCCTTACTTGGTTGGTCCTGTACGTGTACGAGGGCGATGCTGTCGTCGCAGTCAAGCATCAGCAGCGATTAGCAAAAGTATTAGGCTTCTTTGCGATAAAGGCGAGAGTTAAAAATGATAAAGAGGAAAAAATAGAAAATGGGAGTATGAATGAAGAAAATGGGCGTGGATACAAGTGTGGAGTGAGGGTGTGGTTGTTGGTGTTGTTGTTTTTTTGTGGCCGAGGTGGGTGTGTCAGCGAGAAGCGATGAGACCGAGGTATGTGAGAGCGATTGATGAGTACAAAAGTGAATGAGAGGAAGAGAGTGGAGAGAGTGAGGAAGGAATGAGATCTACAGGACCCAGCCAGAAAAGAGAGAGAGAAAGAAAGAAAATGAGAAAAGAAAAGAAAGAGAAAGAGAAGAGAGAAGAGGAGAAGAGATAAAAAAGAACAGGTTGGTCATGCTTGTGTGTGTGTGTGTAGTGTTTGTGAGTGTACTGTTCTGTTCACAGGTGTGTTTGCTGGAGGAACAAGGGACGTGTCTCAAAAAGGAAGGAGGGCCCAACTTTCCCACACAAAAAGTCGGGCCACAAGGCCTGATGGCAACAAGGTACCTTGTGCCCAAGTACACTCTGCAAGCTTCGATACCATTGGTTGATTTCCCTTTCTCTCTGTCAGTCATTCTGTCTTCAGTCTTCTTGTCTCTCTCTCCCTCCCTCTTCTCTTCCCTCATTGCTCACACCTGTCGTCTTGCAGTATGCCCTGGATCTCTTTTTTTTTATGGTTTCCCTTTGCGGTGGGGGAGGGAAAAATGTTGTATCTCACTACATGTATTACCACCCCACCTAGATGGTCATCTCTCGCCATCTCACAAAGCCACTCTCTATCCCAATGGCCCTTTTACATCTATGTCGGACACGGACAGTATCCAAGGGAAAACTCCATCCGTCACTCTGATCACTTCGGACAATTGAACATGTTACACGGACATCCTGTTATATGCATCTGTACCTTCAAGTCAAGATCAACAAGATAAAAGAAAAAGCGCGGAATTAAACGCGTCCCACTAAAAACCCTGGGACTTGTGCACATGTTTGTTCCAATCCATCATACTTTCTTTCCTTCCATCCCTTGCCAATTGCCTCTCTTCTTCAGTCCTTTCTACATCCATACTGCTTTCTCTTTTGCTGTTTTATTGCGATTGCCATTCACCATGAAAACTGCAGGCGGTGCGAATGAGCGTGGTTGTTGGCTTTGAAATTATATCTTCCAGGACAACCGTTTTTTTATTTGTGATTCTGACCCTTCAGGGGCACAAAGACCACCATTACTTATGATGGGGGAGTGATCAACATCAATATCAGATACAAGGAGGGTGATGGTACCTGGACGGGGATGGATCGTCTTTTGACCGTCAATCATTCTTTCGGGCGATGGATGAGAGTATGGTCGTCTATGAAATATCCACACTCACTTTCTTATTTCTTCAATACCATTCTCCTTCTCCATCCATTTGATCCTCGACACTTTTTTTACTCCGCAGCGGATTGGGTGCGCCATCACGCGACGGCTGAAATGGCACGGGATTCACTCCGCACACATCGACGCGTCAAAAGAAACTGCAATGTCCATGGTTTGCGAATGTAGCCTGGTGTAATGAAGGTCTCACATCTCCCCTTCAATGCCTTGTCCTTGCTATGCATTCCTTGTTTTACTTCCATGTCGTGTCCTCAGTTATTGCTGTGTGGGGCAGCGGGTAGGTGTTTGACAAGACCCTCCATGGGAATGCATTTGTAACACAACGACCATGGAAGGTTGAAAAAAAAGTTTCCTTTCACTCTCATCCATGCTTTGCCCATTCTATCGAGTTGATTTTTTTCCTGTCACCCCCTTGCATAACATGGATGACATGGGCGATGGATGGGCCATACATATTCCCTTGAATAAGACAACAACCCCCTTTTTTCTCTTCAAAGATGTAATTGAATCCATCCACCCTCTTCCCCTTCCCCGAGAAAAAAGTAAAAGAGACACCTCCTTGATTTCGTATTCAGGCAGATGTGCTAGGCAATACACTCCTTTTCACCACCACCACCACCACCACCACCATCACCATCACACCCTCCTCCTTCTAGCCTTTGTCTTCCTTCAATCGCATCCTCTTTCTTTCTGCCATTCATTTTACCCTTCTCTCTCTGTCTCCGTACTGTCGGCTAATGGCCACCCATGTCCATGATTAGTCCTCCTCCCTTTCCTCAGCCTTCCTCTTCTCCCTCACTCCTCGACAAACATCGATGCTAGCTTCAGCAAACATGAACTAAAAGCATTCTCTCGTCCTGCCAGCCATCCCTCGTTTGCTTGGTCGTTGTCGTTGTTGCTACCGCGTTTGTGCTGTTTGTTTGTTTTCTTGTCGCTCCTCTTTTCGTTATTGTTCTTGCTCTTGTTGTTTTTGTTGCTGTTGCTGTTTTCCTTAACCTTGTAGCACACCCCTTGTCTTTCTCTCCCTCTCTTTCTATCCTCTTACTTTCATTCTTTTTATTCTCTCTCTCCCCCTTTGTTTCCCTCGTTGTCCTTATTGGCTTCTTCTTTGTGGCCCCTGTTCCCGACCTCCATCTAAAATCCCCCTTTGTCTTCTTTTCTTTGTAACTTCCTTGTCTATTCGTCGTCTGTCCATGTTCACTGTTACCGGTGTAGCTGTCGCCATTGCTGTTGTTCCATTCAAGCACGTTGCTCATTGCAATTACATTCCCTAGACTGGACTCATTCCTTCGACATCTCTCCTCCGCTTCAACCTTACTTTCCACGCTCTCCTTCAGTTTTTTATGGACTCGTTTTTTATTATTTCTATGCATTGTCTTTTTGCTTTCATCCCTTTTTCTTTGTCTTTTGCCGTTGCTTTCGTGTATCGCGTTGTCTCATTTGCCTGTGGTCCGTCCCCCCTTTACCTTCTTCCTCCTCCTCCTCTTCCTCTTCGTCTTCATTCTTCTCTCCTCTCTCTCCTCTCTCTTTTCTTTCTTCTCTCTCTCCTCTCTCTTCTCTAATCTCTCTCTTCTCTTCTCTTCCCTTCACTCTTCCATTCTCACTCTCTTCCTCAATATCTCCCTCTCGTTACTATTCTTTACACGACTTCGATATCGCCTCTCTCCTCTCTCTTTTCGAACGCACACCATGGGCGGATCAGTGTCTCGAGAACACGCGAGGTTGCCCTTTGGCTACACCCATGCCCGCAAGGAGGATCATTCGTGCAGTGCCTCTGCCTCCTCCAGGCGTCAGCGTATCGCCAACCGGTTACTGCTCCTCAAAAGTCAAGACTCGACCACCTCTGTCACCCCACTCCAATCCCCCCACCACCGCCTCCCTCTCCCCGAAGACGGGTCCCACCCTGGTAGTGCCGCCACTGGAGCGACTGGACCCACAGCGAATGGAGAGGGAGGACTTGTTGGACCGGCTGGATCCATGGCCGCCCACCTGTCGCTCCCGTCCGTCTCCAGCCAGGATGACGACGACGAGGACGATGGCGATAATGCGGAAATTGTGTCGTTGAGCTCGATTCTGAATCAAGGTCCTGAATTCAAATTGCAATGGCATGCCGTCAGTCAGGATCTAGATCTGCATCCCAATGTCCACACCTACCCATACCCATACACCTATCCCATCCCATACCCAGAAGCGTCGGTTGATGTTGGCACGGAGTCCGAGGTGGCAGCGAAGTCATCGACACTGATAGCGGATGCCCAGGTCCAGGTCCAGGCCACGGAGGATAATAACCACCACCATACGATGATGGCGTCTTCCGCTTCGTCTCCCTCCTCCTCCTCCTCTTCGTCTAATATTCGATCTCCTATCTCTGCAATTGCTTGTGCTTGTGCTCCCATTGCTAATGCTGCTGCTCCTTGTGGTGGTGATGATTATGAAACGGCTGCAGGAGGTGCCTGTTTTAACCCTGGGCTGGGCTCTCTAGCCTCGCTAATGCTCACATCAGCCACAGCACCAGCAGCACCAACAGCCAACCACCACTACAAGGACGACAACAAGGACAGGGAGAAGGACGCCCATTTGACTGATCCTCTTGGTCCCCTAGTTATCACCAGTCAAACTCACGCGTCGCACCTGTCTCAGCCTACCGTCACCATCTCCGCCGCCGCAGTCACCGCCACCAATACTCATCTGAACAACATCCATAACCATTACCCACATGCTCTCTCCCTGTCCGCCTTGCCTTCACCCGACAACACCCTCTGCGACAAAATCAGCAACAACAACGATGACGAGCTGAACGTAGCCTTCGACAGCAGCACCAACAACGATTCGACTACTATCAGTCATCAACAACAAGAAGAAAACAACACTGAGGCCGTCCATACCTCAACAACGCTAAGCTTGGATCCCCTTCGACAATCTTCGTCGCAGCAGGATCTAATCGGATCAGCTAGCACTGTCTTTGAGGACGACTTTGACGATTCTGACGATGAATTAAAGGGACCCAGCGACCGCAAGATGGACCTGATGGCAGCCTTGGGAATCGCTGACATGCCCGACCGCGCACCCAGCCCTGGACCTCAGGACATCCCATTCAGTTTTTTCACAGAGGAGCCCACCTTCCACGCCTTCCAGGATCCAACAAGCTGTCAGCTCTTCAACAACACGAGGCGATACACGACCGACGGTGGTGGGTACTTAAAGGGCAAAGAGGTTGGTAGACCCTGGATGGACATGACCGACGAAACCGTAGTTCATCTGCCACTGGACTTTTTCGATCGCTATGGAACTTCTCAACAGGATTTGGACGTTGATTATATGGGTGACGACTTTGATGGCGAGCTCGAACAGGAAGAGTTACCACGGTCGTCTCGTCGACTGGGCAAGCGGTTGAGTCTTGGAAACGCGGGCTACCCAGCTTCGGGAGTTAACTATGGCGGACATAATGTAACGGCAAACTCGGCGATGATGATGAACATGATGATGCTCTCTGCTCCGGACGAGGATGTCGCCCATTTGAGTCCTATTCCCTTCTCTGAACTCCCAAGTTTGACCAACATTGGTCTTTGCTCCCACGGAATCGTCAAGCTGTCGTCCAACATTCGCCTCCTCTCATCCACCACCTGTCTTCAAGTGTAAGTTTTTCTTGCGTTGTTTTTATTGGCGCAACATACGTTGTTAGAAGCAAATGCAGCACTAACTATGATCCATATGTTAATGCTTGTCATAATAGTTGCTGCAACGATCTATGTGCGATCCCACCCGAGATTGGCTTCCTCCGCAACCTGACACTTCTGGACCTCTCCAAGAACAGCCTAATGACCATCCCAGACACGATCCGGTTCCTCACAAAACTCGTCGACCTTCGTCTAAATAGTAACTTTATCGACACCCTTCCCCCCTCGATTGGCGAACTCACAAAGCTGACCCACCTCAGTCTCGAGAACAACCAACTCAAACGCATACCCCGTCAATTGGGTCGACTCAAGGCCTTGACACACCTCGTCCTCGACGATAACCCCATCACCGTCCTCCCCGCCGAAGTCGGTCAACTCCAGTACCTGCGTCGACTCAAGTTGGAACGGTGCCCGCTTGTTCGAGAGTTTGTCCATTCGCCCGTTCATTCGCCACCGACGCTGATGGAACTGGCTGCGAGGGTGATCTTGCGGCAGGGGATGGTCGTCCCGCCGTTGATGCCGTCCCATTTGAAGGCTTACCTCCGGACGTCGCAGAGGTGTAGTTTCTGTGATGGCCCATATTTTGAGTCGTCTGTCAAGCGGGGCAAGATGATTGAAAAGAATGACGTCTTGGTCCCACTTGAGTATACACTTTGCATGCCGCATTGGAACACGGAGATGGAACGCGTCAAATTGTTGTTTGGGCCTCGTCCAGTGACGTCTCCTAAACCTCGTACTTCTCGACAGACAGCTGCCGCGGCGGGACTGTTGACTACGGCCGAGAATGGAGCGGCAGCGGCAGCGGCAGCGACGGCGGGGGTGACTACAACGGCTACAACGGCAACTCGACGACACATGAAATCAGAATCGGCTGGCCCAGTCTTGTCCTCGACTGCTGCAAGCGTACTAGGAGGTGGCAGTTTCTCACCAGTCTCGGCCAGTCCAGTCGGACAAGCACCTCTCACCTTCTCCTTGGCCCCTCTTGGCGCGACTGCAACCACTGTACCGCCAATTTCCGAGACAGCAAGTCCGAGTAGCACCAATGACAGTAGTACTCGCAAGAGACGTGGATTCCGCTCAAAACTGGGCTCCTCTAGCGGTAGCGGTATCTGGGCTGCCACTCTTGGATCCGGAAACGGTGGCAGTGGGGGTAGCAACAACAATGGATGGTTCTCGTCGTCCAACAACAATAGCGAGACCAACCTTACATCCGCGGATGCATTACCACCCTTGAGAACCTCCTCCTCGGTCAGCACCATGGCTTCCATCGCAACCGCTGCGGGGGTCTGTGGAATCACAACAACAACAACAACAACAACATACCCCGAGCTGGCGAGCATCACGCCGCCGCCACCACCACCACCGCCACTCAACTCACGGTCATCGTTTTCGTCACGAACAAAGAAGTCGCGTTTCATGAACCCGTTTGTATCGTCTCGTGGTAGTAGCAGTGGTAGTATTGTAGGTCTTGCAGGAGGTGGTGGAGAACGACGAGGCTCGTCCTCTCCTTAGAGCAATTCTTTTCCTTTGTTTCTTTTTTTCTTACTTTTTCTGTCTTTTCCTCTTCCCTCCTCTTTATGTCTTTTCCCGCTTTACAATATTATAAATTAATTTTTGTTTTCCCACCTGTGTCTTCTTCAACCCCCCACATGTAAAACATAAATATTTGAGTGTTTAATTAATGATAGGTATGTGAGAAGAGAGAGGGAGGGAGGGAGGGAGGAGGAAGGAGGCCAAAAAAAATAAAAGAAGAGGCTATGGACAAGAGAAGGAGGATAGGGTGATTGAAGAAAGGAAAGAAAAGACAAGCTGAAACGCCCGAAATAACTCTCCCCCCCCCCATCATGCTTTAGTTCAACTTGACCTGAGAAGTCAAGAACTCAACCGACTGCTCATCATCATCATCAACAGCAGCAGCAGCGGCCTTGGGATGAGCAGTCCACTTCTGGATCCAGTTAAGGACCTCAGCATGCCAGCGCAAGCTGTTGGCAGCCTTGAGGACCCAATGGTTCTCATCAGGGAAGTAAACCAAACGGGAGGGGATACCCTTGCGCTGGAGGACGGTGAAGGTGGCGAGGCCCTCGGTGATGGGGAGACGGTAGTCCTTGTCGCTGTGGATGACCAAGGTGGGCGTCTTCCAGTTCTGGACAAAGTTGGCGGGGTTCCAGCGTTCATAGTTCTCACGGGCCTTGGGGTCCCATGGCACACCGCCGTACTAAATTGTGTCAGAGGAGGAAATGTATGAGGGGGGGGGGGGGGGGGGTTAGTTGTATTGTTCCCGGCTGGGCTGATTGATGTGACAAGGTGACAATTGAATAAAAAAAAAGTACCTCGTGCTCAGGGAAGTAGAGCTCCTCGGTGGCGTAGTATCCGTTCTTGGTGTCAAAGATGCCGTCGTGGTTGACCAAGCAGTTGAAGCGGTCGGTGTGTCCGTTGATCCAGCTAGAAGAAAAGGGGAGGAAAACAATTAGTATCGGCTGTATTGAACACTCGTGAGAGCAATTTTTCTTACAGCTGTACGAAGGAAAAAAAAAAGAACAAACGAGGCGCAGACTTACTTCATCATGTAACCACCATAAGAGGCACCAAGGGCAGCAACACGGGTCTGGTCGATGTAAGAGTGAGTCTCAAGAACGTGGTCGAGTCCCTTCATCAAGTCGATATAAGGAGAGCCGCCCCAGTTGTTATTGATAGCATCGGTCAACTCCTGGCCATATCCAGTCGATCCAGTGGGGTTCAAGAAGACAACAACATAGCCGGCGCTGGCAAAGATGTTGGGGTTCCAGCGGGTGCTCCAGTTGTCGTTGAAGGCGCTCTGGGGTCCTCCGTGGACAATGAAGGCAAGGGGGTACTTTTTTGATGGGTCGAATCCAATGGGCTTGAGGAGGAATCCGTGAATGTCTTTGCCCTTATCTCCCTTGAACCAGACATCCTCGGGCTTGGAGAGGTGGATATTAGCAAGAGTATCAGCATGGACGTGGGTGCGGCGCTGAATGACCTTGGACTTGACATCGACGGTGAAGAGGTCGTTGGGGGTGGTCAAGGAGGCAGTCGAGTAGAGGATGGTGTTGTCGTCGATCAGGCTCAATCCGCTCTGGGCGTGCTCGCTGACGATGGCCTCGACGGTCTCGGTCTCGAGGTCGATCTGGAAGATCTTGACGTGGCCCTGGTCCTCAGCAGTGACAAAGATAGTCTCGTCCTTGGAGTCAAAGAGAATGCTTCCGGGGCTGCGGTTCCAGTCCTGGGCGACAACGCGGGATTGTCCATTGGTGTGGACGACGATTCTGTTACGGTCAGCCTCGTACTGGGGCTTGAGCATCTGGAGGTAGGCAATGGACTTTCCGGTGGCTGAGTAGACGGGGTGGCTGGCAGCGCCGACGCTCTCGGGGTTGATGGACTTTGGTGCGGCACCTCCGGCGGTGGGGACGGTGTAGATATGGGTGGTTGTCTGCCAGGCATTGTCGGGGGTATTGATCTTGGAAACAAAGACGAGCTCCTTGCCGTCAGGGGAGATGTCAAAGTCGCCTTGGTCGCCAAAGGGAATTACGGGGGACTCGAGGCCGGTGTTGAGCAAGAGGTTGATGGCCTCGCCATCGACAACAAACTTGTCGCCATTCTTCTTAATATGGGCGATAAAAATGTTGTTCTTCTTCTCCTGGACGAATTCGTCCCAGTGGCGAACCATGAGGGTGTCAAAGGCGAGTGCGGTGTCCTTCTTGTAGTGCTTGAGGTGCTCATCCCTCTCCTTGGCTCCAGCAAGAGATCCGTCGGCATAGACGGCAGCGCTGAAGGCGATCAAGTTGGCAGCCTGGTTGAACTTGACGCTGTTGATACCAACGGGGAAATGGGTGAGGGGGTAAGGCTCGGTATCGGAGGAGACGGTCTTGACAAAGAGCTGGCCTTTGGAGAGGAAGGCAACGTGGTCGTTGTCGAGCCAAAGGGCATTGTCATGGTTGGTGTCAGGTGCCTGGGGGGTGAGGTCAGAGAAGGTGTTGTTGTTGGCGAGGTTGACGAGGTGGAGGTTGCGGATGGACTTGTTGGTGTCGAGGTAGTAGCGCGAGGCAGAGAGGACGGCGAGCTGGCCGTTGGGCGACAAAGAAGCGGTCGAGGGACGGGCAAGGGCGAGCATGAGCTCGGGGGTCAAGGGCTTGAGGGCGGCGGATGCGGTGGTGACCATGGTGATGATGGTGGCGGCGGTGTGGATGAGTCTCATGATGGGAAGGAGACAAGGAGGGCTTTTTATACCTTTGTTTGTTTGTTTTTTGTTTCCTGTTTCTTGGGGAAGTAGGAAGGGGAAGGCTGAAGAAGGAAAGGATAAAGGAAAAAGCGTGGGAGAGACAACAGCGGAGGATCAAAAAAGAAATTGTCAATCGAAAACAGAGATTGATGGGAACCCACTCGAGGATATGAGTGGTCAGGAAGGGAGGGGGGAGGGGGAGGAGGGAGAGGAGGGATGGGGTGAAGAGAGAGAAATAGGAGAAGGAAAAAGAAGAAGAGGAAGGAAGAGAAAGGAAGGAAGAAGTGAGGCAAGAAGGAGAAGAAGTGAGTAAAAAACAAGAGAGAAAAAAGGGAGGGAGGAGCGCGATCAGAAGAGTGGTTCATGGCTAAAGATTTCCAGGGCGATCACAGATCCCTTCGTAACTGGCTGCTCAATCGAACTGATCAGAAAAGAAGGGTAAAAGGGAAGGTGACTTTATTTGGGCATCTTTCATTTGTCCTTCGTGTGAAATATACAACCGGCGGGGCACGCCATCAATAAGCGACAATGAGGCCACTTTTGAGCAACAGCAAGACGACTGACCCTCAACCTCAACCCTCCAGCAACTAAGCGCCAATTGACCAAAGTCTACGCGCTGGACAATAGTCCTATGCCTCCAGAACAAAAAGAAGAAAAAAAAAGACGTTGCACGCGTTTTTTTTGTCGTCGGTGTGATATCAGATAGATTCGATCTTTCTTCCGAATGCATGAATTTTTTTCTTGCTAGTGTGACGTAGTAAGGCCCTCCTGTCCCACTGCCCATGATGTCTGTGTGGGTCCTGACAACCAGTAACCAACCACACATATACACAAATAAATAAACACACACATATATACACACTTCTCCCTTTTCAGCACCGCCAGCCAGCCAGTCCCTCCAGACCTCTCAGTCTGCTCCACTCCACCCATTCCATATTCCTGTTACTCTACAACAACACAAACACACACGATCTATCGGATCCCTTTCACCCACCCCACCCACAGTCGTCCTCCATGTCAAGCCCCATCAGTCGCACAGAGTCACCGTCTCTCGGTAAAGAGAACGACATAGCACTGAGCCTCTTCTCAGACACACGCAGGTTGTTCACATTCATGTCAGAGGAAGAACCACTCAAAGGAAAAAGACACTCAACTTGTCCTTATCGCCGCATTCGGCATCCACACACATAGACGAGCACAAGCGAAAGCGCGAGGAACTCACAAAGAAGCCCGAAGGAGCTTCGGTAAGGATTCATTCTCCAACGACAACTACCGCCATCGGCATATTCATCCTTTTCAACAAAGAACGGGCAACGGACAAAAACAACTTGTAGCACATCGGATCTCAAAACCATGAACTAATTGCTTGTTTCGTTCTTCTTTGACGCATACTCACGCACGCCCACTCTCGATGGTTTTACTCTAGACATCTGAGATCGAAGGCGAAGGCGATGTTGAAGCTGTTCCCCCAAAGAAAATGTAGGTGGTCGTCGCTCGCTTGTGAAATCAACTCACGACGGACAGAGATCTACTTTGAGAATCAGCAAGACGCAACCATGGACCAGCCTCCCTACAGCAAACGGCTTGCCAGCTGCTCTGAAGGAACACACCCATGAACGCCACTCTTACTCATTTTTGCTGTGCCTCCTGTTCCTCGACTCTGCTCTAGCAAACCTGAGGTCGACGCAAGCGAGACAGTCTCCAGGGCCGAGGTTAAACAGATTCAGCGCAACTTGAAGACGATGCCCCTGGAAGACAGCAGCAAGTCCGCGGAAGAATCCAAAGATATGGATGATGTTGAGAGTGATGTGGGAAGCCCCGAGGACGGAGCACAGGACAAACAGATGGAAAGCAGCTCACAGCCAACACCCATCAAAGCCGACACCCCGGACGAGAGCCAACCATCCCCATCATCTGACCAGGAGTGTGAACAAACTAACGATAGCAACGGCAAAGCAAAGACAACGGACCACACCACGACAACCACCTCCGGATCTCAGCCAAAGCTCGGAAGCAGATTCAATAACACGTCCTCTGCCAGTCCCTTTGCTAATGTCAAGGCTGGAACAAACGTATTCGGGAGCTCAAGCTCTACCTTGCAAGGAACAAGCGCCACATCTTCCGCCAGCCCCTTTGCCAACGTTGATAAGAACACCAATGTCTTTGGTGGCAGCCAGCCCTCAGCATTCTCAAGAGGATTCGAAAACACTTCGTCTGTTAGCCCATTCGTCACTATGGCTGCCTCTACCAACGTTTTTGGTGGCGAGTCAGCAAAGGATGTCTTTGGAGGTGAATCGACCAAGAGTGTTTTTGGTCAAGGCAGCTCCACAACCACATCGACCTTTGGCGGCTCGGCCTTTGGAGGAGCAGGAGGAGGATCTCCTGAATCGACTTCTGGAAGTGTCTTTGGTACCCAATCAGTCGTTGGATCCGTCCCAGGCGCCAAAGCTTCCTCGAATGCCGGAACTGTAAGGACATCCCTTCGTTGAAACTTGAATCGCCTCTCAAGAGCAACTGTGTAATTCTTGATACTTTGTTTGCACGAACTAATAGCAGTGTCACTATTGCCGAAATATAGAAATTCTCCCCAGCCAGCCAGACTGGGACCGCTGGCAACTTTAGCACCTTTGGCGCAAAGAATACATTTGGTGGCAAGGAAGGAGGATTCGGCACAGGATCCTTTATGTCTCAGGAAGGGAGCCAAGAACAGGCTGACTTTGGTGATTTGCTTTCACAGGACAACCACGGCGAAGACGACGATGCAGAGCAGCCAGAAGAATCAGAGCGCACCTTTGGTGCCGGTGTATTCTCGAACGTAGATCAGATCGATGGTGAGCACCATAGTGCGAAAGAAAATGCCTATCGTTGTTCGCTTTTGATCTTTCACTTACTAAATAACATACCGCTGTTTTCCTGTAATCTATAGTCCAAACGGGAGAAGAAAACGAGATGACCATCTTTCAGACCAAAGGAAAACTCTATGCTGACACGGAAAAGACGCACTCCTGGAAGGAACGCGGCAAGGGAACATTTAAAGTCAATGTTGGCAGGAGGGATACCAAAGTGGCCAGACTCGGTAAGGCTGCAGCAAATGTCTTGACGATATTTCAGGTACTCTTTATAAAAGTGATCTTACGCTATCCTGCATACTGACACGATATATTTTTTTTATTTGGACTCTATCGACAACTGACATGTAGTGATGCGAACGGACGGTGTGTTGCGTCTCATTTTGAACGTTTCGATCTTTCCAGAAATGAATGTGACCATCACGGGCGACAAGTACATTCGTTTTATGGGCGTTGAGGAGGGAGCACTGCTTCCTTTTCTGCTCAAGGTTCGTGGATTATACGTGATTTCTATCGTTTTCGTTAGAACGCTGTTGGACGCTATGGAACCCGATGTGAAAGTGATAGGCTAATAACCCCTGTGGATAATTTTTTGTTACTTTGCTGTATAGGTGAAGGATGCTGCCACAGCGGAGGAGGTTGTTCAGAACATTAACCGAGCAGCCGAGCGGCAAGTCAAGGGCAAGGGTCAGGGTGTTGTCCTGAGGGATTGAGTAGAGCTGAAGGGGGAATGGCAAGGCTGGTTGCGATACAATCATTAAAAATGAAAATATTCTATCATTTATGTACGAGAACCAAAAGACCCTGGAAAGCTGGAAAAGTGCTCTTGATAAAATCCGCGCGTTGATATGTTGATTGGCTGGATAATCAAGGGCGGTCACGCAGACTCCATTCGCCGTTGAGCGCGGTCGTCGTTTTCACACCCGCGTCCTCTTCTTTTTCTTCTCGCCCATTCCTTCCCCCATTCGACTCATCCACCCCCTTTCTCGTTCTCTCTCTCTCTCTTTCTCTCTCTCCCTCGTCTCGCCTCTTCCCTCGTTTAACACACTCGTTAGCTAACCCGCAGTCGTCAGCTTCCTCTTTCCCACGCCCTTTGCATACGAAAAACCTTCCCTCGGCACCCTCCTCCTAATATCTACCTCCTTTAACGATCCATTGACTGCCGACGAGGACGACGATGAATACGAAGGATACATCTATGAGGAAGCAGACGAAGATGACGACGATGATGATGAGGGTAACGAATATGGCAACGACCACGCCAACAACGAGGATATGGAGAACGACGAGGACTATGAAGGCGAGGAAGACGAGGACGACGAGGACGACGATGATGATGATGACGAGGCGATCTATGTTGATGAGGACGACGAGGAGGACGCTGAAGACAATGCCACTATTAGCCTGGCAGAATTGTTTTCAGGTGCAGGCAAGTAGTCCTCTGACAATGATCATCCTTCTATTTTACAGAACAAATTGCGCCATTATTGAGTGACATGCAGAAGTATCCCTGACATTGGGTTGTTTCTATGTTTCAACATTAGAGGACCATCCAAACATGATTCGGCAATGTAAGTAGCCCTACAGGGGTGTGTAATTTCTCAGTTAACTAAGCATCCAAGCTCAATCCTCGCATAATCTAACTGCCTCTACCCCTTTCTTAGTGTTGATGCTGATGCAGACTCAGAGTGGCAATGGTCTGCCACTGCACGCCAGACGACGGCCGAGGACGCCTTCCCCGATTCCCGAGCCCGACATTGAAAAGGGAAACGAGCTGCTCAACTCGGGTGAATTTGGTCGTGTGGAGTCGGCATATATACCTTCCAAGGACAACAAGAAGAATGTCATTCGAAAATTGCGGATGAGAGAGCTCAAGCCCCGGGCAGTCAATCCGCTATCCATCGGCGAGGTAATGGATGTTTTACACATGTTTAATTCTGACGAAGCGCTCGTTCATCCATAAGATTTTGCTGACATTTTCCTTTCACTCTTGTTATGCATGAATAGTCCATCATACCTGACAACCCTGGCAAAGTGGTCGATGCATATGGAGAATCTGCTTATTCTGGCCAATACTCTGAGGACGGGTATGTCAACATTCTTGCGCAGCAATGCAGCCGGCTCTAGTGTTTGCAAACGTACGCCCTTTGTATTTTTCTCACCTCTTTCTACCCAATCAAACTTAGGTCCCTGTTCGCATCCTGCGACAAGGATTGGCGACTGCGCATCTACAAAACAGCTGGCAACAAGCTTGTCCGGGAGAAGCTGATTCAGGGTGTGGCTGGCCGATGGACCATTACTGACCACAACCTTTCTCTCGACAACCATTGGCTGATCTACTCGAGTATCACACCTCATGTTTACTTGACACGAACTGCGGCGGATGCCCCTGATGCCCACCACCTGCTGGACTTTTCGACAGGCGATGAGGATTACGCAGTACGTACGAACGTTCGTTTCGCACAACTGGACCACTGCGCAAGTTCAAAAGGTCGAAATAGCGCTCAAAGGCCAACTCACACCATTCGTTATTCTCCATTTTCACCATAGTTGTGGTCTGTGCGATTCTCGGGAGACGGAAAGGAGATTGTTGCAGGTGGCAAGGGCAAGATTTATGGTAGGCAACCATCATGGGATCCAATAAACTATTGGCGTCCAATGGGGACTTGGCAGCATCTAACGCGATGGATTTTTTTACTGCGTTCCTAGTGTATGATATTGAATCGAGGACCGTTTTACACTCTGTGAAGGCACATCAGGATGATGTAAACTCAGTCTGCTTCGCGGAGCCGACATCTTCTCAAGTGGTCTTTAGTGGAAGTGACGACAATCTTGTTAAAGTCTGGTAGGCTCAATACTCTGGAGAATTCTTCGTATGGTTTGAGGTGCGCAAGGGTGGAAACGTGAATCTTACAATTTCCTTTATTGCCCATCTATCTCTTGTAGGGATCGCCGGTCGATGGGAGCAGGACGATATAGCACACCTTCAGGAGTTCTTGTGGGGCATGCGGAGGGTATCACCTACGTCACGTCAAAGGGCGACAACCGCTATCTTGCCAGTAACGGCAAGGACCAAAAGATGCTTTTGTGGGATCTTCGCATGATGCACTCGAGTCGAGACTACAGCAAGCTACCAAAGACTAGGGATTCTGGCTTCGATTATCGGTCTGACCAGTACCGAGGTCACAAGGCCAACAAGATTCCCGTATGTTCACATGTTCAACAGCAAGGACAAGGTTTTTGTCGTAACACTCATGCACCTTTGCCTAACGCGTCCAATTCTGTGTTATAGGGCGACTGCTCGGTGATGACCTTCCAAGGACACCAGGTGTTGCGGACGCTGATCCGTTGTCACTTTTCACCCGTACACTCAACTGGCCAGAGATATCTGTACACTGGAAGTGCTGATGGAAAGGTAGCGATCTACCGGATGGACGGAACCCGAGTACGGACTCTTGACACAAGCGAGGCGTTCCAGCGATACACTAAGAGTGAACGAAAGACGCCCTATGTTGCCCGAGATGTGAGCTGGCACCCGTACCACCCAACCATCCTGAGCTCGTGCTTGGCTGATCGGTACACGTCCCACGAAGTCAGTAGCGGTATTGTGCCCAGTGGCGGTATTGTGCAGCACACTTTTACTCGACCTGGCAACTTTGAACCCGAGGTCTCGGAGACGTCAGACACTGAGCCGCCACCGCCTCCTCGCCAGCGTCGTCGCTACCTTTACTAGTCGCTGCCAATGCATGATTTGCAAACATATAAAAAGATGTGGTCACCGTGACCAAGATTTGCAGTCACTTTTTTTTTCTTGCCAGAGTACAAAAATCGGCGAAGCATATTATTTTTTTTGCTTGCTCTTCACTTCATCCTCCCTCCCCACACCACCCGCCATGGATCAAAACGAAGCGTCAAGCAATTATACACATAACAACAGCAACACCCAGCATCCTGCTGAGAATACAAACACTGCTGCCCCTACCTCGAATCCATCCTCAACTCCACAACCCCCAACTACAACACCTCCTCCAGCAACGTCCACAACGACGACGACCATGCCTACCTCAACGACTGCTGCTGCTCTAGAGGTTCCACCTCCATCAACAGCCACAGCAACTACTGAACCAACTGCCTCAAGCGCGGCATCGTCTGTTTCCGTAACCGCGTCTACCGCACCGACCACGACGACGACTACTACCTCGCCAAACCCGACTCCACCGTCGGCTGCACCAGCTACAACGCCCACTGCTCCCGCTGCTCCGACCACTACCACCTCCACCACAGCGCCTTCAAATGATGCACCTGCAGCAGCAGCGGCAGTATCGGACAGACAAGGCGAATATTGGTGTCATCAGGCAAGTTGACCATCATAGGGTTTACCACAACATCAACGAGCAAAACTTTCTGTCGGCCGACGAACAAACATTCAAATGTGTCAATTCTTCGCTTTCTTCTTGTGGTGTGATACAATAGTGTCAGGCAGAGATCACTCCAATGATGGTCCCCGACCCGATGTGCCCAACCTGCTACAGCGAGTTTGTCGAAAAGGTATTTTTTTTTTCCTTCTTTTTTACTCTGACACAACCTGTTTATTGTTGTGCATGTTCTTTGATGTTTCTGACGACCAGACGGGGAAAAAAATAAATTCTTGATTTTCGTTTCGTTATAGATCGAGGCTGACAACGATCCCCGTGCATTCGCTCCTCCTGCTCTTGCAGTCCCTGTTCATCTCACAGGGGAACCACACCAGTCTGAAGGCGGACAACATCCCGAAGGAGAGGGACTAAACCTTCAAGGGCCCGTCAATCTCGAGGATCTCTTCCAGCTGTTCCAGGTGTTCTATACCCCTCAGAGGTCAGAGGCCCAACAACAGCAGCAACGTCAACGACAACAGGAGATATATCAACAACAACAACAACAACAACAACAACAACAACAACATCAACATCAAAATCAGCAACAGCAACAACAACATACCCCGGGTCAGTTTTTCACGACGGGGACACAATACATCTTCACATCTGGACCTTCGGGTACGACTCGGATGGTGGCTCCTTTGGGCTCTAGTGGTCCTATTCCTGCGCATGGATCACAGCAGCCTGAAGGTGGACATACTCTTGGTGGGAACCTTTCTGGATCAGCGCCGACCACAGAGGGAGGAACCGCAGGAGAAGGTCAGCATCCACCACCTGTTCCCCAATGGCATAGCCCTCCTTCGCTCATCTCCGGGTACGTCAATATGTCCATCCTTTTTGTCCTGCAATGTTTCGCAAAATGACACCGGATCAATTAACCCGACTTTTTTCTTTTCTCCTTTTTGTCCCATGATTTCATCGTTGTTTAGTCTTTTGAGTCGCCTCGGCATAGAGATCCATTACACGACTGACCCAGCTGCACTCTCGGGAGGATTTGGTGGACCAATGAGTTTTGGAGGTGGGTTCCCCCCTATGGTTGGCAACCCTGGTGACTATGCTTGGGGACAGGGAGGACTCGACGATATTATTACGCGGATGATGGAGCTTCAAAAGTATGCTCTTCGTGCCTTTTGATCTAGTTGTTTGTGTTGTGATTGAGTCGAGTCGAGTCGGGACTATGTTAACCGTGTTATCTTTTTTCCCCTTCGTCTTTGCGTAGTCGCCAGCATGGCCCTGTGGGCGCCACGGAGGAGATCATTAATGCTATCCCTCACCACACTCTGACTGACGAGGAGCTCGGTAGGGAACAGTGCCTTTGTTTGGTTGTTGTGAAACAGACGATGATTGGTAAAGAGACGGGCATGGATCACTCACTTTGGACCTTCTTCCTTGTCATTCGTGACACGAAAAAAAATACTGTAGAGGCGAAAACAGAGTGCAGTGTATGTAAGGACGAGTTCGCAAAGGAGGATAACTCACTCCAGCTGCCGTGCAAGCATATCTTTCACGAGGACTGCATCAAGCCATGGCTCAAAGTCAGCGGCACCTGCCCCACCTGGTAACGTAACAACACATGCTCCTGCGCTTGTCGGCTCGGAACGTTTTTTTCGTGGTCACTAGTCAGCCCTCTCAACGTGCTGCGCTGACAATCTTATTTTTGTTTATTCGTTGGATGTAGTCGGTTCTCGTTGGTAGAAGGACAGGACGGTCAGCATGCAGGTGATCATACTCCTGCTCCTCCTGGAGGTCAGGACAACAATAGCGGCAGTGGAAACAATGCGCCTCCAGGAGGCAACTCGAACTCATCTACAGGAGTAGGTCCTGGTGGCGGTGGAGGATTTTTTGGATTTGGATCCGTGCCTCCTGCATCTTCGGGAACAAGCATTCCTGGATCCTTCCCTTCCAACAGCAACAACAACAACGCCACTGGTGGTAACGGTGGTGGTGGTGCTCAGACCCAGTCCGGTGGTTCTCAGAACACCGACCATAACCTCCCCATGGAGCCGTTGGATTAGTGTTTGTGTAAATACCTCTTCATTTTTTTTTTCGTGTACAATTTTATTTCTCTAACAAAGAGCATAGAGAAGTCTTTTGGAAGTAAAAAGGGACTACAGACCAAACTCTTCAGTGCACCATCCACCAGTCGCAGTCCGGTCCGGAACCTAGCTCTAAACGGATGAAAATAAAAACTAGATACGAATGAAGGGGATTTTTCCCATCCTCTCCATCATTGACAACCTCCTCCTTCCTAACAAACTCTCCAACTACCGCTCGTCAGCAGCGCGTGGGTCCTTGGTTGCTCCAGGGCACCTTCCTTCATCATGTGTGGCTAGCGAAGCGCCGCACGGGCAGAAGCCATCGTGCGTAATATAACCGTATCCTTGACTCACCTCGGGGGCCTGTGTACTTGGATGTCTTGTCCTTGGCAGAGATGTCCTGGCTCTGTTCCCACGTGATCGTCTCAGAGCACCTAAGGTGTCCCGACATTCTTCACCAGACGACTAAACTGTTCCACCACTGACTGAGAGTGTAAATATCTCTTCGGAACTTTTCTGTTCCAATTCAAAATATGAAGGGTATTTAAAAAATAGATATGGACATATTCTGCGTGATATATTTTTTCAACGCCTTGTGTGTGTGTGCGTGTGGACTCCCTGACGCATTTTCGCCAGTCAATCAGACCACTACAGCAGTGTGTACCTTGGTATGGGCATGAGAAATGATCGTTTGATATGAGGGGATTAACCCATACTCATACTAAAGGTATAGGATTGAGAAATAATCGTTTGATATGAAAAATTGAGCCGGATACCGGATTGTAAGAAATTCTTTTCTGTCTCTTCACCATCCATGTCAATAGCACTTTCTCTGTGCGACATATTAAGGTTTACATATACATACATACATTAGTAACTGATGAGAGAAAGAGAGGGATTGTATTAGGCACGTCCCTGGTATGTGTGTTAACGGTAGTCTAGTCTACTGTCTCCATCTATCTTAGGGTGCCATTAGGCGAATATGCGACATGCCCCCCTCTGGGATAATCTCCTCACTCTCCTCTCAGGTATCACTCATGTTTCGTTTGTTGTTTTCTTTTTTTTTTTTGGCCTCAGTGACGAGAGCATTTTATTATTCAAAGAAGGAAGGAGAAGAAGCCGAAGGAAAAGACTGGTGTTGCTAATAATTAGCTGTTCCGGTCATAGAGTATTCGCCAGGTCTAACATAGGTTGTCGAAGACCAGCTATAATCGTAGTTCCAAGCATGCAAGGCCACGTTCTTTGAGCAATCGCAGTAACTAGTTCCAACTCTGAACTCATCGCTCTTCCATTTGAACATACCGCTTGCAACCTTCATTGTTCCAGAGAATGTACCATAGTATCCATTATTCTCAACCAAAGTGTAGGTGTACGCGCAGCTGCCTTTGACGATGGTGTTTGAGCAATAAAGGGTGAAAGAGTTGGATGTTGCTGAAACAATGCCAGACAGAGCGGCAACTAGCAAACCAGCGGAACAGAACTTCATCGTGCTTAAATCGGGGATGTCTCGGGGGAAACTATAGTAGAGGAAGTGATTTTTTGAAAATGGTCAGTTATGGACGCTGACATATGGCCCTCGATTACAATGTGAAAGGCCAATAATATAGTCTTACAAGGATGTGGTCTGGTCAAGAAATGTGAGCGCTTCTTTGAACGTTCTTGATAGGGGTCTGTGGTGGTCTGGCGAGGGTTCTGTGAGGGAGATTGTTCTTGTGGCGGGAGATGGTCAAGCTACTGGGTAAGGATCAGAATCTTTGGGGGGCTATGGGGGTATATATATATATGCGTGTTCGTGTGGCAATGCAATAGAAACTCTCTCATCATTCTACCCCAACAGTTCGCCCATTTCACTCGCATAGTTGATCTTTCCAACAATTCGCGCACTTGCACTGATCTTTCCCATTGTTCTACACCAACAATTTACCCATTTCACATGCATGATCGATCGTGCCAAGAGTCAACCGTTCACTTGCAATGTCATGTACACATGGGTCGATAACTCGCAACTGCCGAGAGGAGTGGAAATTGGGCTCAGGTACGCGATAGAGGTGGGCCGTTGGGTAGACGGTACGCGCCATACAATTGGGCTACGAAGATGGAGCCGCATACAAACGGGTTGTGAATACGGTATGCCATATAGTTGGGCTGTTGGGCAAACGGTACGCAATAGAGTTAGGCTGCATAACAGTCTGCTCTCATTAATGGGACGTTTTCAACCTGCAAACAAGAATTTTTGTGCGCATACATTTTTTCCAAGAAGGGCGGAACGAAAGGATGATTTAACCCCATGCAAAGTCAATCCTATGGATTAAGGTTTTGTCAGTCTGAGTTCTATTCACTCCAACTGAAAAAATGTATGCGCACAAAAATTCTTGTTTGCAGGTTGAAAACGTCCCATTAATGAGAGCAGACTGTTATGCAGCCTAACTCTATTGCGTACCGTTTGCCCAACAGCCCAACTATATGGCATACCGTATTCACAACCCGTTTGTATGCGGCTCCATCTTCGTAGCCCAATTGTATGGCGCGTACCGTCTACCCAACGGCCCACCTCTATCGCGTACCTGAGCCCAATTTCCACTCCTCTCGGCAGTTGCGAGTTATCGACCCATGTGTACATGACATTGCAAGTGAACGGTTGACTCTTGGCACGATCGATCATGCATGTGAAATGGGTAAATTGTTGGTGTAGAACAATGGGAAAGATCAGTGCAAGTGCGCGAATTGTTGGAAAGATCAACTATGCGAGTGAAATGGGCGAACTGTTGGGGTAGAATGATGAGAGAGTTTCTATTGCATTGCCACACGAACACGCATATATATATATACCCCCATAGCCCCCCAAAGATTCTGATCCTTACCCAGTAGCTTGACCATCTCCCGCCACAAGAACAATCTCCCTCACAGAACCCTCGCCAGACCACCACAGACCCCTATCAAGAACGTTCAAAGAAGCGCTCACATTTCTTGACCAGACCACATCCTTGTAAGACTATATTATTGGCCTTTCACATTGTAATCGAGGGCCATATGTCAGCGTCCATAACTGACCATTTTCAAAAAATCACTTCCTCTACTATAGTTTCCCCCGAGACATCCCCGATTTAAGCACGATGAAGTTCTGTTCCGCTGGTTTGCTAGTTGCCGCTCTGTCTGGCATTGTTTCAGCAACATCCAACTCTTTCACCCTTTATTGCTCAAACACCATCGTCAAAGACACCTGCGCGTACACCTACACTTTGGTTGAGAATAATGGATACTATGGTACATTCTCTGGAACAATGAAGGTTGCAAGCGGCATGTTCAAATGGAAGAGCGATGAGTTCAGAGTTGGAACTAGTTACTGCGATTGCTCAAAGAACGTGGCCTTGCATGCTTGGAACTACGATTATAGCTGGTCTTCGACAACCTATGTTAGACCTGGCGAATACTCTATGACCGGAACAGCTAATTATTAGCAACACCAGTCTTCTCCTTCTGCTTCTTCTCCTTCCTTCTTTGAATAATAAAATGCTCTCGTCACTGAGGCCAAAAAAAAAAAGAAAACAACAAACGAAACATGAGTGATACCTGAGAGGAGAGTGAGGAGATTATCCCAGAGGGGGGCATGTCGCATATTCGCCTAATGGCACCCTAAGATAGATGGAGACAGTAGACTAGACTACCGTTAACACACATACCAGGGACGTGCCTAATACAATCCCTCTCTTTCTCTCATCAGTTACTAATGTATGTATGTATATGTAAACCTTAATATGTCGCACAGAGAAAGTGCTATTGACATGGATGGTGAAGAGACAAAAAAGAATTTCTTACAATCCTCGGTATCCGGGTGATGCGTCTTTTTTCTTAACATGTTACATTAGCACACTCGCACCTTCCGTCCTTCCTCTTTCTCTTTCTCTTTCTCTATCACTATTTCCCCTCTATCTCATAGTTCCTTTGACATACAGCAAAATACAGCAACATACAGCACTACACAACAACAAAGCCCAAACCAAGGTCGTGATTCGTTACTCAATTGTGATTCAACACAACACAAAGATGGAGAAATCAATCAATTCAGTCGCGCGTAAACGATAAACAACATCTCCATCTCCACCTCCACAGGATGCGCCAATTCAACCGCAAGAAGAGCCTGTTCAGCAACAATTACAGGAAGCACTAGCACTATTTCATCAATCACAGGAAACACAGGAAACACTACCTTAGGAGGGACCTGTTCGACAACGACAAGTACAGGCAGTGGCATTATTACAGCAACTGAAGCATACAAAGCATACATCGACTCAGCAGCCACATCCACTTGATCAAGTGCACAATACATTTTCCCCAGCGCTGTTCACAGCAGCAAGGGTCTCAATGAAGCGCAAGCGCAGGATAGCAGGTATTAACATAATACTGCCGATTATTGTCGATGTTGGCGTTCAATGAGATTGTCCTTATTTAAGTCTACTCTTGCCCCTGTTTATGAGCTACCCTTTAGCTTCAGCGACGACTTTTGAAAAAGCCGTCTCGGATGGATCGGCATCCGAATCGAGGTTGAACCAGAGTTTACAGGCTCGGACACCAAAAAGAACGCGAGGGTGTAAAAAGCAAAGTTCAAACGCTCGGGCTGAACGTATGTATTTAACAAGTTAGCTGCAGTGTGCAGCTGCGCCTTTTTCTGCTTTTTCTGATGGACTGTCCTTTTGCTCTGTTCTTTTTTTTTTTTTTCTCTTGAGGAGTTTTCCGCGCTGACGAAAGTGCTATCAACATGTTGTTACGCCAACGCTGTCGTAGGAGATGAAGGTTCACAAGGCAGCAGCTCGGCAGCTCACGAATTGCACCAGAGAGAGACAATGTTCCGTCTTCAGGGCATGAATTTCGAGAACGTGGAGGAGATCCGACACGCTCCACATTATTGGGTTCTCGCAGGACTACCGCTGTGCACGGCTCGAGCTCCTCCGCCAGAGGAAAATGTAAACCTTTCTATTTTGAACATTTATGTTCATTTTATAGAGGTCCACGTGCACAGCTTTCCATAGACCTATTTCTTCAAATAGGAATCAGAAACCAATTTCATAACAAGCTCATTCCTTGGTAGTATAGTGGTGAGTATCTCCGCCTGTCACGCGGAAGACCGGGGTTCAATTCCCCGCCAGGGAGCTTCTTTTTTGGCGTTCCTTTTCTGCATCCTTAGCACATCTCTTCGAATAGGAACTCTGTTCTTTTTGCAGACCGTTCAAATGCTTCACGGTGGCGATGAATGTTTATTTTTGAGACGAGGGAAGAGGGAAGACGAAGGGGCATGACGACGTGTAGGAGAGGCACAGAAGAGCAGCAAGCACATGGTTATCAAGTGCGGCAATAGTGATGGTCGTGTTCCGCCCCCAAAAAGGATATTTTCTTAATTCTGATATCACTAATAAAGTGGGATGAAAGAGGAAAAAAAAAGGAGCATGCTATGTCTGCGTATTCAGTTTCGATCAAGTAGCAGTAAGGGACGGCAAACAAGGGCTGTATTAACAACCTCACTTCCGATCAACAAACGTGAGGATGACGAAGTCTCTTCGTACATTGACCAATTGGGAGGTTCTGGGCTTGGCTTTTTTGCCACGGTGGCATGAATGTTTATCCGCAATGTTCGCTAATAAAAGCATGCAATTGCTCAGCCTGATTTTGTCTATTTTTTAACACTCAACTCTCTTTTTCGTTTGACATCTCTTCCTTCATACATCTCTCTTTTTTCCTCATTCACTCCACTCCGCCCCACTTTTCTTCACCCACAACTCATCCCAGACAACTGTCCTCAACACAACTCAACCGCATATACCCAGATAACCAAAATGACCACAACTACAGCACCAACAACAGCAGCTCAGGAATCCCAGCAGGAATCCCAGCAGGAAGGCCGCCATCTCCTTATTCTTAACCACGGACTCTGGGGGAACGCAAGTCACGTCAAGTTCATTGCCGACCAGTTCAAAGAGCGACTCGGCGATCGTCTCCTCGTCGTAAGCATCTCCTTCCTCTCTCCCTCTCTCGACCACTCGAATTAATAAGCCCAGTTGAACGTCGATTCTAAAAGACTTTATATCTGATTTCCTTACATCAATTCATTTGCTCTCACAACGGATAGTATTGCGCGGAGGCGAACGAGTCCAAGTTTACATACGACGGTGTTGACATCTGTGCACAGAGATTGGTCCAGGAGATTCACAAGGTCATTGAGGTGATCGAGTCCGGTGGCGAAATTGAGGATCTGAAGGGACACAAGCACAAGAAACACAGCAAGAAGGAGTGCAAGAACAAGAAGCAGAAACACGGAAACCCCAGCAAATCCTCCTCAGTCACCGCTAATAGTTACAGCAATACGCCATTATCGTCCAACCCCTCAACCGCATCATCGTCTTCGTCATCACTCCACAGCCATACCAACACCAACACCGACGGCACCGAAAATAAGAGCAGGAAGGTGACTCAGTTCTCGTTCTTGGGCTACTCGCTCGGTGGTTTGATCGGCCGGTTTGCAATGGGCTTGTTGGACATGGAAAGGTTCTTCGATCCGATCGAACAAGGCGGTCGAGGGATTGAGCCAGTCTATTTCGTAACTATGGCCACCCCTCATCTCGGAATCCGCAAACCTCCTCAGACCAACTTTTCTAAAGTCTTCAACTACCTCAGCTCGCGCATGCTCAGCCGCACAGGTAAGAACATTATGTTTGCAATTTTTTGTCCATTTGGATCGGAAACAAACAAGACTTGTACCACCAATTTCAGAAAAAGGCATTGACTTTCGCGATGCACTGGTTCTTGTTACGTGCTTCATCAAATATATTTAGGAGAGCAATTGCAGCTGATTGACGACTATGCGAATGGGAAACCCATCCTGCTGGCCATGTCAGAACCCGAGAGCATCTTTATCCACGCATTGAACCGGTTTAAGCGGAGGGCGATCTACTGCAACGTTCGTAACGACCGATCGGTCCCCTTCTGGACTGCCAGTTTCTCGGACGCCGATCCATTCATCGAACTCGAGTCCCTCCAGATCCAGTACAGCAGCGGCTACTCCTCTGTCATTGAGTCTTATGAACCTCACGACTTAGAGATGCTTGCTCAACTCCAGGACGAACGTGCCGCTGCACAGAAGGAGATGCCTCTGTCGGAGAAGATCTCCAACGTCAATTGGTCTCGGTATGGATTGTATGCGCTGATCCCTGTGTTGGCGCCTCTCTGGATCATCTTTGCGAGCACAACGATTTCGTATCAGGGGATTGACTCGAGGAGGAGGACCAAGGATATGGTGAACGCGAACGAGACTCTGAACATGATCCGGGATCGGGCTTCGACCACGAACCTTGCACGATACCGAGATGATGACGAGAGTGAGGAGACTCCATCAGACCAGCAACAGCAGCCTCGTCTTCAGAGGAGACACTCGACAATCACGGTGCAGAGGGAGACGGGCGAGACGAGCACGATTGTAGAGGAAGGAACGTCATACTCGTTCCCGCACTTGAAGTCAATCAAGCCCTTGCCACTGCTCCCTGTCCAGGTCGAGATTTCGAGGTTGTTGAACCAGCAGGAGTGGAAGAAGGTGATCATTGATATTGACGGCATGAATGCGCATGCGTCGATTGTTGTGCGCGAAAAGCGGTTTGCGAACGACGGAGGCGTTGCAGCTGTACAGCACCTTGTCGACATGTTCAAGGGAGATGGTGAAGACGCCTAGGTACTTGTTACACCCAGCGGTAGCAATATGGCCAATAAAAAAAATAATCCAAAAAGTAATAGTTTTGTACGTGTGAAGTCATGATTTGTGGTCAAAGCACAAAAATACGCACTTCAATGGTAATGACATTTTGTTGTTTAAAAATGGTCATCCTCGAGCGACCGCTCTTTCTTTTCTTCAACCCTTTCCTTCTTTATCCTTTCACTCAATTTTATCCTGCTCACTCCACTTCAGTTCACTCTACTCCACTTCATCCAACACCCACACACAAACATTCTCACAGCAACAAGCAAACACACAACAAAGACAGACCACCTTTATCACGGTCAAAAAGATGCGTTTCGCGCCACTCGCTCTGCTTCTGCCGATGGGCCACTTTTGGATGTCCTCGGTAGACGGCTCAATCTTCTCGTCTAGCACCTCCTCTTCAACCTCTACATCCACAGACGTTGCACCATCATGTGGACCATCTTACTCCCCCTGCCCTGTCACTTACCCTTGCTGCAACAGTAAGTCTCATTCTTTTGTTATCTGCGTGAGAGTCTTGTTGGGTTGCAGGGATGTTATGGAGTGTGTGAAAAAAAAATATGCTTGTGTGGCTCCCTTTTTTTTTGTTCTGTGTAATACAACGGCAAGCACCAACAGAAACAGAAACCGCTACTCATCTTCCTTTCTCCTTTGCCCCTGTCCTCCTTCCCCCACGGTATGGTTGTAGACGGAACTTGCCACAAGACAACTCTGCAAGCATGTCCAATCGCACTCGGTTGCCAACCTGCCTTCTCCCACCCCATCGACGCCTCCTCGTCCTCCAAGTTAGCAACACCCTTGGCGGTCAACAGCTGCTTCCCTCTCCCCGTCTGCCGCTCCTTCAAAGAGAAATTCAAGTCGAACCAACCCAACAAACGTGGACAGCATCAGGCTTTGATCTCGAAACAGGCCTTTTTGGGTGACCCGGATCAGGCCCATTGGACGTCTGATTTTGACCATGTTGTAGATGATCATGCAGTTGTTGATACCAAGGGCAAGAAACTGGTTCTTAAAGCCAAACGGTAACGTTTCTCTGTCTCCCCCTCCTTTTTTTTTGTTGGTTATTTCGTTGTCGAGTCGTTGTGGATGGGAGGTGCCGGTTTGGAGTGTGAAGGAGGAGGAGGAGGAGCTGACGGGTTCCCTACGTCATACTAGTGACATAAATCTGACCTTCCTTCTCTTTTCACTCCTCACGCATAAATGACGAATTGTTAACCGCCGATACAATAGGGACAAGGTGAAGACCAAGAGTGGAGGAGGATTCGGCGCAACAGTCTCATCAACCCGCTGGAACCGGTACGGCACCTTCGCGACTCAATTCAAGGCCGGTTCTACTGGTCCCGGTATCGTCACAGCCTTCATACTCTCGAACCCTGCCCTCGGTGAAGAGATCTCGTTCCAGATCACGGGTCGTGACCCCAAGACTGTCCTTACTGAATACTATAAGCATTCTACTGAGTCCTCGGAGAGTGTGAAGGACGGACACGATAACGCAGGAGGAGGGGGAGGGTGGATGTCAGCGTCGGTTCAGGGACTCCATTGGCCTCATTTGCCGTCGGTCCTGTCGATCGAGAGTATTACCACTCGTGGACGGAAGATCAAGGACCTCTTGTTGCACAAGACCCATGATGGTAACGACGGTACCTCCGCTGGGAAGAGTGGTAAGAATATCAAGGATTTCAAGACCACCAACAAACACGGCTCTGTCGACAACGGCGACGATGACGGCTCATTGGAGGAATCCCACCTGCTCAAGAAATCGGCGACCGAGAACGACCTCGTCTACAAGATCGAATGGACCCCCAAAAAGATCGAATGGTCCATCGACGGTCAAGTCATCCGCACTCTCCGACCCAAAGACCTCCTTCAATCTAAGAAGAACCTCGAAATCCCTTCGCAGCCGATGCAGATCCAATTGACGATCTGGGATGCAGGACACAGCAAAGATACGAGGGCCTGGGCGGGAGGTGAGACGGATTATGGCGAGAATGACGAAAGAGAGTATGTTACCTTGGTCGATTGGATCGAGATTGCCTGCTATGACAACAAGGAGGCGAAGAGGAACCCATGGCCCGGCAAGGACGCATCCGCACGGTTGGCACAGGCCGAGGCTGAGATGCGCAAGGCCGAGGAAGAGAAGGAGGCGAGAAAGAAGGACAAGGCCAAGGAGGTACAACAGGCGTCCTCCTCGACCAGAGGGTGGCTCTCGTTCGGAGGCAGCAAAAACGGTAGCGGTGACGACTCAACAGCAACAACAACCGCCGACGTCAAGCCAAAGTCGAAGAAGCAACTGAAGCAGGAAGAGAAGCAGCGGAAGAAGGATGAGAAGTCCAAGAAACAAGCCGCCGCCCAGAAGGAGAAGGAGAGGCGGGCGAGGGAGCCAGGAGTCCTGTCGAGGTTCTCGGATCGTGTGATTCGTATCTTGTTGCGCTGGAACTTTATCGTCTTGTTCCTGGTCGCCACGGGATCCTACTTAACCGAACCCGCCAACGCCCGCAAGTTCCACCCCGCGTCCAAGGACATGCTTGGCATGCAGCAGCGAGTTGAAGTTGATTGAGGGCACAACACACAATAGGCGTAGTCGAGACGCGTTAGTAACAACCGTGTGACAACATGCGAACAAGAAAAAAAGAACAATAAAAAAAACGTTTATTTGTATGTGTAATTGCGTGCAGAAGGAGTATGTACATTGGAGCTCTTTGTCCATCGCGTTTGAACAAAGTAGAGGAGCTAGATAGGAAAAAAATACAGCGGACTTGGTTGATTGTGTCCAGGGGTTCAAAGGAAAATATCAGGAGTCGCCATATACTGCTTCAACACAGATTTCAGGTGAACCTCTGTCTCGTGCTCCAGTTCGGGGCTAAAGTGAGATGAGGACGAAGGGACGCCGCTTGCAGTGTAGGGTCGCTTATTCGGTCGTTCTTCTGATCCTTCACCATCGCCATTTCCTACTCCTCCATCCACCTCGAACCTCTCTCCTTGTTCACAATTACTTGGTAGTCCTGCTTGGTCTTGGTATCCATCTGCGCCTATGATATCGCTAGTCTGTCCAAAGATGCCTAGCGAGTATGGAATGTACGACGACACGAACGTTGGATCGTATGCTGGCCATGAAGGGATCGCATTCTCCGGCACGCCCGGGTGTCCTGAAATCCCTTCTATAATCGAATCCAACGAGCTGATCATAAACGGAACCGACTCGAACGGCAGTAATGTCAGGTCACCATTGGTCGGTGATGAGAGACGTTCAGATGGCGTGAACGAGGTCACTGGAGCCGTGGAGTGTGTCGTCGGTGGCAGGGTCGACTGAAGATTGCTGGTGTGATAAGGGTGGGCGTGTCCTTGTTCCGCTTGTCTCGGGTCCTTTGGTAACATTGCTGAAGTAGACGTAGCCTCAGCTGGACCAAAGCTCCTTGGCTGGGTCAAATCTTCCATGATAGTGTCGCTTGGTTCGGGGTTGTTGCTGGCCGCGGAAAGGGAATTGGCGGTCCTCTTGTAGTTGTCGTGTTTGTTTGACACACGCCTGCATTTGACAGAGTCGCTGCCAGTATTGCCACTGTTGCTTTTGTTGGTGAGAGTGATATCGTTGGTGGTGAGAGTAATGTCGTTGATTTCGTTGGAAGGGTCGTTGTCGGGTTGAATAAAAGCTCTTTTTCTCCTGTGGAGAGTCAACTCCTCTTCATTCTCCTCATCGTCTTCGTCCTGGTCTTGGTCCTCGTCTTCGTTATCAGATGTCAGGTCGATCACATCGTCTGAAGAATAGAGGGTCAAGTCCATGAACTGCGGCTTTTCGGGTACGCGTTGAGACCGGGATGACACGTATAGGTGCAATAAAGTCGAAGCTGGCTTGGGTGATATCGTGATGAGCGGGTAGTTCTTGACCGGCTGGCTCTCCTGACGTCCTGACGGCCCGTAATTACTCCTTGATCCGGCACCGTTCACCTCATCCTCCTTGGCCTCCATACTCAAGTCCGCCAGGGCCATGTCATAACTGCTGTCGCTCCCATTTCGATTGTCCTCGTCATCATCATCGTCGTCATCGATCACATATATTGGTCCATTGTCGGTCCCGTGCGATGTCGGTTCAGACGACGATGATCCGCTGTCAGTCGGGATAGAAGTCGAGTCGTCAATGTCAATAGAGATGATAGCTGCCGGGATCTCCCATCTCCCGTCAGGATGGACGTTCACGTTCTTCAGGCTCTTTGGCGTCGATTTCAATATATCCATGTAGTAGCTATTATGATACCAGGATGCGAGAGAAGAGTTATGTTAAGAGTCCACACTTTGCCCTTACAGGGCCACAAAGGCATCGACTGAAACTTTTCAAGTCTCCCTTACCCGTCGACAATAATCTCGTCCCAAGAGTCCATGATCCTGTTGCATACCGGACATACCCATCGCTGCACGTTTTTGTTGAGGCTCAAAAACGTGAACGCGTCAAAACACTGCAGGTGTTGACATTTTGACGACCGGCAAGGCACCTCTATCCGCTGCACTCCCAGCTATCGGTTTTTAAGTAGTGACCAAACATATTAGCAATTTCAAACATAGTAAGATGGCTCTGTGCAGCTCAACAAAGGCAAGAAACAAGATCCTACTTACTGGACATTTCAAAGATAGTGTGCTCGAGAGCTCCATGATATCGTCGTCGTTGATCTTCTTCTCAACTAGCGCAAAGGAAAAGAACGGATAAGAGGGAAAAGATAGGGCTCGTTCTTGTTAATGACTGCGGAGAAACAAATACAGTGACCGGCAAGCATTGACATCAGTTTGCATATGGAAGACGATAAAAGGTAACCTACGAGCTCGATATGTTGCTTCCTTGGGGGTGAATTTTTTCTGGATCAGAGAGTCGACTATGGTTTTCGCGCTGATTGGGCACACCAGATGTAATGACGCGTGGAATACCTACAGTATATTTAATCCATGTATGTTGGTCCAGTTAGGCTCGCGTTCAATCGTACAGTGGACGGCTGCACTGGTAAACACGCCGACACATTACCTTGGACGCATTGGAGTAGCGAAGTTCGACGTGATTGACGCTCGACTCTTGCAGCAGGCAGAACCTCGTGATGTCGACTGGAGTAAATGTTCCTGGCTTATTTTTCACGCCACGGGGCCTCTACATTGGACAAACAACCCAATCACAGTTATCAATCATGCCATCAGCTCAACTCATTCGTCTTCGTCCATTTTCAAGGTCCAGGTTGCCTGGCAGCAGCTTACCCAGTCCAACGTTTGATTGTTCACGCGGATATAGCAGTCATCTGGGAACTCCATTAACATCTGCTGGCTCGTCGGGGTCTCCTTGCTCGCACAGAACACCATGATAGAGTACTGTGGATTACTAAGAAAACAAATGATGAGTGGGTTAAATAATGCGCAATTGGAGCTGACAAAAAAAAAAAGGACGAGGAGAGCCATCGCCGTTCGACTCATGGCTGGAAAAAAAAAACTTTGAGATACCTCATCAATTGCTGCGATAAACTCGAGGAGATTCGGAGCTTGAACGTCAAAACACTTTCGTTTCTCGAGGCTATATAAAAGAATGACCAAAGAAAGTGCCATAGAAAAAAAAAACTCCGTTTCACTCAGAAGGATATCCACAGACTGTATAGGAATTCAACTCGTGCATAAAACGCGACCCCCAACTTACATCGGCCATATTGAGGAACCGTGAGAGCCATCAAATTTTGGTAGAAAGGGCTCGATTTGTACAATAGCCGTGCCTTTGCACTTGCGCTCAATTTCCAAGCCAGTGCGTCGTCTGTGTTGGAACTGGCTGACAGGCGATTGATGGTAGCGTTTTGAGATTGAGGTCGACTTCCTGGGATGGTTGGATTTGTTGATATGGTGACATCTGGTCCTGGGTCCACAATGGGTGCACTATGCGGCCGCAGCGGTGGCGAATATCCTGGATCGGCAATAATGAAGGTGTTTTGAAAGACATTGCTGGTTACATTCTCGACCGAAGGGTGGATCCTTGGGACGAAGGCGTTAATGTATTGCCATTTTGACATCATCCCAGGGTCGCGGTATCTGCAGATAGCGAGAAAAAACAAACGAAACGGTCAGTAGCCATGACCATTGAGATCAGGCGAAGGCGAAGCAAAATTAAATAGTCTGGTAAATAATGAAAAGGAAACTACTTACTCTCGGTGAAAGTCCGCAACGATTTCCCAGAGGTAGAACTCTGTGTTGGGGTGGTAGTCCTGGCGGACCTGTCGAAGCATGTCCTCCATGGCGAGCAATAGATCCAGCTTTTCTAGGTTGTCGATATCAACGTTTTGGAGAAGTCTCTCAGAGGACCACTTGTGAATGCAGTGCATCAATTGACGCAGGAGAAACAGGCCTAAAGCGGCTGTCTAACGGAGTAGAGTGGTGTGTAGGCAGTAAGAACAGGGCGGGTTGTGAGCTTGGTGTCGACCGCTGTTGGCGTTCCACACCGGTAATGGTCACGATGCGGGTGAGTAGATATTCCGTACTTTTGGGTCCATTATTGTGTGTAGCCGACTATCGACGCTTCTCCGTTGTCCAGTGCTTAGTTCACCAGGGCGCAAGTTCTGTCTGGTTGGAGAATGAGAGGGTCGATGGGTGATGTGAGTGGCGTGTGTTTGTCGAGAAGTAGAACGAATGCAAGTCAGGTGAGTAGAAGTGACCAGTGGGAGACAGAGAGGCAAAGATGAATGATTGTGTGTTTGTGTTAATGTCAGTGAGTGTGCATGAGAGAGCGAGGAAAAAAAAAGAATTAAGGTGCAATGCCAAGTTTAGGGGTGGAGATGAATGTGGCGATGGTGGTGTGCAGCTGTAGAAAAAGGAGAGGCTGAGAATCCAGTCCTGAAAGCTAAGGCCAGTGCATATATTATTTGATCCAATCCACACTCATAGCTTCTCTCTTCTTTGTTCCTTTTGTTCATTGTAGCACGAGAATTGTCCATTTGAGCTGCAAGTGGAGTGAAATAGTGGTTGCTGCCCGAGGGGGTTTTTTTTCCTTCAGCCCTTCTACGAGCACCTATTTGTGAAAAAAAAATATTACCGATCCATCAGAGGCATAATTCACAATCTACATTTTTTGCTTCTCTTCTTGTTTCATTGTTTAACTTGGCCTGTTGTTGTTGGATCTCTTTTCTTGCAGCCTCAACCTCCATGCACTCCATGGACATGCACTTCGATTATCTCGATCGTGAAGCGCGCATGATACAAATGGCCATAGATTCGTTCGAGGGTGACCAGCAAGCGGAGGAGCACGGATTGGGTGGTTCTTCCGTCGAGCCTCGATAACTGAAATATATGGTCTCCTTTCTTCTTTTTCTCATACCCCATTACGTCTTTTTCTGATTTTGTGTCTGTAGTGAACTTATTGTGGGAATGTGTGTCTGTGTGTGGTGTGTGATTTGTTTTTCCTGTTGTTCGATTAGAGATGCGTAACACTTCATTGCATACGGTGTTGCGTGACTGATAGACAGGACGCGACGCGTTTTGATTGATCCTCCTGACGCGAACATCAAGACAAACGCGTTTAGATCATTGGTCAATGATCAATGTTATGGCCGCAGAACATTGTCACTCCATAGGATGGACACATAAATAGGGCCTCTCTCTCTCTTTATCATACGTGCCACTTCTCACTACCCACGCGCCACCAACCACTACTTCTGTACACAACGCAGCTTAGCAAAGGGCAGCACACACACACACCTTCCTTAGCGCTCTTGCTCGTCCGCTAGGCTATCACTTAATACTATTCTTCGTAGGTATGTCGCAAGACAACTCTAGCACACATCTCATTTCCCGACGGCACTAGCTAGTCTTTGGCTTTTGTTAGGCAGACCACAACAGCAACAACAACCACCTTCAAATTAGCGGCAACAGTAGCAGCAGCCGTACCGTCAGCAGGTCTGGATCTGGCTCTGGACTGACTCGCTCCTCCAGCTGTTGTACCCTCTCAAGAAATATCCCAATTCAGCATGTTTATTTTTCTCGAGCCAAACCCCACGAAATCAGCAGAGTTCGACGAACCCTGTGCGGCCCACCATAATCTCAACCTGTTGGCAAAGCCTAATCCTAATGTAGGTCATGGGATCAACATCAATATCACAGACAGGGGAAAGTGGTGATGGTGCCTTGATGGATGTCGGCTTTATGGTGATCGTCTCTCCCTCTTTCTGGGTGATGAAAAAGAAGGTATCATTGTCTGTCAAGTATCCACACCCGCTTTCTTATTTTGAACAGCACCCCCCTCCGAGCAAACGAGAGAGAAAAAAAAGAAGCGAAAGAAAGCGCAAGAATAAGCGTGTCAAATAAATAAGGAGAAAAGCAGAGAGAGAAGAGTTTACTTTATTGGTGGTTTGGCTGCGATGGGGCATGGCGTCATTGTTCATCTCCTCTTATCATTGTTACAGAGTATACGGCCAGAGATGGTTGTATCTTTGGTTTGAATAATATTGATAAAGCGAGAAAAAGTGAACAAGCATCAACTATCTTAAACATAACCCTCTTCTTTTTTTTTTTCTGAACGCGTCGCGGTCATCAAAGGATCAGCTCTTGTTGCCTGGGGTTTCCACCAAATAAACTCCTACCTTTGTGTACACCTGACTTCGCCGTGAGGAACATCTCACGCGAATCAAAGAGAGCCATGCTCGTGACTGCTGCAAATCGAACTTTTCTACACATGAAGAAAAAAGATCTCTCGCTGTTAACCATTCACACAACAGCACCCGCTCTCTCGCAACCATTCATTCAGCCATGTCGGCAGCAAAAATACCAATTCGCCAGAACAAGACTCTCTTCAACTCAAAGTTCGAGGGCTATAAACTCGCATTCCTTGAAGAGTCACGCCAACACTTTGTCGCCGTCGGAGCTCCCGGTCCAGGCGTCGTTGTTCCCAAGTTGCCCGCGACTGCAAAACTCTCGTACCGCCAAGTCCAGAACAGGATCCGCCACAACCATCTTCACCCAGGATGGAACTCGTTCAAGCCAGCCAACGGCGATATCACCAGCATCAAGGAACCTGTCCTGTTTGTTGTTGACGAAGATTACATGTTGATCGCACTCCAGTTTGACAAGGTAAGGCGCCGGCGCACACTGTTACGGTGTAATGATCACCAGTGTGAAAAAGGAACTATGTGAGCTAAAAAAAAAGTCTGCGCCTCCTTTGTGAACATATGTTTAGACAACACATCTTCTTCGCAGCAAGCGATTAGTCCAAATACCTGCTCCTATCGTACCAGATAACGTCCACCTCGAGTTCCCGACTGTCAAGCCAATTTCACCCGACTATATCCTCGTCTCGGATGGCGCATTCAACTTGTATGTGGTCCGGATCCAAATTGCAGGAGCAGAGTGCGAGGCAGTGATCGAGGCATTAACGACATTTCAACCAGACGAGTCCTTGCAGAGCGAGCTTATGACGCCTTGTGGTCTCTTGGAAGCAAAGGCGTTCCCAGCCTCCAGCGACGAGCAGGAGTTAGGAATGGAGATCAAGTTCATCGTCCACTACCCTTACAAGGAAGGATTCTATTCGGCAGAGCCATCGCCGCACCGCAAGTCCGATACAAAAACAGTCTTTGTCGTCAGCCTGTGCACCATACATTTGAGGGGTGCCTCGTCCGTATCAGGAAGATCAGGCGACACAACCATGGAGGTCGACCCGCCAAGCGAACCCAAGCTTCTCTTCAACACCATTGTTCACTCTATCCGAGGCACAGAGATCCCATTCTACTGTTCTCTCGACCCATCGGGCGACGGCTACGTTATCGGCAGCAATTCGACCTACAAACCAACAAAGGAACCAGTGGTCGATCAAACAACTCGGTATCTGGAGCCAGGGTCGGAGGCTATGGAGCTGGACAAGACAGACATCGGTGCAGCACCTCCGTCAGAACCGCCTTACATCTGGACCCAGACCGACACGGATCTCACCATCTGCTTCGGACTACCAAGAGGCACGACCAAGCATGCGATCCAGTGCAAGTTTTTGCGGCAGGGATTGGAGCTTCAGGTGAACCTCTCACAATCAACGGAGAGCATGGTCAGGGCGCCGAGACTGGAGAACATGCCACTGTTTGACCAGATTCAGCCGGACGAGTGCGTTTGGACCTTGGAGGCGTCGACAGGCATTTTGACATTGAGCCTGGAGAAGAAGCACTCCAAGACGCGCTGGACCCAGGTGTTTGCTGAGGGAGTTGACACGGATCCAGTGGAGGAGACCTTGGACCCTTCCGTGTTTGCAGAGTACAGGAGCGCGTTGGAAAAGTACACGTCCGAACAACCCAATGCAGCGCCTGGCAGAGATCCGTCTGCTCTGCCCTCAGTCGCGCAGGATGGACAGGAGGATATTGACGAGGAGGGCGAGGAGATCAAGTTTTCGTGGGTCCAGGCCGAGGATGGGAGCGACATTATCCGGGCGACAACTATTGGAACAGGACACGACTGGATTGGCCAGGCGTTCCCGAGTTTTGAGAGTCACCCGAGCGAGAGTCAGCCATTCAGGATGCCGACTGTGTGTTTGAAGCACGACGTGGATGGTCTGGTGTATTCTATCCAACACAAGCCAGGAGCGACCTCACAACCCATGTCGACGGTGCAGCAGGGCGAGGATATCATGAAATTTGTACACACAGACACATTTGATGCATTGGCGTTTGTGCAGGCTTCGAAGCGGGAGAAGCGGTTTGTGATGCATAATCCCAACGGTCGGTTTACAGCGATTGTCGAGTCGAGTAGGAATGTATATATATACTGGCATACACCAGGGGACAAGTTGAAGCAGGAGCGCCAGACGGTCGTGGATGTGTCCAAAGGGAAGCAGGTCGACATAATCGGATGCCAGCTTATCGGAGATGGTATCCTTGTTATCCTGATGGAGGGCAAGCACGGCGCCCTTGTCCTCGAGCTGGACTGATGGATAGAAGGCAATTGAGAATAGAGACACGTATTTTTCATCCACTGTCAGTGCCGTGCATACATTTTTTTTATTATTTTGCTCGTGCACGTTTCCCAGATCTTCCCAGTCCAAGTCCCAGTCCCAACACATGTTTTTTTTGCGGTTGTTATTGACACGGTATGTTTTGTCAAGAGGAAGGAGAACGTGGCCCCCGCACTCGCGTCCGCATGCGTTCCTTTTTAACCTTTCGATGGAGCGAAGGCATCAAAAGAAAAAAAAAGTTGGTTGGGGTTGGTGAAAGTTTTCTTTTTTTTTCTTTCTGGCTGAGGATCACGTGGATGATCCTTCAGTTGCGCTGCGATTTGCATGCTATCATGATGGCACAAGGGAAGGAGGGAGATAGAAGAAAGGAAGGGGATGGGATGAGAGTAGCCCATGGTCCCGTTGGCTTCATATGACCTTCTCAGCTTGCCATGGTGGCATAAATAAATGTTGCTGAAAAAATAACCTTTGTGTGAGTGTGGACTGCGCGTGGTCGAGGTGAAGATGAGACAGGGAAACAAAGGGGGAGGATGCGCCCAATAATGGGTTACAGATTGACGGGATAAAGAGCAGTGAGTCGGATGCGTGAAAGCGTTGTATCCGTCTATCCGGCTCAATGAACCCCATGGTTGAGATGTTTCTGGCTAGGGGATGATGGATGGGCAGTAGAGAGTGGAGAGTGGTCAAGGGCCTATATTTATATATCTGGTGCCAAGGTGTTGGCCATCCATGTTCAAGAAGATACTCGTTGCATTCTTTTTTTGACAGAAGAGACGAATGTCCTCCAAGAGCCTATTTTTCCTCCCCGCTCGACCATCATTTTTTGTTGTTGTTGTTATTGTTGTTGTCTTTACGTCTTTGTTGATGCACGCTCTTCGTCTTTTCGTCTTCTTCTTCCTTCTTCTTCACCATACCTTGCCTCCTTCCTCCACTCCTCTTCTTCCCTCCCTTCCATTCCCTTCCCTTCCTTCCCTTTGTTCGTCCTGTCTGGCTTCACCTTGTGTCTCTGCCACTTTCCCCTTCACAATATTTTCTGAGCTCTCAGTAATAAAAGGACCCTTTAGTCCTTTTTTCTATATTCACTTTGTTTCCTTCGCCGTGCCTGTCCCTTTCTTTCTTGTCTACTTTCTTCCCACTTGCCCTGGACACACAGACACACGCTTCTCTTTTCCACTCATCCTCGTCTTTCACAGCGGTCCTTTCTTTTCGTCCCTTCCCCTGTCCTGGCGCCACACTCACAACCACACTCTTCACTCCTCACTCACTCTCTTCTCTTCAACTTGTCCACAGTCGTCACCACTCACAAAAAAAGACGATCCACTCCGACCCAGCGCCACCCTTTTTCTCTCTAACTCTCTCGCCTTGCTACCATCAAAATCCTCCTATGCTCGCAAGGCCACATCCCCCAGAAACGCCCATCACCATGTCTGCAAAGGTAATAGCAACAACACCAGCGACGACTACAACAACCAGCCTGTACACAAACAAAGGACTACTGCCTGCTTCAGTCCATTCTTTGCCTTCAAGCAGGCCGTGCCCCTGAGATGCATGCCATGCTGCCAACGCATCATACGCCCCGTCTGGCCATCCTTTTTGTGAATGCGTCTAGTGCTTACTTACTTACTCGACACAATTACTGTCGCTCTCTTAACCTTTCACCTTGGTCTTTTTAGAAAGAGACAGCAATAGAAACTCTTGCCAGGATATGGCCCGAGTTTGATCCAACTGGACTCGGTATCATGGCAGACAGAATGGAGAGTGTTCTCCTCAGAGTCGAAGAGGAGCAAGGGACCCAGCTCCTGGAGAAGGCCAGTTGGGATCGTCTTCATTTTTATATCTCGTCCGTTGGGGGAACCATTGTCAGCCAAAAGGATTTAGCTGACCTCCTCAACCTACTCCAAAGCTCTTCCCAACCAGCGGACCATGTCGACCAACAACCCGAACAACAACAGCCTCAGCTGGAACAGGAGGAGCAGAGCAACCAGGACGCCTACACCCACCCACTCAAGTCAAACAGCTTTCAGGAGTTGTCCGACACTATCGACAACAGCGTATCAGATACTTCACTATCGCAATCATCAGAGCCAGAGCAGCCGGCCTACTCCGAGAGCCAACTTCACCCACGCCATTCCTCTGTGATCGGCCAGCGTCCTAGAGCGACCTCATCCACCTTCCGCAAAATCTCCTTGAGCGAGTCGACTCACTTTCGTCCACGCCAACACAGGGTTGCACATGGGTCGTCTCCCGAAACTTCAGACGTCGAAGAGAACCCCATGTCTTCGCGAGTAAGTGAACGATCTCAACAACTCTGATGTTGTTTGCTATCTTGAACCCATTGTTTGTTTGTTTTTCTTTTCTTTTCTTTTCTTTTCTTTTCTTTTCTTTTCTTTCTTTTCGTCTTTCCTTCTTTCCTTCTTTCCTTGGAAGTGTCAAGCGCACATCGCTTGTGTTCAAGATCTTTGGGCAAAAAAAAAAAGATGCACAAATACAAAAACAATACTGATGGGCAGAATATCGGCTTACATCGACAGACGATGCACATTCACGCGTTATTTCATTGCCTTTTCCCTCGTGAGAATTGAACATTATTTTTGAGCATGGGGTGATCGACTGACTCCCTTCCCTCTCCTTCTGTCTTCCTCTATCTCTATCATAGCCCAATTCGCGAGGAACACTTTCCGGTAGGTCTTCAACCTCCAGTCCGTCTGGCCCAACAGGTCCAGCCGACAACAACTGGAGAAGCAACTACAACCAATTCAGCATTCGTGAACAGAGCCGGACAGAGTTCGAAGGGTATGGCATGGAGGCTGATTATGATTCGGTAAGTCACTGCTTTTTGAACATCTTTGGCACATATCATCATTGCTTACCTTCCATGCAGCGTTGTGTCATAACCATATCGCTAATTGATACCCCACCACCTCTTTTTTCTATGCGCTTTGGTTCGCTATCTTAGCCCGACAACGATGCTCAGTTGGAAACCTTGCAGCAGGCATATTTGAGCATGCAGAAAAAACTTCGGGACCAAGATGTCGAGTACGAAGCACGTGTCAACGAGCAGGTCAAGAAGAATATCCTCAACCAACAGCAGATGGAAGACTTGAATCGAGACCTCAAGACTATGCGCCGTGAAATCTTGGAGCTCAAGACTACAGAACGCTTTAAAACATCCCAGATCGCAGACGTAAGTTAAGTTGTCAACTGTCGACCACTATATCGACCGCTTTGCATCTCATCATTTGAAAGCTTGATGTTTAACATCTTTTCTGCTTAACTATCTTGCAACTCGTTTTAGCTTGAGGTGCAGATGGAAAAGACTGAACGGACCAACTCCACGCAAAAGTCAAACGCAGCGGCTCTCAAGAGGCAAAAAGACGAACTGGAAGACGAGAACGAGCGCATGCAGGATATTTTGAGGCAAAAAGAGGATGCATTGAACCAAGCGACTCTTCGGATGACAGCAATCGAAGCTGACACTCGCAAGGTATGGCATTGATATTCAATTTCTAAACTGCTCACGGCGCACAAAAGGTCACCAACCCTGGCCAAATACCGCTTTATCTAACATCCTTTCTTGTGAAACCTCAAAAACAGATCAATGCGGACCAAGAGACCATGGAGACATTGAGAGAGCGATTGATGGCAGAGATTACCAAGAACGAGGAGATGGCTACCCAATTGGAGCTGGTCAACAGCAGACTTCGACAGACAGAAGAGTTGACTGGAGGCCAACGGAGTGAGTTTGATGTTACAACCAACGGTCAAATCAACGCCAGTCTCGATGACGTTGCACTTCAGGGCAGGGTAAGCTATCAGGGGCATTCATGCTCTTCACAGTCTTGGAGGTAGCATTTGCAGGCACATTCTTATTGCATTGACTTACATTCACCCTTCCATCTTCTTCGATCCTCAACTTTTTAGAATTTGATGTCAGAATTGGCTAATGTTGGCGCCAAGTTTGGACCTGGATATGACCAAACAGACGAGAGTGTCGATGTGAGCAAGCGACCCGCTTCGGATGCTACTGCCAAGTGGGATCCAGGTAAAACACCAGGAAACGATCTTTATTCATCTGTAGACGCCAAATTCTGCACTTCAGATTGTATCGATACTAATCAGACTGGGATTGTTTCTGCGGCAAACTTTTAGCACACGAGGGAACACGCCGATTATTGCGCGAGAGCACATCGTTTGGAATGAAGATGAAGAGATCGTCGCTTCGCGATCTCAGTCAGCGATTCAAGGAGCACAGTGTTGAGACATCCCCGAGCCAGGAGCGCCGGGAGCCTCCCTCTCCATATACCCCAACGGCCCCTACAGCCAACTTGGGAGAGGAAGTCAATGAATCGGCAGTGGTGCTCAAAACCAGAGAAGAGGATGTGGACTGCGAGTTGCCTGTCGGACTTCAGGCCCTCGAAGACAAGGAGACATTGCTGGACCAGGAGCTGGGAACTCAGGCCGAGTTGATCGAAGGCTTGTTCAAGTCCAAGGAGCAGAGCCATCCCCTTGATGTTCCGTTTGGCACCGAGAGCATTTTAGGACAGACGCTGGGCATGCCCAACTTGAAACTGAAGGCCGACCGTGCCCGCCGACGCAAAGCTCAGGGTAAGCGATCATTCTCTTTTTCTACCGTTCGATTCATGGCGAAACATTCTCCTGCACACCCTAACCTCCTCGTTACCTTTATGGAAATTTTAGCTTCACGCGTGTTGACGCAGTCGGAGGTGGTGGACTTGCTGAACCCAGGAGCCAACCAAGGATCCCCCTCAAACTCGCCACCAGGAGTCCGCTCTGGAGGTCCAAGGACCCGCGCACTCAACAAGAGGGAGAACAAGAATGTGATTGCCAACGTGACGTTGGTGTCGATGTACACGATTGTTGTCTATCTGTTTGGTGTGATCACCTCGGTCTTCTTGGTTGACAATGGCGCCGCGCCCGCTGGATTCAATTATGGTCGGTTCCTATCCTTTGATGCCGCCCTTCAGGAGGTCGCCAACAATGATGGCGGACGGGGAGGGTTCAAGGTTGTGGAGATCTTGGTCTACTGGCTTCAGAACCTTGTCTGGCAGGGAGATGCAGGTTATGTTCCCACCTAGAGTTCTCCCTTTGATGCTGTTGCCTCGCACACGTTCAATTTTTTTGATGATGTTTTTACGTTTTTTTTTTCATTACTATTTGCTCCCACTCATGCTCTCACTTCAATTCGACCCTGTACCATTTTCCCTTTTTTTTTTCTTTCTTCTCGAACGAGTTCTCACTTCTCCTACCAATACCAAGCTTGCACCTTTGGAGTTGTTCACATCCTTCTGCCTTCGCACAATCCCTTAGAACCCAAAAACAACAAACAACAATCAAACGAAACAAACAAACAAACGAACAAACAAACAAAGATACTTTTGCACATGGTGTTTTCATAGTGTCATATTTTGCATTTGAAGCTACCTGCCTTGACCGACAGAAAGAGGGAGTAAAAATGGGAGGGCTTAGAGGGTAAAATCGTAGGGACGGAAGACGGCCTTGAAGGCTTCGCTATCCTTGCGTTCCTCGTCAGTTGTCTTGACACATCTCTTCCAATGAGCTCTGTCAGGCAAGCCCAAGACGTCAGCCAATACTGTCCTTCCAAACTGCATATCGATACGCTGTCCTGCAGGGATCGGGCACACCATCACTCTATCGCCTGGCAACTCGACCCTGAAGAACCCTTCTTTCAACCCTGCGGGGAGACGATCCAGCCATGCGGCTGTTGGAGGTGGTGCCTCTTCAGTTGCAGCCTCCATATTGGTGTCGCCATTCTCGCCCGTGTTGCCATCCCTGCTATTACTGCTGCTGATGGAACTCTCAGGCTGATCATTCCGAGGGAACCGTTTAAAGCTAGGGAGGAAGAAGCTGGCGATCCTGGCCTTGAACTCCCGCTCGACATCATCAATCTTCTCAGTCGGCACGGGTAAGATCTGGATATGCGCATGCTGGTTGACCCCGCCCTGACTCAACTCCAATGTCACCATTCCTGCACCTTTTGACTCGTACAACTTCCGAATCCCCTCCTTGTATTTCCGGAGCTCAGAGTTGATGCCCGACAACGCCTCGGGGTCGCCCTTACCAAAGGACGAGATATGGTTAATCCCAATCAGCAGGACGTGGCCTCCTCCAGGCACCAGGGACGAGGGACTCGTCTCGGGCAGCTGACCCTTCGACATGGCCAGGTAGACTTCCGTTCCGATCGAGACAATCAAGTTCTTGTCGACACCGGGATTCGAAAGACAAAACCAACATGGGTCCAGCTCACGCGTCCTGGGCTCTCTTGGTCCTCTTGGTCTTGTGCCAGTCATCTTTCTTGACTCGTGGACGTCCAACGCCGAGAACTGGGTGCAGTTCCTGACATAGTGCCCTTTAGTGCCACACTTCACACAGGTGTAATCTGGTGGAGGCACATCATTAGGCCCATGTGTCTGCTGCTGCTCTCCACGCGCCGCCGTCTCCTCCTTCAACACAGGACAGTCTTTGATATAATGTCCTGGCTCACTGCACTTCTTACACAGATATCCGGACGGTGGGACATCCTTGCCCCCCAGCTCACGCGCCTGCTCCCGGGCCGCAATCTCCTCCTTCAACAATGGGCAGTCCTTGATCAAATGTCCTGGCTCGTTGCACTTGTTGCATATATATCCTTCAGGGACTCGCTGGACTCGCTCTGCTGTACACTCCTTGACGAAGTGGCCTGGCTGGTTACAGCGGCGACAGATATATCCTGCTGGGGGCTCGTTCCTGACCCTCTTGGGATCCCAAAAAAAGCCACTTGGGTCATCCTAATAAAACCAATGGAGTCACATCGTTAGCTAATGCACATGTTTTACCAGTCACTTGAATCATAAAGGCACGAGAGCAAAGGGTGAGAAATAAATATATACCTGGTCGGGACGACGTTTGAGCTCAGAAGCGGTTGCCAAGGGAGAGTCCGTCGTGGCGGGTGTCACAGAAGCCTTCAAGACATCATCAGAAACAGTAGCCAAAGGAACCAAGTTGAAGGCATAGAACCATCTCTGCTTGTTCTTATTACCCACATCTCCAAGTGCGATAAACCGTGTCGCATGCTCAGCGCCGTTCACATTCTTGTACGGCGCCCGCTCCCAGAACTTCCCAGAGCTAGTTGCGAAATGATACCGAGGCTGCAAGGCCGACACGGCATTCGCGACAGGGTGTGAAAACGTGCTGGGAGGGAGATCGGTTGGTGGAGGGAGGGTAGGTCCGACGAGCTTGTCGATCCCCACGGGCCATTCATGTGATAAAAAGATGTCGACTCCACGCTTGGACGTGTCCATGATCGACGATGGTTTGGCGGTTTGGATCAATGCGGTGATGTCCTGTTTGGTATACCGTCCTTGAAGAAGTGACTTGTCAAATTCCTCATCCTCGATGTCAGCTTCGTAGACTGCGCTGTCAAAGGTTCCGCTCAGCGAAGTCATCTTGACCGACTCTGCTGTTGTCATCGTTCCATGTTTTCCTATTTTCGATAATGTCCAAGGGTTGTAACGTTAATTTGCTTGTTCTTGATGGGGGCATAATGAGCTTGGATCTAGAGTCGCTTTTCTGCAAGGCAACTATCCTACTGTTGGTAGCACTTACCGAGATAAAACAGGTTGTTGCAAATCTCGCCGTTCTTTCTCTTTGCTGTCCGCTCAATGATTCCCGGAACGCCATTGTCTCCATGCATAAAGTACGTCGTGATCGGGACTATATCAATGTCACAATACAAATAGATCGCGTTAGTTTAGTTATCATAGAGATCACCATGGGAAAAAAAAGAAGGCATGCTTTTGTAATTTCAACATGGTTAATGAAAAAAAAGAGACACTTACAGTCAAGTTTGTTCTCCAAGAGCTCATCGATGACCTCAATAGGCGTCTCCTGCGAGAAAAAGTTGCCTGTACAGAACAAGATATCGAAAGGTCCATGCTTGGCCTGCATTGTCCCGACCTTGGCGCACAGGTTGCGCAAATCGCCATTGGCAGATCCTACCACCAGTCTATTTTTCACAGATATCGAGAGACGACGAGTTGTTAATCACTCGTCAGTACGCAGGCAGCATGTTTTTGTGCGGCGTAAAGTGTTGGCGCGTTTCGAGATTGTAGAAGAGTTCCTAACGAAGAAAACAATGAATGACGAGGGGGGGAATGGCGGCGTTGAAGGTCAATCAGGTTGAAATTCCTGTAGTTGACTTCTTCTGCTTGTTCGCAGCTTGTCCTTTAGAGGCTTTGACGTACACTTTGACGGAGCTCATGACTGATCCTGCAGGTTGTGTTGTGAAGAATGGAAGAATGAGATAAAGAAAAAGAAAAGGAAAAAAAGAAAAAACGCAACAATATAAAAAGACACATTTGTGTCACGTGGACTATGGATGCTGGTGAAAGAGTTTATTTCCGTTTCTGACTGGGCCTGGAGAGGGTGCGCCACCGGCTCTTGACGGCCTTGATGATGCCCTTTACAAACTCTTTATCCTTGAGCTGCAGGATCAGGATCCATGTGATCCAGATCCGGGACATAAAGTAGATCTGCCAGCTGTACCGGACTCCATAAATGATCAAAAACACAATCATGTAGTTCAGCAACCCCATCGTTACTGCCGCATATCTATTATTCAACCCAAGAAAAACTGCGTTAGAACTACTTGGCAAAGGACTGACCATACAACATTGAGCGAGAAAAGACGCGAGGTGCTTACCCTTTCTCTGGCGTCCTAGGGACCATGGCGCCATCTGTGACCGCTTCAACGAAAAAGATGAACGGTGCAATGTAGTCCAGACGATGGTCAGACGAGAAGGGCTCGTACCACTGCACAGACAAGTTCCTGATCCAGACCATCAGCACTGGTAACGTGCATGGCAGCAACAAAAAGAACATGACAAAAATAGACATCAAAAAGTGGTGGCGGTCCCATGCTGCCTGCATTTTCGATGCTGACTAAAAAAAGATCACATATTGACAAGGATGAAAATAGTAAGCATCAATAGTGTTGGCATTTGAATCCTTTTGTAACAAACGAATAACACCCAAGATGAAGAGCAGAAACACCAAGGCACGTACCGAAGCCTGGGCGACAAGTAGTGATCGGACACAGGAGACAATGTGGACCAGTACCGCGACGACAAAGGCAAACTGGTAAGGGACAAAAGTCGCCACCATGATAAATAGGACAATGGTTGTGATCACTCTCCGTCTGACACCTCGTGATCTACGTCGCACAACAAATATAAAAGTCGCGTCAGAACCAATTGTTGAATACGCCTATCCGTCATGAAAAACGCGAAGTAACACAAACTAACCTTTTGGAAAGCATGTTACCGATGGCCTTTCCGATCACAAATCGAGCCCCGCGCTTCGAAACAAACGTCAGGATCGCTGCTGTCGACCGTACGAGTCCATTGAGGATGGTCCAGATGAGGATCACAATACCGATCGCGACTTGGAAGAACACCGGCGCCAAAAACCAGAAGAATGAATCGTTGCTTCCCAACAGTGCGTCCTCGAGTCGAATGCCAGAGAACAATGACTCGCTCCTCGATATCCTTGCCCGGATCATCAGTTCGTACGCGTCCTGGTCAAGTCCTTCGCGAACTGAGCTTCCAGATCCTGCCGAGCCATGAACGATTTCCTCTGCCGCGTTTCCTGTAGTCGAAGCAGCCCTGCGAGGCAGATCCTTGAAGGTGAACGTAGGTTTGGACAGCAACGACTGCAGGAGCGCGATTCCTGCCAAGAGCAACGAAAACCTCCAGAACGTGGTCCTGATCAATTTTGAAAGCATGATTCCGAAAGGCATGAAGGGCTTGCCCTTGTTGAAGGATCTGAACTGGGCCCGCAAGGTCAGGACGACCACCAAGAAAGTAAACACAAGGACGACCATCCTGTACCGAATGACAACTTTGCCTATGCTGCCGTACTTGTCGACTTGCAAATTCAACGAGAGTGGAACAGGGCAGTTTGGGTCCATCCAGAAGCGAAGCTCGATTCCCTTCTTCCCAGGCAATTGGATACGCTCGTAGTAGGGCATGTCTCCGTGAAAGTTGATGTCGATTCCTTCAGGTTTGGTGGCAATGTTGACAGCATAGCGATCCTCGTACATGGTCCAGCTCGACTGTCGGAGCATTGGCGAGAAGCGTTCCGGTACTATGAAGAGGAGATGTGCAGAAGTATGTAAGTGGCCTGACCGAAAAGCCCGTTGCTCTTTGAGTATGTACAGGTTCGATCTCGCTTACCATGACATCCTTGGCGATCGACATTGAGGGTATATGTTAGCAAACTGTTGTCAATGTTTGGTAGCCGGAGAGTTGAGACCAGAGTAGGTCGTTCAGGAAATCCATGAACGCGAAGTCCGTCATTCAACAGCCCTATGATTAAGGTGAAGCGTTCGGTTAGTATACGCCCATAATCTTGTTTCGACAGATTTTAATGCTGACCCTCCCCCCTGCGTGTTCCTTACCAAGAGTTGAAGTTTCGATTGTTGTGGTGGTGTCCGCGTCGTTTGCAAACTGAGCAATCAGAAATCCTGAATCGCCCATCTTTCGGCCTCTATCCAAGATCGCAATGTACCGCGCGTCCTCCAGTTCCGTCAGACTCTGCGAGATGAATTGGAACTCCTGTCCTCGGTTGGATCTCCCTGCATGTGATGCAAACGATCCTGTCGCAAGTGACGCCGGCATTGGGATGGCTGAGAGGGTGTTGTAGTGACATGAGAGCCTTGTTGGGCTCCCTGGCTTGGATCGGCCAGACACCAATAGGTCGTTGCAAATGAGAACATCCAGCCGGCTATCAGGTCCAAGAACATGATCCGTCAACAAGTTGAAAGTATCCAAGTCCGGGTTGGCTGGGATCGGCATAATGTACAAATGGGCTGCTTCTGACATTGGGTCATACGCCGAGCTACCCCTGGGTGGGAATGTTAATCCAGTTTCCGAGTCCACAAAAGTGTGTGCGATTTCCGCAACGGCAATGATCTCCTCTCCTATCAATGACGGTATCAAAAATATGAGTGGGTTGCACAGTAGACATATTTGCAAGGCTCGATCAAAACTCGCAAACTCCAGGCATACCTTTGGGGGTTGACTCCTCGGCAAGATGGTCATCAATTCCTGTCAAGAACCGATTCTTGAAGATATCCATGCGTTCTTCCAGTGGCTTGACTTGCTGGGCGTACCGTGCGTCGACAACATCGATTAAGGCTCTTCCAATTACGGCAGCGATTTGGTTGCACCAAAGGATCGAAAGGTGGTCAGATCCAACCCATGCATGTGGAATGGACGACGTGAAGACCGTGAAACCGTTGGATTGGGGCACAATGTTGTGGATGTTACCTGAATCACCGCTGACAACAATATCCAGGTTTCCTCCTGCGATCGAGATCAGCGACACATTTCTGAGCGGTCCATCGGGCTCAAGAAATCCACGAGTCCAAAACGACTCTATCCGGTTGTAGATGTTGCTGATCTCAAAGTCGAGGGTGACAGGTGGGATCATGTGAGGTGTTGCCGCTGTGAGGATTGTATTTACCGATCCTGGTTGATAGTTGCTCATAGTGAATAACGACCGTGCGACGATCCCGCCCATGCTGTGCCCGACGATTAAGACAGATGTGGGCCGAGGTAGGCTTGGGTCTGAGTGCCGTTCGTCCTGATAGAGCGAAAGGATGTAGGCAATTGCATCGTTCAAAAACTGTGCCTGTTCCAAAAGCGAGTGTCCGTGCAGTGCTGAAAACTCCTCGTTGAAGTCAACTAGAATATGGTTCAAAAGAAGGAAAGAATATGAGACTTTGCTTTCTTGACACAAAATGCAACGTGTGCCGATACAACGACGCCCAAATATCCCAGGTCCTGTATGCGTACCAGTGAAGAAGTCGATGGGTCTGGCGGATGTCGTGCCGTCGCGGTGTCCTTCCGCCAAGTTTTCGTAGTAGTACTTGGATGCTTCCTTTGCAATTGATCGCATCTGCTTAGCACTTCCTGCATTACCGGGAATAAATAAGGCCGGGATGCCCAACGGTTGAATCTAATAAGTGAGAGATATATGTGTGTTAAGATCACCATCAATTGTAACGAAAAAAGGTCTTGAACTTCATGCCTCTCAACCAAAGATTTGATCTCCTGTACCTTGGCTTCCTTGTCGATAGTGTAGACCGAGTTGGCATACTCAGTCAGCATGCTGGCAGGTACTGGCAGTCTATAGTCGGACTGGTCCCGGAAGAGCAAGAGTCCATATTTTCCTGCGAATGCGGTCCGTTCCCGGTCGAATCCCAGCAGCTTGTAGAACTTTGGCTGCATGTAGGTGAACTGACAATCCTTGCGGTCGACTTGGTGGTAGAAATTGGAGTGGAAGATGCACCCCAAAAGTACAAACGAGGCCAAGAAGACCATGACCATCGAGTAAGAACATCCAAAGGTAGGCGACCGGCAAGTATGCATTAGGGGTATGTTGGGTACTTCTGGGTGGGATTTGCTTCGCGTCCTGGACCGCCCATTGGTGTGTGTCGAAGCAAAGGCGCGTCCTGTTGATCCAATGTCGTTGTGGTCCTTTTCGAGGAGGCGTTGGCCAGAGTGGCTGTAGGGAAGCGAGTATTGTGAAGGCGACGTTGGGGATGAAAGGGTCCCAGAGGAGGACGAGGAGGTGGGTGATCCTGTATTAGAGTGATTAGAGGCGGAGAGCCGCCTAGTAGAGTGTACGGGCTTTTGTTCATATTGAGTTGTGGCGGCCTGCTGTTGTTGTAGTTGCTGCTGCTGCTGGCTGTAGCCGTTACTGTATCGAAGTCGTTCTGAACGGCGAGGGAGGGTCGGTGTCTGTGATGCACTGGAATGGCTGTCTTCGGACGGTAGGCTGCTCTTGGACTGATCAGCCTGAGATGAATGTTGGCTACGGTGCGATGGAGACTTTGTTGCGTGCTGAAGTTGACCGCCTTGTGGGTCCATGTCCAGATCCCGGTCGTGTTGATGATACAGACGAAGGTCAAAGTTGTGTCGATCAGAGCCCTGGAGGTGATCAGCGTGGCTGTTTAGGTGATGATGACTCGATGCATGAACTTTGGTGGCGGGTCCGTTGTGGTTATCGTCGTCGCTGAAGCTATCGTCGCCGTCGTTGCTGTTGCTGTGGTGGTTGTTGTTGGTGTATTGATTATTGTCGTTGAGGTTGCTGCTGAGGTTGTGAGAGTGGTTCATTGATAAAGAGAGATGGGGTGGCTGATGTTGCAAGGGGTCGACTGCATCGACAAGGACATGCTCGTGGAGGTCGGAGATATGGATGGAGGTCGATTGCATCCGGCGAGTCCTGATGGATGGAGGGGCAACAAAGACTTGAGGCGGATCCCTTTTGAGGTGCTGCTGCGTTTTTTTTAGAGTTTTCTTGGAGGTGCTGTTGCTTGTGGTGCTGTAGGCTGTTTGTTGTTGGTTCTTGCTCTCTCAACAGCCCGTTTGTTCGCTCTTCCTCTTCTCCGTCTTCAATGGCTCGGCGCGTTGTCCGTTTGTTGCGTTCTCGTCGCTCTTTTTTATGTGGTGCTACTTGTCCGACTCTCGATCCTGTCAGTGTGAGTTGCTGCAACGGTCGTTGATGTCAAAGGAATTTGATTGCTGAGCACAAAAGAAAACGTTGGAGCAATTGATCCTGTCTATCCTGTCCTGTCGGTTGCCTGGCTGTATCGAGTCCGTGAAGGATATCCGTCCGTCGGTCGAGCAAGGGAGCGAGAAGGGATTAGGTGGTGGTGAAGACGAAAAGAAAAGAAAAGAAAAGAGAAGAATAAAATGTACAAAGAAAACTCACAGACGAATCTTCTCTATCATCACCTTTTTTCCAACTCAACGGATATGTGCAATTTTTGATAAACGGGTGTGGCACAGTTATCTCTGTCCACTTATTAGAAAAGAAAAATCAACACACTTTTCTCTCTGCTCCTCGCCCTGTTTACCTTCTTTTTCAGCCGCAAATACGTTTTCCCATTTCACCGACAACAGCAGGTTATGCTTTGTGCTTTGTTGCTTATTTGTATTAACGTCTAGTAATGGTACATGCAGAGGAATGGGCTACGCGACCATGATCTACTTGGTCTTCTTCTTGCGCTTGAGCATAGGCCCCACAAGCGATTTGTAATCTCCAACTGCAAACTCGCTCACGTCGTTCTTGCGCTTCAACACAATCTTGGGCTTGGCCCGCTCCTCCTTCTCGCGCTCCTTCTGACTCTTACGGTTCGCTCGCGTCTCATCCTCCTCACCTCCCTTGCCAGGCCGGTGGCCTGCTCCCGTCTTCTTCTTCTTGGGCTGTGGAATGTCCGAGGGTGCCTCGCGCAAACCAAAACTCTTGGCAATATGACCCAGGTGCAGGTTCTTGATGTGGAATACGTGTTTCTCGCTCGATGGATGCGTCGCATAAGACTTTACAAAGGCCCAGAAGGCTCCACGAGCAATTGCCATGTTCTATGAATCATATAAAAAAAAACAGGTTAGCGCTATTCTTATGTAGGCTGATCATGGTAGCACAGAACACAAGAAGACACATATGCTTGTTTTTGTTTACCTCTGGTGTGTGAAGATTGTATCTCTCAAAACTGTTTTGAATGTCAGTTGCGGGCTGTTGGTAATCCGTCGACTTTGGAGGAGCCAATCGCTTCAGGATCGTGGTGACCGAAACCTCCTCGTTGGGGAGACCCTGTGCCGTCAACAGCTCTAGGTACTTGACCTCACTGGGCAACAGGAACAGCATGGCTTCACCGTCACGACCCAAACGAGCAGTACGGCCAACACGATGGACATAGTCCTTCAGATCCGATGGAGGATCGTACTGGATAATATGGCTGACATCGGGGAGATCCAACCCACGGGCTGCGACATCAGTGGCAAACAGGATGCCACTGGTGGCCTTGCAGAACTCGAAATAAGTGTCCGTTCTCAAGGCCTGGGCCAGGTTTCCGTGAAGACGGAACAAGGGCACATCAGGCATGATCGCTCCCTTCAAAAACAGCTGAGCTCTGGCCTTCTTGGCGTTGGCCCTCTCCGTCTCGCGCTTTGCCTTGTACATTTCATCCGTGATGGCCTTGGTGCTGATCCTGTTGGAAGCAGAAACGAAATCGGGTATCTCGTCTTCCTTGTTCTCATCATCATCGCCGTTTTCGTTGTCGTTTTCGAAACTCTGGCCGAAATATTGGTCGTGTGTTGACTCCCTCTTGGTCTCCTTGCCTGCGTTAGAAAACAATCCGTGGTGGAAATCGACAGAATCGCAGGACGACAAAAAGACGACCATCTTTGGAGCCTTGGCGTTCATGTCCTTGCCAGCAAAGGCACTCTTGAGCAATGCGGTGAGGGTAACCAGACGGAGCTTTGCCTGGGCAATAACATAAAGCTGCTTCAGCTGCTCAGGTGTTGAAAACTGTTGTGCCTGCTTCTCCTCCGGGGCGAGTACTGCTGAATCGGGAATGCCATTGGCATTGGCGACCTCCTTCTTGGCGCTGATGTAGATTGGGTCGACAAGCGATGTACCGGCAAGTCGCTGAACCTCATCGGAGAGAGTGGCTGAACAGAGAACGGTCTGACGCTTCTGGGGCCAGACCTTGGTGGTGTCATTCCCGCTCGTGACAGAGGCTGCAATCTTGACACGTGCATCCAGAATCTTCAAGATCGCCGTCATCGACTCCTCGAATCCCAACTCAAGCAAACGGTCAGCCTCATCCAGAACCAGCCATCTCAAACTCTGCACTTCAAACGACTTTGTGTTCTGCAAGTGATCCAGAAGACGTCCAGGAGTGCCGACCAAGATGTTGACGCCCTTGCGGAGACGAGCTTTCTCCGACTTTTTCTTGTCTCCTCCAATGACGATTCCAGGGACGATCCAATGAGAACGCTTCTTGCCAGTGATCGAGGACGCGGGCATGCTCAAAAGAGTCTCCAGTACCTGAAGAATCTGCTTGGCCAGCTCGCGAGTTGGAGTCATAATGATGGCCAAGGTTCCAATGGAGCGTTTTGATTCCAGATCCAGTGCAGGCGACGACTCGGACTCGATTAGACGGTTGATAATGGGCAAAAGGTAGGTGAGGGTCTTTCCTGATCCAGTCTCTGCTTGAATAATGACATCGGTATCTGCCTTGGGGATATCATCCCCGACTTTCCTGGTGGGTCCGAGAAGTACTGGGATGGCCTTTTGTTGAATGGTAGTGGGCATGGTGACTCTGAGCTTGGTTTCCATATGCTTGGCAAGATCCTGGTCCAGTCCGATTCCTGTGAATGTCGAGGTGTTAAGAGGCGCGTTGCTAGGTTTGCCAACTGGGCGGTGAATGGTTTTGACCTAAACAATTCCAAATGAGACAGAGGTCAGTGATGGTTCATTCTACCCCAGCTTGCATATCAATGAAAGAATCAAACATAAGCGTTACCTTGGGGACGATCTCGGTATCGGGGGAAAAGATGGACGACTGAACCTGGGACTTGCCGTGCATCATCTTAGCCTCCTTGGGACCAGCAGACTCTGAGTAGGAATAGTCGTCATAGTCCATATCATTGTTGTTGGAGCGAGAATGTGAGCGATCGTTTGATGATGAAGAGTCGTGAGCAAAAGAGTGTGTAGAAGGGCCGGTGGCAGAGTGTGTAGAAGGGCCGGCAGCAGAGTGTTCAGAAGGCGTGGTCGATGCGGAGTAAGACTGGGGGCGACCAGCGACCACTATCCTCCTCTTGACGGACTTGACAACCTTGACCCTGTCTTTCCAACGACCACCTTTTGGTTTGGCCATCCGTGTAAGTGCCGAGTCGCCTGTGGGGGCAGCAAAGTTCAAGACGAGTCCTCCGTCCATGATGCGATGCTTGTATGTGTGAGAGTGGGAGTGTAAGGGGGAATGTAATAAGGAATGGAAAAAAAAGGTGGAACAAGGGTTGAAGTGTGTGCAAAGGGGACTGTCTCCTCGAGGTATGTGCTTCTTTGTCAACCAACAACACTGAAAAAAAAGAAAAGAAAAGAAGCGGCAGATTGAACTGCTAAGCCACTAACATCAACACCAAATCACCGCACGGGCAGGGATCTCAGGAACCGCCTCAATGATAGGCTTTGGAGTATTCAAAGGAACATGCTCTTTAATGCAGTAAATGTACAGCTTATCATTATTATCTATCTATGAAACGTTATCGTCGCCATCCACTCTTTTAGAACAGAGACATCTTGGTAAGAATCTCCTGGGTCTGCCTGTAGTGGATGGTAGCAGGGTATCCGTTTGGACCTCCAACACGGACACTCATCAAAACATCCAAGTCAAAAGGAACCATAGCGCCACCAAAAGCAATCAGGGGGTACGAGGTGACGAACTGTGTTGTCAAGAAGAGACCAAAGTCGAGACCAGAGGGGTGCTGCAAGATCAGCGAAGGGGTGCTGGCACTACCCTTGGCAGGGACGACTTGCTCGTACTTGGCATCGATGGTGCCAAAGAAGTTACCCTTCCAGGTGACCTGGGTAACCTGCCCACTGATGTAGAGGTCGGTGGCCAAAGGGTTGATCATGTTGACAGTGGTGATGGTCTGACGGTTGCCGACCAAGGTGCCAATGTTCGAGACGGCTGTGCCAGAGACAACCAGGTTGGGTGGTGGCATCATTCCGGGAACGGAGGACGAGATGGTAACCTGGGACATGGCCTGCTGCAACTCAACAGTAGCGGTCGACTCCTTGGTGCCAACAACCTTGAGAGGGAAGACAACGCCAGTAAGGTACTCGCTCAAGAATTGGTCGCGGAGGGTAGCGTTTTTGGGGTGGAAGAGGAAATTGGTAGGCGTGGGGTTGGCGCCGGGGACGACGTTCAAGTTGGGGATGGAAAGTTCTCCGAGGTACTGGTCAGTGACCTTGTCGTAGACGGTCAAGAGAACGCTGCCTCCAGATACGGTCAAGTTGGAGGCGTTGGGGAGGGACACAGTCTGGTTCATGATGATGTGGTCCTCGTTTCCTCCGCTGACAACAACGTTTGTGACGGCGGCATCGATAGCGTTAAAGTTGAGACCGGCCATGGTAACGTTCGAGTTGAATGGGATGCCAGTCAATTTGACGGTGCCAATAGGAGTGGTCGAGATGGCGCTTGCAAGACCAGAGACGGCAAAGCTCTGCTCCTGTTTAACGGTCAAGTCGGCGATGAACTGGCCAAACTCCTCCTTGGCATCTTCCTGGACGACGAGAGGCGAAGGGGGTAAGCCAAAGGTGATGATACCAGCAGCAATGTCTGAGCGAGCCTCTGCCCAGACGGCAGTATCAATGTTGGCGAGAGTCTTGCCCTTATAGTGGATGGACATGGTGTTGCTGACGTTCGTCATACCGACGGTGATATTGAAGGGAAGCTTGAAACCGGCGGTGACGGTGTTGGAGCTGGCAGTGGGGGCATAGGGGTTGGCAGGGTTGAAGACCATGCCCATATCCTTGATGTTGATGTCACTAATGACGTTCAAGGGAATGGGGGACACGAGAGGGACGCTGAGGGTGAGAGCCATCAAACCGTTGCTCAACCAGGAGACAGCAGTGACACCGTCGGGCTTGACAGAGACACCCTTGGCGCTAGTCATGGTGACCTTACCGCCCAAGAAGTTGGACATCAAGACGGAGACGTTGTCGAGGTCGGTCTGGTTGGTCTGGCGGACGAGGATACCCTCGAGAACCAAAGGAGAGGGTGAGCCACCGACAAGGACAGCGTTCTGGGCGGTGACCTGTCCGAGGAAAGTGCCCTGATAAAACATGTCGAGAACCATTGTTCCGAGGACCATACCAATGGGCGAGGGGTTGTTCATGGAGGTGACGAGGCGGACGTAGGCACCGCCGTTGTTGGGGGCATCACCGGGCATGGTGAAGGAGTCGATGGTGACCTTGCCGAAGCCGTTCATGCCGAGCATCTTGAGCTCTTTGGTGAGTTTGATGTCCTTAATGACACGGCCGATGGCGTGGACCTGGACGGTGGAGGTCAAGGTCCAGGTGAAGTTCTCGATCGACAACTATAACAATAGCGTTATTTCGCAACAGTCAGCAACAATTCGATTCGGAGAGTACAGAATCTTAGAATCATATTAAATTTCAAGCATCACACTCCTTTAACAAAGGCAATAAACAATGTGAGCGTACCATCTCCTTGGCAAAAGTGCCAAAGGCCTCCTTGTCGATGATGGTGAAGGTAGTAGAGTCGACAATGGCGGCACTGCCGCCAGAGGCCTTAACGGCAGACATCTTCATGCTGCCGAGCTGGTGGCCCTCCCACGAGACAATGATGGGCTCGGGGAACTCGATCGTGGCTGGGAAGATACCGGCATTGGAGATGCCTCCGGTAAGGGAGACCTTCATACTGGTCTCAGAGGTATCAGTCATGTTGAGCTGGTTCATCGACATCTCAGAGTGGTTGACGATGGACTGAACCAGTTTGGGGAGGATAACAAAGATGATAAGGGGGATGAGAATGGCAAGGAGGATGACGAGGATGACAAGGCACCGGATCCAGAAACGCTTGGTCTTGTAGAACCGGACGCGTTTCTCGGCAGCGTGACCATGCTCCTCATCGTACTCGTCAAAGCCATCATCATTGTCATCATTGTACTCCGTTTCCTTGGCCGAATAAGGGAGATCCTCCGAGGAGGAGGATGCCTTGTGTGCTGCAGCCTTTTCTGTGAGGTGCTCGCCGGATCCCGTGGACATGATATATGAAAATTAGTGTTCGGTGTAGATCGACTGGTGGGTGCTGATGAGAACAATAGGATCTAAGGGGGTAGGGGTATGAGTCGTAAAGGGAGGAGAGGATGGGATGTGAAGGTTGAGAGTGAGAGGGTCGGAGGATGAGGTGTGTGGGATCCAGGTACCGAAGGGGGAGAGAGGGTCTGTGGAAGATGGAAGGGGGGAAGGATCGAGGGGTAAAGGAGAGGATTGGCGACGGAAGGGGCGGTCGATCGGGATCAAAGGGACAAAAAGAGAAAAGAGGAAAAGAAAAGAAAAGAGAGGGAAAGAGAAAAGACAAGAAAAGAGGAGGGAGGAGGGGTACCAAGAGAGATCAACCACAAGAGAACAATCAAGAACCAAGAGAGACAGAACCGGGCAAATGCAGAATAAGCAGAATACACCCAAACAAGTAGCCTACAATTATAATAATGACATGAGTTGGCCACTGTGTCCATATTCTTATTTCTCTCTCTCTCGCACCACATTGTTCATTCTTTGTCTCTCTCATATGCTTTGCTCAGTGTTGTTTGCGACTTGTCAGCTCACCCATTCCTCTTCCTCCACTGGGGCCGGTTAGTTGTTTTATATCGGCACTTTGTATTCAAACTCTATGTATCTATTGTATCCGAACGCTGTCTTGTTTTTCTTGATCGAGGTTTCGCTAACGTTGTTGTTTGAACCAGCTCAACGAAGGTTCATTCGAAGTAACAGAGCCTCGTTTTCGTTTGTGAGGCAGACGAGTTTGAGGGGATTGGGCCTGAATTAGAGGCAAGCCAGGGGGAGGATTCTACTGGCTGGAAGCGATCAGGGGAGTGAAGAAAAAAAAACCAGAGAGCATCCCATCCCATGCCATCACTGCCTGTTGAAGAGAATCCTGAGAGCAATCTTCTTTTCCTTCTCTCGCAAAGTTTTCTTTGAAAACTAATCCTTCTGACTGATTTGAAAAAGAATAAAGCGGGTGAGCAGCTACAATGCAGATGTTTAACACGAGTGATAGTCAGGCAACTAGCCATTCGCCTTTTTGTATCCACAGTTGCGCCTTGGCTCTGCATATTTTGGATCTCAGAGTCAAGCGAAGGAGAGAGGCCCATGGTCCTTTCTTTTCTCACAGAGAGTCCGGCGAAACATATGAATACGCCTGTTTGTTCATCAGTACAGTAAGCATTCGTCCGCCTCCGTGTGGGAGAGAGAGAGAGCGTTATGGGGTGATTCAAATTGCGACCATTGGCCCAGTGGAGAAAAACGAACAACGATATGGGTGAACAAGGTTTCCAGGCTGCCGGAGTTGCTGGCCCACATAATTGAGCACCCCTTCCTCTTCCTCCACCACTCCCGAGCGCCCTCCTGGTTGCGCCCTCCTCCACAACCCACATTATTACGATCAGGTGTAATGAAAAGACGTTTTTCTGTTGAAGAGGATTTTTTGCTAGGTCGAGTGATGGATATTTTGTATGTTTGCACAAGGATACATGCATTACAACGCGAGCTTCTACTTTCCCAGGGTTCAATAACAAACGGCATTGTTGTACAGTACACAGTTGTCCTTATTACGGTTTTGTACTTCAAATGCATAAACTAGGCAGCGGGATAAACAAAAATATGCAGGCGTCATGGTGCTATTTTTTGTGTGTTTGTTTGTTTGTTGGTGCCTTTGTAAGGTGGCAGCCGAAGGGATAAACAAGAAAATTCGGATCAACACAGGAAAGGACCAAGCATCTCTCTTGTCTTCTCTTATTGTTCTTGAACCACGTTTGCTCTCGACCAAGATGAGAAAGAGAATCGGCTGTCTCTGTTAAGTCCTCAACTTTTCTTGATTGTGTCTGTATCACGAATTGTTCAGGGACAACACCTCAATTGCCACAATTACACATGTCATTCCCCTGTCTAGATCCTCCTTTTTTTTTATTGTCGAGGTAGACTATCCATCAGCTATGACCATCCTGGTAAGCAATGATAGCATCGTCATTTCGGATGGCACCAACCGCCCCTTTTGTATATGATGGCTGTTGGAGTGCAGGCTCTTGTTGTTTTGTTGTTATTGTTGTTACGTTCCTTACGTTCCTTATTCAAAAACAAAAACACAGATCCAGCAAAACAAAAAAAAACCTTGAAGTCAGCCGAGGACTATTCTTCATCTTCCTCAATGCAGCAATTTAATGGCATGTGCATCCTCTCCACTAGCTTTATAGCAGCCGCCGTGGATCTCTATCCTCAACAAAATGATGGCCCAATAGATCCACATGAATATTGTCACTTTACCCTGCTGTTATGCCACATGCTGCTAGCTAACCCTGACATATATTCGTTCGCCTCCTCTCGCCTCTCCTCTCTCCACCATCACTCGCTGAGTTGGTTTATGTTTGACCTTGGCCTCCACATAAGGTCAAGTATCTTCAACTGGTACAGGACTACAGGAGTTGAGTGTCCGCCTGGAGTGTTTAGCCTGACTTGTTTTGTATTCGGCTGGGATTTTTGTTTATTTTTCTCTCTTTCGGTTGGCAGAGCCCGTTTGGCTTCGCAATACCATGCATGTGGTAGAATTAAAACCACAAGGATATCAATGACGTCCGAAGGCGGCGATGGGTATGTATCCGTTAGGTTATGCTGTCGTTCTTGTCGTCACGGCACGCTGTGTTGGACTTAGGAAGGGCTTTAGATTTGTCTCCACCACACCAACGCCTATAATGTTTTGAGAGACAAAGTCGCGCCAACAAACGGTGTGAGATCTTGCACTAGGGGGGTTCTGTATACGCGTGGTTTCTTACTATTTCCTTTCTCGTGGGCGTGTAGGCACAAAAAGGCGACCTAGACATTTGATCTGTGATCAATGCAAAGCCCCTCAATTGGAGAGCATGGTGGGACTCCATTTCCTTTTCCTCATCACCCCGCCCTTGTCGACTATCCAAGTCTCTATTACCATCAGAAAGGACCAACAGGACATAAAGCCTTTTATCCCCGCCAGCAATCCATCACGAAACTTTAATCGAAGTACGCGAAACATATTAGGATAAGCTCGCTCAGAAGCGGAGGTCAAGTTCGACAAAGTGTCGACCAAGAAGAAGCTTTTATCCAGGTCGATTCTACTTCGCGTCAAGAAATTCAAAAGGATGACACCTTAATAACAACTATGGAACCATTGTCGCCGAGGACAATACCTGCTCCTCAGGGGATACTTCCCTCTCGAAACGCACCAGGTTGGTATCTTTAGAGGCTGCTTTCTGAGTGTAAGAAAACAAGGACAGACTCTACCAAAGATATCCTAATAAACCATTTTATTCCTCATTAACTTGAAACTGGATACGCCGCCGATGCGGCGGGCTGAAAGGCAACAGAACTCAGTGTCTCAAAGTCTGCAGGACAGGCTATCCTGATGATCTTCCTTTTTTTTTTTTTTTTTTTTTTTTTTTTTTAGCAAGGATCACGTCAACCAGGTTGATCTCATACAGCTGCTTCGCCAGCCATCCTCACGCCAAACGTTTCGCCAGAAGCTCAGAGCAAGGACAAGAATAAAGTAGAAAATAAGACCGAACAGCCGAACCCACTAGACTGACCCAAAGGTATGCGCTTCTTTGTGTCAGAAAGCGCAACATTGGGGTGCTTCAATGGAGTCAATGATATTGGTATCTCATGGCTCCCTTTTCCCCTTTTTTTTCCTGTGTACATAGACAATCACTTATTGCAGTGGAACGACGATCAACTGAGCAACATGCAAGAAGAATACATTCAAAAAGTAACCGTCGGGAGCATCATACTACTATCACCTCCACAAACCCGGCATACCCATCTCATCTGAGCCAGTCCCAGAACCCATCATTCCCTCGCCTCAACTGCCTACTCCCAGCCCTGAGGAGAGTGTCAACTCACCCTCGCCACTAGTAGGCAGCAATGTGGCACATCCATCCATCTGCAATGTTGTGCTTGTGTTCCCATTTTGTATTTTTAGCAGCAGCTGTACTCACATCCTCTCTCTTTTTGTTGTATGTTACTTGGAAAATAATAAATGACGAAGACTTTAATTATAACGAAGACCATGGTAAAGTGCGACAATCCGAAGTGCAAAGTCAAGAATCACAAGGAGGTGTATGCCTTACCCCTCGCTGGCAAGTCCCGAGAGGAAGCGCTCGAACTCTATCAAAACAAGATCGTGGCGGACATGAAAGTCTGGTTTCCATTTCTGCAGTTCCACGCTGACGAGCCTCTGATGTATGCCCTCTCAAAGACTTTGAACCCATCTTACCGTTCTTAATACCAGACGGAGCCGTTGGCCATAATACCTCTTCTTCCTTGATTCCTTAGTTTTCACTTCTTTATCCCCACCACCAAAAAACCGACAAAAATAAATAACGCGCCTCAATATAACAAAACTTGCATATCCTGGTCCATGCAGCAGCAATCCCAGCTAAGACTGTCTAAAAGGTTCTTTTAATCATGGTGAGACCCTTCCTCCACTCTGGTATCCTGGTCTCACTTCTTGGCGGGCAAAGTCTTCTCCATATAAATATGCGGCTGCCCCTCATCTGGGTACTCATCCCCAGAAGCAACATACCCAAGCTTCTCATAGAACCCCTTCCTAGGCACCTGACTAGACAATCCCAACTTCTCCAACTCTGTGTGTTCAATAACGTACTTCTCAACGGCCTCCATGACCAAACGTCCGAGTCCGGACCCGCGGGTGCTCGAGAGGACGGCGACACGGCCGACCTTGCCGAGGATGGGGGAGTACTTGTAAAGACGGGCGGTTCCGACGCCTTCGTTGGATGTGGCGTCGACCGCTACCCAGTGCAAGCATTCCGAGTCGATCCTTTTGTTTTGGTTGAGAAGGGTGGGTAGGTGGTGGAGGTGGAGAGAAAGGAAGTTGTGGGTGTTGGTCAGTTGGTGACCTTTTTTTTTTTTTTCTTTTTTTTTTTTTTTGATCAAGATTGAGAATGTCTCCACTGTGGACAAAGAGCGCCCGATCCACATGCAGCTGGGCTCTTCCATAGGTGCTGAATAATATCATAGAGTCATTCTCCTTACTTGTCAATCTCTTCGTTTCTGTCGTATCCTTGTTCATCCGAAAAGACTTTGAGGCGGACTAAATTCAAAGTAGGATAAAAAGCAGTAGCGCCATTTAGTAACACCGAACAGAATGAAAAAAAAAAGTCCGAATGACCATTGCACGAAAGAGGAATGGAGAGTTACCATCGTGGCATTTGGCCAGGTCCTCTGGAGTTTCGACGAAGCGGACAATGTAGCTCATGGTTGTTGTAGCTTGTGTAGAGGGGGCTGAAAGTTGATGATAAAGGTGAAGTGATGGAGAAGATGTCCTTGGAGCCAAAACGGCCATTTTATTCAGGCACGACTCAACTGAGAAGAAAAGTGAGTCACAACGCACAAGGGAAGGGTGGAGCGTATTTCACAACAAAAGGCTAGATAAGCCCTTTTTGGTGGCGCAGGTCTTGACATCTACTGTCATTCACACAAAAATCTTCCATGTGGTTCTAACCAATTGAAAGATGGTATTTAATGCGCCGGGGGACCGCAGCGTTTATTATTTTGCAACAAGAAGTATCCAATGCGAAGAGAAGGGAGTAAAAATACAAAGTGATGGCAGGAGAGGGCGATGAGGTGGATGATAGAACACGGTGAGTCTGTTTCTATGTGACAAGATGGATGTGTGAAGAAGTGGTGGTATAAGAGGGAAAGGAATGTGAAGTGTTCAGTTGACAAACATTGCCTTCAAGGTCTCAAGGGGGACGTCGCAGCTGTGGTTGGACTGGTGCCAAAACGTCATTGCCTTTGTCACGCCGAAAAAGTGAATGGCGCACCCGATCAAAACACAGATATGGAAAATCTGATGCGATGCCGCCTATTGATTATTCATCCATTCAGCGATTAACAAGGAAAAAAAGAACAAAGACATCAAATCAGTTAATCTAAGAAACACACCGCTCAACAAAGTACTGGTGGCGTCTGTTTCTCATTCTCGAAAAGAGCCAAGTACAACTTACAAAGTGGTCGAACTTGCCGGGGAAGAAGCACTCGGGGACACGGCTTCCGTAGATCAAGGCGCCAATAACATACGCTGCACCCATGCAGAACATGTAGTTGAGCGCGACTGCGCGTTGAGCCATAGCAAACTAGAAATAGCAATCAAGGAAAAACAGCCAATGCATGAGAAAATGTTGGATGAAAAAACACATGAGACTTGGGTGACAAACACCCCCATAGGTTCCACATTGGGGGCTCATACATACACATGCATACATGCGTTATTTCTTACCCCATAAAGAACAATTCCATGGACGATGGGGAACAGGCCTGAAAGACCCATGGCAAGGAACAATCCTGACCGGACCCATCGGAACTGGGGCGTACGGAACTTTGGACGCATCACCACAAAGATCGTGGCGGCCCCAAAGATGGAAATGAGAGAGATGTACATGATCTGCCACGTCTTGTGGCAGTAGAATCCTAAATGGTTGAGATCGAGAGATGGAAATGAAAGAATATAGATTTGTCTCAATGACTGGCGTTAGCAAATGTCCTAGATCTGAGTTGTTGTAGTGTGCATAGTGGCTCTGATCTTGAACTGTTTAAGGAATGCTCTGTTGTTCAAGTTTCTTCTTACCGTAGAAGATGGCCGGGTAGAAGGAACCCACGATCAAGAACACAATTCCGACATAGTCGCAGCGATTCCATTGCGAGGCGACCTAATTGGGCAACACACAGGATAAATGAGTTTGAGCAATTAACCATCATTCATAGAATCCCTCCTTCCTACAAAATGTGGGACAAGTGAGATATGACTTACGGCTTCAGAGTGACAGCAAAAAGTGTGAAAGCTGGCTGACATGGAGAGGCAGATGATGGCTCCGGCCAGGAACGCATAAAATACTGCGACATCAGTCCAATGGATGGCATCAAGCAACCCGATGATCTTGAAGTACGAGATGGGGGCCACGATGACAAATATGATTGCACCAAGGAGATGCGACCAGATGTTGACTAGAAACAACGTGAATAGAGCAAAATAAGGTACAAGAATAGGTGAGCAAAATGAAATTCCATCTTGTAAAAGTTGAATGCTTATCTGGCCGTAGACTCGGGACCCAAATGAGGTCGCTGCTCTCCTTCAATTCAGCGGTGGTACACCACGGTTAATTGTGCCCACAAGGTACATCGCCCACGGTAAAAAGCACAAGGAAGTGGAGGTCGTTGGGACTGGAACACTCTGTTTTGGTTTGCAGAAGAAAAAAAAACTGCTCCGCATGGTATCAAGTCGGGTGAGGGAAAAAAAAGAACACATGCAGAAGGCAACCACCCTTTTTGCTTTTTCACATCCCGTTCTTTTTTTCTTGACCAGAAAAATGTGCGCACATTCCCCACGCCTAGCACGCCGTCTCATCTCATCCCCCATCTATGATGTTATCGATAAAGTTGCGAAAAACAAACCCATTCTCACGGACAACCAGCCAACGGCGCTAAAGTGGTGGGAATGAGCGGAATGATACACAGGGGGTTGGTTCACTCACCAGACTCGTTGTGGAGGTAACCCAATGATGCGATGGTCTTGCTGTAGTTGTGGGTGGGGCGACGGTATCCAGTGATGATAGCTGGGTTGTCCTTCATCCAAGGGGGCAACTCATCCCAGCAGCAGATTGGTCCCTTGTCAGAGACTTCATGTTGAGCCTCGTCGGGCAATGTTGTTGAACGACGTTTGGCGCACTCCTTTTCGTCATATTCACTCTCGATGCCGCTGTCGTTGTCGTCACCGTCATTGCCATGGCTATAGGCGCCTGGCGTCAACGATCGGATGCCGACTGGTTCAGAGCAGCCCTCCTTGTTGTCGCCTAGAAAGTCTTTATGGTCGTGAAAGCCGTCGGTAGGGATCTTGATGGTGTCTGCCTGAGTACCATCGCTGTTCTTATGTTGGTGATGATTATGGTGGTGGAGTTGTTGCAGAGCAGTTGATTTGGAAAGGCTGCTGGCGGAAGTACGACGAGAGGGAGTTGGAGAATTGTCGGACTTCATGATGGAGATGTTGGAGGGAGAAGGCGGTTTGTGGGGTTCTAGGTGACGATTTTAGGGTCAGCCAATTGCTGTTAGCGAACGAAAAACGAGCGAGAGGGAGGAGGAAGAAGGGCGAAAGAGGGAAGGAGGAACAACAACAAACAAAACAATACAAACAGATCCAGAAGAAAAAGAAAGGTGAAAAAATGACACACACCAAGCAACAGCGAAAAAATATCGAGAATGAGGTGGGTTCAAGAAAGGACGAGGCTTGTTGATGTTCGAGGGAATGTAAAACTAGTTGGGTCTGTGCAGGGATGATAACGATATATCTATCTCTATCGTTTACACTTTAGGGACAAGCGGAAGAAGGTGCGGAAGGTGCAATTGGAAGAGATAGAAAAAAGTGGATTGGATCGGGGGAATGGAAGAGGTGAATAGCCAGGGAAGGAAGGTGTGGAAGAAGGGGATCCAGCTGGTCGGGCTCAGCTCGGTCGGTAAGGTCGCGGTTTGGTCGGTGAAGAGAGGTGTGAGGGAGAAGGGAAGGAAGGAAGGGGTCGTTATGGGAGGAAGGGGTCGTTATGGGAGGAGGGGGTGCAAGAGGCGAAGGAAGAAGGAGACTATGAAGGTGTGCCCGAGGTGAAGGAAGGAGGAACAAGGAGTGAGGGGAATGGAGATGAAGAGGAATGAGAAGAAAAGAGGAGAGATGAATGAATGAGAAGGAAGAAAAGAGAGAGAGTGATGGAGAAAGAGAAAAAATCAAGGCACAGAGTGGAGTGATGGAATCAATGAGGCCCGAAATGGACAAAAGGTGTGTCAGCGAAATTAGCAGCGAAATGAACAAGCCTTCGAAAAAGGTATTGTCGCCCATGCGATCTATTCAATAATAGAACAAGAGTACTTCGACTGGGGCATCCGATCCATTGGAGCGAGGCTACTCATTGATAATAATAATAACAATACAGGGACCCAAAACCCTATCCCCATCTTAGCTGTCTTTGAACAAAACGAAACACAGCAGACAACAGTAGCAACCCACCCAATTCCATTTTCGCTTGATACTATTTACCCAGCCACTTAGCCCTTGTATTCACAGTCTACAAACACGACCACGAGAAAGAGCTCATATCAACCAATTGAAAACAAAAGAACGAAAGGCAACCACCACCAGAATGAAGCCATATCATGAAGGACATGGATCGATCCGTCCATAGAAGCATTCATATCAGTAATCCACCTCTTTCTCTATCGCTCCATCTCGCACTCCTTTTTTTCTGTCTTTTCTATTGTTGCTCTTAAGTTTGACTCTCCTTGGAGTCCATTGAACAGTCCGTAGATACTACTGTTCATGGCATGAAAAGTCTTTGTCGGAGGAATTACGTGTCATTCATGCATCCAGTCTCCTTTTCCACAGGTTAATTATGCTTATGGTTCCGTAATGCCTCTCAGCTGTCTCTCTTAACAGACGTATCAATATCACGTAGAAAAGGCGTAAAGACTAGTTGAATTACTCGTTGTACATTGTGTTGTGAAGTTGCAAAGTTGCCAAGATGGTTTGGTCGTGTGGTGTCCGTTGAATGAGGGAAAAGTGAGGTTACAGGGCAAGTTCGAACCTACAGTAATATTTTTCCAGGTCAATGCGTGGGTTAAGTGGACCTCCTTGGATGTTGATACAAATTGTAACCCTTTTTTTAACTCGCAATGTCGTATTGAAGCAAGGAAGTACAACGGAGAGAGGGGAAAAGGAGGCAAGGAGAAGGTGAAATGAACCAGGAGGATAGGACGCTTAGTCAAAGCAAGGTGTGATTGTACTTGAGGTAATAATAGAGGAGGAGGAGGAGGAGGAGGAGGAGGGCGTATGAGGAGATAAGAGAGAGTAAGAGAAGAGGATGAAGAAGAGAGGAAGACAAGGAAGGAACAAACTGATAACAAATAATAATAATAGTAACAATAAGGATGAGTAATGGGAGTGATGGATGCCAATTTATCACCAAGCACCGATCCATCATTCAGCAGCAACAATTGAAGATGGGAACAAGGGTGGCTGTCTTGTCTTGGAATCGAAACATTTGGGTGGATGACATACATGCAGACGGATTTGTCTCTCAGGAAGACACAGTGGCGATGAACCAGTTGTCTGCGGTAATCATAACCGACGTACGGACTCTGCCCCTTTGAGAAGACTAAGGAGAAAGGGCTTTTTATTTTCGTCCTTCAATGTTCTCTCTACTGCCAAGACTCGAAATAAAAAGAAAGGGCCTCTGGAAGGCTGCATTTATTTGCTCAGGAGCAAAAATAAGCTGTTGCGGTTAGCATCCTTCCCAGGGGGAACAATCATTGAAGACCCATGCGTGTCAGCGAAAGGCGAGAGGTTTACAGTAATTGGGACTTGATTGAGAAAGAAAAAATGGAAAGGACGCGACGGGCTTTTGCCTAGACTTTTTTTCTTTTATATTTTTCTTTTCTATTTTTCATTCTTTGAATAGCCCTTCACCGTCATTGAGAACAAAACAGCCACTATTCAAACGAGTGGCAGCCTCGCCTTTTCAGAGTCATTTTGAGAACTCAGCCCAGGGGCCCTTGCTGTGGACCGATCATCGCCCACTTCAACTGGTTCCATAACCTGATCTTCAGCGGTAAGACAAAGGTTACATCTAAAGACGAGACAATAAAGTTGAAAATTGCCCATTCTCTCAGACCTGGGCTCCTTTTAGAGAGTGTCAGTGGGATGTGAGGTGAGGGACGTTGGGCAGGGATAACCGTGTTTGCCTTTCAGCTCGGACACTGTGCACCTTCTCTCCTTCAACTTCAGGCTCTCATGTTCAATTGGACAAACGGCTTCACAGACTATGACCTGGACCTTATGTTAGTTTTGTCTCCTTGTTGTTGAGCACCAGACAAAACAACAACAAAAAAATACTATCGACCGACCTCCTGCTCTTTTTCTGCTTCTCACCCACGGCATCCCATTCGACCTCACACACAAAGACATGCAGGAAGACAAAAAGGCGAAGGTATCATCCAATGGTCAACAAACCATAGCAGCAGCTGTAGGAAATAATAATAGCAATGTGTGTCAAGGCCCTTCATGTAGTGGATGAACACCCTTTGTCCTCCTAGCTCTGCTTGAATTGTGTGTTGCTTGTGTCGTCCTATAACAGATCGTAAACCTTTTTCCTCTCTTCTCTTTTTTCTCTTCTTTTTCTTCTTGGATTTCTGTCCTCGACTTGTTCCCGTTTTCCCTTTTTCTCGATCCATACCGAACTCACTCACTCACTCACGTTCTTCTCTCTTTCTACTTTTTTTATTCTCCTTCGCAAACGAACCAAAAACCGTCAACCTCGACTTACGACCCACGACAAAGACCCTTTCTCTTTCTTTCAATACCGATTACGTTTAGCCCCAACTCCCAAGCATAGCTCTCTCTCTCTCTCTCTCTCATTTTATTTCGCCGACTAGGATCTTCCAACCATTGTTGCAGGCACACGCATACATACACATACCACATTTTTCACGACATTTTTCACGATTTAGGACTCAACCGAGATGCCACACCATACATCCCAAACCTTCTTGTTCGCTACCCTCCCATCCTCGACGTCTACTCCTGTGACACCTTCCCGCAAGCAGAGCTTCGGTAGTGTCTACAGCAGCCGCAGCGCCAGCATCATTAGCAGTGTCGGCACGATCGGCTCCATCGCTAGCCATAACGGCGGCGGCAGCAGCCATTCCTTCTATAACCTCTCCAAGGACAGCAACAGGAGCAATCTCGACCTGCCGCTTCCTCTTCGTCATTCCACGTATCCGGTTCTGTACAGCCATGCCAATTACTCGAATCTCAGCATCAGTCAACATAACACATCGGGACACAGCATCTACAGCTCGAACTCTAATGCGAGCTCCTGCTTCAGCTTCGCCTCGTCCCAGAACTCTGTCTCAGTAGACCAAGTTCACCACGCCTTCGGGTCCTTGCCTCCTCCTTGTCCTCCTCCTGCCTCCATCTTTTCTGCTTCTTCTTCTTCTCTGCCTCTCGCTGCCTCTGTCAATATCCCCATCAACACACCTACTCCCAAAGCAACAAAGTCACTTTCCTCCTCTTCCGCTTCCTCCCTGTCCTCTAGACATCGCAACTCTCCCAAATCCCCTTATCAACAGCAGCAGCAAAACAGCCCCAAAGTCTTTCCAACACCCTCTCACCACGCCTCCTTGTCACCATCCTCCTCGTCGACCGATCTATCTTTGCCTCACACTCCTTCTCCACCTCCTCAATCACGTTCTCCTTCTCTCCGCACTTTGCTGCTCCCCTCTGCCGCTGCCATCGGTGCGCTCCCACCCCGCAAACGAATCTCAAACACTATCCCCCCTTTGAATACAAAGTCCCTTGTTCAGCCTGCAACGCTATCACCCTCATTCCTCTCCAGCCGTTCGACCACCATGAGCTCCACCTCTCCCAGCTGTGAATCGCCAGCCTTTGGAAGCACCTACTCCGATGCCTCCAGTGCTTATGGATCGACTCCATCGACCCCGACCCATTCGCGTCCCTTTATCTCCATGGCCATCACGGAGTTGGTGATTTCTGAAGCCCACTACCTTGCCGCTGTCAACGTAAATATGAGCCCTCTCCCTCTCCTTCCCATCTTTGTCTATTGTCGTAGTTTTTGTGTTTGTGTGTGCCCTAGGAAAAGGACAGGACTAGATTACAGTCCTAACAAATGCAATATGTGCATCTTGCTTATATTTGTTTACACACATCATACATTGTTGTCAATTAGCGAATCGGTAATGCTTTGAGCCAGGCGGCTGAGGCCAATTCTGCCGCAGGCCACAAAGAGAGCTCTACTCTCCGATCTGTCAGCGTTCGATGGGCTGAATTGACCAGAATGCAAACCAAGTTCCACGATGTAAGTTAATTTCCCAGCATGTTCATAGACACTTTCGTCCTGGTTTATTGTCTACAAGGAATCGGACGGTGTTACCACCATTTTGGGTGTGGTGCCTCCGATCTTTCCTGTTAGTCATCTCTAGTACCTTTTTTCCCCCCGGATGTGGTTTTGAGGTACCGAACGCCACTTATGACTACTTGCTGGTGCCTGACCAGTCCTTCAACACTGGTCACTTGACAACTCGGTGTTGTTTGCCTTTTTTTTCGTACCTTTCCCCTTGGCATCTATTCCCTTTTTGCACATTGTGGATGCAGTTGTCCGTCCTATTATTTTTGTATTTCGTGAAGGGTTTAACGGGTCATGGTTATTGTACAAAAACAATGTTACGGCACTCCCCTTTTTTTGAAGCGATAAATTAGCCTTGTCTCCGCGTTTGCCATCATGGAGGCAAAAGCGACAGGAAGACTAACAGCATGCGCGTGTTCTCTCTCTTTCTTTGTACTGAACGGATTAATAGGATGTGGTGGCCGTCAATGAAGACCTCCGTGAGACTGCCGGACTCTTGAATAGCCTCGTAAGTTCTTGTGCTTCCAACAAAGAAGTGAAAGAAAGCATGGCACCGACATAATTAATGTGCATTTTCGTGTGCTTGCTTAAAGGTACGATGTGCTCTGCAATGTACGATCCTGTGTACTCACAACGACAATTGTTTTCTTTTCTTTTCGCGTTTTCCCGTCTCTGTTGTCCTCCTCTCTTCATGTATGCCTGGTTGTATGGGGATTGTTGGGTGACCAATAGTTGGTGACTCTGGAGCCCATCCTGATTGACCACAGCCGGGACCTGTCCATCTCCTTGAAAAAGCTAATCCGTCGCGATCAGGTAAAGCAACAACACCGACTATGCCATGCCATGCACCTTATTTTCCAGCTTTTTTTCACCGCTCAACTCCACATGGTCCGTTCGTCCTTTTTTTTATTCCTTGTCCTTTTTCATATGACAGCGACGACGACGCGTTATTTTGTTAGTATCCACGCGCGCCTGTTCAATGTTTTTCTTTTTGTTGAATCCGCGACATCGCACGTTGTTTTTTTATTGACCTTTGTTTAATGCCATGCACCCGATATTACATACGGGGTGTACTTCGCCCTGTCCGCCTGCCTTCCGCCTTCCCTTTCTCTCTCTTTTATTGTCCTCGGTGTGTTCCTTTTGTGTGTTTTTGTCTGTCATTCTCTCTCTTTCTCTCTCTCTCTGTCTCCCACCCTCTCTCTCTCTATCTCTTTCTTCACTTTCTCAATCGTGTCTCCTTCGTTCGTCTGTGTGTCTATACTTTCCGTTCCCTTTCCCCTTTTTCATTCGCTGACCATGACAAGCACACTCAATTGTCTATGAACAACAACCACCGTGAAAAAAAACTTTGATAGAAGTCAGAGCACACGGCTGCCAAATGGGAGTCTGCCCTTCGCCAGCCTCTGGACCATTTGTCGAGCTATGAGGAGTGGCTCCTGCGCATCGATCCCCAGCTCAAGTTCTGCAAGGACTACCATACCCATCTCCAAGGACTGATCTACAAAACCAAGATGGTCGCAGGTAATTTCTCGTTCTCTTTGTATTCAACTTGTCTTTGCCACCATTGCTACCATTGTACTTGCAGCTTCTCCTTCCGTCAGTCAACAAACAACGCCTCTTACCATTGCCTATTCCCTTTGGTTATTACCTCTTCTTTCTAACCATCCTCATTTTCTTCTTTCTTCTTCTCTTTATCACTTTTACTTTCGTTAATACTTAATACTCCTCTCTTCTCCTCTCCTCTCTCTCACATTCTTCAATCCCACGCACTCGTTACTATCCTCCCCTCCTCACCCTCTTCCCTTCCCTTCCTCTCTACCACCCTCTCCCCCCCACCCCTCCTACATCCACAATCACAATGATCTCCCCAAAACGTTTCAAAGACGCCAACCAACACCCACGCAACATGCTCCGTCGTCTGAGCACCATGGCACGCGATGTCATCAAACGTCGCTCCTCCGTCCAACTGCTCACCCAAGGCCCCCTCTCCGAGACCACAACTCCTACTACCCCCCACTCTGCCTCGACCCTTGACTCGAGATACTCCGAAAAGTCGGAAGCTTCAACCAGCTGGCCTACCACTCCTAACTCCATCCCTATGACGCCTGACAACACCGTGATGGTTCTGGGTATTGCCAATAACGACTTGACGATCGACACTGTAACGAAACCAGCTTCGACTACTACCTCAGAAACGAAATCTCCTTTGGAGAAGGGTCTCCCCAACATCCCCTCCGACACTTCCTTCTCACAATCTCAACCTTCCTCCCCTCAGGAACCCGCCACACCTATCGCTGACACCTTCCTGGTACCCCCGCAGGTCAAGCAGTTGCATCACTGCCCCTCCTCCGCCTCCGAGTTGAGTAGCACCACCACCTTGGCCATCCCTTCTTCATCATCCCTCACCTCATCTTCGACCTCGGTTCACTCCAAGAACTCCTCCTCTTCCGCAGAAACCATCATCCAAGTCCAGATTCAAGAACAAATCCACCTCCGCTCCAACACTTCGAACGCTACCTTGACGCGCCAAAAGTTCTTGGACGACAAGGAGGCCCGCAAGGCTACCCTTCGAGTAGGCACAAGTGATACCATCCAAGCCAGGGCTCAGAGCTTGCAGTCCCCCTCGTATAACTCACGGGCATCGGCTGAGAGCTTGAGAAAGGTCTCGCCTACAAAGCCTGAGGCTGAGAAGCCCCCTGTCAAGTCGCTGATTAACTTCTGGGAGCAGGTCAATGATCCTCTGGAGGTCTAGACATCTCGTTCGTTTATGGGTTTCTGCTTCATCTTCCTATCTTCTTTCTAGATTCAGCTCTTCTTTTGACGACCCTTTACTGTTACCTTTCCTTTCTTCCCCTATCTACCTCCATCCTCTACTTAATAAACCCTTCCGCCTAATATTTTGTTGGTCATTTCTGCTTGAGGTCTCCACACCATTCGCAGTTGAACCAATCCTTCCTTCCTTTTATCCTCCACACTCCTTGCCCTTCCTTTGACTCTCAGTCACCCTTTCTACTCTCTACAAATAATACATAGTTTTCGTACGCGTTGGCGAATAAACGTTTCTTAAAATTACGCTCCTGTTTATTATGCATGTAAAGTATGGGCTATAGAAAAAAGTAGTGTTTACAAAGTTTGTATATGTTTTCCAGGTGAAAGACAAGTGAGAGGGCATCTTATTGCGACTTTCTCTCGAGCTCGTCCAGGCTAACACCAGCAGGCAAGGGGATAAGGCGAGAAGTAGACTTCTTGTACAGCTTGTAGGCGGGGTACTTCTCCGAGGTGATGTACTCAGTCAACGTGGTGGAGACCTGGAACAGAAACGTCAGGGCGACAACTCCGACGATTGCAGGGTTGAACCAAGCGTTATAGGTCGGATATCCGGCCGCAACCGAGAACAGGTAGACGGACCTATCATCCGAAAGAGAAGAATCACACGATTAATTAAAAATCTAAAATGGTATCTATCCCACGACATCGTTGAGAATCTTCTGGAGAGCAAAGAGAGAGGGACGGGATGACCTTCCTTTCGATCGTGAGAGCGCTACACAAAAAAAAAAAAAAAAAAAATACAGCAAGAAAAAACTTTCTTACCACCAGACGGTCATTTCACCAAAATAGTTGGGATGGCGCGAGTACTTGAACAAGCCCTGGGTTAAGAACCCTCTCTTGTTATCGCCCGTGAGAACCTCCTTCTTTTCAATCGCAATCCTCTTGCCCTCCTGGAACGCCCACTGCTGTCCATCAGCCACGGTCTCCAAAGCCAAACCTCCAATGAACAAAAGCGTCGCGAGGGCATCGATCCAGTTCAGAGGAGTATTCTCAATAAGCGCCGCCTTCCAGCTGAAGTAAACAGGGGCGACAATAAAGACCAGGAGCAAGTTCTGGAAAAGACAGGTGAATCCAATGTTGAAGAAGAACCAGAGGAAGCCGGGGATCTTGGAAACAATATAGGGCCAGCGATAATCCTCGCTATCGAATCCATAGCCTCCTTTGCGGTAAAAGTTGTAAGTCAGTCGGATTGCCCAGACAGAGATCAAGAAGGCAGCGATGTAGAGGCGAGGGACGTATTTGAAGGCGACGTCCTGTGGCCAGTAGAGCATATCCCGAACGGCATAGTGGATGGCGTACACGGCTGGAATAATCGACCACAGCTTATCAACCTACAGGTTTTTTTTGTTTCCCATCAAAGACAAAAGTTGTTGTTTTAGCGTGCTGACAATCGTATGCCTGACGTGTATTATTGACAGAAGTTGATAGAGAGTTTTTACCCAAGAGTGTGTGCCGTTGGCCATGGTGAGGAACCAGCAGATAAAGGCGCAGAGGAGGGAGGTTCTGATGGCAAACTCAAGGGGGTCAGCTCCGGCATGAAAGTGGAGGAGATTGTAGATGAAGTTTGAGTTGTCGGAGGTGGGGATGGAAAGGTCGTTGTAGATGTCTGTGAGGAGCTTGGCGACGACTTCCCAGCCATAAACATCGACAAAGGTGGGCATCATGCTGCGAGAAAGGAGGAGGGGAGGAGAAGGTGTGGTGAATGAGCAACAGAAGAGGGAAAGGTCTTTTGGCTTTCAATGATAAAGGGCGAAAGGGAGCGATATCAGTCGTGATTTGCTTGCATTGTCAGCAACCAATGAGAATGCGTCTAGCTTGACTCGCTGGTCAACAGCTGTTTTTTGTGGCCCCTTTCTTCGTGACATTCCGTAGACCTCCCTCTTCTTCTCTCCTCTCCACTCCAACCAGCAACAAAACGCCCACACTCACAAAGACGACATCGACACAGGACGCACGGCAACTACACGCACATCGCAATGTCATACTACAGCAGCAATCGCAACACCCCGGGCAGAGCCCCTAACCCAGCCCACAACCGTCAAGTCCCAAACAACATTCGTGTCAACGGAACCAACGGAATCTATTGCTATGGATGCCAACAGACAAAGCCTCGCCTTGCCTTCAGCGAGACTCAAATCAAGAAGGCCGCCAGCAGTACCCCGAAGAAGACTCATCAGCCCATATGCAAAAACTGTAAGTCCATGCATGCGCTTTACTCCTTCTTGACCTAGCTTCAGTGGTCCTGACGTCAGCGGGGAAGTTGCCTATTTTTCAAAGACAAAGGAGGGTTAATGTTTCAACGCCAACTGAATAAAGATCTCGGAGGGATAGCAACTAACACTCTTGTTGTTTTTGTGGATTTTGTCATAGGCACTCCCACCCAGCCTACGTCCTTGAAGTGTTTGAGATGCGCAATGACTTTGCCCATGGATAGCTTCTCGAAGGTAACGAAGCCCTTTCAATAGGGAAAAGGCTATCTTAACCATCCTATTCGTTGTCAAAGTGCATAATTAACTCGTGCAATTTTTGTCATTACTACTGTTCAACAAATATTAGACTCAACGCAAGAACCAGGAAATGGCTACCTGCATGGACTGCCGGAAGAACATTGAGGATGATGACTCTGAGGATGACTATGAAATCGAGAACGATCCAGAGTATTATGACGATGATATCCAGGATGTCCTGTAAACGGCCGACGAAGGTGCGCCAGCCTAGGAAGTGCTCATAGGCATCAACACATTGGACTCAGTACTCAGGATTGGCTTGACAAGAAACAAGTTCAAGCGACCACCTCTCCAACTTTTTTTCTTTTCTTTTCTTTTCTTTTCTTTTCTTTTCTTTTCTTTTTGTATTGCTTCACTCTGGTTTCTTCTTCCTTGCTTCTTTCTGTGAATAAAACCGTCGTCGGAGTCAAAACAGTCTTTGTTCACCAGATGTCATGTGATAGATAGCCAAGCCACCGCTTCCAATTTCCGCCCTACACATCCACCCTTCTCTTTTTGATTTTTTTTTTGTTCTGCTTCAGTTTGTTACTCACCCCCTCCCCAGCAACCCAGCTGCCTCACTCTACACATTCAGTACAGCAATGGCCACCAACAGCATCAAGATCTTTGCCGGCAACTCCCACGTCGAGTTGGCCAAGCTCGTTGCTCGGTAAGACGCGGAGCCCCACTCCTTGCACTTCTTGCTGCTCCGCTGACTCACAAGTTTTGGCATGGAAGAAAAAAATTCGATTCGATTTCGAACTAGGCCGAGGGCGAAAGCATTTACAACTCCTGCAGCGAGTGTAAATGAAGAGGGTAATCACAAAAGAAACGTTGCTTCTGACGAGCGGTAGCCGCCTCTCTTGGAATCAGTTCCCTATACACGGACATTCGTCATCGATGCAACTTTCGCCTCACACCATATGAATCCCACTCAACCGCCCTCCCGTGCAAAACACTCATACATACGACACACATACAACACTGGAGCGTCACGGATTGTTTCGGCGCCCGTCAAACATGGTCGCTCATTTTTTGCCGCTTCTGGTCACTCCGAAGGATTCATTTCTAAACCTTCGTCGGGGTATTTCAAAGGAGCTGCAGCACTAACCAGTCTTGCACATGCTTCTGTGTGTCCGCATGGTTAATAGCCGTCTCGGAACCGAGCTTTCCAAGGCTGTTGTGCTCAAGTACTCGAACCAGGAGACCTCGGTCACCATCGGAGAGTCTGTCCGTGACGAGGATGTCTACATTATCCAGTCCGGATGCGGAGAGATCAACGACAACCTCATGGAGCTCCTCATCATGATCAACGCCTGCAAGACCGCCTCTGCTCGTCGCATTACTGCCATCATTCCCTGCTTCCCCTACGCACGTCAGGACAAGAAGGACAAGTCCCGTGCTCCTATCACCGCAAAGTTGATCGCCAACATGTTGACCGTTGCCGGTGCCAACCACGTCATCACCATGGATCTTCACGCCTCCCAGATCCAGGGTTTCTTCAACGTCCCCGTCGATAACCTCTACGCGGAGCCCAGCACATTGAAGTACATTGTCGAGAACATCCCTGATTACAAGAACGGCGTCATTGTCTCGCCCGATGCCGGTGGAGCCAAGAGGTAATTAACCTGAACAATACCCTGTCAATGCGCATGACTATTCATGTCCATAGCGCCCTTTTTTGTGCACCTCCTCGTCAGATCATGATATGTCTCAAAAAGAAAAAAAAGTCGAAAGTGCTTTGTCGCCCAATGAAGAATGAATCATCGAAGCACGTTTCCTTCGGATTGCCCAATTCTAACAATTCTTTCAACTTTTACAACCATCGACCCCCTCATTTAGAGCTACTTCTATTGCTGATCGCCTCGACTTGGACTTTGCTTTGATCCATAAGGAGCGTAAGAAGGCCAACGAGGTTTCCAGGATGGTGTTGGTCGGAGATGTCAAGGGAAAGATCGCCATCTTGGTCGATGATATGGCTGATACTTGCGGTACCCTTGGATTGGCCGCCAAGACCCTTGCTGAGAACGGTGCCATCAAGGTCTATGCCATTGTCACGCATGGTATTCTCTGTGGCAAGGCTGTCCAGGTCATTAACGACAGTGTTTTGACCAAGGTTGTTGTTACCAACACTGTTCCCCACGAGGACAAGAAGAAGGTCTGCCCCAAGTTGGATACCATTGACATTTCTGGCACATTGGCCGAGGCCATCCGTCGTACACATAACGGCGAGTCTGTCAGTTTCCTTTTTAACAATGCCGTTTAATCAACGACTCTCATATTTCTTTTGCATTTTTTCCTCCTCTCTCTTTCCCCACTCATCTCTCTCTTTTTTTTCTTTTGCCGCACGTACTCACAAACCCCACATCATTACTCATAATTTTGTTAGAGAATAAAAACAAACAAAAAAAAACAAATTCCTTGCATGCAAAGAAAAACATCAAGCCACCAATGAGAGGTGCCTTTTCATTTCTCCCTTTCACTCGGCGAAGTAGCAGACACACACCCTCACAAGCACCATTGAGAGTGGGCCTTGCATGACGATCACTCACTATGTGGGTCAACCTGCAATTTATCCACAGTTAATCGTTCCATTGAAACTGCCGATCTGGAGAAAGAGGCGTTACGAAAGTGGGTGGACAGAGGACGCGAGGCTGAGCAAGAGACGCAAGATGGAAGATCAATTGAAGACTATTATCGACACCTTGATAGAGCGCCGCGAGGAACCAAAGGCCCACTACGTACATCGTCATTAGAAGCAGCCAATTTTTGACACGGGAAGCATTAACAGTGTCTTTTCTTTCATGTTGGATATTGGCGTGAATATGCTCTGTTAGGTATGGTCCTTCAGCTCGCCAACCCAGTCTGGCACCTAGAAGAACTCTAATTCCAGGAAATGTTTATTTTTGTCTCTCCCATTCTCCACATAAAACACACCCTATTCGCTGACAGACAGCTTCCTCCCATTTCCCAGCCCTCACTCCCAGTGCAATCGTCCCAGTTGTTCCCTTCCATCCCAACACAACAACCACCCTCCTTATCACCCCTTTTCTCATCCCACTTTGTTTCTGTTTTCCTCCCCCCCGAGGAGTTCACCCTTCGGTCATTCTTTTCACGCTGGCTTCTTCTTCCGATTCTCCCTCTCTCTCGCATTCGAGTCTCCTCATCCAGCAGGCTGACACTCCATCGAACGCACTTTATCCACACGACTCCTCGTCTCTTGACAACAGCGACAACATTAGCACCCTCACGCATAGTCAGGAGAGTGCAGACATCACAAGCGACGCTGTGAGAGGCCAGAACGACAGTATCACCGAGCAAGAGGACCAAGGTCAAGACTTTTTAGTAGAATCAGCCCTTCGGAGGAGAAGAATTCCTTCTACCGCCACTCAAGGAACCAACAACGTCAACTCGAGCTCCAACAACGACACACTCGACGAAGCAATTGAAGGTCATCGTCGCACAGAGTCCTCTACGCACCAGCCAACATCGTCATTATCCAGTCTTTCACCAACAGGAGAGCAAGCTCCAGATATGTTCAAGCGACAGGAGAACCATAGTGGGATCCCTTTCCATACCCAGGGACTGAACGACCAGGATGACAAGTATTCCAAGACGCCTATTGGTGTCCAATCGAAGGTATAAAGCTGTTTACAATGAATTCAATTGGACCATAAAAATCTGGACCCCTTGTTACACATCTCTAACACTCTCGATTGGTTTTTCGATGGGATGTCAGACTCGGTTCCGTTTTCGGTTGCGACATGGAGTGATTGCTCTCGGGATGCTCGCATTGACCTACTTGGTTATCAGCCCGAGCTCAGAGACTGATAACAGCACTTTGAAGTCTTTGAAGGGTTAGTCGTCCTGTCTTCACTTCATGATCGTATTGGACCAGTTGAGGAATGTCGAATGGCTTTACAGGGATAAAGTACTAACCTAGCCATTGCCTAATAGATCGTGTCCAGATTGGAAACAGGAAACCTTCGGACAACACTCCTGTGAAGCCATCGGAGGCGAACCCTGTATTGTGGGAGGAGCGCAAGGATAAAGTGAAGGAGGCTTTCCTTCATTCATGGAAAGCATATCGCAGGGATGCCTGGGGCAAGGACGAGTACCACCCCATTGCAAAGTACGGCAGCAACATGGTCAGTCAGGGCCAGGGATTCACCATTGTCGATTCACTCGACACCATTCTGATGATGGGACTCAAGGACGAATTTGAGGAGGCCAAGGCATGGGTCCGCGACGAATTAACGTTTGATCAGGAGGGCGAAGTCAACTTGTTCGAGACGACCATTCGTGTTTTGGGAGGACTTTTGAGTGCCTATGACCAATCAGGACACGACCAGGTATTTTTAACAAAGGCCGTGGATCTTGCTGATCGTCTGATGGGCGCCTTCAAGACTGCGAGCGGGATCCCTTATGCCAGCGTCCATTTGAAGGAAGGACGCGGAGTTCCAGGACACGAGGGCGGTATAAGTTCGACATCAGAAGTGTCGACATTGCAGCTGGAATTCAAGTATCTCTCATATCTGACTGGAGATGACAAGTACTGGCGTGTGGCGGAGGATGTTATTCTGAAGATGAAAGATCTCGAGAGTGTCGATGGACTGGTCCCGATCTTCATCAACCCTTACAATGGACAGTTCCACGGATCTGAGATCCGCCTTGGTTCTCGAGGCGACAGTTATTATGGTAAGTGTTGGTATGTTTGTGGCAAATGTGGTAACGTTATCATATACATTCCTAATACTTTTCTGTGTCTTGTCCATGTAGAATACTTGATCAAGCAGTACATTCAGACCTCAAAGAAGGAGCATGTGTACAAGGAGATGTTTGACCATGCGATGACAGGAGTCAAGAAGCATCTTCTGGGCAGGAGCATCCCCAACAATTTGCTCTTTGTCGGAGAAATCTCAAAGTACTCACCCCAGGATCTCAGCCCCAAGATGGATCACCTTGTCTGCTTCCTCGGTGGAACCATGGCCCTCTCCTCAACTGAAGGAAAGACTCTCAACAAGACGACTTTCCCGCGATCAAGATTCTCAAAGGTCGAGGAGGAGGATTTCAAGATTGGCGAGGAATTGACGAAGGCTTGCTACGAGATGTACCGCCAAACGGAGACGGGATTGGCGCCCGAGATTGTGTATTGGGTCCACAAGGAGCAGCAGCTGAGTGGGCGACAGGAGCCCGAGCACTTTGAAGGATCAGACTTTATTATCAACAACCGTGATGGGCACAACTGGCTTCGCCCCGAGACAGTCGAGAGTTTGTTCTACATGTGGCGGTTCACTGGCGACGAAAAGTATCGGTAAGTGGCTATTGTATCCGGTTGCTGCATTTACGGCTATGTCTTGCACTCAACATTGAATCTCTTTGACTAAATATATCTCCCGCGCTTGAAAAAAATAATAGTGAATGGGGCTGGAAGATTTTTGAGGCGATTGAAAAGTACAGCAAGGTGCAGTCAGGTGGATACAGTTCGATCCACGACATTCGACGCAAGGACAGCATCGACTTTTCGGACAAGATGGAGACATTTTTCCTCGCTGAGACTCTCAAGTATTTGTACTTGCTCTTTGGATCCACCGAAGTTTTCCCCTTGGACAAGTATGTCTTCAACACCGAGGCACATCCATTCCCTGTCTTTGACCCTCCAAAGTCACTGCTCGAGCGCCCTGTTGCCAAGGCCGAGCCGGAGCCTGAGAGCAAGGCCAATGTTGTAGAGGATGAGAAGGAGTTGCATCAGGAGGAGCGACCACATGGTAATCATCACGAGCAGGATGCTGTTGATGAGGCGTTGGAGGAGTTGGCTGTGGAGGGGTTGGATGTTGAGGTTGAGGAGGTGCCTGAGGTTGAGGTTGATTATGAAGAGTCTTTGGAGGAGACTTCTGCTGATGCTGCTGAGCGGGAGACTGTGGCCGAGATTATTAGCGAAGAGACAGCTGATGTCTAAGTAAAGATGTGCATGGTTTTCTGGAAACAAATACACACACACAGCGACATTTGAAGTGCATGTTCTTCATTTTGGTGGCACTTTTCGTGCAAAAAAGGTTCCCTTGACATGATTGGCTGGCGACATTCTGTCTGCCTGTCTGCCTCCAAAAGTGCGAGTGCGGACGGGCGTTTGACTTTGCTCTTTCTTTCCAGACGCAAACAAACAAATAAAGCAACGAACCTTCCGCGCCATGGGACGACCCGCCAAGAGCCAGGACACACCTTCATTCAAGTACGAACTCACTTACAGCAGGCTTCTCGAGAAAAAGAAAAGAAAAAAGACATTCGCAGGAGGAGAGAGTGAACAACCAAAGCTGACATTCGTTGCGTTTTGTTACATTCTAGGACTCGGCCTATCAGTTCGTACTTCTTCTCGTCGTCCAAGTACGCATTCACACTGAGAAAGAATGTAGTTGTTTCGAACTAACAAAGGAATGGAATGGGAATCAAGACTGACCGAAAAAGCACTTACTTCGCTGAATACTCTAGACCTGCCGTGAACCCACCCCCATCACCTCCTCACCATCTCGGACCCTCCTCTCAGCATTCACAGCCAGAAATGGAGGAAGAGGCAGTTAGCAGCTGCACGGACGCCACCATTTCCAGTACTCCCAAGAACACGAAGACGATAACGACCACTATTACAGCGTCCGATTCGTTTGACACAATGGGGCATGATACGGCGGCTGACCCGTTCTTTGACGACCCTTTCAACGACCCCTTCAACTCACACAACGAAAATATCTGGGATACCCCTGTTAGAGGAGGAGATGAAAAACTCGACGACACTCACACTACTGATAGCGGCGACAACACGGCTGTTAATTTGGAGAGTCTTCTTGATGGATCACAGGCAGAGAGGGCTTTGAAATCAATGGACAACATGGACCTAATGGCTTTAAAACCTTCATCAGAGTCCCTCAGACGACTCACTCTCTCCCCAAGGAAACCCAAACGAGCCTTTGATCTCGGAAACGGATCGCCCGGGTCGAAACCAATGCTGACGTTTTCGGAGAAACTTGCGACTGAGATGGGGAAGACGGTACCGGGTGATAGATATAACTTTGGAGGCAACAGCAGCAGTAGCCCGCTCAAGCCAAAGAAGCCTCGGTTTGGGACCAAGGAGGAGAGCACTGTTGTTGAGGAGGATATCATTGTGGGCGGATCGGATTCGGAATCGGACGCTGACTGGGATGACAAGGATGTGTTTGTGTCGGCGCAATCAACACGTAAGTCTCGTGGCAGTATGTATTTTTGTCCGCATGGCCAGAAATGGCGAGAGGAAGAGACCTGCCACTGAAGCGAACCGTTTGTTATCACTGCTTTCTTCTTATAGCGCAGAGAATGCCAGAAGAGAATAATGAGCCACCGATACCAAAGGATGTTGTTCTTTCAGACGACGACTTTCCTCCTCGCGGCAAATTTGTCAGCAAGGCGCCTGTTGAACTGGTTGAATCGGACTCAGATCTGGACGACGAGCTTTTCTCTGGAATGAACTCTGCACCAGCCAACCCGACACCACCTTCAACAACGCCACCCGTGGGCGCTTCCGGCGACGACGTGTTTGGTTCCGACATTGAGCTCTCTGACGGTGATGATGCGGATACGGATGCAACAGGGACTAGTGCAGGAACGAGGAGGAGTACGCGAGCTAGAGCAAGGACTGCGGCAAGCAACGGACCTGCATCAATGTCGAGGAACGGGCGAGCACGTCGAAATTCTAGTCCGGATCCGCTTCTGGATTTCGACGAGCCGATCCGACCCTACAAACCTAGGAAACCGGCCAAGAAGACGCTCTTTTCACTCGACTCTTTACTCAAGGAGAAGGAGCGGAAAGACCGTATTGGCTACGATCTGCAGGCCATCAAGAGCCAGGTCTCCCTGGACGGCAAGGTAGATACTGTTAACCACTCTTGCATGTGAGGGATCTCTGTCGTATGTATTGACTCCTAACGTGTTGATTACCTACCTATGACTGAAACGCAACTATAGCTGTTGGAAGATTTTGGCGAATTCGAAGAAATGACATTTTCTCCACAGTCAATTCCAAAGGGAGTTTTGACAGAGCAAGACGAAGAGAATCTTAAAGTAATTATCAAGAATACCCAAGCCGAGATTGTCGAGGATATTGCCGAGTTTTTCATCCGCTGGCCCCAGGTATGACTTTGAGGACGCGTCAAATGTTGGGCAGTGGCTACTTTCTATGAAAGGGTGCGCGAGATGCTAAATATTTGTGTACTTTTTTTTTTTTTCGATTTTTCGTCATAGACATTGGTAGTGGACCCATTAGAGATGCACTTGACGGACGCTGACAGCGTGGATCATATTGTTCAGAGGGTTATCAAGCACACGCGGACAGAGGTTCAAAGGACCCAGTTTTTGACGTCGCCGTTCTTGACCATTCTCTGTTCGTCACCCTGGACCATGCCTCGCTCACTGTTCCGTTGGCTGGTGCATGTTGTTGCGGCTGAACAAAACCAACCGGTGACACTGTCGGTATTTTCGATCATTCAGAAGGTTCTTTCGCAGGTACGGCATCCAGATTGTTCGTCTTGAGATGTTTAAGAGGTTGCTTAAAAAGTTGATGTTTGAAACTAACGCGTTCTACTTCATGGGCTCGATAGCAAACATCTCTTCTCGGAGTGGACCATCAGGATTTAGTGCGCATTTTCCGCATGTATGGGGCTAAAGAGGAATTCCTTGATGAAGACTGGCAGGTCACTCCGGTCACCAGCGAAACCAAAAATGAGCGGACCATTGGTATGCGGAGCAAATTCAAGGTCTCGTGTATGCACAAGACTCAATCATGGTGTGAATTGAGGTCTAACAAGCAGCTGCTCTCTTGTCACTAGAACCCGATACGCCCAAGTTCCCGAGACAAAACTTGAGGGCAGTAATCAAGTTGGTCAACCTGACCGCGACTCTTGAGTAAGTTCTTGATATTTTCAAGCTCAATTGTCGTTTGTCGTTAGATACACTGTTTCTTGTCCGCTCTAACCCTTTGTTTGCATTGTCGATATCGAATGATAGCCCGCAGTTCTACGATCTTGCGGAGATCCGGAAAATTATTAGCATACTTCTTAGAATGACGACTGACCCCATTATTGGCGACATCAAATCCTTGCTTGGTGCTACGTTGGCAGCTTTGCTGGACGCGATCCCTGCTCATTCCTGGGATGCCGAGGTATGTGCGGCTTATTTACATTGTAACGTGACATTCGTTTCTTGAACTCCCGTCGTCAACCCTATCTCTGACAGCTTCATTTATTTTCTGGATTAGCGCAATCGAATTTGCCAAGAGACTCTGAAGTCGTTAGGAACATCCTCAGCCTTCTTGCTTCTGACGCTTCACCAACTGCCCGCACTCTCAGATAGGATAGCACTTATTCGCAGAAGTATAGCATTGGCCTACTTGAACCAACCCCCTATCCCTCCAGGCGAGGTAGCACCCGATCTTAACGAGCTTCACCGCGCGCTTTTTGTAGACCAATTGCTTCAGGCGGACCGCAAGGCGGACTTTAAGGCTGTGGGTCGGCGGTTCCAGATCTATGGATACTGTTTGGATGATGAAGAGATCCTTGCTGGGTATGGTTATAAACAGCTGGAGCCCCTTTCTAGAAAGCTGATTATAACCCATGGGCGCATTTGTAAGTATTTGTTGCTGTTTTTTTTGTTCTTTGTTCTTAATGACAGATGTGGATGTGTAAGCAATGTTACTCCTTTGAAAGTGTATACCATTTTTTAACAACGCTTTTTTTGTATGTCCGTAATTTTTCACAGTCGATTCAGGAGCTGCCTTCATGGACCGCACAAACGTAAACGAAACGCGACGCTTTTTTTATATTTTTTGGTTGAAAGGGGAGCAGCAATGGAAGGAGATGAAATGACTTGACGATAACTGACCTCTTTTTCGTGTACCTTGCAAAACGTTTAGGCCAAAGAGTTGATCCAGCGCATTTTTGTTAGAACGGAGCTGGTTCTCCAACAACTGAAAGGTAAGTACCTCTGTTATTTTACCAAACGCCACATGTTCAATTTTTTCATACACTTCTATGGCGGGCACGGCGCGAGTTAACAATCCCCTTTCCTCTCTCACAAACAATAGATTCGAGCTCGGTTCAGAGTACACTAGGTTTCACTATTCAGAAACCGTCCACGACCTTTCAATAATAAAAGGCGCAAATTGCATTGATAGTACATGCTTCGTTACTATTGTTGCTGTTGCTTTTGTTGAAGATGAAAAACTTTCCTTTGCTTTATTTAGTTGACCTTTTGAGTACGAACGAGAAACTGTTAAAGAACAAGAGGGAGTGTGGTTGATTTTGAGTATGTACATCGAGTAAAGGGAGGCGTAGTAGGTCGAAGAGCTGGAAAGAAATCCCGCTTCGCGTATTGTGTTGAGAGATTTTGTCCTTGAACACAATTGCTGTATGAGGCTGAGCGTGTAGTGGTGAAGGTGAAGCCACCGCTGAGCTATACTCTGCGCAGAACATCCTCCTCAGTGTTCAATTGCCCGTGGTTATGAGTAGCAGTGGTAGTGGATTGCAAGGGGTTGGGTCCAGATCCGCCAGGAGGGGCAGCAACAGAGGCAGCGGCAGGGGTCATAGCAGCGGGAGCAGAGGAAGGGACTATAATAGAGGAGGATCTGTTGGGTTGTTGACGTTGTGGTCGGGGTTGCGAACTCGATCCTGCACTAGACGCCGTTGATCCCGATCCTGAAGATGATGCATTGGAGGGAGAGTGGTGGTGGGGCAAAGGGCGAGTAGAGAAGCGGTTGTTGGAACTGTCTCCTCGGGTATCAGTGCCAGATGAGCCCAGCAGAGGGGTCGACTCCGAAGGAGTGCATATATCCCGTTTGCAGATTGGGCACTAGTTGTTTTGCATATTTTGGTGGCAAAATAAAAGAACCTGCGATTTAGTGGCGCATTCTTGATGATGTGAAAAGAGGAAAAGAGCACGCAACAAGGAATGCATGTATAGGAGACTTACAAATTTCTTGCGCTTGGTGAGCCAGCTGTCGATGCAGACAACGTGGTACTCATGTCGGCAAGGAAGAACACGCAACTCGGCCTCGTCTTCAAACTCTTCGAGACAGATGACACATTCAACGGGATCATTCTCCTTAAGCTTGGAGTTGAAAAAGACCTTGATGGGGAGGTTGCTGACCACCTCTGCAGGAGCCAGATCGGCAGCAAGCTGTTGACTGAGCCGAATTCTCCATACCAAGTATAAGAAGAGCACCACGAATGCAGGTGACAGGATAATAAAAATGATCACGTCCAGCACCGGCCTAGAAAAACCAGAACAAATAATGCAAATGCAATGTTGTGCAGAGGCAGGGGGAGGAGAGCAAGAAAAAAAAGGGGGGGGGGATACGATAGTCAGTTCATGCTTCCGGCTTGTTTGCATTGAGCTTGCTGTCGAACCTTGAACAAAAGGGCTCAAAAACGACACACAGCTTATTGTTTGTTTTACCAATTCATGTCATCCGGAGTCAACTTGACTGGGAATGCGCGTCCGAGCTCCATGCCGAAGTAGCGCAGCTCTCGATAATGATTCTGCGTAATGAATACAGCTGGGATGTGGATGTCTGAGGTGTCATCTATTGAGGCAGAAAAAGGACCCGAACAAGAGGTTCAAAATGGATTGTATCATTAAGATATGCAGATGATAGGGAAAAAGGGGGTTGTGCCTCTTGACGCAGTAAACACCAAAATAAGTTGATGGATAAGAGAGATTCACCAGGGAACGGTTAAACAGCATAGACATGGAGGGAGTAACCGTGACAGAGAACAGAGTAACACAAAAGTGAGGGCATAAAAAAGATCCCATAGACCATAGGAGACAGCTGAGTTGCGCGAAAAAAAGACAAAGAAAGAATCGTCTTGAATCAACAATATCCAGTTGTTCACAGACAAACGAATTGAACGAACAGATGGTCGGACGAGGGGTGGCGTGCCCAAAAATACGATTCCAATCCGCATGATTCCCGTCTCTATCTCCCACACTCTTGCGGATGATGTTGTTGTTGTCTTGGTGCCAATTCTCCTACATCTCCCGTTTTGTCTTATACCCGGCCACACATGAACCAAAAAGGCAGCGGTATGAGCTCATACACAAAATACAGCAACGAGTTCCCATACAAGAACAAGGAGGGAGAGAACGTCCGTTATATATGGAGGTATTTGTCGGTATCGCAAGTGTGCACAAGTGCACGAGACAAAGAAAACAAAAAAGGGAAGGCGAAGGGAGTGAGAGAAGACGACATATTTCCCCTCACTCGCTCACTCGCAGTAGTCAGATGGATGTGGGCACAAACCAACAACAATAACTAATACATCGAAAATATCCCCTCCTCTTCAAAAGCATCCATGTCGTTCGCCAGTTTAAAGAGATAGCCTACCAGCAGAGTACATGACAAGAAGACCGCCCTTGACATTGTCTCCGACAATGACGGCGCTGGCTCCCGAAGCCTCCATATGTCTCACTTTGTCGACAAAGCTGCAGTCACCGCCACGTTCGACCAGGGCGACCCAGGGAAGGTCGTTGCTGGGCGCATTGACAGGGCGACAGGCTGTGCGCTCCTCGTCTGGATCTAGCGTCTCGATGGCGATTAGGTTTAAGAAGATGCCATCTTCTGGGATCCTGGGGCCAAATGCAGCTGTTCTGTCGATATACGAGTCATTTGTTGCCTATGTGGTAAGGATTGCGTGGATAGAATATTGTGGTGAGATTCGAGTATCTGTCTGGCAGTGTGGCGTATGATCGTGCAATGTGTGCGAAAGACGTGTGAAGGTGTATTTACGACGACAATGATGGAGGCTTCTGTTGACTGGAAGGATGCGATGAGCCAGAGAACGATGCACATCCAGTTGAGGAAGAGGAGGAAGGATGCACCTCGGAACATGAAGAATCCTGAGTGATGTGTGAGGGAGAGGGAGAGGTGGAAAGGGAAGAGGGCTGTGGAGGTAGCGTAAAGAAGAAGGAAAGGGGAGGAAGGTTAGGATTAGCGCTTAAAGGATAAGAGGAAAAGGAAAGGAAAGAAGGAAGGAGGTAGAGAAGAAGAAGAGGAAGAGGAAGTGGAAGTGAGAGTCGAGGAGGAGGAGGTGTGAGGAGTGGAAAAAGGTAAAAAAAAGTGCTGGGCAAAGCCAAGTCAAGGGAAAGGGCCACCAAGGCCTCTAAACGTCACATGATCCCTTGAAGAAAGGCTGAACAAGCGGCTTTGAAAAATAAAAATCGAGACCCTTCTCAACCCATCAGCGTCCTTTCTTCATTCTTTTCAACAACCACACTGAACGCGATTCAGGGCTCGATCGTCCATCTCCTCAGCTCCCCCGCAACCACCAGGATCGACTCCACCATAAGAGAGAGCGCACTCTTTTTCTCTCCCTCTCTTTCTTAAAACGCGCACCCCGCTGTATTTCTATCGCCAACTCGCATCAGGAAGCTAATCAACAAAGAAACGCACTCAGAACAACAGCAACAACAAGTTGATTCATAATGTCTGATTCAGAACACACTCCCATCCCTACAGAGGACCCCACCCAGGGCCTCTTTGGCTCCGACGATGACGAAGACGATGATGACCATCACCAACAGCGTAGCCAGGAGAACGGAAACCGCTCGCCAGCTCAGCGTCGTCGTGGATCAGACTCCGAGGCAAGCGATCGCGACTCGATCGGCAAGCGCCCCCGTCGACGAAACAACCGCTTCAGCGACGATGAAGACGACAGCGCCGATGGAGACGAGGAGCCTGCCAGAGATCACCATCAGTCTGGAGGCAAGGTCAGACGCACTGCTGGAAGGATCGAGGACGACGACGAGGACGAGGAGGAAGAGGATCGACGATCTGACGACGAACGCCGTCCCAAACGCGACAACCTTGGCGATCTCTTCGGAGATGAAGGTAGCGAGAGTGAGGACGACCGTGCCGCCAGAAAAGAATCTCCCAGGAGGTAAAACGATTTGCTACGATGTTACGTTGCAGAGCAAACTTCTGCTATATTATCCGCGCTTCTGACTTCGACGATTTTGCTAATCCTGTGCCAATGTTTCGCTTACAGATCACCTTCAGTAGACGATTTCATTTCGGATGATTCTGACACTCGGTCCAGAAAGAGACGAGAGGGAAAACAAAAAAAGCGCGAGCGCCGCCACGAGGATTCAGAGGATGAGGACCGCGACCTCGAGAACGACTACAGGAGCACCCAGAAGGCCAGGATCGAGAACAGACAGTCTGTTGAGCTCCCCGAGATTGGCGTCCCTTACAGTTCTGAGGGCAAGGTAAGAATATCACCTTTTCGCCAGCTCTTCGACTTATCCGTCAAAGATAATGTTCACATTGAGCATTGACTAAAACTTACCGTGTTTTCCACTTCTAGATCTATATGTCTCGTTTGCCTAATTTTTTAAACGTCGACACCAAACCGTTCAACCCCGACACCTACAGCGACGACCATGAGATGAACGTTGACGAGACAGAGAACAGGCAGAGGATCAAGCTGAAGGTCGAAAACACCATTCGCTGGCGCTTCAAGGATGGCGAAGGCAGCTCACAGGCGCCCATTTCAGAGCGCGAGAAGGAGTCGAACGCCCGCTTTGTCCGTTGGTCAGACGGTAGCATGTCACTGGTCCTCGGCGATGAGATGTTCCAGGTCAACGCTCAGACTCTCCAAAACCAGCATCAGTTCCTCGTCGTCCACCACCCTGCAGCATTGATGTTGCAAACACAGCTGGCCTTTACTGACACATTGAACTTCCAGCCATATACGACCCAGTCTGTCACCCATCGCAAGTTGACTGCTGCTATTGCCGGAAGACACGTTAAGGGAGTCAAAACAAAGATGGTTCCTACCCTCCAGGATCCCAAGGCGGCCAAGGAGAAGATCGAACAGCGCGAGTTGGAACAGGTCCGCAGTCGTCGCAAGGTCGCGACTGAAAGAAGCAAACATGCTCGGGCTACTGGCTTGTCTGTTAGAGGACTCGAGGAGAGCGATGGTGAACACGATGATGAAGATGATGAGGACTTTGAAGCCGAGGAGGAACGCCGACGGGAAAAGATCATGGTAAGGAGCAGCTCAGCTAGTTTCATGTGGAATCGCTGTCGACAGGAACGGGAATCAGCTGTACTAATTGTCATTTGCGTGTCGATTGCCTACTGAAAATAGTCGATCAAGAAGTCCGGATCGGACATGTACAAGTCGAGGGCTAGCAAATACTCAAGCGACGAGGATGTTTCCATGGACGATGAAGACGAGGATGTGGGACGTGGACGCCACAGACGGGGCAGGAGCAGAGATCGTAGCAGAGATCGCAGCGGAGACCGCCGTCGTCGTCGCTCCCCCAGTGCCAGCCGTAGTCGCAGCCGAAGCCGTTCTCCTAGCCGCAGCCGCAGCCGTAGCCCTGTTCGTCGCCGCAAGGGTGGCCGCGGTCGTAGCTACAGTCGCAGCCCGAGCCGGAGCCCCAGTCGGAGTCGTTCTCGCAGCCGCAGCCACAGTCCTCGCAGACGCCGCAATGCTGACAGCGACAAGGAGCACGATGACGATCGTGTCGACAAGAGGAGGGTTTCGGACGATGATGGTCCGGATGATGATGAGGAGGAGGAGCAGGCTATCCAGAGACGTCCCAAGAAGAGAAGAAACGCCTTGGACAGCGACGATGATTAGGTGGTGGACTGAAAGTCAATGGACAAACTACGCCGTGTATTGCCCCGTCTGTTGAGAACTTGAACTATCGAACGAAAAAATAACCTGTAATAAAAACGACAAAAAAATTTGCACATTGTTTATTCCAAGTCTTGCGCCGTCAAGAGAGCTTCTACACGTCTTTGGCACTCCTGGAGGACGTGAAAGCGGATCAGTTCTATGGCTGGACTCTCGCCAAACTTTTTCTCGGACCCATCTGGCAATATAATGGTCTCAATGGGCAGCACCAGCCTCGAGGTACCTATTATGTAACGTGGTAGTGGATGGTCAGACATGAGTGTATCCTTGCGAGTTTTCTCCTCCACTATCATTCCATCAAACAAAAAAAGTTCCTTACTGGTGATGAAAGCGCCCTCCCAATGGTCGATATCCCTAAGGTTAGGGAACTTGAACTGGACAGGGATCTTTTGTTTTTCGCACACAGCCAGGACAACCTTGAGGATTGTCCCTTGAAGGACGCTGTCCAGAGGTGCTGTCACGACCGACTGTGATTTGCGGTCGAACGCGTAAAAGTTTGAGGATAGACCTTCGTAGAGGTTTTGGGATGCTTCATCGAGAAGGAGGCCCTCGTTCGTGTCCTTGGATAAAGTTGCCTCCAGGGCTGCTCTATCGCGCTGTGAGAGGTATTGAGATGGTAGATAATGGTGTTGGTACATTTTGTCAGGGGCGCTTTGGGAGGAAGAGGGGGGTGAGGTGGAATGAATACCTACCACCCATTGAGAATCTTTGGCGGTGGCGTGATGGCGAGGTGATCCGTGGACTTTGACCTTGCAGCGTCGTTCCTTTGGGACCTTTAATGGCTCAGCATGAGCCAACAATGCCGGTACATGTCCCTATCAATATGACAGACAAAGAGGAACGTTGTAAAAAAACCCCCACCCGCAAATCATCCATACGATACCACCTCGCATCAACATTCGTGAAAACGTCAAGGTGTACCTTGACGTTCCAGGTACAAAGGACAGTAACCTTTGCCTCCGAACCCGCCTCCCCATTCTCCTTCACCGCAAAGTAAGCCCTCAAAGCCTTCCTGACAACATCCGCCACCACAACCTTAAGGCTCCCCGGATCCCGAAACGACGCCAATCCCTCCTTAACATCCAACTCCTCACTCTCTACGTCCACATCCTCCCCCGCCGTAATCCTATCAGATTCCGGGAAATGGATTTGAGAGAGCGAGTTGGCAATACGAGTGACGTGGCCCGAGAAGTCCATGATCCCGAGGCAGGAGAAGGTTCGCATGGCGGTGTAGGCTCCTGGGGGGTAGTCGAGAAGGATGGTGTTGGCGTCTTTGTGGGTCGTCGTGACTATGACGACTGGGCTTGTATCGGTTCCGGTGCCAGTGCTGGGTGGTGTGGGTGGCGACTGGAGCTCAAGGACTGCTAGAGTGTAGGTTTGTGGGTGGGGTACATTCGTTGTCGACATTGTGTTGAGGAATGGAAGAGAATGGTGGTGGAGCGAATGTGTCCTTGTCGAAGCTGCAAACAGAAAGTTCCTTCAAGCGAGCTGGAATGCCAATTAAAGCACAGTCACACGGCAACCGTTAAAAAAAAGTAGGAAAAGGGTCTAAAACAGGCGCCGATTATCTTCTGCATGTCGTAGCTGGGTATTGTTATTATTAAAAGTCTACACTCGCTATGTGTATCTTGGTAGGTATTTGCCGTCGTTTTACCACCTGAGCTCTCCAGTGATAAGTCGCAGAATGATATACGCAACACTGCCCACAAACCGGAAGGCCGACAAGAAGGCAACAGACCACAGCACAAATCCGAGGTATGCCTTGGATCGGGTATCATAGGTGCCTGTCAGGTTAGATCCGGAATACGTGACAACGCTAACCAACAGACCATTAGACGCGCACCAGAGGAGAACCAATCGTGTCCTAAAGGCCTTGTAGTAATCCTCCTGCTTTGTCTTTGCATCCCGCTTCTGCTCAGTCTCCACCGTCTTCTCTCTCAAAGAACCCACAGCCTTCATGTAGGAGTCGTTGATGTCCGTATCCTCTGTGGGGACATCCACCGTGACTTCCCCGCCGGACCCTTCTTTGGAGCTGGACTTGACGGCACCGAGGTCCATGTTGTCGATCGTGTCACCCTTGGTTCCCCAACTCACGTCATGTGTGTTACAGAACGCGTACACATTCAGCACATTCACGTAACTATTGTTGTTATAGTCAAGAGAGTAAGCATACCATTAGTGTTCGTCCTCAAGAAATATAGTCCTTACAGGGTCTGACAAAAAGTACGACTCACCTTGGCATCATGCAGAGATACTGCACAAAACTGGTCACCATATGCCATGGCTCCAAATACAAGACACTTCCAAAGACGTAGAGCCCATAAGTAGAGGCAAGAGACAAGATGACGTTCCTGAAATGCGGCTCATCCAGAACGGCCGATAGCGTGTTGATTCCAGAATCGAGCGCCATTTTGATCCCAAGGTATGTCAACCAAACAGCGCAAAAGGTCATGTACACCATCAAGATGGCGAAGAAGACCATTGCTAACGTATAGAGCACCCTTGACCTAAACAATTGAAAGAAAAGAAACGTCGCGTGTCAACTTTGGACCCCAAGAATACTCACAAGACTTACATTCTCGAAAGGTACTTACCCTGTGGGCCGGTTGCCCATGCTGAGCACAAAGATAGCAATGACAAGGAACTCGTAAAAGTACTTGAGAACGGTAAAAACAATCTTGAAGATATCAGACCGGCCGTTTGGAGCGTTCTCTGGGAAAGTGAGCGAGTTGGCGAGGATGTAGAAAGTGAGGTAAATGTTGCCCTAGAATCATCCAATGCAAAAAGAAAAGAGCATTAGTGCCTATAATAAACGCGTTTGCCATTGTTAGCGGACATATGACCATAGTAACTTACAATTGCAAACCAACTGAAAAAGAGGCTGAGGACATTATAGATGAACTGAAGATGGAAGAGGAATTTTCTAGATAGAAGTGAAAATAGACGAGTGTCAGGCAAAGCCCATCCGACATACCATATCTAAGATTCTAAATACAAACCAGCTGACAAGAGTGATGCCAAGAGGCTCTTACCTCCAGTAGGCATGGTTGCTCTTGTAGATCTTGCCAAAATGAAAGACGGAAAACAGGGCCACAAAGAAAGTTCCGTTGAGCCAGCGACGACGTTGGCTAATCAATTCAGGAACAGTGTCGGGGACATCCGTCTCTGCCCATGCCGCCTTGACATATCGAAGAGTCCATGCATAGTTCCGCTTCGCCACAAGCTCGAAGCACAGAATACGGTCTTCTGCCAGGTACATGTTGGCATCGAAGATTCCCGAATCTGGCGAAGGCTTCTCGCCCTTGAAGTAGCTGACCAAAGGTCCGCTGTCGGGTGTCTCTGGCGATGTCAAAAGTGCCTTGTACCGATACGCCGAGAACGCCCCTGGTAACACTGAAATGTATCCGATGACCGACTCCAATGGTTTGTCCAGGATGTTGTTCTGTTCAGAGAAGGACACAAGGAGCAAAGTCAGTTGTATGAAATTGGTAGCAAGAAGAAAATTGTTGTCATAAGTCGTAGTAACCATTACTTACCATCTTGTACTCAAAGTTCTGAGCTGCGACCAGTGGGTTGAGCAAGTTCTTGGCACCGGCTCCCTTAACCGGCTTAATCTCCCCGCAGGCGCCCGCGACATTGGAGTTGAGATCGAAAGCCTTCCAGAGCTGATAGATGGACGTTGGTCCTGGCCTTGTTCCGACATCCAGCAGAACACAGACACGAGGGTTGATGACAGGTCCAAAGGCGTTAAAGAACCAGCGATGAGAGTTGAGCTTTTTAGCGTTCTTTTCCTTGAGACAGAACATGATTTGCACCGGCACATAGTCGCTCGTTGCGGATGGAGCAATCTTCATCTTTGGGTCGATCGTCACCTGAGTCGTGTACTATTCAAGAAACAATGGTGGTTTTTAACACTTCCACTCAACATCTCATGATGGCATCAGCCTGATCCAAAAGATTAATAAAAGGAGAATATACCTCGTAGACGTGCGCCTGGACCTCTTTGCCATTGACTTCACGCTTGGCGACACCCTCCTGATAGACGCCCATGGCGGCGAGGTAGTTGTAGACCTGCGGGTCACACTTTTTACGCCCATCGGAAACAATGCAGACGACGACCTTCTCCCACGAGCCCTCGCCCCAGGTCTTTGAGCTATTCCTGGAACAGAGGTGACGGATATTCTTCATGATCCCGTGCATAGTCTCTGCAAAGAGGTTCACCCCTTCCTAAAGTGCGGACGTCCATTCATTCAGAAACCGATGAAGGTGGCGTCGGATTAAAAATGAAGAATGGTTCGATAAGGTTATTTTGAGTTTTCCACACATTCACATTCACAAAGAGCAAGAAATACAAACAACATATGAGGAAGTACAGCACACTTACATTGTACATGGTAACAACGATGAACAGCTCCGTCTCTCGGTTCCACATGGCTGGCCGCAAGGTATAGTTTTCTGCCTGGAACAGGTCGGGATCGCAGGTGACAGCCGAGTACCGCATAAACTCCCACTCCTGGCCCTTCTGCTTGGACTGCTTGACAAGGTAGTGAGGGGGCACAGGACACTCGATAACAAGGTTGTCGCTCGTCAGCTCGACGACCTTCTTGGTCTTGTACCGCCTCTCCTGACGCTCGCCAGGGATCAATTGTGGAGGAGGGAGAATAGGCGAGTCAGGGGGAGGGGGGTTGAAATCCTCGAGCTGCACCGAAAACACGGGCTCCTCTGGCTCTGGCTCTGGTTCTTTAGGACGTTTAGGTTGTTGGTGAGGATAGTAAGAGTAGACACCTTCCGTGTCGAGGTCAGGGTTGGAAATGATGGAGGCTCTGGATCTGCGGGACATGACCGAGAGGATGGACTGATGGCGAGCGAGGTTGGAGGGATCACGAATGAAGGATGAGTAGGCTGGAATGTCAAAGTCGGGCAGACCTCCTCCAGGGGTAGTGGAGCTTTCTGAGCTAAGCTGGTTGACCTCTGGGGAGTAAGAGGCGAACTGGGCCTGACCCCTCCGAGCCTGCGGGGGGTACCTTGGTTGGGCCATTGGTGTTGTTGTTGATGTAGAAGGTTGTTGGTGGCGGGGAGGGAGGGACTGGAGGGGATGAGTTGCAGAGAGATGAGAGGGTTGGAAGTGTGATGGTGAATGAGCAGTGGAGGAAGGGAGAGAAGAAGGACTAGAGGTACTAGTTTGTGTACGACTGTTGCTGAGATTGTTGTTGCTGTTGTTGTTGTTGTTGTTGTTGTTATACCCGTCGTTTATAAGAGCCGAGCGGTCGCTGTCGGTTCTGTTGTTTGCACGTTTTGGGCGGAGCATTGAGTCGGATTATGGATGTGAGCGAGGAGTGGAGTGGAGAACAATCGAAGATAGAAAGGAAGGGACGGAGAAAGGGAGAGGGGGAACAAGAAGCAAGAAGCAAGAAAAGAACAAAGAACAAAGAAAGTGGCGGGAGAAGAGAAAGGTTAAATAAAGGGGCGGAGGGAAGACTGATTGTCGTCCGAGTGATGAAAAGGTGGTGATGATGTTTCCATGTTCCCCCCCCCCCCTGTTCCTGTTCCAGATATCTAAAGGCTGGAAGGAGACAGGGGTTACAGGAAAAGGCAAAATCAAGCAAAGTCGCAATCAAAATAACAAGGCAGGCTGTTACAAACAGAAGAGCTGCATGTGGGTCAGACAAATGAGAGAAGTGAGATAGATAACACGTAAAAGGATGAATGTGCTTTTCTCTTTTTCTTTTTCTTCTTCTTCTTCTTCTTCTTCTTCTTCTTCTTCTTCTTCTCCTTCTTGCACTTCCTTCAATCCTCTCGTCAACCTTACCTTTGTCTGTAAAAGAGTCTGGTCTCTTAACCATACTCTACATTACCGTCTTTTCTCATTTTCCCAGGCCATCATGACGAACGTTTGTTGTATAACCTCACCTCGAGAGAAAGTGAAGCCATCCGAGGGATGTCCCGCTCCACCTCAACTAAATTCATTAGCGCCAAATGGACTTTTGGGACTCAATTCATCCGCCCATTTTCAAACAACGAACAGCCAATCCATCCTGTAGATTACACTTACCCACATTACTTATACCCAAACAGCACAACAAACAGCCACAGTCCGTCATGAAGAGAGCAATTGCCAATCCACCCGAGAGTGAATTGTGAGCGAATCGATGATGGATAAAGAAAGGACAGCCAAGCCAGACATTCAAGAGCATTCCATTACATTCCCCACCAAAGGTGCTTTTCTTTCTAATTGCTATCGCTCGCGCCACCAAAAACAATAGGTCCTTACCTGGAGTCAAGTACGCCTCTCAGTCCAATTAGAGTCATTGAGCATCCCCTTGTTTTCACATCAAACCGTGCGCCCCTGTTTTACCCCCTGCTTGTCTTCCCCCCTTAGAAATGTCTTAATGCAGCTCTTAGTAATCTTACTTGCCGACAACATAAACAAGTTGAAACACAACGGTTGGCGCTCGGATGCCATTAGTGCCTTGTCAACCCCCCACCTGAAAAAGCCAAATCTTTGCACGCCTTTTAATGTTCTTGACTCACCTGTCCACTCCTTTCGTTAACACGGACCAGTGCTGCCCGAAGAGATCTGTGCTTTGGATGAGAAGAAAAGAACGATGGGCGTCAATCCTTCCGCATTGATAACTGATAATTTATGCCTCGCACTCCATTGACCACGCCAGCATTCCAACACGCAGAGCCCTTCTTCATCAGCCTTTGCTTTAGGTGTAACCGTTTTCCCTCTCTCCCTTTCTTTTGACCACTGACACCCCTCAATCCCTTATTGCCCTCCATGTACCATAAGTGAAGTGTGTCAACTTGCATCAAACCAACGAACAATAATGCGATCGAAAGCAGTATAAATATTATTTTGCTTTCAATTCGCTTTCTTTCCTTCCTTTCCCACAATCTCTACCCTTTACTTCTCGTCCTCGTTAGCACCCTCTTTCTCATCTCAATTCAGGACCGATCCTTCATTCTTGACCATGGACGAAGCTTCAGATAGCATTCGGACCGCCATCGGCGCTTGTGTTGGCCTCATGTCTGGTCTCGTCATCTTGTATTATTTCATTCGACTCTGTCGGAAGATTGCAATGTATCCCAAGAGCGACGCCGAAGAGGTCTTGCCAGCATACCAACCGCCCAGTACCCTCCCGGCGACTGGCAACTTTTATTACCATGGGGATGACGACGAAGACAACCATTATGGCCACCATCCAAGTAGAACTGGCGTCCGTCCCGCCTCCAGAGACTTATTCCGTGCGCTCCGTCGCGGACGAGTACCTACCACCGCTATCACCACCACTATTCCTACCGTACCGGTGCCCGCTTACTCGATATTGTCAAGGAATTCGGGATACTACCACAATGGAGAAATGACACAAGTCGGGGGCTCTTCGACACTACCTCTAGGCACGTTTGTCATTCCGCTTCCTGCCCCTACAAGGCCGCCAAGGTCGGCACGTCGCTTGACTGGATTAGGTCTTTTTGCATCACGTCTCCCAGGTCAAGCCCCGCTGCTGCCTGTCGTCAACAGAAACGCACCCACAGAGACAGGAGCAAGCGAGCCACCGCCACCACCGTACTCGGATGTCTTTGGCGAATCCAGCTCCCAACCATCGTATCACCGGATGAATGGAACTCAGCGGATAGCTCACTCGGCGGTCACTGTCTGACTCGTCGTTGTTCCGTACAATAGTAGTTGACATGAGCGATGTAGTTCTCTCGCTATTTGTAAATAAAAACATCATATCCTTTCAAGCCCTTTCAAGCCGTTGAATTTTGTGTGTGTAAGTGTTCCTTTTCGCTCCTACGCCAAACGCAAAGAAGGCGCGGCGGAACTTTCTCCCCCTACCAAAATGCGATTGCGAGATTTGTGGGAAGCGATGATTTCATTTTTTTCTGCCCAATGCGCATCGCATTGCATTTCAACATGGTGTTGTTGCAATGGAACATCCAACCATGCCCACATGCCTCCCTCGACACGAGGGACAGGCATCCACTAGCTCATCGTGACCACCACCATATCCACCACTACCAGCGCTTCACATCGATTTCGCTCGTAGGATCTTCTTTGCTCCCTTTGAACCCCTTTCTGTTTCTCGGCAACCTTTTTGTCCACTGCACCCCCCTCTACCCCCCCATTTTCTTAAATCCCTCCCATCTGGTTGGACTCGTTCTCCTTTTCTTTGTCCTTTATCTTTATTGTTGCAACTTTTCTACCTTGCTTTCTTACATCTTTTCACTCCTCGAATCACCTCAATCACCACAAATCCAATATTGACATTCACGTCAGCACTCCAAACAAAAAAAGAAAAAGCAGTAGCAAAAAAATGTATCTCGATGTATCGTATCTTCTTGTAGTGGTCTTTTCTTTCATGACCCGAAGAATGAATCGAAGACGAACGAGATAGATTAGTTACTGCGAACGGTATGAAGAGCTATTGAGGGATTGTGAACCAATTGGCATTGCCAAGACCCTGTCTCCCTCACTCTTTCCCTCAATCCCTTCTCTGTTTTTTTCCTTACATGATAGCAGTGCAGCTGCAATCGTCTAAGCTCCCATTATCCTATGCGCATCCCTTTTTTCTCTCCATTTTCTCTCCACTGTTCACTACCTCTTTTGGAAGTTTAATGCACGGATAGGGTGCCCACGTTAATCATGTGCCTCCATGTGCCAGTGTGGTTCTATGTGGTCAGCTCGTTTACTTCTTGGCCAAATTGGCGAATATTCCTTACTACATAGAACAACAAAGACTCTGCTTCTCTGTTTTGAAGCATGAATGGGAGAAGAGGACTCACCTGTTCAGCTGTTCTACGCCGCCTTTAGCTCATCTACCATAAACACACCGTCTATCTCTCTTCCCACCCCTGCCCAGGCCGAGTCGTACCCAGGTCAGAGAATTCGTAATGACCAAGGTAAGGGGAAGGAACTCATTTCGTGGTGATTGCTACTATCTTGCTAAGATATCCATCAACCACACGCAAAGATATAAGATAAAAGTATGTTCTTTTTGCGTAGACAATTGGTAGGATTATTGTCCAACGCGTTCATCACCATGAGCTTGTTCATTTGTGACGACAAGTATGATAAGTACCTGCGAGTAGGTGCTAGTGTAGGACTATGCTAGTGCACTGGCTGATTTGCAAGCTGACAATTCCCGAAAAGGCAAGCAATTCTAAGCCATTGCTCGTGGCTTAGGCAAGCCTGAATGTTCTCTTGGTAGATTGGTCATGAAGAAATGACACTCATAAAAATATAAAGGGCTGAGAGCCACTTCGGATTTCCAGTCAAACCACAAAAAAACACTGCACTCCCCTTCACACACTCAACAAACACTTGAAAACACACTCACACAACAACGAAATGACTGTTACCCCAACTTCAAGATCCATCACAAAGGCCATCCTCTCCAAGGAGCAAGCCGAGGGTGCTGGTGCCCGTGTCCGCCGATCCATCGGTCGCCCTGAGCTCCGAAACCACGACCCCTTCCTCATGCTCGACGAGTTCAACGTCGACAAGAACGGCGGCTTCCCCGATCACCCCCACCGCGGCTTCGAGACCGTCACCTACATGCTCGAGGGTCAGTTCCAGCACGAGGACTTTGCTGGACACAAGGGAACCATCGGGCCTGGTGACCTCCAGTGGATGACCGCCGGCCGTGGCATTGTTCACTCCGAGATGCCCGTCAAGTCCCAGACCCGTGCCCACGGTCTCCAGCTCTGGATCAACCTGCCCAGGGAACATAAGATGTGCGAGCCTCAGTACCAAGAACTCCTCGACGGCCAGATCCCCAGAGCCAACCCTGCGGAGGGTGTCGTCGTCAAGGTCATTGCTGGCGAGTCGCACGGCGTCAAGTCCCAGGTCTACACTCGGACACCCACCATGTACCTCGACTTCAAGGTTGCCAAGAACAAGACCGTCATCCAGACTATTCCCAAGACCTTCACCGGATTCATCTACATGCTCAAGGGCACGGCCTTTATCGGCGACAAGGAGTTTGAGGGCAAGGCGCACCACACGCTGACCTTCTCTGAGGACGGTGCCGAGACGGTCAAGATCACGACCAAGGACGAGGATGCGCACTTTGTGTTCATTGCTGGTGAGCCCCTGAAGGAGCCTATTGTGCAGCATGGCCCCTTTGTGATGAATACGACCGAGGATATCTACAGGACCTTTATCGACTACCAGTCCAACCAGAACGGTTTCGAGCGCGCCAAGAACTGGAGGTCGACTATTGCCGGTTAAACTTGCAGTTGCATAAAGTGCAGAGCCTCTTCTTCACTACAGCCCACTTCAACACCTTTTACCACTTCGGATGTACAACAGAATCACTTTGAATAAAAAATTGAATGATAAAAAATACCCCCTGGATAAACCATGAACGGTGTCAAAGTAATTGATTTCCACTGTGCCACCCATAGCGCGGATTGTTCCTGAAGTGAACTGCCACGCCCTCCACTCTTTTTCCCATCACGCCGTCCCTTGCTTCTGCCGCGCCTTTTTACGCGTTCTCTATAAAACTTTCTTCTTTCGCACACTCTTTTTTCTCATTCACCCCTTCCCTCAACCACCACCCGCCTCCCACTCCTTCTAACTCATACAGCTACACCCAAGGTACACCCTCCTCTTCCATTACTCATCCCAAATAATAAAGCAACCTTGCATGCGCCGAATGCCCTCTCGCTTTAAAACAACAAACGCTCATTCGTTTACAACTAAACACCACCATAGCTTCAAAAGCCACCACTCATTCGCTGCAATGACCTCTGACAAAACACTCCCAGCCGGGTTCGAGACGTCTCCTGACGGAACGCACGCCGTGTTCACGAAACCTATCGAATCCTCCCCCAACGACGAAAGAAGCTACCGTCTCGTCCGTCTCAACAACGACCTCGAGGTCCTGTTGATCCACGACACCAAAGCTGACAAGTCTGCCGCGGCCCTTGATGTCCACGTTGGCCACCTCAGCGATCCTGTGAGTGACGCGTTATATCTGTCCACTTTAATTGCCACCGTCGCTTTGTTCGCTGCTCTTTTACACAGCGATAAGGCTCTGACCGATCGTCATTTTGCTTCCATGGCAACTTCAAAACCTTCTTTCGTTTAGGATAATCTACAAGGACTGGCGCATTATTTGGAGCATCTGTTGTTCCTTGGAACGGATAAATACCCTCGCGAAAACGATTACAAGGATTTCTTGGCGCAGCATGCTGGAAAATCCAACGCCGCCACCTATCTTGACAATACCAACTTTCACTTCGAAGTCGGACACGCCCATCTCGAACAAGCCCTGGACCGGTAAAAAAAGAAGCGCTGCCCGCATGAAATATGTTTCTTCCTGTCATCGAATATTTCTACGTAGTAATCCTACTTAATCGCATCTTTCTTCAATGTTATCATTTGTCAATCATTTTCAAACAGGTTTGCGCAATTTTTCATCTCGCCGGCATTCAACGAGAGCTGCACCGACCGGGAGATCCACGCAGTGGACTCCGAGTTCAAGCTGAAGCTGCAGATGGACGTTCGTCGACTCTTCATGTTGGGAAAGCATCTTTCGGGTCGAATCCATCCCTTCTGGCATTTTGGAACCGGAAACTTGGCCACCCTCAGGGATCTTCCTGCAGAGGAAGGGATCAACACTCGTGATGAGTTGATCAAGTTCTACCACAAGTATTACTCCTCCAATATTATGAAACTTGTCATCATCGGCCGAGGTACGTACTTACAGTTGGACGCAGTCCGTATCGCTGGTTTATTATTCTGCATGTCGCGTTGCGATGTTGTACTCACACGCGGTCTCTTTTCTGTTGTGCTGCATTATTAGAGCCATTGGATGAGCTGACAGGATGGGCGGTTGAAAAGTTTTCGGCGATCAGGAATCTCAACATCGCTCCACCTTCTTACCCTGGTCCTCTTTTGACACCCAAAGAACTCTTGGTAACCATTCTGCTCTCTTGTACACAGCTACAAGCACCTTGAGTCCCGCTCTGGTAACGCGTGGCGGACGAAATTAATCCACGCGCTAACACTCTCCTCGCTCCCTTTCAACAATATAGACAATGGCTTATGTCAAACCAGTTCAAGACCTCCGCACTCTTGAGATCAAGTTCCCCATTTCGGACACCTCCCGCTACTACACCCTCCAACCCGCCCGCTACATCAGTCATGTCGTGGGCCACGAAGGAGCCGGATCTATTCTTTCGCTGTTGAAACGCAAGGGATGGGCGAGCGGGGTTTCGGTGGGCAACCTTGGATGTGGAATTGGGTTCGAGTTCTTGTCGTTTGTTATCTCACTGACCAAAGAAGGACTTCTTCATTGTGAGGAGATTATTGAGATTGTTTTCCAGTTTATCAAGTTACTGAAGCAGGAGGGTGTTGTGCCTCACATCTTCGACGAGGTAAGGACATTACTTTTTTCGTTCTACTGGTCATTGCATATCTCCAGTCAATTCATTTGTTAATCAGGGTGTAAATATGTATCCTATAGGTGACTTCGTTGGCATCGACGGCGTTCCAATTCAAGGAAATGATGCAGCCTGCAGATTATGTCGTCACCCAAGCAGGCGCCATGCAGCGAGGATACGCTCCCGAATGGGTTCTCTCGGGCTCTGAACTCATCCGCGGCAACGAGCCCCAAATCATTCAACAGTTCATCGACGAACTGCAGGTCGATACCTGGGTCGGTCGAATCGTCACCCAGGATTTGACCGTCGTCCCTGGAGGTGTGTTTACTCAAACTGAAAGGTGGTATGGGACTCAGTACCATGTCTCTCCTGTTTCCTCAGCCCTGTTGGATCGGTTGAGGACGGGGCTGGAGTTGCATCCGGAGTTGCATATGCCACTTCCGAATGAATATTTGCCCAAGGATTTTGAGACCCACAGGGTTGACACACCTGAACCATTGACACACCCAACACTGATCAAACATACACCATTGACCCGGCTCTGGCACAAGAAGGATGATATCTTTTGGATTCCCAAGGTCAACATTCATTTCCGGCTCACCGCCCCCCTGGCCACGGAGAATCCTAGCAACCTGATCAAATCGATGCTCTACGTCGCCCTCGTCAAGGAAGCCCTGAACGAGGAGACTTATGCCGCGAAGATGGCAGGAATGGACTATACCCTCAGCAGCTCCATCGAAGGGATCCAGCTCTCGATCCAGGGTTATAACGATAAAGCCCACCTCTTGCTTGAAAGGGTTATTCACACCATGCGCAACCTTCAAGTCGAACCGGATCGGTTTGTTAGGATCAGGGACCAGATCGAGCGCAACCATCGAAATGCCTACCTCGCCAACCCATCTCAACACGCAGCGTATCATATCCAAGTGATTAATCAGGAGAAAACGTGGACATTTATTGAACGTCTGGATGCGCTCGAGTTTATTACGACCCCCGAGCAGATTCAGCAGTTTTATCCCGAGATGTTGGCTCGTCTTCATGTTGAGGGTCTTGTCCATGGAAATATGGACCGTGAACAGGCTTTGAGAGCAAGCGAGATTGTGGAGGAGGGGCTAGGTGCTGCCACGAGACCTTTGGTACCCTCGGAACTGACCGCCATGAGAACTTTGCTCCTCCCCGAGGGCTGTCAAGCTGTCTATCAGATGGACCTCCCGAACCCAAGTAACCTTAACTCTGGGATCGAGTACTTTGTCCAAATGGAGAACGTACCCTACCTCCCTCCCTCCATTCCGAGTCCCAACCCCGAGAACCAGGATATCCTTGTCAGAGATCGCAAGACGAACAGAGCCCTAACCCAGATCCTATCCCAAATCATCCAAGAACCCTGCTTCCACCAACTCCGAACCACCGAACAACTCGGCTACATTGTCCATTCCGGCGTCCGCTCCTTCGGTCCCCTCATCGGAATCAGGATCCACGTCCAATCCGAACGGGATCCCGTCTACATTGAATCGCGAATCGAATCCTTCCTCACCACCCGGATCCACGACCTCCTCTTCAAGACCATGACCCCGGAGGATTTCGAACGACAGGTCCAGTCGTTGATTGAGAAGAAGTCGAAGAAAGATATGAAGTTGAAGGAGGAGACCTCGAGATATTGGGAACAGATCAAGTCAGGGTATTTTGATTTCTGGGAGGTCGCTGAGGAGGTGGAGGTGATGAAGAGGGTGAGTTTGGAGGATGCGAGAAAGTTCTTTGCAGAGTGGATCTTGCCCGGTGTGGGACGCGCCAAGAAGGTATCTGTCCATGTCCGATCGCAGAAGTTGAACAAGCCCGCTGATGCCAAGATCAAGTCGTCTGAGGAAAAGGAAATGGACGAGAGCAAGGTCGAGCTGGCAGTGGGAACTTTGGAGGAGGTCATTACACTCAAGGAGGGAACGCTCCTCATCGAAGATGTTGCCACATTCAAGGCAGGACTCGAACTCAGTCGTGCTCCCCTTCCAGTCATCGACCTCCTCCGTTATTACAAGTTGTAATACTACCATTATCAGACACCCTAAATAAAACACACATAAAAAAAGATGTTACCGTATCCGTCTCTGAAGAAAAGCGTCACCATGTTAGCATTTATTAATTATTTTGATGGTCGTCGGTTGTTGGGTGCAAAGGTGAGAGACTTGGAAGACTGTAGTGGTGGAGGAGTCTGTAAAGAGTCACTCTCGCTCTGATGGTGTTCTGATGCACGCGAGAGCAGCCTTGGATCCTGCACAGACACTACCCGACGATGAGGCTGGCGTTCTAAAGGCTTATTGTTGTTGTTCTCATCCTGATCCAGCCCGTCATCCTCGTCACTATCATACATTTCAAAACCAAGGATCAGATTCCTGGCATCCGCCGAAGGATCCTGTCCATGTCCACCTCCGCCACCGCCGATACCAGCTCCTGTGCCACCGCCTCCAGAAACGCCCTTGAAAGAGAAAACCCTGCTATGTCTCGGAGTCGCAGGCCGAGAAGCATTAGGAAGCAACAACGTCGCCTCATCCCCATCCTCATCCAAGTACTCCTCTCCCGCCGTAGGTCTCCAAGCCAAGACAAGAACTCCAATCAAGACCTGACTGATCCCGAAAAGAATCAACAGGATCTGCCACCAGTAGAGTCGGCCCCATTGGTTGTAGTAGACAAGCCCGTTGAAGAGGCACGAGACGTTGTAGGCGCAGAAGGAGAGCGGGACCAAGAGCACGGTGTCACAGAGTCGAAGGCCTTGGTTCAAATAATACAACTGTAATTGAAATAAGCAATTGAGCAAAAAAAAAGGAGGGGAGGGGATGGAATGAAAAAAAAAAAGCTTGTGAGTGTTGTGCTTGTCGTAAACAAACATTGAACATGCGACCTCCGCACCGTCAAATCGTTGCTCTTTTCCCCCTTTTTTGTGGTTCCTGTTGAATGTGTCGTTGTTGCTGTTGTTGATGGTAACCTTTTTCCTTGTCCAGGTTGTTGTCATTGTTTTCTTTTGATTGTATGTTGGTGTCATCATTCCTGTCAGTTTTTTCCCCATAGGATATGCATACCTGAAGAAGCGCTGCTGTGATGAGAGCAACGACCAAGAACCAACTTAAAGGATTCTCAAACTGGTTCTGACCCTCAACAATCGTCAGGTACAAGAGCTCAATGGCACTCTTGGCAAAGAGCAACGCCTGACTCGACAGCATGCCTCCCACACACCCATACGAGATCCCGAGTATTGTCTTGATCTTGGTCGGACTCAATTTGCCAAACGCCCTGTTGCCCAATAGTTTCCCGTACGGTCCTGAGTGCATATCGTGGTTCAGGCTGTTGTTATTGATTGGACCAGCGCCACCACCGCCGACGATATCCGATACAGATCCTGTGCGTTGATGTGCTGCCAGACTCGCTTGTGCATTCTTGGTCAACATCTTTTCAACAATCCTGTTTGCTACCAATAGACTGACCACCGTCAGCTCGATCAACGAAAAGTAGATAATGAACGCTGGTCGTTTCCAGAGCTCGATCAAGTCTTCGAGCGAATGGCTGGGCTCGGGGACAACTCCAAACAGCCCAATCATGATCGCGCCCAGCAAGATGAGGAATGTGCCTATCAAACCACACACGTTTGAAAAGTGAAGTAAGTAACCTTGGTTTACAATGCATTGAGGATGGTGGTTGCCTGTCTCTTCAACTCCAAAGGGACACTGTGACCTGCCCCTATGTTGCCTGCAGATGACTCTTTTTTTTCGTGCATTTTTGGGGTTTGGGGAGTCGGGAAGGGTAAGAGGGAGAGGGAAGGCCACAGCGAGGACAAGGGAAGGGGAAATAGTGACGAAAGGATGTCAAAGAGAGACAAGGAACGAGTGGTTGAGCTGCCTCACCAACCAACGCCAGCAAACGTCTCTTATTGACATATGTCTAAAAACTGTTCGTCTTCACATCTTAACGCAATTGCTTCACCAGGCAACGAGCCAGCCACTATGCCCGTGTTGTTGAAGAGGAGAAAAATCTGTCGACTGTTGTTTATCCTGTTCATATCTCGAATCAATTGAGCGTGTCCAGCCAGCGACCTGTTTGTATGCTGCAGTGCCCTGAGTTTTGCCTGCCAGCCACGTACGGAACACATATGTACTGATGTTGTACTGTTGCAATATTTTTAGACCCAACCGAACTCTGCATCCAAGACAAAGAGACAGGCTGACAGACAGAAAAGCATTGACCGGAAACGAAAATGGGAAGAAAACGGAGAAATGCAGGCAGGACAACAAACGAAAGTGGTCAAGCGACGAAGATCCTCTCCCAGCACAAAAAAAGGCAACGAAAAAAAAGCAAAATGAAACTGCGTGGCTGTACCTGCTGCACTCTGCCTTGAGAAGGTATCGCCCAGGAGGAGTCTTGCAAAGAGGGCATTGAAGACCAATGTCACTGCCCCGAGAGGCGCCAAGATAATCACGGGCAGATAGCCAATCGAAAAGATAGTGCCTGTGAGGTTGGACAGGATGTAAGTGTGGAAGCCCAAGTGCCAGAGGGGGCGATGGCAGGCTTGCCGACGGAGCTCCTTAGGGTGAATCGCCTCGTTGATGACATGGGATTTGCGTTGGATGGTCAGACCGAGTGACTGGATGAACGAGGTTCCGACCGCTATAGAGATGCCGACAAGGAAGTTGTTGGGTGTTCCGTTGCCGCTAGTGCCGTCGCCGACGCCTGGGATGGGGTCGTTGTAGAAGAGGCTGAGTCCGTCTGTACCATTGAAGTTGTTGATGTTGCTGTTGGTGGGGTGGTGGTCAAAGAGCCCAAAGAGGCCTTTCCCGCCTGGGGTTGACCAGAGGACCTCAGACAGGTTCTCGAATGACATTGAGAAAGGAGGAGTAGAAAGGGAGGTGGACGAGGCAGGTGTAGGTTGTTGTCTCCTTCCTGTTGGGTATATTAGTTGCGGTGAAGCGAGAAGTGGTATAAGAGGGAGGAAGAATGTATGTGAGAAACAAAAATGAGAAATGAAGTCGTGGGATGGTGAGCTGTTTTTGTCTGTCTGTGGATTCAGTCGAGTTGGCTGATTGGGTCGGTGGTTGGTGTAAGTGTGAGTGAGCCAAGGTGGGTGAAGGAAGGGACGAGCCTTGTGCACGCGTGAAATTCAATTGCTGTAAAGTTGAGAGCAAGGAATAGGGAGAAGAGGATTGAGGAAGGAGAGAAAAAGAATGGCAGCACAATACACGCGCTCGCTGGTTTATATCAAATGGGTTGGGGCACCCAATCCTGTCAAGACGGCGCCCAATTGGAACTGGCATCGCAAGTGGTGATCTAAGATCTATTAGAGAGGAGGGGCACCTTGACCAAACAGCCAAGAAAGCTTGGCCAGTGGGACCCTGGCAGGTGTGGTTGTCGTCACGTGGGCCACTCGTCATTTTATCCGTATTGCCCCTGCATGTACAAATGCGATAGAACAACAGAGAATCAGAGGTGTATTCTGAAATGGCCCACTCTGCTGAACAAAAGATATGCACCTGTCAAGCCTTCAGTGATTTAGTCCTCAGGACAGCCCAGATGTGGAATCACAACGGAAGGGGGCAGTGGCAATAGTGAAGACGAACAAAGAAATAAAAGCCTGGCTTGACGTAGATCGTCTTTACTCTGTTTGGGATGAATAGAGGAATAATAAGTAATTGGCCTCTCCTTGATGAAAACATTCTTGTGAGGTTAAACAATGGAGTGTGATGTGTGTAATGTTTGTTATTAAGATTCCACAAAGAAAGTAGTCTCGCCAGGGTCAGAGAAAAATGCGAATAAGCGCTTCTATGGATTTGAACAGAAGTAGGATAGAAGACGCGTCAACAGTCCAAGATATCCAACCATACTCAATGCACACTTGCGGCACAAAGGTGACCCATTGAAAGGTTGCTATTCAGCTGTTTTCTGGGTTATAGGGTCCAAAGTGTACTCTTGTTTATGTAACCATACTTTTTTTTCTGACCAACAACAGGAAACTTCATTATGCTCGCCCAAGAAACCTTTTTTTTTTTAAATAATTTTAAGGATGCGGGGTCGATCTTGGACAACGTACAACTCGTGTGTCTAATGGCTGATTCCTCTTGTCTGTCCAACCTGCCTCTGGAGCTGGACTATAAAAAGAATTACCAGGTTGTTCAAATACAATATTCGCAGCCTGCATTACTTTACTTACAGTAAGCACTTCGTGTGAGGCACCCCTCGCTGCCATTGAACATTGGCCTACCATTCATCCACAACACTGAACACTAAAGGCCACCCAAAAAAAAAAAAAAAAAAAAAAAAAAACAGGCGACAATGCGGGCAACAAAGATATGTACCTCCATTTCCTCTTTCCAACGTTTCCCACAATACATTACTCTCGTGCATGCATCTGCAGCTGAAACTCATACATAGACTTGCATCTCATCTTCAAACCATTGATGCGAGGTTTCTCTCTGTACCTCTCTTAGCTTAGCGGACTCTAGGCGATCATTCGACCCATAGAGCGGCTGGTAGTCTAGAATGAAGTTTAAACCATGTCACGGTAAAGGTTTGAGACATACAAAGGTATGTTGCGGAGTGCTTACTACTTGGCGGGTGAAGGCAACGGTACCCTCCTATACCAGTAACAAGAGAACACAGGCAATGGTACCATGGTATAATAATGAAAAAAAATTCAGTTTCTTCTCCGCGCCATATGGCGAATCAAAGTAAGCCTGTGTCTCATTTTTTCGGGGTACCTGGGTGGGGGTTGAAAAGCATAGTTTGTGGAACAGGGTCGCCTTTAATGCCTCCAGTCAACAAGGGACTCTTTTCGTTCATTGTTGTCAATGGTAGACCGAAAGGCGATCGAGATGTCGAAACAGATATGAGCGCTTGAAAGGCCAACGAATCAAAGGCTTGGTTGGAGTCAACGGATGAAGGAATGAAGGAAAGAAGAAAGGATCATTCAACCCAGCAATAACGGTGATAGAAACATCGATGAGAGCCTTTGTCTGTTGGCCACTCTCATACTCGTTCCCTTTAGTGGGCAAAAACAACCAACAATGGTTTTTTTCGGGGTGAGGAAGAAGTATTTGGGCTTGTGTGCTCAAATGAGAGAAATAGAGTGAAGTCCGAACGGCTCAATGGCTGGAGAACGTACAAGGGTACCTGTCCGGAAACACAGACTCATCAATCCATGTATATAAACGAACCAGCTTCTCCTGTTCTTGTTCACTCACCCACTTATCTTTCCTTATTTCACCTTTCCTTCACTCACATCAACATGCACCTTTTGCGTGTTTCCCTCGCCTCCGTGGCCTTCCTCGCCCTCCAAGCTGCCGCACAGATTGGAGAGTACGATCCCATCTACAGCGACTATGACTACTGCCAGGGCATCACATCAGACTCCAAGACCTACAAGCCCATCGTAAGATCGACAGGTTCAACTTTCATGATGGCGAGAGATCGATCTATTTGATAACTAGTTCGCTAACTCCAACCTCGATATATCACGACCATTATTTTAGCTCGGGGCAACGTTGAAGAAGGTGCAGCTATTTATGCGCCACGGTGACAGAGTTCCAAGCATGGTCTTCCCCGGCGACGACGCCGACTACAACTTGTGCGGAAACGCCACGGAGAGTCATTATTCTGGCGGCGACACGCTCTCAAGAACCCCCACAGTCCAGTCGAAGATCATAGATCCCCAGGACAGCCCATATCACAAGCTATTGTGGAAGGGCAACTGCGATGTTGGCCAGCTGACTAACAGGGGTAAGCAGCAAACTCACAACGTCGGCAAGAGCATTCGCTCGATCTATGTCGACATGCTCAAGTTCCTCCCCAAGTTCTTGAACACCGATCTCATCTACGTCCGCAACACCCACGCCGTCCGCACCCGCGAGTCTGCCGAGCACATGTTAAACGGTCTTTATCCTTCCCTCTTCCGCGCCCCCGGATCCGTTATTGAGATGAACGCCTACCCTGAGGCTGTCGAGAACATTGTCCTCAGCAGCAAAAACCTTTGCCCAGCACTCCCCTCCATCTTTAAGCCCTTTGCGTCCACACCTACCTTCCTCAACTTCTTCAAGTCCAACTACGCCCTGATGGCCAAGACCAACAACATCCTCGGTATCGCCAACAACCCTCAGTACAACAACTCGCTAAACGGAGACTTCTTCATTTCGCGTCTTTGCAACAACATGCCTCTCCCTTGCTCGCGCACCAACGCTTCAGACTGCATCACCTCCACTGAGGCGACCAAAGCCATTGCTGGAACCTGGGTCATGGCTTACGGGCCCATGCGTTGGGGACCTCAGGCCGAAAAGGTCAAACGTATCTCCGGTGGAATGTTTGTCGGTACTATCCCCAAGAACATCCGCGCCACATTGAACGGCGACCCCTCCTCGCGTCCCTTTGAGTTCTACTCCGTCCACGATCAGTCTATCGACCAAATCATGGCCATAATCAGCGCGCCAAACACGCCTTGGCCAGGGTACTCGGCTACACTTGGCCTCGAAACATGGGAGTTGGCAGACAAGTCGCATGTTGTCCGCGCAATCTACGAGGGTAAGATGGTAAAGGCACATGCTGACCTCAAGTGCTCCTTGGAGGCGTGCCCCCTGGACACGTTTGCCACCTTTCTCGAGCGCTATGTTCCTTCTGATGCACAAGCTGAGTGTGCGGTTTAAAAAATAAAAAACGCAGTCTCCTTTTTCACCCTTAATCGATCATGTCTCTTACTTTGTCTTGTGGAGAGCAGTTTTCGCCCAACTTGAGATCTCTCACCATGCGCTCGCCATCACCACCATCACCACCATCGTCTAGACAACGACACTACTCTCAGGAAGAATCCTCATGGTCCGCTGGCGAAAACAGCAACAGCACCATCATTGCAATGGGCAAGAACACACTCCGTAACTCCTACTCAGGCTCTCGCCATTCGTCTCTCCACAACCAACAACAACACGACTCGGACACAGACTCGGTCCCAGATTCAGACCGCTCCCAACAACAGCAGCAGCTCCACAGAAAAACCAGTCGCGAGAGTATGAGTGGTCGTGGGAGTGAACCAGGAAGTGAGCTGGATGAAGAGGATAGCAACAGGAATAAACGCCACAGCTATTCAAATTCATCTACGCCTACAGCCCCAGTCAAGCGAGCCAAGAGGAACCCATCCATCAAATGTCCGATCTGTCACGAGTATGTAACTCCAGGACAGTACCAGCAGCATTACCGCATGGAGCTTGCCCAACTGGAAACTGGAGCGTCCAGTGAAGTGTAAGCAGCCCATTTCTTTCTTTTGGTGTTGTGGCTCTCGTTTTTTTTTTGTTGAATTTGCGATTGCCAGTTGTAACAACATTGACTGATCAAACGCATACGTATTTCACTCTAATGTAGGGGTCGGGGCAAGCGAGGAGCAGCAATTGCAGCATCAAAGCAGTTCATGAAAGGGAAATCTCGCGCATCGGCAACAGACCAAGAGAAGCAGAACGTACGATTATTTACATTCACAATTTTTCGCCCGAATGCTTTTGCATGCAGTTCCTTCACGTGGTTTTTAATCGCTATTCTCACTATTATTGAATGACTATAGATGCTGCGAGATATTCAGAAGCGGAGGGGAGCGCGACAAAACAACAAAGATGGCAATGGAGTAGGATCAGGTCGAGGAGGAGGAGGAGGAGGAGGAGGCAGGGATCTAGATCTAGGACTAGCAGGCGCGCTTGAAGATTCTCTCAACGACGACTCCCCAGCGACATGCTTCATCTGTAACGAACGTCTCTTTGGATCACTTGATGATATCAACACCCATATCGATGCCTGCCTCACCAATCCACAACCATCACGGCACGATACACAAGGAAGTTATTCGTCTTCAGGCGCAAACACGCCAGTCTCTGGAGGCGCATCAGGCAGGAGCTCTATAGCAACCACCCCTAATGCCCGGATGGCGGATTCGTTTGAAGAATACACATGGGCAGGTCAGACACGGATAAGAGCGACAGCCCTGTTTGAAGGTGGGATGGCTTCTCTCGGGTCAGGATCGAGAACTGTACAGGAGGACATTGACGACGATTTGAATGTGGAGGATGATGAGGATGACGAGTATGGGGGTGCTCAGTTCACGGAGCGGGATGTGGTTTTGAACATTGAGGATCCGGACACAGACGAGCTGCGGGAAATTGTCATGGAATCGACAGCTGTTGTCGAACGAGCTCCGCCTTCACCGACCCTTGCAGTCAAGGAGGCACAAAGGCGGCATAGAGGTGTTGACCGGGATGTGGATATTGAAGACATGGGTGATGATCCGGGTGATGTGGACGATGAACTTGTAGACGAGGACGAAGAAATTGATCTGGAAGGAGATGACAACGACGACCACGATCAAGCCCGCCATCACCATCACAAAGCGCAAGCAGAAGACCAGAGGGTAGACGCGCTGATGAGTTCGGCGTTGACCTCTGGTGACACGCGACTGCTGATTGAGGCGTTGAGGTCCAAGGTCAAGCATCTGGAGTCGGCCAACAAGAATGTCCCAACGTGTTTAATATGTTTAGAGGCTTACACGGTCCCGCTGACTTCTATCGTCTGCTGGCACGTTCATTGTGAGGCCTGCTGGATGCAGACCCTGGGCAGCAAGAAGCTGTGTCCGCAGTGCCAAAAGATTACCCTCCCCAAGGATCTCCGTAGAATATATCTCTAAAATATTGCTATCCTTTCTTCGTCAAATAAATGTGTGGATGTCTAAAGATAGTGGGGTGTTGGGTAAGGTTTTTCAACGTCTTAACCTTGCGGTGCACGTCATGGCCGGTGGGGGTCTACTGTTCATTTTTTGCTAGTTTTATTCAAACGATGTCATAAGCAGCCAAAAGCGGCGCAGGGATCTAGACACGGAAAGATCAGGATCAGGGAATCAGCTAGGGTGAACAAAAACAATGATGATGGAACGGACAGACCGTGCATCGGGACATTTGCAAAAGGCAATGTCCATGAATCTTTTTTTCTTTCAACGGTCGACCAAAAGATTTTGTTTGTATCTCTGACCAAGTACAAATGGCATGTCATTTTCTATTTTTTCGACGCACTGACTTTTTCAAACACAACCGTCTCATTTGCCACGTTGTTGGCGAAAGGAACGACAAAAACTGACGACGGAGTGCTAAGAGGAGAAAAAATAGAAAAGTGAGGTGGCGGGTGCTGTAACGAACAATAATATCACATGTCAGTCTTCTTATCCGTCATTTTCTCATCTCTATCTATCTCTTTCAAAAGGAATTGTGGGGATGGGACGTTGCATACATTGTTGGAGAAGAGTCGAATAAAACGAATCATCCATGGATGATGGAGGTAATCCTATGTGGATGAAGGGAAAAGAGAGATGGAGGTGCAGAACTTCATGCTGGTTTTCTTTGCATGTTTGTTTGTTGTTTATTGTTTTGACAGGTGTGAATAAGGAGATGTAATAGGGAGAGAAGGGGCCGTGTCCGTGTGCAAAGAACAGAGCAAACAATATCTGTTGGACCGAGTCCCTAGGCTGTGTATGCATGGTATGCAAACATGCATCAGGGCTCAACAACTGCGCGGGGACCATTGTTTGGAGTTGTGCGTTTGTGTATGCCACTTTTTTTTTTCTTTTTTTTATATCCTTCCGATCTTCCGGCGCCGATGCGTCTTGCCTGTTTGAATGTTCCAGTCCAACCAGATGCCCCCAAGAACGGTTACTTATTCAACCGAGGTGGGGCAAGAGACGAGAAGAGGAAGTGAAGGCTCTCAATATTGTCACCAACTCGGTGACCCCTTCAATTTTCATTATTTCATATGACAGCCTCACCCAGATGTCGATCGATTCAGTCAGTTGCGGACAATTCTCTTTCTCAACGGTCGTCAACAAAAGAAAAAACGTTCTTGACATGCGCTCGTTATTTTTGTTTTTGCTGTATGGCAGGAGGCTGTTTCTTCATTATTTTAGTGGGAACTATAATTCCGCCTTTTCCCCCTCCCTATTGATCAAAAAGAGGCGAGAAGCAAAAAAAAGCGCAAGAGGAGGGGGAAATATGCAGAGATAAAGAAAGAGAGAAACATATAAGGCAATAGCGCATTCGGAAACGCCAGGGTACTAGTCATACCTTCTGTGTCAAGCATGCGGATACGCAAGAACGGTCTATTGGTGGTCATGCACAATAAAAAAGAACGCAATCAAAAAGCAGATATCACGAAAGAGAGAGAAGCATGAAAGGGATATCCCTATCTTATTGACGATGATGGCAACATGCCAGATCATGAACAGTTCTCTTTTTTCACACCCCACTGCAGTCCTCTCCATGCTCATTCATCCATTGATTGGAATTATGGAGTGAATGAGATATGAAAAAATGAAAGATTATCTTTTTCACTTGCCCCTGTTCCTGTTCTCTCATCCCCCGTCAGATCGAGGTTTTTTTCCTTCTTTTCGAATTGTTACGTCGTTGTGTTTGTGTTTTCTGTTGTCTGCTTTGTGGCATGTTTAGTTGACTCGGGACAACGACTCAAGCTATTGCTATCATACAAAAAGGAAACTCGGCCCTGTCTTGCCTGAATTATTTGCACATCATCCCACTCGAAACACCATGAATCGTTTTCTCTTTGTTCCTCTTTTCGGTTAGATGGATGGGTAGGTGCGTGCGGTGTGCTTTCTGATTCCCTTCTGTTTTGAGTCCTTTTTTCGTCTGTTCTTCCTTCTTCCCTAGAAGGTCTAGGGGGTGAAATGAAGTTCAAGGAGTTCCTTTGTCTGACAATGAACAAAAAAGGAGGTAAAACGGAAGTGTATGAATGGGTCTAGGTCCGGTTGACGAAATGGTGATTAGCCTGGCATGCTCATTATTAGTCTTTAATACTTTTTTCTCGTGCCTTAGTAGAGTATATGAAATCGTAACGGAATAAAATATTCACGCTTGTGATTCCTCGGGGGTAACATAAAAACAAGGAATGAGAGATTGAACAAGAGGGTCCTTGTTTGTGTTATTGTTGTGCCACCACCCTCACATCCATCCGCACACTGAACCACGAAAAATGAGATGAAAAAGAGGGGGTGTAAGTAAAGTGGAACATGAACGCGATGGTAAAACTGAAATTCTTCGGGTGGAAACCTTCCTAACTGTAGTAAAAAGATGAAAAAAAATGATTGGGGCAAGACAGCAAGCATATGCATTGTTCATCCTATTTTTATTCTTTCTCAATCTCTTGAGAAGCGGTAGGAATGAACTGTCAGTTGGAGATACTGCATTTCCCGATAGATGGAGGTATGTCTGTGTGAGTGTGGGGGGAGGATGAAAAAGATGGCCATCGTTGTTCATTTCAGATGTAGCTGTGGAAGTGAACGTTGGAATGAATCTGATAGCTTGGAAAGCGACGCGGTATGCTGGGAGTGGTTTAACGGGTTCGATCCAGGAACGAAAAGTGTGAGAAGTCAACAGCTGGGAAAGCTGGACAGTGGACAATGGATGATGGACGATGGGGGAATTGAGTCAAGAGAAGCCCGGCTGGCCGAATCGACGTAGCGGCGAGCGCGTTTTCTCGCTCACAAACACGCACATACACATACGTCCCAGTGGAGAAAAGAAGGAAAGGAGCAAGGGCGGCACACCCGTTCTCCCAACGCACACACACTAAGTAAACATGAGAGCCAATGGGTGGATGTCGTACTTTGGGACGATTGAATGGGATGATTAGCTATATGTCTGTCGAGGAAAGGTGTGTGCACCCAACTTCTTTCTTGCGCTCTATTACTCACGGGCCATCGCGGTACATAGGCTGGAAAAAAAAATAGTGTTGGATGCAATTGACGACCAGCACTCTATCCACTCCATAGCAACAACAACGACGGCGCAACCCAGAGTTGGATGGTGTGCGAATATATCCCCAAGTTTCTTTTTTCACTCTCGACAACAAGAACATTTGTCTAAGGATAACACGCCAATCAAGAGTGAAAAGGAGAAGAGGGGTAGTGGGTAGATAAGAGTGAGAATGAGTGTGGTTACCACGATGTTCTGCCCCCGAGTTTTAGTTTCTGAGGACGATCCTGGAAATCGTCGAGCCATGTTGTTGTTGTTGTTCTTGCTTGTTCGAGAATAGCGCAAACGTGGTGAGATAGAGTAGTTGAGTTCTATTCAGTGTGTGAAGGAAGGGAGGATAGCGCAATTTGGAGTTCAACATTCATATGTCTCTGTGTTTGTCTGTGTTGGATCAAAGAAATTGACATCCACATGTGGCATGAGAAAAGAACAAAGAAAAAAGAACTAACAGCAGATCAAAGTTGAACTAGTCCAGTAACCTATTCACCTGTATCGAATCGTATCGCTGTCAAACTTTTGTTCCAACTCAGAAAGTTGACCCGTGGAAGCACGAAACGGGTGCATGGGCAAAGTGGATAGGGTCAGTGAGCAGTAGCAGCCATGCATTGTTGCTTGCATATGCATTCGAGAACAATTACATGTCCATGAGCACGGAACAGAGTGGCCCTGATCCTTACTTCCATTCGAATCAGCCCCCCTCATAATTGATGGGGGTGCCTTGTTCCCGAGTTCCCTTCACAGGTTGAGTCTATGTTGCACAGGCTGGGAACTCACCATATAAAATAGACGACACCCCCCAAAAGAATGCCTGGCTTGAATTTTGGATCTCCTCCTTCGTTTCCGTCGGTTCCCCCCTCCTTTTCCTCCTCTTCTTTTATTACTCACTCATTTTTTGTTTCCCTCCATTTCGCCCTTTTTTTTTTCTTTTCCTTTCCCTTTTTGTTGAGAAGCACTTCACTGTTGTTTTCTCCATCAGGTGAATCCCTTTTTCTTTCCTCATCTCATTCCAAAACTCATTTAGCTTCATTCTTTTTTTTAGTGACCCCTGGACCCCAGCCGTTCCTTCGCTTCGTATTTTTTTTATTACGTTTCGGTGCTCGTCCTTTTTGTTCACTCGTTCACTTGACGGCGTATAAATAACCGGCAGTTGTTTTTACTTGTTTCCTCTTTTTCTCTTATCTCTCCTTTATTTCACGACAACCTCCTTCAACCGCAACACCACAGCCTCGCCGCCAATTTTATTATTCTTTTCCTTTCATCATTTTTTTTGACCAGTCTCTCCCAAAAGAATCACTTAAAGAAGAACTCCCTCTTTAAAAGAATAATAACACTTAACGAAACACAAAGAAGAAGACGAGCAGCAACCGTTGGCTCGGCCTTTTTCGTTCCGCACAGCAGTAGTTGTTGTAGCAGTTGCTTCTTTTTTTCCTGGCCGCATTACCTCCCAAGAAATAATGAATCCTTTCTCGGTCGTTACATACTACCACTTCAATCTTCCTTCGATCCCCTCTTCACTCTCATTTCTTCCTTACTTTTATTACACCGAAAAGAAAACCAGCAAGAGCAGAAAGAAACAACAAAAAAATTCTTCGGCCAACATCATCTTCACCCCTACTTCTTGCTCTTCTCCTTCGTCTACACTCAACTCTCCTTCCGCCTCTGATAACAGTAACAGCACAACTGGCAGCATGAGATCCTCGTCCGCCTCCATCTCTACCTCCTCACCCTCCTCTTACAGCTCGCCACGACACACTATCCGCAGGAACAACTCCATGTCCTCGGTTCAAAGCAGTCCCTCCGCCTACGACACAAAGCCAACCACCAGCAGCAGTAGCCTTGGCAGGGTCGCAGGAAGAGTCTCCATGGACAGCTATGACCGTGCGAGCTTTCTTTCCTCTTCTGCTCCTGTTGCGCCTGCTAGAACTTACACATCATCGTCCCTGTCGTATTCGTCATCGTCAGCAACTTCTCCCTTATCCTCATCACTCACAACTTCCATCCCCTCCAGATCCCGACACAAGAAATCGTCCTCTTCACCATCGGAACTGTTCTCGCCTCCTCTGGGGCCCGTCTCGACTTTGTCATCGTCGTCATCGTCCAACACATCGACGCCATCGCTGACGTCGCCAGCGTCAATTCCTACGATCGTGCTCGAAAACGAAGTCGAGCCACTGGACCTCCAACAACCCGACGTGGCCCACAGCAACAGCCACCACCATCATCATCAGCATTCACATCATCCACATCATCGCCGTCTTTCATCAGAGGAGACTACGCCGATAGCACCACCAACACCACCCCTAACATCGTTCTTCTTTGGCCGAGGTTCCGGCAACTCGGTCTCAAATACCCCAGTCAGCACTCCTCCAGCATCCCCCGCCCTCCTAGCTGCAAGAACCAAACCCTCGGCAACCCCAAGCCCCTCAACGACGCCGCCTTCATCTCCTTCGCTCTCCTTCCTGGCAACATGGCAGGGTCGTCTTCCGTCCATCCCACGGCCTTCACCCATGACGCCATTCAGAGCGGCCAGAAAGGTAGTCACCTCTGTCACTTCAGTCGGCACAGGCCTCCTCCCGTCCAAGGAACAACTCGGATCGATCCCGGTCGCCGGCCGGATCCTCAAGCACCCCGTGATGGACTCGACTCTGACATACATTGCCTCAAAGACGACCCACCGGGGTGGCAAAGAAGCCGAGAGCAAGCTGATCTCACCTGAGGATGCGCCGTACCTGAAGTTGAACCGCAAGCTGATTGACCAGTCCATCACCCTCGCCGGTCTGGCCATCGAGAAGGAGGACATTTCCAAGACGATGGATGACGAAGCTGCTGATGATGCCTTTGAGCTGTACTTGGCAGCAATTGCCACGCTCATGCACTCGTTGCCAAGTAAGTTTTTTTTTTCTCTTTTTTGTGATAACAGACTATGATACCCGTGTTTGTAATGCAATGTGTTGCAATCTACGGATCTCATTTTACCTGCACCTCCCCTGCCTATGTACATCCACTCTGGTACGTGTATGTTCTAACCCTAGACTGTCTTTCATCCTTCCTTTTTTTTTTTACCTCTTAATAGTTGAAACATGCGACCCTTTGCGACGTGAGGCATTCCAGTCCCAACTTCGAAGCTTCCTTGACGAGCACCAATTCGATGTGGTGACCACAACACCCTCCGCTGGGACTGTCCCCGCCGCCACCACAGCCACAAAGAATAGCCCCGATGCCGCCGATGCCGCCGATGCCAAGCAGCGCCGTCGTCTCCGTCGAAGACGTCATCGAGAGTACCGCGAGCAGGCACGGTCATTGATCCATCAATACTCTACCGCACCGCCTGCTACAAGTGCAGCTGCCGCTACCATGATTGTCAACCCTATCAGTAGTCGTCGGAGCAGCGCCCCATCTTCACTTCCGACCCCGCAGTCTATCCCTCTCGTGGCTCAACAAGCCTCTTCTGCATCCTCCACATCACCGTCGAGCCACCGTCGGAAACGCCGTCATCACCGTCGCCGTGACGACAACCAACACCATTCAAACGATGCCCCCACGCTCGGCGACACCATCATCTCCACCGCCGTCGAATCCGCGATCCGGCTTAAACAATCGCCCATCCCGGACGTTCTCAAGACCTGCTTCCGCGCCTCGCGGGTGCTCTTCTCCAAGGTTGACGAGAAGTTCCACTTACAGGAAAAGGCCTGGCAGCTGTCGAAGCAGTCGATCGAGAAGGCGATTGAGCTCGACGAGCAGTATGCGATCCACGAGGTCGTCACCGAAACCTTCTTTGCTACCGTCACAGGGCTCGTCAAGGCCGGGATCGCGTACAAGGAGACTCCCAGCTATGAGTCCCTTAGAACTACTGCTTCCTCTGCGCCATTGATTGAACCCAAGTCTACCCAAGGATCTGCTCTTCTCATGGCCCTTCCGCCTTCTTCCGTTGCTTCTGGTAGTAACTTGCCCAGGTCTCAGAACCCACAAGCCATCTTGCCCAAAAAATCAGCGCCTCTGCTGTCATTCCCCTGGCGGCGGTATTCGGTGATTGAGGAGGAGAAGGAGGAGAGCCGTAGCGACGGCGAGGACCAGAACGACGATGATGAGGAGGATGAGGAAGAAGACGGCGCAGGTGAGGGTTACAGCTCTGAGGACTCGTCTTCCTCCTGCTTCACCACCTCCGAAGATGGTGAGGATGGTGACCAAGTTGGCGAGAGCGACAGCGACTCCAGCTATCCTCCCCGTCGTCGTGGCAGTCTTCGTCGTCATTCGAGTGCTGTCCCATATACAGACCAGGTCCGACAGCGCCTCGACATGCTCATTGCCCTCCGTGGGGTCGCCTCATATATTGTCGGTGCCAAATAAATAGTCCTTAGATAAAATAACAGCGGTACTTTTCTGTGTGTCTTTCATCATGTTCTTATGCATGGTCTTGCCATTCTTATTTTCATGCAACGCTCTACTTTCTGCTGTTCACTCGATCTATTTCTTCTTGCCATCAAAGGTCTCATTCCAGGCCCAGTCTTTCTTGGGATCGTAGACCGCGTGTGTCTCTGTACCGGCGGCAATCAATGCATCTTTGTGCTTTGCCCAGATCTTTCCGTAGCGTGTGAAGGGCAGCTGAGGATACAAGTGATGGATGTTGTGCAAATGCTAATAGTATCAAGTGGATGATTGAAGAGATACGCGTATTTAGTATAAGGTTGCATCCATCCATCGCAGAGGGACAAATCCGTTCATCGTATCTGCGGAGTCAAGGTGCAATTCACGCGATGTGTTTGTTTTTACCTGGTTCAACAAGGGAATAGCGAGGTTGAATCCGTTGGAGTTTAGGATGCCTCCGGTGACACTGGTGGTCTTGTAGACGTTATCCTTTTGGTTGAACTGGTGGTCTCCATCCGGTCTATGAGGCACATACGCAAACAGCCACACCAGCAACCAGTACGCCTAAAATCAACAAAACAAAACAAAACAAAATGAGCAGTTGTCCATGTCATGTGTCAAATATACAAAAAAAAAAGTGGGCGTAAACAAACATGTTGAAATGAGAGAGACAGAAAGGTGTCGGGACTTACGGCGCGTTGGGGGATGAGCCAATACTTGACAAAGGCCATATTCTTGTCATTCATCTTCTTCATGAACCAGAAGATCGACAGATAGAACAGAGATGCATCCATTATCTTCCCGTTCTTGACCTTCTTCTGGAGGATCTGGAGGATCCAGAAAACGTCGGGGAAGAACCATTTGATGGATCGTATGACCATGGGTCCTTGAGAATCCCAGATGTCTGGGTCTGCGTCCGTGTTGACGTGTCGATGGTGCATCAAGTGCAGCTGACTATTAGTTCAAAGAAACGATGTGCTGTAATGTAAGAGAGTGGGTTTGAAGTAAAGTACCTCACTTCCGCCATGGAGAATAAATTGGGTAAGAGGAGGAACATACCGATAGGAGCCGAAGGGCAGGACCAAGGGGATACCACTGAAATAACCAACAAGGTTGTTGATGGGGACCTTATATTTCCCCTTGGCGATCGACGAGTGCGTACCATCGTGGACAGGCGTGAACGAGGCAAAGATGGCGGCAGTCATGAGCGGGAACGACACCAGGGGCGAGAACTTTTTCTTGTAGGCACCGTAGTACAAGACCGATGCCCAGATACTGACACTTCCAACTGCGACTGCAATCGTAGGGACGGCAATGGTAGGTGTCTTGAGATCCTCGGACGAGATCAGTGCCAGGCGTTTGACCCTTGTGGGTGGTGCTGCTTCTCCTGTCACGGTGGTGGCGGTGGTGGCAGTTGCCTGGTTGGCGGCTTTTGTTGGGCTCAGAAGGACTCCAGTGCCGTTAGTGGCGATTGTTGTAGTATCCTCGGTGTCGGAGAGTGTATCTTCCACATCTTCCTCTTGAATAACCTGTGCGACATGTTGTTCAACAGCGGCAGTCATGTTTCGTCGCTCTTTTTCGTTTGTTGCAGTGTAATAGAAACGGGGTGCACTACTCTTCTTCTCTTGATGAATGCGAATGAGTTTAGAGAGGGAGGTTGGGACAAGAGGAATGGGAATGTCAAGAGATGTCAAAATTCTTCATGATGAGCTTCTTAAAGTGTTCGCTCTACTCTAAGCTAACATTAAATTTTGAACCGAAGAAGCCACCCTGTCTTGCAGTACTCTCCTTCCCCTGAACGTAAAAAGTTGTGTGACTATGCGTCGAACCCGTTGCCCCCCGCCTTTCTCAGTTTCATCGACAGCTGTCAGTTCATACAGTAGGTCTATGCAGCAATGACAGTCAGAGGGTATCACAACAAAGCAAACAGAGTGCATAACGATCAGATAGCGAATCCTGCCATCACTTTGCCGTTCACACGCCAAGCGAGATAAAAAAAAAAGAACGACTCGGACACCCCACTATGAATCTGAAACTACCTCCTCGATGGTCATCTCCACTGTCATGTGGTACCCGCAATCGCTTGAGCTCTAGGCAACGACTCGGCAACCAGATCGCTTCTCCTCATTACATTTTCATTTCGCTTCGCCTCGTTTCGCCTCGTTTCGCCTCGTTTCGCATCGCATCGCATCACCTTCCATCGCGTCGCGTCCATTGAATGATTATTGATAAATACCCCTGGACTAAGATACACTATCTATTTAATGCCGATTACCACCAATTAGATCAGGATCAGATAAAAAAGGAAGCCAAGGAACTAACGGTTGATCAACACGGCAACGTCAGGAGTGACCAATACCGTAACTTCACTGTGTTTATGCTACAGTTTTCAAGACAAGCACATTGAATAATCTCCGTTCGCATTCATTCAAAACGTAACCACACATGGTCTTGGAAGCTGTCGGTTCTTGGGTAGACTTAAGGGTTGCACCATGAATCTCGCCCTCGTTTCCCTTCACCCCTTGAAGCAAGGCCAATCGCTCCTTCGTTCCTTCCTTCTCCCACCGCTCAAGAGCCCTCCTTTATTGTTCTTGTCTGTAAGTGTCTTGGAACCTTGGAACCTCCCCACGACTGCGATCGTCTTATTACCAGACAAAAGCACTTACCATCCTCATCACCTTTTTGAGTTCTGTAGGGTCTTCCAATCTTCACTCGACTCTGCCGCCTGAATTCCCTCCCACTCCATCACATCATCACCAACCACAACCATGGCAGCGACCATCAATTCTCTACAAGAACGACAGGACCAGCCAAAAGAATACCCAGTCTTGTGGTGGACAAAGTGGTTCGGAGAAACCATCGAGGAGGGCCGGGTCATCAACTTTTGTGGACTGCCTTACACCTGCAGGTTCACTCTGGATCGGACAAAGTACGATGAGGCCAAGGTCATCATCGTCCATGCCTCTAGCTTCGAACCCAACGATGTCCCTAATCTCCGGGATGTCAAGTCTGGCAAGAAAGCTCTTGTTCTCAACACTGGTAAGCAATCGAGAGAAAAAAATCGATTGTGTTTATCTATCAACGTGAACTCACATCTGCAATTGTTTTTTTTTTTTTTTTTTTTTTCGTTCTATCTTTCTATCAACCAAGCCGAGGCGCCTCAAGACTATATGATCAACTCAAAGTGGACGGATATCTTTACTCATCTATGGTCATACGAATTCACCGCGGACTTTGTGCATACTTACTTCATATCCGGACGAGGACCAGGAACATTCATCAACTCCATCCTCGCCAAACCAATGTACACCATACAGGAAAAGAACATCTTTCGGAAGGATTTGGCACCTGTCGCATGGATCGTCAGCAGCTGTAAGGCGAAGAACGGTCGCCACATTTATATCAACCAGCTGTTGAAGTACATTAAAGTCGACATCTATGGAAAATGCATGAAGAACAAGGACTGGCCAGTGCATCCAGGTAAAAAAAAAGATATCATCTTATTTACAATGCCATTTCTTCACTTACTTTACTGAAAGGCGGGACTAACTCGACTCTTCCCATTAACTCTTTTCTTTCAAAGATGGACGGGAGTATACAGACTTAGAGGTTGTGGGACAGTACAAGTTCTACCTGAGTATCGAAAACTCAAACTGCGACGATTACGTGACCGAAAAGCTGGATCGCCCTTATGCCGTTGGAGTCGTACCCATCCTAGACGGACCCAAGGATTATTCTCGCTTCATTCCAACCAACCACTCCTCTCTCCGACTAGACGACTTTGCAACACCAAAGCAACTCGCTCTCCGCATTAATCAACTGGATCAGGACGACCGGGCTTACATGAGATATCTGGACTACAAGGACTCAGAGTCATTACTCAGCCCGAAGCTGCTCGAGACCTGGGATCCTCCACAGGGAACTTGGGGACCTGACGGATCGGGATCACGTTGCGGTGTCTGCAAATTGGCGCATGACATGGCCGAAGGCACTTATGAGTATAACCCCAAGAAAGTCATTGGTCCCGACACAACTTGCTACTTTAAAAAGTGGGTGTATATCAGCTGGGTCGCCGAGTTTTATTGGTGGATGATCGTACTGGCGGTGCTTGGTATTTTCGCCGCTATCACTGTTGCCATTGTCTGCAGTAAAAGTTACAGGGCAAGGAGGTCTTTCCAGGCACTCAAGTACAACTTGACACCTAGCAGATGGAGAGAGAAAAGGATGGCGGATGGTAGCAGGATAACTGAAGAATATCTGCTTCTGGCATCGAAAACTGATTAGACCTAATAGGCATTAATACACGATTCATTTTGCATCTCACCTTCCTGTTCCCCTCAGTCATATATCTGTCTTATGTGCACATCTCGGCTCATGACTGACTTGCTGCTTGAAGTTGCATACAAACGACCATATTTGAACACTGGATCACGTTGACTAGATCCAAAGAGAAAGGAGGTGCGTGGTTGAAAATAATAATCTCAGACGGGAATTCCAGGGAAAGAACAATACGAGTGTTTAGCTCAAATCCGACGGACAAAACAACGTGTCAAGAGCTGGATAAAAAAAAGGCGGTCTTCCGAGGGTGAATGGCGATCTTGGATTGTGGTGATATTAACCTGAGCCGAGGTGGTGCCGGTAGGGAGGTCTGGTGCCGGTAGGCTCTCTAGCTTCATTGGATATTGTATGATGAAAGCCCAAAATCGTCCGTGAGATTAATGACAGGTCCTGTCGTGTCGTGGGTGCTGACATGATGGAGACCAACTGAGCGACGGTCGGAGAAGGAGGTGAGGTGCGAGTCGTTGTCATTATAGAGGTTCAGTAGACTCGCATCGTCACGAACGGTCGCTTTTTCGTCGTCCAGGACATCCAGGGACTGCTCGTAGGCGAGCTAGCGATACTGAGCCCATGCTGTGGCTCGTCGTCGTCAGGGCATGCGAGAGGGGGTATACCTCCAACAGTGGTATCGGTTTTCTTATGCTGGTACCCTCCATGTCTGCTGACTCGTCTCGTCTCCTGCATCACAATAGCGTCTGACAGATTGTCGGACTGTGAGGATGGATTAGCTAGGAACTCTGACGTCTCGACTATTGTCTGCCGGGTTGGCGAGAGCGAGAGCCTGGGAGGAGTAAGCCGGGGCTTCAGGACTCCCGTTAGCGCGTGCTCTGACTTCTGTTAAATTATCGCCTTGACTTCAGGTTGAGTACCAGTTTCTCGGGAGTCGAATAAGTGAGCATCTTATGTGGCGACAGCAACATGGAAGCGAGGAAAGGAGGCCTGAGCCTCGTTTTACCCATGCTAAGACAGTCACAAACCGTGGCGGTCACTGACAGCATGACGATTGGCAGCGTTTGTTGGTAGAGTGAGGACGAGCTACCGATCGATGACGACGATGGAGGGCAGCATGAGGCACCAAGGACGTAGAACACGATGGATCTCTATCACGGTCTGACACTAGCATTCTTGATCAATGAGTGGACCAAGTTGTTCAAGACGACGTCGAATATCGCAGCATTACTGGCCCGACAGTTGTGGGTGCGATTGAGGAGTTTGGTCGGAAGGAGATATGGCACGTACGTTACAAGGCGACGGTTGAATGGGAGAAGACCTAAGGAATAACAGCTCGAGAGAAGAAGGTGGGTGTGAGCAAGGGAGGAAGGCCGATAGGATTTGGCCCGCCAAGGCGACCAGTCGGCTTTTCAAAAGAAGGTCTGAATAAGGCGGACGAGAGGGTTGTGCAGCACGTTCATGGCAAGACGGTGTTGCACTTGATGAGACTGCCGCATAAAATCTTTAGCCCGAGATTTCGACTAGCAGGGACCCATCGGGCCCGACAAGTCGCGTAGGGGGTGCGGAGGGCTGGCTCGGTTATGGCCACTCCAAGGCGTTCATGCGACCCAAGCTTTCCCCATACATAATATTACCTCCATTGCTATTACAACCCGGTTAGTAATTCCCAGTGAAGGCATGGTTAAGGAAGGCGAAGTGGAATCCCTCTAAGATATGGATGTAAAGTAAGAGAACAGTCAATGATACTATCTCATGTGGCGGTGGTTGCCCAATTCATTTTCTATGTTGCCATAGACAAGGAGTTCGACGACTGGTTCTTTTTTTTTTTTTTTTTTTTGCTCTGTTCCAAATGAGAGAAGCTGTTGCTATGACAATTGTCCAACAAGTCAAGAATAAAAGAACGTGAAGCTGGATTTTTTTCTTGTGTATAGGCTTTTAATTTCTTTCTTCGCTGTGTGAATAGTAATGGATAAAAGGAACCCACTCATCCATATAATAAAAGTTGTGGCTATAGTTATCCTCCATCACCTCTATCCCCATCTGCATATGCTCCTTGGGCATCGTGCTGATAACGTGGCAGTTGGGACAAAAGTAGGCTGCTACGAAGCTTAAACTGCTCCCAGAGGTCATCAGATACTTTGAGGCGATCAGAAAACGGACCGTTTCCTCTGTCGACTCCATGTCATGATACTGTGCATCCGGGAGAGCTCGCTTTATATCCCGCAGCCGCTTCCAATTGCTCCACGACCAGACAGAGGGTTGATAGTAAATGAAATGTACCCTGTCAGCGGGAAGTGATATCGAAAGCTTTCGTCTCATTCCTTCAGTGATCCTGACGTAGGTCTCAGGTTGTTCCGAAACCGTGATGTCGCCAAGCCGAATGTGAATCGCCAGACGCTCCACTTGCTCGACTTTGTGTTGTCCTTGTCCTTGCACTGTCAATTCGTTGGCCTGCATCAGATCACGGATGTCCCTCGTGGCATTGAAGAATGAAAAGTCCGCATGGAAACAGTTGGGGTCAGGTCTGGGGTTATGAAACTGCGCTTGCCTTGCATTCAGGGATCATTTCCATCACTGTCCTGGGGATGTGTCGCGTCCACTGACCTTGCTTTGCCACCATTGTCTTTGCCGCCATGCATGGTGCAACAAAACAGTGAAATCTTTGGACCAAGAATAATTAAATACTCACAAACACATATACATTCACAGACATGTTAGTAACTTGAATAGTATCTTCAATATACACCCACACCACTATGCCACCCTCTACCCTTATCCTGCCCTTGTCCTGCCTTCGTCTCCTCCTCTTGCCCTGTATCATTTCCTGCCCCGACTTGCTCTGCCTGATACCTGTCAACTGAAACGTCAATCCGCCCTGCCTGCCTGCCCGTTGGACTCGTCTAGGTTCGCGACAGACTGGAGGTAGGGTGGCCGCTGTTGCTCGAGCAAGCGTCCTCGAATGGCATTACATATGTTGTGGCCGGCCATGATGTCGTGGTGCATGTACTATTGACACTTTGAACAATACAGCCGGCGGAGGTCAACTTGGGTAATGAACTCTCAACAAGTCGGGCATTTCTTCGAAGTGTAATACTAATCGACGCCAACGACGATGTAACCAAGAGGTAGGGCCAAAATAAGGGGGGGGAGGGGGGGGGGGGGGGGGGGGGAGAGAGCAAAGAGCAAAAAAAAAAGTTAATAAGTATCTCATCAAGCGTCAGGAGAAAATATTTGGCTGTATTTTACAAACTTACTTTTTGAACAAAGTACGACTGGAAGGACTCATACAAAGATGATAGTCTGATTTTGGGAGAAAACTTCCCAAGACCCACGCCAATAAGGGCTTTGCTGTCCTCGTCCCTCTTGGCACCTGTCTATCCCTCAACAAGCTATTAGAGACGATCAGCGATCAATCTATACTCTGCTCAAGTCTTTCCAGCGTTCCACTTGTGCTTCCTCAGGACCATATATAATGAATCGAGATCGGCATCCACCTCACGCTCTCTCTGAATGTAGTGGTTAATACTCGCTTCAAGGCCACGGCGAGGAGGTAGACTGGTCTCGATTTGGCTAATGGAAGCTCCCCTCAACTGTCTGCGCATTCCTGCGCTCCAGCCATCGTCTGTGCTTGAAGGTAGGCTGGTAGACAGCCTTCTGCTTTACGGCCAAGTTGAAAAACTTGGGCGACGATTCCTCGGCCTCTTCATCCTCCTCTGCCTCAATACTCGAAAGTGACGACTCCATGGTAGTGGCGCCAGGCTCTTGTACTTGTTCGACATTCAGCTGCTCGCGAGTGGGTAGAATCACATTCGCTTCAACGACAAATGCTTGGCCCAAGTCGATGCCGAGGATCTTGGTACTCTTGGGATCGCAACTCCAGAGCTGGGTGACATCCTGCTTCAACAGGCGAAGACTGGGACAGAGAAGTAGAGAAAGGGAGTGATGGTTATTACTGTGATACAGCTATATATATACAAAGTCGCCAACTAGGTTTCTAGGTGCAGTATCATATAGAGTAAGAGATGAGGGAGGGTGTGATAGTATCGTAGACTGGTCTCTTACTTCGCCTTCACGCCTCTCTCCCAACAAGTACGGAGTATTATTGACCGCTGCGGTGACCCTCGCCAACGATAGCCAGGTCAAGGATATCCAGCGAAGATAACATGCAGTGGTATTCATTGGGATGGACTCAGGCCGCATCACTAGACTTGGCAAAGACGACACTGCCTTCCACGAGGATTTGGCCTGCTAGCGGACAGAAGAAGGCCGATATATCCAGAGACGTTGACGGGGGTCTCTGGCGACTGGAAGGTGATACCTCTCGACAATAAGGCGGCAGACTTGCCCAAAGAAGTTGTTGCGAGGGAATTGAGCACCGATGGTGAGTACAATGAAGGAGGATACCGTGAGGCGACACTCTGCTTGATGGGCTGTTGCTCGTGACACCATCACCATACCCAACAGGTCTTGGTCGTTTAGACGCAGGTGTGCAGTTGAGACTTGCTCTTCGGTCACGGCATCGCCAAAGTCTTGGAGGCCGTATAATCGACGATGGAACAGGGTGGTGGCCGGTGAGCTGTGGGGTAGGCCCTCCTTCTGGCGAACGACGTTTGTGTACTGGCTGACGATACACGAGCGCTAAGGATTGTCACTGATAGCCGGTAAAGTATCCGTGGCAACAGAACGTTGAAGGTGTAAATGCAAAAACCGTTTGTCGGTGACAGCCTTTCGCGAGAGTATCTGGCACATCCTTGGCACCTCCTCCTTTACTAGCTGCCGTGTATGGGCTCCCTTGCCGTCAGCAGAGAACCACGCACCCAGGACCCTGGCAGTGGCAGAAGGCAAGGCGGTCACCGTATCCGCACCGAGCCTAATGGAGGAATCAGCAGAGGTAGAGTTGACCACTATTATTGATCTCTTGTAGCTTAGCCATAGACGGTGCTATCCAGTCCGTGTCATCCAGGATCTTGTGGAAAGCCCGCAGGTCAGCCCTGTTAACCATAGGGTAACCGAGGTTGGACTGCCACATCTGGGCGAGTAGTACTTCATAGATGATGCGAGGGAGCTATCTACTCCATCCTGATCCAGGCCGCAGAGAGGAGAGTACTCGTCCGCGAGTCCGTATGCGGTGATGATGCGGTTGGTGTTGCTTCTCGCGACGTAAAGGCACAGGTCGATGAAATCCCGTGGGATCTTGAGGCGTCTCAGACCCAGTCCCAATATTCCACCGAGTCAAAGCACCGCTTCATGTCCTGCAGCAGCACCTAGACCTCTTTCCTGTACTATCTGGCATCCTCGAGCACCGCGTTCAGGATATGAATCGGGTCCTTGGTCATGGTTCCCTTGAGCACCGAAAAGTTGGAGCCACGAAAGCTGGAGTGATGAGACAACACCAAGGTAAGCCGCTTCACCATAATAGAGGAAATCTTCCTGTCATGCTCCAACAGTGTGATATGGCGCACCTCACTAATCCCCCCCGACCACACTGGCCTTTTCGGTATGCTATAGATCACCCCCTTCAGCCAATCCTCCGGCATCGCTCCCTGTACAAAGCACGCCTGCACCAGGACGACAAACACTGCTTGGGCAAGGGAGCCCAGCCGCTTCAAAAGGTCTCCTGACACCTTCGAATCTCCTGGTGCCTTGCCTAGTGGAGCCGCCGCCACCGCTGCACATACCTCCAGATAATCGGGTATCTCCGTCACTGAGTCGACAAAAATACAGACGAACCCGTGATTTGATCTCGCTGGGGTCGTCAATGACATAGGTGACAGGAGAGACGTTTCCAGCGGCATCGGGGTTGAAGGGATTGACGTCGACAATGAGATGGTCGAGGTTCACACGTCCTGCGGAGATGTCAAGTATTCCTCGAATCGTTTGCTTTGTATGTGTCTGAAAGCGGAGATCGCGGTTCTCGATATGGGTGTTGATGATGTCCTGCTTGTTGGCGGCATAGTATTCCTGATGGTCCAGTCTCGCTTGACGCTAAGGCCTTTGCATCTCTCGCACCCGACTGTCCCACATATGTGTCGTTGCCTCCTTGTCCGGCACATGGCTCAGTCTTAGTTGCGTTCCGTTCGTGCAGTACCAATCAACAACCTTGCCATGCATGCCTCCTTGGTCGTCCCCTCCGCCAGCTGTAGTTCGACGAATGTCACTCGAGCGGACCAAATGATGCCCCCAAGTTCATGGATTTTGTTGAGGAGGAGCCCTTCACCTTCGGGAGGTGGAGGCCGAACACCGGTGCGAGCGCTAGGAAGATGTGCGAGCGCTAGAAAGATGTGCGAACGCGGAGGACACAGCAGTGTTACGGAGTAGCACCCAGGCAGCATAAAGGGAAACATCGCAAGTCATTCTCCGAAAAGGGATCCATCGCGTCACCGAGTTGGAAGGCAGCGGAAACTGAGGGACATTGTCCAGCCGTCCATAGGCACCAACGCAGCGTTCGAAAAAGGCGAAGAGAGAAAAATCTATGGGCAGCGGAGGAAAGAACGGGTGGCGACGCAATTCATGATACAGAGATTGGCGATTCAACTGGCTTCTTTTATTAATACTTCCTTTTTCGTTTCCAGATAGTATCTAAGGACCTGCAGGTGGCCAGGTTGGGAACAGCATCTTCCTTTACTTTCCAACACACAGCTGCAGGTAAGACCCTTTCCCTACTCACTACCCTTGTCTTTTGTTATCACTTCCTAATAAATCTCCCTTTCCAACACATCACTGCAGCCAGATACGTTGATTATCGTTCTCTACAAAAATTGACTGCGATTGAACAAAACTCCGTCCACAAACATGATCGAGATTCGAGAGGGAGTTGGGCTGTTGCCTTGGAACGAATTTTAGGGTGGATATTTTTATCAACAGAGATGGACGCCCTCTTGTACTCATTCGCCTTGGTAAAGAAAGGGTACTGGGCTGTCGCCTTCCTTGCAAACAACCATCGTCATTCCCCCCCTGCTGTCCCTTACAGCACAGAACGCCAAAAAAAATGCCTCTTCCTTCCCGTTTCCTTCACTCTCCCCTTCTTGTCCTTTCCAGTACAAATCCTAGAACATCCTCGTGGCCTCGACCGTCTACCTTCTTTCTCATTCCTGGACAGTAACACTCATTACCCTTTTTTTTTCTTCGCCTGAACACCTCATTACCTCCACCTACTCCATCACCACATCATCATCCTCGCCATGGCAGAAATAACCAACGCCGTACAGGAACGACAGGACCAATCAAAACAATACCCTATCCTGTGGTGGACAACATGGTTCGGCCAAACCGGCGAGGAAGGTCGAGTCATCGACAACTGTGGTCTCCCTTATTCCTGCAAGTTCACACTGGACCGGAACCAGTATGATGAGTCAAAGATCATTATCGCCCACGCCCCGAGTTTCCAGTTCGACTTTCCTCATCTCGATGATCTCAAGTCTGGTAGAAAGGCACTCCTCCTAAACACACGTAAGTACCGTCCAATTGATTTCAAGAAAATCAAACATTAAGCTATGACCTGTGTTCGGTTCATCACTATCTCTAACGGTCGCATGTATACTAACGTTACAATTGCATTTTTTAATCTACCCATCAACAACAGTAGAGGCGCCTCAGGGATTCCAGATCAACTCAATATGGACGGATATATTCACCCACATGTGGTCGTACTCATTCGGGACTGCCGACTTTGTCGAGTCGTACTTCGCGGCAGGACGAGGACAAGGCACATTTATCGAATCCATCCTCGCCAAACCAATGTACACCATCCAGGAAAAGAACGTCTTTCGAAAGGACTTGGCACCTGTCGCATGGATTGTCAGCAATTGCGTGGCGAGGAACGGACGCCATTTTTACGTCGAGCAACTCTTAAAGTACATCAAAGTCGACATCTATGGAAAATGCATGACGAACATGGCCTGGCCAGTGCATCCAGGTAAAACGGAAAAGAATATCGCATTTTTTATAGTTCCCATTTAATTCGTTTCATTACTGCATGGCGGACTAACACGACCGCACTCTTTATCTCTCTTCATTCAAAGATGGACGGGCATTTGCAGCTAATGAGGTAATGGGACGGTACAAGTTCTATCTCAGCATCGAAAACAACAACTGCGACGACTATGTGACGGAGAAGATCCAGCGCCCCTACTCCGTGGGAGTTGTGCCTATCCTGGACGGACCCAAGGACTACTCCCGTTTCCTAGCAACCAACCACTCCTCTCTCCGACTAGACGACTTTGAGACATCTAAGCAACTCGCTCATCGCATTCTTGAACTGGATCAGGACGACGCCGCCTATATGAAGTATCTGGACTACAAGGAATCCACCGCCCCAATTGAGTCGTTGCTCAACCCAAGGCTACTTGAGACCTATGATCTGCCTCAAGGAACATGGGGACCCGATGGAAACGGAGCTCGTTGCGGTATATGCAAGATGGCACACGACATGGCTGAGGGCACCTACCAGTTCAACTCCAGCAAAGTCATTGGTGCCGACACGACTTGCACCTTCACAAAGTGGGCGTCTATCAGTCAGGAAGCCGAACTTATTAAACGGGAGGCTGAGTTGTATTGGTGGATCGTTGCACTAGTTGTGCTTGCCGTCTTCACAAGCGTGGTTGTTATCATTGTCTGTTACAAGAGTCGCAGGGCGAGAAGGTCTCTTCAGGTGCTCAAGAACAACCTGATGCCAAGTGGGTGGGGAGAGAAGTTGGGCAATGATAGCACGAGAATGGAAGATTATCAGCTTCTAACATCTCAAAATGAAGACTAGATAGAGATGTAATATACCACATATATTACCATACTTCTCCTGCTATGTTGTTGTGGCTGTGTATGAGATCTGAAAGGGTCGAGACGCGACTTTGAGGAACGTGGACGTGCGTCTTGGGTTTGTGCTTCGGGTAGACAAAAATTGGGACAAAAGCTGGATCTAATAGGGTGATCCACACCGAGGGCGAGTGGACGGATCTCGGATCGTGATGATGGTGACTTGCGTTAATGTGGTGTTTTCGGGGGACTGTTGCAGATCGGGTCTCTCTGGCTCCATCGGATATCGCAGGCGAATGCACAGGTTCGTCCCTGCGATCAATGACAGGTTCTGCTGTGTTGTAGATAACGTTATGATCGAGACCAACTGGAGCGGGGTCCACAGGGGAAGCTGTTCTTGACTTCAGGCTTAGACAGGGGTGAGCGACGGTCGGTGGAGGGGTCCTGTAGGGTCAGCATCCGTAATGAGAGTCGCATCTCTGTCGTCCAAGACATCCATAGACTTCTCGCTGGCAAACTGGGTATACTGCGGTTCACACTGTGGCTCGTTGACAAAACCTGCAAAAGGGGACATGCTTCGTTGGCTTCATCGTTGTTGGTATCCTCCAGGTCTAATATCTCATCTTTCTGCGTTATGACGCTGTCAGTCTGAGTAGCCAGTCTGCGAGCATGAGGTCCAATAAGACTTTTCTGATGTGCTGGACCTTATCTGCCAGGTCAGCGAGAGTGGGAGCCTGGGAGGAGGAAACCGCCGTTTCGAGGCTGTCGGGAAGGAAGAAGAGTTGAGGTTAATTGGGCTGTTGTCAAACTTAAGGGTTATCCTGTCCTGTACTGTACCTGGAAAAAAAAAAAAAAAAAAAAAAAAAAGTACTGCACCTTGGGAGCGACTCCGAGGTTCCCTCCTTATCCCCTTCCACTCTCCCTCCCTCCTTCGTCTTTTCACCTATCCCTCACTACATCCTCCTGCTCCATCCCCCTTTCTCTCCCGCACAATTAATAGAGCCTGCTTCCTGTTCACCCCTGGGTGCCACGTTTACTTGTTGATCCTGGACAGCAACACGTATATATAAATATATATAAATTTTTTAGGTTGCTAGAGCCCTCGCTCTTCTCTTCCGCCTGGATTCCTGCCCACACCTTCTCATCATCAATCGCCATGGCAGAGATCACCAGCGCTTTACAGGAACGACAGGAGGCAAAGGAATACCCTATCCTCTGGTGGACAGAATGGTTCGGCGAGAGAGTCGAGGAAGGCAAGGTCGTCAACTACTGTGGTCTGCCTTACACTTGTAAATTTACTCTGGATAAGGCCAAGTACGATGAGACCAAGGTCGTCATCATCCATGCATCCAGCTTCGAGCCCAACGATGTTCCTAATCTTCATGATGTCAAGTCGGGAAAGAAGGCTCTCGTCCTCAACACTCGTAAGTAAACATCGAATTGAAGAGATCTCTGTTCTCAATTGTGTCTGTTTCACTTGTCAACTCACAGAGCAACTGCTTTTATTTACCCTTTCAATTAGTCGAGTCGCCCAAGCCCTTCCAGATCAAATCAGAGTGGACAAGTATCTTCACCCACTTATGGTCCTACTCATTCAAGGCGGACTTTGTGGCGACCTACTTTGTGACAGGACGAGGACCAGGAACATTCCTCGACTACATCCTCTCCAAACCAGTGTACACCATCCAGGAGAAGAACGACTTTCGAAAGGATTTGGCACCCGTCGCATGGATCGTCAGCAGCTGTGAGGCGCATAACAAACGCCACTTTTTTATTAAGCAACTGTTGAAGTACATTAACGTCGACATCTATGGTCACTGTATGAAGAACAAAGACTGGCCAATGCATCCAGGTAAGCAACCTATTTCATTCACGATGCCATTGCCTTTGTTTCTTTACTGTACCGCGGACTAAACTCGAATTCCCTCGTTACCTCTGTTTCTTACAAAGATGGACGGTCATTCTCGGATCGCGAGGTCGTGGCACGGTACAAGTTCTACCTCAGTCTCGAGAACTCCAACTGCGACGACTACGTGACCGAAAAAATCGAACGCCCATACGCCGTGGGAGTCGTTCCCATCCTGGACGGACCCAAGGATTACTCCCGCTTCCTGGCGACCAACCACTCCTCTCTCCGACTAGACGACTTTGCAACGCCCGAACAGCTCGCCCTCCGCATTCACCAATTGGACCAGGATGACAACGCCTACTTGAAATATTTGGACTACAAGGACCCCGCCAACCCAGTCGACTCGCTGCTCAATCCAAGACTACTCGAGACCTTTGATGTTCCTCAGGGGACTTTAGGACCGGACGATCTGGGAGCTCGTTGTGGGTTGTGCAAGCTGGCGCACGGCATGACGGAGGGGACGTACCAGTTGACCCCCAACAAAGTCATTGGGCCCGACCCGACTTGTTACTCCATGAAGTGGGGGTACATCAGTTGGGCCGCCGAATATTATTGGTGGATTATTGTCTTGGTGGTCCTGGGTATCTTTGCAGCCGTCACTGTGATCATCGCCTGTAGCAAGAGCCGCAGGGCCCGTAGGTCGCTCCTGGCGCTCAAGTACAACCTGACACCTGCTAGATGGAGAGAGAAGAGGATGCCCGATGATCACTTGAAAATGGAGGATTATCAGCTTCTTGCATCGCAAAACGAGCACTAGAACTTACTTACGTTGATCTAATAGACTACCAAACTAAACATAATATTATTACCTTTCCGCATCCTGCAATTTTGTTATGGATGAGAATGAGTTGTGCAAAGGTGTTTGCTGTGTATGTATGTGTTGCTTTGCGGTCGCTCAGACATAAATTCAAATAAAAAAAGCACCCTTCTTTCCTTAAACAGCCTATTACAAACCAACACACCCACCATGGGCTCCACCATCGCAGACTGGGACATCTCCTACATCCGAGTCTGAACCGCCCCAGAGTCCAAGTGGATCGATAAGTTCGTCAAACAGACCCCCCTCGCCAATTGGACCTTTGACGCCTTTTGCGAATTCTATCGAACCGACCTAGGAACTGTCGATCACTTGTTTGAACTCTACCGGTTCTACTCTCACCTTGTTTCTCAAATCTGAACCTATTACCATCATCGACGCCACCTCCAGCAAGTAAAGGAATAGGAACGATGACATAAACAGTGAAGGAAGCAGCAGCAGCGACGTCAGCAAGTTGCATGTATCTGTGCTGGCCAAGGAGTTTGCAGAGTGGTTCCAGGACAAGCCCGCAGTCGACGAATGTCTGGCGACTAAGATGTATCAACTCCAACAGCTGCACGATCTCCAGAAACAACAACAACAGCGGCATCACTAGCAGCAATGCGTCCCTGCTCTCGAGAAGGTTGTCCTAACGCCACCAAATCTTCGCCCTCCCCCCCCCCTATACGTCGGTCTCTGCCACTGGCCCAACCTCTACGTCTGCCTTTGTGTCTATCCCATCTCTAGCTCCAGTTCCATCTCAAGGAAGATCAAACAACGCGACAACCACGACCTCTGAAATCGAACCACTGACAGACGCCAACATCGCATCATCCAAGCTCTCCACCGCCAACTACACACCCAAAACCAAAAAAAAAAAAAAAAAAAAAAAAACATCAACACGCTTCTTCCAGCAGCTCCAAGACTGCTTCCACCAGACAGAGATCCGACTCTAGAACACATAGACCCAGCTCCAGGAGACGAACCATCAGCTGTGGCAGACACAGCCGCAGCTCGCTCGGAGTCATGTCCAGATCGGGGCGATGATTCAGCCACAGACTCAATCGAAGTCCTCGACACACCGGTCCGGTCGCTCCAACCTTTTCCGCATGCGAACGAGAACCTCTCTCGAACTCACCGCACGCGTGTGAACTGTATATCAGTCTTGATGATCAATAGACGTCTCGATCTGCCAACAAACCAACAATGAAAACAACCTGTGCCACAACTCGTAGCAAACGATATCAACCAGAACTACCGAAACCACTGCAGAATAATAAAAATTAGCACTAAAGAATGTTAAACCATTCTACAAACGAAAAAAGTGTCTGCATGTGCCAATTTGGTGGCGTCGTGCAGTTTGCTCCTGAATCCAGAAATTCAGTGTAAATATCGTGGAGTATCATTTCATCGAGACCATTCCATTCATGTTCTAGTTGTTTGTTGTAATTGTTATTGTTGTTGTTGTTGATAAGTCCATTCGTCTATCTCATTCCCACTCCTTCAAAAAGAAGAGAGTAACAGAACCAAGGTTGTGCTCCTGTCAACAAATCCTTGGTATCGCTCCATTGCTGCTTGCTCCTCATTCCGTTTTGAAGGTAGTTCCGAGTTTCGCCGTCAGATCGTGTTTGTCGTCAGTATCAGCGTATCGCCACAAACTCCCTGGAATTTAGTTTCCAGGGGCGCTGTGGTCCTTCTCAAGATCCCTCAACAACTCTCTCATCCTGCTGGTATCACGACGGCCGGCCTTCAATGCTGCAGTAACAGCGGCAGGGTTGTTGTCCAAATGGCGGTTGATACGCTCCCACTGAGTTCCTGAAGAGACATCATCCCTCTTGGCCAGGAATGCAGCCTCCTTGTCCCTGTAGTTTTGTCGAATAAGTATAAATGATAGAGTCATAGGTGAATAATCCGTTTTGCAGCTAATGAATCGCGCTCCCTTGACAACCGATCCACAAAAGACACGACAAGAAGGTGAGTTGCGTACCTGTTTTCTGTGATGGACTTGGCCTTCTTCTGGTTGTAATCCTCGTAGAAGCGGTCAATGGACTCATGTGCGGCGCCAATGGTCTGCTGGCGCTTGGCCTCTGACCTCTCGTCCTTCTCCGCAATAATGACTGACTGCTTCTCGCGCCACTCCCTACGAAAACAAAAGTCAGAAAAGCGTAGTGTAAAAACAGTTGCGTTAGTTACAGTGGACAACGACAGGCAAGGTATGTCTCTTTCCTTTCCAATTGCGTTCAAAACGTAAGACGAAAACATGTATGAACAACTGTTTCCAAATCGCCCTATGAACGTACTTGACGACCTCAGGAACCTCGGGGGCCTTGAACTGAGGAGCACGGGCCAGAGAGGGGCTGGGGCTCCCGAATGCGTTGCTGGCTCCAGTTGCTTGGATGGGGATGCTTGCGGCAAAGGTCTATAAATAAAACAAAAAGGATGTCCAGTTAATATTGAAAAAGTATGTATAAATACACTCCCGCGCTTCAGACGAACCTGTTCCCACAAGCACAAAAAAAAGGCTCCCTCTTTCCTTCCTCTCTGTTGACCCCCAACCAAGTCATCAACAAAAGACTCTTTCTTCATCCCTATTCCTTCTTCCAAGTTCGTATGCGCTATTGTCGTCCCTTGCCCTCCTTTCTTACCTGGCTGATGGGGGCGGACTCCGTCTCGATTTCAGGAAAGTCGCTATGGAATGCGCCAAACTCATCGTTCTCAATGCTGACCGAAGGAACTGTAGGTGTAGCGCCAGTGCTGCCGGTGCTGGTCAGTCCAGCATCATGGTCCTCAAAGCTGGGGAAGCTCGACTCGAAATCGCTGCTGATGGTGTTGTTGTTGGCGTTGGCAGAGGTAGGGGCTGATCCTGAAAGACCGGCCAAAAAGTCGGCGTCGCCTCCCAAGATGGCCTGCTCGCGGGCCAAGAAGTCGGCCGTTGGGTCATCTGAGCCAAAGTCGGTGGTTTTGGAGGCAGGGGCGTCGAAGGAAAAGTCGTCCATGTTTGATGTGGGTTTGTGTTGAAGGTGAAGTGGTGAAAGACTAAGAGTGTTGAAAAGGCCACAAGGATGAGTGCGTTAGTGAGAGGGAAGGTGCATTTAGCAAGGAGAGGGGTAAGAAAAACGGCGCGCCCATCGGTGGTGTTCCTGAGTGTTGCGGTCAGGCGCGTACAGAGCATTGGAGGTGCTGGTTGGTGTTGTCCAGGAGTTACAACTAAAAGTCGACTGTGCGTTCTTCTGCGAAGTACAATGAAGAAAAGTCGTGCATGTCGGCGTGTTCCTTTTGCGTGTGTCCAACGGGCAAGTCGACTTACGGTGGGGAGAGGTTGAGTGGAGATGAATAAGAGTAGAAGAGGCACAAAAGGTGCAAGATGAACAAAGAGGTATCCCCCAGTCTCTGTGACGTGGTTACATCACATGATACGGCTGGCATTAATGCGCACAAGGCGCCACGAACGAGTATTCTTCTTCAAAGTGGATGGTTTATTTTGGTTCAGAGGTCCGTGGCAAAAAAGAGGTTTCCTTGAAAGCAGCGAGTGCAATGTACGGCAGGGATCCTGTCTTCCTGAGGTTTCCAGGTTTCAGGTTTGACAACTTGCAGTAGATTCTCACGTCACTTTCAATTGTCCCGCGGTTGGTTCAAAACACCTCCCCTTCACCACCTCTTTGTACTCTCCCCTCTTCAATGCAATAGGACGAGTGAAAGAGTGAACATGAAAACCATCAGAGTAACAAAAAAAAGAGGAAAAAAAAAAAAAAGAGTGTAAAGGTCCATCAACATAATGAATAGCGCGTTTTTCCCATCGCAGGCATTATCCTTATCTGGTCGTTAGGGTATGATCTCAGCTCGAGTGAATCTTTTCCTTCCAAGCAACATGGTTCGTAGAAACCAATTGCTTTAAGAAAAACCACACACGGGCACCCCCTGCGCTATTCGTTGAACGTCCTTGGCAAATATGAAAATGAAAAAAAAAGAAAAACCAAGTCGAGAACATTCAAAAGTGGTATAGAGTGAAGTAGAAAACTTCCAAGAAATTAGGGTGTAAAAAGTAAATGAAAAACGAACAAAATAGAATGCAAAAATGAAGAAAAGAAACGGAGGATGTACAAGAGCAGGAAATGTTCTCGATATGAACAAAAAAGTAGAGTGCGGACGAGAATGAAAAAAGCACTCCATAAAAAATGAAAAAACACAAAGTCGTCCCCATCAGCCCACAATATCCTCTTCATATCAATCACTGCATATCGAGCGCTCACTTCATCTCAGCGGCAGGCTTGTCGGGTCCATAAGACTCTACATCACGAAGGGAGCTAGCCTTCGTGTCAGAGACCACCTCGCCATGCTCCGATCCGGCAGCCTCAGGAGGCAAGGTCAATGGGATGGGGTACTTGAATCCACAGGCCAAGCGGAGGTACTTCTCGACGGTAGCGACTAACATGGAACCGAGGAAGGAGAAGACCAAAGGAAGGACAAACGAGGGCCAGTCGTACGACTCGACAAAGGTGTAGTGCAGTCCGTCCGCCATGTTGCCCGTCTTGACGTATCCAAAGACCACGATAGACAAGAATCCAGTAATGATGCCTGAGACCATCGACCATCCAGTGACAAAGCCCTCGAACCGAGTGACAAGACCCATCAACAGAGGCACGGCGCAGAAGGTGCAGACCAAGTTTCCGATCAGGAAGAGGTCGACAATGTTGTAGCCTTTGAGTGAGACAAAGACGATGGGAATGTTGATTAGGAAGACCAACACACGAGGATACCAGACACTCTTTCCGCGGAAGAAACGGGAAGCCAGCGTATCGACAATGGCGTTCTGGAGGGAGTCGACACATCCTTCGTTCATGGTGACAACGGACAGGGCAGCGAGGACAACAATCCAAGTAGGAGCCGACTCCTTTCCAGCACCGAGGAGGTCAAAGAATCCAGTCGATCCATAGGGATCCGCAAGAGGGAAGCCAGCCCACATGGCCAAGAAGCCACCGAATCCGTATAAGAAGCAGACAACAACAAGTCCCAGAGCGCCCCAGATCGATCCGCGCTTGAGAGCCCTCTCGTCAGCCGAGGCCCAGATACGCTGCCAAGGACCCTCAGAGAAGATGGTGGCACAGGTCATCGAGATGGGCATGGCGCCGACGGCGGCCCAACCCCAATAATTGGCTCCAATGGTCTCAGGCAAGGGAGTGGGCAAGCTCTCGGGACGGTAAGTGATGGCGACGTAAATAGCCATGATGACCAAAAGGAAAACTCCAAAGACTCCTTGGGCAACGTCGGTCAAGAGCGAGACGTAGAGACCACCAGCAGCAGTGTAGATTGAGGTGACAATGGCGACCACAAGAACAATGGGCAGGCGAGGACCACCAATAATCTGCTCAAACAGGTTACCGATAGCGGTGTATTCGGCGGTGAGAGCGATAAACATGTTCAGCAACATGACAAGGGTGACAATGATCGTAGGGATGGTTCCGAAGCGCCACTGAACAAAGTCTCCGAGCGAGAGGACTCCGGGATACTTGCGATGCAACACGGCTCCCACACGGGCAACCAAGAAGATGGGGAGACCACACGAGATAGAGTAGGCGACCAATCCGACGATTCCTGCCGAAACAACATATGCAGGCATAGCAGTGATAACCCTATGGACGTGGAAAAAGTGATTCAGTATGGAATGCAAGGCAAATATTTTTCGAACGATGAAGAAATGGATGATGGATATAACATACCAGGCACCAACACCGGAGGCATAGAAGGACCAAGCGATGGTTCGTTCAGGGACGGAGCGACGAGCGGTCAAGAAGAACTCTGTGGTGTCCTTCTTGACCTTTTGGCGGCGGTGAGCAAGGATCATGGCCACGACTCCAAAGAGGACGATGGTGGTGATGGACAGGCCGTAGGTGATAGAAACCAGCGACATGGTTTGTGAGTTCGTGTGCTGGCGAAGAGGAAGGGGAGGTGGAGAGGAGAGGGGAAGGAGGGGAGGAGGAGGAGTGGTGGTTGTGTGAAAAGGGTAGAAGAAGAAAAAAAGGAGGAAGAAACAACAAAAACAAAAAAATAAGGTCTGGACGGAGTGACTGTCTCACACTTTGCGCCACGCCTCGTCCTTCTCTTTCTGAGCCATATTCCAGTCTCCGGTGGATAAAGATGGCGACAACATTGGCCATTGGCGGAGTGTTTACGATAGATCCGTCTTGATCACAAAAGAAAAAAGAAGAGAGAAAGCTCGTGCGGTCCTTTTGTCTGGGTTGAAAAGAGAAAGAAAGAAAAATGAGAAAGGATCTGTGAGCAGTAAGCGGGCGCAAAAAGAAAGAAAACAAATATGCATGCGGGCGAGCAGGATGACAGAGGAACTACCCCGTGGGTCATCTTGAAAATCTTCGTAGCATCTCGGAAGGAGGAATGATCAAACAAACAAAAGATGGTAAAAAAAGTCATCTTGAAAAGAAGGGCATCATCTCACAAGCTCGCTCGCTCCAGAACCACCTGGTTGTGCAGGCAAAAGAAGGGCAAGACAAATAAGGTCAACAATCGCACCGCTCAATGCAAAGAAGGAATCCATTCGGACTCAGTCCAACTGTCACTCCGCAGACCCACTCACTTCAAAAGGATCCAGACCCCTAAACTCAAACCCTGGGAAAACAAAATTAAGCATCTGGCGTCCCAGGTACTCACATTTTTTATTTTTCGAACAAGTGCCTACTCCTTAGCGCCTTCGACCTTACTACTCTCAACAACAACATCATCATGACCGCCCTCGCCATTACCGTTGTCGTTATCGTCCTCGTCTTCATCATCCTCGCTGTAATGATCACTCTCATCCCCTGCAACACTACTCGTCAAACTGTTGGTGCCGCTGCCTCCATTCGAGGGTCGTCCTGTGCCGGCATCTGGACCGTACTTTTTCCTCCATGCCTCAGTACCGCGTCGGATCCTCTGCTTCTCTTCCAACTTGCGCTGAGGAATTACCTTCAAGAAAGCCTCCTTCCAGTCCTTACACTCAATAAACTGAAGCAAAATCTCAAAAACTAAGCGTCACACGAAAGTCGAATGGTCGTTAGATATGTTGTATGAAAGTGATAAAAGAGTAACATGGGGAACCACACAACCATGCAACAGAACTTAAAAAAGCAAGAAAGCGCTTACCTTGGTTGACGGTAAGGACACGGCGACTGGACATTTGAATATACTCTCCGATGGGCAACTGAGCCGTCTCGATCCCGAGTTTTTCAGCCTTGCTCTGACACAAGTTAGGAAAACGGTTCTTGTCGACAATGCCACCAAGAATATAGCAAGTACCAGGGACGAGCTCTGTGATCGTGTTGGGAGAATCCGCGCTCAAGTACACAACCTTTTTCACTGCTGGGGTAGTTGCCAGACTCTCCTCCTTCAACGCACGTTCTGCCTCCAGGATCTTGATATCCTCTGTCGTAGGATAGTCTTCCGACGATGCTGTTGTTGGTGCTGCGGCGGCAACGGTAGTGGCGTCTGTAGTTATAGGTAAAGTCGATCCGGAAGCTGAGTTGGTGGCGTTTGAAGATGCCGCTGCGGCTGCTGCTGCTGAGGCGGCCAAAGATTTTGCCTTCGCAGCTTCAGACTTCGCCGAAGCAATGACCTGAAGCTTCTTCAATTCCTCAATACGAGCACTGCCAGGGATCTCCTCTGAAGGCCACACTTCCTCTAAATTCTTCTCGTGGATCGTAAAGTTTTTCCAGAGCTCGAATCCGTTGGCGCGCTTATCAAACTCCCTTCTAGACTGTCCTGTGAACGATGTCAACGCCAGATGAACAATCTTTTCGCACGTCCTGTTGTGAGAGTAGCAGCGCTTGATCTGATCCACCATCGACTTCACCTCCTATATGGTAATTGGACAGCATTATCGTGGAGATATGAACGGTTGTTAATCCATTGGCCAAGTATCTTATGGTATGATATTGGAGACGATCGGTGTTCATCCTGTAGGTACCTTCTCAAGCATCAAGTCGTCAAATGCCATGTCAATTCCAATCGTGATTCCTGACTGGATCTGGTCGAGCTTCTGTCGTTTTGGTGGCGGTGCGATCAGTCCTATTGATCAGAAGGCAACGTATGCTATTAACGACTTTGTCACAGCAAGCATTCATTCCGCAAAAACACAACGAAAGCCAAGTGTAAGCGAGACGCGCAAAAAGAAAAACAAGCGTATCTCACATACCAGCTTCAATGGCCTCACGACGCATCTGATCCTTCTGTTTCCGTTTAAGCTTCTCCTGAGCGCGCATCTGGGGTCTCCGTTCCAAAAACTGCTGCTGCTTCAAAAGCTTTTTGGTGGCGTTCCTAGACAATGGCTTTCCGTCAGGTCCCATCATGGGTGGCGCTCTTGGCTTCCAGAAAGGGTTATCGGGGTTGCTGTTGCCATTGTTGTCGTTGGCGCTATGAGAGGCAGGCGTGCTCGACTGGTCTGAAGTAGTAGAAGTCGTTGTTGCTGTTGTATCTTGAGTTCCCTCGCTTGTTTTGGCAGCTCCGGCTCCTGCAACTAATGGTGCGGCAGCATCACCATCGACGACCATCGTTTCCTTGCGATCGGATTCCATTGGCTCAGACATTTGTGTGGACTTTAGTTATTGAAGATGTGTTTTTTCTTTGCAAGTTGAGGCGTGATAGTCTCTTGTGACTGTCTTCATTGTTTACATGGTTTGGTACATGAATGCAAGTCAAGAGAGAGAGTTGAATGGCAGCGATATTGTACAAGTTTTTATTTTTTGTGGATGCGAGTGTGATATGTTCAGATGAGTGGAGGGTGGAGTGGGGAAGTGGAGCGGATGACCGCTGGAGAGGTGGGCCTCACCATTGGGACGAACGGATACGGAGAAGACCCACTGCAGCATCGAAGATCGACTTGTCAGGCTCGTCAGTTTGATCCTCTAGTGCCTCGGGTCCGTTCGATGCCGTCCAAGGCTGATTCCCGCCGGTAATCCCTTCGACAGGTTTGTCCAAGGCAGCATCTCGTAGAGGATAGGACTCAAAGTGATCAACACTCTGGTGCTCTCCATACGAGCCATAAGCCCTTGTGTCCTGTCCTTGAGGTGGGCGCTCGTTGTAACGGGCCAATGTCGACAATGGCGAGGGAGGTCTCTGGTACCCATAGCCAGATGGGTGATCGCGACAGGCTGGTCCCTGAGGAGCCATTGCCGGATAATTAGGTTGGGCTCCATGGTATGTGTAGCCTGGAGCTGCGGACTCCGGGTGGCCGGAGGGGTGGTAGTCAGGACCCATCGGGTAGGGCTGAGACTGCAACTGCGATTGTGAATGGGATCGCGAATGAGTCCGCGATGGACTGGGATAGAACGATCGAGGTTGAGGGGCCATTCCTCCGTATCGGTCATCCCCATAATACTCCTGCTGACCAGGAGGTGGTGGGCCATGAGTAAACGTATGAGGCTTGCTGTGGTCATAGTTGGCATGGCCATCAAATGTTCCAGAACTGGGGTTTGGTCCGGCTGGATGGCGAGGGCTAGGTGGTCTTGAGAACACTCCCTTGGGCGGATGTACACCTCCTTCCCGGACCGAGGAGTCCGCCGTCGTGGCCTGACGCAGTGGTGCCAAGGAACACGCTCCTGGAGGGGGAGCATTGACCTCTGGAGCTTTCTCGGACCTGCTCTTGGCGTCTGCATGCTCGCCTTCAGCTCCCGCTTGGTTGATGACGTATCCTGCGCTCTCGTCATCGTTTTCGTTCTTGGCCTTCTTCAAGCCATTTGCTTGGCGAGCGCCCTGCTTTCCGTCCGCATCACGTCGGTCCTCCTGTTGCTGCTCGTCGTGGGCCTGCTGCTTAGCGGCCAACATGTATCCGTTGTTGTTGTCACCCAATTGCAGAGCGCGCTGCTCCATGGCTGCCATGCACTGGTTCAGAACACCGTCCATGCGAAGGTGACGAACAAGTGCGTCTTGTCGGACAAAGGTGGCCTCGCATACGATACATTTGTAGGGCTTTTCAGACAAATGCTTCTTGGCGTGGCGATCCCGATCGTGACGTCTGGAGAATGCAAATTGACATGATTCACAAACAAAAGGGCGGGCCTTGGAGTGCGTCCGCATGTGTGAACGAAGGTTGAAGAGGCGTGAGAAGCTCTTGTCGCAATCGGGCTCAGGGCAGGCATGAGATGGCTTGGGCTTGTTGCTCTTGGGCTTGGCGGATCCTTCTGGGAGGACAACACCGTCCGTGGGAAGACCAGCTTTGGAGAGTTCCTTAAGTTGGCTGCTGACATAGGCAGCATGCAAATTGGCGGAAGCTCGCTGACCGATGCCCAACTCACTCAACTCGTGAGGTTCCTGGCGCTTCTTGGGCGTTTTAGTCCCGCTGGAGGAGTTTTTGGGCTGAGGGTCTTCAGCACGCTCGGAACCGGATCTTGATCCTTTTCCATATGACCACGATGTGGGAGCCTGGTCATCAAAGGACATGCTCTTTGTCCTTGCACGCATGCCTGCTTCATCGTGGTCATGATTGTAAGAGTTGGGCGATGACGGTACCACGGCGGTTGGCGAATGAGGATCTGTCATAGTCGTGGCGCTTGATGGTGCAGAACTATCCGCCTGGATCGAAGCCGCATTTGCCGAGATGAGGTGGTCCAGAGACATAATGGCAGATCGTTTGCGTGCTAAGGTGTGATCAGATTCTTGGTCATAACTATCGATCGAATGGAGGGAGAAACATTATTATGCGGCTCGGCAAATATGTAACAACAAAATAACAGTTTTCATGACGCATTTAAACGGAACGTCTCTTACGGAGGAGGGGATATGGACATTCTTCGTTTGGTGGGACGCGGCGCGCCAGCTCCAAATTCCATGATGGTAGGGGCGGGTTCAGGAAACAACCCTGGTCCAGCATCACGAACAGTCTCCGACATGAGGATGCGTTTCCCGTGATGAAGCTCGAAGGTCAAGCTAAGCAAAAAATATACATATATGATTGGTGATCAGTCCACGAGTTCATATATGTTGGCTGTGAGACAAATTGATTGATGATAGCATGCATTGCTGCGCCCAGGGCGGAAGGCTTAGCTTACACATAGGAAGCGCTCTCCTGTGGTGTCGTGTGATGTCCTGGTGGACAGCAAATCTTGAAAAACAGACGAATCTCACCCGTCGAGAAGAAAAGCCGTTGAGGCGAAGGCACAGTTGGGTCAGGGCCAACGATCTGGAAAATGTCCCGCTTCCGTAACTATTCGACATTGGGCGAAATCAAACAATTAAAAAATATGAGTATGATCAAAGAGGTTACAAAATGGGTTGGGAAAAAAAAGTCTTGGAGGTAATGGAAAATAAAGCTTACCCGACACCGCTCGCAGGGCATAACCAAATCCTGCATCCTGATGGTGTCTACATTGGTGGTCGAGGTCTCCAATCGTGGGAAGATCTTCAGAACGAGGTCGCACTCTCCTATACAAGAAACAAACCGGCAAATAGGGTTGCATGTTAATTGAAAAGCGCAGGAGATGAGTGAGCATAATCTACTCAATTGATGCGGGGGAGAGAGCATGGCGCTGGTACTGGCACTATCGCCATAAAGACCGAGGCACCGAGGCATTGAGCCAGCAGGAAGAGCGACCAACGGTAGTATATTTTTAAACCGCAGTACTCTGCAGCCGAGCAGCCAGCCATCGGAGGGCGGAGTCATATGGAAGGGGGAATCGATATATAGAGTTGATTTGGAGCAATTGACCTTCAAGTCTCGTATGTCCATCACTGTCCGAGAGTTGAGAAGAAGTGGAGTGTATGTGCTCAATGCAACAAGGAGTGAGAGGGAAAATTGGGGGAGATGTGTCGATTGTTGGTCTGGGCGTGGCGTCCAGCGGGAGGGTGGGCATCAGAAAAAAAAACATTTTCCTGTGCTTGCGCATATGCAGATGGAAGAGGGAAGCAGCGCAAGAGTGAATGAGCTTTTTTCTATGTTTTTTACCTGGAGATGATTGCCGTTGACCGGGGATGGGAACTCTGTAGTGTTTTGGAATGTAGATCGAGTTCCAGGGGGCGAGGACCTGGTTGGAGTCCTGGAGGCTGAAGACGACGCTTGCGGTGCATTCCCTGCTGAATCTGGAGAGGGAAAGGGAGATGGGTCGAGCGAGGGCAGCGAGGGCAGCGAGGTCGTCTGCGGATGGCTGAGGCTGCTGGTTGTGCTGGTGAGGGTGCTGCTGGTGAGGGTGCTGGGGCAAGTGGTAGGCCATGTGCTGGGGCAAGTGGGGCTGTTGATGGAACTGGTCCATGGGCGACACCGAGTGGCCGGGCATATCAGACTCGTGGGATACAATGGGCGAGGGGTCCGCAAGGCTGCTACAGGGTAGTGAGGGAGAAGTAGTGTGCCGAGGGTAAAGAGCGGAAGGAAGAGAGAGAGAAAGAAAGAAAGAGGGGGGATCGAAGGGAATAAAAAATCAAAGTGAGTATGATTGATTGTGTTTCGATTAGCGAGGGTTCAAGGGGATTGGGCTTGGTCAAATGCGAAAAGAAAATAGAAGGGGTTCGTCTGGTTACCGCTCGATCCTCTCTTCCCGGTCAAAATAATAGATACACTGAAAATGAGGAGGGTGGCGAGCCAGAGAAAGAAAGAGAGAGCGAAGAGAAGCATTGACACAATCTTCTTTGGAGTATGTCCCTGCACACCTTTGTCAATTATTATTTTTTGGCTTTTCTCATTGCGTGCGTGTGGCTACTGGCCTCTGTACTCCTTTCATTCCTTTCCCTCCCTCCTTCGGAAAGATAAAACCGCACCGCCCAGCAACGTTCTTTCCCCTTCCATCTCCCCCCTCCTCCTCCCTCTTGAATACAAAATAAAGTCCGACGCATACACAAATGATCCCTGTCCCTTTCTCGCACACGGAAGAAAACCATAACAAAGCAGTATAAAGACAGCATGATTCCCGGATTTCACCTCTTCTTTCCTTTCTTCTCTTTCTCGATGCCTTCTTTGTAAAACCAACTTGATGTCTTCATTGATAGTCTTGACAATGCCACCCCTTTCGTCACCACCAAAGGAAAGTCGTGGATTTTGTTTTTGTTATTTTTGTAACGCCCGCTTTGTACAAAGTAAAAAAACCTTGTCAGCACTGACTGTGTGTGTGTGTGTGTGTGTGTGTGTGGGATGTGTTGTGGGATGAAGGGAGAGGGACTGTGGGAGATGGGAAACGGCGGAGGGTCCTACACTTAAGCAAGGACAGGGAGGAGCTGAGGGGAGGGGCCACGATGGGACTGACTGGGATGACCTGGGAAGGAAGGAAACTCTCTTGGTACACAAACACACACAGCGCATTCCATCCTCAGGCTCGTGGGGTGGGGGGTTGCATCTCCTTCCTCTCGCACCCGTTTATGTTTCTTATCGAAGCAATTGCTCAATCATAGACGATGCCCACTTTGGTTTCACTCTTGCCATAAACCAAGCATGGTTACCGTTTCAAAGGAAAATTACGGCAATAAAGTAGCTATTTGTCAACCATGCGCGCGAGAAATAACTCATCACCCTACCCTCGCATTCAAGCTATTTTGAATCAATGTCCCTTTTTCTGCCGTTTTTTCCCATGGCGGTTATCCATGAAAAATGACAGGAGAGCGTGACGCTGCGCGAGCGAGGGATAAGGATAGGGGGGAAAGAGAGAGAGAGAAATGCTTTGGCCAAAGACTACACGGACATGTTTCCTTTGTAAACCACAAAGGCATCAGCAAACGTGCCAATCCACATGGACCTTTTCTAAACAGAATACCGACAGAAGCTCTTATTTCATCCGCCTGCACATTATCAATCCTCCTGCGGTATTTGTTGCTGTAACTGCTCCAGTTGTGTTATCCTGTACGCAGCCGGTCCGGGCATGCTTTGGGCGTCAATCCATGTGCCAATTGTCCGCTTTCCAAGACAAGGAGGGCAGAGGTACACAAGCGACGCGACTCACTGTACCCTTTATGCTTGTACTCATGTCACCCATTTGGTCCGCGTTCTCGTATTCATAAACAAACACACACGCCCTTCCCTCTTCCCCTCCCTCCCCTCTCTTCCCTTCCCTCTCCCGCGAAAATACACCCACACCGGCTGCCATTATTTTGTTTGTGTTATTTTTCTGTGAGTATATCTGCATACTCAGGGAAATATCCCCTTCAAAGACCTCAAACCTCCAGGGTCCTGGCAGCGAAAAAGAGTGAGTGTAAGGAGTCGTCGTAAAAGTATATTTACCTTGAACTGCTAATAGTCATGGTTAAATCGTTTCTTCGCGCGAGGGGAGGGACGGGCAGGGGTGGGGTGAAGATGAAAAGGAAGAAGTTCAATTGCACGCTGCTGTTGTTTTTGTCGCTTTTTTCTCCCTATCGTTCAAAAGGAAAACAAGCCCTGGGTTAGACCTATTTCTTTCTCTGCAGGAAAAGGGGCTAAAAAATTCAATTCCTCGCCCACACACAAAAAAGAACCTCTCCTCCTCCTGGAACAGATCTCAATTGCTTTTTTGGCTATCCGCGTGGAGAACCTCATGGAAACATGGCATAGGGGCAGATGGTCGCTGAACGATTGAGGGTGCCAAAGCACAAAAAAATGAATGTAGATATCCAAAAAAAAAAATTGTACTCCTCTTTTCAAGGTATCGCAGGAATGCGCTTATGCTGACGTTGCATCGATGTGTGTGTGGGCATAAAAAATAGGAGGGGTACCCTCGAGGCGAAGTCTGGGCGAAGGGGAGACTACACACACGCAGAGAAAAATCAAAATCAAAAGGAAAAATAGAACGACGGCTCTCGAATGGGTATCGGAGAAGGATGGCTTGGGTTATTGTACAAAAAGGCTAAAGGGAAAAGTGGATGGCAAAATAGATCCTGTCGACTGATTCCAGGTCGATCTGCATCCTTACGGTCCTGATCTTTTTTTTTGAAGGTGAATGATATGTCGTGTGGAGGTTGTGTTGATGGGGGTTGTGAGTCTGCGGGCGGATCTATTCGAGCCGGAGCCAAGGGAAAGTATTTGAAAATAATAGAGCTTCTTCGGTGGGCAAAGCGGAAGGGAGGCTTGGGTTACTGGGGATCTTACAGTGGGTGAATCTGTCGGTGAATGGAAAATTGCTAGGAGAGGGGGAATGAGCGATGAGAAGAGTCCAAGTGGGGGCTGATGGGGGGCTGAATCTGATCGCCGATCTGGGGCGTGAACAAAGCGCAAGAGAAGGTCGGAAGAATGGCGATTAGAGAGAAGGAAAAAGAGGAAAGAAAAAATGAATAGGACAAACTGATATGTTTTATTTTTTCATCTCTCTCCCTGGGCTTATCCTTGTGAGGTTCGGGCTTGGCTCCTCACTATCTCAGTCTCCCCCTCTTTTGCCGTAGTTCGGACTTTGCCTCAAATTTTTGACTCGGCTCCGCACTCTCGTCATCACAGCAGTAGCAGCAGTAGCAGCAGCACAAGCAGGGGACACTCACACAGCACATTCACAAACTCACACGCTTACTGCACGCACTCACCGGGCACCGAGCAATTGAACTTCACAAAATATCTTTCAGTCTCAGGGACTTGCTACAGCCAGGAGGGAACAGACAACACGAAAAGGAACACAAGTACACCCACACTTACACGCATTACGCAGCACTTCAACGCTTGCACACTTACTCATCAACATCAATAGCAAAAAAGATGGGCCTGTTGGAGCTGCGCTGAACCATGGTGATCTTCTCCCTTCTATCTTTCCCTCCTCGAATGGACACTGGACTTCATCCTTCAAGCACCTCTTTTCTTTACTTCACTCACAGGATATATGGCAAGAAGGAGAGGGAGAGAGGAGGACAACAGCAGGAGCAATTGAAGCTTTCACTCAAGAGCCTTATTTTATCTATTACGGCGATGAAGATGAGAACTGGCACCATTTTGGACGGCTGCATGAATGCCTTTGGATCAGATGGTCCATCCTCCAATCCGCACACAAGTAACAAAAACAACAACACAACATCTTCAGCCACACCCATCGACAAATCCTTCACCCCTTGAACACATTACCAAGACAACGCATCTTCTCAAGAGAACACTTTCAATGAAGAATAGTACTCTTTCCTTTCTTTTTAATTCTTCTTAGCCATTGACCTATCCATCCTTCGCTCCTTCCGTCCCATAACCCCACTACATTTCCTCCGAACTGTCAATTGAGCAACGATCCTCTCCTTCTCTTCATACAAAGAAAGATGCAAGTTTCCCATCTCTCCTTAAAGATATTTTTCAAAGCACGACCAGTTCTGGGCTCTTCTACGTCCCACTCTTTTTCCCTTCCCTTTCGACCTTCCATACACCTCTTTTCCTTTCTCATTCATCTCCTTGTATCGTCTGTCTCTTTCCTTCTTTCCCGTCCACTTAACTCGTCCTCTGAGATAAAGAAATTCGCCCAATTTTGAGTTTGCGAATGAGTGACGTCGAGGCTGCTGCAAAAAAAAAAAGGGCGAAGTGTTGTCTGTCATTTCTCTGTGCCCACTGTCGATCAAAGAGTCGCACCACGCCACACGCAAAAAAAAAAAAACATTTTTGAGGGCATACACACACACCTTCCCATTTTCGGCATGCATTTCGCATACGCCCATCGTTGCGCCCATTTTTGCATGACAATTATGGGCGTCTCCTTATCACCCTCTTTCAACTCTTTCGTGCACAACATTTCGGTCAATGTTTATTTTTTTCACTTGTTTGCTCGGAGACAGGGAACCAGAAATTAGTGGTGGCGCTTTTCTCTGTTCCCAAGATCCTGGAAGGAATTATGATTGATCAATCGAAAAGTGGAGGTGGAAAGACAGTACCCGGACCCTTAAGCCCGACTGCATGGTGGCTTGTCTTTTTTTGATCAGATTACAGTACTCCAGAGTCAGGCACAATAACCTCAGATCTGCAGAGCCCCCGCCTTTTTTATATATGATGACGCATTAGGTGCTATACCAAGAGATATATCTCCTGGGACAATCACGACTTTTTTTGACACTCAGTGCACTAGGTAAAGTCCCGACCTGGACATAGAGTATGTACTGTACAACAGCACTGAAATCTATGCATGTCGTTTTTCTATTCTCACGTTTGCCATTGAAACCTGATGCACTATGCCTAATGCAGTGTAGGACGTGCTCTCGTGTGCCCATGATGACGATAACAGAATAGCTCTGGTGCAGTCACCCTGAATATTTTCACAGCAGCACATGGAAAAGGAGATGGCGAGCTCGAAGAAGCCAAAAATAAATAGAGGCAGCAAATTGATCGAGAAGGACCCACGCTTGAGCTACAGGAGATCGCTTGAACAGATCAGGGAATATTACTTTTGTTTGCCATAGCAGTGAGGAAGGGGACAACCAGTCTGCGTACGTTCAACTGCTTCCGAACAGAATGGAGAACTCAAGAACAGAAAACAACAATACCTCCCCTCACTTTCTTTAGCTCTCTCATCTCTGAACGACTCGATCTTGCCGCTCTCTCCCCCACGTATTATTCGCCACATTCCCTGAGGTTCTTTTTTCCCCTCTTTCTTCCTCCACAACAAAATAACAAACTCCTCGGATCCTTGTGCAACAGTTGGGGGAGAGAGCTGAAGAACGAAGGAACGAGAACTGAAAAAATGAAGTTATGATACAAAAGGGATGTTCGTTTTGTTTTTAATTGTTTTTTGGTCACTTAGATAAAAATATAATACAACTCTGCTGCTCCGGTGCAATGCAGCCACCATGGTATCCATGATTTGTTTCATACACAGAACTGTGTACATGGGATGTAGATCCAAGATAATGGATGAAAAGCTACATCTGTACCCATATGAAAATGAAAAGAATAAAAAAAATATGTGCAAAAGGGGTGGGTTGAAGATATCCTTCTCTCGTTACTACACTACAGACATCCAGCAAACTGTGGGAAGTTCTAGATGAGCTCTTAGAACTTGGCGATGGCGGCGACACAGCCGATGAGACCGACGGTGGCGAGCCCGCGCCAGAGGGTGTAGGTGCGGTAAGCGATGCCAAAGAACTGGAAGTTGTCGATGATGCAGGAGAAGACCAGCTGGGCACAGACGATGATGGCCGAGGTCGTACCGGCGCCGAGCTTGGGGATGGTCAAGATGTTGATGATGACAAAGAGGGCACCGATGACTCCTCCGGTCCAGGTCCACCAGGGTGCCTGGTGGAGTCTTGAGGCCAGATCTGCTGGTGGGCGACCCTCAACTTCGATCAAAAAGTAGATCAACGACGTGATTGCACCTGCAGTTAAAAAAAAGGTTTGTGGTTGGTTCCTGGGTTAGTTAACTTGTACCCATCACATTTGTTTGACCCACTTGAATAAATGTAACTGGTTATCCAGGGTAGCGAAAGTGAGACACATTTGTAAGGGGACAACGTACCAATGCAGAAGACAATGGTGGAGGACAAGCCCTGGCCAGAGTATTGACCGAGCTTGGCATTGACGGCTCCCTGCGAAGAGGTAGCGACTCCTCCGATCAGGCAGAGGAAGGCGGCAAAAATAACGTTATCGAGAATTCCACCCATTATTGTATGTGATTACGTTGAGGAGAGAGAGGAGGAGTGTGAAGAGGGAGAGAGGAGTGTGGAGAGAAGGAAGAGGAAGGAAGATCGATCTGAGGGTAGGATTGGGGTTTATATGATTGAAACCACCAGAGGTATAATAGATCGGATCAAAGGAGAATTTGTTTGTCAGAGAAGAGGAAGGAGAGAGGAGAGGAGAGGATGAAGATGAAGTGAGGGTGAGGATGAGAGGGAAGAATGGTTGTGATTGACAAGGAAGAAGTAGAAGGAAAAAAAGAAGAGTCGAGCCAGAGTATTTATACAAGGAATCATCCCCATTCGCAACATGTTGCTGTTGGCCCACGGCTAAAGTTTCCTTTTTATGTTGAGTATTGAAAAGGACAGGCCAGGATAGGCCAGTGGATGGTTGAGTGGTCATTCAAACTATTGACGGAGGAATTGCATGCGTCGGATTGGGTTGCGACGAAGTGTGAGCGAGAGGGAGTACAAAGAAGGAAAAAAAGGAAAGGAAAGCGAGGAAACGGCAAGCAATATGAAAGTAAGGTTGTGGCTATTCTTTACCTTTCATTAGAAATGACTGTGGAAGGTTGGCAGTCTTTGTCTGTTTACTTGCTCAACTGAGTAACACATCCCATTGAAAACAAACAACCATTGTATATGAAAACACGGGCAGTTGCTTGTTTGCTTGGCAGTTGCTGCTGACGTTCGAATCGATCCCTGTTCTTCTTTGATTGTTTGTTTACACGGTTCCTTTGTGTCATTGTTGCATTATTATTAGTTTCCTTTACCTAAAAGTTAACGATGTAGTTTATCTAGAAACCATTGCCGCTTCTCTGTTGCCGCAACTTTCAACACGGCTACTGCTCGTTATCAAGTATCTCTTCACTTCTACCACACGATGCTCATGTCTGAGGGTTCAAATATAAAACGAGGGACACATCTTCTGCATCCAAATGTTTCGTAAAGGGAGGGGGAAAGACGAGGGGGTGCTCGTCGGTCTTGCACTGCACTTGCAGCCCGCAGATGGACTATACATCTGCCCACCCTCGATTGCCTCTTTTTTTGACTCAGTCTTTCCACGGATAGTGACAGAGAACTGTGTGACCCTATTTAAATAGTCGATGAGATTGTTCGATTCAATCGGTATGTGACCCTATTTATCACGATTTCGATTCCCCACATTGCACACTCACACACGCAGTCTCTGTTCATGAAAATAAAAAAGCGGGGAAGATCCACTTTTTTTTGGCGCTGTTCATAAGCACAAAACGTTAATCGTTCATGAGGGCCGTACAAGCCAGTGAATGGTGTGGCAGAGGAACTGCTCTATGGCCCTCTTCACCTTCGCTCGTGGCCTTGCATGGACAGTTGATAAATAAAAAAAAAGAGAAGCACACAACAAACAAAGGAACACCAGGATGTGAATGCAGAGAGGCAGCTGATATGAACAATGCACCAAAATCAAACAATCAACAACGACGATCAATGGGCGCCACCAAATTTCATAACTGATAAAAAAAAGAGCTGTGCCTGGGGAATCGATCTGATCCACCACTTTTTTTCAAGTGCATATCCCTCTTTGCGTTCTTTCAGGCACACAAAATCCAACTCCCAGTTGAAAGAAAGGCGACCGGAGTATGGAAAACCTGGACGTAATGCTACGCAAGAAGGATATCCCTAAGAAGAGTTAGTGAAGTTGATAACTCAACAATTGCCTTTAATGTAGCGGTTTCCCCACTTTTCCGATTCCGACTCATACTTCCTTCCCTTCTCTTCCCTCCCTGCACCTGCTCTTCTCTGGCATGGTATACAACCAACCAATCGGCCTGACCCTGGCCCTGACTGAAAAGAAAATAGAAAAAACACGGGGGAAAACCCAGAGAGCGAAACTATTCGCAGAGTATTGAGGCAAGGCAAGATACCCATTCCTCTTCTACTGCATCATATCATATCCCTCTCATGCATGGCAACTCTAGATTAGACACGTACCTCTTTGTTCGTTCCTCATTTTCCCCCACTTTCTACCATATTCCCTCACCCTCCTTCCCTTTTCTTCCTCTCACTTGAATCTCCTTCCCCCGCGTTGCCAGGGTTGCCATAAGGAGAAAAAAGGGAAAAAAGACTCCCCGTATTTCGTATTCCGAAGGAGAGGGTCGAAAATAAACCTTTGAGCCTTTACTTCAATCTCATTTTCAACCACACCATCCCAAGGGTATCTACTTTTCTTGGACCCCTGTTCTTTCAACACTCGCTTCGCCCCTTTTCTTGCTGCTCATTGATTACCCCGTCCTTTTCTTGGTTACACCTTTGTAAGGTCTCCGACAATGATCGCGTGATTGGATTCCATGTCTGTAATTCGAGTCCGATATTAAAACCGAAAGGAAAAGGTGGACAAAAACACCATTTATGTCAATTACTGGAGGTGAAGGGACCAGGGCCACTCTTGTTCCTTCTATTACGATGTCGCCATGGCTCCTCATACTCAAAACCACTCTACCTTGAGATTTTTAGCCCTTGGAAGTAAGTCCGAACAAAGGGAAAGGAACTCCACTCAAACGTGGCAAATGTTAAAGGGGAATACGCCCAAGAGAAGAGGGTCCGACGATTGCTGCCTATTCCTGCCGCTTCACCCAAAAGTTTTTCTATCTTAGACCTTCAACCCTCCTCCTTCCTTGCACATAAAACAAATAAGAACACAGACACTCTCACAGACACATATCTTTTATATCGCCGTGCTAATACACATCAATTATTCAGCATATCTCATCCTTTACGCGGGGAATGTAACAGCGGACAACTACAACGAGTCCCGACACGCTCAGTCAGATCTATGAACTTTGCTGTCGTTCTTTTCAGGTACCATTTTCCATTCCAACATCCGCCTATCGCAGCATTACCTTTCAAGCTAAAGGCCTAGTCTTTCCAGAGTGACAAGCGCCATTCGCCTGAGAAAAAGGGTGGTCGGCCACATCTGTGCACTTGTTATTTTTGTTTTGGCATCCAAACAAGAGCACGCACCATGAAAAATACAAACAAACAAACACAAATTGGCCGCGATTACTTAGTTCCCACAAATACCTTTTGACAAATGTTTTGCTGTTTACATGTCCAAGCGCGGGGAATGCAACTGATGACTGCCTGGCCGCCTTTCTACTTTGACAGGGAGACCAGGAGGAATTGTTGAGCTTGGGTGAAAGGAACAGCCGCCATTCCTTCGCTTTGTCCTCCTCCACCACCAGCCAATCCCCCCAACATGGTGATTCCAATGGAGGCCTGTTCGGATGTTAATGAGGACCTTATGGGGTTTGACCGGTATTGATACCGTATGCTAAGTTCAAACGCGCGTTAATGTTTCGGCGCAAAGTGGGTACCGGTTTGAACCAATTACAGCGATTCCTCACCCTTTTGTTCCTTTCGTTCGCCCTTCGCCACTTCTCGTCTTCATTTCTATCTTTGACGCGCATCTCAATCTCCTTCGGGAAAAAAAGATCCACCATTAGATCAGCCCTCCTTAAATTCACCACGCTTCAGTTTTTTTTATGGGGGGTGTGGAGGAAAAGAACGATCGACATACCGTCCCCCTTCTTCTCAGGAAGTCATGTAAAATAGGACCACAGAGAGTGTGAATAAAAAAGGGGAAGAAATCCGAAATTATTTGCCCGCATCTTTGATCCAAGGACAAGGAGAAATTAGGGTCGACTTCATACACAGAAAAAACAAAACGTGAGATCCGGCACACAGGGCATGGTGCTCGATCAGGAGAGGGGGGGGGGGGGTAGACTGTCCAGCTTGACACAGTTCAGACAACAAGGGTAAAATACAACAAGAGCGGACGGCAACACACACAAACATTAAACCAGATGGAGCGGATGAATGCTGGGCCGCCGGGATCTATGACGACGATATGTTTTGTACACGAGCGCAATGGTATACTTTGTTTCTTGTATTTGCTTCGCTGCTCTAGCTCCTCATTACTGTATTTACATCCTCTTTTCTGTAGCAGCCATGTCATAAAAAAAAGATGTACAATTAAACAAGAAGCTCAAAGCTGACGTTAATCTTGGCCGCTCGTGTCATGTTGACCATCTTATTCAGCTTGACAGACTTGCTGGCCGCATCGTCTAGATCATTCGACGTGATGATACGAAGTCCAAACTCTGCGACCAACTTCTTGGCGTCATCCACCTCTGTCCCTTGCAAACGCACCACAAGGGGAATCTGGAGCTTCAAAGTCGATGCGGCGGCAATGATGCCCTGGGCAATGACCCTGCACGACATGATGCCTCCAAAGATGTTTGTAAAGATTGTCGTGACGCGTGGATCCGACGAGATGATTTTAAAGGCCTCCGTGACCTGCTCTGCCGTAGCTCCGCCTCCGACATCCAAAAAGTTGGCGGGCTCTCCGCCGTGCAGCTTGATGATGTCCATCGTCGACATGGCTAATCCGGCACCGTTGACAAGGCAACCGATCGATCCGTCGAGACCAATGTAGTTCAGGTTGCACTTTGCCGCCGCTACTTCACGAGGATCCTCTTGTGTGATATCTCGAAGACCGTAGACCTCGTGCTGACGGAACTCGGCATTGTCGTCAAAGTTGATTTTTGCATCCATGCTAATTACTATTGTGAAAGAACGATAGTTATGCATCAGTTTCTTTGTTCTCTCTTTTCAGTAAGCACTCGGAAAGTCCCAAGTAGCAACGGTTACCTTTGTGGTTAGCAGATTCAGTCATAGGGTTGATCTCGACCATAGTGGCATCCTGCTCCATAAAGAGCTCGTACAGCTTGATCATTTTATCCGTTGCCTGATCGACACACTTTGGCGTGAATCCCATACGCTTTGCCAAGTCCTTGACGGCAGCACGGTCAGCACCCTTGTTGATGTCAATTGGAAGCTGCAAGATCGCCTCGGGGTTCTCAGTTGCTACTGACTCGATATCCACACCTCCCTGGGATGAGGCGACCATGACGGGTCCTTGGGACTTGCGGTCCATGAGGATAGCAAAGTAGTATCGCGACGGACATATTGACGTTCGCAGATGTAGACCGAGTTGCAAACCTTTCCAGCGGCTCCCATCTGCTTGGTCACTAACTTGTGACCCAGCGCCTTTTCAGCAAACATCTGAGCCTCATGAGGACTAACATTTTTTGTCATCGTAGTCGTGAAGAAGGATAGAACAAAGGGGATAGTTTTTGCATTTCCACAGCATGCCATAAAAAGGTTCCCTCGTGATCAATTGACAAGCCGTTCGCACCGGTAAAAAGGGCCACTTACGAGAAAATGGTGCGAACGCCACCTTTCCAGCCAGAGTCAAAGGTACCCTTGCCACGACCGCCAGCAAGGACCTGCGCCTTGATAACCATATCCTCCGTTTCTTTACCATCGAAAAAAGTACAGAGCAGATGTCGGCATGTCATCTTCTGTTTTGATCTGTCCTGTTGTCAGTGCACTCAACATCCACACTCAGTCCAATTGTGCAGTATCCGATCTGGGATCACATATATGTCTCTCCTCCTGTTCAACAATTCTAACTGTGCGAATAAGAGCACCCCTCTAATAATCTTCTAACAAAGGATCACTGGCGATATGTCCCGGTATTCAAGGTGCTTTAAGTCATCCTCCCCCCTGTCGTTAAACCACCTGTCAATGGATTATGTCCACGCTCGAAAGGTCGTTCCAATTCGATAATCGATATACGCGCAGCGCTCATGGGTCGGATAGGCAAAACGGTGAAAATACAAGTGCATAATGAGACGTAAAAAACAGAGAGAAAGACAACGACGACATCAAGCATGATGAAGGGTCTTACCGATGTTCTTAGCGACGGTATATGCTTCCTTGCCAGTCTTGGCGACGCCTTCACGAGGTGTGTCTTGACGCCGTTCTTCTGGAGGAGCTCCATCAGCAGGTACTCGTGGATCGAGAGGAATCGCTTCTGCTGCTGGCCGGCAATGTTCATGAGGGATCTATCACCGTTGAAAGAAGGGAGAGGCATGACGTGTCAAGAGAGAGATAATAAGTTCAACAACACGAACACAAAAAAAACGACACCTCTCACAGACCCAGACACGCACCAAGCAACAACCCTCATGCACATACACCGCAATCGCGAAATAATAACAAGGGCCGATCAGATGGTGAACCACAGACATGATACTTTTTTTTATGCCTTTCTTACTGTCCTCTTTCTTTTTTCTCGTTCTTTTTTCTCATTCTTCGTTGGACTGCCGATACACGCCTATGTCAACTGCGTGGTGATGAGTGGTCGTTCACCTCCCCTCTTTCCTCAATTCCTCCCTTAAACAAGAAGAACCGATCGGCGGTTTTTCATGCTCATGTTGTTTCCTTTGAAATTGGTGTCCTTGAGCTCGCCCATACCCCTCTCTGTTTGATTGATGTTGTGGCCACTCTGCCGTCCAACTCAGACGAACAATCAACATCCCCCATGCTGCTCCTTAACGTTGTGCAACAATGGTGAATCTTGAATGGTACCCTCCTGTGAGTATACAACCGGAAGTAGATCCTGGCGCCTTGTGTATGCTTGATATCGTCCTGATTTTTCCCTCGTTGTCTTGTCTTGCTTACCACGGCCCTGGCACCAACGGAAGCGGATCTGCGAGCGCGGAGCATGGTTGAGATTTGTGAGGGAGGGTATGTGAATATGAAGTATAGAGGTGAGAGTGAAGATTGTTGGAAAGATACAAAAAAAAAGGGGGAAAAAAAAGAGGTGAAAGAGCATGCTGACCAGTGCAAGGAAACCAAGCCCACAGACAGCCATGTACAATCAGCAAACGTATGTGAAGGTGGCATGTGCGCACCGTCAAAAACTCCTTCCTCTTCACTCAACACTTCACAAGCACACAAAGACACGAACACTATCATGGGTACTACGCAAACTCTTCAGCATTTTGTTGCCACTCTATAAGGGAGCATCAAACGCACAGCGAATGCATATCGACAAGCCAACTGACCAACGGTCTTTTATCTCAACCGCGGAAAATATGCAGGCAAATGAATAGGATGGTGGGGACACCTTGGTGCCTCGGTACAACGAAGAATCGTTACCTACGAACTCTCGTCGTTGAACAACGCACCTTCGCAAGCGTCCTTCGTGAGGGTCTTCCCGCCATGCGTTAGGTCTGGCCTTTTACATCATCGTCCCCTTCGGTCTTGCCTACGGCGTTTACTACTGGGGCAAGGAGAACCATGGTATGGGCTCTTCTTCTGCCACATCAGTGTGTGCATTGGTGATGAATGATGAATAATAGACACGTTTGTTCAGTTACTGACGCCCATTTATCCTTTGTGCATCTCATGGCATGGCGACGGACAAAGGAAGACCAAGCCCACTACGGCGGTAGTTTGCGCGATCACTAGCTGGCAGCTACCTCAGCTGAACCTTCCTCGCACTACTCACAACTCCATCTTTCTTTTTCCTCGTTTTTGCTTTACATTTTCAAATCACAACCAAGCGCGTCGTTGACGCGACATGGTACGACGCTCATCAATCTACAACTGCAGTCACGCGCAGGAACCAAGGAACAAAAAAATATGATGTATACCCTCGGTGGGGATGATTTTTGAGCGATGCTGTGCATTCCTCTGGACGTGTTTATTCTATCTTCCTCCGACCTGACTTGTTACCCCTTGCACCCCCCCCCCCCCCCCCCCCCTTTTTTTTTTGGCGAGCGCCTCGAGTAGCACACTTTTATAATCTCTTCTCGTTTCCTTTCTTTCTGAACAAAAATCTTCGTTCTCAACCTCTCCTTCACACACCATCACCCACTTCCTCTCACCAACTACTTTTATTCGACATTACAGCGCAGAGATGATACAACACTCTAGGACCGCACCAAAGAGATCAAAGGTGTCAATACACGCCTTCCTCTTCTTCAGCATCATCCTTGCCCAGATCTCATACCAACCACTAGTCTGGGCGCAGTCTGTCGAAGACATCGATATCAACAGCACTCCCGACCCACTGTCATTTTCACTTAAGCCTCCACCAGCAGTATTACCAACAGGTAAACCCAAGAACTTTGGATATCTATTTTCACACGTTTGTTATTGAACACTGACTAATTGCTTTCTTATATCTCACTCTTCAGCCATCGATGGCTTGGAACCCGCACCGGCACCGGTACAGGAAAAACGGATACCTCGCCACTTGATCAAAGAACAGGCAATGCCCTACATCCCACCACCAACCACCTTCCCGCCAGACCAGTGGGGAAACCGCATCCCCGATTTTAGTCAAGTGTAACGTCCATTTACTCGCTTTCAGACTAACAAAAAAAATGATGCCGCTCGAGGGACATAGCAAAACAAAAACAAAGTACTAACCGCGACCATCTTTCATCTCCCATCCAAAACACACACACACACACACCGAGAATAGAGGCTACAGGAGAGGCAATATCCCCCTGCCGACCACAATCCCAATCGCAATCACCCTCCAACCCTCAATCGACCCACGAATCAACGACCGTGTCCGGATCCAAAACGCAATCGACTTTGTTTCCTCCCTCCCTTTCAAAGCCGTCCTCCTCCCCGACTCAAAAACCACTATCCAAGCCCGTGGCGTCGTACTCCTCCAAGCAGGGATCTATCGCATCCAGGGATCCCTTATCCTAAACCGATCCGGGGTCGTCCTGCGCGGGGAAGGCAACGGGCCAGATGGCACGGTATTGATGGCAATGGGACAGTTCAAACACGACTTTATTAACCTCCACGGGTTACAGGACCCATCCTTCCAATCCACGCCCGAGTACCTATCTGCCAACATTGGCTCTCCCGACCTCTACCCCAAGAACCCCTACGTCATCCTCGACGACGAAATCGCCGAGGTCGCAGATGAATATATCCCTGTTGGCACAACCCGCCTCCCCGTCAAAGATGTTTCTAATTTTCGAGTAGGGGCCGAGGTGGTGGTGGAGAGGCACTCGAATGAGGATTGGATTAGGAGGTTGGGGACGGATCATATCCCGAAGCGGCCCAAGGATCCGGAGAGGACAATGAATTGGGATCCGAGGCAGTATACTTTGAGGTATGTGCGGAAGGTTAAGTCAATTGAGATTCGGGATGGGAAGGTTGGTGGTAACGGCCATTCTGGTTCTGGTTCTCGTTCTGGCGTTGCTCGGGGTCGGTCGCAGAAAGTAAAACCAAACCCACAGGGACAGAAACAGAAGCAACATGCCATCGACGATGCGCGACAAGTCACCAGCAACCACGGCCCACAAGCAATCCTCCGCTACACCGCAGACACCAACAGGACCGGCCAACCCCAACCCTACGAGGCCCAAGAAGACTTTGACGAGATCCAAATCACCGTCAAGGAAGACTCTCAATCAGAAGACAACATCAACGCCAACTGGACCCCGGGCTACTTGCACCTCGACATCCCCCTCGTCATGAACATGGACCCTGTCTACGGCGCCGGAGTCGTCTACAACTTCAAACGCGAAACCCGCATCCCTACCGACGTCGGTCTCGAAAACTTGGCCCTTTATTCTCAACACGATCCATCAGATTCAAATGATGAACACCACGGCTGGTTTGCAGTCTTGATCGATCATTGTCAAAACTGTTGGGTCGCCAATGTCAAAACCCATCATTTTGTCTCTGGTATCAAGGCTGGTCCGGGGTCGAAACATGTCACGGTTCAGGATTGTGAGGTTCTGGAACCAGTTTCGATGCCAGAGTCGGGTGGGAGGAGGTATATGTTTATGTTGCAAGGGCATATGGGGCTGGTGAAGAGATGTTTTTCGGAGGATGCACGACATGATTTTATTACAGGAGCCAAGACGCCCGGACCGAATGTGTTTGTGGATTCGGAGGGCGTTCGTGCCAACAACGATGCTGGACCCCATGGTAAACTCATACTGAACCCCAGTTCAAATGCAACAGTTGCATGTTCTGCCTCCTTCTGAACAGCTTGTTCCTAATTAGTCTTTTCTTTCAAAAACCCTCTCCTCCAAAATAGATCGATGGACCACAGGAACGTTGTACGACAACGTCCACAGCAGAGACCTCAACGTCCGAAACCGAGGTTGGATGGGTTCCGGCCAAGGTTGGTCAGGCGCCTTTCACGTCGTCTACCACGCCTCCGCCGACATCCCCGCCCGCTTCCAATCCCCACCCGGCGCAACCAACTGGATCATCGGCTTCGAAGGCACTCTTGGCGAGAAGCATACAGAATTCGACGGCGACGACGCAACATTCCTCGACCCAGAACCCTATGATATCGGACGCACGCCCAGATCCTTGTACTGGTCCCAGTTGGTGGCTAGAATGGGTGGGACAGAGAGTGCGGCAAAGTGGGTAGAGAAAGTTGTGGGTGTGAAGGGGAAGAGTCGGTATATGAGGCCGTTGAAGAGGAGATTTTTGACGCTGAATGAAATTGTGTTGGCGGATAGGCATGTTCGATCATTGTCGAGGTTGGAAACGGATCAGGACGAGGAGCTGGGGCTGGATAAAACCGATATGGAGGCGAATATTGAGCAGCTGCAGCGTGGTATCCAGAGGATGGAACTCGAGATCAAAAAGCACGGGCACGAACACCTCCTCGTTGATGATTATGATGAAGACGAGGAAGAGAACGAAGAAGACACTTGGTAATAAATTGTTCTGTCTCCGCCTCAGGGCCCTCCCTTTCTATTTTACGCGTTACTCCCTGATCATGTCATTCTGTGAACAAGGTCCATACCGTTTCTCCAGCTTTTCAATGACCGCACCGGAAAAAGCATATGAAATAGCACTGGGCGAAATTTGATAGAGGTTTCAATTAGGATGTTTTACTTTTGGAGCTGCCGTGCTGGGATTGAGGCTATGTAGTCTTCGAAGGGTAATATTTTGGGGCAAAAAGAGTGGGCATAAAAACAAGGAGAAAAGGCAGGGGTCTGAAAAAAAAAAGAGTGGGGAGTTGATTATTTGTTGATTGTTGTTTGGAATGCTTGATACCATATCAAGCACAACAAAAAGAAAAAGTGGGCACCATCGTGCTCAAAAGAGTGAAAGGAAGAATATTGTACAAGGTAGAAGGAAGGGTGAATGGGTCTAGGTGACAAGGAGTTCTTGAAGTGGGTTATATGCGTAGGGAGTGACGAATCCAAGAAAAGTTTACATAGAAGCAGCGTTGTTGGTCTCTCGAAGCTTCCTGCTGCGAAGCTCGAACTGTTGACGCTCCAAGTCGGCAGCCCACAATGCAGCACTAAAAAGTCAAAGGAATAGAAAGGTAGCTAGCGGTGAGTACGATTTACTCCCCTCTCTCTAACCACGTTGTCCCTTTCATGAAGAGCCATTGGATCACAAAAAAACGCCTCTTTTCTCCTGTCTATCCTGCTTTATCTCAATCCCGTGCAAAGAGGACCAGTGAACTTACCCAATGGTGTTGGTGAAGCCAAAGAGGATACCGATAAATGGAATCAGTTCAAGTCCTTGCGCAATGACCCCAAACGTCGTGTATTGGCTCTATTGTTCCATCGACAAAAGTAGCCTTGGCGTTAGTTGCATGCCAAAACCAACGAGGCGATTACAAAACAATGGCTTCCTGTGATATATGCATCTGTAAGAGGTAACTACCTGGCGAGTTTGGATCCAGTCCTCGCGCTCCTTTTGGGTCATATCCTTCATGTCAAAGTATTGTCGGTGGACATAACGACTGCGAACTTTGCCATTGAGGTAGCAAAAGGCGATGGGTCCAGCGACGGGGACAAAGTTGAGGGGCAGAGTGACCAACCAAAGCCCCATCCGTTGTCCGTAATGCGAAGTCGACGCCGAGGTCTTGTCCACGATCTTGTGATGTTGTTGGTGGAGCCGTGAAGAGACAGAAGAATGCTCTCCTGCAGCAATCTTGGACGAGACTACAATGCCGCCGTTCTCGGTCACCTGGGCCAGAGGTCCGACATGGACGTTACCCTCCTTGTTCAAGACGGTCTGGAAGAGTCCCTTGGAGCGCTCTTTCTTGAAAAGCTCGCCCATGATGATCCCGACCAGGAGTGAGGACTCGCCCATTGTCAGGAACATGGTCGACCAGGTCTGGATCCCGATACCCAGGATCTTCATCCCTGCGATACGTGGGAAGGCCGTGTCGATGACGCTAGTGATAAGCTTTTGTTGCGACTTGAAGGTGAGGGCGATTAATGGGGTGATGGTCGATACGGCCACTCCTAGTGCCCAGGCGAGTGAGCGGATGAACTGGGGTCCGAGGAGTTGGATGTTGCGGGCCAAGTAGACCACGCCCATGACGGGGTAAGCTGGAGCTGGGAGAACCATGTCTATGTTGTTGTGTTGTGTTATGTTCTGTTCTGCGCTGTTGTTGTTTGAATGCAGGTGTCTTTTGTTTGCAATGGGGGTCGTTGGTTGTTGTTAGCGTTGGCTTGCTGGCTGTGGTTCAAAACTGGTGTGTTCTCCTGTAGCGAGTGATGTCCTGTCTGTAAATGCTTGTTGGTACTTGGTTGTTGGTGATGTGGGATCTGCTAGAAGTTGATGTAACAAGAAAAGAAGGAAGGATAGAAGAGGTCGTTAACGAGAAGAACAAAAAGAAAATAAAAAAAAAAGGGTGGGGTTGGTTGGCAACCACAAAAAGAGCGTGAAATAGCCACCTTCCCGTCCTTCCTGTACAGTAAGCAGCACAAACTTATTCTTCTTTGTTTCTCATTCCACCTGTCCCCTCTCATCCCTTTTGCTCATTCCATTCGTCTTTACTTAAAGCCCACCCTTGTCCTTCCATACGTCCTGCCGTTCGGTCCAATTGCCTTATCCGTTCTTCCTGAGAGGGTCATAAAGAAGGATGTCCTGGAAAACCTTCTTGAACAAACTGCTCTGCCGGCCTTGTGTCTTTTGTGAAATCGTCCAGGGTAACACCCTTGACCGTGTGATCTTCCAGGTAAAACATAAGGCCGATATTTTGCATATTGTTTTATTTACCACCTGAGCTTGTTGTCAGTGGCGGTCCTGTCTTTTCTTTGATGCAGTGGCGGAGGAGTGAAGGACGGGAAAAGAAGAATAAAGAAAGAATCTTGACGTGAAAAAACAAAAGGATAAAGATGCCCTTGACACCCCACCACATTTCCTTAAGCAGCAGCAAAACAAAGCCAACTTCCACCCCACAGAAAAACACAAGCCAATGGCAACTAAGGTTGCCCAAAAGGGCTCTCTTCTACACTCTTTCAATACCAATTTACATCTGTCTGCGTGACCAACATCGTCGAGCTTACTCAAGGCGCGCACCGAGCCGAAAATCAAATTCCCCGCACGCCACTAAAAAAAAACTTCTACTTCGCGAATCATGTCAAGTAGGACAAGGATATGGTGGCATTCTACGATATCAAACCAGCAGCAGAGACCCACATTCTCATCATCCCCGTGGCACATATTGAATCCGTCAAGACCGTCCGGCCGTCCGACCATGACCTGATCCTCAGGATGAAGGCCAAAGCGCTCAATCTCCTCAAAGAGCACGGTCACCAACCAGAAAACTGCAGGTATAGCTCCGCTTGTGAACAAGCGAAAGATACAACCCGCTACCAAGCAACATTCCTGACAGCCGTGAAATTTCTTTTGTAGGCTCGGATTTCATGTCCCACCGTTTAACACGGTTGATCATCTACATCTGCATGTTCTCGGAGGAGAGTTCAAGACCGCCCTGGGAAGCGCAAAGTACGAGAATGGCAAGAAGTGGTACATGGACCTTTCACAACTCCTTTCAAACCTCGAACAAAAGATGCGACCATAGACTGTTATTTGTGAAATGGTTTTCGTGTCATTTATATTTTTGATGTGAAGGAAAATAAAGGATATAAAACAAGCAAACGTGTCATTAAGCATAGCAATAGGCGACACCGAGGAGAGGTGGGCCCATAAACATGCCCATCCAGAAGAAGGCATTGGCCAGACGAGGCGTTTCCCGGATGGTCTTGTTGTTGCCCATCCAGATCAGGGGCAGCTGGCACATCTGCAGGGCAAACAGGTACAGACGCACCTTGCGTGTCACCACCATCATCACCAACTCGTGCACGCACGACGACAAGAAGAATGTCGCAAACGCCGCATTCTTTTTGGAAAGATGAAACGACTCGATACTCGAATCGTACACGTGGCGGAGCAAAAAGTGGTGCACTGGCTTGTTCCACTTGCGCGCCCACTCGTCAAAACTGACACAGTTCCACCAGTCCTCGTAAAAGTTGCGATCCGCGAAACTGTAATTAAGAAAGACAAGACAAACGGTTAGGCCTTCTGAAGAAAATAGTAAAAAGGTTAACAAAGTCAAGTTATAAGATGGAAGACGGTGGGATGTGCTTACCAGCTGAGCTCGGCAAAGGCGTTGCAAATGCACTCGAAAATAATGTAGAAAATCATAAGGTAGTTCATCATAAAGGGTATCAAGAGCAGAACCAGAGCTCGCAGGGGTGAAATGGTCGGGTCAAAAACCACGGGATAGATATAATGCTCCGTTGTCAGGTACAACAGAGTGAATGTTCCCAAGGTGGCCACAGACTTTTCAAACACATACAAGGGACGGATTCTAATCGAACAGAAGAAATAAAAAAACAGCCGAGTGTTAGTGGGATAAGGCTAATTTGGTGGCAAATAATCATACAATCGCAATAACACATAGGGAAAACGAGTCGTACCTGCTGGTGCGTGGGTATTGGAGCTCGTAGATAAGAGATGGGACGATCAAGTAGTCGAAAAAGTTGGCAACGGTTACATTAGCGGGCCAAAGTTCGCCGTTCTGGCACTCGAGGTCGCTTCGGAGCTCCTCGATTTCAGCAGCAAGTTGGCTGGCGTTGACGGTGGCAGAGTCGGAGGGGATGGTATCCTGGAGAAGTGCAGCGGCAACCTCGGAAGCGAGGCGTTGGTGGAGACGGTTGACGTCCTGTTCGCTATCGCTTGTGGGCGAGTCGGTCGTGTCGCGATCATAAGTTGGGTCGGCTTGGCTGGAATTCTCTGATCTGGAATCGTCACTATCGTCATCGGTTGTCTTGGGGTCATCCTTCTTGATCTGAGCATAGGCAGCCTCGCTCTTCTTGAGCTGGATTAACTTCTCAGAGAGCTCGCCGTTGTAGGCAATGTAGGAGTGGATCTTCATCAACATGGTAATGGCATGGAGAGTAAAGAAGCCTGACTGAACCCAAGGCCAATCCCTAGAATGATAGGAGTCGTTCAGTATAAAGCGCAATAAATTGGTTAGTGACAAGCCAACAAATAAAGAATTTTCGACAGACATATGTCCAAAAACCTAAACAAAAAAAAAAGAGCTTGCATGCGACACAGCGCCACCAAAAAGCAAAAAAGCCTTTTTTTTTCATACCTCCAAATAGTCCAGGCAATGGCAAAGAGCAAGAGCAACACTTGGACGCAGTGCTGAACAACCATACCAGCGACCCTGTATCTCATCCACCCCTTGGATATGACCTTGATCAACAAGTATGCCACTCCGGTCGAGAGCACCAATCCGAGATCACTGACTGCGAGGATGATGGCGTCCTGCGAGAATGAAGAGAAGAGGGTGCCACCAAAAGCTTTGCCGACCCTGGTCCATTCCTGGTCGAACGTGATCAATCCATAGGCGCCCATGACAATCCAGAAGAGCGTGTGGAACCCGCGGAAGGGGTCCTCGTTCTTGGTCATCATCTCTGGATCCAGTCGGGAGCTGCGTGGTTCAAACGTGGGACGACGGACTTTGCGCTTCTTGGTTGTGACGGTAGATGTGGTCGAGATGGCATGATATCCGTCCGTGGAGCTGGGGGTTCCTGGGCTGGTGCTCGAACGCGTGCTGGCCAGAGACGTGGCACTGGAGCTGCCGTTCAACAACGACGAAGCGCCCATCCTGGATCGGTTCGCATCCTGAAGACGGAACCTGAGGTTGTTGGACTCGCTTGTGCTTTGACCTGGGGACTGCGCTGATAAGATTGAGAATGATGAAGCGAGCGGAGATCGACCGTCGGCAGTGGCGATAAAGGCCTTTTGGGTATTGGATTGGTGGTGGAGGGTCTGATGGTGAGAGACGAGGTCGTCCAGCCCCTTCTTGACAGCAGCTTTGGGGAGTACGGTAGTGGTTGTAGTGGTTGTAGTGGTTGTAGTGGCCCCGTCGAGGGGGTCCTGGTACAGGGCATCGTCCTCTGAGGAGTCGTCGACGGTACGGGGGTTGGGGTAGGCGTCCATGTTTTTACTGAGTACGCTGCGAATATGCTCTGGGTCTGGAGGAGGGGTAAGGAGACTTGAGTCTGACTCTGTGGTCATGGCGAGAATGACAAGAGTCTGATCGGGTTCTGGAATGAGCGGGACTCAGAAAATAGGAAGAGAAGAGAAGGAATGAACACTCTGTGCCAGTGAGGAGCAATGGAACGAAATGACAAGGTGAGTGCAAAGAGAGGAGGAGTGTGAGGATGAAGAGAAGAAAGAGGAAAAGAAGGAAGGCTAAGAGAAAGAAAAGAAGGCCAAGAGAAAGAGAAGAAGGCCAAGAGAAAGTGAAGAAGGCCAAGAGAAAGTGAAGAAGGCCAAGAGAAAGTGAAGAAGGCCAAGAGAAGGTGAAGGAGGCCAAGAAAAGAAAAAGAAAGAGAGAGGCAAAAGGCCGGCTATTGTGTTCTATTTGTGAAATTATGAACAATTGAGTGTTGAGAGTTGAGAGTTGAGCTATCGTGTCAGCACGGATGGACGATTGTGTGCATGTGTCGTCGAATAAATGATTCGACGAATGAATGCAATCAAGCAATCAAGAGAGAAAGCCCCTTATTATTTTTGTGTGTTTGGGAGGGCGAGTGAGCGGAGAGAGCAAGGTCGCAAAGTAATGAATGTAAGGCGGATAAAGAAATGAAAATAAAAAAGGCCAAGAGGGCAACCGAGAGTTTGAGAGGAGAGCAGTGGAGTAACAAGAAAGGTGAGCGCTATGTGGATCGATGGTATGTCGGTCAAGCGTTGTAAGGGCAGGGCAAAGGGATGTGTGAAAGTGTAGGAATGAAGCCGAGAAAAGAGAAAAGAGAAAAGAGAAAGAAGGCTTTTAATGCAAGGTTTTTGAGTTGAGTTGCTGCAAGCAAAGGACAGGAGGTGCAGAGTATGAAGACAGTTGTATGCGGGTGGAGTGTGGATGAAAGACAAAAAGACAGCAAGAAGAAAGAGAACAAAAAGACGAAGAAGGAAAGAGTGGAGTGGAGAGTAGAAAACAGTTATGATGGAACGGAAAGAGATACCCCATACCCACCTTCTTAAATACTCTTCCCTCTCGCCAGCCCTCTCTGCTCTTACTAAGACAACCGGATGAGTAAAGGCCAACAAACTTCATTTCCAATGACGACAACAATTATTACAATTCCCGGCCCACGGCCCACGCTTCTTTTGTATTTGTTTTGCCCTTTACCCGATAACAACACATCAACACCTTGTCGGTCGTGTGCTCCTTGTGCCCAGCCTTTCACTCCGACAGTCCCTCCTCAAGACACTTGGAGTCATGACCCTCCTTCTTACCAATTCGGTCCACTGCACCTTCGTCCGTTCGTCCGCCCGTCCATTCACTTTGAAGTGCGCGGTTGTCCGGGCAATATTTTATGCCAATCCTCCCCACTCACACCAACAGCAGGTTTTCGGTCATTGATCTGCTCCAAACGAAATACTCGCAGCTTCTTCCTTTTGCCACGTTCATGCTCGCATTTTTTTTGTCCATCTTTGGAACCAAGTGCACACACCTACAACCCTGTTTTGGTGCGAGTCCGCTGTATCTCTCACTCCTTTTGCCAACCATTTTCGTCGCCGCTCTGTCTTCCCAATGCCCAATGCCCAATGCCCAATACAAAGCAAAGAACATCATTCTTCGTCTCTTCCCCCACCCCCTGTTTCGCGGAAAAGTGAGCACTCGGTTCCTGCCGCCCAAAAGAAACTCACAGGACAAATTGCACAAGTGTTCAAAGTGTGGGGGTGGTCCTTGCGTAGAGACACAAAGCAGGTTCGGGGCTGTGTGTTTTCCCCCCACCCATTCACCCACACACTCATTCTCGCTTCTCGGGTATCAAAGGCACTCGTAACCAAAACAACAAACAAAAAACAAACAAGAGCAATCCTCCATCCTTAAAGATTTGACATATGAAAGTTCTTTCGATTATGTCAACCCCATCGCAATCGTTTGCTGGTTCTGGAAGTACAAAGGAAGAGAAAAGAGAGCGACTCCTTCGAACAAGAACAAGAGGAATAGGCAGGGTAGTATCGCAACACAATCTCTTTTTTCGCACTTGACAAAGAGGAGATGGAAGGAAGGTGAGGTACCTGTGAAAAGTGGGGGAAGAGGGGAAAGGGCGGGGGATATCGCAAAAGACGAGCTCTCGTTTTCGTTGGTGTTGAGGCAGAAGGGTTGACCTCAATGTCGGTGAGAAACCGGACTTGTCAAAGAAAAATTAAAATACGGAGGAAAAATAGTTCCGCCATGTGGGAAATGTATATGAAGTGATCGTCGTGGAAGAAAGTAGCCGTACCTTCGGTAGCGGGGTATTGCCTGGGGTTCAGGGAATTGCCGAAGGGTTTCGAATCCGGTGAGTAAGTACGTCGTCCTGACCTTGAAATGTAGGCTATCCTTGTATGCTGTGAACAAGTCGAAAGTAGTCGAAGCAGTCGCTAGTTGAAGTTGGAGCTCAATGGTCAAAAGTTAAAGTGAGTGATAAAAAACGAAGTAAAAAGAGAAAAGAAAAAAAAGCCAAGAACGAAAAAAAAAAAAAAAAAAAAAAAAAAAGAGTTACGGCCGATCCGTTTCGGCCCACAAGGGCTGGATGACAGCCACTCTCGACTCGTTCAGGCCTCAATTGTCCATGCACATTGTACCATGCCATGCAGAGTAACAAATCCATGTCAAGTGAGCTGCTCTTTGCAGGAACGGGCTGACAATGACATCCTCTTTCCCTTCCTCGACCCCCTTGCCCTTGGGTTCGTCCTTTTTTTGTTGTTCTTTTCAACTCTCCTCTTCCCCTTTACTCAGGAAGTGTTCAACAAACACCCGCATCCTCCTGCCTACGTTTCTCGCAAAATATCCCACAAATGACCCCTATCCTTTCGATCCTGTGAGCTATTGACATTGCCACCTCACTCGCCGACAAACAACAGCATGGTCAGCCAGTCAACCTTAACCCTTGCAAGACACAGAGAAAAACAGTCAATAACCACTTTGACCCCTTTAAAAACAACCTCGCGGTATTGCCTGCATTGTTGTTGACAGATATCTCAAGGACCCCTAGAGCTGTAAGCACAAAACAAGCATGGGCCACTCTTTCTACTCTGTCAGCAATGCAATGCTTGCTTATCTCTCTCTCCCACGTATTCGTCAACAGAGACGCGGAATACAATATTCGTCTGGGTGGTCGGGTGAGATGTCGTCGTTGTCTACGAGGGTGAAATGTGCCCGGGTGCTTTGGCCATCTCTGTCCCCATCCCTTGCTTGCTCCACACTCGCTTACATGCACACACAGCCCCATGTCTTAACAAGTGTTCAAACAAGGTGGACATCCGTGACCTATCTTCCCTTGAAAGATAAAAACTAGAAGAAAAATGCCCCGCTCAAGGCTAATTGATCAAGGCACAGCATGATGCGCGTGTACCCAAAGATGCGATGGGCCTAGCGCGAAGTGTTTTGTGTTCTTTTTTTATTCCTGATTGTATGCGCGTGGAATCGCTCCTACTTCTTGTTTTTGTTCGTGTCATAGACACATGTTGGCCAGTGAGTGGGTAACATTCTCTCAATGCATCCACCTTTCACCACGGACGATGTTTGTGCAATGACAAGGAAACTTGCGTACCCGTGTCTCCTCTAAACAAAGTGCAAAAATAATAGGCACAGATCTCATCTTCCCGCCCCATGTGTTGGCTCTATTTCTTACCCTGTCGTATGTCCGCGTCTGCGCTTCTTTCCGTTTGCAAATCATTTTCTTCCCGACCTTGAACAACGGAGCTATCCGAAATGGATATTCAGCGCAATTGAAAAAAGAGAGCGATCGACTGTTGGTCCTTCTTGCCAACGGCCCGCATCGGCTTACGTATCCATAAGAACAAACCCTTCTTTCTCATTCCTTGGTGTTTCAACATCCTTTGTCCTTGCCCACTTCATTCGTTCTTTATTCCGAGAAGCAAAGAAAGAGAATGAACATCTATTTTTCTAATCGTTACAAGTACAAGGGGGGTGGGTCGAACCGATCAAACGTTCGTTCCCGCGTATCCATCAGGGCAGAAGCAAGGATCAACTTAGTTGTTGAAAAGGATGAAGCGAACACCATCCTCCGAAACAACGCCGTACAAGGTCACATAGAGCGCACCCAATCCAAGAATAGTGCGTCCGAAATTGAATTTCGACCAACGGCTGAGGAGGGCCTCGACATCAGAATCATTGTACTTGTTATCCTTCATGCTATCGCTCTTTCCTCCAACAGTGTTGTCCTGGCGGATGGCGAGGAGCTTCTTGGCGGTAGGGTACAGGGCGATGAAGGAGTAAGGGATGATGGAGGCGATGGAGACGGCGCCATAGAGGTAGGAGATGTTCTTGGTCTTGTAGTACAATCCAGCAGATCCAGCGATACCAGCAGCAATCAAACCCCATTCCAGGTCTATTTGGTGTTATGATGAGAAGAAGGATAATAATCAGTTTCCACGTATTGTGAGAGGACGAGGAAAAGATGTACGCGTGAATGAGAGACACAAAGAGAGGCTTACACTTGGAGGAGTTGTGGGCTTCGGTCCAGATGGCGAGAGAAGAGGCAGAGGAGAACTTGCGGAGGGAGGGCATGATGACGGCGCTGAAGCTGAGGGCGGATCCTGCAAAGAGACCGAGGGATGCGACGGCGATGACCTTGCCGGCGACGAGGGTGTTGTCGCTGTTGGCGAGTGCCTGGAACTGGAAGTCGATAGCCATTTGTTGGATGTGGACTGTTGTTGGAATGGTGTTGTGGGTGGGAGGGGTGTTGTGTGTGTGTGGGAAGAAGAGAAGAAGAAAGGAGTGAAAGAAAGGAAAGAAGGAAAGCCGAGCGCAGGCACAGGGGTGAAAATCGGAAGGGAGTGAGGAAAGGGATAAGGACACGATCCAATTAGCCAACGGTTGGATTGGATGGGGGGGGGGGAATAGACATGAACAACTGTGACCTGGTTCTTTGACTTGTTTCCTGCTGGGATGGGAAGGGGAGCATGTGTTCATGTTGAGTCGAATTGCTCTCATCCTCATCCCTGCCTTGCTTGACATTTCCCTACCGACACCAACAGAAAAGTAAAAAACACGTCCACATCATGCTATGTCGATACACATCGACACATTGCAACACGGTGTCAATTCGAGTACCAGGAGAACAAGAAAAAGAAAGAAGCTGGCGCCCGTATCAGTATCAGGCGGGGCCTGATCAGGATCAATTGATGATGACCAGGGGTTGACGATGACACCCCTCGTGTAAGACAACCATTTAAAAAGAATAGAAATACCCCGTCGTGTGACTCTTCGCGACTCTCCCACACTTCCATCCAACCTTTTTTTTTTTCTGTCGTTCTTATTCGTTTCTTCTTGTTCCTTTGTTCTTCACCAAAAGTTTCCTTTCTCTTTCTTCCTTCACACCCACACCTCATCGCACTTTGCATCTCCTTCTATCCCTCCATCTCTTCCTCCCCAACACACAAAATTACCAAAGATGGCGTCCATAATGCCGTTCCCGAACGTCACCTCCCATCGTCGCATGCCTCATCTCCCCAACACCCCAAAGACACCCACCACCACCCAACTGCCAGCTGCTGCAGCCCAACAAGACCAACAACAAGCCGGCCATGGCCTCACTACTCTGCCTGGTCGGGAACTGGAGAATGGTTCCTCCGCCCTCCAACTGACCGCCTCTTCTACTGCTACTGCAGGATCGAGTTCTCAAAAGTTGTTGCAGGATAGTCACCACCAGCCCGACCACACCTCCCTATCTTCGAGCACTATTTCGACGTTGCCAGGAGGAGGAGACCGTGGTGCGATCAAGGACAACGAGATGGTTGGAGGACTCATGGATCAGGATAAACATCATATTGGAGTGGTATCACCTTTGGGAGCACTGTCACTCTCGTCGGGCTCATCAGCTTCAGCATCGACCTCCCCTTCCTTGACGACCCACGACTCCAAGATGATCAAGACCGCACTCTACGATGCCTTTGGAGTTCTCTACCACCCGTCGGCTCATACCAAGCATTCTCTGTCGACCACCGCTGCCGCATTGAGGTCGGGCGATGTCACGCCGTTGGTGGGTCTTTCGCCCAAGGCCTCGCCTCTGCTCCGTCCTCAGTACCTCGGAACGTCTGCGCCCATTACGCCTTTGGAACTCTCCGAGGAGGCGTCGGCTGCCGGCTATTTTGGATTACATCTCCCAACTTCATCTGCAGCATCGGCTCCTGCTGCTATTGCGGGAACTTTGGCTGCTGCAGGTGCTGGTGGGTCGAACTTGGCAACAACAGGCGGAGCGGGACCATCGTCGACGCACCAAGGACATGGACAGCACCACTACCACCACCATCATCACCCTCACAGGCACACACATACCTCGAGCAACCTGAGTACGACCTATATTAACAATGAGGACCATCAAAATGGGCCCTCCACAGGAGGACGTGGATATCGTTCGCCCTTGTCTCGATCACGTCGAACCTCAGTCGACTTTACGCTTGACCCGGCTGAACACCCGGTCTTGAGCTCGCTTCAGACCCTGAGCATCACCCACCCGCACCCTCCAGAGCACTATTATCCTCGCCTGGGACATGATCTCGGCCATGATCGGGTTCCAATCGCGGCGGATTCACCTGCACCTGTGGAACATAATGCATCTTCTATGAAGCTCACTCTGCCCACTACGTCATCTTCAACCACATCGACTACCACTTCGACAACTACTACAACAACAACCACTACTACAGCGATACCATTGCAACACCAGACAGAGCAATCTCCTTCCTCTAGCCCATTCCCCATGGATAGGGGCGACCGCGACTCAATATCTGGATTTGGTCAACATGGCCTTGTGTGACATCATTCTCTCTTTTTCTTTTTTTTTTTTCTTTTTTCTTTCCCTTTTCTCAATTACTCTCCCTTTCTTGTAATGCTATTCCCAGACTGCCACGAATCCTTCTTTGTTGTTGTCTTATCTTTTTCTGGCGCGTTTGTTTTCCGCTCGCTGCTTCCCATGCATTTACTGTAAACTCGTCATGGAAAAGGAAAACCGTGCACGAAACTAGATAGATTGACAGATTTGAGGGAAAACAGATGGACAGAAAAAATAAATAAACCGAAATACGAATGGGATATATTGGATACCTAGGATGTGTTACTTTTTTTTTCTCAGCTGTCATCAGCGTTCTGTACACATTGTGGTAAGAACAATGAGGGAACATGTGCTTCTCACATTTTTTGATTTCAACTATTATAGCCTTTCAAAGATCGTTTTCTTGTAGCATATTGTTTTCTTTTTCTCTTTCATTGACAGATAATAGATCTACGAAAAATAGAAAACACTAGTACTATCATGTTGCCTGCTTTGTGTGTCTGCCTGCCTCCTGCTGCTTGTATATCGTGTGCGTGAGAGTTTCTCTTTCCTGCTCTTACAGAGTCTGAACAAAAAAAAAGGAGATATGTCGACCCTCGCTTGTGCTTAGAAAATAACATCCTCATCCACTCCGCCCAGTATATCGCTTGGTGCCTCCAGCGCCTGTGTTGGATCCGCCACTGCCGCCGCGACAGCCTCTCCGTTGGATCCAGCGGCCTTGGCTGCTGCAACTAATAGTCATCGCGAAAACAAAAATGTATGAGGAGTGTGAGAAGAAGAGTGTGAAAAAAAGTGGAGCCCAAGGTTCAACAAAGGCGGCAAAACGAATATGGACCCGTGAGAAAAAAAAATGCTAAAAATGAAGGGAAAAAAGAGAAACATGGACACAAGAGAGATGACCAGGACTTACCCTCTGCAGCTTGTCTGGACTCTCTCTCAAGTGTATCACGAGCTGCTGCCTCCTTCTTCTTGCCCTGGACCTTCTTCAATCTACATAGGAAAGAATAATTTGCTAGTCAATTATCTTTCTGCGTGTTTGCTGTCATTTAAGCTTGCAACTGTCTCTTCGAATACACAGTAATGACAAATGACAAAGCCAGTGTGCGTGTGAGTCGAAGAATGGAAAAGGAGAGAACGCGGCGCGTACCTGAAGAACTCCTCACGATCCTGCTCATCTAACTCCGAGATGATGTGCTTGATGGTGTTCTCGTAGCGGGGGATAATAATGTGCTCGATGGCGTTGACACGACGGTTGGTCAGCTTGATCACCTCATCCAAGATAACGAAGGCAGTCTACAATTACAAGCATGGGTGAACTTAGTAACTTCGAGTATTGTACAGTTTTCCTCGAGTTCCACCAACCGCACCATACCAACGTATATCAATCGCCTATTGAGTGTTCCGATTGAGCCTTCCGTACCTGGAGAGAAGCCAACTCGACCAAAGTCTCGACGGCCTTGATGTAGGTCTCCTTGCACTTCTGGACCTGCTGTCCTCCACGACCAAGACCAGTGAGCTCGTTGGCTATCCAAGTTGGACGTTGTAAGGAGAGAATGGTTAGGTCGTTCAATTCCAGTTCTACTCTTCTTCCTTGCTCCACAGTGGCGAAGAGATATGATATCTGATATCCCGATCGCCACAGATAATTTGATCGATGCTTCCAATGTCAACCTCCATCTCTCCCTTGCTAAACAATAAAATGTAACGCAAGCATACCGTTGGTGCCCTCCTGGTAACTCTCAAAGGCGGGAAGCATAACACCTGAGACGTTCTCCTGCTTAGCGCGGACACGGAACTGTGCGTTCTTAACACTCTCCTGCACTTGATAGCCAATGTCGCCAGTGATGTACGTGACCTCTGCCAGGGAGAACGAAGCCACCTGCATGACCTTGCCCATCAAACGCTTGGCCTAATAACGAGGAGGAAGAAAAATAGATCACATTGTGTTAAAAGGGGAAGTGTGCCTCTTTTTGAGTGGGTGTCGCGAGGTCGACCCATGGTTATGCCCCGTTGTGTCGACGTTGTTTTTCACGTCATAAGTAGTGCTTTATCTTGATATGCGAATTGACAGGAAGTCCAGGTCAAAGGGAGAGTGCAAAGACACCATAGATAAGGCGAGGTGGGAGGCCCGAGACGATACAAAAGTACAGGGTTGAAGGGCCCATGTACTTCCACCAAACATGAACAAACCACCATGCAAAAGAAACTTACATCGTCAATCTTTCTGACAATATCTCGGAAGCGCTTGGTCAAGGCTTCACTTTTACGCTTCAGCAAACTGTGTCCTGTTTGTGCTCCTTTCAGCTTCTGCTTCATGACACTCAGTGTCCTAATGCATTCAAATAAAAGTCGAACTGACGCGAGTGAGTAACGAGGCGTGAGGACATTGAGTATGTCATCGTGTTTCCAAGACAATCATGGAGAGTGAGAGAGTGCCAAGTGTGGTTCGTACATGCGCGTTGGGAAGACGGCTAATCTGTTGTTGGCGCCCGACATGGTTGTGATAGAATATGAGGAATGAAGGGCGAAGAAGAATGGAGAAGGGGAGAGTGTCGAAGTTGATGTAGAAACCTGCAAACAGGGGCAGACAGACAGCGACACTGCACTTTCTTCGTCTCTTGCAAAAGATAGTCATGCTGCCAGGCTCGCGGCGGCGGTGACGTGTTGTTGGATGAAAAAAATCAAAGGAAAATCGATCTGTTGAGAGAGGGACCCATGCGCCGATTTTGCAGCTATTCGCGTTTTTTTTTATTATTCTTACACACTAGCGATGCAGGATGTTGGATGGTTTGCTGTTCATTAAAAGAACTTGTTGCGAGAGCTCAAAGAGTTGGTTGGGTGCGGTCTAACCGGCTCCTCGCCTTCCTCGTCATACTCCACATCTGGATCGCTTTCGTCCTCGTCCTCAGAGCCGCCTTCACTCGAACCTTCTTCCTCTTCTTCCTCCTCTTCCTCTTCCTCCCCATCATCGTCATAGTCTTCCTCGCCATCCCTCTCTTCGTCTCCGCTGTAGACAGAGCTGGTAGAGGTTGATCTGGCCGACGTCTGGAATCTAGGAGACACAGCTGCCGCGGCGGGTTTCCTGCGTATGGCAGCTTTTGTCGCCGATTCCAATCCCGATCCATGACTTGAAGCAGGTACGCTCAGATATTGAAAGTTCCTCTGTTTACGCTCTGGAGTAAAGTTAGGGGAGCGATCTTGGTCCCGTTCGTGGTCCTGGTAAGAATAGTACTGCAAGTCACTTGTGTCCGCCTCGGTCTCGGTCGACACCTGCTTATCGTACTTGCGGACGAAAATAGTTGGGTGCACAAACTTGGTGTTGTATTCATTATGAACCTCGCTAAATAAAATCTCCTTATCCTACACATGCACAGTTCGAAGCATACACAATAGTTAGCTGCTGTATGATTCTCGTCCATAAGCGTTGATATCGATCGTACGCCGGCAAGACATGTTACCTTGACGTAGGTTTGGTAGACGGACACGAGGTAGTGAACCTGCACTGCGACCACGATTGAAAGTGGAAAAAACACGTAAAAGTTGTCCGCAGTCATGAATGCCAGGATCAGTACTTGAGCAGGCGAGTACCAGCTGCATCAATGGAAAAAGGCGTAACAATAGGACATTAGTATACTTTTGGCTTTGCGGATCAAATTTGATGAAGCAACGACCAAGGACAGATAAGCATATGTACCAGAATAAGTTGCGTCCGAGGATCGAAGGGTTCCAGAGTGAAAGCTCCCAGACTTGGCGCTTGTTCTCTTCTGGCTTGGGGCCTCTCATGAAAATGGAGATGAACGGGTAGCTAAAGGCAATTTATCAAAAAAAACGTGTTAGTACCGCCTCTTTCCTTTGCATCAATATGCGCTCCAACAATCGCTGCACAAGGAATTCGGCGTACATGTATTTTCCTGGAAACTTGAAGGACCAGTGCGACTCATCCTGCTGGAACTCGACCATCTTGGTGTTTGACGAGGAAGGAGGCTTGTCAAGGCCCCTGTGCATCATAGTATAATTCTTTTTGCTTTTGAACAGCCAAATAGCATTGGAGAAACTGATCGCCACCAGTACGTATTGAAGAGATGCCAACTAGACAACCACAAAGATGAAGAGGATCAAATGGTCAGAAAGACATGCAAGCCATCGGTGGGATATGTTGATGACATCATGTGTGTAACAAAAAAGAAACTCCTTTTGCTTGAAGGCATACCAAAGTAGCAAATCCAGGGCGCATGGACTTTGGAGAGTAGTAGGGTCGATCATGCTTGAGGACAGCAGGGACGTTGGCCAGGGGATCATCCAACCAGTAGCCCATTTTGACAGACGTCAACAAGACATTCAGACCTATTGCCAAAGGCCAGCTATTGACAAGGGTCAAAAAACAAAGGTAATAGTTGAGTGACGACGAAGCCTTGCTGTCAATTGTACGTTTATAATAGTGAATTCTGTGTACAAGCAGTTAATAGACAGAGCTGGCAGATAACAAAATGGACTATAATTGTACCTGAAGCCCTCCTGGAGCAAGTCCCAGTCGAGTGCTCTGAGGTCATTCTCAACTTTTGTCAGGTAGTCCTCGGGGGCGTCGATGATTCGCTTGTGGAGAGGGGCTCGCTTGACGATGCGTGCTCTCCTGTTCTGCTCCATGGGCTGGGATTGTTGGGATGAATGTGAGTGTGAGTGTGAGTGTGAATGAAGAGAGAAGAATGGGATACAGAACAAATAAAGAAAAAGACAAAAAAGCCAAGCCGTGCTATGAAACAAGATTGGTGGCGTGACTGTGAGCAGACACACAAGGAAATATTCGACCACCGCGCCCAGTCTGTGCTTTCTTGTGTTCACACCAAAACACATCAAACACATGTACACAACACCTCCAACTCTCTTTTACCATGGACTCACCTCAACAAATCATCCAACCTCTAGCGGGAAGCTCCCCCTCCGCTGCTGTCCTCGAGAAGGCCACGGATCTCGCCAAGAGTGTGCCTGGCGTCACTCACGATGCTTTGTCCGCGGGGATGACTTTCACCGGCCCTGTCATCGAGTAGACTTCGTCTCTCGTCAAGAACCTGCCTGGGATCCCTCGTACTGACCCTGCCAAGGAAAAGCGCTCTTCCACCTCATTTGACCAGAAGGTAACCTCTTTCAACGAAAGACCATCATTGTTGGTGTGACCTTTTTCTATTGGAGAGAAGCTCTACAACGCCACTTTCGGTTCTCGTCCAAGGATCCGCTATTTTTCTGACTTTGTGCTCTACCCCTTGGGCACCACCGCCTCCTTCCAGAAGCAAATCGATGAAAACGAAAAGGTTATCAAGCAACGTAGTATGTCTTCACTCTTTGCTCGCATGTTTCCGTCTTATTGTCGCGGTGTCGCTTGCTCAGTTTTTGACCCTTGTTGTTTCCAGTTATTGTCCCGGCACAACAGCTGCTTTGACTAACACAAACAGCATCTTTTCTCATAGGCGTTGGACCACAAGATCCACGCCCAGCGCACTACGATGGAGGGCGAAATGGGCGCCATCATGTATGCGGTCACGTTCTGCAACGAGGCTCTGCATACCATGGGTCCCCGCATTGTGTCAAAGTAAGCGTCCGATCGCTCTTTCCTGTGGCATCACTAATCATTGCTTGGCCACCGATCTTTCATCAAAATTTCTGTCTCTGTTCGCTCAATAGCGTTCGCTTCGGCACTTGTGCGGAGAACATCCGTTTGATCCCTCTGGTGCCCCCCGAAGAGAAGTGAATTGCGCTTGTTCGCTTTGGGTAGAAGGCGGGAGGCAGGAAATAATACCTCGCGTCTTTGGTCGCGTACATCCCCGCGATGGTTCTCCTCCGACCCTAAGCCTCGCCTCTGTTGTTCTCTTTCACTTTTCTTCTCGGCACAATGTCCTACTTAGTTTTTGTACTTCGCTGCCGTATTACACTATACCTACTTCACCCAAGTAATCAAAATGCAACACTTCATTACAACGATCTGCGATGCAAAGAAAGTCGTTGCTTTTGGTCTTGTTTTCAGAATCGATTGCACTCAACCTTCAGCCTGCGAGAAGCACTGTATTCGATTGAAATAGGCTACTAGTATGGGGGATAACAACAGGGAGTAGTACGCACTCTTCTTTGCTGCTCCATGCTTGGGGCGGTTGGGTGAATGTGAAAGTGAGTAAGTAGAATGAACGTAGGGGTAAAAAGGAGGATAATTATGATGTTATTTTTCGGTCATAATAAATTCGACAATTTTTTTTTCATTTCTTTTTCTTCTTCCAAACCACCACCACCCACCACTCAAAAGACACACACACACACACACACAACTCTTCCAAGTCTTTTCCACCATGTACAAGCCCGAACAACAGCTCCACCCTCTCGATCACAAGGAAGAGCAGAAGACCATCTCTTCCACTCTTGGTGAGAAGATCTCTCAACTCGGCGAGAAGCTCTCTGGCACCACTCTCGGCTACGACAACTCGTCCAAGGAGATCTCCACCGACACCACTAGCACCCACGGCCTGCCAAGCAAGGAGGAGGTCACCGTCCGCTGCCTCGTTGACTTTGCGATCTACCCCATGGGCACCACCGCCTCCTTCCAGAAGCACATCGATGAAGTTGAGAAGGTCCTCAAGCGATGCGGTATGTCATTTTTTCCTTTCTATTGCAGGCTCGTTGTATTTGGTTGTCACGGTATCGTTTGCCTATTGCTTGCTCGTTTGTTTCGTCGGTTGTTTTCTTGGGACACCATCTGCTTTGACTAATACGAACAGCTACTGTCTCGCTTTCGTTCTTTCTCTCTCGTTCTCTTTTTCTGTCTCTCTGCTCAGGCATCGACTACAAGGTCCATGCCCAGTGCACTACGATGGAAGGCGAGATGGGAGCCATCATGTACGCGATCAAGTCCTGCCACGAGGCTCTCCACGCCATGGGTTGCCCCCGCATTGCATCCAAGTATATATTCACTCGCTTCACAATTTCATCAGAAGCTTATGCTCCGATCAATGATCTATCACAAAGAATAATCACTCACCGTCACCAAATGTGTTGTGTGCTTTTTTTCCCTCTCTAGCGTTCGCTTTGACACCAGTGCGGAGAATTACCGCCAGTTCCCTCCGGAGCGTGCCAAGGAGGAGTGAACTGCACGCGTTCACGGCGGGTAGAGGAGAGAGAGATGAAAGTCATCTCTCACGACTTTTGTCACGTACATCTTTGTGATGGTTCTCTTCTACCCTCTTCCTTCGCTCTCTTTGCTTTCTAGCGCGTATTTTTGTACACACTGAACCCTCTTAAACTTCTTTTACCTTGTTGCTCCACCACAGAAAGTTGTTTGCCATACTTTGAATAAACACTCTTCAGTGCGCCACCCACCAGTCACAGTCCGGTCTGGAACCTGGCTCTGCATAAATTTGTCGCTGTCTTCACAGCTGATACTGAAGAAAATAAAACTAGACACGAATGAAGGGATTCTTACCACCCTCTCCACCATTGACAACCTCCTTCTTCCTAACAAACCCTCCAACAATCGCTCGTCAGCGGCGCGTGGGTCCTTGGTCACTCCAGGGTACCTTCCTTCATCATGTGTGGCTAGCGAAGCCCCACACGGGCAGAAGCCATCGTGGGTGATATAACCGTATCCTTGACTCCAGTCACCTCGGGTGTGTACTTGGATGTCTTGTTATTGGCAGAGATGTCCTGGCTCTGTTCCCATGCGGTCGTCTCGGAATACCTTTCTAATTCGAAAAATTATGTTCACTTTACAGAGGTGCATTATCACGTGCAGAGCCATTATTCTAATATTTCCTTGAAATTAGACACAGAAAATTTTATAACAACAAGTTCATTCCTTGGTAGTATAGTGGTGAGTATCTCCGCCTGTCACGCGGAAGACCGGGGTTCAATTCCCCGCCAGGGAGCTTTCTTTTGTCCTTTCTTCAGACTATTTTTTATGTTTTGGGCTTGCAATTTTTCCTGTACGCCGATTGGGCAGGGAGAGGGATGTACGAGCACGCGATCAAGGAAGCATCTTCTTTCTTGGTTGTTTTGTTGTGCTTGTTTCCCGCCCATTCGACTCTCTCTTTCGTTTTGTTTAAAGCTTCATAGTTTTTTTGTGTGTGCCTGAATTCGCTGTTTGTCAATATCGCACGCCATTCCTTCAAGGGTCGTAACGGATCCGTCCTTCTTTTCCCTTGTTCTTGTTGACTCTTTTTTTTTTTTTTTTTTTTTGGGCTTTCTACAGTTAAGCGGTCTACCTGGGCAGAGTTTCTTTTTTTTGTACTCTTTCTCTATCTCCGAGATCTTTGTTGGTTATTAAGTGATGCTGCGTTTAGCCGTATGACCTCTTTCTCCTACTCTTCGCCCGCTCCTTTGTGGTCTTACAAACAAGATCTGTTGAACCGAGTTCTGCTTTGTGTATCCCTCTCTCTCTCTCTGCCCCCGTCTTCACTTGTTCGATTTTCCTGTCTCTAGTTCACTTTCCGGTGCATATTCGGTATGCGGGTGACACCTGTCTGTCAGATGAACAGGAAAACAATGGCCATCACGAGGAGGGATCTAGGAGTGGGTAAGTGCAATAGATCTTCTTCCCACTTTCATCATCCACACCGTCAAGGATTGATAGTGAACCTTGAAATGTTTTCATCCTTATTGTTGTTTTGTGCTATGCCACTTCTTTAACCCCTCTTCTTTCGAGTCATTGATTGGAATGTTACTTGTGTGGGGGGAAAGAAAAAAAAGACTGTGCGGCGAAGTAAGGAATGCCACAAGTAAGCAACAGCAAAACAAAAAGCGAACAAAAAAGAAGGGTAAGGAAAAAGACTTGTTACTCTTTGTGGCCACGCAAAACACCGAGGATCTTTCTTTCCTTCCCTTGGGCCTTCTTCCAACCATCAGCAAACAAAAAAGGATGTAAGCAGGTGGGCTGACATATTGTTCGTAAGAAAAAAAATATCTCTCTCCACAAAACAAAACGTATTTGTCAGCTCCGCTCGCTCCTCTTCTTCCTCTGACTTATCTATCCCCATATGGACATGCAGCTGCAGGAACGGGAAGTGGGGAAGACGAGAATAGGGTTATTGTTGCACAAAAGCTGCCATTTGTGTCCATTACGACATACAAAGATCTATGGAATGGGTGGGAAAGAAGTAAGGTCTTGTGCCTGGAAATTTGTATTTCGTCAAGTTGTGAACAAGTGGCGCCATGGATCAAAACTAAAAACTGACAAACATAAAAATGAGTTGGGCGTGTAGGAAGGAGGGAGGATTTCGAACATTAGAGTTATCCGTGCAAAACAGGTTGAAAATACTGGAGTGGTGTACTCTCTCATCTTTACCACCCCTCGCTTACTATTAGAATCGTGCCATCGTGGTTGTCGTTGACACCATTTTTACGTGTGGTCCGTGCCTTAAAAAAGCTTGAATTCACTGGGTCTTTGTGGCAGTGGTAAGGAGAGGAGAGAGAAAGGAGGGGAATCCATTTTCCCATTCGGCTCCAAACTTTCAATGGTCGTACAAGAAAAAATAACAAAGAGAAGTTTTCTAATAGATATGGATTACCGCGTTATGCACATGTATGTCGGGAGTTGGTGGGGATGGGGGACAGAGGGAGAGGTAGACGGACTTTTCTGAAAGGAAAATCAAAACGAAGGTTGAGGCCGCAGGCAGGTAAGGGGTAAAGCTAGGTAATTGAAGCTTGGAGTTTGAAAGCAAGTATCGTATGTTTGCTTAGGAAAGGGGAAGTGGATTTGTGTTTTCGGTCCAGAAGGAATGGAAAACAACAATTACAGAGCTGCAGTGGAGAAGAGGAAGGGAATGAATATGAATGGAGTGAAAAAAAGGAGAAATGGTAGCCAATCACAATTGAACCATGGCCCACATTTCGCCCACAACAGTCAACGACACGCGTTTCTCATTGTTGTCTTAAGAAGGAAGTGACACAGCTCATTCTTTGACCACGGACATATGTTATTATTTTACGATTGTAGTTGTGGTTCAGCTCTTTCTTGCCCCTCGGGCACTCTTGGCTGACGTCCTTTTTTGTATTTTGCATTGGGAAAATGGAAAGGGAGGAAGGGACACAACCCTAAGACGAAAGAAGGGAGAAGGATGGAAGTGCGTGCCTCTGATTGCGCTAGGACGAGGACGAGTGGGATGAAGGAATGAAGAGCATGGCAATAAGGGCTCACTTTTCTTGGGAGGAAGGACGGAAGGACATCAACAGCATCGCACAATACCAAAATAGCGAGGACCAAGCTCCAAGCATACAAACCCAATGCTCTGGTTCATTCTTTGTTGGGTCGTTGGCATGATCATGACAAGGTGAGCTGTTGTTGACATGAACATTTGAGAAATCTTATGATGACGACGATATTCAGTGATGATCATTCATGAAAATGGACACTAATGAAGTGGTGATGATGATGATGATGGTGATGATGATGGTGATGGTGGTGAAGAGTAAGAGAGAGAGAGAGGAATAACAATCGACTGAGACAAAGAAAAAACGACATCAGCCTCTTCCCTGCCAACCAACCTGGATACTTTGACATACATACGTCCATGATCTGTCCATCAATGAGGCTGTTGTCAAAGGAACATGGCGAATCCGACCGAAGATATTGGCCGAGAAAGAGAATAGAAGAAGTTGCATTAATCCAAAAAGGGCCTTGTCTGCCCTTCTGTTTCTTCTGCTTCCACTGCTTCTTTTTTTACTTCTGGGTTTTGTCGTTTCAATTGAATCAAAGATTAAGACAAAGCCTGCCTGCTTACTCTCTACCCTGCGTAGCTACTCCCTTATCTTTCTTCTCACAACCGCGTACACCCACCTTCCCTTCCTTCCCTTCCTTCCCTTCCTTCCCTTCCTTCCCTTCCCCATTTTCTCTTCTTCTCATCTTTCTCTTCTCTTTTCTTCTCTCTTCTCTCTTCTCTCTTCTCTCTTCTCTCTTCTTGATTCTTCTTTCTCCTTGTTTTCTGTCTTCTACTCTCGCTCCACCCGCACCTACTTTCAGCAGCCATACTTCATACATTCACTTGCCACCTCTTTCTATTATTATTTATACCCTCCTTCCTTTGCTGCCCTTCCTCCTATTCTCCAAACCACCCCTCACTTGACGATTCATTTTTATTGAATTCAACCTCCTGCTCATTCGCTTGCACATCCACATTCACATTCCTTCATTCACACTTTCATACCCTTTCATTTTTCTCCTGATCACAGCCTCCCTCCTTCTCCTTGCAACCCACTATCCCCATTCACTGAGACAGACAACAAACAATATTTTTTTACCCAGTGATTGTTTCCCAGCCTGAACCCAAGTATCACCTGTTTGACCCTCGGCTTCGTACCTTTGTTTTTTCTCTCTCCGTTTTTCTCTTTTCACTTCTTTTCTTCTTTTCCTTTCCTCTCACTCACCTTCACCTATCATACCCTCCAGTTGATCATTCCATGGACTGGTTTGTGTTAGCCGGCGCAGCTGCAGAGGTACATACATTTCCTTCCCTCTCAAATCAAATCAACAATCACAACAAACAAAAATTTATAATCCTGTCTGCTATCAGATCAGATCCTTCCTTTTGTTCATTCTACTTCTGGCAGTTGTGCACGACAGTTGGACAACTGAAAAATCTTTTCTTACTAAACTGGCGCCCTTGTTGATCCCTCCTCCCTCCTCCACCCACAAATCATGGCCATTCTCCACAAACTAGGCTGTCAGCCAAGTACTCGTCGTTGTTGCCTGTGGTGTCATCCTCTCAAGGACAGGCTACCTCTCTCAGTCTGCACAAAAGGTAACAGGCCATCATCTCTCTCAATTGCATATCTTTTTGTACTTGCAGGAATAATTAGCAAGGGTTGAGACTTACCTCTCCATACCTGTTCTCATTCATAGTCAATATCAAAAGTCAACCTGTACTTCATGACGCCCTGTCTCTTATTCACAAAGATCGCCTCGACTGTCAATTGGACACAATTCAAGGCTTTCTGGCCTATACCTGTCTTCTATTTACTCTTCACAACATTGTCCTGGGTCGTTGCCAGGGTCGGATCGCGTCTCTTTGGTTTCTCCAAGGATGAAGAAAAGTTCGTCATCGCCTCGATTGTCTTCTCCAATACAAACTCGCTCCCAATGGCCTTACTACAATCCCTCGCTTTCAGTGCAGCAGGAGACCGCTTGCTGAGAGACGCAGACGATACCAGAGAAGCTGTCGCTGCCAGGTAAACTTCCACGTCCTTCCTAGTTTTTTGTTGGCTGGCCACAACAAAACTCAAGCGTGTGTCCACCTCATGCACCTTGAGCGGACTTTATTCTTGCATGGAGCTAACCACCGTTCAAACACCTACGCTATTACAAACCACTTGTACGTTTATAGGGGTATCTCTTACATCCTTTTCTATGCCATCTTTGGTAACCTCGTTCGATGGTCGTACGGATTCGCACTACTTGTTCCCAAGGATAGGGAGGAAGAGGAGCAGGAAGAAACTGAGGAGTACACCGCGCTGCCCCCTGCAGCACCTTCTGTCCTCATCAATGTCGACATGCCTAGTGGTTCAAGACGCAGTGACGCATCTGTCCTCACTCTCCCATCGACCTTTCGCAGCTCCCAGTCGCACACTCAAAACATTGGCGAGTCGTATCAAGGAGCATTCGATAACGCGCCGCTCAGGGAGCCTGCGCAGCAACAGGCCGATCCCGCGTACTTGCACCCTCTCTCCCTGGCTCAGTCTCAGTCGAACCCGGCCCGCTCTCCCGCAGTGTCCATTTCAGAGTCGATTCTGTTGCAGAGAGCGCAAACAGCCTACGAGAGGGTTAGTCAAGTGCTGACTCCTCCTCTTCTTACGGCCCTGTTGGCCCTGGTAATTGGTCTGGTTCCTGCACTTCACCAGTTGTTCATGAGCCCCTCGTCGACTTTCTACCGGTTCCTTGTTCGTCCGATCGAGGGATGCGGTGCCGCAGCTATTCCCATGATCCTGCTCTGTCTTGGCGCTCAGGTCGTCCACTTTGCCACCTCCGCTTCGTCTGCGTCAGCCGCCCCTAAGCCATCTGTCCCAAAGAACAAGCAAAAGAAGATTGTGCCTCAGACTGGCCTCGGTATCTATACCACTGCTTCTCAAGGCGATCTTTCGAGCGATGATGAGCGGAGCAGTGGCCCACACGAGTCTTACGGCAGTGGCATTGCAACCCTTCGATCCCACGCCTCATCCACGGCCACCCTCCTTCATTTCAACCAGCCCTTAGGCGATACCCTTGCCGGAGGTTCTCATGACCGAACCCGCCAGGGCTCTACCTATTCTGAATCCTCAGTTCCTTCTGATGATTCGGACGACGAGGCTCATCCTCTTCTTAAATCTTCCGCTTCAGCACCTGTCAAGTCTGGTTACCGCATTTCCTGGATCACCCCCATCCCATTCATTCTGTTCTCCAGGATGGTCCTTGTCCCTGTCCTCTGCATGCCTGCGATTCTCTTCCACCCAGACAGTCTCTCGCCCATTCTCACGACTGATCCAACTTTCTCGTTGTCTTTGGTCCTCTTGGCCACTGCACCCACAGCTATTAACATGATCCAGATCTGCCAAATCAAGGGATTCTTTGAGCGCTCTATGGCGTCTGTTCTGTTCTGGAGCTACTGTGTTTTCGGCATCCCCTGTGTCCTTGGTTGGTCCTTGGTCGGTCTGTGGGCTGCTGGCAGAGAGTAAAGTAGGACGATGAAAAAAACGCCAAATAAACAATCATTTTCTTTGCATATCATAGGATATTATTCCATGTAGATTATTCTCCAAAAAATTGTGCATTGACAATGAAGACTGCGTGCTGATTCTAGGCGGATGCATGTGAACTTTTCTTGTGGGTGAGCGAGCACAAGCGTGTCATCGGTCGGTTGAGGAACCGAAAATTTTATGTCTGAGCGGGCGATCGTATGCAGTCGTGCGGTGATAAAACTATATGAAGGGACGAAGGGGGGGCTCATCCCACAGACGCTATTCATCTCTTTCTTCATCACCTCTCTTTTTTTTTGTTCGCATTCACCATTCCTTCTATATACATACCCGCTTCATTCACCATCTCATTCAACTCATCCACCTTCACAACAACATGACAACAGACCAACTCCCTCCCCGTGCTGAATGGTACGACAACTTTATGTCGGGCCTGACCAAAAAGTCCAAGTACATGCCCTACTGTATCTCCCTTGGAGTCGTCGGTAAACAAATAGCCCCTTCTCTCAACGTCTTTTGCAGAATTGGCTGCCCTAGAAATAACACCTTGTCACTGATATGTCTCTGATCATTGATCACTGACTGCAACCTTCTTGTTCTCTCGTTCATTTATCACCTCCTTCGTCCTTGTGAACTGTGCCACTACATTAGGCGTCGCTGAGCTGGGATTCAACGTGTGGCAACGCCGCAAGGAACCAGACCTCGAGGTGCAGTCCAAGAAGCGTCTCCAGGGCTGGATCAATCAGGCCAAGACGATTGCTGCAGCTGCCGCCCTCTCGGGTGCCTCACCTCGCGTCGCCATCGTCACAGGTAAATAAGAACAGGAAAATTCTATAACCAGCCGCTTTTCATTTCTTAATTCTTAATTTCGATCGATCGCTTCGCGTAACTCATTTCAACGGCTGAGAGAGATATCTATATTTTTCTAGCGGCGAACGTATTCTAATTTCCCATTCTGATGATCACATCTCTTCGGGTATATTTTATAGGTGGCAATGCCGGCCTTGGTCTGCATACCTCGAAGGCGCTGGTCGAAGGCGGATACCGCGTCGTCATTGGTACGTCTTTGTTTTTTTGGTTTCTTCCATCCTCTCTGTTATTGCATGCAGCTAATTGGCCAAACCGATTGATCGGCACATGTTATTTATTGTACCTTGTTTCTAAATGGGCATTATGTTTTCTTGGGTTACGTTATCCCTCCATCGCATATTTTAACAGCTTGTCGTTCGGTCAAGAAGGGAGCCGAGGCGGTCCAAACGATCGAAGAGCAGACAGGTATCAAGGGCATGGCGTCCGTCATGGCGTTGGACCTTTCTTCATTCGAGAGCATCAATGCATTTTCTGTTGAGTTTAAACTCCTCGGACTCGGACTCGATCTCCTCGTCAACAGTACGTATCTTTATTTGTTTTGGTTTATTTTTTTGTTCTTCCTTCGAGAGTTAATTATGATCTAATAGAATGGTCAATGCATTTTTTATGACACTGCTGGAACACGCATTCGTCATTGCTATTTTGTCTTCCTTGTAACCAACAATTATCCAACCTTCCATCTCTGCTATTCTAGACGCGGGATTGATGGACATCCCATTCACACTGACAACCGACGGATTCGAATCCCAATTCGGAGTCAACCACCTGGGCCACTACAAGCTCACCCTCGAACTCCTCCCCCTCCTCAACAAGTCCCACCACAGCGACAGCCGCATCGTCGTTCTCTCCTCTGCAGCCATGTACCCCTCCCAAGGAATCCCCTACACCCAACTCCGTTCAAAACCCGGCTACTCCCGCCTCGGCTCCTACGCCCACTCCAAGCTCGCCAACATGCTCTTTGTCAAAGCCCTCAACCGTCGTCTCTCCGCCGCAGGTTCCAAGGTTACTGTTAACGCGGCCCACCCGGGCACATGCAAGACGGACCTGTTTTCGAACAACCCAATCGCGAATCTGCCCAAGGGTCCTGCAAAGGGGATGTTTCGGTCTGTGGAGGTTGGGGCGATGGGGGCGGTTTATTTAGCATTGGCGCCGGAATTGGATGGTGTTTCAGGGGAGTACTTTTTTGATCAAATTGTTAGGATGCCTTCTGCTAATGCTTTGGATGAACAGCAGCAGGAGGAGTTGTGGGTCAAGAGTGTCGAGTACACTGGTGTTGATTTCAAGTTGTGAGAGTGATATTAGTCGGCGCGTCTCTATTCTCTTCATTTTTTTGTTTTGTTTTGTTTTGTTTTTATGACCACAGTACCCCCTTTTCATTAGAATAGGATGTTATGATATTTATCGCGACGCCATAGTTAAGAAGCTCGAAATAATATACTATTTATGCACGAGTGATAACATGTCTATGTAGTAAGTATGCAGACGAGGCGGAAAAGAAAATAAGGTGAGAGTCTAGACTTCACCAGCTTGATGAGCAAGGGAATAGAACAACCCCTTGGACTTCATCAACTTCTTTGGCGACTCAAACTCCTCAACCCTCCCCTTGTCCAAAACCAGAATCTTGTCCGAATCCATCACAGTCTTGATCCGATGAGCAATCGTCAGAATCGTCCTGTCCTTGAACTCGGTTCGGATGGTCTTCTGGATCAACTCGTCCGTCTCCACATCCACCGCCGCCGTGGCCTCATCCAGGACTAGGATCTTGGTCTTGCGGAGTAGGGCACGGGCGAGACAGATGAGGGACCGTTGGCCGACAGAGAAGTTCTCGCCGTTTTGGGACACTTCGAAGGAGAGACCGCCGGACAGGGAGGCAATGTGGGGTTTGAGGTGGGCGCGGTCCAGGGCTTGCCAGAGTTCGGCGTCTGAGAGCTCGTTCAGGGGGTCGAGGTTCTCGCGGACGGTGCCCGCAAAGAGGGTGGGGTCCTGGGGGATGATCGACAAGTGCTGACGAAGGTCCTTCAATCCCAGAGTTGAAATGTCGACACCGTCGATCTCGATCGCTCCACCGTCTCCAAGGTCGGTAGAAAGGTCAAACTCCCCGTCGACTGTGCTGTCACTCTCTTGAGCACTAGCACGAGCCCAGTACGAGTCGGCAGCCTCGACAATACGGAATAGAGCCAAGGTCAACGACGATTTACCAGCGCCCGTCCTTCCAACAATGCCAACCTTCTCCGAGGGCTGGACTACAAACGAAACATCTTTGAGAACCAAGTCAAGACCCTCACGGTAGCGGGTCGAGTAGTTCTTGAAGACGATACGACCCTGCTGAGGCCAGTTCTTGGGGAGATGGACACCAGTCGACGCTGGGGCCTCGGTGCGCTTGTTGCTGTACTCGTGGACGCGCTCGACAGAGATCAGATCCGAGCAGAGGTCGCAGTACGAGCGAAGAGTCCAGATGACATTATACGCCAACGAGGTAGTCGAACTGAGGGCCAAACCAGCCATACTGGGCGAAATCGTGCCCTTGCTCAAAACCGCCAACAGAGCCGCACAAAAGATCGACACCGAGGTCAAAGCCTCCAACCGTACATTAAGCCAACGGTTAATCATCCACGACGCATACGAAGCCGTCGCAGACTTGTTGGTCCGGACCGCATTCTCGTCAATAAACCGGTCCTTGATGTTCATGGCCCGGATCGACGAAAGACCATTGAGGGTTTCACTGAAATGCTGGTAGAGAGGCGACTTTGTGACAGAGTCGAGACGGCGGAGGTTGCTGGAGGTTCGGATGTAGTACTTTTGGATGATCATGTAGATGAGACCAATGACGGGGAGGACAAAGGCGAAGGCTGGGGTGGCGAAGATGAGGATCATGAGAGTGCCGATAAAGTTGACGAGGCAGGTCAGGAGACAGATGAAAGACTCTGGGACCACTTCGTCAATGTCGCCGATGTCCGACGAGAACCTGTTCAAAATACGACCCTGACTATTTACCATAGAAAAAAAAACGCAATGAATGGTTTGGTCAGAACAAAATATTTCACGGTGCAACACATGACTATTTTTTTTACAGACCTCACCCCCCAAACGCGTAGAAAAAAAGTTTACGGAGTGACATCGAAGAATGCCATAGGGAGACGGAGGACGCGGGCGAGGACATTCTCGTGGAGGATGACGGACGCGCGGAGACAGGCAATGACGTTGCAGACATAGGTCAACCAGACATCGATCGCGATGTAGGCGAGGATAATGACGGCATAGATGACAAGATAGTAGGCGACCGAATGCTCGGTCGTGTCCATGACGCTCATCCAGTGCTCCAGCCAGAGGGGGACGCTCAACTGGAATGCCTCCCAGATAACAAACATGACCAAAGTAACCACAAAAATATCCCAGGACCTAGTAGAATGGAGATGTAAAAGAAGAATGATTATCATAAACCGTGACAATGTAACTTGGAGAAAATAACAAGCATGGGCGATAAAGTATATCAACTTACATGGCCTCACAGTAGACTTTGAAGGTGTCCCAGCCAACGATGCCAGAATGAGCTTCTTCGTCCTTGACAAGCTCACCATCAGCATCCTCGCCATTACCGTCCTTCTTGTCATTCTCCTGAGCGCCAACAACAGTTCCAGTCTCATCCTCGTCACTGCCAGCAGCCGGCGAAGAGGTACCAGCGACTACATTAGCAGCCGCACCACCGTTCTTCTTGTGGTGACTGACCGAAAAGTCTTTGATGAGCTGATGGAAGGCATTCTTGGCAGCCATCAAGTGCTTGTAGTGTCCAGATTCAGTAATCTTGCCATCCTTGACAACCAAGATATGGTCGACATGCTCCAAGTGGTGAATACCGTGGGTAACCAAGAGGCGGGTCTTGTTCTTGAGGAGACCCTTGGGTCCAATCAAGTGTTCCCAGAGGTGCTGGTCAACATGGGCATCGACGGCGCTCAGAGGGTCATCCATGAGATAAACATCAGCATCCTGATAGGCAGCACGGGCCAAAGAAACACGTTGCTTCTGACCACCAGAGAGATTGATACCACGCTCCCCAATCTCGGTCATATCGCCAGCAGCAAGGATCTCGAGGTCGGGGAGCAATCCAGAGGCGAAGAGGACACGGTCGTATCTTTCCCTATCAAAGGGCTTGCCAAAGACAATGTTGTCGCGGACAGTGGCGTTGCAGATCCAAGCTTGCTGACTGACATAGGCGACGGAGCCATAGACCTTGACCGATCCTTGGCGCTTGTACATGTCTCCGATGATGGCGCTCAAAAGCGACGACTTGCCCTGACCGACGCGACCCACGACAGCGGCCAACTGGCCGCGAGCAATAAAGACGTTGATGTCGACAAGAGTAGGGGCTGAGGACTCAGCACGGTCAGCAGCCAAGAGTGAAGTAGTCTCGTCTGCCACTTCCTCTTCTTCATCATCGTCGCTATCATCCTTGGCAACAACGGAAGGGTCCTCGCTGGTCCAGGCAAAAGTGGCGTCCTGAATCTGAATGACGGGAACCTTGGCGTCCTCGGGCAAAATTGGGTCGCGAAGGACAGCAGAAGAGTCGAGCTCCTCCTTGAGTAAGAACTTTTGGATACGACGGGTCGAGACACGAAGAGAAACTGTTGCCTCTGTGACGTTGGACATGGATGCGATAGGGCGTTGAAGGAGACCAAACAAGCTCAGCGAGACAAAGACCACCTGGGCGTTCATGACACCGGGGGTAAAGTTTGGGCCGCCAACGGTCGCAAAGACTGCAAAGGAGACAAAGGCGATGAAGAGGGGCAGACAGGTAAAGACGATCGAGAGAAAGGACATGACAAGGCCAGCCTTGCGCAGGAGAATGATCTCCTTGTCACGGAAGGCTTCGACCTTAGTCTTGAAACCAGATTCGTAGCCGTAGAGCTTGATGGTCTTGATGTTGGAGAGGATCTCGGTCATGAGTAGAACACGGTTGTCCATAGCCTCGGCCTTGGCGTCTTTGGTTTTGTCAAAGAACTCGCCGACCCAAGTCTGAGTAGGGGTGATCAGCACTATGACGAACAGGCCGCAGAAGACTGACCAACCGATAATCTTGTACACTAGTTTTGAAAGGAGGAGTGAATGAATTACTTAGAGTTGTGTTTTCTTACATGTCAGACAAGCAGCAAAGTGTGAAGAAGAGGAAGACATACGCATGGCGACGGCGATCAGTATCTCCAGTGGAACGTCAATCCAGCCAAGGACCCAGACAATCTCCTTAGTCCACTTTTCAGCATCGTTCGACATGTGGTTGGTGATAGCTCCAGTTGAAGAACTCCTCCTGCTTCCAGGAGAAAGAATCAAAGCCTTGCGGTAGATCATCGAGACCAACGCATTACGGATCTCGAGACCCAACTCGGCCTCCTTCTTAAAGAACTGGTTGGTCAAGGACGAGACCGTCAAGCTAACAGTTAGCATGCCCATGGCGAGAATGACTCCGCGTGCCTTGGGGAGCTCATCCTTACTTTCGTCCGACTCGATGTAGACCATGATCTGCTCTATCAATACGGGGAGGAGGAATTGAAGCATCGAGGCCAACACTCGGATAGAGATCATGATAGCCAAAGGCCCGGAGAAGGCCTTGCCAATGACGCGCATCAAATTGTGAGGCTTTTGATGGTCAGCATCGGCCTTGTTGTTGTGAGTCTGGACATCCTTCTTGTGATCTTCCCACTGCGCGTTGAGCTGTTCGTATCCATGCTGGGTCTCGGACTCCTTAGGTAAGATATTGATGTCATTAATCGTCAGGGGTCGCTTGTAGCCTAGGCTGACGATCGACTGCATGTAGTAGAAGGTCAATCGCGAGAAGAGGTTTGCCTTGTCGTGTTGGTTTGCGTCGCTCTGGTGTTGGACGTGGGTCCATCCGCGTGGGAGAGCCTCGAGGACAAAGACCGCGAGAATGGCGTAAAAGTAAACATGGAGATAGCGCAGGGAATTGTTGTCGTTGACCTCATCGTTGTGGTGGAGGGAGTAGAGGGTGACGATGGTTGCGTGGACGGAGTAAAATTCAAAGAAAAAAAGAGCGTTGGACGAGCGGATCTCGTAGATGGATTCCAGTCTGTTGAGACGAATGGCCAGCACCTGTCATTTGTCGATTTCAAGGCGAACAGAAACATAAGAACGTTAGCCTACAAGCCCATTCCACTCCATTCCTAACGTTCTTTCCGACATCCCGACTCCGTTGCTTACCCATGCAACTAACAGAGATCCAAACGCAAATGTGGTAGAGATACTACCAGCAGAAGTAGTCCATAGGTGGGCGATCAAAGCACCGATGACAATAACAGTTGCGATTTGTTGAGGCCAGTAGGCAGGGATATGACCCAATCCGTGGGCATGTCCATGACGCTTCAAGTATGCTTCTCTGATCAGAAAGGCGATCGAAGCCACCAAGGCGGGTGCTCCCAGAACTGCCGTGTTCTGGAAGCATGGGGCCAGCGAGATTCCGTTCTCGTTCACAGGACCCTGTTTTGCGCAGGAGAGTAAGAAAACCAATAAACCAATAAACAAATAAACCAGTGTGTATGTTTGTGTGAGTTATCCGTGGTACTGGTAGCTCATGCAGGCCACATGCAATATCACCTTCAAAAAGATACATACCCAACCCTGGGTGTCGCACCAGGATGGTCCGTCGTTGGCTTGCATTAGTATCAAAAGGGTGGAGAAGGGAGGTGAGAGAGAGAAAGAAGAAAAGAAAAGAAACAAGGACAAAAGTGAGAGAGACGGCACTTGAGGAGTGAGGGGAAAAAAAGCGGCGTGAGAGAACCTTGAAAGAGTGAACAGTCGCTCCTTTTTATAATACTCGTGGATGAACCACAATATCGATAAGGTTTTCTCCCTTGACCACGCCTCATTCTTTGCTGAAAAAGTTAACGATCACAACTCAAGGATGTCGTGCCTGTTTACGATATCGTCATGTATGACGGGCATAAGAGCCGGATACCGAGCGAAGGAGCCATCCAGTGAAAATACTAACGGGTGACGGAAGGAGGCAAGGAAGGACAGTCTGGGAGGGAAGGGAAGGGAAGAGGTGGGCGTCGATCGCATGGATAAGTCGGACAATTGCATCTTTCTCAGGAACAAGGCTCAAAAATCCGCAGTTTGACTACGCCCTCTCCCTCTCGCTTTACACTTGAACACTGTTTCATTGCTTGAACAAACTGCATGCTGCACCAATGGAGAATGCCACACCGTTCTCTTGGCTCTGTCTGTGTCTGCGTGCTTCTAGGTCGCATGCGCAATAATAAGGCTGATGTCCCCATTGGCTGGTCCAAAATGAACAAAGGGGATGGACCCGTTGGAGCTTCTTTTTTTGACACGCAATACGGGCGCGTTTACCCTTAACCTGAAAATAACCTTCGCATGAAAGCGATTCGCTGTTATGTCGCCTATCCCCTTCTGTCTTGTCTACTCTCCTCATATTGCCTTGATTGAGGAGCACGAATGAATTATATATCTTTGTGAGATGCTCTATATTACCATTGGAGGACCGCGCTTGGTAGTAAGAGTATAGCCTGAGGAAGGTGAGCATGAAGGAGGAGGTAGTTTTGGCGATAGTTGGATGACAGCCATCCGGACTCCTGCGCGATATTGAAAAAGACGGTACAGCGTCTTCTGGAGATAGTGTTCCTAAATGTCGTCTTGCAGTGAAAAGGAAGATTGAACAGTAAAGAATAAGGAGGCACAAGGCTTGCAGCCAGTAAAAAATTGAGTCTATGATGTTGATTTATTATGCTATTCGTTCGGCCCTGCCAAAATGAAACGTGGAAAACAAGAAAAAGAAAGAATAATTGACATGAAAAGAATGAGGTATCAAGGTGTGCTGTGTGTAGGAAAGAGAGTCGTGATATGTGTGATCGTGAAATAATAGAGGGGGAGGTTGGCTAGTGTTCCAATGCCTTGTTTGTGGTTGTCGCTTGTTACTTTTTCACCCCTATCCATGACAAGGATGAAAAAGAAAGGGAGAGGGAGGGGTCACTTAAGCACGTCCGACCTTGTTGCGGTCACCATCGTCATTATCGGCATCCTGCTGGGTCATGGGAATGTAGGTGGGCTTGGTGTTGGCCTTCATCTCCTGGTCCTTGGCATAAGTGTAAAGAGCGCCTCCTCCGAGAATCAAAATGATACCGACAAGACGTCCAGAGGTGATGATGTCGTTGAAGGCGTAGTATCCAAGAAGAGTTTGAAGACTAAAAGCGAATAGTAGGAAGATAAGGTCAGCACTAATAAAAAAAGGGTCGAAATGAATTTGGATGTGATAAGAAACTTACACTCCACGGACAGCTCCGGAAACCATGTGGGTGGTGGGCGAGGTCTTGGAGATTTGCAAGAAACCGGCCAAGTTGATCAAGAATCCAAAGATACCGGTGACAAAGGCGGCAAAAAGGAAGCTGTGGAAGGCAGCAAAGCCGTCCACGCTAAGGCGAGCCATGACCTCGGAGTACTCGCCGCTCAAGAAAAAGATAGGGGTGGTAGCCAACAAGGAAAGTGCGTTGTTGTAGTAGACAAGGTCGATCGAAGAGTTGTTGACAGCGTTGAGCGACTTCTTGATGACAATGGCGTGGAGGGAGGTGGTGATGGAAGAAACAACGCCAAAGATGATGCCCCTCTGGGAAACGTTGATCTCCGAGGTGACTCCAGTGTAGAATCCGCAAAAGACGACGAAGCATGCTCCGAGGACAAGCTTGGAGGACGACTGTCCGAGAAGGGTGTAGGCAAAAATGACGGTGAAAGGGAGAACTAATCCACGAGCAATCTATTTCCATGAATAAGCGACAAGGCAGGTTAGTTCACAATAATTCACCCTTGTTCCCTGGACCCTGGGCTCTTTGTTCTTTGGCTCCAAATTAAGTGAATAAATGAACTAGAGACACTCAGTTGACAATTACCTGATAGAAGGAAGTGTCGACATAGACCAAGCAGAGGGTGTTGACACCAAGTCCAAGGACGTTAATAGAAATCAAAGGGATCAATGCCTTGGCAACATCCTTCTGGATAATGGGCATCTTGAGGAATCCTGCATAGTCTGTAATCCTCAACAGAAGGACGGCAATGGCCATCTGGCACCAAAGCAACAGCCAAGGAAGCTCCAGAGTGTTCAATGCCCACTAATTGATGCGGAATATAAATTTTGTGCAGTTAGTTAACGTTGATTAAGATGGAGATGATGAAGATGCCGCCGAACCTGATGGCACCTTCACAATCACTCTGTCCTGTTCATCTGTCGTCATCTGTCGGTCCCGTTACTCTCCCTGTTGATATCCTTGCCCTCGCTGTCGTCTATGCCTCGCCTTTATCTCTTTCCTGAGCAACTGAAAGACATAGAGTCGTTCCAGCCTGGTTGCTCTTTGACTATCCAATCCATTTTCGCTGGTTAAGAGAAGAAACGGTACCTTGTTAACGGAGACCATCACCAGGGCTGTGACCTATTAGTTGCATAAAGAAAAAGGATTCCAATTCCGTATTAGCACATCAATCCCTGACAGAAGGCAAAAACGCACTTTTCAAGTCTACAACAGGGACAAAAAAACTGTGCGACGATGAGAACAAAGAGAATACTCGCCATATAAAACGCCACTACAAGGAACACCTGCTGGCGTTCGTCGAGTCCAAGTTTGTTCAGGTTGGCCATGGTGGATGTGAGTGGATGTGATGGAAGGGGAAAGGTGGATGAGTGGGGAAGCGGATGGAGAGGATGAAAGAAGCGGAAAGTTTGAAAAACTGCAGAAAAATCGTTGTTCAAATTGATAGTGACTGTCCCTCTGTGTGCCTGAGCTGAGAGCCATCGAGTGGACGATGAAAAGTAAAAATAGAACCGAACCCTGCACTGCACTTCATCTTAGCCACACACACAATAAGTTACGGAAAAATTGCATCGTGAGGTCAGCTCTTCTTACTCGTGGCTTGAGCTCTCAAACATCAGGGGAATCTTTAGCTTTTCATTTATGTTCCTCCTGGCACCGATAAGGATCTTCCTCTTGGCGCGGAAGACAGTATCTTTTGAATAGTCCATGAGTGGAGTTATAAGATGGTCTGGGATACCTTGAAGAGGTATGTGAGGAATGTATTTTGCTATGGCTCTGAGCGCGTTCATCCTAGTGGTCAAAGAGACACGTTGGACTCTCACTAGATAAAGGCGGACTGGTTGCCAGAGGTTGGACTTAATAACTTGCTCCCCTCATTCCATTTTTTTGTCTGATTTGAAAAGGTCGATTGTACAGATACAATCTAGGATAGTTTAGTTTAAGTTATCACTGATGCAAACGAAGGATCAATGAGCTCCTACCATGTTATTCGTTTTTTTACTGTTTTTTTAAGCACGTTTATGCACACAGAATAGGCTGCGCAACGGTTTTGACGATTAGGATGATTGCTGTCATTTCATGTGTACACAGCCATTGTTCCATTGCTGACGATTAGCTTGCAGCTCGTCGTCTGGGCGATGGAGAAGAGCTCTGCCAGTTCCATTCGAACTCGATGGACTGCAGCATCCTTTCGATCTGCAGAAGGTAGAAACATCTCCTATACCATTCACACGATCAAGAAAGTGGAATAGAGAGACGGTATTGCGTAGGGCATGGCTCGACTGCATGATGAGAATGTGTACAACTCATTCATATTGTAATTGAACTCGGGGCTGTTGAAAAGTGGACATTGTTTTGGGTCTGATAGAGACTTCTAAGGCCATGATTGGGTTTGTCTTTTGGTCCTCGTCCTAGCCCGATAAAGGTGTTCAGGATTTTTTCGATAACATATTGTGGTTGTCGAAGATATTTTTATTGCACTTTTTGAAGAGGAACAAGTTTCTCTCACACGCACACAATCGCTGTCCAACATAACACTTGCGACAGGACCACGAAACCGTCACCACAGTTGATGCCAATGCAGGGAATCCATTTGATCGGTTCTTCCAGAGTGACAGGAACGGATGACTCTTTTGCTGCATGAAACACTCGCTCATTCGACTCTCGAGATCTCGTCGTCCAACCTGAAGACGAAGCGACACCCTGACAGACGGGAGAGCAGGCGTCAACGGTAGCCCTGACGCACCGCCCGGCTTCCTCCTCCCTGGCCCACACTCTAACCAAGTCAGCAGACAGGCCCAACACGTCAGGATTACAATATCTAACCCGTTCTCGCAGAGCAGTTACTCACGCCAACAGTATCGTGGTGCAGAGATGAGCCATCGGACCTATAGGATACCTGAAACGAGGAGACTGTTGAACTAAGAGGACACCGATAGTAGAAGCCTACACTACCGTTGGAAGCATTTCCCTTCTCTCATTCTCTGACGACGACGAGCCACAGCATGAGTTGCAGTACCACCAGATCGCCGACGAGTACTCCTTGGATGTCTTGGACGATGAAGACGCGGCACTCCTTGAGGATGCTGACACTACAAGACCCCTCTACTATGACACATGCTCACACCTCACCTCCTTCAAGGACTGCAGCTCATTCCTGTCTAAGCCAAAGTAACGAGCAGCCTCCTCTGTGGACACCTCCCTTGTTTGTCTCGATCATGTCACCACCCGCGACGCAACAGCACCTGTCTAGGATCGCGCGGGCGGTTCTGCGCCATCACCTCCGACATCCAATGGAGCCAGAGAGCCCCCAAATCACCACCTCAGCGCAGGTCACCATCGCCAGTGGTGATCCAAGATCCCCAGTCGCCCTCAGTGAACGCGACTTCTGTCGAATGCAGCTTTTGATTCACTTTTTCGCCGGTCCGATTTGGGCGAAGCACAAGCCCAAGACACCATTCACGTTTCTCGTAGTTGCGTCTGGTCCTTCTCACAACTCCTACTCAACCATAACAACATAGCAGAATGCGAAGTATGATATTGGATATGATATAATAAAAATAGACGTGAGCTCTAGTCCTCGTTTCGCGGTCTCAGAAGCTGGTAGTCCTCACATTCTCGCTACCATCATCCATCGTCTTCTCTCTCCAACCATTCAGCGTCAGGTTGTTTGCGAGCGCCTGGAGAGACCATCTCGCCCTATGACTCTTATAGCAGATAGTGATAAGAATCACGCATGTAAAGACACCCAGGGCCATTACCACAGCAGCGAGCCACCAGTGCAGCTCGGCTTCCTCTCTGAGATGCTCAGTTCCTTGTATACGCTCGGCTTCTTGTATAATAAACTCGGCTTTCTGACCGATATGCGCCCACTTTCCCATGTCGCAGGCCGTGTCGGTGCCAATGACCTTGCTGGAGTTGAACTGGTAGGCGCCCTCAGCCATCTCGCGTGCCATCTTGTAGATTCTACAACGAGCTCCGTCTCCATCGGGTCCCCAGTTTCCTTGGGAGACATCAAACGTCTCGAGTAGACTTGGGTGGAGCAACGACTCAAATGAGGTGGTGGATTCCTTATAGTCCAGATACATCATATAGGGGGCGTCGTCCTGGTCCAGTTCAAGAATGCGATGAGCGAGTTGCTTAGATGTTGCAAAATCGTCTAGTCGGAGAGAGGAGTGGTTGGTTGCCAGGAAACGGGAGTAATCCTTGAATCCGTCCAGGATGGGCACAACTCCCACGGAGTAAGGGTGCTGGATCTTCTCCGTCACATAGTTGGCGCAGTAATTGTTTTCGATGCTGAGATAGAACTTGTACCGTCTCATAACCTCATGAGCTTCAAACACCCTCCCATCTTTGAATGAGAGATAAGAAGTGTGGTCGTGTTAGTCCGCCTTGCAGTAATGAAACGAAATAAATGAGAACTTCAAAAAAAGCAATTTTCTTTCTGTTTTACCTGATACTCTGACCAGTCCATGTTCGTCATGCATTTTCCATAGATGTCTACTTTGATGTGCTTCAACAGTTGCTCGACATAATGTCGGCATCCGTTCCTCGTCCTGCAGTTGCTGACAATCCATGCGACGGGTGCCAAGTCCTTTCGAAAGGCGTTCTCTTCCTGGATGTTGTACATTGATTTGGCAAGGATAGCGTCAATGAGACTGCCTTTCCCTCGTCCGGTCTACAAAGTCGGCGGTTCCGAATAAGTACGACCATAGATGAGTGAAGATATTCGTCTACTGCAAGTTGATCTGTATGGGCTGTGGCGCCTCGACACTGGTTATTTGATGAGTAGATAAAAACGATTGCGATTGTTAGTTGACGAGTCAGCGACACAGACTCGAAGGTACTTGCGCGTTTGGGGAGAAGAGCCTTTCTACCAGACTTGGCATCGTCAAGATTAAGAACATCGATGGTGCTGAAACTCAGGGCATGAAAGATGATGACCTTGGACCATCGAACTTGTTCTGGTTTCAGAGTGAACTTACATGTGTAAGGGAGACCACAGTTGTTGATGACTCGACCCTACTCGCGGGTTTCACCCAAACCACTTTGTCCACCATAGGATAGGGTATTCTTTTAGTTGGTCCTGTCGGTCCTGCAGAGCGGGGTTTGTTCCTGCCATGGCGAGGGTGGTGATGATTGTGTGATAGAGTAAGTGGAAGGAATGAGGGGTTCAGGCGAAGGCAAATGGAAATGAGATGTTGAGAAGGGTGAGTGTTTCTGAATGGTAATGAGCAGGAGGAAAAGACGATTGCAGCCGAGGATGTTTATTTCCATGGTATTTACAAGTTAGAAAAAAAAGGGAGGCTGTCTTCCAAGAGTGAAAGAAAGGGACCAGGGAGATGCATTTGTAAGCTCTTGGACAAAGGAAAGTGGAATGGATGGTCGACACCTGATAGGAAGGAGAACCCTGGGGATACTAAGGTGAATGCGCAAAGGGCGTGAGTTTGACCATGCCAATAAAAGATGCTCTTAGGTTTGACAGCAGCCAGCTATGATGTTGCACAAATACAGACCCTGGGCGAAAGGATGCAGCTTGATATAATTCCTTCCTTCGCTCCAATTCAGGCACCATCACTTCAGACACTATCACTTCAGGCACCATTAGTTCAGTCATCGGTGCTAGGCTGAGATTTTTTTATTAGTCTTTTGACGAAGGGCAACATGTTGTGTCCTAGCGTCGAATTGAAGAGACTGATAGTTTTCAATTGTGGTCTAGCATCAAGTGCTGTCATCTATGTTGCGTTTCGTAGACTGCGAAGGCCGTTGGATTATTGTTAGCCATGGTACCCGGTGAACGAAGAAGCACAAAAAAAGGTCGCGCGAAAAAAAGGCAATGGTCAATGAGCATAATCATCACGTGTACCCCTGCTAACACGCGCTCCCATACAAAAAAAAAGCAGACATCACTACTTCAAAAAAGCACAGGCCATAGCGACTTTTCAAAAGAGAAAAGGACCGGTTCGGATTGAAAGTCCAATACTCGTCATTGATATCGTGAAACAAACCCCCCTTCAAGCAGCTCTTATGTTCGCTACTTCGCATTGACATCATAGCATCATCAACCCAGCACGTCGCTCTTCGAGGACCATGAGCGTAACGTCGTCGTCGACATTGAAATCGGAACGCAGAGGAGAACTTGTTGTCGGCCCCGCCAAGAGTGTGTTCATTCATTTAATAAGTCTCGACCCTCTGTCTCTTTCCTTCGTTCATTTCCTTCGCTTGTATTTTCAAGCACCAGAAAGGTTTACATAGGGTGAGAAAGAACATGATGAGCAGGATCAATACTGACGTCAGAAAAAAAAGAGGGCAAGACCATAGACCAAGCAAGTGTGTTCAAATTCCAATGTTGCTACGAAGAAGAGGTGTGTGGTTATTTTTCTGTCTTGTCTTGTTCGCCTTAATTGAAGAACAGAGAGAGAGAGAGAGAAAAGCAGAGAGACGAAGGGAAGGCATACATGGATTGATAGAACTGCATAAGGAGAGTGGTCCTAGGGTCATTAGTTAATGTGGTGAAGAAAAAAGAGTTTGGAGAGAGTAAAAGGAAAAAGGAAAGGGAAAGGGAATGAGGGGGGGATCTGGGCTCATCAAATTATTGACAAAGAAAATAACGCCAAAGGAGGTTTGGGTTGGATCGGTAGCCCATTTTCAAATACACTTTCCTCAATTCTAGCACTGCTTTCGTTTTTTTGCATGATGAACGACTTTGTGCCTTGACACAATTTACGCCTACACTCTTTGCCCTTTGTGGCTTTTTGTTCCCTTTCAAAAACAGGACACGGTTCAGGTAAGACATTTAGTGCTAAACTGTTGACTTTGGAGAAGGACGGGGATAGACAGCAAACAAAAGGGCTGCGGCAAAGAGAGTGAATAGCCCGAACTATTCCCTCTCTCTCCATGTGATTAGTAGACCGACGGCGCTCTCCCTATCTATCCCCCTTCTCTGGCTCCCTTTTTTCGGTGTCCTCTGATGATAGGCCACCTCGATCTAAAATGGGACAAAAAGGGTCCACTCCACTGCAAATAGGAACAACGCTCTCATCATCGCCTGCAGCAAATAAGCTGGCAAATAGGCAAACAGGCAAGCAAACGGCAGAAGCAGTTGTGCAACAGCTAAAAATGAAAAAAAAAACGGCGGCGGGGAGTACATGGGCTGTTTGGCAGTGAATACACCAGATCACGCGCTCACTCACCGGTCGATCGGTTGCCTGACTGTCGCATTGTGGCCTATTGTCTGTTGACTGTTGGTCTATTCCCTGCCTGCGCCCTTGCCTATCTATCCCACGTCAACATACATACTCACATACATGTACGGGGCGCTCACATAAAAAAAAATAAGCACTGACGGTGAACCAGCGACAGCGGACCAAAAGAGCAGCAGCAGCGAACAGACGGATGGAGATAGGGAGAGAAAAGACGCACTCACGGCCGTGCCAATTGGTGTCCCCACTTCTCTTTTTTTCGATCATGCATCATGAGGGCTCCCACACCTTTGGCTGTGGAAAAAGAAAAATCAATAGGGCGGGGTTTTTTCAAACACTCGCAGACAGATTATGATCTTACTACGGTCTTTGACAATGGTTCTTTTCAACCCAGCGTACATAAACTGCATACATTTGTTAATGTTTGTTTTCTCGCCAAAAAAATGTTGCATGATCAAAAATATAAGCAGGAAGGAACGACGCATATTGACACAAGGAAGGAGAAAGAGAAATGATGAATGTGTACTGTACATGTATGTCCTTGGTGTTTTCTGTCTCTTCATAGATTCACAAATGTGTAGAAATGAAAAAAGGGTCCTGAAGGGAAAAAGGAAAGAACAAAAAAGGCAGCCTCTAATGCAGCAAAGGGTCTTCGAAGCATTACCTTGTGCAGCAAAAAGGGACCACCTTTGAAGTAGGAGTAGAGAGATGTAGGGCATTGCTTTTTTGTTGACAAAGTGAATGTTGAATGTGTATGGTATGTATTTTTGTTGCTGGTGCTAATTTTTTGTTGCTGTGGATTGACACGTCAAGACGCGTCGTAAGGTTTGGAGGGAGGTGGTTGCACAAGAACAAAAAATTTGACCAAAGGGGTGTGGGTGAGTGAGTGAGCACCTAACTTCACTGAAAGGTGTGGACTAAAAAAAAATATATTCAAGACAGCGATGGCCACCAGGCATGGATACTTTTTACCCGCATACACATCTCTAATTGGCACACAGACTCAAGCGAAGAATGGTATGCTTTTATGTCACCGCGACAACAACAACAACAACAACAACAACAACAACAACAATAACAAAAATGGCGAAAGCGCACAAAAACAAGGCAGCAATATGCCAAAGGGACAACCGGCATTTTCCTTGGTGGACCAACCTGCGATTTGGACGTTTCTGCTGCCCTTGTTTTTTTCAATGTAACAAATGCTTCTTCTTCGAATCGAACGACAGTGGAACCATTATTGTTGTTGTTGTTTCCTCATTACTGCTGGATATGGCAGTATGGATGCTTCCATCCCGCATTATGATAAAGCCATTCCGGATCATGAGTGACTGAGGTAGCCCTCAACGCTTTTCCCCCTTCTCTTTCAAGGAGTCATTCCTCTTGCTAAAGTTGCTATTGTTTCCAGACCAACTGACGATGACGAACAAGACACAAAACCCCAGGCACTCTCTACAATTCCTTCGTGTTTCTAGAAGATGACGAAGCACCAAAAAATAGGACCACTGACAATGCCTCCTTTCCATTTTGTCCTGCTTTATTGCATGTGTATCCTGCAAGAAGTGCTGTTTTCTTTCTATGCAACTAATTAAACAAACACACCAAAAAAAACCCCCCCGATACGAGGCAAAAGGGCCACTACATCCGTCCAAAAGGACAGACATGTAGTGAAAAAGAGTGTTCATCGTTGTTGTTGCGAATGCAGTTGTTCTCATTACTACAACACCAACACCACAACGAAGATGACCACCACCACCTATTATTCCTATCCTATACTTCCTTTTCTTTCTTCCTTTCACCCTTCATGCCTTCTTCATTTGCTTATTGTTAGTTTTAAATTGAAGGCAGAGATGATTGTATTCACTAACCGTGTTTTTATTTCCGAAAAGTCAACAAAAAGGTGGTTCCGATTCAGCTTTATTCTAATGCGAACAGGCGCGGCATTCTATTAGCCCATGCCCTCTCTATGCCTCTTCATTCAGTCCTCTTCCCTCACTCTATGCCACCGTCTGTCGATGATGATGTCGGATTCTGTTCAATCAAGTCATCAGACAGACAGACAGACAGACAGACAGACATGCACACAGACGTAGGGTGAAAAGAGATGTTGAAATCATGGGGGGGTTTCCTGTAGAAAAGGGAAGGGGGCGCAAAGTATTATTGAATCAATTCAGTGAGCCACTATCCAACCCTACTCCAACCTCACTCCAACCCCACCTCACCATCCAACCCACCCACCCACACCTATCCGATCCATCGTCGCACACACGCAACATACATACACACATGTCACTCTTTCTCTTTCCCTCTGTCCTCATCACACACAACATACAACATACACACCTCCTTTGCCCTTACTTTTTACCATTTTCTGAATTGGGTTCTTATTGAGTTGTGTACAATAACAACAACTGTTCATGCCCTGCTTGAATGTGCGCATCAAAACAAGAAAAAGGTGCTTGTTTGTTTATGCCCTTGTTCGCACTTCTGACTTTTGGTTGGTTCAATCCTGTCCTCTCGCTCCTTCCTTCCCTGTTTCCCTCCCTTGTTGTGTCCATCTGAGTCCTGTGTTTCCCCCATCTTTGGTGATTCCGTGTGCGACAAGGACGACAACAAAGGACGACGTTCTATCTTTTTTTGCTCAAACACTAAACAAGCATCATAATCAGATACACTCCTTGTTACTTGTCGAGAAACCAAAGGCACAAGGGCCGACGACTATCTTTCCCGCCACATAACATATTCCTTGACAATCAATACAAACACACAGACACTCTTTCTTTTCTTGTTGTGTTCCATCAATACTATTGACGTTAAGTGTCCTTTCGCTTATTTGTTTTCTAGTTGACCCTTGCAACCTTTTCTTCCTTCCTTTAGTTGATATAAATCCCCCGGATCTTCCACACTTTCTTTCTTCTTCCCTCTTTTCCTCTTTTCTTTTTTTTTCTTCTTTTCTGCCATATTTCTACAATTCCCATAGTTTCAATCCGATCATCATCATCTTCTCCTCTTCTTCCTCTCTCGTTCAAATATCCTGGCCTTTCTTCCTCGTCAAAAAGCGATCCCTTGCCGCTGCCCTGTCTCTCCCTCTCTCCCTTTCTTCTTATTCTTGTTCGTTATTCTCCCTCCCCTTCTTCCTTCCATCCCTCCTCTCTCTCACTTGTTTTCTCTACCCTAATTCCAAAAAAGAGAGAAAGAACGCCCTAGTCATCTCCTTTTTTCTATATTTCATTGTCATTAATCCCTTTTCGATCTATTCTTTTTTCTCGATCATATTTTAATCCTTTGCTCTCATCATACCCATACCTATCCATATATCTAGTTTTCTTTCCATTTTTCCCATTAATCCCGTTGTATACCATCCTCACTTGTTATTTTTACTTGTCCATCCCTCCTTGTGTATCTTTGTGTGTTGAATAGAGCCCGAAATACCTTTATATATTACTTGTAGCACCATTGCACTTCTCGTTCGCCGCCGCCCCTTCTCTCTTTCCAAACAGCAACAACAAAACAACATCCAATCGGCGTCCTGTCCCATTTCCTTCACTCTTTCACTGTCGTCCTGCCTCTGCTTATTTTTAAGTACTCGCCCATTTGTCCCCTTCCCTCCTCTTCTCGTCCGTCCCTCCATCCCTTCCCCTTTTTTCCTGCTACCCAAGGACAACAAAAGTCTTGACCACATCAGGTATGTTTTTTGTTGTTTGTGTCTGCTTGCATCATTGTGTCCCCTGTTATGCCTCCTTTTTTTTCTTTTTTTTCTTTAAAGGATTCCGTTTGGCATATCATGAATCTACCTCCACAACAAAGTCCTAACACTTTCCCTCTCTGTCCTTCCCTCTCTCCCATCCTTCCCTCCCCCCCTTCCTTCACTTCCCTCCCTTCCCTCCATCTGTCTCCTTCCTCCTCGCTGCTCCCCCTCTCTCCCCTTTCCCCTCTGCTCCTCCTCCCCTGCTCCAGCCTTTGAGAAAAAACAACAACAAAACAGGCATAAACAACAACGTCTACACAAACAAAACCCAAAAAAGCGACAACACACGTAACACAATGCTTCACTCGTCCCCATCCAAAAACGGAGTATCACCCTACACTGCCCAACAACAACAGCACAGCGAAGCCGACATGGATACTTCAATCTCCAACTCGACCGCAGCCTCTCCTTCTCGTCTTTCTTCTTCCAATTCCTCCGCAACTTCAGCAACTACATCAAACGCTTACTCCTACTCCCAATCCTACAACAGCCAACTTCACCGTCAACAATCCCTCAACAACAATAGTAACAATAGCACTGGTACCAACGCTAGTGGTTACTTGAGCCCTCTCTCGATTCAGCATTCCAACGTCCCCCAGATTCGTTCTCCACTCGCAATGGGTTTCAGCGCCCATTCCGGAAGTAGTAACAATGGCAGCATAGCAGCAGCAGCAACGACCCTTTCCTCCCGCATCAACTACAACGGCAACAACACCGCCAACACTAATAACACTACCTCTACTGGCCGTGCCCGAGACCGCCGAGATTCGTTTCAGAGCCCAGTCGCGTTCTCGCCCACCCTCAGCCATAGCAGTCCCGGCGTCGGCGGACTGACTTTCCAGGGGGGAGCCAATAGCATCTATGCCCACCCACCCAGGTTTGCCCACCTCTGGTCAGGCACATCCAACACCGATGGCTCCTGCAACAGCACCAGCAACCGCAACCGTTGCCTGAGCACCAGCAGCGTCGACAGCAACGCTAGTTCTGTCGGCCTCAGCCACTTGACCCCTGCCCTGGCCGCCATGAGTGTCCACCACCAAGCTTCGCCCGCCAACTCGCCCTACCAGTCATACAGCAGCTCCCCTCACCATGGCGGATTCCAGCACCAATACCAGCAACAGTCGACATCGACCTCCCCTTACCCATCCTACCACACTGCCTTATCTAGTTCCCTCCAACAGACCCAGGTCTCAGCCTATGACAGTCTCTCTGTGACCGCAAGTAACATCGCCTCGAACATCTACGGCTCCACACCACCTCTCCACTCGAGTTCCGACATGATGTACAACTCTTCCACGCAATACGGCGCGCAAATGTCTGGTGCTGCCTCCACAGCCCAGGCGTACAACAGCACTCAGCGTTACGGATCTGCCATGCTCCCATTGGGACCTTCGTTGTACTCGGACCAGGAGTCATCGAGGACGACACAGCCCAGCCAGCCCTTTGATTCTGCATCGCCACTTGCTGCTGCCACCCGCACTGGTGGTGCAGGCCGTACCACGACTTTCGACTACAATGACCAGCAGCAGTACGACCCTTCGTCGCATGGACAATACTATGGACAGTCCCAGCAAGGATTGGGCATCATGGTCACTGGAGGAATGGCCCGCTCCTCTTCCCCCGACCACACCGGTCTTGATGATGGTGACCTCCAGTCGTCTTCGTCGGACATGATGGGTGGCCTTGGATCGGCGAAATTGGGCATGAAGCGCAACAACACTGTCGGAAATGCCTTGCAAACTCCCGATGACATCCATGCTGTGCTTGGCAAGGACGGCAAGACTCTTGTGTACCTCTGTCCTAAATGCGACCCAAGCAAAGGTAACACAAAAAAAAGTCATACATAAACTAAAACACCTGTGCCCGGTCGCACAGACACTCGAGGATTACTTTTGTCCTTTTTTTTTGTTGACGTTTCCCACTTCATGCTGACCCTCTTTTTTTCATGCACACTTTGACCCTGACCCCCTTGTATTTCCGACAATAATAGAATTCACCACAAAGTCCAACCTCAAGCGTCATTTGGAGAACAAAAACATCCACAAGTATGTTGTTGTTACCCCCCCTTCAGGAATAGGGTGTGCATTTATGCATGCCACATTTTTTTTGCTGTCGAGTGCACTGACACCCTTTCCCATTTACTCGTTTATTGTCTATGATAGTACTCCTTATGAGCGTCGCAGAGACCAGAAGCGCTGGCAAGGCCATGAGAAGAAGCAGGTCAGCCGTGATGAGACGACCTTGCGTATGCGCAAGTGGCGATCATCCAACCCGGAGAAAAGTAAGTGCCCTTCCTTTCCTTTTGGTCCAAAAAACCACACTTTGCCCCAATGCAATTCACCAACTCCATCCCATACCAAAACGAGATGCTCCCCCTTTCCTCTGTTACTTTGCGATTTGAAATGCAGCAAGAAAAAACCACAATTTACTGCTTGTGCATCTGCTTTTCAGCCGTATTGTACTCCTTTGTTTTCTCCCTCTACTGCAAATCTTAACCACAAACAATATCTAACCTTCTTTCGTAATATTCGTAATTGTAATGAATAGACCGCTTCAACGATATGCGCTGCCGAGTCTACAAGCTGGCGCGCATCAGGTACGGCGAACAATACTCGGCCAGCAAGGAGGAGTTCATTGCCAGCGAGATTGAGCGCCGTAAGCAGCTCATGATCATCCGGAACAGCCGCCGGGTCGATTGGGCTAGCCAAGCCTCCGGTGGGGAAGGATCCGAGTCTTCCTCGACTTCTCCTGTGCCGGCTTCGACGACCGCGGCCTCGACAGGGTTCTCGATCCCATCCTCGGACTTTACGTTTGGGTATGAGACTGCTGAGCAGATGGTTACTTCTCATCAGCAGCAGCAGATCCCCGCCTACGGTTCCAACAACACGTCAGATTCCATGACACAGGACTCTTCTAGCAATAGCAAGGAGGAGAAGGCTGCTCCCAAGGATGCCCAGTTCTTGCAGGATCTTATCCAGAATAAGCTACCTCCTCGTCGTCGCTCTCGCTCGGCCATGCATTCTCAGATGAACAACGGTGCCTCGGATGCAGAAGCTGCCATTGCTGCGGCCAACGCCCTTGCCTTCCCTGCTTCATCCCAAGGTACTCACGCCTATGGTGGCCACAACGACAGCAACGGATTCATGTCGTCGTCACCTCCCTTTGGATACTCGACTACCTCCCCCGCCAGTCCTCGCCAGGTCCGTCGCCTCCGAAAGCAGCGTTCCACGACCGAGAACCCTGACCACAGCCAGTACCGTCATAACCAGTTCTCCTTGGGAGGTGCCTTCGGTGGCTACCCATCCGTCCTGGGTGGGTCGTCCTATGATGGTAGTTACATGGATTCCAATGAGCAGCTCCAGATGTTGGAGCAGAAGTATTCTTATGGTTCTATTTCTCAGACCTTGGGTATGGCTACCAAGTCAGCGAATGCTGGTGGAAAGTCGCAGGAGACCTCTTCGTTGGAGGCGGTTGTTGAGGGTATGGAGATAGCTCAGCCTCTGGGACCCCTAGATTCCTCCACCACCACAAACAATGCCACCACTGCCAGCTCCGGAAACACCACCGGAACTGGTCTCTACAGCGATCGCGACACCTCTGCCTGGTTCGCAGCCGCGACCACAACGACTTACAACGCCGAAACCTCCGCCGAAGCCGAGGACGGAGCCCGTGGTTTCCCCTTCCCCACCATCCGCGACCGCAAAGAACTCGCCCGCGCCGCCGGAATCCGTCTCGACATCCCCTCCCAGCAAGCCCTTGGTGGTTCCGGATGGATCAACGGTCTGAACAATGCCAACAACAACGGCGGTCCCGGGTCAGATGACCGCGTCGGCGGATCAGCGACCTCGCCCGAGTCAGCCGCCGCACGCGGCTACCACGATTTCGCCTCGCCCCTCTCCGGTGGATACGGCGTCCACTCCTCCTCCCAATCGCCCATGCTCGCCCCAGCCTTGACGAGTACCAAGCACACCAAGGGTTCCAACATGGAAGTGTTCAGTCTCCAGACAGGGCCAATGCATTTGTACGGTCAGGGTTTGGGTGCGCCCGAGAGCAGCTTCTTTACGAATGGGACGGATGCCAATTCGTTGCCTTCGGCGGCTGCCAACTATATGGCCAAGGAGCAGCCCGTTGGACGTCGTCACTCCACCCACCTGTCCAACCTGTCCATGTAGACAGCTCTCTCTTTCACAGAAACTTTCTCTCCTTCTTTGTATTACTTTTCTTTTTTTTCACTTTCTTTCTTGCGCCAAAAAATGATAAGTTAATAGTTCTTGTTTGTACCCCTAAGCTGTTGTAAAGTAGTTCTCTTATTGCTTCAAAAAAAAATATGTTCTTCCCCTCATCCTGACCCATTGACTCTGTGCTTGCTCGTTTGATGACTCTGTCCTGATTTACTCCGGAATGGTTGTCTCCACAAAGCCCCCTCTTCTTGTAATTATTTACTACAGGTCAAGGGATACTTTTATTAGTTCAAGTGATATAATTATTGTTGTTCTTTCTCATCCTTCGCACCATCAGAGTTCCGTTTCGTCCGTGCAGGTGCAGGCGACTCGGAAGACACCTCACTCTTGCTATTAACATCCAACGCTGAGGTCTCAAACAGCACCTCGTTCTCATCATCAGAGTCAGACCCCCCTGTAGGTTCTGGCTCAGCCGACAGTGACAGCAACGACACCCGTGGCACATTACCTGATGCACCGTCTCTTCCTGCTGTATTTGACCGTCCAATACTCGATAATACCGACAGCCCTCCTCCCGATGCCGCATGCAGTCTCATATCCAACGCCTTCAATGCCAACGCTCTATTGACATAAACCAAAACAAAATCCTCCCATTAATTAGTTTCACTTTGGTGTAAAATGTCACAGGTTCGAGTCGCTCACGACGTATCATCCAAAAGTCGACAAAAGCACTTTACCTCCGGCGCTCAGCTTCGGCGCGGAGACTTCCTGGTTGGGTGAACGTATGGCCCATGCCAGCCATCTGCGGGTTTTCGAGATCATACTGGAAACTGCCGCCGTATCCTGTTGGTGAGCAGATTTGCAGTTTGACCAGGATCCCAAAGAAAAAGTTTGACACCGCCTTCACCGGTGGCCTAAAATAACAAGGTCAATTAACATAAAGATAAAGTGAGTAGCCTTGCACTGTCAGAAAAAACAAGCTCTGCTCTCCAATGGGATCCGAAAAGCAAATCTGCGGATCGCGCAGAGATGAACAAAGAGACGTACTGTATGAACTCAGGGAAGAAGGAGGCAAAGGAAAAGGTCTCGCTGCGGTCTCCACGAATGCCATCCTGGACTTTCAAGAAGCGGGTATAAATCCATGAAATGAACAGGCCGTAGATTGCCATCAAGAGTTCAATCTGTGTATGCGTGACAAACGCGCCCAAAAACATCACAATCGCGAACAACAGCGGCAGCGACTAAACAAGTAGAAAAATAAAAAAGGCAGACGTTAGGATCATGTTCGAGTAGTTGCAAGCTGCTCTTATCAAAATAGTAGTGAGGATGTCATGGTGCGGAGAGTTACTTTGACACGGATGGAAAAGACGCCCCAGACAGTGACGAGGTGCTCAGGTACAAGCTGCTTGAATCCAATCAAGAATCCCGCGACCACTCCTGTCAATCCATACGCCTGTGTATCATATCTATTCAGTCGTTGGAAAACGCGCGTTAGCAAAACGGTACGTGTTTGTTGCCGATTCCATCCTAACGTTCCCAGGTTTCAGATTGTTCGCTATGGTTATTTGATACATAGCGATATGAGGGTACGTGCGTGCGGTTGGCAACACGAAAAACACAAAGCAAAAACTTACAGGAGAGCGTCGTTGCTGCGAACAACATACTCAAACACACAGGTGAAATAGATCCCGAGCATGGTGCCGACACTGGTGATGCTTAGGTACTTGAACAACTCGCGTGATCCCCATGCGCGCTCGAGATATTTACCGCATCCCAAAAGAATAAATGTGTTGATCGCGTACTATTTTTTCAGTGTCATTCACATATGCAAAATTGGTCATCCGTGTTAGATTTCATTTCCTTCGATGTGTGCATGTCGATAGGAATAACGATAGTATGGTAATGTGTCATTACCATGATGATGTTGCGCTCAAAGAAGGACGCAGTCGCAAACGTCCAAAACCGGAACGGTGCCCTATGAAGCAAACGTCAACAACGATAAAAAATGGAATGTCGTTCTTCAGATGAGTAAAACCTCTCCTTCCCTTTCTTTTCGCTTGGTTACCGAAAAAAAAGACCCCAATTGAAATATATTTTTTTGCTTATCACACAATCACATACGATACTGGGACCAGGGCGATCAAGGATAAGAAATCGGCATCAGAGCCAGGAACCACAATGACGACATTGCCGTCGGCGACACCGACGTCGCCGTTGTGGGTACGGATGAGTAAGTCTCTGACGCGAACCATGAGCCCAAGGGCAGTCATGATGGTCATGGCGGTCGAGACGGACTTTGTCAAGGGCGGCACATTGCTGAATGTCGCCTTCCAGCTGGGAGGCGCAGACGGCATCACTTTTTTCTTGTTGGTTGATGTCTGTCCTTGTCGGATGGGAGGGAAGAGAGGATGGAAAAGGAAAGGATGGCGGCGAAGCGGGAGAGATGGAGGAGGAGAGGAAGACGAAGGAAGGTCAAGGATATATAGAAGCAGGGAAGGAGGAAAGCGTGCAGCAAAACGGAAGCAGAAATATCACATTAGAGAAATGCAAACGCCCAAGGCATCACATGACCAAACTGTTCTTTATGAAGCAAAGAAGGTGCAAGTTGATTCGATCAGTCGGGTGAACATATTGAGCCTCGCTCTTTGATTCAATGGTATATTACATGGGGTAAAGAAGTATGAAAGGTCTATGGTTCAATAGTCTATAGCTCTACTCGTCATCCTCATCGTCGTCCTCAAGAGGCTCATCGTCCTCAATGTCACGGCGAAGAAGGGACTGGATCAAGGGCAAGTAAGGATGTTCGCCGCCGACAGGGTTCTGTCTCTTGACCTGGTCGAAGTACTTCTCGTAAATGTTTCCGTCGTAGACACCCAAAGGAGAGTTGATCATGTAGTCCGAGTAGTTGAAGGCGTCGATCAAGGGAATGTACTCCTGGCGAACCTCACGGCAGAAAACATTGACTTGACCACGGACATAGTCCATCTGCGAAGGGGTGAAGTAGCGGTACTGGAGGAAGAAACCAGCATTCTGTTCGATCGAGTACAGACCATAGAGCAAGCAAAGCTTGGTCAAGACGGGTTGCAGCTTCTCGGGCGCGCTCTTGACAGCCTGGGCAAAGCGGCGGAAGATGTAACCAAAAGAGTGGATCTTGGCAGCGGCAAGACGGGCCTGGGAGCACTCCTCGTAGGCAGTCTCAGGACTCATGCCAGCCTTCAACGAGACCTCAAAATCATCACCGGCCTTCTTGACAACGTTGGCTGTGACAACACCCCAGGCCTCCTGAATGACATCAAAGTTCAAGATCTCCTCGTTAGTCTTGACGCCGCATCCGAGGTTAAGGAGAGAGTCGAGGTGGTTGAGGTAGCTGACTCCCTCGGGTTGAGACTTGCCGGCGAGAGCCTCGCGGTAACAGCTGACGAGGTAACGTCCAGACTGGAGAGTCAAGATGGTGTTGTCTCCCTCCCAGGTGCAGTGGACAGCAAAGTCGTTGTAGGTGGTGGCCAATCCAGTGTAGGCAGAGTAACCGTGACCTCCCAAAGTCTGGCGACAAGCCTCGATGGCGCTCAGGGTCGACCAGGTGCAAAAGGCCTTCAAACCGGCAGAGGTGGCGTGGGTCTCTTTGAGAGTGTCAATGACTTCGCCCATGGTCTCGTCGTCAGGCTGAGTCGACTCCAGCTTGTCCATGAGATCGTCGTACAACTTGTTGGTCTCGACTCCGGTAAAGTGGAAAGCGTAGGCCTGAGCCAAGAGAGGCATGAGGCGGTACTGGTGAATGGCATAGTCGATCAACTTAGTCTCCTGAACATCGTGGGGATTGGACGAGAACTGGCGACGGACAGCAGCATAACGACCGGCAATAGTGACAGCCTTCTTGGCAATGTTGCCTGAGTCGACAACCATGGCGACACGACCCTGGATCAAGGCACCGTAGGTCAACTGGGCCATGGGGGGCTCCTTGACCTCACCGGCGCGGGAAACCTTGGTGTGCTTCATCAGCATGTTGGTGCGGGGGATGCGGACGTTGGTGAACTGGATCCAGCCATTGTCAATACCGTCACGACCCATCTTCTTTCCGATATCACCAATGTTGATGCCGGGCATGAGCTTGTAGGTGTGGGTATCACGGAGCTGGACGACAAAGGACTTTGTTCCGTAACGCTTCCCGCGAACAATGAGCTGGGCAAAGACGACGGTATGGGTGGCTGTATGAGCAGCACCTCCGATCCACCACTTGGTCGCGGTAATAGTGGGAGTGTGGATGATAAACTGATCCGAGGCCTCGTCAAAGGAAGCTGTGGTCTCGAGTCCAGCGACGTTGGAACCGTGTCCCAATTCGGTCATGGCGAAGCATCCAACCATTCCGTTGAGAGCCAAGGCACCTTTCGAGACCCAGTGAGAGAACTGGGCAGAGGTGGCGGACCCACGGAGGGCGCCAAAGAAGAGACCGTAGTGGACACCGAAACGGGTCCAGAAGCCGGGGTCGATGAGGGAGATGGTCTGCATACGCATGGTGAAGATAGGGACGGGCTCTGCTGAAACATAGTGGACGATTGTGCGGAACTGTTGTGTTGTGTCGGCCAACGGGGGATAATAATGGGAATGAAGGTCATTAACAATTTGTTCCACAAGGGCTTAAAGTGACAAAATGTAAGAAAAACAACGAAGTACATTACCTTCTCCATGGTGCGCTCTCGAATCTGGTCCTTGGTGACATCGTACATATCGTACATACGGAACGTGGGGTCGCGTTCGAGCTCCAACATGAACTTCTCACGGATCTAATGGTTGTCAACAGGAGAGAGAATAAGTATCCATGGCGGATGGTGAGTGGGCTCGCTGTGATCCAGTTTCTCATGGTTTAACTTCTTCCTGTGTATGCACAGCTCCTTCGGCTCAATTTTCTCACAGTCTCCCGTTAATTTTTTTTGGCGTGTTGGGGGAATAACAAGAAATGTTATCTTACCTTGGTGAACTTCTCTCCGCCATCCAAGAAATAAGTCAACTCCTTGACATCGAAGGTTGCCTTCTGTCTCTCCTCGGTCATCGACTCCATCGTGCTGTTGACAAGGGAGAGTATATAGGGAGAATGTTAGGAGTTGCGCGTTTCTGTTGAAGTGTCGACAGCCGTTTTCTCAAGTGGCAATATTTTGAGTGAACGTACGTCTTGATCTTGGGCTCCTCGGCGGCACAGGGGGCGTTCTGGAGTTGGCTCTGGAAAAAAGCCAGGCGTTGTGAAGCTGCGGCGGACTCTGACATTGTTGGATATATATTACTTGATCTGTCGGTATTATCTTTGTAGAAAGAGAAAGAAGGGAAAGAGTCGACAGGGTGGAGTTATGTTGAATGAGAGATGTGAATGAGAAAAAGTGAATGAGGACGTGGAGTTGCAGGTCGCTTTATATTTTTACTGGGGTGCAAGAAGAGAGCGAACATGCCAGCGTCTTAAATAGCTGATGGTTGCATACTCTGTGCCTGTCTGATCACCTGCCATCATTCATCAAGGTTTCGGCTCCTCACCTTCAAATTGTCCATTGGGCAAAGATCGAGTTCGCTTCCCGCTAATATAGAGAACAAGCGTCTCTTTCTTGGGTACTTCTTGTTCTCTCCACCAGCCTGCCTGGCGACCGGGCCACATCTCTTCTCACCTCTCATACTCATACTTGACAGCAACGAGCCGAGCCATGGAGTCAGCTCATGCTTCTTCTTCCTTTCTTCTTTCTTTCCTCGGTTTCGCGTTTGCTTCTTCGACTGCCTTTGTATCTTACGTATACTCCTCACAGGTCGTTTCCCTTGGCATTCAGACGTCTTGAGAGTGCATCCTCATCGTGCGAACTGAGTATGATAAAATATATGCAAAAGGGCGTTTACTTTAGCCGTGCACAGAGCAAGTTATTTTCATCAAGCAGGCAGTAACATACTCAAATAAACAACACTTTCCCGCACAAGCTCCATGTGAAGATGGCTGGCCTTCCTTTAACCAGGCTTGTCGTCTGCCGGGGAACTTGAGTCGACTCTTCCTTCTTCTCTCCTTACACCCATCTCTCGTTTTACGGCATTCTCGTTATCTTTCTCTCTCAGCTGGGAAGGAACTGTATCTGAACCCTCCTTCTCTCCACTTGTTGAAGAAAACCTTATTCCATCATGTGTAGGAAGAATTAGTAGCAGCCAAAAAGCAACCGAACCCCAGAAGTTCTCACTTGTTTTTTTTGTCCTTCTGGCCTCCGTTTGCTCATGGCATCGGGTTGCAATTCCAAACAACTTTGTTGTTTGACTTTCCTTTTATTTCTTGTTTGTTATGCCAAGCCAATTCGGATCAAAAAGCTGTTCGCACATGCCGTTCGTTTTCACTTTTCCATCACCCTACTTTTTTCCTCTTTCTTTCACTCCTTGTCTTCATCCCTTTTGTTTCTCATAGTCAATTTTACACCTCGTCGGTTGCAGCTTACAAGCTACGCACTTCGTTTGGAATCAATTGAGTCATGCTACACCTGCGCGCACTGCATCCACGCTTGAAATGGTTTATGACGATCTGTACCAGACGATCCTTTGCATATTTGTATGACATACGAGAGAGGGCTCATGATCGACAGTTGCCAGGTTGGAAATTCGGGCAATTGGACTTTCGAACCACAAGCGGTAGCGGCATAAGATATGAACAAGTAGAAGAAGAAGGGGTGATATATGAAGGTTGGGCGAGGAGAAAAGGGTCCATCAAAGCTCAGAGACGCGATCAAGTGGAGGAAGGTCCCTTTCATTGTCATTAAGTTTTACTATCAACTTAAGAGTGAATAAAATATTTCAACGAGCATCTGGATCATCGAAGGTTAGAATGATGACAGCATGGCAAAAGAAATAAAAAAAAGGAGCTGCTTGCAGGAGACATTAGAGATAAAATGAGGAAAACGATGACATGACTCTAATTACGATGACAGTGGCTGTTGTCATCGTTTTGCTAAGGATTTACTGCTGCCCAGAAAATGGTGGACACGCTAAGATCCTTTTTCACCTTTTTGGACGTAGTGGCGCCAGTAATGAATCCTTTTGACGTGGTGTCCATAGCTACGAACAATGATGATGATCATGGTGAAAAGGTACGATGATAGTCCGTCCAAAGGATGGACATGGTCAATTATCTCTGGATATGGTTGCGGCATACACCCATTTGTAGGGTCCTTTAAAAGACGGCGTCATTCCCTTAAGATGACATGCGGCGAAACCTTCTTTCTTGCCCTCTCCTCGTTTTGTCAGCGCTCAGCGCCTCTCCTTGATGCCAGGCTCAGCCATTCATTACACAGTCTCCGCACACTCACATTTTGCACACGCATCACAAAAAACAAACAACCACTGCCGTTAAGCAAGTCTCTTTTTTCTACTTCTCTCTCTTCTCTCTCTCTTTCTCCTTCTTCTTTCACACTCTCACTTCCTCCTTCTCATTAGCCTCCACTCTAAAACCACACTCCCACTTTATTGTTCTTCAGTAAAGCAGGTATGGCTCCTATCTTTACCGCTTTGAAAAACTTTATCCGACGCGGCCACAAGAAACCAAAGAACGCACTCAACCACCAACACACCCACGACTCCGGAACAGCCGTCAACTCCAACTCACCCCCACACTCTCTTCGATCCCAACCCCACAACCCCATCTCCTCTATGGCAACAACCAAGATGACCCAGCCTTTCTCCTCCAGGAGTGCCTCACCTACACCTGTAGGTGCACCAGTTGTTGCCAACAATGGCACTGACAGACACCATAACCAGTACAACCACAACCCTAACGACGTTGCTGATTCCTCGGTACAGCACTTTACTGCGACAACTGACAACCACAACGACCATATCAGCACTCATTCACAGAAACAGCAACAACAGCAACAACAGCAACAACAGCAACAACAGCAACAACAACAACAGCAACAACAGCAGGTGCATAATGGTAGCTATGGTAACAACAACAATACCGAGGCCGCATCGAGGATGATTGCTGAGGAGAACCACCAACGCAGCAAGTTACCTGTCCTCCCGGGTCTGGAGCAGTACAACCTCCTTGAGAAAATGGGAGAGTAAGTGTCATGATTCGTTCTTGTTTCGTTGTATGCATTTTTCTTTTTACGTTAGTTATCTTTGCTTCTCTATCCTCACCGAGGTTGGTTGTTTAAAGGGGGATTAGTGTTTTGACCCAATTGGAAACGAATGTTTTGGCGTCTTGGACCATCCACCTATCTCTATTATTCCTTCTCCCCCTTCGTCCCCCTTCTCCCTTTTGCACTTCCCTTGCCTTCGCTCAACAACTTTCTCGAAGCTGTTCCTTTGAATGAAAAGGAAGATGGCAGTGACGAAAGGATTTCATCATCGTTAATACGATAAACCTTCCTTCCTTCTGGAGTCTGAGCTGTTTGCCCCACTCCGCTTCTTTCTTTCCCTCTCATGTCAAAAAAAAACGAACGCTCTCAACCAAACAAGAAAGAACGGACCCTCCTCTTTTCTCTTACTGTGTGTTTTAACTCATGTCATTGGTATTTCGATCTGCGCTTGTTGTTTACGGTTACGACCTGCCTCCTTCCCCTTATTCGCAAAAAAATAATATCTGTCGTTGTGCGTTCACAGAAACACAACCAAGTGCATCATCGATGGTGTGAACACTGCAAACACAAACGCTACAGTAAACAAAAATGGAACACACACTTCTTCAAGGAGATGAAAGGCAACCAATTGAGTCGGCTGCTTTGTTATCCCAACGTGAAGGAAAGGGTTGGTTTCAAGCCAATGCTAAAGAAAAGCTCATTAACCAATGCGTACTACTTTCTTTCGCATTTTTCTAGTGGAGCATTTAGTAACGTGTACAAGGCATATGACACCAGGAACGATCGTCTTGTTGCCGTCAAGGTCGTTCGCAAGTTTGATTTGAACGCCCAGCAGGTATGTCTCTGGTTGTACCCAGCATCTCTTCAGAGATGAACAATAGGGGAGTTAATAGAATCGAACCAATCGTACTCACGTACCGTCCAACTCTTTTCCTTTCTACAGAACAAGCATTTGCATCGTGACATGAAGAAGAAGCCCCGTATGACTGAGGTAAGCGCAGCCCTTTCTATTTATTTTTCTTGATCCAGCACCATCCGCAGCCATGATCCGTGGTGCCTGAATGGTTCCGGGTATTGATCCGAAACTGGCTGAATGATTGACGGGTTGTCTGTCCCTTCAATATGTCCAATTGAACTCACCTGTCATTTCTTGTTGCGTCCAACCAACAATAATAGCGTGCCAACATCTTGAAGGAGGTGCAGATCATGCGCCAGCTCAGGCATCCAGGAATCGTCGAGCTCCACGAATTCTCAGAATCGGAGGAGCACTACTTTTTGGTCCTGGAACTGGCACCAGGAGGCGAACTCTTCCATCGGATCGTCAAGTTGACCTATTTCTCTGAGGAGTTGACCCGCCACGTCATTGTTCAAGTCGCCCAGGCGATCCGATACCTTCACGAGGTGAAGGGTGTCATTCATCGTGATATCAAACCGGAGAACATCTTGTTCGAAGAGATTCCTATTATCCCTTCCCCACCTGGATTCAAGCCGAGCGACGAGGAAGAAAAGAATGATGAGGGGATCTTCCAACCTGGCGTTGGTGGTGGTGGAATCGGCCGTGTCAAGATTGCTGATTTCGGATTGTCCAAGATTGTTTGGGACGAGCAGACGATGACGCCCTGCGGAACGGTCGGATACACGGCTCCCGAGATTGTTAAGGATGAGCGGTATTCCAAGTCTGTCGACATGTGGGCTATGGGATGTGTTCTTTACACGCTTCTTTGTGGGTTTCCTCCGTTTTATGACGAGAGCATCCAGGCATTAACGGAGAAGGTTGCTCGTGGACAGTATACCTTCTTGAGCCCATGGTGGGATGATATTTCTCACGAAGGTATGGTACCTTGTTCTTATCCTTCTCTGCGCCTCATGTCTCGCTGCATTTCGTATCGGATCATTCGTTCTCATGCTTCATTCTTCATGTGCTTTTTGTATGACAAATAGCCAAGGATCTCATTACACACCTGCTCTGTGTCGACCCCAACGAACGCTACACTATCGACCAGTTCCTGGCTCACCCCTGGATCAAGGCCGGCGAACAATCCGTCCCCGGAAATGTGGAGAACGTCCTCAGTAGCGCCACCTCCGAGATCACATTCGGCTCCCCAGCCCCCGCCTTTGGCGGCAACAAGGTACTGGCCAACGTCGCCGCAATGACACCGGACTATGGTGCCCCGCGTACACCTTACAAGCGTCGTGCCGAGAACCCACTTTCGCCCGGTGTTGGTCTCAGGGAAGTCTTTGATGTCTCGAACGCCGTCCACCGGATGGAAGAGGAATCCCGACGTCGCCATACCCCCCAGCCCTCTGGATTGCAGGCGGTTGATAACCATCAGCGACAGGCGTTTATGACACAGCTTTATGAGGAAGATGAGGAGGATGAGGAGGACAATAGCACGTCGTCGGATGAGCATTCTGGATCGGGATTGAGCGAGGATGAGACTATGGCTGTCGGCATAGCCGATGTTCATATCCAGAACGGTTCTGGCCAAGACCTACCTGAGTTGCAGAGACAGCAGCAAGAGTACCAGCGCGCTCAGGAGCGGATTGCGGCTGAGAAGCATAACAAATACTTGAGGAAGCAGCAGCAGGCTGGCGAGCCCATCCCTTACTCTGCTACTTCCTCAGGTGTTCACGCACGGACTGGAAAGGCGATCATCACAAGCACGACAGTCTCAACCATTGCTTCAAGTTCGACGTCTTCTTCAGTTTCGTCGGCCAATAGACGTCGTCGCGCGGGTTTTGAGTTGAACATGGGCCAGGCCACGCTGTTGAAGCGTAGGGCTAAGAATGTTGGTGGCGAGTCATCTTCTCTGCACCAGACGGTTGAGCTGCAGGATCAGATGATGAGACGCCGAACCCCTGCCGTTGCAGTGTAGATCACCTTTTCACCCTCTTCACCTTTTCTTTCGTTGCATGTCCTTTTTCGTTCTCTATCATGATTCCTGTACTTTTAGCTGCTCATGTAAATAAACAAAATGCAGAAAACTCAAGTTTGACTTCAGGCTCGTCGTTTATTGTAAACAAAAGGCTTACGGATCGACGTCCATGCTGACGAGCTTGAGACGGCTACTGTGGGCACTCTCCTGCCGTATCCGCTTGTGGGTCAGGTTGTGCTCCATGCCTTCCATTGCCGTTAGTTGCTCTTTGCGCAGTCTCCGCCTCTCATTCCTCCACTCGGCCTTGCCCGACAGCTGTTGACTCGACGAACCTTGTCCAGCGCCTGCAGTAGAATCGCCACCGCTGCCCGAATGTGAGTCTCCGCGCAAGTGACCAGCCTGCATATCATGTAAAGAATGTGACCGAATCGTCGCAGCGGCAGCACTATCCCGATGAGATGACGCGCTAACCTGTTGTTGACGCTTCGACTGTTCATAGTTGACAACAGGCAAAGCCTCCAGTTTCGTCAGTGCCCTCCTATCAATACTCTCGATCGATTCCTGTTGTTCCTCCTTGACCAAGAGTAGGTCGGCGGTTGTCGATACTGCTGTGACGGATGAGCCGTCCTTGTGTGCTGCCGCCATCGCGACTTTGTTCTCGGCCGCCATCAGTTTCTTCAAGTTTGATTCCACCAGTCGTGATTGCTCTGCGTTCAACTCCCTGATCTTTTGTGGATCCGTCGGTCTTTTCACAAACACCTATTGTTCCAGAACAGAAAACAAAGCGGCGAGAAGTTAGAACTGACGATAATTCCTTGCAACAATAGCCTCTTTTGTGGTCATTGTGTTTGGCTTACAGGTGTCTGCTTGTATGAGTGTTTGCTGGGGAAGGCTGGCAAATGGTCCGGTACAATCGTGCGAGCAGTGACCTTGGCAGTTCCCGGCTTCTCATCCTCTTCCTCATCACTGTCCGAGTTGTCCTCAATATCCGAGTCCAGCAACAACGTCTTCTTTTCCTTTTTCCGTTCAGGTTTGGCGAGTATCTCCTGTAATGGTCCTCTCAGCAGCGGCGTTTCTATTGTAATAGGACACAAAAGGCGTGTCAGTTGACCGAGGCATCGGCGACATCCGTTCCAGAGCGTCCAGAAGAAAAAAATAGAAGCCGTTGTTTATATTACTTGATCGTGAGGCGTGTTCGATGTATTGGTCGAGACCGCTGGTCTTGAGATTCATATCTGAGAATGCCTGTTCGAGATCGTTAATATCTGGTCGAGTCCGTCCTGCGAGTTCTGCAAATGAGTGTGCAATGGAGTACATCTGTTGGGTATCTATTCATTTCAGTGTCCAGCGCCATATGCCTCGTTAGCGTTTTGTTGTTACATTGTCGTGGACTATCCGCCTACAAAATTGCCATAGCTTCCTGGATAACAAACTGGCTTTCTTTGCTCGTATGCCTTTACAGTTTTCGAAGACGCGCGTGAGGGACTCGAGTGCGGAGGCAGTGATGCCCTCGTATCCTGCATCGAGTGCGAGTATTGAGACGAGCTTCTTGCAGGTCGCCTCGGCCGTGGCACTATCCATGGCGTGCTGTGGATGGTTGTGCTGGTGTCGCAGTGATGTTGCTGTGCGAGTTTTTGTCGTCTGCGACCGTGCCTTGGGAGTATAGGTTGCTGGAGGATGGCCCCCGGGGCTGTTGACGTCTGACATTGTTGTCTTTTGGTCGTAATGCGTGTGCTCCTTTGTCCGTTGGAGAGATGTGTTTTGTGCGCGGTAAAGAGACATCGTTCAAACGCTGGCTTCGCTCTGCTTGAAAATAGTGGCAAAAAATTTCGGTGACGTGGATATTGTAAGTATGTATATTGCTCGTGCGGTTGATTGTCCTTTCTTCAACCCACAACCATCACACAACTTTGCCATGTCTGCTGTAAGTCAAGCACGCAGGAGCGGTGGCAATCATGATCGCGACACGCACGCAAGCACTTTCGGCTCAGGAACAAGCCTTTTTCATCGCTGCCAGTACATGGGCGATCTACAGGAAACAAGGCTTGTAATCAAGCTGAAGGCAGACCGGTTAAGGCACGCCTCCTGCAAGGCCCTGGCACTTTTCTTTTCACGGCAAGATAGTGCTCGCGCAGCTCGATCATGGATTTGTCATGCAAGAGGCGTCATATACTGGATACTACTTGCACATAACACCACCGACAATATTCACGGATCATAAGTACTTATTGCAAGAGAACTTGGATTGCTGACCGGATCGTACATGTTGCCCTTTTTCACCTTAGTTCGTACCTGTCAACCCCAAGCCCTTCCTCAACGATCTCACAGGAAAGGCCGTTTTGGTCAAGCTGAAGTGGGGACAGGAGTACAAGGGATTCCTGGTCTCGGTCGATTCCTACATGAACTTGCAGGTAACCTACAACTCTTTCTTTTTGCCTGATCTGCTCATATCTGTGCGCCATAGACTGTGTGTTGACCGATGCTTACTTGCATTGTATTTGAAAATAGCTCGCTGACACAGAAGAATTCGTGGACGGTGTCTCTGCAGGAAAGTTGGGCGAGGTGTTGATCCGCTGCAATAACGTTCTCTACGTACGAGGCGCGGACGAGGAATGAGAGGAAGAGTAAACAAGGAGAAGAAAAGCAAGTTGTTTTGAGCATATTGATACGAATGCGAGGTCCAAACACCCACTATGAATAAAAACTACCAGCAAACAACAGCAATTGGCACCCAGTGGTGTTACGCACCTTGGGAAAGGCTTTGTGAGAAGGATCGATTTAATGGGATCCAAGGTGGCTTGAAGAAAATTGAGAGAGTGATCTCCCTGAGTATTTGAACCCTTTTGTTGGCCCTTGCTCTGACTCTCATTCACACACCAATCCACGACCAGCCAACCAACAAAACAATTCAAGCTACATCTCCACCGCCCCAAAGGACTCAGCAATCCACAAGAACAACCGATAACAACCAGCAACTCATACTCACCAACAAATACACAAAACAACACAATGACCACAAAACTGATCGCCTTCTCCCCAGAACAACAAAAACTCCTCTCAGACCAACAGCTGACCTCACCCTCGTTCCTCAGTTACCTACTCCAATATCAGAACGAAACCATCCGCGGGATCTCTGTCCGTCTCCCCGGCAACTTTGTCCACTACTCCCTCCTGTCCGAACAGGAAATCGTCCCCGGTCAGACCACGGTGGGGGAGTTGAAGATGAAGGTGCTGAATGTCGTTTATGTGACGGATGGGCAGGAGCAGGTGGAGGAGTGTGTCCTCTGTAGGATGGGCGTTCATGTTGAAGGGTTGCACGAACGGCCCGTTAGTCATTTTTGAACGTGAGGTAGGGTTGGGAGGTGAGGCTGGGAGGGAGGGAAGAGTGGCCGGCCGTAGTGGAAGAGCCTTGTGAGTCAGGGAATACCATTGGAAAACACTGCCTTTTGTTTCTTTTGTTACGTCTGCCAGCCAACCCAAAACCCTCCTAGGCTTAGCGTACTTTCTTTTTTCTTTTTTTCATTCTCTAACATGATTAGAAACCTTTGTAGAACATAGTACTTGTACATATCAATGAACACCCATTTGTCCTTTTTGTTTTTACTTGACGTGGTGGTGTGCGTTGTCTTGTTGTTACGCTCTCTTGACCCCCATTCGATTTGGACCAATGGGTTCACCTCCTGAACAATTTGTGTATGTCGTCAAAGGACGAGAAAAAATTGAAGGGGGGTATATTGTTGTACAATGACCCAGTCCTTCCCACTTGCAAGCCTTCGTCGTCTGTGTTTGCGTGTGGGTGAGAGTGTGGCAAGTACTCGTTGACTGATGAGTAATATCGTGTTGGCGACGCGTCCTCCCTTGTTGTCGCGACTTTGGGTTTATTCACATTAGCAGTGATTCAATCTGTATGATATATGTCTGTTCTCTGTATGCCATTTTTTATTTATCAATCCGTTATTGCATTGGATCGAGTGGAGAGAGGAAACGAGATGGAACTTAGTCCCTTGTCTGCGACCCCATAGCATTCCGGCGAATGTAAATTCATAGCGTTACTTACGTATCGATCAGAAAAATGACACCAATACATGAAAAAAGGTTATCTGGTCTTTGGAGGCTGACGATCGTCTATGGGCAATCATGTTATGCAATCCTCCTCGACTAAAAGCAGATCATACCTTCAAAATCTCAACAGCCAATGGATCTCGAACCTTCTGAGTGTAGCTTGGTTTGTACAAAGTATTCACACGACTACAGTATTCGCTATCCAAGAACAAGTCCACGATTAAAAAGTTCTATTCACAAAGTGCGTCTTCAAAAGAAAATTGCCATTATCGTTTCAAAACGTGAAAAGAACACATGGCCAAACCTCATTGTCACCATATTGGAAATACCACGGGGAACTTATAGGAACGTGCAGTGACATCCTCGGGTCATATCCGCCGACAAGTACAGCCTCATTACTATCAGGCCTGGTGGATGTAAAAATGACGGCCGTCATCCTCGACTCGGGAAGTCCTGGAGGTAAAGGATTGTACGGTTACGTCTGGATCGATCAGGGAGTTCAGTACAAAATGGAACTACAGTTAGAAAGAGGCCAAGAAGAACCCCCGGAAAGAAAAATTGCTAGAGGCGTAGAGGTCGATTGATTGGTGAGGCGGCAGGAGGTGTTATCGAGTGGTCAATCGTGTACTCAGCCGTGCAAGGCCACGTCCTGATTATACAGTTCGTGTATCCTCCTCTACGTGCCAACACAGGAAACATCGACGCGATGGACAACAAGTCAAATCAGCCACAATGAACAAGGAGATTGATGAAGTTCATCCAAGAGAGGAAGTATCGAAAAAGTTAACCAAAGAACCAAGTAAGTTATTGAGGATCAATTGTTTGCGCGTTGCCAAAAGGCTGTATATGTTTTCCTCTAATACCTTTTCTTTGGTTTGTTGACTGCCCTTTAATTGAAGGAACTGTGTATCCTTGAACCACAAACTACGGCATTCAAAGTTCTGCGGACCAAACATGCGATCCTCTTCCGCTTCAAGTCGGCTTTCAAAGCATTCGAAGCAAGAACCAGCCGACGTTAATAAGAGCCAGCGTCTCGCATCAAGAAACCTAGCAAGAACAGAACGGCCTAGCATCTTGATGACTAAGCTCGTGCACTTTCCTCTTCGTCCTTCAAGTAAAAGAAGTGTAGCCGCATTGCCACTTGCCACAACGTGCCATTCTCTTTTCTTTCCAGGATGTTCCTGAGTGTTCGCTCCCTTTGTTATCGTTCCTCTTCGCCAGTCCGGCTGTGGGTATGTGGTATGTGGGCATGTTTCTGAAAATGCAAAATAAAGTTCAGGCTATGACCCAATAGAGATACCCCTTAAACCAATCAACAGACTCAGACACATCAGCAGCGAATTTTCTATTGGCGAGTGATTGGCTCCATCAATGCGAGTCCTGCGCTTGATGGAACTTACTGGAAGCTTGCTCTCTGATAACTTTTGTGGTGGCGAAGGTCGACGCTCCTCCTCCTCTTTTTTTAAATAGAGTGCTTTTTTCGTCCTTCTTCTTTATTCTTTTTCATCACACCCCTCTCCACCCACAAAAGAACCAAAGCCGCCATGTCGTCCGAGACCTTTTCTTTCCAGGCAAGTCAACAGGGCTATTTCGTCTATGCTGATCTCTTCATCACTGAATTCGCCGTCGTCGGTTTGGCTAATCGCGAGACCTGTTTTTTCCTTCTTTTGTTATGTTATGCGTGTTCACACGGTTCCATAACACTGAGGGGGGAAAGAGCAACAAACACATACATACGCCTTCTCGCTCCTCCCTTTCCCACCTCCTCCTCAGACTACACGCACTACACACATTACTCCACTTCTCGATCAACCTTTTTGCCATACTCCTGATCGCACGTGTGCTAACCTATATGTTCTTTTTTTTCTTCTCAACCGTTCATTGCGACAATAGGCTGAGATCTCTCAGCTGATGAGTTTGATCATCAACACCTTCTACTCCAACAAGGAGGTCTTCTTGAGAGAGTTGGTTTCCAACGCTTCTGGTACGTGCTTTTCTTTTGGTCTTTTGTTCTTTTTGCTTTTGTCTGGTGTGTCTGCGCAAGCCCCCTGTTACAAGAACTAAATTGGTTTCTAACGCCTTTCCCATCTTGTTGTATCTTCCCACAAAAAACAGATGCCCTCGACAAGATCCGCTACGAGGCCCTTACCGACCCCTCCAAGCTCGACTCTGAGAAGGAGCTCTACATTCGTATCACCCCCGATCGCGAGAACAACGTCTTGATCATCCGCGATACCGGTATTGGTATGACCAAGGCCGATTTGGTCAACAACCTCGGAACCATCGCCAAGTCCGGAACCAAGGCTTTCATGGAGGCCCTCAGCACCGGTGCCGATATCTCCATGATCGGTCAGTTCGGTGTCGGTTTCTACTCTGCCTACTTGGTTGCCGAGCGCGTCCAGGTCATCTCCAAGCACAACGATGACGAGCAGTACATCTGGGAGTCTGCCGCCGGCGGTTCCTTCACCATCACCCGTGACACCGTCAACCCCTCCCTCGGCCGTGGTACCGAGATGCGCCTCTTCATGAAGGAGGACCAGCTCGAGTACCTTGAGGAGAAGAAGATCAAGGAGATCATCAAGAAGCACTCCGAGTTCATCGGTTACCCCATCCAGTTGGCCGTCGAGAAGGAGACTGAGAAGGAGGTCGAGGATGATGAGGAGGAGGAGATCAAGGATGATGGTGCCAAGATCGAGGAGATCGAGGATGAGGAGGAGAAGAAGGACAAGAAGAAGAAGACCATCAAGGAGAAGACCATCGAGAACGAGGAGCTCAACAAGACCAAGCCTCTCTGGACCCGCAACCCCGAGGACATCAACAACGAGGAATACGCCGCCTTCTACAAGTCCCTCACCAACGACTGGGGTGACCACATGGCCGTCAAGCACTTCGCCATCGAGGGTCAGCTCGAGTTCCGTGCCATCCTTTTCGTCCCCGGCCGTGCCCCCTTCGACATGTTCGAGCAGAAGAAGAAGCGCAACAACATCAAGCTCTACGTCCGCCGCGTCTTCATCATGGACGACTGCGAGGACCTCATCCCCGAGTGGTTGAACTTCATCAAGGGTATCGTCGACTCTGAGGATCTCCCCCTCAACATCTCCCGTGAGATGCTCCAGCAGAACAAGATCCTCAAGGTCATCCGCAAGAACCTCGTCAAGAAGTGTCTCGAGATGTTCGCCGAGATCGCCGAGGACAAGGAGAACTTCACCAAGTTCTACGAGGCCTTCTCCAAGAACATCAAGCTCGGAGTCCACGAGGATGCCCAGAACCGCTCCAAGCTTGCTGACTTGCTCCGCTACCACTCCACCAAGTCCTCCGACGAGATGACCTCGTTCAAGGATTACGTTACCCGCATGCCCGAGAAGCAGAAGAACATCTACTACATCACCGGCGAGTCCCGCGTCGCCGTCGAGAACTCTCCCTTCATCGAGGTTTTGAAGAAGAAGGGCTTCGAGGTTCTCTTCATGGTTGACCCCATCGATGAGTACGCCGTCACCCAGCTCAAGGAGTACGATGGCAAGAAGCTCATCTCCGTCACCAAGGAGGGTCTCGAGCTCGAGGAGGATGATGATGAGAAGGCCGCCCGCGAGGCTGAGGAGAAGTCCTATGAGGGTCTCTGCGCCCAGATCAAGGAGATTCTCGGCGACAAGGTCGAGAAGGTCTTGATCTCCAACCGTATCTCCGAGTCGCCCTGTGTCCTCGTCACCGGCGCTTTCGGCTGGTCCTCCAACATGGAGCGTATCATGAAGGCCCAGGCTCTCCGTGACTCATCCATGTCCTCGTACATGGCCTCCAAGAAGTCTTTGGAGTTGAACCCCAACAACTCGATCATTAAGACCCTCAAGGCCAAGGTTGAGGCTGACAAGAACGACAAGACCGTCAAGGACTTGACCTTGTTGATGTACGACGTTGCCCTCGTCGTCTCTGGCTTCAGCATCGAGAAGACCGATACCTTCGCCGACCGCATCCATCGCATGATCAAGCTCGGTCTTGCCATCGATGACGATGAGGAGGAGACTGCCTCTGACATGCCCGCCCTCGAGGCTGAGGATGTTGTTGAGGGCGGCGAGATGGAGGAGGTCGATTAAACTCTTGTACACTTTTAGCACAACACCTTTGTAATTATCCACAACCAGAATAGCAAATCCAAAATACACTTTCATTTTGCAAAACATAAACCTCCATGTCCCCTTCCATTTGTATGTTCTCTTTGCTGTCATCCACTCTTGTTATTTGTTATCTGCGCTCGTTGTACAGTACCTGTGCTGGTCTGTAGTTCAAAGTCAAAAGTATTTTGGACGTCTTTTTTATTCTCGCAGAGTGTTGAAAGCAAATGTGCTGGAGTCGCTCCGAGCTGTATCTGGAATAGCCTTTTGTTCAAACGTTAAGTATGGAGTTGAAGTGTAAAAGCAGAATTGGTTCATATGTGCGAGTATGGAGTTGGATTGCGTGTAGAGGGAAAGTGCCTGGCATGACTTTTGTTTTTTGCGTTGTGTGTGTGCCAGAGGGGGTAGTTGTCCTTATTCGTTTGTCGGATATGGATTGACGGGCCGTGGAAGAACGGGGATGATGGTGTTGTTGTGCTTGGCCTTTGGTACTGGAAAATAAGTTCCGGGGGTCAAACCCTGGGCCTGATTTACGGCGTTGGATGCCGTCTGTCTCGATGCGTATTCTTCGTTGTGTTTGCGCAGAATCTATGTTTTTGTCGATGAAAAGGATTGATAAAAGTAAAGTAAAATCGTTCAGTATATATTGTCGATGCAAATGCGGAGTAAAATGTGTCGATGAAAGTGTGAAAGCAATTGAAAACTTACGTCGTGGTGGGATTTGGGTGCTAGATCGACTGGTCTAACTGGAGGTCCAAAGGGCATCTGAGTGGCATTGGGGTTTGATCTACATGAGATGAAGGTGGGAAAATCTGTTTAGTTTCTCCACCATGAATCCTAAGGAACGCGTAATATCCAACTCGAATGAGTAGACGATGAGCCTCTAACGCACCCAACCACGGATCCACTTGTTCCTGGGTATCCACCCATAGAACTCGGCTGGACGAGTGAGGGGGAGGGCATTCCTCCAGACATGTATCTCTGGCTTTGTTGACTATTTGGGATCTGGATCTGTTGTGGCATGTTGTGGGGTTGTTGTTGCTGTTGTCCTGGCGGCTGTTGCATCATGTGTGGTGGGTACCCACGCTGCTGCTGGAATCCGAAGGGTTGCTGCTGTTGCTGCTGTTGTTGTGACATGTCGTTCCTATGAATTTGTGAGAGAGCGAAGACAGGGTATGAGAGTGTTTGTGAGAATCATGCGAGTATGTGTGGGTAATAGTATGTGTGGCAAAGCGCGCTGTGGGTCGGCGAGAAGGAAAAAGAGTTGGAAATGAAGTTGACGTTGAAATGTGGGTGCAATGTGTTGCTTACTGAAAGGCCATTCCTCCAGGGCCGCCTCCCCCTCGTGGTCCTCTGCCATGTCCGCCTCTGAATGAGTTGTTCATCTTGTCTTGTATGTTGTCGGTGAATGTGTCTTCCGGTCGAAAAAATAAATAAATGCTGAAAGCAAAGAAGAAAGAAGAGATCTCGGCCAGGGCCAAGCACTTTTTATGCGAGAAAAATGAAGTGCTGTGTGAGAAAGCAGTCCACTTCAAGTCAGGATGCTGGGTGGACACGTTGGGAGATGACTCCTTTGCTCCTTTTCGCTCTTTCTCTTCTTCTCTCGACACCAACACTCCATCAACCCTTTCTGCTTCACTCATCACCATTTATCCTCCTTGCGCAAAAACTTATCATCTCGAGTGCCCAACAGAACAACGCGACTGAACATAACACACACTCGCACTCTCTCTCTCTCGTTCGAACATCAAGCAAAATGTCATTCAACCAAACACAAAAGTACCTGGCCACCGTCAATGGCTCTTCCTCCCCTGGGTCTTCTTTCTCGGGGTCCTCTCCCTTCGGTGGAGCATCCAACAACAACAACGCTCGACGTAGGGAACTTCTCAGTCTCTTCTCTTGTTGACCCCTGTATCAATCCATAGCGGCGACTCTGACCAGGTCCTCCGCCAAGAAGTTGGCGACACCACCAGGCCCAACTAACATGACCTCATACCTCCATTTCATACAAATGTTTGTAATAGCACTGCCTGGTATCAATCTGGATGAGGAAATCAGGCTGACAACAAACAACCGCGAGCGAGCACAAATGGACAATATGGCAGACCTGTACTCTATCATTGTCGTATTAGAGCATCTGGAATTGGCGTACATCCGCAGTTCCATCACCCATACAGAGTACGTTTTCTTCCTACAGGAGTGAATTCCGTTCAGGATACAAACAGCCAGACAACGCCAATATCACGAAAACAGGAATAGCTTCAACTGGCATTTGTTCAATTGAGCGGACACAAAGCCAACGTAGCTCCGGACAGCCTTACTAATGTCATATCAACTTGTTAAACATATTAGATACACCCCAGCATGTCGACAGTTGATTGCACAGTTCAGGACAGCATCGAGTTTGCTCGGAGAGGTGGTACCTGATTTGGAAAAGTTCATGAAGGAATACAACCTCGATTGCCCGGCAGCAGCTAAGAGGATCAAGATTGGAGTGCCGGCGACCGTGGAGTTTGGCGATGGCGTTTCGAACGAAGCAAACGGACACCGCACTGCCAAATACGTTGCCGAGACCGTCCAGGTACATTCATTGAGTCATGAGATATGGACTTTACGTCCTTATGGTCAATGCGATAGCTAACACTGATGTCTGGCTCGTCCCACTTTTGATTACTGTAGAGTTATATTACGGTCGTGGATGTGCTCAAGCTGGGAATGGCGGCAGTGGACCAAATTCATCCTCTACTTGCCGATCTGATGCAGAGTCTCAACAATGTGCGCTCCTTGCCAGCAGACTTTGAAGGAAGAGCCAAAGTTCGAGAATGGTAGCTACGACGTTTACACATCGCATGGGAAGATGTACTTTGGTGCACGAAGTTGATGGAATATGTTGATGCTAATTAAATCCACGTTTGTGGTCAAACACAAATAGGTTGATCAAGCTGAACGGCATGAAGGCAAGCGAGGAATTGAACGCGGAGGAAAAGCGACAGCTGGAGTTTGATCTTGAAAGCAATTATACTGCCTTCCGTGGATGGCTCGATAACCAGTAGACACTCATGGAGCCATGCCCAGGTCAGGTATTGTCCACCGAACAAATAAACGAAAAGAAAAACGGCAAAAACATACAATTGTGTTCGCGACTCCCGAATGCGATGCTTGATATGTTGATATTTTATTACAATCGTGGTCCACTGGCCGGATCCTGTCTATGTTCATCTCCTCCTCTCAACTACGCCTCCTCCATTTGTCCATGTTGTATTGGGGATTGAATTCTCGCGATGCTGAGATATGGTGCCATGGTCGAAAAAAAAAACGCTGGGTCCGATCCTCCGTCAAAAAACGTCCTGATGTTGTTGTCGTAGTTGCCGTCTATCCGTGCGATCTGTTGATGTACAAAAAGAGAGACGTCTGTTCCTCTACTCGGCCTTCTTGGGCTTCTTGGTTCCGTATTTTGAGCGGGAGGTACGTCTGTTGGGGACACCCTGGAGATCCATAGCACCACGGACCAAATGATAACGGACTCCGGGAAGATCGGGAACACGACCGCCGCGAACGAGAACGACGGAATGCTCCTGGAGGTTGTGGCCCTCACCAGGGATATAGGCGTTGACGACCTTGTCGTTCGAGAGCTTGACACGGGCGACCTTACGGACGGCCGAGTTGGGCTTACGGGGCTTCTGGGTGAAGACACGGACGCAGACGCCCTTCTTTTGGAAGCAGGCGTCGAGGGCGGGAGATTTGGAGTCCTTCTTGAAGGTCTTGCGGCAGCCGCGCATGACCTGGTTGAGCGAGGCCATGGATCGGGTCTGTTGGTGGAGGGTGTTGTTGAAGTGAATCTGGCGGAGCATGGATGTGACGGGGGTGGTGGTGGTGGCTAATGGGGTTCTGAGGGCGGTTGTGCGGGTTGGCAATGCAGCCATGAGGGATCGCAGGTTGAACATGGTGGTCGCTATTCGAGAAGGAGCTGCTGTCGGTCAAAGAGAGGAGAGGAGAGAGGAGTAGTGGTGTTGACTGAGGTTATGTAGGCAAGTAGGCATAGAACGTAGAATGGAGCGTTGTTTGTGCCTGGCATGTCCGGGTGTGGCTTATTCCTATGGAGGTGACTGCTGAACCGCGCTTTGCCCTCTTCTCTTCCCAAGAAAAAAAGTTCTGCTCCACAAGTGTTCATACTCTCACCTCTATCCCACGCTCCTCATCCGACATACACACTAATGTCCAACTCGCTCTCAGGACCTTCCAACTTTGCCGACGATGGCTCGGCGGTCATTGCCCGCCAGCTTGAAGTACATCACAGCAAACTAGCATCCGAGGCTCAGGACAAGATCAAGGCTTGCTCGGACATCTACGAAATTGAGCGCACCGTCGGAGCTATCAAGGACCGAGGCTACAAGCGAGTAATGCCTTATCTGTCTGTTGTATCAGAAATGAAGATGCATATTGCCAATACACAGACTCCAGGGACTGACTGAATTCTTCGTTTTGCACTCATAGATTGCGTTGCAGTTCCCGGACGAATTGTTGCCCGACTCTGGACTTGTGGCTCAATTGATCAGGAACCAGACCGGTAGCTCTGTCTTCATCTTGGCAGATACCTCCTACGGAAGGTGAGGCATGGATCAATTACACAGGATGTTGCGTTCATGTGGAGATTGTCAACTGGCTGACGAGCTCTGTTTTTCCTTGTTTTCGACTGACTTGTGTAGCTGTTGTGTGGACGAGGTTGCAGCGCAGCACATCTCTGCCGATGCCATCATCCACTATGGTCGGTCTTGCCAGAGCCCGTAAGTTCTTGTCCAGCTTGAGTTATTTTTACATATTAGCAGCAATTGATACCGAACCTTTCGAACTCACCACGACACCTCTTTGAACATACCTTTCTTTGTGCCATAGAACATCACGACTCCCTGTTATTTATGTTTTCGGAAAGCAGCCAGTGGATGTTCAGGATTGCGCCACAGTGTTTGACGGATTCTTTGCAAAGGACAAGGCTCAGAAAGTCATCTTGATGTACGACGTTATTTACGCCCACTGTGTCGGTAAGGGTCACTCGGTGTCAAAGGATTGCCGCTGTGGTCTGAGCAAAGTGGAGAAGTGTCGCGTGACATTAATTCTATACTGAATTTTCATGAACTGCGACACAATAGAGAGCCTACTGTCAACATTGGAGGGTGAGAAGAGCTATACCAACATTGTCAAGTCAAGAGTCGAGACAGAGTCCAACCTCGGCTATGTGCTCTCGAGTCAGGATGTATCAAAGGCTGCTGGAGGCTGCTGCCAGAAAAAGTCCGAGTCCGTGTGCTGTGGCAATAAGCAGGCAAGCTCGACAGAATCATCATCATCATCCTGCTGTCAGAGTGGCGAAAAGTCGGGTGATGTGGCATGTGGCAGTTCAACCGGGGGATGTGCCAAGGCTACATCGACTATGCAACAGGCAGGAGCAATATCAACAGGAATGACGACAACGGAGGAGACACCCGGCAACAACAAGAGGAGGCGGTTTGGTCGGACTTATAACTTGCCCGAGGGTGACAGTATCGAGGACTACACGATTTTCTACATTGGAGATGAGAGCCCCACGCTATCCAACATCATGATGACCCACAGCAAGTGTGATACGTACTCGTACAACCCAGAGAAGAAGCAAGGTCGTCTCGAGTCTGCACAGGTCAACAGGGCTCTGATGCGTCGATACTTTTTGGTCCAGAAGGCCAAGGATGCTGATGTCATTGGAATCGCTATCGGAACCTTGGGTGTCGGTAAGTTGAATATCTAGCATGACGCGTCGCCTTGTTGCGGTCTATTCAATATGTGGCACTAGACTGAGACTAATGTGTACCTTTTTCTTTTTCACGTGGGGGTATCTAGCGTCGTATATGACGATGATTCAACACTTGAAGTTGTTGATCGAGTCCAAGGGCAAGAAGGCATACACGTTTGTGATGGGCAAGCTGAACGTGGCCAAGATGGCTAACTTTATGGAAATCGACTGCTTTGTGTACGTGGCCTGTCCCGAGAACAGTTTGATCGACAGCAAGGAGTTCTACCGGCCCATCGTGACCCCTTACGAGCTCGAGATTGCGCTCAGCAAGTCCAGAGAGTGGACGGGCGACTATGTGACGAATTTCCAGGAGCTCCTGCCGGACGACGACAAAATTGGTATGGACAAGATCAAGATCTCTCAGGCCCAACTGGACGCGGCCTCGGATCGGGAGGATGAAGACGGGTCGGATGTTGATAGCGACGAGGATGATCGTCCTCATTTCTCGTTGGTGACGGGACAGTTCAAGCAGTCCAAGAAGTATACGACCAACAAGGAGGATTCCAAAGAGCTGTCGGCTCTGATTGAAGGATCCAAGGATCTGACGTTGAGGGACAAGAACACCAGTGTTGCCACGCTGATGTCGAGCGCTTCTGGGGAGTACTTGCAGTCGAGGCAGTTCAAAGGGTTGGAAGTCAATTTGGGCGAGACGCCTGTTGAGCTTGCGACCGAAGGGCGTGCTGGTATTGCTCGTGGTTACAAGACTGAGGATGGGTATGGAGACCGCGAGACGGAGAAGTATTAGAGCAACCGTAATAAACCCTTCTAGATGGTCTCTGAGAGTGCTAATTCCTTTGATATTTTTATTGAGAACACGAGCATGCACGATTGCGCACTAGACAAAACGTCGCCTCACACCGGAGATAACAATCTATCTTTTTATTATACAAATCGGAGACTACGGACGCGCAATGAATGGACACTGCTCACTTAGGCTGACTGACAAGGTAGACAGGTGTCAGAATAATCACTCGACCTTGCATCTTTTTATCACTTGTTCAGCCTGCTTGTTCACTTGGCCCTGTGTCCAGCAAACTCCTAACTTTAGGTCAATTGCCTTCTCGTTGTTGTCCTACTTACACATTCATATCATGCGAGAAAGAGAGAGAGAGAGGAGTGTTGAGTTGTTGTCTTGCTGCATAATCTATCGAACGACAGTTAGCAGGCAGACAATGACGCTTCAAGGAAAAATAAGGAAAAAACACCTTTTCTCATTGACAGAGAGAGAGAGAGAGAGAGAGAGAGAGAGAGAGAAGTGTGTGCATTCTGTGCATCGGTCCGGGTCACTTAATTGACTGGTAGGGAGGATACGTACTGCCAGATAAATAAAGGTAAGTGTGGCATGGTCACCAAAACGAGGTATTACTCCCCATTGAAAAACTAGTTTCTTGAGGGGTTTTTGGAGCGCTTTCTTATTGTTTATGCCGTAGGACATGGTTCTACAACGAGTGCGTGTGAATGAGGAAGTGGGAGAGAAAAGGAGAGAGAGGATGGGTGAAAAAGCAGGGGGGGGGGGGGGGAGAGAAAAAGAGCGAAGAGGAGGAATCGGAACGTCCGATAACGATCAGTCTACGCGATAAGAAGGCGGAGGAGGAGCGTGTGAGGGACAACGAGAGTAGAGGAGAGGGAAAAAGTGAATGTGAAAAATGGCACGCGTTTATTAGGGAGGAAGAGACAAAAAAAGAGCATCAGGAGGAGGAGCCTGGTTTGAAATGCAGTCTCCGGAGGCGGAGTGGGCTAGTTTTTATCGGACCTTGATGATGACGGCAATGACAATGACGGAGAAGGATTCTTGGGCTAATGTTCCCGGCTGATAAGCATGGCCGGTTATCAGATATGAACAGTGAGGTGAACAGGACCCTTTTTTCAACTTCAAACGAAGGAGGAGAGAAAGTGCTCATCCTTGCATTTTTGCAGTATCGATCTCATCGGTATCGTTCACAAGAAGAACAGATACACACAGCCTCTCTCTCCCATTCGCACTCGCAGTATCGGTATTTGTCAATGGAAATACATTTTTTGCGGAAGGCGATAATAACAAAAGGAACAGAGACCCATGTGCAAAGTCTCCCGATCATTACAGCAAAACAACAACCACCAGGGTCTTGTGCCATCGCCAAAATGAACACATTTGTAAACACAAAAACAAAAAGAGCCCTGTTGAACGACGGATAGGTATTACGAAAAGAAAAGAAAAGGTCGACAAGGTGTTGTTGAGAAAAGAAGGGTAGCAACGATGGCGATGGCGATGGCGATGGATATATGTTCATGTAGCCACCGTCGTGGTCTCAAGAAAAGGAGCGACATTCTCATTACGAATTGACAATCGATACCGTGAATGTGCATGTACGATGGACATGTATCTGTCTCTCTGTCTGTTATCTTCACGCTCCGTCCACCTCTTCCCTCACCACCCTATCTATCCTATCCTGTTTCTGCAAGGTGCAAGGGGTGAGAGGAGTGGGTGATCTCAAACACATAGCCTCCAGCGAAGCGAAATGCTCTCTACCGGAGACAATCGTCGTCGGCGTCTTCGACGTTCTCCGTCCTCCGTCAAACTGCCGTAGATAACAACCACAACCGTCCTCTTTTTTGCTCACTAACTTCTGGTTCCCTTCTTTTGACTTTTTCTTTTGTTTCCTTTTTTCGTTTACCATTCCTTTCTTTCATTATACCTTCTTTTCTCTTCTCTGATATACCATACTCTACTCATCATTCACAGCTCGGTTTGTTCTATCATTACCAAAGCAACCAAAGTCAATTTCTCTCTTCATCCTTCGTTCCTGAACGTATCCAAGTTATCCAACTGCCACCCACACCTTCACCACCTCAACGTTCTTTCAGTCTGCTCTCTCCCTCCTTCCTTCTTTAACTAATAACTGCCACCCACCACCACCACTGCTTCTTTTGCTCCTTATTACTCCTCCTCTACACTCAACAACCACCCATCGCTCCTTTTAACTATCACTCTATCTACACAATATGCTTCACTCGCCTATCTCAGCCTGCAGTCCTCCATTCCTCAATTCAGGTAACGTCTTGCTTCTCTTCTAAGCACATACAAAACACACTCTCTCTACCTCTCGCTAAAGTGGCTCGACTCGGCCGGGGTCCAGTGTCCTGTGCTTCGAGTAAAGAACAAAGAGACACGGCCTGAGGCCACTTGTCCCTTCACTGTCTTGAACGCCGATAGACGCATGAAGTGTGGAAATCGACCTTTAAGAATCTTCTCAAGAGTTTCCGCGTGTGGGAAAGAGAGGATGGTCTACGTTGAAGATGCAACCCCAACCATTACCGGTCTTAACCATACTTTTCTCCATTACCACGTTTTATTCCCGACCCTTTTGTAGCAGGGTGTAAGGACTCTGCACCGTCAAATCAAGACTCGGGTTTCGAGTTATGGTCCCTGTCCGTCGAGTGTGAACAAGGGTCCAAACAATCTACATCGGCAGCTATCGACATCCCATCACCACCCTTGACGCCCTACATGGGCTGTGGGGACAGCGATGTGGATCCATTGTCTGATAAAGAGGACGAAGACTACCAAGAGGACGACAACGATAGTCTTGTCTTTTCTTCCCGGTTCCAAAAGAAACAACAGCAACGAACACAACTTCCTTACGACCAGATGCCAACAGACCAACTCAACAACATGTCTATCGGCAGCCGCCCGTCCACATCTGCCCCCAGTACCCAGTCCCCCTTCCGGATACAAGCCTCCAGCAGTGCACCCACTGTTGGGTTCACGTTCTCGAGTAATATCCCTGCCTGGCAGTCGGTTGAGGAACGAGAGAGCTATGCGCTGTTCTTGGCTGTGATGGAGAAGGATTACTGGAAAAGTGTGTCCACCATCCGATTGACGTATTTTTTTGATGGCATTGGCCGTGGGGGTGGGTTTCTCGCTGTAAGTGTGATTGCCCTTGTTGGTCGCTTTCTAAACGCGTGGATAGGATACACCCCGTATGCGTGTCTGTGTGTGAGGGTGCTAATCAGACCATACCATCCGTATCCGCATGGTTCTATGAAGATTCGCTCACTAAACTAAATCAATACTCCTTTCTCTGTCTTTGTACCCTTTTTTTTCACTAAGATCCCTCATTTGGCTTCACATGGGAATGCCAAGACGAATATCCTCTGTCGACTGCTGGAAGACTGGCTAACCAAGAAGCTGGTTGAGCCTACGATCTCGGACTCGATCCCCATCCTCGAAGACAGTATCCAGAGCTCGATCCTGTCGATTGAGCGACATCTCAAGGCCGATCCACGTGTTTGGGCCGGTATCTCCCAGGCCTTTATCCATATCCGTTGTGGACATGTCTTCATGCTCGATTCCTGCTGTGACGACAAGACCATTGTCCATCTCGGCGCGGGCGAATTCTACCAAGACGTACGTTCCTCTCCTCTTTCCTTCCTCGTTACTTGCTGCCAGCCTGTTCGCAATGTGTAATTCGCATACTAACTAAAATTATAATCCTTTTTATTTGTGATGTATCTAAAAGTATCCGCTGTTTGTGGATGTAGAGATCAAGATGAATGGCGATGCCAATAGCGTACAGCAGCAGTTGAACAACCAGGGCCAACGCACGTCAGAGGTTCTGATTGCCTTCCAGAATATGTCGCAGAGTAATTCACGTCCGGGCAATGAGCGGCCCTATGTGCATCGAACGACAATTACTGGTGCCAGTGCACCGACCATCCAAATGTAAACTGTATAATAATAAAAAACAAAATCTATGTACATACCTCTCTCACTCTGTGCAATTGTCCGCCCGATTGAGAAGAAACAAAAGGAGGGAGAAGTAAGAGTGTTGACCGACAAAGCGGTTCAACTGCTTGCTTGAGCTTTTCTTTGAGAATATTTTTCGACTGTCGGAGTGGACACAGCCGCGTTGGTTTCTCCAATCGCTCCAAGCCCGCAGGAATTGAAAAACTGCGGGCGGACTGCTTTTTCGGGTTAAGGTTTTGTCTCTTCTCTTTCGCTGTGTCGTCGAATGCAAGTGCCAGAAGGTAATAAAAGAGAGAGGACAAGGACGCGATAACATCACTGATTCTTTTCATCACTTCACTTTTTCACAAACAACTCATCACCTCACACACTCACTCGCCTTTACCCTTTTTACTCTTACAAGGCAACAACACCAACAGCACTACACTCTCCTCATTTCACTTGTCAAAAGGAAGAAAAAAACACTTTAATACTATGCCCGTGTCATCCAAGACCTTTATCGCCCGGTTGCCCGCCTGTGTCTCGCTGGACGACGACATCAGGGATTACCTGGCATCCATCATCGACGCACAGTCCTTCACCACCGTGGACGACCTTCGCGAAGAGACCGAGCACTTCCTCGTCGACAGTGGACTCGAGGACGCTGCCCTTGATACCTTCTATACCTCCCTCCACGACCTCTTTACTAGCGCAACTTCAACATCTTCCTCTTCTTCCGCCAACCCCAGCAACCTCGTCAAGATCGATAACGCCCTCAACAACCTCTCTGTCAACGACGACGACGACAGTAACGAGGACTCGAGCGAGCAGGACAACAAGCAGTCGTCATCCGCATCAGCAGGCACCAAGAAGCCCTTCAAATCCAAGCCCGTCAAAATGTCCAAGGCTGCAAAGAAGCTCGCCTCAAAGTCATCCGCAGGAGCATCGGCAGCCTCATCCGCCCCCGGATCACCCGTCCCCGGAAAGGACGCCTTTGTAGGCGACACGTCCGTTTTAGAGGCTTATTCGCAGCAGTCGCGATTCCACGAGGAGACGCTCGAAACTTTGTCCAAGGAGGTAGATCTCAAGCAAGTCAACATCACCATTGGCGAGCGGCCTCTTCTAAAGGACGCCCGACTCTGGTTCAAGTCTGGAACCATGTACGGACTCATCGGTCGCAATGGAACAGGAAAGTCAACTCTGCTCAAGTCGATCGGATATGGTCAATTGATCGGCTTCCCGCTCAATCTCCGCACCCTTTACATTGAACAGCTGTCCTCCGATACTCCCGAGGACCAGACCGTTGTCGAGACGGTCTTGAAGGCCGATACCGAGCGCACCCTCCTCATGGCCGAGTCGAAGCTCCTCCAGCAGGCGGTCAACAAGTACCCGAAGCAGTTGGTCAAGAGCATCAAGAAGCTGGAGTGGGAGCGCATGAAGGTCAAGCTGGCGGCTCAACAAAAGCTGGCGATCCGTCGAAGTGGCAAGCGCGGAGCCGAGGCTCGTGAGCTGTTGCTCGTTGTCGAAGAAGAGGAGAAGGACGCCAAGAAGGCCTTTGAGGATGTCCCCATTGAAGGTGTAGAGCCCTCGATCGATACCTTGAACCAGGCCCACGAGATGATGGAGTCTGTCTTCAGCAAGTTGCAGCAGATCGAGGCCGAGTCTGCCGAGTCCAGGGCTCGCGAGTTGTTGAGGGGTCTTGGATTTACGCCCGCCAACCAGGATTTGCCCATCAGGCAGTTCTCTGGAGGATGGAAGATGAGAATCGCTCTTGCCACGGCCCTGTTCTTGAAACCCGACTTGCTCCTCTTGGATGAGCCCACTAAGTAAGTCAACCTGGTTTATGATGTTGTATGCTGTAACGGCTTTGGTCGAAGACAGGAAGGTGATTTGAAGGACATATTTTTTAATTTCGTCCGCATCTCTTTCTTTGCAATAGCCATTTGGACTTGCCTGCTATCATTTGGCTCCAGAACTACCTCTTGGAGAACATTGGTGAGGATCAGACCGTGGTGGTTGTTTCTCACGACCGCAGCTTTTTGAACACTGTCTCCCAGGAGATCATTCGTCTTCGCGACTGCCAGTTGGAATACTTCCCTGGAAACTACGACGAATACGAGATGAAGATGGAGGACAAGGCCAAGATGAAGGACCGTATCGCCGATGCCTTGGAGAAGAAGAGGAAGCATGTTCGGGACACCATCAACAAGCAGCGCTCCATCATGAGCAAGACTGGAGACGATAAGCGTGGCGCCGTCATCGCCTCGCGCCAGAAGGTACTTAGAAGGACAAGGCTCTATTTTTATATGGTGTGGTCAAAGTTATTGTTTGAAGCACCGAAAAACTGATACGTATATGTTTTGTTTTGAACAACTCGTAGAAACTGACCCGATTGGCTGGACATAACAAGCTTGAGAACGGCAAGCGGTTGAAGCAGTCGTATGTCCATGGTTACCATCTGGCCCTGGGAATTGCCGTCGTGCGCGAGGCGCCCGAGCCCCCCGTCACAATCCCCTTGCCCAGCCCTATGGAGCTCCGCGGCAACCCTACAACCTTAATCTCGCTCAACAATGTCACCTACTCCTACCCTGGTGCCCCTGCCCGCAAGACCGGCCCTGTCATCCAGAACATTAGCCTCTCGCTTCACCACTCGTCGAGAATAGCGCTCTTGGGACCCAACGGATGCGGAAAGTCGACCCTGATGTCGTTGCTCTCGGGCGAGGCTGTGCCCACCTCTGGAACTGTCGAACGGTTCTCGTCGCTAGTCAAGGTTGGCTATTTCTCGCAGCACAACGTTGACAAGCTGGACGGATATGCGACCAAGTCGGCGGTGCAGTACCTGATGGACGAGTTCCCCGAGGATTACAAGTCCCAGCCGGTGGCTCGCAAGTACCTTGGCTCGTTTGGTGTTGCCGGTCAGGTTGCGGTCTTGCCGATGTCGACGCTTTCTGGAGGACAGAAAGCTCGTGTTGCTCTGGCGATCTGTGTCCACGGTGGACCCCAAGTGTTGTTGCTGGATGAGATCACCAACCATTTGGACATGGCGACTATTCAGGGACTGATTGTTGCGCTTAAGGAGTACACCGGCGCCGTTGTCCTGGTCTCTCACGACGCTTACTTTGTCAAGGCTGTCTGCGAGGACGACGACGAAGACGAGAGCGATGAGGAGGACGAGGATGAAATGTTGAGGGCCCAAGAGGAGGCCGGAGTTGTTTACCGAGTCAAGGGCGGCAAGTTGATCCGTCTTGAGGGCGGTGTTGACGAGTATGTCAAGACTGTTGTTACTGAGAACAAGAAGGGTATGCGCAGTGGAGGCGGCCGTCCCATCTAAGGGGGTTTTATAGGTTTCTTTTGTTGTTCTTCTTTCTTTTGTACGTGTATCATATGCATTCAGGTTTATTTTCTACTACTATGACTCAAATAATTTGCACATAGCCGTTCTCTTTACCCTCTTCCCCTTTTTCATCTTGAGCTCCTAATGTCGCCCAGCGATTGAAGGTTCCCACTAGCTCTATCAAAATTGTAACAATAATATCTTTTTCGTGCCTTCCATCCAACTACATCCATCCTCCTCATGCTCAGAATCCGTCCTCGACAGCAAGCATGTTCTTCTCGACTGTAGCGCTGTTAATGTTGTTGCGGTCGTGGTGAGAGTTAAAGGTCTTTTTGTTCTGTGAGTTGTCGTTCTGGTTGGTGATCACCGTCGACTTGTCGCCGAACAAAAGACCGCGCTTGTCGAAGAAGTTCGAGCCGGAACCAGAACCAGAGCCATGGGAAGACTTGTGGATGCGATTGATGCGGGTGTGACGGTTTCCATGGGAGTTGAGGGTCTTTTTGGTTTGGGAGTTGTCGTTCTCGTTGTTGATCACCATATCATCGCCGCCGAACAGCAATCCACGCTTGTCAAAGAAGCTTGCATCCGAATCCGAGTCGTTGTCGCCGTCGCGGTGGCGAGAGTTGGTGGTCTTGCGGATTTTGGTGATGCGAGTGTTGCGGTTTCCGTGAGAGTTGAGAGTCTTCTTAGTTTGGGAGTTGTCGTTGACGTTACTGATCGACATAGAGTTCCCGCCAAACAGATCGCCCAAAAGGCTGCGGCGGTTCATGTCGTTCGATTCGTCGCTGCGGCGGTCAAAGAAGCCCTTGGGGATGGTCGCGTCACCTCGACGGGGACGGTGGCGACTAGATTGTTGTTGCTTGTGAAGTTTTGTGATGGTGGTATCACGGTTGTTGTGGACGTTCATTGTCTGGGTGTGCTTCGAGTTGTCGTTGACATTGTTGATCGTTGTCGAGTCGCCACCGAACAACCCACGGCGGTTCACGGAAGCCGAGGCAGCGCCATGTTCATCGCCGTTGCCGCGCTTGTCGAAGAACGAATCAGGGGACATAGAATCGTCTTCGTCCTCGTCATCGTTAGAGTTTTGTTCCTTGTGGATCTTGGTGATGGTAGTGTGCCGGTTATCGTGCTCGTTCTTGGTCTGGGTGTGCTTGGAGTTATCGTTCTCGTTACTGATGGACATGCTGTTCCCGCCGAACAAATCGCCGAGGAGACTACGGCGACGGAACAGAATACCCTCATCGGCGTCGTCGGCCCCGCTACGAGAGGAATCGACAAGGTCGTTGATGAGACCTTTGTGGACGGATGAGTCTCCGTTATGGTCAACTCTAAAGGTCTTCTTGCCACGGGAGTTGTCGACTTGGTTGGTGACCGTGTATTCGTCTCCGATCAGGGTTCGGCGATCCAGCGCCGCGTTGGTGGTGGTGGTGGTGGAGGAAGGGACGGGTCTGGACATGGCGACTGAGGCGACCAGGAGGAGGGAGATGAATTGGATCTTCATTGTTGGAGATAGGTTGAGTGGTGAGGTTTGTAGAAGAAAAGTATACTAATGAGAAAAACGTCAAGTTGTTGAGGTTGCTGTTGCTAGGTATTGCTGAATCGTTGAGAAATGAGAAGCTGTTGATGGTTTTGTAATTTTGTGCGCGACGAGAGTTCTTTTTATACTGGTCTGACACGACAAAACTGCTCACAAAACACACGCTTGGAAGAGAGGGGCACGAAAAACCATATTTACTAGACGCGTCTCTTTTCTAAAACGCGGGTTCTAAGCCGATCGGTTTGGAGCTTGCTGGCTCGAAGTTTATGCCGCCACCATTCCGCCGGAGCCAAATATGGAATGAGCTTGTGCTCACAAGAGGGCATGGGACGCCATGCCAAGACAAATCCTTTCCCTTCCTCGAAAAAAGGGATGGCCTGCTAACACCTCATTTTATTTTTTGCTCCCTCGCCATCTCCGTGTTTATTTTGTCATTATGAAGCTATTTTGGCCCCATGGCGCGTCCCCTTCCCCGTGAATGCCAAGATTTTTAACGATATTTTTGCGTGTGTTTTTAATAGAGAACCTCCTTTTTATTTGGATTAGAGGCGGGCCATGGTGGTGGATAACGATGTGAATATTCTTGGCAGGGATAAATTGTATCCAGGCATCGACTTGTAATTCTTGGCAGGTAAGAGTTGTATCCAAGTCGACATGTATTCTTGGCAGGTATAAAAGTTGTATCCAGCTTGGTAGCTTGTACGAGAAAGTCTTGGCATTTATGATGAGCATTGAGGAAAGTGTGTGTTTGAGCCAGGGCCACCTGTCATAGCGTTGACAAAGGAGAACACAGTCACTGATATGATACGATAAATGGCGCATTGACGCAAAGAACGCGCGTGAGACCAGTAGCCAGCCCGTGGCTGTGCTGTCTCGATCAGTGACGGGATGGTGGCTTACACTATAACTCACCCGGACTATCCACCTTCTTGTATCTTGTGTGCTGTCAAATACGAAAATCGGGTTCTCTTCTGGCCCAGAGACACAGAAAATACATCATCCTATGGAGCCTTCCTGCTTTGATGCTCAAAATCAGAATCTGGCCTGGAAGACTGAGAAGAGCAAGAGAAGGACCACCTCGGTCGAAAAACAATCGTGTCTGCAAATGTATATGCATGGTCGATATCGAGTCAGCGATTCTTTCTTGCCCTGGTCTTTGTCATATACTTTGTATACTTTGTGCCCGCAGATAAAGTCGCACGAGTAGAGGGATCATCCATCCCCTTCCTTCACCCTCTACCCTCTTCCTTGCTCTTTTTGCTCTTTTGCGCATCCCTCGCTCATTGTAACAGAGTGAGCGGCTGACTGGTTCTTGTGTTAGTTATATTATGACTCTGGTACCTTTGTCTTTTTTCACTTTCCTCCCTTCTTGCTTTCTTGCTTTCTTGATTTGCCTCATTGTTTCTACCATTATATCTATTGACACCTTCTGGGTCTGTTACCCTCTCTTCACTTCTCTTCCTTTACTCATCTTCCTTTTGTTTTGTCTTGCATTTGATCCCTCTTCCCGTTCCACTCAGCATAACCCCTATATCAACAACAGGAACAGACATCTTACCCACTCACGCATCCTCTCCACTGTTTTTCTACCTCGTTCATATATCCTGCATCAACAACATCATTACCCCTTTCAACGTCAACCTACCTCTCCTCGCCCCTTATACAACTATCTCGCCAATTTATTCTTCCGTTTATCGTGCATTGAGCATCGTGCCAAACCCGCTCTGTCCTCAGTCATTCGTTCAGGAACCGCCTCCAACCCATTCGAAACCGCCGTCATCCCTACTCTTCTATCATCCCGTACCTGCTTCTTTCCCCTTACTCGACACCGGGACAGAACAATTACCCGTATATTCCAGGGGCTGCAGGGTAGGACAGGACAATCCATTTAAGTACGATTCTTTGTCATTATTGTATTTTCTCCCTCTCTGTCTGTTCTTTCGTCTTTCTCTCTCTCTCTCTCCTCACCTTGCGCCATTGAACCATCATCCAACGACATTGCATTGTTCTTTTGTTCACACATTCTCCCACTGGTCTTCTTCTCTGACATTTCACTACCCACTTCCATTTTGACCACAGTTGTTACCACAATTTGATTAGGACGCGACAAAAGGATAAAAAACACATCGAAAAGCCCTGCATTCCGTCCTTCCTTCTTTCCTTCCTTCCTTCTCGTTGTTCTTTTCTTTTCCTTTTCCACCTCCTTATCCCTCACCTCTCATTTCGCCCTAACTCACCAAATCCATCCATCTATCCAGTCCTCTTCCTTGACTACAAGAACCCAAAAGGAACAGTTTTGTGGCTACCATGGATCACAGCAGCCTACCTGTCGTCTGTACTGTAAAGGTTGTCTATGCGTACCTCGCGAAGGAGGAGGGAGACCTCACTCTGCAAAAAGGTAAATATGGTGTATTGCATTGAGCATTGAGCATTCTGTGGCAGTATGCACTTTGAGGGTGACATTCATTCCTCTTCGCCTCACTACTCTCATGTTGCAATGAACAAATGCCATTAACTCATTCAGTCATTCTCTTTTCATAACCTTGGGTCGTCTTGTCTCTCTCCTCCTCTTTTAGGTGATATCATCAAGGTCTACGACAATGGTAACACAAACGAATTAAAACGACAAAGAACCATCAACCCGTATTGTCCAAACTGACATGTTTTCATTACTTTGTTGCATGTACTCATCCCTTCTAATAGAGGGCGGTTGGTGGAAGGGCTCATTGTTACCTGACAACGTATTCGGCATTTTCCCCTCCAACTTTGTCCAGATCCTGTACGTGTTCTTCTCTTCTGTTCTTGTCGTCGCTGAGCGTAACTATTTGGTTGTTTCCCTCACCACTTGCTGAACACTCACCACTTTCCTTTTTGTTCTGCTCGCAATTCTAGAAGTGTCGGCGATGATTCGCTGGAAAGTCCACTGTCGCCAACCCGCCCCCAGAGATTCCAACGTGCACACTCGAGACAGAACTCTGTCGACAGCTCCAAATTCACAAGACGTAAACCGGTCAATAACACCCTGTCAGCCACAGCAGTAACTTCCTCCAGCACGACTAGCCTGCCGTACCCTGACACCAGTAATGCGTCAAATGTCTCCCTTTCCATAGGTAACTTCCCATTACCACACTATTTTTTATTATTGTGCGACGGTTAAATGAATTGTGTGTGGTCTTTGGCAACCATGCTAGAGAACAAAGACTAATCTTTCGCCTCTTCATTTTATGTCACTGTTGGGGTGGCAAACAACCACAACCATGTTAACGACAACTTAGCTGCATCTCGAAAGAATCCACAGGCGATCATCGGCGACATGAACCAGTTTGAAGAACCTGTACATTCGTCTCCTCGCTCGGAGCCACAGCAACCACATCAACAGCAACAACAGACCATGAGCAGGAGACAATCGCAGAGTAGTCAAAAGTCGACTCAATCCCGCTTTGGTCATACCGCCTCTCACATCACTGGTATCCTCTCGCCCGTATCGCCCACCTCGACTTCAGCGGCGGGCGAAACACAAGGAAGCAGGGTTACTCCCAAACAAATCTCGACCTTCCCCGGTGCTTTCCCAACTCCTGCCAGGGACTCGCCTACAAAGGACAAACCTGCTCACGACGCCGACAGGAGGTACAACCAAGCCCTGCTCAGCCCAACAAGTCCAACTACGATGATTACATCTCAGGTCGTCGGCGGTCGATATCTCACAAACCGGATCTCTATGCCCAACCTCGCGGGAGACGCTGCACATCCACATTGGCCGTCCCAGGACTCTTACCATAGCAGTAACTCAGGACCAACCAGAGCCAATAGTGCGAATGGACCACCTCCTGAAAAGATGTACCTCCAGGATACCAACAACGTGATGCGATCATCATCTTCGGGAACTCGGAGCGCCTACCACCTGCCTAGACGGAATACGTCCGAGATCAGTGTAGGTAGGTATGGCGATGAAAACGCCTCGTTTAAACAGGAACTTCACAATACCCAAGATCCGCGACAGTCCCAGTCCGGGATGATGCCAAGGTCGACCACAGAGTATTACAACCAACAAATGCTTGCTGCAGGACTCTACCACCCCTCTGCCGGTGTTCCTCCCGCGCAACAACCCTACGACTACAACAGCACTGGAGCGACCCCATACCAACAGCCTCGTCCATACCAGCATAGAATTGCCATCTGCGGAGCTGATCAGCCTCAGTACAGCCGAGGACACCATTTAGGACTTTATTCTGACCTCTCGCTCGAGGCCTTGGCCATGCATAATCGATCCCAGAGTGCACTCGATCCACCACGATCGCACGCGAGTCATGGATCGGTACATGGACGTAGTCGTAGCCAAGTCAACCTACGACGAGAGGGAAGTGTAGCCTTCAATCCCTATGACCACCAACACCAGCAACAGCCCTCCTACTATCCTCTTCCGATGCCCCCTCAGGCACAGTCGGCTCCTATGAATCGCCTTTCACTTGGCCAAGGAGTGGCTGGTCCTAGTATTACCATTCCCCCGGTCAGAGGCGCTCGACCCCAGTCTGCTCTGGCGTCTTATGGCGCCCTGACCGCGTCGCCAACCGAGAGTTCGCCGTCTACCAGCGCCACGTCTGTAACATACCCCTATCGTTTCCCCAACTCGCCTCCTACTCCTGGCACGGGGAGTACAGGAACTCCGACGAGTGCTGGCACCTCCATGTCGGCTGTCTCTGTGATGGGCTCTACTTTCGGTCCTAGGGAGCAGAGGAGGAAGAGTGAGACGGCTCGGATGGCTCCTAGTGCTTCTATGACTGCTTCGACGTTCACGGCGCGCAAGTTCTCGGTTGATGCGGGGACTACTTTGGCTAGTTCGACTACCTCTGCGTCCTTTCTGGCGCATATTGCTCTTCCACCGGCTCCTCCTAACATGTCCGGAAGAGAGACGGTGACCAACACTGACAGTTATAACAACCATTCTGTAGAGGATACGAGTGACCCTCAAGAAGGACTGGGAACCTACACCGCCAAGAAGCCCAAGGCAACTCTGTTCCGAACCTTCAAGCAGATTATCAACCCTCGTAAGGTCGCTGAGAAGGATGCTGTCAAACACCATCGGGAGCACTTTGCATGGATGGAGATGCAGAAGAGTTTGAGACGTGTGCCCTCGCCCGACATTGGCAAGGAGCGACCCTTCTTTGCGCCAGACGACGGCCTTGATGAACTACAAGGTCAGGATCCGTTTGAGGTTCTGAAGCGATGCCATGTGATGAGGGACACCTCGCCAGGACCTGGCGCAACCACGGTCAACTCTCTGCTCGATGTTGGACCGGCGGCGTTTACCCAGGTCGACAAGGTTGCCAGGAACGTCAACCAGCGTGGTCCTCACATAACGCCACAGTTGCTGTCCCAAAAGTACCTTACTCGACCGTACGCCAAGGCGCCCCTGTCCAAGCTCCGGGTGTTGTTTGTCTGGGTAAGCGAGAATATTCGGTTGGAGGGTGGACCGACTCGCGATGTCTCTGGTGGGCGATACAAGCTGGGCCCTGGTGGCGATCCTATGTTGACTGCACAATCGAACGTCAATGCAGCAGGAGAGTCGCCTAATATCCGAACGGGCAGTAATGGCGGTGTGGGATCACCTTCTCCCTCTGCAGCAGCGGCGGCGTGGATGCCAGGACCTGATGATCACTCGAGAGGGCTTCTACAGGAGGACTCACCAGAGCTGGCTCAGGAAGTTCTTGCCAGTCGAACAAGCAAGACGGGCGAGGGGTTTGCGAACCTGTTTGCAGAGATGGCTCTCGCTGCTGGCATTGAGGATGTCGGGGTCGTGAAGGGCTACATCAAGGGGCCGATGGATGTTTTTTCGAAGGAAGTGCCTCCCACCAACCATGCCTGGAATGTAGTCAGGATCAATGGAACCTACCGCTTCATCGACTGTTGTCTGGCCTCACCCTTCCACCCAGCCCATTACCCGAACCGACCTCAGACTGCGTCGTCGTTTTATTTCCTCACGTCGCCTATGGATCTGGTCCTGTCGCATTTCCCTGTGTGCTTTATGTACCAGTATATTACGCCGTCGATCCCGCCACAGATCTTTTTGCGTTTACCATTTGTTCGACCGGCGTTTTTTGATTTCGGGTTGAGTCTGCCAGAGTTCAAGAGGCGGACGCGGTTGGACATTAAGGATGATGAGTCGATTGAGGTTGTTATCCGGATTGATGGTGGTGGACCGAGTCCCGGGTCTGTTGGAGCTGGTGCTTCTACCACTGGAGGAGGCCATAATTCTGTTGGCGGACATAATGGAGCATTTGCAGGGTCGGTGTCTGGTCTATTTGGTGGCGAATGTCTGGGCCGAGGATGTGGCGAAGGAATCGAGTTGCGCGCCGAGGTGGAGGCGATGACGGCTGAGGGTAGGGTGATCAAACGACGTGCCTTGGCGCAGATCATGATCTGGAATCCGTATCAGACTCAAGTCGCAGCAATGACCGCTCAAGCACAGCCACAGCAACAGCCGGTCCAGTGTGGCTGTGCATCCTCGTCGGTCAATGTCAATAGTTCGACTGGCGTAGCTGCGATGGCGGCGGGTCAGCATTATTCTCCACACCAGCGACTGTTCTTGCCTCACCATTGCTCTGGTATCCGGATTGCCAAGATCAAGGCTGTTCTTCCTAGTGAGACTGTAGTTGGTGCTGGAGGTATCCGAAAGGGGGTTGTCCACATCTACGCCGGCCGCAAAGTGGAGATGGTAAATTTTCTATTATCGTTTTTTTTTGTTTGTTGGACCGTACGCTTTGACCCCGGTTCCCTTGCATGCCTACAGGCGCTAACATTTTTGTTTTATTTTTCAACTATTAGGCACCGGCGGATGCAACACCATACTCGCTGGCGCTATCGCTCCCAATCCGCCATACGGGGACAATGCCTAAGACGCCCTTCAACTTTGTCCTCCCTCATTTCTCACCCTACGAGTTCTATGTCAAGTCTCCACAGTCCGAGATGCTGTACTACCCACACACCTACAAGTTCTGTGTCCTCTCGCTAGCAGCCCAAGGTCAAGCCACAGCAGTCTCTGCCAACGCTGTCGCGATCGCCGAGAACGATGCTGTCATGGCCATGGCAGTCATTGCTGAAACCTCATCTTCTAACATGGGCGCGACAGTGGGTGGTTCCACTAATGGCACTACTTCGCCTCGACATAAGAAGGCGAACAATAGTAATGGGACTGCAGGGTCGACGGGGTCGGCGTCGATAGCACCCATGTATAGACCTCAGCCTAATGCCCAGCAGTCATTGAGGAGTGGGTTCAACCCTCCAGCTGGAGCAAGAGGACCCTTGACGGCGACAAGCACAAGTTCGAGTATCCCTTCCATGTCCAGTCCACCTTCCATGCATCCATCAGCAACGACAGCCAGCATGGGAATGTTCCGCCTCACCGGTGGCCAACACTACCCCCGTCTACACCAGCACCAGCAGTACCATAGCCAGTACCAGATGGGTTCTTCGATCTCGATGGCATCCACGTCCTCCATGAGTGTCAACGGCGTCCCTTCTACTTCTTCAAACACAGGAGGAGGGGTAGCGATCCCGCGCCCAGAGAGACTAGTACTGAGGACACAGATGAACCGGATTTACAAGCTGGCATATGACCCCGTGAGGCAGTGCCATGAGGCGGAGGTGGAGGTGAAGGAGCGGGGGATCTGGGAGTGTGTGAGGATGGATGATGGGGGTAAAAGTCGTGTCGGGCGTGAGGGTGCTAGTGGTGTTGTCATTGCTACCTGGCGATGCGTCTGAGAAAAAGAGAATAGTTGTATGGTTGCTGGTATTCCCGTTGTTGTGAAGGGGAATCGAGAAGATAATAAAAGAATGATCGAAGAAAAAGTGAACGATGGATTGTACTCGATTCATGCTATCTTGCCCTCGCTTTTTTTTTTGTCATGCATCGATCGGATGTTCACACCAAGGCATGCAGTGTACAAAACCAAAAGCTGCAGTATGTCGTCCTGTTCATTGGTAATCTCCTCCTCTCTTCCCCTTCTCACGCCATCACCCAATGCACACTTAGCCATGTTCTCCACAACAACCCACTCCTTTGTTTTCCACTCTCACGATTCAACAAGCAATCACCACGAGAGAAAAAAAAAAAAAAAAGTAAGAAAAAAAAAAAGAGTAACAGCCTGCTACTGCCATTCTCTTTCTCTCCCTCGTTTTTTTTCATCTCTCCTCTTCTCTTCGTCTCTTCTCATCTCTTGTCAGTACAATGGCAGTTTTCTGTTAACCCTTTTCTGTCCCTTCACTATGGTCAATATGCGGATGACCACATGAGGGAAGAAGAGAAATGGGCAAGCTAATCAGCAAGGTGTCAAGGTCAAGTCGAGGATTGTCTTCGAGAACTCTCTTTCTGGGATGTTTTGCATAGCTGGTGTTTGGATGGAATAGGGAATGTAGTGGTAGTGCTGTGAAAATGGTGTGTGCTGGAAACACTAAAGTGTGAAAGAGATGGAATTCTTGTAGAGAGCGAAGGAGGAGTGACAGGAGGAGGAGGAGGAGGAGGAGGAGGAGGAGGAGGAAAGAGCAGTAATGGCTTTGCCCAAGCATAAGTACCGTCATCAGCATCGTCATCCTCCTCGTTCGTTTTTGCATACCTACGGATACATACACATGGACGGGGACAAGGATGGTGATTGGTAACATTTATCGCGCTGGAGAGTGGTGCCCATTTGTTCTGGTGTATGTGTATGCCAATGGGGTGAAGTGGCGGTACTTGGACCCCGAAGGGATCCGTGACACACCCAGTTTATTGTCTGTTTGACCTAGGGGTCCTTTTTTTTCTTTTTTCTTTTTTCTTTTTTCTTTTTTCTTTTGCATGTTCGAATGAAGAGAGCGAATCAGAGTGCATCGACCAGTCAAGCTGCAGGTCAACACTCGCAATAACAAAAGGAACAATAATGAACAGACCGTTTTTCCCTCTTCGTTTCTGTTCTTCTCCACTCTGCCTATCACTTACTTTTTTAAACTCCTTTTGGTTGGTTGGTGTCACTTTCCCTCGCTTTTTCACTTCCTCTTCTTACTCTTCACTCTTCCTTTCACTCTTTCTTCCTTTCACTCTTTCTTCTTTTCTCTCTTACTTCTTTTCTTCTTCATTCTCATCTTATCCCCTACCACCACCACACCGTATACTCTCCTCTTCTCTGCTCGATTCACTCTATCTCCTTCTCTCTCACTTGCACTCGAATCGAACACACTCTCTTTCATATACTCACACACTCCCAGCTCTAGCAAAAGTGCCTTTCCTCGTCCCCTTCGCCCTACCCCTCTCCCACAGCATGAGCTCCCACAACAGTAGCTCCGCTGCCAACCACAGCCAGCCTGCCTCCCCTACCTCTCCCGTCGCTCCTACTTCAACAATGACAACACCAGCTACCCCTTCAACCTCAAACGCCACCAGCTCCACCCCTGCCCCTCATATCCGGATTGTCCCCCACCTGGACGCGCCCCGATCGCTTCACTTTGACGTCGTCGACAAGGACGTCCCCGAGGGGTTTGTCCTCAAGATTGGTCGCTTCACCGATAAACAGGCCCTGCCCAACCGAGTCACCTTCAAGTCCAAAGTCGTCTCGCGTGGTCATGCCGAGATCTTTACCGAGCATGGCAAGGTACTTCATCTCATTCCTTTTTCTCATTCCTTGGTTTTCTGCAAAAGGGTCTTTGTTTCTAGGGATTTATTTCTTTGCTCTTTGTTTGTTTGTTCGTTCGGATTGAAGGTTGTGTGTTTCGTGTTGTAAAAAAAGAAACCGCGAAGAGTCAGAAGGGAGGGGGGGTTACCAAAAGGGCTCCAAGTTGAGGTTTCTCAACTTTGGGCCACCTCGGACTGACTGAAAGAGTGTGAAGTCAGAGAGCGAGTGGTTCGGTTTGGTTATTGAATGGCCACATTCAATAGAAACAAGCGAAGAAAGTGAAAAGCCCATACCATCCCTTTCCTGCACACATGTATCTTTTTTATCGCTCACTTCTCTCTGTCTCTTTCTTTTGGTCTGTTGATCCCAAGACCAGGGCCAGAAACACAACAGATTCACTTGATTACTTTGTTTTTTTTGCTCGCACGTTTCGACACTTTTTTTCTTTTGGTTTTCTAAAACAAATCAACGCAACTCTGCATGCTACTCTACACCAAAGGGGTCGATGTCCACGGAGAGAGAGAGAAAAGAGAGCGAGAGAAACCAAAATAAGCAGTGGAATGAGACGGAGTGACAGTGACAAAGAGAGAGTGAGAGAAGGCGAAACAACCTCAGGGACATGACAACTCAGATATACGTGGGTTGACTTACAGCAACATGCATGAACCCATCCACAAACAAGGACAAAGGACATCATCATCTACAACTCTAAGAAGTAAAACAACCTTTTTTGTTTTGGTTTTTGTTCAACTGTAACCATGCAGACAACAAACAAAAGACAACAACAAAAAAGCTAAACAGCGAATGACAACAAAAAAAGGGCACTAGCCAACCCGTGGGCATCGAAATCGGATGGCCCATATTAAGGACCAAGGACACTGCATTGCAGCATACAACACCATTGCCCATTCTTATTTTTTTTGTTCAAGGGGAAAGAGGGATAATGATGGGATGAACGAGCCTTCTGTTTTTTTTTTTTTTTTGCTATTGCATTTCGTTATTAATATCATATATATCCATCCACATGGCCATTTAGTGGTCGCAATGGTTGCTGATGATAACTGGGTGGGATTGGGCTGATCCTTCTCTCCCTTTTCATTTTGTTTTTCGTATGACCTCTTTTCGCGTTCTCTCTCATACTTTCTCTCTCCTTTCTTTTGCATCATGCTCGCCTCCTCCTTCTCCCTTCCTCACATCCCCTCCTCCCCTTCCTGATTCCCAAGACTCATGTGCGGCGTATTCGAAAAATAGAAAAAAGAATGTAATTTTGGAGACCTGGACAGTGTGCTGTTCAAAAAAAACAAAAAAAAAAAAAAAGGTCCGTTTGGACGATCCAGATGGTCTAGTTATGCAATGATAGCGAATGTATGTCATCGCCCTTGGTCCTTGTGTTCGCCAAAGCTTAATTTGTGCCTTGATTGTATTTTTTTTCTTTTCTCCTCTTCCTCCCCTTTGCCTTGCACACTTTATTTACTTTCTGAAAAGGGTCAGCAGGGTTGGAAAACAAGCCCAACACAACACGACGGAACTCTGGAGTGTGTACACAGAGAGGGGGTAGAAGAAGAAGTAGAATAGAAACAATCAAATGGCCATTGCACGAATCAGAAACTAGGAAAAAGTATGCCTATCGATTCTCTTTGAGCATTGGGCTAGAGAGCACAAGAACCAAAAAAAAGTGGCGATTGTGTGATGAAACAAGTTAACAGAGAACAAAGGGGACTAGCCCAGACCAAAGCAACCAAATTCGAGGAGACTGACAGTTAGACGGGAAGAAAGAAGGACAGCCAAAACTCAATCTCTCTTTTTTTTCACAACTTACCAATAGTTCTTTATCCGCGATACAAAGTCATCATCGGGCACTTTCCTCAACCACGCCAGACTGTCCCCCCCAGGAATTGAATCGAAGCCAACACTACTCAAGGATGGTGATGTGATCCAACTTGGAGTGGACTACCAAGGAGGCACTCAAGGTATGCAGTCAGTCGGATGTGCATGGCGTGCACGCTTTGGCCGTTTTTTGCTTGCAGGAATAACCACCGCAAGAGCGATAGAGGGAGAGAGATACATATGCAAAGGGTCAACTAGCATTTCAGCCACAAGAGTCACAAGACTCCTCTCGTTTTCGCCTTGGATTGTCACACACACAAGGATCGAAATCGAGTTAGTCAGGACAGACAACAACAACAGAGGGACAGACAAGGCGGACAGACAAGGCGGACAAACAAGAGCAAGGGAAAGGATAGGAGAAGACGGGTGTCAGGCAACGTTGCTCAATCCACTCGCACCACACTTGGCAGGATTCGCACCACTGGCACACTTTTGGCTTCTCTTCACGTCTTTCTCTGTGGACCATCACATGGACTATACCTTTCTTTTCACCCCTTGATTTGTTACTATTCAAAGCACATCCAGACACCCATGGCTGATCATCTACTATATCACTACTAATACTTCACTGTAGAAATCTACCGATGCGTCAAGATGAGACTTGAATTGAACCGGTCATGGCAACAGCAGGCAAACGCCTTCAGGTGAGTTTCATTCATCAAGCAGTGCTCTAGAGTGTACAATTATTGGCGCATCATGGGACACGCCAAAAAATATTTTCCTTCTCAGATCGCAGACTCGCGCTTTCTTACTCACATAACGTCTTTTTCTCTCAAAACGTGACATATTGAATCGGATATCCCCTTCTCGTAGCACGAATACCCTAAAGACCATCCGATCTTTAACCACCGCCGATCCCGCCAGCTGCACCGACTGCTGCATCTGTCTCTTCCGCATCGCTTCCTTCCAGTCTCTCTTTGTCGCCCCCTGTTCACACGTCTACCACTACAAATGTATCCGCCCCATGCTCATGTCACACCATCCAGGATTTCTCTGTCCGCTCTGTCGAACTTTTGCGGATCTCGAAGCGACCGTCGAGATCGATGATCCCGTGGAAGAGCAGGCTGCTGTTCAAAGTAAGTACTACTTCTCTTTTTTACCGACAACGTCCGACCGCAACCACGTTTTTTTTTTTTTTTTTTTTTTTTTTTCAAATGTGTCATGCCCAACAAATGCACAACGTCGTCATTTTTTGGGATGTAGAACAAGGGTCCTCACACTTACCCTCTCTCTTCCGGTTTTACTTTCTCATAGGTACTGCCCAAGTTGAGAGTCCGGTCAGCAACGCACAGGAACCCATCGAACAAATATGCGATGCCGAGTCCACCGTACCACCACCTACATCATCATCGACATCATCTGCCATTGAGATCGATCCAGTGGTCCGCCCGGCTGTAGAAGAGGCTTCGTTGCCAACACCAACATCTGTACAGGCACATACTTTCCTGCCACAGGAACAGCAGGATATTTCTGGACTTGGACCGATTGAACTTGATCCTCCAGCGCCCACTACCGATGATGACGCAACGTCCTCGCCTCGACCTTCTGGAGGCCCTACGCCTTCATCGTCCACGTCGTCGTTGTCGGCGCAGCAGCAGCCATCACAGGCCTCGACATCGGCAACAGTCTCGCCTATGGACATCTCTACGCCAACAGCAGCGCCGTCATCACCAAGCAACAACCCGTTGAGCCAACAGTCGCCATCATCCGCCTTCCTGATGGCGCCCTCGCCTCCCATGTTTGTGACCAGCTTTGCGACCACGCCCATCCCCTTTGCTGCTCCTTCGTCTCAACCGCCTTCATCCTCGCATACTCAACCCAGTCATACCAACCCGATCTCTAACCCAAGGCACTCATCTTCGCCTTCGAGCCCCGGAAGCCATATGGGCCACATGATCCAGAACTTTGTGCGGAACATCAGTATCCCACACCGGAACAGGAGCAGGACCAATTCGAGCTCTGCAGTCTCGCCACCCACGTCTACGGGCGGCAACCATCACCACGGTCCTGCCTCGCAGGGTTCTAGCGCAGATGTGTTGGGCAAAACGTTGGTCATGTCGTCACCACCACCCTTGATGCTTTCTAACCATCGCACAGGAACTGGACACTCTGGGTTCTCGGATCTGGGCGCTGTCTCAGAGCAGGATGTCGAGGGTTCTGGATCTTCGGCGGCTGTTGGAGGAGCTGGTAGCGGTAGTCCTGGAAGCAGCAGTAGTAGCAGCAGCAGTCGGAGCAGCAGTCATGATCGTGGTGAGGCGGACCATTCTCGGCCGATGCAAACCGTCGTCACCGAGACCACAGCTTAGACGTGATCGCTCCGCAACATACTTACCTATCCACAACAACAACAACATCATCATATTGTCCAAAAGCATAGCAACATCTGGTTCTTTTAATATTTAGGGTACTTTCGACAAAGGCGTCAAAAACAAAAAATATTTCATCCTCATAATAAGCCAATAAGCCCAAGGTTGTCAAGAAACAGTGTCAAAAGATGAGAGGGGTAGTACAAATGCTTTATAGAGTGAACTAAGGTGACTCGGAAGTCTGGCCTCTTCGATGATGGGGTATCGGCGATGAAGATCTCGAGCTGGAAGCTGAAGTCTTAAGAGCCGCAACAGGCGAAGAAGCCTGAACTCCGTCCGCCTTGGCATGAGAATTAGAAGGGCTGCTGTTGAAAGAAAACAGGGTAACACAGCCAATGACGACAATCGCAGACATGAACTTCCACTGGTTAAAGCACTGAGTACTCGAGACCCCACAGAACAAGTAATGGCTCATCACAAACACGAGCACAGCCCTCAGTGACTGCATGATACCAACAGCGATATTGTTGATCCGAGACAGAAGGACGTAATAGTTGAGCGAGTGAAGCATCGAGGAGATGACCAAGAGTGGGTAGACCAACAGGATCCCGACCGTGCTCCCCTGTCGGTTGGCGATCACATCCATGACCTCCGTCTTCCAGTTCGGGAACGTGTGAACGCAGAGGTAGAGGAACGTCAGGAGGGAGGCGTAACCACCGACCATCGAGCAGACCTTTTCTGGGATCGGGGTGGGTTTTGTGGTGGAGAGGACCTTGTCTGACAGGACGTAGACGCACGCGTACAGAAATGTTGCGCCCAATGTCACCAATGCACCAAAAGACTTTTCAATCCCTATATGTGAGAGAAAAAAAAACCAAAGGAAACCGAGGGGGGGGGGGGGGGGGGGGGTTATTAGTTGGTCAGTTCGTGAGTTGGGGTGAGCAGGCGGGGGTTTCTGTGCATAAACATCCCATGCCCCTTTTTTCTCAGGTTGACCAAACTCCGTAAGTCTGGAATCTTCCTTGGTCCATGCATGATGCTAGGAACAACCCAAGTAACAAAACCGTACACAGAGAAAGAATAAGGGTCACAAATGATGACAATATCTCAAAAATAAGGCAAGCCCACAAAAAGAAAAAGGCGCAGAGTAAAGAAAACCTACAGCTCTGAACTGGCCCATCAGGCGAGGCATCCTGGACAGTGCCGACGGCGCTGATCGCCAAACCAATGGTGACACCAAAAATGGCCACCCACTGGATATTGTTGAGCTTGCGAGAAAGGAAAATGCGGGTAAGGATGGCACACCAAATCACGATTGAACTGTAAATGACTTGGTACATCTATTCCAAGAGAACAAGAACAAAGAAAAAAAGAAGATTCTTTTGAGTCAGTCCAGTCCCAACAACAAAAACAACAACACGCAAACATTACAGATTTGCAAATCTGAACTCAAACTACTCAAACTGAACAGGTTTTCTGCTCATAAATTTGTTTGTGCTCAAGTATTGAGGCAAAGAAGAGAAAGGGTACATGGAAGAAAGACTTACCCCACTGCCGACGTAGAAGAATCCAACGGTGACCATGGCATTGGCAATCACATCCATGACCGCTACCTGGATAACAGGCCAGTGCAGCCGCCTTGCCGACGATTTTGCGTCCTGCTCGGCGGTGTTGCTGTTGGTGGTTGTGGTGTCCATAGTCAAGACCTCGTCAGAGCCTGACGATCGATCCTTTCGCAGTCTGTACTTTTCTTCATCCAGTCCATCCTCTTCATCAAAGTCCTCCTCGTCCGAGTCGTCGATAGGCCCAAGCACATGAGTCTCTGTCTCCAGTGACTTCCTTGTGCGGCCCAAGTTGTTGTTGATGGTTCCCTGAAGAGTGCCTTTGTTGACACGCTGTAGTCACACAAACAAAAAAATGAATTGATAAGAGATTAGATCAGTCGTGAGCAATCGAACAACGAGAAAGGATGAACTTGCACGCACCGAGTGAAGAGAGTAAAGTGCCAAAGGAAAGGATGTGATAGAAGGGGATGGGAAATATACTGATAGATGAAGGGGCAAAGGAATGATAGAATGGCCCTCTGAGTCCTGTTTTTGTTGTCCTTGCACTTTGGTCCATACTCGGTAAGTTTACGGTACAGTTCATCCCTTTTTTTTATCTCCTGTCGACAAATTCATCTGTGTGCGCCAGATAGTGAATTGATCGACCCACTCCCTTCCCCTTCGTTCCACCCTCCTTTCCTGTTTTTTCTCTCTGTTGTGTTCCATGTAAGCTTACGTTGTGTTTAGTTTCGGTCATCTCGTTGACCTCGGTCATCAAGACATCGTATTCGACATGGGTGCGTCCGCCTCCTGCTGTTGCTGCCATTCGACGTTGTTTCCGGTCCGCGTACCAGGACTGGAGAGCATAGACCAATCCCACGCCCATCATTCCAATGTAGTTGAAGAACACCGTCAGCATCGTTGATCCAGCTACATTTTGCATGAATAAAAAGGTTTGGGTAGGAGAAATATAAAAAGGAAGAGGTGAGAAAAACTGGTTAACTGGGGTCGAGTCCCACACTCACTGAGCAGGGTCCATTATGACCATGGCAATATAAACAGCCGACAATAAATGAAAGTGAGCAATTATCCATGAACAAGTTGAATGAAAAACTGGGATGGGTGGATGTAACTTACAGGCTGCTCCTTGGTAATAGAGCCATTGAACAGCAATGGTTGAAAAGATGCCGGTTCCCAAGAAGGATAGCTGATGGATAATCGTGCTCCATTTTGAATATGTTGGCTCCTGTTGTTGCTGCAGTTGCTGAGGGAGTTCCGGTGGAACTGGTGAAGAGGGGGAGAGCGCCTCCGGGCGTGTTGCTGGCAGACTCAGAGGGTCAATTGCTGCAGAGGTCAAGACGGATATTTCATCGACAGAGACAGTTGACGAAATTTTTGCAGTAGTGGTTGTGGTAGTAGTGGATTTGGTGATGGTGGCGCCTCGTTGACCAGAGACCTGCCGACCTGATGTAGTGGCCGTAGTGGCAGTCGCTTGTTGTGATGAGTGCTGTTCCCGCAGATGACCACGGTCATATTCATACTCGCCCTCATCGTGGTGGTGGTTGGTATTACTGCTCTTTTGTTGATTTGAGCGAGGAGAGTGCCCTGCCTGGGGTGCAGCATTAGTCAAGAAGGCAGCATCCTCGTCGCAGTTGTCGAAACTTTCACGATTCGCCTGGTAAGAGGACCGTCGTGACATTTGCGAGAGCGAGAAAGATAGTGGGAGTGAGAAGAGAAGTGAACTGAGAGGATGTGTAGGTGTGCAAATAAAAGGTGATGGTGAAACAAAGAAAGTGAGCAAAGTGATCAGAAAGAGTGGAAGTGGAAGAATGAAGGTGGCGGTGTGGGTTGGGTGAGGAATGATTGAATGAATGAGGTCGACAGAAGCAAAAGGAGCGAAGAAGTGTGATCACGAGTAGGACGTTGCTTGTTGCTTGTCTAGAAGTCGTCTGGTCTGACTGGTCAAGGCAGAGAAATACGGCAAGAAAAAGACTTGGCCCTTAAGCTGAGACATACCACTTTGCTCACTTTTTTCACCGCCACGTGCTGCCATCGTATGGTCGGCGAAGCTCCACCCAGCACACAGCACATGCCGCTATCGCATATCGCAGGCATCATCGTTATCATCATCCCTCTCACTTCACTAGCACGAAATCTAGGGTCGAAATGAAAACAAATGCTAAGGCAGGTTATCCATCCTGCCTTCCAGCCCAATTCTTTCCCTCCGATAAAAATAGCGCTGTAGTCCCCAAGCCCAATTGTTGTGAACAGCAGAGAAGGAATGGCCTGACCTTACCACCGAAGGACACTTTGATTCCTTGCATTGCACCTTGGCCTGACAAACGACTTGTATCCTGGACAGCGGAACCGTGCGTAAGAAGGGTGGATCGTATTTTTTGTAGATATTCTGTTTTGCCGTCTGTGCGAAGCTGATGAAAGGAGGCGATTTTCAGAGACGATTCTCAACAAAACGTCGATGGTTCAATGTAAAAGGATAGTCGATGTAAGAGGACAGCGCTGAATGAAAGACAAACATTGCAAACATGCTAACCTTTGGCAGGCACACTTCGCCCATCACTACAGTACGGAAGAAGAATAGGCTGCACTAGTCCAAAAAAGGCAAAATCTGGGGTGATAGACTCGAAGGGTACATGGTAAAAGACGGCGCTCATACCAAGGGTTGGTTGACTGGCTGGCTGGCTTTAAGGCGGTAACAACATAGACTTCAAGCCCATGACAAGGCTGATAAGAATGATCCGATTTACTGATGGATTGCCAGGTAGGTAAGTCGAACTATTAGCGTTCAGATATATTCCTAACGTCCTGCCCACGAGCGCTTGTCTTTGGATGTGGCCACACCTGTCCGCCTCTTCTTGATAGGCCTCTGGTCTTAGTTTTTCCTACACCCTATCTACAGTGATATTGTGTGCAGCGAAGTGATCTCTAATTGATGATATCGATACAGTGGTAGTGAAATGATCTATGGGCTGAACGCATTCAAGTTCCGATGAGTTGCTCCATTAGATACTGTCCACAACGAGTCACATCTCTTCGAAATACCCTTACTCTTACTCGCTGACACCGGTATTTCTTAGCTATCAATCCGGACCTCACAGCCCCGCTTATAACCTCGCGTCGGATATACGAAGGTTAGCATATTAATAATGTGATCGGCTCAAAAGACGCGTGGTTATCCTACTAAAGGCGTAGTCGATCAAAAACAATGTACACGTCGTTTTCAAACCCTTCCCAGCTACTGGAGGCTTGGGGATGTCCTACACATGGCAACCCTCGTCATAATCATGAAATGCGGAGGATATTATTATTTATCCATGAATGGTCGGCCCGATGATAAACCTTACTTGAGCCTTCCGTCGAAATTATGAGCGGTAAGAGAGTACTGAATCAAATATCAATGTGAACACCTACACTTTTTTCCAGGGATGATGGACTTGACAAGACGCCATTAACTTGAGACGCGGGAAGCACATCGAGGTACTCTGTCGCCAGTAAAGAGTAATGGGGGTCAGGGGGTTAGGAGATCAGAGAGCAGAGATGAGAGATGGGGGAATAAGATTATTCACACGAGACCCTGTCCTATTGATTTTTGTTTTCTCCAATGAAGACTTCCACCGCGTATTGGCAATGACTAAAAGGTTCTGCCCGGGCCACGCTCTCGCTCTACTTTTTTTTTTTTTTGGTTTTTTTTTTTTGGGCTATTGTTATTTTCTGTCATTCAGTGGATCAAGGAAAAGATGTCGACTCTTAGTCTTCTCTTTCTTACACACTTTCCATCCTCGACTCCTATTCTCTCGCTCCATGTTCACGGGACGTTTGTTTTGCCAACTCAGTTAATTATCCTCAACTCTGGGTCTAAAAACCCCTCCATACTTTCATCCTCACCCCCTTGCAACCCTCGGACCCACGCTGCACAGATGCTTGTGAATGTGAGGGCCATATTTTTTCCTTGACTGGATCGGGTCCTTTCTTTTTCTTTCGAACTCTTCACTATCTTCAATTCACCTGCCAATTGCCGAATGTGCGCTTGACTTACCCATATGTTTCCAGGGGCTAAAATTTTTGGTTGTCCGCTCTACTTTTGTGGAGCAGGAAAAAAAACAGCAATGGAAAATAACATCAACAAACGTTGTACCTGAAAAAGAATACCTTCCTGCCACCCTCCCCTTACTCTTTCGTATCCCTCCCTTTTTCGAAGGTGACACAGTAATTTTACGTCGAGAAAAAAGACTTTAGAAGGTCATACGTTTTGTATCCAACGTTCTCGACGTGAACTGTCATGTTCGGTTTTGTTCGTTGTTTGTTATTTGCATTTGTCATTTGGATCATTCGCCGCGCTTCTCATTAGTTTTAATATGTTGCATTCACAAGGGTTTGATATGGAAGACATTAAAGAGTTTGAAGGCATGGAAGTGATTGAAGACATGGAACTTATGAAAGGCACAAGGCGTTCTACACCTACATTCCCCAAGAAACATGAACCATGAAAAACGCTGCCAATTTGATAGTAGCGGCTGTCCGTAACTCTATATCAACAAAAACATGCCACTAACACCAAATGAACAGCTATCTGAACATTGCGAAAAAGGCAGAGAAGGTGGTAGAGAAAACATAACGTAGCTTGGGTAATGCACTATGGAAATGCCGAAATGAGAGAGATGCAATTAGCGTATTCAAGCGTGATTGACCTTTCTTTGTTGCCCACTCTTACTCTGGTCCAAATTGTGGATTGGGGTTGGAGTTGAAGGTTGGGGTAGCACATGGCCCTTCTCAACCACCGCTTTCTCCACTCAAGAAATTATTGTCCGCGTGGGTCAGATGATAGCAACAGTGACCATGGAGGGCGAAGAAACCGAGAGGAGAGAGAATGGCGAGAAAAAGAGGCGCTAATCTGGTGATTCGGTTAGGCTCCAGTCCAAGTTATTTGGTCAAGTAGCCCTTTCTTTTTTTTCTTTCCTCCCCTATGTACTTTCGAAAGATAAGGCCCTTCGATCACAGCACATCCCCCAGACGCACAACACTCCCTTTGCATTGTATACGCAAAGTAGGGAATAGAGGGAGGAAAGGGAGGTGTGTGAGCAAATTTTTGGTATATTTGAGAGCCTCGGACCCCGAGTTGATAGGCCTCAAACGCGTCAGTGCAATTCGGGCTTATTCAGCCGCATGGCATCGCACGCGCATCTCAACAAAGCAGCTCACCATTCGTACGAATACAAAACAAACAAACAATGAATGGCCAGTTATTGTCTACTTTTTTTTAGCATTTTCCCTCCCATTCCACTTCTAGACGGCAGCATCTTTTTGTTAGTTTGTTTATCACTCATTAAGTGCGGGCGTTTCTTTGATTGAATATTCTCTTCTCCTTTCATCCCTTTCCTCCATGCCTCTTTGCAAGAGATGTTGTTTGGACTTGTCCTACCTTAATTTCTCTTCAGACCGTTCAACATATTTTGCATGTGTATGATGCATTTTGGTGAAGGGAGAGGAAAAGAAAGTGGAGTGGAGGTTGTGGAGGACATTTCTCAAGTCCGCCGTTTCTCCACTAGTGCTTCTTTCTCCAACTGTGTTAATGTTTACTTTGTTGCTCCATTGGCCAAACTAACAGATGCGGTCTGATTTGTACCTCCCCCAGTTTCTGCATCGAAAGAAAAACTCAATTAGCCCTCTCGTCATTTTCAAATAGTGGTTACTAGTAAAACGGCCTTACCACCTACCCATCCCATCTCGCTTTTTCTCTTTCCTTCAGACCCCCTGGATTATGAGCCCAAAACAAAAATGCAGTTACCAAACAACTTGGCTTGTATGTCCTGAACCCGAACTTACTGATGATAATGTTTGGTCCGCAGCGAGACTGAACGTACTGGATACTAAAAGGCTACTTAGTCACTCGACTCTTGACTCTCTTCATTCTCAACCTCAGGTGTTTGTTTGTATTTGTTTATGCCTTTTCTCTTTGTCTTTGTTCCTGGCCCTAAAGTTTTGGTCCCTCAGATTACTCGCCTTGGGGGATTCTTGCCCAATCAAGCCCATCTTTCTGCTTTGTTCGCTTACTCGCTCTCCTCTCGGAGACATGGTTCTATTATGCCCCATCGTAATTAGGCTCCAATTTATTTGTGTTATTGATCCCATGTGGAGAAGTCACACTTCATTGTTTTCTGGCTTTCTTTCTCAGATCCTTTCATGCAGCCACCCCTCATCCCACCCCACGACGGAGCGACAAAGCATAAACGGCAATGAAAGATCGAGTGGTCAAAGGAAAAAAAAGAGTACAAATAGACCACCATTCTCCCTACTTTTTTCTCGACATCTTCTCTCGGATAACGATCTCTTCCACAACCTTTCTCAAGCAACCCACCACTTCCTTTACGGATTCTCCTTCCTCTCCACACTCTTCTCGACAACCACCACCTCCAACCCCACCGTTATTCCAACAATGAAGTTCTCCATCACCTCCGTCTTGAGCGCTGCCTCTGCTGTCGTTCTTTTGGCCCTCTCTGCTGTCCCTGCCTCTGCTCTGCCTGCCGCTCCTGCTGCTGTCCAAAACATCGAGAAGCGCGCCAGTGAGATTAAGGGTCTCAACAACTACTCCTGCAAGCCTGCCAAGGGCCAACGCCCCATCGTTTTGGTAATTCATCGTGGATGTCATTGAGCCACCGGCGCTCACGTACATACTGAAGAGCGACCGCCTTTTTTCTATTCTATTGATCATACCTTCTAACCTTCCTTTCACTTTGTACCAATTAAAGGTCCATGCCACCTTGCTGACCCTCAACTCGTGGGACGACGTCGCACCCGTCCTGATCAAGAGGGGCTACTGTGTCTATGCCTTGACCTACGGAGTCAACAATGCCGTCCCAGGCGGCTTTGGCGGTCTGAACTCGATCGAGTCGTCCGCCCAGGAGTTGTCCGACTTTACTAACAATGTTTTGAACAAGACCGGGTCCAGCCAGGTCGATATCGTCGGCCACTCCCAGGGAGGCATCTTAGCCCGCTACTGGATCAAGTACCTCGATGGCAAGGGCAAGGTCTACCGCCACGTCGGTGTCTCGCCCATCAACCATGGTACCACCCTCAGCAGCATTGTTACCATTGCAAAGACCTTTGGAATCTTTTATCCCTCCCAGGAACTTTTTGACAAATTTGCCCCTTCCTTCTACGAAATGGGTAAGTTTGATGATGTTGCCTTTTTTTCATGCAATTTTGCAAACACGTTGATCAGACATAGTTAACTCACCGAACGCGTTCCTTCTCTCTCTCTGTTTTCATCCACTTTTCTCCTCTTCCAGTCAACACGTCTGACTTTATCAAGAAGTTGAACGCTGGCGGTGACGTTGCCCCCGGTGTCATCCACTCCAACATTGCCACCAAGTAAGAGTCTAAAGTTTTGGTTTGCGCTCTCTGATACTTTGGACGCGTATTACCAGAAGGAACCATCCCCACCAACAACCTCTTTCTTCCCTTACTCTTCATAGGTTCGACGAGGTTGTCACCCCCTACCAGACCTGCTTTCAGCAGGACGCCGGCGTCACCAACATCCTCCTTCAGGATCTTTGCTTGCTCTCCCTCAACGAGCATCGTAAGTCACCCCTCTCTCTCATCTGTTCATCGCGGTTTGAATACCTCTTTTTTCTTCTCGCCACTTTGCCGACCATTCTTCTCGTTGCTAACCATTAACATTGTTCACTCATTTTTCTTTCAATATCCTATTTCTAGTTACCATGGTCAACTCCAACGTCGTCATTCAGTTCATCCTGAACCAGCTCGACCCCGCGAGCGCCAAGACCGCCAACTGCCTCTCCATCCTCAAGGGATTTTAAATAACCCTACTCTTACCCTTTCATATTGGCGCCCTCACCTTTTCCTTCCCATCCCTCCTCAAAACTGATCGCCCTACCTTCCATTCACACCCTCTCCTGAATATTCCACCCGTCCAGGTGTTTTTTTAAATTATTTGGTCATAATCCCACACGTCATACCCTGTCCTACAGCGAAAGAACCTACGACTACGAGATATCTTTACAAGAATAAGCATAGATGCAGGTCCTCTTGCTTACTTCTTGAATATGATCCCCTAGTGTGATAATAAAGCATGAGTAGTACGTTCTCCGAAACATGGACGCGTTTTTGCGGGCTAGATGATACATTCTTTGCTGAGTGTACCTGCATGGAAAAAAAAGCACTCGAGGACATATTGGCCAAGTTTCGGAATTGGCTTTATAGTTTTGCTTTATTGCGCAATATGTGTGCAATTCTGACTTTAGCACTTTTATTCACTCAATAAGATCATCATACGCCGGATGAAGAAGCAGAACAGGATCGAAATTGAGGATTGGAGATCAAATTTGGCGCATGTCTTTCATGATGAATGCGATGTATGTATATCTTACTCTTTGTTACTTGCTATGAATGATAACCTCTCCGTTTATTGGATATATTAGCTATGCTTCTTCTTTTCTAATTCAATGAAAAAGTTTCAAGTAAGGTGCGTTGCCTGTCTATTCAAGCTTTACCAGGCGGACTGTATTGACGCGCTGGAATCTGGAGAATTGATTATTTTGTCAACTTTGCTCGTTTACTTGCTTCACTACCCTGATGCTAATCATATTTTCAATGGCTAAGGCGTTGATCGGAGTATTCGCTCCGTATACTTCCTGCACCCCGCGTGCTACGTGTTCTTAGTAGAGTACTGGATGAACTACTGTCCTCAGTGAGACCTCCAATGTCGGATATCGACGACTCAGCAACGGAGGTCTAACCGTTGCCGTTTTAGGTTAAACTTTGTCAACTACAGTATAGGGGAGCGTCTATGGGAAAATTTATCCTGTTTTTGCATGTGCAAAGGGCAAGGTACATCGTTGGATGAACACGAAAAACATTTGTAGTTTTTCCTATCCTACCCCTTCCCCTGTCCAGCTGTTGCCCTTTTGCCATCTTAGATTGAGGTACCCATTGCCAAGTAAAAGTTGCTGGTGTGTGAATGTCAGTTCTTTGAAGGATGATTCGTTAATCTTCTAGATCCGGACAAAGACTCAGGGCCAGGGGCGACCATTCAGGACAATGCACCGTGAGTCCCTACTCCCGTCTATTCATTTTGTGTCGCCGCCGCCCAGCGTTAAAATAGGCGAGGGGAGGAAGAAGCGCCCCCACGTTTCTGTTCTTGTCCTTTTTCAAGTTCCCGGCATGCCATTCACACATGAAATAAACCACAAAAGAGTTCACCCATTCGTTCGGCTCACCATTTTCATTTTCTCATCAACATGCGTGTCTGTCGTCAAGTTTCCTCCATGTAGAATGCTATTCGTCAGTTGTTATCTTCGACGTCTGTGTACTCCTTGGGTAAACCCTTAGTCCTCAGGCAAATGAGAGAAGGAAACGAAACGTGCATAGATAGCGGGCGGTTTCGCTTCATCCCTTGCTGCCACTTTCTCTTCCCTCCTTTCTTTTCTTCTCATTCTCTTTTCTCGCTCTCCTCGATTTCTCTGCCGTCCTTCCACAAGTCTTGTTCTTATTCCCGCCAGCGTCACTTTTACCAATTGGCCTTTACCTCACTATCGTTGCCACAAAACATAAACGCCATGTCGGACAGCAAAGTACCTTCCCCGAATGTTGTTCATATCACTGAGAACGAGATCGAACGTGAGCGCGAGAGGGTCAGACTATCGCCCGTGTTCACCATCATCTTTTCTGGTACGACTGCATTCTTGGCTCCCTGTCGATCAACACTACTACTTTTTTTTTTTTCTGTTGATTAAGGCTCTGCACGTTGTTAACGCCTACATTTACATTTGTGTAATAGGATTTGCGTTGATGTCGGATGGTTACCAGGTCGGTGTCCTGTCGTTGATCAACGTCTGCTTTGCAAAGATCTACGGTGATGCCTACACTTCTGAAATGTCGACTCGTCTTGGAAACGCTCTCTTTGTCGGAATTGTCCTTGGACAGGTACCCTTCATTTACGTTTAACAGGATCAAATCTGCAGGCAGAGTTGACATGTAAAACGCAAACAAACATGTCGTTAACCTTTTTTTCAAATTCATTGTTTGTACTATTGCTTGCATCCATGTGTAGGTTGGATTTGGATTCTTTTGTGACAGAATGGGGCGCAAGGTCGGATTGTTGGTGACCACGTTCTTGGTCATTATCGGTGCTGCTCTTTGTGCGGGCGCATACGGTGCCGGTGGATCAATAGAGGGGTTCTTCTGGGCATTGACGATATATCGGGGGATTTTGGGGGTCGGTGTCGGAGGAGAGTACCCTTGCTCTTCGACCAATGCATCCGAGTCGGCTGATAGTGTGATGCAAGGCCGCCGTGGGATGTTGGTCTCCCTGGCTACAAACACCATGATCGATTTTGGGTTTGTTGTTGCGGCCATTGTCCCCTTGATCCTCGCTACTGCAGGATGCAGTTACGAGGTCATCTGGAGGGTGTCGTTTGGGTTCGGTGTCCTCCCTCGTAAGTATCCTTGTCCCGGTACTTTTTTGTGGGCATGAGAGCATAGGATTGTTAAGTGCAGACTCTATTGTTTATTTGTCCCTTGCCTTTGAACCTCATTTCTACTTGTCCTTGCCTTCAACTCTCGCTCGTCTCATCTCACAAATCATTCGTACACTCTCCTTTCATCTCCTTCTTTATCCCTCTCCTTTCTTTCACCTCCCCCTCTGTTGTACCTTTCCTACATCACCCAACCACCAATCGTGTGATGTGTCTTTAGCCCTTTCGGTCCTTTACTTCCGTCTGAGGATGACCAACTCGAAGATTTTCCAGCGCAACAACCTAAAGAGAAACGTGCCCTACGTCCTCATCATCCGCCGCTACTGGAAGTACCTCCTCGGCACCGCGGGATCGTGGTTCATTTACGACTTTATTGCCTACCCCTTTGGCATCTTCTCGGGCACCATCCTCGACACCGCCATCGGAACCAACGGAACCTTTGTTCAGACTGCCGAATGGATGTGTCTCCTCAACGTTTTCTACTTGCCTGGATGTATTGCGGGCGCCTTCTCGGCTGATCGAATCGGGCGCAAGATGACGATGACTTTGGGATTCCTCCTCCAGGGCGTACTCGGGATCTTGATGGGCATCTTTTATAAGGATCTCTTGGGTATCTTCCCCCTGTTTGTGGTCTTGTACGGTGTCTTCTTGGGTCTTGGAGAGTACGGGCCTGGAGATATGGTCATCTTGACTTCTGCAGAGATCTATCCTACCGCTATCCGTGGAACTGCTTACGGCTGGTCGGCTGCTATCGGGAAACTTGGTGCCATCTGCGGAACCTCTGCCTTCAAGCCTGCGATTGCCTCCCTGGGACATGGTGATGTGATCTTGGGTCAGAGTCGCGTTTTTATCCTAGGATCAGGGCTGTCGTTGGTCGGGGCCATCTTTGCGTGGTTGCTTATCCCAGACTACACCAAGCAGGATCTGAGCTATGAGGATGAGGCGTTCAAGAAGTACCTTGAAGACAATGGATATGATGTCTCGTACCTCGGCGATGCATCGACCACTGTCAGTCATGAGTCCTTGCAGGAGCAAGGCGTCGTCGCCACCATTGGTGGAACCGAGAAGCAAGAACTCGAGTCGGATATTGATACCACCCGCCTTTAAGATATACCATCCAACATTACATTCTTCCAGGCCGCAACATAACCTTAAAATGAAAAAGCACTTTTGCTCTCTGAACTTACCCAGTTTTTTTTGTATGCAAACAAATAAGTGTTTGTTGACGTTCTAATCAATTTTGGTCTCGGGAAACTGAACAAAGTTGTTGACACACACCTCGTTATGGGCACGAAGCGCCCCACAAGATACGAATATGCTCCCAATTGACGTAAAAGAGAGCGACACATGTTCAATAAACCTGGCTCTCATGCATCACATCCAGGCAAAAGGGCAAACAAATAGGGTATGTACTGTATGTAGACAGACACCAACACTAGTTCAGACATATAGGTGCTCAATGTAAAGAAGAATAGAAGACGAGGAAAAACAATAAACAACAAAGTCCGCTTTGGATATTTTTTTATGTGTCCAGTGTAGATGAGACACAGCCAGTGTTGATCCAGAGAGTGGCCACTACCTTCAACCCGCCACCTTTGTAGCATCTGGGTCCCAAGTTGAGGTCTTGTACATTTTCTTTGTTCCTTTGTTCCCACAGTTGGATGCTGCAGGTGTGAGTATCGACTGGAGTTTCATGTGAGCACAAATAGCATTCGCTTTCTCAGGGCGTACAAGGGATTGTTTTTTTTCATCATGGCCATGTCTCCCCTGGTTCCCACAAACTTGAGGCTGTCTTGGTCTCACATTCCTCGTTTGTGCCTTAAATTCAGGACCTGATTGATACCTTTTCTTCTTTTTTTCTTTTTCTTCTTCACCCCTCCACCCCCTCGACACTGACTCCCCCTCCTCTTCCTTCCCCTCCCTCCCTCCATCTCCTGTCTTCTTCCCTCCGCCCTCATCTCAGTCAACCCCCTTCACACCCTCCTTCCATTCTTCCTTTTCTACCCTTTCCTTACTTCACACCGCTGCAATGAAGGATGAGATACACGCCGAACAGCATGTCATCAGCCCTGACGGCGACCACAAACAAGTCGCCAAGAAGGAAAAGTCCAGACTCTCTGCCATCTTCACCGTCATCTTCTCTGGTAAGCCCACTGATATCTACTATCATCGCCGTCTGCTGTGCCCCGTCTCCTGTCTTCTCTTCACGTTCTAACCTAAACGGCGATAAAATACGTTTATAATAGGCTTTGCACTGCTGTCGGATGGATATCAGATTGGAGTCCTGTCGCTCATCAACGTCTGCTTCACCAAGATCTACGGCGATCAATTCACTTCAGAAATGTCGACCCGCATCGGAAACTCGCTCTTTGTCGGCTGTATCCTTGGACAGATCGGATTTGGATTCATCTGCGACCGTGTCGGTCGTAAGGTCGGTCTGATGTTGACTACTATACTCGTCATTCTTGGAGCCGCGCTCTGTGCGGGTGCCTATGGAGCTGGTGGATCGGTTGAGGGACTCTTTTGGGCGCTGACGGTCTACCGTGGAATCTTGGGTGTCGGTGTAGGAGGCGAGTACCCTTGTTCTTCGGCTTCTGCCTCTGAGGCTGCAGATGTGGTCATGCCCGGTCGCCGTGGAATGTTGTTTGTCTTTGTCACCAACTTTGTCATCGATACCGGATTCGTCCTCTCGGCTCTGGTGCCTCTGATCCTGGCGTTGGCCGGGAGCAGTTATGAAGTCATCTGGAGAGTCTCGTTTGCGTTCGGAGTCCTCCCACCACTGTCGGTCATGTACTTCCGTTTCAAGATGGATAATTCGGACATCTTCCAGAAGAATTCCATCAAGAAGAAGGTCCCTTACGGTCTGATCTTGCAGCGTTACTGGAAGTACCTTCTCGGAACTGCGGGATCATGGTTCTTTTACAACTTTATCTCATACCCATTTGGCATCTTTGCCGGAACCATCATTGACCAGTCCGGTGGCGAGAACCCTTCCTTTGTCCATACTGCCCAATGGATGCTGTTGCTCAACTTTTTCTACCTCCCCGGATCCATCTCGGGAGCTTTGGCCTCGGACAAGCTTGGACGCAAGAAGACTATGTCTCTGGGATTCTTCATGCAGGGCGTTCTTGGAATCTTGATGGGTGTCTTCTACAAGGACCTGCTCAAAAATTTCCCCCTCTTCGTCGTCGTCTACGGAATCTTTATGGCCTTTGGAGAGTTTGGACCCGGTGACATGTTGGGTCTGGTCTCGGCCGAGATTTACCCCACCGCTATCCGTGGTACCGCCTATGGTTGGTCGGCTGCCATTGGAAAGTTTGGCGCCTTTGTTGGTACCACTGCCTTCAAGCCTGCTGTCGCCGCATTGGGAGGAGGAGATGCCGACAAGGGCCAGGCTCGGGTTTTCATCCTCGCCTCTGGATTAGCACTTTTGGGTTCGATCTTCACCTGGTGCCTGATCCCCGACTACTCCAAGAGGAACCTGCACGAGGAGGACGAAGACTTTAGAAAGTTCCTCGAGTCCAAGGGCTACGATCTGTCCAACTTTGGTGCCCCCAGTGCCCCCACTGCTGCCGACCTTGAGGCTGCCGACAGCGACGCCGCCTTTGTCGACGAGAAGCACCCCAGCAAGGGCCTAATCGCAGCACCTTAGACAACCCACACACTCATAGTACATAGTTCTTTCCCTCCCATTTGCATTTTTTTTTTTTTTTTGCTTTACCAAATAATATTCAAGTTCATTTCTGAGATGCTGGTTTCCAGCAAGAAAGAAAAAAAAAATCATTGCTTATGCATCCTACTCTTGAGGGTTGAGGGTGCTACGCCAAAGCCTTCTGTCAAGGGCATACCAAACTCGGCGCAAATGACCTTGATCATCGCAAAGTGGTGAACCTGTGTTTTTGGCAGTGCCAATGTCCACGATGGTGTCATTCGACGTCATGCAGGGTCCAAGATAGCGCCAGGATAAAAAAAAAAAAAAAAGAAGGCAAAGGAGAACAGGGGTGGAAAAGGAAGAAGGGCGGATGTAAGAGTTAGCATTTTCGCAGTAATAATGAGTAAAGCGCATTGGTGCTTTGTCGCTATCAACATGACATAAAAACAGCAAGCAAAAGAGTGCAGCGAAGTGATGGACACGTACAGCGTGTAGACTACAGAACCAGAGCTCTCGTCCAAAGGTTGACTGGAAGCTGACGGGTCCTTTGGTGGGATCAATCGTTGCAAACAATGTCACAGGTTGTAGAAGATCGTTGGGCATGGCGATATCCTGTTCTGAGGTTGTTGCTGTTGTGCCGTTATGATGCTTTTGGGATGAGTCCAGATTCATACTCGCTACATGCCTCTCCAGCCTGACCTGGAGACTTTCTAGTTCCCCAATCGCATAGTCAATGTCCGACTCCATTGGAACCTGTTGAACAACAGGACAAGAGGAAAAAAAGGGCGTGATTGGAGGAAAGGGAGGGCGTGAGAACAAAAACGATGAAGAAATGACGACGTCAGTTACGTAAAATCTTGTCTTCCTCCACAAACGCTGTGCAACCGTGATGACCGATGGGTAGCGTCCCTTTTTTATGTCCCTTCTTACCTCACGCGATCGCTTGTCGTAATCCACTGACCATTGACGATCCTGAGATAGACCCTATAAAGATGATGCCATATCAATGAGGAACCCAGTTAGTACTGTCTTTTTTCACCATCAGATCTATAATTGAGCCCTGTCTCTTCCAATGGTTGTTCAAGTTGATGATGTGGTTGTTGCTGCTGTTCTTGTCTAGACTGCTTTGGTGGAACTGTGTTCATCCTCTAGTAGGATATTTCGCCCGAAATCCCACCTGTGGGCAATCTCCACTCATCTTCCTGGGTACCTCCGAATGGGCACCGTCTAGACCCTCGGATAGATCACACGCTGATCAAAAAAAGTACTAAGAGATCATGCGCACTGAAACTAGCATTGCATGCACGGTCCATCTTGAAAAGGAGTGCCACTTTTGAGGGGTGACAGGGCAAGTAAGCAAGGGGGGTCTCCTTCTTACCTGGGCAGGTGGGAAAGTAGCGAGTAAGAGACGGTAATGGTCGTGGAGATGGCGGACATGTTTTCCGATGGTTCCTTGGCATGCGAGGACAGAGGGTTTGGTGTACATCTCTGACCGTGGGCAGGGTGTGATCGCCTGAGGAAGAGAAGAAGCAGCACGAGGCGGCTTGGAGAGAGCAGGACTAGTTCCTGCGGCGACCGAGCTGTCTGGGTCCTGTTCAGCTTCCTGCGAGGCGGACCGACTCATATGATGGATGTCCCTCATCGACTTGCCCACAGGAGTCGAATTATCACCACCGTTCTTGTGGGTTCCGTTGCCGTTGGTCCGTTTCTGTAGACGTTGTTGTTCCTGCTCCTGTGCTTCTTGTGCTTCCTGTGCTTCGACTGCCATAGCGGCCTTTAGGGACTGGAGGAGTTCGACACAGTCTTGGAGGGACTTGGCGGCGACGGTGTAGATGTGCCGTGAATCATCGTTGGAGGAAGCAGTGGGTGTTGATTCCTGAATGTGGACTGCTGATGTTGTGGCCATGGTAATTGAATCTTGGTCTGTGGTGGAGTGAATGAATGAGAGCTTTGTAAGGGAAGAAAAAAGGGAAGAGAGAAAAGAAGAGAAGGAAGAAGAGGGGACAAGGAGAAAGAAGAAAAGTTGAGGGAGGGAAGTAGAGTTTAGAAAAAGAAAAGATGGAGGGACGGAAGTAGGGCTGACAAAAAGAAAAGGAGATACAAGAATCGAGGCGGGCAGGAATGGCATCTCTCTCCACAGTTGACACAGACACATACACTAGCGTCTGTTCGTTTGTTGTCTTTTGTTGTTTTCCAACCATGGCCTCAGATGTCGTGATCGCACTAACAGCTGGTGGTGACACACATCGCATCTCTTCTATTACTATTACTCTGGTTTCTTTGTTTATTTTTTGCGCCAATGAAGACACTGCACATTATCCCAACAGAGGTGTCAAGGTCGACAGCATCAAAGGATCCACCTTCGAGAGCCACTGCTGCTGGAATGCTTCAGCGCCGCCGTTCAATCGCTCACACTCGCCAATCGATGCTTTCACATACTGACCCAAGTTGGTCGTGTGAACAGGGTCGCGCCTCAAAAGATCACGTCTGCGAATCACTTCCGCTGTCTCCTCAGAGTTATCATCCTCATCCTCCTGTGTCTCGCGCCAGTAGACAAGCGAGTCTCCAGTGCCATTCTCGTTGACCTCATTCAGGACATCACCCCAGATGCAAACCAGTCGAGGGAGATACTCAAGCACTGCCGCATTTGCTGTCCGCATCATTGCTGTCAATCCCATCGCGTGAAGTTTCCGATGCTTAGGATGGGAGACATTGTCAAACTATTGCCAAAAATATAATGCATTATGGTTAAAAAATGTCTCTCAAGGAAAACAAGCACGAATCCGTTCCAATCCTGAGATAGCTTCGAGTCTCCTTACCTTCTCCATCCACAGGTCGATAAGCATAGGGAGAAGACTGGGCTGGCCGAACTGTTGACCAACGCTGTCCACAGCATTAGACAGATATGCTGAATCCTCAACGGCCAATCGTGCCAAGAAGCACAAGTACTGGGTCAACACCACATTCGTTTCCTAGGGGATAATATGAGGAGATAGGTGGTTAGAACTTGATAGCTCATGAAAATGAGACATTGTGTGCCACCAGTTTTGACCACTCTGCTGTTACCTTCTTGGCCATGATGATGCTCAGAACCTTGCTCAATAATCCCGAAGAGATGTAGAGGTCCCCAGTGATGCGAATAGGGCATGTGAGAGCTGCCAAGTCCATAAATTGCATGATAGAGACGCTAGCCTCAGATCGAAGGCCTTCGCTAATGATTCCTGCAACAGCGTTGATCAAAGAAGGTCCGGCCGACTAATAGAGTACCACAATAAAATATATATTGTGAGCAGATGGCATCATTGAAGTAAAAGCACACTTTACGAGAGACATGCCGTTGTTCAAACATACCTGGAAAGCGCGCTCAGCGTCCAACATGAGATAGCTCTGAAGAATCTTGAGCATGTTTCTCATGTGGTCCATACCCTCGGAAAGCAACGAAACAGCTGCTGGGACAAGTGACATGAGTTCATCCGTAGACTGGCTAGCAGTCTTCAAAGTTGCGAGCCAGAGCTCAAAACCGTCCTCCATCAAATAAACATGAGCTTCCTGGGTGGGGTCGACGCTGAGACGGATCAGAGGCATGACCATATGGTGGAGACCCATGGACTGAGACTTCAAGGACTCGATCAACTTGGTCATAATGACCAAGATAGCCGACTGAAGAAGGTTTTGATCAGTGGCTGCTTGCCAGAGTGGAGGCAAGATCTCAAGGATCTGCTGTGAGTAAGGTGCAATGTGCTCATCCATGCGCTCCACAATCATCGACATGCAGCTCAAAATCTTCATCCTGCTCTCAGGCTCTTCGACTTCGCCCGTGAGATGTTTCAATCCATGAACAGACTGCTCCAGGAAAGGTGCAAAGGTTGCTGCCTCGAAATCCCAGTCGTCGATACAGGTCTTTAGGTTCTGAGCTGCCGCCAGACGAACAGCCATGTGCTCCTGAGGCCTCAAAAGGTGCAGCATGATGGTATATACAGTTGGGCGGGCGGCCTTTGAAATGTTGACACTGACCCACTTGCCAATCATCCACGCGATACGTCGACGAATCAAGCGGAAGCTGTCAAAGCATGATGTTGTGTCGCGTTAATATACATGTCATTCAAAAAGATTGGTTAGGCGAAGAAAAGTCCATGTTATTACCTTGGGTCTGCGTTCTGAACTTCCTGGGAGAGCTGTCCATTCAACCAGCTGTCAAAATCAATGGCATCGTACAGAGCATGAGATCCCAATCCAATTGCACAATAGATAGAATCCTTCAAGAACAGGTCAGGCATATCTATCAGTATAGAATGGATAATAGTTAGGCTGCTTGCTCTGTTTTCGATAATAGCCATGTTGTCCTAAAAAATGAGAGTACCAAACTTACTTGCGGTTGATCCGGCCAACTGAACAAGAAGGGGGCTCAATTGTGCTCTGTGACTTGACAAAAGATCCATGAACACCTTCTCTGCGCAAGGCTATTCGAGAAAATGGAAAGCAATGTCAGTTCTGAGGGGAAACAACACACAGGCGAACCAAATTCATATCCAACGGGAAGTACGACTTACTCTGAGCTGGTACTTCCATGAATCAGCCTCGTCCTCCAATGCCCACTCCTCTGGGTTCGAATCCCACTCCTCAAGGTCATCCTCTGTCAACCGCATGTACTTTGTGATAAGAATCTCGGCCAGCTTGTTGGTAGTCTCTGGTGTCATGAACTCGTTTTCAATGATGTGACGACAGCGAACGACAACGGGTTCGGGATCCTCTACAGACGGATGAATGAAAGATGAAAGTACAGTCAGCGTAACTTGTCTTGATTCTCCAAGGGAACTTCAGTCACGTATGCATGCTCGTCTAAGCTTACTGTCGGTGAGGATGAACTGGGGGTCCTTGAGGGTCTTTTTGACCAACTGCAAACCCTGAATCAGAGTGGTCTGGGCAGGAGGGGCGGCATGCTCGTCTCCATTTCCTGCCAAAAGACCCCAGTAGAAGCGAAGAACCTCTGCAGCGCCAGGTGTGAGGATAAACTGGCGAGGGTGGGCGTCCATGAGATCCAGATAAAACTTTCCAATGAGCTTGATGTGCGAATCGACAGCGGTGACCAAGAACGAACACTGCTCTGGGATTGACTCCTTAAACGCCATAAACTTTTGCAGGTGCTCCAGCGCCAGCCGGAAGAAAGCAATTGGTCCCTCCGAAGTCGAAAACTCTGGGAATCCGTGAACGACAACCCTTCGCAAGCACTTCAATGCCATATGAGAGGTTTCAAGACATCCCGAAAGGCTCTCGATGTTTGTGGTGTTGGTAGCGAAGAGCGCATCAACATATCGGACGTAGATGTTCACGACATTGGTGAAGAGTTCTGGCGCCGCTTGCTGAAACTGTTTCCTTCCTGACGCCAATGTTTTTGAAATTAATCCTTTGACGATGAGGTGAAGAGTGTAGAGTGAGCGTTGCTGGACAAGTCTAGCTCTTGGGTCGGATTCGCTTGCAGTCGATGAGCGAACAATCTCCAGAAGTGACGACAGCAGATCGGGCCTATATTATTTAAAGGTGAATTTAGAAAGTTAATTTTTCAGTTCCGGGAAGCTTCGTCGACACATTGACAAGTATTGTCACGCGTAGCAAACGCACCATTCCATGGGAAAGTCGAATCTGGCAATCTTGGAGATCAGAACCGCATTCTGAGTAGCGAGCTAACATAGAGGACAATGAGTGTAGGTTAGGAACAGATCGGATAGTTGACTCTTTTTGCTTCTTTCCCGTGAAAAATCTATGTCTGTTTGGTCGAGTCCTTACTGGCTTCTGCTCCTCGTCCAATGCTGTCAAAAGGCGCGATCTGATTGCAGCCTTCTCCTCTGGCGAGATAGCGCTATGAACACAGCACGGAGGAGATCGTTATAGGTTAGAGCTTTGTTGCATTGCTGGGTTGACCAATTGAACGATTGCAGTTTTCTGTTGACGTACTTCTTGGCGAGCTTGCGCCAGTACTTGTCGATCCCGTTCTTGAGGTAGATAATAGCTTGCCAGCGAATGTTGGTGTCAATGGTCTTGTCATAGAAGATGTCCTAGAGGCAAGATATAGATATTTGATCATAGATGGGGAGGTGAGTCGATTGCCCCTGTGAGCAAATGAAGATATCGAAGACCGTGCCTGATATTCACTGTTGTAGGTCATAGCGACATGATAGTGTTATGTCCGAGAGAGGCGCCAAAGTCGATAAAGGCTGCTGTCTGTACCTGGAGGGTGGCGTTGAATTGGGGCGTAGCTTCCCATTGCTGGAGCTGAGTGACAGCACTCTGCATGCGGGCTGGGTCCTGAGAAGCAGCCTCGGCGAGGACAGTTAGCAGGGAATCACGAGCAGACATTTGTGGTGGCGGTGAGGATGATCAAGACGAAAAGAGGAATGAGGATGTGCTCACTTTTTGCCATTCGCAAGGAGTGAAAAGTTTCTTTTTTCCCCCTTCAAGGCTGAGTTATTCTCCTCTCCATTGTCTGACAAAGCCACAGCACCGTTGAAATCCAATCGGCCAATCCTCCCCGCTGTCCTGTCTCTCCACTGACCCACAAAGTGTCCTCTCACCTTCTCGGCTGCTTCTGTTGCTCACTTTTTTTCACTTCTTTCCGACATTGTTTCTTCTCTCATCTTCCTCTTCTTCCTCCTCTTGACTCATTCCCTCCTCTCCCTTCTCTCTGCCCCTCTTTCTTTCTTCCTTCTGCACCTCTACACTCTGCCCTCAACACAAACCCTCTTCTACTCCCTCTCTAACAATACATACATGAACAACACAACACCCTTCTGGGAGCCAGACTGGAAGCGGGTTCAGGCCCCGCTCTCAGCTCTTCGCCGTCAACTTGCCTCTTTCCCCTCACCGCCACTGCGCATCATGAAAGTCAGCCAGCTGGATGCAGAATTGCTCGATGAGGAACTCCTCGAGACCATGAAGGAGCAACTCTGGAGTGCTTTCGCCCTCTTTAAGGTAAGAACATTTTCCTTTATTCTCTACACGGACAGAAAATGTTGCTTCAGACCCGCCCAATAATTATCTCCGCTACATGTGATATCTGATCGGCTTGATTTTCTTCATTGCCAAGTAGCCTTCGTTCAAGGAGACCTTCAAGCCCGAGATGACCCTCGCTCTGAACTTGATCATGTACAAGTTCTCGGTCTACGATATGGGCGCCACTTACGGATCACAGCTGCAGAACCTAATTTACAGAAACGAACGCAAGCACAGTGGAGGATGTACGTTACCCGGCCGACACTTCTTTTTGTCGAAAAACAATTGGTTCCATCTCATTGATCTACAGCTTAACCTAACATCACACCTTCACTCTTTCCTACCCCTTAGTGCAATCGACTTCATCGGACGCCTCATTGACAAAGACACAAAAGATTACATACGGAGTCGTCACCGTCGGAGGGCAGTATCTCATGGAGCGGTTGAACCGAGTAGTGACAGCACAAGGATGGGGCGAGCTGCCCGAGGTATGATCAATTGACGGTTGATATACGGCTTTGAGGACTGCTGGAGCCAAGGACACTAGTGCTAAACCGCCACCATCTCTATTCTTACTTAGGATAACATCAAGAGGAAGGCATGGAATGTCCTCCAAAAGGGAGGAAGCATTTTCCGGATAGTGTCTCTTATCAACTTTTTGGCTTTTTTGTACGCCGGAAAGTAAGTTTCTGGGTATCATTGAAATCAATCGCTTGCCATTCGGGACTATGACTAGGATTGAACTCTTGGACCACATGTGACTGACACATTGCTCATTCCATTGCAATAGGTACCGGACTGTACTCGAGCGTGCCTTGTCCATGCGGCTCGTCTATTCAGAGCGCAATTCGAACCGCCAGGCTAGTTTTGAATTCTTGAACCGGCAGATGGTCTGGCATGCATTCACAGTACGTTCGATCACTTATCATCTCAAGTCCTCGGGCAATCTCTGGTCACACTTCCGACAACTAACATTCAGTGAATCAATTTTTTGCTTGGTGTTGAATAATAGGAATTCCTTATGTTCTTGATGCCTTTGATCAACGTGTCAAAGCTGAAGAGAAACGTCAAGAGGATGCTTTTGCCAGCGGCATTGATGTCCGGCAACGAGCTTTCAGCTCTCCCCGTCCATATCTGTGCCGTCTGCCACGAGAACAACAGCGCATCTGCCACACCAGGAACACTCACGTCAACAGTCATTCACAACCCCTACATCACCGACTGTGGACACGTTTACTGCTACTACTGTATCAAGACCAAGATGATGATCGATGACGAATGGTGCTGTCTTCGCTGTGGAAAGAAGGTCGATGCGATCGCACGGCATATCGAAGTGGCTCCCGACAAGGCTCTTGAGGAGAAGACCGAAGACGAGCACGAACAACCTGAACAAGAGGCAGACGAGGCAGACGAGGCAGACTCTGAAGATTAGTGTATCTGAGAAAGCAGCCATGATAGACACTCCCCATTCCTCGATCTAATAAACGCGACGTGCGTGCGCGCACTTTCAGGGGATCTTACCGCCAGGTGATAGATCATGTGACCTGCACACAGAATGTCGTTAGTTTGGAGTACGAAAAAAAAGTGCATGCGGTTGAAGCGTTTCGCGCCATCCTTTCTTTTGTTGTACAGCACATTCAAGTCTTCACCTCTCGGCCAACACCCCTCGCAGGAACTGAGCAGAGAGTCAAACAGAAGGAAAAAAAGACAACACTAAGCAATACTTGGACACACACAGCAACAAGCGAATGAGCCCAGCAACGGAGCCTGGTCTGGCCGCCAACAAGGATCCTTCCAAGAGCAATGACAGTCCCACAGCCATTCAGCCAGAAGATGGACACGAGCATGTAGAGGGAAGCGAGGAGGAGGAGGAGGAAGAGTCTGAGGAAGGTGAAGAAGAAGAAGAAGTAGAGGAGGATGACGAGGAGGAGGAGGAAGAGGAGGAAGAGGAGGAAGAGGACGAGGAAGAAGACGAGGAAGAAGACGAAGAAGAGGAAGAGGAAGAAGAAGAAGAGGAAGGGTCTGAAGAAGAAGCCGAGGAGGACGAGGAGGACGAGGAGCCAAAACTGAACTATCAAAGACTCGGCGCCGGCATCGGAGATATGCTCAAGAAGGACTCTGCCAGTTGTACCACCGTCTCTGACCGATTCTTGGTAAGGGTGATTCTCTTGTATAAGGCCGATGAAGACTGGACTGACGATGATGGGAGGCTGTAACTAACTCGTTCAATTTTGCTGTATGTGGTAATGATAGGCCATGGGAACACACTGGGGGGTTGTTCATATCATGGACTTTGAGGGAAACGAGAACCAAAAGTTCCAGGCTCATCAGGCAACTGTCAACGACCTCAGCGTGGATTTGGACGGAGAATACATTGCCAGTGCTTCGGACGACGGTATTACGCGTTTTAACAATGCACTTTTGTTTTCGGCAACTCTTGGATGGACTTTCTCAGTGGCATCTTAACTGACTGTTTGATTCATCATGAATAGGCAAGGTTGTTATCAACGGACTGTTCCAGAACGAGGACCATGTTTTCAACTATAAGCGACCTATCAAGGCTGTCGCGCTGGAGCCTCACTATGCTCGGTCGAATGCTCGCCAATTTGTCTCGGGAGGAATGGCAGGCCAACTTATTCTGAACGAGAAAGGTAAACCAGCTTCCCTTGGATGTTGACGATTGGTCAGGATGGTAACTACTAGCCGTCAGAAACAGTCGTCTAATACTCAGTGTTTAATTACTATTTTCTAGGATGGTTCGGCAACCGTGACGTTGTTCTGCACTCGGGAGAAGGACCTATCTACGCCATCAAGTGGTGCGGGAACTTGATTGCTTGGTCGAACGACTTGGGCGTAAAGATTTATGATACAACAACGGAACAGCGCATCACATTCATCGACCGGCCAGGATCTAGTCCAAGAGCAGACTTGTTCAAATGTAGACTGTGCTGGAGGAGTGAGACGGAGCTGTTGATCGGTTGGGCAGCACTTGTCAAGATTGCCGTCGTTAAGAATCGGCCAAAGGACCAGATGAAGGCGGGTCTCCCTGCACAATTCGTCGAGATCACCACAATGTAAGTTGACAGTTTTTTCATATTGTTAGTATGTAGACCATTCGGGACCAGTTTTAACATACTGTCGTCATTTCATTTCACAGGTTCCAAACCGACTTCATCGTCTGTGGTATTGCGCCTTTCAAGGATATGCTGCTTCTCATGGCATATGTTGTGGACGACATTGATGAGATTGCTCACGTTACAAGTTCGGAGAGGAACGAACGCAAGGTACACTATCGTCATTCTTGAGAGACATCGCAGGCTATCATATTGAAATCGCACGACGTCGTCTAACCTACTGCCTCTCTATGCTACATTAGCTGGCTAAACGGCCAGAGTTGCGTATTATCAACGCGTACAACGAGGAAATCAGCTCGGACGCCTTGACACTTCACGGATATGCTCACTATCAAGCAAACGACTACATGTTTGAGAACTTGCCATCGCAGGATATGTTCTACGTCGGAAGTCCCAAGGATCTTGTTGTTGCCAAGGAGCGTGACCTGGACGACCATATTGAGTGGCTCATGGAAAGAGAGCGTTACGAAGAAGCTTTGGGTCATGCCAGGGAAGCGCAGGTCTATGGAGGCAGCAAAAAATTCAACGCAAGCGAGATCGGACAAAAATATCTTGGCTGGCTCCTCGAGCAAGGTGGGTTTGATGAGCTAGTTCAAAGCGTTTACGCAGTAGCTCGTGGTGCGTAATGGCGGTCGCTGACTTCATTTCCTGCTTGTATTTGTATAGAGGATTACGACAAGGCTGCTGCACAGTGTCCGAGCATTCTTGGTTCAGATGCTGAACTCTGGGAGCACTGGATCTACGCATTTGCGGAAGCAAGGCAACTCAAAGTAGGTGTCTGACGTGAATAGCAGCAACTTCTTGGCTGATAGGTTGGTCTGCACCTTGCTAACAGTACTTACTATTTCCTTGGTAGGCTATTGCGGGATATGTTCCATTCAAGGAGCCCACGCTCAGCGATACAGTGTATGAGCTGATCCTGGCTTACTTCCTCATGCACGATCACCAGGTATGGCCACGTTCGACTGAGAGAGACTTCTAAAGCACGTCTTTGATTGTTCACTAACCTGAATCGTTTCTCAATTTTGTTTTATAGTCTCTCTTCAGCACTGTCAAGAACTTCCCACCTGATTTGTACAACATTCAAAGTGTCATTGTTGCAGTGGAGGATCGTTTGAAGCAGGACAAGGACAACGTGTTGCTCATGGAATCTCTTGCCGAATTGTAAGTACATTGTTGTTGATAAGAACGAAGCGCGATGATGGCTTCTCATCAATGTACAGAATTGAATATGTGATTAAGCGGTATGTTTGCGACTTAATAGATATACCCGAGATGGCCGAGCAGACCGCGCCCTGGAGTACTTCTTGAGACTGAGGAGGCCGAATGTATTTGAACTCATCCGTGAACATGACTTATTCTCTGCTGTTCGCGACAAGGCCATCCTCCTCATGGAGTTTGACCAGTACTTGTATGAGAAGAATACCAAGGAGCGCAAGGAAGCTGGACAGGCTCCGTCGACATTGAAACCTGAGGAGGAGCTGACACAGGGTCCTGCTGTTCAATTGATGGTTCAGCATACCGAGGAGATTCCAGTAAGTTGACAGGCAAGGGTAAAAGCGCTATGCTACCAATGAAGCTTTCGCCTCAACTGACATATTATGACACATTCATATTGCATATTCACACAACTTTAGATCAAGAGCGTTGTACCACAGCTCAAGAGTCAGCCACGCTTGTTGCACATCTATTTGGACTCGCTCTTTTTGAGGGATCCTCATCTTGGCTTTGAGTTTCATGACCTCCAAGTGGAGCTCTATGCTGCATATGCACCGGCCAAGTTGATTGATTTTTTGCGTGCCAGCAATTACTACTCCTTGGAGAAGGTCCGTCTATGGCATTTTTTTTCGGAGCATCACTTTCGTCGCGGGCGTTCTCCATATTGACTGATCGCCTATTTACGTTCGTACTTAACTAGGCATATCGCACTTGCGAGCAACGCGATCTTGTCCCAGAGATGGTGTTCCTGCTGGGTCGCATGGGCAACAACAAGAAGGCTCTTATGCTCATCATTGAGCGCCTTGGAGATGTTGAAAGGGTAAGTAGCAAGTGTTTTTTATCTCTTCATATTTGTCTGTAATAGTCTTGCTTTAGGTGCTTCTGAACTAACACGAACTGTTAATATGAACGGAAAAAAAATTAGGCGATCAACTTTGCCAAGGAGCAGAACGATGACGACCTATGGGAGGACTTGCTCAGATACTCCATGGACAAGCCAGGTGAGCCCTCGCGCAAAGTTAGAGTCTTTAACTATTACGCACAATCATATTTCACACTTCTTACTTTTGTCTCTCGAATAACATAGAATTCATCCGAGGCTTGCTCCAGAATGTGGGAACAGAGATTGACCCTATCCGTTTGATTCGCAGGATCCCGAACGGATTGGAGATTCCAGACCTGCGACCAGCGTTGATGAAGATCTTGCAGGATTTCAACCTTCAGATGTCGCTTCGGGAGGGTTGTCGTCGTATCTTGGTGAGCGACAGTGTTGCCATGGCGGACCAGCTTCAAAAGTCCCAAAAGCGGGGTATCTCTTGCTCTGGTAAGTCGTCTTGTTGTCTCTTAATACATTATATAACCTGGTGGGCACAATGGGTAAGATGCCATATTTTATCTTTGTTCTAAACGCCACCATTTTCATTTTTTTAATAGAGGAAACCAAATGCCAAGTGTGCCAGGAACCTATCTTTGTAAGGGGCGAGAGCCGCCTACCAGGAGCCAGCATTTCGACGTTTGTGATGTTCTTCTGCAGACACGTCTACCACGACAGGTGTCTGTTTGCTGATGACGAGGAGACGATGCCGAGGATGAAGTCCAGTCTTGCAAAGATCACGCTCCGAGCCAAGGCTAACCATGCGGCCTTGATCCGGTCCAAGCGTGGGCGCACTCCTTGTCCACTCTGTTTGGACCAGGCCAAGATCGAGCTCTCTACCGGGCAGTGAACAGAGTCGACTGGTGTAGTCGTCAAAAACAGTTGGAGCCATTCTCCCCCAACAACCGATTGACTTAATAAACATAAACGTAAGTGAAAGATATGTTCGGCTTTATTCACCGTGTGTCATACTTCTAGGCTGTTTGATAAACGTACTGCTGTTGTTGGTGCACCAATTGCTGTTGCTGCTGCTGTTCCTGACGGAACAATATCTCGCCCTCCCGAACGACGCTCACGTCAGAGCTCAAATCAACCTGAGCGCGGAGTTCACGGACCTCCATCTCAAGGATATGGCGCTGGAAGATCATCTCCTTGAGCTTCTTGTAGGCCATAGCGGAGAGCATCTCGAATTTGTCGCGGGTGTCCTGCATCGCAACTGCAGTTCTGTTACGGGCTCGGGTCTCGGCGGCCAGATCCCGTTGGAGGGAGGAGACTTTTGAGTGGAGGTTTGCGTTCTGTTCGCGGAGGAGGGCTAGTTCTTCGCGGAGGTTGGATGGGTCTGTTGTTGGTGAGGTTGGTGGTTCGGTGGAAGTTGAGGTGGAGGTGGAGGTCTCGAGGAAGGCGGATGGGACGGTTGGGGTGGTGGGGGACTTGAGGGAGGCGCTGTTGTTGTTGTCGATGGGGTTTGGGAAGGGAGTTGGAGGCGAGGTGGTGGTGGGACTTGTGGCGGCACTGCGAGTAGCCAGAGTAGTCGTCGTCGCAGTGGTTGCGGCGGTGGGTTGGGTCAAGGAAGCGACCAGATTGGCGACTTTGGAGTTGGGCCTTGCGCTGGTGACCACACTCGTGGATGCGTCCTTCTTGCCCGACGAGTTTGGTGCCCCGCCAGAGGAAGATGTGATCGTAGATTCAGTTGTCGTGGATCCGACTTCGGTTGATCCAGAGATGGAGGGTGGGGCGGAGGACCATTCCTTGATATCGAGGTCATGGACCAGGTTCTCGTAGGGCTCTGTCTGGGTGTGCATGGTCCGCATGACACAATGTTGGGTCTGGATCTGGACGTGGCGCACCTTTTTGCGTGACACGGGCTTGGGCAAGACGATCTCGGGGTAGTCCTGCTCCTGCGAGGTGCTGCTGCCACCGCCGTCCGTCGTAGTTGTTGTGGATGTGGATGTTGTAGTTGTAGTTGTCGCGGCCGTAGTCGATTTGCCTTGTTGTTGAGCCTTGTAGGATGCAAGTCGCTGAGCCAATGCCTCTGCAACGACGGTCTCGTCCATAGGTTCTCCGCCGTCAGCATTTAGACCTCCTAGGAGACTGAATTGGACCTTGTTTCCGCGTTTGGAGCCCATGCTCGAAATACCTGCACCCAGTCCTCCGGCGGCCGCCCCTGACTTGTTCGGCGCTGACCTCTGCAGCTCGGACGATGCGGGTCCTGTGGCCTGCCCCATAAAATCGGTGTCAAGAGCAAAGTTCTCAAGCATGAATGAGCTTCCTCCCATGACATACTTGGATCCATTGTTGCTGTTACTGCTGCTCTCTGTGCTGAGATTCGACCGGCGTCTCTCTCCACCACCGCTGCCGTTCAGATCGCTACCAAGGGTGTTACTCAAGATCGACAACCGCTTGGCGGCAGCAGCTCCAGGGCTCAGACCATCAATTGTAAGGGTAGCATCATCCAGAACCCTGCTCTGTCGCCTGGAGACAGTTCCTCCATTAGGCAATCGAGTCGTCGTCATGAAGGACCCATTCGAGATACTCAGCACATCCGAGTTGGCACTCCCAGCCGACAGCGGCTGTTGAGGTCTACCCCCGCCCTCCTTGTAATCGACCGCAATCATAATATACTTTCGACCATTGGGCAAAGTCGAAGTCGTGATATCCTCTCCATTCTTGCCCTTCCCCATCGTCACCCCACTCACCGTACTAATATTACTCATCGCCCCACCGGCGCCTTGAACCAAAATACTGTTCCTTGCCGTCCCACCTCCCAACGTCGACCCGCCAGCAATAGAACTCGCCGTATTCAGACTCGATCCCGACTTCTTGGGCCTCAACCACTGCAACAATGGCTTCTTCTTCTTCTCATCCTCCACCGGCGACAGATTCAAAGGCAGCTGGCTTGACTGAGGTGGGGAGGGAGGAGGGGCAGACTTGAAGAAATCGACTAGATCCTTGGTCGTTTTGCGTTCGGCGAGATAGTCAGCAGACAGGATGCCACAACTGTCTTCGTCGTCGGAATCGTTGTCGTTGAAATCCATTCGGGCGGCGGCGCGGGGTTGGAGGTGGCGGAACCCTGGGGGTTTATGGCTTGCTGTTGTTGCTGATGGTACTGCTAATGCTGATGCGTTGCTGTTGTTGTTGATGGTGCTGACTCCACCGTTGGTGGGACTTGAGCTGTCCATTGTGTATGTGTATATGTTGTGTGTTGGATATAAAAGGGGAGGAGGGAGGGGTTATGTCGTGAGTTGTGTGCTTCCTCTTCGTGGCAATGTGAAAAGGAAAAGGAAGGGTTCTTTAAGTTTTGGAGGGAAGAAAGAGACAGAAGAAGGAACCAAGGGGAGAATAGAAGAAGGTGCGTTGAGAAATATTATAGAAAAGTAGTAGAATAAGGTGAGAGGTGTTAAGATGGTAGGAATATGTAAATGGTTGAGAGTCCAGCTCTTTTTTTTTTTTTGGGTGAAGGGAGGTGAGGTGAGAGTGAGAGGGTCAGAGAGTGTGAGTGAGAAAAGAAGAGCTGGAAGGAGAAGAAAAGGAGGAAAAGAAAGAAAAGAAAACAAGAAAAGAGGGAAAAAAAAAAAGAGTGGAATGGATTGTTGCTGTTGCGGTTGCTCCGACTACCAAAAATAACGTAGGAAGTAAGGGGGAGGTAGAGGCAAAGGCCTCCTCATCTTGGGCAGGCGGGCAGTGAGCAATATTGGGCCGATTGAGGAGCACATCCCAACCGATCCAAATCATCCCTCCTGAGGGATATCTTGTCCAGAGTAGAGGCCACTCAGAACCAAGTCTAGTACTCTTTGTGTGGTTCATTGTGACAGGAACAAAAAGGACACGGGCATACGAACAACAGAAAAAAAAATGCAATCTATGAGAGCCACCTCTCGCTCTGTCGTTTCTGGTCTTCCTGCTCGATACTACTATCTCCTCTACGCCTCCATCCTTCATGCTCCTCGTCTGTCCTTTTGTCTTTTGCTCATTCTCCGTTTTCTGTCCCAACTCAGTCTCCGTTAGTCGACCAAATGCTCAATACACAGAAATCGAGACCAGGCAACAAAACAACCGATCCTATCGACGATTCGATGTCTGCTTCCTTCTCAACAGAAACATGCACAATGCAACCACCGCAGTTGCAGTTATGAGAGCATAGCAAAAAGAAAAGTGAAGGAAAAAGAAAAAAAAAACTCGAGCCATCAATCCCTGACTTGGTTACTTTGTCTTTGAGCTTGCTGTCAGTAGCCAGAAGAGCCAAGACTTGTAAACCCCATTTTCGTGTGTCTGGTTTCGAATAATGAGATGAAGCAAAAGGTCCAGAGACAAAGATGGTATTCGCACAGTTCACTTGAGCTAGCGGGCTGAAGACTATAGTACCTATCGTACCTCAACTGAAATAAAGAATACAAAAAAAAAAAGCGCCGACAAGATGGAGCACAAAACGTTGAAGGATTGGCCAAAGCGCGTACCTCCAACCCAATCAAGTCCCGCTCTTTTGTGCTCACAAAACACAATTGTGAAACACGAAAAGTGTTCCTGGCTGCAAGGACAAAGTACGTCCTATTAGACTTTATCCCATTTAGGGGGTCAGGACGGGGGAGAAATTGAGGGAGACGACAGGAAGGGAAGGCGAGTGAGTGTGGCGGACGAGGCACCCCCTTCAGCTCACAAAATGAACACTTCTTCACTAGTCCACCCATTCAACACTCCAACAACGCTTCAAATCAATCTCAATCATGAACCGGATCCGAGGGAGTAGAATGGGGCAGGGGAATGAAAGCTGGCGGCGGAGCTGTTGGTTTCCATCCTTTTACAAGGGAGCATTAACCGGTTGGCAACGCGAGCAACTTCAACAACAGGGACAAAAAAAGTCAAGTGTTCCAGTATGTATTCGGTATTTTGCCAATGAGAGTGGCTGCTTACTATTTATCCAGGAAATCCGATATGGGATGTGAGGCTGTTTAGTCGCATGGTCAGCTCTCGGACCGTACCCTCTAGGCGGTCATTGTTCAGGCGGAGCGTGTCAACCTCGGCTTGCATGTACTCGAAATCATCAACTGAGACATATTTCTTGGGGTCAATCGCTGCGGGCGCTCCTCCGAACGCCGCCGACGATGGAGAGACTGGTATATACTGGTTCGCGCTTGGGTGGAAGCGGAAAAGTTGATTAGGATCCATCGTAGCGGGTCGTGGCGCGCCATGGCTGTTGGCGTTGCTGTTGTTGGCTCCAGGGTACTGGATCGAATGAGGTCGTACTCCGTTAGAGAATGCCCCACCCTCCGGTGCGGCAGCGGCGTTGCTCATCGTAGGCGAATACGACGCAGGGAATGCCCTGGGGAACGCTTGGCTGGGCGAAGGAGGGGGTTGCGATGTCAACGACAGCGTCCTAGTATGTCCTTGACTGTGGATGCTGCCGATGCTTCCTCGGTGCTGCGCCTGCTGCTGATGCATAAAGATAGGAGAATCCACCATTTGTGTAGGACTGCCATTCGCAGTCGTATCCATGACAGGATGGGCATTGCTGGTTCGTCGCGATCCTGGCCCAGCGGGCTGTTCGTGATGTACGCTTGTCCGCTTGATAATCTTTTTGGGTGGCCGCTCGATCCTGTTGCCATCCTCGTCGTACTGAACTTCGTAGTCGTCGTCCTCATCATCTTCCTGCTCGCTCTTGTCTGCATCCCCGCGAGAATCACTAGGCAGTTCAAGCGTCAGTGTCCTGACTTGCTTTTCAATGCTAAACAGACACACGCCCACGATATCAAGCAAGAGAGGGGATGAAATCGTCAGAACTGGGGGGTTATTTTTCATGCAAAGTTAAGAATCATGCAGATGTAGCCTTTTTTTTGCGGGTTAATCTCAGTTTGTTACCTGGAGTTGGCATTGCGCATAGTCTTGATCTCCTCCTCCAGCTTTTGAATTCGGTCCGTCAGTCCGCGAAGCTCGATGGTAGTCTGCTCCCTCTCCTCCGAGACCTGCTCATCCAGCTGCTTCAATCCTTGGTCCACATCCAACTTCAGACTGTCGATTTGGTCGGCCATATCTTCAATCTCTTTGTGAATAATCTCTTGAGCCTCATGCAGGGGCAAGCTGTTCTCCTCCAAAGCAAGGATGCGCCCCTGAAGATATTGCAGCTTGATGGAAACGCGACCAAAAGCTTTCTGGATTTTGAGATTCCTGAATCGAAGCTGTTCCACACCCAAACGCGTATCGAGGGTCCTTGTACGGTATCCTCGCCTAAAGAGAATGCAAGTCGGTTATTTAATTGTTGATTTGACAAAGTACATCATGCGAACATGAAGGTAGGGGAATTGGGCAGAGAAACCTACCATCGGGCTTGGATGATTGTAGCTGCTCGCATGCCCTCCCGGTATGCACGAACTCTCTTCCGAACGAGCTGACTTCTGAAGACAGCCTGAAGCTTGACGGCTGCGATTGTATCCTTCTCGGCTAGATATCGGAGGATCAGTGTAGTGTTGTTATCTAGCATTAGTTCATGGCTTCATAGACGTACAGTTGTATACATCAACTTTCAATGTAGTCCACATGCTTTTGTCTTACCTCCGAGTTCCGCTGTGACCAAAAGCGATGCCTTTGGTGTACTGATCCTCTCGCAGCTCTGGTGAAGGTCTGCCCTTGTCAGATACTTCATCTTTTTGACTTGTCTCTTTGGGTTCTTGTGCCATGAAAACACCTGCTGCTTCTTGAGCTCCCGACGGACCTATATCCAAAATCAATTGAAAAGAGCGAAACAAATATGTCAATGATGCGTGACTTTTGGCATATTGCATGATGCTAGCCATCCTACATAAATCGGCTCCATGGAAATGAACGTACCAAACATCCTCTCCACCACGCCTGAATCAAAATGGTTGCTGGTTCATATTGTTCCACCTGCAATTGTACCAGCCCCCTCATGAACTTGCGCATCTCTCGGACTTGCTTCTGCAACTTTGACACCTTCAACTGCAGCACTGGGAAATCATCCTCACCTATGCGAAAAATGATGGCTCACATAAGGTTAGATAACTGCTAACATGCAATTTAATCTCATCCAAAGCAAGTCAAAGTGCCGGTCAATACCTTCGGAGTATTGTTCAAGGTACACTTGTTCATCTTGATCATCAATGGGAAAAAACTCTGTGGTAGAGTTGAGATACACCACTTCGTTCAAGTTGTGCTCCTGTTCCATCTGTGACGCCGACATGTGCGACCTCTGCTCCACATACGACCGATCCTGCTTGTGCGACAGTTGACTGGTATCTCGTTCGCTCTGCTCATAAAAAATGACTGGATCTCTGGCCATGCTACCGTTGGCCTAAATTACGAAGAACGTGCTGTTGGTGAGTCGATATGCAAAAAACAAATAGACCTTGCTGGAAGCAGCTGAAGTTATGCGGGTCTCGTCTCACTTACTTGTGTAGTCAAGTCTTCGGCATTGACTGACAGTTGACTTTGATTGAGAGAGCGGATATCTATTGTTGAGTAGGTCAATGGCAAGAAGGACAATTGCTCCATGATCAGACGAGCAATAAAACACCAATGTTCTACTGAGAAGGAATACCAACCCAGCGTATTTCCATGTCATAAAAGGTTAATATTACTGTCCATGAATGACCAGCAAAGGAGCCCCGTTAATACCTTCAGGGTGTCCAAGCAATCGAGAAGTGTTTGATGCGGATATCGTCTCCTCCTTTTCTAATTATTGATTATTTTCATGATTTATAAAGTTGAAAGAGTTCGTAAAACCGTCTTCGGTAGGTCAAGGAGACGAACGGGCAAGCAACCGGATAAAAAGCAATGAAAAAGAACAGACGCAGGCAAAAAGGTTGAGTCTTTTGAGCCGCAACAACCTGAGAGTCGCCTTTCTCGCTCACCTGTGCTGCTGGGCAAGGAGCTGTTGGCTGCTAACGGCGCCAGGCTCGCCGAGGAGACCGTAGTTGGTTTGGTAGCATCCTTGCTGAAAGTATCCAGCGACTCGATAGCTGAATCAGTTGTCATGGGTCCTCTGTCGTTGGTGGCGGAGGATGAGAAGGAGGTTTTTGAAATGTTGGATTCCGTGGCTGCTTGTTGGAGTTGTTTGCTCAGTATATCCACGGTAGGAGCAGTCGACGATGGTGTAAGGGTGAGGTTGACAGACGACTGAAGAAGGGAGTTGAATGAACAAAAAAAGGGATAACAAAAAAAAAAAAAAAAAAAAAGAGATCAAAGGGTAGGGTAAAAGGGTGAGTGGCCAGGGCAAAAAGAGCGGTGGTTTGATGGATGCACAGATTCATCACAAGGGCTTTCTGCTGGTTACGGTTGCTACTGCTACTGTATACTGTTGCTCACTATTGTTACTCCCTGAGCCCAAGTGTGCATTGTTGTTGTTTTGTTTTTCTCTTTTGTTTATGCCCTCCTTTTGTACTGCATGTTGCTGCACCAGTACCATGTGGTTTCTTTTTTTTGCAACACTCCTTATTCTGCATTTACCTGGCCATTGGACGAAGACCCGTCCCGAGGTACCTCGAACGCAGAGGTTGAACTGGCAAGGGACGCGATTGACTGTGCGCGTTGTGTCTGGACAAAGGATGATGATGAGGTGCGAGAAGAGGTCGTCGTAAAGATCTCTTTGGGGTGCGGTCGATTGCTGTTTGTGGCGGCGGTAGTAGTGGTGGTGCTACTCGAAGTCGGTGGGCGTTCATCCTTTTTCTTCTTGCTCGAGAAGAGTCCTTTGATACGGGAGCTCATGGTGAATGGAGAAAAGGCCGAGGGTGTGAGGATGAGGATGGGATTATGAAGAGCAAGGGAGAAAGAAGAGGGCAAGAGAGGATGAACAAAGAGCGGAGATGCTGCGTGGACTAGAGGAAAGCTTGCCAGTGAAAAGGGGGAATAAGAAGCCAAAAGGGAAGAGACCAAGTTGGAACTGTGCAACTGAGGAAATAATAAGGCGAAAATAGAGAGAGGGGGGAGAAAGGGGATCTTTTTTTTTTTGGGTTCTCTCGACGTTGGTCGCAATGGTGGTGGTGGTGGTGGTGGTGTATATGCGTGGATGAGTCCCTCTTTTGACTCCCACTGCCCCTTCCTCCACTTGCTCTCGTCAACACCTTTTTGTTTCCCAGTCGCCTTGATTTTCAACCGTGTGATAGCTAGGTGTCTGTCGCTTCCCATGGTATTCTTCCCATGCTCTCTATCGGTGTATCCCATCTTCCCGCCGAGCTCGAATTGCCACTAAAAATCAGGCACCATCAGTGCTCGCCGCTGATGGTTCCAGTCGGGGGTGTGACACGGATAGTCCATATCAGTGGCACACATCGATGGACCATGCCAGACATTTTACCAATAAAAAGGTGCATTGCCCCGATTGCCGTAGTAAAAAGCGCGTAGCTTTCTTTCGTAGATGTGCTGAAATAACCAGCTGGGCTATTCCCTGTGTTTGCGTGAGCTACGCCCTCCTCCACGTCGAATAGCCGGTCTCAAATAAATCGGAGCGCGTGCATGTGTTGCTTGACTCTGTCTCTCTGCCGCTGCCCATTTTTGATGCCGCACAAAGTGAACAAAGTGGGGGCGAGTGGCAGCCGAGGCAAAGTAACACACACATATACAAACACTCTTGGACAACTTCGGATCCTTTTTTACCTCTTTCTTCACTCTCTCACTCTCTCACTCTCACCCTCTCTCATTACACCCCGCAACTTTCCACTCCACTCTTCATTCCCTTTCAATACTTCACTCACACCCTAGACCATCAGCACCAAACAACCATGTCAGGTACCACACAGCCAGTGTCGCGATTGCCATTCTGTGCAACTTGACACTTCACATGCAACCTGCATGCAACGCCACTCCACAACCACCAACAAACGATAACTGAAATGCTTTTCCCAATCCCCAATCAACCCACACTAGGCTACAACTCTGTCTTCAAGAAAGACCTGTTCAAGGACGAAGTTATCCTTGTGACCGGAGGAGGCACCGGTAAGAACAAAAAACCTATCGACAATCCTCACTCCACACTACTTGAAAATGAAAATAATCTCCGCCCTGGAGAAGTATTCTCTTGTTTCGGTTCCTGAATAGCCGGGCTGATCGATCGGTACCTACGCAACCGTTTGCAAGCATACTGACATTGGTTCTTTGATCGCTTGGTCGTCTTTCGCATTAGGTATTGGTCGTTGCATTGCACACGAGTTGGCAAGGTAAACGAGCATGCATTGCCACGGCTAATGATCATTCAAACATCCGGGATTTATCAATCGCCCCTTTGAAGTTTCCCAAAAGTTCATGTATCCACACCCTATTCACGCAATGCCTTTCTGATTCCGTCTTTAGTCTCGGCGCCACTGTCGTGATTGCTGCCAGAAAGAAGGACCAATTGACCGCTGTTGCCGAGGAGATCCACAAACTCGGCGGCAAGTGCGATACCATGCAGATCAATATCCGTGACCCTGTCAAGGCACTGGAGATGATCGAAGCCATTGTTGCCAAGCACGGCAAGTTGACCTGCCTCGTTGTAAGTGCCCAATCATGAATGTGAATCTAACTAAGTGCTAGCAGGGATAGTTACAATATTAGCGGGAAGGCAGATCCTTACCCATTCCCTCTTTTAACTGTTGCACCTTTTTCGTAGAACAATGCCGGTGGACAGTTCATGTCGCCTGCTAGCATGTTGAGTTCCAAAGGATTCTCTACTGTCGTCGACTTGAACCTCAACGGGACTTTCAACATGTGCAAGGCTGCCTTTGACGGATACATGGGCGAGCACGGTGGGCGGATCGTCAACATTGTCGCCGAGTGCCGCAACGGCTTCCCTAGAATGGTTCACACCGTAAGGACTTCCCATTTACTATCGTTGCGAATCAGTGTCGGAGTCGTGAAAATTGTGCTGCCTCTCATTCATTTTCTCCTCAAATTTATTTGAAAACGTAGGGTGCTGCTCGTGCGGGTATTATTAACATGACCAAGACATTGGCAGTGGAATGGGGACCATTCAACGGAATCCGTATCAACTGTGTGGCACCTGGAACCATCGTCAGTTCAGGAATGAAGAACTACCCCGAGAATGTCATCGACATGATCGCCGCCAACGACTGGATGGTAAGAAGAAACCCATGGTCGAAATATTTTACGCGTCTTCTTTTTGCTTTCCATCATCAAAATCATGCTGACCACCGTTTCATGTGTTCTAACGGTAATAGAGCCCCACCGGACGTTTTGGTACCGAGTCGGAGATTGCCGCCAGTGTGGTCTTCTTGCTCTCACCCGCTGCCGCTTACATCAACGGTGTCAACTTGGCTGTTGATGGAGGTAGCTCCCTTAGCAAGGGCTTCCCTGAGGGACACGAGCTTGCCTTCAACCCTGATGGCAGCTTGATGCCTGCCTATGTTGGTTGGCCCGAGGGCAAGGACAATGTTCACAACCTCAAGCATGTTGATGCTCCCGTCAAGGTCAACGAGCTCTTGGACAAGTACAAGAAGAGCAAGCTGTAAAAAAGGCGACATATGCCTATTTTCTACCTTCTCCATGGGATGTATCCCATAAGAACCCTGTTTATAGATTACGATGCTGAGTAAAAAAAAAAGTTGAAACGCCTTCAGTAACAAGAGCTCTGTTTGTTCGCAAGTTTTTATTTTTTTGTTGCAATTTCAGTCGGAAAATGATAAATGTTGTCCGTACGAGCGTAGATCGATTTTTTTTGTTCTGCAATGTCCGATGAAGCGATTTAGGACGACTCCTGCTTGACTTCCAAATGAGCTACCACGTCGGCCAAGTGACCAAACTCCTGGAGTCCAATGGGGCGGTTGGTGGTTACTTCTAAAAATGACAACGCGAAAACAGGGGGGACAAGTTAGTATGATACCAGCGGAAATGCGGCACAGCCCTATTGTCCACTCTGCGCCAATTCGTGTTCACAAAAGGGGCAAGTGCTTACCAGGTGCCTTGGGGTACAGCAGTCCCGTTGATGCATCGTATCTCCATCCTCGGGTGGCGACCAGTTCTAAAGGAATGAAAGTACAAGAAAAGAATAAGAGGGTTGTTCTTGCACGGAACTCCAGCGAAAATTTGGACCGTTTTTGCTTAAAAAAAGCTTACGTTCTGCCGCAGTATCCTCATTGAGCCAGATGCGCGATGCTGCCAACTGGACGGGGAGAGACGTGTACGCCTTCGCCAAGAGGTCCAACTCCCTGTTCTGAATCGAATCTACAGTTGACAAAAGTAAAAGCACATTGGCGTTATGTTAATATCTCCAGGGGTATTCATCAAAGTCCAAGGTTTCTGACAACACAAGCCTCGTTGTACCTTGAAGAATAGCAATTAATGGTGCCAAAGTTGAGTTCCAGCGAGACTGGTGTAAGAGTTTGTAGATATCCTTCAAGTTTCCGTTCTGTCGCTCCCACTGTCGCAACAACTCCAAGACCTGAATCAATACCGCCAACTGGGAAGACTCTGACTTTGTGACCTCGGGGATGCGAGACACAAGGCTTCGTGCAGAGTACCTATGGTAGTAAAGTTGATGACAATAGCAAAGCCAGGTAAGTGAGTCTCCGTACCAATTGGTAGCAAGCCTTGAATGCAATATTATTGTCCTGAGTAACGACGTCGTTCAAAGTATCCATGCTAAGGCGATCGAATCATGGTTCTGGAAACAGTCCCACTGGCACTTTGCTTGTCGCCTGGGAACTTACAGGTCATACGCCACCAGGTATGAGGCCAACAGTGGCTCGTAAATTGTGTTCATGGGAACAGCCTCGATCTCGATGGCAGAAACCTATACTCGCGCCATTATCAAAATAAAGCACATGTGTAAGTCCTTGTTCTGCGTTGGTCACAGGCTGCAGACTGGGGGGTCGAAGCGAATGGTTTACCTGGAATTCAAGTAGCTCGTAAAGAGGAATGAGGTCCTGGTAGCGTCCAGTCTTGATGCAGACGTCAGCCTGCTCGATGAGTCTCTGTGCGGTTGACATCCTGTGTGTGTGTTGTTGGTGTCGTTGTTGTCCTTTGTCCGATGTTGTGAGGTGGTGGTGGTGTCGTTGGAGAAAGAGGGAGGGGAAGAGAAGGAAAAAGCACGAACGAATACTGCGCGACGAAACTGACTTTTGACGGCGTACGCGCCACCACCCATCGCCATTTGCACACGAAAGCAGTCCGCCTTCTCTCTCTCACTCTCTCATCTCCAAGTAAAAGTGATCACACCTGGACATCGCTCTCTTTTTCTTTCCTTCATTGCAGCTACAAGTAGCACCAACGCAGGACTCAAGCAGGACCCAAGCCAAGCAGGAGATAATTCACAGGACGAGGAAGATGATGCATACAATGTACAACTACTGTCCGCGGGATGGTCGCCCATTCAGAGAAGACGAGCAGATTTGTCCGCTCTGTGATTTTCAAAGGTACAGGAAGTTTCTCGTTACCTTTCGCTACGACGGACTAATTGCCTCCATCGAGCACTATCTAACAGATATAGTTTCTCGTATCGAAATATTTCATAGAACAATAGAACAGGTATGCTGGACACTGGACGCACAACATTGGTGACTACGGGTGTCGAATTGAGCCGCATGCTAACATAGGCGACCATCCATCAATGGAACATAGGGCCCGAGCACTCGCCCTGGAATACCTCTGCCTCCCAGAAAACCATGGCGGAAACTTTTATATGTCAAGCAGGACTACCCCGATAACTACGTCGACGATACATTCCTGGAGGAGCTGCAAAAGAATGGTATGAAGTGTGCCGGCCCGAAAACCATTGTGCTTACAATACATCATAGATCTAATACGACTCTCCACTCTCAACCCCGCCACTGCTAGCCAATGTACGGCACTACGAGTACTGGTCGGTCGTACTAGAGTCCACCATCATCGGTCAACATATCTCGTCGATCGTCATCTTTGTCGCCATCTTCATCTATCTCTACCTGGGAATGCTCAGCTCACACGCCCTAATCACCATTGGAACCGCTGGATCGGCAATTGGTTATGGCTTCTGGGATTGGAGCAACACTATGCTGACCCCCGACTCCAACTTCCAAAGTAAGATACCAGATACCCTCAGTGAACACTGCGGAGCAAATTCAAGGATCGGCGCTAACAAGTGTGCATCTCCTTTCCATTCGTGTATGTGCATTATTTGGGCTATAGGAAGGAAGATATTCAAAGGAGCAGCACTCTTCTTCTTGACACTTCTGGGACTTACTCCGATTCTCAAGACATTGACAGAAAAGACATCAGAGGATACCATCTGGGCGTTGACAGTGATCCTATTTCTAGCCAACTTGGCCTTTCACGACTATGGGAGCGGGAACCGACGCAACATCAAATACCCAGGATCCCTCTCGACCAATGCAGCCATTTTTGCGTCTGTGGTCCTGGCATCACGCTTCAAGACCAACCTGCATGTCTTTGGACTCATGTCCTTTGCTGTTGAGTGGTTCGCTCTCTTTCCAATGCTTCGGCGGCAAATCCGGGTACGTGTCTTTTTGGCAGCCTTGACGCACTGAAAATGATGTCGCGAAAAGAAGCAAATCTCTAATATCGTTTTCCTTTTCTTTTTGCACTTACAGAGTATATCCAGCAGAGGAAACTTGGCGCTGACGATAGTCCTATTCTTGACGGCGACGACATTGTTCAGTCAGATTTCACCGGCCATTGTCGTCATCTACATTCTAGGCATGATATTCTTGACCTTTGTCTGCCCATCCTGGCTCATTTGGATCCAGCGCTACAAAAAGTACGTTTGAGAGTGTTGCTTGGGAATGAGCTATCAGAGGAAAAAGATTCTGATTTTGAGTACCTACTAATATTCTAACCACCTTTTTTCATTCGTTCCTAGTGAGATTCATGGTCCCTGGGACGAGGCGAGACCCAAGATTCTTCATGGCCGGTCGTTTGACTACAATTAAAGAGGCGCAACCAGTCGGCAACCTTAGAGCACATCGTATCAATAATAGCTGTTGCCTTCTTCATGATAATACACACCATACTGCAACCACTCAAGTAGAAGTCTCGAGAATGCTGAGGATGGGAAAGCGTGTATGCTCATAAAATGACGTCGCATGGGACATTTTGGTGGCGAAATTTCTTTTTTTCCGTTGTTCCTGAAAATGCGCTACGGTCTCACTTCTCTCTTTTTCTCTTCTTTCTTTCTTTCAACCCTTCACCAACTCCACTTCTCCCATTCCTCCCGCGGACACAGCCACAATCCAACACTCCTCACTCCCTACTTCACACTCGACCATGGTTTTGATAGTGCCATCCAGTTACCCGGGTACTTTCTCACTTCAGCAGCAAACAACCCTCGCAACACCAGCAAAAGGAACATCACCTCGACAGACAGCGACCGACTAACCTCTCCATTTTTCCCTTCTGTTCTTCCACCTTTCAACAGTGCAGGGAATCTTTTACATGTTTGCACACCCCTCACTCTTCAAGAACCTCATTTGCCCCATCTTCGTAACCATCCTCTGGGGAATCGCAGTCTTCATCTTTGGATTCGCATACCTCCTCAAACTCCAGGCTCACGCATTGATCAGCGTCAACTGTCCCGCAGCAGTTGCATGGTAAAAAAAAAAAAAAAAAAAAAAAGGGCTGTTCTTGTTTTCACTGTCTGTGCATGGAACAAGGAAGAGCAGAATAGGGCGTTACTCATTCAACACCAGTACACCGACAAACACACACCACAACATTAGTCAAATGCTAACGCTCATTTCGAATTCAACGCCCTCCCTTCCCCAAAAATAGGATCGTGTGCATCATCTTTGTTTTGCTTGAGGTGGCTGTCCTCTCACTTCTCTTCTACCTTATCATTCTTCCCATCTATGAGGACAGCTTGTTCGACCGCACTTTGAAGCTGCGTGGGTTGCGCCACGTTTTGAAGGCAAACGAGGGCAATGATATGGCAAAGTGTATGCGGGGCGTTGGAGGAGGGTTGTGGATTCTTCTCTTCCAGGTGAGTGAGTCGTCCTCTTTGTTTGTATATATATATGTGTGTGTGTGTTCTCACTCAGCCTCGTTTCGTTTCGAGTCCAGAACGTTTCCTTTTTGTATATTACATTCCCGCTTGACCAATGCTCTCTTTTCCTTCCTTCATGGCGGTTGGTTCTTCCGCATGTGTTGGATGTTGGCTTGTGTTATTTTCTAACAAAGTGACACAGAAAAAGCAGAAGACACATATTTCGGGAACCGCGTGTGGCTGAACAGCGGGAATCCCAACAATAAACCAACAGGCATGCGTTGCTAACTCGTTCTCCCGCCTTGCAACTCCATGAAATAGATCTTGGTCCTTGTTCTCACTTTCCCAATCAACCTCATCCCAATCCTTGGACAGGTTATCTTTATCGCCATCAATGGCTGGGTATTAACTTTTGGCTACCGTTTCCATTACGATGCCGAGATTCGCAACATCACCGTTCTGCAATCCCGACGCGAGGCATGGGCAAGAAGAAGTGAATACAGTCAGTAAGTGACCTTCCGCTTATTTACCTCTTGATTTGCAAAGGTAGAAATGTCGGTGATTGCAATGGAACATGGCAAAGTGGCCTGACCACTCCTTCTTCATATGTGTTTCTATAGGTTTGGATCAACAGCATTTGGCTTGCAGATGATCCCCCTCGCCAACCTATTGTTTGCATGGACTAACATTGTCGGCTGCGCTCTTTGGGTTGCGGACGAGATTGAGAGAGACGAGTCATGTCTTCAAAGCGAACAGCCATCGCATAGCCTCATTGGACCTGACAGCCAAACAGGCACCCCACTACCCGCCCCCTACCAGCCCGGCACCCAATACCCACCTCAGCAGTTTCAGCAAAACCAGCAACAATATCCCATGAAGCAGCAGTCCTACCCACCTCAGGGTCCACCAGCTGGAAGTCCTTATTCTCAACAAGGGTCAGTCAGGATACCCCCCAAGGACAAGAAGCAAACTGGCCTTGAGTATTAAGGAAATACCCACTGGAATAATAAAAGAATAGAGACTCCGTTTGGGGTTTGAGTCAATGTGTGCTTGCAAACCAACGTAGCTTGGACAGTTTTTGGCAAAAGTGGTTTTGTTTCCTGCACCTGTCTGTTTGCCGCATCGCTTGTTGTGAAAACTTGAGCCCGATCTTTGTTCCCATCCGTATCCTTTGTAATCTTTTCTTCTGTCCATCCATCTTGATCTCCACAGGTGCACTCCGCACTTTCTCTTTTCTCCCACATGCTCGTAGCTCCGATCTGCGCGGGCGCTGATTGATTTGGGGGGGGGGGGGACTTGCATCAGATGGGATGGTGTCAGTTTTTGGTGGCGCAGAATGAATCGATGCTGCCATACTTAGGTTCCTTTTTGTTTTCCCGGGAGGTGAAAGTGGATAGGGAGAGGGAGAGGGGAGAGACAAGACAAAACCGGCCATCTGAAACTCAAACCGAAATCCGCTGCTGCCGTTCATTGTGCGATGCCTTTTCTTTTTTTTTTTTTTTTTTTTTTTCGTTGTTATTTGTTGGTGGAGAACTTTCTTTTGCCCGTTCTTTTTTTCCACTTTTTTCGTCCCCTTTTTTTTCTTTCTTCATTTCGTTTCTTTCCATAATCGACCTTCACTCTTCCCTCTCCCTCCTTCGACAAGTTGCACAACACATCCCTTCCTCTTCCTCCACTCTCCCTCTTTCCTTTTTGATCAGACTCAACGCTTTTCCCCACTCCTCACTCCATCTCGCTCTTTGCAGAGCATCTATTATTGCATACCAAACACAAGGAAATATAGGACATTCAACACTGTCCACTCTCTATTATGTCGTCCTTCCCTAAACATTCCTTCGAACAGGCTTACGACCATGCCTTTCCTCCTAGCCCTGTTCAACCTGCAGCCCTCGCCACCATCTCCGAAAGATCTCCTTTAATCTCCAAGGCCCCCCTCACAGCAGGATCCTCATCGAACGCAAACATCAGCAGGGATACTCTCCATCCAGGCAACTCTTATACCTCGAACGACTCTTCTACATCCTATGTCACTGCAAAGTCAAACACTCTTGCTGAAACTGATGCCCTGCTGGAGCATGAATTGAACAACGGCCGTGGTGACCATCTTTATCCTCAACAGCAACTGCAAGGGCGTTATGGCGATAGTGTGTCGATTCGCAGCAACTCTGCCTTTGTGACAGCTCGGGAACTGACAGCTCGAGAGTTCAAGATCTTGCTCAAGTACTCTGGCCCCGTTGTGCTTACATATGTCCTCCAGAACTCGATGCAGATGGCCAGTTTGATCTCTCTTGGACATTTAGGTTCCATTGGTGAGGATGGCAGAAGATAACGTTACATGCATGTCATGTGTCAGTTGTTTGCATCAACGTTGTGGAAAAAAAAATCTTTTCGCACAACACAACAGGGCTAACCCACTTTTTTTTTTATTTGTATCGGATCCAATTAGAATTGGCGGCATCGTCGCTTGCCTCGATGTTCGCTGCAGTTACCTGCTGGTCGGTCTCCTTGGGTACAGCCACGGCGCTCGACACTCTCTGCTCCCAATCCTTCACCAGCCACCACCCCCACATGCTCGGCATTCACCTCCAGCGCGCCATCCTCGTTCTCATGCTCCTCTTCATCCCCATCTCAGGCGTCTGGCTCTCCTCCGAACACATCTTCTCTCTTCTCGGTCAGGAACCAGAGCTTTCTCGCCATGCGGCTCTTTTCTTGAAGGGTTTGATGCCCGGAGCACCAGCCTTCTTGATCTTTGAGTGCGTGAAGAAGTACTTGCAGGCTCAAGGAAACATGCACGCCAGCACCTACGTCCTCCTGATCGCCTCACCCATCAACGTCATCCTCAACTATACCTTGGTCTGGAACAAGTACATCGGTATCGGATACATTGGAGCCCCCATCGCCACCTCGATCTCTTACTGGAACATGCTGATCCTGTTGTTGCTATACATTCGCTTTGTCGACGGAAGTCAAGGATGGGGCGGTTGGAGTCGCGACGCTTTTACTGGTTGGCCCACTTTCTTGAAGCTCGCCATCCCTGGTGTGATGATGGTGTGTACCGAATGGTGGGCATTCGAGGTCGTTTCACTGGCCGCTTCATACCTCGGAACTATCAATTTGGCAGCTCAGTCGGTTGTCGTCCAGACCTCGTCATTGCTCTACACCATCCCCTTTGGTGTCTCGATCGCCGCCTCGAACCGTGTCGGAAATTTGATTGGTAAGGGTGATCATCGTTCGGCCAAGATTGCCAGTCGAGTTTCGCTGGTCTTGGCGATCATCTTTGGGATGTTCAACTCGACCATGTTGTTGATTCTCAAGGACAGCTGGGGTCGTCTCTTCAGTGACGATGTGGATGTCGTCAAAACTGTGGCCATGATTCTCCCTCTGGTGGCGCTCTTCCAGATCAGTGATGGTATTGCAGGTGTTGCCGGAGGTGTCCTTCGCGGTGTCGGTCTTCAGCATTTGGGTGCCTACCTCAACTTGATTGCCTACTATATCGTCGCTTTCCCTATCGGATATATTCTCACGTTCAAGTTGGACTATGGATTGAGGGGTCTCTGGTATGCGTTGTGTCTTGCTCTGTGGATGGTTTCTGCTGGAGAGTTCTGGGTGATTGTCAAGACGAATTGGCCCAAAGAGGTGGAGAAGTGCAAGGCCCGCAATGATTTGTTGGCCAGGCGGCGGGCTTCTCTCCAGGCTGAGATTGACGCTGAGTTCCCTGAGGCAGGACATTCCCACTCTGCTTAACATACTTTCGTAACACAACAAAATACCTCTAGCATTGTCCATTTTACTTGCATAAAAAAACCTATTATCAAAGTTGGTGGCGCTCAATGGCTGATGTGACGTCACACTCGCCTCAAACGGATTGAGGATCTGTTAAATGATGCTACTACGCCTTTGCCTCTTGACCTACATCAAAGCGCCTCTACACATCACATCAACACAGACAGCATGGATAAACGCAAGGAACCACCAACATCAGAGGGCGTGCTCATCAAGCGTCAGAAGCCAGACGACAACACACCATCCAATGCCGTCACCATCCAAACAAAGGGTTCCAGCGGCGCCCTTATCCAAACGGTAATGACCTTCTCCACCAAAACACGAAGGGCAACCATGTAAAAGGCAGAGAAAGGAAGCTCACTCGAGCTCTTTGGACCTACAGTGTTCGCTTCTGAAGCGTTGACATAATATACCCTTGTCCCAGATCATGGAGGGCGACCATGTGGACACCATGACCGTTCTGAATCAAGTTACTGATCTCTTTTTTTTTTTTTTTTTTGTTTTTTTCGGGGGCTTTTTGGCGCGTTTGAATTTTTATGGTTGATATATAGGTCAAGAGGACGTCGGCGTTGAAGGCTCCCATTATGTTGTTGCAGGGCCAGTCAGCAGAACTTTATACTTGCAAGTTCAGTCCTTCAGGAGAGCATATCGCATCAGCTGGCGCTGAGAAGAGCATCTGTACGTTTTTTTTGTCAGGAAACACAACATGTTACACTCACGCACACACTGTATACAACAAAAGATTAGAACCAGACTCGGCGCTAACATCATAGATCTTTTTTGTTGCACATTGGGGGATTAGATCTTTGGAACACATATGGAGACTGCACCAACTTTGGAATCATCAAAGGACATACTGGAGCTATTCTGGAGTTGCATTGGTCAAGAGACGGAAGGTATAGTCAAAAACCAAGAACGTCAACATCACAAATGAACTGGGAAAAAAACACCATCGGAAGCAATGCATCCGACCAACGTATCATGAGTAACACTAACGCTTTTTTAAACGGCGACTTCCCATTTCATGGACAAAAACGATAGCATGATCTTTACAGCAAGCACAGACAAGTCTTGTGGCGTTTTTGATGTTCAGACAGGAGAGAGAATCAAGCGGTTCAAGGGTCACACATCCTTCGTTAACAGCTGCTCGCCAGCCAGACGTGGACCAGAATTGCTTGCCAGTGGATCAGACGATGGCTCTGTCAAGGTATGCCAATTGTGGAGCTCTTTTTATCCGGACCTGGGTTTGCAAGAAGATGCTTCTAAGAAATCTACGGCGTGTAGCTAACCATGGCGTTCATGATCATGTTACATATAGATCTGGGATCTGCGTGCAAAAAATGCGGTGGAGAGCTTTGATTCACAGTATCAGATTACATCAGTCTCGTTCTCGGATGCAGGCGATCTGGTGTTTGCAGGAGGTATCGACAACAACATTGCAGCCTGGGATATGCGCAAGAAGAGTGTAGCGTACTCGCTGACAGGGCACATGGACACTATCTCGGGTCTCAGTTTATCACCCGACGGAAACCAGCTGCTGTCGAATGCAATGGACAACACAGTCAGGATGTGGGATGTCAAGCCGTTTTCGGCGACTGGAAACCGGATGCTCAAAGTGTTTGAGGGAGCACCTCATGGATTTGAAAAGAACTTGATCCGCCCTGCCTGGTCCAAGGATGGTGCCATGGTTGGAGTTGGAGCAGGTGACCGGACGATGGTCATCTGGGACACCTTGACGCGCAAGATTTTGTACAAGTTGCCTGGACACAAGGGATGTGTCAACGAGGTCGACTTTCACCCCAAGGAGCCTATCGGTAAGTCTATGTGCTGTTCAAGCGATTCTTGGAGACTTTGCTTGAAAAATTTGGTTTGTCAGGGTTTCTTTGAGCCTTTTACCAATAATTAATGGAAGGTCTCCACGCTTGACTAACACGTTTTTATGATCTGTTCTCACAACTGTGTTTATGTAGTGGTATCCTGCAGCACAGACAAGACAATGTTCCTTGGCGAAATCAACCCTAGCAAGTGAGCGCAAAGAAACACAACGTAACAACAACAAGCAAACAAAGAAGAGAATAACGATTGGTATGATCGCAAAACAACACCCCTTGTCCTCCACCGGCGTTTGTTAATATCGTTTCTATGTTATGTTGACATTGTTGCCATTGTTATTTCAGATGGTGATGTTGATGAGAATGGATAGTGTTTCAAAGGTTGAACCAACACGGTTGTATGAAACACCCTTGTGTTCATTTCCAGGTGTCGGCGAATGATTCCCGTGGTTATTTAAGTTGCGGACACACACATTATATACATGTATACTTCGAAAGACCGAATTGAAAGAATAGAAACCCAGCTTGTTCTCCCAACAGCAAACAGCAAAGCAAACCAGCCCACTTCAAGCCCACATGTTGCACTCAAAATTCCACAAAAACGTGAAAATCCATGCCTACCTTCCCCCTTTTTCTTCATAAACTGTCGATGGGAGGGAAGAGAGAGAAGCGAGATGCATAATCATCAGCTCGAAGAGGTCATAGCCACGGCACGCCCTCTCATCCCTTCTTTTACTCGTGTTATGCTTTTGAATGTTTGTGTGATGAGGACCCAATGGAGGAGAGGAATTCGATTGCTTTTTTGTTTATGTTACGAATTCCAGGAACAGGGAGAGAGAAGAGAAAAAACCAGCTGCTTTTTGGGCGGAAAAAGTATGGATTCTTATTGGTCGAGATTATGGTGGCACAACAGACGAGAAAAAAATACACACACACAGACACACAAAAAGGTGGCAAAATAACAACCTTCTTTTGTCATTTTTCATCCATTTATCCATGTTTATGAATTTTATGAGCCGATGGTGGTACCATTGCCCCATATACCTCTGTGGATGGGGTTGAGAGGTGGGAGAGTGGATGTCATCCTTTGTCTTGATCGATTTTGCCTCTTTGTCCGATTGTCCGAAAACCAGTATAATCCCCAACTCAAAAAAAAAGGCGTCCTTTTTCAGTTATCTTTATTAATTTTGTTTTTTGAGAGTTGCTGATTGGGGAGCGCATCAAGCGGATGACGGAAAAGGTGGATAGGAATTGTGGATTGTTCCTCGTTGTCCGACGAAGGAGATGAGGTACCACAGGCACGGGGGGATAGTTTGGCCAGTTAGGCAGTTTGCTATACCCCAATACCGTCCTTTAGAATTCTGTTTCAGGGCCCATCTGCTAGTCATTCAGGTCAGTCATTCAGGTTAGTAAGGTAGTCAGTCAGGATGGCCGGTCACCCGGCCGGTCGGTTGGTCGGGTCTATCAGAAGGCCGGTCAGTCAGCCAGGTCACTCAAACTTTGGCAATAAAAAAAAAAGGACGGGCAAGAGTAAGATATAAAAATAAAGGGGAAGAAAGGGAGGGGGGGGGGGCATGATTAGAAAAGAAGTAAGGGATCTCGAGGTAAAGCTATTCCTAGGATGAGGAAAAAAAACGTATGATGTTCAGGGAAGTATGCAAGGTCGACAAGGATGGATTTAAAAAAAAAAAAAAATCACTGTAAGACAAAAAGTTGACATAAACCTCGGAGGTGGCACCCAAAAAGGTTGGTCCATTGACTTTTGTCGTACATATTGTACGTTGCAGCTTGCAGGCATAAAAGTACTTTGTTGTACCAGGCGGCGATGGGGTGATGGCGACGGCGTTGAGAGCGGAGGTAAAAGGCGGGAGGTGTTGGTGTTGCTGACGGTGGGAAAGACGATGAAAGGGTGAAACCATTACTGGAGTCTTTTTGTTGTTATTTTTTCACGGGTCTACTGACTGTTGGGCAGACAGACAGACAGGCGGAGAGAAATGAAGAGTTCATGGCTGATTTTATTTCGGATTGCCGAGATGACTATCCACAGCCCAGGTAGGGGCAACTGCAGAAAAAAAGCCAGCAAGCAGGAAGAGGAGAAGTGCAGGACAGGTGCGACCAACGAACGATATGCAGGCTTGTTTTAGACACAAGTCAAAAGTGAGCAAGGCGTGTGGGCAATTGAAAACGAGGGATTACAGGCGATGACGGCTTTGGTGGATATTTTTCATTTATTATCTCTTGCCAAGAATACAACAGGCAAGAGAGAGAGGGAGAGAGGGAGAGAAAGAGAGAGAGAGAGAGACGAGGGAGAACAGGGATTAGGAGATGGCGACTGGGATAGACGAGGGTGAGGAATGAAGGAATAATGGGCTACGGGGCAGGTAGAAAATGGAAGAATGGGAACCAGGCCGGAGAAATGAAGACATGGATGCAAAAGGGGCGAGGCAGGCATTGAGGGATAGGTTGGATGAGAGAGAGGAGAGGAAAGGAATACATATCAGATTCGTCTTCCTGAATTGGCGGAAGTGAGCAGCAGCGAATTGGAGCGAGTCAATTCTATTTTGAATAAACTACTTTTTCAAACAAAGCAGCAACCAGGAACGATCTCTCTTACTCTACAGTACTCGACCCACTTGTCCCTGTGTGTGAATTGTTGGAGGTGCGTCTTTGTTTGTTTGTTTGTTTGGCGCTCTTGGCGGGATTAGGTTGTCTCTGGTTGGTTGGATGATACGGTTGGCTGTAATCTTGTTTCTTTTCCTTTTCTTTTCTTTTTTTCTCTTGCCCTGGACTCTTCCTCCGCTTCTAGAGCCTTTTTATTTTTCGAAATACCCTCGCCCTTTTTCACTCTTCCCTTTTTCTTTTCTCTTTCTCTTCTCCTTCTTCTTCTTCTTCTTCTTCACCCTCTTCCTTCTCTTCCTTATCTCCCCCTCCTCCCCCTCCTTTCCCTCCTCTCCGTTTCTCTTCCTTCTCTTCTTCCTCCCCGTCCTTCTCCCCCTTCCCCCCCCCCCCCCCTTCCTTCCTCCTTGTGCTTCGATTCGTTCTCTCCCCCCTCCCTAGGTCATCCCTTCATCATCTTCCATCATGCCACCAGAGTCGACCTACGTCGAGCCCCAGACCAAGAAGAACGTCATCTCAAAGTCGCAACTCGAGGCGAGATGCAAGGCCGGTGAGATCCTCATCGTCGTCAACCAAAAGGTCTACAAGCTCGACAAGTGGATCAAGCATCACCCCGGTGGACAACTCGCTATTCGCCACTGCATCGGTCGCGACTGTACGGACGAGGTCAAGGCGCTCCACCCAAACTATGTGCTCGAAAAGAAAATCAAGTACTTTGAGATTGCCGACTATCTCCCCAGGGATTCCGACCCAGAGTTTGCACCCATCCTCGCTTCGCGGTCCAAGGAGGAGATCTTTGCCGCCCAGGAGGCCATCTACTCCAAGGCCTACCGCCAACTCGAGACCCGTCTCAGGGACCAGCAGCTGTTCGAAACCAACTACATCAACTATGCCTGGGAGTTCTCGCGCTATCTGACGCTTTTCACAATGGCAATTGTCCTCAACCTCTACGGAACCTGCACGATGCACTACATAGCATCTGCTCTCTGCATGGCCATGTTCTGGCACCAAGTCTCTTTCTTTGCCCACGACGCCGGTCACAACTCGATCACCCACAGTCTCAAGATCGACAACGGAATCGGTATCTTCTTGGCAGACTTCCTCGGCGGCCTCTCGATTGGATGGTGGAAAAAGTCGCACTACGTCCACCATATTGTCACCAACCACCCGGTCCACGACCCCGATATCCAGCACTTGCCCTTCTTTGCCGTGACGACTCGCATCTTCAAGGGCTTCTTCTCATCCTACCATCAAAAGGAAATGGTCTTTGACAGGGCGTCCCAGTTCTTTGTCTCGTACCAGCACAACCTTTACTACCCCGTCATGATGCTCGCTCGCTTCAACCTCTACGTCCAGTCGATGATCTTCTTGGCCACAGAACCCGTCTACCCTTACCGCAAGCAGGAGATATTCGGTCTCTGCGTCTACTGGACCTGGTACATTTACTTTATCAAGCAGCTCCCCACCTGGAACATGATCATCGCCTACGTCTTTATCTCGCACATGTTCACCTTCATGCTCCACATCCAGATTACGCTCTCGCATTTTGGCATGTCGACCGAGGAGTTGGGCGACTCCGAGTCCTTTGCCGCAAAGATGCTCCGCACCACCATGGATGTCGACTGCCCAACCTGGCTGGACTGGTACCACGGCGGTCTCCAGTTCCAAGCCATCCACCATTTGTTCCCACGCATGCCCCGCCACAACCTCCGTAGCGCCCAGCCTTTTGTCAGAGAGTTCTGTGACGAGGTCGGTCTGACCTACCATATCCATGGATTTGCCAAGGGTAACAGTATCGTCTACTCTGCCCTCAAGGATGTCGCCGATCAGGTCGGCTTCTTTGTCGAGGTCGCCAAGCATGAGGCCAAGGAGTATGTCGATGCTCAAAAGATTGTCCTTCCTGAGATCAAGAAGGATTTGTAGATACACCAAAAACTCATCGAGATCTCAGCGGGAGTAATCCACACCCACCAACAACCACAACAACAGTCATAGCAACAGGAATGGGGCGAACCGATAGGGGGAAACAGGCGATACCAAACAAAACAGGATGGATTGACTATCCCCGGCACCATTTCAATCAGCAACAACAACAACATCTGTCATTTTCTTTATTCTCTTTTTTTTTTCTTATCACTTTGCAACAATAAACAATACAGCCGATACCCTCATTAATAAGTTGCTTTTGAAACCATCCTATGAACACTCACAATGATAAAAGCCAAGGACGGAAGGGAGGAAGTCGAAGAAGGGGACGCGCGGACTAAAATGACTGAAGGCGGACGAAAAAAAAAAGAAAGGAGAAGCGGGAGAACCAGCCAGCCGATGGGTGACAGACAAAAGTGCGGACAAGTCTCTCTGCAATTTTGTAGACCAACATCTATTTTTGACATGGGAAGTCCAGCCCAATAGCCCAAAACACACAAAGCAACACAACAACACCCATTGTACCGCAGCCCCTCACTTGGACAAAGTGGGATGATACCCTTCCAAGATTCCGGTTTGTTCGGCCCTTTCGGCTGTTCCCTCTGTTCAGATGAAGGGAGAAGGGCCTGGCTCACAATTGTTTTCTTTTCTGAGGCTTTTCAGGGTCGAAAAAAATGTGCGAGATGGACAACTGGATTATTGTGAGAATTTTTTTTTTTTTTTTTTTGTGCGTGTTGCAAGCCTTAATTCCTTTTCTCACCTCTCTGTGCTCTAACTCGGCCAAATTTTCCAATTGAGAAAAACATATCAATACCCCTGTCGTTTCTTGCTTCTAGCCTTCTTTCTACTCCTTGTTTTTTTTCACCTTTTATCTTTTCCTTTTTTTTTTTTTTTTGTTTCTTCGCGTTCTTCATCTCCTTCCCCTCCCCCTTCTTTACACGCCGTCCCCTCCTCCTCCTTGCTTTGTCACTCAAATTCGAAATTCGACTTCACATGTGTCGCGAATCATCTTCCTCTCTATCCTAAAGCGGCATTTATCTGGCATCAGCGACAATCTGTCATACCCTTTTCAGAGATCTCACCCTGAAAAAAAGAGAATGTCGACCATTCGGCCCAAGAACTCTTTGGTATTTTTTTTTTTTTTTTTTTAGCTCTTATATTATTGAAGCTATCACAGTAGTTTACATGGCTAGTTTAGCCTAGGGTTTCTATTACACGGGCAAAAGTACAAAATTGCACCCGTTTTTTTTTCTCTTCTCATCTCAACCTTTTCCTTGGATGGTCAAACTCTAAAACTCAAACTCGTTACGGAATTGGTTAATGTCTGCCCCAACAAGAGCACGCTCCGAGAGATCGCTACGGTTCATCATCATAAAAGTTCGGCGAAGGGTCTCCCACAGGTTGACACTGACATTGACCGATCCATCTCCTCCACCACCCTCGCCATCGGCCTGGTGCATGCTCAATGCGCCCAACAGATGCTCTGCCGCCTCCTTGTGGCATCCAATGTTGATACACGACACTCCCAAATTGTAACGGGCACGGACAAACGACGGCTTGATCTCAAGAGCTTTGTGGTACGCCTCGATCGCATCCTCACTCCGCCCGCTGTTGGCCAGAGTAGCTCCCAGACGGTTCCACAACAAGTAGTCGCTAGGACGGACCTTGAGACCGGCCACGAAGCAGTCGACTGCCTTCTCGTATTCGCCGCTACCATAGAACAACACACCAAGTCCGACCTGGAGATCTGCGTCCATATCGGCACCATTGGCGCCATTGCGAACGGCCTGCAGGTATAGGTCTGTGACACGTCCATGGGTCTCCCAGGAGCTGACGGACGGAGCAGAAGTTCCATTGGCGGCAATAACGTCGGGGTACTTGGTCGCGAGCCACTTCTCCAATGTCAAGTAAGCCTGATGATCGTATCCTTCGTTCGTGTAACTAACAGCGAGGTTCTAATGTGGAAACAAATTGCATAAGAAAAAAAAGCGTTAGCAAATAAATCAGTGCAAGGAGCGTCAAACTGAACGGCACACACACAACACATGTGACAATAATAAAAAAATGAATGCTGCGTCTTACCATGTAAGCATCCAAGTTGCTGGCGTCGACTTGAACGGCTCTCTCGAGGGCGCGGATAGCAGGCTCCTCCTTCTCGTTCTGGGCCTGGACATTGCCGAGCATCATCCATGCGCGGCTGTTGGAATCATCCTGCTGCACAGCGGCCTCAAATGCCAAGGCAGCCTCCGAAAGACTACCACCTTCCTCTGTCAGACGAATACCCTCGGCCATGGGATCGGGGTGGGTCAAGTAGTGGTTGTTGGGCTCGAATTGGTAAGGTCCCAGCTGAGGAGCGACAACAGCATTGAACTCGCTCTCCCAACTAGAGGGATCGTCCAAGATATTCTGCACATCCTCAGAGTCGGTCAAATTGTCCTTGAGTGTGTTCCAGAGATCCTCGAGCTGTTCATGCTCGTCAAAGTTGATAGGGTTAGCAGTGGCTGCCTCACCGCCGAGCTGTGCGGCCTCGAACTGAGCCTCCCATGAAGCCTGGTTAGCATCGACTGCCCGTCCCTTGCCCTTGCCCTCCACCAGAGCAAACTCGTTAGCCCAATCAAAATTCTTTTGGAACGCGGCCTCGAATTCTGCTGGCATATCGCCTACAACGTGCTCACGCTGCATGAACTCTTCCTGCCATTCTATTTTGTCGAATGTGAAAACGTACGGAAACGAGATCTGGTCAGAATAATGTGTAAACACCTATGAATAGGCTTGCTTTGCTTCAAAGCGGATGAGGTTTTTAGCAACTAAAAAAAAAAAAAAAAAAAAAAAGTAACTGCACATACCATGAGGAGGAGGTTGGTGTTGTTGGAAAGCGGCTGAGAACGCAGCTTCTTCTTCTGGGTTCAGCTCGAAAAGGCGAGCTCCCTGTTGATGTCCTTGAAACTCCTGCGACCAGTCAGCGCCTACATTGTTGTTCAATTGAAAAGTACAGCGTGCATACAAGTAAGGAGTACTGTGAGAAAAATACTAATAGTGTTGTCCACGGTGATCGGTGTTGTGCCTCTCAGTGACACTATACCTGCAAAGCCAGGATCGTGGTGCATAGCAGACAGTTCTTGGTGCATGTCGTTGAATCTGAACGAGCCAGGGTCTCCCTGTTGATTCTCCTGTTGGAAAAACTCGTCCAAAAGCTAAAAAGTAGTTACAGCGGGTCGGTTGAAGTTAGGATAGGTTCTCCGTCACATGTTCAGGGCGATCGATTGGTCTGTGGAGAACAAAATCTGATGAGGAGCAGCGACTGTCATCCATCTGCTCTTTTGGGTATCCTGCCAAGGATCCTTACCTGTTGATCGTCGCCGCCCATGACAGGGCGTGCTGTGCGCATAGATGGACCCGAGGCTTGTGGGGCGTTTCCGAAGCGTTCCTGATAGGGCGGAAAAGTTGTAATGAAGAAAAAAGTGCGAGAAAATGTTAGTTTGTGGTACTTTTTCTTGGGAGATGGGTATACACAGGTGGTGAACGACGGCCGAAAACGAGACAAGGAAGAGCAGATAGGGGTGCATGACCAAGTTTACTATGGCGTGTACTGTCCCGACGGGAGGCTGTCCTTTGTTACTTTACCCTCTGCAAGGAAGTGTCCTGGTTGAAGTGCTTTGTGAACTGACGCATGGCGTTTCCGCTTGTGGAGCATTCAGCTCCCGAGACCATGCCTTGGAATGCCATTATAGATGTAGGTGTGAGTAGGGTAAGAGGTGAAAGGGAAGAGTGGGGGAGAAAGGGAAAGGTGATGGGGAGAAGAAGAAGGTGAAAAGAAAGTAAAAAAAGGAGAAACAGGAAAAGAAGGGTAAAGAAGGAAGGGCCAAGGCGGGGAGCAGAGCAGTGTGTTCACTTTGTCACCTCCTCCGGGCCGTGGGTGTGGTGTGTTGGGTTGACTTTTGATTTGCCTTTGACCGATTGGTCAGAGTCACGTGCACATGCCAAGGTTGGGACTCGGGCTTCGGTGGGTGGAGAAAAGAGCCGGTGCGTCCAAGTGAAGGCACTTGCCGATCATGGTTTCATGGGTAAAGGCGCCTTCAAGGGGTCAAACAGGAGAGTGTATGGGGGTAATGGCTGTTTGATGTCCGTGTCCACATGGACCCAGTAAGGCGAGGCTGACTGACCCGAGATGCAATAATGTGGTAGGTTAATTATTTGCCACCATTTCGGCTATTCTTACTGGGTCTTTTTTCTTTTCTTTTTTCTTTCTTGTCTCGTCCATCGTTCCTTCTTCACTCTCCATCCTTACTCCTGCTTTTCATTCACTGCAAAAGACTGATACTCTCTAACCTTCACATACTTATTCCTCTTCCTCCTCCTCGCACCATCCCTCTCACTCAACCAACTCCTCTCCTCGGTCACTCACTCCCTCTGCGCAGACCTCCATAGGGATCATACATATCGTTTCCTTGAGGTCACTCCGCATATCCCAAGGGTCTTAAACTGGTCTCACCCCTTCCCATCACCTAAGAAAAACACAACTAAACAATAATAATTCACCTCTTCCTTCAACTACATCAAAAGACAACAGAAATCACCCACATTACACAACCATTACAACATGTCTTCAACAGACAGCAATGCTGGTTCTCAGGACCTTACAAACAACAACAGCAACAACAGCACTAATACCAACAACATCAACAACAGCCATCCCAGTCAAGATGCTGACCCCTCACTTATAATCACCTCAACCAACGACAACAACAACAACAGCAGTCTCTTGGCTTCAGATACCCCTGGTTTAAGTACCACAAGTAGCGCCAACAATAGCGCCAGCAGCAGTCCAAGGTCTGTTGTGCGCAAGCGCCAACGCTTAACATCGTCCAGAGTAATCAGTGCTCTTGATGGATATCCTGCTGGCAGCAATAGCTTAATGTCGTCCACTTCTGGTGGTACTGTCGAAAAGCGATCAACTCTAGGCCCACTCTTGGCCGACCGGATATCAAGCTTGTCAAGCGACTTTCATTGGTACGTTCACAGCATCATGGCTCTGTTCACAAAGCAATCATTTAGCTCTCTTGATTGTCTTTGGTTAGTTTCAATTCTCGGTCATCACTCGTTCGATTTGCTAACATGGTTGTATGTCGTTATATATCATCATTTCACATTTAGCCCTATTTGCTTGAGTCTCATCAAGGAAGTATTCATGACACGCTGTGGCCACTCGTTCTGGTAAGTCGACAACAAACGATTACAAAAAGACAAAAAGAATGCCGAAACAGCCACCTCTCAAACCGCATTCGTCACCCCCCAATGCACTCACACATGCGATGTTTTTTGAAATTGATCATGGTTTTATAGTTACTCCTGCATTGTGCAGCATCTTCGCGACAAGCAAGACTGTCCTGTCTGCCGAGGAGCACTGACACGGGATCAGATCTTCCCCAACTTTTCACGTAAGTGACAATCCAACCCATAGAAAAGACACAGCTGATCAGTCTCAAAGATCTGTTTCTCCTCTCGCCATACACTAACTACCAAAAGGACAAGAAGAGAGATCAAAAAACATGGAACAAGGTCAAACAGATATGGCCATTGCTGCGAAGGATACGAATATTTTATTAATCAAATTTTTCCACATTGGATTAGTAAACAACATATTTGAACGCTCCGCTGAACTTTTGGACAATGCCGATGTGGCTGAGCCGAGATCCAAGTCGCGGCATGATATCCTGAATCAAAACGACTACACTCCCGAAGGTATGTCAGTCGATACCTTTGCTTCAGGATTCGATTTTGTAGCTATCCGGCACCATAGCGCGGCATGGCACCGATTGAACTAAACTTGTCGAACATTTTGTATTCGCATTCTAGAACTTGACAACATGCTGTCGACATTGAAGGCGAAAAAGCGGAAACTGGAGGCCGACAGCAAGCAAGTTGAGCTTGAAGTTCTTCTGTACTTCTTGAGGAACACTAGGGCAGAGAAGCAGGAGGCTAAGCGACGACTCGAGGCACAGATCGAATGTCTGGACGAGGATGTCAGGAAGGCTGAAAAGAAGCTGGACGTCTTGAAGCAGTACTGCGGCTATCAAGCAGTCACCAGGAGCATTGAAGACGAGGAAGAAGAATTACTTGACGGTGCAGGTGTCTTGGGAGGTGTCCAGGTTCCCAACGAGGTGTCAGAGGAAGAAGATGAGGCCGTGCCTCCTCAGACTGGTTCCAAGAGGAGTCATTCTGTAAGCAACGCCCTCTCGGATTTCAATTAGCCGGACTTGTTTGCATGAAACACTCACGACTCTGTTTGCTGATTTGTAACCGTTCATATTCGTTTTCTACAACATAGCAACTGGAGCGCGAGACAAGTGGCGACGAAAAGATCGCAGGAAGAGTTACACCGGAAGCCAACATGCAGATGCTCAAGATCTCAAAACAAGTGAACTTCAATAAGAAGCGTGTAGCTGAGCACTTTGAAGATTTGCAGCGATGCTACTTCGACTTTTCTCTCGCCTGTAAGTCAAGTAGAACGTTGTGGTGGTACTCAGACTTCATTTTTAGATGACGCGTCTACTCTCTACACTTACTAATTTGCTCCGCAATATTTTGGTATTATTAATTCTAGCTGATACGAGGCGAGAGTCTGGACTTTCGAGTTTTTGCTCGACGATCTCCAGGTTTACAAAGTTCTCCCACTTTGAGCACGTCAACACGCTGCGCTATGGCGATATCTACAACACATCTTCGATCGTTTCTTCTATGGAGTTTGATCGGGACGATGAGTACTTTGCAACCGCGGGCGTGACTAAGAAGATAAAAATCTTTGAGTATGGATGTATTGAAAAGTCGGGACTTGCAGGAACCAGTCTTCGAGATGACGATCCGACAGAGACGTATGAGGCTGGCGGTTCGTTGTCGCGCCCATCTCGGTATAGCTCCAACAAGAAGCCAATCACATCGGTACTTCATTACCCTGTACGAGAGATGATGTGCAGGAGCAAGATCAGGTAAGCTATTATTTGACGTCAACTATCGATACGCTTCAAGCAAAGGAGGGAATCTCATAATTCAGTACGCTGACGAATTTTTCGTTCTCTAAATGGCATATTATAGCTGCTTGTCGTGGAACTCGTACATCAAGTCGCAGATTGCTAGCTCGGACTACGAGGGCATTGTGTCGTTGTGGGATGCACAGACAGGAGTCAACACGCTCAACTACGACGAGCACGAAAAGCGAGCATGGAGTGTCGATTTCTCACGGACGGACCCAACGCGTTTGGCGAGCGGTAGTGACGACACCAAGGTCAAGATCTGGTCGACCAATCACAAGGCATCTGTATGCACGATTGTGAGCAAGGCGAACATCTGCTGCGTCAAGTTCAACCCAGAGAGCAGCAACCACATTGCATTTGGAAGCGCGGACCATCACATTCATTACTACGACCTGCGCAAGGCCAGTGAACCGCTGTTTGTGTTCAAGGGTCATCGAAAGGCGGTCTCGTATGTCAAGTTCTTAAGCAGGGATGAGCTCGTCTCGGCGTCGACAGACAGCACACTCAAGCTGTGGAGTACCCAGAGGATGAACTGTGCAAGGACTTTTGTGGGCCATGTGAACGAGAAGAACTTTGTTGGGCTGAGTGCGTCGGGCGACTGGATCTCGTGTGGAAGTGAGAATAATGCCGTTTACACCTACTACAAGGAGCTCCGCGACCCTGTCATCACCGTCAAGTTCGGCAACTCGAACCCCGTCACCGTAAGTTCCAACTATCTTTTTTACTTCTTGCTAATTCTTCAGATTCGAATGTTATATATGACACAAGCGACTGACTTTGACCTGGTTTTAATCGATATAGGGCGAAGACACGGCGGATGAAGACCCGTCGCAGTTTGTGAGCTCTGTCTGCTGGAAGAAGAACATGTCGAACAACATTCTTCTGGCAGCCAACAGTACAGGTGTCATTAAAGTCCTGGAGCTTGTTTAAGCTCGAAGTTTTCGTTTCGAAATATGCCAATGCAATGCTTTATTTTTTCTTTCTTTTTTTTTTTTTTAGCTTTTGCTTCTTTTTTTTTTCCCCCATTTTTTCTTTTTTTTCTCTCGCAAAAATACGAATAAAATTAATCTCGCAGGATGAAGAAAAAAAAGAACTCTTTTATGGAAGAAGGGTCTACTTGCGAGCATAACTCATGCTGCGCGAGCCAGACTTGGGAGCACGAGAGAAGGAGGCGTCCTTTTTCTGGAGCTCCTTCTTTTCCTCCAACTTGTTGTAGGGATCGAACGCTATCATTGAAAGGAAGAAACAAAACAGAAAAAGGTTAATTACTGCAAATTCAAGAATAAAAGCATGAAATACACAAATAGAAAGGAGAAGGTTGTAAACTTACGTGCGGGAGGTGCATTGGGGGCGGGGGCCTGCTTTCTTTGCTTCTTCTTCTTCTTGTTGATCGCATCATCGATTGTTCCATCGACGACCGACTGAGCCGTGCTGTAATCAAAGGGCTGGAACCCTTCCTCCTCATTGTCTGTTCCAGGAGCCGACGAGGCAGGTGTTGCGGATAGCGAAGTTGAAGCAGAAGTCTTCTCCTTCTTCTCCTTCTTGGACTTTTTCTTCTTGATAGCGACCACATCGTCGTTCTCGCCACCCTCTACTGCGCTCGACACTCCCGATCCAGTCTCACCCTCGGTCTCCTGCTCCTCCTGCCTCAACTCGGCACGATCCTCATCCAAGGCTCTTGAGCGCTTCTTGGACATTGTGTTCAACAACAAAACATCTGTACGCTTCTTGGTAGCACGCTCCTCTTGAGGGACAAACACAACTTCCTCCTCCGCTGCTGGTACAACCTCCTTCTCAGGCTCAGGCTGAACCTGTACAACACTGTCGATCTCCTTGAAGACGGCGGCTGCAGACTCGCGCTGGATAGAGAGCTCGTACATGATTCTTGAAGCCCTCTCCTCAGCCACCTGCGCCTCCTTCGAAGCATTGGATGTAGACATGTCGCCAAACATTCCTGAGCGCTTGGCTATGAATGGCGTAGGGTCGACCACGGGTCTGTTGGCGATGGGTCCCACTGTCGACTGGAACATGGACGACGACGAAGCGACCAAGGACTTGCCACTCTGGCTCGAAGATGTAGCGGCCTTCGCGGCAAGGGCAGAAGTAGTAGAAGAAGCATGAGCATCTGTTGAAGACTTTGCCTCATCAGTTCCCTGAAGCCCAGTCTTGGGGTCGAACCGCACATGAACAGGAACTTGAATCTCAACAATCTTCTGACTGGCCACCAAAGAGGTCACACGCGACTTTGTCTGGGCAATCAAGAGCGCCAAGTCGGTGGCATGCATCCTGACAGGTGGTGGGACAGGGTTACAGCACGCCAAGACAGCCGCAGACTCTTCAGGCATCTTTTCCGCCAGTGTGAACATCATATGGTTGGGCAGCACATACCGAATACTCTCATCTTCCTCACGAGCCATCTGATCACGCCAAGCATGGACAGCCTTGAAGACCGCAAACTGCTGTCCGTTAAGGGCACGGTTCCACTTGGAGTACAAGTTCCTCCATCCGCCAGGTCCATCGCCTCCTTCGGCATCGTAGATCTCCTTGGTGTGTCGTTTGAGAGAGGTTTCAGCTGAGCGTTGAAGTGTTGCGTGGAGGAGGTTGTGTGTGACGGGGTTGGACTTGTCCAGAAGGGCGTTCCTCATCCGATCGTACACGTACAACAAAAAGTGGGTATCCGATCGTGCATAGTTGAGCATCTCCTTTGGCAATGGCCTATCATAATTATTTGAGATGATAGTTTTTTTTTATGTTAGTTTGAATTGCTACATGCCTTTTCAAACAGTGTTCATGCCACAGGAAAAAAAAACAAGCATACCCTGAAATGAACTTACCGAATACGCCAGTCTGCAAGCTGGTATCTCTTGTCCGCATCATAGTCCGCATACAGTTTGAGCAAATGCGCCAACGAATGTGCGCCGAATTCTATGTATATTCAAACGAAAAGACTGGCAGTTAGCGTGGATGCGCAAGTAATCGTAAATGAAATTGATGGCTGCAGAACGCACAAAGCTAAAGGGCAAGCGGAAATAATTACCGAGAAGCTTGCTGGCGTGATAGGTATCAAAAAGATTGACGATATAAACTCCAAAGTCCCGCTGCAACCAAATGATATCGTGATCGGCACCATGGAAAATCTTGACGATCTTGGGATCCGTAAACGACTGGTTCAAAAGGTGCAACGAACCCCTAAGCTCCAATGTATCAATAATATAATCCTGATCGCGTGTGGAAATCTGCATCAAACAGACAAAGCCCTGGAATGACCGGTAATCGTGATGCTCCAAATCGATAGCAATCTCCCGCTGCACCTCCAATGACTTGCACATTTCTTTGAGTTCCTCCTCAGTCTCGACCCAGATCGCCGAAGTGGTGTCGAAGGGGTGGTAGAGTTGTTCGGGGCGCTGCTCAAACATGTGTTCGGGGTATTCCAAATGCTTGATCTCGTATTCGTATGGGTGGGGCTGCTCAATCAACTCTGAAGGTGTGTCGCTGTTGAGGTCCATGCCGTAATTGAGATCAACCTTGGCGTTAGGCTTATAGTTGATCTTTCGAGCAAAGGGTGTTGAGGAGTTGTCGACAGGGTCTGGGAATCGGAGCTGGGGGCGAGCAATGTTCTGAGCGTGGATCAACTTGTATTCCAGCTTGTTGCTCTATTATTGGTATGGTAACGAAGGTGAGTCCGGTGTTCGTGTTCCTTGTTTGACCAGGTCAATTAATCATCATGTTGCCGTTTCCAGTTCTTACCTTGGCGAGGGCGACGACGGGTGCACTCTGGGCAATGGCTGCACCACCCTTCTTTCTTGGTGCCTTCATTTCATCCATAACAACATCCTATCACATACATAGAGAGAGAGAGAGGTGTAGTCCTTTTGGTGAGTATGTAACGCCTTCATTCCTGAAAAGTATCAACTTTATCAAACAAAAGAAACAAAAGAAACCAAAATTCTTCCTTCCAAGGCGTACCACTTTCTCCAGCATGTTATCGACAACATCAACAATAATATCAAAACGGTCCTTCATATCGTCGCCGTCCTTGAGCTCCTCGACGCTCTGTCCACCAGCCTGACGCAGGATACCGTTGCACATGTCGAGGGTCGAGGCGGAGGCCTCCTTCATGTTGTTGGCAAAGTCACGATCGAGTGTCTTGTAGAAGGAGACATCGCCTGCAGGGATGGCATTGGCTGCCTTGGTTGCCTTGACGAGTGTCTGGAAGAGCTTGGTCTGCCATGCCTCAAAGTCGGCGATGATGTCCTTTGTTGTCGCCATGTGATCGTTTCGGGGGTAGTGTGTGTTTTGAGGAGACAAAGTACAAACACTCGCAGCAGTGACAGTCTTATTTTACTGTTGCACCACAGTTAGAAAAAAAAAAAAAAAAAAAAGAAAGCTCAGGTGGCTTAGCTACATAATTCGTTTATTTATCGGTGTGTATTCATTCATTCAGCATACGATTTCTCGCCTTCAATACTCGAAGATAGCGAGGTCGACGAGCAAGATGCAGCGGCAAGCGAGGCTTCGTAATCATCCGCATACGCCTTCACAGCCAGTTGGTCGTGGTCTATTAATTGGATGTCTTCCTCCATAAAAATACTCTTGTCGCCTGTCTGTTGCTGCAGCGCAGAGATCTCCTGCTCCGTCTGGAGGTAGTTGGCTGTGTTGCCAAACAGACTCTCATGATCCGGGATCGTCATATCGTGGTCCTTGTCTGCATCTATACCGGGCTCTGAAAATTCAAGGTCCCCGTTCTCTGCATGGACCACATCATGCAACTGAGGTGATCCATGGTGGCTAGAGTGCCCAGAGTTGTGGTGTCCCAAATGAGGCTCCTGAGAGGACTCACGCGAGTGGAAGGGTGACCCTGAGGAACCAAGTGCCTGAGGCTCTATGGAGCCTTCAAGAGAAACTTGAGCCATCCTGGTTGGAGAGAGAGGCGCCGCATGAACGTTTTCATCGGAGTGCTGGGACGAAGGTGGTGTAGAGTGTCTATAGTCAGGGGAAGCGCATGACTCTGGGGGTGAGGATGAGGCATGAGGGCTGGCAGGCGCTCTGAAAGACGAGAACAGATGATCGTGGTGAGGCGAGTGAGCAGTCGTAGGCGAAGTGGACGAGGACGACACAGGTGAGACAGAGGTGATGGAGGTTGCAGCCGAAACAGGGGCAGTGCTGGTTGTCGAACTAGCGGGGGTCGAGATGGTAGTAGGTGGTCCGTAAACGCCATATCCTGGGGGGTCTGTGACAACTCTCCTTGAGCCCATGCTGGTCCTCGTCCCCATGTCACCAGCACGACGGCTGGCCATCTCATTCTTCAAGCTGGCTGAATACGCCTTGGCCCGCTCACTCGCGCTCATCGGTTCCCTTTCCGTGGGTGGGCCGTTGGTGGATATGGTTGATAGCCTACTCCCTTTTGAGGGAGGTTCAACCTTGGAGGGGCGGGTGGAAAGGGTGCTGGGTCGAACAGGCTTTGCGGAATCAGAGCTGTAAGAGTTGCTCGAGGGAACCATTCGCTGAGGTCCTCCGTGAGTTGCAAGGTTGATGGAGGGCGTCCGCTGGTACATGGAGGTAGAAGTCAAGCTGTTGCTGCTCAATGCACGACTGCGTTGTGCTCCCATGCGAATACCGGAGTGTCCAGAGTGGTCGGAGGTGTCTGCCAAAGATCCGGTCCTGCTGGGTAGTCCATGATTCCGTCCCAAATGAGGAGACGAAGACTGAGCTGGCCCATTCTGGCTAGAACTGTATCCGTAAAGCTGACTGGGGGGAGTAGCAGGAGGGGTGCTGCTGGTTGTGGACTTGAACGAAGTCGAAATTTGTTCGGCAGCTATGGTGGTTCGTGCTCTGACAGGTCCAATCCTGCTAGGTACTGTTCTACTCAATCCCTCCCGACTCGACTGGTGGCGGCTCAACTCTCCTGGTCCTTCTGCACGGCCCGAGGTAGGGGTAATGCGGCCAGTTACTGGTCTGACCAGGGATGCTGATGACCTTGTGTCGGGCAAGAGGTATTTGAGCACGTTTCCAGGTAGTATTGCAGTCAACCTAGATTTCGATTGAGGGAGTGGAAAGCAGTTCATATCAGGACGAGGTTAGTGGAGTGACTGGCTGACAGGACATGAACACATGGAATATGTGGACACGAAAGAGAAAAGGAAAGCAAGGAGAGAAGGAAAGAAGAAGGAGAGGAGGGGAGATCAACGGAGTGGAGAGAGAGAGAGAGAGAGAGAGAGAGAGAGAGAGAGAGAGAGAGAGAGAGAGAGAGACGGAGGAGGGGGTAACAACAGAAAAGAAAAAAACGAGGGATAGTAGACCAGGATCAAGTACTTTCAAGCAAAAAAAACGCCCCTCCCAGAGAGTGCCAGGAGCAGGATCAACTCGAGAATCATTGCCTCAACACCAGTTTGATGGAGCTTCTGAATGATGCAACACTTGCAGGTCGCATCTGGTGGTTTGGTGTAAGAGACTACCTGCATTTCTGCAACTGCAGCAGAGAAATAACGCAAAACGCATATAAAAAATAATGGCGCAACGTATGAATGCTACTTACGCAGATGACCTCTCAGGAAACTTTTGTGCATAAACCTTGAAAGACCTGCGGCTGGTATCTCTCACTTCGGGTGCAGCGTCGGATACACCCTCCTTCAGCACGGGCTCAAACGAGCCAAGGTAGGCTTCAAGCTCCTGGCTCGTAAACTGAGCAATACAGGTGGCAATCAAGCCAATACAGGCAATCCTGAGCGTCTTGTTGTTTGTTGCAAACGCCTGACAAGCCTTGGGGAGTGTTGAGAGGCAGCCGGCATTGATCATACTCTGGAGTGCCTTGACAGCACGTGTGACCATGACCTTGTTTGTCCTGGCACACACCTTGAGAAGGGCGGGCGTGAAGAGGTCAGGGAAGTGCAGGCTAAAGTCGCGGCCCATCGACGTTGCCAGTTTCTCAACGAGCTCACATGCCGCTCCTGAAAGACGAGTTCGTTCGGTGAGGAGCTATATATGTATGAGTATGTTTTGCATAAAACCGAAATAGAATCTAGTGGTGAGTGCCAGTGAGCCACATACTTGTGAAGTGAGCTCCAGGTTGTTACGAGTTGCTCGCTATTCGTTCGTTGTTCGTGTTTATTTGGAAAAAAAAAAACATAGATGGAACTTACAGACTCGGAGAAGGCTTTGCGGTGGCTCTTGATGAAAGCGACATACTCCTGGTTGTGTCCGATGGAGATATGGCAGGCGGCACCGATGGTTTTGATGGCAGTCTCCTTTTGAGCCCAGTTGTGCTCTGTCTCTGGCTGGGAGAGGATGTTGTCGAGGTCATGGTAGTTGAGGATGGCCGAGGCGGCCGCACCGGAGGAGAGCATGATGGCGGAGGGGGGTTGGGAAGGGGGTGAGGGGAGAATGGTGGGAAGCGTGTGGGTTGACTTGTGCAAGTCAGTCAGGCAATGAAGGTGGAGAGGTAGGATTGACGATAGGAAGGGATAAGAGAGAGAGAGAGAGAGAGAGAGAGAGAGGAAAAGAGCGAGAGAGAGAGATCACAACAGCGAGACGGAAGCGGGGAGTGAGGATGAGCGGGTGAGCGGGTGAGCGAGTGAGTGGGAGAACTGAGAGAGAGGGAAAGGAGGGTGTGAAGTAAGTGTTATTGGGCGCCGGTCATGGCTGTGAATATGTGAGGAAGGGGGGAAACAAGGAAAGGAAAGTCAAGAGTGAAAAAAACAAAGGAAAGAGTTTAAAAACAAAGGAAAGTAAGCAAAGTCTCGTGTGAAGGTGCTGCAAACACAAAAGAGAAAGATGTTGTGGCTTTCCACAATCCATCTCTCGATGTGGGCTCTTCCTCACCATTCTTCTGCTCCAGAGCTTCCCTCTTCGCACTCCCTCTCTTCCTCTCTTATTAATTCTTACTCTCCTTCTTTCTCTCCCTCTCTCCCCCTTCTTCCGTCTGTGCCTGTCCTGTACGACCGCCTGCACCGATCCTCACACCTGTCCTTTCAACTTACTCATTCACACCCCCCATTCCTCCCAGGAACAACATCAATAAAAATGAAACTCAGGATATCTCTCCGGTCGGTCTCAAAGGCCCTATCAAGCACCTCAGACTCCACAGCAAGGATCCCTCTCACAACAGCCTCCAAGGAACTGGCCTCCTTCCTCCGTGACGGACGATCCAACATCACAGTCCTCACCGGCGCCGGTGTCTCGACCGACTCTGCTATCCCTGACTATCGTGGTGAAAACGGAACCTATACACTCAACCCAGACTACAAACCCGTCTTCTACCAGGCCTTTGTCGCCTCCGACGAGGCCAGACACCGCTACTGGGCCCGCTCCTTTCTGGGATTTCCTCCCGTCATGACCACAGAACCCAACCCCACCCACTACGCCCTCGCAGCCCTCCAGTCGCCTGATGTCGTACAAGGACCCAGTCTTGATCCGAACAACAAGGGCAACCAGGAGTCGTTAAAGTCAGGCTACATCAGGAACTTTATCACCCAAAACGTCGACGGATTGCACCAAAAGGCGGGCGCCAGGAACGTCGTTGAGCTGCATGGGACCCTGCACAGTGTCAAATGTATGGCATGCGGCTCCGAGGAGGACCGATCTGACTTTCAACAGGTCCTGGCCGATCTCAACCCAGAGTGGAATGACCTCCTCCAGAGCCAGAGCACCAGCCGTCTCTACACTAGAATGAACGCCGACGGAGATGTCGAACTCAAGACTCCCGAACAACAACAACACGATCAACAACATCAACATTCGGGCAAGGACAAAGAATTGGACTATCGCACTTTCCAATATCCCACATGTTCCTGTTGCGGTACTGGCCAGTACAAGCCCAACGTCGTGTTCTTTGGCGAGAACATTCCATCAGCAACAAAAGAATTTTCAAGTCGAGCGATTCTCGAGTCCAATGGCCTCCTCGTCATCGGATCCTCCTTGGCCACCTTCTCAGCCTTCCGTCTGGTCCAGCTTGCCAAGGACACTGGCATTCCCATTGCCATGATCAATCTCGGCCAATCCCGGGGAGATGCCCTCGCTAATCTAAGGTACGACGAGAATAGTTCGTTGTTACTCAAAGCAGTTGCTCAAGAGTTGAGTCTAGGTGAGATTCCTGGGGTAATAAGAAGACGCAAACAAGTCATGAACGTTGTTGGCTCATGATCCTTTCTTGCTTCCTCCTGTACTTTTTTCATGCACATTTGAGCCTCGAATGATTGATATGCGCACACTGGCATGGAGGGGTGTGGGTTATTTATTATGGCATGTAATATATTGACGTGGTTCAAAAAGTGAATAAAGTAAAGGGTGCGAAAAAGGTGATGTTCAAGGGGTGACAGAGCTGCTTTTTCGTGTCAAGTAGAGGCGTGAAGGATTGACCTGGCCAACCAAACCAACTGCGACCATACCCAATCCCAAGTAGAAAATCCACTCCTGGTTAAAGTTCCTGTTGACCCAATTGGTGACAACCGCCAGCCAGAGTGTACCCCAGACCAACAAGATCGAGATGTATCCAGCGACACGATGAATACGCGTGATCCTGGCTTGGCCGATCTTCCTGTAAAGCGCCTTGGGTGCATATGCGACCGAAAGTCCAAAGAGGACTTGGAGCGCAAAGACAAAGACAGCAGCGCATCCGAGGTACGCGTGGTTGGTGTGAAAATGTACCTTGCCCAGTCTGTCCTTGTTTTCATAGACGGCCCAAAATCCAATGACGGCACTCACAAGCGCCAACGACAAGAGCGATCCGTGAACTGTCCTTGACAGCGCCCTCTGTTTTCCCTTTACATTTGGTTGCAAAAGGAGGATACCTAATTGAACAAGAGTCGTGGTGGGTGGTCCAGAATGAAGAATGGGACAGGGAGGAAATGAAAAGATATTTGTCAGTCAGTGTTTGTAAAGTGACAGCAAACGAACAATATTTTTTTTCAGGAACACAATTCCCTCTCTGAAGAGAGGGGGTGGGTAGAATGCATTTCATCCTCGTCGTCAGGGTTGTAAGGGGTCGCCGGTGTTGTTGTTGTTGTTGTCATCGCCTGTTCAATCATAAGATAATCGAGGAGAAACGTACCTTCAGTCGCAACAAATCCATAGAGTCCCATACAAATGGGATGCCATGAATAGGGGTAGACCCAAGGAGCCTTGGTCAGGACTCCGATCAAGGCCCCAAAGTAAATGATAAGTCCGAGCTGAGCAACGACGGCAAGCATTCTCTGGATTCGGGTGTGTCGATGTTGGTGATTATGGTGACGATGTGGGTGGTTGGGCCTTTGGAGCCGAGTTTCATCAGTGGTAGTGATATGATCGTCTTCTCCTTCTGAGGAAGAGGATGTTGAGGAAGCAGAAGATCCGGAGCCGGAGCCAGGGAGAGAGTATTCGGTGTCTTCGCGATGGATGTCGTCAGGACGAGGGCTTGTTCGCTTCTTTTTCGGAGAGGGGGACCTGCTGACGGACTGGTATTGGGGGCTTGAAGGAGAGGAGGACCGTTGTGAGGACGAGGGGTTGGCGGCGGAGGAGTTGGCGGAAGGGATAAAGAGAGGACTGCTCTCGTTTTCGGCTCCGGAGGGTTGCATGCTCGAGGGGGAGGAATGATGGTGCATTTTGTGGCTGAGATCGCACCTTTTTTAGAGCGGAAGTCCTTCTTGTTGAGTGGTAATAAATAACTGGAAGTGTCTACTCTGAGAGTGTCTGTAGGTGTGCTCACAAATCGGTGCTGCTTGAGGGGTTCTGAAAGAACAATTGGGCGCACAGAAAAAACAAGAGGAAAGAAATTCAAATTCAGCGTGGTTTATGTAGCATGGCATCACAGACAATAGAATAGAGATATCCAACAGTCGGATCCGACACTTTCCCACATTCACTCCACCTCTTTCGATGTACATTCCCCTCCTCTGCATCAATTCCCTCCGACACTTTCTCCATCCCTCCTTTCTTTTTTCTTCTTTGTTGAATCCAGCGTTATGCTTATTTGTCACAATACATCAATCATACTCATCCAAAGGATGAGTAACCCCTTCCTCCTTCCTCCCTCACCTTTTCTTCTTCAGTGAATGCCACCGTCTCTTTATTTCAGCGTTGGAGTCGTTGGGGTATTTTTTGTCTCTGTTGTTTCGGTTTCGTGATTCAAAAAATGAACACGTTTACGATGGAGATGAGTTTGCGTTCACAATCACTTTTACTCATCCTTGCCATGGGCGTACAACTTACTAGTAACAGACTTAGAAAAGAAAGAAAACAAAGGGGGGTGGAGGGGAGAGGGGTCAGTTGCAGGTCAGACACAACAAAAAATGAGAGGAATAGGGGAAAGGGAGGAGAGAGGAGCAAAGAAGCAAAATGACCACGAAAAAAAAAAAAAAAAAAAAAAAATCTGATAAAGGTGGTAAGCTCTGCGTTTGGCTCATTCTTTTTCAATCTGATAAGAACCTGCTTAAGGGCGTGAAGTCCCGTGATTTCGCTCGGCTTTTGTAATTCAGAGAAACTCCCTGACCCTCACCTCTGCCAAAACCACACACACAGGGAGAGTTCACCATTCACACTCGCACAACAACTCAACTCAGAAAGACGACTTTGCTCAGAATACAGAAGCAAGGACATAGCCAGGAGAGAAAAAACACAACACACACAAATAAACGCGATGGGCGGCGGCAACGACAAATGGATTGCCCTCCTGGCCTGGACCCTCTTCTCCTTCATCGCCATCTCATCCCAGGTCTTTGTCTTCTGGCCATGGCTCTTTGGTTCCTGGACAACCTCCTCCGCCTCACGCCACACCGCCTTTGTGCCAATGAATCCTGTCGAAGCACTGGATCCGCTTGAGAACGGTCTAGGGATGCAGCTGCTAGGAGGAGTCGAGGATGGTAGTATTGGCGAGAGCAGCAATGGACCGACGTTTGGATATCTGTCGGTGATGTGGGCCAATTTGAATGTACGGGCGCTGTTGTACCTGGTTCCGTTCAACTGCTCACTCGTCATGCTGTGTTGGAATTACTATCTGACCATGACGACCAACCCGGGATCACCTCCGCTTGACTGGGTAAGTGTCATCCAACGATGCCCTATCGGACTCTGTGGTTCGTTGGATTCTACACCGAAACAATGAAAAATCGAAAGAGAGGGAGAGAAAGACGGTTGGAGGATGGCCTTTGCTTGGTTGCACACACCTTTCCCTCCTCTCATCCAACGTCGTCGTCGCCACTTTGTGCCCGTCCTCTCTTGGCTCGCCGCCTCGTTTATCTCAGGAATGGTCTCCGATGCCTGCGTTTATTAATGATGCTCACCATTGTGCATAACTATTTCATAGTGCCCCCCAATTGACGGAGCTAGCATGGAGTACAAAACCACAACGCACACTCCTCGCTACTGCCGCACCTGCGACGCTTACAAACCACCTCGGACACACCACTGTCGAACATGCAAAAAATGCGTCCTCAAGATGGACCATCATTGTCCATGGGTCCGGAACTGCATTGGTTTCTACAACTATGCCCACTTTGTACGCTTCATTACCTGGACAACCATCTCGACCTTCTACTGTGCAGTCCTACTCATCCTCCGGTGCATTGAGGCCTACGAGAATGAAAAGCTCGGACTCGTAAGTTGTGAATTTTGCACAGTTGCTATAGGTTGTACACGCTGCAAGATGCGCGCATGCAGGCACATTGTCCCCTCCCTCCTCTCTTGCTGCTTACTATTTGAATCCAATGTAATGTGCCATACTTGTCATGTGCTTATAGAATCTGCAGAATGCGCCAACTCAGGAACAGATGATCATGATAGTGGTGAACCTGTGCTTGGACGGCTCTGTCTTGTTTGGGATAAGTGTTTTGACCACATACCATTTTTGGTGCATCTCCTGCAATACCACCACCATTGAGAGTTGGGAGAAGGACCGAGTTTTGACCATCATCCGCCGAGGCAAGATTCATGAGGTTAGTCCTGTCTGGGGCTTTATTTCACCTTTTTTTTTTTTTTGTAAAGAGAATTGGTTGCTTTTTTTTAATTTGATTTCATCATTTAACACCTCATTCCTTAAATCACTAAAAACAGGTTAAGTGCCCCTACCATCTGGGTGTGTTGACAAACTTTCAAGAGATCCTTGGCCAGAATCCTTTGCTGTGGTTGTGGCCTCAACCAATGCTTGGGGATGGCATTCAGTTCAAGATGAGGAGTGACATAGGAGATCGAGATGATTCTGAATTTGAATTGCCAGTGTCGTTGTTGTCAACATCGCCGTTGTCGCTCAATGACACATCGGTAGCCGCACATGCAGCAGGAGGAGGATTACCCTTGTCGTCGTCGTCGTCGTCGTCTTCGCGGTCTCCGATGTCAAAGCGCTGGTTTGGTCCGACGGAGGTGCGGCAATCGCGTGTTGATGAACTGGTGGAGATGGTTTAGATAACCATTCGTTGTTTTACATAGTTTCACCTTTTCACAATCGCTCTATGAAAATTGCTATTTAATATATAGAAAAAAGAATGAGGGGGACTTGCTTCTTGGTCATGATATGTTCGATGATGACGATGATTGCTCAACCCCCAAAATGGCAAATGAAAAATTAAGGTTGATGATTCCCTTTACTGCTGGCAAGGAACAACCGTCGGACTCTTGACTACGAGCTGCAGCTGTTGTTGCTTTGTTGCTTTGTTGATATTGTTGACAAATTGTTGGAGAGAAGGAAGAGGAAGAAAAAAGAGGGGGAAAGGAAGAGAAGTGATCGAGGCGGTCGGTTGGTAGGATAGGCGTGACCCATTTTTCTGGTCGAATGTACATTTTTTCGTCTGGGAAAGTGGGTGAGAAGGTGTCAGGCAAAAAGGATTCCACGCCCACGCCCTCCGCCAGTTCTTCATTCTTGCCCTACTCTTGTGTCTCAGACAAAGAAAAACCAGCCTGAAAATAGGTTTGCAATTCGCACTAATGTCGGCTGGCATCAAGCCGGACTTTTTCTTTTCTTCTTTTTCGTTTCCCCTTCGTCTGTCTTCTTGTGAATTTGGGCTGACTGAGTAAGCAGGACTGTCCTGCAGACAGCAGAAGAGTACACAATTGCAGCAGGGCTCCCACTTTTTCATCCTCACTCTTCTCATTGCTCACACCCACTACACGATTTCGATTTTTTTTTCTCGATATAGAGGCCTTTCTGCCTCCCAAGTTCGCAACCAGAATGCAGTGCATTTCACATTTGATGGCCCAGCAAAACGGGTTTTAAATTGACTCGCACTCAGCTGTCCCCTGCGTCCTGTGTCTTGTGTGTGTGTCAGTGGTCTCTCTTCGCAATCACCCCTTTCCTTCATCCCACCCTCCCCCCCCCCACTCCTCCTCCTCCCACACCCTGCATCGCATTCAGTCGATTGTCCATTCCTTTACACATTCATTTCACCTTAATTCTCATCACTATTGCACACACTCACTCTCTCTCCACACTCCACTCATCCCTCCTTCCCACCTCACTCTCCACACTCCTTCCCACCTTTGCGCCAACACATACAAACACATTGCAACGATTTTCTCCTTTTTCAAACCCACACTGCACCCTTGCTCAACGCCCAATCCACTCACCCATTCATTCATTCTGGATCTCACCGACATACTCGACATCAACAACCACAACAACAACAACAACAAACACTCTGAACTAGCCACTAGTGTGCTGTGTTAACAACAACAGATACAACCATTCCAATTGCTCGAGATATCGATTGCAACCAACTGCTCGATTCCTTCTTCTCCTTCCTTCCTCACGCCACACCTCCAACCAATTACAGCTGACAAGGCACACAATACCTTGCCGATCCCCACAGACTCTTCCCGTCTTGCCGTCACTTTGGATATGAGGCGCTCTTGCGCTGCAGCGGCACCTTCCTTGTCCCCCAGGGTCACCGTCATCATCCCCCCGACTGCCACCACCGACTTCAGGGACGAGGAGGACCTCTTCCACCCGACTGCCACTGCAACCTCCCCTACCGCCTCTTATCGTCCATTGTCCTCCTCCCTCCCCTCCACCCGTTCTCTTCGACAACATCAACCCTCCTTCACCTCCCAATTTCTGTTCCTCGCCCTCATCCTCACTATCTTCAATCTATCATGCTTTGGTCCGACCTTCATTGTCGATGCACAGGCGACAGTAACTGCTATCGCGCCTCCTATCACCTCGACAGAAATCGTCATCCCCACTCCATCCATCCTAGCACAACCCACTCCTTTCAACCCACCAACCACCCACCAGGGCATCACTACCTTCAAGGACTATCCCTCATCATCCCCCAATTGCATAAATGCCGTCCACACTCCTCGTGTATCGCTTATCACCCATGGTAACCAGCCCCTGCCAATTGGACTATGAATCCAGCTTGCCCTTGATGCCGTTACGACCCGGACATCCCCTACTCCATTGATACCCTTGATATTCACGTTGATGTACTTTCTTTATGATCTATTGTTATAGCCTTGGCTTTGACGGGAGAAAACCCAAAGCTTGACGCAAAGCTGACTGTGCCTATGTCCCTCACAGACGATATGTCAGGAATGGAGTATGACGCCAATCGGATGAGTGCGGCTATCTACAATGCGATCCAATACCCGGTCGATGCCCTTGTTGTCTCGATCCCAGATCCAGATATCCTGAGGGAACCTATCCGTGCAGCCCGTGAAAAGAATATTCCCGTCATTGCCATTTATACCGGGCTGCAGGCAGCCAAAGAACTTGGCATTCCCGCCATCATGTCAGACGATGTAAGCTACAGCATCAGCAGCTTGAGCATGAACGCCGCAACTGAAAACCACTCGTTGACACGCATTGAAAGAGCTTCTCTAAAATCCACATCATTATGTCTTCCTCTTCCTTTACTAGTATGAAGCGGGGCGACTTATCGGCCAAGAGATGGTTGACGATGGCAAGTATATCATTACATTAGCATATTGCATGATCCTAAACTCATATTGGACCCCGAACTTCATCCGTTGATCTCGTTACTTATCCTCGCTTTTCATCCTCACTGTCATTTCTTTGCACACAGGTGTCAAGGACTTTGTTTGCATCAACGGCGTCAACCGCATCCCAGCCTTGCTTGAGCGTTGCAACGGTGTTCTAAGCGCCTTTCTTCAGGCTGACACCGGTGCCTCATCCAACGTGACAGAGCACACCATCTACCTTGACAAGGGAAATCGAAACGGCACCGGTCCTGCCTATGCCCAGTCAGTACCCGACAACATCCGCAATCGCCGTTCTGTCACCGGTATTGTATTCCTAACCGCGACGACCTTCATGGAGCTCAACGAAGCGTTGGTCACAAGCCTCAATGGCACTCGGTCTTTCAAGATTGCCACGTTTGACTTTAACCGATACATGATGAAAAGTATGGACAAGGGAAACCTGCATTACTCTGTCTCAAGTTTGATGTATATTCAGACCATCATGGCTTTCATGCTGATTTATATCCAGGTAAAGAAACGATATGTGCTAATGAGTTAATGAAAGCACCTACTTGCGCTCACGTTAAGAAATGGTATACCTAACCTCACGCTCAACATTATTGGTATAGCTGAGTGTGGGCGAGACGATTAGCCAGGACAAGATCATCACCGGTCCCAAGCTGGTGACGCCTTCCAATGCTAAAGACATGCTGGCGCAAGAAGAGTGGACCCTAGGCAACTTTTTGGATTACTCGAAGGGTTTCAGCGTGATTACCGGAAGGCAAGTAGCACAATCGCACGCTGCAATGTCTTTGTTGAAATTACCAACACGCGCTTTTGACTCTTGATGTTAACCTCAATAATGCCTTTTCGTTACTCTGATAATAGCTCGCCAATCAATGAGCATTGGGATGCCTTGTCGACAGGCGCACGCGACGCGGCACGCCTTCTCAACTGGACGATGACAGAATATCGATACGACCAACCCATCCGACAGGACGTGGTCGAGTATAGCATCGACTTGGCGCTGAACGACACGAACACGCAAGGACTGCTCATGAGCAACTCCCGCGATACCTACATCCAATATGCTCTCAACCAGACAATCAAGCAGGTCCCTGAACGTAATTTGCGCGCCAACAAGACTCTGCAGGGACTGTGTGACGACTTGAAGCCTACCCTGGCGAACCAATGCAGTGTTCAACCTCCCTGGAACCATACGCTGGAACAAGTGCTCCCTTTACCAATTGTCGGCATCGGATCGACATATAATTGGTCTCCTCATCAGAGTTTATCCTGGGTCGGCGAGAACGGATACGAGGCTGGCCTAGAATACGCGAACGCCATTCTAGCCGGTGGGAAAGCCCAGCCGATTTGCATTGTCCAGAACGATGAGCCCGAGCAACAGATGCTGATGTGTCGGGGTCTTTATGACAGGATAACAGGGCTCTATGGATCCTCCTTCCTCCCACCCTTCGACACCTACTGCGTTCGACTCCTTCCTGGTGATCTCTCTGGCGCATCGAGAAAGGTCACCGAGGTTGGAGCTGGATACAAGTACGACAGCATCCACACCACGTCGACAATGCTTTTCGAGAACATCAAGTACCTGGTCTCGAAGGGAGATGTGAGTGACAAGGTTCTGGTCACCACCACAGGACGGTCATCGACGGCTTTGGAGGATTATGTCGCAGGAAAAGTCTGGAAGGTCTGGTCTCAACAATCCTATCTCAATGGATTCATGTCCGTTGTCGAGCTCGCGTTTTCGACCGTTCTTCAGGACAAGACCTGGAATTTCATCGCCACTGGACCCACGATGATTGACTACGTCTGCGATAAGGGTCAATTCTTCAACAAGGATCGCAACCGGACCACGCTCTATTGTCAGACTGAGGAAGGATACCATGTCGGCAACCCTTACTGTCAGCCCTGTCCGACCGACTATTACAGTGACATGTACAACAGTCTCAATTGCACCGCATGTCCACTCGGCACCTTCACCAACGTAACAGGGTCCAGTAGCTGCATGAGCTGCGAGGACTTTGGTCAGACGACGCGATCCTGCCAGGAATACTTCTACAAGAAACAAAAGAACAACAACATTACCCTGGCCATTTTCCTGCCTCTGGGCCTGTTCCTGTTCGCGGCGATCGTCGGCACGCTGGCGGTCCATGCCCTCCGCAATCGCCGTAAACGCTCCCGACTTGCAGACGACTCATGGATGCTGGACTACAAGAGAATCATGGGGCTTTATCATGATTCCGACAGCGGGCTTGGCTCTCAGGACTCTGGATCGATGATCGAGCACAAACATATGTCCTACAGATCAGATATAGAAGGTGGCGGAGGCGGAGATGGAGGTCGTAGAGCGAGCGGTCGACCCACCGGGATGTTTCAACGGAGCCACTCAACATTCGTCGGAGGCAACTCGGGAATTGAGCCAATGGATGGTACTGGAAAGGCGATTGGCGTCTACCGCAACCTGCCTGTCTTTGTCCGGCGTATTGGTGGAGCCAAGGTGCACCTGACGCGCAAACTCCGGATCGAAATTATGGACGTGATGGAGTTGCGACATCCCAAGCTGGTGGAGCTGGTTGGTGTGTGTCTTCAGCCACCAGATGTTTGTGTGGTGACCGAGCACTGTTCCAAGGGCACCTTGACGGAAGTTCTGGCGAACCCGGACCTCAACTTCAACTGGCTCTTCAAGCTGTCGTTCATGAGCGACATTTCCCGCGCGATGGAGTTTCTGCACCAGTCCAAGATCCAGTTCCACGGTGATTTGAAATCGGCCAACTGTCTTATCACCAGTCGCTGGGAGGTCAAGGTCGGAGGATATGGATTGAGGGAGCTGACGGCGACTCAACAGCCAGGATATGGACGAGTAGGTCGCATAAGCACAGGATCGAGCGAGCTGAGCCAAGGCGGTACTGTTCATAGGAACTCGTTGCGTATTAGTGGTGAGAGTCTTTTCGGTAACGGATCAGCCCACTCACTTCCCTTCCACACCAACAACCTGCCGGAGGACCCCACGGAGATGGAAGAGTACCGTGTCGCCAGGACGCTTCGAGAAATTCAGGATGGTCGATGGGTTGCCCCCGAGAACATGATCCACCGTGGCTCTGTCTTCCACAAGACTGCCAGTAAGGGTGGTGATGTGTTCAGTGCTGGTATCATCTTCAACGAGATCATGACGCGCAAGACACCCTATGTGCGCCAGCTGGCGCTTTTGGACCCGGTTGAAGGACCTTCGATACTGCTGGATCAGATCAAGAACGAGAACTTGCGGCCTGATTTCTTGCTTGACGATGCCTCGGATGAGAGCATTGGAGCCGTCAACCATTTGATTCGTAATTGTTTGCAGCCTGACCCGTGCCTGCGACCATCCTTTGCGACCATCATTCACCGTCTGCGATTGATTAGCCCCGATGGTGACATGATTGGCGGCATGGCGGCGTTGCTAGAGAAGTATGCGAACGATATGGAAGAGTTGGTTAGGACGCGAACGATGCACTTGCAAACCCGCACGGCTGAGTTAGAGGAGGAGCGTCTTCGCACCGAGGCCCTCTTGATCGATCTTAACCAAGCCAAGAACCACGCCGAGGAAGCCGCCCGCGCAAAGTCCAACTTTTTGGCCAACATGTCCCACGAGATCAGGTAAAGAAAAACTTGTCGCTCTGAATTTAATCCTTTTTGATGTGTCCATTGGCAGTATGCTATGGGTCATTGACAGCTATGCATCTTTTCTTCCACCCCATATGACAATAGAACGCCCATGAACGCGGTCATTGGTATGTCGCGTATCATGCTAGAGTCGGACCTTTCGCCAGATCTGATGGATTGCGCCGAGACGATCGAGTCGAGCGGAAACCAATTGATGGCTGTCATTGACGACATTCTGGACTACAGCAAGATCGAATCGGGTAAGCTCAAGCTCGCCCCTGAGCTTCTAGACCTGCCCTGGCTCCTGGAATCTGTCTGTAACCTGGTCTCGATGCAATCTGGCACCAAGGGCCTCGGCCTGGCATTTGTGGTTCACCCCGATACCCCCATGCAAGCCCTCGGAGACTTGGTCCGGATCCGGCAGGTCCTTCTCAACCTCTTGAGTAACGCCATCAAGTTTACGGAGAAGGGCAACATTGTCGTAAAACTAGAGCCGAAACCTAAGCTGGCCTTTGGAACCGGAGCTCGGATCTATGAAGAGGACAACTTGGAGGAGAATGTCAAAGAGTCCTCTGGCCTCTTGCTCCATAGCGACCAAGGCTCGACCGAGTCTGACCTGGACCGGATCCACAGCCGCGCCACGACGTCGAGACCCGGAAGCAAGAACCAGATGCAAACCCTGGGCTCGTTAGCGCAAGAGGCCAAGGCTCGCGCTCAAAACGAGACTCATGTGGATCTCCTTTGGTCAGTGGCCGATCAAGGATGTGGTATCCCCGCTGAGCGCATGGACCGACTGTTTAAGAGCTTCTCCCAGGCCGACGAGTCTGTCACCCGCAACTTTGGTGGTACTGGATTGGGTCTCGCCATCTCCAAGAAGCTGGTCGAGGTCATGGATGGTGAGATGTGGGCAGAGTCAGAGGAAGGTGTCGGTTCGACATTCTACTTCACGACTCTTCTCGAGTCGCCCAAGGCCAGCCCCACGGTCGCTCAGCAGCTAAACTTGGAGTTCTTCAAGGAAAAGACCCTGCTAATCCTGGATGACCGCCGGGTCAGCAGAACATCCTGGCGGTACCAGTCGTCGACCTGGGGTTTCCAACGAGTGTTGGTCCTGAGTGTCCCTAAGGGTCTTGATTACCTCCAGCAGAACCCTAACCAAGTCGATGTGATCATGATTGATGTCGACAAGCCCCAGTCCAGGATCCATCCAGGCCTGGCCGTCCTCCACCAAGTCCGCATGATCCCCAACGAGGACTACCTTGAACCCGAAAGCGGTGAAGTGATCCGCCAGAAGAGGACGAGTCCTGTTCCCTGTGTCCTTATCTCGTACCACCGCCACGCCCAGCCCGCCTTCCCTGGCGGAGCCAGCGGTGTTGCTGTTCCATTGGCGCCTGAAGCTGTTGACTCTGCAGGCAGTGCCTCAGAAACCCATACCCGATCCATCCGTGGCCAAAGCAGTCTAGAGAGTCTGACGGACAGCAAGAGTACGCACTCTCATTCGTCGGCCGTCAAGGACAAGGAGGTCCTTCAGTCTCGCCCCTACGCGTCGACTGGGACCTGCAACCTCAACATTATCAACAGTAACATGTTGGCGGTTCCACCCAGAGGCACTCCTCATGACCGGTCCAACAGTTTCTCGGGCAGTCTTCCGTCTCCCATCTCGCCGCCCAACTCTGGTGGCAGTGGACAGGACTTTGGAGCTTGGGGCGCTGACCCCTCGGTTGGGTACCTCAGTAAGCCCGTCAAACAGGCCAAGCTGTTCAGGATGTTCCATGGTTTGATGACTGGATCCTGGCCGATGGCTCCACAACCGGCCGCGGATCTGAACAACCGAGAGCACGAGCGAAAGCGTCAGCTCGAGACGCTCGAGTGTCTGCTGGTGGACGACAACCCTGTGAACCAGAAGGTGATCTCGAGGATGCTTGGACGGATGGGTATCACGCCTGACCTGGCCAACAATGGTCAGGAAGCCATCGACAAGTGCTCTGCTCGCGCCGAGGCTGTAGCCAAGGCCAAGAAAGAGTCGTCTTTGCCTGACGCTTCTGGAGGTACCGGTGATGTTGTTGATGGATCTGGATCGGGCTCGGGATCAGATGTGGAGGCGAAGCAATACGATCTGATCTTTATGGATGTCTGGATGCCCGTCAAGGATGGTCTGAAGGCGACGGAGGAGATCCGCAAGTCTGTGGATGGCATCACGGGCACGGAGCCGTTTATTGTCGCAATGACAGCCTGTGTGATGCCAGGCGATCGTGAGAAGTGTCTTGCCAGCGGAATGAACGCCTATCTATCCAAGCCGATCAAGAAGGAGGAGCTGTGCTCGATCCTCGAGAACTGGTTGGATGCCCGGGCGGATCTTGAGCAGGAGAAGAAGGAGAGTCATGAGCGCAAGGTGCTTCAGAAGAAGAAGCGGGAGCTCTTGCAGCGTCGGAGCATGGCTGTTCTCAAAGGTGCTGGTGGTTCTGGTGCGAGTGGAGACGGCCCGGATTCTCCGTCTGTTCCCTTGCCGTCATCTGATGGTACTACTGGCTCTGTCCGCCATTTGAAGGATGAGGAAGAAGACGACGAGGAAGAAGAAGAGGAGGAGGAAGAAGATGAAGGGATTGCACAGGACGATACGACGGACAATAACGACCACGACGGTGATGGCGATGGCGAGGAAGAGTACGATATGCCGATCCGCATGAGGTCGACCGGGTCTCGAGGAGGTCCCTGTCGGATGGGATCGTCTCGATCGAGCAAGCATTCTCGCCGGCGCAAGAAGTCTCATCAGCGAGGACCAGGCGGAGTGGGGCCAGGAGGGGCTCATGTGATGAGCGACGACAGCGAGGATGAAGCTTTGGGTTGCCGCGGAGGCGGAGGTGGTGGACTGAATATGGTCAGTGTTGTGACCAATAAGAACAACCCTATTGCCCGCATGGGTCGCATGCACTCCTTCAAGAACCACTTGTTGTAAAAAAAAAAAGCACATACACTTTGTGCTTTGATCGACGACACACAGCCCCGAACAGTGAGCGAGCGAACAAGCGAACGAAGGAACGAACAAGATACAAGCAAGCAAGCATTGCCATCATCATCGCATTTTTTTTTTTTTTTGATTTATTTTATATTTTCATTTATGACCCCATCCCAACCACCCATTTTCACTTGTACAATAGTAAAAACATTTTCCGTTTGTTATCTTAATCATCGTTTTCCTGCTTTTGCTGTCTTGACAGAAACACATTGCTTTTCGAACAGGAGTTGTTTATTATGTTGCTGTTGGAGGGAAAAAGAAGAGAGGGGGGGTATCGTCCAGCCCAGGGTTGGATAGAATTTTTTTTTTTTTGCAGATTATGAATGTGAAAATGGGGGAGAGGGGGCGGAGGTAAAGGTGCGGAAGAGTAGGTAGGACAGAGAAGTACTACAGGAGTAACGACATGGAGCAAAACCGAATCAATCCGAGGGGGGGGGGGGGAAAAAGCCGACAAAGCAAGGTAGTGTCGAAAAAACTCACGTCGTCCGTCCCCTCTCATTGTCGCCAGTCTACCAACCACCCCGAGTTTCTTTAATCCTCCTTTTTCTTGATGCTCTGCTGTTGCTGTTGGTGAGGGAGCTGTTTGGAGGCATGTTCGGCTTTGCCGACACGGATGATCCACTGGACGCCGAGGTAGAGCATTGCGGCGATCAGAGAGAAGCAAAGACCCATGACGGCCAGGATCTTGACGACAGGGATCTCGTTCTCTGGGGCAACGATGTGCTGTTGCGTTGTAGAGTCCATTGTATGAATTGGGTGCCGGGCTGCTTGTTGTTGGGTTGCTTGTAAGATGTTTTGCGTTTTCCTGATTGACTCTGTTTTGTTGTCGAAGGATGAAGGTAGGGTCCTTGAATATGTGAAGACGGTGAGAGGTATGTTCCTAGGTTTTATGCTTGAGAGTTGAACGAAGTGAAGGACGGACGGACGGACGGACGGGCGAGCGGAGGTCTTGCTTGGGACTTGGAAGGCTGGAGGTTAGGGATGAGGTGGAAAGAGTGAAGAGGAAGGGAAAAGAGAAAGAAAGAAAGAAAAAAAAGAGGAAAAAGAAGAGAAGTTCTCAAAAAAGAAAAGAGGTGTCCATCTATCCACTGGTGTTTGGCTCTCTGAAAAGATATCCATGGTGGTTGTCGCTTCCAACGGTTCTTGTTCTAGGGGGCACGTGGGGTCAACTGAACCAGCCAATCAAACAACGGGTCAGAAATGAATAGCATGTCAAAATTCTGTCCTTCTTGAACACAGGCACACGACAAGCAAGCGTAGAAGAAAAGATAATGCGGGGGGATGAAGCAGAGGGCAATTCTTCGATCTGAATAAGGCTCAGCTTTTGAATAAGTGGAAGTGAAGGTAGGTTATTGATACCATGTAGATGTGGTTTGTCTTGCGCCCATGTCAATTTATGGTACCACACCTCCTCTTTTTTTTTTATTTCGATACGAAGTCAAGCCTAGAGTGTTGTTATGTCGTAACGCGTATCTTCAGTGACCAAGAACGCGAACTAATTGGCCGTATGAGATATATAAAATAGGCCAACATGTTAGGAGCTGCAATAGAACAAACATCGGTTACTCTCGTATTTTAAGTGGAGGAAAGTAGGGGAAATGGACGAATGAAAAAAACCCCCAGGTCAGGCATATCAAATACAAAAGCAAGGTATGGTTGCTCTTTGGGAAAAGGATATCAAAAAGCGTACATCCCTCGGCTATTTTGGATGCATGGCGTATTCAATGTCCATCGAGATAAAACTGCATGTATGGCTTGTTAGGCCTGGAACTCGAGGCTGAAAAAGAATAGATTGTTCTGGCCAATGGTTTGGAGTGAGAGAGAACGGAAGGAGATGATTGAAGGAACGACACTCCCACGGTCATCGAAGGGAAAATGATACAAAAGGGGGGGGGGGGAGTGGAAGGAAGGATGGGAAAGAAGGATGGGAACGGGAGGAGTTCTTTTTTTGAGTATGCAAGCAGGGCAGAGGTGAAGGCTAAAGATCTAATGAACGATGCAGTCAATCGGCCAATCGTTTTCATGCCTTTTTTGTGCCTTTTTTTGAGAGCAAAGACAAAGAAAAGAGTGAGTGAGAGTTGGATACAGACCATTAACGGTGCTAGCTGTCCCGCAGGACCCTGCCAGCCATGACGAGGAGCCCATTCGGCCGAAGTTGGGGTTGTGTGAGGTCTTCTTGTCTTTGTAAGCCGGTCGTTTGCTGTTGTTAAGAGACATTGCTTGAAGGCATCGGAATCGGCCGCGTCGGTTCATGGGACAACAGTGGGTGGTTGTTGTTGAATGAATAGAATTGCAAAGCGTTGTTTGTTGCTGAACTGTATGGATATGCGTGGATGTGTGGACGGGATGATGCCCATCCTTGGAGTGCTTCTTGTGAAAAAAACAATACTCGAAATCAGCGCACCCGTGGCGCTCAGAAAAAAATAATAATAAGCGAAGTGAACCTCTTGTGTGTATATGCTCTATGTGTGTGTCTTGTGCCTTTCTTTTCTATCCTCCCTCTACCACTCTTCCCTCTCTCTTCGTCCCCTTTACCCTGCACCTGCTTTTCCTTCTTTTCTCCCCCATTACCCACAACAACAGCATCCTTGTCTCTCACACATTCGCATTCATAATAATCCTTCTCCCCACAACAGACTTTTCTTTCTCTCTTTCCTTCCTTCCATCATCCCCTTCCTTCCCCTTTCTTCCTTCCCTTCCTTCCTTCCTTTCCTTCCCTTTCCTTCCTTCCTCGCCCCATCTCTCCTCCTTAAACTCTCCCACTCCATCCTATCCCTATCCTTACCCTTCCCATCATATCCCTATCCCTACTTTTATCTCTTTATCTTCCTTCTCAAACCAGCTTCTCTTCGTTCTCCTGTTCCTTCTCGACGGTGCTGCTGCTGCGATGCAACTCCAGGCTGAGCGGGATCAATTCGTCCACAGCGGAATTGGCGGTGGCTCATCCTCTTCCTCATCCACCTCGCCTTCTTGCTCCCCTCCCAAGGACTCGCCCCTCCACCACCTCACCATCGCAAACCTCAAAAAGCCACGTCCCTACTTCAAGTCTCATACGCCTCCCATTGCAAAGTCTCCTCTTATTGCAACAGCAACAGCAACAGTAACCACTGCTGCTGCTGCTGCTACTGTTCCGACTGCTGCTGCAACCACAACTACGGCTACAATCATTCCACCCACTTCCACAACTACCTGTGAACCAACCACTCCTTCTCCTCATAATGCTATCGGCAATGATGGAAACATCCTGGCAGCAACATCCTTGCAACCACTCGTTGCCACCACCGAGGTCTACATGGATATCTGCTCATCATCAGAACGAGCTCTTCCACAACAGCAACAGCAGCAGCAGCAGCAGCAGCACCAACAAGAACAACAACAAACAAAAGTAGAAGCACATGCAGAAACAACTCCGATGGAGGACGTCTCATCCACACCTACACCCGAAGTAGACCTCAACTGGAAAAGTCATGTTTATAACACTAATACTCTCGCCTCCGCCAACAGTAACAACAGGACCACCCAAACAACATCGGCATCCACCAGACAAGGCCATCCAACTCGGGACCCCGCTCGGACTCGTTCCGATGAGATTACCCGTTTGTCGGACGCAACCAAGGTCTTCATCAACTCACCATCCGCCCCAGCTCCGACTCTTCACTATCCCTCAGAGCCCCACTTTGTTCTGGCTCCAGCATTGTATCCGCCCGAGCCATCGTCATGTGCCTTTACCCTCAAGCATGCGAGCTCCAACAGCCAATCGACAGCCGGGATGGATCGTCTATCCAGCCTTCCCTCGGAGCTCCTTTTTCACATCCTTTGGTACGTTTTTTTTTTCAAGGGGGTTTGTCTCTTTTAGTATGGCAAGCTTTGTCTCTCTGTTTCCCGTTGCTGGTGGATGTTTCTCTTGGCTTGCGTAGTTCATTTTACTTGTTTGTTTCCCATCAACTGACCAGCGTACTTTATTGGACGTCCCGGCTTACCGCCTCCCTTTTACATTTTCATTCGCTGCTGTTTTACTGTTGTTGTCGATGTTGTCTTGCTGCGACATTCTAGCCATCTCGACGCACTGGACCTCTCCCGTGTGGCCCAGGTAAGCAAACCGCACACATCAGGTGGCCAACAGTGAGCAAGAACATGCATGCACCGACCTCCCGCTCTTTAGTAACACAGGTTTCCCTGCTCTCCCTCCTCTCCCCTCATTTCTCTCACTCTCTGGCTATCTTTGTAATCCTACCCTTGCTCCCCCAAAACCTACACCATCTCTCTTCCTACTCAAATCAATTGAACCAAAAAAAAAAAAAAAAAAAAAAAACTATAGCTTGGAAAGTTTTATTACAGGATCTCGACCGATAATGCCATCTGGAGAGTCAAGAGCACACAGCATTCGCTTTATTCCCCTGCTCATCTCCAAGGACGACAAGAACCTATCCCATGGCTCGCTTACTACCAATACTTGCACAGAAACAGCTTGCGTGTCAAACAAAACTGGGCCGATGCCGTCCCACAATCAGTCCATGTGCTCGAGGGTCATACCGGACTCGTTTCAAGCCTGGAGATGTCCATCTGGTCACTCGTCACGGCATCAATTGACTCGACCCTTCGCGTCTGGGACCTGCGAACCTTGGAGTGCAAGCAGGTGCTTCGGTCCACACAATCCCTGACTTGTGTCTCCCAGTCCGAGAAGGCGCGCGCCGTCTGCGCAAGGACCTCGTTTGGGTGAGTAATCATCACAACATCCTCGCATACCTACCATTACGTAATAGTTATCAATGGCATTCTTTGTTGCTAACATTGATGTTTCAATTGTAGCGCGCTGTGTATTTGGGACACGACGACGGGCGAGATGATATTTCAGGACGACGAAGCTATGCCCCAGATTGCCAGCTTTATCTACATGGACGAGCGTTATATCGGATATGGCCAGTGCGACGGCGTTGTCACTGTCTTTGATTGGAGTTCGAGAACCGGATTGGAGGTCGTTGGGACATATCAAGCACATGAAGGCGATGTAAGTTGTTCAACCGTCTTTTTTTCACGTTGAGCGACAGTATCAGGGATCAAATTTCCAAGCAGCAGGGGTGACACGTCCAGACACATGTGTTAATATTGCTATTTTTTTCACTCTTTTTTAGGTCATCCACATCAGCATTCTGGACCACAAATATGTTGTCAGCGCGAGTACCAACGGCGAGACACTGGTGTATTCCCTTGCACGCTCGTGTATTGTTGAACGCATTCTGTTGCCTCATGCAACTCAAGCGATACAGTTCACACCCACCATTCACGGCGACAAGGTCATGTTCTCGACTCGGGATGCAGTCTACGAATACGAACTTCAGCTCGACTATCTCACCTCAGGAGCAAAGCGGGAGCCTACATTTGGCTCCTCTGCCAGCAATATGATGCTGAGCACTGCAAGCCAGCCAATATGGTCTAACCACGCCATGTCTAGCTCAGGAAGTCGCCCAACGGCAAACCGACCCTTCAACAGTTCAATCTCACACAGACATCTTCAGCCACCACAGCCAAACTCGTTACGTTCAGGATCGACATCGGGCCGGGTTTGGAAAACATCCAATAGCCTCCTCTCGCAGATACGACAGCGCGTTGGCACGACGGAGAAAGCGTTTGATATGGAGCGATCGATTATACCCACACGATTCCCGCGTCTCGCGAGTCTCTACTGTCTGCCAAGGACCTATCGCTCGCTTGATCATGGAACGACCTCTGCCCTCAACTCGTATGGGGTGTTTTTGCCAAACCACTGTACACGTTTAGACGAGATCTCGGTGTACACACGAGCGACCAAGCGGGTCAAGCAAATTCATGGACCTGCAGTCGAAGCTGTTCTGAGCAGCGCCCATCGGAATCGATTTTACACGACCATGGAGTGCAACGAGCACTGCGCTGTTGTCAGTTCCGGCAATGATGTCTATGTCATTTCCTTCTTGCCTCTCGATCTTTGAGCCTCTTTTTGGGTTTTTCTTTATATTCTTATGTCTTTCTATCATGTCACTTCTTTGCTTCTTATTCTTTTTTTCTCTCTTTTTTCTCTCTTTTCTTTCCTCATGTCTCTTGTTATGTTTTTTCTGTTGCTGTACAGCTAGTTTTCTTTTCATGTTTCATAGAATTGTTGAGAGGAATCTCCAAACCCATGTTTTTCATATCACCTCTCTCTCTTTCGCCTCCCTCTTCTTTTCTGTTTTTTTTTTTCTTCCTTCCTTCCGCCCAAACAAATACTTAATAAATATGTGTTTTGCTGGCTTGCTTTGATAAGAAAGATAGATATTTTGTTGCGTTGCTACATGTAGTATGGTATGAACTGAACGGGGTGAATGTCGTCTATCGCTTTTAAACTATATGCTGTCTCTTTTCTTAAACAAGATTCGTGTGCTGAGTATGGAGTGTGTTTGTGTTTGTGAGAGGCATGTGCTGTTTGGCTTCAAATTAAAACTAGTTTTTAGAGGATGGTGCACTTTGACTTGAGCGATTTTTTGTGCCTGTAGTCCATGATGAATTTGGCTTGCTTAGTGTTGAGTGCGCCTCGCCGCTTCTCTCGCACGCGAGCGATACTCTCCTCTGGGGTCAATCCTGCCTCGATCAACGCAATTGCAACCAAAAGCGGCGCCCTATTACGTAGGAAACAATCAAAGAAAAAGGGGGGGAGACGTGGGTGTAAGATGGCATGTGTCAACATGGGACTTGGGGTATGAAGTAGTTATGACATTATTGTGTCTAAATGTGAAAGAAAAAAAAATAGTTGCTTTGTTACCGTCCGAGGCCGGCGACACAGTGGATGGCGATGGATTCTGTGGGTTGGTGTTCTTCGTCCTTGCCAAAGACGCTATCGACGAGGTGGAGCCAGTCGCGGGTGATGTGTGGTGGTGGTCCTTCTCCGTCTCCAAACGGCCAATCCTGTTTTTACAAGCCAGTGAAATATATGATTGTCCAGATTAGTTTCACAATTTGAAAATGATATTCAGGAAGTTGAACCTTGCGCCACCATGTGAAGGTGAATGGTATACACACATATGTGAAACTAATGATCGAAGGTAGAGCGAGAGGAGGGACGCACAAAGACTTTGATGCCCAATTTGCCTAGGGCCGTGGTTCCATAGGTTGGGTCGCACACGCGGACCACGTTCCGGGAACGATGTTTTTCGAATTCCTGATAGTTGATGTAGGCAAAACGAGAAAGTGGTAGGTTTTGGTAAGTACGAGTGCGATACTAATTTTCCACTCTGCGATGACAGTGATGCGAAAGGCACGATGACTACGAGAAAGGTGATAGTTTACGGTAATGTAGAGAGGAAGGTTGCTGTCGGCAGGGGCATCCGAGACGAGGAAGCGCATGTGTTTGTATTCAATCACTGCTGGGCGATTCAGGAGGCGCGCTTCGGGATGTGGACGGACTAATGTCGTTGTTGTTAGTGTTGACATGGCGTCCGATTGTTGTTAGCCGTCGTTGTTGGCGATGATGGGAGGGTGTGTGTAGATGATGAACGGATGATGAACGGGCAGAGTTGAAGGAATGAGAGCGGGGCGGAGAAGAGGTGGGCAGAATTGAGATTCGGGATGTGTGGAGGGGAAGAAAAGGACAAAGGACCATCCGTAGATTCAATGTGACAGAAGGAAACGTAGCAAACACGTCAAGGACAAGAGAGGTGAAAGGGAGGATGAGCACAGCCGATAAAGGGACGCACTGTGATCCACCTCTATCCCTCATTGCCTTTTCTCATGGTCTTTGACATCGTCCGTATATCTTGTCCTGCACTCTAATCAAAAGTCCGCCCGGGAGACATGTAAACTGGCGTAGATGTTTATTTTCTTTCAGGGCCAGCATACAGTACGTTCAATTGAATGAAAAAAAAAAAGACGAAGAGGTATCCGCCACGGCTGTTGCAACAGAAACAAAGCTACTATCTGAAGAGACACCTCCAGTCCTTTCGCACTCAACAGCACCTGCGAAACTACCCACCCCAAAAGAGGAACTGTGGTCCATCTGGACACTGACAGACACCTCGACTAAAAAGGATGCGAGAATGTCGTGTGCGTGCGTACATAGTGTAGGTCTGGATGAAGGCTGAGGGGTTGATGTTGATTCACATACAAAACATCGTACTCCCTTACTTTGTCTTCTTAATACGCCCCTCTCTTCGTTCTTGTCATCCTCACTCCTTCTTTCTTGTCCCCCCCCCCCCCCCTTTCCTTTGATCCACTTTCTTTTCGTGTCCCCTCTGTTCCCTCATTGCTTTGTTTACTTACCTTTCTTTCCTTCCTGTTCCCTATCCTGGCCCTGTATCGTGTGAATTGGAGAACTGTGGAATTCCACAAACGCCTTCGCCTGCCTTTCGCGAAATTGATCACAGTCAAAACCTGGTGTGCGACTCAGGTTCTTTGCGACTCTGTTTGCGACTGTACCTTGCACGCCACCCTACATTAGATATATATTGCCTACCTCCATGCCACGCTATTCTGCTCCTTCCTTTCCTTCTTTTTCTCTTCGTTATTTCTAGCGCTCCTTTCTCCGCATCTTTCTTTTCTTTACCCTTTTTCTATATACCCTGTTTTCCGTTGCACAGGCACGCCGCCATAGATGCACCTTACTTGAACTCCATCTCCTCCGAAAGAGTACATGCGAAACATACACAGACACACACGCATGTACAAAACAAACACGATGTTAGTCTAGGCGTTCCAAACCGATCTGCATCCCAGTTAGTTACGTACATGTGAGTTAGTATAGGTTTTTCCCTGCGTGTGGAGATGTTTTATCTTCTATCTGATCGCAAGAGCGAAAAAACAGGGGAAACAAAGAAAAAAGAATGCTGATGCGCGTGCGTTCGCTTAGATCATTCTTCTTTCGTTCTCTTCTTTCTGCTCAGTTTACCTCGACTTGAGTCACTCGCGTGCGTTGCAAGACCATGAAGAGGTTTTTTCTAGTCCGCCCCCCCTTTACCTAGAATCGTTTCCAGGACCTTTTTCTTATTATCACACTATCGGGTGCAGAATAAAAAAAAACATAAAGGGGATAAACCCTATTATCTCCACTTCAAAAAAAACGGGCACTTGAATACTAACGAAACTTCGCCTACATGGTTAAAGATACAAGGGGGAGTAAAACGAGATCTACAGAGAAGGAGGATGACAATAACTGGGCGTAGTCTGATCACAATGTTTATCCCTGCTCTTCAAATTGGTGCGGATCATTTTTTTTTTCTCCAGCCTCTCGCACAACATGCCGATCTGGTAGAGTGGAGGGGGGTAATGAACTAGGGCAGAGTAGCTAATTGAGACTACCCGGCGAATGAATTTAGTCCGCTCAGCTCTGGATTCGACTCTACCCTTTAGTAGTCCGACCTAGACGAATTCAATCACACCCGACGCCATGAAGTCCACAACAAACAAAAGGGCTTATTTATTATTGTTAACATGGACCCAGCATGTGGATCAGACAACGTGGTTGAGAAACGGTCTCAGCCCGAAAAATAAAATCAGATAACTCCAGCCGTTGACCTTAGACACGTCAGTTACACTGTAATGTTCTCCTGCTCAAACTTGGCCGATCGAGTCCCTTTATTATTTTTTTCGCGCTATTTCATAAAAGAAGGAAAAAAAGACAACGTACAATTTACCTTTTGCTTCTCAGTGAAAAGAAAAGGGGAAAATAAGGGGCGGGAGAGGAGCCATTGTGGGATGAATCACTGCCTCTGACAACACAAAAAAACGAGATGGAAACCTTCCCACTTTTCTTTTTACCTTTCCACTTTGGGCCAGCCTGTTGTGTTTTCACATTGCGCCTTAAAGTACCTCGACATTTCGACCTCTCGTTTTCTTTGTTCCATGTCCTTGTTGTGTCCTGACAAAAAGCTCTTTTTATTGTCCAATTCAAAACGGCACGGCCTGTCATGCCTTGCAAGAGAAACGACGAGAGAGAAAAGGGTAAAAAGAGACAAACTCAACATGGGTGAAGAAACTCAGCTAAAAGGGAAGACTAAGAAAAGTGGGCTCAACATTGCTGTTTCTTTTTTTTTTTTTTTTTTTTACAAACTCTCAACTTGCAGGTGCCCATTTTGGTTATACTCCTTTGTTATTGTTGATGTTGTTGGTTTGTTTACAAACAGTTAAGTTAAGAAAAGGGTTCATGATCTATTCCGTCAAGTTTTTATTGCCCCTGCCACAAAAAAAATTACCATCTGATAAAAAAACCGTCCATCTGATACGGTCCAGATCTTCCTGTTTTCACTTATCAAGTTATCAGATGGTTTTTGTTGTTTATTTACTCTAAACAAATCCCATCCTTTCTTCACTGACACACCATAAGCGGCTCATCTGTTCTCGAACGTCTCTTTTTCTCCGTTGGGCACTAGTTGGAGACAAAGTTGCCCTCAACTCATTCAACTCACTCATTGGCGTTTGTAGACGCAGTGAACAGCTGCAGGACCCTCGCCCGGTCTCTGTCACTCTTCTCACCCTTCTCTCTCCACTAATTCGCCTTTTTGGCTGAGAAAGAAAAGACCACAGAAAGTGCGGCGGGCATAGGAGTTAAACAGGGGTCAGACCCGACGTCTCATTTTTTTCTTTTCTTTTTGTAATGAAAGCCAGTGGAGCAGAAACCTCTTAACTCAGCGTGAACTTGGAGCACAGGAAAAGGTACAAGAAAATACACGCCGCATGAGGGAATGACTTATATCTATTCATTCTCTCTATTCCCTTTCGAACAATCGGCGGGCTGGGATCCAACCAGCATTGTTACCGGATTATCTACCCTTATTTGTTCTTCCTCATCCCTTGTCCATCCTTCAATGTTCTCTCTTTGCATAAAAAGAAGACCAATCGCCCACTTTTTTTTTTTCTTTTTCTTTTTGACCCACCGTCAGCCAGCCATCCTCCAGCAGCTACAAGTCCCCACCTTCTCTTCTCCGTCTCTTTCTCTCCCTCTCTTCCCTTCCTCCCGTTCATCTCTTTACTCTCCTTCCTCTACACGGCTCACTCTCACACACATCCGCCCATATACCACCATGAGCCATATCGACAAGCCAGAGGTCATGGGTGCGCCTGCCGAGGTCCTTACCCAGGTGCGCAACTCTGCTCCAATCTCCAGGATCTTGGATCCCTCCCGCTGGTCCCGTAAGGAATACATGTTCCTGACCGTTGGGTAATGTGAAAAATAGATTGTTTGTTCAACAATCAATCTGTTGGGCTGCATGACTGACATGTGGAGCCGTTGTCATGATGCTGTTATGTTGTTATGGATCTCTGGAGAAACTTTTTATTCCTAACTCTCCTTCCCTTCATCCTCCTTTACATGATAATAGTGTCTTGGTTCAAGCCTTTGTCTACTCGTTCGAGGTCAACATGATGTACAACTGCCTTCCCTACGTTACCAACAAGCTCCAAGCTACTTCGATTGCCAGCGTCTTGCCCACCATCCTTCAGATTCTGTCTGCAGCCCTGGTTCCCTTCTACACCAAGGTGTCTGATGTCTTTGGGCGTGCCCTGCCCTTGACCGTCGCCATGGTCTTCTACATCGTCGGCTATATTATCCAGGGCACCACTAAGACATTCCTCCAGCTTGCTCTCGGACAGATCTCCTACGGTATCGGCTCCACCGGCATGCTTACCCTTACCCAGGTCTTGATTGCTGGTAACTTTTTATTTTTATTTTGCGCAATTCGATTGTCCTGCTCCCTTGAAAACCCTAGCCCGCTTTAGTACCATTAGCACACAATCTAACCCGCAATGACCTTTTCTTTTATTCCCGCTTAACAGATACTACCTCCTTGCTCAACCGTGGTATTGTCTTTTCTCTCTGGGATCTCCCGTCGGCCATGAATATCTTCGTCACCGGTGTGTTGACCGATCCTTTAACCAGTTATCCCGGTGCAAACTGGCGCAATGTTTACATCATCGTCAGTGTCCTCTCGGCATTTGGTGCCATCGCTGTACTGACTCCCCTCTGGTACTTGCAAAGAAAGGCTCAGAGCAAGGGTGTTACCATGGAGCGCCGCTCGATCGGCTGGCTTTTGCACGAATTCGATGTCGTTGGAGCTGTGTTGATTACCCTTGCCATGTCACTTTCGTTGTTGCCCATGATCCTCGCCAGGTCGTTCGAGGGTAACTGGCAGAACCCCAAGATTTTGGGCATGTTCTGCACCGGTATTGTCTGCTATGGTCTCCTCGTCTTCTGGGAAGCCAAATACACCAACCGTCCTATTATGCCCATGCGTATCTGGACCAACCCCACCTGCTTCGGAGGCTTGGTCGTCATGTTCTTTATGACCGTCATGGCTGCCATGAACTGGCAGTACTACACCTATTACCTTATGGTCTCTCGTGATTTGTCTCTCCAAAGTGCAACTATGCTCGAGCGTGGCTACCAGGTTGCCTACTTGGTCTTCCAGACCATCACCGGATTGTTGATGAAGCGCTTCAAGATCCTCCGCCCTTTCATCTGGGTCGGTATTGTCGTCCACACCATCGGTATCGGTCTCATGATCCCCGCCCGTGCTCCCGATTCCGCGGATGTCTTTGTTGTCCTCTCCCAGACCATTGTCGGTGCTGCTGGTGGTATGGCCAACATTGCTGCCTCGGTCGCTGTTACCGGTGCTGTTGACCGCAAGGACGTTGCTGTTGTCATTGGTGTGACCCAGATTCTTGGTTCCTTCGGAAGTGCCTTTGGTAGCGCTTTGGCCGGAGGTGTCTGGACCCAGTACTTGCCTAAGCGCCTTGAAAAGCACGTTACTGGTCCCTATGACGAGTTCCTTGCTATGAACGATGTCACCTACATTGCTGGACTGGACCCCATTACCAAGCGCCAGATGATTGAAGCTTGGGGTGACTCGCAGAAGCTGATGTCGATCATGTCTGTCTCCTTGGCCGTCTTTGCTTGTATCTCTACACTCTTCATGAAGCACATCGATCTCACCAAGGACCAGATGGCCGAGGAGCTCGAGGTCGAAGCCGCAGCCGCCGAGGGCAAGGAGGAGATCATCGATGAGCCTGGCACCACCTACAACGAGAAGAAGGTCATCGCCTAAACGAACCATCACTCTTATTCCACAACGCATTTATCTACTAGTTCTCCATTAATAAAATACCATCTTGCATTGTTTTTCTCAACCACACCACATTTTTTCGTAACATTTACAGTCTGAGGTGCCCTTTGGTGTTTCTTTGACAGGTTTGCCTGTCCGCCTCGCCAGCTCTTTTTTTTCCCCCACGTTTGTTTGTTTATCCAACTCTTTGAGCCTGTGTGCTTGAATTTCTCCTTTACTCCACAACAGCAGCATTAAAACAACATAACAGTCCTCCACACCGTCTATTGCAGCTGTCACCTCTTGAAATCAACAACTCTACATTCCTTGTCGGGGAAATCCCATCGTTCCTGTCAATGAATAGTAGTTTTCTAGTGAACGAAAGAGAGAAACGGTTGGTTGCAACTTGTAATTTTTTTTTTGCTATGTCCTGTTTCCCACTTTCCTTCTACCAAATATCCTCAAGAGGAAGTATGTGGAGGTTGACACATACACATACACATACACATCGAACGTTTTTCTTTTCTCTTTGTAATTTTGAGCCCATATTTTCCAGTTGAGTGTATCTTCCACACAAGGAGGCAAGACACCCTGGCGGCAAAACGTTTACGAACAGGGACTCATCCATCCGATCCACCCTCCTGTCTTGAGTCCAAATGCGGTCATTGCGAGAAAAAAACAAAGGGATTGCAAACAGATCGTTCAAAAGTAAGGAGGAGCGAAATAAGGATGGTGGAATAAACGAAGAGATGAAAAAAAGCATAAGGCAAGTAAGAAAGAATGAAGTGAAGCGTCATTGGACGTCTTCTTTCTCTTACACCGCCGGCTGTTTGGACCCGGGGAATCCATCGATTTCAAAGAAAAAGAAAGCGCAGCAGGCAAGGTAAACATGCAAGGCATGGCGGGCAGAGGACTGGTTTTGGGCAGAAATAAGCTTTTCATTTTTTTTCCCTCAAAGGACGGGTCAGCCCACACGCCACTTCATTTTTCTTTCTTCTTTTCCCTATTTCTAACCGGTTCTTTTTACTTCTGCACCACTTTCCTCTTCCCTTCCTACTTCCCTTCCTACTTCACTCTTTCCTCACTTCATTCCTCATTCTCATTCTCCGCTGTTTGCTCATTCCACCTCCTTTCATGTCCTCCATTTCAGCAACGGCCTCGCACGGGTCCCTGCACACCCACGAGAAGCCGCTTAATTCCAGCAACGTCGGCGGCAAGTTTATCCAGCCAAAGGTCCAGCACAGGAAAGGACTCTTGGGAACACTTGCCAGGCACCAGATTGGTAACTATTCTTTTCCGCAACGAGTGACAAGCTATCGATTGCACATTGAAAGCGCTCAGAGACACGAGGCATATCTGCTTTGTTCAAGACGACTGATTATAGTTGAAGCTGGACAGGACTCAATTCAGGAAGAAAAGTTGTTTTTTTTCGATGGCAACAGGACTGATACTCACTCGATCGTCTGTCCTCGGTCGAGAGTTGTCGTCTCCTTTTCTTTCGACGCTTGGATACATCATGGACAAGTACAAGGCGGCTACGCTGGAATGACGATCATCGTCTGTTTCCTCATACACACCTGTCCATAGCAGGAATATCTCGTCTTGAATATATTTGACTTTCCTGTGTCTGTTTTCCAACCTCCTAACTCCCTCTTTTTCTCTCTGTTTCTCTTCTTTCGTTTGAATAGATGCCCCCTTGATTGCCATCCTGACGATCCTCGGGACGTATGCCCTCTTCCCCAATTCATTCGCCAAAAAGTTTCTATTCTTCCAGGAATACGACGCAATCACAAACACATACGAGAAATCATGGGAGGATCTCTACTTTTGCTTGTTCTGGGTTACGGTGTTTACTTTTCTCAGAGCCGCCGTGATGACATATATCCTGATGCCCATGGCTGCCCGTTTCGGCGCGACAACCGACCGTTCGATTCTTCGTTTTGCGGAACAGGGCTGGATCTGTATCTATTACTCATGTAGTTGGGTTCTTGGCATGGTAAGTTTTTTTTTTTTGCTTTACGCAGCATTAGCCTTTCTGCTTCATTATCCTATTTGCTTTGTTTCTTTTTTGTTTTTTTCGGGCCGGTCATACCTTTCGCCCTTTGAAATATTTTTTCTTGTGTGATGTCGGTTTTTGTAAGCAGGTGAACCTATTTTCACTTGAATCGGGCGTCTGGATCAGGCAGGCAGAAGACAACAAACCGTGGACCTACAAGGCATTAAATCATACAGGAGAGCAGGGTTAAACATTAAGCCAACAGCAAAGTGACATACGATCGCAGTAGAATCTAACAGCAAACTCTTTTTCATCTTCATTCTTCTGTAGTACTGCATCCAACTGACTCCCACATGGAACAACTGGTTTGTGTGGTTCCACACCGACCAGTTCTTTGACAGCTACCCTCTCACTGCCCTGCCTGTCATCACCAAGTACTACTACTGGCTTCAGTTTTCGTTCTGGATCCAGCAGATGTTTGTTCTCTGCATTGAGGCTCCTCGCAAGGACTTTTTGGCCATGATCAGGTTCGTCAGTCCCGTCTATTCTTCTTTTGTGTGCTAAGAGCGTTTGTCATTATGTATGAATCGTGAATCAATTGACTGGATAGTATCTAACCTACACTCTTTTTTACCTGTCAATTGAACAATGTAGCCACCATTTCGTTACGGTCTTGTTGATTATCTGCTCATTCTTGCTGGACGTGACAACATTCGGAACCGCCGTCTTTGTCTCGATGGATCTCGCAGATGTTGTCCTCGCCCTGGGCAAGTGCTTGAAGTACGTTGGAATGCCAGACAGCATCTGCGACCCCGTCTTTGCATGCTTCATGTTCATCTGGATCTACACCCGCCATTTCCTGTACGGCCATATCATCTATGCCTGGACCATCTACGCTGGCGAGTACTACACCAAGACGACACACTACACTATCACTGGACTCCTCCTGGTCCTCCAGTCGTTGATGTTCTTTTGGCTGTGGTCGATCTTCAGGATTGTGTACAAGATGTTTGCCAGCAAGGGAGGCGTTGTTGATGACCGCAGTGAGGATGAGGAGGAGATCGTCACCGCGCCAGAACACGTTCACCACAACACTAAGCAGAGACGTTAAAGCGATCTCTGGATTGACATTTTGCATTGGACAGGGCAGAAGCGAAAGAAGGAGGCGGAGGCAGGAAAAATCACCCCATTTTTTTTTCTGTTTGCGCACATACCCACAGCCGTGTGTTTATCCCTGTCAAAGCACTTTGCCCAACTCCCAAAAAAAAAACTTCATGCACATACCATTTCCATCAGCAACTCCTTTTCTTTCTTTGCTTATCCATCATGCTACTATTATCATAACTTCTAATACCTGTAATAAAACCTTCTAGTCTCTGTTGAGACAGAGTTTCCCTTTTTTTTTTTTTGTTGAAGAACATGAGCAACTTGTGGGCGCTTACCTCGTTTGATGCGAGCTTTAGTTCGTTATGGGGCTGGCTGCTTGAAGGTCTTACCCACTCACTTGCGGGTGATTGTGAGGTGTATTTGGGATGTCTTGAGCTCTGAGTATTGCATATATAGATGCACGCTGTCCTCGTGCTCTTATCTCAGTTAAGGATAGCAATTGCATTGGTTCATGTCAGTCTCCGATTGTCTGAGAGTACCGTAATCTTTTTTTATTTGGATGAAGATGAGAATGAAGTGCATAAGAAGAGTGAAGAGTGGGGGGGATATATATGCTGAATTCTTTGAAGTGTGTGTGTGTGTGTGTGGATGAGGCGGATGGCATCTATGCGGCTTCTTGAACAACAGCGGTCGTCGCGGATGTAGAAGCGCCATTCTCCAGACGAGCTCTCGAATCAGCCAAGACCCGATCAGCAGCATCCCAATAGATCTGCTGGTTATAAACAAAATCCGAAGATCCTCCAAACTCCCGTTCTAGCATATCCTCAGGAATCATATCCAGCAAGTTGACCTGATCCGTTGATGTTCCGTCTTTGTTGTCCTTGTTTGCTGATGGCTTTTTGGAAGATGCCGTGGATGCTGCGGAGGATGATACGCCGTTGGTGAGTTCGATTTCGGAAGCCGCTGCGGAGGAAGGGGCCGAGATGATGGTTTTTGGTTTTGGTTTTTGCTTCTTCATGTCGACAAAGTTGATCTTTTCCTTGGTGACGGGGTCGATGAAGGGCGAGATCAGCTTGAAGAATGGGAAGAAGAACCATGGTGCTATTATTATTCACACACACACACCAAAGTCGAAGGGCAAAGCAGAGGGAAGGGGTGTTGTGAGCCACGGGAATAGATTACGGTCATTTCTCCTAGTATCGCATCATTCATTCATTTGCATGAATACAAAGATAAAAAGAGATCCCAAATATACCAAGAAAAGAGAGAGCAAAGCTAACCAGAACACATACCATGGATGATGTACCCCTTTCCAAGGCGCTCAGGGTAATGGTTTCCGAGGACATTGATAATCTCTCGGGCGACTGCCACGCCTGGGTTCTTGGTCATGGACGATCCTGCAAAGTCGATGATGATGCACAGCTTCTCGACCCCCTCGGGCATAAGGGCGAGAGCAATCTCGAGGTGGTAGACAACATGACGGATCTGAGAGGGCGACGCTGCGGTATTTTCCAGGCGGGGCTTCATATACAGCAACGGACGGGATTCCATGTCAAATCCTGAAACGTACAACTTTCCCACCGCAGTCTATTTCCGGTAAAATGTCCATGACGAACGAGTCAGTTTTTTTCCCATATTTTCATTCTTGTTTTTTTGTTGTCCAGGTGCCATGAACCGGTTTGTCCTGCTGGATCCAGTTATTTCCATGTCGGTGAGTTCCTTTTTGCTATCCCTGCGTCATTCTTCTGTGCCCGTGTACATCATTCAGCATCTTTTCTGGTATTCTTGTTCCCTCAGTTATTTGACACAATCAAGCTCCAGTTGCTATTTTTTCCCTCCTGTATATTGTGGGAATCAAGCCAGGTCCAGTCCAGTTCAGCAGCTAACCTGCGGTGGGCCGTTGGGGTTCATTAGTGAATGAGGGTGACACAGAAGGTGAATATGGTAAAAATAAACAAAAGAATGATAAAGCCCAACAACAATGAACATATGGACAGAAAAAAGTCTAATGGACGGCGCACTAAACTGTTCTCTCATCGGATTCGAGAACAGAATAACTTGCTGTTTGGTTTTTGTCCCTGCACCTTGCCATCATATAGCCTTCCTTGGTCCTTGAGTCTTTCCTTGTGTTCCTTGTTCTTTGTCCGTTCCTCGAGTTCAAATGCCTTCATCCAGTTGGTTGAAAAAAAAAAAGAATGATGGCCTAATTGGTTCTATCCTTTTGTCTCCCCAAAAAGTCAAAGGATGGGCACTAATGCGCACCGACAAAAAAAAAAAGTATTCTTACCTCGATCCAGAGTGCATCCTTATCAGGTTGATTAGGTCCATAAGAATCGCGCCAGAGCATGGACTCCTGGACGGCCTGCTTGGCCTCCTGCAGGTTCCATTTCTTGGATCTGAGGTAACGGATAAGACAACGGTCGTCGGCCCACCGACGGTGAGTCTCTGTCTTAACGACAGTCTCGTGGATGTGGGACCGGAGGGCGTCGAGGGTCTCGGTCTGGGAGTCTGTGAGGGCGTCGGGCTGTTGTGGGGGACGGCATTCCTGGGATGGGGTGAATCTTGGTTGGTGATCTTCTGCAGTCATTGTTGTGGAAAAGTTTGTGAATGAGAAGAGGAATGAGAGAGTGGGGAGTGGAGAGAGAGTGAAAGACTGGGGGGTGTTGGTAGAGAATGAGGGAGAGAAGAAAGAAAGAAAAAAAAAAGAGAAGAGAAGGGAAGAAGCAAAGAAGGAGAGGAGAGATACGATAAAATGATCAGAAGTAAGACAATTCAATTCATTTGTCGGGAAAAGTGATTCGCCGCAGATTGTACAGTCAGTAAAGAAAACTTGAGTGAATCGATCGATGAGCTTGGGCTCGCAATGCGGGGGGGGGGGGGAGAAACAGGTCCAGAAGCAGAAGGAGCGACATAGGACGGACAGATCAAGACCCTAATACTTTTGCTATCCCACCTTCCCCTTTCGACTACTGCCTCCTCTTTTGTTGATCTCGATTGCACTCTTCACCAGGGCTGTCCGTTTGGGCAGCGAGAGGAGTGAATGGTGGCGACCCTTTTTTTACTCTTTTGTTTCGTCATCTCTCACTGTCCTCGAGTCAATTGAAAAAATTGAAAATTGATCGATATGCGCTGTGCATCGATTTTACTTCCTTTGTCACTCCGTCACCCCTTCCCTTGTACATCCAGACTAGTTTCCTGCTTTACACGCACATCCCCTCCAATCCAATCCAATACCTGTTATCCTGGCAATGACGACAGTCGCGACACTAACATTCACAGAGACTGGACAGTCCGTAGGCCTCCTCCAGGATACGACCCTCATCCTTGGTAGAAACACCTTCGTAGGCGTCACATCCCCTCATATCAGTCGCAAACAAGGCAATTGACGCGCATCCATGTCAACGATTGTTTGAAGCAGCAGGACGTAAGAAAAAAAAGGGAATATTCAAACAGGAATACTTACCCCCCGTTCTATGTCTGTCATTCATTCCATGCAGTCCAGCTGACCTCAAAGGGAGACGAAATCACAATCACGAACCTCGGAACAAACCGATCCTCACTCAACGGCAAAGCACTCTCCAACGACACACCCTCCAAGGTCAAGGACAGCGATGTCATTACCCTTATCGAGGTAAAAATACATCTACCAAAGTGGGGTTCTCAACGTTCAGATTCGACGCATTGCACATGACATCTCATGTCCTCTAAATGCAATTTTTGCCGACATTTTTTTCAATGACGAACAAAAGAACAAATTTCAAGTTCTGATACAGCTCAACAGCGACTCGAGTCCCGCACAGGACAAGAGCACCAGGAAGGAGTCTCCTGTCGGTATTGCCAGCAGTGGTAACACGTCGTCGCCTTTGAAACCACCACCCGCCTTCCCGCGTTCCGCACCTCCTTCTAAAAAAACCGAGACTCCAACTGCAACAACGACCACTGGAACCACAGAGAGACCAAAGACGGATTCGCTGTCAGCATCAAGGGCACCCGCCGCAAGTACCACCATCAATGCCATCACATCCACTACTGCCGCTACAGCAAATCCGGTCTATACCAATTTAACGCGTGCTCATGACCCGACAAATATACCACACAGCTACAAGGATATCGATGATATCCACAGAATGGAGATTGTCGACGACTCGGAAAACACGTCCGATTCTGACAAGGAGGACGCCATGGACGTCGACGCGCGATCCAGCGACATCTCAGCAGAGTCCAGCTTCATCTGCGAGGACCTCACCGACTCGGGGAATGGGTCCGATTCCGACGAAGGACATTGAATAATAAAATCATAGTGTAAATAATTGAATCGATTCCATTTTTATTTCTGTTACGTGTTCAGGTTGATTACTTGGTCTTGAGCTTCTTGTTGGAGTTGCCCAAGGACTGGACATACTTCAAAAGGCGTTGCTCTCTCTTGGCGGCATGAATCATCAACGCAGAACCGGGCGAGAAAAGGACAGCCAGGACCAAGTACAGCAGGGGATCAGCAATTGACCGCGCATCTGTCAGAACCCAGAACAATCCACCAGCAATCGCGCCGAAATGGTCCCAGAGCAAAAAGTACGCGGGCGCGTACATGAGATGCTCAACGCGGAAGCCGTGGTCAAAGGCCTTGAGGATATGCTCGATAGGCGTAGTTCCGTGCCAGAAACCAATTAGACCAACATAATAAAGTCCTGCATTGATTCCTGCCGTGACCAAGAAGGTGTCCCGGAGCAGGCGGCGGGCGTCCCTGTCTTGCTCAGTCTTTTGCGCGTCAGTCTTGCCCTTAAGCGAGGCCAGTCCTGTCACCTCGAAGAACCAAGTCAGGGGCGTGTAGATGAGCCAGAGCGAGAGCATGATGACAATGTTAACGGCGGTGCTCAGAGGGATCCACGAGTTCTCTTCTCCAACGACAGTGGGTCCAGGGGCGAACAAGACAGCGACGGCGAACCAGAGTGCGACCAGAGTAACAATCAAGGCATAGACTCTTGCCAGGGAGATGGAAGATCCAGCAGCGGTCGACTCTACACGGGAGCGGCCCTTGATCGAGAGGGGGACAAAAATGACGGGCAAGTAGATACCAATACCGGTCAGGTACGAGAAGAGAGCAGAGAAGGGCGAGAGCGACATGAGGGACCAATGGTTGCCCTTGCGACTAGCCTCGACGATCGAAAGGAGCATGATGGGCGCCAAGAAGGGACCCAGCTGCATCAAGACCAGACGGCCATAGTCGGTACGCGTGCTGTCCTCAAAGTAAGGGCGGAGGATACAGACAATACGGTCGACACCGGGAACGGGGATATGGGTGTCTTCGGCTGCCAAGATTGGGACGAGACACTTCTGGGTGCTGGGCTCGATGTACTCTGGGGTTGTCTGAAGGAGGTACAGAAAGATGCTGATTCCTGTGGCGACTGAGAGGGTGCCGATCGCGCCTCGTGCGATGGAGTTTGAGATGAGCATCGTGTGACCTGTAGAGGAAGGAGAAAATGACGATGAGAAGGAAATAGAACAAAAGTGCGAAAAGGGCACGACACGAACACAAACGCAAAAATAGTTGCTTGCTTGCTTGCTTGTCTGTTAAAGCATGTGCAAATTGCTACCAACCTGTAATTGAACGCGCCTGGCAGTCACTTCGTTCATAAACTGCCCAGTTCCCAGGAGGGACCGCTGTGATCAGCTGGTCCAAGGGTCCCAGGTGTTGGACCCCCCGGCATCAGTCAGATCATCAAATCGTGGATTGTCGACAGTTTTTGCTGATAATATTTCGTCCTCAATGCGAGTCAACCACAGCGAAGCGAACGGCTAGCTCTGCGCATCATATTGATTTCGACAACTACTGACCATTCATATCGCCTCGCAAGATCCTCAAAGCAGTCACTGGTCCGATACTTACCAGCCAGGTGCAATAAACAATAATCGTACCTGGCCCTGACGCTCCTCTCAGCATTCACCCCTCTCTCAGGACCATTCAGCAAAGACATCAACCATGGCATCAACAGCAGCACAGCAATCAGTTCCCTCGCTCTACAGGTCATTCCTCCGCGTCATCAACAAGTGGCCTGCAGATCCCATCCGCCCCACCCGCAACATGAAGACCGCTCTCCGGAGCCAGGTCACAGAGTCCTTCCGATCTCCCCTCACTACCGGCACTGGTAACCAAGATACCCTCGCCTCGAGAATCAAGGACGCCCAGGCCCAACTCGAGGCCCTCCAGAAGATCACACACAACGAGTTCAAACAGAAGGTACGACAGGAATCCAGGAGTCTTCATCTGTTTGTCTGTTCACACTGGAGGAGGAGGAGGAGGAAGAAGAAGAAATGGGAGTGAACATGCCGGATAAAGCATTGGAACGAATCCGTGCCTGAGTACGCTGACTGACACCATCCTTTTGAACGTGAATGATCCAATAGTACCCACTTTCGCCAAAGCTGTTGACGCCCGCCAGCAACCCCAACTACTACTCAAAGCTCGTCGACATGCTGGAAAAGGAGACTGCCAAGAAGAACTTTGAGGCTATCGGAAAGAAGGGCCCCACCTTCTTCCAGAAGCTCTTCAGGACCGCCAAGTAGGAAGGGAACAGTCAATCTCTTCAGGAAAACACCAACAACAACTTGTATAATAAATGCTGGATAAATCTTTTTTTGAATATTTTTGTTTCTGTAAAAGCTTTTTGCTAGACGATAATGCAAGATTCACTGTAGAAAGGAGTGCCGGTGTATGTGTAGAAGAAGGTGTCGTTTTGTTTGTATTCTGGGTACGAACCTCCAATGTGTTGTAAAAAAAGTGCATGTCATCCAAGAGCATCGCACCTGTTCTTGACTCAAATTCGTTACTTGAAAGGTTGTTCACATCTGAACCATGATCTGTGCGTTCTCAACGCCAACCTCCGTGAGAGTCTTGTCAATATCATCCAAAAGCTGCTTGCCAATAAAGACCAGCTATTCCACAGCAGAAAATAAAATTCGAGTGTGGTTAGCAAACAAATGGACGTCATCGAAGAGCAATTTGAGGTTAAAAAAAGCACATAACTCAACCTGCCTCAAACTGTTGAGTACGGGCATCCTCAACTTCAGACTTGATGTACTCGAACAACGCACGGACGGGTGCAGACTTGGGGAAACGATGCATCAACCGCGATCCATCGCTGAGACGGAAACCAATTCTTGTGGAGGTTGCCAAATCGGTAGGCTCCTCGTGGCGCACTGGCTTTATGCTATCGAACACGGACTCCTCGACAACTTCAACTTCAGGCAGAGGATCTAAGCGCGCGAATAATGAAAACACGAAGGTTATTACTTTACACCCTTCATCTGCCAAATATATTGACCTCATTGTAATGAAACAGGCGAGCTTACCTTCTTCCTCCAATGGCGTCGAAACATCTTCGGGCTCCTCATCAGGGACATCGATGGCATTGGACGCATCGCCGCCCATTGAAGCCATCATCGCTGCATGGAGCTGCTCCTCCTCAGTCATGTCCGATACGTCCTTGACAATCTTCTTCTTCTTCGGCAGCGAAGGCTTTGAAGCAGAGTCCGTGAGCGAATGAATATCTAGGAATTCAGAGACTAGATACAACGAGAGAAAGAGGTAGGCGGGTAGTGAGTATAGTTCCAAGTCTCATGTCTGCGGACAAAATTATCATGATCTAAAATTACATACCATCCGAAAGAAAGTCGACAGGGTCGATGGTCTTGCTCCAGACATGCATTCTTTCGGCTAATTGAAGGAAACACGTAGTAAACCCAAAAATCGACTCCCGTTAGTACTGACCAATGCGCATACGTGTACTCGGCAACTTCCTACTTCCGATGATATTCCAAGCTCACCTGTGCGTGGGTCGATGATTGCGATATGTGGGAATGTCTTCAGAGGGTAGTATGCCGCATACTTCTTGCCTTCCACGCTATCAGAGTAGAACTGTACCCACAGATATATTAAAATGGTCGAGTCAGATTTACATGGCGAAGAAATTGTCGCAAACACGTTGTGGTGAGAGCACAAGAGTTAATCAGGGCACAAAAAGTCGCGCCGTACCTGCAAAAAGATAAAGTTCTCCTTGACAATCTCCTTGACGCTTTGATCGCTCCAGAGATCACGGTTCAACACCTGACAGGCAAACACCCCAGCTTCCTGAATGTTGACCATGAGCCACTTTGTCTCGTTCTTGGCGACATTTCGGCTCTAGATTCAATATAAAAGAGACAATGGCTGTAAGGACCGCAGTACTGTGAATCATGAAATGGCAGTGCAAAGTAATAAACGGCATGGATATTTTCTTTACCTGATCAAAGTCACCTCTAGCCATCATATCGAGCGGCGCCTTGAACAGGTCAGCCAGACGTGAAGTCTTTGGGCTTGAATCTCCTCCCATTGTGGCAGCTTCGGCAGCAAAGTCGCGGAAAGCATCACGAGCAAGAGTAGAGGAATCTGGAGGCAAGAACACGGAGGGAGCAGCACGGGCCCCTATATAAGACATACAGCGGAAACAAAAGAGGTCAGGCATGCAGACGTCATACTTGTCAGGCTCCCACAAGCGGTATGTTGATCAAAGCCTTAGCTCGGCTCCGTTTCTCATATGTACGGAGACGTCATCCATGTCTGGTTCCTGCCAAATGGTGTGGCTGGTAAAAGCTTTGGTCCGACTCTATCCGTTTCTCATTTTTTTGAAACTTCCTTTCGCCGTTCACCCTCATCTTCTCCGGTCCCTTCTCTTCGCCTATACGAACCCCTTCCTTTGAACTCTAAAGCCAAGCCTGCCTTCTCTCCACTGTCTTTGTGATGCTGCAATGCCACACAGGACTCCTGTGAACACCCTTTGTGTTGAGGCTAAAGCCTTGTCTCCCATCCCTTTCAGGCGAAATTTTCATATCAAACCACAAAATAGTGGCGACCCACACCCACACGAACAAAAAAAGTCAAACTTACGGGAGGAGCCACTGTGGAACATGGAGCTGCTGCTGTGGCCACCATAATCGTCACCTAGGAGCATTTCGTGTCTGGGTGCAATTGGTGCACGGATAGATTGGGCAGCCCTGGAATCCTCTTCTTGGAGCGAACGTGCCAACTCTTCATCCTGATCGAAACCTCCAAAATCACCAGATCCGTCATTGGAGGATGACCGTGAACGACGCTCGCCTCTGCTGACGTTGCTATTATTGTTGTTGTTGGAGGTTGAGGTGGTTCCTGACAGGTCGATTCCTCCGCTCTCCATGTACAGAGTGATAGCGCGGTCAAGTGATCCATCGCAGACCTTGATAAAAAGAAAAATTAGGAGTCGTCCGCATTGTGTATGTCGTCAAAAGGAAATACACAGAACAAAATGGAAGAGGGTATTAGTGACCTTGACTTCAGACTTGCGTGCTTTTTTGGTACGACAAAGGCAAGTACAGTCAGAGTGAGGTGTATTTGTCAGCACGTCAGGGCTTACGGTCAGGTAGTTGGAGGCGACATCGGGGTCGGCGGAGGTGATGGCGCAGAACTGGACAATGTCCTCAGAGTTGATGCTCTCCATGTTTGTTGTTTGATGAATGTGAGGAGAAGAGTTGAGGTGGTGGAGAGGGGTGTAATTCAAAGGGTGGGAGAGAGAATGACAGAAAACGTGGAAGGGAAAGAAGGAGGAAAGTGGAAAAGAGAAAGAAAGATAAAGAACGTGAAAGAAAAGAGAGGGTGACCTGGAAGGGAAATAATAAGGGCTGCAAGCAGAAGAAGGTGCAGCGACGGGAGGAGCGTAGACAAACCTTGAAGGAAGGGGGGAAAAGCCTGATTGTGTGTGTGTGAAGGAAGGGACGACAGCGTGTGTGCCTTTTTCCTTTGACTTTTTTTTTTTTTGCCCTTCGTTCGTAACTTTGCTCATTTGAATCGCGTACGTAGTTTACTGGCAGTCACACCATTTAGGTCATAAAAGTTTTATTATCGCTTGAACACTGACTGTGCCACCCTTTCACTCACACTTCACCCACGACTTCCACTCTTCACACATCATCCCCATTCCCCCTTCTTCCACTACCCCTTCCCCCTTCCCCTTCCCTTCGCCTTCCCTTCCCCTTCCCCCACCCAATCCTTCACCATGGGAGTTCCCGCCCTCTTCAGATGGTAACAACGACTTCACACCTTGCTGTTGATTGGACTGATCAAGATCTTGAACCACGCGTAACACGAAATACTCATTGTTATTATTATTGCTCCATGTAGGCTTGCCAACAAGTACCCCAAGATCACAACCAATGTCGCCGAGGAAAAGCCAAAGGAGATCAACGGTGTCGTTATCCCCATCGACATCACCCAACCCAACCCCAACAACGAGGAGAACGATTACTTATACCTGGATATGAACAACATTATTCATCCTTGCTGTAAACCTGAGGGAAAGGTACTACAAACAGACCCCAGCTCCAGCTGCAGTTGTTTGACCGCTGACCACTAAGCCGATCCGACACATCTATTCTCGTTTACTAATCGGATATTTGCTCTTATGAATTTGACTTCATTACTCCTATAATAGCCACCACCAGCGAATGAAGAAGAGATGATGATTGCCATCTTTGCCTATATCGAGCGCATTGTCAACATGGTCCGACCCCGCAAGTTGCTTTACATGGCTGTTGGTAAGGCCTCGTTTTCTGTACAACTGCATTTTCATGCACAACCATTTTTCGTCGTTCATACATATCCCTGCCTACAGTTGATGAAACGGCACTAATGACTCTTTTTATTGACGCACTGACGATTTAGATGGAGTTGCCCCTCGTGCCAAGATGAATCAGCAGCGGTCGAGACGTTTCAGAACTGCGCAAGAAGCCAAGGAGAAGGCAGCAAGTGAGGAAGCCGCATGGGAGGAGCTTACAGGTATGCATATCTCCCTGTTCACGATCTGCGGCACCTGCCAAGCATTCACTCTTTTTTGCTGATGTGATGTTAGTGCACGATCCATTATTTTATTTCTTTGTCAAACTCTGTATTAACTCATATCATTATTTAATATCGTTTTAATAGCTGAGTTGAAAGCGCAGCGCCCCGATCACGACAAGGAACAAAAGTTTGACTCCAACTGTATTACACCAGGAACACCCTTCATGGTCAATCTCGGAAAGACATTACGATTTTGGGTCGCCAAAAAGCTGAACGAGGATCCCGGCTGGATGAATATGAAGGTTATTCTTTCAGACGGCAGTGTCCCCGGAGAGGGTGAGCACAAGATGATGAACTTTATCCGCTCCCAGCGATCAGCACCTCACCACAACCCCAACACGAGCCACGTCATTTATGGATTGGTATGTATCCTGCCCTCTATTATTATTCAATTGTTTGATCCTTCAACCCAAGATTAAGGCGACATGTAAAACTAACAATGAGTCCTCTAATTTGTTATTGTAGGATGCCGATCTAATCATGTTGGCTCTTGGAACACACGAGCCCTACTTCAAGGTGCTTCGTGAGGATGTCTTTTTCCAGGAGGGCAGCTCAAAGAATAAATGCTTTCTTTGCAACCAGACGGGACATATGGCTGCTCAATGCCAGGGCAAGGCCAAGGTCAAGTCGGGAGATTTCGATGAAAAGGCTCCACCTGTCACTGAGAAACCGTACATCTACCTCAACGTCAGCATTCTCCGTGAATATCTCGAGGTGGAGCTCAAGGTCGAGAATTTGCCTTTCGAGTGGGACATTGAGCAGGCTATTGATGACTGGGTCTTCCTGTGCTTCTTTGTCGGAAACGATTTCTTGCCCCATCTTCCCTCTCTGGAGACCCGCGAGGGTGCCATTGACGTCTTGATCGAGATTTGGAAGCAAGTTCTTCCATTGATGGGCGGGTACATGACCCACGACGGCGATGTCAATCTCAAGCGCGCCCAGTTCTTGATGACCGAGCTCGGCAAGAAGGAGGACGGAATCTTCCAGGAACGTCGCGAGAAAGAGGAGCGTCGGGCTAAAAACAACAAGCGCAGGAAGGTCGAGGACGAGGCTAGAGCCTTGTATGCTTCTCAACAAGGAGGCGCTGCCCTCTCCCAGAACAAAGTATGGGAGATGCCCGCAGTCGCCGTCAAGGGCTTGAGCAACAAGGCCGAGGCCGAGAAGGAGGTCGCTGCTCTTAACAAGAAGATCATGGAAGAGAAGGTTCAGAGGAGGACTATCACCAACCATGCCGCTGCTGCTTTGCTCAAGGCCGACCTCGCTAAAAGCGATGAACTTGTCGGAGCAGCTGAGTCTACCGCTGCCACTGATGCTGCTGCTGACGCCCCCGAGAATGATGAGGTGAAGGAAGGCGAGAAGATGGAGACAGAGTCTACCGAGGAGAAGAAGGAGTTAGAATCTGCAGAGGAGAAGGCAGCCGAGGAGATCGCAGCCTCAGTAGATACGGAGATGACCGAGACCAACCCCCGGAAGAGATCAATTGCCGAGGTCGAGGACAACGAAAATGAGGCTTCGAACGACGAAGAGGAAGATGACACTGAAGCGGCTGCAACACCCACCCCTATCCCTACTGCCATCGCCAAGAAGAAGGCCGTCAACAATGACGAAGAACCAGAGGATAACGTCAGGTTATGGGAGCCTGAGTACAAGGAGCGTTACTACCGCAACAAGTTCCACATTGAGCTTTCTGATACTGAGGCTCGCAAAGCGTAAGTGAACCGATATTTTATGCCCGACCATGTCTGCGTGCAGTTGTTCAACGGATTGCATACTAATTCTACGTTGTTGCTTTTCTACAGTATCGTCAAGAGCTACATTGAGGGCTGCTGCTGGGTTATGAAGTACTACATGCAAGGATGCCCTTCGTGGCAGTGGTACTACCCCTACCACTTCTCTCCTTTTGCTTCGGACTTTGTCGACATTGGCGATATTGAGGTCAAGTTCGAGGTTGGTCAGCCTTTCCACCCTATCGAGCAGTTGATGGGAGTGCTGCCTGCTGCCAGTAAGCAGCACATTCCCCCAGCCTTCCAGCCCCTCATGTACGAGGAGGACTCGCCTATTATCGACTTTTACCCCGAGCATTTTGAGATGGATTTGAACGGCAAGAAGTTTGCATGGCAAGGAGTCGCTCTTCTTCCTTTCTTGGACCCTAAGCGTCTGCTGGACGCCATGGCACCACTCTACCCCAAGTTGACTGAGGACGAAGTTGAGCGCAACAAGTTTGGTCAGGAGGTCCTTTTCGTCAGTGAGAAGAGCAAGCTCTACGACCCTCTCTGCGATAAGCTTTACAGCTCCCGCAGCGAAGGCGAAGAGTACGATCTGGAGTACAAGAAGAGTGGTCGTCTTTTGGGTCTCGCTAAGCGCGATCCATTCTGCATTCCTCAGAGTTCTTTCCCTTCTCCTCTTGTCGATTATGGTCTGGAGGACATCCCTGTTGACAAGTCAATCAGTGTCATTTTCTCGAACCCCAAGATGCCCGCAGAATACATTCACCCCTCATTGATGCTTAAGGGCGTCAACTTCCCCAAGCGCGTACTTTCGGGCGACGATATCCAATGGATCAAGAGCGGAGGTGGAACTCAGAGAGGAGGTGGCCGCGGTGGCCGCGGAGGTTTCCGTGGTGGCGGCCGCGGAGGATACAACAATCGAGGACAGAGCAATGGCCAGTACGGCGGCAGTTTCGATCGCAACGCCCGAGGTGGCTCTGCAAGCTTCCGTGGCCGCGGCGGTTTCACTGCTGATAACCGCGGTGCTTCTGACAGGACCTACCCTGGCCAGAGCTACGACCGTTCCTACAACAACAACCAGGGCGGACAAGGTGGATATGGCGGCTACAACGGAGGACCCAGCCATGATGGCTCTCGCTTCCCTCGGCAGGATCCTTACCAAGGTTACGACTCGCGCCCTGGCCATGTCGGCTATGGCGGTGGACGTGGTGGCCGAGGCGGCTACGGAGACTCTGGTCACCGTGGTGGCTCACGAGGTGGCCATGGCGGATATAGCGGTGGCCACCAAGGACAGGGCTACGGAAACCAAGGTGGCTACGACAACGGTGGTCACAGCGGTCATACCGGTCACGGTGGTGGATACAGCGGTCGTGGAAGCGATCGCGGGCCTCACCCCTACAACAGCCAAGGAGGCAACCCTCGTGGCGGCTATGGGGGTCACCGTGGTAACCACCAGAGTGGTCATCAAGGTGGATACCAAGGAAGCCAACAAGGCGATTACGTGAATGGAGGTGGCGGGTATGGTGGCGGCGGACGTGGTGGCGGATATGGCGGTGGTGGTCGTGGAGGCTACAACAATAACAACGCCGGCGGCGCAGGACGATTCCCACAGCAGCAGCAGCAGCAGCAGCAACAGGCACCAGTCATTCCTGGGTTTGCACCAGTCAACAACTACGGACCTCCTGCACCAGCCTATGGAGCGCCACCTGGGGGAGGATATGCTGGAGCGTTGCCACCAGGCATTGTGCCCGGACACGGTGCACCAGCTGCTCAGGCACCCACCCAGGGCTGGTACGGCCATGCCAACAACCCACCGGCTCAACGTGGAGGACGTGGTGGCTTCAACAACAACCTGCCTCCCTTCCCCTATCCTCGCCAATAAGCCCTCCCTTCTCTTGTTTGTACCATACTTTTTTTTGCGTTCCTTATTATTATTCTCTACACAAGCAGCAACCATCCTTTTTTTTTTTTCTTTTTTCCAATCTTACTTCGATGCAACTCCTCTTCCATCCTTGTACCATAGATCAAAGAGAATAAAAAAATCAAAAAGAAATATATATATTAACAAGTGACACATGTTTATTTATTATTTCTCCTCGAATCTCAACTCGGTTGTCCAGACAACGGGGGCATTAGTCTTGATGGTGACCTTGGGTCCGACCAGTGCGTTGGAGGTACTGATCTGTGTGCCGAAACTTGTCTTCCAGTCCTCTATTGCAGCATATAGAATGGAACGAGAGGATGTCAGTCCATGTAGCATGTAGGTAGTGTATGCAACAAAGCGAAAACGAAAGGATTTAATTACCGACGTCCCATTTGAGGCCGGTAGTTGTTAGAATGGCCTCGGTAGATCCGACAGGGATGATCCCGCAAGTTGGGCCTTCGACGTCTAAGTTACAGGTAATCTCATGCGTTCCCTATTTGTGTGATATCGACGAGCAAGGCACATTATGAGACAAGGTGATAGGACACAGATACTGGCCGCGCAGAAAGAGCTTAAAGAGGCGTGAGAAAAGGCGGTGGAAGACGTAGACTTACAGCGCCAAGGACGACAACAAGACTCTCGTCCGAGACCAAGGTAGCATGCCGTTCCTGGTTGAGGATGTAGAGGTGGTGGATACTCGACATGGACTGATCGAATCGACCGCCTGTACCTCCCAAGGCGACGATCCCGAGATTGCTCGCCTGACGTTCCTCCAGGGTTCTGTGATCTGATGCTTCTGAGGTTATTGCTGGTGCTGTTGATCCTGCTGTTGTTGTTAATGATGGTGGTGAGGGGTCACGGGCGCGGACGAGTTCTACGCACTTCATGAAATCGGTCGAGTATTCGCTATCGTCGCGTTCCACCGGCACTCCCTAGAATTTTTCACACAGAGCAACACTAGATAGTTAGCAATCAGAAAACGGTGAATATCTTCAATGTTATTTGAAGATCACGAATTACGTGCTGCCGTTAGTGTACCTGGGATTGGTAGTAGTTCTTGACAGAGTCGCGTAGCGAATCCAGATCGCCTCGGATGTAGTCGGGAAGGTACCTAATCGCAAACCGCGGGAAAAAAAAAGAAACTCAAATCGCGTGAGACTTTGATCAATTGAGATAATAATAAAAGCGTTCCTGAATCCTGGCGAGTCGTCCTTCCTGGTACTCCTGGTGAACCATTCATACTTTGAGCGCTCCTCGTCGGTCTTCAGCAGATCGTATAACCGGTTGGCCCCACCGTCTGCGCAGAATCGGTACGTAGCTATAACCACGACAACAGTACATGGATCAAAAACAGATATGTCAATTAAGGCATCATCAAGGTCTTGGTCTCTCGCAAAAACATCTATCCTTCGGCGTGTCCCTCTTCGCCTCCCAATGATTATTTGCAATGCCCCAGTCCGTTATAACGAAAGGCTCACCATTTTGCCAGACGTTGTTGAAGAGGGTGCGGTGAATGAGGATGGGCTGATTCAGAATAATGAGCGCAAATTTGCCATGGTGGCCTGCCATGGCATCACTGTTGGCAGAGACATATTTCCGTTGGTATTCCTGAGGATCCTCGAGACACTTGCTTGGTTGCCAGTTCATGATGTTTTCTTCTTCTGCAGAATGGGGTATCTTGTTGGGGCACTTGGGGGGGGGGGGGGGGGGGGGTGTGAAGAAAAAGAGCAGAAAGGGGTTGGGTATACTTGAGTGAAAAAACGCCCATTTGCGACACCCTTAAGCCAGGAACACTGTTTGACGGATTTGAAGCATTTTTTTTTTTTTTTCTCTTTAGTCGTCAACCCAACTTACTCCTTTGAAAAAGAAGCGCGTTTTCCAAGTGCATCCTTGGAACTATACTTCCCATGATAAATGTTGCTCTTTCTCTTTATCATATCGCGTCAACCCAAGGCAGACATAGTAAGATATTCTTCTGGCTTTTTATTTTGTTTCCGTAAAGGAAAAAGTGTTTGCGAATTTCTTTTCTTTTTTTTTTCGCAGATCGTTTCTAAGAGTTAAAGTTGGTCATTACAAAAGGGGGTTGGGAAGGAAGGTGGAAGATGATAGGAGGGAGAGAATATTAGGCTGGCAAGCTATCATTAGGAATGCCAATGAGTATTATAATACTAGTAATTAAGTCGTAAGGTAAAGGAATGCGGAAAGAAGAAGTAGGTACTATGAACAATGGATAGGGTCAACCAGTATCCCATTGCAACACGCGCAGTCATAACAGAAAAAGGAAAGGATCCAAAGAAGAAACGCCTGGCTCGTAAAGAGTAAAGAAAAAAAAGTGAGAAAAGAAAAGGCAAACTGTTTCTTCGTTCAAGAGTGAATAAAATGGTGGAAAAGAATAGGAGAGGAAGATCGATTAACTTGCAAAATAGGCTGAAAGGAAAAACAATGTAAGGAGGAGTGAAAATGAACTAGGAGCGAACAGAAAAGATAGGGAAGATGGGAAAGACTTAAATGGAGGCAGCCCTAGCCCTTCTTCCCTTCATAACTGTTTATATTGAGACTTCAGCTCATTTTGGGTTGGGTTGAGCTACCTTTTGTTGGCTTTAGTAGTAGGCGGGGAGACCCTGATCGACAGCCAACTTGTTGACCACAGCCTTGATCCAGGCCTCAACCACAGCGGGATCCTCTGAACCGGGGCCGTCCTCAAGAGTCTGGACCTGGCGCTTGACAATGGGCTCGGTAGCAGCACCAGTGGTGGCGATGGTGGGAGAAGGCGAGGCTGAGTCGGTGGCAGAGGCAGTGGCAGTCGAGGTCGAGGCATCGCTCGTGGTGGCGGTGGCTGTGGGCGAGGGAAGAGCAGTCGAGGTCGAGTTATTGGTATCGGCGTGGACGAGGCCAGCGAGACCGGCAGGCAGAGCACCGGCGGGGGCCTTGCCTCCGATCTGGACCTTGATGATGGTTTCGGTTTGGTTGTATCCGACGTTACCAAGGTATCCGCTCTGGCCTCCAACGTAGGTGGTGATGGTCGACTGGACTTCGAAGGGGACATCAGCGGCGATACCGAGAATCATCTGGGGGTATTTCGTCATGAAAGGGAGGAGTGTACTCATGAAGCCGAAACCGGCAGGCGAGGACATGGTGACGGTGGGCGAGAGGACAGTTGACTTGGGGGGAACAGTCAGGTTGACTTCTTCGTCGAGCTCACCAAAGTACTTGCCCTGCCAGTAGTTGGTGGCCTTCATCCTCTTGATAAACAGAGGAGTATCGAAGGGGTTGTAGATCATGACCTGGACAGGGGTCTTACGAGGCTCAGTCATCTATTGAGGGCAATGGTAGCTGTTATTAGTTTTCATAATTACAATGAACGAGTGAAATAGAAGACAATAAGTAAGAACGCAGAGCAAAGCATTACCTGCAACATGTCCAAGATGTTGGGCTGGGCACCGCTGCCGACGGGGATCAACTTGTCGGAGATACCCTTGATGGTCGAGGCCATCTTGACCGAGGCCATGGCTTCCTTCAAGGATTCAACCTTGGTCGAATCAGCAGCACCGGCAACATCGAGAGTGAATGAAGCGCCAGCGATGAAACCAGTCAAGAAACCATCGCGAACGTGCTCGTTGGAGGGTGCCAAGTGGAAGACAGCGGGGAGGGTGTTGGCACCGGGGGAGAGGATCATGTCGTTGACAACAGCGCGACCCATTTTGTTACCGGCGTAGCCAATGTTGAAGGCAACATCACCAACCTTGACGGTCAGGCCAGAGGGGTTCTGGAGGACGACGTTCTGGTTGATCACGAGGTACTCCGATGTACCGCCAACAATCTTGATGTCAGTGATCGAGGCACCTCCAACATTCAGGTTCATACCAGCCATGGTTGAGGCAACATTGACAGCAACACCGGGGATGGTGACAGCACCGGCAGCGGTCTCGGCAACAGTGTCAGCGGTTCCAGACAAGAAGAACTGAACTCCGGGACCGGTGGTCAAGATTGTAGAGAACTTGTTGAAGATCTCGTGCGAGTCATCATTGACGTTCAAGGGCTGGTTGGAGTAGGCAGTCTTCAAGAGACCAGGGGCAATGGTCTGGGCATCTCCCAAAGGAAGCTTGAGGTTAGCGACGTTGCTGCCCTGGGGGAGCTGAATGTTTATGTCCTCGGCGACCTTGGTGATGCTGAGAGGGAACGAGAAGGGGATCTTGAACGAGGCCTCGATGTTGTCGGACGAGGTCATGACGCTATAAGGGTTGGGGCCGGTGAAGTCCAAGGACATAGTCTTAAGGGTAATGCCAGTGATGATGTCCTGCTTGCCAAGACTGGGGAGGGTAACGTTCATGGTCAAGGTCTTGAAGGCAGAGTCCAACCAGGAGACAGGGCCGCTGGCGGGGGTGACAGACGTTCCCTTGACGATCAAGTTGGGAGTACCACCGTTAAGGGCCAAGCGGAACATGTCACCGAGAGCCTTGAGACCGGCCTCGGAGGTCTGCTTGGTCAAAGTACCCTCCATGGCGATAGGGGTCTGGCCCGAGGGGAGCAACTTGAGGCCAGAAGTTCCGACATATCCGATATCCTGGCCCTGGAACTCGTTGGAGAACTGGACAGTGCCCATGTCGATACCGACGTTGGAGGGGTTGGTGAGCTTAGCGGTGAGGACAAGGTGGATACCGTTGGGGTCATTCGAGGGAAGATCGTACTTCTCAATGACCAAGTCCTTGAGGCCGTTGAAACCCTTGAGGCTAACCTTCTTCTTCATGTTGATACCGGGGATGGGGGCACCCATGGCAATGACAGTCATGTTCGAAGCAACAACCTCCCAGTCAAAGGCCTCAGCCTTCAAGGAGTAGCCGACAAAGGCACCCATGTTAGCAGAGCTGGCGACATGGAAAGGAACGTTGGTCAAGGCAAGCTTGGCACCGACATCGGCCTTGGCAGAGACCTGGGGCATGGCAATCTGGCCGATGGGGGAAGACTCGCCACCGTTGATCCAGGAGACGGTGGAGCCGCTGGGGAAGGTGATCTCGGCATCGAAGGGGCCAGTGTTGCCAATGAGACCGTTGATGTTGGTGGTGAAGTCAGTCTCGGCGGGGCTGTTGATCATGACGCTGTCAAAGGCCAAGGTGGCCAAGTCGACAATAGACTGAGCAATGGGGCGACCGACAATGGGGAGAAGCTTCAAGATGGTGTCATCGGTGGAGGTGGGGACGCCAGGCTGGGTGAGAGTGAGCGAGGTCTCGTATTCACCGACCAAGACAGTGACAGACATGGCAACATCGACCTTGAGGCCAGCCATGGCAGCCTTGACAAAGTTGGGCAAGTTGAATCCGGTAAAGACAGATGAGGGGATCTTGACGGTGGGGTCCTTGGCCATTTGAGTCAAAGCCTTGATGGGCTCAGCGTTGAGGTTGTTGACGGCAGCCTGGTCGACCATGAGGGCCATAAGAGAGTCGAGGCTGAGGTCCATGGACAAGGGCAGGGGCTGAGATGCCTGCTGGCTCATACCGGCAACGCTGATGGTGACGGAAGGCAGGTCAATAGATCCGAGGGTGCGGCCGTTGTAGGTGACAGTCGACTTGATGGACTTGATTGTCAGGCCGGGGACGAAGGGGTTGTTGACAGTGACGGTAGCCATGGCAATGCCGGTCTCGCCGGTATTGTCGAGGATAGTCAAGGCGGTGCCCAAGAGGAGCTGAGCGGGATTGCCGGGCATGTTGGACTGCAACTGTACACTCGCCAAACCAGCGGCCAAGGGGGCGATAGCAGAGGACGAGGAGGAGCCGAAAATGTCAACGGTAGCAGCTTGGTTGGACATGTACTTTTGCAAGAGAGCCTCGCCACCAGGAGTGCCGGTGGGGGTGAAGATAGCGCCAGCAGTGCGGAGGTTGACACCAGGAACCAAGTTCAACGCGGGGAAGATGACAGTTCCTACGTTGTCGCCCTCGTACTGCATGGCAAACGTAACAGGGGAGTTCTCGCCGACACCGGTGTCGATAGAAAGCTGGGAGGGGTTGACCATGGTCAAGTTAAGGGCAATTTGAAGACCAGTTGGGGTACCACCGATAACGGTCAAACTGTTGATGACAGTGGGTTCGGTCTTGAGACCTTGAAGACCAGACAAGGCGACGTCAGACTTGAAGGGAATGCCGATGATGCGGACCTCTCCAATGGGGGTAGTGGCAACGGTGCCAGCTGTACCCCTGACGGTGAAGGGCTGGCTGACTCCAACGGTCAACTTGGTGACAAAGTCATCAAAGTCAGCATGGGAATCGGCGGCAATGGCGAAGGGAGTAGGAGGCAGGGCAAAGTTGATGGCAGTGCCGTTAGCATCCTTGGTTGTGACGGCTGCGCCCCACTCGAGGGCGTTGAGGGTGGCCATATCCTTGTTGTTGTAGATGACGGTCATGCTGTTCTGGACTTGGGTGACGTTGAGCGAGAAGCCGAAGGGCATCTGGAAGCCGGCGACGACACCAGGGGAGTTAGCAAGGGGAGCATAGGCATCGGCGTTGGTCCAGTTCATGCCCATGGGACCGAGGGTGATGGATTGGATAATGTTGAGACCCGCGGGAGCAACGAGAGGGACGTTGAGGGCCATGGACTTGAGACCGGCCGAGAGCCAGCCAACCTCGTTGACACCATCGGGCAAGACGGAAACACCCTTGGCGGTGGTAACGGAAGTGCCGCCAGCAATGTAGGCCGAGAAGAGCGCGCTAAATAAGACAGAGTAATGAAGGGTTAATTAGACAACAGAGGACAAGGTACCTAAACTAGCGTCAATTGATTTACCATTGAGCAAGGAACTTAAAAAGCAGACTATTATACATACCTGACGGTGGCAAGGCCCTCGGGGGTGGTCTGAGGAGTCATGATACCAGTGAGGTTGAGGATGGACTGGGAGTTGCCCATGAGAGAGGCACCGGTAGCGCGGACCTGACCAAGGGCAGTGCCGTTGAAGCCGATGTCGAGGACGATGGTTCCAAGGGTGATGCCGATGGGCGAAGGGTTGTTCATGGCAGTGTCGATGACCAGGTTGATACCCTGGCCATCAGCAGCATCCGAAGGCAAGTCGAACTTGAGAATCTGGACACCGGGGAAGCCACCCATACCTGGAGCGTAGGGTAATCATATCGATCGAGAGAAAAACAGCATGAGTTTAGATGACTTGCAATAAGATGACGAAATAAAATAAAGTGGTGCAAAAGGTATATACCGTTAAGCACGAGGTCCTTGTTAAGGTTAAGGTCGCTGACAGTGCGGCCAAGGGCCTTGATGGTCACCTTGGACTTGAGGGTCCAGACAAAGCTATCCTTGTTCATCTGTAATGAAGGGATAGTACATGTTCATTTTAGATGCATATAATCGGACAATACAGCAAACGATCGAAAGAACGAGAGAAAAGAGGATCAAGAAGGCTTACCATGTCAGCAGAGAAGGAGCCAAAGGCACCCTCGTCCTTAATGTTGAATTTAGCGTCAGCAACCAATTTACCGCTGCCACCGCTGGCCTTGGTAGGAGGCAGAGTCATGTCTCCAAGCTCAGTCTCACCGTAAAAGACCCTAATGGGCTCAGGGAACTCGATGGTGGCAGAGAAGGGTCCAGTGTGACCGAGGTCACCGTCCATGGACATTTGGACGGAAGTGTTGGTAGGATTGGTGATCTGGATAGCCTTGAAGGACATGGTTGAGTTGTTGAGGATAAGTTGGGCAATCTTAGGCAGGATAACAAAGAGGGCCAGAGGCACTCCGATGGCAATAGTCAGGACGGTCATAACGGCGCAGAAGTACCAGTACTTGCGGCGCTTGTAGAAAGGGCGGGTGGTGGGCTTGGTGACCTCGTCATACTCTTCGAACTCTTGATAGTCTTCATCACGTTCGTCGTATGGGAGGTGGCCATCCCCATTAGCGGGAGTACCATTGACGTTTGACATGGTCTGTATGTTTGTATGTTTTGTTGTTTTGGTGAGTATATGAACGCGTCAATGGGATAGTGGAAGGAGGTCTGTCTTGAGGAGGATGCGAAATGGATGCGAAATGGGTACGAGATGGATGTGTGTAGCTGAGTGTAAGCTGGGGGGTGGGTCGTGCTCTGATGCTCTGCAGTGTGTCGGGGTATCAGAGTGAAGGCAAAGGAGTGGTGTTGGTAGGATTAGAGGTGTGTGAATTAGAGGGGATTGAATATCAACTACCGGGTTGTGGAGAAGGAGAGAGAAAGAAGGAGCGTTAAAAATAAGGGTGGAGGAGTGAAAAGGAGGCGACAGCGACAAGGAGAAGGAAAGTAGAAACAAAAAAGCAGATGGAAAGGACGACTCTTTATAGGGGAAAAGTCGGGACCTTTGAGAGCCGTGGAGGAGGAAAGTATTGGAGGACAGGAGTGGAGTGGAGTTGGATGTGGGAGAGGGGGATAAGAAAGGCACCCTCGTATCTATGGGATTATTGTCTACATTATTATTGGGAAAAAGTACCATATGGCATTGAATTGAATAAGCAAATATCCGCCGCAAAGTAACAGGCAGAAAAACACAACAGGCAGCGAAGAAAAACACAGACAACAGCCTCGCTCCTCTTGCTACTACTGTAACCATGGACATAGAATGGATAGATGTGCTCTCTTTTTACTTTGTTAAAAGGCATATGATGTTTATGGGCAATGGATACAACCATAAACGGTGGAATACATGCGCCATATATTCACCCTAATACGTGCATGAGAGAGAGAGAGTCATGTCAATGATACTCTTTTTCTCGCCTTCTCTTCTCTTTCACACTTGTTACTCGTGTGCGAGCGTCATTCTTTGTTTTCTATCTCCGTTGCTGTCTACAACTCAGGGGTTTAGACTTCCTTTCATCCGTGCTGGTGCCTCCCTGAATCCATGCCCCATGCGTACAATATTCCCATGTTCATATGCTTATTCTCTACTTGCCTCCTTACAGGGATCTTTCTTGCTTTTCTTTTTAATTTCTTTTCCCTTTTGCCCGTGGAGAAAACTCACTTGTCCAAGTCCAGAGATGAACCCCAATGCCCCTCATATTGCACTGGAAAACCGATTGCATTTTTTATATTTATTCCTCATTATGATTACTTATTATTAATATTGCTGCTGACGATGGTGACTTCCTCAATCCCCTTTTCCATATTTCATTACCTTGTGCTACTCCCGGTGAAAAAAGCGAGAGCGTTTGCTGGTCGTTGCTGTTGATGTTCTTGTGAAAAAGAGAGGAGGGGGGGAGATTGACGAAATGGTCACAAGCATCGCGTGCCTGCACTAGCACTAGCATTGGCAACAAAAAAAGGACGAGAGAGAGTGAAGGCAAGGGAGAAGTGAGAGCACACTAAAATAAACAAGACTGAAAGAGTCCCCACTCTGCCCACAAACCAAATAAAACCTTTCCGTCGTAAACAAATGCATGGGGATGTGGAGGAAGAAGAAAGAAAGGCCGACGACACACCTTCTCTTGAGCGTAAATCAATGAAGGAAAAAGGTGAGCCCTTTTCTTTCCTTTAGGCATTATTGGCGTGTGCCCGCTCCCCAAATGGTCTCTGTAAACAAAAATACCCTCTACCCATCCAATCATGCTCGTGGCCCGCAATCAACCACAAAGTGGTTGGCAGGGAACTCATGGAGAGAGAACACTGCCCTTCTCATTCCTCCGGTCGTGCTGTCTGGACGGCAGAGATAGAGGCATCGAAAGCGAAAAGAACGCCAACGAACAAAGAAAAGCGTGGGTCAAAAGAAGGCCAAGATGCATCGCGAAAGGTTGTTACCGAGCTTCATACCGATGATGTATGTCCTTGATTTGCGCCCCAGAATCGAAAGCTGCAAAAGCATACAACAAAACAAAAAAAAACATTGAAAAACAAAGATGCGCCTCGTAACAAGAAAGATGATAACCACCTCTAATATCAATAAAAACAACAACAAAATAACAATTCACAATACGGTAATATTGATGACAAAATGTATTTAACCTATGGAATCACTTGTTTGCTTCTATTTTCTTAATGATGGGAGTCTGAGCCAAAAGGTCATAGGAAAGGAGGAGAGGTCTATTCAGGCACAGATGGCTGTTTTATTATTATTATTATTATTATTTATTTTTTTTTTCTGTTGAGGCTCAATGGCGATAAGGGTTTAGTGTGCTTTTTGTATTTTATTATTTTTACTTCTGGCCCTTGATAGAGTACAAGTCCTTTCACCCCGCCTCCATTGTGCACAAGGAAGAGAAGGCCCATTCATCCCAACTTTTTTGATTTTTGGAAAGAAGGCTTTGACTTGCAATGTTCCAATGACGGTCAGGACAAAATGCAACGTTCATTTTCAGGCCAGGAGTTTCGATGTCAAATAAAAACGATGCATGCGCGGATGTTTTTTTTCTCCTACAATTTTGCGAGTTTTTTTTGGGGGTGAAGAAGAGAAACAAACGTGTATTCACAGGCATACGCATACAATCGGAAAGGTAAGGGATAGGAGGGAGTCAAGACACAAATAATCAAGCACAAGTGCAGGCATTTACACAGACGCACATACTCAAACAGAGATACATACAAAAGTGTCTCTCACCTTGGGCGCCAACGCGTATCTTTCCTTCTTTCTTTTTCTTTGTTTTTCCTTTGTGTCCAATAAGGCACCATCACGGTTTTTTTTATTAGCACAATTCATGCTGTTCTCTGTCCTCAATAGTGACCGCTCCTTCGATACATTCACCTGCTATCAACAAAAGAGCCCAACGAAAAAACACTACAGCCATGGAAGAAATAAGCACCACCAAATATGCCTCCGACTATGGGACTTAGAGAATCACGTTGCTCATTATTGGGTTCTCTGTTTGACACTCCCAAACGGGAGACCGTGCCGTCTCCAGCAAACGACTGCATCTGCAATTTGTATGATGCTGTTGCTGTGCTACGTTCGAGATATTAGGCGGCGCGTGCAAATGATTGCATGATTGCCAGTCTGGATGTCTCCTTCTTTCCATCGGCCAAATTGCGAGAACGAGGGGAAGGATCCTCCCTCGTCCTCCTTCATTCACTAGATTATTACTGCTCGTGCTCTCCACGTTCAGTTTCAGTCGCCCCAGTGCATTGACACTCCAATCTACTTCATCACTTATCGTTCTTGTGAAAAAAGTAGCCAAAAGAGAACCTGATGGAGCAATAGAGGGAAACTATGCATCCTTAATCCATATTCCTGAGCGGCCTTGAGGGTGAGCACAGGTCCGCCCCCACTCTCTCCTCCCACCCCTCCTCCACAATCACAGAGCGTAAGGTTGTAAACTCTATCAACGACAAACAGTAAGAATCAACTACCATGTTAACCTGCATGTTTAATAAAAACGATACTGACACACCCATCTCCGTCATTCCCTTCTCTCCCCTTCCCTTTGTTTATTTTCTAGTCATTGTATCCAACAACGGGGGGAACCCCATCGCCCTTAGGCGTCTAGCGTCGTTGCCTGTTCGTTCCTTTCTTTCTTTCTCACTTACACTATATTCGTCTTCTCGTTTTCGTTATTCCAGATGACAACATATTCATCCGTAGGCTAGCTCGGATTTTGTTCACTCGTTTGGCTTCCCATTATGGGAAGTATCTCGAATGGGGAGACCATCGATCACAAACCGACAACGATAAACCTTAGTAAAAGATCTTCCTCAACCTTGGAGAGATTCCCGTCTAATTTCTTAACGACCTTCTTTTTCCTTCCTCTCCCTCTCCATCATCGGTCATTCCCCTGCCCCTCTCATTGATAGCCATCGTGGAGTCCCTTTTTTTTTCATCTTTGCTTCGCACTTTTTCAGTGAAAGTATTGCCCAAAATCTACGGTAACAAACGCGTCCTCTTACAGAAGCCCAAATAAACCGCAGCACAGTCTCAGATACAGCGACACCGTACCTTCTTTTTGTTCCTTCACACTTTCATATGCTCTCACGTTATCTTGGTTCTTTCTTGATTATGCACAGCGAGGTACTTCATTGGGTCTGTATGAACATGAGGAAAAAACCCAAAGAATATAGAAAAGATGTACGAAGAGCTTACTACGTTCCACATCCTGTGAAAACTAATATTTTGCTTCTACTTTTGCTTCTACTTTTGTTTCTGCATATAGAATCTGCACCGCATCTCCTCGTCCGCCTTTGCCTTGTGCGTTGTATATTTGAATGAGACCGAGAATTGCCTTTGTTCAGGACGTAAAGAGAGCATGTACCTCTCATAGTCTATTCCTTCCTCCTTCCTGTTGCTCTCACTTGGGCAATCAACGTGAAAGGACCAAAACCGTTGGAAGGAAAACAGGGGACAAAAAGTTTATGAGCGTCAGGCGAAGGAATGTGAAAAAAAAGCGACCGTTACGTCCATGTGAACCTGCAGCTAGGTTTTGTCGTTACCAATGACAAGATACCCATTGCTGCCAACGCTATCAGTTTGGCCTTGTACCAAACTAGTTTTTTACATTGTAATCCCACTGCCTTTTTTTTAACGTTTACACGCCGTTCTCTATCACTTCTTTTTCGCCACAAGGGTTATTTTCTTGCTTTCTCTCTTGGCCATACATTTGGCCACACGCTTGCAAAGGGACCAAACGAAAAAAAAAAAAGGAAGCATAGGCACTGACAATTTGATAATCTTCCACAACAGAAACCACTCCTAGCCTCCCTCCATTTTGACTCCACTACCACAACGCATCGTTTTTGCTCTTAACATTTGTGTGCTCTAGCCTTGCTGAACCCACATGTGTGAGAATAGGGTATGGTTGACCTGCAACTGCAGCAGTACCGCTGGGAGCATAATATAGACATCCTGCACATGAGTGTGGATATGAGAATATTAAACATGGATCATGAACTAGGGCATGTGCAACAAGAATAACCAGAAAAGTGGAGCATCAAGACGAGGAAAAAAAGAAGCCATTGATTCCCTGTGTAGCAGTATTCCTTCTATACCATTCTAGGTGCGTTTAGCTACCACGGGATTTTTTTTATTTTTTTTTTGTTCACGTTGCGTCCTCATCCTCCTTTTCTTTGTACGGCACCACCCCCTCGTAGGAGCCGCATGTAGATCAAGGAACAAGACAACATAGAAGAAACCTTATTTCCAGGGCACCAATGGGGCTGACCCTTCCACACACAACCTCTATCTATGTACCAACAGCTATCAACAGCCAGCCAAGCACCTGCTTCTACTTATCCCATCAAGGCGCCACCTCTTCCTTTTCTTCCAACTTCCACGGCCTGCAGAATGAAAAGCAAAATGCCGCTTAGAGACGACACAAACATTTTAGCATACAACACACAGGCTTACAGCCACCACATGGTCCCCTTGCCCAGATCGAATCAGATGACGTGAACGTTTCTTCTTGACAGAGCATACGCATACAAAAAATCAAAAGCAAAGGGAAGCAAGCAGATGACCACAAATACACATGGGCAAGAACAGATAGCCCCCCAACCTCATAGCCCAACAAAATACAAAGACAAGGCAAAGGGCAAGAAGAGTTCAATTTTTACAGAAAGAAATGTATTTGAAATTTTTACAAAACAACCCTTGGGAGGTGATTTTTGAAAGGATGAAAAGAAGAGACAATTTACTTCTTGCCACCAGCCTTCTGGGCGGCCTTGGTGACCTTGCCACCCTTGCCATCGGTCTTCTCGACGGACTTGATGACACCGACGGCAACGGTCTGACGCATGTCACGGACGGCGAAACGTCCGAGAGGGGGGTACTCCTGGAAGGACTCAACGCAAAGGGGCTTGGAGGGAATCATCTTGACGATGGCGGCATCACCAGACTTGATGAACTTGGGGAACTCCTCAATGGCCTTACCGGTACGACGATCGATCTTCTCGAGGATCTCGCCGAACTTGCAGGCAATATGGGCGGTGTGGCAATCCAAGACGGGAGCGTATCCGTTGGAGATCTGACCGGGGTGGTTCAAGACGATAACCTGAGCGTTGAAGGAAGCAGCCTCCTTGGCGGGGTCGTTCTTGGAGTCAGAGCAGACGTTACCACGGCGAATATCCTTGACGGAGACGTTCTTGACGTTGAATCCGACGTTGTCACCGGGGATACCCTCAACGAGGACTTCGTGATGCATCTCGACGGACTTGACCTCAGTGGTGACGTTGGAGGGGGCGAAGGTGACGACCATACCGGCCTTGATGATACCGGTCTCGACACGACCGACGGGAACTGTTCCGATACCACCGATCTTGTAGACATCCTGGAGGGGAAGACGAAGGGGCTTCTCGGTGGGGCGCGATGGGGGCTCAATGGCATCGATAGCCTCGAGGAGAGTCTTACCCTTGGAGGAAGCGGTCTTGGACTCCTTGGTCCATCCCTTGAACCAGGGCATGTTGACGGACTCCTCCAACATGTTGTCTCCGTGCCATCCGGAGATGGGGACGAAAGCAACGGACTTGGGGTTGTAACCGACCTTCTTGACGAAGGTGGAGACCTCCTTGATGATCTCCTCGAAACGGTCCTGGGACCACTTGGTGGTGTCCATCTTGTTGACGGCGACGATGAGCTGCTTGACACCGAGGGTGAAGGCGAGAAGAGCGTGCTCACGGGTCTGACCATCCTTGGAGATACCAGCCTCGAACTCACCAGTACCACCGGCGATAATGAGAATGGCGCAATCGGCCTGGGAGGTACCAGTGATCATGTTCTTGATGAAATCACGATGTCCGGGGGCATCGATGACGGTAACGTAGTACTTGGGGGTCTCGAACTTCCAGAGGGCAATGTCGATGGTGATACCACGCTCACGCTCGGCCTTGAGCTTGTCAAGAACCCAGGCGTACTTGAAAGAACCCTTTCCGAGCTCAGCAGCCTCCTTCTCGAACTTCTCGATGGTACGCTTGTCGATACCACCGCACTTGTAGATCAAATGACCGGTGGTGGTGGACTTGCCGGAATCGACGTGTCCGATAACGACGACGTTAACGTGAAGCTTCTCTTTTCCCATGCTAGAAAGTGGTAATAAATGTACAGATGGAGTGACGAGTGTGTTATTAGGATATGTTGAAAGAGAGTATTGTAAGGGTGACGAGGAGAGGAAGTGGAAGGGTGAGGAAAAGCGTGGGTATTTATCGAAAAGGAGGTGAGGACGTAAACAAGGCGCAGTAGAGTACCGCTACGGTCGTCAGGAGGCTCAGTGGGTGACGCAGTCAACAGACAGATGATAAAATGGACGCAGCCCTGCTCACCGGAGCACAGGAGCAAAAAAACACAAGAAAAAAACGCGCTTGTCGCCTTCTCGAAAGTAGTTCAAGGAGGTGGTTGGCTCGTTTGAGTTGAAAGGAGCCGTGGCAATAGGAGCAAAAACAAACAAAAGGGCATCGATGAACCAAGATGAGTCAAAAGTAAACAGGAGAGGTGGTGTATATAAAGAGGGTGATTGCCGCGATGGATGGATGGATGAATGGATGCAAGTTGGGATAGAGGACGGATGGATGTTGATGTCGTTGCTGTCTTAACAGCTGAAATTTTTTCCTTCGTTCTCATCGGCCAAGACTTACTTGTATAAAAGTTTCAAGTGAAAGGGGTGCAAATCAACGTCTTGCGTTCGAGCGCTCAATATATACTCTGTCAATACCCCTTAATGCCATTTGTTTTTTCTTTTGCTTTTGTTGTTGTTTATGGTTGTAGGTCCTTTTTCAATGTCCGTTGTTGTTGAACAGAAAAAAAAAACTGTCCTTCCATCCATCCTTCCAGACTCCCAACTTTCTCCAATCAAGTCCAGTCCCCCCCTTCTATTCGCGTACAGGCAGAGGTAGAGGCAGAAAGGCAAGCAACTCTTGAATGACGCTGGTCATTGATATATCTCCAAAAAGCAACGATTCTTATCTTTGGCCTTATGAACGTCCAACGTCGTAGAAACAAAAACTCTGCAGCAATAAACGTAAAAGGTGTGGTGAGCCTAAACCCTTCTTCTTCCACACACACACACTCTCTTACTTTCCGTCGTGATTTCTCTTCTTCCATCTTTCTCTCACTCTCCTCACTCTCATTCTCACTCTCTTCTCGCGCACTCTACTCGTACGCCCAGGGACGATGTACGCCCAATGCCAACATTCTTTCGCTAGCTTTCGCGTGTCCTGTTGACGGCCTAGGTTTGCCAGAGAAATATATATATGTAGAAACGGACAGCCTGTTTTTTCTCACTGCACTTTATTCCTGAGATCAACTGACGAGTACTTTTAATGTTTTTACACGATTGTTGAGACACCAGTTCCTCCGGTGATGGTGCTGGAGGCGGGGGTTTGGTGACGAGCAGCTGCGATGACGTACGAAACGGCTCCGAACGACAAAGCCAACGCAGAGACAACCTGGAGAGTCCTGTCACCAAGGCCAACGGCAAGCCACATAACAACGGCGAACCTATTGGGAAAAACGAAGGGCCGATATTTTGAGATCAGAGGTAGAAAAAACACAACAAAACAATCGTGCAAACTCTAACAACCTCAGAAAAAAAACAATCATCGTGTAACCCTGATATCCAGTTCTTTCATGGTCCCTGACTGAAAACCTGACGAGGCTAGACCATGCCGTTAGACTCCTTTGTCCTTAATAAATAAAAAAATTCAACTTACACAACATAGGCGATAGCGCGGAAGTAAGAGTTCTGGAACTGCTGCAAGGCGTTGTCACTAATGGTTGCGAATGAAAAGATGGATAAGAGACGTTAGGGTATGCTCCAGCTGGTATGCACGCAGGTTGTCTTTTCGGGGTCTCCACGTTATGACGCAAAAAAATATCTGCGTATCGCCTTACAACTTGGCACTGGTGGGGCAGCACTAGCAGCAGGAAAAGAAAGGAAAAGGGTAAGGAAATGAGAAGAGATGAGTTCCTGAGCGCGATTTGACATACAAAAACTCCAATTGACGTGACTCGGGAGAGCTGACAGGGTGATGTGTTGTTACCTTCAAGCAGAGAGGGATCTCAATGAAGACGAGAAGGAAGGCCATGATCCTATGCGATTGAGACAAGCAGACTTCTTGTTAGAACTCTCTGTCATTTCGTGTCGTCGCACCTTAAAACGTATCCTGCTCCTTGATGTTATAAACGATAGCCCGCGACGATGACGATGGGCCAAGGTTGATATTTTACCATGCAATGATCGACCAGAGAAGATGGAAGCTCACAACGCCAAAGACGATCAAGCCTATACAAGCAATAAAATAAAACGAATGAGAAAAAAAGGCAAGGTAGGAGGTAGCAAGGTTTGCGGACGAATGATGTTCCTGTCGCCCTTGGATGGTACCAAGTACAAAGCGTGCTGAAAACTTTGTTGAAAAGAAGTGGTCCGTTTCTACTTACAGATAATGGAGATAAGACCGCACCTGTAGTAGTAGTAGAAAATGATAAACGGACAAGATGTCCGATGGTTAGGTATAGGAATGATACAAGTCAACTGTTCTTAGGCGAGGATGTGCTCAAGCAATATTCGTTAAGAGTCCGCGTTGCTTTTGCGCCGTTGAGTGAGAGCTGGAGAAAGTGACTGAGCGAGGGTCTCGACGGGGAACAAATACTGTCTATTTCTCCAAGGACGGGTTCAAGAAGGTCAAGATAACACCGTTTGCGAGCCCAGATAGAGGCACGGCGTGTTTTTGTGTTCTTTGTTGTTGCCGTTGATGAGAGTAATTGTCTCTGTCATAGTTAAGAGGATGGCTGTGAGTCGATGATGGTTGCTGACTTGCCATTGGCCGTAGAGGGAGAAGTTTCCTGAGCGAAATTCGTCGGCGAGACCCATTGTGGTTTGTTGTTTGCGAGGGAGGAGTGAAGGAGTGAAAGGGGAGAAGGAAAGGGAGTAGGAGAAAAAGGTGTATGAGTGAGAGTGGTTGTGAGTGGGGTGGTTGGAGAGGAAGGCGGAAGGAAGAAAATGAAGAAAAGAAGAGAAATAAGAAAAGAGAGCTAAAGAAGAAAATAGAAAAAAAAGGATGATGGGTGGCGGTGATGGGGGGAGTGAGTGGATGAGTCGACGGACCGACAGACGACAATAAGCAACAATAGGCAAAGTGAACACAACAACAACAGCCTAGCCAACAGACACTACAAAAGCAGGGCTTTTGGACCGAAGTGTCTGTGGGTGAAGGAGGAGGAACAGACTCTTTTTTTTATTTATTTTTGGAGGGGGGTGTGGTGTGTATGTGTATGTGTATGTGTAATGTGTATCATGTTTGGGCGCACATGGTAGAGAAAGATGTCAGTGTCACCCTCTCTCTTACCCCCTTGACTCCTTGACTCAGGAACATCTCCCAGGACATCCTCACTCTTTAAACTCTTCTTCACAGCAAATCGTCATCAGAGACCCTTCGTATCAGCTATTGGGCTGAAGGACGCTTCGCTTCCCTTATTTTTCTTCCAAGGCGGCCTGAGATTCGCTTCAGGTTAGAAAAATAATACGCGCCGTGACGCGCCATGCCAAGTTCAGGGGGAAGCTAGTGAGAACGTGGCGCCCTTTTCTTCTCTCCTGTAAACCCCCGTGCAGCTTTTTTTTTTTTTTTTTTTTTTTTTTTTTGCTTCTTGGTCATGCGGTTTGTTTGACCCACGATTGTCTTCAGATACATGAGAAGGACGGAAGTGGTGTCATTTTTGCGCACTCTAGAAAGACAAGACACAAAGAAACAACAAAAGCAAAGGAAAGAGAGAAGAGAAAAAACGTGCCCCTGTTCTTTGCTCTCGACACACTCACTTCAACAACATGCCAGTCACATGACATGCATATTCCCCGAGCAGCCACCCAAACAACAACCCTCTCTCCCTCTCCTCTCACACTGCACACTGTCCATTGTGTTTGTTTTGTCCACCTTTTTTTTTTTGCCTTTTCCCCCTTCCCCTTCCCACAATTCCTCCTTCTCCACCCCTGCACCATCCAACACAATGGACAAGCGCCGCCAAGGTAACCTTCCAACAACCTTAACAGCCGCTACTTCCTCACCCAACATGCAACAACCTCTTGTACTCATGTCGGCCATCGACTGACAAAGAACACCTGACATTCAACTAACATTCTAACCCTCAACCTTCTCCATCTTTCCTATCTCCTTTGGGATAGCCGTACTAAACGCGAAAAAGTCTACTGTTCAGAAAAAGAAGACTGCTCCACGGAAGACTGCTATCAACACCACCGCCACTAGCGCCCCCAGTAAAGAAGGTCCCCAGTCACCACTAAGCGCGACCCCGACCACCCACACCACCGACGCAGATGGAGTATCACCACTCTCGAACGGGAACATCTCTCTCCACAACGAAAGCACAGCGTATGTTATATCTCCTTTGTTGTTGTTGTGGTTGATGTTGCTATTTGGGCATTGGCGGTGCAAGGATCATGGGTATCCAATACAAGGACTCTCGCTTAGATCGATCCACTGTTACCCTGACAACTCACATTTCTTTCCTCTATTTGTTTCTGTTGCCGTTTCTAATGAAACTAGACCACCGCATCATAAAAAATCGTCGGTGCAGGATCATGACCACGACAGCACATATCCACACTATTCAGACGAGGAGGAGGACATGGAGGACTACAAGCGAGGAGGATACCACTACATCTCTGTCGGAGATGCCTTCCATGAGGGTCGCTATATCACTCTTCGCAAGCTAGGATGGGGCCACTTTTCCACTGTTTGGCTGGCAAGAGATACAGTGTAAGCCGAAGGGGAAAAAAACATTTACCAGGTGTGACTTGAAAGGCTTGCTAGTTATTGACGCCTCTTTTCCCCCTGACGACATTTCGGTAATCTAGTGGAAATCGACATGTGGCGCTGAAGGTCGTCAAGTCTGCTGCACACTACACAGAGACCGCCGTTGACGAGATCAAGTTGCTAGAGAAGGTGGTCAAAGCGAATCCGGATGCGCCAGGCAGGAAATACGTCGTCGAACTACTCGACCACTTTATGCATCGGGGACCCAACGGTCTGCACGTCTGCATGGTGTTTGAGGTCCTGGGCGAAAACTTGTTGAGCGTCATCAAGCGCTACCGACACGAGGGTATCCCCATCCATCTTGTCCGACAAATTATACACCAGGTCTTGATGGGACTCGACTACATGCATAGGGAGTGCGGCATTATTCACACGGATCTCAAGCCGGAGAACGTCCTTGTTTGCGTCGAGGATGTTGAGCAGGTCGTCAAAGGACTGATTGGCGACTTGGATTATACCGACCCCGTTGCGCTTGCTAAAGCAGGACGGTCAGCAAAGGCAATGATTGTTGGAAGCAGGCCGTTGACACATGGAGCAAGTGGGTCGCAGAACGGCAAGGACCAAGGAGCACCCTCGAGCAGCAGCACGCCAGCCTACACTACCTCAACACCGTACAACACCTTGACCAAGAACCAGAAGAAGAAGCTGCGGCAAAAGCTGAGCAAGCTGGGCACACAAGAATCAGTCGAGGACGAACCCACAAGTCCCAGCACAGAGAAGCTATTGACCACGTATGTTTGTGGATTGTACCCTGTTGTTTTCATCTCGTTGTAGAATGTGTCACAGATGAACATATTTACCCTGACCCAATCTCCTATTTTTTCATTTTCCGTCATAATAGAGCGACTCTCGAGCGGACGATGAGCGATATCAAGCTGGATGGCAATGTGGAGCCAACAACTAAAGACGAGACCGCACATGAGCTAGTGGGTATCCCACGGACAATCACCGTCAAGATTGCGGATCTCGGAAATGCATGCTGGGAGGATCAACACTTTACGAACGACATCCAGACGCGTCAGTACCGATCTCCCGAGGTCATTCTCGGAGCCAAGTGGGGACCTAGCACGGATGTTTGGAGTGTAGCCTGCATGGCGTTCGAGTTGATCACAAGCGACTATCTCTTCGATCCTCAGAGCGGGGCTTCGTACACTAAGGATGATGGTAAGACTTTTTTTGTTTTTGCTGCTTGCGTCTGCATGCTATGGACCAAAAGAGACAAAGGGAGATTACGAATGGACGCATGGAGACATGGACACTTTCACTGATCAAGATCTATTTTTTATCACTTGTAGATCATATGGCGCAAATTATCGAGTTGATGGGCAACTTTCCCAAGAAGCTGGCTTTGAATGGAAAGTACTCACAGGAGTTATTTAACCGCAAGGGCGAGCTTCGTCATATCCACAGGCTGCGTATGTGGCCGCTGCAGGACGTCATTCACGAGAAGTACCTGATGCCGCGGGCAGATGCCGACTTTTTGGCTGACTTCCTGACCAAGATGCTGGTTCTGGACCCTGCACAGAGATCGGCCGCTCAGCAGATGGCACAGCACCCCTGGTTGTTTGTAAAAGACAAGTTGCCTGACGACGAGGACGAGAACGAGAACAAGGACAACAAGGACAACAAGGACAACAAGGACAACAAGGATGGTGGTGAAATCAAGGCAGAGGAGACAGCAGCAGTGGCGGTGAAGAAAGAGAGTACCGAGAAAACGCGTGCTGATGAGACTATGGTGGAGACAACTAGCGAGGCGAAGGATGAGGACGGCATGGATGAGGATGTTAACTGAGAAAAAGGCGAGGAAGGTCGTCAGGATGATAGTTTCGCTGACACATCACAAAAGCCAAAAAAAGAAACAAGATGGTGAATAGAACTCAACAAACGAGACTCATGAGAAAGATAACAACTCCGTTTTTCATTTTTTTTTGCCAAGTGGCATAGAGTACGTATGTCATTGTTGCAATGAAATATGCTGCTGTAGTTGAAAAGAGGTCGTCGGTGAAGATGACTGTGGAATTGGAGGGTGTCGGTGATGTCGGGGGTTTTTCGGTGATATGGAAATAGTAAAAGGAGAGCAGAGGGAAGGGGCGCATAACTTGGTCTGTGCTCCTTTTGAATTGACCTGTGTCAGCAAGAAATGATTTATGACAAAGCCTAAATACAAGGTGCCTAAGAATGGATGAGGGGTGTCCAGGTGTCCAGGAAGTGTTGCCAAGACCACCCCATTGTGCTTCCTATTGGTGATACTATGCCCCATGGAGGAAACCATGAATACTATATGTGTGCGTTTTGCCGAGCTCCTCCCCATTGTATCCACAGCACCCGGAGACAGTAATCTGGCGTCCAACTGACATGAACCGTTCATGCAACTCTTCATTGAACACGCTTTGACGCCTTTTTTTCGTTGATCAGGATGAGATGACAGTAGGAAAAACCAAGAGACGAAATGAAGGACTTCTCGGTGGTGATGACAATGACAACGAAGGCAACTAAAGTGTGACAAACAACACAACGTTAGCAAGGGTGATGTTTTTATGAAAAGGCTTGGCTTGGCCCGATTGTGGAAGAAGAAGCGCATGTCAGTGGTGGTGGAGTGAGAGCACCGAGACGTGATATGTGGGATAGCTGGACAAAATCAAAGTCTTGGCCAGCGTAAGGGTGATGCAATAGTGCTGAGCAAGCAAGAACGCAGTGACCACCACCACCTCACTTTTCTTCCGTCGCACACGCACAGGAATATGTGAACAACACAAACACCTGGTCGTCGGTGCTGAATCTTGGCTATGCTTTGTCAGGACGATTCCACATGAGGACACCGACACCAACCACGACTCTACACTAATCACAAACGGATTCTTTTTTCCGCTTGTCACGTTTGTGCTATGTTTGCTCTGTTGGACGCTCATGGTCGTTATCATAATCGTCGTTTGCGTGTGTACTCTTTTTGGAGAAGCGATGTCCAATTGGTATAAAAAGGAAAGCCTCGCAGACGTTTTCCTATCCTCATCCCTTCTTTCTCATCCTCTTCATCCTTCTCTCATCGATCCTTGATACGAATCCACCACAGAACAACAGCAAACCTTTAACGAACTCCTACCCTCACAACAACACAAGAAGATGGCTACTCCATTGCCCCCCACGTTTGTCGTGCCTGCGACATTGACCGAAACCCGTCGGGATCCACTCAAGCACCAAGAATTACCGCCACTCTTCCCCGAGAAGATCAACATCCTCAACATCTGGAAGTACCTCGACTACAAGCACGTTATCGGTCTCGGAGTGACCCCTTTGATCGCCCTCTATGGACTCATGACCACGGAGATCCAGCGGAAGACGTTGATCTGGTCCATTTTCTATTACTACGCCACAGCCCTTGGTATCACCGCAGGTACTGTACATATGGAATATAACTGAATGGCGGATTACCTAAGCGCATTGCATTGCAACCCTACTTGTTTTCGTTCTTCTCTTCCTAACTCATTCCATCCATGATTTAACAAAAACCTCCAATAGGATATCATCGTTTGTGGGCACATCGTTCGTATAGTGCCGGGCCAGCCATGAGCTTTGTCCTTGCATTGCTCGGCGCCGGTGCCGTCGAGGGCTCGATCAAGTGGTGGTCCCGCGGTCATCGCGCCCATCACCGTTGGACCGATACCGAAAAGGACCCTTACTCTGCCCACCGCGGCCTTTTCTTCTCCCACCTCGGCTGGATGTTGATCAAGCGTCCCGGTTGGAAGATTGGCCACGCCGACGTCGAAGATCTCAACAAGAACAAACTGGTCCAATGGCAACACAAGAACTACCTGGCCCTCATCTTCCTCATGGGTCTCGTTTTCCCTACCGTTGTCGCCGGTCTTGGTTGGGGTGACTGGCGCGGAGGATACTTTTATGCAGCCGTCTTGCGTCTTGTCTTTGTCCACCATGCTACCTTCTGTGTCAACTCGCTCGCCCATTGGCTCGGCGAAGGACCCTTTGACGACCGCCACTCGCCCCGCGACCATTTTATTACAGCTTTCATGACCCTCGGAGAGGGCTACCACAACTTCCATCACCAGTTTCCTCAAGACTACCGCAACGCGATCCGTTTCTACCAGTACGACCCCACCAAATGGACCATCGCCGTCTGTGCCTTCTTTGGCCTCGCCACCCACCTCAAGACTTTCCCCGAGAACGAAGTCCGTAAAGGCCAGCTCCAGATGATCGAGAAGCGTGTCCTCGAGAAGAAGACTAAGCTCCAGTGGGGTACCCCTATTGCTGACCTGCCCGTGATGAGTTTTGAGGACTACCGCCACGCCTGCAAGAACGATAATAAGAAGTGGATCTTGTTAGAGGGAGTTGTGTATGATGTGGCCGAGTTCATGTCGGAGCACCCTGGTGGCGAGAAGTATATCAAAATGGGGATTGGCAAGGACATGACGGCGGCGTTTAACGGTGGAATGTATGATCATAGCAATGCTGCTCGCAACTTGCTGAGCTTGATGCGCGTTGCGGTGGTGGAGTTTGGTGGTGAGGTTGAGGCGCAAAAGAAGAACCCGTCTGTCACCATCTATGGAGATGACCACCACGCCAAAGCCATCTAAACAATGCCTCCCCTTCCTTCTCACTCCCTCTTCTCCGCTCGTTCTCTCTTCAGGTTTTGGGTTTCTCCTACTTTCTGTTCTTTTTTTCTCTCTTTTTTCACTCCACTCTTTTAACGAACCTAGTATCTATAGTTCTTTCATGCCATGACACGACACGACCTTCCTTTGCAATTCTATCACATACGCATAGTTTGCCTATCCTTTACGTCCTTCACACACAACTCCACTCCTTCACGCCTTTCATCGTTCTTAGCATAGCCATCTAATTCTGCCCTCATTAAAATAATAATGTCAACAACATTTACGTTTTTTGTTATAGCATTGGAAGGATTGTTAGTTTTTATATGTTTGTTCCTGAATTTCACTCACCAGGAGCTTTTTCTCCGCCAGAAAAAAAAGGAACAGGCGCACATGTGGGGGAAAGAAGGACGGGAAAGAAAAGGGGAAGAAGAGGAGAAGGTCCAGTCCGCCCCATTGAAAAGGGGGGGGGGGGAACATAGGGGGAAAGCATGCGTTGTCCCTCCATCGACAGAGTTCAGTACGGGGGTTTTTTTTTGTTTTTTTGCATAATTGTGAGTCGTTCAAGCTAGAATCCAGCCTTTTTCTTTGAGAGAGAAATGTGAGAAAGAGAGGAACAGGCGGGTGAATAACGGGAAAAAGGGCGCGTGAGGGTTTGAAGGAGAGACGAGACGAGTATTAATAACACGAAAGAACCCACACTGCCCTCCTCCACAACACATGGTTGGATTGGAGTTGCTCGACTGAAGGAGAGAAAAAGAGAGGAGAGTGGAGAAGGGAGAGAGAGAGAGAGAGAGGGAAAGAAAGGAAGGCGATGACAGAAAAGGAGCTTAGTATCCTCTCGACTAACAGACGACCAATGGCTGTAGGTACCACCGTCCAGGACTGGTCTCCTGTTCATTGTCAGCCGTGTAGAGAAGTTCTCCTCTTTCCCTATCTCCTTGCCCTCCTTCTCCTCGACTTCGCCTCCTGTTTTCTTGCTGTCTGAAGGTCCTCTCCTTCTTACCTCTGGATACGACGGATAATTGCCCTATATCGAAGTACGTTGTTTACTAAGCCTAGGGAGAGAGAGAGAAGAAAGGGAGACGTGTCTCCTGGTCAAGAAAGTGATGAGGAGATCGTATGTATTTCCTAGGCGCTGGCTGACAGGCAGACACATACAGTAGGACGAGAGTGCACAGTCGTTCAGATGAGATACCGCAAGACGACTAGACGAGGACGTATTATTGTCCTAATGAAAGAATGAAAGAAGGAGAGAGAGCAAACAAGAAGAACAGAGAAGGAGAGAGAGGGAAGCACGGGCAGTGCTCGAAGACGTCCATCCTCCCTCAAAATGGGCGATGGAGATGTAAGCAGTTCAACAGTTGAACAGTCAGGGAGCCAACAAAGCAAGAAAAAAAAAGGCTATCAACTTGCCCCTATCCAATGGTTTTATGAATCGTTGTCTCCCTTCCTTCTATCAAATGGAATTACGAAAGTGAGGAAGAAGGCTGGAACAGGAACAGGTGAGGATGGAGTGTGAGTGTGTGAGTGAGGGTGAAGGGTGACAAGAACAAGAAGGTAAAGAGAAGAGGTGTGAGCGAAGGCAAGAGTGAGAGTAAAATAGGAAGAGTAGGAAAGAGGTGGATGGAGGAGAAAGAGAGGGGAGAAAAAAGTGCAAAAGCGAGATATGAAAAGGGCATTCAAATGATTGACAATGATTGACGTTGCTTTTGTTTACTCTTTCAAAAGTATTATGAACTCCTCTGATACCATACGGTTGTTCATTCATTCATTCATGCATTCATCCATCCATTCATTCATTCATTCATTCATGCTGACCATGGCCACAGGAACGGCCTTTCCTTTTAGGTTCGTTTTGTGTACTTTACCGCTTGATACAACGACCCTTTATTCTTGCCAATGCTTGTGAACATTGTTGCTGATATCATTGATGGTTGATGGCAGCGACCATGATCATAGCCAGGGATGCCTGCCGAAGACAAATGATGATGATGCCGAAAATGCTTGATGATGATGATGGATGCGGGGGCTGGGCTGGCTGCTTCTGATCGTCCCCTGAGACCAATTGGCTCCATATCAATCAATCAATACCTTTGAGACCTAAAAAAAGTGCCTTGAGCGAGTGAGACCTTTTTTCATTATCATGAACCCCCTTCCCTTCCTCTTAATTTGCATTTCCCTTTCTCTTTCGCTTTTCTTTTCATTCATTCATTCGTTCATTCTTCTTCCTTTCCCTTCCTCTCCTTTACTTTGTCTCCCACCTTCTCCCTCTCTCTTTTCCTTCTCCTCTCGTTCTTTCTTTCTTTCTCTCTCTCTCTCCCTCTCTCTCTCCTCTCTCCTCCTCCTCCGCCCCACCCTTCCCTTCCATCGCTACCCGTCCACCCTCCTCCGCTTCTCTATCCTCTTTCCTCTTTCCTCTTTCTCTTTCTTTTTCTCTTTCTCTTTCTCTTTCTCTTTCCAACTCCACCTTCAAACCCTACTTTCGGCCCAAAAAAACACAAAGTTACCCATCAATCTACATTCCCTCTCTCCCCATTCACGTCCCCATTCACGTACCCTTCGCACCTTAACCTTCACCTTCACCTTTTACTCCCCTCTTCTTGCTCTTCCGCCACCTTGCATTACCGACAAACAGTCCTTTCTCCTTCCCTCACCAACTTCAACCTCTCATTGCATCTGATTCGCGCACATACACCTTGTCTACATTTCATTACATTCTACACACACGCGCTCGCTCTCCTTTCTGTGGCTAATTTCAAGTGCGCGTCTACTCCACCAACTGCTCCATCAATCCTTCGTTATCCCCATTGCCCGCCCCCTGTTGCTGTTACTCCTTCGTCGTCTCTCGCTCTCACACTCTCCGCTATCCTGACCTCTTCCTCTTCTACCCTCTCCACCGGTTCAACGCTCTTTGATTTCAAAAACAAACGAGGCACAGCGACTCTATCCGCGCTCATAAACTTTTTTTATAATCAATCCCTTCGACTGCATTCCCTTCTTCTTGTACCTTTTCCTCTCTCTCTCTCTCTTTCTTCCTCCACTCTCAGCTCCTCTCTGTCTTTTATCCTCGCCTTTTCTCTCCTGCCTCCCCCGACACAGAAGCATATTTGTCCATTCTCCCTTTATTACTCCCAGTCAACACGCGACCTGGCAAGACTCTCACTTCTACAAAACAGAAAACAGGCACTCTTCATTGTAATCCCGTCATATATCGCCAATATCATCCAACCTTCACATTCTCCACTCTTTCCCTTTTCCTTGCGCTGGCTTTAAGGAGTTTGTGCCGTCGGACATGAGTGCCGCTGCAGCTGTTGCCGCCGACATAGAGGGGGATTACCTCGACTATCAGGATCTAACACTACCACTCGATCCAAAACTCATCTTTGAAGCGCCACCACAGCACTTTCAGTCCATTGTTTATGTCAAGCGGCAGCACGAACTCCTCGACAATGCCATTCGCGCCTGGATCCGAAGAGCTCACGAGTGTCAGTCAGGTATGAAGAAATTGCAACCGCTTTCTAACCGCTTCAATTCCTTGTTTTCATTATCGAATCCTTCCTGGAACATCTCCTGTTCCTCTCTGTTTCTCTCTGGCATCGGTCTCTCCCACTTTGCCCCCCCCCCCCACTTTCCCTGCCTCCCACCCTCAAAAAAGCACGTTACGATTTTTCTTTTTCCAACAGGGAGGATGCAAAGGGAGGAAGGGAGGAGGGGAGGGGAGAGTGAGCGTGAGGAGGAAAAAAAGAGCGGGAAAAATACAAGAAAAACAAAAGAAAACAACAACACAGGCGAATACCATCCTTGCTTACCCAAGGCGAAATTCTCGACAACGCTTCGTTTGCAATCGCAGCTGTTTCTTTCCCCCCCCCGTCTGTTGTATAATCGATCGCAATGTTCGCTAACGTTTTGTGTACTTTACAATAGATTCTCTTAAAAATCTCGAGCTGCAGATCGCTTTATTGGCACAAGGTGCTGCAAGAGGGTCTGACGGGAGCATATTAGAAGGTATGTCCTCTTGGAAACAACCCTTCCTCCAACCCAAGTCGGCCAACACCCTTTCTTCCCATTCATTTTCTTCCTCTCCCTTTCCCTTCTCTCATTTGAGCAACTTCCTCACACTCTCAGTTCCTACCCTCTATCCCAACACCTTTCGACATTCATCATTTTCTCTCGTGTTACATTGGCAAAAAGCCGAGGTCAAAAAGAAAAGAGGCGTTGGATCGTCCAAGGACATGTTCATGCGTACCAATGAAGCTCTTCAAGTTTAAAAGGAGCTCGCGAGCAAGTCTTTCAATCTGGACCGTCCAACGCCCTATTCTGACAAATGATTATATAGTTTCAAGTGGGGGGAGGGACAGGTGAAAATGAAAAAGGTCCGTTTACTCGTAGCTCCTCGGAGTGCGCATTTGTCGGCAGAGGCTCTAATCAAGTTCAAGGTGTGAAGGCTTTAACATGGAACGGGAAGAAGGAGGAAGTGAGATAGACTGTAATCGCAAAGAAGAAAAAAATATGCGAGAGAAACCACTCACGCCTTGACCGAGGATGCAGGCAAACAGGATGCGGGAGCCTGCGGGCGATCCTGAACTGAAAAAAAAGGAAGCAATGCAAAAAGTCAGGGAAAGGCCATAGCACGGCCATTTGAATAGCGTTGTTTTGCCTTAAATGAAAAGAGTGGTTTTTTTTCTTCCTTCCTGCGCTACTCGCTTTGCATTTGTTTGCCAATGGTGCCATGTCCGCTTTATTTGTTTATCTCTAAGACGGTAGAAAAATGAGCATCCAACTAAGAAAATCAGGGGGTGAGCGAGAAGGGATGGGAGGGTAGGGAAGTATTATCGAGTTTGTATGAATGAAAAGCGAGAAAGGATATAGAGAGAGGATGTTGGGATGCAGGGAGCAGGCGAGCAAAGCATCCAAAGGGTGAGGCATGGTTCATTTATTTTCTCTGCTTTTCTCTCATCTGTTTTGCACATTGTCGTTTGTTGTGATCAACGGATTGGACTTGAGGGAGGGGCATGGTGGTACGGACCATTTTTTCCACTTTTCTCATACCCCTGAGCCATTGCTCATGGGTCTGCTCGCTCTGTTTTCTCTCTTCTTGCCTTTACTTACACCTGTTATTCTCGCGCACTCTTTCTTTGCTCTCCGACTTTCACCTCATGCTCATCATGCTCCTCTCTTTGTCCAACTTTCTTGCATGGGCCTCTCTCTCTGTTTCTCGCCCTCCGTCATGCCGTGCTGTCGACTACAGTGGTCCGAGGAAATAACTGGACCCACCAACAACGGCTCATGCAGGCGCTCTTCTCGATTGGCCCAGATCTCCAGAAGTGCCCCTCAGAGGCACTTCCAACACTCCTCAAGTATCTTCATTCCATGGTCCTTGGTAAGGGCGCTGTCGATCATGGAGGACACTGTTCTCCACATATTGTTCTTTTGGTCTGCTATTGTTATCGTTGTTGCTGTTTGCAAGCAAACACTTATACCGACACATTCAAAGGAATCGGACCGAGGACCCAAACTAAAAATATTCTCGTTCGTTAACAAAAACGCCTTTTGTTTTGTTTATAGGTCCAGTGGAAGAGTGCATTTCTACCATTGAGAACACGGTCAAGGTACAAAGAATATGACTGGAGTTGACCAGGACATGTTGCCCTTCATTTCAGGCCACGCTGTTCCACTTCAGGAGATACTCCAAAGCGGGCATTAACTTTCATCCTTTTCTTCTTCGTTTGCCTTCTTATCCCTATTTTTTCTCCCACATTTCATTGTAGACAGCCAAGCTGTATTGCCGACAGGCCATCAAGCTGTACGAGAACGCCATCACAAAGTACCATTCGACGCCAGGCAAGCAATGGCATGAGGGCTCAGTAGAGGTATAAATCCATCATGCCCTTTGTTGTTGTTTCTTTTGTTTTGATGTAAGGAGTGATTACTATCTTGCATGATTGGCCTTGGTTGCACCCTTCTTAACTCAACTCCCTATATTCAATCAAACTCTTCTGCATATGCTTTCAATAGAACCAGGTTGCACACTCTGTATTCGACACCAAGAAGGAAAAGTGCAAGGCAATATACGCCCTCAGCGGGACACTGAATCATGCCATTGCATTCAAAGAGTCGTTTATTTTGGAAAAGGTATTACCAGCCTTATCATGCTGAACAAGGGGCGAGAGAGAAGAGGATGAGGAAGAGGAGGAGGGGAACGAGCGAGTAAGAGAGAGACAAAAGGGGCTTGCAAGGTCAAAGAGGGACCCGCATATTCCTCTCCTTTCACAGGAATGCTAGTAATTCACACAACTCATCCATAACACGTCTCTGCTATTGTCCTTCTTGCATTTCATAGACAGTCATTTATTTGAGGGCGCTCAACAGCTGGCTATCATCAGGGGCCAAACTGTCAAGTCTCGAGTCGGCCTTTGCTGGATTGTCAACAGAGGTACATGGGCTGTATTTCTTTGTTGTATTCTTATGGACTACAGTTGCGGAACATATGCTTTTACTGCTTACTCCTGAATGCAAAAAAAGGGGATAACTGACAACAAAAACGCTGTCTTCATCCTTCATGTGTTAAACGTTTAGACGCGGTTATTCAGCGCACTCATGTTCCCGCCAGTTCATTTTCCGCATGACCAATTCAAAGTAAGGATGGCGAACGGATGTGCTTGCATATACAAACTCAATAATGCGAAGAGGCATGCTACTATGAAAGCAAGAGTGTTGGTCGCATGCATGAATCGATAATTCAATGTAAACAACAACGGAAAATGCATGCAAGCTAAACAATCATTTCTCCGTTGATGTACTGTACATAGACATACTTTGCACGGTTTTCACGCTCTCTTGGACTTCCTGTATCTCTTCGCGATCTTGAGACGCTGGATCCTATTATACCCACTCCTGGCCAAAAGGCTGGCTATCTCTTCCACAGGAACAGGAACGGCGAATGGAGCAGGCAGTATTTTTACATCCTTCCAAAGGGCATGCTGATGCAGTTCACCAAAGGAAAGGTACGTACTCATTCATTCCTTTTGCAGTGCTTCTGAAAGCCGTGGAGTCCTTAGACTCAACTTATTTATGCATGCATTTCTATCTTGCATACTTGTTACTTTTAGGACATCCAAGTAGCCAACCTGAACCAGACACTCTTACGGACAATCAACGTGGACTCGAGGGACTATGTGTTCGAAATTTGTTCGATCGAAGTGTATCTCATGTATGGATAACGACACACATAGCGCCCTATTTGCGCGAAAAACAACGGCACCAAGGCGAACGTGGACAACACATTGACTATAATGTTTACCTTCAAATTCTAAATCTTGCGCGTCTAGGGAATCAATATTGCAAGCGTCAACAAAAATCGAGTTTGAGGAATGGAAAGCGGCTCTGTTCTATTGGCATCCTCCAGATGACGACATACCCAGGATCGACACCCTCAAAATAAGCGCCCCTCCTCCAGTAACGTACCTCGCTACATTAACTTGAATGAGAAGCCAAAAAGACAAGGCTAGACGCGCGTCTCACCCCTTTTTATTTTGCTCTCATTGATGCTTTCATAGAAAAACATCTTGCCACGTTCTCGATATACAAGTATGACTGGCCGGACATCAGAACAAGGGACCAGCGCACCAAAACCGCGCGTCTCTGTGGAATTCCCAGTCGTCATCAAGGGCGAGTTGTTTGTATTAGGTAAGCGGCGCCATTTCGCTTCAATACACGATACTTCAATTCGAATCTCCTCACGGCCTGAGTTCTTAGCTTTCGCAACCTTCGTTTGTCTTCAATAGATCTAAGGTCGAAACCGATGAATGCTCAGAACAAGGTCGGCACATGGAAACGGATACACTGCTGCCTTCGCTCAAACGGACACTTTGCTCAATACAACATTGGAGAGGTAAACGCCACGACCTACAATAAGGATATCTGTTACACATCCTTTTCTACGGAAGATTAAGAAAACTTTCAACATTTCATAACACACTCAGTACGAACTTCCTCCTTCATTTTCTAGACAGAAAAGCCATTCGAGACGATACCGTTGGCAGAGACTCTTCGGACACACATCTGGCCGTTGGATGGGAGCCTGTTCTCCAAGAAGCACTGCTTCTCAATAAAGGCGCCCCACGACGTCAACTACTACTCGGTCTCGTTGAAGCGGTCAAGCACGGACCAGGAAACATTCAACACTTGGCTCTACGCTCTCAAGTCCTATGCCAAACCCGAGATCTTTGGAGCAAATGAATCGTTGGAGTATCGACTATACAGAACCTTTTGGATCATTGTCAACGACGGACGGAGGCTCCCCAAGGATCTGGAAGCCTACTGTGAGATCATGCTGGATGACCAGCGGAGAGCCCGAACTAGCACGCGGACAAAGGCTCCCAAAGGCGCAGAAACCGATTCCCCCTTCTGGCGCGATAGCTTCGAGTTCACGTAAGCTTTTGTTCTTGTATATTTATTTTTTTGCTGCGAGGAAACGACTAAATGCACATGCAACTCATTCACTCTAACTTTTTCAAATATATTGACTTTAGGGATTTGGCAGAGTTCACTAAGGGAATCACGATCAATGTTATCCAGGCAAAAGGGAGCAAGCTGATCCCATTTGGGAGGACCGACATCCCTGTGCGGAACAGCGAGGACTGCGACGAGGGCTGGTATCCGATCATGCACATGAACGACCGGACCCGTTCTGCGGAGCATTTGGGCGACTTGAGACTCAAGCTCAAGTACGAAGAGCAGATCGTCCTCCCTTTGGTCAACTACGAAGTGATCCTGGACGTAAGTTTACGCTAGCAATATTGCAGTAACAATGTTACTTTCACGAACCACGTCTTGTAAGCTAACGAATGCGCCTGTGTTAATTGCATCGTATGTAAATAGATCATTGTCAACTTTAGGGAGAACAATGTCATTTCAAAGCTGGCTAGACGGGTCACAGATCTGGAGAGTTTTTCGAGGAACGTGCTTCGTATTCTGGAAGGAAGGGGTCTTGCCGTCACATGGCTCAACACGTTGATTGACGAGGAAATCGCAGAAGCCAGCCCAAGTATGTCATTCGTAATTTCATGTGTTTGGTTTGCGCCTAGCATCTTTCTGATGCTTTGGAAAGTGTGACTAACATTGCGTATTGTTGTTCGTTTTTTTTGGTGATAGCACGGATAAACACGCTCTTTCGGTGAGTTCAGGAAAAGTAGACAGGACTACAACGCGAGAGAACGAACGACTGTGGATAACAACAGGAGCTAATTCGAGCCATGCTAAATTCACCTTATGAACTCCGATAGAGGAAACACACTGCTGACAAAGGCACTGGATGCATACATGCGACTGGTCGGGACAGAGTATCTGGACGACACGCTAGGAGACATCTTGCGGAATATTTGCAAAAACAAGGTCGCATGCGAAGTGGATCCATCTAAACTGGAGAAGAACGACGATCTAAAGACTCAGTGGCGAATCTTGATGCTCCACACGCGGACCTGTTGGCGTGCCGTCACCGAGAGTGTCCATCACTTTCCAAAGTACGTTCCCCCTTTTCTTTTTGCGTTATATGGTGCTGCAGTAGGAGTCGGGTTGATGTACACATTAATGCATTCAATAACACCTTTCTTCAAAACTGTGAACCTTGTAGGGAGCTGCTGAAGGTGTTCTCACATTTGCAAAGGCGCTTGACAGAAAAGTTTTCGGATCCGTCCTCCTCCTCCGCTAATGCCAACGGTACGAAGTCTTCAGAGCCGGACCTGGCTGGTTTGGCGCGGTACACTGGTGTTAGTGGGTTTGTCTTTCTGCGACTCATTTGTCCTGCGATTCTTGGTCCCAAGCTGTTCTACATCGTTCGAGGTGAGTGAGCTTGTTTTTTTAGGGGGGGGGGGGTTGGTGGCATTTCTCGTTTTTTAGAGTACGGGAAATAACGCGGTCGTAATGTTCTGGCTCTTGGAATAGAACACCCTGAGGCGCGAGCACATCGTACGCTGACACTAATTGCCAAGTCGCTCCAGGGACTGGCCAACCTTGTCACTTTTGGGTCCAAAGAGTCGTGGATGGTTCCCATGAATGAGTTCATCACTGTAAGTTACTTGTCTCTTTCCTGCGGGGTTGAATCGTACGACTGCCACCTGTTTTAGTCTCAGGTATTGACAACTACGCTCGTATTACTTCAATTCTTTTAGGAAAACACAAAGAGCCTCAAGGACTTTATCGACCAGATCTGCGTAAGTTTGCAAACCCTTATCTTCTCGCAGAGCTACAAAAAGTACACGCATTGCAGAGGAAGTTCGAAATCTTACACCCCTTCGTGTTATTTACTTGTATTACATATTTTTATAATAGGCGTTGGACCCATCGTCAGGATATTTGTCGAGCTCGAATTCTGTCCGGTCACTACCTATGCAACCACCCCATTCTCCAGGATCAACACACTCCTCCATGTTCCGTGCCAAGAACGGCGGCAGCTCCGGTTCAGGCTCAGGTGGAGGTTCGGACGGCCTGTCATTGGGACAGTACTCCATGGCCCCACTCCCTTCTCCTAGTTCACAAAATCGACCCATCATCCGTACCTCCAACAACAGGGATTCGGTCCAGTTCCCGACGGGACATGTCGACCAAGCGACGTTGGACAGGAGCCATGATATGCCGCTGTTGCCGCATTTGATTGATCTGGGCAAGGAGCTTGCGCATTTCTCGACGACTGTTGTTCGTGTTATCCCGCTGCCGATTCATAACTATGCGGACGGTGGTGATGGCCATGACGGGAAGGATGTTGATGTTCTGGACAGCGGTAATGGGGCCAGGTGGGGTGGGACTGCAGATGATGACGAGGAGGATGAGGAAGAGGAAGATGATATCCTGAGGATCATGTGGCGCGCTTGTTGGGATGTCATCGAGACTATCCAGCAGCGTGTCCAGCTCAGTGTGGAGATGGAGGAAGAAGAACGTCTTCGAGCTTCTAATGGTGGCAACGGAGGAGGATCGATGCCACCGCCATATAGTATGAACATGATGGCGAGGGAGGGGTATCAAGAGGGCGAGGAGACGTACGTGGTCTATGAGCAGTATGAGGGCCATGAACTTGAGAGTTTTGATGGCCTTAATCGTGGGTATGATAGTGATGATGAGTCCTTTGGGCGGCACTCTGGTCACGATCTGATCTAATTGAGCCGGAGCGACAATAACAACAACAACAACAACAACAACAACAACAACAAACACATCACCAACAACAACAACACACCAACAAAAAAAGTAATCGCGCCACCAGGATTGTCAGAGCTGACGAGAGAATTGAGGAGGATGATCGCGTTAATATTTATCATATTTATCTTTCTGTTTCTGTTTTTTTTTTCTTTGCCCTTTTCACACAATTTTTGGAATACTAGAACAAACAAAACATAAAAGTCAATGAAGTAAAAGAAGAAAGCGAACAAAAACAAGTATATTTTCATATGTTGTATTAGACCTTCATCTAGCCGTCATCACCTTCTCTCTATCAACCCATACACGGCTCCTGCGCGCGTTTTGACCCAAATTCTAATTATGAACTAACTGAACAGTCAACTCGCCAGTACCTTCGGATTTTGCATCGAGGTCCAAGAACCCAGCTAGCCTCTGATGAATACTCGCCAAGATCGCCTGCTCATCAGCACCCTTGGCAACACTGACCACCACAGTTCCAATCAACTGTCCCAACGTATTCGTCCAAACATGTGCGCGTTCCATCCTCAGGATCGCAGGGTTGACCGCCGAGAGTTGGCGCACCGTATCTTCGATGGTTTCCAGAGCACGTGGTGGGGTTGTCTGGAGGAGAAGCATTCCGAGAACTTTGGCCAGGGGTCCTCCGAGGGAGAACATGATGATGGATTGGCCGATGGCGATCATTTTGTCGAGGGCGTCGAATTTGGGGAACATGGCGACCAAGAGGACCCCCACGACGCAGGCCAAGCTTGTTAGGGAGAACTTGTTACTGGTCAATGAGACTAGCTTTAAAGAATCTGAGCGGCCAAATGCTGCCTGTGTTGACACATGTCCGTTCGCGCTCAGCACTATTGGATTGTAGTTAGAAGGAAGATGAGACTTGAGTGCGCTTGCTCTAGTAAATAAAGCCATCGTTCTTGAACTATCATGCCCAAGAGGTTCAAAACTTACAAAGGCAGAAATACTTATGGTTCTGGTAACCTAATGAAGAGACCAACGTGGCTCCCAGCGCCACCAGAGTCCAGAAAATCGGTACGCGCACAATACTAGCAAAATGTAAGTAAAGATCGTAATAAGCTGTTAGCTCGCCGTTGTCTTGCTGTGATTTCGAGTTCAGTGAGATTTTATCCTGTAATTGCTAACAGATGCTCTTACGCTCCATGATCGTCCCCGTGGTGGTCATCCTCGAGCATCAAATGTTCCAAACTCTCCTTGAGCATGTTCATACCGATGAACAGCAAAAAGATGGCGTTGAACAATCCAAACAAAATCTCAAACCGCTGGACACTAAATATCATCAACCACGATTGCAAGAGAGTCGTTAGTATGGGCGTTCAGCGTGTTCGTTGCGGCAGTGCCAAATGTTAGACATTTGATCCTTACCCAAAGGGATGTTTCACGGTCGACTTCTTCATCTTGATATCGGTGTGGATGACGCTGGAGACAAAGATGTTCAAGATCCCAAAGGCGTCAAACAAAAGCATGTACGACAATCCGATGATAGCTAATAATAGCGAGACAAAAAATGTAATGTTGTGTCAATAAATGTGGGGTCAAAATGTAATGAATTACAGGCGTATTATATGATCCCGTCCGATAATACAAAGAGTTCCTGCGGGTTTCCTTACACAATGATCCTGCACGCATTCCGGAGAGCCAGGTGAAGACGGCGATGGTGGAGTGGGCCAGAATCCAGGTGAACATGGTCTTTTGCTTGGGCATGAGGTTTCCAAAGATCTCGCCGTATGAAGGTAGCTGGGACCGGAAGCTGACGGGATGATGATGATCGTGGTGGTGGTCGTGGCCATGATCATGTTCATGACCATGGCTGTGGCCGTGACCATGATCGTGGTGTCCGTGCCCGTGACCATGACCATGGGCGTGGTGATCGTGGTCGTGGTGATCGTCCTTGTGGTGGCCATGTCCGTGGTCGTGAGCATGATGATCGTGGGCATGCCCTTGATTATTGTTGTGGCCGTGTCCGTGTCCATGATCATGGCTATGATTGTGTCCAGAATGGTCGTGCTGGTGCTGTTGGAAGCCTTGGGGTTGGAAATGGTGATCGTGCTTATGTTCTGGTGCTCCTCCTGCTGGGTATCCATTCGTCTGACCCTGATTATGGTTGTCGTTGTGGGTATGACTATGACTATGGTCGTGATGGCTGTGGTCGTGGTGTTGATGCTGATCAAACAGGCCATGACTATGACCATGGGCGACAGATGAGGCAAAGGGTATATTTCCGTTCATGGTTGTTGTTGTAGTCATGGTCGAAGCAGGCGATGTCGTAAAGCCGGACGCATGGGCCTCAGTCTAAGGTAACAGACAAAAGGCAGAGCTCAAAGGCCTTATTAGTTCAACTTCATCACTTTTTTTCCTGCATCCTTTTTTGAGCCTTGCGGACTGAGTCAAAGCGTACCAAAGGCTTCTTTATCTGGAGGAGGTTGTTCTCGATGCCAACTGGTCTTACTCCTGGTGAGGTGGCGAGGGTGTGAGAGTGGCCATGGCCATGACCGTGGCTGTGATGATGGTGTCCGTGGGTGTGAGTTTCAACGGCCAGGGTGGATGAGGCTGCGGCGGCAGATGCGGCGACAAAGGGCGAGTGTGTCCTCCGAAGCAGTTGGGGGTTGGAGTCCATGGCAAGAAGAGTTCTGCTGTTGTCCTGTTCTGTTTCTTGGCTGTATGCTTTCCAGGTCAGGTCAGTTCAGGCAGTCGGTCGGTCGGGTTGTAAAGGGTTGCAGACCTTGGTGGGACGGAGTGATGTACAAAAAGGATGAGAGGAGCAAGAAAGTAAAGACAGAAAGGGGCTAATTTTGGATGGGCAAGGGGCGTTGTCTCTCTATGAGCCGCAGGGACGTCGTAACCTTTACGGTCCTCTCCCTTTCCCCTTGTTTCTTCTTTTTTCGACCGCGTCCCTCGTTCCCACGTAACACTTTTTCACCTTTGGCGCCAGGGAACAGAACATTGAGCACTGATCGTTGTCGTTGGTTGTTGGTCGCTGTTGTTTGGCGAGGATGGTTGGCCCGGGGTTCAAAAGGGTTACGCCCCAGTGAGCCAGAGGCACAAAACGCACGCCGGCACCGCTGGACTTACCATTGGAGGATTGATCACGTATTGCACTTGAGGAATTTAAGGTTGGTGTTGGAGAAAGGGCGTGCACTTGAAGAAACTAGAGTTGCCACACCACGTGACTTATCTGATTTTTCGATCTGTAACTGCAAAACTGTCCCTTTAACTTGATGGGTGGACCCGATCAGCGAGAGATCTTTGTTCTTCTTGGACGTTAGTTGTGCCCTTTCTTCGCTTCTCATTCCTCTTTCACTTATTTCTCTCAACTCTCTCATTCATTCACCGGAGACAAGCATCGCCAGGCTTACGGACACCCATAGCCAGCACAAATCAGGAACTTTCACTCCAAAGTAGAAACGCCCAACAACTCATTCAACTCAAATGAGTGATCTCTCCTCCTCAGCCTCGACATTAGCTGTCGTCCCCACCAAGCAGGCGACTCTGCTTCAGTGCATGCTGGTAAAGACCAAAAAGCAAAAAGGAAATTTGTAGACGCATAGAACTTTCATTTTCACCGTCTTCCAGCTTGTGTATTGGAACTGACACCATTCTTTCCATTATTTCTGAACTACTTCCAAAAAGGCAGGTGCGATGGCTGGAACGGCGGTAGATACTGCCCTCTTCCCTCTGGACACACTCAAGACGCGCCTCCAGTCCAAGGCTGGATTCGCGGCATCGGGAGGATTCAGAGGAGTCTATTCTGGCTTGACCAGCGCCGTCATCGGAAGCGCACCTGGTGGTAAGGCCTTCTCCAAATTCTCACACTCACACGACAAAATTCAGGAACACACAGCCAAAGCGGGTACCTTTTTCTTAAATAACAACAACAATGCCAAAATTTAACCCACGATCGATATCGATTCCCCACATTCTTTTTCTTACGAAACTTTAGCTTCGATGTTCTTTGTTACTTACGAGGGACTCAAGAAGACATTGACTACAGTCTTGCCCGATCCCCAACATGCCCCCATGGTCCATATGATGTCTGCCTCTGGTGGAGAGATCGTAAGTCCATTTCCAACACTCCCTTCGCCGTCTTATCTTTGTATGAAAGTGGCCCTTGTGTGCGCAGATCAGTGGCGACCAATTGGGCTCTTTGATTTTGTTTTTTTTTGTGGGTAGGAGGGGAAGGTGTTGTTTCCCCCTTGCGGGCAAATTAGGATTGTGGGTTCATACCAGCTGGCTCTACAGTTGAGTCAGCCCTTTTCCCCCTCACCCACCTTTTGATGTAGAAGGGACGCCCAAAACAACAAAAGATATCATGCCGTCGAAACAGGGTCTCTTGCAAACGAACCGGATGTGGAGGGACGGAGCCACGTTACAAAGCCTAAACGTTTGTGCAGTTGCGAGAACCAGAAAAATTCTAATGAATCCATTCCTAATTCTTCCTTGTTTGAATAGGCTGCCTGCTTTGTTCGTGTTCCGACTGAGGTGATCAAGCAGAGGATGCAAACCAAGCAGTTCACAACTACCTCTGCTGCCTTCAAATCTGTCATCCACAACGAGGGCATCTTGGGATTCTACCGCGGATACTTCAGTACCGTCGCGCGCGAGGTAAGCCACAGCGATCAGATAAGGAGAACAAATGCTAGCTCACATTTCGAGCCAACACTTTAGACTGACCACGATTGTTTCGTTTGACACCGCCTTCTACTTAGATCCCCTTCACATGCATCCAGTTTCCATTATACGAGTACATGAAGAAGACATACGCATTCGCAACCCACAGACAAGTAGTCGACCCATGGGAGGCCGCCATTTGCGGATCGATTGCAGGAGGAATCGCCGCCGCTATCACAACACCTCTGGATGTCATCAAGACACGTCTGATGCTCAGCCAACGGAGCCCTGTCGGCGCGGGTGGAGCTCCATCGAACGCATACTACTCTGGAATCAACTCGACATTTAAGCGTATCCTTGCTGAGGAAGGTCCAAGGGCCTTGTTCTCGGGTGTCGGACCTCGTGTTATGTGGATCTCGATTGGTGGAAGTATCTTTTTGGGCGTTTATGAGAAGGTCAAGGTGGTTGTCGCCAGCCGGGACAACTAAAGGGAAGGAGAGATCGTTATATACTTTTTTTCATATAGACTGGAGGAAGACGAGGTATCGACATACACTTGTATCATAGATAAAAAACGAAGAGCGTATTTGTTTACACCACATATTGTGGTTCTGACATTATCGCCTTCTGCATACTGCTTTATTTTTATGTACTTGTTCACGGCGTCAATTGTAGTTTACTATCAATGTTGAAACAGACGGGAGAGAGTTGAACCCGGCCATTATTGGTAACGGAGGATACTTTAGAGCTTGAGGATTCGCTTGCGGAGCTCCTCCAACTTGTCACCGTTGGTCTCCTTGACCTTCCATCCCATGACCAATCCCTCCTCATCGTTGGGCTTGGGGATGACATGGAAATGAACGTGGTCGACGGCCTTTTTTCCAGTAGACAAAAAAGAAGTTAAGAACACGATGTTAATGTGTGCACACGCAAGGCAAATAATTCGATTTCGAGTTTTTTTTGGTTGCACATAGCCGGAGATGCACCGTACCTGGTGGGCGATACGTCCGTTGTTCTGCAAAATGTTATAATCCTTGCATCCAAGGGCCACGGCAACTTTCTTGGCAGTGGGGAGGAGGTCAGCCATCTCGGCGTCAGGGAGCTCGTGGAGGAACTGGGCGTGGTCTATGTGTATAACAGGGAACGATTATGTGAGTTAAAGATGTCCAACTTTTGTCTTGACGGGTATCAGCCGCTGTTAATGTGAGTTTCTCATCGAATCCCTGTCCTATCATCATCGTACTTACGTTTGGGGATGACAACCTATGTGAAGGAGAGGTGAAGTACAATATGTGAGCATTGATTATCTACTTGTTACAACTTCTTCGTGCGCGTGTGCGATAATATGACTTAACGCCATAAAATCAGCATGTCTAAAAGGCAAACTTACGGTGTGTCCATCGCTGAGAGGTCCAATGTCGAGGAAAGCCAAGCTAGAATTGCAAGAAGAGGGAGAGAAAGGTATATCCGTTTAGTTATGCATTGCTTGGCTCATCCCGCATTTGTCGATACCGAGCGCCTCGGATACTGTGGAAATTCTGAAAAGGACTCTTCCATGAAGGATAATGCAGCCTGAACCAGAAAACTACGCGCATGCAAGCTCCAGAGGAGCATTCGAGAATATCTGCTCTCCGCCCTGTCGCATCTATCTTGCTCAGTCAATTCTTCTCGAAAACGCCATGTTTCGCGTATTGTTCTTTACTCCGAGTTGGCGGTTTACTTCTTTTTGACAAGTTGTTATAGCAGTCAGTATGACTCCATGGTAGTTTACCTGTGCTCTGTCTCGAACAAGATCTTGGAGGGGATCTCGCGCTTGATGATGCGACAGAAGAGGCAGGCGGGGTTGGAGGCCATGGTTGTTGTGAATGTAATGTGTGAGAAGAAAGTGGAGAGGAGAGATGCGTGGGAGCGAGATTTCGTTTTTATGCGAGTTCTCTGTGACGTTCAAATCTTTCAGGCGCAATTGATGGCGCAGGATCACCCAAACGCGCAAACCCCACTGCCACATAAAGGCACCCCCACCCGACTGCATTCTATTTTTTCCTCTTTTTTCATTTCATCTCCCATCTCTCATCCACTTCACCTCTCGCTCCATCATGCTCGCAAACACTCTCCGTCTCGCCCGTTTCTCGACCACCACCAGCTTTGCCGCTGTCCAACAGCGCACTTTCGTAATTGTAAGCTACCCCCCCCCCCTGACACTTTCTTCATATCAGTTTCACTCCGCCCGACACCTTTTTTTTTTTCAGTCACAGCATCTTTTCTAATCACCCACACTTTTACCACTCCAACACTTCTAGTCCGCACTCAACCAAAAGTCGTTCCCAGCACTCGTCAAAGAGATCAAAGAAACCAACAAGAACATCCACTACCTCTCCCCAAAGGACCTCCACTCTCTCCAAACAACCCAACCCCCACACGTGATCGATGTCCGTGAACGCCACGAGGTCCAAGCAACAGGCACCATCCCTGGGGCCATCATCCTCCCCCGTGGTATCCTCGAGCGTGATGTTTCGAAATTCATCAAGCAGTCAGACCCCCGCGATGTTGTTGTTTACTGTGCAGGAGGCTTCCGTTCTGTTCTTGCGGCCGAGTCTTTGGTCCGTTTGGGATATGGCGTTGCCGAGGGGGAAGGATCTAGCAAGAAGGGGAGCACTAAAGTCTGGAGTCTGGATGAGGGTATGGATGGTTGGGTCAAGAACGGGTTCCAGGTCGAGAAGGATGGCAAAATTTCAAAGTAGATATCAGCATTAAGCAACAGCACCAGATCCAGCAAAACATTTGGGAACAAACGATCTGCATTAAACAAATGAAAGAGCAAACCCGAATCTAGACCCTTCTGAGACGACGACACAAATTGTTCCCATAACGCCATATCAAGCACCAGAAAGCAGCAGACGCCAAAACGTTCTTTTATGTTATTAATATTATGTGTTTATTCTTACTTTGCATATCCGCCAACAGAATGGTTGTTTTCCGTGGCATTTGTCTAGTGTTGCTTTCTTTTGAACACGCGTTTTATTCCAAAATGGGAGGGTCAGCTCTTTCATTTATCCGCCTCGCTTAAAGTCGAAGAGAGGACGGAGAGAATGCAATGATCCTGCACGCTTCAAGAACTCGTGCTAATAGAATCAAGAACGAAAAGGAGTAAGGTCGATTGTTAGTTACGTCAAATGTCTGACGGTATCATGCGACGATATGAAAAAGGCAAGAGAAATGAAAAATCGGTGGTGGTTACCTCCAAAAGCTCCTTGGAGGTGGCACGGCTCTTGACCTCGACACACAGGCAGACGGCCAAGAAGTTCTTGAGCTCAGAGCTCAGAGTCTCGGGCTTCTTCAATGTGGGGGTTCCGTTGGTGGCGATCAAGTAAAGAGCCTTGAGGGGCTCCTCGTCCAAGTATGGGGGCTCCTGCTCGATCATCTCAATGGCCATAATACCCAGAGACCAGATATCGACCTTGGCACCGTATTCCTTCTGCTTGACAACCTCAGGAGCCATCCAGTAGGGGGTACCGACCATTGTAGCACGCTTGTTCTTCTGATCAGTCAACTTTGCGCAGAATCCGAAATCAGCTAGAAAGGAAATGTAAGGTAACAATATTTGTGTTAATATCTAAAGAAACGCCGCGTACATGAAACACGAAAAAACACGAAAAAGCACGAGCCATAGATATGCCACATACTAATCTTGACATGTCCGAGGGAATCCAAAAGAACGTTATCGGACTTGATATCTCTGTGAATGATGTTCTGGCTGTGCAAGTGCTGCAGACCCTTGCATGTCTGTGGTAATGGGGAAGATGTAATACTTTGTTAGTGCTGCGTCTTGCCATTCGCATAAGGCAACAACTGTTCACCGTATCCGCCAACCAAGTAAAAGAGATGAGACGTACCTCTAAGCAGATGCAGGCAATTTGGCTTTCTGAGAGCTTGTTGTTGTCAATAACATCGGTCAAGGCACCACCCTCCATGTACTCCATGACGACCCACAACTCCTGACCCTTGACCAAGAATGAGTCGAGGTAGTTGACAATATTGGGGTTGGTCGACTCCTTCATGACCAAAATCTCGTTGACAACCAACTCCTTCCTGGGCTGCAATGCAAGATCCATCTGCTTAATGGCAACCTTGGTGTTTGTCGTGAGGTGCTTGGCGACATAGACTGATCCGGAAGCTCTACGAATAGAAGAATAAGTAAAAATATACCGCAACAGAGCAAAAAACCTCATTAGCAAGAGGCACCTTAAATCACTGTCTCATTTGCTGAAATTAATAACATGAGGACACCGAAGAAACTCATCGTTCAAACTTACCCCTGACCGACCTTCTTGATCTTGCTATACAAAGTGCTGGGGTCGCCCGAGGAGACGACACTGCGCAGCTTCTCCATAATCTCAGCCTCAGTCATGGTCGAAATACGACGTTCAACAGCGACCTTGGGGGCGTTGGAGCCATTCAAGGAAGCAGCAGCATCGGCAACAGCAGGGCGAACGATCGCTGGTGGTTTCGAGCCAGACTCAGCAGATGATCCAGGGTATTTGACAGCGATGGGCGAGGTATTGCTCCGAGGAGGAGGTGCGTAGGCGTTGGGCTGACGAAGACTGGAAGGTGACGCTGAGGGGGAAGGAGGTTGTTGTGGGGGCTTTGGGGGAGGGTTGTTGTACTTGTTGGAGGGCGAGCTAGAAAGTGGGGGAGTGAACTGGTGGTTGGGTGCACGAGGAGACTGCGTCAGGCGCCCGGTCGTAAACCATTCAAAAGATCAGCATCTCGAAAAGAAACAAAAACAAGTAATGACTCTTCGCGCGTCGCTCCTTCCAATTGAATCAAGAACTTACAGTGGGAGATGGAGGTGCATAGTCGGGGCGGAGAGCGTTGGGTGGTCTTGGAGCAAGGGCTGGACGACTTCCTGGCTGCTGGTTGCCCTATAATCAGCAATTAAAATGAAAAAGGCGTGAGTGAAATGAAAAAAAAGGAAGAGAGTGAGAGGGCGGACCCTGTTGTGCTCTCTGAAGACACCATCCAATCCAATACATGGAAAAATGAGCCCTTTTGACATTGACGGAGTCTGGAAGAGAAAACTTACCCTATCGTCATAAACATTCAAGCTGGACATTCTTTGGGTGACAGGGAGGGTATCGACACTCTGCGAGCGCTCTGGGATTGAGGGACGGAGCTGATCCTCTGGGCGGTCGGGGCGCTCTGGGCGCTGGGGACGTTCAGGTCTGCTCGAAGGGGGAGTGGGTTGCTGTCTAGGCATGAGGTTGGCCCAACGATCGCCCTCCGAGTCGCTGGGGATGAGAGGAAGTGAGTTGGGTATCAACGAGGCGGTACCGTACTCTGCTTCATTGCGCTTTGTCTGATCCGTGTAGAACTCCAAGACCTCCAACACAGCCTGGGGGTTGTTAGCGTAGTCCTCCTTGGTAATGGCAGATCCAGTCAGCAGCTTTGTCCATGTCTCTGGCAAGCCCTATTAGTTGTCAATCGGTCCCAATGGAAGGTGAGTGAAGAGCATATTGTAGGCCTGTCAGCCAGTTGCAGTGACAACATAGAAAAAAGAGTGAGGACGAGAACCCTTGATTTGTTTGTGTGACACTTACGGTAAAGTTGCCGGTGTTGGGGTCAAAGCCAACATGGACCTTGTGAACAAAGTTGGTGGGGTTGGAGACACCCATAAGAGGGGATCGGGAGTAGATCTCATGCATCCATGAGTACAGCTCCTCGTCGTTCTTGCACGAGAGGAAGTAGCTCCTGTCCTTGGTAACGAGCTCGAAGCAGTAGGCCTTGAGGTCTGTCCTGGTCACGGCGGTAATGTCCTTGAGGAAGATCAGAACAACGGCTTGAGGAGTCGACTATGCAGAGGAGAACCGTCAAGGAGAGCAAGGAAAAGTGGAGGAGATTAGTACCGCTTTTTATGAGGATAGCTGAGAGGCGTGCTAGTTAGGCAGCTGAGGATGAATAAAAGGGGATTGATCGCAAGTGTGCATTTTTTGTGTTCTCTCCAGCAGCACAAGGCCAATTGCTTCAAGAAGCCCACATTAACCAGCCCTACTGCACAGGGTACGCAAAGACACACAGCGGCGCAAAGTTCAAAGTACCCTTCACCAACCGCCACAATATATAGAGGCGGGCAATAAAAAACGGGCCGTCGGACAGATTTAAATGGCTGCGACCAGCCAGGAACCAACCGACAGTCGTTCCTCAGTCCCAGGAAACGCCATTACTCTCACCTATATCTGCTTCATCCTGCCCCCCAAGGTCCAACGCTAGTCCACTTTTGATGGCACCTGTTTTTGCTTCCTTTACCCTCCAATAGTATCTTCTCCTGGTATTGGTTCCAGTCCGAGTGCTATAAACGATAGCGCCAGTGAACTCCTCTATGGCTCACTGCGACTTTTGACCTCGATCTCCATCTCACTTTTTCATCATCTGAGCACCACCCTGGATGAAACGAACACCTGTCTGTGTCATTAAACAAAACGTAACTGTCGCCGGAGCTGCCTGTCTCCCACACTGTGGCGCCTTTGGAAGTGTGTGCAAGGCAACTGCATCACTTTCTTTGACAGTTACTGTTGGTGGAATCCAAACTGAGTGGAGAGAAACAACGTGGAGATGATGGCAGAGGAAAGGGAAGGTAGGGGATAACGGTGTGGAGTGAAAGCGGGGCTGGATAGTAGAAGGAACAGACAGAGACGAAACACATAAGGCATAAAGAAAGGCGCGAACGGCCTGTTCCCGAATATAGAGGAGTTGCTTGCTTGCTTGCTTGCCAAGGAAAACCAAGGCAGTTGAGATGAAGCCCAAGCTGGTCTCAAAAAGTGATGCCATCATCTGCGAGACATAATAAAATATGTAACAAAAAGGTTGTGTTGGGAGTGGACTCACCTCGTTCCTGTGGAAGCTGAGAGTCAGCTCACGCAAGGTCATGTATCTCTTGGACCAGATAAAGGCCTTCAGACCCTCTTCCTTGACAGAGATATAGCCATGCTTGAGCACACCCGAGACGTTGGTGGGAGCCAGGTCACGAGCGGGCTGGATGGGGGTGAGCTCCCTGTACTTTGACAGGGGGTTGGAGTTGTCTTCGGAGGAGTACATGGGGCGAAGAAGAGGATGAAGGGAGGATGGAGGCGACTGGCTGTTGGAAGGAGGAAAGAGGCGGATGGAGAGAAAAAGAAAGAGAGAGGGTAAGTAGGAGTAAGAGACGGAAAGAAGCTCGTTCGGTTATGGTTCTCTTTTGTCACGGAAGGCTAAGGACAGGCAGACGCACAGTGCTCTTTCAGGGAGGAAAAAGAACGGAGGATGAGCAAAGTGCACAAGGGAGAGGTCGAAGAGGACGAAAGAAGGAAGGGTCGTATACTAAATAAATGAAATAAAAAGATGAAGGAAGAAGGGATGAAGGGAAGGCGAGATGATGAAAGAGACGACAAAGGAAGGGAAAAGAAGAGGACGAAGAGGAATTAAAAGAGGGGGAAATTAGACAGTCAGACAGAGGGAGAGAGGGCGGTGAAAATAAAAAGCGGCCAAAAGTGAGTCCACTTTGCTTACTTTTTTTATTACTTTTTCCTTACTTCTTCGTCGTCTCTCTCCTCTCCCACACGTCTTTATCATTGTTGTTGCTGTTCGATGTTGTCGTCTTCCTTCTTTGTTTGTTTGTGGCTTTATGCTCTGTTGCGCCATGTCTCTTTGCTCTAGACTTCTTTTTGCATGAAAAGCGCATTCACACAGACATAGATAAAAAAATGTTGCTCAACGGAGGAAAAAACGTGGGATTTGAACGACTCTTTCACAAACGAGTATTAAAAAGGATGGAGAGCGAAGAAGAAGGAGCGGTGTGTGTGGTGTGTGTTGTGTTGAGATGCCAGGATGCCAGAGAATACAGTTCGGGCCTAAGGAGACACCAAGGGGCATGGAAACATAATTGCAAACAACAGAACAAACCAACACACCTTTTTTTCTTCCTTTCTCTTTCTCTCCCTCTGCGTCTCCCAGTTTCGTCTTTCTCTTGTCTCTCCTCATTGTCCACCGTCCCCTCTCGGTCAAAGGGGGTCAAGAAACGGGAACCGTTATTACCAGTAATATCCTCTATTCTCGAGCACCCAGAAAGAAACACCGGGGAAATCTCGTTTAACCAGCTCCTGAAATGACGGCCACAGCCAATAGTTGTTTCCGTCGGTTTTGAAGAGGGGTAGAATCCAATGAGCTGGTTGCTGTCAATTCGTCCGTCCGCACCTGGTGCTTTTTCTTGTGTGCGCCTGAAAAAGAGCCTAACGATCCACGACCTGTTCACCCCCCTTTGTAGGTTTGCATACTATTTTTTTGTCAATCATGAACAGCTGCCGGAGTAAAAAACAACAGAAAAATGGCAACCTTAACTTTCCTTTGCACCACCTCACCTTCAGAGCTCATTTTGTTCAAAATAACGAGAGACGAGTCGTATGCTTCCTTTTTCTTTTAGCGAGCCAGATCCCGCTTGGATATCTACCCCTCTACACAATACACACATAGGCAGTGACCCGCACCCTTCAATTGCCAGTGTCCTGGCAACAAAAGTCAAAAGTGAGTACTGATCGCCCTGAATGGTTTTTGAGCCCAATAAAATCCAGGTATTCATTATTGATCACGCATCTCCGAAGAGAGTTCGATCGCAGGTGTTGCGTTTCAGACCTCAGGTCCAGGCACAAGCCCGAGTCGCGACAGCAGTCACTCGACTCGGTTGTTTTTTTGTTATTTTCAAACAACGCGTCCAGCCAGCTCCACCCACAAACACCGTGGAGCAACAACTTTCATTCACTTCAGCTTGTCAACGACAACAGATCCCATCTGGCAACTCTGCACCTGCAACACCACCTTCCAACCCCCTGCGCCCGCACCATCAACACAAGCGACGCGTAAACACCGTATTCACTCACATGGTAGGATCCACATCCACTTTCATATCATCATCATCAATCCCACACTTCTCCAAAAAAAACTTCATACAACAATCTCTCGAATCCAGAAAGGCCCCAGGATGTCCATAGCCCTCGCTTTCATGCCTTCAAATCCATCCTCGAACCCAGGAGAATGCTTCAAGCCGGTTTAATCATAGCCGAAGCGTCATCCTTACCATCGTCACCGTTTCTTCATACAACAAATCACTGTGGGGTCAAAGAGGGGAGGGAGGGAGGCGAGTTGGTCCTAGTCGCACTAGGGCCAAAGCGAGCACGCGTCCTACGCCAAAGAATAAAATCCCCAAGAAACAAACAGGAAAACCCTGGCTCCTCAGTGTCCCCTTTATCAATTGCACTTGTCTTGTCACTAACGCTCCAGGTTTGCTTGACTTTCTTTCTTTCTTTGACTGGGACTTAGCCTTCTGAACCGCTGACCCCTGCCTCAACAAACACCGAGCATAACGGCGTCCCCACAATCACTTCAACTCAGAAAAAAGGCATGACTGTCCTGATCCCATCCCATACCAGAGGCAAGGAGAACGACGAGCCCATCGACATCGAAAATGTGGACGGCCCCACTCACTCTGAGAACGAGCACGTTGAGGAAGGTCGTCCTGTTCGCAAACGCAAGGCAACCGTGCCATTTGATGAGGATACTGAGATGGACACTGACGAGCTCTTGGAAAAGGAAGTCAAGACTAAGAAGAAGCCCGCCGCCAAGTCAAAGGCTGCCAAGGCCGCCAAGGACCCCTCTGCCACTGTCAAAGCGCCCAAGAAGACCACCAAGAAGTCGACTAGGTCCGCTTTCAGCGACGACGAGGATGGAGGTGAGTCTTCGTTCTGCGAAGCTGTAACTGCATGTTATCATATCCTTGATGGATACCTTCGATATTGACAAACAATGTTTCTAGCTCAATACCCAGCCAATAGCATTCTGTCAAACTTCAAGCGGGTCCCAAAAGGAAGAACCCCTTTCGTGAAGGTATGGTACTATTCTTTCCACGTCTTGCGCAAAACTGTGAGTGACAATGCAAAACAATTTTTCTAATCCATTCTGCTTGGAATTTGTCAGCCCGAAGACCCGCTCGACTTTGACCCCAACTATGTCTACGGCCTTGCGCGCCAGTACCCCGACGGCTACTGGAAGCACCATGCTGAGAGCAAGTCTGGCATGATTAACAAGATCAGCGAGGACCATCCCCTCGAATTGGTTGAGAGCAACATCTGCGACCAGGCTGCAATCACAGGCATGATTCTCTCGCCGGACGGGACCATGTTAGCAACATTCTGCAACCTCGGCTCTATAAGGATTTGGAATTTGGAGGACTACTCCCTGTTGAAGACACTTCGGGATGCCAAGGTACACACAATTGTTTATGTCTGTTACCATGTTTGATTATTTCGACCATAGCGATGAGAAAAGAAAAAGAAAAAAAACACGTACACTCTTAACTAAGTCCCTCATCATTGCCTTCCTTGAATACCATAGGAGGATCACATTGACGAGTTCTACGTAGGTACTTTTGTACCCGATCAAACTTTGGTGCTTGCTGGTGGAAAGCTCAAGGATAGGAACAATTGGTCAGAGGCAGACGAAGATAACAACATCCTTCCTTGCCCGCTCAAGCTGTTTGATATCCTGACGGGTGAGGTTGTGTGCCAATTGAAGGGGCATACGGAGGAGCTTCTCTGTGTTAAGCGGGTGCAGTTCAAGGGTGAGAATTACTTTCTCAGTGGAAGTCAAGACGGCTATCTCAATAAGTGGCACATGGAATCCGACTGGAGGTATGTAAATTATGAGTGGACAGAGTGAAAAATTGCTTGACGATTCGAAAAATGAAATGACTCGTTCCTGGATCATGTCATTAATCAACGTCTTCTCTTGTTCCGATAGATCTCTGAAGTTGATGGAGCAGATGGAGGACGGCATCACATGCATGGCCTTCACGGTATCATTTGTCCCAAACACAGGCAACAAGTACTTCCTTGCTGCAGCCGATGAGAACCTTCGACTCTACGATTTCGAACACGCCACAGTAAGTTTCAAGTTTCTCCTTGTTTCTATCTGCGTCCCTTTACGTCTAATGACTGGAAGTACGAGTCGTCAATTGACTTTTTACGTTTTCTTCGCCATCATAGTTGTTGCAAACGTTTGAAAATATGTACTCGTCATATTGCGACTGTGGAAAGTTCATCCAGCCTGTCGACTTTCCTATGCCCCCACCCATCCCCGAAGAAGAGCCCGTTGTTGATACAGAGGACATCTCAGAATCAGTGACCAAGAAGGGAAAGATGAAGGCCGATGAGGCTGAGCCTGCCCCAAGACCACAACAGTACGCTTATTTCATCTCGCGCGGTGTGGAGCTACTCGATTCAGAGGAGCGCATGATTGGTAAGTCGAACACACAATAGCGGGCTATTACTTCACTCCATCGCCATGGTTTATTTGTGGGATGATTGTGATACTCATATTTGTTCCCATTTACGCTTTGACTCTACTTAGCCAAAGACTACAACTCATGCACACTTCACAAATTAGTGTACCCAACGACAAAAGGTGGAAAGTGGTACCTGACCGAGGTGAAGAAATTTCAAGACGAAGAGTAAGTCGACGGATGGCCACAGCGCGTCATTGCTTTTGTGAGCAACGGTAGCGATTCTAATGGATACGGCTCTTATTTCCAAATAGGTATTTCTCCAACGCATGGCTTATTAAGATCTCATCAAACGGACGGTACCTGATGGCACCGACATGCACTGGCGAGGTCTTCATTTACAACCTCAAGACCGGACAAGTGACAGGCGTGCTCAAAGATCACGACGGTAGGATGAACTGGATTTGTTTGCCACCATTGTTTTTTTGTGCATCTGGTGGGCTTTGCTCAGATTCTCATGGCCGATTGTTTATTACTTGTTATCCAATGTTGTCATAGATGTCGAGGTGCGTGATGTTATTTTTCATCCTACGCGGCCACTCCTCCTCACAAGCGGCGACGGTAAGTGACCAACGATCGAAACGAACAGGAATGAAATGGGAATGAGAATGAAGTCGCGGTTTACAGACCACCATGCTAATGTCTTTATGATCCCTATTCTCTAGATGGCCAAGTAAGAGTCTATACCTACAGCAAACCAGAGGATCTCAGCAAGGCGCTGAGGGACTCTGAGGAGACCCAGAGGAGGGATTTAGAGGCAGCTGCGTTGGTGTCGGTCGCGACAGATCTGTCGGCAGTGTCGGTGAAGGACGAGGAGGAGGAGGAGGAGTCCATTGTGGATGTTGTTGATGAAGACTTGACGGAGTAGGAAGTGTGGACTAGTCAATCTCTCTGTTACCGAGTCGGAATTCTCCGACACACTTTCCCTCCCTTTGCCTTGACACGCAAAAATCGATACCTGCCAGTGCGCTTGCAATGACTCCCATCTTCTCATAATAAAACCAATTCATCACCACGTCTCAACCACTGCACCATCAGTTCAATCATGCATATGAGATGCCCTCGGCGTATTGCATTGATGCTCCCCGAAAAGGTCGGGATCCGCACAGACAATCTGATCGCTGATCTGGCTCCCTCGTTCCTCAAAATCTATGGCGATGATAAAAGGTCACCATACAAAAACTCCTGTCTCCTTTCTTCAACTATCCTTCAACGCCGTACCTTTTTGTCCAATTCCGTCTCTCTCTCTCTCTCTCTCTCTCATACACACACACACACACACAATGCCCATGAACAATTGGTCTTTTCGTCGCAATGGTAATGATAAGGACATGTCTCTTCAACATGTCCATGTCAAACTATTCAAAGACTAAGCAGAAAGTTCTTTCAAAGAGTAGAATGAACAAGCCTGAAGCTGACCATCATATCTCTTTCTTTCTTCGCATTTACAGGGAAACACCCAACAGATACTTTCAAGTCCTCATCATCGCTCACACTGGATGGAGAGCTACTCAAGGCGAAGTCCTGCTCCAAGAGCAGGAAGCCCTCTAACAACTTAGACAACTTTAAAGTCAGCCCTGCACCCCCCAGTCCTATCCTAAGCGACTTCTCGCCTGCAGTCCCACCCAAGACTCTTGGTGACCCTTTGGTGTTCAGTCCTGTAGTCCGTAAGAATGGCCATCAACAGTCAGTCGCACTACCACGCGACCTTACAGAGTCTCCAAGGCTAAGCAGAATTCCCTCTGGTGTGGTGATGGTTGCCGACATTGTCTTGAACCCAAAAACGCCTATGCTGTCTTCGACTGCTACCTCGATCCACAGCGCGTCCGAGATGGAGTCCTCTTTCCTGGCACTTACAGCCTTGGACGATTTGAATCGACTCCCTCCTGTACCTGCCCGTCGTGAAGCAAAGCCCGTGCTATCAAATTCGGTCCTGGGGCTCCCGGCGGTCCGTATCCCTGTCCCTTCTACGACTCCCGAGGAGTCCATCCAAGAAGAGCCGGTCGGCTCGTCTCCCGGATTTTGGGATGTATCGCCAGTGATGATACATGCTCACACCGTCCCTCCTCCAAACAGAATCTCACCAAAACTCATTGAAACTGAGCGATCAAACACCACACCTCGCACAGCACCGCTAAAGCCGCTCCCTCAACCGCCATCAAGTCAACAGCCGACACCTTCAATTACCACTGACTCCACGGCCTCGCCCACTTCTGACTCGCTAGCATCGTCACCAACTTCTGCAATGGATATCTCGGACAACTTTTTTGGCTCGAAAAAGCATGATTCTTCATCACCTCAACAACAACGTCTGCCACAGCAACGTCGCTCTCAGCAGCAGCAGCAGCAAGTCCGGCAGCGAAGTGGGGACGTCTTTCAAACTGCCCGTCATGATCCTGCCTGGGCGTACGTTCCACCTTCTTCACCGCCGCCACCGCCATCACAACGGCCAAAGGCCACACTGCCAACGCGTGTCCCTGCCAAGAGGAACGCTCCAAAGCCACCAAGCTCTTTCATAACAGGTCCCGCATCCTTACTGCATCGACTCTTCAACGACCCACTCTACTCTGACGTGGACCTTTCTGTCCACGAAGTCACGTTCCATGTCCACCGAGGTATCCTAGCTGAACACTGTAGTTACTTCCGAGAGTTCTTCACAAGCGCGAGAGCTCAAGAACCCGCGACCGAGATCCGTCACCTGGACTGCTCGTATGCTCCTATCACGTTTGAGCGCGGTAGACCCTTCTCGATTTCTCAGCCTGACAGCGACGATGCCGTTATCCAACACCCAGCAAATAAGGCTCGAGCTCGAGACCAAGCGAGGAGAGATCGTTCAGCTCAAGACCCTAAAGGTGGCCGGGACGTGCTGGAGAGTGAGGATGATAAGGATAGGCTTTGCTTTGCCGATGTTGAGAACAGTTCCTCGACAAGTCATGGCCATGGTCTCATCGGTCTCCCAAGAGCGATGAGTCAGCAAAAGCATCGGCACTCTACCAATCCAACGTGTTCAAGAACTGTTCCGCCTCCTTCTGGTCCCAAGGTCGATCCTGAAGGGACCCTGTGTCCATCCACACCTAACTCAGCCTCAACTCCGACACCTACCACACCTGGCGACGAAACTATGACGTCCTTCTCTGCTGCGTTTATTACGGCCGACCAGCGAAGTGTAGGCTACACATCTCACCACTTCGCGTGCTTCCTCCAGATCCTCTACGGGCTCTTGCATCCACTTCATCTTCACAAGGACGACCTCCTGGCCGTGTTCCGTATCGCCCACATCTATGGCGTCCCCGGGCTTTTGAGCCTCCTGGGTGACAGGATCTGGGATACCCTCGAATTGACGACCGAGACGTGGCCGTGCCTCGTCCGGTTCTCAGAACGATTCTGTCTGCAGGATATTAAGCGACGAGCGTTGAAACATGCGAGCGAGACACGCGAGATGTGGACGGTTGCTGTCGAGACCTTGGGGCTAGATGACTTTAAGGTCTTCTTGCGAGGCATTGATCAGCCAGAGAGAGAAAAGGCACCCGTGGGTGGTGGTCAGGGGCAAGGGGGCGACTTACGGGGATTGAAGGACGAGCTGTTGATATTGTTCCTGTTGGTCCACTACCAAGAGTCTTCTAGTTCCAAGGAGGCCGGTCCTATTCTCCGCGATGAAGATGGCAACAGCCACACTGGGGCGTCGCTGATGCGAAAGCTGTCAAAGGTTAATCCACGAGATTCGGCAAGAGTCAAGATTCGACAACAGCATCAGCAGCGACCCTTCACGCTAAGCCTTCATCCCTCCAGTCTACCATCTCGCGTCAACGGCAACTCCAAAAGTAACAACACCGGCAAGACAATTATTGGTACCAATCATCAACCTCTTTCTACCGACTCACTTGCACAGGATCTTGTCTCCTTATCATCATCATTACCGTCCTCTCCCCAACGATTGCCTGCACAAGCACAGACCACCAAGGCGGACAAGGCAAAGATGTGGATGACACGTTTCAAACGCGACTGTGGTTGGGAAAGACAAGTCTCACTCTTGGACTGAGAAGCGCATTCTTTCTTCATTCTTCATATACACATATGCATATACACTAATCTGGCAGTACAATGAGTGAATAAAGTCTTTGCCGAAAGTTTATTGGCAGGCATACTTTTGGTTTTGCTTAGAAACCCATTCTTGCATCCAGAAAGTTGGAAAAGCGCGTTGTGTCAGGCTGAGGGAAGGGTTCTAATGATTCGTACTCTTTTGCCAGAAGAGTCTTCTCCAAGGTCCTATTGAGATCCGAAAAAAAAAATAGATGGATCAGTTGGACAAACATGCTTCAGAAGTGGAAAATGACTCCGAGTTACAATTTTATGTATACTTGAGAGGAGAAAAAGAGACTTACGAGACGGTGCAGCAGACTAGATAATGTTGCTCGTGGAGGGCATCCCCAAGTTCCTGTTGATGATTATCCATCAGATCCTCGTTCACTACCACGACCAGTTTCTTGTTCAACCGCAAAGCTTCCAAAATCGATCCAGAGCCTGTCAATGTTGTTAACGAAGGAGGGCAAAGTTAGCTAAACGGACATGTACCTCTAGTTGTCAACAGTTGGGCAGAGGGGTTGACTTGCTCTTACCGGCATGGCTAATGATCAAGTCGGCTTCCTCCATATCCTCTCGCAACGAGGACTTGTAGGTGTAAGTAATGACTTGGAGGCCTGATTCAAGAGATGTCGAGTCGGTGGTTGACGTTGTTGTTGATGAGATGGGGCTTTTGCCATGCTGGATGATGAGGTGGGAGTAACCGAGGGAGTTGAGGAGGTGTTGAAGGGAGGGTGAGGATGCAGCTGCGACCAGCTTGTCGAACTGTGTCGAGCCGACTGTCACTAGTACCGTGCCTGGCATGGTTTATGTTCTGTCCGTGTGTGTTTGTAAAGTAGGGTGTGGGGAGTGTGAGAGAGAGTCAGGGATAATTTGACCAGTCAAGAAAAAATGGTGGCGTTTTTTTTTCCCTCTTTGTCCCTTCTTTATTTTTCGCAAATTACACCAAAAACAACTCTTGCAACTGACATTAGGACGAGCATCTTAATCGAAAGGGGGTCAAACACAAGACTTCTCCCTCTCCCATCAACAACACATTCAGCCTGAACTCAATGGCGTTCGACGATCTTCTAGTCCGCAACGACGCGCAGAGGTTGGGCGTCAATGCCTCAATCGACTGGATCCGACAATGCATCGCCCACGCCCAAAACCAAGGCACGCCCGATAACAACCTCGCCTCCTTCATCTTCGACATGTATCTCCTTGCCGATTTCCGGACCCTCTCCCCAAAGTCGCTACTCCCCACCGCCACCCAAACCCCCCACAAACAAGTTTTGTTCAACGAGAGCGGACACAAGGATCCACTCGGAAGAGAAAAAGGGGGCGGGGCTATACTGCAGATTATCGAGATTCAGGATATTGGCGTCAGTTCACTCAAGATCCTGGAGGCCTGTGATGCAGCCGGTGTTGCTGGAGATGAGCCTGGTGGGCTTCAGGTCGGAAAGTCTTTGCCGCAGGGAAATCTCAGTCTGGATTTGACTGATGGTACACGCTTGATCCGAGCGGTTCTGTTGGAACCTATCTTTGGGATCGCTATGGAGATGATGCTCGGCGCCAAGGTACTGCTCATATATATATCCTGCATATTGCGCTACCAACTCGGGCACAATTGCCTTGCTTTGCCACTAATCTCAATTTTTTCAAATGTAATATAGATCAGGGTCAGGAATGCCGACATTCGACACGGGATGCTGATGTTGTCGCCTAAGAACACCTTTCTCCTTGGAGGCGAGGTCGCTTCAATGAACGAGTATCCACGGCGTCTCGTAATCATGAACCAGATGAAAAAGCGGCTTGGGTAAGTGTAATGTTCACTTCAGTTGGACCACTTTAGCACATCAAACTACTGCAGAGGCTAATTATTTATGCCCGCATTTGTTTCTCATCGTAGTCTTCCTATGGATGCGATCCCAGGACTGAACCAAAATGGCGCAAACTCTGCTCCAGCGACGCCAACGACAGGAAGGCCGTCCGCAAATAACACTATATCATTAATTAATAACGCCAACAACAACGGCAATGGCACTATCACAATCAATAACAGCAGTACTGGCGCCAACACTGGATGGAAGAACTCTCAACCCGCAGTGAGCGCACAGGACGCTGTTCCTTCCAGAACACTATCGACTCCAACAACCCAACAGCCTTCATCCAGTACGTCCAGCACAAGCGCTAATAAGGACGTCCCCTACAACCCTTGGAAGGCACTCCAAAAGACCCACAACTCTCCACCACCGGCATCACCACCACGTGCGACGGATGAGGATAGCGGGACGGCATATGAAGACGAGTACCTACGAATGCAGAGGGAGCAGGAACCCGCGTGGGATTATCATCAGGATCTGGAGTTTGACAACATGGATGTGCATGTCGATGATGGTGGATGGGATGTCATGTCACAGTTATCGATGAACGGAGATGGGTCGAGCAAGACACTTACCACCGCCAAGAGTAACGATAACAGTCCGCCTCTGATCGCGACTTTGTCACCTTCCAGACGTACATCTTTTGGTCGCAAGAACCTCAGTCTACGCGCTCCACAATCGCAGGATAGAGACAAGGCCAAAGGAGAATGGGAAGTTGATCGGTTACCCAAGAGCAAGATCAATACTGGCGCCAGGAGCAGCAGTCAAGGCAACGATGGATCTGATGAGCATGCTGACGCCGGCCCTTCTTCATCTGGGACGAGCGAGCACATGACAGAATATCGTCAAAAGTTGGAGGAGCAAAGGGTGAAGTTGGAGAAACGGACAATTCGAACGCCAGACTACGACGTCGTTGATCAGGATCATCAAAATCCATTCCATGATCAGAATCAGGAGCCGTCAGACGAAGGACCGATGGAGCGCAAGAAGAGAAGGACCTCGCCGGACAGCAGGAGCTCTCCAGATCGAGACCATTATCCAAGCAGGCGGCGGTCCCAGTCGTTTTCGACATCTCATTGGAACGACGAGACCAAGGTGGACATCAAAGTGGAGCGTGATACCTTTGAGGCATTGAACAAGCCAGACGATGATATGCTATTGGATACTGACAAGGACGACAACGGAGTGGAGTCGGCCGAGGACATGAGCAGACAGGAGACAGGGACCGTTCGATCTATGTCGCCTGCTATCAAGATTAAACTCGAGAATGCTGAGACTGGAGCCAGCCACGCTGTGATCGACCTCCTGTCGGACGACGACGACGGCGATGACAATAGTATGGCCCCTAGCTACGAGTCTAGCTCACAGAGTGTGCAGGTCAAACAAGAGCCAGGCGAGGGTTCCAGTTTGCAACGGAAGAGAGCGCCTGTACAATGGGCACCGGTCAAGCAGGAGGAGACCTTGTTGGAGTTTGAGATGGACGACGAAGACGACTTTGGAGGCCTTGCCGAGGTTATACCCATCATCACTCTGGTTGAGCTTACACGAGTTGAGCATAATGTCCGCAGTGGCCGAGAAGTCAGAGCAAAGGTACAACGAGCAATTGGTCTTACTTCCAGCAGAAAATGTACACCTGAGGAGCGGGTTTTTAACGCGTCATTTATTGGATTTTCAACAGGCGCGCCTCCATAAACTGGGCAAGTTCTCGCTCACGACTATGTCTGCCTCGATACCCATTACTCTCTTGCCTGTGGATCCAGCCGAGTCGACCATTGACTATCCGTCTTTAGAAGATGATGCTTTCAAGCTAGAGTCTGTCCTCGAACAGCGCGTTGTCGAAACGTTTCTTCAATACTCGATCGAAGAGTTCCGAAGTCTTGTTCGTATCAACGAAGCCGAAGCCAAACTCGTAAGCTTTTTTTTCCGCGCTATATTAGATGCTTTTACTGTTGTAGCGATTGACATGTTTTCTGTAACAATTTTTTTTCTAATTCGTTTGATGTTGTATGCATTACTCTCGTAGGCGGTGAAGAATCTGAGGACGACGCTGTTGGACGTAGAGTTGGTCGAATGCCACTTCAAGGGCCTTCGGAGTGGCATCCCCGTCATCCGCGAACTAACAGTGATATCCAAAAAGCGCAAGTAAATCACTATGTCTTGTAACCATTCTTCACTCAAGATATTATCTTTTATTAGAAATGAAAATGGAATGCAAATATCCAAAAAGAAAATGATGGGATAGAAGTGTCTATGAAACTTGAATGTAATGGGCCAAGTTGGGCATCTGCATAAAACCTTTGCCAATGCCTTGTAGAACAACAGGCGGTAACAGCGAGTCGCGTTCGCCATCTTGACTAGTGCTGGTACTGGGGTCAGCTCCAGTCAGCTGTCCCTTTGATCCAGATCCTGCATTTGCCTTGATGGTCTTCTTCTTCCGTTGAGCCTTCACGACCTGAACTGCGAGACGCCACCGGTTGATATCATAGACGCCATGCTGGGTGAAGCAAGCCATGAGAACTATCTCGACTTCTGCCAATGGTTCGAGGTATCCGGTACTGAACGTCGGTCCTGACCAGAAAAAGGGGTTTGCGTTGACGTGGGGGTTGGTCGAATCTGCCACCGCTGATTGTGGTTGTTGGTTGTCGGTTGACCCAGGATTCTTTTGAGGGACCATCGAATCCTTACTTGAGAGCATTTCAAGTGTGTAACCAATATGCTTGTTCCATGAGCAGTTCTTGATCATGACCTTGATAGGAGTATTGCAAAGCCTAGATTATTCCGTGTCAAATACATGGTTAGTACGTTGTACATGTGGGGTCATTGGCCACGTATCCGACCGCCCTGCCACTTCTCAAACAACCAGTCTTACCTAGATTGCAAGAAGTCATGGTGGACGACATCCTCAGAGCGGATCCAAATCTTGACAGGGCTATCATCACGGAACTGTGGGTTTGTCGTCAAGGCATGGACCAATGCCGCCTGATCTCTCATAGTCTGCTCATACAGAGCACGACGAGCCGTCTCAGTCTCCCCGCCCTCTCCGTCCAAATCGTCTGCAGGGTCGATAGGTTGGAAGGGGTTTTGCTGAACGCCAAGGTTGATACCGATGATGTAATGGTGGCCACGGCGGTTCATCTTGGGTATATTCCAGAACAGGGCCAGGTCAATATCGTTGCTGCCATAGACCGAGAACAATTGGCGACGATCTACTGTTGCAGGGATTGACGCGAATTGGCCTGTCAAGGAGGCCTGACGCCAACCTAGTCTGGACGCTCGGGAGAAGTACTTCAGGACTGGAGAGGTTGAATCGATATGTGACTCCATCTATTCAAGTCAAAGTATGTGAAGATTAGTATTTTTGTTCTTAACAGTTTTGCCTGAGAAGGGTCAAGAAAGATAAGCTTTTCGAGGATACGTACTGTGGAAAGATGACAGTGCTGGAGGTCCAGGGGTGGTGGCACATCTTTGAGTTTCTCCTGACCAATAACCAGCTTCTCCAAGGCTTTGGCAGTGAATCTTTCAGGAGTGAGTGTTGGAGTCGCTGCCTGTTCGCTTCTCTTGATCCTGTAGTACGTGAAAACTGTCTGTCGTGGCGCAATACTCCTGTACTCCTCAGAATCACTAGTTTGGATAAAAAGTCAAAAATGGGTCAGTTAGTTGCTCGTAGCTCTCTGATAAAACTTGGCACAATGAAAAAAATAGTTAACTTACTCTGACTTATCGACGGCTTCAATGACCCAAGAGGCACTTATGGATGAGATCTGGAGGAATTCAAAGTTGGGGACTGTTTGAAGGTTCTCCGTCTATCAGATTGCGAGGCACAGCATTTCGCGCGTGAGTTTCCCATATGGTTTACAATATACACTTTCTTTGAGCCAAATATGACGCGTCCAACTCACCTCAATGCCGAGGATAAACTCGTTCAGCCCCCTGGTACTTGGCCGGGTAAACGCGTTGATCTTGAGAGACGGAAGAACCTGGGCTGCGATTGTATGGCGAAGCGTCCGGACGCCCATCGCTGTACCCTCCTGCTCCGACACGTATGAAAATACAAACAAAAAGTTATGCTTGCCAATCTTTTCTCCGCGCAGCCAGCTTGGGATCTTGATGCTCTCTCCAGGTGCCAACACCGTGTCCATGATCTGTTGCGTCGTGCTCAGCTGGAGGGCATTGTCAACCTGGGTCGTCTCAATAGCAGAGTTGCCTGTACGTTTGTCTATCAGAAACACAAAGTGTTACAGTCAGAATGCGTCAACTAAGTATATCACATCACCAGAGCATTTCGCGTTCTTCAGGGTATAACTTACTGTAGAGTCCAAGATCGCCATCTGATCGCTTCTCGCCAATACAAAAGAAAGTGGGATGGCTCATACAAACCGTCAGGTTCTTGAGTCCCTTCTTGCCGCGGTTTTTGATCACCAATGAGAGCTCGCAGACCTCTCCAGACAGCAACATCTCAGGCGACGATTGGAACTCGACATCCAGCAGAGGCATCTCAGGCGCCACCAAAATATCCAGACTCTTGTCTTCCTCGTACACCTGTGACATCATCTGCTCCTTGGTATTGTTGAGTCGTTTTCCCCTCTTGACAATGTCCTTGTACGCATGAACCTGACCCTCCACATTGCAGTGTAGACCCATGATCTTGATCTGACCCTCCTGTTTGGGCAAGATCTCAAACTTGAGTGTACGGATTTGTCCTGGCTCTAGAATAACCCGATCGATCCGGTCGATATCGAATGCACTGAACGAAACCTTGCCTGTGAAAGATGGACTCAGCTGTTCATACAATGCCAAGTGAGCCTCCTCTGCGGCGTCGACGGGGACGGTGAACGAGGTGGTTGATGTGCTGTGCTCGCATCCCAGAATTACGTCGGTCAAAATAACAGGAATCTGGAGAGGGTTCTTGATGTTCACCGTCGCCAAGACAAGTTCTGTTACCAACACAACAAGAAGTTTCAATTTAGAAGCTATAACTCAATGCCATGAATACAACGTGCTGAGCTTATTCGCAATATTTACCTCCAACGGCAGACACGGTGCGCGATCCGCTTGATCCTGATGAGCTCTGTTGTCCCACTTCGAGTTCTGCCCATGCGTCGTTGTTTTCGTTGACGCCCTGGGATGTTGAGAGAACGATCCGAGCAGTCGATCCTAGTACAACAGGGAGAGGGAAATCTGGGAAGGTTTCGCGCAAAGGGTCTGCTTCGATCTTGTTGGTATAATCCTACAAGGCAGTATGATTGAGGGGTTAGTTGCCAGGAGCGTATATCTCGTGGGCCTTGCAAAAGCAAGGAAGCTGGACCAGAACATACCCTGTAAACGCTCAAAAACTCCTTCATGTAGACGGCTTGCTGTTGAGGCGACTGGCGGCTTTCACGCAGCAGCTTCTTGTAGTGGTCTAGCACCTCCTCAGATTTTCCAAGTTGATAAGATTGCCGTCCAAGTGAGCAGCTAATATGATCGTCCACAAGACCCCATCCCTTTGAGTCGTAAACCAACGACGCAGCTTGGTAACAGCGGTATGCATGCTCTTTCTACGGTTAGGAAAAATAAAGCAAGGAAGTTGATGTTAAGCGACTGTAAAGGCAATGTGTACAACAGCTTGTCTAAGAACTGAGAGACGTACTTGGTCCGCCTTGTTGAAACGGTGGCCGGCCATGATCATGTGGAACGCGTACTTGCGTACTGATGGCCTGGAATGCCTGAGGTAGCAGTGCGCTGCTTGCTCGAGGAACAAGCCGTTACGGAGATCAGAAGTCTAGTTCAAGTATAACTCACTGGTTAGGCTCTAATGCTCAAAGAAGAAGATTCATAGACTTCAGAGTATATAATGTAAGAACAAGTCATGAGCTTACATCTGCAGTCATTCTGGTAAGTGAGACTGGTGATTCCCGATACATGTTTCTCTGCTTGAATAGCTCGTAACTAATCAGTGTCGCGCGTGAGCCGAAGTAAGGCGAGCGAGCTTTGTGGATGTACGAGTTGACGGCCGACTCAAAGTAGTGATCGACATCGTTTTTAGACCCCAATGGTTGTGGCGACATCAAAAGACAAAGCCCAATCATTTCCTATTGGCGTATAGTTTGAAAACCAAGAAAAGACGCAAGAGTTGGCAACGAAAGCCCCAAGACATAATAGCTTAACATAATAACACCTAGACGAATTGCATACCTGGGCCCCTCCATAGTACTTCCAGGCCTTGTCTGCGGCAAAGTCTTTTTTCACCGTCTCATACACAGAGAGAGCAAACTTGTAGTCCCGAAGCATGAACGCCCAATCGGCAAGCTTACGCATCTGTGCTTCTGGAGATGCATGGGGGTAGATAACACCCCCGCTTGATCCCGCTGTCGGTGCCTGCTGTATTGCTGTTGCAGGATTCTTGGATCCTGTACCAAAGTATCTTCTGAATCGACCGGCGATACCTTTCCGAGATACTGCGACCTGCTCGTTCCAGTGCGCAATATTTCTCTCCATGTAGGGTATAATGCTCTGAGAAAGCATCTCTCTCAACATCTGCGTGATGGCGCCCAAGTCGTCACTGCTGAGACAGCATCCGTATGGCTCGGCCACCGTTTCGGGATGCAGGAGAAGGTCCAGGGTGAGTTTGTTGTTCTCTGCTGTTGGTAATGACAGATGATCCCGATCAAAAGTTCCATCCTCGTCATCGTTTCCAAGTTGCGCGAAGACTGGGTTCTGGGCAAAAGTGGGTGAATTGTTGCCGTTGTTAGAGTAGACAGGAGAAGACATGGAGCTCCTTTGAGATGTCAAGTCCGACAGTGTTCCCGCTGTCGCAGAGCCGGTTGAGGACACAGAGTTCCTGGTAGTTGAACCGTCCTTTGCAGCATGACCCATAGCAATCAATCTTGATTGGGCGACACTCTTGATCCAGATATGCGCATTCCTGTCCCTGGGCAGAGTTGACTGACTAGGGTCCTCAGAATTGATCTTCAAGATGTTGCAGTGAAGTCCGAATGTCCTCCGCATCTTGTCCAGTGTATCCATCGCGCTACAAAGTAAAACCAATGTAAAAGGCGTCAGTTACAGCATGCGTTAGTTACAGCATGCGTTTCAATTGATTATCTCTTCACACACCGCTCATTTGCAGAAGAAATGACCTACTTGTCAATGTTTCCTCTTGCGTTGTCGTGGATCAGGACGTAGTACTTCAGAATGGTAGGGTCCATGTAGGCTTTATCAAAGACGAGGGTGGGTGTGCTCATGTTGTTCAATTGGTGGATTTCGTTGATGGGGTCCGGAGATAGGGATGAGATGGCGATAATGCTTGCAACTGGGTGGTCGAATGTCTCATGATCCGATGCGCCTCCCGTTGAAAAGAGCAGGTCCCGGTATCTCGAGTACCATGGAAACACGCGTCCAGGTGGAGCTAAAAAGGTGACAGTAATTATATAACCGAAAGCTCAGTCAGCCATGGTGGTCATCGCACATCATGTCGGCCATTGACAGGGCAATTGAAGTGAGTTCTCCATACCAGTGAGATACTCGTTCGTCACTTGCTCCCTGTCCTGGATCTTGTATCGGTCCTCAAACCCCTTGGCCTCGGCGCGCACGACCTCCGCAAGCCAACGGTCGGATGATTTTGAATCCGGCTCCTCCAATTGATCCATCTCGGTGAAGCGCAGAGTAAAGTTGTCAATAGCGGAGGGCAAGCCCATTGAGCCATGGACGGTGACTATAATGGTTCAAAGCGATAGCCATGCAATTGGAAACATGAATGTGAGCAATGATCCAGTCGAAGTTGAACAAGGGGACGCGTTATTCATTTTTCGCGACCCGCAGATAGATAATGAAGAAAATGAAGTGGTCGAGTCGCTTACCTCGTCCTTCAATTTGCTCGCCAAAGGGCTTGAGCAGGTCGACGACTGAGGGGATGTGGTTTGCCTGACAGATTTCGGTTGCGCCTTGGGAGGCAATAACTGCAACCCTGGGACTCATGACTCTCGAGACCAGCTCTCTTGCTGAGAGGTCTCGCCCAGAGTGCTGGAGCGTGAATGACATGTCAGGGCGGGTATTACAATGGGAGGGTTTCGTGGAACTATGTTAGCGCAGTAGGAGGTAGAGCAGGAGAGATGAGAAGGGAAAAGGAAGGAGAGGGATGAATGCTGGCTGGATGAGCAGCGAAGATGGAAGGCAGGACGAGGGATGAAAAGGGAAAGAAGCGAAGGATGAGTGAAAGGCGAGAGAGTGAGGTGAGCGAGAACAGGAAGGACGCTACACGTGACATAACGCTGTGGGATGGAAGAGGAAGAGAGGGTGCCCTGGCCAGGTTTGACAACCTTCTTTTTGTCCTCCAACGTTCGTTTCTTCTTTTTTCCTTTCTTCCTTTTCTTCTTCAACTCATTCACACACACCCTTCTCATATTACCATCCGCCACTGTACATATACCCTTCATCTCACTCTCCCAAGTCCACATTCATCAACACCCCTCCATGGCATTCTTCAACAAAATAAAGAATGTGGTGCAGACCGAGGGCGCACGCGGTATCCTCCAAGTGCTACAGAAGGAGGGTACCAAACGACTCGCCCAAGACCTCTCGGCGCACCTCGACCTGGAGAGTCTCTTCTTTTGCGAGGTACTCACTACAATTGCTCATGCGTCCACGTGAACAGCATCGTATCGTGAATACGTTGCATCAGTTGCTGCATGGTTGCATTCGGGTTTGATTGAATATCTACAAAGCTCTTACCAATAACTAACAGCCTCCTTATCCTTGTCAATTGCTCGGTAACTCTTTGACAACAACTACCAAATGACCTTTAGACCAGGAGGTTTGGTCTGCCTGCCTTGATATCTACCATAGCCGTTGACCCTGTCCAGGGGTTGCTTGCCAGCGGTAAGAATCTGCACCGCCATTTTTTTTCTTCCAGAGTCCCAAAAGAATGTCAACTGCGAACGCTGGGTGGGAGTAGGGCTTGTTGACGGGCGTGAAACCATGGGGAAAAAACGGACGAGATGATCTCTGTACCATGCTGACCTGTCAACTGACGCCCTCGTTATTCTTTTCCAATCTCTCGTCTTGTTCCTCTCTCCACAGGCACGTTCAAAGGCGCAATTGCAGTATCAGGCGCGCCCGAGGTCGCGTACTTCCTTGAGCTAGAGGAGGCTGTGTCGGTCAAAATGATGGCCTTTCAGCCGGGTGCGCCCGTTTTGGTCGTTGTCGATGCCAAGAACGCCATAACAGTCTTTGACCTCATCAAGAAGCAACGACTCTTTGTCAGGAACGCGCGCAGCGTGGTCACCTGTATTGAACTCCTCTCAGGATCCAATTGGCTCTTCCATGGTCTCAAGGACGGCACCATTGATGTTTTCGATGTCTACAGAGGCCAGCCTGTTCCATATAAGATCCCCAACATTCTACCCGAAGGTTCGCGACATTCTTTGGTCATCTCGATCAAGACCCATCCTACCGACAGCAACCAACTCTTGATCGCTTACAACACAGGAATTATCCTCTGGAATCTAAAGCTCAAGACCGTGGTCCGCGCCTTTATCTATGAGGTCCCTCCTGGCGCCATGGGTGGAATCGCGGTGGGCGATGGCCCTGGCATGTTTGGCATGAACGAGAGTCGCTATCCTCATGTCACCGTCATCAGTTGGAAGCCCGACGGCATTGGCTTTGTGAGTGGATACGACGACGGCAGCTTTGTTTTCTGGGATATCACGCAGGAAAGACCTGTCCTGGCAAGAACCATCCACGAGATTCAGGTCAATGTTCCTGGGATCAAGCCTGTCGTTGAGCGAGCCACCAACCAGTTTGTCCCCATCTACCAGCTGACGTGGTGTCTGCATGAAAACAGGGAGGACACGACCCTCATTGTCGCCGGCGGGACTGGATCAATCGACATGTTTGGACTCCACCTTTTCGACTACCCGGCCAATGCTGACTACCGCCGTCCGAAACGGCACCAAGTTTTGACAATGGACACAGATCTTCTTGACTTCTTAGTCGTCCCACGCAGTTCGCCCTGGTATGGTGGTGCCTTTGACCCAATAGCCATCCTGGTCCTCACCAACCGCGGAGGCGTCAGGGCGTTTGAGTTCAGTCAATCCAATGCCCAAAGAACCGTCCCTTCATGTCTCTCTTTGGTCGAGCCAAGGCTAATCCTCTCTAAGATGTATGGCCCCCTTCCTGCAGAGCTGTACTACGACTTGATCCAGGGCCATACTCACACAGCTCCACCCCCAAGAGTTCCCCTCCATGGAATGAAATTGGCGCCTGTAGACGAATCGAGGCTGTCAAAAGATATCCTGGTAACCACTCATGATGACCACAGTATTCGCTTCTGGGAATCAGCAACGAGTCGGCCCCTGCATCACTTGACTGTCGAGTTGGCCCCGTTGTTCTTCAAGAACCAAGGCGAGATTGTTGCTTTTGAGTTTTCAATCCAGAGTCAAGTCTTGGCGGTCGGTTTCTCAAATGGGAGCTGGATTTACACTCGGATAACCAAGGATGCAGGACTGTCACGGAACTCTAGCGTTGCAATGACTCCAGATGAGTCGGCGGACGCACTTTTGGCTGGACATATGGAGCACGCCTCAATCGCTCCAGGAAACCATTTTGGCGACAATATTGTTCCTGGTGGCACAGATAGGTCACACCAACATGTTGACGACAAGCACCTCCAAAGTCAGCCCACTTCGCCTCAACAACCTCGCCAAAGTCTCCAGCATGACTCTACCTCAACTCATCAACCTAGTCAGACCCGTCAGCATGACCCTGTCTCGCCCAAGGAAGCCCAGACCTCTCCTCAGCTGCCTCATGCGCCTGAGTTCGATGTTCCTGCCGTCATCCCAGCTGCTCCTGCGCCAGTTGCTCCTGTGCAGGCTCCGCATTTGGATATCCAGACGACCCTGGCCCCCGCCCCTCGATCCCCGCAGGCCATCTCACCCAATGCCGACAAAACTGGCGCGCTTTCACCAGTTCCAGACGATTCCGACCTTGATTACTTGATTCCATATTCGCCTGTTGACAAGGTCGCGATTCGTGAGCTTCCTCCTGGTGGCTTGATTCCCGGTCCAGCAGGCTATGAACGTGCTCCATCTCCTTCGCTTCCTCCTCGACCTCAATTTATTGAGGCAACACTCCCAACTGGATCTGATTTCTCGGTCGTGTTCAAGTCGAGCGCCCACCTGGGAAGAATCCGCACTATGGCTGTCTCTGCATGTGGCCTGTATGTGCAATTATTATTGCGCGGTTATTAATTTTCTGGTGACCTGCGGATGAAATTATTTAAACGCGCTGACTTTGTTACTCTTTCTCTCTGCTGATGATAGTGTTGCTGTATCCGGCGAATTCTACTCGCTTACCATCACCGACACCCACTCAGGGCGCGTCCTTCATGTTGAGGATCTGAAAGGTATGCGCCTATGATAATGCATGGAACCCAATCGCCCACGAACAATTCTTTGAATGGACACTGACATGGTTTTATTTATCTACTAGTGGTTATGCTGGATCGCGACAAGGGAGTGCAAAGCTCACAGGGAAACGATCAGGAGCATGATGGCGCAGCACCTGCACCAGCTCCAACAGCGGGCGCTACAACTACTCCAGGAGCAGCACCAGAGCCGGGACCAGGACAAGGAGCAACAGACTTGCAAAGGATTGCAGTCGAGATTACGACCCTTCAGTTTGTTGTTTCGACCACAAGCGACCAGGACAAAGTCCCATCCCTTCTTCTGATCGCTGGATCCAACAATGGCATCTATTTCATTTTCGCCATCACTCCCCCAGTTCCATTCCAGCCACGAACGGTTCGCAAGGTTGAGACCTTCCAGACAAAGGAGAAGCATGCGACTGTTCACTCTTCTGTCATCAATGTTCTCTCGCCCTCTGAGAACGCTGCGGCCGCCAGCAATGCCGCTCTACAGTCGACTTCGAGTATCTCCTCGGTTTCGACAGTTGCTACTGGGTCGACTTCGATTTCCTCGCTCAGTCAACCATCTGCTGGTGCTCAGCACGACCTTGCGCATCACCATCAACATCAACAAGTGTCGCCGCCACCAACACCAGCACAGCCTCGCATGTCCCGCGAAGAATTAGGTCCCATTGCAGGACATCATGCTTCGCTTTCAGAGTCGAACGTGAGCACCGCCAGTTCGAAACCCTCAATCTACTCTACTCTCAAGGAAGCCCAGGGCAAAGTCTTGACCAAGGCCCACCAGCGACTCAACTACATGGTCTGCATCTCCGAATTTGGAATCCGCCTCCACATGAACTGCACCTCTCGTAGGATCAACAAAATCGACCTCACCTCACCTGCTGCCAATAACCTGTCGGCCAAGGTTGGACGGATCATGGCAGCAAATGTGGTCTACCATGGGGGTGCTTGCTGTATCCTGTGTATTACCGAGTCTGGAAGACTTTTACTTTTTAGTGTTCCCAAACTCGAGTTGATCCCACTCCCTGTGCCCAATGGAGAGATCTTCCTCCCGATTGTGGTTGAGCCTGAGAGATTGAGGGAGAGTGTGATCTTGCAGGATGGACGGCTCTTTGTCCCGATCCTCAAGTATGAGCACAGGATGTACAGTCTTTGGGGCCATGACCGGTGGATCAAGACGCCGCAGGGTCTGCGACAGGAGAAGGCACCGACTACTGACAAAGTGAAGGCCGAGTACATTCAATTGTATGATCATGGCATTCAGATCCCTCCCCGGCCTACCAATACTGTGGTCGTCTCCAGAGGATGGTTTGGGTCCAGCCAATCTGTTGAAGATGCCCCCAGTCAAGAAGATCTTGACGAGCTCTGTAAGTTTGCCCACAAAACCCCGTGTCTTTTTTTTTTTTTTTTTTTTTTTTTTTTTCCTGCTGCAGCACCCACATCTATGTTGTAACTAACTTCTTTGATACGTTTTTTACTTTTGACAAAAATAGTGGGTGGGGAACACTACAGAGTAGAGAATCCGATCCTGAAACGAGCAGGCGTCAAGGGAGCCCCCGGAACCACACCTCCACCGCCACCCAAGGGAGACAACAGTGGCCTCTCAGGAATGATAAATGAGACCCTGCAGAACTTGGACGAGCGTGGCAAGAACCTTGGGATCTTGGGCGACAAAACTGCTGAAATGAGTGCTGCCAGTAACGATTTCCTTGCCGCGGCGCGTGAATTGAATGCCAGAAACGCCAACAAGAAGTGGTACGAATTTTAAGAATTGGTAGGCCCGGGTTCGTTGCAGAGGTCTTAGTCTTTTGAAGCGAAAAAAAAAAGCATAAAAGAAACGATAGAAATCAATGAGGGCCTGTCTCTCGATTTTTTTCATACCCCGTTGAATTAAATAATTTTCCCTCAACCTTCAACCCTCATTCCATTAACAAATCTCTGAATTCTGAGATCAGTGATGGATGATTTGCATTCAAATAAACGCCATCCTCAGATTCCGCGACAACGGTTTCCTTCACTAAATTTTGTGTCCATATTTACTCCCAACGCTCTCCTAATCTCAGTTCACAAGACTCTTGAGCTTGAACGCGTTCTGCTTCATCGCACGTGATCTAATCGAAGTGGACAAAAAAAACAAAGTGTTTGGCCCACGTCCATAATATAATTGATATGCAGAATGCTGGTGTTTATTTTGTTCAAATGCCATGAATGCAAAAAAGGTTAAAAAAAAGGAGGGGAAGTGTGCGGGGGATGAGAACGCCAATTGTTCAAGAATGGAACTAGGAGGAGGAGGAGGAGGAGGTGGTGGCGGTGTTGGAAGAAATCTCCTGCTCGACATGGTGGCTATCGATCTTGATGTCCGATGCCTGACGGTCGAGCACCATAAGCTGTTCCTGGAGCTCATCAATCCTGGCCTGCAGTCTGAGCTCTGTCTCCGTCAACCCAAAAAACTCCTGTGCTCTCTGTTGCTGTTGCTTACGCTCCTGATCTCGCAGGGACTGTTGTCGCCTGTTCATCTCAACCTTGGCTCGACTCTCGCTAAAGACCCCAGTCGCCTGGCGGTACCGCTGATGACGGGCCTCGCGTTCCGTCAACCATTCCCACATCGCATCCTCCTGCTCCCGCGCAAATAACTCTTCCCGCTCAAACTCGTCCTGACCTGCCTCATCGTATGCCTGTGATCCCCAATGCTTCTGTGGCGAGTGGTGGTGTTGGCCATGGTAGTTATAGGAGTGATCCCGATCGACTGAAAGTATGTCGTTCTGAATCTGCTCAATCTGCCGGGAGACGCTCGAGATCTGGAACCAGATGTAGACATTGGCTCCCATCACAATCGCCAACACCATGAGCAGAACCCAGTGTGAGACGGTGCCGTCGGATTCTTCGTTGCCGCCTTTGCTGCTGCTACTGCCACCGGCACCAGACTCCCAAACAAGTGCCTTCGCGAGCTTCGAGAACAGGCCCAACGATGATCCTGATGTCGCCGTCGATTGTTTGGCGTCACTGTTTTCGGCTGAAGCTTGTGTCCTTGATTCCTGGATATCCTTTGCCTGCTGATCCGCCCTATTAATATGGCCATTCGTATCCACAGAGGGCGCCACTAGAGCAGCTAATGTTGCAGAGATCGATGCAGTTGCCTGAGTATCCTGGCCAGCAGGAACAGACGACCCATTTGCAAACTCTTCTGGATGGGAAGCAATGTGTTTCCGCATGCGTGGGTTCACCTCCTTGTAGTGGAACGTCAACCCTTCAGTCGCACCTTTCTCGATTTGTCCCTTGATCCAGCTGCTCTTGGTAAACTCGACTGCTCCAGTGACAACAACCAGAACCTGATTGGGGCCAGCCCAGCTCAGACAAGTCATGACTTTAGTCGTGAAGCTCCCTCCAGAGGGCACGTCGGGTGTTGATGTCGTGGTCACGACCGTAATGTAGTCGTCAAAGTCCTTGTGTTCGCAAACATCTGTGACAATCGCCTTGGTCGTCTTGGGTCCAATTGGCAGGCCGAGCCATCGAGTGTATCGAGTCACACGGGTGGTCGTACCATCAGGTGCATTCTGCCAGGGCTCCTCCTGGACATCAGCGCCCTTTATCAGGTCCGATGTCAAAAAGCCTTTGGAGAAATCAGAGTCAAAGAGGAGTTTCCATATGGATTCGAGGGTTCCAGGGAAAGTGTCGCTCATGTATGCGTTAGCATAGTGCCGATTGTCCTTGGAGCATTTGCAAGTTGTTGGTGAGCGGGTGATTCCCCTGTTGGATGCAGGTTGCGCTTGATGTTGATGTTGTTGATCCTGCTGTTGAATTGATAAGGAAGGAGTGATGGAGGTGTTTGTGGCAATGGGAACGACCAAAATAGGAACGGGGACGGTGGCGTTCCGACGATGAGGAATGGACTCTGTGCCAGCACGAGCCCGCTGAAGTGGTGGTGAAAGTGATTCATAATCAAAAGAAGAGCGCGCCGTATCAGCCGAGGACCGGGACCCAGACCCGTCAAAGGATGCCGGTCTTGGTGGCAGCTCAGACACCGACCGACCTCGACCTGTCTTGCGTCCATCAGTGATTCTGTTTGGAGACAGCAAACCTAAAAAAAGAAAATCGGTGTCCGGCGGTCAATAAGTCACAGTTCATCAAACCAACCACCACATGAAACAATCAGCACCGCAGATGGAAAGCGACACATCACATATAACTGCCAGGGATCAGGCGCAAACACAGACGCATACCATTGGAGCCGTTGCCATTGTCGATGGCATTGTTGTGGCTGTCGTCAGAGATAATGGGTGCCATCACATCTGCAACGAGGGACAGAAAAAAAGTCAAACGGACACATGTTAGGGCTTTTGCATAGGTACAGCGAAAAAAATAATACAAATATGCCAAGCAATTGCAAGAAATACTGCACCTTTGAGCACTTTCTTGAAAACAGCCCTCCTGGATCCACGTCGGCGAAGACTGTTATTGCCACTGCCAAGGACCTTGGCATCTCCATTGTCGTCTCCGCCCCAGTACAACCCATCCTCTCTACCTGTTCCCTCAACATCGGTCGCACTCTGGGAGGCATTAGAGAATGAGCGTCTGTGCCTATTCCGTCGAGATTCGGGATATCCTCGGCCCGAAATAAATGACATTGAATCCGTATTGTCATCTTCATCATTCAGGAGGGTTGAGCTTCTCTGGCGTGATGACCCGTTGCTGTAGCTGTTGTTGGCGACCGAGGCGTTGGCTGCACATGGAAACGATTTCCGCCAGGCGGCCATAAGCAGATCGTGGGCGGCATCTCGAGAGAGGAACGAGGCAAAAAAGTGGCCCTTGGTGTTGGTTGTGGTGACGATGCTGATAGCGTTTGGAATAACAAAGGCCGTAAGCCGTTTCTCGATGGCAGTGATTTCGGAGAATGCAATGACCAGCTATATGAATATAAAAAAGGGTACCTCGGTAAGGAACCGTTCAACTGCGCTGATTTCACTGGTTGGAATTTGTAAATGTGATTGAAACAGGTATCATTCGGACATCGCGTGGATCTCAAACATGACGACAGACATGGGTAGATTGCTATTCACATACTGTAGTCACCCAGCCAAAGATGTTGGCATTGAAGCAGACATGGTTCTCGCTGATGTAGAGACGCCCTTGAACGAGAATTTCCTTTTGCAGCGCACACCCATAATCTACGAAAGAACAAAGTAGTATTAACAAGTAAAGCTGTCAGCAAAGGAGATGTCGATTATCGCGTGTCAAGGTCAAAACAGGTAACAGGTAACAAGGAAACTGCTCAATTGCGCAGGGTCGGGAAGGGTTTGCTGAGCAAGGATCAAATATTCCTTTTCGGTCGTCCAAAAACCAACATCCGCAGACAAAGCACACGTAACCTATGCACAATCCCCTTCGCCACCCGCACTACCACGCCACCTGCGAAGCTGCTTGTTGATCGAAAGAAGTCGTCTTCAAAAGCAAACGAAAGAGAGGTGAAATAGAAATGCCGGTCTGAGAGCCAACAGGATCTGGGCCCTTCGATATAGCAGCGACGGGACCGGAAAATAAAATAAAAAACGCTAAAAAGATTTTCTCTCATTCTTTGTATGCGTAAACCTCACTCCACGGCAAACAGGTTCTTCCTGCGAAAATAACAGCTTGAAAACACTCTTCTTGTTTTCCCTTCTCGGACGGACCAGTCTTTAGAGGACACCTTATGCATTCCATAGAATGCTTATTGTTGTTTGTATTGCTGGGATTGCCAGAAAAGATCTGTTTTTTGTCAGGCCACTTTTTGTTGCTGTTCGTGTGAGTGAGTTTTGTCGAAGCGTCAGAAATGGGTCGTTGTTGTTGACTATACAGTCTTGTGCGAGTGTACTTCTTTCCCACTGTCCAAACAAACTCTTTTCTGTTTTCCTATCCTACATCCAAGCAGTAAGGGTTTCTGCATGTAATAGAAAAGAAGGGAAGGGAACAGGAAGGCAGAAAGGAGAGGAATGTAGGGGGACGTCTTTGTTACCTTCAATCAGCTTTTCGTCATCAGGCACAGTTCTAAAGTGCGAGTGAAAGTCGCCGAATCGTTTTTCATTGGCGTAGAGGAAGGAGATATGTGAAAAGCCATCGTCCCTGGGATAGTCAAGGCTGCTCTGCTTCGAGCTAAGGGTCGATTCATAGCCCTGAGTGTTATTAGAGTACGCGTTGTTGGTGTGACCTAGGGTTTCGGGGAACCCGCCAGGACTGTGGTCCCACTGGCTTTGGTCGACAGTCATGGAGGTTAGTCGGATCGTCGAGCCCGAGGAGGCCGTGACTGAAGAGTTAGAGGTGAAAGGAGGCGAGGGTGCTGTTACCGTTGCTGTTGTTGCTGTTGAGGGTGTGGCAGTGATGGAGGTAGTGTTTGTGGCAGTGGCGGAATTGGCCTGTGCTGGGCGAGGAGGGTAGGAAGGGAGGGAAGCAAGGGTCAGGGTGGAAGTGGGGGTAGAAGTAGAGTTGGGGTCAGAGGAGAAGGAAAGAGAAGGGGGAGAAGTAGGAGAAGTAGTGAAAGAAGAAGAAAACAAAGTCGACGACAAAGAGGGCTGATCGAGGGTTGTGATGGAGACAGCAGTCGCAGTCGCGGTGGATGTGGACATTGTCGAGGCGACGGTGGTGATGACGGGAGCGAACGCAGTCTTGGCAACAGCAGCAACAACAGCGGCGAAGGGACTCCCAGCAGAGGACGGGATAGAATAGCCGGTCGGTGCCGTGGCTGGTCGTAGTTTTGGTTGCTGCAGCTTCATGGCTGTAGGAGGATGAGCCATGGTGGGCTGCTGCATATTATACTGCATGGCCTTGGCATCCGTGTTGATCTGTTCTTGGCTGGATCCCATCATCACTTGCGAGTCTGATCAATCTTGGCCACTTGACTGAATGTAGTTGCCGGAGAGTAGACTGAAAGAGTGTGGGCGAAGTGGTGGGGGAGGTTGCTTTCAGAAGTAGCTTGTGGACTAGTCGAAGTGGTGTTGCAGTAGGGTGACAAGGTACAACAAAGAGACGAGGCGACAGTGGAGAAAGAGCTGTGAGCAAATGATTAAGTCAAACGAGTGGAAAATATGAAGTGTGCAGGGTAATAGATTCGTCGAAGGGAAGATGTAAAGTGAAAGGAGGGAGAGAGTGGAGGTAGAGGCGGAGACGAGTAAAGGAGGAAGAAAGAACTGTTGAAGACGCAAAGTCAACAGCGAAAGCAATCAAGTAAGGTGAGAGTTCATACCCCTTCAGGGACTCAGGGACAGTGAGGAAAAAACCGCGGAAACCAACCAGAATGACAAAAATAAAATAAAATAAAAAGCGTTGCTGAGCGCAGTCTATCTTCATCCAGCGCATCGGTTAGCGCCAGTCACTCTCTCCCCCAATGAACATTAACGTCAATGCCATACAATAGATGTTTACTGCATGGCACAGCAACAACACAGAAAGAAAGCACCGACGCGTGCCCAATTGATAGTATATGTCTTTCCTAGGCAACAACGGTACAGTCAACGATGTACCTGTCCGATAAAGAAGATGTCCCTCAAGGGCAGATGACAGCCTTTCTGCTGAGCAGTCGGCGCGATAGCACAACGAGGGGGATCATCTACCATCATCATCATCGTCGGTCCAAAGTGACTTGCAAAAAAGAGGGCTCATCACGATTGCCTTATCTCCTCCACCACGTTACAAACAACGACGCGTTATCTTTTGATCAATTGATCACTCAGTCAGGGCCAACAATAAAAAGGTGAGAATGATACATCACAGAGAAGAAGCGCGTCCAACAGATAGACTTTTTTCTGTTCAAAGTTCAAACCACCAGGTACGATTGATTGCATTCCTTTATGTGGATGCCATTGCCATATTTGCCATATGGGGCAGTTCATCCCCATAGCCTTGATCCTCTCTGAGTAAATATTATTGTATTGTTTGTGTCAGTCTGTCCCTGACACTCCTCTTTGTCTCTTTGTCTCAGTGTCTTAGAGATAGACCGATGGAGATAGAGAGAGACACACACCGCCATCTCACACACTTATGAACTTCAGTCTTGGTTGAAGAGGAGACCAAATTTACGGTGACGTTGGCGACCCTATGTTTTACACCGAACCACTTTCACATATAAGCAGCGCTCCTTCCCTCTTTTCCTTCTTTCCTTTCCTTTCCTTCATCCTCACTTCTCCCTCCCACACACACCCCCACACACCAAAAACTCACTTACTCCACAATGTCCATCACCAAGGTTCACGCCAGACAGATCTTCGACTCCCGTGGCAACCCCACCGTCGAGGTCGAGGTCACCACCCCCAAGGGTAATTTCTCTCCTCCATTCTTGCTATCCATGCTCACCTCTACCTCTGCCATGCTTGATCGATTTTTTTCTCACGGCCACAACCACAAACCACACTGCATACTTATTATCAACACCTTTTCCTAACCTTTCTTTCTTTGCTTCGGTATAGGTGTCTTCCGCGCCGATGTCCCCTCTGGTGCCTCCACCGGTATCCACGAGGCTCTTGAGCTCCGTGATAACGACAAGCACGCCTACGTTGGAAAGGGTAAGGCTTTCTGCTCTTATTGAACGAAGCATTATGGTTGTTATTCTCCCACAGTCCACCGTGCATTTTACTACTTCCAACTACTTTTACACCTCCCCACTGTTATTTCCACCCTCTCATTCCCATTTATCCCACGATTGGACGATGGACGAATCGCGCAACAAAGGAATCAACGGAACACCAACGACGACATCAACCACCCCAGCTTCCCCCGCCTTGCCTCTCCAACACCCCCATTTCAACCATCGTACAGCTATTACACTTGAACGTGTTCTTTTTTTTTTTTTTACTTTCATGGGATGCATCAAACTAAATCAAGATATGGGGAAAAAGGATAGAATGAGGTTTTTATTGTCCCTTGCATACGATGTGATGCGATCCGATACGCGATAGATTTGAAGAAAGAGCAACATGAAGGACAAAAAGAACAACAAAAAGAACACCGAGGAAGAAAAAAAGAAGAGAAGAAAAAACGCGTCAAAGGACTCTTTAACTTCCGCTCATATCTCTGATATCACTTATCGGAAGATAAACTAAACCCAAAAAAAATAATTGTTTGGCTCACAACTATCTCCCTCATTCTCTAACGCGCGGCTTCACTTTTTTTGCTTTTTTCGTTATCTCTCTCCCCCACCCCCCAATCCATTCCCATAATTAGGTGTCTTGAAGGCTGTCGAGAACGTCAACAAGCACCTCGGCCCCGAGCTGATCAAGGCCAACCTCGACGTCACCAACCAGGTCGCCGTTGACGAGTTCCTCATCAAGCTCGATGGAACCGCCAACAAGTCCAAGTACGGTGCCAACGCCATCCTCGGTGTCTCCATGGCCGTCTTGAAGGCCGGTGCCGCCGCCAAGGGCGTTCCTCTGTACCGCCACATTGCCGACCTTGCCGGCCACGGTGGCAAGAAGATCGTCATGCCCGTCCCCGCCTTCAACGTCATCAACGGAGGTTCCCACGCTGGCAACAAGCTCGCCATGCAAGAGTTCATGATCTTGCCCACTGGTGCCAAGAACTTTGCCGAGGCCATGAAGATCGGATCTGAGGTCTACCACAACTTGAAGTCGGTCATCAAGAAGAAGTACGGACAGGACGCCACCAACGTCGGAGATGAGGGTGGATTCGCTCCCAACATTCAGGACAACGCTGAGGGTCTCGATCTCCTCGTCGAGGCCATCGAGAAGTCCGGTTACACCGGCAAGGTCAAGATCGGTATGGATGTCGCTGCCTCCGAGTTCTACAAGAACGAGAAGTACGATCTCGACTTCAAGTCAGCTAACTCTGATGCCTCCAAGCACCTCACCGGTGAAGAGCTCGCCAAGCTCTACCAGGACTTCACCCACAACTACCCCATCGTCTCGATCGAGGATCCCTTTGACCAGGATGACTGGTCTGCCTGGTCCCACTTGACCGGCGCCACCGACATCCAGATCGTCGGTGATGACTTGACCGTCACCAACCCTGTCCGCATCAGAACCGCCATTGACAAGAAGTCCTGCAACGCTCTCTTGCTCAAGGTCAACCAGATCGGAACCATCACCGAGTCTATCCAGGTAAATAATCCCATCTTTTTTTCTCATTCTCACTTATGCACCTTGTGAGCACTCTTTTTTTTTTCTTTTACTGACTTTTTCTTTTTCTCTTCGTTCCCCCACGAAATAGGCCGCCGTCCTTTCCCAGGAGTCCGGATGGGGCGTCATGGTCTCTCACCGCTCTGGAGAGACTGAGGACAACACCATTGCCGATATCGTCGTCGGTCTCCGCACCGGTCAGATCAAGACTGGAGCCCCCTGCCGCTCCGAGCGTTTGGCCAAGTACAACCAGCTCCTCCGTATCGAGGAGGAGCTCGCTGGCGACTCTATCTACGCCGGAGAGAACTTCCGCAAGGCCCACCTTCTGTAAATTCCCCCACCCAATTATCCACGCCTTACCTTCCTTCCTTTTTTTTTTTGCCTTCATTAACCAGAATCCTTGCATAATTTCACCTTCTTTCTTTTGACACTCTCCTCGAGAGGAAAAAGAAGGAAAAAAAAAAAAACGCAATGAACAGTTGCATTTGTACAGAAACCAAAAAAACTTGAAAATAAAAATACTTGCGTTTTTTCCAATCTCTGCTCCTACTCTCTCAATCTCTATCTCTCTTTGCGCATGCATGGCTCTGCATGGTCGAAAGGCACTTAAATAAATAAATAAACAAACAAACAAAAGCAAAAACGCCCAAAAAAAAACACGCTAAAGAATAACATGCGATGTGAATGCTGAAAAATGCGATATGTTAAAACTGTATGAATGGTAGTCGATACTGAGGCGCCAGTTCCTTCCTCCTCAGTCCCCCTGTCCTCTGTCCACCACCCATCATCCCCCTGTTCTGCCTATCCCGTCATACGGTCTTTGATCATGCTTTTCGATGGTCGCTCTGGCCGATGGTAATAGTAGTGTGGTTGGATTGGTAAAAACAGTTGTGGGTGAATGTTATTGGATGTTTGTTGCTTTTTTGAAAGAGATGGGTAGAGAGAAAAGAAAGAAAGGAAAAGAGAAAAACGTCCCGGCTGCCTGTCCACTCGTTACAGAATGGTGCACTTGTTCTTCTTCTTGGCCGGCTTGGGTCGGGGTGCACCACCATCACGTGCCTGGCGAATCATACGAACGACGTTGTAGAACGAACGTTCAACGTTGACACAAGTCTTGGCTGACGTCTCGGTAAAGTCGCATCTCAACATCTTCGACATCTGGAATCCCTCGTCGCGTGAGACCTCACGGTCAGTCAAGCGGTCGCACTTGTTGCCGACCAACATCAGAGGTACATTCTCAGAATCCTTGACTCGTACGATTTGGTCGCGGAATCGCTTTATCCTCTCAAAGGTTGACCGGGCAGCAATTGAGTAGACCAACAGGAATCCCTCTCCATCCCTATTTATATGAGCAGCACATGCATAAGGAGCAAAAAAGGAGAAGGAAGACGTGTTAGTTTACAATAGAGAACAACGAAAACAAAAACAGCACATGGCGTGCGAGAAAATGCTCAAGTGCATAAAGGTGTTGAAAGTTGAGCCCTGAAATGAAAACAGCATGTCTCCTAAGCAGCAATCAACAATCAATGGATAGCACGAGTAACGAGGGAAGGCCTTGGCATTTGGACAACAAAGCGACACGTACCGAATCCACTGATCTCTCAGGGCTGTGTACTCCTCCTGGCCAGCAGTATCGAGAACCTCCAAGACACATGTTTGGTCGTCAATGACCACCTGCTTTCTGTATGAGTCCTCGATGGTAGGATCATATGTCTAATAAACATGAAACGATCGTTCAAAACATGGTGAGTACATGTGTTTTGTTGTTCAGAGCCCTGTGTGGGCCCTCTTTTTCTCTCTGTCTGTTTGCTCTCGTGGCAACCAGGCACAAAATACAATTGAAGTGTGTAAACACAAACATTGCTCTCTTCGTGCCTTTCCACGAAACGTAAAAAGAAAGGCCACCAGCAATTAAAAAATAGTGCGTGTTATGCCAGGGGGTAATGTGTCGGAAAGCTTTTTTGAGAGCTGTCGAGTCATACTCCTGGTGGTCCGTACAGCTTTTAGTGTCCAAAAGGTTTTTGCCCTCTTCTCCCTTCATCATTTGCGCACTGTCCTGTTCCGTCCTGATGTTGTAGTTGTTGCTTTGCATTTGCCGCCCGCCGCCGCTGATGCACTCGGTCAGGTCCTACTCAAAGAATGTCCTCTGAAATTCTTACCTCTATTAGAGGCAACAATAAGCCATTCCGAAAATAAAAAGAGCAAAAGATCGGGTGGGATGTTCAGATGTGCCAATGAGTCGTTCATGTGTCGAAAACATGAGATATCCGTGCAGGTTATATAGGGATAATTGAATGAGAAAGAGCATTGTCGTTAGTTTCTCCAAGTGACCAAGAACTCTACATCCTCGTTAACAATAATGATTCATCGTCTATGCTTTTCCTGTTAGACCAAAAAACAATTGCTTACCAACGAAATGGTTTAGGCACAACTATTGGATACCAAACAAAAAAAGTATGGAGCACAAGAGAGAAGAATAAGAAAAGGCGATTAGATTAGTCCGGGATACAATCCACCATACAACGCCCATCCACATAATCGATGGCAATCGCTTTGAAGAAGGCGTGAGGTCGACATTGGCAGGGAGAGAAAGACAAATGAGACGACAGGCCAATGGCGGCTGTTGTTTCGTATTTCGCACTTTTGCTTGCGATAGGCCGAGAGATATCCATCCAGATATACACTTTCTGACGTAAACAAACTAATGAATCTCTCCCTGCGTTGTCAGGTCAGGCCAATAAAGCGTCAACACTTGCCTGGATGGTCAATGCAGTCTATTTGGTGAACAATGATGATAAAAGAAGCAGGGGTCGGTTAGTTTGAACACTCAGGGAAGGGGTACGTCCTTGACGGCCAAAAAGGCGAAAAAATGCAAAGGGGGTGGAGTACAAAATACACATAAACACTCTGGAAAACAAGAAATATGGCCGCACTTCAAGGGACCCCAAGACTGGCACAGGTCCGTATGTGGCTTTCTCCTCCATATGCCTTTTCAAGGTGGAGTGTCACTCTGAATCAGTCATCTCGTTGAGGTCTGCTGAATGAATCACCTTCCTCCTTTTTAATCACCCTCGCCCTTCCTTTGACAAAACAAGGTCGCCATAAGTGTTGCTCTGCTGGTGTCTGTTGTTGCTGTTGTCGAACCTCTTTAGCTTCCGTCCCATAGAACAGTGCGTAAAAAAAAATATCCAAAAACAACCCGGCCATGTTAGGGTGAAAGACTTCGTTATGCGCTGTCGAGGAAGGAAAGAAGGGGGTCCCGAAAAAAGCGCCAATGCCCATCAAGGCAGAATGACAGTATCGACTGGAAAAAGGAACGGGGAGGGAGGGAGGGAGGGAGAGAGGGAGAAAGAGAAAGATGGGAGGGGAGGATAAGACAGGAGGCCCATTGAAAGTGCTGATGCGATGGATAGGCTGGTTTCCATAAGAATTGCGCCAAACGGTAACCACAACGACTGCGGGATGTCGTTGTGGTTACCTTGAACCAAAGGAGAAAGAAGGTGGATTGAGAAGAATCCGCTGCCCTCCCGAGGAGTGAGCGGCAACTGCAACCACACTAAACGATAAAGTATGAGAGAGAAGGGCGCGTGTCCCGGGGGTGATACTGTGGTTGCTGGGTGGTGGGCTGGGAAAAGCGTCTGTTATGCACGCAGAAGCTTGTTATTTTTTCTTCTTGTTCTTCCTCGTCTGCTCAGTCCGTTGTTGTTTACCTTGCCGACACCTCCATCCTAAAAAGGAGTGAATACAATCCACACAGAAGGAGAAAAAGATTAGTGATTGGGTTATTGTGCTTTGGGTTGCTGGAGTATGATTGCATAAAAAACGGAATTAGGCGGGGGGGGGGGGTCGAGAAGAGGGGGAGTGGTTGTTGCTTGGCATAGTGAGTAGGTTGCTGTGGTTGCCCATTCCTGTTTCAGTGTTCTGGGGTTTATTTATTCTATTTTCTGTCCATATATAGTGGTATATATATGTCGGTGTATGTCCTGTCTGTTGGTTGTTGTCGGCGAGATGATGAAGAGGAGAAACTAAGAAGAGGAGATGACTTACTCCGAGTACGACCAGCTTGTAGAGCATCATCTTGGGTTATAAGTCGAAGGGGGGGTTGAGGAAGGGGAACGTGAAAAGAGGGGGGGAGAGAGTGTATGTGCAAAGGAGAGATAGAGAGAGAGAGAGAGAGAGAGAGAGAGAGACAGAGGATGTGTGTGTGTGTGTGTGTGTGTGTGTCGAAAGAGTGAGTGGTGGGATGATGGAGAGAAGAGGATGATGAGTGAGGGTGGTGAGGAAGTGAGAGGAAGAAGGACGGAAAAGGAAGAGAGGGGAAAGAAGGGAAAGAAGGGTGGGTGAGAGGAAGAAAAGGAAAGAAAGAGGGTAAAGAAAGAAACAGAAGAGGGAAGGAGGGAGGGAGGGAGGGGACTGAAAAAAGAAGCGCAACAACAACAAAGCAACCAAGCGCACACATGAAAGAGACGTAGAGAGAGAGAGAGCTCTCATTCATTCACATACAGTACAGTATAGCACAGTACTGTACACATTCATTCATTCATCCATTCATTCATTCATTCACATTGGATACGGGTACCAATCCCTATATCACCATATGCCATGGTCCATCAGCCTACCTAATGTCTGATTTCAATATCAAAATATCACTTAGACGGAAATCAAATCTCTATCGCCACCACTACCCCAACCCCATTCGGTTTTTGATCGATCAAATCAACAAGCTCGTTCAAAAGAGACCGTTCTCGTTCGCTCGTTGCTCGTTGCTTCCACCATCCAGTCATCTCGTTACAAGACCACAAATTCCCTCTTCTCCTTTTCCCATCCTGCCCTTTATTCTTTCGTTCTTCCCTCCCCCTTGTCTTATCCTGCTCCTTGATTGATTTCTTGACTCTTGTCATCGTAACAAGAACCCCCTCTCCCCTAGCATAAGCCTGTGTGCCTCCTCCGTCCATAAAATGCGAAAATGACCTAGCAAGGCCCGAGCAAACAGTTGTTGCAACTGCTCTCTCCTGTTCCATCTCCTGCTGTGGTGAGTATTGTCCCTTTTTTTACTTTGGTACACACGAATCGAGGTGGCCTTGGCCAATGGGGATTCGAATATCATTTCCCATCTTTCTCGTGGGTTGCTCCTTTTGAATGCTCTCTTTGTCCGTATTGTCGGTCTGACCTCCTCGTCATCTCGTCATCGTCGGCAGAGCACAACGATGACACTGACGCTTTTGAGTAAAACTGCGTGAGACGAGAGTGAGAGGAGGCGAAGAGATAGAGACAATGACAACCTACACGGTACGCGAATAGAATAGAAGCGAGACAAAAACAGAACACTCACGCACACGCACACGCACACACACACAGCTCTCATTTTTTTTTCTTTTCTCATACGCAATGCACACAAGCACATATTTCGATCGTCCTAGTCCTCTCCCTGTGCGTGTATGCCTCCACCCCTTATGCAGACCCGTCTCATGTCAACGAATCAATTGTTTTAAGTACTATCCTATTTATTTCGCGCATCTCCATATCTATTCTATCTCGTTTTCGTACGCAAGGGTGCTGCTGCGTATATGTGTGTACGTTGTCCCTGTGTGGATTTATGTATGTGTGATAGTCAATGATGTGTGTGAGAGAGATGTGGACAATGATGACCCCTTGCCTTTTGTTTGGTGTCCCTTGTTCGTCTTTTTTTTTTTTTTTTTTTTTTTTTTTTTGGCTGCGGCCAGTCACTTGTTCATCTTTTGTGTATGTGTATGTGTATGTGTGTACCCCTCGTCATTCTTCGTATCTTGGCTTGACCCCATCAATGCGAAAAATAACAACGAAAATATTCTCACCACAACAAAAGGGAGGGGAGAAACGGACGGAGGGAGGGACACATACCAAGGAACGAACAACAACAACGAAAAAGGAACGTTGTTTTGATGGGATGATGACAAAACAGAAACAAAACAAAAAAAAAAAAAAGGACGGTCAACAAAAAGCGAGAGAGGAAGAGAGGTGTTGAGTGGATAGTTGACGCGGGTGGGTGCATTGTTTAGTTGATGTCGAAGGAAGGAAGGAAGGAAGGTTCTGGTGTTTAGCGTTCCTGCTTGCCTTGTTTTGTAATCGTTGCTTTGTTATCGTTGCAGGTGTGGATGTCAGTATGTTTGAGTGTATGTGCTTATTTGCAGTGCATGGACCAAGCGAAGGCCTATCCGATCGCGTCACATTTCTTTCGTCCTTTTTTTATTTTATTTTTTATTTATTTTTGGCGCGAGCACCACACACATCCACCACACCTTCAAAAGAAAAAGAGGAGGGAAGGGAGGCAGTGTGAGAAGGAGGAAGAATGACTATTGCTTTGTGCGGGAAAAAAAAAAAAAAAAAAAGATCAGGGTCCTCCCCTGCTGCAAAGCGCAAGTACAAGCAGAAGCCATAAAAAATGGAACGGAGGGGGAAAAGTCGACTCTGCCCTCTCAATTGCGACCTCAAATTGTGGTTCATCTCTGTCATTGGAAGTACCTCTTATTCTTCATGCTTGGCACAGACAGCAGAGAGAGAGATAGAGAGAGAGAGAGAGAGAGAGAAGTGTTTACAAAAAAAAAACTTATTCTGGGCAATCGACAGGTCCTTGCACGGACATGGTCCGTTTCCTTATTTGATTTTTTTATCAATCGGAAACTGCAGGAATGAATGACAAAGGCAGAAAAGCAAAACAAAAAGTCTTCCAAACCCTTCTTTGTTTTTTGTTTTTTTGTTCAGGGTCACAACCAAAACAAGATACCAATGCACAGCGCAAAGCAGAGCAAGTGGCCAGTGGTAACAGCAAAGAGGTTGAATTGGTTACTCATCGGCATCACACATGCCTGCCTGTCCCGCCCGCCCTGTCTTGGTAGTGATTTTTTGCCACTTCTGTTACCCATGGAGTTTGGATATCTCTGTCTGATCGGTCGGAGATGATATTCAAAAAAGAGAGAGGCATGTGCATCACAAAAAAAAGAGGTGAGCGGTTTCTTTTCTCTCTCTCCCTGTCAAAGACACCAGACGGAAACTTTCCTCGGGCCGGGGCGTAGTTTGTATGAACTGTTCCTTTCAAAGAAAGAGTACACTTACGCGTCGCCTGTTTCATTTTGAGAACCTTTTCGGTGAAAAGGGGATGGGGGAGGGTTTGTTCACGTACATCTTCAATTGTACCTTGTTCATATTACAAAAGCTAAATCCAAGCGAACCGACCGAAAAAGAAAGCCTCTCTGTGCTTTGTGAGTTGTGACCCTCTGCAGGTGTGTGTGTGCCCTTTGGGGTGCATGAATAATAATTTTCTGGAAAGAACTCCAACAAACAAACGACCATAACGACGACGACGGACACACAAACAAACAAACGGAGACATGCAGAAAGAAGACGACGGACACAAAAGAGAGGGAAAGACAGAGCGGGAAAGTGAGCGAGGGAAGGAAGTTGTTCCCTGACCGACATGTGGACACAAACCTCAAACCAGAAGCATGAATGAAAAAAACACACAAACAGGAATGAACATCAATAGAGACAAGGCAGACCACAAAAACGAAAAAAAAAAAAAAAAACGAGGGCTCCCAAGTGAAAAAGGTCATCAGGAAAACGGTAACGTCTTTCTTGCCTGGGCCCTGCCCCTGAACATAAAATAGCATAACGCCAACTCTATTCTTTGTGGACGTGATCATCTTCCCGTCTTTTGTTTTGTGTCCTTGGGTGCTCTCTTCTCAGGACCCTTCCCAGTCGACGCCGTCCTCACACCCTCGCAAAGAAAAAAGTGACCTAGAAAACGAAAAGAGAACACGATTCATGCAAAAGAATTACACGGCTATAAACCAGGGAAAGAGGTGCTAAATAACAAAACAACGCTTTTATGACATGCTTATGGATAAGTATTATGGTCTACGAGTCTACCCTGAGTCGGTCAAGGTAGCTCCGGACAGCCGCCGTCTCCTCGCCAGGAGTCGAAGACCCGCGTTCGTGACTACCACCGCCATCACCATCACCCCCTTGGCCTGAACTGGAACCGGGTTCGGGAGTTAGATCATCCCGGCGATAGGCCCCTTCTTTTCCTTCTCCAGTTATCGCATTGGGTATGGGCCCATCTAGTGGCGACGCTACAATCCCACTAGGACTTGCTGCTTCTCCTCCAATCTCTCCATCCTGATTGCCAGCCGGGTGACCAAGTACTAATAGAGCATGAGGCGATTGTCGCCGATGCTCGACTTTGGAGTACTTCTCAAGATTCAATCTGTAATCGTCTGCAGCGCCTTCCTCAGTAGCCTCTGTGGTTCCACTGGTCGTTGTTCCGAGCTCATCCCTACTAGGTTGGCGAGATGCGCTCGTTGCTGTGGGTGGTGGCAAAGGATAACAAACACGAGATTGCTGTTGTTGCTGCTGTTGTTGAAGCTGTTGCCTGTGGGCGACCGCTGCATGGTAATCATCCTCATACGACACTCGCGGGACCGGTGAGACAGGTTGCGATTCCTGTGGGTGGTTAGAAGAGACATACTGCCGCTGTAGTGGTGGGGGGATCGGGTATCTGCTGCTGCCGCTGTAACTTAAATGGTCACCTGCCAAGCTCCCGCTGTTACTTGCCAGTTCCGCGCCGCCACCAATCTCAGAGCCCATTGCATAATCCAATCCCAATCCGTAGTCATCGCTTCCATTAAACGCGCGACTGTGATCACCCATATAGTCCGTCATGTCCTTACCACTCCCGCCGCCATAAGGGTCGGCGTACCCGATCAACATCAACTCTCCGTTGGGGCCGTAACGAGTGTCGAGGTGATGGTGCTGGACGTGATGGTACCCTCCATCCATGCTTGACATAGCACGACTGTCTCCTGCGGCTGCTGCCATCAAATTTGCCTCCTTATTATACTCATGCCAATCAGTATGCATAATCCCCACCGCACTTGCAGCTCCACCACCACCGCCTCCAGAAGAAGCCCCCATCACAGCAGCAGCGGTGGCAGGATCATTCCAGGGCTCACGACTACCCGCAATCTTATCCTCCTGATCTCTCAACTCCTGCCTCCGTCTCCGGAACCAGATCATGACCACTGCTGCAAAACACAGCGCCAACAGAGCCAAGATCAGCGCCACAGCAAGACCAATCTGCCAAGGATGGAGCCCATTGCGGTTGGTATATGTGCTCGAAGGAGGTGGGGGTTGACGAGGGTCTTGAATGATGGTCGGTCGAAGGGACGTGGTTGTCTCTGTTGCGTAGATGATCGTGACAGATCCAGAGATCATGGTCGTATGAGGAACGATGGTCGTGATAGTTACTACAGACACGGTTGTGATATACAGAGTCGTGTAGGGTGGTGTTGTCACGGCTGTCTCTGGCGGTATATCCTCTGTCGTCGTCGTCGTCGTCGTCGTCGTGACGGGAGGTGGCCGATTGGTGGTACGATCTACACTACTTGTTGTGTCTGGAGGACGGTTGGAAGTCGTGATTGTTACTGGAGGCTCTGTCGTAGTTGACGTCTGTGGTGGTGGATTAGTTGTAGTAGTGGTGGTGATGGGTGGGGGTGGGTCGGTTGTGGTGATAGGAAGAGGATTAGTGGTTGTTGTTACAGGTGGAGGAGGATCAGATGTTGTTGTTACTGGAGGTGGGGGTTCAGTGGTAGCAGTTGGTTGTGGAGGTGACGGCGCCACGGTGGGATATCCTGGATCTGACATTGTGCTTGCCGGCGCTGGTGGTGCAGGTTCAGCGGTTGTTGGCCCAGCTGTTGTTTGAGAAATAGGCGGCAACGGCGGCTCGAGTGTAATATGAGGAGTGGGAGGTTCTGGTTCAGGCGATGGAGGCGGAGGGGTGGGTGGCGGAAGATCAGATCCAGGTGTCGATCCTGACATAAACGCAAACGAGGAAGAAGGAAAGAGAAGAGAAAAGAAATGTCGAAAGAATAAAAACAAGGACAAAGGATGATGAATCTAAGGGCACCGCCGGAAAACTTAAGCAGGCGAGAAAGGGGAGAATGAGTAGGTGGAGAGGCAAAAAGGGGGAAGACAGATGAATATGTTGATGCTACCTTGTTTTCGATCCTTGGATATTATTATTTTTCTTTGATGAGCTTTTGTTGCTTAAAAGAAGAATCGGAGGATAAGAGGAGACAAGAGAAAAAGGATGTGCGTGGGTGAAGAGCAGGCTCCTGGTTTGCCAAGAGCAGAGTGGAGGTTGCCGGAGTATCGTATCCTGTCAGTGTTATCTGTAGGGTGGTGAAGGATGCAATGCTTGGAATGATGGAAAAAGTGGAGAGTGAGAGGCGACGACGCGCAAAAGATAAAGCAGCGGAGGAGAAGGAGGTTAAAAAAAAAAAACTAAGCAAGAGCGAAGGCGAGTGGAATGCCACAGTGTTCACTCCTGCTTCTTGTGCGCGATGGTTCATGGAGAAAAGAGAAAGAAAGATGGACACTACATGCAGGAGGGATGAATAAGAGAAGTCTACAAGAAAAGAGGGCGAAAAAAATAAAGGAGGGCATGCAAAATGTTACTTTGCGTGCCATTACTGTACGACCAAAGGGAAAAGAAAAACAAGGGGGGGATGATGAATCTAAAACTGCCCTATCCTTGTCGACTAAGGAGGGGTGAAAAAAAAAATGATAGAAGGGATTTTGACTTGCAAGAAGAATGGACTATGGGCTGTTGCACTATGAAGTCGATGCACGCTATTGCGCATGAAGTTACTAACGCGACCACTTGTACCCCAGAAGAAAAAATATAATGCACGTTCACCCGCAAAAGAAGTCTATTGTCTACTGCATTTTCTTTTGGCTACATAACAATGGTGGTACTGGTGTTGCTGTCGTCGATAAAGTCGCGGTACAGTTGCACAAGCGATTGTGTAAACGGGCTCGGTGCCTTGGCGCTTGGCATAATAGCTATCGATGCAAGAAAAAAAGAACAAATGCAGGCGGATAAGCAAAGCGATCGAAACACCAGTCTTTCCAGCGTTTACAAGAGCCCTTTCCTCATTTCTTCGTTTCGAAATAACATACCAACAATAGGTGCTTGATGCGTCATGTTTGAAATGACATGCAAGCGCACAGCATCGGACGGGGTGGGCAAGAACGATCGAAGCGCACTGTGCAAGAGCACCGACGAGCTTGCAGGCACCGTCCTGTCGTCCTCTCCATGAACCACCAGAATCTTTTCAGGCAACAATGACCGAAAATGGCTCCGATGGTCGTCCGATTGCAAGCTGCCTTCTTGTGTACCATTGACCTTGGCCGCGTCGAAAACAGTAGAAGAAGTCTCCGGCAGAGTTGAGGATGACAAGGAGGGTGAAGTCCGAGCAATCTCTTGCAGGATCATGGATGGCGAATTCATGCCAAAGGAGAGCAGGCTGTTTCCCATCACCCTCGACATGGCTGAGACCTCCTCGACGCCGCGGATCTTTTCATGCTCCAGATGCGCCGAGATGTCATATACTCCAGAGCAAAGAATCAGCCCTCGGAGACGCGGCAGCGGTCGGCCAAGCCCCTTGTCGGATATCAACGACATCTTTTCCTGCGAGGCGCATTCTTGCAACAGACCCGCGAGAACAGGGGATTCCTTGATCAGCTCCTGTCTCTCCTGTCGAGTGGTATTCATCCATTGCCGGACACAGTCCTTGATGATCGTCAGGCTGCAGAGGTGCGCGCCGGCTGAATGGCCCATAAGATAAATCTGGCTGGGATCTCCTCCGTAGATTTCGCAATGCTCCTGAGTCCATTGAATAGCCATCTGAATATCCTCCTCCATCTCCTTGGATAGACCGCGCGGGAAAGTAGTGTAGTCTGGGATGACGGCGACATATCCCATTTCTCTCAATTGGGCTCCAAGAAGAGTGTAAATTTTTTTAGATCCCGATGACCAAGCGCCTCCGTAGATGAATACGACAACGGGTCGGCCAGCTTGCTTTCCAGTTGTCTGTTGCGTGGTCAGGTCAGGGGCGTGGATGTCCAGCATCTTGGAGGGTCGCTTTGAATTGTAATGAACGTCGACGCTTTTTTTTTTTTTTTTTTTTTTTTTTGCGAAAATGGTTAGTTCAGGAGTGTAAAAAAAGTGGGCGCAACAATTTTTTTTCTCTTTCGATGTGCACCAAATAAAGACAACTTACATCAACCCTTGAGAGCCCCGCATTGTCCAAAGTCGATACTTGACCAGGGAGAAGGCGACAGGGATGAGCGAGATGTTGGTGGGGATGGTTGAGAGGAAGAGAATCTGATTCAACTTTAAAATCCTCCGAGGATCCCAAGGGAAACTGGAGAACTTCAATGGACGCGCCGCGGTTTGAGCATACACGATCCATGTCAACACGTAAAAGACGGCCACTGAATTAATGAAAAAAAGGGAGAAAGCGCGTTAATGAGCAAGGTAGATTGGTGGCAAAATGTATCGAGAAGAAAATTTTGCTTGTTGTAAAGATTCCTTGGAACAGTTGTTTTCTATTGACATACCAACGCCAAGAAGAACAACAGGTAACATGGTGATCATGAAGACAGAGACGCGAGGGAAGAACACGGAGACTAACACTCCTAGCTTGGCCATCGACGCGACATCGTTTGGGAGTTGTAATGACTGCGGAAGTTGTGATGATGATTTTCCTGCTGGTTTAGAGCGATGCAGCGAAGGCAGTTTCGATTCGAGGCTGGGAGTGGGGTGTGAACTTGTATGGTGCTCAGCTGTGGGTGACAGGTGTAGCCGAGTTGCATTGTCTTGTTCTTGGGTGAATGAATGAGGGAATGAGTGTGTCATTGCGAATGAGTCGGGGCAGAAGGTTTATTGAGAGAAGAAAGTACGAGAGAGAGGAACGAAGAGAAATTCACCACAAACAAAAGGACAGCGAGTGCGTGGGTGAAGAGGGTGGCATGAGATGAATTGATGGTAAGACAGAACAATGCCTCTCACCCGCACCTCTATCTCTCCTCTGTTGTTATCGTCATCCCCTGCCCGTCTTCTTGTGTCTCTCAGTCCCCTCCTTGTTTGTTTGTTCTGGAAAACGGTTCTGCCGAGCGCAAGCGTTCAGCAAATCAAGCGCAGCGCATCAACCTTCTCCCTATCCCTCCCAACGTGAGCAATTTGAAAACAAAGGAAAGGCTGGGAAAATCGTTCCCATTTTCTTGTGTCCACTTGACCCCCAACAGCTAAAATACACCTGTTGCACATTGCATAGAGGACCATATCACAACAACAAACAGTTCCAGCCACAGGAGCTACAAAAAACAAGTTGACAAATATACTCTCTTCTTTGTATGCTAGCGTCTTTGTTAGTGCTCGTGTATCATTGAACCATTGAGCTTGTCGCCATTCTCTTGGAAGATTGTTGCACTGCACAGGCTTCATTCTCCCGAATCGAATGCTCTGTTGCTTTTTTTTTTACTGCGGTTGTCCATCAATTGGTGAACTAGTTGCTATGGTCGTAGTCGTCGTCGTCGTCTGAGAGCTGTATCCTGGAAAAGAACGACTCTGCTGTTTCGTCTTCACTATCGCTCACATCTCCGTTGGTGGCCCTACCACCGCTGCTGTTGTTCTGATCCTGAGAGTCCTCCATATCCGGGAACCAAAGATTAGGTCCATATGAAATACAGAGCTCCTCGCCAACTTGAATCTCCCGCAAGGTCGAATACCGGATCAGACTGTTGTCGATATCCCGCTGGAATCCCACGTTGGGTGTAGAGGAGTGGTTAAACATGCTGCCAAGTCCGAGGGCAAGGGCCATGCCTCCCTTCCAGCGATAAGTATAGTGGTCGAGTTGGGTGTGCTGGCCATGGGTTGAGTATTCTTCGGAGGGGAAGAGCAGGATGGGAGAGATATCGATGACGGTGCGGGCGGGGATACTGACGGTTGTGAAGATACCGCGTCCTTTTGCGCCACAGTCCTGGATCTGTAGGTTGCTTTGGTTGAATAGCTGGACGGGTTCCATGATGGTGGGGTATCTGGTGTGTTCCTGCCCTCCTGGGTGAAGGCGTTCTTCTTGGACGAGTGGATCAAAAATGTTGATGATTCGGGACAATGCCCGAGAAAATAATGTGTTGTTCGCTGGACAACGACAGAAGCAGTCTCAGATCTACATATCCATCGCATGTGCTGCAGGCAAAGCAAAGCTAACCAGTACTCCAACGCTCCATTCGAACAACCGCCATCGTTCAACTTTTTTTCCTCATCCCAACGATCGTCCGCAGCAACCCTCCATCTCTTATATAAACCCTTTCAACTACACACACTCTGCCGCCATGTCAAGCCGCGCCATGAAAAAACTCCTCCGGGATTCAAACGGACCTACACCAATGAAAGACCTCGAAACACTCAACAACGCCACCAAGACCACTGAAGGCGAAGACCACCAGGAAGACTACGAGGAAGAAGAAGAAGAAGACGAAGACGACTATATTCCCAAGCGACCACCAGCAAGGAACCTGTTTGCATTGGTAATATACCCCTCAATCTATGCGCTTCTATAATGAATAGCACACCGATCGCGTAAAATGTGTGCTCAAATAATTGCACGTCTTGTATTGCAGTTAATTAAGCCCTTTAACATTTACATTGATTCGTGTACTCGATAGCTTGATGAGGGCGATCAGGATGATGCAGAGTCAGAAGAAGAGCAGGAACCAGCCGTATGTTTTCACATCTTTTCGCCCGACGATAACGTGCTCATGCGTGAGATTGCAAAGGCTGCATATGGGATTGAAAACTAATCCTCAATTGTTTTATGACATTGCGTACTTTCAGGCACCTGTAGCTACCGCCTCTAGTAAAAAGAAAAAAAACAAGAAGAAAAAGAAGGCCGCCGCATCTACCGCCTCCAACCCATTCGACGCTCTTCAGGACAACGAGGATGACAACACATCGCCAACAGCAGGAACAGAGGAGACTGTCACTTCGCCCATCACCGACGAGGTACCATCAGGAGCTGCCGCCAAATCCAAGAACAAAAAGAAGAAAAAGGGCAAGGCTGTTGTCAAGTCCATGGAGGAGATGAGCGTCGAAGAGTTTGAAAGGAGTCTTCAGCAGATGAACCAACAGTACGTGACACCAAGCCTGGCTCAGGTTCATATTTTTGCGTCCTCTTGCTGTGGCCTTTTGCCTTGAAACTGACATTTAGTTTCCATTGAAATAGGTTGGGATCATTGTCGACAGGGGGAGAGACATCTCGGAAAGCAAACGTCACGCCACTGAATCAGCTGCTGGCTGTTGATACCCGGTTCTTGGACGCAGACGCAGAGATGAAGAAGATGTTTGGCGCTCGTGTTGTCAACTCGGAGATCAAGGATCGGCGATACGCTAAGGTTGCCAAAAAGGCGTTGCTGGCTCAGCCCAGAGGCACCTGGCCCGTTCGCAAGGCGTCGGGATTGAGTATGGACATTGTTGACCAGGATGAGAAGGAGAGAATTACTACCTTCAAGGTTGTGCATTCTGAATACTACCAGAGGACTCAACTCAAGTTCCTCACCGCTGTCGCTTCATATGGTATGTTGGAGAGGCATTAACCAATGGCCAAGATATGCTGGATAAGAAACTATCTTGCGATACTAATTACGAAATTGTATTTTGGCTTGTAGATCCCAACAACTTGGTGATGCTTCTTCGCGAAAGTCCTTTCCACATTGACAGTTTGCTGCAGTTGTCAGAAGTTAGCAAGCACAACGGCGACAACGGTCTAGCAGGCGAATTCATTGGTACGCATCTTGAACTCGTTCTTGATTCTGCGGATATTTGGTAGCAGAGGGAGTCTTTCACAACGAATTCTTACATGATTCCGTATTTTCTTTCTCGTGTATAGAACAAGCGCTGTTTGCCTTCGAAAAGAGCTTCCACAGTCTGTTCAACATCGCGTCAGGAAGTGTGAGGCTGAGTTTCCAGGAGGTCGAGAACCGATCCTTCTTCTTGGCGCTTCACCGTCACATTCAGTTCTTGGGACGGCGTGGGTGCTGGCGCACTGCATTTGAGTTCAATAAGCTGCTTCTCAGCCTGGACCCCAAGCACGACGAACTGGGATCACTGCTGTCGATCGACTTTTTCGCGTTGAAGGCTCAGGAATACGTCTACTTGCAAAGGCTGTATGAGAGGCTACAGGAGGAACATGGTTTGAGCCAGCTGCCCAACTTTGCGTACTCGATGGCCTTGGCCCAGTTCCATTTGGAGACTGCTCAGGGTAAGGGTCATGACGAGAGCTCTAAGCTGTTGCAGAGGGCTATTATTTTGTTCCCATCAGCCGTCCCTCTCTTGGCAGATCAAGGGTCCTTCAGTGTTGATTCTGAGATGTCAGGAGAAGCTGCCTTCTACCCGACCGTTGAGTAAGTACATTCAACCGAAATTGATATGCAATTTCTGTATAATGTCGCACAAGAAGCTGAAAAGCAATTGACACTAATTCTCGTATTGGTCTGAATGGTATTATGCCACTAGCCTTCCCAAGATCCTCGATCTCTATATCCATCTCTTTGTTTCCAGAAACTTTGCTCTCTGGAAGGAGCCCGAGGTAAGAACAACTGTTGGAATTGCTTCAAAGAGTTGCCTTGAGGCCAAAGAGTGATAAACTGACGACGTACATGGTTCTCTGTTCGTATTGTTATAGGTTATTTCATGGCTCAAGACGAATGTCAAGACAAGTGTGCAATCGCGTTTCACCAACAGGAACGACCCTGACGTTCAGGAGGCCAATGCCTTGTTAACAAAGTTGACAGCCGCCGCCAACTCCAAGGCTCCCATATTGAGCTATGGCCCCGATGGTTCCCTCGAGTCAGAATCTATCACTGAGTCCTCCGCAACAGATTCATCAGACCCCTGGAAGTTTTCTCTCCGCGTCTGTCGCCATGTCCTGATCTCGGATTTCAACACCCTTGCACGGTACTTGCCGGAACATATCGTCAACTCGACGATGCATATGCATGATCCCCTGCCACCGACTGGGTCGAGGAATATTTATGAAGAGCGGTTTGAGGCCCAGAGGAGTGGTGGGTTGGTGGGTGGAGCGCGGGATGCGGCGCAGAGTGTGTTGGAGGAAGTTGTTAGGCGCCTTCGTGGCGGCGGTGGTGGTCTTGCTGCGGCTGGAGCTGGAGCAGCCGGTGCCGCCGGTGCCGTAGGAGCTGCGGGGCTGGCAGATGATCAGTTACGACAGATTACAGAGGCTGTTCAGATGCTTAGGACGAGGAGGGAGCCTGCGGGTGAAGGTGCTGTGCCTGGCGCTTTCCCTGGAGACGCAACAGCAGTGGCTGCACCTGAAGCACGACCAGGTCCAGGAGCAGGAGCACCAGATGCCGCTGGGGAGGGAGAGGAAGAGGCTGGAGGAGCATTGGCATCTGAACCTGCCTCGGTGGTCCAATCTGTGACAGCATTGATGAGGATGCTTGGTTTCGGAGCACGGGCAGACGCGATTGATGCCGATACCACGGATGGACTGGGAGACGAGGCTATCCTCTCTGCCGAAGAGAGTCGTCAGTTCATGGAGTCCCTGGCTCACCAGTTACCCCATGAGGCCTATGACTCTGACGAGTACGATGATGGACAGGAAGGGGAGGAAGGTGACGAGTATAGTGATGAGGAACAAGCTTTTGGACCTGATGGGGACGATGGATGGGAACCTTATGATCCTGCCGCTTTTGAGTAGTTATTCCTTTTTTTCTGTTTTTTTTTTCTTTCTTCCAACACAACAAAAATAATAGACATATTTACATTTTTCATCAAAAAAAAAAAAAAAAAAAAAAACATTGCGAGTCTTGTTTTTTATTAAGAGCTCAGGATGGGTTGAGGATGGCTTTGGTTGTGAGGTTGGGGTTGTGGAGAACTTGAATGGGAGGCAGGCTTGACAGGCGCGAGGGAAACATTTTCCTCGTTCGACTCGGACTCGTTATGGGGGTGATGGTGGCCATGACTGGGGCTTTGACCAACTGAGTGGTGATGTTGGTGTTGGTGTTGATGCGTAGAACTTGGTCCTCCTCCAGGATGACCCGAGACAACACCCTCCATCTCCACATGCATCCTTGACCCCTTACCCTTCCTAACAATCAACACATTCTCAACAGGCGCATCGGTCCCAGCCACAGCAGCAGCAGCGGCCTCGTGAAGGATAGGTTGCAAGATCCTCCGGCGAGCATTGATGAACCAGTTACTGATCTGGTTCATCGACAGTTGTGTCGCCTCCGAGAGTCGCATCTTCTCTTCCTCGGTCGGGTATGGGTGGATCGCGTTCTGGACCAGCCATGATTTCAGGACAGAGGTGACGGATTTGGGGAGGTTGCCTCTGCGCTTTCTGTTGGGGTCGACGTTGTTTCCATTGGTGCTGTTGGGATCCGTGTGAGTGGATGATGATGGTTGTGCGCCTCCGGATGATCCTGGATGCGTGGAGGAGGAGGAGGGTGATGATGTTGTTGTTGCGGACGCTGCTGCTGCTGCAGTACCAGGATCGGTGCTACGGATATGATGGTGGTGGTGGCCCTCTGTTGTCGCTGCAGCTGCGAATGCTGTCGGTGGTGTCGTCCTCGCCACAGGTGAGCTAGAAGCCGAAGCCGAGGGGGCCATCAAATGATGTTGTGGTGGTGCTGGAGAAATCGAGGACATTGCGGACGGCGAGACATATGATGCTGGTTTCACGGGGACCGGCCGTGGCAAAGGTTCAATCTTAGGGTGTGGTGATGCTGAGGGTCTTGACGTTAATGGTTGTTGGTGTGGGTTGTGAGAGTAATGCTGAGGATGCTGGTGGTGATGAGGAATGTGATGACTGTGCGGAGAAAACTCGGACGGCGAAGGGGCGGTTCGTCGAGGACCGAATGGTGTTGACAAAGGCTGCTGGTGGTGGGGGGGAGGTGGTGCAGGTTCATGATGCGATGATGCGTGGTAGGACGAATGGTAGCGAGGATCCGACGGTTCTCGGTGATGAGGGTTCTGATAGACGGTTGAGGCCGAAGAAAGTTCCCGAGATCTTGGCGAGGAGGCAGTCGAAGATGGTCCCGAAGAGTTCATCGCGTTCAATGCACCATTTGGAGCAGCATCGATCCTGTTGGCATCCATCGGAGGCAGCCGCTTTGGAGTTGACGTCGTCGGGGTTGCGCTACCCGATTCATAACGACTGTCTGGACGAGGCGGTGGTGCCGAGGATGGGTGTGTTGGGTATCGGTGCGACGAGGCTTCTGAATCATATCGACGGCGATGGTGAGGTTGGTAATGGTCCTGGTGATGTGGTAGATGAGTAGAGTAAGAGGGCCGGCCTTCCTGATAACGCCTATGCCGCCGAGAGTGCGAGTAATAGTCGCGGTGGTGCTGAAATGCCGACGGTGACTCCTCCTGTGAGGGCTCATCTCCGTATCGCTTAGACATGGGTGTATCGAAGGTCTGCTGGGTTGGAGGTGGTGTCGATACAGGCGAGGGCGATTGAGTTGTCGAGGGGTACTTTGAGATAACCGGTTCAAAGTCGGGTTCCACCCCTCCTGCTCCTGTTCCTGTTCCTTCCTTGGTATGGTCATCTTGATCCATATGGGACGAATTGGGCTGATCGGATCTCCGGTAGTCTACTGTCTCGGCCGTGGGCCATCTCGGCGGGTAGTTTTGGTCACGATGTACGGCAGAGTCATATGGATGGGAACGACTCTGAGAGCGACTGCCACTGCTGCTCTTGGACGGTGCCATAAGGCCCCTGGACAGTGCTTGCTGCTGAGGGTGTAGTGGAGGCAATGAAGGGTGGTGATGATGGTGGTGATGATGGTGGTGGTAGAGATGCAACCCCCGAGGCTGTGTAGTCGCTGCAGAAGTGGCTGTCCCTGATGCTGCTGCAGAACTAGGCGGCTGTTCCTGCTCCTTTTCTCGTTCCTGCTCCCGTTCACTCCGCTCTAGGTTACGGGTATACCGCACCAATTCCCACCAGAGCAAGCTGTTCTGCTGAAGCATCCGCTGAACCCTCTTGTGATGGATATCAACACGGGCAGGGGACAAGGTCTTTGCAAGGGCATCCATTGCCGACGAAGCGTTTGAAGAGTACGACGAAGGGGGAGACACAATTGCTCCCGAGGCCAAGGAGGATGAAGATGTTTCGTTTCGATCCTGGCGTGTAGTGGTCGACATGGAGATGGGAGAGGAAGATTTCTGGTCTGAGGAGGAAGGACGGCGGCTGTGCTGCCGACTTGTTGGTTCGGGTGTGGGAGTACATGCATTGATGGATTGTGTGGTAGTATTAGTGGTGTTTCGATAGTCCTCCAGCGCTTGGGGACCATTGGGTGGCGGTGCGTTGTGTTTATCCAGGGTCAAAGTAGACGTTGGGCGTTGTGTTTGTGAAGAGTCTTCGGTGTCGATATCCATGTCCATGTCTGTCTGCTGGTTATGTGTGGAGGGTTGTTGTTGCTGCAACGAGGAGATAGGTGGTAGCATGCGACGTGAGTCTCGGTCCCTTTCTGAGAGGGGGTCGTACTCATAGGAAGAAGGGATCCTTAGGTGGCGGGCTTGTTGTGGTGCATGGCCGGGTATAGTCGACGAAGAGGAGGAGGAAGACGATTGCGAGTCCGAGAAGAGGATGAGGGGGGAGAATCGCTTTGCCATGGCCAATGTTGAGCGAGCGAGGGTGATGAAAGGATGTTGTGGTTGTTGATCGAGAAGAGGGGAGGAAGGCAGGGATGAGATTAAGGAAGGCAGGGTGAGTGTGGACAGAGCGGGAGGGAGAGGGGAAGGGTGGCGATGGTTTGATGGCTTGATGAGGGAGAGAGGGAGAGAGAGAGAGAGAGAGTCAGAGGCAGAGGGAGGCGGGCAGGAGAGAGTACCCTTTCGGTTGTTGATTTTTGTGCGAGTAAATTCAGAATCTGATTTTGACAGCGACCCTTGTCTCTTGCAAAGACATTTTTGCGGCTTTTTTCCTATTGGCTGCTGTCCACTGACACTTTCATTATTCACACCCTGTCAAGCATGCGACGCACAAACACACAACGCCCTATGTCAATGACTGAGGGATATATGAATGGGCAGGTAGTTTTCTGGTAATAAAAAAGAAAGAGGGTTTATTTGGTGGGCGATGAGAAAAAAAACGTCTAGGGGGGGGGGGTGAGGGAGATGGGTGGAAATAGGAGCACAGGTGCAACATAGGGCTGCCTGCAAAGCTATTATTTGTTATTGCTATCTTGGATGAGGGGGAGAAGTAATGGAAACGACACAGCTTGTTTCAATTGAACGGCGTGTTCCCTTTCCGAAATCGTACATTTCATGAGAGGAGGAAGAGATAGGAGAAATAAGGTATTGATTGTCGCTTAACGGTAGAGGTGATCAGCCTATTAAAGAGTAATAGCAACATATATGAAACGATTAGAAACAGATCAATACAATATTCTCAGGGCGATCAATCAATCAATCATTCAAAATATCAATGCCAAAAAAGGGACATCGGCTTACCTCCAAGTTGCGCGCCAACTCAACTTCCCACTTGTCACCGTTGGCCAACAACTTCTCCTTGTTGTACAAAAGCTCCTCGTGTGTCTCTGTGGCGTACTCGTAGTTGGGTCCCTCGACGATAGCATCAACAGGGCAGGCCTCCTGGCAGAAACCGCAGTAAATGCACTTGGTCATGTCAATATCGTAACGGGTCGTGCGACGGGATCCATCCTCACGAGGCTCAGCCTCAATAGTAATGGCCTGGGCGGGGCAAATGGCCTCGCAAAGCTTACAGGCAATGCAACGCTCCTCTCCTACAAAATCATACGTCAAGAAGAAAAAATCATATCGGTCAGATCTAATGCCATTATGTTGTCACTTCACTTCGGAATCGAATCTCAAGCGATCCAGTAGTATTGAAAATGAGAATCCCGTGATATAATCGTTGTTGAAAGTGTTGCTCAGCGCTGGCGGTCGCCCGGATCGATCACGACCAAAATGCGCGTCTTGACTCCATAGTGTGCACATCGGCGATAGAAAATCTCTCAGGACAAAGCCAGGTCTGACGGATCCCCTCCGTGCTCCAGATCTATCCGTGCGGCTGTATAATAACCAACTGTACTCCTGGTGCCAGTCGAGAGGGCATAGACTGATGTTCCCTGCAATGCCCGATAGTTCTCCCGAGGGAGCTTTTTTGACGCTACGCACGAAAGATCCATGATTCGTTCCTGTAATGCACTGTTTTCTCGTTCAAAAAGAAAGCCAAGAGGCTACCAAATTGCTTACCAGAGGGGTAGCGTCTGAGGGCGTGCTCTCCACGGAAACGGGGAGACAATGCACCCTTCTCGAAGGGGTACATGAGGGTGTAGGGAGGTCTGAAGAAGGACTCCAAGACGACCCACATACCGCGGACCAGCTCGGTCAACAAAAGAGCCTGGGAAGCGTTATCCAGGGCTGATGGTCCCTGTCCGGGGGTGTAGCGGGTCGACAAGTCATCTTCAGGGAACTTTTCGCGGTTGGCACGATAATCGTTCGTGTTGTGGGCCAGAACTGTGGAAGAGATATGGATGGAGCGGGCCATGGCGGGGAGGGCGACACGTGTCTGAACTAGAATAATGGAAAAGTCGAAGAATGACACGTTAGGTGGACGCGGTTCTGAGGTGGTTTGAAGGGTGCTATTGTGGTTCCGGAGGGTCCGGCTGAAGGAGATGTTGTTTCCAAAACGCTGAAATAGAGGCTCAGTGGGACGTGTTCCTGGTATTGAATCCGAGCACTGGTGTCACAAAGTCTCCAAACATGTGAGGTGTTGTCTAATCCGGTTGGCGAATGTTCATCCTTGTGAGGCGGTCGGCAGGTATGGTATTGGTGTTGGGGGCTGTTCATCGTTTTTTTTTTTTTTATTCGGATCCCGAAGTTCTGTGAGAGACATCCGATTCGGATCAGACGTGTCGGATATTGTGGGATGGGTAAAGGATTGGACAATGGGCAAGTGCTTTACCCCTTGGCACAGCTGCTGCCCTGATGACGTTGCGAAGCATTTGGAGAAGAGTGGGGAGAGTGAAGGGAGGGAGGTGGGAGAACGATGATCAGGAGTTGATGAACAGTTCGCTTGATTAGAACTCGGAAATCCGAACCCGCTCGCCCACCTCTCCCAATGGTGACGTCACACTTTTTTGATGGCTGTCAATTAGAGATCGAAAGAAAGAGGCAAGAAAAACCGCCGATCTCTTATTGAACACCAAGGTTCGCTTTACCTGAGCAAGCAGTCACCAAGGCTCAAAAAAAAAGAAAAAAAAAAGACAAACATAAACAAACGAGGCTCGCCTATTGTGAACTGATTCGTTCTCTTTTGCACCTCGCAACTCCACCTCCATCACCCCTCCTCCCTCATCACAACCCAATACCGCAACATGCTGGACATCAAGCAGGTACTGCTCACTGCTTTTCAGACTCTCATACCACACAGAAACACACTCACAACAACAGTCAACAGTTCAATTTCCTTGCGTATTGGACAATAGCAGCCAAAGCCAAGCACACCAGCAGCTCAACTGGTGCCTTTGCCCCTATCCCTTCTCCACATACATACACACACTCACCCACACTATTTCAAACTACCAAACCCACACCCTGCATCGATACCCTACGTCAGACCATGCAACTAACAGAACTTAATTGTTATCTTTGAACATTGTAGGCTGACAAGGCCGTCAAGGCACTCCTTGGATACGTCGAGAAGAAGGGAGAGAGCAAGGACCAGCTCATGGAAGATGACCAGACCGTCTGGTTGATCATTGCTACCAAGAAGTTTTCCGATGCCAGCAAAGCAAAGCCCCACCGCATGTATGTGTCAGCTCTTCAATACATTCACTTTCGAACCTTGGACAGGAGGATACAGGAACAACAAACAACCAGCACAATTACACATGAAAGAAGCTCCTGTCAGGAATGAAATCCGCCTAAACAGGATATTAGTCAGCTATCGGGAAACTTATCGAGCCATTCTTTATTAATTACGTTTCTATAGTCCTCTTAAGCACTCTATTGTCGCACCGGATGCCGAGGTCTGTTTGTTTGTCAAGGATCCTCAGAAGGACTTCAAGCGCCTGCTCGAGGAGAAGGGAGTCAAGGCTGTCAACAAGGTCATTGGAGTCTCAAAGTTGCGCGCCAAGTACAAGCCCTATGAGGCCAAGCGTCAGCTCTGCGCTTCGTACGGCTTGTTCTTGGCTGATGCCCGTGTTGTCACAGTGTTGCCCAAGTTGCTCGGAAAGACCTTCTTCTTGAAGAAGAAGCAGCCCATCCCCGTCGACATGACCAAGAGTGACCTCAAGAAGGAGATTGCAAGAGCCATCGGATCAACATATATGCACACCACCAGCGGAACCTGCACGTAGGTCCCCTTTGGCATCTTTTTGCTATCATCGTTGAGAGTTTCACGTTTTGCAACGACATCTTGTAACTTGGAAATTGTAACATATAACTTTGTAACTCATAATCATATTCAACTTTTTCAATGCGTCGTTTCAACTAGTGCTGTCAAGGTTGGATTGACGAGTCAGAGCGCAGCCGAGATCACGGCCAACATCGAGGCCGCCATGCCCCATATCATTGAAAAGATTCCCCGCAAATGGAAGAACATTCAGTCTATCAACTTGAAGACCAACGACTCTACAGCTCTCCCCATCTTCAACTCTCTCCCCGACGAGGGCGTCACCCGCATCGAAGCTTACGGAAAGAGGTCAAACGCATTAGCAATGGATGAGGATGAGGACGAGGATGAGGAAGACGACGAGTAAATCGCTCAGCACTACATACTACAATAAGCATCTACCACCCCCTCCATATTTTCTACACTGCATCTTCATTGTTCGATTAAAAAAAAACACGTATTACATTCACACACTCACACACACATGGATAAGGATGATGTTGCAGCAGTTATTTTTGAATAGGAGGTTGTATTGTCCCTTTTTGTTAGAGAGTGAGGGGTTTACAAACAATCGCTATTGTTCCAGGTGATCGGTGAATGTAACTCCTAGAACTTGCCTTCCCAAAATGATCTCTGAGTGGTCCCCTGAAATGATCATCAATACAAGTCTTTCTATTGTCACCACCCTTGCTGGAACATGGGGCTCTCAAATTATTGATCTTTTTTTTCATTAGTTTATTTTATTTGTTTTTGTACGCTTAGACAACGACGGTGGACCTGGGGAGGTTCTTGGTGGTGACAGTGTTCCAGATATAGATCTCCTCATCAAACACGCTGCCAGAAATACTGGTGTCATATTGCGAATGACGGTGGTGGTTATTGTTGTTGGAGATGGGCATGGTCAGCGACTTGAAGACTTGACTGAATGACATCCGGCGCTTTAGCTTGACGTCTTCAGATCCCAGATGACTATCGCGATGATGGCGACGGAGAAGGGTTCCACGTCTTGAGAAGGAGGGGAGTTCCGCCAGATCGCCCATTGTTTCAATTGTGACCGCTGGGTGGGGTGGTGTATTATTAATGGTGGCGTTTGCTGTTGTTGAGGAGGGAGTATTATCGCCGGAATGCTGGAGGTGGTGGTGGTGATCGAGAGGGTCCAGTACGTCAGAGGAGTCTGCAAGGGTAGAGCTGGCCAGGGTCGACAAGGTATGGGGTGAACCCTGCATGGCAACATCGAGATGGTAATCGTCACTGTTTCCGTCAATGATAAGTTGATGCAATTTATCTTGCTGCTGTTGTGGCTCCCTTGGTTCGTTACTGTCGGGTACCTCAGGCATTGTCGACGAGGATGTGGTGGAGAATGCAGAGGTGGTGGATGACGACAGTGATGGAAGCGAGGAGACGGACGACATCCTTTCAGGAGCTCTCTTTGCTATTTGTTGGTCCTGTTGATCAGGATCCTCTGCCTCCTCTGCCTCCTCGAGTTGCTCCTCTCTGTGCGCTGATAGATCATGCATAGGAGAGTCACTCAAACTGGTTGTGGAAAGAGCCATTGTGTCAACATCAGATTCTACTACATCAGTTGGAGCAGGAAGAGCAATGGGAGAGGCGATCGGAGACGTGCGCTTGGTAACGGTGGGAGTCGAGGGCTGGTCTGACCGTTCCCGCATTTGGCGACCATCGGCATGGGAACTGGAGGACGAGGGTTTGAGCCATTGCATGATGTCATGACGCTCCAGCGACAAGTTCAGGGATTCGGGGGTGTTCTCGGGCAGAAGCCAATACCAGACGTCCTCAAGGTACTGATTCAATTCAAGGACCCGCTCAAAAGCGCCTTCCTCGTCGAAGCCATGGGTAGTCGAAGAGGCATCAAAGGCACGCTGGTTGGCCTTTGCATGGGAGACCTGCTTGAGCAGGGCCTGGTAGAGACCGGGGTGGGGATGACGAACCACCAGAGTTTTCAGCTCGGGTCCTTCGGGGATGGGTCCTGGAGCGGTCATGAGGGCAGCCTGGAGGTTGAGAACCATCTCCGATAGCCGTTGGAAGTCCTCGAATGTCCTGTGGATCACATAAGAAGTAGTGGCGGAACGGTTTAATTGAGCAGGCAGGGTCTTGACAGGGGCCAGATCTGTAGCAGAGGCAGAAACAGAGTCCTCAGAAAGTTCAGAGATCGAGGAAGAAGAACCGTTGGATGATGATGAATCGGCCTTTTGTGAGGATGTGGAGGAGGCTATTGGGGTTGTCGACTGACTTTGTGGTGTTGGTGGCACAAGAACCTTGCCAAGGATATTGACTTGAATCGAAAAGACTGTGATGGTCTGGTCGCCCTTTTTGGTTTTCTCGGTCGCACTCCTCCGCTTGTTGTTGTTGAGGAACGGGAGGAGCTGCTGAACTTTCCCGACGGTCCGGTTGTGCCGGCTGCTGTTGTGGTGGTGTGGGTGTGGGCGAGCGGATTGCTGCGCTGATGTCTTGGAGCGTATCGATGCGGTAGCGGTTGTTGCGGGTTTGCGCGACTTCATCCAGGAGATGACTTTTGGGGGTGGGCATTGCTTTGCGATTTGGAAGGGAAGGTGGACGGTTGTTGTTGTGGTTGTTGTTTCGTCGTGAGGGTCGATGTTGGTCTCGATAGTGACATCAGTCATTTGTACGCAGGGGTCATTGTTGTCCTCCTGCTGGAGTTTGTCTACTGTGGAGGAGGATGTCATTGTTGTGTGTTGTTTGTTGCTGCTGGTGGCAGTAGGGAGGTTGCAAAGCAGAGAAGTGAAGTGACGAAGAAGAGAAAAAGTGTTGTTGTTGTGGGGGAGTAAGACAAGAGTTCAATTAAAGGCTAGGTTGTTTCGAGTTGAGAGAAGGGAGCGAAAGCGTAAGAGTGAGGTATGAGGGGGTTGTTTGAGTGAGTGTAAGTATGAGCGGAGGATGCGAGGATGTATAATGTAAATGGATAGAGAGGAGTGCCACCAATTCAAAATAAGCGTGGGCTTGGGCGGATGAGAGTGAGAGTGAGAGTGCGGGTGGGGGTGAGAGTGCGAGGGAGAACGAAGGTAGTAGAAAGTGAAAGCAAAGGAAGAAAAAGAAGAAAAGAAGAGAAAAAGTGACCTTAGCCCATCTTATCCCTTCGACCGTTGCCAGTCACAAGGATAACTTGGTAAGACCTGTTCGGGGTCTTTACAATTATGAAGGTTAAACGCTGGGCCGAAGGAGAGAGATCGGTCGAGACTGATCGAAGAGCCATTGCTCAGCGATTAGTGCAATGTTGTGAGCTCCAACCGAGTCCCTGTTGATCCATCGACCACAGGCGAGGCAGACACAAGATCTTGAAGTCGGCTTTGCCATCCTGGAGGTCTCTCCTCGGGCAGTGCAAGCTGGGCAAACGGTCGAGGACAGGTATTCATCAACCAAAACGACAAGGTGGCCATGTGCTCGCGCCTACGTTAGATAGAAGATTGACGGTTATTGAACGGTCCCATAGCATAACGTTGACAATTGAGCAAGTAAATAATTGTTTGTCGCGGCATAATGACGGTACCTTCTTGGCAAAATGACTCTGCAATGTCTCATGCTTGGAAGCCAAGTTTATCCCCGTTCGAAACTTGCCGTTGCCAATAGCAATAAGACACGGCTCCGGTCCACAAAGGCGTAGGATTGCAGCCACAGCCATATCCAGTTCGGCACGAACGGCTTTCTTCTCCTCCCAGGCGGCTTTTTTCATGTGTAGTGAGCCTTCAAACTCCCGAAGCAAGGGCTCCGTAGACACTCTAACACGAACAGCATCCTCGAAATCCTCCACGGTTACTTGGCCTTTTGGGGGCAAACAGCTTTCGATCTCCTGAATGGACTGTACGTCTGTCCTGGCTCCCTTTGGATCGACACCCCTCGCCCAAATTCCTCCATCGATACTCTCGCCCGGCACCACTCGAAGCTTCCTGTTTTTGACTCTCTCTCTTTCGGATCGAGCTGCAGTGGTGGGAGAGTATAAAGCTGCTCGACGTATCATTAGGTTGGTCACAGGTGGATCCCCAGGGTCTGGTGCTCCATTCCACTCACGTTCGTGCTCGATCAGACATAAAGCCGCCGTCACCAACTCCCCAGGGTCCCACCCGCGACACTTTGGTATTTTCCCCTGGAATATCCTGGCGATAGCGTCCTCGTCAGGTAATACTTTTTCGATACGCATGACTGGGTCCAGGGCTCCATGTGGCTCGTGTTTGGTGTCGTAGGCGAGGACCTGCAGCTCCAAGCCGTTACTTCGAATCATATTGTTCAAAGCATAGCGTGATTTTGTACTGGGGTTGGCGGGAAACTCTGGCGGTGATTGCGTACATGGTACTCCTTCATCCCGACAGTTCGCAGCAACTCGAAGGTAGGCCAGCTTCCTGTTACAGTAGTCCTGCAATGACCGATAACCAAACCTAGAAGGATCACCTTCCGCAAGTTCTGCCATTCTTGTCGTCCGTTTTGCGTAGGGTGTCCGTCTCAGGTCTGGTCCTCCGTCGTTGTCGTGGCCAACGGGTCTTCTTCGCCCATAGAAAAGCGTCTCAAGCACTTTTCCATAGTCCGAATCAACACAATCCGACGCCTCCGCGCGACTCAAAATCGTCTCCACGATCGTCTTGGCTGGATTGTTCCTCGCAGTTCCTCCCCATAGAATTCTCCACACTGCTCGCTCCGGTATCATCACAAACGCATCCCGAAGCTTCGGCTGAGGACAGAACACAGGTCGCTTCTCTGCAGGTAGCGAGAGTAAGTGGTCCCACCAATCCCTGAGAAAGCCCGCCTTGAACTTGTAGCATCCGTCGTCGTCGGCCGCATATTCGTCTGATCCCAGGGGCGCAGTCGTTGGAGATTCGTCTAGAGCGTCGTTGTCTTGCTGTCGTTGGGCTTCAGGAGGCACGTCTCCGTCAACGAGAGGTATGATGTCTTTGCTCCATCCCAGTTTTACCATCTACACAAAAGCGCGGGTAAGACATTGTTAGAGTACGAAAAACACTTTGACATCGCATCAAACATAACTCAAACAAGAAAGAAATAAATACCTTTCCGGTGACAGTAGACGGTAGCTTTCTGAAGTGTGTGTGGAGGCATACCATCGTGGCAAGTCCAAACTCCATCTGCATGTCGCCCAGGGGGATGTCGGTAGTGTTAATGGGCGAAAAGTGGGGAATGATCGTCTTGTATCGGGCATAGACCCTCTGTGCGAGCTCTCGAGCACGGATGGACTCGGACTTCTTGCACTTTTTCTCAACAATCTTTCCATTCAAGGCCAACGACATTAATCCACGGATGAACATCTGACCGGAAGCCTTGTTCATCACCAGGTCCAGCAGATCGACATTCGTCTCCCCTGAGGCTCCTTGCGGGCTAAACGCTGTTGTGACTTCTTCCAGTAAAAACAGCTGTATCATCCTGAACACGTGGGGACGAGCTTCATTGATCAGGCTCGTGGCCTTCTCCAGGCGGCTCGCAATGGTGTCGACTTGGTCATCAGAGATCCCGAGGGGTCGAAGGCTACGGCGCAGGCATCCTTTCAAGGAACCAACTGTCTGGGTTATCGTCGGAAAAGCAAACTTGAAAGCGTCCTTGAGTTTTGGTGCTGTTGGGGTTGCATCGATGTCGCGTGGTCTCGCGAGTTTTTTCTTGGATGACGCCTTCCGTCTTTTGTTCTTCGACGAGTGGTCTGTCGACGATGACGAGGATGCTGAAGGCGAATCTTCAACAGCCTTGGGCTGCTTGTCGACGGGTCGCTTTTTTGGTTGTGACGGGGACATTGTCGACAGTTGATTATCAGAAACAGGGGTGGCTGTCGACGGATCACTGACCCTGTGGGGAGAGTACCGAACCTGATTGTCAGTGCGAGACTTGAACCTAATTAACCACAAAAAATAATAATTAGAGAGACTTAAACATTTCCATAACTTGTGCAAACCCGGAGACGTCAATGTGAGATTGTCTTACCTGGATTTCTTCCATTTTTTACGTTTCCTGTTCCTTTTCGCTGCCTCCCGGCGAGCTCGCTGCGTTTTCGCTGTCCTGGTCCGATTTACATTCTTTTTGGGAGCTGGCCTCTTGTCCTCCATCGGTGGTGTGAATCCCATTGCCGCACGTGCCTGAACCTCTGCAACCTTCTGGTACTCAAGATCGAGCAGGGCCCTCATGACAACCTCGTGCGCATTACAGCCTCGCTGCCCTCCCTGCTCAATCGATGTGTGCTGTTGACTGGTAAAGGGCTGGGGGTGTGGGCTCTGATCAACGGAGGATACGGCATCTTCCTGGACGCCCACAAAGGCAGATAAAGCATGGTCGAAGTCTTCAACCGTAGCCGATAGCTGCGAGTCGATTCGTTTTCGTTTCTTCCGAGGGACTCTCTCGGAAAGAAGCTGGTGTCGCACTCGAACGAGAAACTCGTGGACGTACCAACGAAACGATTCGACGTCAGAGCCGGGTAGCTCCATTTCCCGAATAATCTCGCAGTTCTTCTTGATCCCGAAATATGGCACCCCTCGAGTGTAGTCGTTGCCCGTCACAACAGCCGCGAGTAGTAAATGCCGCTCCGAAGGCAAATCGAGGACCTCCAAAATCGCATCCTTTTCGAAAAGAGTGAGCTCTCTTGACTTGCCGATCGGATACAACACTCTCGGCACAGCCCCGAAACAAATCAAGTCCGAATCACCGGAGACAACAATGATGTCCTGGGGATTCGGAGACTGGGCACAAAGCTTGGCAATGCAAGTATCCGACTGAAAGCGGCAAAGGCATACATGGCAGTCGTACTTTTTGATCAACTCCGCTATAACTTCTCCTTGAATTACGGTTGTTGGCTTGTAGAGATTCCTGCACCGTTTGTAAGCAGCCTTTCGACGAGATCCACCCACCACACGTGCTTGTTCGATTGCTTGGTGAAGTGCGTCGGTGCCCTTACGCAGCTTGTCGTCGCGAGCTCGGTGCTCCGCCTGTTTCTGAATGGATGGCTCTCCATCGAAGTGAAGGGTGACGGATTCGTCTTCGGGAGTACAGAACTGAGAAAGCTTCCTGTACAGTTCATCTGCAATGTGACCGAAGAACTATTTCAAGCAAACGACGACATAGCAAATGATAATTAACTAATCAAGTAAATAATCACCAGTGGACCCATGCTAAATCCTGCATTCAGTCCTCAAGAAGATTCATTACCATAACTCTCTGTTGGTCCGTGCCATCCTGTAACATCCCATCTTTGTCAACGACGACAGAGTCGGGGCTGTTGGGTCCACTCGTCACCATAGCAAGCTTATCTTTGAGACCAAAGAGCATGTTCGCACGTCTCAGAAGGTCCGCCTGGGCATCGTTCGGGTCTGGAGAGGCAGAGTCTGTCGACTCGGGTCGCTCTGGCGCATCCTCCATCTGTGGCATGTGCAGGTTAGCGGGCTCGGTGTCGCGCGTCAGCGTGGTCGTGTATTTTTGTACGACAGAGTAGGCTCGCGCCTTCATCAACCCGTAGTAGGTACCGTTCATGTCGACGTGAAATTCTTTGCCGTTCATTTTCGCCGGCGCAATGCCCGTCGCGTTCTTTATCTCTCCTGGGAGTCCGTTGACGCCCATGACTGACTGTAAAGGAAAGAATGAAGAAAAGCTCATCAGAAGATGGAAACAAACACCACATTGGGCGGACAATGTCGGCGGATTTGAAACGTGATAATACCTTAATGAAGCAGGGGCGTGAGCCGTGCGGATGTGTGCGTGTGCGTGTGTGTGTGTGTGTGTGTGTGTGTGTGTGTGGAGGGGTGGGGTGGAGGTCGCAGTGATTGGATGTCAGAAGTTGGTCGATTGAGTCTAATTGGTTTTTTTGTTTGTTGACAATGACGTCAGTACATTCCTTATGGTTTAAAGGGTGGGAGGTTGGCTGCCAATCACAAAAAGTCAGCTTACTGTGGCAAGGTTTCTGGCGCGTGAGCAGTTGATTTGTTGACAGAATGAGGTAAAGTCGGCCATGGGGTTAGCGAGGTCCTGGTATTGATTGGTCATCCAAGCTGACGCCAATAGACGGAGAGCGATGCACTTACAGAAGACTAGGTGTAGCTCTGGTTTGGATCTCTGTCCTGATCAACGATGTCCACTTAGGATTCCATGAGCGAACTTGGCAAAGGTGTTGGAGTGGGAAAAGGCAGCCCAAGGACATTTTATTTGCTCCCCAGCGACGCGACGCGACAGGCGGTCTTTTTTTTTTTTTTTTTTTTGGCGTGACCCTGTACCCCTTGACCGTTCACACATTCAAAAAATTCGTGCTAGTCACATGCACCGCCATATGTTAACAATCCGAAAAGGCATTAGGGGCCTTTATTTTTTGTTCTTCATATCTGTCATTAGAGAAATTGAGCACTCTGAAATTTTCACAGTGTGTGGCAGTGAAATTCCAAATACGTAGGTTTTTCTAAGCCACTGTGAACATCACTGTGAAATTTTCACTGGTTCGTTCACAAGCTGTGAAGATGGCTTCAAATGTTCATAGTGGTTGTTTTTGAATCAATTCTTCCACCTTTGCAATTGAAAAACCAACTTCACTGCCACACACTGTGAAAATTTCAGAGTGCTCAATTTCTCTATTATCTTGCATTAGTATCAGAGGGGTGCTTCTCATTACTGGTAAAGCAACTACAACTACGATTTATGGAATTCTCTGAAGCAATTGCGGGCCTTTGACATACACAAGGCAACATTGCAGATCTCACAGGCTATGACTGTTTGAGTTTTTCTATCGTGGTTTTTGTCGTCGAAGACAGTGGCTCTGAAGCGACAGAACAAGCAGTTGGATTTTTGGTCGAGAATTATGGGTGAGTGGGGTCCTGGGGTGAAACGGATGGTGGGCAGATCAGAGCAATTTTTGGTAACATATATCTTCTTGGTTGGTTCTGGTTTGGTGGCTCTGTGAACTCGTGTCCGTTTGCTGTAGTCCATGTGCTGTTTGCTTTCTGCTCCCTTCCTGATCAAATCCCATGCCAACCTGAGACAGAAAGTTTTGTGAGAAAGGGATCCTTTTTGGACGACATAGATTCGATAGGCGTTGATGATGGTGGTGTCGAGAATCCAAAAAAGAGAGGCATCCACGTCCTGAACACGGCTAATTGGGTGCTGTAATATGCCCTGAACTGGTTACTGACATCGACGCCATTCATGTTGTGGTTGTAGTCATCAATCAACTTGGGGATTTTGAGTGCCGCTCTGGGCTTGCCATTGAATATTGCCCGAGCATTGGCTGCGTTAGTGCTAGTGTTGCGAGGGCAGCGTCGAATACGCTCAATGAAGTCATCATCCGTGTTGATTTTGTGGATGGTACTCAGCATGGTGACGGGTGCATTATCCATCCAAACGACGGCAAGAACTTGTTTGTCGATAACAACTCCTGTCAGGGTATTCCATTGTAGTTTCTCACTCTTACCCACTTTCAAAGTGTCAGGGAAGCAGGCTGAGTTGATGCGGGTGGTACCACATGCGCCGATGTTGAGTCCACGTAGGTGCTTGAAAAGCGGGATGTTGGAAAATAGTTGTCCATGTAGATGTTGAATGGACGAGTCTTGTAGGGGAGTGATTTGGCGAGACGAACAACAGCGGAAGAGGTTGGAGTAAGCCCGTTTATCCTGTCTATGCCAATGATGGATTTGATGCGAGGGGTGTAGAGGAAGGAATAGGTGTATCCTGATTGACAAAGAGCGAGAATCTTGTAGCCTTCCGGGGGTAGGCTTACCCTTCATGCGTACGGTGTGAGCACTCCTTCCTGAAAAGCGAACAATCATCTCGTCGATGGACACATTGGTGGAGAGAACGTAGTAACGAGCGAAGTCGGTAGCGAGTTTGGTCGAAAGAGGTTCTACTTTTGAGAACCAATGTTGCTCAGGCTCGTTGGGGTTGGGGACACGAAAAAAACGGGTGTACAGATTTATGTGAAGGAGGGTTATGTGAAGAGAGGTGTGACTGTTTTTCTTATATGTGAAGTAAACAAAAAACCTTCGTTTATGTGAAGGAAGAGTCTTTTGCTTCCTTCTCTTTCTCTGCTCCTTTCATTCTCCTATCTATCTCTTTCTGTGCTCCTTCCGTTCGACCTTGGGCCAAGCACACACAATGGAACAACAGCACCATGTCAATGCTCTCAGCGATGTATTGATGACGTTTCTAAGAGCTATGGAGATGACTGTCAACAAGCGCGTTGAGGAGAAATTGGCAGCTCGCGTTGAGGAGGAAATGGAGGCTCGCGTTGAGGAATTGGCGGCTCGCGTTGAGGAGAAACTGGCAGCTCAGAGGAAAGAGGTATTGGGTTTTTTTAGTTATATCTATAGAGGATGTAAAATTAAAATTGATCGAGGGGAACACCGCATTGTTTGGAAAACAATGGATAATGAGTCGATGAAGTTTACCGCTACTTACCACTTTCATACGGATGATTCTTGCCTCAAAAAAGGCCTTGACAAAGCCCTTCCCAGAGATTTGACTGAGGCCAGAGAAGTATTGAAAATGGCAGAGAAGCGTAGAGATATAATGTCAATAAAGTTCAAAGAAAAGGAAAGAAAGAATGAAAGCAATGGATAAAAAAACGCGACAATGGCTTGTGCGTTGCACGCGCGTCCACAAAAAAAGACTCTTCCTTCACATAAACGAAGGTTTTTTGTTTACTTCACATAAAAGAAAAACTGTCACACCTCTCTTCACATAACCCTCCTTCACATAAATCTGTTCACCCGAAAAAAACGCTTCGGTTGTTCGAAGCGGACGAGGGACATGAAGTTAGTGATGTTGTGTTGAGGACATTCAGGGAAGGTTGACCAATACTCAGAGACAGAGTTCTGCCTGAACACGCCCATGTAGACAATGATGCCGAGGAATGTGCGCAGTTCGTCAGGTGTGGTCTTTACCCATTGGCGCGATCCCTCTCCTGTGCCGGCTCCTTTTGATGCTGCATATGCGTTAGTGTTGTCTGCCAAATCCGTCAATACCGGGTTGGAGAAGAAGAGTGTGAAAATTGTCAATGGTGATAGTTCGCTGTCGAGTTGAAGTGCAAGGGGAAGGTTGGTTTGTGCTGAGCATACTGTTTTTTGGTGTTTGAAGACGTCCTTGAAGTCAGGGACGGCTGGGAGTTCTGTGGGTTCGCGGGTGACTTTCTTGACAGCCCTCTTCGCTTTCGCGAGAGCTAAGGGTGCAGGGGACACCTCCTCTCCCGCCGGTTGCTCTCCTTCTGGTGGTCGCTCTTCATCATCGGAATCATCCTCACCGGCAATCTCTCGAGTTCGGCAAATGACCGAAAACGACAACTCCTCTGTCTCCTCGGAAGTGAGTGTGCTAGTACCTTGACCGTTAGAAACGTCAAAGGAACGTAGGAACTCGAAGCTTGGGTCCATGAGCAGGTTGGGCGAAGTTTTCTTTGTGAGGGAGACAGTAACGGAGGCTTTGGAGATGATGGGAGAGAAAAAAAAGGTCGAATTTGACAGCGAAGGTGGTAATGAGGCGAGCTGGGAAACGACAACCCTCGTTAGACGACACGAGACCCTTCCCAACCCGTTTTATTGGAAACCCTGATAAATTGAAAAAGAAAAATTGGAACCAATTTCGATTCTAAAACGGTTGAAGGGATAATTATTACGCAAAGGGAAAGAGAAAAACAGGATGAAGTGGACGAAACAGAGCGAACAAAACAACAGGTTTCCCTGACAGGACATGTTCTTCTCATTCAAATATTCAATTTTCTATTCATTTGCCCCCGTGTTGATGTTGATGCTATTGTTGTTGTTGCTGTCGCTGGTTGCGGTCAATTGACAATGCGGTTGCTCACTTCCTTCCCCACCATCCCTCGCCCCGCAGCCCACAACGCACTTTTCATACCATCCGCGCTTATTTTTGATTGTTTGTTTGTGTCCTATCCACTATTGTAGTTGTTTTTATTGATGGCAAGGCACTTGGTGTTCTTGTTTGTGCGCCATCCTTCTCGACTATCCATGTCGCTCATGTGTTGGTTCATCGCCAGCATTTCAATTCTCTCCCATACCTGTTGTACCTTGTACGTCCATTTCATATTTTTTTATCGCCTCCAGATCTCTACTTCTAGTCTCACATCCCACCCCAGCACAAATACAAGGTCGTGTGCCAGGAAATGGGAACTTTCAAGGGATAAGTTCAAGCATCGATCATCCTAATTGATTCTTCCCCCTCCTCCGCTCGCTTGGGCTGCTCAGACAATTGGAGATGATCCAGAAAAGAGAGTGCTGACAAACTGCCTGCTTCAACAAAGCCGCCGGTCTTGTCGGATCTATAAAAGACTGCGGTGTTTTTTTGCTGAGAAAAAAAAAGAATGAGGGATAAGACGAAAGAAGAAAAAAAAACAGCGCTTACGTCGGCTAATTGTTCTTCATGGAAGGGAATCTGGCCCGAGCATCCCGATGACAAAAACATTAGCAGAAGGATAGGAAAGGGGTCATGTCTTTCTTCCATCTCCACCCCCTGTTGCAGTCCTTTTTTTCATATCTCATTCGTGCTCGCACGCGCTCACTCTTGGCATTGAAAAGGCGCTCCTTATGTTGGACCCTGTCGACTTCTAGAACGCTCATATCGTCTCCTATCGTATCTAAAGTCTCCATCTCTTCCAATAAAGTCCATTTTCTATGGACTGCGTAGAAATTGGTACTTGTTTTTATTGCTTTTTTCGTAAGTTTCTTTTTGTACAGTTGCAAGTCTTCTCTAGACGACTCTACGAGTCTAGAAGGCATCGAGACGCTGCAAGGTCATGGTGGCAGCATGCAACCGCGTATCCTTCTCAACGATCAAGCCCCTCAACCAACGGACCTCCATCTCGAGTTCCCGCACACGGTTCTCGAGCTGCTCGGCGCGGACAGATTGTTCTCTGGCGGTCTGTTCCAGGGCCTGCTCACGCAGCTTCTTCTTTTGTCGGAAACGAGCAGAGGCCGCAGTGTTACGTCTCCGCTTGTCCTCCTCGGCGGCAACCTTGGTCGAGTACTCCGGGTCGTCCCTGGAGAATGAGTCGGCTGCAGAGAGCTCCTCGCCGTCAACCTCTTCTTGTTGGAAAGTACTTTTCCGCTTCTCGCCCAGAACAGATAATGTGAGGCTTGGCTCATCAACAGCAGCAGCGACAGGAAGAGTGACTGTGGTGTCGGGGTTCTTGATGACTGAGGAGGAGACGGCGGAGACTGGAAGGACAGCACTTGATGGCTTGGAAATCAAAGAGGGAGAGTGGTATTGGGGCATAGGCTGACGCAGCAACTTGGCAGCAGCAGGTGTTGTGGGTGCAGTGGGCATCTGGAAGGATTGAGCAGGGGTGATGGTGGTGATATGTGAGGTAGTAGACTGGTCGATAGGGTTACGCTGGCGGGTCCTCTCCAACAAGGACAGCGGCCGCTCTAATGAAGGTTACGAATGAATATGTATATATCGTTAGTTACCGGGATGTCTTCAGACAAGTGCAAGTGCAAGTTGCAGCTGGGCTGAGTCAAGCAAGGCCCAAACAAACAAACAAACAAAAAAAAAAGAGCGGGTAACGTCAGTTGTTGTTTTTATATGTGCGCTCTCATACCAGTGGAAAAGTTCATGATATCCAAAGAGTTGAAGTTGGCAGCAGGAGCTGGAGTAGGATCGATTACTGGTGATGCGACAGTGGTCGAGGCTGTGTTGGTGGAGAGGAGATCGGGAAAGGCAGAGTCTGATTCAAAGATGCCTAGGCCGGGGGCGGTGTCGAAGGTGAATTCTGCGTTTGTCCAGAGGGAGAGGTCAGCAGCAAAGTCTTCTGGAGATGCCATGGATCCGTTGACGGGAGAATCAGAGTTGAGACTGGCGATCAGAGCGAGGTAGTCAGCCATTGTGTGTGTGTATGGATGGATGGATGTAGGGGGAGGGAGTGTGAGTGTGTGTAGGTGCTGTTGATGTGTCGATGTGTCGATGTGCTGAGTGAAAGGGAGAAGAGTGAAAGGGAGAAGGGGGGTTAATGTGAGTGATGAAGAGGAGATGTGGGATGTGAGCGAGTCGAGAAGAGTGTGAGAGAAGAGAAGGAAGATCAGACAGCGCAGACTGTGTGAGGAGAGTGAGGGAAGGGTGAGAGAGAGAGAGAGAGAGTGAGAAAGAGAGAGGAAAATGAGACCTTATTGGGTATCAAAATATGAAAATATGAAAATAAGAAGCGAAAAAAACGGCTTGTCTATTTATTGGCAAAGAGAACATAGCTGTGGATGAGAGACACACCCCTCGACAGGGAACGTGGGGACGGTGGAGGAGTTGAGAGAGCAGCGGGGGAGCCAGTCGCCTTGGGATTCGAGGAACTCTATTCAGACAACGATCCTCACTCGGGTTATTGTTGACATCACTATCCGGGTTGGAGGGACAGACATGCTTCCTTGGGAGAGATGTTTGATCACAGACACTGATAAGAAAAGGGAAAAGATGAAGGGGAATGAAGAATGAAGGGGTTTGATCAGTTCCCTCCACCACAGCGAGAAAGGAGAACTGCATACATGCAGTACTAGCCATGAGCAAAAGAATGGATCGTCGGAGATGGCCTATTGGCACCAGTCGGCCTTTGCTCTCTTTCTTCTTTTCCCTCTACTTGACTACCTCACCCACTACCTGTCCCCTGCCTAGGCAAGCAGATAGACAACGAAGCCAAGTAAGTAGACGTGGCCCCCCGATTGACGCGACTGCTGTGTGAGTGAGTGAGTGTGTGCGTGTGTTCAGGAAGCATCCGCCCAAAGGATAATACAGTGCAGCAAAGTGTCTCTCTGCGGCTCATCGTGGCCCATAATTTACTTTACAGGGTTCGTTCGTTCACTTCATGCTTACACTTATGCTTCTTTTCTTTCTGTTCCCCTTCCTTGCCCCACAACTGTCGCTTGCACCACTCCCCTTTAAAAGGCCTTTCGTTTCCTCCTTTTTCTCTTTGTCTCTTACTCATTTACTCATTCCTCGGAACAAACAACCTTCCCTCTCTTCGTTTTTTGTATTCATTCCTTTTCACGCAACACATCACCATGGCTCCTGAAAAAACAGTTCGCATCGGATGCTATAGTGCCTTCTGGGGAGACTCAGTCTCGGCTGCCGAGCAACTGGTCACACTCGAGGGCAAGAACCTCGACTACCTGGTGGCCGACTACCTTGCCGGTAAAGCCCTGCAACAACAACCAACTACGAAACACGAGTCCCACCGTCATCTTCATCATTGAATTCTTACGTGCAGTCTCCCGCCCGACTAAACACAAGTGCTTGCAACCACTAACACATTGCCAATCCCACCCGATTTGATGTATACACTAGAGGTCACTATGGGTCTCCTGGCGCGCCACCGCAAATCAGGTGCGGACCCCAAGAAGGCCAGCCGAGCTGGTCCTGGCGGTTACGTCGGCGACTTTATTACCTTTGTTTGGAAGCGACTGATCGAAGACATCGTCGCCAACGGTACCAAGGTCATCACCAACGCTGGGGGACTCGACCCCCTCGCACTCAAGGAGGCTATCGAGCAGATCGCCGAGGAAAACGGCATCAAGGGCTTGGTCGTCGCAGCAGTCACCGGAGACGATCTTCACGAGCGCGCAGAGGAGATGAACGCCAAGGGCGAATTGATCCCCTTCAACTACATCACCGGTAACAAGGACGAGGTCGACCGTTACCCAGGAGCCGAAAAAAAGAACTTGTCCCTCAACGCCTACCTTGGAGCCGTCCCAATTGCAGAGGCTCTCGACGCAGGAGCAACCATTGTCGTCACTGGACGTGTCGTCGACAGTGCTCTTGTTTTAGGACCCCTGTTGCACGAATACAAGTGGAACCCTAACAAGGACTGGGATCAGATGGCAGGAGCATCGCTGGCCGGACACATCGTCGAGTGCGGCTGCCACACAACAGGAGGCAACTTTACCGACTGGGAGCTCAGCGCCAACTCGCCTCATGGAGGATGGGCCAACATGGGTTTCCCCATCGTCGAGTGCAAATCTAATGGCGACTTTATTGTCACAAAGCCAGCCGAGACCGGTGGATTGGTAACCGTTGCTACTGTGACCGAGCAGCTTGTCTACGAAGTTTTGGACCCTGGCTCCTACATCCTCCCCGATGTGATCTTGGATCTCCGCAATGTCAAGGTCTCCCAAGTCGGCAAGGATCGTGTCTTGGTCACTGGCGCCAAGGGAAGACCCCCAACACCCTACCTCAAGTGCTCCGGCATTTATGTTGAGGGCTACAAGATCACCGCCGATCTTTGGATTGGTGGCATTGATGCCAGACGCAAGGTACATTTCAATGACTCGTCCCTTCATGCAAGGCTTTGTGATATTTCAGTGTCACATTTGGCAGTTCACTAATCGATAGTGATCCTTTTTAATGTACTACAAGGCTCTTGCGGTTGGTGATGCTGTTGTCAAGCGCGCCAGAAAGAACCTAGAGAAGTTCGGCATTGAGGACTACACCGCCGTCCGCGTTGAGGCCCTTGGAGCTGAATCTTCATATGGGTATGAACAACAACGAAACTGGGTGGCTCCACCTGTGCGATTGGTAGCTTTTTTTCTTTGATGCCCTTTTGTCGCACTCATCCTGATACATCTGTTCACGTCCGTCATTATAGACCACATGCAACTGCCATTGATTCGCGTGAGGTCTGCTGCAGAATTACTGCTGTCCACCCTGAGAAGCACGGCTTGCTTCTTCTCGGAGTCGAGCTGGCCCCTAGTGCTACGGGCAATGCCCCCGGAATCACTGGAGGTGGAGGCGGACGTCCCCACCCAAGCCCAAACATGACGCACTACTCCATCCTTGCTCCCAAGGGTGCCATCCCCGCCAAGCTGACCATTGGCACTGGGGACAAGCTGATCCAAAAGACCATCCCCTTCACTGGCCCTAGCGATGTCAAGAACGAATACCCCCCTGTGCTTCCCGCCGCACCCTTGCCCGCCAATGCCTCGGAAGAGACTGTGTTGGTTCCTCTGATCCGCATCGCCTATGCCCGCAGTGGTGACAAGGGTGATACTGCCAACGTCGGCGTGATTGCTCGTGATCCAAAGTTCTATCCTTATATCAATCAGCAGTTGACCGCCGAATCGGTCAAGGAGTACATGGCCCATCTTGCCCAGGGCAAGGTTGCCCGCTATGAGCTCCCTGGCATCCAGGCCCTCAACTTTGTCCTCACCCGCAGTCTGGGAGGTGGTGGTCTGAGCTCGCTGAACCTGGATCGCCAGGGCAAGTCCTATGGACAGATGCTCCTCAGCTTCAAGGTCAAGGTCCCCAAGGGCCTCTTGTCCTCCCTGTAAAAAGTACCCTATGATCCGTCAAATAAAAAAATGCTCTCCGTCCAATTTTCCGCCACCATTTTTTTTTGGCTTTTGCCACCCTTTTTTGTCGCGTTCTCCTCTTGTTCTCTTGTTCGTTCATCTCTTTCTCTTTCTTCCTCCGTTCCTTAATTCACCACACCTCAACATTCATCCCCCAACCTGATTCAACCACTCGACCGCAATGAGTTCGCCTTTGGATCACCTCCGGCTCACGCTGGTCGAGCTCATCGATGACATAAACGACCCAGGCATCGGCAACTTTGACAGCCAAGCCGCCGCAACAAACATCTGCAACATCGCCCTCTCCGACTTGAGAGAGGATGAACTTGGTAACCCCTCATAAAAGGGCGACTCTGAAGCAAATAGGCAATGCCTACGACGTGATAGACAACAAGTCACTGACAGAAGGTTTTTCTTGGCGCCAATATAGATATGTCAACGTCCCTTTTGTTCAACCCTGATAAGGGCATCCTGCACTTTCTTCGCAGGTCCCTCGACAAGAAGGTTCACAGCGACGCCAAGGTTATTTTTCTGGAATTCACGGCCGAATACCTGACCCGGTCACCGTCCACCATGCCTCCTTTCATCGTCGACATCAAGGTGAGGAGCCTCACCAGACCCCAACCTAACAGAAGTATGAATGATAGCGCGCGCATCTTGCAACACCATCTCTAACGGCTTTTCCATCCTGTTCGTTCAATACAGAGAACGTGCCAGACTCTGTTCCTCAACGATAGCGCAGCTAAGGTCAAGCGGGCATCCTTGTTGCCAATCAAAACCATACTGTCCTCTTACACATCCCTGATCGACCCCGAGGCACTCGACATCACAGGACTTTTCACAAAGTGCTTCACAGCATATGGCACTCAACAAACAAAGATGGGAGGAACAGTCAAGGCAGAAGTGCTGGAGGTCTTGGGAATGGTGGCGCGTTACTTTCCGGAAATTGCAACAGAGCGTCTGGAATCAATCGTTCGATGGTGTACCAGCACTGTAGAAACTCAGTTGAGTACCGGCGGCAAGCAGGAGCTTTCATTGGTGGCGGGTGCAATCCTTGGACTAGACAACTGTCTTTACAGTCTCTCATCAGAGACTGCCGTAAGCAAGGTCCCAGCTATCATGCGGTTCGTCAAGACTCTGGTCAATGTCCCAGAAGATCTCAGTCGATATGCCGCACCTGTGGGTACGTACCGCCTGCAGTTTCTTTTCAGTTTACATCTCAACAATATATCATTCGTTCCTTTCAACTCACCAACCCCACCCCCGTCTTGTATTTTATTTAGCCGCTCTGGACTTGTTCGCACACCACATTCATCTCTTCCGGCCAATGCTGATTGACATTTACGAGTGGATGTACCAAAGGATCGCTGGGTATTGTGAACACACTCACGACAAAATGTCAAAGTGTGGATACAACGCTCTGGATGTGTTTCTGCAAGAGGTAAGATTAGGGACAGAGACTTTGTTTCTATGATATGCAACGCGATTTTGAAAAGAAGAGCAAAGGTATAACACCAACATGGATGATTATTCACGTATAGATTGCGGACGTCCTGACAACCTCCCCTACTACGGAAAAAGAGTACCAATGCTTCCTGGTGAGTGTAGTTGTCACAAGTGTACTTGTTGGCTTTTCACTTGTATAACGATGGCTTTGTTCCTAATTGTCATTATTTTTTCGGGTCGGAACTAGTTCTTCACAACAAACTTTAAGCAAATCATCGGCACGGAGGTCGTCACGACGTTGGCTCAATACAAGGCAATGTCGGTGGCTATCAGAGGATACGGATACTTTGCAGCCCCTTGCAAGCATATCGCACCCGATCAGCTCCCCAAACTCCTCGCGCATCTCCTCACAAAGAGCGCGTTCTTAGTCTCTTCGTAAGTGTTTCCAATTGACACGCGTCCTATGATCGGTTAAGAGTGGCGGATCAAATTATTGAGCTTCGCGCACGTAATGATTTCCGGCTGTCTCTAACCATGTCTTGTTCATATAATAGGAATACAAACGAAGGAATAGACGGTTCAACTTCCCACCTCGCAGCGTTCATCACAGCGTACACGTTCGTCGCCGAGGTCTACGATGAGATCCCCGAGCTTTTGATGACCGCACTAAATCAAATAGCCAATGTGGCTACCGTCAACTTTGCGAAGCTCTCCTATTACAATCGCATCGACTGTACCATCGCCATCGAGAGGCTTCTCGTCAGCCTGTTCAACAAAGGCGAAGGAGTCTTGAGGGGATTCTTTGAAAAGTTTTGTAAGTCGCAATTGTATTCTCATAACTGTGATCGCATTGAGACCCGTCGATAACTCTATGATAACCAACCTCACTTTTATCCTCTACGTTTTATTTCATGTGCAACCACGCATCACAGCCTACAGGTTACTGGTTTTCACATCGTCCGATATTTCACGGTCCGTGTCGGATCTGTTCAAAGTCAATCGGCAACCAGGTGCAACGGAAAACATTCCTCACTCATACACCATCTACCTCTTCCTGTGGCGGAATCTCTTCAAACCTAATGCTCTCAGCAAGGACCTCAAGAAGAAATTTACAGAAATCCCCGATGAAGACCAGGAGCGATTCTTACAAATCATCTACGGCTCAACAATGGAATCATTCAAGCGGCTGGTTTCGCTTTTGAACCTGTCAGTGTCCGACTCTGAGGTCCCCACAGATAATGAGGCCACCGACGAGGATGACTCGACTCCAGAATCCCGACTTCTTGACCCCGATGCATCTATGGAGTTGGTCTCTGCGGTCCCTGTCTCCGGCGACATTGCCAAGATGCAAGCAAACTGCGCCAAGGACTTTGTGATTTTCCAGAACTTGACAGAGTTTTGGCAGCTTTTTTTGCCCGAGATCCGACCCGATCTGTTTGGACGCTGGACGTACGTGATCGGTAAAACTCTCATTGAACTTTCTGCAAGGCACCCACTCGTGAGCGGTTTCTACAAGATGTTTGCTGCCTGCCTCCAAGTATGCCAGAATATCTCTCTCTTCAAGTCGACAAGTACAATGGACCCACATGTCAAGGTAAGTAACAAAGACACACAACCGGTGGCGGCTTTGGTTCATGATCTCAACTGTGAAAATCTCCACCGACGGCTAATGACCAACAAATAACCATCTTTGTGATAGAATGGGGATGAGCATGTGGAGGCTCAACGCGCTGCGGCCTTGTTCCAAAAGTACATTCGAGAAGTTCTTGCTCGACTGGAGCAATACAAAGATGACCTTCTCGCGTCCTGTCTGTACCTGGTACTCTCCAGCCCGTCTGCTCTCACCGACTCGGACAGTATTATTGCTCCTATCCAACTGGCGCTCAAACTAGGCCTCGGTTACTTTCCTCTGGCGTCGATTGGACTCGATGCTGTCGAACGGTGGATTGACATTGTTGATCGGGAGCAAAACTCGTGGTTTGCCCAGGTACTTCCTTGTTTGAACGAATACCTCTTGGTTCAAATACCAACAGGAGATAGCGATGGAGCTGAAGGATCCGTCCTCAGGTCGAGAAAGGATCGATCCAGCAAGGGGGAAACAGCTTACACGAAGATGGTTAAGACCGTGTTCATTCTGGTAAGAAGGTTGAGATGTTACCTTTTTACAGTTCAACCTGTCGAGAAGTGTTTTCCTAGTAAGCCGCAAACGTTGATTGGCTGTTGTCCTTCTGATTTATAGGAATCGTCCACGCCAGTGCAGTCCATGAAGGATCTTCAGCTGCGGATATTGAGACTCCTTGGCCGTCAAGCTCAGTACAACAAGCTCATTTTAGACCGGCGATCGGCGCGCTCCAACGACAAGACGGCCGTGTCCGATTTACTTGCCTGGGACCCTGAGCCAAGAGTCAAGTTCAAAATCCCGTTCCAGGAGATGAAAACGGAGCTTCAGCTCGGTAAGAACCCACCAATCGGCTTCTACAGCATCACCAAGAAGCACATAAACAGATGTACTAATCTGGCTGCATGATTTACTGCAGATGAAATGCTGCCACGTATTGTTGACCTAGCCGAGCATTCGCTGAACCGCCAGATCAAGGTAGCAAGTTGCGAGCTCCTTCATTCACTTGTCATTCTCATGATCGGCTCCAGTGCATTCCGTGCCCGGTCATCACAAGACACAAAAAACGTAAGTCTCGCCTAGATGTCTACAGGCCAGCATGCACGATGTGATGCAAGACGCGTGATCTAACGCCTATGTTCTTTGCAATTGTCTTTATCAGAGCCCATTCCACAAGATCTACCAGAAGGTGTTCCCTGCGCTACTCCGCCTTGCTGTCGACGTGGATCTAGTGCCCCAGTCCCTTTATCGTCCATTGGTATCACAGTTGATCCACTGGCTGACGATCAGCTCCCAGTATGAGAATCCAGAGACCATTGCTTTGCTGAGTTGCTGTATGGATGCCGCATGTGATACTCTTGGACCACTTCGGGACTACGGTGCCGAGTGTCTCGGCGAGTTTGTCAAGTGGTCGATTAAGCAGAGTGGGACATCCTCCTCCGTAAGTAAATCGTGGGAAGAGTGTTCATCTGCGTCGTATGTCTGTAGATTGATGCATTGTGCTTACTATTCACTCTGTATTTTTCACTCAATTGGATAGTCTGTGAACGTCAAGTCATTGTTGAAGCGAACGTACAACCTCGCCTCTCACTCAAACCCCACAAAGCGTCTCGGGGCCGCTCTTATTGTCAATCGTATCTACAGGATCTTTCGCGAAGAGGTAACGCTGGTGAACCAGTTCACACTGGAGTTGCTTTACTGGATGCTGTTTGGACTGAGACTGGCAGAAGGCGATCACGCAGGCCTTGGAACTCGCCAGCAGACGTATCAGGCCATCACACATCTCCAGCGTATCATCCAAGTCAAGTCCAGTCTGTTTCTCAAGGATTCACGAGACAGGCGGCGGTTTCCCAATCACGACGACGCAACTTTGGATGTTGTTGTGGAATGGCTGTTGAATGAAACCGCGCAACCCGAGGTCGAGTACACAAGAGTCTGCCGAATGCTTTTTGACAGTTTTGTCAAATTGCTTCCAAGTATGTATTTTCAGCCATTGCCTCCTTCGTTCGGGTCACGATTGCCGGTTCCCTACTCAATGCTAAAGCAATTTTTGTCCTCGTCCTTCTATAGACACCTCTGGTCCGGGTTCGTGGATCGGCGCAAAACTATCTCAGGACTCGAAATACATCAGCAACATATACAAGGGCACTGGCTACAGCTCTGAGACGTTTGCGGACCCGACAGTGTATCAAAGGTGGAGCGCGCAACTTGCATCCAATCTCTCCAACTATATTTGGCTGTTGAATCATCCTGGAGGTTCAGAGCAGCTCCTTGCTCAACTCAAGACAGGAACGATTATGACAGCATGCGGAAAGTTCTTGGAGAAGTGCCTCCTATTTTCGCGAGCGCTAGAACGAGATGAGTTAGCGACCCCCTTGACTGCTACAGAACGTCGACAGATCACGGACCAAAATTTTGTCACCGTTCGCCGAGTGATCTCGTTTGTGTCCCTTGTTGCTTCGCGCGACTTGGAGCGCGGTGGAAGCTCGCTGGTGGAGAGTCTCAAGGCATCTGGACTTTTGGGGACGAACTTTTCGGCTGTATTTGCGGCTTGTCTCTTCAACCCTGACAGCATCGGAAATGAAGAGTTGTTAAAGAGCGGAGACGAGACTATACAACTGAAGAAGGAGCTCGAGACAGGGCTCAAGGTGGTCAAGAAACTTCCTTCGAATGTGCTCCAGCACTTTGGCAAGGTGCTGCGCGACACGATCACTGCCAACAGTCTCATCCCAATGGCGCCCTCTCTCAACTTGAAAGGTAAAGCTACTTTTAAGACTTCTTTAATCACCCATTGTTTGGAAACTGTTAAGTTAGCCTCAAACTGACACCAACTTCTTCGACATAGGACGCGATCCTATCAAGTGCAAGGCAGCTCTTGATGGTATTGAACTGGTGCAGAAGTGCGGAGTACTCAGCGACATGTTCGAAGGATCGAGTCACAAGTCTGGGCAGTTCATTACATCCCTTTATGAGACGTTCGCAGAGGTTCAAGGAACCCAGGACCCGATGTGGATCAGCTACTGCAGTGCTCTTTTGCGCCTTTGCATGGTCGATAGCCAATGCCGTCGGAAGCTGTGGGATTACCTGCTGGTATGTTATTACTGGAATACTCTACAAATGCGATGCCGTAAGACTGTGCATAGAAGGGTTTTTAAACATACGTTTTTATCATTGGTTTCATCACACGATAGGATCCTGAAAACGCGGAGCAAGCCAAGTTGACGTATTTGAAGTACGCTGACGAGATTAACCGAGGATTGGCCACGCATTTCTCGGATCTCACCCCATTGCTGGCGCAGTCAGTCAGGTCAAGCCCAATTCTTCTGACCATCTGGAATGACTTTTTGGACTACATGTTTTCACATGCTGAACTGGCTGCGGAAAAGAATATGTTCCTGAATATGGTATTTTACCTGGGATTGGTTCTTCTCTCTTATGTCATTGAACGAGGATGAGAATTCCTTTTGGCGTCTTGAGACTTATCCTATTTGCTTTTGTTCTTATTAGTTGACTACGGATTACTCGGTCCTGGAGAACCTGTAAGCTCTGCTCATTACCAAAACGGATAAAGATGATGTAATCAATGTACATCAGCATGCTAAACGGATGCAATCCTTCTTCTCATAGTATTAACTCTCTCGAGGGCGACCAGGCGCCGATGGCGATTACTATTTGCAAAAAGGTCGTCGGTCTGAGTCCGCGAATTCTCCGAATGTCGAAAACCGAGGCCTTTGTCGACTACTTCTTCAAGGTGTACCAGTCCTTCTTTGAACGCGACCCCGAGAGCCGCCAATATCTGGCACTGCCGGCGATGTCGGAAGCGTTCCCTGTCCTTCCTGTCTTCCTTGCCTACCCTGGTGCCAGGACTGCCGAGGTTCGCGCTCAAGCTGATGTCATCGCATTGACCACACTTTACTCTTTAAGCTGCACGTTTTGGTAAACTGACTTCTCATCCTTTGTGTATAGTTTGAAACTGTCTTTAATAGGGCGATTCTGAACATGATGCCAACATCATCGTCTGAATACGAGCAAGGAAGTCCCAGGTAAGTTTCGCAATAGGAGATGGTGGACTACTGAGGCATGGTGATACATGACCTGTCCTACAGACATTAATATGGTTCGCCCTCTATCAAATGTAGGTTCAAGGACTACATCGCTGCGCTTGATCTACTCCTGAAGGCATTGGTGGCGTCTTCGAACACAAGTTTGTTCAAGACGCTGATGGGGATTGCGGTTCGAGAGTCGAACCACCCCCACATGGAGCGCATGCAGCAATCCATCGCATCGTATGCCTTGAAGCTCCCGCTCTCAAAGTTTCTGGAGACTACTAGACACTGCTTCGAGTAAGCCTACATTCTGTTTGATTCGTTCCTTCACGTCATCTCTGCCCTTGTATCGATGCTGATTTTTGTTACTCTCTTATGCGATGGTTGTAGTGAGTTCCTCAAGCGCACGCACGCTGATCTCCATCGTCGTAACATCATCAAGCAGATCCTGCTACCCATCTTAAAGGTCGTCCCACCACTCAGTGTCACAGAGTTTTATGTGTTGAACGTCGTCAGCATTATCGGCGTCATCAAGCAGGAGCGGCCTCGACTCACGGATGTCGATCTGCGACGTGATTTTATCGAGCGAGAGTGCTGCTACGATCTTATGCATGTCATGTACATGAGACTGCAGTCCGAAGCCGTGAACACGAAGGAGAGCAGAATCGTGGATGCATTCACAAAAGGCAAGGCTATCACCGGTAAGGAGCTCACTGTCGAGGTCTTCAAGACAGCCAATGCCGCCAAGTTCAAACAAGACTCTGTAAGTATCGAGATGAAATGCCGAAGTGGGGACGAGGGGTCTCTCTAAGCACGATGGCACACAACTCACAGACCATATTCATTTGGAAACTGTTTATAGACTTCGATGACACCCGAAGCTGCCGCCCTTCGTGAGGAATACAAGCGTGCTGCCTATAATGCACTGGCGGCGGCAATTTTGTGCACACAGCGAAAGGAGGACTTCTTCCGCCAGTTCTTGTTCCGTGATAATGACGCCAAGAAGGAATATGTCTGGGAGAACATCGTTGACCTCACGGTAAGGACTATTGAGCCTGAGATGGACTTTGACGATCGCTGCATATATGAGGAAAACTTTTCAAGCAGACCAACGCCCTTTTTACTTCAACTGCTTTGAACGTGATGTAGGCCGTCTATCACTTTGAGCAAGTGTTGTCCAGTCCTTTGGTCAAGACTCGCCTTTCAGACCTCCGATCAAAGTCTTTGAGCCCGAACAAAACGTAAGTTTCTCACAGACCCTGATAAGAGAATGCCACTGTCGTTTGAGTGCGTGAGTTAATAAGCGTGGCGGACGCATACGTCGCGTCTTGAATATACTTTCAATATAGGCTCAGTACCAAGTTCCAGTACATGTCTTCGCAGTACTTGCGCGACAGCAGTTTGTCGCAGGTAAGAAGGAAAGGGTTGTTGTCTTTTGTGCCTTTACGTTTACCAGTTACAATGATTTATTTATGCTAACAAGACTATGCCAATCTATTGATTGCAGAGTGTTGGAATGGTCGACGATGGGAACGTATTTAGTGATCAAGACCCAAGCGAAGGCGAACAGGGCGGTAATGAGCATTCTAAGACAGGATCGCCGTCCATGTCTGGAACCTCTAAGGATGCCGAAGGAAAGCCAGACAACCAGTAAGTTACAACCCTCAGTTGTTGGCTACTTTTCTGCTGAAGATCAAGGTGATTTTCTAACGTAATGTCATTCCGCATCTACCATGATAGGTCCCCTGAGAATGAGCATATGCTTGAGCTGGACGCTATCAACACCAACCCCTGCATGAAGATGATCCTGCAGGTCATAAGCGAGCTTCACGGCAGCATCACACCACCGCCAAAAGAGATGGCCAGAGAAGAAAGCTCGATGCCATCATGGATGAAAGATATGTACAGGAAGATGGTCGACCAGAGTAAGTTCTTGTGTTCCTGGCTATTCATCCTTGAACCTCGCAAAGGCAATCTAGACGACTGACATTCCTCTTATCTCTTCCTTCCATATATTTCGTGCCCCCTAGAAACACCCTTAAACATCCGCCTCTTCTTGGCCAAGATCGTCATCAACATGCCTGAAGCGTTTGAGATGTATGCTCACTCGTGGCTTCGTCCTTTCATGAGACTGGCGATGGAAGGAGAAACCTTTGGCGAGCCCATGAACTACTTTGTTCAGGTAGGGTTGCTTGTACTGGATTGACTTGTGCGGTAAATGCTTTGCTTGAGAATGCCATTATTCAGCTCACCAATGCCTTTACTATTCGAAATATTTTTAGGATCTGTGCGTTCTGATCGTCGTCTGGGGTGCATCGGTCAAACTCGAGAATAGTTACGAGGACCGTGTGCTTTTATTGGGCTTTTTGGTACGTATTAATGCGCGGAAGCTGAGCGTGATAGCAACTTTTTGCAGCACTTTTCTAACAAGCTTTCATTTTTCATGCTTATAGAGCTACTTGATGAAGAACTGTTACCATGAGCAGCGACGGTACCTCTTGAACAACATTGAGCTGATCAAGGGGGTCTTTGAAAACTGGTCCAACATTGCCATTGTGCCGACGGTAAGAAGGCACTTCACGCTCAACCTACTATACCCCAGTGTCAATAACGATCCCAATTACACTGGCAATCTAACTTGGCCCTTGTTTTGACCAACTAGAACGTCATTTACAGCAACTTCAGCAACAAAGATGAGAAGAAAAACATTACAGGAATTCAGCTTCTTGGAATTGTATTGACCCACGACAACCCGCCGTTCTACACGGGACCCGAGATTGATCTAGGCGCACTACGCGAGGAGACGTACTATGAGGCCTTGGTTCGCAACATGGGAAGCTCACCCAAAGCGGTCTATACGTCTGCAGCTGAAGTATGCGGCCTGGTCCTGGCCTACATGAAAAAGCACGACTGCATGAACGAGGAATTTACCGACATGGTTACTAGAAAAGTATGATCCTGTCGACGATCTGATATTTGGCACCCTTGTCTTTTGAGTTACGATCTCATTATCTAACCCTGTAACAACCTATGGATTTGTTTAGCTGTCCGAGATCATTGTGCCTGCCTCTCTCCCAGGTCCAAAGCCTAAGGACGGCAGAGTTCAGTTCCTGAACTGTCTCCACAAGGTTCAGCTCAACTACCCTGAGATGACAGATGCATTTGGTCCTCGGCTTCTCTTCGAGTACCAGCGGGTGTTTGGAGAGGATCGCACGCTGTTACTTGAGATTCTAGCTGGCAGAGCCCAGTTCATCCCAGATCTTTTCAAGTCACTCCAAGGAATGAACTTCCTAGGCTGCCTCAAACTCAAGTAAGACGCTTTATCAAAAGGAGGTGGCTCCTATGCTTCTTGAAAACGACCCGTATAGAAATGAGTAGCTAACACTGCCTTTACATACATTTGTTGCTGTAGGGATGAAGGGACACAGTTCGCAGCTCTATCCATCATTTATGGATTGTGGGAGTCGCTCCAGCCAGAGCAAGTCATGTACTTTCTGGACACGCTCGTGTTTGAGTTTTCATCTCATTCAAGCATGGAGTGCAGAGTACGTCCCATAAACCAACGAGTCATTGAAGGTACTGCTCTATGTTGAAGGTGACACTATACTCACACGTCGACTGTGTCTTCTTACCAATAGAAATTGTACTACTCGATTCTCATGGTGCTATTTGAGAAATGTGCCAGCGCCCCACACGTCTCCAAGGCCTTGCGGACGCAGCTTTTGCGTGGACTCGGAGACCCCAGCGAATCGATTCGGCACACTGTGGTGGAGTTTTGGTATGGCAAGAACCGCCTCCCGTCAAACACTTTTCAACGCTTGGATCAGATTGTCAAGTAAGAAATCCCTTCTCTCTTTGCACATTGCTATGACTGCACGTCCAGGCTAAGCCTATTTATTAACCGCGTATTCCTCGTTATTGCTAGAAACATGTATGACCCTCAAGCTGAGGATACATTCTTGACATACGCGACCTACATGCTTTTGGACCCGACCAAGAAAAGCTCGGATTACACTGAGCCAATCTTTGCCGACTCGCTTCCAAACGCCAAGTTCAGCGACAACTACTCCAGTATCGATACTTCGTGGAGAAACACCTCTGTGATGACACCTCTCTTTGTTCATACGCAACAGAGTCAGCCCCAGGTAAAAATAGCTGTCCATACAGCTAACTTAACATGCCACGTCTGAGTTGGATAGGAAACTAATGCAGCATTCGTAACATTCACTCTAGGTCATGCGCACTCAAGCGACCCTCGGCGACGATGAACTTCGGGCGACACAGTCTACATTCGAGTTCAGTATGACAATGGACGGAGGCGCGCCAGGAATTAGAACTCAGCTTGGAGGAACATCAAACTCCAGCTCTGCTCTCTTGTTCAAAAACCCTCTGGCTCAAGATGGTATTATGGCGCCCTCACTGTAAGTTTTCTTTACAACATTATGACAATCTTCTCATCCCGAAACCCTCACGTCGACGTGTCTAACATTGCCTTGATTAATAACTTTTTAGCTTCGCGGATGCACCCAACCAAAAATACCGCCGCTTACAATACCGAGGTTTCAAAACGGATTCAATGATTCAAGCCAATCGATTCAAGCGCGCGCATGATGTGAAGGTCCAGAACTTGGCACAGGCAACACTTGACAAGGAGACAGCTCGAACTAGGAGTGTGAGCATGATTCGCAAGTACAGAGCGGGTGACCTCCCAGACATCCAAATCCCATACGCAGACATCCTCAAGCCTCTCCAGCGACTGGCCGAGTTGGATGTCGAGATTTGCAGGATGTTGTTCAGCAAGCTGGTGATGGGATTGATGACCCAAGCTGATTCGCAGATCGACACTGTAAGTAATTGCACTAAACCGAGTGTTTTATTCGTATGTCAACGTTGCCCATATTAATTAACATCTTCGTTTTTCGTTTGAACTTTAAAGGAGGAGGAGGCGATCTCATTCAAGGATGGTTTGATCGGTGGATTCAAGACGTTGTTGGAGCGATCGACAGTTCTTTACACCCCATTCATTGGCAGTATCCTTCGCATTTGTCACGACTACGGTGAGGCTGATATCTCGTCTGAACTGATCTCCAGGGTATCCATCCGCAGTTCAAACCAACACTTGGGCATCATCCTGCTGGAGAAGCAGATTCAGTACTCAGACCCACGAGAACGGCCCAACAAACGACAAAAGACTGGCGGCTCAGGCTTTCATGACCTCAAGAGGAAGAACTGGGTTGATCTGGCAACGGTTTACAAGTCGATCGATGAGAAAGATGTCTTCAAAAGTATCTACGAGAGCAAGGTTGCCACAACAGAGTTCACCAGTGCAGCCATTGCTGCTGAGGTCGTTGGGGACTATGACGGTGCTGTCAAAATCTACTTTGACGGAATCACCAAGCATTTCGCCAACGAGATTCATGTGGATGATGTCGAACAAAGCATTTGGGCACACGGGCGTCTGGAGTGTTTGGAGTACTTGGCCGATTGGGGCTACTTGGAGGCCAACATGATGTCGGATCTGGAACAGAACCCACAGGATATCTGGACAGACGACTACCAAGATCCATACCTACACTACTTCTTGACCAGTTACATCAAGCTCTTTGATGGCAAGCGTGAGGAAGAAATGCTCGAGCCCTGGACTGCCGATTCTCCCAACCCTCTATTCGCATTCATTGACGAAGCCATGAGTCATACGGCCCACCGCCATGTTCTCGTCACGCAATATCAATCAGGTAGAATATCTCTATACATAAGGAACGTACGGTGGAGTCATTCTTGTATACGCGTTGTCCTAACGAAACCGACTGCAACGTTTTTTGTATCGTCTCCTGAAATAGAGCTGGCCATAGCCGCGATCATCAGGAAAGACTTCAAGCAGGCGTCTCACTATGTCCGCAAATCGTATGAGAGGTTCCTATCCAAATGGTCGAATCTCCATCCTCTTTCAGAGAAGCCGCGGTTGCATGAATTGGCCAATTTGCAGCAGGTATGTCATGCAGGCGATTTTAGGTTTTGCACACCTGAATGACTCTCAACGTTCATAATTACGGTACCTTACATATGGTTGGCCTATGTTTTTGTCGCTAGATTGTCGAGATGGAAGAGTTTTTGGGCAGCATGGACGAAGCCTTGCGGGCTGCGCCTACAGATCCTTTGGGTTCCTTGCTCACGCGGTGGGAGCGTCGCTATCCAGGCAAAACCACTGACACCATGATCACCTGGAACAACATTGTTGAAGACCGCAGACTCATGGTCCAGCGACTAGAAGAGGCTCTTCCAGTAAGTGGAGCTGTGCACATGGTTGTTGAGTTCGTCCACTAATACACTTGCATCGAGTACTAACCGTGATGATTGTATCTCTATTGTAGTATTCGAGAAAGCAGGAAGCGATGGTGTCGAACCATCAGATCCGCAATTTCTTGCAGATGTCGGCTGCTTCCCGCGATCAAGGCAACTTCTATGTCGCCAGCAACTGTATCAACGCCATGAAACACTTGTCGGCTCCAAAGTATGACATTTATCAGAGTCAGTTGAAGCTCAGTCTTTCCAAAGCTGCAGTAGAACTGGATCGCACAGCCAAGGTCGATACCATGATTGAGACCGTGGCTTCATACGAGGAGTACTCAGTAAGTGAAACGCACTTTGTTGCTATTATATTGACCTTGATTTGTATAGGGATATGTACTAGGTTCTCATTCGTTGACTTTGACTTATAACATAGAGGAGAGCCAGGGATCTTGACCCGGTTCAAACCGTGGGACTAAAGCTGCTGGGCAGCAGATCGTACGGTATTTTGTACGACCTCATCGCAGAGTCGAAGAAGGTCAAGAAAGAAGATGAAGACCAGGATGACAAAAGTGTCTACAACCACTTGCGAGCGAGTGAGTGGGCTCAACAGCTCCTTCGCTCGCATGGGGGTGGCGTCGATATGTTGCAAGAACTTCAGAAGCGCGGTTTTGAGTGCCTTGAAGTAGCTGCTTCCGTCAAGGCTGGCGAGCATGTAAGTAACGCGCCCATTACTTTTCTTTTGCAAAACTACAAGACGTTTCAAGACGAGAACTGAACGATGAATGCCATTTTGGTTATCCTTGCCCTAGATGACTAAAAAGTTGCGCCTGACTACAGCCAACTATTGCGACAAGATCCTGCGACACCACGAGAATCAAGACGAGAACGGCGACACGACGATGGTGAGTCTAACTTTTTTATTATGTAATTTGTCTCCTAAAAGCTACAAGCACGCATGGACTAACCCTCTCCGTGGCCAAATACTCTTCATGGATGGATAGACTGATCGGGATTTGGCCGTGTACGCACAGCTTCTGATCCGGGATACGTTACTGTCAATGAGAGACGAGGAAATGGGCGCAACAGAGCTCTTCCCGCGACTGCTTCAGGTCATCGAGATCTACCCCTCGACCCAAAAGTCATTCACAGACCTGGTATGTGATCCTCTTGGATGCGTTTTTAAGTTGTTGGCCCAAGTGGCTCGGTGTCGTGAACGTGCTAACATGGCCTGTCGTTCTTGATATAAATTACATTTAGGTGTCATCGTTTCCCGGCTACTGGACATTTGTTTGCTGGATCCCACAGATGGTTGCTATTCTTGATAAGCCCACCGGTATCTGTGTGATGCCCATCTTGAAAAAGGTAATGCTCGTTGATGTTGGTCTCGAATATTGCCGTTTTTGATGCGTGTTTGGCTGCTCATTCTTCTGACACTGTATACCTACGTTCACAACTACAGATTGCCAAACAGTATCCCAATGCTCTCTACTATCCGTTGACGATCAGTGCCGAGAACTACACGTTTGAGAGGGACTCTGCAGGAGAGAGGCGCAGGGCCGAGTTCGTCAGACTGAGGCAAGAAATTGCCTCACCTTTGAAGGAGGACTTCATCTTTGAGCTCAGGCGCCTTACGAACCCCGAGCATTTGCTGAAGGATTGGCTGGAGCAGACCTTGGTATGTTCTTGGACTCGCCTGCACTGACTCGAAGACCTTCTTCACTTGTGCTGTTGGCCAGGATTGATTAACAAACTTCCACCCCTTCCTTTTCTGTATAGGTTCTCTTCCCTAACAAGGCAAAGAATGCTGACCAGATCATGACGCTTTATCAAGACCTACGCCGCCTGATGCTGGATACAAGTGACTCTCGAATCGGCGTCATTGCCAAGGGTTTTGCCTCCAGGATGGGCTCGAAGATGGACAGTCTCTGTGGTACTTTTACCGCCTTTTTTTTTATTGCTATCGTGAAAGATGACATTTCCGTGAGTGCTTTTCCAGCTAATCATTTGTCCTTCTACGACTCTGTTCATAATTCACAGGCAAGACTGGTCAGAAACTGACCACGATGAGCAACAAGGATTTCAACAATAACATCATCAAGCTTGTCAGGGGCGAGATACAAAATGTCCGTGACCTTCCTAAAAAGAGCGACGCTGAACTGTTGAAGTCCTACTCGCCTTGGTATGTTCAAATGCATATATAATTTAGTCCATCCATGCGCGCGTGTGGTCGCACAGCGACTAACTATCACGTTTTACTACAACCAAAACTCTATTAGGCTGAGTGGATTCCAGGCTTTGGACTACCCTAACGAGTCTATTGACATTCCAGGTCAATACACAGGAGCCAGCCCGCCAACTCAAGTCGCTACTATTCAGCGATTTGACCAGCGCCTTCTTGTGATGAGCTCTATTCGCAAACCAAAGCGACTGTCAATTCTTGGAAGCGACGAAAAGGAGCACCTCTTCTTGGTGAAGGTATTCATTTCTCATTATTTCATTGCGACTTACATTCCATGTCGTGCAACGATCAATGCTGTTACTAATACTGGCATTTGCGGTTTCCGCGCGAATAGGGAGGAGAAGATCTCCGTCTGGATCAACGTGTTCAGCAATTGTTCAGTCTGATGAACGACTTGATGCTGAAGGACCCTCAGTGCTCTCAGCAGAATATCAGCGTTGGAACATACAAAGTCATTCCCATGTCAGGTTCGCTCGGTATTCTGGAGTGGGTTGATAACACCAAACCATTGCGCCACTGCGTCGAAGGAGAGTTGCCGAACAAGGACGGATGGAGACGAGCACAGGAGCAGCATTCTCGCTTTGTCGCTTCGTTCAAAGGAGAAATGAACGGTATGTTTATGATTTGATCTCTTGGGTCAGCATCATATATCACACTATTCGATTCGTGCTTGCTTCTAGGGACTAACCAGTGCTAATATATGTTGGACATTAGGATATCACGAACTCTTTAAACATGGCACACGCGACAAGGTAGTCAAGCATATGGAGAACTTGCATAGCTACTTCCGTGAGGATCTCTTGCGCCAGTCGATTGTCCGTCTTGCAGCGTCACCAGAGGCCTTTTTGATGCTGCGATCCGAGTTTGCAAAGAGTTTGGCGGCCGTAAACATTTGCTCATACATCCTCGGTATCGGAGATCGCCATTTGGAGAACTTTTTGGTTAACTTGTCGACAGGCTGTCTGATCCCGATCGATTTTGGGCACGCGTTCGGTTCAGCCACAGAGGCGCTTCCTGTGCCTGAATTGGCGCCCTTCCGTCTCACGCGACAACTGGAGGCGTTCTTGAATCCGTTGGGTAGCAAAGGTCTTTTGGAGCACCCGATGGTGTGTATCATGAAGGCGCTGCAGAGTAAGAGAGACGTGATTTTGAACACGATGGATATTTTTGTCAAGGAGCCGCTGCTCGACTGGAGGAAGCACGCTATCAACCAAGCCAAGGAACAAAGTAAGAACAACAATGGATGTTTTAATGTTACATGTTTGATGTGCAGTGACTGCTTCAATTGAACGTGCACTAACATGTTCCTCATTTATTCTTATCCGCTAAAACTCTAATAGAGAAACGAGGTGGCGATATGGCATCGTTTGAGATTGACGAAGAGAGTGTAGCCCCGCCGGCATGGTACCTGCAGCAGAAGATGGGCATCGCCCGCAAGAAACTCGAGGGCTACAACCCTGCGCATCTGACGGCAGCAGAGTTGAATCTGGGTCATGCGAACAAGGGGTTCTTGTCCTCGTTGGTCAAGACCACATTGGGCGACAAGCATTTCAACGAGCGCGCGCGGCAGGGCAAGGTCTGCACCAGCGTCCAGGCCCAGGTTGAGTGCTTGATCGATATGGCTACGGACCTTGACATCCTTGGACGCGCTTGGATTGGATGGATGCCTTGGGTGTAGACGGGAGAGGAAGAAGGGGAGGGTGACAATGGTTGCAAAGTAGTTCATTCATCATTTGTTGGCACCGATTAAATTCACATTGACACGAAGTTAAAGTGGGATATGAAAATGAGCGTTGCTGCTGTTAATGTGTTGTTCACCAACGACGATCCCGGCTGTCCTTACTATCTCTACTATCGCGATGATCCCGCCGATTGCGACTATCCTTGCTGTCTCTGCTGTCTCTATGACCTCTGTCACCATCACGGCTGTCACGGCTATCTCGGGTATCGCGACTTTCCCGAGTATCTCGGCTGTACCCAGATCGGCCCTGCTCGTCGCGTCTTTGATAAGATGACGAAGAATCCTTGGATGAGCGATCATACGAAGCACCCCCACCACTGCCACTATAGGGTTTCCGATCCCTTCCGCTATCCTGTTGTTGATGTGTGCGCTTAAACTTTTCCAGATTCCGTTGCTTCTCAACAGCCAATGCCGCAGTAGTGGAGGCGGCCTTGTTGAGTGGATCAATGACAATATACTCGTTCGCGTCGTCCCGTTTCGAAGCCAGCGAGACATCTTTGCCCTTCAGATCCTTCTCAAATACCAGCTTGTGTTGCATCCACCCGATATCATCGTCCGAATCGTCCTCTGGCACCGGTTCGTCGTCGCTGTGACCCGCTTCCAGCAGTTTTGCCTTCTTGGATTTGGTGGCGATGGTATTCTGACATGACTCGCAAGACGGGATACCATGGATCTCGCAGGGAGGGGCGTCGTTCTTCTTGGGTGCCGGATTGGGTTCTGGTTCACGCGCCATGGCAAAGACCTTGGTCTCGAATGCCGACAATTTGCCGAGCAACTCCCGTTCCTTCTCGGCATTCATGGCGGCCTTGGATTTCTTCCTGCTGTCGCCTCCTTTGCTCTCAGCCCGGGTCTTGTACTGCTCTCGTTCCAACTGCAAGAGGGAGATCTTGGGCTTCTTCTTGGCTGCCTCAGCGGCTTCTCTGTCTGAGCCTCGGCTGTGCATCTTGCGGATGTCGCCTTCCAGCTTTTGGATTTCTTGACGAACTTTATCTCCTGCTGAAAGAGTTGGTTCTGCTGGTGTTGGCGGCTCAGGTACTACTGCTGCTGCTGCTGGTGTGTTGGGTGTCGATGATGGTGAAGATTCGGTCTTGGACTCGACATTCGCCGAGGTCGACGTGGATGACTCCTTTGCCAACCTAGCCTTCTTTAGCTTCTCTCGAACCTGATCCCGCATCCTCTGCTCAAACGCGTTCAGACTCTCGTTGGTATCGTCATCTGCATCCATGGGATCCTGTCCCTGTCCTTCCTTACCCTTGTCCTCGTTTGACGCCTTCCGCTTTGACGAAGAAGAGCCGCCGCCGTTGCCGTCGCGAATCTCAGAAACCAGTTTGTGGTCGGTATCCCGACTGAGTGTGGGATCATCCTCCAGGAGGTCGTGACTACTGAGCATCTTCTTTTTCCGCTTGGTGTCCTCCTGGTTGCTGTTGTCCTCGTCCATGGTCATATCTGGCTCATCATCCGCAAACGACAACAGCGCCACATTCCTATGCTCGAATAGCAAAAATAATAGTTTTTTGTCAGTGGTGATGTTCACATATAATAATCTCCGCCTTAACAAACCAACCCTCGTTTTTGCACGGGGATAATGTACAAAAACAAAACAAAAAACACATACTTTTTCAGCTTTTTCTGCTTCTCGGGCTTCTTCTGTGCTTCCAGTTCCTTGAGTCGCAATGCTTCCTGCTCCTGCCGAGACATTCTGGGGATGATATCGTCGAAGGGGTTGACTACGATGGTGCAGCTGGTAACCTTGGGTGGGTACAGGGGTCGTTCGTCCGCGTCCACTTCCAGGCTTCCAATCTTGAGCACATTGAAGATTGTATCTCCCGCGATCTATATCAGTTGAATAAGTGTCAGTCTCTTGCATGGAAGTAGGCATTCGTCATTCCTTTAGCAATTAAAGGTCTATTGAACGCGTAGATCCCAATAACAAAAAATATGACCAAGGGGGGGGGGGTTTTTTTTTACCTTGCCAAAGATGGTGTGCTTGTTCTGGAGCTCCATGGTCGCATCCAAAGTAATAAAAAACTGGCTCCTATTATCATTCGGCACGCCCGAATTCGCCATCGCCACCAATCCACGGCGGACAAACCGCAAACGAGAATGAAACTCGTCCGCAAACGGCTTGCCACCTTCATAAACAGACTCCCCTCCCATGCCTGTCCCCTCTGGGTCTCCACCCTGGATAATGAAGTTTGCGACGATACGATGGAAGATGGTGTCGTTGTAGTATCCCTCCATACAGAGTTGGACAAAGTTCCTGCAGGCTTTGGGGGCTTCCTTGGGCCAGAGCTCTATAGAGATGTCGCCGTATGTTGTGTGGAGGATGACTTTGCCACTGGTTGGAGGGAGGGAGGGGGGTTGGATGTAATGAAGGTAAGTCGTTAGTGCTTGTAGTTTTGATGTGTCATTGCATGACTATGGTACTAATGTCATTGCTGAATGTTCCGTTTTTTGTCCCTTGGCGTACTTTGCGTGTGGCTCCAGGAGGTAGATGTCACTCATGGTTCCTGCTTTGTGTGTTGCTTGAAGAAGAGGGGGAGTTGTGTGGAGGCTGAAAACTGATCAAGTCAAAGATTAAAGAATAGAAAAAAAGAAAGTGGCGGAGTGGCTTTCAAACAACCCATTCCCTAATTGCACAAGAGTTCTTTTTTGAGTAATCATGATGAAGTCACGCTTTTTATTCGGCAATGATAATTATGTACAAGGAGGTGTGTGGAGAAACTAAACCGACGGTGCGCGCAAATTCATGCGGCAAAAGAGAAAAAGGAAAGGAGAGAGGGTCTGTCCCCCCCCCCCCCTCTCTCTCTCTCTCTCTCGCAACCGTCTCCTTTCTTTTTTTTTTGGTGCGTGTGAGAACTGGGGTTCGTCCGTCGCTCCCACAGATTAGCCAAGGCTGTTGTTGAAAGTGTAAGAGGGTGGGGGGGAGTCAACTGGTTTAGTGCTGGGCAGCGGCACCAGACTTGGAGTGGTTATGGAGGATGGGCTGACCGACGTGGATGTTCTCCTTCTGGCGGAAAGTGTTGTTGATCTCGTTCTTGGGCTGGTTCTCCTGCATCCTGGCAAGACGCTCAGCAGCAGCCAGACGGGTCTGCTTCTCGTACTCGAACTGATCGGTCTTCTCGAGCTCGCGCTCGTCCTCGTTCTCGTTCTCGTTGTTCTCCTCGGTGTTGGCGGGCTTGCGTTCGAATTCCCTTTTTGGTTGGAAGGACAGAAGAGAGAGAAGGAGGGTTAGTTGTTATGGTCTATCTGAGAGAGAGCAAAGAGCAATTGAAGCATGAAGGGCAACGATAGCAAAGCGTGGGATGAGCAAAGGATAACAAAGGAAGGAGGAAGACTTACTTGCGGACGACGGGGACGGGGTGATCTGGGGCAGCGACACGCATACCTCCGACCTTGGCGGCGGGAGCGCGGTTAACCTTGTTCTCGATTGAAGAATCCATGATGTATATGTGTGTTATTTGAGGATGGGGGTGGGGGTTATGAGCTATTGTTGTTGCGGGTTGGTAGTGTGAGTGAGTTTGGTGGTGGGGGAAGTTGTTGTTGAATGTAAGGATGAAGAGTAGAAAAAGAGGCTGGTCGGTGGCCTTTATATAGCGAGTGAGAAACAGAAAAAAAAAGGGAGAGACGTTTCTTTCGTGCGCATTGCATCACTAATAATCCCCCAATACGCGTCGTCACTTCTTGGAACAAATGCTCACCACTAATCCAAATGAGACCTCCAATGTGGGTCATGCAGACAGAGGATAGAAATCCAAAAATGATGTAATCGCCAGAATCCAGTCACCTGACATGTCTAGAAGGCTTTGGGGAAACCTTCTTCCCCCTCGGGGAACCCATTCTCGGATGCCCCGTGCGATTCAGACCTGGGAGCAATGATGTCAGTGGTAATTGGGGCCATTACCGAAGGTATTTCAATGACATGGATGGATGTGTCAAGAAACAACGTTCACTCGACATCCTCGGACGGGACTTTGTCCGACTGCGGGGTGGAGAGAGGGAGAGGGCGACGCGCTTTCTCTATGTTGCTGCGGGAAGGGTGAGGTGCCGCTTGAACTCTCATGTTGCTTCGTATCATGTGTTCACTCATCACGCCTGCCTTTTTTTTTTGTTTGTTTGTGAGTAACAGCAAAGGTACACACAGAAACAAAGACAAAGATGATAGGACGTGGGAAAAACAAGGGGCACCGAAAAATGCAATTGGAAGACAACAGCAAAGATATGAAGGGAATTGAGAGGACAAACAATCAAACCAACCAACAATGCAAGCTCTCTATTTTATTGCTGGTCTCGACTCGGACTTGCACAAACACGACAGAAACCCTTCCTGGAAAATCGCAAATACTACAATCTTCCTGGAAAACGTAAATGCTACGCTATGTTGCCACCAATTTCAATGACGCCACCAATTCATATCACCACATGAACCACCAGTGGCAGCCCGGCGTCAACCCTTGTTATTAAGGGACTTTAGTACAAACAAAGCCCGCGAAAGTAACCAGAACCAGTTTGGAGTTGGATGGAGTTGATAGATAATGTCAATAAAACGCTAGTTATAATCGACTAATGTCTCTTAGCTACCATAGAGGGGGACCTCATTGCAAAGACACGCTCAAGGGTGCCAAGAGTGGGGAATGAATGGTGATCCTGCAGTGGGTCTTTGCGCGCGTTCTTGAGGTACTCCCTCGTGGTCCCAAGAAGACTTTGGACTTGGAAAAGGCGAGAAAAAAAAACTCTCGGTTGAGACTCAGATCGCACATGTTTGAAGGAAGCTCGACCGACGAGACACGAGTGTGGACAACCGCGTTCCCTGCTTGGCTGCCAGGGAAAAGACCACTGCCTTTCCCTTAGTCCTGAAAGTTAACAACGGACGGTTTTTGCCCAGGATGCAATGCAGGTGGTCCAGGGCATCTTTGGCAAAGATCGCCAGCCACAAGATGTCCACGTTAACGTCTTGCTTTTTTGTATGGACTCCCTTGAGCTCGCCAAAGCAGATCTCCTTCTTGCTTAGTGTGCATCCGACAATGTCTGGCTGTCTGGATGATCCCCGCTGACCTAAGTCTTGTTTGCGTTGTTTCCCAGTCGTAAAGCTGGCACTAAAATAAGAGTACTTCCATTATTAAAGAAGAGAAGAAAACCCCATTTAAAAGAATGGAATCAATCATTTTACCTCGTAAACTTGACTTCATGCTGAATCTGGTGAACCTCCTCCAGAATTGGGCCAACTATCGCCATTGCACAATCTGCCTCGCTTCGCAGTGTCGACCACGTGTTGAACTTCCGAAATATATGTAAAGCCAGGAACAGGACTGGAAGAATATTCTTGGTCTTGCAGTATGCAGCCATAATCAAATCAATGACTGGTGTGGTATCCAGTGAGCTCTCAACTCCTTCATCGACAGCCAGACTTGCCTCCGTCTCGATTGAGGACCATTGCTATGAGAAAAAGACTAGATGTTAGCCTCAGAGAAATACATACAGACATACACAAAACAAAGAACAAAAATGAATTGGCAAACTCTTCTCATACTATGTTGCCCAGTGGCTACGTGCAGCTTCCGCTCGCCTCAAGTCCTCTTCTCGTTGAGCTTTGGTGTAGAATACCCGGAGAGTCTCCCGACGGATTTGCACAATCTCGTCCTGGGAGAGATATGCATGCTCCTCATCGACGTGGAATACCCCCGATAAAATCCCAATAAATGAGAAAGATGTTAAAGTCTCGCAGGATGATAACAAGTGTGTACTTTCCATTTGCAGTCATACTTACGCTATCTCGTTCAGATATTGGAAGGTCAACCCTGTCTTCTTCCTTGTTGCGTTATCGATCTCGGTCATTTTAGGTCCCCAGTCCCTCCCCTCAAGGGTAAGATTGAAAGTGTATTGTGGACGGTCACCATTGCAATTAAGTTGTCTTCCATTGCGAAGTTGCTGCAAAAGATGATCACAACGATGACGCGCCGTTGGGGTAGTGAAAAAGTAATCAGAGTCCTCATCATGGTGGCTGCTTGCTGCGATTGTAAGTTGGTCCTCTTCATCCTGGTCCTCTTCATCGTCGTCCTCTTCTGGCAATATAAAAGGCCGGACTGGGATAGCGGGCTCGGAAGATGTTAGGGAGTGTAGTGGTGTCCGAAGGTCTGAGGATAATTGAGACTCGACATGTGGACCTGGGAGTGGAAGTTACAAAAAAATAGAGTGATAAGATTGAGAAAAGAATGGCAGACCATCCGATGGTACGATGTCATTTCACAACATATGGCATGCATTACGGGCAGTTTTCCGTGACGCCTCATCCTATTCGCCTATTGAATCGCGTGAATGCTTCTGGCCAGCTAGCAGAGCAGAAGACAAAAATTATGAATATAAATATGTCCATTTCGTGCTTAACAAAATGGCCTTGATAGTCCATGTACGTGTCGTTCTAGTCGGCTTGATTCCTGTGCATAATCGTTTGGCGCTTTTGAGGGTGGTGTAGTGTCTAAGGAAGACGTAGCTTGACACGATATGTTGGCTGCAGAAACTTCGCTTGGCATCGGGTGACGGGCATTTGAGGATGACTCGTGCGGCACCCATGTGGAAATCGACGGCCTGTTGTGACCGAATATCCTTCGCCGCTGGCAATGACAAATAAGATCATGTTGTTAATCAGAGTACTCGATGGTCAACCAAATATACTTCATGCTTCTCATATAGCTAACCTTCCACCTGGAGGTCGACCTCACTGGTCAGTAAGTCTGCTGCTCCTGCCCGCACAGCGTCTGGAACTTTCTTCGAAAGTGAAAAGTTATACTTTCGCTCGCAGGTGGTCATGAATTCGTCAGTGGTTTGCAGTCTCAAAGCTTACGCGTCATTCTGTTCCCGGCAGTTGTGAATGTGGTTCAAATAGCAGAGGTAAATCGAGCGAAAAGTTTGGTGCTTGTGGGGACCCTGTAGGGCATATTCGGCGAAGTTCAACGTTGTGGAAAGATCTGTTGACAAAGAACGACGAGGTGTAAATTATTCGAATGGACTTGTATTAAGGCTAGCTCTGCCGCAGTTTCTATTACGATACAGAAACCCAAGATGAAGTGCTCCCCGACGATTGCGTTAGCCATATTGTTAGAAGAATCTGTCAAGCCTCTTCAATTACTCAAAAAAAGTCTACAAAGAACAATGAGGCATAGGGCGGCAATGTTCCCCCGTCCTCCAAGAAGGTCGATCATTCAACTCGGAGGTTCATGTGGGCCCGACCGCTTTTAGAATTACCACATCTGTGGTCACCGTTCGCCATCGATTGATCAAGGAAAATAAACAAATAACAATAATCATGCAAAAAAGGATTGACAAAAACCAATTGAGGCATAGGGCGGCAATGTTCCCCCGTACTCCAAGAAGGCAGACCATTCAACTTGGAGGTTCATGTGGGCGAGACCGCTTTTAGAACTGGGCCACATCTGTGGTCATCGTTCGCCATCAATCAATCCAATGTGTGAATAACAGTAGAACAAAAGCACAATTTGGCAATTGCTTACGTTTGTCGTTGTGTTTGAAAGAATGTGAGGGCAACAAAAGACGAAACGAAAACAGGAAAGCAATGATGTAAGTTCTAAAAGAATAGGGTGAAAAGAGATTCCAAAAACCAGAGAAGCTAATTTTTCACTGCAGCTTCCTCTACCTACAGCGTTCAAGGGCACCTCCGTGATTGGATGCGTTTATTATGATATCTAAAAAAGGGCCAGACTTCGATGCCACCATTCTTGTTCAGCACCTATGGCATGAGAGGGTAGATAAAAAATGAGTCAGTAGTCCAGTCTTAAAGTTCGCATAATAAAGACGGGCCTCTTTTTGTGCGGTACATAGCAAGCAAAAACAAGAAAAGAAACGTACCAGGAATATTTCTCGTTGTGGACCCACTCGACATTGTCGGTTTCAGCAGTAGAGTTGACGAGCCCCAGACTGGGGATGGAACTATCTCGATACTTGATCTCCAGTCGCAACAGATCTGCCAGGGACTGATCAGGGTTCCAGATTACAACCTTCGAAAGATTCCACTTCCGAGCCTCCGTTTGCGCAGACTCGATCAGTGCACGAGCGGTCTCATCCCCGTCACTAGGGTCCAAGTGCCAGCGGATAATGAACAACTGCCCCTTGTACAGGTCGTGGAACCAAAGCACAAAGCTCTTTCCATGCTTGGCGCCCCACTCCGTGATCTGGTGCTGCTCCAGCTTGAGGATATGTTGAGCTGCAAATCGAGCGCGAGCATGGAACCAGAGGACACAGGTCGGCTCTGGAGTGACGACAACAAACACCTTGGAAGGGGAAGCAGTCTCGATCTGCGCCTTCAGCTGAGTGCGCACCTGCTCGGCATCCACCGCAATGAGCTCCGACAAATTAGAGTCTGTCACCTTTTCCGCAGTCATCGCAGCCGAACCTGAACCCTGGATGCTGTGTCCTGTGGGGATGACTATTTCCTCGGAGCGCTTGGGCGTCCAACCCAGACGGCCGTAGAAGGTCGGCCCCACGTCCGAGTAGAGGAACGAGAATGACACGCTCTTCATGTTGCTAATTTCTTTCCAAAGGAGCCTAGAAAGAAAAAAGAAAAATGCAATGAGACCCACATAAAAAGTCAATTAACGGTCGAAAGGATAATCATTGGTGCACAATATTCATGAGATTAAAAGAAAAAAGAATTACTTCATCATCAGGGAGGCATAACCACGTCCACGGTAGTGGGCAGGAGCAAAGACCGAGGCAACGCTGATCGAGAGCACATCCCTCAGACCTTGGTCCTTCGAGGCGATGATTCCAGGGCGCTCAAAGGTCTCGACTGCGGACAGGATTTGATCGAGTTGAGGGTTGGCCGAATCAAAGGTCTTGGGGACGAGGATCCAGACCTGCAGCTTGTTGTCACGGGTAAACTCCTGACTGGACAACATTCTCTCGCGGGCGAAGTAGGTCTCCTCGTCGAGGGAGGGTCCCCATTCCGCGCGGTTGTTGGACCATGTCTGCTGGATGATGTCGGGTGAGTATGCACGAATGAGGTGAATGTCGTCGTGGGCTAATGAGGATGCGGCAGTCATTATTAGGGATATATGTGAAAGTGAGGGAAGGTGTGGAGACTAGAGAGTCAAAGGAGAAAAGGTACAAGCGAAGTGGCAAACAGCTGTCAGGAGAGATAAAACGTGGGAATGGAGCGGCATTGCTTAAGGGCGACGAGTGCCTTTAAAGCGGGTTGGCGATGTTCCCCCCGAGAAGGTTTTCGTTTTCTTTTTCTTTTTCGATTCAGACCTCAACTGCTCAAAAAAAAAGGATCTGCATCTATCGTCACCCGCCTTTTCCCTGCTTCTCTTCTCTCATATCATACCCATCATCATCTCTCTCGTTATCAAGAAGAACAATAACAAGCACAACGAACAAACACAGGTACTAGAGGCCATTCGATATGTGAACATTTGGCGTCGTCAATCCAGGCCTAGACCATGCGCATCAATGCTACTCCTCTATCAACACCCTAACTCCCTCTTTCTTTCTTTCTTTCTTTCCTTCTTCTTCGATAGCCATATATACCATACCCGATGTCAAGCAAGGAATCAACCCCGTCCTCGGTCCCGGAGAAGGTGAATGCACTTTTCTCTTTTGTTCATTGAATGAGAGTGATCACAGAAAGCGAATCCTTTTTTTTTTTTTTTTTGTCGGTCACGATATTTGTTTTGGTCAATGCTAGCGGAAGTCGACAGAATCAAATTTATTTTGACTGACACCCCCCAACCCTGCTTCTTATTTCTTTTGACATGCATACAAACATACATGGTAGACCGACTGCCTTGTCTGTGGATCTGGAGTATCCTTCAAGAAGAACCCCATCCTCTTCTGCGACGGCCCAGGTGAGTTTGTTGTCAATCAACTATTAATCGTCTGCCACGCCACCGCATTCTCCGACTATTGTTTAAGAAGCGAAAGAAAAAATATAAAAAGAAAGGGCTGTGACCATCAGTTCCGTAGTCGAAGCAAAAGAAAACGTCCACACAGACACTGACACAACACATACTCTTCTCTTTACCCCTCGTTTTGTGGAACCATCCTCCCTCAACTCAACTCAACTAACACCACGTACACGCGCCTCTCTTCTTCGCTTTTGAACCATCAGGTTGCGACATCCCCGTCCATCAAGAGTGTTACGGCGTTGATGTGGTACCTTCAGGCAATTGGTACTGCCAACGATGTGAGGACCGGATACCCGTCTTGAATACAGTACGTGAAACGAAACCCTTTATGGGAAATTTTCATATGCCACCATCCAATTTATCCATCGTCGCCCTTGTAACCCTTGGACTCATCCTTGTCATTATATCTACATACACCAATAGCCATGCTGTTGCTGTCCTCAAACTTCAGGAGCTTTCAAGCGCACAACAATACCCAACCAATACATCCACCCAGCCTGTGCACGCTTCCACCCACGTCTGGACGAAGCCATGGATCCCATCGAATTCGACACCTCGCTCGTCAGCAGGCAGATCTGCTGTCTCTGCAAAACCGATATCGGAGTCTGCTCGCCCTGCGGTGCCGACAGCTGCACCAGGGCCATGCATGTTACATGCGCTCAAGACCACTCTCTTGTGACCAAGGGCAAGCATGCGCAGATTTACTGCGATGTACATCGGGATACGGTCATCCTGAACAAAATCATGAAGAGCCAGTCAGCACAACGCAGACGATCAACCTCTGCTGGTGGTGGCGGTTCCGGTCGATCAAAGCGTGCCAAGTACTACGGAGAGTCCTCCTCAGAGACCGAGAACGACGAGGAAGAGGACGAGGAGGAGGATGACGATGAGGACGTGATCATGGAGGAAGAGTCAGACGACGATATCCTGAAGAGCAAATCAAGTATACATTCGAGTGCTGCATCAAGTCGCGGATCAAAGGGCCACACCAAGAACAAGCGGTCCCTGGATTCAAACGGGCGGCGCAGGAGGAACATTAGCTCGGGATCAGAGGAGATTGATGTCGACGACACGGAAGCTGTTCTGGGAAGCTCTCTTGGAGGATCAACTGTGCAAAAGAAAGTGAGCAAGAGCGCCAAGACAAATACCAAGGAGTCAGCTGCGGAATCTCAACGGCGTCGACTCCTCCAGACACTAGACAAGAACAAGAAGAAGCAAGGAACAGGCTCTGGTGTCTTTGCCAACGTCACCAATCTCAGCGCGATGCCCATCCGGACACTGGGCGGTATTGGCGTCACAACTGCGGTCCTTGGTAGTCCTTCAGGAGCAGAGCCTAAGCAAAAGTTGCCAGGCATCAGCAGGAACGGTAACAACAACATCAACAACAACAACAACAACAACAACAACAACAACAACAACAACAACAACAACACCAGCAACAATATCAACCCTCCTGCCTTTGATGCGACAGCTTATTCGCCCATCAACACCACCGCGTCAAACAATGGACCCGGTCAGAGTAATGGCAGAAACGTAAAGGGCTTGGCATTTGATCCCGATCCAGTAAGTGCTCTAATGTGTCGTAAACGCGTATTTTTTGGCAGCAATGGATGACAGCATTAGATAGCAACCATGCTAATAGGTTTTTTCACTGTTTCGCATCTAGGCTATTGAACCTTCCGCCTTCAAGACGAACAACTCACAATCGGTATCAGGAGCGCCCAGCCCCATCTTCTCAAACTACTCCAATGCGGGATCACCACTGCAAGCGCGCATGCACGAGAGACAACACTCCTCGCCCAAGACTGAAGATACCCGAGAGCTCCAGGCGGTCATTCAGTCATTACAAAACAAGATCTCGTCGCTCGAGATCACTATTCAAGGTAAGCTCTACCGAAATAATGACTAAAATGTCCAATACTCAATATCTCTATAAAGGTTCTAGGCTGACCTTTACTTTTCATGTTATGTTCACTACTACTAGGCATGACCCAACAACAACAGCACCTTCAACAGAAACTTGCAGCCAACACTAACAACAGAACGCCACCCTCAGGGACACCAACATCTGCGCATACACCCACATCATCGACCTCTTCTGCAGGCGCTTTGATGCAAGCCAACCCCCACACAGCTGGCCAGCCAGGACAGGACTTGCAGTACAAGTTTGATGTGTTGCAGCACACACATGCACAGGACAAGATGCGCAACCTGTCGTTGAGAGAGAATCTGCGAGACATTTTCGGGTATCTGCAAGTCTCTGTTGGACTTCCAGGGCCTGAGGGGCGCCGAGGCTCGCAGGGAGAATCGAATGCTGAATGGAGCGCCGAGAGACTAGACGACTATGTGCAGGCGCTTCGGGACACAATTGTTGGAACGGAGAGTGGTGGATCGTCGTCGTCGTCGGGTGCTTTGCTAGGTGGAGGCAGACCCGCGCTGGATGCGAAGCGGCGGGACATGATTGTCGATCGTGTGATGAAGGAGATGTCCAACTGACGGCTTTGATATCCAGTATTCATCACCTACAATTTTGTTTGCTCTCTTTCTTTTCAAGAAATAGAAAAAATATATATAAAGTGTTCGTCTGTGCGCCAGTCAATTCACTATGTCACTCTTACCACACCACTCTTCTCTTCATTACCTCTAATTCGCACATTCGCACCGACATCATGGACATCACACACTCCCATGACCCTCCCCCACCCCTTCCTCCTCCTCGTCCTCCATCCGCAGTCGCCTCATTGCCACCAGAATGTCTCGAGATCATCCTCGCCTTCCTCCAACACGACCTCGCCTCGCTCCACCGCCTGCTCTTTGTTTCGCGACAGTTCTTCCAGCTCACTGTCCGTTTCCTATACAAGAGCCCCTTCGGTCTCGCCGCCATAGCCGACTCTACATCGGGTAGCCCCCAAGTCAGCAATTCTCCCCATGGCTGGAACCGTTTCCTCGAACGCACAAAGCTCCTCTCGCGGCTCTTGTTCCAGAACTTGCAGATCAGACCTTTGGCCCCCACGTTTCGAACGACGAAACAAAAGGCGTCCATCATGGACGACTCGGTTGAACTCGAGCACATTGAACCCCTTATCCCCCCAGTCGAAAACCCAGTCTGGTCAAGACGGAAATCTTCCTTGGAGGCGCCTGACAATTGGTCTGCTTCGATGACTCTTGCTCCCACTAGCTACTTTGCTAGTCTGGAGGACAATGACGACTTTGAACAGCGGCCACATCACGAACTAGACCCTTCTGCGGATTTGATGTCCTTTGAGGATGATTGGCACACCGAGAATCCTACCGCCAGCGGCAGCAGCAGCAGCAGCAGCAACGACAACAACCGTCTCAGATGCGACAACAAGACTGGCCTCCTCATGGACTACTTTTATTTTTACACCCATCAAGACCACCGCTCCATTGGATTCATCCTCAGGGAGATATACCCCGGCGCGGGCCGCCGAGAATACGACAAGTACCTGGGCGAGATCGAGCAGTCCATCCTTCAACACAACCCCAAGCAAATAGAGTCGATCTACATCCAAAGTCCAATCGTCGTTGTCCCTTATCTTCATGCACATATGGAACAGTTCGAGCTCCTTTCAACCATCAAGCTGCGCGATCCTGTCTGGTCAGTCCAGGAACTTGAGATGGTGTACAACTTTTTGAAGGATCACGCCGCCATGTTCCCTGCTGCACAAGCCCAGAGGCCAGAGGATGACGACGGTCGCTACGTTGACAGCCAAGAACGACAACAGATCTTGAGCTTGCGAAGGGGCGTCCATAGTCGGAAAGCAGCGATTCGACATGTGACATACGCGACAAGCAGGAGCCTGTGGGATGACGCACGCCTCGCAGGACAGCCTTTTGATCCGCTTCAGTTTATATTGGCACTCGGTCCTGGGCTGGAATCCATCGACTCGGTGCACTGGGGCAGGACGGAGCTTTCTCAACTGGACGCGCTCGACGTCCGGTCGTTACGGTCACTGCGGATCGGATTCGTGACCATCCCACACACCGACCACTCGTTCAGCCGGCCGGAATTTCTCTCGCGGTGTCGACGGCTGCACAGTCTGGACGTGTTTTCGAGCTCGGGCGACATGTTTTCTTGGGCAGTTCAGGACTGGAACGACCACAAGCGAGCCCTGGAACGCTTGAAGGCTTCGACAAGCGGCAGCAATCATGGAACGACATTGGACCCTCAACTCTACCCTTGGTTGCGTGGCATGAATCTATCCGGACCCGAGATATTCAAGGCACCACGACCTCTTGTCCGTCTTTCTCACCTACGTGTCCATGGACCTACCGACCACGTTGTCTTTGACATTCTCCGAGATGCGCTCTACAGCTTTCGGACGACACTGAGTGTGCTCGAGGTTGTATCGGATATCGAGTATACAGCCGGTGGCGGTGAATGGCTAGATCATGCAGAGGAATTGCTTGCTGGCAAGCCTCTCTCGGAATCAAGGAGCAAGAAGGGCAGTAGTGGACGGGAACCCAAGGAACAACAACAGGACATGGATGGTGCTCCGGACCAAGGAATGGACGACGAGGATTTTTATAATCTTCTACCGTCGATCGCAACTGGGTCGCTGTTTATCCGATGGGAGGTTCCTAGTTTGACAGAGTTGGACTTGACGGGACCCATTGCGAGCGTGTTTGAGGTAGAGTCGTTGCGGCACATGCCCAACCTTCGGAACCTCGCCTTCTCGATCCTTACGTACACCAACACCTCTGCTCCACGGAACCGACTCTACCGACCAAGCGGGACTCCTCGCGGTCGTGGCGATGGCAATGGGGGGGAGGACAGCCCGAGAAGGTGTGATATGACACTCTTGCCTTCTGTCACCGGACCGGCTTTGCGGCGTGTGATGATTCGAGGACCGTGGCCAGAGATTACGGACGAGAGTCTTCAAAAAATGATTGAGACGACGTCCAGAGGCGATAATATCAATCGAGATCTCGAGAGCGCGGAAGGCAACCATGCTGGGACGGACGATGATGAAGAGGACACGTGGAGCAACCGACTGTATGAGCTTTCGATCCTGGACAACCCTCGAGTGACGATGCAGGGGATGATACGACTTGCACAACAGATGGACCAGCTCCAGGTGATGGGCATGAGTCTGACGCTGCCGGCGGCCAACAACGGACACCATCATTTCACCGAAACCTCGGACATGCACCACTACCGAAAGGCAGGTGGATCTGCTCGCTACAAGTACCCGCCAGAGCCCAGCTCGGCCGCGGAGGATGCTGATGCTGCAGCTCGAAATATGCTCCTGAAGGCGCGAATCAATTTGCCGTGGGTTGACTTGGGACCTGAAGCCAAGCATCTTGGTCGGCGGACTCGAACTGATGGATACCTCAGTCGTGGCTGGAACATGTAACTCTTCTTTTTTTCCTATCGTTTTTTTCTCTTCCAAATAAACACTGTTGGATGAATGAGGGTCTAGCTTCTTTATGCATCCCTTTTCCTTTTGTTGACAAGAGTGATGCAGGAAACGAAGATGGGTGTAAAATGAAGCGCGTCTAGACGGTATTATTTTGTAATGGTAAAGTGGTATTTACTACTCTGTGTTTGTATGCACAAAAGAGAGACAAGGATCCTTAGAACAAGGTCATGACGACGAGGAGCAAGAAAGCCAAGGCGGTGGTAGGACCACCGGTGCTCTGGAACGTGTTCTTGTTACTAGAAGCACTGCTGGCACTCTCGGCGATGTTGGGGACAATTAATGCAGCTCCACAGGAGCAAGGGCTTGTTCCTGAAGCCGGTTGGAAGGCTTTGCTCTGTGCTGCACATTGTTCCTTGATGTCATTACAGGTCGTGGTCTGTGTTGGCGTGGGTGTTGTTGTTGTCGTTGTAGGCGTTGGGGTTGGGGTTGGGGTTGTTACGTTTGCTGTGGAGGATATGAAAGTTGTTACATGTGGCAAAGAGGGGGATAATTATGATTAATGTCTGCTGGACCAGATGCAGTTATTAATAAAGAGCAACAAAAAACTGTCAGCACTTCTTTCCCTCCAATCACTTGTAGATAAGATTTACCTGCGACGATCTGGAAGGTAGGAGAATCCACGCTATCCGGGATATCAAAGAAGCCATCCTTCGTCCTAGCAAGGTGCACAGTATACTTGTCCCCCGCGGCCAAGGTCGCCGGAACAATCCAATCCGATATCGTGAGCGTCACACTTCCTGTCGTCGAACCAACGGGCACAAGCAACTGGAACGCATCCTTGATAACTGCAACAGTAGTACTGCTTCCAAAGATTCCTCCAGAGGAGATGCGGAGGGTGATGGTGAGGAGACGGGAGGTGGTGGGTGTGTCGGCCTTGGCGGCGTCAGTGGATACGATGGTGATGAGGCCTGGTTGGCCGGTGGACCAGCGGGTTGCGGCGGTGGGGTTTTGGAAGGTGTAGCCGCCGGCAGAAGTTGTGTGGGAGGTTAGGAGGATGGAGAGGAGGGTGAAGAGGAGAGTTGTGAGGAAGAGAAAAGTGTTGTTGTTGTTGTTTTTGTTGCTGCTTCTGCAGCTGGAGAAGCGGGTCATGATCGTGCAGAGGAAAGGGGGTATATGAGGTTGTGTGTGTTTCTGTACAGTTTGAGGTGTGATTCAACTGCAGGAATGCAGAGGACTGAAGGCAGACGGGGGAGGAATGAAAAAGCGCTGGTGAGTGAGACTGGCAGAGAGTGGGATGGATGTAGGTGTGAAGGTAGGGAGTGGGAGGTAAGGAAGGAAAAGGGACAAAGAAGTGAATGCACAAAAGTCGATGAAGAGCACTTTTTCTGCCCAGACGGCCGAGAGACTGTCGAACAGTTCGTGGGCTGAACTCTCCCTTGTACATAAATTGAGGTGAGCCCGCTGGTTTGCTTTCGGGTCAAAGAGAGACACACCGAGGTAAAACAAGCAAGGCAAGGTGCACATACCCATACCCATAACGACAGAATGTGGCTAAAAAAAAAAGGTTGTTGTTGTTGTTGTTGTTTTACTATCCATCGATTGCTTTTGGCATGCATTCGTTGAAGAATATCTATCCACTGTGCTCGACAGCAGTGGTGATGACCTTGCCGTCAACAATCTTAGTCAAGAACTGCTCAGGAACAGGACGCTCAATAAAGTCGTCGTTGCCATCCTCTGTTGTCTCGGGTGTCAAGATGTTGATCGCCGAACACTTGGACGTCAAGATCTCAACATCCAGGCACTCCTTCGACAAGTAGACCATGCACGAGTCGACCTTGTCCAGACTGAGGGTAGGAGCACGACCCAAGATCTGAACCTGGACCGACTTGGAGTTGACAAGATCCAGCGACGAAATCAAAGAATCCACGCAGAGCCCCGTCTTTGTGCAAGAGTCCATTGCAATCGTGGTGACCTTGCTCTTGACCTGAATCGTCGAGTTTTTGCATCCGTAAATGTACACCGACTGGTTGAGCTCAACCTGATCTAGGATCACCTCGTTGTTGTTCTCAAAGTTTTCCTATGAGGTGTTGGGGGCGGATAAGGTTAGATGCGGTTTCCTCGAAATGATATATCGACGACGCGTAAAAACATAAGAGAAAGGTGGACTTACGACGACCCACTTGTTGCCCTCCAAGGCCAGCTTTGGTGGCTTCTTGAGTGTCAATGAGGCAGGCTTGGGAGGAGCACCGGGACCAGCCCGCTTAGGAGAACCAGGCTTGCCTATTCATACACAATTATTCGAGTTCATTCAATCAGCTTCCAATTGCAAAGAAAATTCTGGCAGTGCCTTGTACAAGTAAATCCAATATACAAGAATGGCTTACCAGGGCTAGATGTGACCATGCCGGAGGCACGAAGCTCAGGGTTCTTGTGGGTCATCTTGCTCTTATCGACCTTGCGCAATCCTGATGTGATACCCTCTCCTTGGTTCAATTGAGCAAAGACAGCAGTCATGTCATTATCGGTGGCCTGCTTGACAGGAGCAGGTGTATCCAGCATCATTGGTGGTGGTGGGGGAGGGGGAGGAGGGGGGCCGCCTGCAGAGGGAGCAGGAGGTGCGGGAACAGCTGCAGCTGCTGGGGCGGCAGCAGGCGTGGCTGAAGCGCGCTTCAGACTGTTGCCATCAAGAGGTGTTCCCTATAAAGTTCAGTGATGATAAAAACAATGACATCGTTTAGTTATTGTCCCATCAGAAAATCCATGCAGGCTTCCAAAGTGCAAGGAGGCGAGTAGTTGTACTCAGTTCAGAGTTCGATCCAAAATCCTTTTTCTTTCTAGGAGACAAGGACATACCTTGGGATTCCAGACCAATCCAGTGGTGTGAAACTTGCGAACATAGTTCTGCAACTCGGTCAACAAGTTCATGTATGCGCGGACCCAAAGAACGTGGTTCTGATCCCTATTGAGCAACAAAAGTAGAACAATCCCAAAGGAGATGGTGAGTCCGCCGCTTCTTTTCTGGGCTTATGTGTCGTTTCCTGTCCACCCCTTTTCCATGATTGCGCGTCCTGGCTCAGGGTCACGCTATGATGACCACCTGCTCATCCATTCTTTGACAACTGATGAAAATAATCAAGAAAAAATTCACACCGCAATAAAGCAAAATGACACGGAAAACGACACAAGTTAAGCTGACTTACTTTTCCTTCCAGTCCTTGACGACGCGGTTGGCATAGAACTGAGCACTATCCTTCATCTCAGCTACATAAGGTGCGGGCTTGGGCTCCTAATAATTGAGCAAGAAACATAAAGAAGAGTGAACCCATTATTAAAAATAGTGTTAATGTTCCCTCGGAGCCATTTCAATAATGTTTTATGACCAACCCAGCAAATCATCAAATAGGCAATATCGACAATTGCCAAAGAAACGCAAAGAACAAAAAAGATACAACGACATGACAGTACACATGTTTGTAGTCAACTTACGATGGCGACCCATCCGAGAGCAGGGATACCGTCCGCAACGGCGGTCAAGTGGTTGGCGAAAGGGCTGGCGCGGTTCTTGTCTCGAACCTCAATCACCTTCATTAGCTCCTTCTGTGTGGGTTCCAGCAACTGGCGGAAGACATCTGAGGTCAGAGGAGGCTTTTGGCTCAAGGTCGCAACTAAGATCATCTCCCGCTGGGCAGCAAACAAGTCGCGAACATAATTGGCCTACAGTAGCGTAAAGAAAAAGGGTCAATGCCGGAAAGAAGGAAAAGAAGCGTGATAATCACGACCCTGGTTCGTGGTGGCCGTGTGGCGTGTGGCGTGTGGCGTGTATCATGTTATTGTTGCTTTGTTGTTTGTATTCAGGCACAAAACGACAGAAAGATACGCGTGGAGAAACAAGAGAAGCAAGTCAATTGAGGTGTGGGAGTGCGTACCTGCTCTTCAACAAGGCCACCGACAGCCTTACTGAGGTCGTAATAGCCCTTGGCGGGTCCGTTCAAGAGCTCATCAAAGCCCTCGACATGGGGGTGGGTGGCATCCTGCTGGGAGGAAGCAGGTGCAGATTCGGCGAGCTGGGAGAGCTGGCCCTGAGGAGCGTGTGCGCCGCTGCTGCCGGTCAATGAGGACGACACGTTGGAAGAGGATGCGCCGGCCATGGCCAGGTCCTCGAGCTTTGTGGTGGCAGCTTCGAGTCGCTTGAGGAGCGACGAAAGGGACGAAATCTCTGCCATGTGGGTGGGTAAGTGAAAAAAGACGCAGGAAAGTTGATGCGGTTGGTGTCCGTGAAGTGGTTGTCGTGAGGAGAAAAAAGAGAGACCAGTAAGGTGCGTGAAAAAGTAAGTATGATTGTGTGAAGAAGAAGCAAAGAGAAGTAAAAGAAGAAAAGAAAAGCAGTTAAAATACTGATTCCTCCAACGAAAAAAAAGGGATGGTGACGCTTAAAGGTTGAAAGATGCAAAAGATAGGAATGCTCACAGCAGGGATCGAACCTGCGGCCTTTGCGTTATTAGCACAACGCTCTACCGACTAAGCTATGCGAGCCGTAACCAATAAGCTAAGCGAGAGGCGAAAGCTCATTTCGATGTTTTTTTGGGAATTTTGCTCTATTTATTTACTAACTATTCTAACATATCCATAAGTGCACGACTCCCACAGTCTGATTTGAAGGCGAAATTTTCCTTAAGTGCACGAATCAATGATGGAGAGGATGGGAAGAATCCCCTTCATTCGTATCTAGTTTTATTTTCTTCCGTTTAAGCTGTGAAGAGCAGCGACAATTGTTGCGCAGAGCCAGGTTCTGGACCGGACTGCGACTGGTGGATGGTGCACTGAAGAGTTTGGTCTGTAGTTCCCTTTTACTTCCAAATAACTTCTCTATGCTGTTTGTTAGAGAAATAAAATTGTGTACAAAAAAAAAAAAAAACTTAAGTGCACGAAAGTATGAACATGAGACAAAATACCCAAAAAAAAAATCTCGCTCGTTTATCGTACGCATGCTACATTCCTTTCTCCTCTAGTACGACCCATTCGCCGTCCATCTCCGTGTTGACGCGCTGAGGTATAGGCGGTCGTCGCTGACTGCGCAGAGACTGACTTGGGTGTAAAGGACGGTCAACTCCAACAACAGGTGACTGTGCCAGTGGCGGCTGATGCTGTATCAGTGCCTGTTGCTGTTGAGGCATGACACCAACCCCATATCCTTCAGGCGCTCTCTCATTGAAATCCTCTGGCCGTCTCCATCTCTCCGCACCAAGTCTAGTTCCTTTTCCATTCGTCTCTGCGACTCTCCCTGATCGAATACTCGGCGGGATTTCATGGATCTTGGGTAACGCTCCTGCCATGGCCGCCGAGAGTGTTGCTGCACTGTCCTTGCCTCTCAACCCTGCATCCTTAACTCCCTTCGGTTCCTTCCACTTGCTCTTCTTCTTCTTCGACGATGACCCTCTAAAATGCAGCACGCGGCTGCTCCACGAACGGGCCATACTCAGTACAGGACGACTACTCTTCCTGGCGCCCGCCTTATCAGCTTGACCGCTATCAATTTCGTCCCCGACTCCAGGTGCATCCGATCCGATACCCGTCTCATCATCGTCATCATCGTCATCGTCGTCGTCTGACAGCTGATAATCCGTCTCATCCGACTGACTCAGACTATCCAAGTCATCGTCCTCATAATCCTCATCCATTTCCGAGTCTAGTCCCTCATTCGCAACACGGCTCATATACTTTGACCGCTGGACCGCCAACTTAATCGTCAAGGGCACATTGGGGATCGCAGCACGGATGATAATCTTGAACAAGAACACTACATGTTCAAAAACTAGGATGAACCCTAGCTGGGCGGCGAGGAGCTCTTCATCCTTGGTCGCGTGGAGGTACTTGATGAAGAGGTTCTGTTTGATCCAGAGGGAACTAAAGGCAATAATAGCTGCATTTGTGATGACCGATGTGAATGACACGAACTCCATGATTTTCTCCCACATTCCTATCACAGAGACGATGTGAGTGTGGTTAGGTCCATGAAGCATGAAAAGTGAATAAGGGGCCATTGGTCAAACACACTGGAGCCCTGAAGCTGCCGTAATTTTTTTTACCAATGTCCTGAGCGCGATAGGCGATGGGTCTGCGGTACTGTGTTAGCAGGCGATATGCCTCCATCCGAAGGTCAACCCAATTATTGATCAATGCGAACGCAGGGGCCACAGGAAACGACGTGACGAATAACGTGCAAAACCCAAACTGAATAACTAGCAAACATTTTTTTTTTCATCGAATCAGTTGTGGTTAGTACCGCCTTCGATATTAAAGCAAATAAACAGCAAACTGTCTGTGAGTGAGTACCTGTTTTCCGATAGCATTTCAGAATGCGACCGTCATAGCTGGGGAGTTCATCATCCTTGACCCATTGTGGCGTCCTGTTCTGTTTCCGCGTCTTGAGGAACTCTTGTCTCTTCAACGCTTGCTCCGCAAGAATTTTTTTCCTGTTCCACGTCTTCTTGATCCACCTACCAAAATGAAACCATTTTTTTTTTTCCATTAGCATTTGCACCGTTATTCTGTTACTTGTTCCGCTGCACGAAAACCCCTCCCCGAAGGCGACAACCATGCATGCGCCATTTCACAACTTACGGGAAGACCATCTCGAAGAGGCCGTTGAGGAACTGTTTTCCGATGAACACGACTGCAAGCTGGACGGTGAGTTCAGTGATGCACGAGTCGTAAAGGCATGTGTCCCTCAGATCAGGCCTGTGCAGCAACTTGCCACCAAACTAAAAGAAAAGAAGAAAAGAAAAGCACCGTGAGTAAATGGCCCTAACTACCCTCATTGAGACAAGCAATACTCATCGCAAGGAAGCTGAAAAAAGAGGAAGCGATGAAGGACATACTGGAGCTTTGAAGAATGCGTAGTAGAACAGAGTGGCGTACATGTTTGCAAAGTCAAATAGATATCGTTTGATGATGAGAGAATCTACGCGATTGAAAGGAGAGATACAGGTTTAGTTGGTCGCACAAAAACAAGAATAAAAAAAGTTGATTATTTCTTAAAGCACATTACCAATTCAGTTACCTTCATAGGCATCGGTGTATTTGTGGTTCTCCTTATCGGTCAACCATTCCGCCAGACGACACCATATCTATCATTGTCAAAAATAACACAGTTAGAAAGACCATTGACACCAAAAGAAAGATGAACCATGACATGACTGGTATCTCTTACCTCTCCAAGAATAATAATGATAATCAAATTGAGCATAGCAGTAGCTACAATCGTCGCATAGGGGCCGCCAAGATGGTGTCTGCACCATGACTTGAATACCATCAGACAAGCAACCGATCCGATAACAACCAACACCTAGAAAATCAAACAATCGATAGAAAAGCGTTAGCAACAACGAGAGAGTGGGAGAGAAAATAGACAGCTACTCGTACAAGAGCGAACGTACGGCAATGATGACGGCGACAGAACTGGCAATGAGACGTAGCGCCTTCCAGTAGACAGGATAGTACAACTCGCGTTTCCCTGTCACGGGCGAAAACCGGACCATGGTAGCTCGAAACTCCGTTCTGGGAAGCTCAACTCTCTCGTAGTCGATCATGTTCCAGCGAAAGGCATAGTACTGGTTGGCGCGCTTCCAAAATTCGATGTAGACTGTTGACCACATTGACATGAAGAGTGCAAACGGCATGGTGAGCACGTTGTCAAAGATCGCGAACAGGGCATTAGGTGTTGCATCTAGCTTGTTGAGGCTATGTCGAGAGGTAGAAGTGAGTTGGAGAGAGAAATGAAAATTGGATTTTTGCGAAATTCATGATGTAACGGTACGCAAGAGCCGTGAACTCTCTTACCGTGCGGCGTTGATGACACCAAAGACGAACACTGCCATTCCTACAACAGCTGGCAGAGTCAACCACTTAGTATAGTGGCCCAGCCAGGCAAAATAGACGCCAATCCGCTCGCCATAATATGCGTTAACGAGGTCCAACGGTTGGCTCCTCCAAAATCGTCGCGCCCATTTGACTCGAAGCTGTGCTCTGTAGTTTGCCTCGCTCATCGACTTTGACTGCGACTTGAATGGTCCATCATGCAGTGCGAATCTATGTGAGGGTCGAACAGGAAAAAAAAGGAGTCATGAGTAAAAGACGTTGCGGTGTGACATAAGAGCAGGCCTCTTCAGTCTAAAGAACAAGTTGACGTACAGTTTTTGGTATGCACCACGCCTCAGAGCGGATCGTAGACCCATCTTGCGACCATAGGGGTGGTTTCTGGACTCTGTTCTCATCATAATACTGTTCACCTAAGTGTCCCATGAAGAAATAACAAAACGAGGCGAGTGAGTTCGCCTGCAATCGAAACATTACTGCTCCTTCCTACTCATTAAAGTGAAATATAAGTGCAATCTACCAAGTAACCTCGACGACTGGTCTGGAAAAAGCCTGGTCGGCTGTCGGTGCCAGAGTGAGATCCACCATGAGTCCCGTCTTTCCGGATTGCGCCAGCATGTCGCACGACATCGGACCATCTCCTACCTGGCTCTGCAAGATGGAAATCGGTGAGACGGGCTGTCTTGAACAACACAGCCTCTCTCCGCTGCTCCAGTCCAGGTTGATTCAAGCAAGGGAACAGTCGCGAGATAGATGGAAAGATCCTTGAAATGTATGGGATCGAAGGCAAGATCGAACTCTAATAACAAAGAGAAAAATGTACCGACCATGTTTTTAGTGGCAAACAAAAATAAGCAAAAATGAGCGATAGAAGAGATTGATTAACTTACGGCGAGTTCGGCCTTGCAGTTGGTTGTCTGTGCCTCCTCTGCGAGTCTCCAGAAAGGTGCCAGCACTTTCACATAGACTGCATCCGAGTCGATCGACTTTTCCAACTCCAGAAATAACCCTTCCTTCAACATTGCCAGTTGAAATTCACGTCGATGGAGCTGGATCTTCCACTCCCTCATCTTAGCCTTGCTCGGTCGTTGACTCCTTCGTTTCCGAATGCGTCGATTTCCATCTGTTGCTGGTTGCTGCTGCTGTTGTTGCTCTTCTTGACCGTACACATGGGGTGGTGACTGTTGCTCGTTATGAAATGGTATTGAAAATGATGGTGCTGGTGGTGGTGGGTATGGGCCATATTGGTGAGGGGTATTGATATCTGATACATAACTCATTCCGCTGATTTGCGCAGAGTTGCTAATGACAGTCGAGGATTGAACACTCGGAAACAGATCTGTAGAGCAGTCTAGTGGCTCAAGAGGTTGAAAAGGGTATCGAGGTGGCGACACTGGGACACCATCTTGTTGTGGTTGTTGTTGAAACATGGAGGGACTGTTCAGGTATGCAGTGCTCGAGTGGGGTTGATCTCCTGTGATATCCCTTGGAGTTGTAGGTGAATTGACTGAATAATTGATGGACGAACTTGGCGATTGTGGTCGAGTAAACAGCTTCGCCGGTGAGTGCCGGAGTCGCGAGATGATCGAAGGGCAACGTTTTACAGAAGGCGACGCTGCTGAGTCCATAGTAGTCTGGTTGGTCTGTGAAGGCTGGTAGGGAGATCCCAGTGGCGATTGCAACCTGAATGATCCGTCACCTCCAGGGCTTTGTTGATTGTTTGTAACGGGGGGCCGCGCAGCGATGGATGGTGAACGTAAGGATTGGCTATGTCGGTTGTGATTGTCAAAGAGGGGTCCTAGGTCTTCGTGGGATGCGCTATACTTGAGAACCAGGTCGAACGCCTCTGTTGAATACACAAGCTGAGCCAATGCATCGGACCCCCTTGCAGAAGCTGGATATGACATAGCATGGACTGGTTAGATATTTTCCTCTTTCATCTCCTTGCTCAAAAAGGAATGAATATGAGTGCATGAAAAATATAGCAAGTTACCAAAGGCGTCAATAGCATCATCCACCCATAGGTCCGGATGCCTCTCCTTCCAATCTTGAATGGCGTCAAGGAGATCGGCGTCGGCTTGATACAGTAGTTGAACCACTCGATAGCTGCTCATGCTCCTGGTGATGACCTTCAAATTCTGTTGATCTGCTAACTCTACCGCAGCTGCTGCTTGAGCTTCTGTGGTCTCTCTAACGGTGCGGCGAGTAGAAGAGTGGCGACTTTTTCCTGACCTTATCGAGTTAGGCGAAAGAGGGATGACGGATGGTGTAGGGGACTCGACACTCCTAGAAAGGTGACCGTGCGGACGAGGGGAGAGCTGCAGTCGGTCGACTCTTCTCTTACGCTCTCTGGTACTAGACTCTGCTTGTGAATCCATATCGGAACGCGTTACTGATTGTCGTCCATGATTAGAGGATCGGGCAAGGTCGTCCATCCCCGCTTCTGCAAGCAGCTGAGGCATGGAAGCAGATGAGGTTCTGTGGAGATGGCGGTGTCGTGCTCTGGAGCGTTCGCTCACAGTGGATGCGCGGTCGATAATTCGAGAGTCGATGTTGTGGTGGGTGACATCTCTGCGGAGGGAGTTGTGTATTCGAAGGGGACTGAGGAATTGCTGAGGGCCGATGTGGGGAGTGGCGTTAAGGTGAGAGTTGAGATTGTTATTATCTACTAGTTGGTGACGGATGACGCTGTGGTTGGTGTCGATGATGTCTGAAGGTGCCGGTGAGGTGGATGGTGAGGAAGGTGATTGGTGCTTCTGTGGGTGGTGTCCATTGTTGGGCGAAGTCATGAGGCACACACTTGTGGCGAGGTGTGAGGAGAGGGGAAAAGAGCTGTTGGGAAGTGAGGTGTTGGAAGAGGAGAAAATAATGAAATGAGAGAAGAGGAGGGAAAGATTTTTTTCATTCGCGTTTGATTCACACCATCAACTAGTTTGTTCAGAATCACAGCTGTCCAGTCAAAAGATGAAATGGAAGAAAGAATGAGAGGATGGCCTGATGCGATGTCGACCTGGCGACCTTTTCTCTCTTATTGATAGAAAGGTGCAGGCATAGAAACATCTTTTGGTTGGCAAGTAACAAACAATAAAAAATCAGAAGAAACAAGCTATTCTGCAACGAGAGAATGCAATCCTCAGGGAGAGTGAAGGAAGTGCGGTTCAAGGAGAGAGGACATCTCTTTTTCTCTCTCCTTTACTCCTGATGGAGAGAGAGGAAGGAAGATAATACACGGAGGGGTTGAAGGGGGTAGAAAAAGGAGTAATACAAAGGGAAGGCAAAGAAAGGTAAGGCAAGGGTCCAAAGGAGCAAAGTCTAGTGATATCTAAGCACACATTGACTATGACGACGAGCTTGGACTTTGGAGGCCCAAGGAGAAGGGACTTGTTCCCAAGGGCATACAAGACACACAGACATGCACACAGACATGCACACTTTATCAGTTTGAGAGCCCACGGGTATTTTAAAGTGATGATAATCACTGATGAATGAGGGTTTCGGAGGGAGAGGATCGCTTGTGAAGTGGTGGTGGATGGTGATGCTGACAGCACAGCCTTCCTTCCGGACGCCTTTTTTTTTTATCTGATGGCCATAGTTTAAATGGTCATATATGATCAAATAATAAGAGCGATCGGACACGCATGCAGACGTATGCTAATTAAACAGCAAAATGCATGAATGCTACTAGAACAAAGATACAAAAAACAAAAGAACCGTTAGAGAGAAAGGAGACGGAAAAAAGGAGATCGAATGAAAACTTCAAACGCGAACGCACGTTCCCACTCCAAGGTACCCATGGGTTCGTAGCAGTGCCTTCAGTCCTTCTTTTGTTCCTTTTCCTTGTTTCTACTCTCCCTCTCACTACTCTTGCCATCAAGTGTTGCAACCCGCAAGCTGAGTTCGTTTTTTTTATTATTCGTTCGAAATTTGATAGACTTCCTTTAGTTGGGAGTGTTTTTCCTTTAATCCCGAGCGAGAGACATTCCTAAAACATAGACAGGAGACAAAACAAGACAAGAGTCGAGAGCTAGGTGAGAAGTTTTTGTCGTTCGTGTGATTTAATTTGTGAAATGCACACATGGGGGAAAGGGGAAGGAGGAGGAGTAAACAAGAGAGTTTGTCCATGTGTGCACATGTGCAGCACTTTTGTTTCGATAAAGGCACCATAGGAGAGACATAATGAGCATGAGATGGGAGTGTGGGAGTAAAGTTGAGGATAGAGTAGTTTGAGGTGTGGGTAGTAAAAAAGTAGAGTAGGTCATCTCTCACCCAGCCGCTCTCCTTTCCTTTTTGACTTCAGGTGGTCGTCCTTCTTCCCCTCTTTCTCTTTCACTTTCTTGCCTCGACAGTCGACAAGCACCCATACCCTGTTTTATCATCAATTGCGCTCACCTCCACCCTCGTGGTTAGCAATCAACCAACTAACAACAACAACAACAACAACAACAACAACATTCTCTCCTTTATTCCCCCGCATCCAGTTCTCGCCCTTCCTTGTTCTTCGTCTTCTTCTTCTTCCTCCTCCTCCTCCTCTTCCTCCTCTTCCTCCTCCTCCTCCTCCTCCTCCTCTTCTTCTTCTACTCCTCCTTCAGCCTCCATACTCTCACTATACATCTCTCTCAATAAACAGCATTCACTCCTCGCACTCACTCTTCCTTCTTTTACATTCCTCCTCTCATCCATCATCGTCATCATCCTCTTCACGAACACTCACTCACCCGCTCATTCATTCACTCACTCACTCATTCGCATACGGGCCTCTTGTTGCTACATTCGCCCATTCCCTTCCCACCCTCGTCTGAAAGTTCACATTCACTCTCAGACGGAATCGAACCGCCTTCTTCCTTATTTGTCTCACTCATATACAAAACACACACCTACTCCAACACCGACACACCTTCTGTTCTCATAATTGGAGTGTACACAATAAGCTGCTGCCATGGGAAACGTATCCAGCGCAGACCAGGATAAGGTCAACGAGCTACTCACGCGGAGAGCCAAGAAAAAGTTCATCGCTTCTGAACGCAAACAACGACAGCAACTCCAGAAACTGCAGGTCCAGCAGCCCAAACTCTCCGAGGACTCCCCTTCCAGCCCTCACGTCCTCATCCTCAACGACAACAACAACAACGTCGACTCTGTCCGTCAAGCAAACTTCTACTCCACTCGTATGGCTACATCGCCCAACAGTCCCCGCCCTAGCAACAACACCTCCTATGCACCGTCAATCGTTTCCCCCACCCATACCCATTACCATTACAAGTCATCCTCCGAGAACTCGCCCCTTAGTCCAACCGTCTCTGCAACGGCCCTCTCAATATCGGCCTCCACCACAACCACCTCCCTGTCGACACATGTCTATGATGCATATGCTCCAATCAAACCCACTCCCTCTCAGGGACCCTCCAGTCCCCTCCCCTCCTCACCAGTCGCAATTCCCCGGCAAAACCACCCCGATCACCGCTATCAACGGCGAGAGAACAGCCTAGGCACTGATTCAAACGGTGGTGGTCCATCCCTCTCTCCCACTAGGCACGACTTTGACCACAACTCCAACTACCGCCAACAGCAGCAACAACTCTCTGCAGACCTCCGTCTCCTGGGAACCTCTCCCGAGGCTAAGGATTGGCTCAAACAAAAGCCCAGGTCCTCGGCCCACATGCTTCACCAGTACAACTTTCACAGCCACCAGTATTACCAACCACCAGGGAGCGTCAAGATCGTCAACAACACCTGTCGCAACATGTCTGGCCTACCCCACGTGCCCACCCTCAGTCGTGCCAACACCGGCACCCCTGCCTGCACTCCTGCCAGCCCCGTATCGTCTGTCAATGGCACGAACAAGCCCTCAGCCCCTCCATCTGTTCCGAAACCGCGACCAAATTCTATCACGGCAGCGGCGGCGGCGATGGCGGCAGCAGCAGCCTCCCAACCGGAGACTGTCCAGAACCATTCAAACCCCGCCCAAGGCGACGGCCCCTCCAACTCGCCATCGACAACCCTCTCGGAGCAAGAGCATCAATTTGATGGACACTTTTACGGCCACGGACATAGCATCACCCCTGCCAGTCCTCCTCCTCTTCCCCCTGTCTCTAACCCAACCTTCCAGAGTCTGAAGAAAGAGCCTCGGGTGGGTCGGCTGGTCATGTCATGGTCCAAGCTCAATACCCCATCCATCTCCTCCCTTTCCTCGGCTGTCTCCTCTAGTTCGTCTCGCCTCTCTGCCGGATCGACACCCGGCTCGCCCATCGACCTACAAACTCCAGATTCATCCCTCACCATCCCAACAGCATCCGAGCAGATCGAGCAACTGACCACCGACTCTACTGACCTGTACGATCTCCATCCAGGATTGCGACCTAGTTCTACTCTGTCCTCCCTTCGGTCACTGTTTGGCAACCATCCCCAGGGCTTGTCGCTGATCGAGTCATTAGAGGAGGAGGACGAGGAGGATGGCGTTGACTCTCTTTCAGACACAGACTCGGAGAGCTCCGAGTCCGAGAAGAAGGAGAACAATGGTCCGAAGTCAAGGAAGAGACCCACTCCCAACTTTGCCTGGATGGAAGAGAGAAAACGACTCAGTGCATCCAGCATCCCAACTATTAGCCACAGTGTGCATGACAGGTATGTTTCAAAACCTTGGGTCCTTATGATACAGCATTTTGTGGGCCGCCACATGGCAAGAAAGCAAAAGGTGTCAGGACCTTATTAATAAGAGTTTTTTTTTTTGTTCTTGTTCATTCTCTTCCACTGCTCACACACAGTCAAAAGGGTCAGCACGCTCTGTGGAAGTACATTGGAGGAGGGAACGCTCACGCTCCCCTTCGATACGATATTGACCGAATCCTGGATTCTGGCTGCGGACTGGGAGAATGGGCTATGGTAAGTTATCCAGTTTTGAATCATCGCATAGATTTGACTGTCTCACTGTTATTATTGTGGTGTCGCACAAGAAAAAACAAACAAACCTCAAAATGGGCAACATGCCGGCTGCACTGTTCCCTTTTGTGCTTTGTTTTTCGTTCATTCTTCCTCTCGTAATATTTTTTGACGCCCTCAACTCACCCATTTTTTATGTCGTTTCAATCTAATGTAGGAAATGGCAAAGGAGTATCCAAGCGCAACTGTTTACGGTGTCGACCTCAACCCTGACCTGTTTCCTGGCATGTCTCAACCAGTGCCGAGTAACTGTCTCTTTGTCCAGTCCAACATCTTGAGTCGACTTTCGTTCCCGGATCACTACTTTGACTTTGTGTACCAGCGGTTCCTGTATCTCGCACTCACTATTGATGACTGGCCTGTTGCCCTGAAGGAGTTGCGTAGAGTGATGAAGCCAGGCGGGTGGATCGAATTGTTTGAGCCCTGCATGCGAGTTCACCGGGCAGGACCAAGGACGCGGGAGGTGATGCGTTGGATCTCTAAGTTGTTGCAGGAAGAACGCGGACTGGATTTTGACTTTGCAGGCGAGAAAATGAAGCGTCTCTGCGAGTCGGAGATGGTGGGGTTTCAAAACGTCAAGTTGGAGAGACTCTCGATCCCTGTTGGAGCATGGGGTGGACGGGTAGGCGAGGCCATGGCTGAGAACATGGTGCTGATGTTCCAGAACCTGCAGGCGGCTCTTCGAGAAAGTGCCAGTTACCCAAAGGACGCAGCGTCAACTAAGGCATATGGAGTGATGGTGCAGAGCTGGATCCGGGAGTGTGAGGAGAACAATTCGTATATTGACTATTACATCCTGGTCGGACAACGCGCGCCCTAATAAAAAAAAAGCGAGAGCGCTATACCCTCACATTGTTCGTTCATCTTTACACCCCAAACAATGGTTTATTTCCTGACACAGTTTCATTTTTGGTCAAGCTGATTTGGTTGGCCATTGATCTGCCCTTTTTTCTCCGTCGCATGCTCCTTCGTTCATTCCCCTTTTCTTTGCTCGTTCTTGCTTACTTCTTTCTTTGTCATTTTATCCCAAGGTACATGTACAAAGAGCAGACTACGGAAAGAGCCATTATCTTTCATTTTGATAACACAGATGAGAAACAAGACGGGCCATTGGTTCAACGAGACCTGAAGCATCACGAGTCCACAAGCAAGGTTCTCTCCCACCGACCCCACCTTTTTTTTTTTTCATAAACATGTTTTTGAGTCCGGATTTTTAGAGAAGGACTCGGATTGGAGAGAGATAGGAAATCAAGTTTGAATCTTGCAGGGCCAATGCATGTTGTACCTTTTTTTTTGTTTCTTATCGGTCTAGATCTTTTTTTTATTTTTGCCCTTTGTTTCTTTTCATCTTTGTTTTGATTTGATTTGATTGACTTTCCACCCTTCTTGGAGGCAGAAGAAAGGGAGGCGTCGGCATAGATATGAGTAAATGGATAGGAGGAGTGGGCGCAGGATTCTCGAAATGCTTAAGGCTGTACACACTAGCCCTCCTTCTTCAAGTTCACAAGGCACTCTCACTCTCGTCAACCCCATTCAACCACATCTCCTTCCCTCTCTCTCTCTCTCTCCCCGCCTCTCTCTCTCTCCCCCCCTCTCTCTCTTCTCAACTCCTGTGACCAAACTACCCCAAACGCACACAAACTGATAAAGAGAAGCCTCAGGAACAAGAGCCGGATCGATCTCAAACTGATTTTCGATTTCTTTTTCTTTCCTTCCTTCCTTTCCTTTCCTTGCCTTTCCTTTCCTTTCTTTGTTTCTTTTTTATCGGTTTATCATCTGGTGCGACGAAGCGTACTTGTGCAACCATGCTTTGATAGACGAGATATCGATGTGGAGGAAACAGGTGAGAAGAGAAACTATGTCAGAACTTTAGAAGGATTGAGAGTGGAGAGATGAGAGAGGGAGGGAGAAGGAGAGCAAAGCTAACACACTCGTTTCCTCGACTCATCCTTCTTTAACACCAACATTATCACACTGCAAAGAAATGTGTGAGCAGCTCGCTTTCTTCTCTTGCCTCCTCCACTGTTACTCGCCTATGATGCCCTTTACCCTTTCTCCCTTCCTCCTTTTCTCCCTTTCTCCGGATAGGCTGTTTTTGGCCAAGATCTTAGGGTGTTGTTCTTGAGATTATGATGAACTCTAATACCAATTCATTCGGGTCTTCTATTCAAAGCAGTCGAGTAAGAGCCACTCACCTTTCAGTCGATTCTTTTGGCTTTACCATCTGTCTACAGAAGCTGTAGTTTCTCAACTATCAATTGTCCCCTGCAACCTCTTTTTGTTCTTTCCTTGATTGTTTGTCAACTCGCTTCCTTGCTCTACGGGTTGCGTAGTCGAGTTTCTTCACTCTTTGCTCCCTTCAAATTTGATTTACAGTGTACCTCGCATGATATTTGCCCTGGAGGATCAAGGTTTCGATAAGATCATCAACAGAAACGAGGAGAGAGGGACCTGAATGAGAGCCTCAAACCTTCGATTTCATATTTCCACAAAGGAAAAAAAAAAAAAAAAAAAAAGGGTAGGCAGGGCACTTGTTCGGTCCTTTTTTCCGTCGACTTCTTTGCCCTTCCATCTCCCACCCCCTCCCACTCTTCGTCTCGTCGTCAGCTTCAATGTTGTATTGAAAGCAAGGGAGTGTGGGGATATTTTTTTATCATGTCTTTTCAATGCAACTCAAACATGCGAATTGAATAATGATAAACAACAAATGAACAAAAAAGTGTTCTTTTTAGTCAAACATCAACCACCCACTCGTAGGACGCATAAACAAACAATGAACTTTTTCGCCCTGGAACAGAGACAAAACCAACGTCCAAGGGGAAAGGAAGAAAGAGGAAGAGAGTTTCGATGTGCCTGCCACACTACTGACCCCTTTATCCATCCACTCTTTGTTTGTGTACCACTGGCCAAGACCACCCATTATTCTTGTTGGGGGGAGGAAACAGTTTATTCACTGTCATCCATCTTCACAATGTATTGTATAGGAACTTCCTACAATCCTCCGGTACAGTGAAGAAAAAGAAGACAATGACAGTGAACCCTCCATGGGTTAACCGGCTACTGGAAATGAATTTATTTTTCCTCATGCTCCGTGTGAGTGTTATAAAAAGGTGCGCGGATGATGAAAAAAATGGAAAAAAAACCGACGAGAGCGAAGGTGTGAAGGGAAAAGAAAAAAAATGTGTTATTTTTGTGGGGTCGAAACCCCATCGGTGTCGTGTGTCGTGTTGTCGCCGTTTTGTTAAAAGTAAAGTACGACTTGTCCACGGTCAAGAAGAGGAGACCTCAAAAGGTTCAAGGTCAGCTCAGCCAAAAAGAAGTTGTCCAAGATCCGGTTCAGTCCAGGTCAGTTTAGAGTCTCGAGAGTGGAAAGGAGGGTAAGGATGAGAGAGTGTGTTTCTTGGTGGTTGTCCCTATGTCGTTCGATAGTTCGAATGGTTGACTCTGTTCATGGGGAGCAACCCCATTGATGATTGTGGGCATGAGTGTTCGCACTTGTTCGCCGAACAAGGTGATGATTGTACGCCCATGTCGGACGAGCGAATGGGCCGTTAATTCCTCACCACCCATTCATTTCTGAACAATTCATTCCGCCGAGGGTGTATTCAAACTCCAAACAATATTTAACCCTCCCTTCTTTGTCGCCCATTCCCTTTTCTTTTTTCTCCTTTTCTTCTTTTCTCCTCATTCCTCTTCACTCATCCCCTCCTTCTTTCCTCATCACCCTTCACCCTTCACCCTTCACCCTCACCTTTACCCCTTCTCCACCCTTTCTTCCTCCTAGAATATCACAATGACCTCGTCCACCTTCCAAGAAGTCGTCAGCCAGTTTGTCCTCTCCAAGGAGCAGGTCGACAAGATTATCAATGGCCTCAACGACGAGCTCATCGAGGGTCTCTCGACCACCGACCCCAAGAACATCACCCAGCAGCCCTCCTTCATCACCCGTCTCCCCACCGGCAAAGAGACCGGTCTTTACCTCGCCATCGACATGGGCGGCACCAACCTCCGCACCGCTGCCGTCCACCTCCTCGGCGACGGTCAGGTTGGTGTCACCATGGAGAAGCACGAGATCACCCACGAGCTCAAGACCGGAACCGGCCAGGCCATGTTTGACTGGATTGCTGACTGCACCGCTGCCCTCTTGAAGTCTGTTGCCTTGGACATGGGCAATGCTGAGCTCCAGATGGGAGTCACCTTCTCCTTTGCCATCCAGTAAGTCTGCTTCTTTTATTTCTTTATTATTATTATTATTATTATTTTTGGCGTTGTGCGGTGTGATGCTTTGTGGGGGGATATGCATGCCACGAGTAGCAGTGAAATAATCGTCGACTGCAAAAAAAAAAAAGTATTCAAAAAAGAGACCTCCACCAGAAAATAAGAAAGCAAAGGGGAAAATTGAGCATGTCGTGGGAGCAATTGATGGGATACAAAAGACACAATCCAGTTAATCTTTTTTTTAATCGATCGGTTCTGTTCTAAACAAACAAACACAACACAACACAACACAACACAACACAACACAACACGAGAACAACAAAAACAACAATAGCAGCAACAACTCAATAACATTCAACATACTGATTAAGACCACAAGACGCGACGAGACATGGCGAGAAAGTGACGAGAAACAAACCTTCTAACCATTCAATCGCTCGTCCACTCTCTTCAATCCAAAAAAAATAGGCAGACTGCCATTAACCGTGGAAAGGTCTTGGCCATGGGCAAGGGATTTGATCTCTCCGATGTTATGGGCAAGGACCTCAAGGACTTGCTCGAGGGCGGTTTCGCTCGCAAGAACCTCCCCGTCACCGTCTCGGCCATCATCAACGACACCGTGGGCACCCTCGTCTCCCACGCCTACGTCTCGCCCTCGACCAAGATCGGAGTCATCCTCGCCACCGGCACCAACGCCGCCTACATCGAGCGCGCCTCCGAGGTCTCCAAGTACAACGGCCCCGCCTGCGACCAGATGATCCTCAACACTGAGTGGGACGCCATGGGCAAGGCAGAATACCTCCCCCAGACCAAGTACGACAAGGAAATCGATGCCGTCTCCCTCGTCCCAGGATTCCAGGAGTTTGAGAAGATGGTCTCTGGTCTTTACATGGGTGAACTCGTTCGCCTCGCCATTGTCGACTTGATCGAGCAGAACGCCATCTTTGAGTCCCTCGGCGGCAAGGTTCCCGAGTCCCTCAAGCCCCGCTTGGCCTTCAAGACCTTGTTCATGTCGACCATCGAGTCCGACAACGATTCCGGCCACTCTGCCGTCGACCGTGTTTTCAAGACTTCCTTCGGTGTCGAAGGTTTGACTGCCCAGGACCGCGCCCGTGTCTATGAGTTGATCCACACTATCGGCCAGCGTTCTGCCACCATGACCGCCGCTGCCTGCGCTGCCCTCCTCCACAAGGCTAACGGCACCTCTGTTAAGTTGGATGACGCCAACGAGATCACCACCATCGGTATTGATGGATCTGTCTTTGAGAAGTACCCCCACTTCTCCCACAGCATGATGGATGCTTTGACCGATATCTTGGGCAAAGACCGTGCCTCCCGCATCCGCTTGGAGCTCGCCCGTGATGGTGGCTGCATTGGTGCCGCCTTGGTCGCCATGGTTTCCCACTCTGGCGGAGCCGTCTAAGTTCTTTTCTCCCAGAACTAACAACATGCCAAAAAAAGCGGGAACACTTGTAACTTTTTTCCCTTCTTCCCAACCCGCATTATTTAATCTTCAGCACCACCCTTGTAAAATATCACCTCCGACCAGTTTTGAGCCGCCAGCTGAACAGCTCTTGATCCCTTGATCCCCAAAACAAAAAACAAAAAAGCAATAAACCGCGATGTCATCAAATCATCGCATCATATGATGTCTTTTCTGCATTGTTAATTGATGCGGAAATAAAAGGTCTTTACCTTGGAAGATATTCTGACTGCATTGTCAGATTAGTTATTCTGACATTACAAACAGATATTCTGGCAATGGATGTCAACTAATCTGATAGCAAAAAGATATTCTGGTAGACTACCATGCTTTCGCAAGAACAAGGACCATTGGCTTCACAAGGCTATCGAGACAGAGTGAATACTTTTTTTTTCCTCGACCGACACGACTGCCCATTAGTCCCTAGTGCCCTTGCTGTCTCTTGTCCATTTCCTTGCTCATTCCCTTATTCACACTCCTTTACGTTGTTGCTATTACAATACGCAACACCTCTGTACAATTAACATCATCAGTTCTTACACCTCATTACTTCATTTCCTTATGTCCTAGTATCTTACCTTGTCTCTTGTCTTATTTCTCCATTGTTTTTCTTTTCTTGCTTTGTCGCTATGACAGTTGCCGGTAATTTTGTTAATCGCTGTTTGATAATCCCATAAAGGATATGAAAGACAGAGATCCATCCTTTTAGAACACTCTTGAGAGTGATACCGCGGACGCGACCCGAAACATGCCATTGAAGGTTAGATCGCGCCCAGTATGTTGCATATCTGTGGTCGGCCTTTCATGATTAAAGAGCAAAAGTAAACGGATGATAACAAGGCCTCCGGCCCCAGTATTTAAATAGAGACCCCTAGGGTAGGAATAACGATTTCCTGTTCCTTTCTTATCAACTCTGATAGATTTTTCTAGGGATAAGCTTCCAAAGTGCTTCATCAGAGGAATATATTATTTGTCGTGCAGGGATTAACCATTCGGCTTGCCCTTTGTTCAAGATACCGCAATGAAACTCTTGTTTCTTGGCGGCATTATATCGGTGCGTTTTCCTGAGTGCCCTTTTCGTTAAATTAACAAATCTAACATTGACAGTTGTAAGAAGTATCTATTTCACGCGTTCCCATTTAAAGCCAGTGCTTAAAACAAGGAACTATCTAAACATTGGCCACCCATTTTTGGCGCCCTATACGGTGCCTCATAGTGCTTTTCTCTCATTGTCCTTAAACGGTCCCATTGGATTTTCAACCTTCGTTTAGCCTATTGCCATGGTTTATGGATAATCGTTGCCTATCATTGAAAATTAATCGTTGCCAGCGTCCCCATAGAGTCCATCATAGTGACGCCGAAAGCTCGGCCTCGCAGCGAACAGCTGGAGCCCCCCCCAAGCAGAGATTGCCAGCGAGAGAGACAGCAAGACGTTCAAATTTCAACGTCGAGTACTAGCCGTGAACTGCCGGCACACGCGATCACATTTCTTTTTCTCACCTCCCCCCCTGCTTCTCCTTACAATACACTATTTGTTTCGCATGCTTCTTAACCTTTGCTATGATCCATATGGAACCATGCATCCGATCATGTGTCAAGAAAAGTGCCATGCAAGCCCCCTTGACAGTGTTGCCGCGGCCCGGGGCTGGCTGGACAACAGTTAGTAGAGGGCAACGAGAGGAAAATACTATGGGACACCGTAAAAGGTGCCAAAAGGAGTGGCAATGTTTAGGTATTTCCAAAAGAAGAAAAAATGAAATGAACAAAACGAATCCAGGGGCGTCGTCCGGACACAAGCGCAAAAGAACAAGGAACAAAAAGTGAATGAGATCACGCCCAACGCGGGGGTCGAACCCGCAACTTTCAGATTAAAAGTCTGACACTCTACCGATTGAGTTAGCCGGGCTGCTCTGTTTCAGATCCTTGTAACCTGATTGGATACCGACCCTATTATTTAAGATTGATTAATATCAGCTACTACCAAATTTTAGTGCTGAAAATGATAAAAATCACTGAATCGAGCCGTTTTGGCCGTTTTAGACCCAAGATCGGGTTCCCACAGAGTGCTGATCTGGAAACCTCGGTGCTCCGCGACGATCGCGTGGGAGCAGACCCAGGGCATCTCTGCCAAGGACAAGACATCCAAGTACACAGGCCCCCGAGGTGACTGGAGTCAAGGATACGGTTACATCACGCATGATGGTTTCTGTCCGTGTGGCGCTTCGCTAGCCACACATTGTGAAGGAAGGTGCCCTGGGGCGACCAAGGACCCACGCGCTGCTGACGAGCGTTTGTTGGAGAGTTTGTTAGGAAGGAGGAGGTTGTCAATGATGGAGAGGATGGGAAGAATCCCCTTCATTCGTATCTAGTTTTATTTTCTTCCGTTTAAGCTGTGAAGAGCAGCGACAATTGTTGCGCAGAGCCAGGTTCTGGACCGGACTGCGACTGGTGGATGGTGCACTGAAGAGTTTGGTCTGTAGTTCCCTTTTACTTCCAAATAACTTCTCTATGCTGTTTGTCAGAGAAATAAAATTGTGTACGAAAAAAAAAAAAAACAAGATCGGGTTCCTGAATACGTCAAGCTAGGGCCAAGATCAAGGTCGGTTCCTGTGGTCCCGCACGTGTAGCTGTGGCTTTCAGTGGTTCCTAGGTCTTAATAACATGTGTATTGTTGAGAGAAAATTTGGCTTCTCCTTGGCAATTTATATTTGCGCTACTTTTGGGCTCCTCTGAAGGCTCTGATGCTACTCTCCTTTGCCACGCTTCAAGGGTGCAGGATTTGCTCAGGGTTGATGTCCGTTTCGCATCTGGGTAGAAGGGTGTCAACCATCTGCTCTGTCAACGAAAGTGCCACTAGTGAAAAAGGAGATATGAGAATAGAAAGCAAATTGATGTGGGTAGATTGGCCTAATTAATTTTTATATCGATAATTGCGAAACGAAACACGCGGCGTTCTATGAGGATGCTCCAATCCAATGGAAATGCGTACCTGTTGCTACGGGTGGACGACCGACACTTTTGTTGTACTCGTTCGCCTTGATGAGATATGTATCATAGTATCTAGTTGGTATTTGTTCCATGGAGAAGAACAGATGACAGATCGACTTATGTTAGTCGTGTTTTGAGCATTCGATGTCGCAATGGGTCAGCCAGATCCTACGAGTTGCAGTTGAGTGTTGAATCGTATACCCTCGACCGTGACCAAGACGCGTTCCTGTCCTGTCAAACGCCAATCCAGGCATGACAATCAAATCCAGCCCGTGCAAAGTCTCCAGTGCTATTGTACGAGGGAAAACGCAAAAAAGAATGCAGACAAAAAATACCTGTTAGTGTCACGTCAACAATGAACAACCAAGAACAGACGTACTACTAATGAAAACAAATGTCTCCCGAGCACAGAAACAAATGTTTTCTGGACACATAAACAAAGTACCGTTTTCTCTGGGGTAGTCCTGGGTTGGCTCCGGGATGTTCCAGCTGTTCTTGGGCAGGGACAGATAATCTTCCCACGATTCAATCTTGACCATATCCATGATTGGGCCCTTGCATCTTGGGACGTAGCAGTTCTTTTCTAAACAAGTTTGAAAAAAAGGCAAAGCCAAAGCCAAAGGAAGAGACGGATGATGAGGAATGTACCGAAGTAAACAAAGTGACACCAGAAAGGCATCTTGCCGACAAACAAATAAACAAACAACAAAAAAAACCAACGAAATCCTCCGTTCTTGACATCATTTCGGGATAGGGTATGGACAAACAGGTGTGGGTGGACGACAGACATACTTTGGTCGAGAACGGTCTTGATGATCTCTTGGGTGCAGACCTCACCGTGCATGCTGATGTAAACACTGATATTCTGGCTGGTTTTGAAGACAGGCATGTTCAAGAGCTTCTCTGTCACCATGGCGGCTGATTTCGAGGTGGGTAGATACGGCGCGTTTCAGCAGTGAAATTGGTTTGAGTGTGAGTGTGGGTCAAGGATCCATATGAATAATATATTGTAAGTGGGCGTAAGGGAAGGGCTAGAAAGTGGAGAGGGGGGTGTAGGTGTTATATGTGGGCGTACGAGAGACATGACGGAGGGAGGGTGTGTATGCGAGTATGTTGGCGAGCATACGTTTCTCGTGAAGTCATTTCAGTACATGCAAGGAGTTGTGATGGTGTGAATGAGGCTGGGTGGAGTGGTGTAAGTTACATTGGCGCTTGATCTCGTCGGGGGTGAGGGCAGCGAGCTTCTGTCGCATGTCCTTGCGGATCGTGTTCTTGAGTGCGCGCAGTGCTGGATTCATTTCGAATGGGTTGTCGGGTGAAAAGGTGGAGGAAGAGAAAAGAGAAGGTTTTTTTAGCTACCGTGTCAGGCACACTGACCACAAAAACAAAAGAAAAGCAGCGACTCAGTCTGAGTCAAATCCAATCAATCTCGCCTCGCTTCGCCTCCCCCCCTCCTCAGTGGTCTTTTCCTTCGAAGGGAGATGGGACGTAGTAACCGTTCGAGATCATTGTAAAAGTGCCCAGGAGAAAGAAGAAAGAACGAAGGGATAAAGAATGATGGAAGAAGGAAGGGACAAGGGAGAAGGGATATGGGATACGGGATACGGGATACGGGAGAGAATTGGGTCACTGAGATTCTTCTCTGTTGGTCGGTATCATGCAAGAAAGCAACAAGGGGAGAGAGACAGGGGGAGGGATGGAAGCATATATCAAACATGTTATACATGCAAAATCGTAAATAAAAAAAAGTAATAGCAAGGCCGTCCAGGCCAGTTTTCGTTTTGTTGAACAGATGGACTGTGTGATGACGATGCATAACAAAAACTATAAAACAGGGGGTGCGGCAAACCTTGGACTTTCGGGGGGTTTCTTCATCGCGATACAGCTGAAGAGTTCTTTCGAAAGAGACCATCGGCTCAACGGGACTTTTGCGTGCGTGCGTGTTTACGTCAAAAAGAGACGCCTTTTCTCTCGTCCTGTCTTTCCATTCCATCCATTCTCGCGGGGGGGTTTTTACCACTTTATCTCTCCGAAGCTGTCCAGGGAGAGAAAAATGAGAGAGAGAAGGAGAGAAAACATAGAGGCATGAGAAATGGAGGGAAGAGCATTCACGAGTAAAATGTAATAATAGGCAAGCTTGCCGCTATTTTTTAATAACCCATTCGCGCCTGATCTGCAATTTGAAAGCTCACTCTTTTTTTTTCTCTTTGATAGTTTGAACTTGACCCATGGCATTTATATTTCGACGGGTAGCTGGCCGTTCTCGCATCTCTCAAGATGGACAGGCATGAAGAATACGAGCTAGCTATTATTTGAAAAATATGGACCATGTCGAGGGGCATTCCTCGTGCGTGTTTGGCGGTTCTTTTCTTGATGGTCTATTACGCTGTAAAAATAGCGGTTTTAGCGGCAATCGTTGAATTATGTGCTCAAACAATAGTTGTTTTGTACACGTTTGCCTGTACATACCAGCAGATGGGCCTTACCTTTCTTGTCAGTCAGCCAGTCTACCAACTCACCAACTCACCAACCAACCAGTCCTCCTTCCAGTCAGCTAAAGCCAATCATTCAGCCGCTCAACCAGTCAGGACGTAACGAACTTACAAAGTGAACAAAAAAGCGGGTCTAATTGTAAGCCGCCATTTCGACATTAGTGTCCATTCTTCCGAGACCGCTTGTTTTGTGTGTGTATCCAAGTACATGCCGATGGTACATTTGACCAGGTGGGTTCCGATGGTGCCGGCATCTTTATTTTGGAGAAAATGAAAACTGAGAGAGCACCAAATAAAAAAAAGACGAGACAAAACAATAGCATTAGCACCCAAGGCATGCAGCTTTCGTCTTGGATCTTGGATGTTGTTTATTTTTTGTTCTTGGGTATGTATTTCTGTAATTGCTTCCAGCACCAATTGCCAATTGCTCATGTCTGGTCAGCCCGCCGTTCAGAGACATGAAGAACATCAATAAGAGACATCCGCTCCAAGACATGTTGTGACAACACCCAACGATGACCAGAACAGGTCGACAATACCCTTTTTTTTCTCCCGCTGCTTTTTTATTTGTTTGTCTGTCGCTTGCTTTGCTTTGCTTTACTTTGCTTTACTTTGCTTTGTGCTCAACTCAGCTCTCTTTTTTTTTAGTGCTGGCATTTTTGATTTGAGTGCCATCCCACCTGTGTTCAGCATACCCCATCCTGTGCTCACTCTTTCCGTTTTCAACCCTCTTTTCGCTTCTTTCCTCCTTTTCACCTCTTGTTTCTCTTTTTCGTTTCTCTTCTCTTGTTCACTCATATTTCTATACAGTAACTGGGCCATTCAATTCAAGGTACATTGTTGTTGTATTCTTTCTTTCTCCCGCGTTAAAAACATCGTGTTTTTTGTTGGTTACAAGCGCACCTCCTTGCTCATCCTCCCTTCCTTCCTTCCTTTGTTGTCTCCTCTTCCTCATCCTCTCCCCCTGCTCCTCGATTAAAAGAAAATATTATTACTTCAACCCCTTCACTTCACTTCCCTCCCTTCTTTCTCACTCTGTTCTTTCACTTCCCTTTTCCCTTTATTTTTATATTCTTCCTCTTCCCTCCCTTCTGGCCTCTCTTGCCACTTTAATACATACATCTGTCTCTCCTCCCTCGTTCACCCATTCACTCTGCCTTATCCTTGTACTCTCTTCATCCCTTCCCTCCTTCATCCCCCCTTCTTTGTAATTCCACGAACGACACTTGCAACAAACGTTGCAAACAAGAAGAAACATTTGCCCTTGCTTAACATCCCAATTTTGTTGTGCAGTTTGGATTAGGTTACTCTTGTAAGTTTGCCTTTTCAAACAAGAAAGAGTCCATCCAAAACTCAAAAGAAAAAAGCAAAGCACCATCTATTGCTCCTTATTATTGCCCTCTCTGTTACTCATTGCGACAAACAGTGGCCGCATTGGGCACTCTATTGTCGCAGCATTTTTGTTATTGTATTTTATTTTATTGGAGATCGCACCCATACACTCTTTAGTCTCCACTGGACAAGCAACATTGACAACAACAACAACGCACCATATCCCAACGACTCACCCTTCACTTCTCTCTTCCTTGTTCTTTTCTCTCTTTCTCTCCCTTCTCTCTCTCTCTCTCTTTCTCTCTCTCTCTCCCTCTCCTTTCTCTTTTCCCTTCCCTTTTTCATTTCCTTTGATCCAAACTCTCCATTTTTTTGGACATCAAGCAACCCTTCTCCGCATCCCATCCGCGCGAGTAGCAGTTGCATATTGCCCAATCTCCTCCCCCCTCTTTTACTCCTTTTCCCAGACCAACTCTCTCCCTCTCTCTTCGCTTCTCCTTCCTCGTCAGTCGCCTTTTTTCATTTCAACCCCCCTCAACAATACTCCTCTTTATTTTCTCTTTATCCTAACTTCCACTTTTCTCGCTCCTTGTGAGCTGCTTTTGCCATCCTCTTTCTCCATACCTATGAGGATTTGCTGCCATTGAGAGGTGCCAGAACGGCTTCATGAACCCATCCCAGAACAACCCTACCTTCCTTCCAGCACCTGTACCATACCACTCTCTTCCCACCTGAACACTCTCGACAGCAGCACCATTCGCAGCTTCCAACTTCCTCCCCCCTGCCAATGTTCAGTCCCGATACCACTTCTTCCTATGGTACACTAGGCATCCTTCCCATCAACGTCAACTCCAACATTCATCACCCCCACCACGACTATAACCACCACGACCGTGGTATCATCAACCCTCATATTCCATCCTATCACCGCGCCAACCGACACACCTACTCTTCTCCACTCAACCTGCAAAAGCACAGTCAAGGTCGCTACACAACTTCAAACTATCTCGCCACCTCTTCTTCCTCCATCTCCTCTCCAAATCCTCATTCAAATCAATCCTCCTTGCAGCTTCACCCCACAACAACTCAGGTTCAGCACATCCCTCACTCTATCTCCACCGCTGCCCCTGTTTCTTCACACGCCCTCAGTCTAAGCACCGCAGAGTTCGACGGCGCCTCTTGGAACTCTGCCCGACGCCACTCTGAGCTCCTTCAACAGCAGCAGTTACTCTACCACGACTTGTCTGAATTTCTTGCACGGACGGCCACAACCACAAGTAAAGCCACCGACAACAACGACGCGACTTGTACTACAACTGAAGAGACCTCCTACACTGTCGCAACAGGGTCTCAGCAATCAACAAAGACGTCTCTATCCACCATAAACGGAACTGCCGCCCAATTGGGCGGCAACGGCTACAACAACAACAACGACAACCACAGCAAAACCGACAACAATAACATCAAAGATTACACAGACATGTCATCCGACCTTGCGGCCGATGGAGACTTTATTGTCCGAGCATCACACGAATACCACACCGACAGTGACGGACACCTTTCGTTTACTCAGTTCCAGTATATCAAAGTGCGGCATTGTGATGCTTCAGGATGGTGGTTTGGCGAAAGCGAGAACAATCGTGGGTGGTTTCCCAGTAACCGCGTTGAAAGAGTCGCAGACGCTTACGAGTCAGAGGTAAGGAAGACAGTTATGCAAACACCGTGTTTTTTGTCAGTAATGAGATGAAAAGAAAAGCCATGACTGACATACTTATGGTTTTCTCCCATTTTTTCCTCTACCGGCTCTCTTTTGATCACTCCTTCACTCAAAACAGTACCTTTCACGACCAACCTCGGTAAGCGCTCAGTTGGTTGAATACTGAAATAGAAGTTGAACAAAGAAGGATCGTTCAAAAAGTCCAGGAACTCTAATTCCTTTGTTATTGTCTTGCTGCCAATGTGTCCATATAGATCACCTCGGAGGACTATGACCAGATTAGGACCGGACTGGATGGCGTGGAGATACAGTTCTTGGGCGAACCGGTAATAGAATCCCTTGTGGACAGCATACAACTGGATTGGGGAGCAGTCGACAACAGCGGAGCCGCCAGTAGCGCCACCAGCCATTCGCCTGCTGGTGGCCGGACCAGAGCTGGCCAGCTCGCCTTTCCTCCCACTCAGCTTTCCGTACCTCAACCTGCCTATGGCTCTGAAGGATCATCGACAGACATGGAGAGTGAGATGTTTTATCATCATGCCATTTCCTCGACCACCAGCGTCAACACCGCCGACATCACCTACGCATACTCGGATTTCGTCTCTGAAGTGACTCTTTATGTCATGGAGTTGCGGGATGCGACCTCAAAAGCCGAGCTCGACCGATATCAACCCATCGTCGCAAAAGTTTTTTCATGCGTCAAGGCCCTGCTGATCTTCACCAACACCATCGCTCGCGAAAGTCCCGTCTTGGCAACATACCCAGAGCTCGCACGGTCAAGACGAGTCATTCTCAGGGCGCTAGGAAAACTCTACTCCAAGTGTCGTGTTGCCAACGGATCGCAGACATTGACGACGACCCGACAGCGCCAATTCGCCACGGAGAAGCTTGGGATCTTTTCAGGACAGGTTCTGGAGGGCATCACCGATTTCGCAACATGTGCTCGCGAGATTGGACTCCGGATACGAGCAGAGGCAACCTCGACCCATGAAGGAGAATTGGAGATGGTCTTAAACGCTAAGGGGGAAGTCGACACTTCTCCACCCAACTCCAACTCTCACGGACGACCACGCCGACGTGTCTCCCGCGCCAACTCTGCCAAGGGGTTCAAGTCATTCAACGCCGTCCGACAGTGGAAGACGGAGCACCTTCAAAAGCACAATGCAGCCAAGAAGGCCGTTGAGTTTCTTTTGAGCGAGTACATGGAATGCTTGAACGGCAGCTTTGGCAGCAAAGGGCTCAGCGGAATCATCAGGACAACTTTGCAGTCGGCACAGGCGGTGGAGGCGTTTTATATCAGCGCGGACGACACAAAGGTCCGGACGTATGTCAAGGAGGACGAGCAGTACATCATCCACAAGACTCAGCTGTCTTCAACCCTCATCGAGCTATTCGAGTTCATTCATATTATGGAGAACGTATTGACTGTCAAAGGGCCATCGTCCGAGATTATACTCAACAGGCTGATGAACCTCGCCTCGGTTCTCCTCAAGTGCCTCATCGACTTGGAGATCCCATCAAAGGGTCAGAACTCGAACCAGGAATCACCGCAGTCCTCAACAAAGCGTATCTCTTTCAGTCAGGACCAACAAGATACTTTCCCATTGCCAGGATTCTCACCGACGCCATCTGAAGAGTCACAAATAGAAGCAGAGGAACGCCATATTCGGGAACACTTGGCTGCAAAAGCAGCAGCAGCCTCATCAAAGGGCACCACTTCAAGGAACACGGCACCAGCACGGCCCAAACAAGCGACCACTTCGACCACCAGCCAGGGATTCCCTCTCAACCGGAAATTCGCCTCGCTCACCTCACTTAGCGACCAGTACAAGCGACAGGTCGAAGGGGAGCATCATTGTGCAGAGTTGGATGCGTATGGCGAGGCGCACGATTTGGAGCGGAACCATGTTGACTTTTATCGGCCGAGCCATGACTCTGCGGTTATCATTACAAGCGGGAAGAACACTCCTCACCACAGCATAATGAACGGTCAGAAGGGAGCCAAGCCGAGCGTTTCCGTTGTCGAGGAAGATGATCACCGGTTCGAAGCTGCAGGTATGTGAAATGGTGTAACTGTGCCATTAAATATTTTTTAGAGTGAGATGACGCCTAATGCTCTCTTTTATTTTCAAATCACAGATCCTCATAACAACGGCAACGCGCAGGAGCAGTTAAACGGCGTTGTCAAGGATGCAGAGAGAGCCATCACAGCTCTGTATCTTCCTGTAACGGAGGCGATTCACCAGCTCGAGCAGGAGGATGCTCCCGCAGCCGTCAACATCAAGCAGCGAGGCAGTTTGCCCGTGCAGGGCGACCCTGCCGTCGCACACAACCCCAGGTCACCTTCACGACCCGTCTCGAGACTCCAGAACTCATTCGAATCGCGACCAATCAACCCTGCCACAAGGACTGTCCGGCCTGGCAGGTCTGCGCTGGTGCATCCTACAGCGACATCGCGGATAGCCAGGACCCAGCCAGGAGCGCCTAACACAAGAAACGGGCAGTCGCTTGTAGACTTGGAGTCGGAAGAACTCTCGCTTGAGAGGTCGGAGATGACAGGATTGGGACTCAGTATGCCAGCAAGTGCTCGTACCAAGAAATCATCGTCAGCAACATCGTCCGCGATCCCCAGCCAAGGAGCAGGTTCGGGAGCAAACATTCGACCCTCGGGAATTGCACGCGTCCGAAACCCCATCCCAGCGTCGCCCAGACTGGAATCCTCCAAGAGGATGCCACGGAGGGATCCATCGCCACACCCTCATAGCCCCAACATGACATCGGAGTCTCGCGCGTCCAACCGATCAGGAGGCCAAACCCACACCAACCTCGTCCCCGGAATGCCGTCCAGCTCAAGGAGAGGATCAGTGCAGTCCATTCGCAGCGAGGTGGCACTTCCAAGGAAATCGAGCGAGAGCCAGGCTATGCGTGAGCAGCGCGAGCACGAGCCCAGGCAAGATTATCAGGATCGTCGCCAACAGCAGCACCAGCACCAGCAACAATACCACCAACAGCAGCAGCAGCAGCAGAGTCAAGCAACAGGCCGTAGAGGCTCCAAGGTATCTGTGAATGGCTCATCCTTGCGATCAGAGGCTCAAGCCTCGAAAAGCGACGACAGCTTACTCTCTGGACTTTTGACCCCTACGACGCCTCACATTCAGACATTCGTGGAGGGGCAGGGCGCGAGGAGATCAGGAAAGACTCAACGCCGTGAGAGTGTGATCTCGAATCTGAGTGTCGCCACTGAGAGTAGTGTCCAATGCAGAAGTGGAGGACGTCCCCTCTCACCCAATCTGCGTAGTCGAAATAACAACCAGGATGCCAATAGTGTCAGAGGACGCGTCTCTACTGAAAGCACGATGAGCGTCCAACAGCAGTCTCGAGGAGGTCCGAGCCCTACCACTCTTCGAGCACGTCAGAACCGGACAGGACTGACAAGAGCCAGACTTAGCGGCGAGTTCAAACATGGAGCCACACCTGCGACAGCTACTCCTTGGTTCCTTGAGGATGACTATGAACCCGAAGAAGTGCACTACAATGACAACGGAACACTCGTCGCCGCCACCCTGGAAGCCTTTGTTGAAATGCTCACTACTCACAAGAACGCTCCAGGTAAACAAACCAAAAAAACAAACATGAAAAAATCCAAGGGGTGACGGGATTTTAAAGCTGAAACGAAAAGGGTTCTGTTCCCCCTGAACGTGTTTTAACTTCTCTCTCTGTCATTTTCGTTCTTTTTATTTTAGATACGGCACTCGTCATGACATTCTTCACGACGTTCCGTCTGTTTACAACCCCTCTCGAGCTGACTGAACTCTTGATCAAGCGGTTCATGCAACCCCCACCTTCGGGTCTGAACGAGAACGAGCTCACGATGTGGGCACAACAGAAGCAAGACCGTGTTCAAAAGAGGTAAGCCATATGGAGTGAACCTAGGGAAAAAAAGCGCATTTGGGCGACAGGGTGACAGAAATGAATGTCACCAGTCACTAAAGTTCTCAATTCCATCCCCTTTTTTGTTCTTTAGGGTGCACATCGCGTTCAAGACGTGGTTGGAGGGATATTGGGTGACTGAGAAGGACCGCGAGGCTTTCCGACCTATCACGGAGTTTGTGACCCACGAGATGAAGAAGACATTGCCTGGACCTGCTGGCCGTCTCTTGGATATGTTGACCCAATGGGTAAGAGCTTCACTTTTCATGGGTACTTGTTTCTTTACGTAAACGACATAAAAAGACTGCTAACACTCTAACCTTTGCTGGATTTGTAAACCAATTAGGGCAATAAACGTCGCTCGTTGTGCCTTGGTGGCCGTTCTCAAACCATCAACAGGGCTCGATCTCACGACCGTCTGAACCAATTCGCCAAGGATCAGCAACATCAAGTTGAAATCGCCAGCAGTAGCAGCAGCAAGCCATTTGCGACTGTGAAGGACAAGAGCGCAGGTCGAAAGGGTCTTGGAGGCCTTGGCGGTCGAGATAGCACCAACAGCCGTGGCCCGCCTGCACCAGCTGTCACCAAGGCGCTCTTGAACGCGTTATCGAATGAGGCGACCATGACCAAAGTCCCAGTGACGGATGTCAAGGCTGTGGAGCTTGCGCGTCAGATCACCATTTTGGTCAGCAAGTTGTATGCAGACATTCCCTACCTCGAGTTGCTCAACAAGGACAAGCCTACTTGCTCTCGGATGATTCAAGTCTCCAACAAGGTAAGACATCTTTTCGGCCCCTTTTCTCATTCTTTGTTGCCCATTGATAGACTGAAACTGACGCGTTTTATTACCCCCGCCCTTTTTTGCACTAGATTACGGAGTGGTTGATTGAAACGGTTGTCGATGAACAAGATGTCAAGCGACGAGCGACGATTGTGAAGCACTGGATTGAGGTAGGCGAGGAGTGCCTCAAGATGAACAACTTTGATACCCTGATGGCCATCACCAACGGAATCGAGTCCACCCCTGTCAGCCGTCTCTACAACACCTGGGAGGTATGTCTCTTATCGTTTTGTTGTTGTCCACGTTGTTGTGCTGTTGTGTGCTTGCCGTGTTTCTTGTCGTTGCTCAGCCAATTAACTTTGTTTTTGCGAATGTTTCTCACAGGGCATCAACAAGGGATATTTGGAGCGATTCCTGCAACTCAAGAAGGCCATCTCCAGCGATGCCAACTACAGCGCCTACCGAAACAAGCTGAAAACTGTCCAGACACCCTGCATCCCTTTCCTTGGTAATGAGTGTTCCACAGGATCAAAAACAATATGTTTCGCTGATTGCTTTCTTTCAGACATGTCTGTGCCTGATAAACCTTAATTCACCACCTGAACAGTTTCCATTCTAACAACTTATCCTTCCACTGTCCTTCATTATAGGCCTGTTCTTCAAGGCGATTACATACATCGAGGATGGAAACTCGCCCTACAAGGAGCTCACTCCTCCACAAAGCTCTTCTTCGGCCTCTTCTGATGTCTCTTCCTCCTCTCAAGCCCCACCAACAACACCCGTCCCAGTCTCGACTCGTAAACTGCTCCGCTACGGCCGGTTCCATCAACTCGCCAAGGCAGTCCAAGAGTTCCGTAGCTTCCAGGGTTCCTACGAGTTACTGGAAGTACCCCGACTCCGCGACTACATCAACAAGTGTATGGAGAACCAGGACCCCGAACGGAGCTACACCAAGAGTTTGGCGATTGAACCTCGTCGACCTGCACCTGGTCATATCCCTGGCGCCCCTGGCCGGAATGGTGGTGGACAGGCTACAGGAGGTCAATCGCAGTCGCAGCAGCAACGGGCGAGTGGTGGCCATAGGAGTGGCCTTTTCCAAAGCGGAGTGTCGAGTTCTGAAATGAATAGCGGGTCTGGGCCTGTCAAGTTGAACAAGCTGTCGTTCTTCAGGAAGAGTATACGGACTGAACGCTCCTAATTATTATTACTATTTTGTTTTTGTTTTTTTTTTTTTTTTTTTTTTTTTTTTCTATTTATTTATTTATTTATTACTTGCTTATTCACAAAAAACGAAAAAAGAAAAAAAAAAAATATCGGACCACATTGGTTCTTGTATTATTACTATTACTTCCAAATGGCATTATTAATAAACGAAAAGTCAGTATGCGACGTGAATGCTTGCGTGTCTGTGTTTTCGTGTTCTTTTACAAAGTGGGGACGGGGGCAGAGGGTGAAGGCGAACCAGAGGGCGAAGAAGAATCAGTTTCCTATTTCTCAGACTCAACAGCGGCGGTGTTGGAGGAGGAAGAAGCGGGCTCCAGCTTGGGAATCAAGGCCCTTGAGGCCGCGGCAGAAGGGGTGCGGGGCAAAGCCATGGCGTTAAGTCCTCCGTTACTGTGGTTCAGGGCAACAAAGCAGCTGATGCTGTGGTTGGTGCACTTTTTGCCAAGTATCTGTGACTGACAGACATGGGAGTAGTCCTGGTAGTCACCAAGACGACCCTCGTCGCGTTTGGGTGCTGAGATTAGGTGCTGACTTCCGTTGCCGACAACAATCTCGGGGTTGGTCTCCATGGACTCGGTGGTGACATCGACTTCGCTGGCAAAGGGGGCTGGGGGGCGGTAGCTGACGGCGCTCATCAACGAGGAGGTGTCATCGTCGCCACCGTCAGTACGGGCGGCCAGGGCGGCAGCTTCGGCATCTTCTTGGAGGCGGCGGCGAAGGTCACGTCGGCGAGTGTTCTTGCGGCGGTAGGCGACAACGCCATAGACTGCTCCGGCGATAATGGTCAAAGGGATCAAGGTGTAGGCGAGGAGTTTGGAGTTTGAATTCTTGTTATTATTGTTATCGGTATGTCCATTGGGGGGCGTGGCGACATTCCTGCTGCTGCCAGAGTCCAAGGGATGATTGGGGATTCCGGGGATGTTGGATCCAGCGTTGGTGAAGAATGGCGATCTGGGGACAGCTTGGTTACCCTGAGACGGAGTCGCAACGTTGCTGTCAAGTGGAGCAGCTGTCTTATCTGCAGGGCTAGTTTTGGTGCCAGGGGGGGTTCCCTTGGTATCCTGGGACTCCTTGCCCTTGTGGGCCGTGCCCTTGTCCTTGCCAGTGCTACCCTCCTCCCCATCACCGTTTCCAGCAGCACCTTTGTCGCCGCCCTTGTTGGCTCCACCCTTCTCCTCGTCAGATCCGTTCTTGGCCTTCTCTTTGCCCTCTCCTCCGTTCTTGGCCTTCTCTTTACCCTCTCCTCCGTTCTTGGCCTTCTCTTTACCCTCTCCTCCATTCTTGGGCTTTTCCTTACCCTCTCCTCCGTTCTTCCTTCCGTCCTTGCCTTCCGCTCCTTTCTTCTCGTCACCGTCCTTGCTGTCCTTGGGGCTCTCTCCATCGTCGACGGGGAGTTTTCCGTTGCCGGGCTTTTTTCCGTCCACAGGATGCTTGCCGCCGTGAGCAGAGTGCTTCCCATCCTTGCCACCCTCCTTGCCGTGGTGATGTCCATGTTTGGGCCCATCAACAAAATGACCAATATGACCACCACCCTTCTTTCTACCATTTCCTTCCGTTTTGCTGTTATGGTTGCCATGGCCGTCCTTGTCTTCGTCTTTATGGTGGTCCCCATTGTTCTTGCCCTTGGTCTTGTCACCAACGGGCTTGGGATGGTGCGCTGTGCCCTTGTGAGGTGAGCCTTTGTGGGTTCGGTGATGCACGCGGTGTTGGACGGGTTTCTTGCGATGCTGTTTGCCTTTGTCTTTGTCCTTTCCGTGATTGGTCTTCTTGTTGTCGCGATGATGATGATCGACGTTTATGTGGTTGTGGGAAGAGTCGCGTGCGGCCTCCCAAGCGGCGTCGTGGCGATCCTGTAGGTGTTGGATGTTGGTGGTAATGGACTCCATTTTGTTGTTGTTTGTATTTTGTTGTGTAGCGTGGATTATGTATTATATATTATGTATTATGTGTGGTGGTGGGTTTGTGAAACGAGTTAAGGAAGGTAGATCGTCAAACAAGAGAGAGAGGGTTCTCCTGACGAAGAGCGCGCATTGAGTAAAATGGAAAAGCAAAAGGAAATGAGAAGATAGGTGATGGTAGAAGAGAAGAGAAAAGTAGAGGAGAGAAGGGTCGATGGCTTGCAGATATGTATCCGGTCTGGCTATGCGACCTTGCAGTAGGATGACTGAAGATCAAATCGCTGAGATGTCGAACGTATGTCTGTGCATCCCAACGGTAAGCAAAGAGAGCAGCTGATTGCACCTGCAGACACCGCATACCAGTCTGAACACTGATATCGTTTAAGTGTGTGTCATTAAATTTCAATCTCGTCCACTCCTTCACACGGCCTGTTCTTTCCCCTCTTGTCCCTCTGTCACCTTCTTTCTCACGACATCACCACAACGACGACGATCCTTTTTTGTTTCTGATTCCAATGATCGTCCCAGGCCCAACAACAACCCACTCAGAGTCTCTTCTTCCCGCCAATGTCCCTAACGACATCGTCTACGCCCCGCTCTCCTCCTGGGAAAAGCACACCCTCAGCATCTACCAACCTACTTCTCCAAAAGGCAACACCGTCCCTCCGTCCCTGATCGTCTTTGTACATGGAGGCGCATGGAGAACAGGCGACAAGTCCAGCTTCATCGACCTTGCCCAGAACCTCGCCAACTCCACCGGGGACATTGTCGCCGTCGTCAACTACACCCTCTCTATCGCCGACATCAAGGACGACCCCACCTCGGTTCCTGCCAGGGCACGTCACCCCAAACACGTCCAGGATGTCGCCACCGCCCTGGGATACCTCTACACCCACGCCGCCGAGCATGGAAACTACAACCCCGATCGTCTGATCTTGGTCGGACACTCTGCCGGAGGACAAATCACCGGCCTGTTGGCCCTGCGCCCAGACCTCTATCTGGAACCCGTCGAGACAGACCTGAGACTGCCAAGGGGCACCCTTCACAAGGCCATTCGTGGTGTCGTCGGTGTCGAGGGCATCTACAATGTCGATCGTCTGTTGAAGGTTTGGCCGGATTATCGCGACTTTGTAGTTCAGGGCTTTGGAGAGGACCCTGAAGCGCTGATTCATGGATCTCCCGATAAACAGTCTGTCCCCAATGCTGCTGAGACTGTATTTGTTCTCCCACGCTATGCGGTTATTCATTCACACCAGGACACACTTGTCGACCCGGCACAGGCTAATGACTACTTTTCACACCTCCAGTCGGTTGCCGGTGAAGCTGGCAAGGATAATGTCGTGATTGAGTTTGGAGACTGGGGCACACATGACGACATGCTCCAGACTCCGCAGTTCACGAAGACAATCACCAAGTATGTCCAGCACTGGTCAAAAGTCTAACGCCTTTAGTTTCACACAGTTGCGAATAATAAACAAAGATACCATTTCGCTTTTGGATGATATGAGAAGCAAACCAATGACGGCACTTGTGGTTAAAGAAGAGTATCTGTGGGCGATGATACCTCGATACTACCTTGCCTGCTGGCTGCGGCATGGTGTCGAGCAAGGCATGAAAATTGTTTTCTCCTTGGCATCAACCAAATTGCAATACAGGGGCTGACAGATACCCTGACCAGGCAAGCCTACAAGGGGAGAATGCAGGAAGAAGGGCACAAGGAGAGACATTTACTCCAATTGTTGGCCTTGAGGTCATAGTTGTCCATAGCAGAGCAGAGTTGAGACAAGCCACATTTTCTGAATAAAAAAATAGAGGCAAGAAAAAAACTTGCCCTTCCCTTCCCTTATTCCCCCATCACCACCCAGGATAGCATATCTCTGTAAGGCTGACAACCAGACCAACAAGCAGCAGTCAGTCAGTCTTCTTGCTGCTGCTGCTACTATGCCCGACTGACCGACTCATCGAAACAAAGGGCTGTCTTGTCATCATTTCGCTGGACATGAAGAAACCTGACTGACAATGGCCTCCCTCTTCCTCTCTTCCTTCGACACTTGCTCACAATAGCACCATGTCTACGCCTCAGGATACCATCGATAACAATATCGAGATGTGGAAGGTCAAGAAGCTGATCAAGGGCCTTGAGGCAGCGCGTGGGTAAGTTTTGCACACCCCTTCCTCATTCCACATCTGCTCCCTACCTTTCCTAGCCTCTCAACACACGCTCTCTCCCTGAACTGCAACCACGACCAACAACCTCCTGCCAACCAACTCTGACACACTCCTTTTTTTTATTCCATGTGCTCGCTTCTGACCACAGAAACGGAACTTCCATGATCTCGCTCATTATCCCTCCCGGTGATCAGATCTCCCGTGTGGCCAAGATGTTGGCTGACGAGTACGGAACTGCTTCCAACATCAAGTCCAGAGTCAACAGGCTGTCTGTGCTGAGTGCTATCACTTCGACCCAGGCACGTCTCAAGCTCTACACCAAGGGTAAGCCAAAAAGAGAGGAGTTATACTAACAGCTATTAGGCTGTTATAGTGCCTTTTTTCGCTATTGTATGCTGTTATTTCTGCCATTGAGAGTTACGCCCGTGCGCCCTCTGACGACAACCCTGCGCCTCTACAACTTTGAAGATTCTGCGGCCCACACAAGCTTTTTTTCTTTATCTTTTTCAGTCGGGGGACACTATGCCTCGCTCTTTGCCTTTGATCCTAACCACTGCGTAACATTAATATGATGGTTCTCCTTAAATATAGTCCCTCCCACTGGACTTGTCGTTTACTGCGGTACTGTCGTTACCGACGAGGGCAAGGAAAAGAAGGTCAACATCGATTTCCCTCCCCACAAGCCCATCAACACCTCCTTGTACATGTGTGACAACAAGTTCCACACCGAGGCCCTTTCCGAGTTGCTCGAGTCCGACTCCAAGTTCGGTTTCGTCATCATGGATGGTAACGGTACCTTGTTCGGTACCGTCTCTGGAAACACCCGTGATGTCATCCACAAGTTCACTGTCGATCTGCCCAAGAAGCACGGACGTGGAGGTCAGTCTGCCCTTCGTTTCTCTCGTCTTCGTGACGAAAAGCGCCACAACTACGTCCGTAAGGTCGCTGAGATGACTGTCCAGCATTTCATCACCAACGACAAGGTCAACGTCACTGGTTTGGTTCTTGCCGGTTCTGCCGATTTCAAGACCGAATTGTCCCAGTCCGATCTCTTCGACCCTCGTCTTGTGGCCAAGGTCATCAAGATTGTCGATGTCTCCTACGGTGGTGAGAACGGCTTCAACCAGGCCATTGAGCTCTCTGCTGAGGCTCTCTCGAACGTCAAGTTCATCCAGGAGAAGCGTTTGATCTCTAAGTACTTCGATGCCATTTCTCAGGATACTGGAAAGTACTGCTTCGGAGTTGACGATACCTTGAAGGCTTTAGACATGGGAGCTGTCGAGACTTTGATTGTCTGGGAGAACTTAGACATTGCCCGCGTCACTCTTCGCAACGCTGCTGGCGAACTTGACATCAAGCATTTCAACAAGGAGCAGGAGAAGGATCGCACTAACTTTGTCGATCCCGCTGATGGCTCTGAGATGGAGGTTGTCGAGAAGATGCCTCTGCTCGAGTGGCTCGCCGAGAAGTACAAGGACTTTGGTAAGAGCCCCGTCAATGCTGCTGTCGTTGTGTTAGTAACTGCAGAGCGCAAGGCTGTTTTTTCATTGGTGTGGCAACAATGGGCTGACCTTAGGTGATTTGTTTATTTCTCCTTTCTCTTAGGTGCCACTCTGGAGTTTGTCACCAACAGATCTCAGGAGGGTTCTCAGTTCGTGAAGGGTTTCGGAGGTATCGGTGGTGTCCTCCGTTACAAGCTCGACTTTGATGCTATCGGTTACGATTCTGATGAGTTCTTCTCTGATTGACATGATTCTGAAGACAACGCTGCATCGCTTCAGGAGGGGAAGAAACTGGGCGCCGAACGCCGCTCAGTTTAAATTGGAGGACAAGTAGGTTTATGACAGAGAAGGTATGCTCCTTTTGCAAAAGCAGCCAGCTCATTGATTGCAGTGCCAAATAGTTTTTGCTTTTTTCTACATCTCTTTCTTCTGTCGCTCTGTTAATGAACCATGCTGACGCATTTTTTATTTTCTTTTCATTCGTTTGCCATTGTGGTTGATAGTGAACGGATCCTCTGATATAACAACGAAGCCATCATCATCATTATTTAATTTGTGTGTGTGTGTGTGTGTTTCTTGAGGGAGTATTGCCAGACGGGCATGAACAGTTGCTTGAGCATTTGCAGAACAATCGTTACCAAGGTGTAAGAAGTGGAATAAACAAACCTTCAAAGTATAGAAGAGCTGTCTTGTATGGAGTGCTTCGCCGATCCCTTTAAAATGGAAAGCGGACGTTGGGAGGGCGAGGAACAGTCACCTGGTGTGGCTTTGACAAAACAGAAAAAAAAAAGAAAAGTTGAGAGTGGCCAACCAACAACAAGACTGACCACCTCGCCTACAGCTGAAAAGCTTCGTTTTGCTTCGACCCTCTCTGACCTTTCTCTCGACCTCCCATTCCCTTTCCCTCCCTCTCCATACACTCATATATATATATCACGATGTCTTCGCTGGCATCCTACAAGGGCCCCAAGCCCGTCCAGAAACCCACCATCAACGACATTGAGGAGGACGAAGACGATGTGCTCATCTCAGCCGACAACTTGCCACAGCACGGAAACGCTGCTGGAGCTGCTGCCGAGAGCGAGGATATGGACATGGATACCGGAGTGGAGAAGCCCAAGTACGCTGCTCTGAAGGCCAACGAGATGACTGTAAGTCCCTTCGAGCCCATAGACGGAGTGATGGAGAGAACCTGCGGAATACTCAATTCGGCAAACAACCAACCAAATACCGACAGACTATCTTTGACACCCCTTGCCCTGGACTACCAGACACTCGCCACTAAAACACAATGTACTTTTTTCTCACTACTTCTTCAATATTCAAACAGTCCAAGTCCTCAATTCAGCAGCGTAAAATCCCGATCCCCCCTCACAGAATGACCCCTCTCAAAAATGAGTGGATGAAGATTTACTCTCCTCTCGTGGATCACCTCAAGCTCCAAGTCCGTATGAACGTCAAGAGCAAGTCTGTAGAGATCAGAGTAAGTGCTAATCAAGTTAACGGAAAGAGTCTTTTTGTCCAAGGGGTTACTTGTGAGCTTCCTCGTGGAAAGACCCTGGGCGAATGCTTTGTTTCTCGGAGAAATGCCTTCCGCCCTGTCACATCTCTAACCGTCCTCTCCTCTCCTCTTTCTCTTCCATAGACTTCAAAGCACACTGACGACACTGGAGCATTGCAGAAGGGAGCTGATTTCATCAAGGCCTTTGCTTTGGGATTCGATCTGGACGTAAGTCAAGTCAGGACAGTGCCCAACGGCGTTATTCTCTGTCGTTTCTTTAAAGTCATGGCGCCCCTCAAATGCCCCAGCTGACAGATATCCTTTCTCCTCCTCTCCACTCTCTAACTCACATAGGACGCCACTGCATTGCTTCGTCTGGATGACTTGTACCTGGACTCCTTCGAGATCAAGGATGTGAAGACCCTGAACGGCGATCACTTGTCGCGTGCCATTGGTCGTATTGCCGGAAAGGACGGAAAGACGAAATTCACCATCGAGAACGCCAGCAAAACCAGAATCGTCCTCGCAGAAACGTATGTTCATGACTGACCTAGATATCTGGCTCTCACATTGCACTGCACCCAAAAATCATCTTTGTGTTGACGCTTTGCTAACACCTCGCTCTTTTTTTTCCTTGTTGGTGTCTGATTGGTATTAGCCGTATTCATATCCTCGGATCATTCCAGAACATCAAGACTGCCAGAGATGCCATTGTCTCGCTCATTCTCGGTTCCCCACCAGGAAAGGTCTACTCGACGTTGCGCACCAAGGCTGCTCGTATGAAGGAGAGATTCTAGACGAACGAGCAAGACGTTCGAGAGACCTTTGTAGCATATCCGTCATTAATCCCAGTTATCATTCCCAGCAGCATTTTCATTAAAAAAACAAAACAGAGTACTCAATGCATCTTCGATTAGTATATCATGGCTACTATGGTCGTGTGGGGCTGTAGGGCAAAGGTACGAGAGTATGGAGGAAGTTATGAAGGTACAGTTTGTAGGAGTGAAAGGTATGGTAAGGTATGGTCGAAAGTCGGTTACCTCTCGATAAAAAGATATTCCACGTGACCAAGAGTTGAATTTAGTGGGACTAAGATTGAATAGTGACACCTTCTCTTTCAACTCAACGAAAATCAGAAATGGTCATTATACGAACGAAATCATAGATAGGCGGAGCGTCGGGGGAGAAAAGGATGGCAGGCATCCATCATGCAATCTATGGGCGAACCTACCATCCATCGACCATCTCGACACACTCAATTGCTACAGGACAGGAATTATCATCAATCGTCATGTCGGAATCATATCCACCGTTCATGGCACACCCATCACCCTTCCCTTCAGATGATTCCAGGATGGAACCCAACATCATGCCGCCGGAGGGGGAGAGAAGGGATTTCGGTCGTCGTCTTTGCTCGGGACTGTACCATCACATACACAGCAGGAGCAGCCTAACACCAACTCAACAAGAACCCATCGTACTCCTGTTCAGCATAAGGCGAAGCCAGGAGTCCAATCGACCATAGTCTTCAGACAGACTGCAGCACCGCAACATCAGTACAGAACGGACATCTGATCTGCATGTCGATGGAGAAACTCTGTCCAGGATAAACAGAGATCTCTTCAACCAGACACCCGCCAAATCTACTTTCCAGCCTCGACAAACAACTGTACTGGCTACCTGCAGGATTCAGCCTTTACATCAGACCAGGATGCGAGTGTTCAACAAGAGGATGCAATGATCTTTTACCGTCAGCACCCTCCGAACACCAACATCAACCCCACCACACGCTTTCCCACCAGAACTTTGTACTCATACGGACAACCTATCTTTTTGTCGACCTATTTCTGCGTTAATAGACTAAGGGTACCTCTTCGTTTGGTAAACGCCACACCAAGTCTCACACTTTGTGCCGTCGGTATGTGTTTGCGATAATCGCCTGAGCCAAGGGCGACAATTGACCTTCGCCCAGCTATTGTGTGTCGCCATGGAATTGAACTCTAGTTTGATGGACCCTGAAAACTAACACATTGAACGTTGTCCTTTGTATATCACCTTTAGCTGTGGTCGCCGCTCCTTCCACAACCAGAAGAAGACTTGCGCTCAGTGCGGTTACCCCGCTGCTAAGCTCCGCTCCTGTAAGGATCTCTTGATTGCTATGATTGCTTTGCCTTGAAGGAGAGGAGACCAATATTTTGGGGTGGGAAGGTCGAAAGAAGATTGGAAGGACAGCGACATGACAAGGACGTGAAACGCGCAGCTACCAAACCTCATGGGTGGTAAATCAAGCAGGATAGAGCGACAACTGGACAATGTTGGAGCTTTTTTGCGTCTTTGCGTTGGCGATCTTTTATCTTGCATGAGAGAATGACGAGCTGTCTCTCTGTAACACGCAACATTGTTGTAAACGTTCGTGCTCTCAGCGGGATTAAGATTGCGCCACCAACCGTGAAGAGTGCGAACAAGCTGGTTGGCTTTTCCTTTTTTTTTTCTCGTTCATTTTTGTGCTCCAGGATCAGAAAAGACGATTATGAAGTGTCATTTCTACGACAAGGGTGTCATTGGACGAGAGCGTGAAGAGAGCGATTTCTCTTTATGAAATGGAGAATAGGATACAATGAGAGAAATACATTGAGTACTGACCTATTTTTTGCTTTTCTTTTCTGCTTCCCTTCCTCTTATGGCAATACGTTTACTTTGAACAGACAACTGGAGCGAGAAGGCCACCCGCAGAAAGACTACCGGTACCGGCCGCATGCGCCACTTGTCCGATGTCAACCGTCGCTTCAAGAACGGTTTCCGTGAGGGCACCCAGGCCAAGAAGCAGGTCAAGGCTGTCGTTGCTTAAATGACGAAAAACATCAAAAAACCTATTTCTTTGAGCGTTGTTACCGACCAGTTTTTCTTCTTCTCTCTTGTTTTTTTTATCTGTGGTGCGTGTACCCTCCCATCATCACAATAAAAGAAAGCGGAATTCTGCGGAAAACAAAAAAATCTCTTGTAATGATGTAATGGAGTTGTTGTTTGCCTCTTTACGTTTTTCGTTGACGACGTCTGGCTGTTCATGACATCTGCTAAAGCCTGCGTTTTTAATGTTGAGCTTTTCGATAAAGAAGAAAATAATCTCATTTTCCTCTATTGCCCCTCCCCTCTTTCTAACGCCGTGTGTTGAGAGTAGGTTCCCATCCGCCCACACCCGCCTTTATTTTATGGCTTGATGTGGAAAACTGACTTCAATGCCCGCAGAGTGGCCCCAGCACGACGAAGGTTGAACTGTGTGTAACATTGTCTGCACCAGAATTTTTATTTTTTTATTTTCTTGATTAACGACAACTCCAAAGGAGAGAGAGGGAGAGTATGAGTCAACCGGATGGGATTGACCCGAGGAAAAGGGGCATGCAATGGAAGGAAAAGAAGGGAAAATGAGCAGGGGCGAATAGGCAATATTGTGTGAAAAAAAAGAGGACGAAGAGCACGCTCCAAAAGACAAAGACAAAGACAAAGGCAATAACAAAGAGAGACAAACACATCGTCATAATCGATGTCCCTTGATGGCCGTTTTTTTTTTTTGTTTGTAGAGTTGACAGTCACTTTTTCAACGAGAAAACGTTTTTCTTATTTACTACCCTGCTTTCAGCCCGCCTCTCTTTTTTCTCTCTTCCTTTCTCCTTCGCCTTCTTCACACTTTGACCATCTCTTTCTGAAAGCACGCCACTCGTCCTAGTCCCATCCTTGACCCTCCTTGGATCTACTCCTCAACTTCGGCGGACCCATCTCTGCCGTAAAACAACCAAGCCTACTCAGCAAAGGTACGTCTCATCTTTCATCCCACCCTCTCCTCCATCCTCTCCGCCCCAACCAACATCACTCCTCCCCCGCGGGAGTTGAATCAACAAAATAAAAACTCCATCCCACCTCACACTTTTTGACTCCTTTTATTTTCCAAACAGCGACAACGGGCAGATAAAAACGGCCTCTAATCATCCTTTTCGCTCTCCCATCTCCTCTTCCTCATATCAATGGTCATTACAGCACAACCACCCTTGGTCTTAATCGGCTCCCGCCGTAGGTCATACAAGCAATGGCCATGAACATCCCCCTCCAACAACAGCAGCAGCAGGATCAGCAGCAGGACCAGTCCCTCTTGGTCAAGCAAGAACCCCAATTGAAACAAGAACCTGTGCAGCTCTCAACTCCCCAGTATCATCAACAGCAGCCCCAGCAGCACCAGCACTTCCAATCCATGTCGTCCTACTCTTCGCAACAGCAGCAGCAACAGCCTTCCAACCAAAGCCAGCACCAGACCTATGGCAATTTCCATGGATCGTCCAACAGCTCGATGAACTCATTCTCGGCACTGCCCCCCAACCCATACAGCCTCAACAGCCACCTCATGGGGTTGAGCATGCACAGTGGATCATCCACTCCTACCTCGGGTGGTGGTCTGAACTCGTCGTCGCTTGCCCCAACCCCCACGAGTTCTGGTATGATGGGTGGCAATACCAGTGGATCCACGACGCCATCCATGGCCCATGCATCTGCTCCATCCTCGCCGAGGTTAAGCGGTCTGCAGTACGGCTATAATCAAGGAGGATCCAGTCTCTATCATCAGCACCCCTACCAGCATCAGCAGCACTCCAGCCAACATCAATACCAATCGCAGCAACAGCCACACCAACACTCGAATTTGTCATCAAGCAACTTGACCTCGAGTTTCTACCCGGCATCGCCTCCCCACCAGCACCAGCAGCAGTCGTACCAGTCGCAGCACCAATCGCAACAGCAAGCAGGATCAAGCACCCCCTCGTTCAACACTTTGCCCCCAGCTCCTCTTCGGCAAACGCCCCAGTATGCGCCACTTGTCCCTCCATTGACAGATGCCCAGTATGCGCAATACCACCAGCTGCTGGGATCTGCATTCAGCTCTGCAGCGTCGACTCCCTACCATTCCAACCAGTCAACGCCCTACAGCTCGATGCCCACCTCGCCTACACTGGAATATCAGCAGCTTTCTGACCCCAGCCTCGCACAAAAGCCTAAGCGACGACAGGTCAAAAATGCATGTGGTAAGTTGGATTATGTGATAAGCAAGCCCACATCCCTTTCGTTCTCGTTGCCCCTTCCCTCCCTCTTTTTTTTTTGTTTTTTTGTTTTCGTACCGGCTATCCATACGTGGACTATTTCACATACCCCCTTCTCCACTATTTTTTGTTTTTTTCATTCGATTCCCCTGTCCAGAATGGCGCGAGTGACCCTGGGAAAAAGAAGAGTGACTGAACAGGATTGAATACTCTTTTAGTCAACATATGCACAAAAAAAAAAAAAAAAAAAAAAAAGAGCGCCATTTTTCAAAAGGAAAAATCTTTGGAACGTGTTCACATTTGTCACCTCTTTGGATCCCTAACCTCCCCTCTCCCTCGTTTTCATCATTGCCCAATTGCTTATTCTCGATAGTAAACTGCCAGAAGGCCTGCAAGAAGTGCGACGAGGGCAGACCTTGCACACGCTGCATCAAGTACGGCCTCTCTGACACCTGCGTCGACTCGACTCGTAAGGTTCGCAAAAAGGGTGTTAAGCGTGGACCCTATAAGCGCAGACCCCCACCCACCCAGATTGGATCAGCATCTGCCTCAACAACGCCTACGTTGAGTCATGCGGTCCTGGCAGGTGGACCCGTCGGATACATGTCAGAGCCAGTGACAGCGATGAGCAGCCCCACCCAATCGCATATGCTCCCCTTTACGTCGTCAGCAATGAATCAGATGTCAGGACCTCTGGATTTTGGATACACCAACACTGGATCAAGCACGGGTTATTCCTTCCAGACCCATACCCAGAGAATGGACAGCAACAGCAACAACAACTATGCGCCTACATACACTACTAGCTACTCTGGATCTAGCCTGTACGCCAACCCCTACGGCATGAGCGACAACGGGAACATAGGCAACACTGGCAACGGAAACAACAACCTGCCGTAGACCCACTTTTTTATTAGACACTAATCCTTTTTTCTTCTTTGCATTCAAACCCACCTACATCAAAATAAAATTCACACTCTTCGCATTCATACATGTTCTCTCACCTGTGACCTGTGCCCCTTTGTACCTTTATGAACACTTCTTCCTCCCTCTTCTCTTCTGAACCAGGGGCTGATGTTAAGTTTGAGGAGTAAAAATCGCATAAAGAAAGAGGAGTGATGTTGGTGGTGAAGGGGAGGAGGTGAGTAGGGAGAGAACCATTTATTACAATTACACACCCCTTTCTCTCCCCAGTCCAGAATCATAGAAAGACAGGCCCATCCATCGATTGATTGACACTCAACTCTCTCATCCTCTTTTCGTTCTTACCTTTCTTTATATTTATTTATTTTTTCATCCCCCGCCCTTTCAATACGTTACTGCACAGCAGCTCTCATACACACCCCTCTGATCCATGGTTTTCGGTCGCAGGAGAGCCTACACGGCCTTTTTGGTGGTAGCTTTGTTGTTCTTGCTATTGCTGCTGTCGGCGGGTGGAGAAGCCCGCGCCAGGAATGAGGACAAGGATGGAGGATCGAAGAAGGTTGAAAAGCATGGTGGTGGTGGAAGGAAGGGACAAACGGGTGGGCGCCAGGATCATCACACCAACAATAACAACAACAACCACGACAAGAAACAAATGTCTGTTAATGGGGATAATCGCAAGGGTGCCAAACGGAAGGATCGCAAAGACAATAAGCACGAGAAGCAGGGCGTCGATGGCAAGGAGAAGAACGAGAAGAGGCGGAAGGCCGACAAGAATGATCACAACAAAAAGAAGAAGGAGGGTAGGCGCCAACAACTCGATCGCAATGACCACGACGAGGGCAGGCAGGGTGGCAGGCAATTTTCCATGTCGACGGATGTTCCCTGTGGACCGGGACGGGGCGAGTGCCCTTCCAACAGACCTTGTTGCTCGCAGTGGGGCTACTGCGGGAACGATGCCGACTATTGTCTCGTCGGCTGTCAAGAAGCGTTCGGCCGATGCCATCTAGATACACCGTCCTCTGAGGCCGAACCAACAGGCGCGAAGGCCCACCACCACCATCACCACAGGAAATCCCGACTGGGTTTCAATCTCCAGGACAAGCGGCGGCAGTTCCCCAACCAAGACGGTCGACAATTTCGAATCCCAGCGACTACAACCAGCAACAAACTCCCGCCCAATGGCACCCTTGTCAACATTGCATATTTCCCAGGTTGGACCCAATACCGCGGACAAGGACGAAACAATTGTCACCAACGACCGTACCTCCCATCGTCGATCCCATGGTCGTCACTGGACTATGTAATGTTTGCGTTTGTCTACTTTGACGATTTCCACCAGCTCTATCCTGCTGATGCCAGCGACGAGGATCTGTACTTTGAGATCAATCGGCTCAAGTTGGCGAGCGGAACGAGAGTGATGATCTCGATTGGTGGGTGGAGTTTTACGCACCCGGACAACAAGCGCGAGGCGTCAACAATGCATCGGTTCGAAAATATGATTCGGTCGCCAGACTCGCGGAGGATGTTCATTGAGAGTTGTATCGAGTTTTGTCAGTTCTATGGGTTTGACGGGGTGGATATCGATTATGAGTATCCGGCGTACAAGGAGCGAGAGTTGGTCACGGCGTTGTTCAAGGAGATGAGGGAGGCGTTTGATAGAGAGGGGAGTGGGTTGGTGTTGAGTCTAGCGGGGGCTTCTTTTCAGGAGGGGATTCAGGGGTTTGAGATGGAGACGGTTGCCGCGTATGCAGACTTTGTCATGATCATGGCCTATGGTAAACTTTTGTACCTTTGTGCTTTCAGTTCCTGAATTGCTGCTATACGGTATGAGAACAATGACATGGAATGTTGCTACACTGACGCAATATTACCTTCGTGTAGACCTGTACGGGGCGTATGACGCAGTCAAGGTGGTGAACATCCACACAGCACTGATACAGATGCCAACCGAGAAACACAGCGGCCACAGCGTCCAAGGCGCAATTGAGATGTACCTCGACCACGGCGTCCTCCGCAACAAGATCGTCGTCGGCCTCGCTCTCTATGGAAAAACATTCATCCTCTCCGATACCCAGCATTCGCTTCCTGGAAGGGCGACATTCAGGGATGGAGGCGATCCGACAAGTTGTATCGAAACCCGTGGGGATATTGCGTACAACGAGCTCGCAAGTCTGATCCATCCTCCAAACGAGCAACATCGGCCAAAAGTGATACCTCTGTGGGACAATGACGGCAAGGCGTTTTATTTCGTGTACGGTAACCGACAGAACAACTGGGTCGGGTATGACGATCGTCCGAGTTTGGATCTGAAGCTGCAGATGGTGACAGAGTTGGATCTTGCGGGCGTGATGTGGTGGAGTTTGGATCAGGACCTGGATTCGACGAGCGACATGACCGCGATGTGGAGCAGAAAGAGGACGAAAGGGAAGGATGGGAAGAAGAAGCATTCGAAAAAGAAGAAGGCGGGTTCGGTTCAAAGGAGAGCTATTCCTCAAGCTCCGTATAATACGCCTATAGCCGAACATTCCCATTGGGAAGCTGGTGTTGAAGGTTCTCGGGTCCTTGAACCAGTACAAGCAGTCGAACAAGCGCCGTCGGTCGTAGACATTTCTGTCGAAAGCTCTAGTACTGCAGATCCAGCGCATGCTGTCGAACCGCCACAGGCTGTCGGCCAAGCAACTTTCACAGCTCCTGAAACGATCGCAGAGCAAGGTCCAGGCGCAGTCAAGGTCGAGGCAGCGACAGACCGCAGTCCAGTAGCAGCACTGACCACTCTTCAATTGCCTGCGGCCCGTCCTATCGCCGCAGTATCAGTAGTACCAGGAGCTTGTCCTCAGCCAGCGACAACACCACCGCCTGCTTCACTGGCAATCATCCCTCTCGAATCACTTGGAAGACCGGGTCTGGTGCCCTATGTTGCCTCCAAACGCAAGCGATGCCCTGTTGTTGTCAAGTACCCGGTCGTCCTTCCTGAGTCACCTGTTGGAAATACGGTTGTCATCAAGTGTGTTGTCCCGCCAGGCTGTCCAGAGACATGGCAGGCTTATACCTGTCTGTCAGCTGGAGATTGGAGCGCACCCAGTCCTTGTTACGGTAAGAATGACAAACAAGCATGACGTGACATGATGTGCATGCTGTGGTCCACAATTACAAAGTCGCAGAATTGCTTTGTAACCACCCAGAAGAAGAGTGCAGGACATGTGTAACCTTAGACGACATTGTTTGCCTGCTGTTACTTTTTGCATCATTACTCATATTTTATTTTACTGCTCCCATTTGTCCGTGTGTGTGTGTGTGTTCGATAAAATTACATTTATCAACATCAACTAGGCAAAGCTCAATTATCACCGTCGCTGTACTTTTACGGAGAGCTGGAGCTGGTCCGGACCCAGAGTCGTGATCGTAATATTGACGATGGCAGTCGAAGTGCAAGCAGCGCAGGCATGGGTCCAGGCACGGAGGGCACGGGCACGGGTACGAGCAAGATACGCGCACAGATTGGGCTGACCCGACCGCAGTACATTGAAGAGTATCAGAAGTTGGCCGAGTTGCAAAATTTGCTGGGCAAGGCTAAGGGCAAGGAGGGCCATAGGATTGGTAGGAAGAAGAAGAAAGACAGGTCACCACAGAAGGATAGGAAGAAAATGATGAAGATGAAGGCCATCAATGTCAAGGATTGATCAATGAGGGACAAGATAAATAAAGGACATGAATCGAGAGAGCCATCCAGCAACTGATTTATTAGTGAGTTATTTCGGTACTCTCAGTGGGGGAATGTTGGGACCTGACCAGCCAGCATAGTATGTTGGTATGCAAGGGTGAAAAGGATTACTTTTTTTCGAGGGATGAGAGAAAGGGGTTGAAGAAAAAAAAACAAGATAAGGCAGAAGGAGAGGAGGAGGCTTAAAGCTCGTCGAAGAAGGCCTTCTTGTTGCTCTTCCTGGAGCCAACTGTCTTGCAATAATGATGGCTGCGAAGGAGCTTCTTGTCGACCTTGTCGGTCTCCTCGGAGAAGCACCGGAGGTCCTTTGCGAGCTCACGCTCATGGGAGGTTGCGATACGGTTGTTCTTGATCTTGGAGGCCTTTGAGGATTTCGAGAGCTCGTGCTCCGTCATGTCCATGTAGAGAGTATCGTCGAGGTCGTCGGTTTCCACGCGAGTGGATTTGTACTTGGTCTGGGTCTCGGAGGAAGGCGAGGCGTCGGTACTAGTGAGGCTCAGTCGTCTCTTCTCGTGGGTCTGTGTGGAAATGGTTGCTGTCTCTGTTTCTGTTTCTGTTGACTCCTGCTGCTGCTGCTGCTGCGGCTCCTGGGACTTGTTACGACGCTTCTTATTCATCTTGAGGACCCAAGCACCCCGATGTTCAGGACAGGAGGCTGCGAGACTGTTGATGCTGCGGGCGGTCTTGGCCTTGCTGATGTTGGTGAATCCGTCCTTGCCGGTCGACAGGTGGAGGGGCTCGAGGGCTTGGACGTCGATGTCTGGACTGCCGGCGCTGTCGCGGTCAGAGTTGGAGGTTTGCCAATGATAGATTTCGTCATCGTCATTATCGTCATTGTCGCTGTCCTCATCGTCACTTGCAGAAGGAGAATTGACGACGGACCAGGTGGAGAGGTCCAGGTCTGATTCGGCGGTATTAGATGGGGTGATGGCAGAGATGGTGGTGGTGGTGGTGGAGAAAGGGTCCTCAAGGTTGAAGTCCGACTCGAGCAACGAGAAGGGGTTGCGGAGGGTGATTGGGTTCTGGGCAAAGAGGGTAGTCATTTTTTAAGCAGTTGCTTGGGTTAGTTGTTGAGGTGGATATGAGTGTTTGGTTGGAGAAAGATGAGACGAATTGAAAGATGGTAGATAGGAAGAGATAATAGTCTGTAGCGGAATGTGTGAAGGTGAGTGTGTGTAAGCTTGTGTTAAAGAAAGAAAAGAAGAGAAAAGATAAAACACGTAGTCATTTTTATACGTAGGTGAATGGGATATCCGTCTTTTAGTACAACGATCGTCAGACTCTTCTGCGGCGCAAAAACGATGTCATTCCTTTGACTTTTCTGTGTGAGCTACAACTGCGTCCCATGCGGGTGTTTGTGCCTGGGTGCGATGATAATGATTCCAACCCTCTTCGGCCTTTTTGACCCATAGTAACCACGGGCCTTTGTTCTTCTTGTCTCTTTTTGATCATGTCGTCCTTATCTGGTCCATCGGTTCTATTGCTCCCTCACTCTCCTTGATGATAACCTTTGCTTTCCAATTCGGCCATTCTGGTCCCACAGTTATCCATGAAAATGACGACAATGAAGCCCTTTCCTTTCACTTCTCTCTTTCCCTCTAACAATTGCACTGGAATACTATCTCACTTTTCGCGTGATGTGAGGAAGGGAATACGCGCCAATCTCGTGCCACAACAGTCACTTTTTTTTTGTATGTCGCTTCCAGTGTTCTAATTCACGTTAGCCCGTTCGACCACTCACTGTTTCTCTTCTTTTCCTTTTGCTACTCGCCTCGCTTTTTTTCTTCCACTCCCCTAGCCCTTCAGCCAAGCCAACAAACCCAAAGCACGACATTCCCACAGCAATGTCTTGTCGAGACTTTCAAACCACAGGCACATGCCAATTCGGCGACTCTTGCAAGTTCGGTACGACACTGGAATAAAAAAAGAATCAAAATCAGCGCCACCATTACCACTAACCCCTCGTCATCGACTCTCCTCAAACAAAATAAGTACGAACGTGAACGATATACACTCATGCAACTGTTTTTTTTGTTTTTATTTACTTCCAACCATTCAACATTCCATCCATGTAGCCCATTCTGCCTCGAGATCGTCGCATGTAAGGCTCCCTTGCTTGCTTGGCAGAAACCACTTTTTTATATGCATAAGTCTTGCTTTTGCTTCTCGGGGAACAACTGAGGTTAACCTTTTAATTCCCTGTTCACGCCTTTTTTTTTCTTGGTATGAAATAGCCTTCAAAACCAAGCAACCGAGGCTCTGATCGGAGAGCAAACAGCCGGGTCAAGGAGGAACAGTTTGGTTGGTTCGATGCACCAACACCACCACCAAAAGGCCCAGTCCCTGGCAAAGATACCTCGGCGCGCTCTCGGCAACAAGACCAAGCAGCCCGATCTCAGCAGCAACAGCAGCAACAGCAACAGCGAAGAGATCCTCCTTCAAAGAACAATCGTAAGACCTATCTACTAGTGACTGATCCTTATTAGGAGGCTTCCTCTGATTGACTCCTCTCCTATTTCAGCGACATATTAATTCACACATCCATCATCTTGTGCACTCAAATAGGCGAACACGGAGGAGGGAACAATAATCGGAATCGCCGAGGAGGTGGTGGTCCTGAAGGCGGTGGTAGGAAAGCCAATCGCCCTCAGCAAAATCAGGGCAAACCCAAGGATATTTATGCCAATGTGCAAAAGCCAACGCCAATGGTGGACATCTCGTGGAAGAACCAGCTGTCACCGGGTATGTGTGGCGATCGGTCATTACAGAGATTTTTTTACTCCTCTGTACGGACGTCTTTGTTTGTGGAGCGCGTAATTAATTAACACGACCTTTTTTGCGGCATAGACAACTTTCGTTTTCAATCGGTTTACCCCACTGACGCCGACATTAACGAGGATTACCCTGACCCAGCAGAGAACATTGTGCACAAGGCATACGACTCAACGGATCACTATCTGGAGACACATTTCAAGCTGTTGCGCGCTGACTGCATTATGCCTGTGCGGGACGCGATCCAGTCATACCGTTACGGAACTGTGGACGACAACGACATGACCAAGTACATCAATGTATGTATCGATATGGCACCTGAGAATGGGCACTAGAGTTTATGAGAAGATTTCGGTAACCTCTGCACAGAGTCTAACGCTTTCAACCTCGTCGAGTTCATAGGTCCGCCCGATGGCGTTGTTGTTTGCAAACATTGGACTGGTTCACCGCATGTCGTTCATTGTCGAAGGTCACAGAGTCAACTGGAGACAATCCAAGCGTCTTATTCCAGGAGCGATCGTCTGCCTTTCCGTCGACCATTTTGAACACTTTCGATTTGCAACTGTGGTGGAGCGCGACCTGGAGTTCCTTCAGAACCCTCGGAACTTGCGCATCGGCATCAAATTCATCAAACCGGATCCCCACTTGGACTTGGACCCGGACGTGTGCTACACCATGATCGAGTCTATGCAGGGATATTTTGAGGCGTACCAGCACGTCTTGAGGTGTCTCCAGGACATTGACCCTTCTACTCTTCCCTTTCGGCCGCAACTCGTCGGATTGGAGCACGAGCTCGAATCACCGGCATATAGTCAGCACAATCAGCGCATTCGAGACGAAGATTATCTCCTGGAGTCGCTTCTCAAATTCCCGGGGATCCTCAAGGGAACCGCCAGGAGTGATTCTCAAAAGCCCTCAAAGCCCTCAGAGCCCTCGAAAATCCAGCCAAGTGTCATAGAAGCGATGAATCGGATGCTTACCAAGGAGTTTGCAGTGGTGCAAGGACCTCCCGGTACAGGAAAGACTTTCCTTGGTCTCTTGGCGACGCAGATTCTTCTGGAGCAGTTTTCGACCAGTACAGCAGGCGCCATCATAGTCGTTTGCCAGACCAACCACGCGCTGGATCAGTTCTTGGAGGGCATCATGAAGTTCGAGGACCGCATCATCCGACTCGGATCGCGATCCAAGAGCCCCATAGTCACACCCAGGACCCTATACAACGTTCGAATGTACTACAAGGATAATCCGATGGAGGCCCGTAACGACAATGTTATAAACTCTATGCCAGTGCGGTTCTTCAGGATGAAGGATAAGCTGGAATCCGACATGCTGGCCCTGCTGGAGGAACTAGCTGTGGAATATGCGCCATTGTCGAAGTTTCTGGAGCTGGGGATTATCTCCCAGGAACAGCACGATTCTTTCTCCTCGGATGAGTGGGTGAGCTTTGCAGAGCCGGAGGATGAACCCACAGCACGCACTTGGCTGCAATCAGCACCCTACATTCAGGATCCACACAACATTTCTGTTTTCGACGATGCGTCTTTGCAGGATGACTATGTTGTTGAAATTGACGAGGAGGAGCTTCAGGAGCGAGTGGACGAGTTCATTTCGGGAAATTTGGATGAGATAAAGATGTCGGGAAACGTCGTCAACGTCAAGCCTTCAATTGTGTGCCATTTGAACGACGCTACAGTCGGAGACGTCCAGCCCTTCGTTGGGATGCCCAACGTGCACGATATCCCGGGTAACAAGCGCTTGGGTGTCTATAAGGTCTGGCTCCAACGATATCAGGCAACGATCATCAAAAAGCTGGGTGAGCTTAACGAGAAGTTCAACATTATCGGACAGAACATTCGCGCCGGATTGCGAGCGAACGACGTGAACCTCCTCAAGACTGCCCGGGTCATCGGCATGACTACCACAGCAGCCGTAAGTCAAAGGCTATTTGATGAGCAATGTCAGATTGGAATGTCTGCAAGTGCTGTACCTAACATGAGCGACCAACCCATTTTGTTATAGTCCAAGTACCACGACCTGCTCTGGGCATTGAAACCCAAGGTCATGATCTGTGAGGAGGCGTCGGAAACAATGGAAGCCCACATTATTTCTGCGTTGACACCGACCATCCAGCATCTCATCCTGATTGGAGATCACGAGCAGCTTCGGCCAAGCATGTCGGTGAACGACCTGAAGAACCTGAACATCGATGTTTCACTGTTCGAGCGCCTTGTCACCAACCACTTTCCGTACTCAATGCTGGACTGTCAACGGCGCATGCGGCCAGAAATTCGCAAGCTGATACGACCGATCTACAAGAACCTTTGGGACCACGACTCTGTCTGCCACTACGACGACGTCCGCGGCATGGTTGACAACGTAAGTTCATTCGATCGTTGCTCATTTTATCTCTAACTTGGCTGCATCGTACGGAGGCGACTGTTATCTAACTGATAGTCAAACTTTCCATTTTATCGTATAGCTTTTTTTCTTGACACATGATGAGCCGGATATGGTCGGACAGAACAACTCTCACATCAACGTACATGAGGTGGGAGTGGCGGCAAAGCTAGCGATCTATCTTTTGCAGCAAGGGTACGACCCATCCCTAATCACCATTCTGAGCATGTATGCCGGTCAGCGACTCAAGATTGTGGAGAAGCTGCGTCAGAGCATCATCCCTGGTGCGAGCGACATCCGTGTTTCAACCGTCGATGGGTTCCAAGGGGAGGAGAACGACATTATCATTTTAAGTTTGGTTCGAAGCAACAGCAATAACAGCATTGGATTCTTGAATACCAGCAACCGCGTCTGTGTCGGTCTCTCTCGCGCCAAAAAGGTAACTAAATTAAAATATGGTCGCTTAGTTTTTTTCACGCTTGCTCCTCTCTCGATTTTGATTTACTGAGGCGCGTGGTTACCATAATCTTTGTGTTTACTAGGGCATGTATATTCTTGGCAATGCCCAGTTGCTGAAGGACCAGTCGAAGCTCTGGAACACAATTATCATGAGTTTGATGCACCAAAGCCATGACTTCAAGATTGGCAACCGCATCAAGCTTCAATGTCCTCGCCATCCCGAGATGATCTCCCTGGTTGGTCTCGAGGCCGAATTCGATCAAGTCCAGGAAGGAGGGTGCTCCAAGCCCTGTGGAGGTGTGTTCCCGGACTGTGGACACCCTTGTCCCTTCCAATGCCATGCCGGTGACCACAGTGACAAGTTCTGTAGCCATCCTTGCGGGAAGCCACTTCACTGCGGCAAGCACTTTTGTTCTGGGAACTGCAGTGACCGTTGTCGCCCGTGCATGACCTGCTAGATGGGTTCGTGTGTGTCGCGCTTCTTCCCCCTGCTTTCTTTCCTTTCTTCTCTCTCCTTCGCAAAGAAAGATGCCGATCCCTCCCTTGTACAACACTCAAAACATTTTCGTTTTATTTTTTTTTTGTTGTCTTTCCTAATCATTCTACCTTGCGCATAAAATGAACAGGCGAAGCGAGTAAAAAAGCTAATCGACGAAAAATAAAAGTCAGTAGATTAAACACCCACACTGTTACTGTACTGCGAACGAACGGGGGAACCCTGCCTATGTGGAGTCAAGAGAGGAGGATGAGTTTTGAACCTAGGAGGAATGTCCATTTTGTGACCTCGTTCCCCTACCAGCTCAGCAGTTGTTCCCGTCCCGTTCGTTGATTTATTCAGAGAAAAAAAAATATTGTTAGATTGGCTTTGGGAGAGGAGAAAAGAACTGGTTACATCATTGCATCCAAGGTAAAGGTGTGAAAAAAACAAGGAGCGTCAGTTAGGCACTGGGAGGTGGTGGAGGAGGGTTAGATGATGGAGGGGGTGGGGGAGTTGGGAGTGCTGGAGGAGGTGGTGGCGGTGCTGCTGAAGAAGGAGGCGGTGGTGGTGGAGGCAACCCTGGAGCTCCAGCCTGCAATTGCGAAAAAAAAGATAAGAATAACAATTCATCATGAATGCAAGAGTTAGTACATCCGTAAAAGATACAGAACGATCGGCAAATAGAAAGCATTGTACAACAAGGCCTAAAGTTCAACGTACCCAGCTAGGAGGAGCAACTGGAGGTGGGGGTGGAGGTGCGCCATATGATGAATAGTATCCTCCATAAGGATCATGTGGGTAGGACTGACCAGGGTAGCCAGGGGGGGGTGGAGGCGCAGCGGCATCTGATCTAGAATGATGCGAGTTCCAGGGGTTAGCAGGTGCCGCGCTAGCTTGTTGCCATGGCGCAGCTGGGGGGGGTGGTGGTGGACCACTGCTGGTTCCTGGGGCGCCCTGATGTTGCCAAGGTGCAGGGTTAGACGATTGGGCGGCCGAGGCTGAAGCACGAGCAGCCCAGGGTGGAGGTGCAGAGCTGTGGCTAGAGGGCTCTCTGTCTCTAGGTCCACTATTAGCCCACGGAGGAGGTGCTGATCCTGACTGACCTCTTGGAGGAGGAGGACCATAGTGACCCTAGTAATGTGTTTACGGGCAAATATTAATTTACGCGTTCATCGACGTTGAATAACGAGCAATATCACATAACTAACAAACGCTGTTAATACTTACAGATGACCCAGAATGACTACTTTCGCGTTCGGAAGCTGGGGGGGCAGACTGTCCTGTCATTCCTGCGGGCACCTGTTCTCCGAGCTCAACCATGAGGTTCAGGTACTCTGAGTCGATCTTTTGGTTCCTCTGCTGAGCCTTCTCTGCTGCCTCTGGGTTGTTGCGCTCTCTGCAGTCACGAGTGGCGTGTCCATGTCCACCACAGATTCCACAGACAAGGTTGATGGTGACGTTGTGGATCTCGGGGCACTCAAACTTGCGATGTCCAACAGCACCACAGTTCAAGCATGTCTGGTTCTCATCGTCTCGAAGCGTTCCGTTCAGCGACGCCAACTCTCTTAACTGCATGCGCTTCAGCTCGTTCTGGCCCTCTGGAACTGATGCAGACTAGTAGAATAAAAAAGGAAGGGTAGGGTAAAACGTTAGATCATTGGAAGATACATATCACTGGAAATTTCAGACATTTGATAAAAACAAGAAGGCACTTACGGTTTCGATGATCTTGTTGATGAGCTGAATGGCCTTGGCGACCTTATCTTCCGATTCGGCAGAGACAAGACAGTGAAGATCCTCCTCCTGGTTGGCGCTCGACGCAGAGTCAGAGCGACTCTTGCCCTCCTTGACCGATCCACGTCCACGAATACTGATCTTGGCGCCGGACTCTGTCTCCATCTTCTTCAAAGTGTTTCCACGTGGTCCGATCAAGAGTCCAATAAAGTTGATTTCGGGGAATTCCTTGACGGGGATATAGACCTTGTCCATGGTTTTGGTGGGTCGCTTGTAGTCTGCTGGTGGCTTGAAGTCGGGGTACTTTTTGATGGCGCCGTCGATCAAATGATGCCTCTCGTCCTCCAGTTTCTTACGGTAACGGTATTCTCTGGTGTTGACACGCTTTCCCTCAGCATTGTATACTGGTGGAGGAGAACGAGATCTAATTGAGGGGAAAGTGGAAGAGAGGAAAGTGTGTTAGGTTATAATATTACAATCGAGGAATCGCCTGTACCTGTACAATGACGAAGCAACATCAGCTTCCTGGCACATACCTCTCGCGATCCAGGGGAAGAACGTCGCCAGACTTCAGCTTCTTTGTAATCTCCTCAAGTCGAGTGTGCACTAAATTGTAGACAGAAACAAAACAAGCAAGAAAAGACGATATTAGTTTCACGGAGGTCGAAACACAGCATGCATTTACCACAAATGCAATAAAATATAATAATAAATCTTGGAACTTACGCAAAAACATCTCCAGCTGCTCCTCGGTCATGTTGGTGGGCAACGCCGTTGGCATTCCGGGGATAGTAACTTTTTCATCCTCTGCAGCCCAACGACTCTTTCTCTTGCGCTTTGGCTCCTCAGTCCCATCTAAGTTAAGTGGAAATACGAGAACCATTAGTCAGCTCAAGAAACCAGGCAACAAGATAAAACGATTGAATAATAAAGGCACTCCACATAGATGCTCGTACCTTCTCTTTTGACAGGAGCGAGACCATCACTCCTAGGACTGCCACCGTACGGACTGGACCCAGGCGACTGAGACGAAAATCCACCAGGTGATTGTGAAGGATATCCTCCTGCACCACCGGTAACATTCTGGTTTGGGCTGAAGAGCCGCGAGGGGACTTCGATGGGTCGTCCCCGGAATTGCTGATCGTCTTGATCAGACTGACTGACATCGCCGATCATGCGCTTGCGCGGACCAAGCGGGGTGTTGTTAGATCCTGTCTTGCCAGCGTTCCAGGACATGGTGGGTGTGGTTGACAAAGGGAGGGGGTTCCTTGAGGATGGATGGTGAAAGGAGAAAGATGAAAGACATATCCAAGTGACTTTTATTATCTGGATAATGGGGGGGGCGGGCGCCATAATGACGTCACCGAAGCAGTGTCATCGTAAATTAGTGGCTGTTGTACCTTTTGCTCAAATATGACTTATAATCTACACTTCCAATCAGTTGGAGATATGGCCGAGTTGGTCTAAGGCGCCGCGTTAAGGCCGCGGTCTATTCGTAGGCGTGGGTTCAAATCCCACTGTCTTCACTACTTTTTGCTTTTGTTGGGCGACATCCGGGCTTCGTTCTCTCTTTTCTTCGGGATTTCCACTGGGTCGCCCCGGGCTTTGTTTCTTTTAGTTTGGGGTTTTCATTCCCAACGTGCGCCATTCGCTTTTAAAATGCCACTCTTAAGAAGAAGGACGTCCTCCTTGTCAAGTGTGCTTTGAATGTTTTGGGGGGACTCTCAAGCAGAACGCCCGCCACGGTCGTACTCCTTTCAAAGTCAACTATTGCAGTTTTGAAACCTTGAACGATTGATCGCATTGTCCAAAAAAAAAAAGTCGAGCGTTTCCAAACAGTCTTTCAATATGCCCCTCTCAAGCAGAAAACCCGTGGCTCTGCCACGGTCGTCCTCTTTGCCAAGTGTGCTTTGTTTGTTTGTGGGGCAGCAAAAGAGATGACCTTAGGCCCCGCCTAAGGTCATGATCCAGTGTTTGTGCGTGACTCCAATGTTTGTGACCAAGTTAACCTGTTAACCCAGTAAAAGGTTAACCATACCCATCTTTTGTTACCTCTTCTTTTTTCACGCGTCATTTCACTTTCTACTTTTCCTCATTCGCCTGTACTTTCTAATACCGCGTCAGTGTTTGTTTTGGTCATCCACCCGGATGTGAACCTTCGTCGTTTTGTTTGCGTTGACAACTTCAAGCCAACGCCAAGCTGCGCCTTTTGTTGTTATCGGATTTCCTTTCTCTTTGTTACTCTTGTTATTCTTCTATTTTTTTTTCTTCTTCCTCTTCCTTTCTCTCGTCTCCCTACCTATTCACTTTCACCCTCTCTTGTTTTCACCAACCTCATGACCTATTTGTTGATGAAAACCCGGTTCCCGCCCCGTTAGCGTGTTCAACCCTAAGTCATCGTTCCCTTTTCTCTTTTCACACTCTCCTTTCCAATCTTTTCTATTCCGTCGTTGTCGTAGTAGTAGTTTAGCTAAATAATAAAAAAGGACACTGAGAGTGAACGTTAGAACAGCATCTTCCACCTGCTGTCCATCACATTCACCTAGGTAAGTCCATTCTTTTCCTCCTTCTTATCCATCATAAGATCTGTTGTCGCTCGAACAATAGACTGAATAAATCTTCCTCCTGCTGTCTATCACATTCACAGAGGTTGAGAACCTTCACTGTGCCGTGTGCCAAAGATCCGCATACATTTCGTCGTCACCAGTGATCTAGTTGAGATCACTCTTTCTCTTCCGTGAGCTTTGTTGGTTTCCCCACATTGACCATTTTTCTAACCGGTGGCCAACTGACCACTTGGCCACTTGACGAAATAACTAATTGACCGATTGAACTGAATTGACTGAATAATTGAATGACTGAATGACTGAATGACCTAATGACAGAATAACTGCTCAAAGGGTGGGAGCGACGGATACGTTTTTTCCAAACTACACTTTTCTTAGTACCGATGCCCTGAAAAAGTGTATCTGGGTTCATTGCCGAGTGTTGATCTTTTGACAGACACGTTTCAAGAGGTGGCCAGTGCACTATGATGTTTGAAAGGAAAGGTAAATCGCGATTCTTACCATTCAAAGTAGTTAGTTAATTAGAGAGCAAAAATGAAGAGAAAAAAGTAGTATTGTCTAGCAGTGCACCTGGGCATGAAATGGATATCTTCCACAGCCGGTCTTTACACATGGTCAGCTTTTTATCGCCCTATCAAGCTGTTCGAGCCGAAGCAATACCAAAGCTTATCAAGAATGGCCATACGGGAGTCTACACAAGAAAGATTGTTATCCAAGAAGTCCTCTAAATAGCTTAGAACATAAAGTATATTTAACCTCATAGACACAATGGAGGAGGATGCACATGTACTTTTAATAATAATAAAAAAAAATGAAGTTGATGCAGTTTACGATGAAAAATGTCCTTAATTTTTTCTCGGATGTTTGTTCGCCTCTTTTTGTACACGCTCTCTGTGGACTCAAGCTGGTCTTCTTTGCTCCAAATCGCGTTTTCTCTTTGTTTTTGCGAAGCAGAAAGGACTACTTAAATTTATGTCGAAGGGTGCGATGCTATTGCCTCTGCTAAAGCTGTGGGTTTGGGTGCCTTGGCCACGGCAATGATGGAAGAAAGAAAAACCCTTGATCTAGACTTGGATATGTTGGCGGTAGCGAGGAGGTGTTCCTGAATTCGAGTCGCGGTTGTTGGCCCAATTGACCCCCACTGGATCTGCACTGGTGCTGAAAAGGAAGAAGAGGTGGAAGACAGGCACGACTCGAGGGACTTGTTCAACACCGGTACTGTCAGATCGACACCTTTAGGACTGAACCCAATCAACCACAGATTGGTTGGTTTGTCTGTCGCGGTGGCCGTTTTGATCTGTGCTTCAACGTCTCGACGCTCAGTCACACCATGGCTTGCGATGTCGTCTTCAGAATGCAAGTCTAGATTATCGGCGAACCACCGCGACAGCTCTTCCTCAAAGCCAGGTCGTGGTCCCGTCTCATAGACAACAACCTCTTGGAATGCTCGTTGGTAGGCGGATAACTTCTCAGCAAGGGTCTTCATCCGCGTCTCGCCTGTCAGAAACCACAACTTGGGAGAAGAGGTGGGATCCACGAAGGGCTGGTCAGCATCATCGCTCGTAGGCTCAGTCTCGTGTCGCGTAGAATGGTTGCTGACTTGCACTGTGCTGCTGGCAGAAGTGACAGAGGTGGGCCATTTGAAGGAGATCAAAAAGTCGACTAATTGAGCAGCATTGTCGAATGAAGGTGCAGGTGAGGCAGGATCAGCGTCATACGAAGAGCCAGAGGTGTCTGATGGGTTGATAGTCACGAACCCAACCTCCTTGACTCTTGCAAGCGTAGCTCCTGTAAGACAGTAGATTGGAACCCGAAGCCAGGCCTCACGAATAGCTAACGGGTAATGATTCCAACACGAAAAAATGTCAGACCCAAACGCTCTTTTTATCAAAAGGTGAAAGATATAAAATTTAGCAGAAACGTCAGATCGATTCTCCATACCTGCATCAGGCTGGTGCTGAAGAGCCGCCTCAACTGCACTGACGGCGTTTTGGGACGTGACAGCAAAGGCCCACAGGCTGCCAAACTCAGAATCCCTTTTACTCGGCGAGTGCCCAGGAGGATACCCAGACGCAACGGCCCTTGATAGCTGTGTCGTCTTGGGAAAGACAGTGGTCATGGGTGGCAGGTACTCAACCTTGAGTACGACATCAGGCTGATGCCGACTGAATGCTTCATGTAAAGCATCAGAGTAGGGCTCGGTTGAATGAGGAGGAGGAGGGGTGTCTGGTGAGGGTTGTTGAGAGGGAAGAAAGGATGTGGGATTGGAGGGTTCCTTGAGTAAAAGGATTGAGCAACTCCTGGGTTCCATTGGCATAAAGCGCTGAGGGTGGGAGAATGACGAGAGAAAAAAAAAAAACAAGAAAAAGGAGCGAGAACGCGAACGACAACTGCCCCGTTCGGGCCGTTCCTGGGGTGAACCAGGAAAAAGCAAAAAATATAGTGAAGACAGTGGGATTTGAACCCACGCCTACGAATAGACCGCGGCCTTAACGCGGCGCCTTAGACCAACTCGGCCATATCTCCAACTGATTGGAAGTGTAGATTATAAGACCTATTTGAGTAAAAGGTACCACAAGTACGCGCCACCAATTTCGAGACGCCACCAATCTTCTATAGCCCTTAATTGAAATGGGCAGGCTGGCCCAATGTCCATCTGTTACCTGGAGGCGCAGGCCTCGGAGCTGATCTGGAAACCTCGGTGCCCCGCGACGATCGCGTGGGAACAAAGCCAGGGCATCTCTGCCAAGGACAAGACATCCAAGTACACAGGCCCCCGAGGTGACTGGAGTCAAGGATACGGTTACATCACGCACGATGGTTTCTGTCCGTGTGGCGCTTCGCTAGCCACACATTGTGAAGGAAGGTGCCCTGGGGCGACCAAGGACCCACGCGCTGCTGACGAGCGGTTGTTGGAGAGTTTGTTAGGAAGGAGGAGGTTGTCAATGATGGAGAGGATGGGAAGAATCCCCTTCATTCGTATCTAGTTTTATTTTCTTCCGTTTAAGCTGTGAAGAGCGGCGACAATTGTTGCGCAGAGCCAGGTTCTGGACCGGACTGCGACTGGTAGATAGTGCACTGAAGAGTTTGGTCTGTAGTCCCCTTTTACTTCCAAATGACTTCTCTATGCTGTTTGTCAGAGAAATAAAATTGTGTACGAAAAAAAAAAACCAATGTCCATCGCCAAGACGGTCCTGCACAAGTCTGTTGGCTACCTGGAGAAAATTATCTAAAAACCTCGATGCTCCGAGAACGACCGCGTTGGGGCAAACCAAGGGCATCTCTGCCAAGAACAAGACATCCAAATACACAGGCCCCCGAGGTGATTGGAGTCAAAGGATATAGTTACATCACCCACAATGGTTCCTGCCCGTGTGGCGCTTCGCTAGCCACACATGATGAAGGAAGGTGCCCTGGAGCGACCAAGGACCCACGCGTTGATGATGGGCGGTTATTGGAGAGTTTGTTAGGAAGGAGGAGGTTGTCAATGATGGGGAGGATGGGAAGAATCCCCTTCATTCGTATCTAGTTTTATTTTCTTCCGTTTAAGCTGTGAAGAGCGGCGATAATTGTTGTGCAGAGCCAGGTTCTGGACCGGACTGCGACTGGTGGATAGTGCACTGAAGACTTTGGTCTGTAGTCCCCTTTTGCTTCCAAATGACGTCTCTATGCTGTTTGTTAGAAAAAAAAAAATGCAAATCATGCCGCCTGAATGGTTACACAAAAAAGTGAACGAAGATTGCAAGCTATAAAAAAATATGTGCTAGTTTTCTTTTCTATCTTTCACTCCTCTTCAGTCTATGGGGATCCTTTTTTTCATTCACAAACATAAAAGAAAGCGAACAATCGGCGTGTGTCTCATTTTTGTTACCAAACTTATCTTTCAGGTACTTTTCTGTCTGTGTTACCAGGCCTATGACCTGAGGCTAAACCTGAAAAAAAAGCGGGTGCAGATCAAAGGGTCCAAGAATTTGTAGTGGAATTTGTCAGAAACCTGGACGCCCACTCGATACTCTGCTTCACGCGGTGGACTTTCTAAATCGACCCGGTCCAAAAAGCTTAAATACCTCATCTTTTTTTCTGGCGCATACAAACGTTGAATAGAATAAATATTGTACAATTGTATTATATGTTTCTTTTGCTCTAAGGATACAAAGAAAGGGTGGTGACAACGCTCTTGTTCGAAACCTGTGGGATACCGAGGTGACGTCTTGGAGGTGGGGTGGGTAGTGGAGGTGGTGGCACGTACGACAGTGCCAGTCGCGGGGATTCGCCTGGGAAGAATCCAAAAGGTGGTTCTTGGTATTCGTCCGGGATCGAGCCCCAGTCCTTTTGAGCAAAAAGAAGGTCCGCCTCGATCGCATCCAGCTCGTCGAGAGACCCAATGGGAATATCGCCTGGGTTTAGCTGCATCACTGCTGCTGCCGCACAATCTCCCAATGCCATGGAACCTGGCGTGGGTGCCAAAGGCGTAAGTGTAGGGACCGCGGCGTCAGCCAGTGTTGGTGAGAGCGAGTAGTTGGATGGGGCGGCCATGGAAAGTTCCCTGTCTCTCACCTGTTGTTGGGGCTGCTGGTGCGATGCCTGTTGTTGTTGCTGCTGTTGTTGAATTTGTTGTTGCTGCTGTTGATGCTTGTGCTGCTGTTGAGGATATCCCTGGGGTGGATGTTGCGTACCCAGTGGTCTTGTCGGTGTCTGATGCAGAGACTGGGATGGGTAGACACCATAGGGGGGGTTGTCGAACACTGGCGCCATGAGCGCATTCTCGTCGAACTGGTAGGAATCATCAAGGGAGTTTGGCGCCATGAGGTCCATGTGCATGTAGGCGTTCCTGGGGTGCAAATGGTTGGGATCGTTCATTGCCGAAAAATCGCTCGAAACAGACGCCATGGAATCCATCCGGTGTCGGTGCGAACCGCCAAAGGGGTTGGGAGGTGAGAACCCAGGAGACACAGTAGGCCAGGGTCGTCCTTGTGGATCCAGTCCAAAGTCCATGTCAAAGTCCATAGCCATATCGAGCTCATCCTCGCCAATATCGTGTAATGGAATGTAAAACGACGACGGTTGATTGGGTGGTGGCATCGAATAAGTATCGTAGGCATATGGCGCACTGTAAGGCCGTGGTGGCTGTTGGTGTTGAGGCATCCTTTGATGGTGAGCATTGGGATTCCTGTGTTGCTGGTATGGGTACTGATTCTGGTGTGACAGGCGGGGGTGGTAGTTGGGTGGGTAGGATGGTGGCTGCATCTGTCTGTCAGCTTGCGAAGGTCCGATAGAGTCTGGGGGAGGGACTGATTGGTGATCGACTGAAGACATGACCGACGGTGACCGTGACTCTGTGTAGTTCGACTGCGCCTTGGTTTTCTTGGGAGCCTTTGGTTGCTCCTGCAGTGGTTTTGCCTTGCGTTTCCGGACCTTGTTGACGTCGTGGATCCTGATGTGCTCCTTGAGGACATCTGATCGAGAAAAATGTTTCCCACAGCCTTCCTGAGGACAAGCGTAGGGACGTTCACCTCCATGAGAGCGGACATGACGGGCCAGATGGGCGGAGCGTGTGAAAGTCTTGTGGCAGTTGGGCCATGGGCAGTGGTGAGATTTTTTCGGTTTTGCCGCCATCTCGTCGGTTGGGTCGTCGTTCTCGTCCTGATGGTCAGAAGGTGGGTCTTGCCGTCCATCTGCCAGTTAACAAGAAGCGACGGTAATATTCATGGTAAATAATTCATCCTTAGTTCAAGAATTAAAGATGTTCCTCACTTTTTGCACATCCGCCATCTGCATTTGACGTCATATATCGTACCTGGTTTGCTCGGTACACTGGTGTTGTTGACGCCGCTTCCAGTGGACCCGACAGGTACCCCTGTATCTATATTTGGTACTCGGCTGTTTTGCATCGCTGATGTGGACAGCTCGCTTGGTTGTGCGCCAGGCACAGATGATAAAGTTTGGTGGACGGGAGCGAGGGATGTGGGGCCTGCAACGGATGGGGTCATTCCTGAAGAGAGTGCTTGGGATTGAGAAGGTGGTTGGATTGGGAGTGAGAACGGCTCTGTTGTGTTGGGAGGAGCTGGTGTTGATGTGGAGGGAATAGTGGAGACAAAGGTATTTACAAGGGCCGGTGGGTTGGCTGGGGAAGGAAGAGTGGGAGCATTGACGACCGAGACGGTGGAAGGTGCTGTTGAAGGGATTGTTCCGTCGGGAACGGGAGAGATAGGAGCGTCGTTTCTTGGGGGCTTCTCCGAACTAGGGGCCTGGTTTTGAACTTGGACTTGAGCCTGTGCCTGAGCCTGAGCTTTCATCGAGACTCGCAGCCCCTTGGGTCCGGTGTGAATGCGCGAGTGTCGCGTGAGCTCGTCGCTCCTTGAGAACCGTTTCGTGCAGCCTGGAAATTTACAAGCGTGAGCCTTTTCGCCTGTGTGAGTACGAATGTGTCGATTGGAGTGCTCGAGACGGTAGAAGGATTTAGGGCAGACAGGGCATTGATAGGGACGCTCCGGGGCATCGCTTAGGTGGCACTGGAATGGCTTGGGTGCTTCTCCGTTTATGGGTGGTGTGGGTGGTCGGGGCAAATTGTATGGAGCGAGATCGGTCGGAATGGATGACAGTGAGGACGAATCCGAGGTCGATGTTGCAATAGAGGCGACTATTGAGGGCGTGGTCGCGACTGCAGTTGTATCCATGATGTTGCTGTTGTGGTCGACAATGTAATAAAATATAAGTAATATAAAGGCGAGAGCGTAGATGATGTGGGGTTGAGGGAGGAGGAGGAAGAGGACGGAGAGGAAAAGGAGGAGAAAGATCCGGAGGCTGTGTGCAAGGGACCTGAATAATGTGGGGAATGGTCTTTTTTGCGGGGTCAAGGTGTATCAGAGAGAAGAAAAAGGTACAGGTGCTTGGGTGTCACCCTGGCTAGTTCGTCAGGCAGTTGAACGAGGAGAGATCCTGCAGTGAGATTGAATAATGAGGTGGAGTGAATGTCGACCAGACAGTTGGTTGGAGAGAAAGAGGAGATCGAATGAATGGCGAGAGAGGTGTAAAGAGGGACAGTGTTAGAGGAGGATGGGCGGTTGGAATGTGAACCGAGTTTGGGGTGAATGTGAATGCGGGGTTGGGGATGGGAGCCAGGAAGGACAAGGAAGAGGGTGAGAGAGTGAGAGAGAGAGAAGAGAGGGAACAGAGAAGAGGGGAGAGAGAATAGAAAAAATAGTGAGAGAGAGCGAAAAAGAGAAAAACGACAGGTGGGGCAAACGGCGAATTTGTTTGTTCTAATTCTTGTTCTTCTTGTTCATCGCATCGCACGCACACAAAGCAAGCAGGCAGTTGAAAAAGGAGAATTTCTGACACTTGTTCAATTGCAGGGCGATGATGGACGATGTGATTGACGGGTGGATGGCCACTTATGACTTATGAGTTATGACAGACAGACAGGTACAAGCAAATTCAATTAAAAATGAATGTATGTAACGTTATGAAGATAAAACAACAACAGCAACAACGACAAGAGCAGCACAACAAGTGAAAGTAGGAGGTGACCCATTTTTTTTTCGCTTGTCTGCCTGTCTGTTTGTGTGACAGATGTACGGAAAAGAGATGAATGTGGTGTGGGAGTAATAAAAAAAAAGTGGGGTCGACTTACTCTTTCTCTCTATCACTCTCTCTCTATCTCTCTCTCTCTCTCTCTCTCTCGCCCTCAGTCTTTTTTTTTTTCACTCGTCTTCCTAAATCAAGTATCGATCGCATCGTACTCTGGGCAGTGTTGTCCTCTCCTTATGTCTACGTTGCAAGAACGTAAAACTCATCTATCTTCCTGTCTCTTTCTTTTTGTCTCGCTTTTGTTTGTAAAGCAAGCGTTCATCCTTTGAATGACTCCAAGAACTAAGAAAAAAGAAGTATTTCCCATGACCACCAGGATCTGTTCCATGGTTGCAATAATGAACTGCCAGAGGGAGTAAGTCAAAAAAGAAAGACACAAGCCCCAGTATTTGTTGATTTTTCGTCCATTGAGCCCGTTGTTGACTCCCAGCCCTTGTTCCGATTGTTCTTATGAAGATTTGCGTGTCACCCACTTTTTGCCCACTTTTTCTCCATTTCCTGATCAAACCCTAATCCTCTCATTGGTCCGCTGAGCCTGGGTCCACTCCTTCTCCTTCCGACATCGTCCTTGCACGCCCAAACAAAACAAAAGGTCCTGACCCCTCTCGAGTAACGTCCACTCAAGCATCACATACATCATCTGATCCTTCTCTTGCCCCGCATTGTCCCCCACCCTCGGAAAAAACAATTATTCCCTCCTTTCTTTGACCTATGACCACGCGAGCGGCCTTGAGTTCATTAGGCTTCTCTTTGAAGAATTGGTTCATTAATAAATGTCCCTGCGCCAGTGGCGGAGGTCATTAGAACTGGACCTTCATTTTTTTCATATCCATTCATTATTTTCATTGCCCTCTTTTTTTTTTTTTTTTTTTTTTTTTGAATATTATCCTTGTCTCGATCTCCGACAGCATGTTGAGCTGGAGGCTATCTAATGGCGTGAGCAATGGACGGACCATGTGTTCAACTTTGCACTTCATTGAACACGTTGTCACCTTCTAATCTTCCCTCGGATCTGCTTTTTATCATTCCTACCCTACTCCAGTTCATATGTCTCCTTAACTTTTAATGGTACGAGACTTATGGTCCCTGCTAACCAAGTTTAGTTAAAGTGGCAGTGGTGGCAGTGGTGGCAGTGGTGGGCGTTGAATTCGTGAGTAGCGGGGGCAAGCAAAGTGTCCTTACCAAGTTGGCATTGGCTTCCGAATCCAGCGATTATGGCAATATAAATTTTCGTTTGCAGTCACGCTGTTGGCTTGTAGTTGTTGCAGAAAAAGAACGATTCTGGCAAGGTGTAAATCTCTCCTTCGCTCTTTTACCATTCCCAACGTCGTTCAGCAGCACCAATGGAAGTGGAATTCGATTCAAGACCTGTCCGACCAGGATCGCTAATCTGGTCCGAGGACAACATCCTCGCTCTGGTCACTCCTGCCTGCGTCAACATCGTCGTACGTTCAATCAGCTCTCCTCCAGGGACGGCCACACACGCAGCAAACGCGTCGCCACGTTACCTTTTTTTAACCTGCTTCCAAAATGATGATGTTTGGATTAGACTCCCTGCCTACCGGGAGCTCTGGATCGGTCCCCGATAAAGTTTTTGCTAACTTCGACTCCAGCCCTGACTATTGCTGGCGATAGTCCGCCTTGGAAGCTCATTGCAAATGGTACACTCTCCTTCTCTTATGTTACCGCGGGAAATAGTGCACGACGATGGCATGCTGAACCCCTCCTCATCAAAAAAGTAGCACCGTCGTTTTACTATTTATTATCCTTCTAGTGGCCAACATCAGGAATGCTGTGTCACCCTTGGCGATCGATTACTTGGCAGGAGCTTGGTCACCAACTGGTTGCTCGCCTCTCATGGGGTATGTTTGATGATTGCAGGCAGCAAGTTGCGTGGATATTACAAAGTCGACAAATTGACGCGTTTCATTTATGAACGATTTAGATGCATCCTCTCAATTATCACTTCGAGACACTCAGTCATTTTGTACATCCCAACATCCTCGCACGCAGACAGGCAATGGCAAAAGGTACTGTCATAATCAAACGGTATATACATCTGACGTGTCGCAAGGGTAGAAGTACATGTCGGCACTCACTGACAACAATATCCTCCGTGCCTTTGAATAGCATCTCGTCTTGGATCAATACCTTTCGACATACTGGGGAGCACAGCCACAGATTGAACCTGAGATGGCCGACAAACTTGAATCGGTCTCTTTGGCATGGTCTCCAAAAATTCACTTCGGAGGGATTGGATCGGTACTGGCTCTAGGAAATAAAGCTGGATATGTCACCCTCTGGCACGTCACCAGCAAGGAAAACGTTCGCTGCATCGAGTCTTGGAAAACAGAAAGCGAGACATGGGTGATTCAGTTGTCCTGGTCGCCTTGGGTTCTGGAAGGGGGCCGATATGTCTCTATGCTTGCCTATGCCACCGCGGACGGACAAGTTCGGGTCCGGGAGGTGAAGTTCAATCCGGAGTCCCCCCTCGAGGGCATTGACGTGTCTGAAAACGTGATGGAAACCCCCAACCAGACTCTCCACCCATGTACAGTTCTCCGGTGGAGCCCGACATCTTATGAGGTAACTAATAATTGCTCTCCGAATAATCATGCCGCTATTCTGCTTGTATATTTCGATGCGACTGAGACTGATACCCTTTCTCCATCATCTCCATGAAACTAGACGGCGAATAAGCGCAACATGCTGGCTTTCAGCCGAGGAAACAGACTGAACGTGTGGTTTCCGCACTCAAACAGGACAGTGATGTGGAGGCGACCTATTGCAAAGGCGATTGCGGACATCACATGGGACACACATGGAAAGCGACTAATCGTGTTTTTAATGGACGGCAAGCACTGTGTATTGGATTTGCAGGATGACGGCCTGAAGGTGGACGACGAACAAGTCGAGTTCATCCACCAAAGCATCATATCTCGTTGCCATATGCAGACCAAAACGAATATCACACAGGACGAAGGCGACGCTGATAATGCCAATGCAGATGACGAGGGTGCGGATGAGGAGAACAGTGGAGGGGCGGTCATGGGAAGCAAGTTACAGCTGCACATCATCTCCGGAAGCGCCTCATCCGAGAGGGTTCAACTTGCCACCGCATACTAGTAAGCGCTTTTGCTTTTCGTCCCGCTGTTGTGGTATAATGGTCTGGAGTTGACAATAACTGACCTTGTTTTTTCACTCATAGTGTTACATCTCCATTCCACATGGAGTTCCAACGCGAACGATACCAATCATCAACACTGACGCTCTCCAAAGCCCACAAGACCCTTCAAGGTGCACCCGCAAATGCCTTGTTCGACAGGCTGGATACGTACATTCGCCTTCCTAACGCTGGTATACATCTACATTATATTTTGTCTTTAAGCTGACATGTACCAGAGTGTGCAGATCAGTCGTTCGCCGGTGCTAACACTCAATGTTTTCTCACTTGTGATAGCACTGACTAGAAATCCGGCGTTTCACATGTGGGACATGCTTTTGTTATTGGGGGAGAGCTGGAAAGCTAGAGACTCTGGATCAGCCAACCTCGAGCGGCTCATAACGGTTTTAAGCAGCAAGACGAAAAAGGCACCAGCTACTCTTGAAATGTTCTCTAAAAGAGATGCACTCGTCGACACGAATACCTCGCTGGAATCAAGGTAATGCTCAGGAGGAATAGATCAGCCATTTCTTTTCAGAGAATATTGGAGCGTTTCCATGTAGCTAACCTCGATTGGTAATTCTAGGCTCAAAAGTACTCTCTTCAGCAATACGACGATGAACTCAGAGCGGGTTGCAATATATCTCTATAGCCAACTGAAGGTACATACCTCGGACGGTTTCTTGCTGAACGTATAACGGCGTGGTTATCATGACCCCTCACTAACTGTGACTAGAAATCATTCCTTATAGCACTGCGAGTTAGAGGGATCATTAGTAGAGCGATTTGAGCTTCATGTTCGCGATGCAGAAACTCGCGTCAGGAAGCATATTACCGAGAGCGTCCTTGCCTTGCATAACGAGGCGTCCGCCACATCTACGTCGCCACTGCAAGGTAATGCACCGCTGGCAACATTTTCGGGTTTGTGCAGACTATATAAGGAGCAAGTCACTGATGTCGGTGTTATTATTGATACCCTTTACACATAGACTGTGATCGATCGCTGCTCTTGCTTTTGTGCGACAGCATTCTTTTGTTCCACAACGACGACAAACATCTATTGGCGACGGCAGAGACCACGTATCTTCGACTCCAAGGCTCATGTGCCGTCGACGAGCAATTGGGAGTGCTTCAGGACATCAAAAAAGGCGGGTCTCCGGATCGTGACTCGTTCGGATCAGGGAGGGAAGAGTGCCCAGCATGCGATGCTGAAGTCAAGTTGGAGGATATGCAGGAGGCGACTTGTGCGAACGGGCACATGTGGCGGAGGTGCTCGGTGACTTTGCTTGTGATAGCAGACTTCCACCCTCGGACATGTCTTGGCTGTGGGCGAAAGACACTAATGGTTCCTGATGCACAGGCTGACGCGTCTACGTTGCCAGGCACCACGGCGACCTCGTGGCTAGAGGTTGTTCTCCGAGCGCACAGTCTGTGCGGATACTGTGGGGAGCGATTCTACACCGCGCTCAGGAGGCGAGCCTAGATGCAAGTCACAATGTTATTTTTCCAAGCACAAAAAAAAGCTTTTGTCCGAACTTCTTTAAAAAAGAAATAGAACAAAAAACTCCGTGTGTGTTTCCTCTTTCTGCATGCTACGCCATTTCCGACGACTTGCTATTCCACTTTACCACTCCCAACAACGAACCTCCCCTCGATTCTTCATGTCAGGATCCCCAGCACCATCACCTGTGATCTCGGACATGACCTTGTCCGCTGAAACCCCCGCACCAGCTGCGGTGCCAAAGGCACAGGCTCCCGCCATGAAGCGGTCCAAGAAGGTCAAGAAGCTTACCAAGAAGGACATCGACGAGGTCTTGATGCACGATATCGTTGAGCTGCGAGGACACAGCCACTGGGACTGGGACCCAAAGACCCCTCCTCCTTTCCAGAACTTTGAGGAGTTAGAGGTTACTATCGGCAGTCTCGCTCAGTCTGGCGAGGGTCTTGCCCTCTTGCCTGATCGTGGAGAGGGATGGGTCTTGGTAGTCCCATTTGTTGTGCCAGGCGAGAAGGTCATGGCCAGAGTTTACAGACACAACTGGTACGTTGACAGCGGTGCTGTATCCGTACGCGATCATGATCTGGAATATGGATACACAATGAAGACCACATATGCTTACCTTTATACCATTCTTTCTTGCTGTCCTTAGGGGTTATTCATACGCTGATCTTGTTGAGGTTATCCAGCCTGCAGAGAACAGGATCGCCAAGAACGACATCTTGTGCAAGTACTTTGGCGCATGCGCCGGATGCCAGCTGCAGCATATCTCCTACGCCGATCAGATGAAGTTCAAGCGTCAAGTTGTCGAGAATGCATTCAAGAACTACGCTGGTAAGTGTTCACAACGATTGTGGCCAATCAGATATCCACTAATGCCTGCTTTTAAACGGACGTACGCTAACATTGCTGGTTGTTGCCGATGCTGAAATAATAGAAAAGTACTTTGCTACACTCCCACCTGTCGATCCTGTTTCTCAGTCACCCATTCAATCCAACTACCGCACCAAGATCACCCCTCACTTTGAAGCTCTGAACCCCAAGCACCAGTCAGCTGGAACGGCCCAACCTGTCCAAATCGGATTCATGCAAGCAGGAAAGCGCAGGATTTTGGATATTGAGGAATGCCCCATCGCCACACCCATTGTCAACGAAGGAATGAAGACCATGAGAGCCGAGGTGCAAAAGTAAGGCTCCACGACCTTTGTCATCTATATCGAGGAACTATTGGCAAGGTCGAGGTATTAACCCATGCGTCTGTATTATGACTGTAGAAACATTGCAACATACAAGAAGGGCGCCACTATGCTTCTTCGCGAGAGTAACCCAATTGTCCCAGGAACAGAGTCAGAGAACCCCCCTACTACCACCAAGGTTTGTGTGACGGATCACAAGGAGACCATTACAGAATGGGTTGGGAAATTCCGGTTCGACTACCCAGCTGGATCGTTCTTCCAGAACAACAACGCCATCTTGCCATCTCTGATCGGCTATGTTCAACAGCAGCTTCACCTTCCTCTCGCCTCTTCGACCACACCAGTTCCCTCCTCGGACTCTACTTCAGCGTCAACCTCATCTTTGAACCACGAAATCAAATACTTGGTGGATGCCTACTGCGGCTCGGGATTGTTTGGTATCACCTGCCACGAGGGCTTCAAGAAAGTGTTGGGTGTTGAGATTTCAGCAGCCTCTATCTCTTGCGCCACCAACAACCTTGTTTTGAACAAGCTGTCGACGGAGACAACAGCATTCCATTTGGATGATGCCGACAAGATCTTTGCCCACATTGACTTTCCCTCTGCAGAGACGGCACTGATTATCGATCCTCCCAGGAAGGGCTGCTCGGACGAGTTTTTGGACCAGATGGTGGCATTCTTGCCAGCACGTGTTGTCTATGTGAGCTGTAATGTCCAGACACAGGCCAAGGATCTCCAGGGACTGCTAGATCGCTGCCACGCCAAGGGCTTGCCTGGCTATAGGGTGGAGGCCATCCGCGGTTTCGATCTCTTCCCGCAGACCAGGCACGTCGAGGGCGTCATGACCTTGACCAGACTCTAATAAATTTCAAGTCACGAACAAAGCACCTTTTTTCTTTTTTCTTTCGTTCCAATTCCATCACATAAAAATCCGACAACAGCGAATGATGGCCACCGACAGCACGCACGACTCATTGTCTGGCACCGCAGTACAACTCGGCGACGACAACACTGGCGTCCCCTCTCAATCACAACCGGCTCCTCTGGCGCAGGCACAAACTCATTCGCTCGACATTCATGGCAAACAAACACAGCAACAACAGCAGCAGCAGCAGCAACCTCTGCAGCACCAACCATTGGAAGGCGACCCCAACAGCGAAAATGTCAGTCCTCAAGAACTGACTCTTTATGTACGTGTTCGTTTTTTTTGGCTCTTGACACCCCTGACAAGCGCGCTCGTCTCTGTTTCTCAAGACCTCAAGTTAACCGGACTCGTTTCGTGTGTTTGACTATCATTGCACGTAATAGGTCGAAAAGCTGCTCGAGCAAATCAATGCAAAGTTTGACGGAGTGTCAGGTCAAATCCTCGGTAAAAGTAAGTGTCAGCATGGATGCCAAGCTCAAGAAGACTTTTCAATTGACGACGCACCAGCTATCTTTCGAGACGATGGTCTCCTTTCAAATTGCCCAGCAACTAATCCTTTATTTAACGCCGGCCCTTTCTTCTTTTGCGTACAATTTGTAGTGGATGAGATGTCGTCGAGGATTGACGACCTGGAAAAGTCCATTGGAGAACTTGTGCAGAATGTGGAAGAGGAACCAAAGCAGCTACCAACACCTGCGGACAAGTAGCCGCAGGAAAATAAAGTGTTCATCAAAGCGACATCGTCTTATTGCTTTTGTTCCTGCATTTTTTGAATTTCATTGCAACTTCTGCGACTGCACATTTTTTATCGTTCCATCATCTCTCTCCGCCCTCTTCTTTTTTTCACCAGAACATCGTCACCTACACAACTCAGATGACTCCAGCAGTACAAGAGACGACGGCCACAGCACAAAGAAGCAGCGATGTTCCTCTGAAGGACAACCACCCGACAGAAACACATTCAAAGTCCAACCCCAGCTTGGAGTTCATCAAAGCCTTGACCAACGTGTCCGACATCCAGGAATGTCTTCGACAACTCGAGCTAGAAGAGACTAAAGTTGATGCCGACCTGGACGAGTTGCTGGCAGAGCGTGAAGAATTGGAGTCAAGCCTTGACAAACTGGAAGTTCTGGAGTAAGTTTTTTGTCGTCTCCTGTGTAGACTGGAAAACACGGGATAGTAATTGGTCGGTGGTAAGTACCATACTTTAAGTCTTGACGTTTTGTAAACTGGCCCACTGACTTAACTTGCAATTTGCATACATGAAAACTGATAGACCTCAACTTGGCGGATTACAACACGAGTCCAAGTCGCTCGTAAAGATCATTAGCGACACTTCAGGATTGGCTGAGAGTATCAGCGTGAAGGTTCGACAGCTCGATCTTGAGCAATCACGCGTTCAACTGGCTATCAAGCACGTCGAGGATGTTCAGGAACTTAAGTTTTGTATCTCAGGAATTCAACGGGCGATGGAACATTCAGAATATGAGGATGCGGCACGACACATGCACAAGGCCCTTGGTTTCGATAAACGTATCCTTGAAGGATCATTTGCCGAGATCTCGGTGGTATGTTCAGCTGGTAGTAGCATTGATCGAGTCGAACGAGGACAGGGGAGTTGTGGCTGTACTTTGAGTACGCTAACAAACATGCTCTTTATTTATCATATAGCCTTCAGCGTCGAACCCTGAGTATCCCACTGTGATGCTGGCCAATTCCAAGGCCAAGCTACTGGATATTATCTCGACAGGATTCGAAGGAGCAACACAGAGGCAGTCAGAGGAAGATATCACACGGTACTTCAAGCTGTTCCCACTCTTGGGAGAGGAGCAAGTTGGACTAGACAAGTACTCACAGTTTGTATGCGCCATTGTCTCTGGAAAGGCGCAAACCTCTCTTGCTGGACCACGTAAGTTCTAGCTCAGATCAACATTTGGGCTGTTGAAGAATTGACTTTTTCTGGACAATTATTTACTGGTCATAATTCTTCCTCATTACTTTTAGCCAAATCGCCTACGTTCTATGCCGATACTTTGATCAGGCTGTTCGAGTCTGTTGCGGTCATCATTGACCAGCACCAGCCTGTCATTGAGAAGTTTTACGGTCCAGGAAAGATGCTTCGAGTTATTCAGAGGTTGCAGGAAGAGAGTGATACCCGGAGTAGAAAGGTTCTTGAGGCCTTTGAAGAAGAGCGCGAAATCGCTAGGAAGGTGCGTTCTTAACGTGAACACCCATTAGCGGCTTTCATGACAAGGATCACAGGAGAATACTTGGTACTAATGTATAAGCAACACACCTCTGGTTAATAGGTTGCAGAGATCAAGGCTTTCCGGGAACCCAAACGGACTACACTCCAATCCTCAGGAACGATCCGAAGCCTCACACCCCAACCCGGCTCGTCCAACATCCAACAATCTTCCGCTATTCCCGAGGTGATCGACCCACGCGAGTTGGATATCAACCTGAACGAAATGGTTCTCATCTCTCAAAGAGCACATCTCTACAACCGCTTCTTGGAGTCGAGAGCTAAGGTAAAGATCAGCAACGGGTTGTCTTCATTCGCGATGGTTACAATTTTCATGACTGATGTTCAAACGCTGTGCCGTTACTATTGTTCATCATCTAGTCCGAGGTCGAGCAGCTGAAGGATGATCATGCTGGAGAGGCGCTGCTGGAGAAACAAAAGGACCTGCACAACGAATCCGGACTGCTTCGCGTCAGTGGATTGTCACGCAAGGTCGAGGAGGTCATTGATCATTACTTGGCCATCGAAGAGTTTTTCCTAAGGAGAAGTGTTGATAGGGCCATGAAGATTGACGAATATGATGCAGGCAATCAGACCTCCAGCTGTGTGGACGACGTCTTTTACATCCTCAAGAAAACCATCTCGCGAGCTGTCTATACCTCGAACGTCGACTGCTTGGCTGCGATGATCAACTTTATCAAGAACACCCTCGAAATGGACTACATTTCAGTTTTTCAAAGGAATATGGCGAGCGTCTTTTCGAATGGAGATACACGGGATGCGCGCTTCCAGTACATGGTAAAATAACATTGAATGTTTGTTATTAACCATTGTCGTCTATCTTCATATTGTCGCCACGTACTACGTACTAACGCTGGAATGCCCCTCCTCTGTGTCCATGGCAGATCCTTTTGAACAACGTCGATGTCAGCATCGACTATCTGGAAAAGCTCACTGTCGAGATTGAGCAGGAATGCGTGTCAACGATCGCTTCGCTATCGGAGCATTCGCTGGCCAAGGCAAAGGTGGTGCTCTCTGGACTTACGGGATCTTCGAGCAGGTTCAAGCGGATCCTGAATCACGGTATCGAGGAGCTGTATGAGCGGACACTGAAGCCCCGATTGAGACCTCTTCTTCAGGACTCTTATAAGGATATCAAATACGTTGTGACAGACGAGGAGTATGCGGAGCAGGAGGCCCTGAACAGCTTTGTCAATCGGTTTATGTCAGGCTTGGAAAGCCTGGTGGATGCGTTCAAGGTAACTGGCAAGGACGATGCTGAGCGTATGGCAACTCAGCTTTTGTCTTTTCAGATGCACCATCTAATACTGCTGTCCTTTCGCTACCTCGTTACATAGTCGACCTTGACGGATGACAATTACAATCAAGTGATCGCTAACGCGGTGACGACGCTGACAAAGACCTGGGAGGACATTATCTTTGACACAAAATTCAACAAGATGGGCGCTATCCGGTTCGAAAAGGACCTCCGCGCAGCAGGCTTCTACATGGTGTCATTGACGTCCTTCCCTTTGCGTGAGAAACTGACGCGACTCAACCAGATGGCTATGTTACTCGACCTGGAGGAACTCGAGGATTTGTACGAAATCTGGGGAAACAATGCTGGCGCAATCACCTGGCGGCTGACGGACGGAGAAGTGCGGCGCATCTTACGTTCCAGGTATGTCATCTCGTATTTTTTTATTGCTGTGGTAGCCTTTGGTAAATTGGTCTTCGTTCTCAACAATTCACTTTTTCTCTTTTAGGATCGACTTTCATCCCGAGGAAGTGGCACGGTTGAAGCTCTAGTTGGTTCTCCTGTTGAAAGCCAAATAAAAGCATTCTTGTATTCTTGTGCAACTCTTCTTCATACTGGGCGTTTGGCCATTTGAATTGCAAGTCACGGACACTTCTACAACATTTTGCCTTGGGTATGCGCTCCTTGCCCAGACCCCCCTTTCCCCTCCACCCATTACTCATCACTCCCATACACCCACACCCACACCCAACCTTCCACTATCCCTACAGCCAAGAACAATGAATAAAATAAACCACGAACAGCTGCTCTCTCTGGAGCACCCTTTTGTGAAGGCAAGACTACAGTAGACCATGCATGGACTTACCTGCATGACTCGTTTATTTCTTCAAAACTAATGACCTTTTTTCCTTCTGTGGGTGGCATGCAACAATACAGATTCCGGTGGAGAAGTTCAGGTCGTCTCTCAGAGTCTCGCAGAAGCATATCGAAAAGGAGATTGCGACGCTGACCAGCACCGTCTCTGAGATATCCAAAAAGTCCGTTCAAGGTAGCATGGACCCCAAGCAGGTCGAGGTTGCACTGGAGGCCATTGTGACTCGTCTGAGCACTCTGAAGCGAAAGGTACGAAGAAACACATTGGATTTGAGAACTGGTCTTTCCTACCTTTTTTCATGTTGTTGGTTTGCCATGATATTACTATACGCTTCCTAACACAGATACGCGTTGCCTCTCTGTCTACTCCTCCAGCTCAAGGATACTCGCGCAGAAGAAACTCTCTATTCTCAAAGAACAAAAGTCCGCCTGCAGCACCTTCAAGAATTCACCGCCATCCCCACGCTGGATTCGGACGACTTTGCCCGCTGGAGCAGAGTGCGATTGAACCGCATCTTGATTGACTACATGCTCCGCGACGGCTTCAGGGAGACCGCGACGCTCCTGGCCAAGAGTGAACACATCGAGGTGAGCCTCTATTGCATGGCCTTGTAGAGTTTTGTCCTGGACTTACGCGGATGCCTTTTTTCCTTGCCTCTGAAACCATATATGTATTTCCTGCGAACAACTGTAGGATCTGGTTGACATTGAGCTGTTTGTCCAGTCTGCCAAGGTTGAGCAAGCTCTGATGCGACAGAGTTGTGCAGAATGCTTGCAGTGGTGCAAGGAGAACAACTCTAACCTCAAGAAGATCAAAGTATGGACAAATTGCAGTTTCGAATGCTTTGACGCCTTGCTGGACATACTGCACTAGTTTTCTATAGTTAACCGTGCGTTTCCCCACCTTTTTGACACTTAGAGCACCCTGGAGTTCAGCTTGCGCGAACAGGAATTCATTGAGCTCGCCAGGGAGCGTCGGTCGCAAGAGGCCATTGCCTATGCCAAGAAGCATCTCACCCCTTGGAAAGACACGCATTTAAAGGAGATTAGCCACGTGATGGGATTGCTGGCCTTCCCACCAGAAACCAAGTGCCATCCCTACAAGGTGAGGAATGAATATGATGATGTTTGGGTGCGTTCTCGATGAGGAATGGACAATGGTTCCAAGAAATACATAGAGTCTCTAACTATTATTTGCTTTACACTTCATTCAGAGGCTCTACGATAAGTCGCGATGGAATGATTTGATCTCTCAATTCCGCTCCAACAACTTTGCACTACAGTTCTTCACACCCGAGCCGCTCCTGAATGTCACGCTTCAGGCAGGATTGTCAGCTCTCAAAACACCAATGTGCTACCAGGCGGACCATCGTAACATCAACTGCCCAGTCTGTGACCCTGACACCCTTGGAGCCCTCGCTACGGACCTCCCACTGAGTCATCATTTCAACTCCTCAATCGTGTGCAGGATCAGTGGTCAGATTATGAACGAGGACAACCTCCCTATGGCGCTTCCCAATGGCTATGTCTACTCCTACAACGTATGTGATTTTTCTATGATGCACTGAACAATTTCTTTGGCGCAGCTGCAGGGTATACTGACAGTTGCTCCTTCGTCTCTTTATTCGTTTTAGGCATTGGCGGAGATAGCAAGTGTGAACAATGGCAAGATCACTTGCCCAAGGACCGGAGCGATCTATGATATCACGCAGATAAAGAAGGTGTTCATCTCCTAGGTGTCGCCTTTTTTTTTTAACTCAACTTGGTGGCAACAATAAAGAATAAGTCACATGAGGAGGAAGAAAATGATGACGTATGTGTTGCGCTTGGCGAACAGGCCTCCCGCTCTGCTCCCTCGAAAGGTTTTTTCTCGTTGCCATGTTCATTCTGAATCCTTCCTTCCTCGCATTTCCTGTGCGCCGCCAATCTACAAAATGTCCTTGCCGCCAAGTTCCTCATCTCAACCCAACACAACTCCATCAACCCTTCTGGACGAGAATGATCCCGTAGTCTCCGTCCTCAGTGACGAAAATACCGTCCGTGCTCTCATTGAGGCTGCCGTCGCCCATCAGCAACAAGAGGAAGCTGCTGCTGCTGCTGCTGCCGCTGTGGCCGCCGCCGCCGCTGCAGCCGTCAGCGGTGTGCAAACAGATACGATAAAGACGGTGACCGATGCCACTGCGGCGATGACCCAAGCAGTTCCCGCGGATATCATCCAGCAGCTGATCCCTTCGGCAATCAGCAGCCCAGCGGCACTCTCTGCCTCGGTCTCTCCAGCACCGGTCGTCACCCACGTAGCCCTGTCGCCTGTTCCGTCTCCATCACAGCAAGTCCCTGCTCCTATCCCCGTTGCATCAAAACCCTCGACCTCGACCACCGCCACTTCGACATCGACTTCTGCATCTTCCTCGTCGCCCTCGTCTTCTTCATCCACCAGGACTCCCTTTGTCTCCACCAAACGCTTCAACCCGGATGACATTTTCTGTCTGGGCTGCTGTCGAAACCTCTCTGTCGAGCACTACACCTGCCCAACAACCAACCGAATCTTCAAATCCTGCAATGCCTGCCGTCTCAAGTCTAGGGTGAACTCGAAAAAGGTCGTTAAGCCTCCCACCATCCCTAACCGGCCGACAATCTCCATGGAAGAATTTGGAGAGAAGCTCAAGGAACTTGAGAACACAGCAGATAAGGCTTCAAGTCTGGATGTTATGATTCGCTTGGGAGGGTCTGTTGAGATGGACCCGGAGACACTGAAGAACCGAGGCGCATTGATTGCCGCTCAGGTCTATGAGTCCACTGGCTACTGGTTCTCGTATGTTGGATCTCCCTCTCTTTTTTCTTGCGAAATCGCTGGATATGTCATGTTTGAAAACAAAATTGGCTGACTAATTGCTGTTATGTTGCTCAATCTTGTAGCCACTCGAGGACAAATGACGAAACACAGGCCAAAACCCGGCTCAAGATTTACGGATGCTCGCAGCGAGAGGATCGACGTGCGCCACCGGCACCCAAGACTCAGAGCAGGAAGCGCAACCGACCTTCGACCAAGGCTTACTTTCCTTGCAAGGGGAACCTCACGATGACCTTTTACCAAAATGTCGACCATGTTCGAGTTGTCTACAACCACAAGAAGCATGAAAAGTACGACAACCGCAAGTGTCCCGACCATGTCCGTGTTTACGTCAAAGAGAACTTGTCGCTTGCCCCCCGGACGCTGTACGACAACCTCAAGGAGCAGAACCCGTCATTGGGGATCACACAGGCGCAAGTCCGTTACTGGAGCCACTATTACAAAAAGAGCATGGATCAGGACGGAACTCTTGACAGCAGCAGGGGCGGTAGCGACGATCCTGCCTCGCCGCTCACCCACGCCTTTGCTGGTATCAAGGACGATACCATTGAGCAGGTCATGAAGGATGTGGCGTCTTCTCATCAGCAACTGACCCAGCAACACCAACACCAACACCAGCCAACAGCGCAGGACCATCTTGACAGTGACAGTGTCCAACAACTCCTCTTGGCATCGAATGCAGTCGCACTTCAGACCCAGGGCCTCGTCGGCGGATCGATTGCCATCTCGGTGCCAATGTCGGACATGCCCTTGTCATCCAGTATTGTCCAGCGGGTCTTGGCAGAAGATGGTGGCAAGGGACTGCTGGAGCTCCAGGCAAGCTTAAATAGCGTGGCGGCAAGTGTCGCTGCCAGTGTCGGGTCCTCGGCTGTCGATAACAGCGACGAGGTTGTTCAGCAGGTCTCGGCCTTGTTGAAGGAGAACGACCAGCAGCTCTTGGAGCAGCAGCAGAAGCAACTCCAGGAGCAACAGCAACAGCTTCAGGAGCAACACCAGCAGCACCAACAGCACCAGCAACAACACACTAGTTTCCAGTAATTCAACCTCCCTTCTCTCGCTTCCTCTCTCCCTTCTCCCACCTTCCCTCAGATATCTTTGCTTGGCTCAAATCGCATTAAAACTTCTTTTGCATTCGCTTTCGTATAACATGTGGTCAACAAGAATGTTGCTTTAGGCTATGCATGCGCAATTAATTTTTTTCATTCATTGTACTGTACACTCACTTCATATCACATCGATCTTGCTCTGCTTGCTGGCGTTCGTCTTCTGCCCGCAATGGTGAATTCTTTACGTTTCTGTTCACTCCACCAATCGCTCGTCTACCAATGACAAAGCAAAAAAAATAGCGAAGCCAGTCAAGACTGAACCATCTACATTTTACAAGTAAAGCTACTGACAGGGTCTCTTTCACTTTTACTCTTCTGTTGCCAAGACAAACCAGAATGCTTCACAGGAACGGAAAAATGAATAACGAAAGGCAAAAGAATTAGAGATTTTTTTTTTTTTTTTTTTGGGGGGGGGAGTAGGGAATGAACAACAGCCACGCCAAGCGCAAAAAGAAGGGTCGCCAGCCTACAACATGGCAACCACGATGGGTTGCAATCAGATATTTTTTTTGTACACAATTTTATTCAAATAACGCAGAGGCACTTGGAAGTAAAGAAGTTACAGACCAAACTCTCCGTCCGGTCCGGAACCTGGCTCTGTACAACAATTGTCGCCTCTCTTCACAGCTTAAACGGAAGACAAAAAAAATTAGACATGAATAAAGGGGATTCTTCCCATCCTCTCCATCATTGATAACCCCCTCCTTCCCAACAGACTCTCCAACAACCGCCCGTCAGCAGCGTATGGGTCCTTGGTCACGCAAGGGCAGATCCCCTCCTCACGCGTGGTTAGCGAAGCGCCACATGGGCAGAAATCATCACAGGTTATGTACCCGTATTCTAACTCCAGTCACCTCGAGAGCCTGTGTACTTGGATGCCTTGTCCTTGGCACAGATGCCTTGGGTTTGCTCCCACGCGGTCGTCTCGGAGCACCGAGGTTTACAGATCAGCTTCTCCAGGTAGCCAACAAACTTGTGCAGGACCGTCTTGGCGATTGACATCGGCCCGCCTACCCATTTCAATTAAGGGCTATAAACGGTTGGTGGCGTCCCGAAATTGGTGGCGCGGATTTGTGGGACCTTTTACTCAAATAGGTCTTATAATCTATACTTCCAATCAGTTGGAGATATGGCCGAGTTGGTCTAAGGCGCCGCGTTAAGGCCGCGGTCTATTCGTAGGCGTGGGTTCAAATCCCACTGTCTTCACTACATTTTTGCTTTTCTGTTCCATCTCAAGAACTTTCAGGCGCGCTTTTTTTTTTTTTTTTCTGACGGTCTCCACCTCTCATCCGCAGACAATGGACAGTGGATGGTGAACAAAGGACATGTACCCAGATGAAGATATTCTGACTGTCATGTTATCTTATACCCGCCTTTCCATTTTTTAAGTCCTTCTCTTCACAGAAAATAAAGGACAAGAGAGTCTGAAGGAAGGGCTCTGAAGGGACGGCGGGGCGTCATGCTTACGCTAAGATATCTGAAAACTCTCTAGTTCAACACCCTAAAGTAAGAGAGCACTTGCTATCGTCATAAGGAGACCTTTCAATGGGTAATAACGGCGAGGCAGAATCCATGAATAAGCTGGTCAGCATTATGATCTGTCCAATCGGGAGGATCTAGATTAACGATCGGACCCTTGACATCTCCCTGTCCCTTTTGCGAGTTCATTTTCTATCAGGCTCCTAAATATTCATGCTCGAAAGAAAAAAAAAAGACCAAGGTGGCGAGATGGAGATGTTACCCTGAGTACGTTAGACTATGCTGCGGGATGGGCAGCAAGGAGACCATACGAACGAACTGTCTTCATGACCTAGCCCAAAAAAAGCAAACGCATTATTAGACCGCTGCAACCCCTATTCCCCTCGTTCGGGCCTTTTTTTTAATAGTCTATGCTGAGGGCTGCATGCACGAAAATGTGGTTCAAGCGAGGGGTCGAGAAGCAAAAAAAAGTGAGGGTGTCAACCCCATCTCAATGCAGAGCAGATAAGAGGAAAAAGGAGGCATGCACTCTCTGTTGGTCCTGACTCCCTCAGTTGTCCTGTCTTGCGAAAATAGAAACGACTGAGTCAGTTGAATAGCAATCCAGTTTTTATTTCATTTAGGCTGCCATACGATGGATTGCGTGTCCGATTGTTTTTTTTTGGTGGAAAAAAAACAATCGAATGCAAGGGCGAGTAACGTGCCACAAATCCACAACAAGAAGCACCACTGGAGAGAAAAAAGAGAGCTGTCCTGGCCATTGATTTGCTACTCCATACAAAACAACCACCATTGGATGGACACAAGAAAAAAAGGAGGGAAGGAGAGCCATTTGAAACTGCGACAAACCGTTAGGAGTTGAGCTAACAGGTTGAGTTGAATTCAGTAGAGTGGAGTTGGCCACCTGCTCATTGTTCGCATACAGAAACAAACAAACAGGTGGAGAATGAAGACTCAAGCAGAATGCATGGAAGGGAACGAATGTCAACCTTAAAAGAAAAATGAACAGCAAACGAGTGCGCTTCCTCGGACTTGCGATGCGCCTCTTTCTCTTTTTTTTGTCTTCCCTGCGGTGTAAGAAGAAGGGATGATGGGCGCCTGCTTGTCCACATGGACCCCCTTTTTTTTCTCTGGTTTTTTTTCTTTCTCCATCGTCGCTCCTCGATTCCCTCTTTCTTTCTCTTTCTTTTTCTTTCGCTCGCTCTTCTTTCTCTACGATCCCCCTCTCACACGCCTTCCTCCCAATTCTCTCTCGCACCTTTCTCATTCTCTCTCACCCTCACTCCACCCTCGCTATACTTGCTCCGCTTCTGCCCCAAACCATCCTCGGCACCCTTCCTCTCTCAACAGTCTTCACCTCAAACTCAACAAGTCTTCTTTGTCCTCCGCGCCCTCTCCTCTCACCTCAACACTTTTCTCTCCCAACCCGCACTCAATCCGGTTGAATCGCCTTATCACTACCTTGCTCTCGTCCCTGCCACCCTCCCCTTTCTCATACTTTTGACACCAAACATGACATCCTTCGACGACGACGATACAAAGGCCGCCATTCTTGATTGCCATGTTTGCATTGTGGGGGCTGGCATTGGCGGTCTAATGATGGGAATACTATTCGAGCGCGCCGACATCAAGTACACTATACTCGAAAAGCACCCTTTCCACAACCCCCTTGGTAACCGTTCCTCACCCCTGCGACGTTATTTTGTTTCACACTCCTCTTTCGACATCATATGCTAAATTGTTTCGTCGCAAAAAATGGCCAGACACGAATAGCTTCGCTTTGCTCATCATTGTTCATTTTACTTTGTACCACGTAAAACCCATGCAATATTATTATCATTACACAGGAAGCGCCATCTGTCTCGAACCCTCGGTTCAGCCTCTTTTCAGACAGCTCGGCCTCATGGACGAGATCCATCGACTTTCTAAACCGTTTGGTGCCTTGGTCTTCCGGGAAGATAACCTCGACATCGTTGGAACCTTCAACGCGCAAACGCCCCTAAACATCAATGACCGGTAAAACAATGTGCCTCATGAATGTTTTTTGTATTTGCAAATCAGGAAAGACAACGCGCTCTCTTTTTATATCATCTTCAGTTCCTCCGCTGATCATAAAACCTTTTTTTTTTTGTCCCTCTTCACGCTACATTCTCTCAATACATACAACGCAAAAGGTATGGCGGTTACAATCGGATCATTGCTCGTAGGGATCTCTGTGCTCTACTAGCAGCACAGATTCCCAAAGAAAAGATCAAGTTTGGCAAGCGAGTTCTCGAGGTCAGACAGAACGCTGGCGAGGTCATCATCCGCTGTTCAGACAACTCAGTGCATCACGCTGATATCCTTGTTGGATGCGATGGAGCGTACAGTGCTGTTAGACAAGGCCTCTACGCAGACTTGAGTGAAAGTGGTGAGTTACCCAAGCAGGACAATGCCCCCATGGGCTACCAATACGACTGTCTAGGTAACCATATTTTCTGGAGCTATTTGGACCTGTGATTCTATTATTTTTGCTCATCTTTTTCGATGACTAATGGTCATTGCCTACTTTGTCCAGTGTACTGACCTTATCACTCATTTGATTTATGGGCCATGTGTGCACATGAATTAGTTGGCGTCACGGATCCGATGGACCCTAGTAAGATCCCATCCTTAGCTAGCAAGTTCTCCGAGTTTCAGACCATCCTCTCAAAGGACGCCAATTGCTCTGTAAGATCAACATGAAACTTGTGCATGCACATCAAAGTTTCACCCTCATTTCTCACTGTGAGAAAATATAGCGAGCCCAACATTAACCTTCATCTATCTGTCTTCCTCACTGTAGTACTGGTGCATTCCACTGGTTGGAAATCGTATCTCATGGATGGTGGTGAAATTTCACAACAAAGGCAAAAAGTACGGCGAGGATCAGCTCTTCAAGCTTTCCGGTTGGGGCGCCGAAGCTGCAGAGTTGATGTCCTACGAGTTCCGCGAGCTTATAACCACATATGGATGCGAGCTTGGAGAACTGATGGATAATACGCCCAAAGGATCTATGGCCAAAGTCATGCTGGAAGAAAAAGTAAGCATAGGGCGCCATCATCATCGCCGTTGAGAGAGACAGCCTTTTTGGCGGATGAGAGGGACGAGATGGACTTGGAACTTGCGCTTGTGGTTGAGTTTGCCTTTATTTTTAACATTTCTCTCTTGATACCCCGTTTTCCGATCCATCTTTTTAGTTCTACAAAACGTGGTACAAGGGTCGTGTCGTTTTAACCGGAGATGGTAATCACACATAATGCCACATAACCAGGCTCATGGCATTATCGGAGGGCGTTATTTCGTTAGTTCAGGACGCTTACTTAACGTATCTTTTCTTGCATATCTGTCTGTTCAATAGCTGTTCACAAAGTGTTGCCTTTCGGAGGTCAAGGGTAAGTCAGGAACCCGATCTGAGCGGGACTCGTGTATCTCTCTTTTTTTAGGCATCGTTGCTAATTACATTCATGCTACCTTTTTCTTCAAATAGTGCCAACCAATGTATCCATGACGTGTTGGCCTTGACCAACCTTCTGGTTCAACTCAAGAGTAACACTGTACCTGACATCGAGGAGCTTTTCGAATCATATTTCAAGGCACGGTCGCCCATTGGTCGGACAGTCGTCAACATGTCCAGCCGTCTCGGCAACCTCATGAACCGAAAGGTAACAGGAACACCTCTCATGCGTCACCACCATCGTGTTATATCTTTTAACTCGAAGAAGACAGGATGTCCCAGCCATTGAATGTTTTGCTAACCACTTGTCTGTCCCTTTTTTATAATTATACTTTCTTTCAGGGGATGATGAATGATATCATTCGCAAGTTAGCCCTTCGACATATGCCTCGGTGGATCTCCCAGATCGTCAACGACAGATGGAGCTACGACCGCCCTCAATTAGAGTGTATCCCGTTCGTAGAAGTCCCAGGAGAGCTCCAACCACGGCCTCAGAAACGATCTGCTTATGTCCCTGCTAGTCTAGTAGAACGTGAACCTACATATGAATAGCATCCCCTTCTACCCTAATGTATTATTATTTTGCCACCAAAAAAAACGGGAGTCCCTTTTTTGACAATGCTGTGCTTGTTTTTGGTACCCAATCGTCTCCCGATTCATGCAGCGTTTCGAAAGGCTGGTGTCAGTTGCCCTACACGCCCTGACTCACTCTCTCACGAGAGAACGAAAGGGTCTTACCGATATCGAAGTGTACATGTACTCGTCAAGTGTACAACAACCGTTGGTGTACATGCTTTGATTTGAAAAAAAAAATTCTCCGAAAACACACTCAAACATGCATACGCATACCGCATACACACATACAAAAAGAATGCAAAAACATGTGCTGTTATTTTATTTTTTTTCGTCCAAGCGACAAGCGCCTATCGTGAGTGTTTTACTGCTAATCAAGGACTCTTCTGGTTGCTGCTACCAGAGATATCAGAGTATGATGCGGACAGAGACGAACAACCACTCTTGAGTCTGTCGCCCTTCTTAGATGGGTTCAGGTGCCCTTTCACACGACTCATCTTGGACTTGATGGTTCCAAGAGCTCGGCGGACCTTGGATGGCTTCTTGTTGTTAATGGTGATGACCTTTTTTCCCTCTCTATCAGAAGACAACTCTGAGTCCTCACTACTGTCGTCCTTGCCCTTTTCATTCTTCTCATCCTCTTCATCCTTCTCATCGGTTATGTCACTCGTCTCGTCGGTCTTGTCAGTGTTATCATCAATTTTTTCGAGACGCTTAGTGACGAGGTGGTCGTGAGCGAGACGAATAGCTTGGTCGGGGCGACGAGGCTGCATAGCCTCGAGTCCAGCAGCAAGACCCTCCGCAGACTTGTCGCTATCGTCGATCCTGGACAAGGAGTGATCGGGGCCTGGCTTGGTAGCAGAAAGTTTGAGGTGGTCTTGAAGGGGAATCTCCTTGGGACTGGTTGCTCCTCTGACAGGCAGGTGACCGTCGGGTTGTATCGTGGCTGCATGCTGGATAAGATTTTTGCTCCTGCCGGCGCCTGACGAATCAGTGTCTGTTGGAGGACAAACAACGACCCTGTCATCTTCCTCCCCATTGTTCGTGAACGATACTGCGACGTTATTCCTAGCTTCGTGGAGACTCTTGAGACGCTCTCGGGTGATGGGCAGGTCATGGTAAAAGTGGTGAATGGCAGTACCGACTCCATCCTCTGCACGGATACGCTCCCCCATCAACTGGGCCTTCTTGATCATCTTCTCGTCGGTAGTAATGGCTGTCAGGGCCGCGGACAGTTTCTTGACGGTCAGATCGTGGCACCATACACCGACACCAGCCTCCTCGACACGCTGGGCCCAAAAGTACTGGTCTCCAAAGTATGGCTTGATCACAATCGGAATCCCTGCACGAAGACCTGCAGCTGTTGTGCCTGCACCGCCGTGATGGACTGCTCCAGCCAAGCGAGGGAACAGCCAATCGTGTGGCACGGACTTGAGCATGTAGACGTTCGAGGGATAGACTTTTTCCTTGTCCTTGCTGTTTCCCTCTTCCTTCATGACCACAGCCACAGGGCCATCTTTCTCCGACGACGACAGCTTGTCCGACCAACCTTTAGAGATGATGGCTCTAACTCCTGCCTGGATGACGGAATCGACAATGATTTTTGTCATTTCCTCAGGGTCAGACACGACCATGGATCCAAACCCAATATAAATGGGTTTGTTGACAGGGTCGGCTTCCAAGAATTCTTTCAGTCCATCTGGTGGCGACCAATTGAGATTCGGATTGTCCAGAAACCAATATCCTGTCACATGCACCCAAGAATGCCAATCCATGGGCGCAGGGAGAAGATGAGGACTCCACGAGTACAGACAAGGAACACGATGCGCTTCCATCTTCTCTGCCGTCGTTGGCGCGAGCCCTAGCCTCTTCTTGCGCCATTTGTTGATCTGCCCAGAGATCCCCTTCCACAACACCTGGTCCATCATCGCAAACGTCATGTAGTTGTATCCACGGCCCAGATTGCGCTCTGCCACTGCAAATGGATGCGGGAACGATCGCGTTCGTGTCCAGGGGAAAGGGAACGCTCGAAAGTATGGAATCTCGAGCGCTTCGGCAATGTGGATACCGACCATCGCAGAGGGGGACTCGATCAGCACGTCTGTGCCCTGGCAGGCTATCCATGCTGTCTCCATTAGGTCACCGAACCATCCTCTGAACCGCTTGAGGGCCTCTCTTATGAACGACACCGTGAACATGCCGTTCTCGACACACAGTTCAATCAGCTCCCCTGGATCACCCTGCAACACAAAACAAGAAGAGGGGGGTGAGGGGAGAGAGAGAGAGAGAGAGAGAGAGGGAGAGTGAGGGACGGAACAATGCATTTTCATTGATGAGTGATCATATCAAGATAAAGCACAGGGCACAAAAAAAATGCCATTTCCTCGGTAATGTCTTTTTTTGTTTTATCTTACCCCAACATGACCAAATTCAATGCCATGACTCTCGACCCAGTCCTTGTATTCCCCGTGGGTGGCAATGCGACAAGAGTGACCATCCTGCATCAGTCGCTTGCAGAACGCAATGTATGGCTGCACATCGCCTCGGCTACCAATCGTGAGACAGGTGACATGGAGGGGACGCGAGGGCTTGAATCCTGGATGAGCTGCAAGCGACATGGGTTGATCCTGGTAATGCAGCGAGTCCAAGACACGAGACTCCATAGGGTCATCCAGCTGGACAGAGGGAGAGTCGATGACGGCTTGGGCACGATGTTGCTTCCTTCTCTCCTGGGCTTCTGGTGTAATGCGATCACGTAGACCGGCAAGGATCGAGTTGCGGGTATCTCGACTAGAGAACTCGAGAAAGACCTCCTCGTCTCTCGTGGTATACATGCCCAGCCCATGAAAGTAGAAGCGAGTACCATAGTGCTTGTTGACATGGACTACATCAGACAGTGGTACAATAACCTTGGTGCTGGTCCCGTAGACGGTCGATCGAAAGCAGATATAGTTGTCGGAGAGGTAGATCTTGCCGTAGAGAGGGAGGTACCGCAAGAGATACCCAGGAACAATCTCTCCTATGGCTTCTCCTTCAGGGAGAGAGAACTCCTTCCTGAACGTCTCCTTCTCTTGGTTGTCCAGATCGATGTCGCCTTTGTCGTCCGAGTTCTGTTCCAGGGATTGGTCGGTTGCTGTCGAGGATGTTCCAAAGAGGGAGAAAACTTCACCATCCACAGTCTGAAAGTATCGGAGAGGATTAAGCTTTGAAACCGTCCCAAGCATTGATGACTGTGAGGGGACTTGGTTTGATCCAGAGATGGACGATGCGAGGGGTCCCTGGGGCGATTCGTCCTGAAGGGACTTTAGAGTACCGTCAGCTCCGGGTGATGTGCTGTTGAACCACTTGAGGCGCTTCTCTGTCTCAGCTTGTTTGGACTCTTCCATCTGTTTCCTGAGCAGAGTCAACGCTCCTTGGGTATCATCAAAGTACGTGAAGAAGAACTATAAAGGAAAAAAGATAGAACGGGTTAAACAAATCATACTTCATGATTTTTCAATGCCGGCAGCAGAATTACAGCACTCGAATCCAAACCAGTTGCGCGCCTCACCTCATCTTCAGTGCCGTCTGTGTCTTTGACTGTGAGCTGAATGGTGTCAACGAATGAGGTCGGGTTAATGTCAATGTTTGTCACGTACGAGAGAGGGATCGAGATCTAGAAGGCGAAGACAAAGGTGTGTGAGGAATGTTAGCCCACAAAGATCGTATGTTCAGTGGTGAAAAATACAAAGAATAGAAAAAAGGAGCGCAGTTTACCTTGACATTGTGCTCTTTCACTTTGGCATGGAAAATTGACTTCTGGATCGCTTTGACCCAGTCTGCGCGAGCGAGTCCCGAGTCTGTCTTAAACTTAATGCGACGGGCGGGTGTGTGGATGTAAAAAGCCAGTTCATTCCTGAGAGACGGTTCTGCAGACAGGGCCCCTTTGAGGTCGATAGTCTTGATTGGATAATAGACCTCCTATGGTTCATCGAGAATGGAGTTTGGGTTAAGAGGGAGAGTCGCCGTCTATGTTGATCAAAGGCAATGGTCAACTGAGGAGAAAGGATCCTTACCGACTGGTCCGAGTAGTAGCTGAGGACATCGTTCTTGAGGATGAACCAGTAGCGATTAAAGTTGGCTGTTGTTGTTGACTTTATAGAAAAGAAACCCTCCTTTTGCACAACATCCTGTAGGAGGTAACAAACATAAAGAGAAGAATTGAATGTTCAATGGGCAATCGCCAAAAAAAAATGTGTGTGCGAAAAAAAAGAAACCTCGACATCACGTACATGGTTGCTGGGAAGGTTAGCGTAGAAGCAGATATGGTGGGTGGTGATGTAAAGGTATCCAGGCAGCAAGAGGGACCGCGCCAGCCAACACGAGTACTCTGTACAGAAGGTGAGATGAACAATCTGGGTTAGTCCTGGCTGGCATTAGACAGTAGATCGAGCGATAAAAATACAAACAATGACATAAGAGAGAGAGAGGGGAGGACAGGCAGGTTACATACCTCCAATGAGTTCCTCATCCTTTGAGTAGCCGAATGAAGATTGGAGTTTGTTGGTAACACTCTTCTTGTCCTTGACAGACCCAAAAGAGAGGCCGCTCTGGACACCCTGCGGGGTAGTTCCTGTAATCGAGTCGTCGTTGGGGTGGGTCTTGCTGATGAAGGAAGCATCGTGGGGTCGCTGAGGGATAGTCTCATCCCTGTCATTATATTGTTGCTGCTGTTGCTGCGCGATGCCTGTGTCAATATTTGGCCCCGCTATCGATGAAACTGCAGACAAAAGGACAGCGATATATGTGAGCGGACAAACGGTCAAACCCTTGGTAACTTTAGACCTGGTGGGAAAATTGACCCCTGCAGGTGGTGTAAACAAACGATATGCAGTCCGTCTCCTTTTGCTTCCTTACCAAGCTGCTGAGAGATATCAGTATCATCGTCAGAGTCCAAGTCATCATCACCCTAAGTATGAAAAACAAGGAGCGGCGATGTGAGAGGCATGGATCAATTGGTAGCCGAGGAAGTGCTGGCTGTTTGTAGGGTTTACAGACATACCGAACGAAATGCGGCGGCGAATAACTGGAGAAGCGCCGACCCACTTGTCGGCGGCATGGCTAGTTTATCGGTGGGAACCATCCGCTATTACGAGATTAAGGGTATTGTAATATGTATGTATGTATGTGTGTATGTATGAAAGTACGGGTGGTGGTGGAGATGAGGTTACTTTTGTGAAGCGAATGTGAAAGTGAATGAATGTGAGAATGAATGAATGAAAGAATGAAAGAATGAATGAGAGTGGCGAGTGAAAAAAGAGGGCAAAAAGAAAGGCGACGAAGAGGATTGACGTCGATTTATTGAAGGCTAGCGCTAGTTAGGGCCCATGCAATGATGATGGTGAAGATGATGATGGTGTGGATGGTCGCCATCGGCTCGAGGGACATCCTTGAGCAAGGGCAGCCGTTACGATATTAGTGCGTCATTGGTTTCGTCCATTCATTCATTTGATGCAGTCGGGGGATGCCATGGTTCATTTTAAGCTTTAACGGTGGTCAAAGCTCACCCCTCGTTCTTCATTTTCTCGTATGCTCCGTGGCACCCTTGTCTGACAATAGGCACCTAGCCATTTCAGGGACGAATGATAATAAAGTGCCTGTCCTGTCTCCAACAAGCACTGACGTCCTAGTCTTGAGGTGAAGCAAACCTCGCCTAGGTGGCAGGGTTGAAGGAGAGTGGGAGTGAACCGTGCGCTTACCATCGTCTCGCTGCTGCCAGTAGATTAGTATGAATATGCATCTTGTATACACGCATATCTTATGCGAGAAGGGTATGGGATTGAGCAATTGAGACGCGAGATGGAAGAGCAGATGCAGAAGAAGAAGAAGAAGAAGAAGAGGAGGAAGAAAGAGAAGGGCGTGGTTCGACTAGGGCTAGGTAGGATGTGTGGTCCATGCTAGTAAGGTGGTGATGAAAAGAAAAAAAAGATTACCATCGGAAAGAAAGGAAGAAGAGAAGAAGGGAGAAAGGCGGTTCTTTGTTCCTTCCGTTCCTTCCTTCCTTTTGATGTGGCCAATTGTCAATTGGGCGACAACATTGTGTTTTTTTTTTCTTTTCTGATGGATGCAAGCGCACACACTCTCTTCAAAACTCTTTTGTCGTCTTTGTCTTGACCCTTTTCCTCTTCTCCTTCCCGTTGATTGACCACGGGGGTGAATGAGGAGGGGGATTATCCTGTGTAACAGTCACGTAGGAGTGGTTGGCATAGTTAATGGTCGTCCAGAAAGGAAAAAAAAGATCTTTGCCGATTTGCGCAAAAAGCATGAAATGATGTGATCCAGGACAGTCACAGCACTCCTTGTCTATGATTGCAGGTCGCGCCATCCGCCGTCGAACACGGTCCTGCTGCTGCGTGGCCTTCCTTACTCAGCAGCCCCATCCTCGACGCTCATTCGCTGGCCTTGTTATTACTGCTGTTCACGATGGAATAATGCAGAGAAAGAAAGGGCAAAGCAAACAAGAGGGCTTTGTTACAATGTCAGGCAGATCCTCTATATGTCCCAGCACTATCGGACACAACAGTGTCAAGTGCGAAGGGGCCAATAGCAAGAAAAAACCAAGAAGCACCGAAAATGATGCCATCCATCCCACACAACTCGCACCACCCCCAGGAACAAAACGATAGCAACAATTGTTCACCATTGATAATAACAGGGACAAGGTCGATAACACTTCTAATCGATCTCGTCTTGCTTCTATATCCCTTTGATCCGCTCCGAAGTATATAAAGGACCTTCCTTCCCCCTCCTTCTCATAACCTCATCCTCATCCTCAACTCTTCCTTCTCTTCGCCCTACCTCTCCGGAAACAGCAACCTCTTCTGCTTTCCATATCCACATCCTCAGCTCTTTGCTCCGATCTAGTTTCCGAACTCTCCACTCACCCATACTCCGAGGCCCATCAACCTTCACTCCTTCCTCTTCCAACACCCACATACATATACCACAATGGCCAACACTCCTCACGGCGGAATCCTCAAGGATCTTATTGTCCGCGATCAGCCCATCCACCAGCAGCTCCTCCAGGAGTCCTCGACCCTCCAGTCCGTTGTCCTCACTGAGCGTCAGCTTTGCGATCTCGAGCTCATCATCTCCGGAGGTTTCTCTCCTCTCGAGGGTTTCTTGAACCAGAAGGACTACGACAGGTAAACAACATCGATCGATTCTATCCAACGATTCATGCATGTGCAATCCTTTTTTTTTTCAATTAAGAAGCAAGAAACCGCCGAGCATGTCTTAACCGGCAAAAATTCAACTTTGCTCCAAATTTAACAGTGTTGTCGATGATCTCCGTCTCACCAACGGCTCCCTCTGGTCGATCCCAATCAACTTGGATGTCTCCCAGGAGGATATTGACCGCATCTCCTTGAAGGTCGACCAGCGCATTACTCTCCGCGACCCCCGCAACGACAACCCCATCGCTATCTTAACTGTTCAGGACATCTACAGACCCGACAAGGTCAAGGAGGCTGTCAAGGTCTTTGGAGACGATGATGTTGCTCACCCTGCTGTCAAGTACCTCCATCAGTCTGTCAAGGAGTTCTACGTTGGAGGAAACGTTCAGGCCATCCAGGCTCCTGTCCACTACGACTATGTCGCCTACAGAAGTAAGTCTCCATTTCAGATACGGCCATTTGATCATAATCTCAAATGCTATCTGACAATATCTGACCGTCCCTGTCATATTTGAATCTTTCTTCACTCCCAGACACCCCTGCCGAGATCCGTGCTTTCTTCCAGAAGCTCAACTGGACCCGTGTCGTTGCTTTCCAGACCCGCAACCCTATGCACCGTGCCCATCGTGAGTTGACTGTCCGCGCTGCTCGCTCCCGCCAGGCCAACGTCTTGATCAACCCCGTCGTCGGTTTGACCAAGCCCGGTGATATCGACCACTTCACCCGTGTCCGTGTCTACGAGGCCATCATCCGCCGCTACCCCACCGGCATGGCTGCTCTCTCCCTCTTGCCCTTGGCTATGCGTATGGCTGGTCCCCGTGAGGCTCTCTGGCACGCCATCATCCGCAAGAACCACGGAAACACCCACTTCATCATCGGTCGCGATCACGCCGGTCCTGGAAAGAACTCTGCCGGCAAGGACTTTTACGGACCCTATGATGCCCAGTACCTCGTCGAGAAGTACAAGGATGAGATCGACATTGAGGTTGTTCCCTTCCAGCAGGTCACCTACCTCCCTGATTCCGATGAGTACGTCCCCTCGGATGAGGTCCCCGCCGGCGCCAAGACCTTGGATATCTCTGGAACTGAGCTCCGCCGCCGCCTCCGCTCTGGTGCCCACATCCCCGAGTGGTTCTCTTACCCCGAGGTCGTTGCTCTCTTGCGTGAGTCCCACCCTCCCCGCTCCAAGCAGGGTTTCACTGTCTTCTTGACCGGTTACCACGCCTCCAAGAAGGAGCACATTGCCCGTGCCCTCCAAGTCTCCCTGAACCAGCAGGGTGGTCGCTCGATCTCCTTGTTGCTCGGCGAGACCATCCGCGGCAAGCTCTCATCGGAGCTCGGATTCAGCAAGCGCGAGCGTGACATCAACATTAACCGTCTCGGATTCGTTGCTGCCGAGTTGACCAAGGCCGGTGCCGGTGTCATTGTTGCTCCCATTGCCCCTTACGAGGATGCCCGCAAGCAGGCCCGCCAGGAGGTTGAGAAGTCTGGAGGGTTCTTCCTCGTCCACGTCGCCACCCCCCTCGAGCAGTGCATTGCCTGGGACCGCGATGGTGTCTACGAGCGCGCCAAGAAGGGCGAGATCACTGGCTTCACCGGCATTGATGATCCCTATGAGGCTCCTAAGAACGCCGAGTTGGTTGTCGATCCCTCCACCGAGAGCGTTGCCCAGATTGTCCGTCGCATTGTCTTGTTGTTGGACCAGCAAGGATACTTTGGCGATGTCTAAATTCGGGACACTACACAAAACAAACGCACTCTCCCATCCCTCTTTAATACCACCATCATTGTAGCATAGTCGAACTCTCATTCACATACAAAATAAACGTGTATAGCTTTTTTTTTTCAGAGTAACAGCAGCGCCACAATGAAAAATTCCATAAGGAATGCACCCTGTGCTTCAGCCCGCTTCAGCCAGATCAGGAATAAACATGCGGCATACTAGGCTGTTGGTAGACTCCTTTGAAATCCAAAAACTGCGACCACGACGGGTTTCCTCGATCAGGGAAGGCTTGCCTAGCGTACGATACGTACGATAGGTTACTGCTAGAATTCTTTCTCTCACTGTTTCGCTGCATGAACAGCCTGCGTTTTCATCGCCATCCTGAGGTTGCGTGACCTAAAGGCGCCGATGTGGCTTAACTGGAAAGAGGACAACACGTTTCGGTAGATCTGAACCGACCTGGTTGAACTCTTTAAAAAGGCAACACTTTCAGCCGCTTTTTATTGCTTTATTTTCTCATCATTGTCGACAACGCCTGCCTTTCCTCTTTAAAAACCCATTCCGACCCACGTTAACCCATACCCATCGCAACAACATGAAGAACCAAATGCAAAATCAGTCCGTCCGCGCCGTCGACCGCCGCTTCAGTACCACCGCGTATGTGTCATGACAAGGGCTGCTGTAGAATTTTACGTTGGCAACAAAAGAAGGACCTAACAAAGACTGCGATCTGACCTGACGTTCAATAGATTCAAATTCCCTGGGTACACTATCTCCCAAAGCCATGGTGTTGTTCGAGGGTAAACATGCCAGTGCACTGTTTTATTTTCATGCTTCATTTTATATAACCACCCAGCAAAATTTCAGAACCTAATTCTTACATTTTCCATGAAAACTCTTCCTTCCTTCCTTCAGCTTGACTGTCCGCACACCTAACGTATGTAGACCTCGCTGGTTACATTTCTTGTGTGAGAAGATGTAACAATAGCTGCGAACAAACGGAAAAAAATATCGAACTGGTTGTTAACATACGCACTTGCTAAATAGGTCGGAAAGGCTGTCTTTGGTGCCTTTGCCTCCTTGGGAGGGGGAGAGAGCTCGGTCTACATTGAGACGGCCGAAAAGGCTCGCGAGACCGCCTTTATCCGCATGCTCGAGCACGCCGCCGACGTCGGAGGAAATGGTAAGAAGGGAACTGGTGTTGAACACAATGTTTTTGCCGGTGTGTTACATCTTCTTTGGGTTGCTAATGGTTTATTTGTTTTCTCCTCTTGATATGATAGCTGTCATTGGTGTTCAATTCACTGGTCAAGAGATTGGAGAGGTGAGTTACTGTATCCATGCCTGCAAGATCGTCTTGGTGTAGTTATGCGTTGTATATGTAGTTTTCGATGCTAACCGAAGTTTATTAGGAAATGACTGAGGTGATGTGCTACGGTACTGCGGTCACCCTCGTCCCCACCCAGGCCCCCCAGAAGTACTAAGCAGTGCCTCGATACCATAGCACGATACCCATGTTCACAATCACATCCTTTCAAATAAAAAACGCGAAGTTGGTGGCAAACCAACAACTCATTTTTCACACACCGTCCTGTTAAGGCAATTTCTTTAATGTTTCCATTGAGCACCTTCCGTCACTTTTTCTCCCTCTTCGCATTCCCTCTCCACCTTTCCCTCTCCACCTTTCCATCCAGCCCTTCCGGAACAAACGTGGGGTAGCCAACAATGTCAATCATGGACGACACCACCTTCGAGGACAAGACGATGCCCGCCGAGAACTACTTTACAACAAGCGGCGCACCCATCAACGATCCCGATGACCTCCTTGCCAATCTCGATTCTCGTCCCCCAACAGAAACGAATCACTACGCCGTCCTCAACGTCTCCAAATTCGTACGGCACCCCATCTCTTATGTTGTCTCCATAGCTCCAACCTTGTGTCAGCAATAGTCTATCGACACCATTGAATTTGCCTCCGACTCACCAACCCTTGTCGCTTCGTTGTATCGATGAATGGTCAATAGGCGTCAATTAATGAGATCAAGGAGGCATACAGGCGATTGAATGAGGTCTTTGATCCCGAGAAGCACAGCGACCCTGCCCTCAAGAACTCTGCAGCAGCAAAGCAGCGTGTTATCAAGGAGGCCTTTGATGGTAAATAGGACACTTTGAAAGCGCCGTCATTGTATCTTGCCTTGAGTTTGGAGGAATGAAGCATCACTGCTAACACGATGTATTTTATTTTCAATGGCGATCTAGTTTTGAGTAACCCCAAGCAGCGAGCAGAGTACGACCAGCATGGAGACAATGGAGCAGCCTCTAAGTGGGATATCGGCCACAAAGTCAAGACACCTCAAGAGGTAGGCACTCTTTTCCATCCTGCGTGTTGTTATTCTATGCCCGAATACAAACCTAACAGGGCCATTTCATTTGTGTTGAAATAGACGATGGATGACTACGCGCGCTTGGCCAAGGAGCAGCAACAGTTGGAGCTGGAGAATTTGGTCCGATCAAGGAACGACATTACTATTCATGTGGATGCGACCAGAGTCTTTGAGCATTATCAGCCACCACCCATTTCACCCTTCGGACGCGCCTCTACCAAGAAGCAGCGGACACCTACCGTCATTGACTCTCTGGAGCGAACCGATATCAGTCAGCTGTACATGAAGAACTCTTTTTCGGTAAGGCGTTATCATGCAGATCAGGTTGTGCCATTCGGGAAGAAAATGTTTCCTGTCGAGTCAGATATTAATAACTGTAACCCTCTGTTTTTACGTAATAGACCCAGTTCGGATCCAGGACACAGCTGATTCTCGGAGGCGATATGACCTCCAGGTCGGGCACAGGCAGTGGCAGCATCACAGGAACTATTCGCCACATCTACTCCGACAAGCTTTCCCTGGAGGTAGGGTCACTATCTATCGACTATGTTTGCGGGCGGCATTATTTTTTTCGCAGGATTGATTTTGACCCGATATTTTTCTCTTTTTGTTATGTCAATAGCTGGGAGCGTCAATGTTGAGCCCTAGGGCGGCTATCGTCAAGGGTACATACAACGTAGATCCGTTGACGTTTGTGGCAGGAACAGCTCATCTGCGAGGAACTCGTGGACCAACGCCTTTGGTGATGACCTTTGGCCGGAGGATCACCAAGGGCACAACGGGATATATGACCTACAAAACGGGAGATTGGGCTATTGGATCGTGGGGACCTGCCCTTGGCGAGCGCCAAAACTATTCTTCGATGGCTTTGGGAATCACTTCGACCGACGCCAAGGATAGCTACCAGGTTGAGTTGCTTACGGGTGTGCTGCGATCGAACCTCTTGATGGACAGGACATGGACTGTTGACGAATCGACCCGCGTTCGTGTCGGATCAAATCTCTCGAGCACCACCGGGTTGACGGTCAGTGTTGGTGGTGACCGCAGAATCACCCAGCACACCCGCCTCGGCTTGGCCGTTGAAGTTGCCCTCTCTGGCGGCATCGCCTTCAACCTCAAGTAAGCTGCTGGGAAATCCTTTTGCACTTCTAGACATATTTGATAGCGCATGAGTCTGTAGCCTACTAACTAACCTTTTCTTTTCGCTCAACTCATTGAAATAGGGTGATGAGGTTGGGGCAGAGTGTGACGGTGCCGATTATGCTGTCGAACGAGTTTTCGCCAAAGTTTGCGTTCTGGGGTGCAGTGGTGCCAGTCTGCACGCTCGCGGCTCTGGATTTGGGATATGTCAAGCCCAAGAGAAGAAGAGAGCGCGCACAGAAGCTTCAGGAACTTCGTCAGGTCCACGCAGAATTCATTGCCAACCAAAAGAAGGAGGCCGAGGAGGCTGTCAACCTGCTCAAGGACTCGACTGCCCGCAAGACCAAGCAGGAGCAGGAGAAAGATGGACTGGTAGTGGTCGAGGCTGTCTATGGAAACCTCAATGCTCACATCATCGCTGATGTCACTATTGCCGTCCAGGCACTCGTCAACAACTCTCAGCTCGTCATGCCCGGCGGTCACTCCAAGGTAACATATTAAGGTCTTTTTTCTATGTGTGTAGTTATGCCAAGTCGGTGGTATTATCATTGTTTATTCATTTCTTTGATTTGATGTTACTTGAAATAGAACCACGTTCTTGGTTTCTATGATCCATGTCTTGGCGAAAAGAAGCAGCTGAGGATAAGATACGAGTTCCAAAAGTCCATGCATGAAGTTGTTCTTGATGATCTCGAGCATGTTGCCCTTCCCGCCCGAGGTTAGTCTTTTGTCCTATGTGTGCTGGTTTATTGCGGTTGCTGTCAAGTTCTGTCCATCTAACCTTATTTTTGCTCTTTACTCCTCTGCTTAGCCCACCGCCTTGCATGAGAGATTTGAACGCTGTAAACTCCAAACGAAAAAAAAAATGAAAAAAAGAGACATGACTTATGACCCCCCTCAGTTTTTGCGCACGTAATAAAGGAGTGCCGATAGATTCACTCCTCCCCAATTCAAATAGTCGATTATGAACCTGTGCTCCACGTTCTCGTTGCCATGTTGTCATGTTGCTGCTCTCCCTGTTACACTTGATCGTCTGACTTTTGCTGCACAAAAATTTCTTTGAGTGGCAATGTCGGTATTGCAAACCACAACTCACTCATTGGCCGGTCTGTATAGGTACAGCGTACTTTTTTTTTTGGGTGGCGTAAGAGAATGCAACCAACTGAGAGTGTGGTACGCCAGGTATCATTCCGGCCCTCCACTCTGACATCAACGCAGTCTTTTTTGAGTACTGTTCCTTCCGCTTTTTGGTGGACATGGTTCTTGGCTGAATGACTGAAAGAATAGACACGACTCTTGGTAGAATCTTGCACGAATGCATCGATGGCCTGCTCTATGAACTGAGGGCATGAAATCTGTCCCATTGTTTTCATTTATTCTCATTCACATTCACTTCATCTAAACTGATAACATACAATAGCTACAGTACGAGAAAAGAAGAAGGAGGTGGGGAGAGAGAGAGAGAGAGACAATATGAGGACGGTTCTGATCACCTTGCGTTGCTGCAAATCACTTACGTCTTTTCTCTTCGGATGAGAGATGGCCTTCGCCAATGGGCGAAGTCAATTTTTCTTATGAATCTGTATTGATGGTCACCCTTCTCTTTCGGTCACAAGCGAATGCAGAGACCTAGCAAAGAAACAATAGGAAAGTTGGAAGGTACAGCAACTGTCTTGTCCGGGCATCCTCTTATCGCAACCATTCTATCCTCCATACCTGGAAGATCAAAGGTCGAGGTATTGGAGTAGCGAGTTGCGGTGAGCCAAGTGGAAAACAAAATTATGTTTAGTGATTGCAGGCACCCTTTCCCTCACTAGTAAAGAATGGTTCTCACTCAGTAAAAGTGATATGCTGTCATGTCATGTTTCTTGATGCGTTTTCTCGCCGGTCATTCTTTTTCTCCTGCCACCTGTGATATGTTGTTACAGGGCTCGGAACCAACAACATGAAAAAATAGAATGGCTTTCCATGATGCTCCCAGTCGCCATAGTAGGTCCCCAGACAGCCTTTTCCTTACCCTCGTCTATTTTACAGGATCAGGAACCAAAAAGTGAAGACCAAAAAATCATTCGGCCATTTTTTTTTTGCACTTAACATGGTACTCTTAAACCTCGAACTGAAAGAATCGCTGGCCTAGGGGTGGATAAGCACCACCTTGGGGATGGTCCAGCGAAGAACTTCTAGCAGGCTCAGGGGGGGGGGGGGTTGCCTGGCCTGCACTGAGTAACTGCGGCTACTCAGCGCCAGGACCTTCCTATCGACCGTGGCTATCCAGACGCCACCTGTCAGATCCCAGGTGAGGAAGTGCAGTAAGAGAAGGTGTGAGAAAAGCAGCCACGGTCAGCTCCTGACTACGTCACCGCTTCTCTTGATCGCTGCTACTGCTCCAGTTGGTAGAATCAGAACAAAGGTAAATTATTTTTAACAGAAGTCATCAAGTAATTGAAAGTGTAGTATATGGGTATCATTCCGGCCTTCCAAGCCTGAGAACCGGGTTCGAGTCCCGGCACTTTCACTCTTTTGTTTTTCTCATGAGGATTTTTTTTTATTGTTCCGAAACGTCACTATCTCTTTCTGTACCTGGCCATCTTTCTCTCGATGATGAACAGCGTTGAGGTGGTGTTGTGGATGATTATTCTTCTTTTTTTTTTTTTTTGGCCTCGCGTATGTCTGTTGTAAGATTTGTCGCGCACGGAAAGTGTGTTCTGAGACAAAGGAAGGGGACCGCTTTTCAACTGACAAAGGGCCGGATACCCTTAGTTCTTGACATGCTGCCTTTTTTTTTTTTTTTTTAATTTCGTATGCAGGCCGCAAACGTGCTTCGACTTATGTTTGTTTGTTTGTTTGCATGCTTCGTTGGCTGACTAAGGGTGTCCTACTACTACAGGAGGAGTAGGTCAGTTCACTGTTTCTTTTACGCATATTGTTTTATCGCATGATTTCCCGAGAATAGGTTGCTCGTGGCTCTCAGAGCACAGGCATGTATATTCTTATCGGCCTCATGTGAGAGAGCGCGTCGATCACGCTCTTTCATTTCGGTCTTCTTTTTCACAGAGTCCTTCCCTCCTCGGACACATTGGTGGATGAACGACAAAGATCGGCCTCTATTACCATGCAGAACTGCTTTTGTTTGTTTCGTATGATTTTGTGTGTCTAATGGTGGTTGAACTAGGAATCTATGGGGGGGGTGGGAGGGTTTATCACTGGAGTGTAAGGTTGATCTTGGAAAAGTCGACGCTGTCGGTCATGACACCATCAAGTGCCTTGCCGACGACCTTGTTAACAGGGGTGACGGCCTCGCCGTGCATCAACAAGTTCATAATGTTCTTAAGCGCCAATTTCTATTCACATGCACAAAGGACAAAAGATAAGTTAGCAGCACAACCAGAGATGTTAGAGTCAAGCACATACACAAACAGAAGCCAGAACGTCCAAAAAACAACAGCTCTTTGTGAAAAGTGTACCTCCATGGAACGAAGACTTTCTTCAGTGGAGGTTCCCATGTGGGGCAAGAGCGTGCACCGGGGATGCTTGAGAAGGCCCTCGTGAACCTTTGGCTCAAACTCGAAAACGTCCAGACCTGCAGAGCCAACCTTAAAAGCGGAATCATTTTTGATTAGTTCAACTGCTCTCTCTCCTCGTGTAAATCATAATACAAGGTCAAGATAATTTCTACTTACCCTTCCGCTCTCAAGAGCTTCAACGAGGGCAGCCTCATCAACGACGGGTCCACGAGCAATGTTGACCAGGACAACGCCCTTCTTCATCTTGTTCAATTGAGTAGCGTTGATCATATGTCTGGTGTTGGCGTTGAGGGGGACACAGATCACAATCACATCCGACTCGCGCAGCAGTGTGTCGTAGGCAGCAAATTGGGCATCATATTCAGCCTCGACTAAATGCCATTCGAGTAAGAAGTAAATATTTATCAGAGCCTCGCTCATCGATTGTCAACCGTCCTTTGTTTCTCTTTCGTTTCTGTTTTCCCGAGTTTTCTGTGTTGTAAAAAGCTCATTACATACCGCGAATGTCGAGACGGGTCCTGTTGTAGTAGTTGACCACCATCCCGAAGGCATTGGCACGCTTTGCGATTGCCTAAGTAGTAGCGAGACATAATAAAATAAAAACATGCATGTAAAACCAACAGAGACCAGGAGAAGAAGAGGGTTGTAAGTTCAATGTACAAAAAAGGTCATTTGTTTCATGTGCCAGTTACGATCGATCCTTGCACGACATCCGATGTAAACAGTACCTTGCCAATGCCTCCCATGCCAATGATTCCGATCGAGGCAGCGGCCATATCATGACCATAATCGATTTCATTTTTCCAGGTGCCTAGGACAAAGATTGATAACAAAATTTCGGGCGTTAGCCCTTTTGTTTTTTTCTCCCGTCGAACTGATCCCGAGGCATGCACGCTTAGTCCCCTTTCCTTTGTCCCTCCTTTATCAAAAGACTGCGACACGTTTGTCATGATCGTACCTGCGCGGAGGCTAGTTTGTCCCTGTGTAAAGTTGCGAAGACATCCAAGAATCAAAAACATGGCAGTGTCGGCAGTGGCGGCAGAAACTACACCAGGAGTGTTGGAAACAGTGATCCCTAAAGAACATAAAAAGCAAAGCACTGTTAGTAAGTTTATCCGGGGTTTTAAACCTTGACATTTGATGGCTTATAGCCAAAATGCGCTGTCCATCATGCGCCATCGAAATCAGCTTTTTTTTTTGTCATTGACTTGTCAGGAGGATGTTATTACCTTTGGCTGTGCATGAATCGATGTCCATATTGTTGTATCCAGCCATGGGAAGAGAAATAATTGAGATACTGGCGGGGATATGCGAGACCAGTTCGCTATCGAGGTTGCCGACCTGAAGGTAGCAAAAAAAAGTTCACATGGTTCGCACCGACCAAATAAAGAGAGTGAGTTTCAATGGAATAAGATAGAAAACCATATTTCTTGCAATGCTCAAAAATAACCACGGTCGATTAATTACGACCAGCGATGGAAAATAGCATGTGTGTGGTGTGATCGGAGAAAACACAAAGAAAAAGAGGTAGAGAAGCAGCACATGAAAAGAGAGGACTTACTGGAGAAACTCCTCCTGCCCAGAGAATGGCGGCATAGTTGTTGTACTTGCCCTTTTTGCACCTGCGAATGAACTCTTCACGGTCGCTGTCATAGATCTAATGTCCACCGGGAAAAAAAGGCAAAAAAGATAGGGAGAAGGTTGCGATAAGAAAAAGGCGTCGATGCAGATGCTGCTCCAGAATGATTGGCGAGACTGGCAGATCTAAAGTCTCCATCAGCTTGGTAGTGTCGTGATCAATGCTGGTTCGTGTTGTTACCTTGACGGTAAAGTACTCCTCAAAGTCCTCGAGCTCCTGAAGGGCGAACTTGATTGGGACGAGGAAAAGGACGTTGGGCTTCTTGATGTCGTCGTCGTTCATATCCCATCCGTGGGATCCCATCTTTGTCTTGAGCCAGTTCATGGTGATATGAGTGTTGTTATGAGTAGAGTCGGTGGTAGTGTTGTTGGCGTTCGTGTTGGTGGTGAGGGTGAGTGTTGTTGAGAAGAAAGAAAGGAGGGAAGAAAGAAGAAAGGAACAAGAAGAGGAGAAAAAGAAGAGACGCCACAAGCAATCATCAGATTCGAGATCGGAGCGTGCACGTGACAGCGCGGCATTTCTATTGCCGTTGGATCTTCCTATCTTCGTCCTATCTTCCTCACCGATGAAGTTCATCCACCTTTCTTCACTTGCGTTATCTACTTGATGTGCATACGCCTAATGCAATTGATGACGCGACGCGACTTTTATGTCTGTTATGCCAGTCCTTCTCCGGACAACAGATAACACAATCAATACCAACAGATAACACACCTACTTGTGCACCGTTAACCAAGAACGCTCCTCGTTCCTTCCCAACACTGAAAAGATAGTATATTATTGTGAGCAAACAACGCACGAATTCACTGCAAGGCGTCCATAGACTACCTAGGTCAAGAGAAGTAACAACAGTGTCCAGATCAATTGACACATCCAAGGCGCAAGGAACTCAGTAAACATGCCAGGACAAGGGTCAGAGGGTCAAAAAAGAAGAGTAACGAGTGGGGTGAATGAGTAAGTGAGAGATGACTATTTTTTTATACTTGAACTCTATTCAGGAACGAAAGCATATTGGCCGTTGGTACCTTATTCCGTACCTTGGTCACGCTCCCGTCAAGGACCAATCGCCACCTCTGACTACTCTCCCTGCTTTCTTATTACTTTCGTCTCACTTTTCTATTTTGCCGCCTCTTGATCTTCCTCGCAGCCTTTCAGCCTCAATCCTCATTACAGCCACCCAACACGTCCTATGCCGTGCCTGTAAAAATGTTGCATCGAAGATGGGAGCACAAGAAACGAGGGATATGCGCATCATGAGCAAAATGATGCGACAGTGGGGGACTTGTTGGTGACTATGGTGTAGATTGGTAGAGCCAAGAGGCGGGTTAAATACGGGTCCTTCTAGTTGCCTGCTATGGTCATACTAGTCGAAGACTATGTCACAACTGAGCAGCTGAAGAAAGGACAATGAAGAAAAAAGAGTCAGAGGAGGAAAGACAGGATAGGGATTGAAGGAGAAGGGTATTGAGTGAGAAGAGACGGAAAAGGTGGCGTGGATGCGGGCGGGGATGTTCAAGGCAGGAAGGGTCAGAACAGAACAGAGAGAGAGAGCAGACAGCAAGTAAGCCACCTGTGAGAGAGGGAGAGAGAGAAAAGATGAAAACGAGCCCGTCTGTGTAGCTTCAAGGTGTCCAAATAAGGAAGGAGTCAAAAATTACCCACGCTGTTTTTCCCTCTGTTCCTGCTGCTTGAGATGTGGGGAAGGAGAACAAGGAAACGGTTCAGTCCGTGGGCGCACCTTTTTTTTTTACTTGTTGTTGGTTGGGGTGGACCCATCGAGTAGTGTTAGTCATACTCACTGAGATGCGCTGTAAAAAAAGAGGAGTATCAAGAGACTCGGCAATGGTTCCTGAGGATCAAAAGGTCCATCATCATTCAAGATGATGGTTTCCTGGTCCGAACCAAGCAAGGGTTGCAACGTATGAATGCATGACAATGAGATCCGGACAGGGGCAGGAAAATGGAAAGGAATGGGATGTTATAGATCCAGGTGGGAATGGTAGAGTAACGACAGAAGGAGGGGAAAAGTGAGAAGACAGCCCCAAGGGAGACACAGGGGGATCCATCCCTCTCTCTTCGTTGTGTCTCCTTCCTTTACACTTCTTACCCCCAGCAACTTTTTTTCTTTTTATTGTCCATTCCTTTTCTTTTCCTTCTCTTCTCTTCTTCTTTCTTTTCTTCAACCTTCCCCCCTTCTCTACTTCTTCAACCAACTCCTCCCTTACCATTTACCTACTGTCTGACCCTTCGTTGTCCTCAGTGGTCTCTTCCTCATTCGCACTTCTTCTCATTCCTCATTCCATTTCCTCATTACACTCTCCACTCCATCACTCAAGTAAACCGTTTTTCTTCAATACATCATAATGTCTGGTATCCTCCGTCTGGCCGCCTCGAGCTCCGCAAGGACAGTCCTCAAGCCATCCGCTGGTCTCGTCCGCTCTGCTGGCCTCCATCGCCATGCCATCCAACAGTCCTCCAAGCCAAATCTCACTGTTTCATCCTCCTCAAAGCTGTTTTCAAGACCTTCAAGGGCAGCCCTCTTCCCTGCATCTTCTATTGCCCAGCAGCGCGCTGCCTACCATGACGATGGCGCCTATGGTTACCGTGTACCAAAAGTCTACTCCATGCCAGATTGTAAGTGTTTGTGATTGTTTGTTGTTCATGATACAAAAGAGATAGACATACCCAGGTGGATCGGATCCAGGCTCGTGTTTATTAAGATGCTGTTTGCTTCCTTTTTGTATGAATCATGCTTATTAGATACCCCCGAGGAGCTCGCCAACAGGGTAGACAATGCCAATTTGCTGCGTCTGGTCATCGGCTACAGAACACATGGTCATCTTGCGGCCGATCTTGATCCCTTGGATATTGTCAAGCGCCAGTAAGTGCTGAAGAGGAAAAATAAATGTGAGGGATAAAAAGGTGGTATGGTTGGTCGTCAGCGGAATACGTGGGAATGAAAAAAGAAAGCAAAGAACGAAAAAAAGTGAGCACATGCACGCACACAATGGAAAAAAGGGTGCAAATGTGTTTGTGTTTTTGATAAGGTCTAGGCAGCCCTTGTTGTCGTCGTTGACGACAAATCGATGCATCTTTCTACTGACTGCAAAGGGGGCACGAAAGAGACCAATTGCTGATAAACAATGATGTTTATTTACCTCTATTTTTTGCTGTTGGCAATTCTAGGAAGGTCCTTGCCTTGGATGCCGAGCGTTATGCCCTCACGGACGAGGCAAAGTCGTACAACTTGAGCGGAATCCTCCACGTCAACCAGTCCAAGAGCAGTGCCGAGGCCAAGGAGGAGGCCTCCCTCAAGACCGTCGTGGCCCACCTGGAAAAGTCATATTGTGGCAAAATCGCCTACGAGTTCATGCACATTCCCGTATGTCTCCTCTTCTCTTTCTTACTCGTTTACAGTTCGATTGCAAACACCTTTCTCAGGAACATATTCATCTTCATACTTACATCCAATCGATTTTTTTCTCTATCATAGAACGCAAGTGAGAGAAGATGGTTTGCCCACGAGGTCGAGTCATACCAAAAGCCCCCCATTACCCCTGACGACAAGCAGCGCATCTTTGAGCTCTTGACAAAGTCCGAGGTCTTTGATCACTTTATGGGCAAGAAGTTTGCCCAGGTCAAGCGTTATGGTCTTGAGGGTGCCGAGAGTATGATGGTCGCCCTTGATGCCCTCTTCCAGACCGCCTCCAAAGGTACAGTACACGATTGTTCCTTACTGCATTGAGACAACCAAGTGCGTAAAGAAGTAAATGTTCTAACCGTGCATATTTATTTACTTTTATTAGCTGGTGTCACGGAGGCTGTCTTGGGAATGCCCCATCGTGGTCGTCTCAACTTGTTGACGGATCTGATGCAATACAACCCCACCGCCCTCTTCTCCAAGGTCAAGGGCAACCCCGAGTTCCCCATCAACCTCCCTGCTTCGGGTGATGTCCTGTCCCATATCGCCAACTCTCCCAAGCTCGACTATGGCGAGGCTGAGCCAATCCACGTCTCCATGCTCCACAACCCCTCTCACCTTGAGGCCGTCAACCCCGTCGCCATGGGCAAGGCGCGTGCCAAGCAGATGGATCTCATCGCCAACTCTTCCCCCGAGTGCCAGCTCGGAGACAAGGTCATGTGCGTCCAGTTGCACGGGGATGCCGCTTTCACAGGCCAAGGAGTCGTCATGGAGAGTTTGGGTCTTTCTAACTTGCCCCACTTCACCTCGGGAGGATCTGTTCACATTGTCGTCAACAACCAGATTGGATACACCACCCCTGCCCAGAACGCGCGCTCGTCTGTCTACAGTTCCGACATCGGAAAGATGATCAACGCCCCTGTCATCCACGTCAACGGTGACCATCCTGAGGAGGTTGTCCACGCCATGCGACTCGCCTTTGAGTACCGCAACAAGTTCCGCAAGGATGTCATTCTGGACTTGATTGCCTACCGTCGTTGGGGTCACAACGAGCTGGACGAGCCCGCCTTCACCCAGCCTCTGATGTACAACAACATCCGTGCCCGCAAGTCTGTCCCCAAGATGTACGAGGAGAAATTGTTGGCGGAGAACGTGATCACCAAGAGTGCGATCGACGAGTTCCGTCAGGACTACTTTGAGAAGTTGGAGGATGACTTTTCCGAGATCGACAGCTTCAAGCCTGAGGCGGACCATCTCGAGGACAAGTGGAAGGGCATGATATTGCCCACCGAGACTGTGAGCAGACTCGACACTGGAGTCAGCAAGGAGGCCATGACCAAGATTGCCCAGGCATCCATTGCATCCCCTAGCGACTTTGAGATCCACCCCCGTCTCGAGAAGTTCCACGTGCAGTCGCGTCTGAAGAAGCTGAAGGATGGCCAGAGCATTGACTGGGCTACTGCTGAGGCGATTGCGTTTGGTTCTCTGTTGAAGGAGGGATACGATGTCCGTATCTGCGGTCAAGATGTTGGCCGTGGCACGTTCTCGCAGCGCCACGCGATGTTGGTTGACCAGAAGACTGAGCGTGTGCATATCCCCTTGAACGCGATGAGCGAGTCGCAGGGTCATCTTGAGGTTGCCAACTCGAGCTTGTCTGAGCTGGCCGTACTTGCGTTTGAGACCGGTATGAGCTACGAGTCACCCAAGATGCTGAACATCTGGGAGGCTCAGTTTGGAGACTTTTTCAACTCTGCCCAGGTGACCATCGACACCTATGTCGCCAGTGCCGAGAGTAAGTTTTATTTTTTATTTTTCGAATGATCTGACAGTGTTGGAAATGATATGATGGTTCCTAAGATTGAGTTTCTGGTTTCGGGGCAGAAATGAAAGGGTCGGAGGTGAAAAGAATAAGACATCGAATAGACACTAACATACCATATGGTAATGCACCCTTGCTCCAATCTTGCCTTTTTAGCCAAGTGGCTCCGTCAATCGGGCTTGGTCATGTTGTTGCCCCACGGCTACGACGGTGCAGGCCCCGAGCACTCGTCCTGCCGCATCGAGCGCTGGCTCCAGATGACAAACGACTCCTTCGACGTCAAGGATCCCTCCATCAAGGCCAACACCAACATGCACGTCGTCAACCCCACCACCCCTGCCCAGTACTTCCACTTGCTCCGTCGCCAGATGAAGCGCGACTTCCGCAAGCCCCTCATCGTCGTCGGACCCAAGACCCTTCTCCGTCTGCCCACCGCCACCTCCTCCCTCGAGGACATGGCCCCCGGCACCACCTTCGAGCCCATCCTGGGTGACACCAAGACCGAGGAGGATCCTTCTTTGGTTGAGAAAGTCCTCTTTGTCTCTGGCAAGCTCTACTATGACCTGATCAAGGAGCGTCAGACCAAGGGAGCCGATGAGAAGGTGGCCATTGTCCGTGTTGAGGAGTTGAGCCCCTTCCCCAAGGAGGGTCTCAAGCAGCAGATCGAGACCTACTCTGGCGCCAAGGGTAAGAAGGAGAGAAATATGTGTCTATTGTTTGGGATAGGATGAATGGACAAGCACGCGATTATTATTATTTTTGATTGTTTGTTTGTTGGCAGAGCCGCTCGATTGCAGTTGTTCTAACAATTGGCCCATTTCTCTTTTGTTCTTTCTATCCAATTTTGTAGAGTTCACTTGGATCCAGGAGGAGCCTCAGAACGGTGGCGCATACTCGTTCATGGAGCCAAGGATACGCCAGTTGTTGCCCGAGAACAAGTCTTTGGGCTATATTGGTAGAGACCCCTCGGCAGCCCCTGCAACCGGCATTGCCATTGTCCACCGCAAAGAGAGTGCCGACATTCTGGCCAAGGCCTTCCGGTTGTAAAAAGAAAAAGAATACAACAAAGCATTTACCCCTCCCTTTTTTTTTCCATCCTCCACATCAAGAGCAACGACAGCAAGTTTAGATAGATGAGCAGCATTATTGTTTTCAACATACATAAATAGATTTTATTATTTGCAACAGCTTTTTCACACGACGCTTCTTCCTCTCCGACGAGACAAAGAACGTTTTTTTTGTTGTTTATAAGTAAGGAGGTGTCATCGAATGAACTTTTCAACCGTTTTTGAGTTGTCTGTGTTGTTCAATGGTTCGGCTGTGTTATTTTGTGTGGTGTTTTGTTGGCTGAGGTCCGTTGGTTGATGTTATATGAAAGCTTAGTTTTCACCGACTCCACGTCAATTAGGTTGGGTGCAAACTGCGGCTTCAATTTTTTCTTTGTAGGGTCGGAGGGAAAGGGAGAGAGCATGGCCGATGTTTTTATTTCCAAGGAGTGACGACGGTGAGTGTTGACGCCAGTTTGTTATCAGTTCAAAGAAAAAAAAAAAAAAGAGAGCGAGAGGCATGCAATTATCGCGACATCGTAGGATAACGGCAGTAAGGGAGACGTAACACGTTTGCCAGAGAAGATACCATGGATTGGCAGGATGAGGCTATTGAAGACAATGGGATGTTTGTTTGTCTGTATATCATCGTCAACGATGGTTGTGCAGTAGACAAAGTGGTTGAACAAGAAGCAATAATTATCAAACGATGATGGTTGGGATGACCAGCTCACGAGTACGTTTGTCTTTTTTCCATTTCTCCCAATTTTTGAAATGACAAGAGTGGAGGATGTGAGGTACGATTTTTTTTAGAAGGACAAAAAGCTGACTCTGGTCCTGAAGGCTTTCGAGCGACGTAGGCATATGAGTGATGAAGGAGCTGGTGGGCATGAGTCAGATGAGAATGAAGGGCGTAGTTGGGAGCATCGGATGAGGGTGTTGAAGGAAGATGAGGAGGATGGAAGATGTATGTCAAGAGGCGATGGAAGGGATGTGGCCCTTCTTGAAAGAAAAAAAAAAGCAAAAGAGAAGGAGGAGAGGTCGAGTAGAGAGAGGAGCGGTACTGAGCTACTCCCGTCACTCTTTTTTTTTTTTTTTTTTTTTCTGCATTTTTTCTTCCCGTTTTCCTTTTTTTGCTCTCTTTTTTTTCTTCCTTTCTCTTCTCTTCTTTTCCACTCTTTACCCTTTTCACCCCCTCCCCCTCCTCATCACGAAAACACTTTCCTTCACTCACACATAATCACTTTCTCCCTTCACAACATCTACACCCTTCCCTCTTCAACCTTCCCCCTTCAGCAACAACATACACAGCAACACAACCATGTCTGATTCTGGCGACTCCTCTGATTCCGAGGTCTACATCCCCCGTGACCCCGTTGTTCCTCGTAAGAACGCGCAACAGCCTGCCCACCCAACCAACCCACTTTTTTTTCATTTTTATTTTTCGAAAAACAACAAAAACACGAAAAAAAAATGAAAAAATCGAATTTCGTTTTTTTTTGCGTTGTTTGTTTTTTTTGGGTCTCCCTCGAAAAATTATTTTCGACCTTTGCTCGAAAAAAAAAACAGAAAAAAAAGACGCGTCGAGTCGGTCCGCCCTCACCGCACTCATTCACTCCCCTCTCGCTCAACCCCATCCATCCAACATCCAATGCTCACATTTACACACATACATATCAGACTGAATTTGACAACCATTTTCACACATTTACTAACCCCATTCCTATGGTCATTCTATCGGTCTCTCTATCTTCTCTCCATGTGACGTCCTCATCCCCTATCTCTCTTTAATGCACTTTAAACATGGCGCCCATCTAGTCCCCGTCACCGGCCCCCGTGAGCGCAAAAAGGTCGAGCGCTTTGCCGTCCCTGTCGTCGAGAAGGCCGAGAAGAAGTTGGTCATTCCCGAGGTAAGTTTCTTGTTCCTCTCTCCCTCTCTCTCCCTCTCTCTCTCTTCTTGTCTTCTCCCCTCTTGTCCCGCGACACGTTTGAATTTATGCACACACAAAACACAAAAACAAGTCGAGAGGGCTGGAGATGGATGATAGCCCTCTTCTTGCCTCTCAATTTCACACTCGCACACAACAATCCAACAAACACACACGACACGACCAGCACAAATGAAACTATCACTCACACATACATTCAACAATCATCGAATGCTCACTCTGCCCTCTCTTTGCTCTGTTCTGCTATGCCTCCTCTCTTTTAATCAATAGGGCAAGGGCACCAAGCTCGGCTCTATCGTCACTGGTAAGTCTCTCTTTCCCTCTCTCCGTCACTTTTACAGCATTCATCGTCAACCCTGCTCTTACTTTTATCAGCCCTCACTCGTCGCTTGGAAATCAGTGATGTCCACCTCAGGACACACTCGGATTGTGTCAACAGCCAAACAACAACAACAACAACAACAACAACAACAACAAGAAGCAACAAACAACAAACAACCACAACAATTATTGCACGTCAATCACCTCAACGTTCCCGCCAAACTGCCACGGTGCCATCAATGAACTACAAACCACGATCCTACAAAGTATACAGGAGAAGGAACGCGTTCAATGGCACAACAGCGACACGCCCTTTGCCCTTTTTGTTTTCTTCTTTGAACCCGCTTCCGCCTACATCAGCAACAATCATTTTTGGCCTCAACAAAACTGACCAATCAGTCTCTCCATCGTGTCTCTTTTGCAACAATAGTCAACGCCAACCTGGACAAGTTGAAGTCCAGCGATGAGACCGTCAAGGGACTCCACCGTCTCCTCTTCGGTCGCGTCGCCCCCTCCAAGAGCCCCAAGACCGACCTCAAGGCATTCAACGGATTTGAGTACTTGAACGAGGTACGGCACACGGAATCCTACGGATTATCGTTATCCCTCCCAGTTTCGAAAATGTTTCTGATTGTTCAAAGGAACCAAGAAAAACGAAAGAGAGTTAGTTGCCCTAAAAAACGCATACGACGCATACTAACATGTTGTCGACTTGTCGATTTATAGAAGGACGAGGAGGCTCTTGAGGAGAAGCTCGGAAAGTGGACCGTTGGTGGTCTTCGCGAGCTCATTGATGTCTTCAACCTCGAAGCTGGCGGTGACAAGGTATGCATGATCAAGTTCAATTCATTCATCAAGGAACACAGCAAACAGGAAAAAGGGGTGCGACGATATTGAATCTTCAATTCTCAAGAACCAACGACAACACCGATGTTTGTTTACAGGAATTATCTGTCGGGACTGGCAATAATAGCAAACAAAAGGGGCGCTTCATGTTCAACTCGACAATCATTCAGCGACGACGCCACCATCTCAACCTTCGGGAGGCTTACCATAAATTTCGCGCTTTCGTCTAAAGCCCCCTTGCTGACGCTCTATCATCTATCTGACCTCAATCGTAACCTTAGGATGCTTTGCTCGAGCGCCTCATGGTCTTCTTGAAGAAGCCCGAGGACTCTGGTCTTGTCCCTCGCGCCCAGAAGGTAATAATCGTTGCTCACAGCTACATGTTTTACGTGTTCCCATAAAACGATCAATCAAACTAGTGGATTTCAACAACTAACACTTTTCTCGCCTGCGACACCCACATATAGGCCGCTCAGGATGCCAAGGAGAAGAAGGCTCAGGCTCTTGCTGTCAAGAAGGCCAAGGCCGCTGCCAAGGCCAAGAAGAGCGCCGAGCTCAAGGCCAAGAAGAGCGAGCAGAAGAAGGCCCAGGCGGCCAAGAAGAAGGCTGCCCTCGCCAAGGCCAAGGCTGCCGCTAAGGCCTCCAAGGCTTCCAAGACTTCCACCTCTACCTCTACCCGCGCCCCCAAGGTCCGCTCCGCCTTCGACATGTACGTCAAGGATCACCAGAAGGATATCAAGGACGCCGCTCCCGATGCATCCCGTGCCGACATCTACAAGAAGCTCGTTGACAAGTGGGAGGCTGTTGATTCCGTCGTCAGAGAGGACTATGAGACTAAGGCCGTCGCTGAGAACGCCAAGAGCGCCGATAAGAGAGCCAAGGCTGCCCAGGAGGCCAAGAAGGAGAAGAAGGCCCCCAAGGCTGCTGCCGCTGTCGACGCCAAGAAGGCTAAGAAGGAGAAGGCTTCAAAGACTGACAAGGCTACCAAGGAGAAGAAGGAGAAGAAGGAGAAGAAGGAGAAGGCTACCAAGGAGACCAAGGAGACCAAGGAGACCAAGGAGCCCAAGGCCGCCAAGGCCACTAAGGCTAACAAGGCCGAGAAGGCACCCAAGGAGAAGAAGGAGAAGGGCACCAAGGCTGCCGCCGCTGCTGATGGTGAGAAGAAGGCCAAGGCCCCCAAGGAGAAGAAGGAGAAGGCTGCCAAGGTTGAGACCACCGAGAAGGCCACCCCCAAGGAGAAGAAGGTCGCCAAGGAGCCCAAGGCCGCCAAGGCTGATAAGGCTGACAAGACCGACAAGACCGAGAAGGCCCCCAAGGAGAAGAAGGAGAAAGCCCCCAAGGCTGCCGCCGCTGCATCAACAACCGAGACCAAGAAGGCACCCAAGGAGAAGAAGGAGAAGGCTGCCAAGGCTGAGAAGGAGAGCAAGGAAGAGACCAAGCCCAAGAAGGCTGCCAAGCCCGCCGCACCCAAGGCCAAGGTAAGAATAGCTGTTCTAGCTCATGTTTCTTTCAACATTGGATTTTCATGTTCGTGTTCATGTTATTCATCATTCATTTCTCTTGTATACGTATAGGAGGAGAGCGCAGAGAAGCCCAAGGCCGCTCCCAAGAAGGCTGCCAAGGCTGATGCTCCCGCCGCTGCCAAGGCTGATGCCCCTAAGGAGAAGAAGAAGGAGAAGGCCCCCAAGGCCGCCGCTGCCGTCGAGAAGAAGCCCGAAGCCGCCGCTGGCAAGGTAAAAATCAATCTACTACAATGTTATTTTTTCAGGAACAATCAATCATGTTATCTGACATTTTTTTGTTGTTACACATTGGCTAAATAATAGAAGAGAAAGGCCGACAGCACGGACGTCGCCGTTGCCAAGAAGCCCAAGGCCAAGGCAGCAGCAACACCAAAAGACAAGTAGATTGGCGAACGGAGAGCGGCGCGGTCAAAAAACTGAAAAAAACGGCATTGGATTCGAGGGATGGACGTTCTCGAGGTGCAATCAACAAACACACTACTGTTGATGCGTAACACGAAGAAAGAAGGATACCAAAAAGAAGAGTAGTAGAAAAGAGTACATCGTGATGGAAGGCATCATACACACAAACACACCCATACTCAGCATGTAACCTTGCGATATACCCCTTCCGCAGGAACTCTTTCTTTTTATTTCTCTTTTGTCATTTCCCAAGACCACACCCCATTTAGCCGCACCAAAAACATTTGCACATAGTTTTTTCTTTTCTGTTTGAATACAAATTATTAGTTTCCATTTATGTATTTACTCTATCGTTCGAAGGAGTTGATGATTGATTCCACAGTCTAGACAAGCACGATGCAAGTTGTGAAGGGGCGCGAGAACAGAACTGAGTTAGCAAACGAAGAGTCTCAGGCAGAAACAACGAGGCGAAAGGTGAAGTGTAGAAAAAGGAGCTGAAAACTTACATGGGTGTCCAAGGGCACGGCATCGATGCATCGTCTATAGGCCGTTTGCTGTGCCTCCTCCAGGAGCGAATGCATCAAACGCTCATCGGCAGTCGCAAATCTCCATAACCAAACTTTGGCGAACTCGGAGTCAACCTGGACCTGCTGGAAACCACCTTTGCCAAATGTCTTCATCCTCACCGACTCTGCCCAAGCCTTGAGCAAGATCTTGATGATTCCAAACATGATCCCCGTCCTGTTCAAGTCCTGGCAGCGGATGAAGATCTCGACGCGGTCCGAGAACAGCTTATCAATGTTGCTGAGCAACAAGTTGCGTTGTTGGTGGTCGAATCGACTGTTCATCGTGTTGCTGCCAAAGGACGCCAGCGAGTCGTTTCGGTGGGAAGGTTTGCTACCGCTATGACTTCCCCCACCAGCCCCGCCTCCAATACCACCGGCTGGTCTGAACGCCGATTCGCGACGCGTCGATTCAGAGCTGATCTCGTGGTTGCCCAGCCGCTCGCCCTCGTCGCCATAGACCATCATCACCTGGTGCTCAATCTCGTTCAGCTGGCGATAAATTGTCTCCCATGCGACAGACACGCCTGTTGGTGGAGACTCAAGAGTCATAAAATCAGTCTCTGACCGAACATCCATGACCAACCACGACAGTTCGTTACCCGTTCTGGCAATAAACCCGTCCAAAAGGACGTGTCCCGATTCCTGACAGGCCTGGATCACAGACTTGCAGTCCCATTGAAGTTGCGGCAGAACAGGCGGTTCTTCGTACGACTCGATCAAGAACGATCCGGACCGGTTCCGTTTGCCGACACGGAAGAGGGTCTTGGACAGGGTTTTGTACAGCTGCTCTACCACTGTGGTCGAGAACTCGAAGCAGAGCTGCGACATGACCAAGGACGTTGTCCGAGATCCCAACGATTCTGCCGATCCTGCTCCAGAGGGTGGGATGGCCGACGAACGTTGTTGCATCTCTTTGAGGGTCCAATCCCAGAACGTCTTGAACTCGTTCTGGAAGTTCTTCAAAAACAAGGCCCGGCCCTCTGTCGTCTCCAAGAACTGGGCGTCTGAACTCATACACTTTTCCAGGAACGGAATCGTGTCCACCTTGAAAGTGTCCAAAAGCCATACAGTAGTCTCCTTAAGAACTATAGCCCAGCTAAACGCTGGGGTAGCAGCAGCTGTAGAAGAAGGCTCTGCCAATGAGAGTGAGACATCGCCTATGGTTGTGCCGTTGTTGTTCGATTTGGAGCTCTGCTGAGCCAACTGAAGATCCTGTTGTACGATCTTGGACATCAATCCTTCCTTGACCTTGCCCAATGCTCGCTCAATCAGCTGGCTCTCCCAGTTCTGAATCAGTCCTGTTGCAAGGGTGTCAAATCCAACGAGCTGGCAGAGGCCGCTGCTGGACTTGGTGCCGAGGTATAGGTTCTGAAGGACATGAACATGGACCTGAGGCTCAATGCTGAAAATATCATTCTAAATCAACAACGGAGCACATATGAACGCGTTTTAGTTCCTCATAGCTCATAGTAGTCGTGGTTCCTAGTGGCTGAAACAAACGACTAGAGTGTTATGCTTACAGGATAGTCCAGGAAGGAGCGGATGGTGTCCAGATACTTGGAGATCATGTTGGAAGCAGCCTCCATGACAGTTGTCGACGCCTCAGAAATTTGTTCATGCGTCAAGTTGGCATGAACCCTGGTGTCCTTGGCCACCCATGCTGGCGGTCTCTGGTCTGATCCAGTAGCTTCCTCGCCTGACGCAGCTACAGCCGTCCCACCGCTGTTGGAGCTGGAGTTGGCAGGAGTTCCAGAAGCCGCTGTAGGAGCCAAAAAGTAGTTCATGAACGAGACGACAAATGCCTCAACCTGCTTCAAAAAGTACGTGTTCAGGTACGCGACTTTATCAGCTGGAGGTGGTGTAGATGTCTTGACCTTGGTCGCCTTCTCTTTCTCTGTCGATCCTGTTCCTGGCGATGCCGGGGTATTTGCCGCTATCCTTGCCGATTTTTTGATGGAGCGCTTGGGTGTTGCTGGCGTGGGTGTTTGAGCTGATCTGGGAGATGCAGCAGGCGGGGTGCTGTATAATGGTAAATTCTTTATCTCTTCCAGCGTCTTTGTGTTCACCTTGCGGAGCGCACTCATGGACCTATTTGTAACACATTTCATTTCGTTACGATGTTGTTAGCCCATGGAAGCGCTTTCCAAGGAATGCACGCAAACATTATGGGTCAACAAGGATTAATGATCGCCCCACTTACAAATTCAAGTACTGCTTCCACAGGGCAACAGGGTCCTCCTTGAGTGCGAGTAACAGACCAACAGATTCCGTGATTTCTGTGATGCTTGCCTAAAAGAATAATGCAGATCGAAAAAATGAAGTCAGTGCGTCCGTCCACGAATAGTATGACATTCCAAAAATATGCTGTCATATGCAAACGTGGAAACACGAGAGGCAATTAATTACCGTGTCAGAACACATCTTTTGGCGGATCTTTTGGGCGACCTGGACCATGATCGCCTTACATTCGCGCTCAATCCCTGTGAAGACGGTGAGATGTTTGTAGTGTTGGAGGAGGTGAAGCGTCCGGCAATAAGACTTGACGGCTTGGGTATATGACTCTGTTTCCAGACATTGGTGGAGGTTTGTTGGTAACTCGAAGACGAATTGGAGCTAATATTTTGAAATCGTTGGGTTAATGATATATCTCCATAGTCGCAATTCAAATCGACGTGGGGCAGAGTGCGGGAGATCCAAGTACCTTTGTCAAGAGACTGTGGACACCGTTCAGCTGTCGGATCTTTTCTCGCTTGCCTCCAAGTGAGCTGTGGATTGCCGAGGAAGAGGTGGCAATCTTGCCGATATTCTGGGTTAAGCGTGCCATCTCCGATTCGAGGTTATCGACATTGGACTTCATCTATCGTGTTTGAACGACAAAGTAGGAAGGCAAGAAGGAAAGGAGTGTCAGAACGCGAGAGGTTTGTGTCCATGTGAAGAGAGTATTGTAAGTTCCAGGATGTTGCGGTTTTGATGCCTTGCCTTGTTGATGGTGTCTGTTGCACTGAGGAACTTGCTATAGTTCTCATAGACAAGAGTCTTCATATCGCCGTCCAGCTGTCGAATATCGGCAACGAGCTCATTGTCCGCCTGCACCAGTCCTGGCAATTGCTTCTCCACAAACATCTTATGCATGTACTTGTCCACCTCAAACGCATGACTGTCTATAGAACAAGAGTATACGGAAAGGATCACCAGTAACGTTAGTTTCAAAAGAAACGTCGACTCGAGGTGGTCGTCACAAGGGTGCCCTAAGGACAAGGTCGTACCTAAATCGTATGGGTCAGCTTTAGAGGTGGGTCCTGAGGGAGCTGATGAGCTGTCCTTAGAGCCACTCTGGTTGGTGGCATCAGTTTGTTGAATGCCGTAGTAATTGCGAAGAAAGCTCTTTGCTCGCCGACGCGTCGCTGTCCCTGTAGCATTGTTCCCAGCGGTGGACCGGTGAGGGATAGTCAGCGAGTTTCCTTCGGGGGGGTGGATGGTCGCATTCGCTCCTGCAGCCATTTGTATTTGGGGTGATGTCTTGTTGATGCTGTCGTGTGAGGGATGAAGAATGAGCGGGTGTGGGGAGGTAAGGGAAGGATGAGAGAAGAAGAGTAGGGCTGTTAACTGTCATCATCAAGTCGGCTGCACTTTGAAGGTCGAACTCAAAAAGGTGACTGCTCGAGTTTTGTGTGAACTTGCTTCCTTCCCTTCAATGAAGCATTCAACTCTTTCACATCCCGCAACAACAACGACGAGACAGGACAGATCAGCATGGCAGAGGAGCAACTCGACTGGTACGCCATTCTCGGCGTCGAACGGACAGCCACCTCAAAGGAGATCACAAAGGCATACAGGGTCAGGGCACTCAAAGTCCATCCCGATAAGAACCCTGATCCCAACGCAGGTTCGTTCCTCGTTCCTCTCAGACGTCTTTATTTGCGCCGACTTGACACTGTTGCGATTCGAACAGGGAGTGCTGACACTGCGTACCTTTTGTTATCATCATAGCCAAGGTCTTCCATGAGCTGTCGCAAGCATACGACCTTCTTCTCGACCCAGCAGCACGAGCTGCCTTCGACAACCTGCTTAATGTTAAAGTGCAAGCAAAGGAGCGATCTAACAAGTACGATTCAGTCCGCAGGAAGATGAAGGAGGATCTCGAGAACAGGGAGAACGCTTTCAAGAAGCAACAGCAGGACGAGAAGGCCGCTGCTCTCAGAATGCATTATGAGGTATATACCGTTAGACTGCACCACTTACCACTTGATTCAGCCGGCCACACAGAAAAAACTAACATAGAGCTCTTGTGATCAATGTTAGATGGAACGACTCAAGAAGGAGAATATCAAAAAGCGGGAAGAACGGGAAGCTGAACTCTTGGAGCAGGCGAATCAACTCTCTCAAGCGTCTAAGGCAGTGCGGCAGGCAGCACGAGATGGTAAGCTACAACTATACACCAACTGACCCCACTGGATGTCAGCACAAAACCTTTTCTCAAGTACAATCGCTAACTATCGCTAACTCTATTGAACTCATTTCGAATTAAACCTGGTAATAGAAGAAGCAACTTCACTGGACACGACACTAAGAGTCAAGTGGAAAAAGAAGAAACAGGAACTCGGAACAGAGGAGCTGACAGAGATTTTCAAGAAGTTTGGCGTAATCGACTCTTGTTTGTCCAAGAAACAAGGATCGGCACTGATATCTTTCAAGACTCTCACAGGCGCAGTAAGTCTTCATCCGGCTTAAGTTGATGGCAATTCCTTCTTGAAATGTGACAGGCGCAGTGTCGTTTTACATAGTGGCCACGTATCCGTTCTAACAGCCTCTGTTTATATATTATCTCTACCTATCTAGTTTACAACAATGGCGGCTTCGGAGAAGGGCAACAAGGACTTGGAAGCGTTTACGGTTTCGTGGGCAGGAGGATCAGAGCCAGCATTAGTATCTAGTCTACGTGCCAAGAGCGCATCATCACCATCATCCACACCTTCTACTGCTGCCTCAACACCTACTTCAGCCTCAAGTCCACAAAGTGCGCCGCGGCCAGTATTTAATACCGCACCGAGCCCGGCCTTCACACCAGCCTTTGGATCATCAGCAAAAGGGTTTGCAGGATTCCCCTCAGATGTAAGTGGATTGCTGCGAGGTCTTACAATATCGACTAGCAAGGAGTCGTAAAGGAGTTCATCAACTAATTAGCATACGCATTCGTTTTTGCATTTTGTATTTGCATCGATTGATTAGATCCCTAGCTTTGCACCACCGCCTATATTTAACGTTGCTGCACCACTGGTGGATGACTATGAGGCTGCAACGTTGGCAAGGATGAAGAACAAGGACAATGAGCGGAAACGACTTGCGGAGGAAATGTTGCGCATGGATCGGGAAGAGGAAGAGCGATTACTGACCCTGGCTGCTGAGAAGGACAAGAAGCAGAAGATGTGAAAGGAGGTAAAGGGGAAAGGAGCGAAGGAGTGACATTCGATGTTTGCTCTTTTCAAATAAAATGAGAGAAAGGGAGGACCAAAGATCCAAAAAGTAAACCTCAAAGAGAGAGTATGTATATTTTTCTGTACCTAATCAGAACACAGCGCGGCTGTGGCTCTTTGGAGAAAGAGACAGAAGAGAGAGAAGGGGGCTGTGAATAGTCGACGCAGGGTGGCCACCATTGGGCTCACTCTGTTGTCCTGGACCCATATGCCGTAGGCGAGTAGAGTTTGATGGGACGGGATGGGCGGGCTTTTTTCTTTTTTCCTTTTTCTTTTTTCGTTTTTCGTTTTTCTTTTTTTGTCCACCTTGCCTGGTGGCCTTTTTTTATTTTATTTCTCTTCTTCTACTTTCCACCCCTTCCTCTTCTCCTCCATCCCCTCCCCACTATCTCTTTTCCTACACGCCGCCTCATCGCCTCTGTCATCGCCCTCGCCCTCTTCTTCTTCATCAACAACAGAAGCAGCAACAACGCACTCCGTCGACTCTTGTAGCATGGATATGATAAACTCTGGCAGGTCCCGTCTACATGATGGCGCCCGCTATGCTGCTGGCTCATTCATGAACCCTCTCACCAACGCCATCGGCGAGCAACGGCGACTCGTCGACAGTCTCTCTGCGGTCTCGAAAGCAAGAGTCGAGGAATGCAAACACATGATGGCCTGGAGCAAATCTCAGGTACAAGTCAGGTGCATGCAGTTGTTCCTTCTTGAAAGGAATAACCTTTTTCATGTGTGCATCATCTAGTTGCCCGTTGTCAACCCCTAATCTAATTCAAACCGTTTTCCACGTCTCGTTTTATCTCAAAACTGCCAACAACACAAATAGACTGACGACCTTGGGGTAACGTAGACGAAACTTCGGGTGCAGCTGACATGACAAAACCACTTGTTTCCAAAAAAAGCACGACCCTTTTTTTAGTGTCTTGGCTAAAACCCTTCATTCTTATTTCTCTCGGTCAATAGGATGTCCTGTTGAAGTTGAACCTGCTGATTCGCAAGATCAGCGACTATGAGCTCCGCTTCGGATCCCAGTATGAGGATTTTCGTGAGAAGATCAAGGTTCTCAGGACCAGGGACGACACTCTCTGCGAGATGGGCCGATTCCAGAACGATATTCAAACAAAGCTCGTCGAGAAGGGCAAGAGTGGATTTAAGGCATGGCTGAAGAAGGACGCCGAGGAGACCAGCTCCAAGAAGGAGCCTGAGGTTGATCCCGAGTTGGTCCAATACAAGCGCCAACTTATCAAGACTGCATATGCCGAACAACTGGATGCCGTTATCGAACTGGGCAAAAAGATGCAGATCATTGGCGAACATGGAAAGCATTTGTTGGAGCACATCGACCTGTCCCGCGATGTTCAACCATATGCCGATGGTAAGTGAGCTTGGCAGATTATGTTATCGCAGGAGTTCAAAGTCAGGCAATGTGAGGTTGACTTGTTAAATAACTCGTTATGTTATATTGCTTAGGTCGTGAGACTGAAGGCGTTCTTCAGGCTGCTCGCATCGCTCTGGAGAACTGGAGTCAAGGAACAACAGTCGATAACCACCAGGATACCTTGATCAACCCGCCACCCGAACATACCCCCACCCCCACCGTTTCAGTATCCGATGTATCTGCAACTGCCGCCGCCGCCAATGGATCCGCCAAGAAATCAGCAACCTCATCGTCTTCGCCTTCACCCTCTGCCAAGCCTGCCACCAAGGTCGAGTCAACAGCCACGGTTCCACCACTGCCTCCAAGGACACCCGACAGAATTCCCTCGTCTGAATCTCTCGAACCAAGAAGAGTCCAAAAGGGCCGTGCCAGAGCTGCAGAAGAGGAGCAGTTGAGACGACAGGAAGAGCTGGAGCTTGAGGAGGCACTCGCTATGAGCCTTGCGGCGGCTTCACCTGTCCCACTCACGGAAGTCTCGGATCTCGTCCTCACTCCTGAGGAGTTGCGCTTTATCTCAGAGCAGGAGAGTCTCGCTGTCCCCAAACCAGCGAGTCCTGCGAGGGTTGTCAGAGGCCCTCAATCTGTGGAGATTGGAGGACACATCCCCTCTCAACGTCGCCCACCATCCTCTCAGGCTACTGAGGAGGAGAAAAAGATTGCCAAGGCTGTCTCGACCCCTCCATTGGAGGAGCTCGGAGGATCCAGAACGTCTAGCGAATCCATGGACGATCAAAGAAGTACCTCCGCATCGAGAAAGGACGCCCATACGACCAAGCATGCGCCTCTGGAGAGCATGGGACCCGAGCCAGAGGCACTTTTGGAGAGCATGGGATGCGATACCTCGGCCGCATATGAGAGCATGGGAGATTCAGGACTGCCTCCCTTGGCCCACGAGAACCTCCACCTGCAGACGGTATTGAGTCAACAGCGCAAGCTTAATGAGCAGCAACAACCTTCGCCTTTCCCTCCTTCACCTGAGCTGCAATACCTCCAGGTTCAGCCATCCCCTCAACAACACAAGCAGACGCTCCAGATCTTGCAGTCAGGGGGAACATTGTCTATGAGCACTCCGATGAACTCCAACCATTCCAGCCCGATGATAGGAAACTACCAACCAAGCGTCCCATACAAACCAACCACCACCTATGTGCCTCATCCATCCCCTTATTCGAACAAGCCTAGGAACAGGAATTCTGGACCCATCACGCCACCAATTTCCGAGGGCCTGTCACCTAGTGCTTCTCAGCTCCTCCAGCAGCGTCAGCGCCAACACGAGTTTCAGCAGCAGCTCCGTGGCGATGAAGGACGTCCGATTTCACTCACTGCCAAGCATTCGTTGCAACAACAACAAGAATTGCAGAAGAAGCTGCAGGATTTCTACTTCACCACCAACGAGCAAGAGAACACGGAACGGCATCAGCAGGAAAACCGCCAGCAGAGCCACAGTGGACACCGACAGCAACCTTCGGGGAGTTGGGACTATCACCCCGACGACAACGACGACGACTACCAATACAAGGAGGAGTATCACACCCTCCACCGGTAGTTCACAGGCCTCCCAAGCGACAGCAACAACAGCAGCAACAACGACATACCCCTCTCAAGTACTCGACTTGTTGGTTCAATCCGAGGGTTGGAGTAGTGGCAAATTCCTGAAATAATAAATAAAGTCTAACAACAAAAATAACAACAAATAAAATCTAACAACAAATAAAAATCATGTTCTAAATCATAGTTGTTGCCTTTCTTCCTAGTGTGTGTGTGTGGTTAGTTGGACGCGTAGCTTTGGAGCATTAGTCTTAGGATACGAGAATGGATATGAGACCATGCAATGTTCCAAGCTTCGGTGGTCCTCACTGAGGCTAAACGCGTCTTTGCTCTTCAACATCACCCCACCTGCCGAATGTTGTGGCCTGAGAACATTTTTTCGTTACACCGGTTCTCAGATAGAAAAAAAAAGTTGGTATGGTATTGCTATTTATTCTTATGCTATTGGAATATATACGTACGAATGTATGGTGTTCATTTTTTTTCATATCGAGAAGGGGCCCAGGGGAATGCATCCTTGCCCACCTTCTTGTTTCTGTTCGTAACATCCGCTGGCCAATGATCCGTCAGACACGACCTCAGACCACATTTCTTCAACCACTCAATCTCACTCTCACTCCTTAGAGGGCGACGACCTTGCCGACCTTCTCGTACATCTCTTTGACAAAGCGAGGCGAAGGGCTGTTGGTCTTGGTGCGACAGAAGGTGCCTCGGAAAGGGACATGGGGCAAGAAGACCATCTGGGGGCGGTAGGAGTTGGCCACTTCCAAACCCTTTCTGTACCAACCAGTTAGGGATCCAGTTGAGACCAAAATATCTGATCACTTCTCCCACCATGCCCTATTATGATGTTTATCCAAATCCAAGAAAATAAGGGTGGCAGTGTTAGGTTTTGGGCATTGAATAAAAGCAGGTTGGCAATTTTCGTGAAAGAAGAGGAGGAGAGGTGGGAGGGGGGGGAAGTGGGGTGATATTTTTACCTGTCGGTGCATGAGGGCACCACTGGTACTAGAAGCAAAGACGGCGGCTTGTCCGGCGTGTTTGCGTTCCTCAATGTATCTCTTGAAGGCGCGGTCCAGTTCTGTCTGGGAGGTAGGGAGCTCCTCGTAGATGGCGTTGGTCAGCGCGACGGCAGATTGTATCGCCATAGTAGCACCTTGACCTCCGAATGGCAAGCACTTGTGGCAAGCTGTAAGGGAACAGAGAAGATAAAAAAAGGGAGTGGAGTCAGTAACGTGTCATTGGAGAGTGAGGCGTTTAATGTTGTTGGTTTTTGGTGGGTTGCCTTCCGTTGAGTAGGGTGGGAGGGTAAGAAACTAAGACGAGAAACTGGTTTTGTTGTTTTGTGCATGGTTGATGGTCAACAGCGAAGATGGTGAAGGGGGATGGTCTGGCTCTGTTGAGTGTGAACAGGTGCATGCATTTGTCCAATTGGCAAAAGGAAAATTCGGCTTTGGATCATTCGATTAGATGGAGCATTCGACGGGGGGAGGGGGATGAATGTCTCTCTCTTTCCCAACTGACGAAAAAGCAAAAGCAAAACTTGATTCGGGCTTTACACTTGACCGAGACAAGCTGTCTTTTTCTCTGGCCGACCTTGGGCATCTGTTTGATACTGGCAACTTACCGGTTCTCATATCACGCGTCATGATGGAGAGTGAAAAGCGCGAGTAACCTTTGGGTTGAGGAAAAGATGGGGTGAATGTTAAAAAGCAGGTTTTCAGTGCCACCCGGCGGTGAAATTGACATCATTGTGCCTTGTGCAGCGAGTCGAGTAAGCATCTCTACGACTTGTATAAAGACGATCGGAAGGAAGGAATGAAAAAAAAAACTTATGACCGAGGCGATCGCGAACAACTGCACAAAGGGAGCATGCGACCAAACAAAAACAGGTTTCAAAAGTACCAACCCCTGGGGTGGTTATTTGATAAGTGGCATGTTCATTCTTGCCAAGCTTGGTTAGTCCGCGGTGCTTTTATGAAATCCTGCTTGTCAGTTGTGGTGCTATGCATGTATGAAGGAAAACAAAGATGTCAGCAAAAGTGCGATGAACACAGGCTGCATTGTCTTTTTTTTGTTCCTTTGGCGGACAACTGGGTTTTCATTTCCTTCCCACACCTGGTTCTCTCAAACGTTGGAGATGGTTTTTTGTTCTTCATCTTGTCTAGGTCAAGGGCCAAGATACATCGCCGCCAACGCCCTCAAGCTGCAATAATGAATCGTTTGGCAACTGTTAAACGAACGTTGACATTCATTCATCGCTTGATCCCACCAGGAGAGCTGTTCCTAAATAATGGGATGATTTGACTTCCAGAGTCAGCGGTCTCAGTACGCACACGCCACCAAAAAAAACTTTAATCTGCTCTGACCTTATCTTTCATGCTGTCATTCTGCCATGGGAAATAGTTCTAATAAGAAAAGCGTTTGGTGGATTGGGAAGTGTGGTAGATAATAGGCCTACGTTGTCAAACACACATAAAAAAAAGGAGAATGCCAATTGTTCTCTGTATCCCTCCATCGACATCTGTTCAGCTTGCCCTCGTCCATTTTCACGGGTGAGGAAGTACTAAATTGGTAAGTATATATTTTTTTTTTATTGTCTACAAATGTGATGATGACTTTGAGGGGGTATCAATTGGCAAGTATAGAAGATCCATACTTGCGTTTACACAGCCATGGCAATGTTCGAACCCGAGATCATTCGCCTAGACGGCTTGTTCGTCCGAGGAACAAACGTGCCTCGGAACTTGACGAACGGGAGAAACGCGATTTGTTCCTTGTATCCATTGTAAGAATCCATGCCCTTCTTCATCGCCCATCTAGGCATCCAATTGAAACCAATATGCCTGAAGACATTTCCAAAGGTTCCTCGCATGTGCATCACAGATCCAGTCTGATGCGAACTTTTAACGGCCAGCTTGCCAGGCCCACTTCGTGCGTCATAGTACTGCTTGAAGACGCGGGCGATCTCAGGCTCGGTGACATTGTGTATGTCGAAAAGCAGGTTTGCTAGCGCCACAGCCGACTGCATGGCCATTGTTGCGCCTTGTCCGCCAAACGGCAGCATCTAAGTTATTATTGGAGCAGGAGATAAAGCAATGGTCAGGATGTGCCATGGTGTAGATTACGAGTTACATTACACAAAAGTCATTCGTCACATTGAAGACAAACTTCTCTTCTCACCTTGTGGCATGCTGTATGAACAAAAACAGGAAAGAAAAAGTACGTAAATGGAGAGGGATGAACCATTGAGGCATTGGTTAGTCAACAGGCAAAGGAAAAGCAAGATATGGCATGTTCATTCAACCTTGTAGCAGGTCACTTTACCATCTCCAATAAGGACGGTGCGTTTGTGGTACCAAGTGGTAAAGAACTAAGACATTGCATGAAAAATGAACCGGGTGTCAAAATAGAGTATCATAAAGAAATACAAGATGCAAGAAGGGCAATAGCGGCGTTTGGATGGGTGCATTTTTTCTACTTTGTATATCTCCCTTGTTGTACCTTGTCCTCGAGCATGACCTTGGAAATGACCTCCTTTGGGGTCTCGTCGAGGATATCTCCAAGAGTACCGCCATAGGGGCAAGGAAGATGTCTGACCCTGTCACACATGTTTTTAGCCGAATCGGGGTCCCACTCCGAAAACCTGAAGTTCCGCTCGACTGCAGTGCCGTTTTCTCTCACATCCTGGGTTACCATCCAGCCCAATGTGTCATTAGCCAACGCTAAAACGCAAGTGAATAAAAGAGTGAATAAGGGTGAGTAAAACGACAAACGAACAGTACGCTCCTGATCATTGCAGCCTTTTTGTTGCATCTATATTATATTCTTACGCATGAACCACCACTGTTATCGAATAAAAAAGGTAAGAGACGCGGATGTTAAGAATGGATGGTTAATGGTCAATGGCTAATGGTCACCATGTAACACTATAACTTTTCTGCCATTAGTCGTCCGGCTTACCGAGTACGGAATCTCTTTCCCCAGAACGATCTGAAACTCGCAGAACTCATCTTTGAGGACAGGGTACTTTTTGGGGTCTAGAGGCTTGGTCACACCGACGAGACAGTCATAGTCGTAGCCTAAAGGTTTCGCATCGGCCTTGGGCAAGAGTCCCAGGGCTGACATCTCCTTGTACATGTTCTGGCGCACGCTGCTATACGCCCCGTCTGCTCCGACCAGGATGGTGCCTCCGTATGTAGTGTTGTCGTGACAGTGAATAACGACCTCGTCATCCTCGTGCTTGGTTGACAGAACGCGCTTATTGTAAAAGATTTTGCGGGGCGGGATGCGGCTGAGAAGGACTCGGATCAAGTCATAGCGGGCGATGACCTGAGTGTAGTCTCCATAACTGATTGAGTAAACAAAAAAAAAAAAATGAGTTGGTCAGTGCTAGCCCTGTACAAACCAAAAAGAAAATTGAAATCAAGGTTGAAGGTAAAAATTGTTGTGGCGTACATTTCCTCGACGTTCAGACCTGGGGCACGAGCATTGAAGGTATTCCTGTGCTTGAGGTCCTCTTGTATGAGGTGCAGGGCACCAAACTTCTTTGAGACCGCCATGAGTTCGTCGTACATGCCAAGCTGCTCGAAGATATGGGATAAAGCGGACAAGGCAATTGCAGAGCCGAGTGGCTTGAGCTCTTTTGTCTTTTCGAAAATCTATCCATTGTGTTTTTGTTTTTTTTCAAAGACCAATTGGAGGAGAAAGAAAGAACAGGCGGAAGAATGAGAATCGACTGTGAACGCTTTGTTTCTTTTCTTACCTACGCATACATAATGGCGGTTAAACAGTGTTGGCATTGAGAAAGTGGAAGCAAGGTAATAAGAAACAAATAGATGCGAACCTGGTAACTGATACAGGCCTTCTCCAGCAAGTTTGCCAGCATCAAGCCAGCAGTGCCACAACCGACAATAAGAACGTGCAATTTGGAAACCATAGCTTAAGAACGTGGTTTATCGAGGTTGAAAAAGTAGACGACTGAGAGTGTGAATGAGGAACTGAATGAAACGAGAGAAAAGAGATAGTGATGGAATGGAATTGAAGTTAAGAGGGAAGTGGTGACTATGTGCAAAGGTAAGGTGTTGGGGTGGTCAATGGTGTGGTCAATGGTGTGGTGGCAAGAGGGAGGGCGCAAGGAGAGAAGAAGGGCAACGGAAAAAAGCAAAAATAGAAAAGAAAGAGGGGTGAATGGATTGAAACGCAGTAATGAAGATTGTGAAAAGATGCCAGAGTGTGGTTGTGTGTGTGCATGTATGTATATATGAGGGAGGAGAGAGAGGACGGGGTTGAGAAGGAAGGTATGCCTGTACAAGAGGATGCGATGAATGGGAGCGATTAGGAGTGAGCAAGCACAAAGGTGAGTGAGAAAGAGAGATACAAAGACAAAAGGTAAGTGGAGGGTTACACACAACAGCCCATGCTCATTTAAGTGCCAAGAAACACAAAGAAAAAGAGACGACGTTGTTCTCAATGGAATGGTGTGGAAGGGCATATCCTTTCATCCGTATCCATCTGTGATGGGCCCCAACTTAGTTGGTATGGCCTAATTGCCTTTCCCTTTGTTAATAGAAGGATTGACAGGACCCGTAGTCCAAACCTTGCTGTTTAATTCGTTTGTTTATTGGTATTTCGTACTTGTCATTTCCGTTGTTTGTTTATTTGTTATTCGTGAGACTGTTCATCTAGTTGTATTCATGCACGCGCTTACAACAACCAAGGGGAAGTGGGTAAAGCCCTCCTATTGCAACATAGAGCTGTGTCCTGTAAAAGCCGTTACAATGTAACTAACTGACTGTCCTGACCATGCGCACGCGATAAACGCGCTGCTTGGCTGCGAAAGGAAAGAAACGGTCCCGCTCCTTCTAAAGTTTACTGTTTCTCAAACAGTCGAACTGTAGTTGACCTAAAAAAATGACCTCGCCCATCACTGATTGGTCTTCTAAACTCTAAACGTTCCATCAACAAAGGAGACGCCGAAACAAATGGAGGAAAATCCTTCTTTGTTGTTGCCGTTCTTTCTGTCGCTATGGCCACCAGCTGTTCTGCTTATGAAGAGAGAGGACTAGCAATGAGGGATGGAAGAAACAGTCGGGTAGTTCTATCCCCTGAAATCGAGACGATTGAAGAAGAGAAAGATGAGTATTCTAGTTGTTGCTGTTTGCATGATACAGGGCACTCTTACGAAAAGAGTATAGCTTTTTAGTTTTGAAATAGTCCGTGGAGGATACTTTGTCGTTGTTCGGATTTAGTAGTGAAGATGTGTTGTGTCCCTACTCAAAGGAATTGCTTCACGCGTTGGTATGTGCAAGGTTGAGTCTACGAAAGGAATTTAAATTCAGATATAACACTAAACGAGCCGAACAGTCGTTCTCCTTTCCACTGGCCATCATCGGATTGTTGTTGTGCCTGACATCTCTCATAGCCTCCACCATCCGTAATTGCAACGCAAGCGCAGCGCAAGAACGACAGCGCATCTCTGCATAACCAAGCTCTCGTCTACCATTCTACGTCCCTCCAACCCTCATCATTCCTACTCCTGCTTCTCAGTCTGTTAGTTAACTTCAACATACAGTCGTTACTATCGATGAAGCACCAGCACCAGCAGCATACCAGTCGTGTCAGCCCTAAACACACATGCGCCTGTCTCACCTTCGACGCCAGCAACGACATATCCACCAATGGCTCAGATTACTACTACAAATTACTCGGCATCACCACCAGCCAACACTACTTCTGTACCCCTGAGGTAGAGGTATCTCAGCGCATCCCACGGTTCTTGGCCGTTGTATTATGTTGTCACGATCTCGCGTCATATTCCTCTCCCAAACTACGCCGATGAATAAAATAGACAAACGTGAATGCTTGCATATTACACATAATCGAATCGGCTTGTGTTTTTTTTTGTTGTGTATTTGATGTCGCGGTCTTGAAAATGAAAAAAAAAACAATGTCAACAAGTTCCTTTCCTTGATCGTGTCCACTACTTTTCCAATACGTTGCCCCTCCTCCCTTGTCTATACCAGATACACTCGAGTTTGAACTGGAACTCGGTCTCGATCCTCCGTCTCCACCACCATGCTGCTACTGTTGATGCTGCTGCTGTTCCCTCTCCCTCTGTGACTGAGGCATTTGCAACTGTAGTAATCGTCCCAACTCGCCCTGATCTTCCTGGAGACACGTCTCAATGGGCAACACAAACGTCCGCTGCAGATGTCGGATCTGAGAGTTGGTGGAATGAATCTTTTGTTGGACCTGGTCGATGCTCCGTTGGACATTCCTCAGTAGATCCCGTCGCTCAGTCAAAGTCGACTTCAAGCTACATCGACGACACATCTGTAACGGCGCTGCTGCAGCTGCAGGGGACGATGTGGAAAGTATCGATGGTGGTGGCGGGGGAGGAGAAAGAAGAGGCTGAGTTGAGGGTATAGGCTGCAGCTGTCGGTATGAAAAATATGACTTTGAGGGCGAGGATAAGGAAGAGCTAGACCCAGAGGCGGAGAAGGTGACATGTAACGAAGATGTCGATCGGGATCTTGTGGGACCGCTCGGAACAAATGGGTCAGATGAAGAAGGGCTGCATGGTGAAAAAGGAAAGAGATTTTGGTTATGGGGAGTGGAGAGCGCGCTTGTCGATGACCTGCGTGGAAAGGCTGTAGTCGGGGTAACATTCGATGTTGTAGTGGTGATCGAGGTAGTAGCAATAGGGGTTGGGGTTGAGGAAGAAGTGGGAGCGTTCTCTCTGGTAGATGCCACGTTGAACAGGCAGCAGGGAGTGTCATATCCTTGATGACAATCCTGGTCGTTTTCATAAGAGGATGGAGGCGAGGGCCAGTAAAAAAACGAGGGTGGGGATCTCCTTGTGGCGGCGTGTCCTAGAGTGGAGTCACTACCACCGCTTCGACCAAATATCGGATTCGCGGACGAGAAGAACGTCGACAGTGGTGACACAGGGGTAGAAGGACCTTGTCGGATAGCGCTTTCCAGAACTTCAATCTCATTCTCGAGGGCCTCTCGTCGCTTCTGCTGGCAGGACTGGAGGGTCACATACCCAGTCAGGTCTGTCTCGTGCTTGTGGATCATGTCGGTGTACTGAACAAGCTGACTCTGACCTTGCGTAATCCGCTTCTGAATCCGTTCGAGTGTTGCTGCTGCTACGGCCGAGGGTGGGTCGGGGCTGGTGGGCGAAGGGTAGCAGGAGCTTGAATCGGGGCCATTGCTGCTTTCGCTTTCGTGGGTACTTTTGCTGCCGTTGTTGCTGTCCAGGTCACTGCTATTACCGCCACTCCTTGAAATCAAAAGCGGGTTGAAACCTCCTGATACAGAGACTAAGGATTGTTGGGATCGAGTCTGGGACATATCCTGGTGGTGGCGCCGGCGACCAGAAGTATTCGACGTGGAAGGTCCAGGATCAGAACTTGGAGGGAGCGAGACGTTGACGGTGGTAGATGCAGAAACAGGCTTGACACTCAAACTAGTCCGGCAAGGGCCACCTCTGCTCAAAATTTCTCCTTGTGCCACGAGCGAACGCATCGATGATGAGGACGAGGATTTGGAGATGGTGCTTTGTGTCGGAGTCGAGTTGTCTCCTTCACTATCGTCAGAGTTGACCATTCTGCTAACGGCTCCTGAAGACGATGGCGGAGAAGGAGTAGGAGACGTCGTAGAAGATGAAGTTGAAGGAGAGTGAAGAGGAAGGGGTGGAGTTGAAGCAGGACGGACGACCGAGAAAAGCCGCTGAGGGTTCCAAAATGTGGCAAAAGTGAATCGTGTTGAGACTGGGGCTGGGCTCACAATAGTCGGAGGAAGGAGGGGAAGAGGAGTTGTTGCTATCACTTGTTGCTGTTGTTGGTGTTGTAGGAGCTGCAACTGAACAGGAGAAAGGGTTTCCGTAAGGCTGTTTCGAGCACCAACACAAGGGGTGTCGTTGCTGCTCACGCGTCGAACTGAGCGATGGGTAGTAACATGTTGGTGATGACGATTGGGAAATGTAGCGAAGTGACGGAGATGAGTGATCGAAGAAGGAGAGGTATCGGGGGTAATGGGAGCATTGGTGGTGTCGGTGTCGGGGTTAGTTTGGTATGGTGCTGCTGCATAGGTGTTTTGTGGGTGAGGGTGGTAGCGGTGGTTGCGCTGGTGCTGACGGTGGGAGGAGTTTGGCGGAGATTCTGATACATCCATGGGTTAAATGCAACGAAGGGCAGGTGTGGCGTGGAGAACGAAAAAGAAATGAACGAGGCGAAGAGATGAAAAAAGGTGATGGAGTCAGGATTGAAAAGGCAAAGAAAAGGAAGAGGGAGGGATGAGAAGGAAGGAAAAGTGAGAGTGGGGATAGGATGAGAATGATAAGAAGGCGAAATAGCGAGGAAGGAATGAAAAGAAAAACACGGCAACAGTTTGACGTCCTTCTCGAGTTCAAAATGAGGGAAAGAGACGCGAAGGAGAAGGAACGCAGAGGGTTGACAACATCTGACCGTGCGGGAGGCATGGAAAAGAGGAAGAAGCAAAAGCCTTTGATCAGACAAAGGCAGACATTACATTTTGTTGACTGATGGTTAGAAAGAAAAGGTATGAAGGTGAAAAAGAGCAAGAAGAGGGGTGGTGAACACGTCCAGTCAAAAGATATCCACATGGACATGTGTCTTCAGCCAGTGCGAATAACTTACAAGGTCATTCTGTTGAAGAAGCCATATCCACACATTGGCATATAAGTCGAGTATTGTCACTGCCAAAACCAACTGAAAAGTGTGTAACCATAAAGACAAATAAAAACACTCGTTTCTTATTCTGTGATCATAGAAGGTGGAGTGGTATTCGGAACTGTGGTCTGTGTCATCTGCGACCAAAGTGTAGACACCATTCCCATTATCCTCTCACTCGAAGTTGCAGCCTTTGCAACTTTCGCAGCCGTTTTTTCTTGCTCCTTTTTCGCTTGGGCCTCCTTGCGTCTCCTCGCCTGGTCTCGCTCGAATTCTCTAGGACCATAGAAGCCAGGGGATCCCTCGCGATCAGATTCGAATCGGACGCTGTTGATGAGTTCCTCGACTGTGAGTCCATTGATCAACACCGGTGGTCCACAAGCCTGTGCATCAGTCGAAGGTTCAGCGATAAGCGCCGAGGCAAGGTTGGAGTCGTCTGTTGATTCGGTGCTGGCTGAATTACTGATCGAATTGTCGTCGAGAGAACAAGGCGCGGTTTCATCTCCTACTTCGCCACCTTCCTCGTCTGCTGGTGACACAATTGGTGGCGTCGAAGTTCTTTCAGGCATGTAAAATGGTAGAATTGAATGGATCGATGTGTTGGAGCCAAAGGGCGAGTCGTCCATATCCTCCAAGGGCAACCAATCGATACAATTCAGAACAACATCCAACGATCTCATCCGGGCTGGTCGGAGCCAAGACGACATGATGTCCTGAGGGTTGGCATATACGTGCTGACCTATAAGTTGTCCTGATATCACAGTGGGTCTCTTTGTCATCCGTAGTCGGTGCTCGGTACTGCAAATCATTGAGTTTGACTCTACATCCATGAAAATGAGATGTTATATTTATTGATGAGGATACTGAAAATGAACTATTGGGTGCTCAAGCGTGTTTGTCTGTTCACATACCGGCTCTAGGTCCAATCGAGGCTTTATCTGACAAATGATCTAAAAATTCGCCCATCCCTCGCTCAGGATTCGCATCTCGTCCCTGCACTCGCTCCTTTGTTGTGACAACAGCAAACCGCTTAGTTTCAACTGTTCGGGTGTTGTGAGGGCGTACATCCATGTACTGCTCCGATCCTCGCTCCTCACTCTCACTCGGACCACTGTGGATGCTACCAGTAACAGATGATCGACCGAACGTGTTGTTGAATTCCTGCTTGTTGATAATGCGAGGAGACTTGCCACGGCTCTCGGGACGAATGATCAGCGTAACAGCTGCCGGGGCCGGTCCACCTGGTACTCCATCCAGATTATCCGCCGTTGTCATAACATGAGTGGTGGTGTAGCTTCTGGCAGAGGTGTTGTTTGTCCTAGCCGAATTGGCACTGAGTCGTTTGGTCGGGACAATCTCACTGTTGCATTCGCGAGCAATATGGCCTTTGGGAAGACCGTTTACAAAGTCAGCACTGTATTTGATCCGACGCGCAGTCCCGCGAGAGGTTCCACGAGAGGTAGTGTTTGAGAGTCGCTTTGACTCTACGGTAGTGGAGGTGGTTCGACTAGGAGGCGAGTCAGAGATGGAGAGGATAGGGATAGAAGGGGCACCCTTGGGCTGGATCGAAAGGGGTTGAGGCTGAGATGTTGCTGAGGTGGGTTCCTGCAAGGTCGTTGGTGCAGGACCCCTTGGTGTTGTAGCGATATCGTCATGATATTGCTGAAGAAGGATCGCTTCTGCTTGGTCAAATTCCCGCTCCTCGGCTAGCCTTTGTGCATGTGCTCTTGCCTCCACACGAAGCTTGTCCTTGAGACTGATGCGATAAGGGTGTTTCTCCAGGTCAGGAATGACGTTGTCCATTATGAATTGGTCGACATCCAAGTTGAACTGTCGGTCCTTTGGCGAGACATTGGTGGAAGCATCGGGTTGGGTGTTGCTTCGATTGGTGCCTTTGCCCTTGAAAGAGGGAGTCTTCTTCTTGGAGGTGCACGATTCGACTCCCGAGTCTGACTGCTTGTTGAAGATGGATCGACTAGCCAAGCTGTTGACGCTGAAGCGTTTCTTGGGGTCGTCCTGCGAAATCGGATTAGGTTCTGCGTCTAGATGGGGCAACGGAGGGAGAGATCGCTCCAAATATGGCGCACGATACTGAGGCGCTTGAGGAGATCCCTGTCCATGTCCATATCCATGGTCCTGCTCACGATGCTGGTAGTTCTGGTGACTACTGGGTTGTTGGCGAGATGGAGTAGTCTGGATGCAAACACCAGCCGAGTCCTGCGGCTGCTCTTTCTCCCTATCGCCAATATCCACCTTGCCAGCATAATCCTCCTGCTTGTTTCCACCATCACAGGTTGATCGAAGAGTGCCAAAGTCACAAATAGGTGTCTTGCGGTTCACCTTCGGCTTATCGCTGTCGTCTGATGAGTTCCTGATACTGAAAGGGGTGTCGTTGTCATCAGGCGCTGCTTCCTGACGAAGATCTGCTCCATAGCTTCGATCCTGGGCAGGGTGGGCAGTTGAAAGAGGAGGGGACGAACGCGCGACGCAGTGGTACGTCTGGCACGGGGTTTCATTACCATATACTACCTGGGATGCTGCAGCAGCACTAGCTCTAGTGGATTGAGACTTCTTAATGTGACCATTTTGGCTGGACTTGTCAGAAGAACTACCCTCAGAAGGTTGAAGGGTAGCTGGCGCGGGCCCACCAACGCCTGCGCCTCTGTCGACCAGTTGGGGTTGGCGAAAGTAGAGGCGACGAGCAGCTTGGACATCGGTCTGTTCGGGTTGAGTGACAGCATTGAAGACTGTGGCAGAGCGTGTTCTTGTTCTGCTGTGATTGTGGGCGATTTCTGACAGGGGTCTGGGTCTGGGCCGCAAAGGAGTGGACGACTGTTGATTTGATTGTGAAAGAAAATGAACGACACGTTGTTAATTGAATGTTCGAGGGGAATTGGGTCAACGGTCATCTCTTCTTAGTCTTGACTCTTTTCGTATGTATGGTGGATGGGTGAAACGATGGACTGTACCTGTGCTGAATTGGAGGTAGAGGCATGTAGGCGCTGTTGGACCTCGATGATATCTCGGGTGGGCCGCGGACCATAGGGCTCAATTGCACCCTCATGAGCGATGACGGAGAGCCGATTTGAGTTGCTACTGCGACGATGGGGATCTGCTGCTGAGTTCAAAGTGGAATTAACAGCACTGGTCCTCGTATTCTCCGAGAGATGGTCCTTGTCCTTTTTGGATTTTGACTTGATCCCAAAGAACGACTTGATTGCTCTCTTCATATCGGTGAATGGGAGTGGTAGGGTTGATGGTACTGAGTGTTTTGTTGTGCTGCTGTGTCGTTGATGTGTTGTTGTTGTTTGAGTAGGCAAGATTGTAGAGAAAGCTGGAGTAGAAATAGTTTCAAGAGTGAAGAAAACGATCAAAAAGAGGAGGGGGTTATGACGGTTCCCTTCTAGATAGAGACATTATATATAGTCGTTTTTGTGTCGCCAATGCTTTTCTTTGTCGCCATTGTCGGTCCATTCGGTCGTTTTGTGGACTCATTGACGGTGGTATTGGCCTTTTTTTATGTTCTTGCAAGGGATAACCACGGCTTTGTATAAATGGTGTGGAAACTATCTAACAATAAGCAGAAAGGAACGAGTGAGAGGGAAGACTGAATGACCGAGGCCTCTTGTCGAGATGTGCCCCGGATGAGGGTCAACGACCCCTTTCTTGACCTCTCCCTCTCAATCGGAGGATGTTCTTTGATGCGGTATGTTGTACCGTGGCTTCATTTCATCCCACCCCCCACAAAGCTCTTTTTGAATTCGACTAATGCAGCGTATGAAATAGTTTAATAATAGATGCTTTTTTTTTTGTATGGGATATGAAGTGGCTCTATGATACAAAAGGAAGGAAAGTCGAAGCAGAGTCCTGCTGCCTTCACACTTTTCCGGGTAGAAGGGGTTTGTTTCCAGTAGTATCCTGTATATTGTTGTCGGGTGATGGTACATGGCAAAGGTCGACTCTCTCTTTATGGGAAGGTCAACAGAAGGATCTTGATACTCAGGTCCCATTCGTGCAACCACTGGGTCTCGCTGGCAAAGTTGTTGAGACCCTTCTTAACCTCCTCCAAGATCTGGTTCAAGTTGCCGTGGAGGACAGCGCCATAGGAGGCAAGCTTAGGCTGGGCGGTGAGGGCGGTCTGGAGGGCGGGTCCGATAAAGTTGGCATAGACATCCGAGTCATCGCCGTCGACTCTGGCCTGGAGCTGGAGAGTGAGCTTCTTGACAATGCGGGTCTTGATCATGGGCATAAAGTGGCAAATCGAGGGAGGGTTTCCGCAGATGTAGTCCATGTTGTGGCAGTCGGGCATGGTCCAGTTGACGCCGCGTGGGGGCTGGATGACACGGTGGGGGTGGTTGCAGTCGCCCTTGAACTTGGGCTCGTCCTTGAAGATGGTGTCAAAGATGGTGGGGAAGATAGTCTTTGACCATGCAGCCTCGGCCTGGTCGATCGAGTCCTTGATCGTCTTGATAGTGGCGGTGACCTCTGCGGCGGAGAGTGCCTGGTCAGGGACTCCGTAGAACAGCGACTTTTCGACTCTGTCGCCCAAGAAGGCGAAATAGGTTTTGGAGATGAGGTCGTACTTGTCGGCGAAGGCGTGCGAGACGTTGACTTGGCATTCACGCTCGCAGGCGAGGACGGAAGGGGCGAAGAGGGCCATGGAGATGGCGCCAAAGATGGCGGCGGTTGAGAATCTCATTGTGTGCGACTAATATTAGTGAGATGAGGAGCAGTAGGGGTTAGCGGCCGTTACTTTTTGCCGTTGTCGTTGGGTGTCCTGTTGTTGCTGTTCTATTGCTTGTGTTGATGAGAGTGGTTTAACGGTAGTCCTGACTTACAGAGATAGGAGGGGAGGATGAGAAAAGGAGGATGAGAAAGGGATGATGGATGGGCGGGGATGATGAGAAAAAATAAATAAAACACCTCTTTAATAATTATTATTAGTGCGGGCGTCACGCCCGCAAAGAGAGAAAAGGGACTGTGGTCGAAAAGAGGCTTGGGTGCGCCCAAAAATAGAACAAAAGTGTTGTGTTGGACATCTTGACCATTTCACCGCCCACTCTCTACCGTAGCCCTCTCTCGCCCACTCCCGCCTCACTGTTCTCTAGCCCTAGCCCATTGCAATGAACCATTAGCTATATGTAGTCCGCTTTTAGGTCAGTTGGCAATTGGCACTGCAAAAGATACGAAGAGCAACTAGCCATCGCCACTCGTCATGCACTGCCCTGCCTCCCCTGGATCTTCATCCATCCACCCTCATCCTACTTGTCTTCCTTCCTACAAACCTTCCTGCCAACCTACCTAACACCCCTCCCTACACAAATTCCTCTTGCTACTACTTACTACCTTGCCCCTTTTTCGCACAACTTCACATCGGTTCAAGCACGGCGGTCGTTGTTGGTCTTTTTGTTTTGTTGTTATTTTATTGATGTTATGATATTCCTGCTAGATACACATGCAATTGTGAATGGATCGTTCTTCAATGCAAAAGAGGTGAGATAAAAAAGAGCTTCATTCTTCGTTCTTTCGTTCTTTAACCCAAGAGAGGGGCAGACTCGCCGGACTGGCGACCGACAAGGCCGAGGACGACGGGCTTCAGGGTGTAGATGACGACGGTGATACCGAGACCAAGGGCGGTCCAGTGAATGGCAGGTTCGTCCTGGTGGGCAAAGACACCGAACAGGTACCAGGCCAAGACCAAGGCACCAGCTAATAAGATATATTAAAAATAACATGGATTTGATGCACGTTAGAAACATGGGTGATAGGTCGGGGTGTAAGACAAATGATGGCGTAGGCTACATGTAAAATAGCACGCAGTACATCATCTACAACTTCAAATCAGATAAAGGGCACAAGGAAGAAAAATAGAAGAGAACGTACCAACATCACCCTTCTTGTACTCGATGTAGCCAACAACAGTCGAAGCAACAAAGCCAAGACCGGCAATGGCAAGGATGGTCTGGAAGGTCGAGGGACCCTGGGGACCCTCGGGGTCGTCGTTGATGGGCGAGAAGACGGCAAAGGCGTTGATGACCAAGAGGACAACGATCCACGAGTGGTAGAGCGAGAAGGGAAGGTCAAGGAACAAGGTATCGAGCCAGGAGTCGTCCGAGCGGTCTTCACGAAGTCTGGCGTAGATGTACGAGACAGCACCGGTAGTGAAGATCAAGGTGACGAAGGCGAGGAAGGTGTGACCAGAAGACTATTCGCAGTTCACAGTGTGAAACAAAAAAAATGAGTGAAAGGTTAGCATTGTGCATATACATCTCATAGTTGCGGATGCATTGACCAAGCAGGCAAGGCGCCCCCTTGAGAAAAAAAAAGCAGCGTAGTCGGGGAGGGGTCGAGATGTGATGTAGGTAATCAAAAAAGATGCGTTCCCTCTCCCGTCGCCGTTGTACACCGCGGAGTGTGCTCCCCTTTCATTGCTCTAGACCGACCACAGTGGAACGAGATTCCAGAGCATTGGGGAGAGTATGCGTCCTTTTTTTCGACGGTTGGTTGTTCTCACGCTCTCCCTCATACCTCTCCTTCCCTCCTCCCCTTTTTCTCCCCCTCTTCCTCTTCCCCACGTTGACACACAAACACACCGTATAAACAGCACATATAGACGCCTCCATTGTAGAATGCCATTGCTTTTTTCTCGCGTCGCAAGTATTCAAGTGTCCTAAGGTGAACAGCAAACAGGAACGCCAATAAAAAAGAGAAGAAAAAACTTACCCAGAGAGCAAGCCAGATGGCATTAAAGATAGAGACGATGACAAAGTGCCAGCCGACGGTCCGGTGGACCTTGTCATTGAACCACTGGTAGATGACCAAACCACCAAAGAGGAAGTGAACCAAGCTCCAGAGGTAGAAGGTGAACTGGGCGGGGGTGATGTAGGACTTATGCCTGGAGTCATAAGGAGAGTCTTGGTTCCTATCACCGCCAAAGGTGGAGTACAGGTTTCCGGACAACAGGGTCACGTAGACAAGGACGTTGGAGACCTTGGAGGGCCAGTGGTGGAAGCTGATAGCCATGATTGACGACTTGACAGTAAGGATGGGGGTAGGGAAGGAGGGTTGGGGGGAGAAGGGTGGTGAGGAAACGAGAAGAGAAAGAAAGAAAAGAAGAGGAAAAGAGAAAAGAGCGAAAAAAAAAAAAAGGGAGAGGCCAGGGCAGGCGGCCTATTGGCGGGAGATGATGGGGAGAACGCGTATTGGATTGGAAGCAAAGTTGGAAACTGTCTTTCTTGGCTTTACTCGCTTTGCTTGCCCAATCATGCATCTCCAGAAATCAAACAAACAACAACAACACTCTGTCTCTCGTCCTTTCCTCCTCATCCATGCCCTATTCCTCATGTTGGTCTCCGTGAAGAAAGGGAGGGGAGTATGGTTGTCTATTTTACTAGCTATTGTGCACGCGGACTCGACCTTTCTCTGTTCTCTCAACATTGATTCTAAACCAACCACAGAAAGGGATGCAATGACGTGCAATCTGAGCTATCCTCAGCTGGGATGGCGGAAGAATTGAAGGAAGAGTATATAAAATATACGTGGGGTTTTCTTTGTTCCCTCTCACTACCTCCTCAACTCTCCCATATTGTTTTTTTCTCACTCTCTTTCTGTCTTGCGACAGTACAAGAGAATAAACAAAACGCAATCGATGTATACCGGATGGTAAGCAAACAGCCTGGGATTGCACAATGCACAATGGACAATAGGCTTGGTGTCGGTTCTGGCCCGCTTCTACTACTCTTGGAGTCAGCTGGCAGTCTTTGTTAAACGAGGTCATAAACATGGTTTAACTCTGCTTTCCACCATCATTTCCTTAGCTGGGCGGGAAGAGCGCCAGTCTTTTCTCACGGTGCAGTACACCTTTAAGCATACGAAACTCCTTTAAATATACTTCCCGCCCTTCCTTCACCTCCTCCTTTCGAGCAACGCTGAACAAGAAGTAGACCCGGTGGGGGACCCTGACTGAGCAGCCAGCCTGGCCTGCGCCACCAACATTTTCGGGAGCAACCCTCTTCTGCAAAGCTAATCACCAGACTTGGTCGCATTCTTGCATATGCCCCTGAGTGTTCATGTAGTGAAACCGAAGGAGGACAAGGAAGGACTCTTCTCACCTTTCCCACTGTTTTAGTTTCTTTTGCGCCCATTCCACTTTCATCTCATTCATTCTTCTCACTCCATGAGCTCATTCGCTTCCTCTATTTCAAAAGTCTTCTATGGGACCTTTATCCACTCCGTGTCTATCAAGGAAATCGAGTATGTTCCTAATGGCCTCCTCTTCGTCGATGCTCACGGAAGAATTGCAAAAATCGTCAGGAATGTGCCGAAGGACCAGTTTCGAGGCGCCCTTGATGGCGTAGAGGAATACAAGGTACAGTCATCTTCTTTCAGCTTTCTAACGCCGCGCAAGGCACCTGTTGAGCACCGTCGTTCGCGAAGATAAAGGTTAGGGATTGTTGGAGGTTTCCGTCTTGCATTGTCACCGCTTCAGCAGCCAACCAGGCTTACCTTCTTTTTGTCTCTAGGTGGTTCTTTTGAACGACGACCAGTTTGTTATCCCCGGGTTCGTTGATTCGCACATTGTAGGGATCTTATTGTCAAGGAACGATTGTATCAGAGACATGTCAATGCTGCTGTCGACAGAGTGTCTGATCACTTTTTTTTGTATAAAATAATCATGCTGATAGCACGCCCCGCAATTCGCCTACTGCGGGAACGGACACGATATTCCCCTCCTCGAATGGCTCGATACCTTGACATTCCCACACGAGGCCAAGTTCAAGGATGCCAGCTATGCTCGCCGCGTCTACACAAAAGCAGTGGCTCGTTCCCTCCGCAATGGAACAACATCCGCCTGCTGGTTCGCGACTATCCATCTCGATGCGACCAAAGAGCTCGTCAAAGTGATCGAGGAACAGGGTCAGCGAGCGTACGTGGGCAAAGTCAACATGAACCAAAACTCACCCGACTTCTTGAAGGAAACCACACAATCTTCCGTCGCCGACACAAGGGCTTTTATTGAGTACGTCAACGCCATCAACGACGCCCAGGGTTTCGATACCAAGCCTCTGGTGACCCCAATCATCACACCCCGTTTCGCCATCTCGTGCACGTCAGACCTTTTGACAGAGCTTGGAAAGCTGGCCGCCGAGTTTGATATTCCTGTCCAGTCTCATCTCTGCGAGAACTTGAAGGAGATCGAATTCACCAAGTCTTTATTCCCCAACTCGACCGACTATACCTCTGTCTACGCGGATCATGGACTACTCACTCACCGGTCGATTATGGCGCATTGTGTGCACATGAAGGATGAGGAACTGCAATTGATGAAGGACAAGGGGGCGGGCGTCTCGCATTGTGCCAGCTCCAACTTCAATATTAAGTCAGGATTGGCGAACGTCCGTAAGATGGTGGACATGGATCTCAAGGTTGGATTGGGAACGGACGTGGCTGGGGGGTTCTCGTCTTCCATCTTGGATGCCTTCCGGACGGCAAGAACCTGTTCAATCGCAAGGAGCCCTGCCGACTCACTTTTGGTCCCTGAGCTCTTCTATCTCGCAACCGTAGGAGGAGCACGCGTTATGGAACTGGAGGACACGATTGGCAATTTTGTGGTTGGGAAGGAGTTTGACGCGATCTTGGTCAACACCGCAGCAAAGTACTCGCCGCTGGATGTTTTTGAGCACGACACGATCTGCACCAAGTTTGAGAAGTATCTCTTTGTTGGGGACGACCGCAACAACGAGAAGGTGTATGTCCAGGGCAAGGAGGTCCGCCTTCCCGATGTTTGAGATGAGAAATTAAAATAATAGCTGCGATATAAATTCATCCCGTGACGTTTCAATTCGCAAAAAAGAATGGCAAATGGTTGGGCGCTCGTGCTGGCTGACCATCACGAGCGCCTAACCATTTACCATTCTCTCCACTCTCTCTCTGTATACTTCAGTCTCACTCGCCCTTCGATCAGTCTCCTCTCTTCAAGGATCCTTCTTTTTATCAACCCCTCACCCATCCCTCTCGTCACATCTACACTCACCACGAACGATTGCCTTACAGGTAGGCAAATATTTTTTATTTTTTATACAGAGCAAACAGGAGTAGTCGATGGTTCAGAACAAAACTGGGGAGGAGAGGGGGCAGAACAAAAGGGTGTGCGCAGGTTTGGTTGTGATACGATACTAAAGAGGGTGCCAGGAGTACAATGGTAATAATGGCTTAGGAGCGTTGATTTGGACAAACCTTGCATTTTTGAGGTAGAGGGAACCCTTATGCTCTGTTTCGCCTGGAAAGGGGAGGGACGCGACCACAAAGTACCGATGGTTTGTTCGTCTCAGGTACACCGTTTCTTAACAATTAAACTATTTCTTAAAATGCTTAGCTTTCGATCGATCTACACAACTGACGGACCATGGCTGAGACAACAAGTGTCAACGGAACTCACACAGTAGCAGAGGGGGACAAGAAGCGAAAATCACACCCTTCGCCTCTCCCCGAAGGACCAGGATCAATTGCCCTCACAACAGAGCCCAAGCGGCCAAAGACTGGAGATGCCACGGAAACCGGCAGTAGCTTGCCACAAAAGAACACAGAGGTTACTCAAGTGGAATTCAACGACACCCTCGCCAGCATCTTGCGCGTTGCCCAGAGCTTGGACAAGCACAACGTTTTGACGGCCGTCGTCCCAGCGAACATCAATGGAGAGTCTGCCGAAATCTCTGTCGCCACCATTCGATCCAAACTTGGAGATGCACAATACACCAACGTTTTCGCGTTCAAGGTAAAGCGTTGAACGAGACTATTCAGGGTAGCTATTGAGGATGCACACAACAAGCGGACTAAAACCAACAACTCTCATATGTCTCTGACAATAGGATGACTTTACCAAGATCTGCCAGCACGCGATTACCACCAACGCCCAATCACCAGAAAAAAAGGAGCACGCCCAGAAGCTCCTTCAACTCGTCTCAGCTCTTGTCAGTGACAAATCTCATTACACCATTCGTTCGCATGGCAAGAAGGTCCGGTCACGGGAGGAAAGTCAGGCAGTAGCACCAGAGCGGAGTGGGAAGGTTGCGCTTTTCCAGAGAGGTCCTGAGGGCTTTGTGTTTTCGAGCAAGGCTGGCGTCAAGGAAGACAGTCTGGAGCCAGATGTGGCCAAGTCTGTCATTGTCCCCACAGCATCAGCCACCAACCCACCAACACTGCACGATATCAACACCAAACCACGGCCTATGCCACGTCTTACAGATCAGGAAAAAAAGAAGACTTCTGGAGGTAAGGTGATTCAGCGCGCGGATTGACTAGGACGCTGGGGGTGCATTTACTTTTTTTTGTAAGCATTGTGAAAGCTGTAAATTTTAACCGTCGACATACTTCTCTGATACATAGTCGAGTATTGCAAGTACACGCCATTCACATCATTTGCACCATTCATCGATTCATCCAATGCCGAGCTGAATGCAGAGGACACGGCTACAGCATATACTGCACTCCAAGCAAAATATGCCAACAGGTTGTCCAAGACAGCCAAGGAGACGGAGGAACAACGGACGGCAAAGACACAGCTCACCAGCATTTTGGATATCGCCAAGCAATACCAAGATCAGGAAAAGGTCGCAGACCTGAAGGAGGCAGACTTGACCTTCCTTTCAAACGATGGACTGGATGTCAAGGGTTTGCTGCAGATCGCCAAGGCTTCCAAAGCAGACCAAGAAGATTTGTCGCCTGTGGAAGCAATTCAGCGGAATGCAACCTTTCTCTACGAGCTTTACAAGCTGCAGGAGGATAGATTCGGATCCAAGGACCAAACGGTTGGAGCTCGCGAGATTGAGATTGGTAAGTCAGCGTTCTCTAGATCTGATTGATGGCGTGAAGTTGGTAGTAGTTTCACTGGGACTGATCATTTCCACCTTTTTTTCTCTATTTCTCACTGTAGCGGCAACATTGCGCAACTCGTTGTTGAATATGGCAAATCAAATTGCACCTTCTAGTCTTGTTACACCGGAAGCGATCGGAGATGCTATGAGGCGAATCCCTTACAAGGACCCATCATTTGTCGGAGCCCTGCCAGCAACAAAGCCATTCGCCTTCCCGTCCAACTCGACTCGCAATGGACTTCCCCCAACCGCTACAGGATATCCTGTTCATAATCCCGTAGGCCACAAGCGGCCATTGCCACCTACCACTATTATACCTTCCGTTAGCGTCTCGCCTCATGTTAACATGACAGGAGGTTACCCCAATGTCCCCCAGCCAACGCATCACGCATATTCTGTTCCTCAACAGCCAACACATCAAAAGACGTACTCACGACCGCGCTCGACGACCACCACGACCATCACATCATCCACATCCGCGCCGGCAGCGCCACTGCAGGTCAGTGCCAATGGCGACGTTACCTTCAAGAAGAACTTTCACACTCTCGTCACCGTATCAGGAGGAACACCCTCTCACTGGAGGCGAAACGACTCACAAATTCCGTGCGCCAACTGCGGCACTCTTGTCTCGCGTAAGTTTCTTTTTTCGATATCTGATGTTGTGTTCGCAACTGATGTTTGGTTGATCGACTGTGCATTCTTATCAACGTGTCACTTCTCTTTTATTGTGATGTGTAGCTATCTGGCGGTTGGGCGTGCGCAACGAAAAGCTGTGCAATGCATGCGGACAGTACAACAAGAAGTGGAATGGGCAGCACCGCCCTGTCACCTTGTTTCCGAACACTGTAACCCCCACCTTTAGAAAGTAGATAGTTTCTCATGATCCCTCAGGAGGAGCAACCAATAATTGGCATTTTTCATGCCTCTCGCTTTTTGTCTTTTTTTTCTTTTGTCTTGGGTTAGCATAATGGCACGTGATTAAATTAAGGGTGAGCAACGACTATTTGTTCCTCATAAAAGTTTTTGATGTTGAGGAGATTAGGATCCTTCTCTCTCTCAATTCCATCAGACTTGGTATGCACCACTACCTGCGGATCTAGGACTATTTCCAGCGTTTACTCAGGACCTTCCTTGGCACTGCTGTCAACAAAGAACGGAAAAGGATCAACTCACTCGGGAATGATCAAGGATCAACCTTTATTAACTCATGGACCTACCCATCATCCCTTCTCGACATTCACCCACAATAGAAATATTCAGCAATGGCCCCTATCAACAAGAAGAAGGTTAAGTCCGGTGAGGGTATCAACTCTCGTTTGGCTCTTGTCATGAAGTCCGGCAAGTACCAGCTCGGTTACAAGTCCACCCTCAAGACTCTCCGTCTTGGAAAGTGTAAGTGGCTCCTCTCTTCATACGTCTCAATGGTAGTTTTGACTTATTTTTTGCGGTGTTCACCTTTTTTTTTCTACAATTGGCTTGTACCGAGGGATACAATTCTTTCTATGGCGACACTACCAGGACGGCGGCGACATTATCAGGACGTTCACAGGCACGCGACGACAAGGGATGATGTTTTGATCGGGATTCTCATTCAGATCCATGAATTTTGACATTCAGGGTTTGGGTGACATTCTCGCTCATTCGCTTCCCTGGCCCAGGGTCTTTTTCCCTGCACATTTTTTCATTCGTCCCCCTTATCCTGTCCTCGGACAAGCCAATACCCTTCTTTTGGTGACTGGAGCTCGCAAGGGCTGAGAACGTCCCAAAGACTTTTTTTCTCACCAATACCTATTTTTCTTTCTCTACCCTTATCCTCTTCCCCTTGACATCGTTGGTTGTCTGCTACTTTCAATCACTTCCTTGATGCATTTGCGGGGGCTATTATTGTGCGTTTTTTGCTTCATTGTTATCATCTTTTCGATATGACATTGGTTCGGGGAACCTCAATAATTAGCCAAGTTGGTCATCCTCTCTGGTAACTGCCCCCCTCTTCGCAAGTCGGAGATTGAGTACTACGCCATGTTGTCCAAGACCGGTGTCCACCACTACACTGGCACCAACGTCGAGCTCGGTACCGCCTGCGGAAAGTACTTCCGGTAAGTTTTTCATTGACATTTACGCGTTTTTTTGTATGATTTTTCGCATCATATGCTTTTCTTAATGACAGTTAAACTAATTCGTGTGCGCTCTTCTCCTTTGCTTCTCCTTTCTAATAGTGTCGGTGTCCTCTCCATCACTGATGCCGGTGACTCTGACATCATTGCCAAGACTGAGGCTTAAATTTCCTTTGTTCTAATATAACGATGGAAAAATAATACTGCACCTTTTGTTTTTGAAGCAGCACTTCGTCTCCTTTGCGGGAGGAGGAGTATGTGATAAATAAACTGGGTCTACTTGAATATTCTTTTTTTTTTTGCGTTTTATCTTTGTATGCTTGGCATTGAATGTTTTGTACGAAGGAGAATGGTCAAAGGGTGGTTTATTGTGGGGGTTGGCGACAAAAGGAGTTCAGTACCGCGAACGTTTTTTGGACCGTTCGTCTCTGGATGATGATGAGATGGCTGGAGGGCTGCTACTCCTGCTGCGGCTACTCTGCCGTCTCGATGATGACCTGCTGTTGTGGCGACTCGAGGATTCATGTTTGGATTTGCTTGAGGAGGACGAAGAGGACTGGTGTATTCTGTTTGGCCGGCTGCTCTCGGTCTTGTCCCTGTCCCTGCTTCGAGATGTTGATGGCCCTCCTACAGTTGTTGAAGAGCTGCTTGGTGTACGAGAAGATCTTGAGTTGGTTGCTGCTGCAGCCGCGGAAGAAATAGACGAAGAGGAGCCAGCTCCATATCTATGACTAGCTGTGTCACCTGTTGAGGCGGCAGCGGTCAAAGAAGACTGATGTGACGAAGAAGCTGATGGAGAGTCCTGAAGAACTCCATCTTCGCGCCATTGTCCACGTCGTTCTTCCAGGTACCGCCCCATAACCTCTTCCTGTTCCTGTTCAAGACTTGGTAGTGGTCGCAGGCCTTTCTTTGATCGCAGTTGGTCGACTTCTTCCTTCAGGACCTTGAAATCGTGGTCGCGGAGTTGGGTCAGATACTGTGAGAGTTGGTCTCGTTCCTTTGTCAGTTGAGTCTCTGCATTCGTCGCCTATTCGGAGGGTGTTGTCGAAGAAGAGGTAGAGAGGAGAATACGGTGAAGAGAGGTATGTATTGTTAGAAACAACCATTCAATCACATGGTCGCCCTTCAGATGTTGTGCAAAGAAGAAAAATAAACTGCAAAAACGTACGAGCTCAAGGTCCTTTTGGACTTGTTTGACCATGAGGATGTATCGGTTCAGTTCTGAATGAAGCATCTTCCGTTCTGCCCGGACTTCATCCAGAATCGTCTGCTTCTCTTCTAGATTCTGGCCCGTCTGGAAAACCTGGTCCTTTAAATGCAGCAAATCCTCCTGTCTTATCCTAGTTAAAACAAATGGTAGCGGTGTGACAATGTTAATATAACGTAAGACGAGAGGTGATATTTTTTGTAGGACAGTAATCCGGTAATAAAAAGAGACAAACGCTGCGTACTTCATTTGCTTGAGTTCCATGAGTTCGGCCATTCGCTCTTCTGGGTCCTTTTCCACGATCTGAAGTTGTAAGCTCGACCCTTTCGTGCTGCCAGAGGTCGACTTCGAAGACACCGCGTGTGATGATGATGTTGATGTTGATGATGACTTGCTGCTTGGGGAATACGATCCATAACTCTCTGCTTGACTATGATTCATCAGCCAATAGCACAAAAAAATGAAAGAACAAGGCGATAAGTACCATGCTCCTTTCGAGTTCGTGCAACAGAACAAAAAATGTTAAATTTATCAAGCACAATAATTACCTCCGCTCATGCCTGTGCTCAGATCTTGGTGGCGAAGTATTCTTGTTGAACCGGACAGTCTTTTTTCGGATCTTGAGGTCAGGATCTGGTAGACTCTTGATGGCTTCATTAAAGAGCGACAAATGACTCGCGGGGATCGACAGTCGTGCGATACAGGGAGATGCGTCGCGCGAGCTCGTGGGTGGCGACATTGACGACGATCGTGCTAGTGCTGGCGTGGGAGATGATGTAGGCGAATATTGATCCTGTGGGTAGCGTTGCTGTGGCACTGATACCTGCGGAGGTGGTAGTAATGGCGCAGTTTCCGATGATGGCGGTTGTGGTGAAGGTCTTGGCTCATTGGGAAATGGTAGTTGATTATCGTCGTATGTATGTTCAGGGCCCAAGACCGGACTGTGCTGAGGAGATGAGCCGATAGTGTCGATCTCCATAGGTATATTATTAGGCTTGTTGAGGTAGGAGCGGCCGATGCCGCCTAGCACTTGGGATTGGTGTGAGTTGGGTCCAACAGTATGGACGATAATCGTCTTTTGCGGTATGATTGATAAAAGTCCTGGGGCGAATGACCCATTGGACGACGACGATGGTGGTGGCAGCCCTGTCGCTTGATATGAGGGCCCGCTGATACCGCCCTGGCTTGATGGCAAAGGGTACACTTGCTGATAGGACGACGAGTGGCCATCATCGTACCTCAGCAGGTCTGTTGCGGGTTCATGTTGCGTGACAGGGACATCTTGTGGTTGCTTCACCTCAAAGGTATGCAGGGTATGGCGACCACGATCGGTGGTGGCGTTGGCGGCCGCGGTAGTTAGGTGGGTCGTTAGATCGGACGATCGCTGCTGCTGCTGCTGCTGCTGCTGCTGTGCGGAGGGGTCATTGGATGCAGGATCCCACATGTCCCAAGGGATTTAATTAGGTCCGATATTATTTCACCACCCCGGGAGAAAACAAAAAAACGTGCGGTCGTTGAAGAGAGAAGGAAACGCCAACCTAAAATTGTTGGAGGGCGGCGGCAAGCAAGAGGTGAAAGAGAATACAAGTATGGTACAATGCCCAGAAAAGAATAAGAACGCGACAAGCTTTTGGGGGATTGGACAAGGGTGGGCGGGTGCGGTTCGACGTGTTTCGTGCAGGTGTATGGGTGTGGGGTTGTGGGTGAGAATGGCCAATCGATGGATATGAAGTGTTAGTACGATACAAACAAAAAAAAGAGGATGCGGTTGTGGCAAAGGGCGGGAGGGAATACATTTCAAGCTTCGTTCCCTTATTTCCTCTCCATTGAAACATTTCGAAGTCACAAATGTTGGCTGGAGCTTTATTTCCGCAAATAATTTCTCGGACCTGGCAGGCACAAACAAAAGGGATCAGCTCCTACATCGTCTAATCCTCTCACATACACAGACATCAGACATATATACCATGGCATCCTTCATTCGATCAACAATGGGTACGAGGCGAGCGACAGAAAACGGCATCATATTTTCTACAGGATAAACACAGGAGTCAGTGGATGAATTCAGGGACTGACAACAAACCCACCTGACTTCGTTCCACAAAAAAAACTAGCCCTCGCCTGGAGCCCTCTCAAGTCCACAGTCTTTGCAGCAGTGTCCCGCCCCGCTTCATCATTACCGGCTGCCGCCTCCCCCGCCACCTCTATCCTCTGCAACGCCGTCCGTCACATGAGTTACAAGCTCAAGACCAACTCTTCCGCCAAGAAGAGGTACTTTAACCAATTGCCTTGCTTTTGAAGGCTTTCCCTTGCGATTAAGAACCAAGTAGAACATGGATCCTGTATACACAGGGATAGTGTCGATGTATTTTGACACTTACTGACCGTTTCTCCCTTTCCAACGACAAAATAGATTCGTTGCCCTCCCCTCAGGAAAGTTCAAGCACTGGAGATCAGGAAAACGCCACATCAACACTGGCATGGATCGCGGTCGTCTTAACAAGGCCGGTATTGCCTCCTACGCCACTCCTCGCCAGTCGAAGCACTTGCGTCGCTTGATGCCCTACGCATAAAGGAAGGATCATTAGGACATTAGGATCGCATTTCATATCGGGTAGTAGGACGGAAACTCGACCGCCCTCAAAAGACAGCATACTACGAGTATTAAAAAGCCATGTGTTCAATACAACAACAACAAGTTTTTATGAAAGTTCGATGCATGAAATACAAAAGGAAAAAAAAGAACAGAGAGAGAAAGATACGAAGAAAAATATGAAGAAAAATATGAAGAAAAATATGAAGAAAAAAAGGCGAAAAAGGGGTATAACTTCTAGGGTGATTGCTTTTGTCTAATGTTCATGGTCGACCGAGAGGATCAAAGGCACAATCATGCCTCCAACAACACAGAGAACGCCCACCACCGAAAGACCCTTGTCTCCGCCAGCACCTCCAACGCTATATCCATTCGACCCAGAGCTCGATTCCGCGTTGTTCATCTCGGACATCACATGCATGGCCACATACAGGAACGTGCCTCCTGAGAACAAAAGCAGTATGCCGGTCCACCAGTGCAACGAAGCCTCCTCGCGATGGCCGCTGAGCTGGATGAAAATGTAGGTCAGAAGGGCGCCGATAGGAGCAGCGAGGGAAAAGATGCCGACCTGCTGGCGAGTCTGGCGACGAGAGAATCCATGTTGCAACAACACAGTCGACAGTCCGAAAGCGGCAGGGGCCTTGTGCAACATGATGGCAAGGAAGACAATGAAGCGCAACTCCGGACGGGAAGCAGAGGCACCCAAAGCAATTCCATCTGCAGCGGCATGAACGACCAATCCGATAGTGATGGGGTTACCACGCTTCTTTCCGCCACCGGCGTTCATTCCTGCAGCCGAAGGCATCCGAATATTGTTGTCGTCCAGCTGAAGGTTGTGCAGTTCCGTGAAATCGGCGACAGAGACGTGGTTGTTGTGGCCGTGAGCATGAGTTGGGCCCATCTGGTCAATCAAGAACATCAGGATGAATCCCGACAACAAGGCCAGACCAATGTACTTGTGCGCATCGTCCTCTTCCTCTTCCTCCTCTCCCTCACCGACGTCGTCGGCATGTCCAGCATTCTGACGTTCACTGTCGTTGTCAATATCCTCCTCCTGCTCCTGCTCTACGGGTTTTTGTGCAATGGCACCTTCCTCTTCTCCAACCTCCTGGCGCTTGGCAATGGATGCGCGGCCCTCCACAAGAGTTGCTGCCATGTTGTCCTCGAATGAAGTAGCCTTAGCCTCCTCTCTTTGCAAGAAGGAATCACTGGCAAGGGAAGGGTGGTCAGCAGAAAAGACGACAAAGTCATCCTGGCGCTTGGTCAATCTAGTAGCATCGGCGGCGACGGTGTCAGGGAGGACGAATGCACGCTTGATAGGATTGTTGTGGCCATTGATTCCTGACGGCGGAGGAAGCTGCGCTGAGGGCGACTTAGCTGGCTTGGGAGTGCTGTAGAGAGTCTCGACGCCCTCAGGGATGATAACGACGAGCGATGTTCCGACAAGGAGCCCAACACCGAAATTAGAGATGAGCTTGAGACGGTCTTCTGAGAGGTGGAAGGAGAGAGGGACGTTTCCTGCTAGGAAGGAGGCGACCAACATGGCGATGCATAGCAGGATGAGACTGAAAAAAGGATCCATCTTGACGTAGGCAGGGCAAGGGGGATGAGCAATTGGCTGATCAGGGCAGTTGAACCGGACGGTTTAAAGTGGTGCGATGTAACAAAGCAGGGTGGTGGAGAGACGATCGGTTGTCTGATTCGGAGGACCAGAGATGTCAGAGCGCGGTAGGCTCCTTTTGAGTGGGGGAGTTGAAGGAAGGAGAGGTGCGGAGGGAACGAGATGACAAGGATGTCGATGGTGAAATGTGTTTTATGGTAATAAGAGAAAAAGGATGGGTGTGATGATGAAACGGCAAGCAGGGAAAGGAACAGTACTCTGTCCTTTGTGCGACCCTTAACGGACGTTGATTGCTTGATCTAACGACACGAATTAGAAACATATTGGACCATTATTGCGACCGTGCGCCATGTCTATCTCACACAAGCTGGAATACTTTCTCACAATCGCATCGGTTTTTAGAGCACGAAACAAACCCCTTGTCTGCTTGAAAAGAAACAAGCGCCTTTCACGAATTTGCATGCTTGCGAAGAGTTGCATGATAAATGCACGCCAAATACTGTACTTTGTCCGTCTTGTCCAACACCTCTGGATCACAAACAAAGCCATGTCAGGCACACACACACATGTTCAAGAAGCGGATTGTCTCTAGATGATTGCATGTTTGCTGTTATTATTCTTGTTTTTTCCTTTCATTGTATGTGATTCGATCTTAAACGTAGAATGTAGACTTGCGGCGGAACTCGCGCTGCTTTCTCAACCACGAGCGGTACTCGCTCACAGACTTGATCTTCTCGCCGTAGTAGTCTGGAATAGGGTTGCTGATAGAGTTGGCTGCAGGGTCAGCGCGGTTCCTGGCAATGTGCTTGAGGAACTCCGTGTCCATCTGTAATAATGAACGATGAAAGAATGCGGATGTATGTATCAGTAAATCGAGTATTGATCCTAATACGCGACTATTCGCTTCCAGCTTTCCCCTGTTTGCCAGAGATAATACAAGTCCACTTGTTTTGAAGTCGGCACGTGTCAATGCTAATGTCCATGTCCACGTCTGTGGGCGTTTACGTGCGTGTCCTTCAACGATCCATGCATAAATGACAAGTTCCGAAACGGCTCCTTACTCTGTCGACAAGGGGCTTCGCTCTGGAATTGGCTGCTCTGAAGATACTGTTTCCGATGACGGGACCCATAGCCAATCCAATAAGACCCGCTGCAACTGTGCCGATACCGTAGACGATAACCTGGTCCATGCCAAAGATGGGAGTAGGGTCGAAATCTCTCTGAGCAAAGAAGTATCCAGCACCGAGCAAGCTGACAAGGGCCGAGGGGACCATGAAGGCGCGCTCGTAGTTGCGACGGGTCTTGCGGAGCGCAAAGTATGTGTTCCAGTCCATGGTCTCGTGCTGCTGTTCACCGGCAGCCTTGGAGCTGTTGGCTTGAGCGTTCTTGGCGGGGGACGAGGTTGTCAAGAGGCGTCGGGATCCGGGTGTGATGGTCGAAGTAGTGGTTGAGGTCCTGGCGAAGCATGCGCGTGGGACGGCGCGTCCGGTCATGAGCGACATTCTGATTGCTGCGGTGGCCATGACTGTGTCTGTTCTGTTGATTGTTGAGCTGTTGCAGAGGAAAGAGAGACAGGAATGGTGATTTCATGAGGATCAACGGACGGACAAAAAAAATGTGCGTGCCGTAGATCATTTGATCGCAAATACTACATTTCTCCAGTTCAACTTGTGCCTTAAGATGAACAGGTACATGCAACAGTGAACTCTAAATAGGATCGACGCGATAGGCGCCATGTGTGAGAGATAGCACCACCGACGCCATAAGCTTTCTGTAGTGTATCTGGCCTTGCTTTGTTGCTTTAAGGCTGAGACCATTAGTTGGGTGAGCAGTCAAAACGGGCGATCAGGGCGAAGCAAGAAAGTTGCCCTTCTTCAGTGCCAACTGCTGATCCTTAGCTGCGTCAGATCGCCCCTCAAACGTCCTGTAGACTGTTCAACTAAGGGCTAATACTCCATCTTGGATGATAAAGTCATTCAGCTCATTATTTTACACAGACTAAACCGTCAGGTCAACGTCGATTTCTCATCTGCGCCCCTTGAAATAGAACAGTACCGTTCTACAGGCCATAACTTTCAAATGGAAACAAGCAGCTAATACTCTACTGTTTCAAGAAACTCGACCTCGTCAACCTGACTAACTAATGACTCGCGTGGTAGTGGTGTGAGAATGACGAGAGCGAAAATGAAGGAAAATAGCCAACAATCCCGAGGCTCACCCACGGATTGCCTGCAAGGGCGGGGCGACTGGTAGCGATCGCATTCATTCGGAGGCCGAAAAGTGCATTGTTTTCTTTATTCTTGATTGCCTTAGTGCAGCGGTACGCTGTTCGGTCGAGGCTCGTTGCTAGCAATACACCATCGCGCTGGAAATAGCGACACTGCTACCGGATGGGATGCACACCAAACGAGTTCCAACCGTGGGAATTGAACAACCTTCATGGCTTGACAGGGAACCGCTACTAGTTTACATATGCATGTGCCATCTCTATGAGTGATCGTCAATGAAGGATCTGAAAGTAGAGGAGAATGACTACAAGGCATACGTAAACATGCCATGAGGAAACCATTGCGAGGTGACGCGAGTGTAGACTACCCTTCCCCGAAACCCTCCCCCCATAGTTGCAGCTAGGATCGGGAACACAATTCTCCGTTTGTCTTTACTTATTACGAATGCGCCCGGCATATTGGGGACGTGGAAGAGGAGGCGCTTAGCAATATGTTGGAATCGCTCACTTGCTCCACATTGATCCATCGATGGAGTGAACCATACCTTCTTCTTCCCTCACCCTGTGTTCGCTTACGCCTTCATTTTCTAACTTCAAGTAAAAGAGTTCGGGCATATATTTGTCCATTGGCTCGCACAGAATAACAAATAATCGCTCACTCTCACTTCGCTGTTTCTGTTGGTGTACTCACCCTTCTTTCCAACATCCCATTACACATTTTTTTTTGTTGTTCTGATCGTTATCTGCAAAAGAAAGGTGTCACCATCTCTTTACCGACAATTCAGAAAGACGAACGGTGGGTGCGGGTGTTGTGTTTATTTTTTTCTCTCTTCTAAGGTTAGCCCCAATCCATTGAAACAATCGCTCTCAACTCGTTTTCTATGCACCATGAACCCTCAATCCTTTATTTCATTCTTTAGTCCATGTTGGCTTTGCTGCGCTGAGTGAACACGGCGCCAGCACAGAATCGAGAAAGGGCCACCATGGAAAAAAAAGAGTACAATCCTATTCTTTTGCTCCACATTCATCACTGATTGGAACAAAAACAACGATTGTTAAAAAAAACCGAGTTCAATCGCGCCTCGTGTGTGCAACGTGAGATAAAACAAAGGAAAAAAACAAGAAACACAACAAGAACAACGATACTTTGACAGAAGTATCAAAAGGAGACAATGAGAGGGCAGGTCTGGCGTAGTGGTGAGCAAAGCAACAGGTCATGTTCGCTCCCCTTGCTCTCTGATCTAATCGATTCTTCTTTGGACCTTTTCTTTTTCATCTTGCCCAAAGAGTGGCCGGTCCTTACCAGAGATACCCTTTACCAGGGCAATCCTCCAGGGGAAATTTGGGATACCTCGATACCTCTCGTCGGTACTTCTTTACCTGCCAGGTGTACAGAAACATTGCTGCAAGCATTGACGCATTGTTCTCTCTCAACTTTGATCTTGCATCGGATGACGTGAGGTGGTTCCAAAGAGTCGAAGTGGGAAAAGGAAGAAAAATGCACCTGCTCCCCTCCTAAATCCAAGGCGCAAAAGAAACGTGGAATCATTGCGGGAATGCAATGAGGAAAGCGTGTTCCGGCAGGATGGAATTTATGGAAGGCTGACCTTTCGTTAAATCGTTCCGTCCGCTGTTGAAGAGAGCAGAAATTAGCGATAGCTTGACCAGTCAAGGACACACGCCGCGTTTTGTTAGAAAAAGATACCGTATCATGCATGAAATGGTACCTTTTAGCACTCTGCAGGGATGACCTGTAGGTACTTGCCCTTAGAATAGGATATCGAGAAAACGGATGTTGATTTCGCCGCATTTTCCCAGTGTCTGTGTTGTTTGATGTTGTGCGGCGTACGATTTACAATGATGTGTGGGAGAGGAGGTGAGGTGCTAGAACCTTTGATGGAGGCGAGATATAGAAAGTTGCCATGCCATGGGTACACTTGAACGTAAACTTTATCGGCTCGACATAAAAAGTTGTGGGGAGGCTCTCTTTCTTGCTGCAGTTGTTATTTGCCTCTGTCAGTCATCTGCCTTCTCTCCTTTCAATAGAAGAGTGGATTGCTCTTGTTGTTCTTTAGTTCGAATGATGTTTTCTACTGGACGATGGTCATTTTTCCTAATCCTCCAAGGGGATTAATTGTGGAATAGAGCCCGTTGCAATCACAAAATGAAGGACACAAACATAACAATCCAATGGACAAGAACGAAATGAGGATGAAGGTTGGGGATGGAGGATGAGGGAAGTACACACATCATAGGTGTTGAATGAACAGCCAAGGTTCATTCTCATGACCAGTCCAAGGAAGGAGCTCTTCTTTTTTCCTTCCATTTAGTAATTGCAGGCAATCAGCTGGATCCGGACCCTGAATGTATGAGATAATCAGGTGCGCCCCCTAAAGGAGTCTCAAAACGAACACTCTCAACTCTTAGCTTTCAACGAATGGTTTGCCATTCCTCAAAGAAATAAAAAAACTCACTCAGGGTTAGTCAAGCTTACGGCCTAACGGTATTCGACCACATTGTTCGGGATATTGCTTTGAGGACATGCATGTCATAGACAGATCCTCTCAACGATTATGCAGACCATATTTGTCTGTGTTTTCTATTGTTGTTGTTGTTGTTCTTCTTGTTCTTCGTCTCCTTGGAATGCGCACCTTGTGTTTGCGGGACTTACGGTAAGGGCCATGGTTAATCTCCTCTTTTCTTGATAAGATGGATCGCCCAGTTCATTTCGTCCTTATGTTTTTAGTTTTTGGTAACTGTTTCCCCTGTTGGCTAGACTGTTCATTGTGGTCACAAAGAGAACAAAACTCTCCAATCACCCCTCGATACCAGACAAAGAGGTCTGTTCTTTGATGCGGGAATCTCTATTATTAGCGACTGACCATTTGTTTTTGTTGCCACTAGCTCTTTGAAAATATCAATGGGGCAGCAATCGTAATGTTTTCTATTGTTTTCTGTTTTCTTTTAGCTTTTTGTTCTTAAACCGTGATTTTACTCATAGCTTTTTGAAAGCCAATCTACTGGTTCGAGGCTCGGGGCTTTGCTCATTCCTTAGCCATTGTATTCTTGTTTCCACTCTAACGAGCAATCGAAGAAGTAAGGAGCGTTAATGTAAGAAGGCACGAAAATTACAGGTGGAAATGAAACCCAAAAAGCATAACCCAATGATCCAGAAAAAAGTTTGTAAGTGCGAAAGAAGGAAGAAGCAAAGGGCGCTAAGTATTACCAGCACACAGACCTTTCCATTTAAAAAAACTAAAAAAAAGCGGACGAACAAAAACAGAATTGAGTTGTTAGGTCCATGAAAGGGTGCATTGGGGATGGAGTCATTGCCCGACATGGTGTGAAGTGATGCATGGATAGTTTGATCCCTTAAGGCCGACTGCGCGGAGGTATGTATGTTTGTGTTGTGGTTTCCAACTGTACAATTTGGGTGGCACCTTCGATAAGAGATCAGAGTGTGGGTGAACAGACAGCCATCGGAGGCACTCTTCATTCTCGCCTCATTTCAGGCTTCCCATTTTCTCCTACGACCCGTATTATCCCATCCCACCCCTACTCTCCTCTCCCCCAATCCGTCCTGCTCGCTCTCTCTCTCTTTGTCCGTTGACCGTGAGTAGACAAAAATGCTCTCACGTCAAATGGCGGACCAATCCTATTCTTCTTCCGTGTTGGCCATTAAGGTTTGATCACAATCAAGGGCGCGATCGCATTTATCAACATTTGGCTCTCGTTTCTTTCTCTTTCTCTTTTCTTTTATTCGTCTCTACGTGTGCCTCACATTCGATATTCTTGTTCTTTTTGGGTAATGCGAACAAAAGAAGAGGTGGAGTTGTAAAATATGCATTGAGATGTGAGCTTGAATGGATCAAAGCCAGGTGCCGGTAGTTTCACACTTCCCAATGGAGGCCGACGGGAGTTCGAAAAAAAGTGTGGGAAGGGCACGCGACATTTTTTTCATCAGGGTAACTAGCCACCGGAGAGTAGCCCTTGGTGAATCGCTGAATGGTATCATCGTCGATGGAGTGTCGAGTGTTAGTAACGTACAATTTGAGCAGCAGTGAAGACAGAGGTGAGTGAGAGAGCGAATGTGTTATTTAGGAGACTGGAGGAGATAGGATTCATATCAACAACAGCGGTACACGCAAGCAACCAACCAACCCAAGTGCAGTGAAAAATGAGGAGATAGATATTCAGTCGGACCAATTCCAATTGAAAGTTGATCATCTGTCAATAAGGTTGGTGTGCCACCAATAAGCTCGGCCAATCACATCTCCATCATCCATCTAATCTAACTTTTCCACGGACAACCCATTTCTCTCTCTATTCCTTTCTCTCCTGTCTGTTTGCTGCACCCTCCCCCCCTGCAACCACGGCTCACACAGTCGACTGTTCTTCGATTCTTTTTTTTTCTTTGTGTTGTTTTGTTCTCCTATACCCTCCAAAAAATGAACATCATCGCCATCATTCCCTCTGCTGCATGATTCATCATTGTGTTTCGATTGCTCCAAGATAACGACAGCTTGCCCAACCTCCTCTTGGTAAGACAAGGAACAGCAATCAAATCAACAAAAGAAAAACGACGCGCAAGAATGAAAACAATAATGGCGTATGTCTGAGAGGGGGTCTGGACTGCGTCGATGTGGAATGTATACAGGGGAACAGACGGCGCTGTCTTCAAAAGTGAGGACCAGACAAGGGATAGAGTCGACTCCCTCACTCTGTTACCCTGCAAGAGTGTAATTGAGTGGGTGAGTGCGTGTGTGTACAATCCTATCCCTTCGAATAAACAAGAAGTGTCCATAAAAAAAGTGTGATATGTGAGCCCCATACTATTTGGCACTAAGAGTGAGAAGGTTAAGCATTGGATGCGATCCATCCCCAAAACCGTTGCCTGTTGTTGTCTATGTCGTTGTTTATGTTGTCGTTGGCATATTATCCTTCTTTCCTTCCCCTCCCTTATTCCCTCCCTGCGTCAACCCTGTTCTTGCTCTCATCCCTCCTCTCCGAGGATGCAATGTATTCTATACCTCTCTCTCTACAGCTTGTTTATTTATTCATTGCGGGCGCAACTGCATCTTTTTTACCTTTTGCCACAGTGAATGAAAAAACGGAAACCATCCTGGCCCCTGGTTTGAGCCAATCCATCAACCACCCAAAAAAAATATCCTATAAAAGTATCCCTCTCTTCCGCCTTTCTTTTTTCTCCTTGTCACTCAACCAACCAACCTCCCTTCACTTGCTACTTTACTACCCTCTCTCTCCCTCACCCCTCTCCCTCATCCCCCTTCTCACTCCTTCTCCCTTCCTCTACTTCTATCAACCTCTCACCCTTCCTTCAACTACTCCAACATGAAGATCACCATCGCTGCCGCCATCGGTCTTTTGGCCCTCTCCGTCACCGAGGCCGTCAAGGTCAACCCTCTCCCCGCTCCCGTCACCATCCAGTGGGCTAAGACCGGCCCCGTCAAGGTCGACAACAACTTCAAGATCGTTGGACCCAAGCACGATATCCTCAACAAGGCCTACGCTCGCACTGCCTCCTTGATTAAGTCCGAGAGATGGATCCCTGTCACTTGGGAGCGCCCCGCCGCCGAGTTCCCCCCATTCCCCGTCCTCGGCAAGCGTGGCGATGAGGAAGAGTTCAGTGCCGCCCACGCCGCGAACTCCAACAACAACAAGAAGACCCTCAAGACTATCCAGGTCCACGTCTCCGACTTGAAGGCCGACCTTCAGCACGGAGTTGACGAGACCTACACCCTTGATATCACCGCTGCCGGTCAGGGTACCATCAAGGCCAAGACCGTTTGGGGTGCCCTCCACGGTCTCCAGACCCTCAACCAGATCGTCATCAGCGACGGCAAGAAGGGTCTCCAAATCGAGCAGCCCGTCCACATTGCCGATGGTCCCAAGTACATTCACCGTGGTGTCCTCTACGATACCTCCCGCAACTTCTACAGCTTGAAGTCGCTCTACCGCCAAATTGACGCCCTCTCCTACGCCAAGATGAACGTTTTCCACTGGCACATCACCGACAACCAGTCCTGGCCCGTTGAGATCAAGAAGTACCCTCAGATGACCAAGGATGCTTACTCTCCCCGCGAGATCTACACCCAGAAGGACATTGCCGCCGTCATTAAGTACGGTCGCGAGCGCGGTGTCCGTGTTATGCCCGAGCTCGACATGCCCGGTCACTCCTCCTCCGGATGGCTCCAGGTCGACAAGAAGGCCGTCACCTGCGCCGACTCCTGGTGGGATAACGATGGCTGGACTCACCACTCCGCTGTCCAGCCTAACCCCGGTCAGCTTGACATTGCTTACGAGGGTACCTACAAGCTGATCAAGGATGTCTACAGAGAGTTGACCGGTGTCTTCAAGGACAACCTCTTCCACGTCGGTTTCGATGAGCTCCACACCTACTGCTACAACTACTCCACGTACTCCCAGGAGTGGTTCAAGAAGCGCCCCGGTGCAACCTACCCCGACTTTGCCCAGTACTACATGGACAAGACTCTCCCCATCTTCAAGGACAAGCCCTCGCGTCGCCTGGTCATGTGGGAGGATGTCGTCCTCTCTCCCGACTTCCCCGCCAAGTCCGTCCCCAAGGATGTCATCATGCAGTCCTGGAACCAGGGTGTCGACAACATCAAGAAGCTCGCCCAGAAGGGTTACGATATCATCGTTTCCTCGGCCGATTTCTTGTATCTCGACTGCGGTCACGGAGGATGGGTCACCAACGATCCCCGCTACAACGTCAACAGTCCCCCAGCACTTCCCAAGGCCATCCAGGATGCCTTCGATGCCAACCCTTCGGCCTATTACCCCGCCTCGAACAACTACCTCGGTTCCGGCGCCTCGTGGTGCGATCCCTACAAGACTTGGCAGCGCATTTACTCTTTCGACTTCACCGAGGGTTTGACCGCTGCCGAGGCCAAGCACGTCATTGGTGGTGAGGTCGCCATGTGGTCCGAGCAGGCTGATTCCACCAACATCGACACCAAGGTCTGGCCCCGTACTGCAGCCTTGGCCGAGTCCCTTTGGTCTGGCAACCGTAACTCCAAGGGCTTCAAGCGCGCCACCGAGCTCTCTGCCCGTATCCAAGACTTCCGTGAGCGTCTTGTCGACCGTGGCATTCTCGCCGCTCCTTTGGTCCCCAAGTACTGCTTGCAGCACCCCCACCACTGTGATCTCTTCCGCAACCAGACCGCCTGGGGCAAGTAAACGTCGACTCCCACTTTCGACGTGCATTAAGAGGAACAGCGGCAGGAGAAGTAGTAGTAGAAAAGAAAACCAAAAAAACCAAAAGAGGAGGCGTGGGCTTGCATTTAGAATCGGTCAGTCTTGGAGGGTCGTCTTGAGTAGTCTGGTTACATATTCAAGTTCCTCTCTTTGATCATCGATAGTCCAACCCTTTTCCGCCACAATTACGATACCATCCCCACCTTCTTTCCACAAGAACATTTAAAACATATCCTACACTGAATTATTAGTAATAATAAAAACTACAATCCAATGTTACTCGCACTCACTTTGCGCCTTTTTTTTTCTTGCCTTGCTTTAACTTCATTTGTTTCTTTTTTTCATGACTTGACTTGTCTGCCTTGATTTTCCTTCACTTGACTTCACTTTATTTTGCTTTGCCTTATTTCTTGACTTTGACCTTCGTTCTTCGTTTTTTGATTTATCTTGGCAGAGGCATTACTTAATTTGATTTCCACCTCGTCGTTGTTTCTTCTGCTTAATCGACGCGACTTTTCGTGAACGCGTTTGCCTTCAATTGCGATTTAAGTGACTGCTTTGAAGCGGCCATCAAAACAACCACCGTTTTTCTCAGCTGGTTTTCACACCCACCTTTGCCTTCGAAACATCTCTTCTTTTCCCCCTTCTCCATCTTCTCCTCTTCTCCTCCACCTTTTCTTTCTCCTTCTCCATCGGCACCACACACGCCTCACAAACAAAGCCATCATGGACAACTCGGGAGAACAGCATCAACAGGAGCAGGAGCAGGAACTCTTCCTGTACGATGGACCCATCGACCCCGAGACCGAAGCAGCCATCCAGGCCCTGAACGATGTTGGCGCCAAGGCATTCGCACTTCAGGACTATGAGCTTGCCGTCGAAAAGTTTGGACTTGCTTCCGAGATGCTGTACGTCTTTGCTTTCTTTTTGTTTGTTTTTTTTTTGTTTTTCTTCCACAATATCAAAAGTGGCGAAAAGCGTGGCAAAAGGGACAAAGTTGTTTGTTGAAGGAAACAAAAAACTGACAAACCATTTTTTCTTTTCTGCGGGACTGGACACCGGACAATGTAGTGGACAGGTGTATGGAGAGACAAACACAAAATGCGCGGACACGCTGTTCATGTACGGCAAGGCCTTGCTCGAATACGCTATCCAGCAGAGCTCCGTCCTCGGCGGCGTGACCGAGAAAAAGTCAAACAAGGAACTGGAGGCTGTTGTTGCCGCCGCTGGCGGTGGTATCAGCGGGTCAACCTGTAAGTCCCTCCTATGATTTTTATTTGCTATTAATTCTGAGATCAAAAGTACGCCAGCAATGAGTCCTTTGCTAACCCTTAGTTATCGCCATGTCATTTGATTATTATTGATCTAGCCTCGTCATCAGCACCCAGCAACCCCAGATTCGTGTTCGAAGGCGATGATGACGACGACGAGGACGAGGAGGAGGGTGAGGACGGTCAGGAGGGCGGTGAAGGCGGCGCAGAAGGAGAGGAAGAGGCCGACGATTTCGCAGTGGCCTGGGATGTCCTCGACCTGGCCCGTGTGCTTTTCCACCGCATGGGCACCGAAGAAGCCCTCCTCAAGCTAGGCGATGTCCACATTGCCCTAGGAGATGTCTCGCTTGAGTCAGAGAACTTTGAACAAGCCGTCAATGATTACAGAGAGGCGATTACGATTAAGGAGGCTCGTCTTGAAGCTGATGATCGTCAGTTGGCTGAGGCCCATTATAAGCTGGCTTTGGCGTTGGAATATTCTCCTACTGAATCGGAATTGACTCAGGAGCACATCCATAAGGCGTCGAATGTGTTGAAGGATAGGATCCAGAAATTGAACGGACTCTTGGCGTCAGGCAAGGGCAAGGCTCGTGCGGTCGATGCCTCGGAGAACGAGACCAAGATGGCTGCCGAGTTGGTCGAGTTGCACGAACTTGTTGGCGAAATGGAGCAGAAGGTAAATTTTTGATACATTTTCATATTCACTGATGTGTTAATTGACATATTTGCTAACCTTTTCCTCTGAATAACAAAAAACAGACCCAGGATTTGATCGCAAGCATGAACAAGAAGCCCGCCGAGGGTCAGACACAGCTGGCCATGCTGAACGAGGCCATAGTCCAACAAAAGGCACAGACAGCCATTGATATCTCCAGCCTGATCAAGCCCAAGTCAACCAAGCCCGCTGCAGGATCTTCTTCTGCATCATCACCAGCACCAGCACCAGCATCCACAACAGAGGATGTCAAGACGGAACAGACCGCAGCAGGAGCATCAGCAGCAACAGAGGATACGAACCAGAAGCGCAAGGCGGAAGAAATGGGCGACAGTGAACAGGATAGTGAAAAGAAGCCCAAGGTCTCTATCCACTAGACAACAAACAAATTACAATTAGCCATCATTGTTGTCGTCGATATGGGAGGGTGTGTAAATGATGAACGGGCTCAATTGAAGGAATGAGAACGGGGTGGAGAAGAGGTGGGGAAGGAATGGGATTGGGGATGTGTGCAGGGGAAGAGAAAGACGAAGGACCATAAATTCAATGTGGCAAAAGGAAAGAACGTAGCAAGCACGTCAAGGACAAAAGAGGTGAGAAGGGAGGACGAACACAATGGATAAAGGGACGCAATGTCATCATGTCAACCCACCAATATCTGTCATTGCCTTTTCTCTTGGTCTTTGATCCTTACGCCCATGAATGTTATTATTCGTATCTTGTACTGCACTCTAATCAAAAGTCCGCCTGGGAGGCATGTAAACTGGCGCAAATGTTTACTTTCTTTCAGGGGCAAAGGAGTAGGAACTCTGAGTGCATACAGTACGTTCAATTGAATGAAAAAGAGATGAAGAGGTATCCGCCACGGCTGTTGGAGCAGGAACAAAGGTACCATCTGAAGAGACATCTCCAGTTCTTTCGCACTCAACAGTACCTGCGAAACTACACACCCCAAAAGAGGAACTGTGGACACTGGCGGACACACCCCGACTAAAACGAAGGGGATGCGAAAATGTCGTGTGCGTGCGAATGTGTGGGTGTGTAAGATGGATGGAAGCAGAACGAGAGAAGGAATCAAGTCGCCTCGTCAAGCGCACTCTGATAAAGCCTTCATTGAGGACTACTGCAAACTAGCGAACTTTTGCAAGAATGGCATTGACGATCACCTCGAGAATGGCCGCGAAGTTGACAAGGTGGTAGTTACCTTTTTGTAAGCCTGCTGTGTGGATCTAGCATTTATCGCACATCAATATGAAAATAGACCATCTTTAAGAAAACAAAAGGAAAAAAAGGTCCAGCGCGATAACAGGGGGCTCTTGTACCCGGGTTTAAAAAATAGCAAAGAACGAAAAAAAAACAGAACCACACGCACAATTCATCGCACAGATGAGCGCGGGAAGGGAATGGGTTTATTATTGGCAAGGCGGGTTTTGTTAACCAAAAGAGACCGTGGGGTAAGGAGTGTTGCTTGCAAGGGTCATGCTCCAGTTCCTCATCTTCTTTCCTTACTTCAGTGTCCGTTTATGATTCCTTTTCTACGCTGCTGCTTCTTTATCTTTACCTTCTTGTGAGCCATTTGTAACTTCATTTTTTTCGTCTCCTTCCAAACTTGGATTCCACAACCTTGAACGTGTTACACATAACCAGCAACGATAACATAATATCTACCTTGCACTGTACATGTTGTGAGGGAGCGGGTATCTGATGGTTTTACTGTGGGTTGTGAATGAAGGACGATGCAATTGATATGTCTACAAAATTCAAGATCCATTGACGGTTCGATGCTTGAACCTCTCGGGCTCCCTCAACCCCCTGCTACCAGAAACCTGTCTCTCACCTACGCTCAAGTCGTCGCCATCCTGTCCAACATCATCCTCCACGGCGATGGCGGAAGGTTTCCGGATTTTACGCGTCAACCGACTGCTTTCGGACACAACCGACTCTGACTGCTCATGACTCTCTTGCTGTTGCTGTTCCAGAAGGTAATGCTGCAGACTCAAGATCTCCTCCGCCTTTTCCTCCAGACTATCAACCACTCGCTGAAGCTGCAGTCGAAGCTGTCGCCGCTGCTGTCGCTTCTTCTCCTGCTCTTCCAGGCTCAGGGATCCTGTCTCATCAGCAGCAGCGGCGACCATCGAAGAGGCAGGCTGGAGGTTGGATGAACTTCCGAGTCGCTCCAGCTTGCCAGACAAATCCAGGTGAGATTTCCGCAGCTGTTGAACCTCCTTGTCTAGCTTGCACAGCGTGACGTGAAGTTTCCACTCTGGAGGGTGCTGCTCATCGTCTTCGTCATCATTATCATCATGGTCGTTATTGGTGTTGTTGGTATTGCTAACATTGGCCTCGGTAGCTTGTGGCGGTTGGCTTTGTGATCGCCGCTGCCTTGTTGGATAGGACGGTCCTCCGACTCCTGCTCCATGATCCCTCGATCCCCTCGACTCGTTCCTGGCAGTCCCCTTCTTCCCCCTCACCTCACTGTCCGATACCGATGACACCGATAGCTCAGAGTCAGAGACCGCATCACGATACTCGTCGTTGATCTTGACAGCATGACGACCCGCACGAGAAGACGACGAAGGCTGCATTGTTGTTGAGCAAATGGTGGTGGTGGTGGCCGAGGACTTGTGCCGTATGAGTACAGGCCTGCCGTCAATCTTGATGGTAGGCCGAGAAGGTTGCTGCTGTTGCTGTTGTTGTTGTTGTTGTTGTTGTTGTTGTTGTTGTTGTTGTTGTTGTTGTTGTTGTTGGTCGTCCTGGTGATGCGTAGAATGATCTCGTCCGTCACCACCATTACAGCAGACAGTACACCGTCTTGGATCGTGAGTCTTGAGTAACGAGAGGATCCTCTGCAGGTCAATGGATATCTTTTTCCGCTGAGAGTTTGGATTCTAACCATGCCAATAACAATAGTAAAAAAATGATGTCAGTTTTTACGCTGGCTATCATTCCAGACGCAGAATTGGGCAATGTAAGATATAGACTACATACCTTGAGTGGGACGGTGAGTTCGTGGGCACCAGCACTCCGCAAACTGAAACCATGTTGCACGTGTGTCACCATACGCGCAGATCCTTGAGTCGTGGAAGCGGCTTGAGGCCCCGGCCGGTAGAGTGGATACGCCTCTCCATCCTTCTGTGCCTGTACAGGTCTTCCGATACTCTGCTGTCCTTGTTCCTCCCAGTTCACCTCATGAGGGGCAGTCTGGTGTTTCCTTAGATGCGGTCGTGACGGACTCAATTCCTCAGCAGGTGCTTCAAAGTGTTGCGAAGCATGAATCCTCTGTCCTGGGAATGACCTGCTCAGAATCGACTTGCTGGCTCCAGATTTCTCCAATTGGTGTGGCGAGCCACGACGGTATGAACTGAAACCCGCATCGTTGATACGATGAACGCCCCCGATATTCAGACGATGAGCATCCTCGTGACGGTCGGCGAACTGGTCGTCCAGTCTTGAGGCTGAGTGGTGGAGACGCGGTTTGACGACTTTTGGCCGGGAACTAGAAATGTCTTCCATGTCAGCGTCGCCATAATAAACGAGGCGGTGAATATGGACCACATTGTCGACGGGATGGTGAGTATAAGGGTGAGCCGATTTGGAACGAGAACCCGCACCCTGGGTTGCCTGCCTTGTTCGATCCCGCGCACGGTGGTTGTCGACCTCAGTACGATGGCGCCGAACATCCTTGGCCTTCGTAGCTGACGTTCCTTTGCTAGACGATCGTTTCATGGCCTTTGGGTTCCTGCGAGCCCGGGTATCAACGAAAGGTGCCTCTCGATCGCTGCGTCCACTCACTGCACTCTCACTCTGTATCCGGAAGCTATCGTCGTCGTCGCTCTCAATCTCACTCTCGCTCTCGCTCTCAGAGCCTTCCTCTTCCTCGTCTTCGTCCTCGCTTTCGGACTCGATCAAGAACAGCAAGTCCGCCTCTTCCTCTGCCCGGAGTCGCTCCCGCTTCTGCATAGCCTCCTTCTGCTTCTCCAATGCATCAAGTTGTTTCTGCAGCGCCCGGACATCTCGCTCAGCGCGATCCTTCTCCCGTTGGATGGCGGCGTTCTTCCTCTCCTGCTCCTTCTCCTCCTGGGACTGGTTTATCTTTGGCCTCAGGGTCGCATTATTTAAGTCCAGGCTCGTGCCTTTGTCGTGCTTCGATCCGTTCCTATGGCTCGTCGTTGACGGTTTAGCCTTGGAAAGCTTCTCGTTCGCCTTACGTGTCCGCTGGAGTTCACGTTGTGCTTGCTTGAGATCCTTCTTGAGGTCCTTTACCGTCGACATGGATGATCTCTTCTCAGCCTTGAGCTGCCTGATCATGCCCTTCAAAGTCCCCAATAAAGATGCGACCGCTAAGAATAAAATAAATCGCATATGATAATGTTAGCAACAATGAGCGGACAAGTAGAAAGGAACACTTGGCATAATATAGGGCATTAAAAAAAATACTGTTGCTCACCTTGTCCCTCTCCCAGCGACCCGGCAAGCTCCATGAACCGGTCTTCGGCTTTAGTAACCATGTTCAGACGCTCCATCTCTTCCTCAGGAGTCACGGTGGGGTATTGTGGTCGAGCTCTTCTGTTTGGTCCTTGTTCGACTGCGCCGACTGGCTGCTCGCCTACTCTCAATTGGTGCTGGCCTCCTTGAGTGTCGTCAAAGTCGTAACGGACGGGTGACGCAAGATCCTCAAGTGCCAAATCTCTTCCATGGTCCAGTCTGCTCGCCTTTACAACTGGGCCTCCTGCGCCATTGGGTCGGCCAGAGCCATTGTCCTGCGACGCTCCAAACTCTCGCCTGGCACGCGCTCTGGCGACTTCCCGATCAAACGAAAGCTCTCCGCCACTTTCGTATCCTGCGTTCGGAGGTCGACCATTATTCCGATGCTCGACGGGTTCCATGCGACGTTGGTTCAAACTGCTGGTAGGATTTAGTGGCCGTTGTTGTTGAGGCTGAGATAACGGTGGGGTCTGCACTATCCTGGGAATGTTTGGTCCCTTGAGCTCGGCGGTATTTTGTTCCTCGTCCTCGTCATCGTCCTCGTCTTTCTCAACGCCTTCGTCGATTTCCTCCACAGACGAAAAGTTGGAAGGGGAGTAGGAGGAAGAGTATAGTTCCCGGCGCTGTCGTTCTGAGGGTAACAGTTTTCGGTAGTCAGACTCGCGAATGTTGCTGCTCGCTGTCACCCGTCCATTGTCCGTCGTATGTTCATGTTCCCGAGGCGCCTCCATCACCTATACCGATTTCCCCCCCAAAAAAAAGTCGGTGTAACAATGTTAGGTCCGATGTGCAACAACAAACAGTGACAAAGAGAAGAAACAAAATAAACATTGCACCATATTATTTTTTACTTGGATGTCTGCTTCCAATCGTGCTCTGAACCTCTTCTCGAGGAAGGACGTGTCCATGGTCAGATCATTCGCCACGTTGTTGTCCCGCAAGCCACGTTGAGGTCCAGTCCGGTCAGTCTGTACGGTTGATGATGGCGCCTGTGGGTATTTTGGTGAAGGTTGTTTGTTGGAAGGTCTGTTTTGCGCCTGCGCTGAGGATGTGTACTGGGGTGGATGAGGGTCGGGATTGCTGTTCAGGGACCTATGGAGTTCAGCGAGTTGGTTCCTGAGTTCTTCGCTGTCGACAATGTCTCGGATGGTCATTGGCTGGCTTGTGTTGTGCTGAATGTGCTGATTAGAGTGGTGTATGTCTCGGTGTGGTCCAGTTTCACCTCGACCGAAAAGGGAAGTTGTAGTTGCGCTTGATGCAATTGAGCGACCATCATGGTCTTCTCCATGCTTCGTGACCCCTCCAACAACTGCCGGGATCCGCTTGGTTCGATGGTCTATCCTTGTTGGTCGTCCGAGATTGGCCTGGTACTGGTTTGAACCTGTTGCGTCCGTCCCGTTGTGCCGTGGGTCGATATTCTGGTCGTGAACGGTGGCATTATCTGTTATCCTGCCTTTCGACTCTGTCTCGGCAGAGGCAGCTCTCCGTTGGGGACGCTCCTGTCGTTGTTGCTGGTCCTGGCGGTGGATGCCAAAGGGCTCAAATGAAGGGGGTCGTTGCAGGTAGGTGTCATTCAGATGTGTTCTTGAATCTGCAGGGGCCATTGGTTCCTGAGAATCGATACGCTTGGGCTGATGAGACAAGCCAGTGTCGGATGTCGTAGTTCTTGAAGAAGGAGTCGTTTCTCGATGAGAGATCTTTCTTTTGGGCCGTTCCTGTCTTGGATGGGGTTGAGGAAGGAGCGAGGATGACCGTTGTTGTGTTGAGTGTTGTTGATGTGCTTGTAGTTGTGGTGATGTGTGCCTATGTTCGCCATGGGGTCTGGGAGTCAACAACTCGGAGGTGGTCGAGGCTTGAGGTTTGTTGTGGGCGAGCATCCTCTGACTCGCAATGGTGCCTGACTAGCTCTCTGGTCTTGACGATGGTTTTTATCGCAAGAGGGGGTTGATGAAGGAATGTGTTGGTGGTAGCAAAGAGTTGCGAGATGTGCAAAAGGGAGATGGGAGAGTAGAGTGCCGGGAGTGGGTGCAGGAAAGGAGGGAGGAGAGATAGACAATAGGCGGTGAGTGTATGCAAAACGGAAGGAAAGAAGGAAAAGGAGAAAGAAGGAAAGAGGAAAGAGGGAAAGAAGAAAAGAAAAGAAATATGGTTCCTTGGGTAATGAACGGTGCTTGGAATCAAACTCAATTTCTGTTTCTCTGTTACTTTGTGCTTCGTTCCTTGCCCTGTGTCCTTCTCCTTCTCTGCCAGCGCACACAATCAGATCAGCGAATGGGAGCGCGTTTTCTTTATTACATCAAATGGGGGGTCGGCCAAAGACGCACACCCCCTTTCACTCAGAAATGAGTGATAAATGTATCTGTCAGCCCCTCTTCACTTCAAATCATCATCCCCTGATACCCTACTGCCTTCCTCCTCCCCCTCATTCCTGCTCCTCGTCCTCCTCGCCCTGCGCCGCCATGGCTTCCTCCACTTCCTTCATCTCCTGCGCCATGATCTTCGACCGCGCCAAGGCCCGCTTGGCCTCAGGAACCATCCCCAGTCGCTTAAGTTCAACCGCCAGCTTCTTGTCCTTGCCAATCCTGCCATACACAGACTGACAGTACACATCCATCGTCAACTGGCCCGTCTGCACCTGTAGTACCAACAGCTTCATCTTGATCTCCAGCTGCATCAACCTATCCTGGTATTCCTCTGCTGCCTCTGCATTGCCAACGGCCCTGGCGTCGTGGATCATTGACTGGGCAATCTGGATCTCGCTCTCCAAAACCATATTTGATACCAAAAGTTCAATGCTATGTGACATTCAACACGTATGAAAATGATTACGGTCAGCAAAAGTGAAACACTCGCACGAGGATAGCAAATTCAATGATAATTCGCTGAATTAATTACCTGTTCAATTCGTTGAGCGCCTTATCCGATTCGCTCTCTTCTTCCGCATCCGTTGCAGCAGGTGAGTTCTTTGCCGCAGGTGCAGCGTTTGGTTTTGGTGAAGCGGCGGCAGGGGCAGCGCCTCGACTGGCTGGCGCAGAACGCTGCCCTGCTGCTGCTGTTGAAGCTGATGATGGCTTTGGTGACTGTTTCACCGAAGCTGTCGACGCTGCAGCGACAGCCGGCGCAGCAGGACTTGGGATACCAGCTGCACGTGTCGCATTAGCAGGAGTAGGTGTTGCTGCAACGGGGGCAGCGGGTACTGCCTTAGTTGCTTTTCCTGCGGGTGCTCCTGTTCGTCCAATTGCGGGGCTTCCTGATGACCGAGAAGGGGATGTAACCGCAACAGTCGAAGGGAATCCGAGACCTCCAGAATTGAACTCGTCAATCACCAGCCATTTCTCTTCCTTGACAACAATCTCCGGTTTCAAAAGTGGGCGCTGCAGACGAATCTTGACCTCAATCTTTCCTCCAGTATTCCTTCGGTTTGTAGGATCCAAGAGCTACAAAGCGCAAAACAGGTGAGTATGATTATGTTGTAGATATTCGCAGTGTCAATCGCGATATTCGTTGATCATATAATGTCTTCTTGCAGTTGCACTCACTGGAATGATTTCGTGGATCTCGGAGTGTTCCAGCAGGGGTTGCAGAGCAATTTGTCCACGTCCGATCAAGTAGTCCTTCCACAGCAGCCCACGATAGTGCCAGACCTCAAACGTGGCCTTTCTCCTCTCGACAAACCGGTTGAAAGCCCTTGTCCGCTCAATGCCCAGAGTTTTGGAGTAGTTGTAGTCAGGCTTGGCCGTCTTCTTGATACTAGGTGTCGTACCCTTGCCAGATCCTGCTCCCGCCATCGATTCAGTAGGCCATCCAAGGTCCCACATAACATATGCGTCAATATCCGCAGGTTGGACATCCTTGTGCGACAGGTCCCATGCTCTCAGAATGCTAAGTGACAAGTCGTTCAGCCCAATTTCCTGATAAAAGCCGTGCTCCTGCTCATAACGCACATCTTGGAAGTGGAATGCGGGTGCCTTCTTTCCGTGACTCCGGTGAGACTGCAGCGACACCAAATCGGCCTTAAAGTTCTTATTTAACTTGTGGAACTCAAGTGCCGTGTTCTTGTCGCCCGTCTGGAAGTAATATTTGAGCGTAGAGTCACACATCTTGATCTGGGACTCCAATTGCGACTCCAGCATGTCGTAAGTATCATCGTCCGAGTTGGAGACAATCTGAAAGTCATCATCCGCCCTGAGCTGTGAGAACTGAATTCCTGCTAGAGCACGGCCAGGTCCTGCTCGCATGTCCTCGCCTGATGCTTCCGCGATGCTGCTAGAAACTTGAGTTGTTGGTTCTGCTGCTGGTGTCGAGATGGGTGGGGAATAGGGCTTTGGCGTAGAAGCATTGGTTGCAGTCTGAGGCGTCGAAGCTGCAGATACCTGGGCGGCCGATCCACCGACGGCTGCCGTTGGGGCTGCTGCTGGAGGCTCTTCGGGGATTGGGTATATTTCCAGGTCAAGGAATCCACCGGCCTCGACAAGTTGAATCCAGCCCTGTAGTGACTTGTAGACCTTCATTCGATCCTTTGCCAAGGCCATATTTCCTGCTTGCTTGGCATCCAACGCGGCGCGCTTGTATTGGGTTTCACGCGTCTGCAGAAGCCTGAGGAGGTCCTTATGGTTTGTCTTTGGTATTGTCTCCACACGCTTGGGCGGCTTGACTTCTGTTGGGGAAGAGGGCTTGTGCTGTTCTGGTTGGACCTTGGAGTCGTCTGTATGGTCGGTCATAAGCGAGTCACCGTCCATGTCTTCGTCGTTGTAGGCTTTGTCCTGAGGCGGAATAGCAATCATGGATGAGCTTGCCGATGCTAGTTTGCGGTCGGGTAATGATGGCGTGATATTGAAGCTGTTGTTGCTGGCGCTGAGGGGTCCAGATTCTGTTAGGATGGTAGTTGTTTTTGGTGCTGGTACTTCAGTTTTGACAGGCGCAGTAGTGCTCTTTCCTAGTGTTTCTTTGTCCTGGTGTCCGCCCGCATGGCCGCCAAGAGATTGCAGTTGCGCCTATATGAGGTATCCATAGCTAATTAGCAAAGGGAATATATTTACCAAAGATAGGTTTTGTGGAAGTGGCAGTAACCTGTGACCTACCATAAAGTGGGGGTCGTTCCAATCGTCCTCTGTCAATTCGACTTCTTCGTCGTCATCGTCTTCCATGACGCCATCCAGATCAAGTCCAAGTCCTGCCAGTGCAGGGTTTGCCGCAGGGTTGCTGGCTGGTGGTGGCGGCGTGACTTGGGAGGGTGGCTGAACAAGGGGTTGGCTCTTTGCTGGAACTGGAGAAGGTTTTGTTGCAGGGACTGACCGTGGCGCTGGTGCTACTGGCGCTGGTGCTTGTGCTGGTTTTTGAGGAGGCTTGGTCAATCCCGCAGCTGGTTTTGGGCGTGGTGCAGGTGCCTCTCCTGTAAGTCCTTGCAACTCTGCCTATGTTTTTCACAAGTGTGACGAGAGCATACGTTAGACACACCAACACGCACACACTCTTGTGTTGTCCGGTACTTTTTTTTCTTTCTTCGAAAAAAAAGAAGACTTCTTGTCGTTACCAATAGCTCAGGGTCGTCCAAGTCCATGTCGCCGAGGTCCTCATCACCTTCGTCACCCATGTAGTCACCAGTGTCGGCGCCTGATTCGTCAATGTCCTCGTTGGCGAGTCGCATCCCCTGGGTAATGAGGTCGCTGTAGTCTCCTCCGCCTTGAGCCTGTTGTTGCCGTTGCTTTGACGGCGGGTTCTGTTTCTTCCAGCTGAACATTCGTTGGTTGTTCTGTAGGGGTGGTAGGTATGTCGTAACGTATCAAAGAAGAAAAAGATGTTCCACGCATGACAAGGGTGAGAGCAAAGGCAAGAAAGAAAGGAAGAAAAAAAAAGACGTCACATTTGACATCCTGTCCCCGAAGAGGACTTTTTATTTTAAGCTGCCGCTCAGAAGGGTGCACCGTAGATGGCGCAGTTTGTCATCCAAAAGGGACAGTAGAACAGGCTGCCCAATTCGAGACAACACGGAGGCACTCACTCACTCAGGCACAGTGAAGGCAGCAAGAAAATAGAGCGGAAAAACGGGGAAGAAGGGGACGTGAAGAGAGCCGCATGGATACGAGAATTAATTTCGTTGTTCATCGTGCGAGTAGATTTGAGCAAGAACTGGCAATGAAGGCAAAAAGTGAACAAGTAGAGTGAAAACGAAGAGCGAGTGTTCATTGTGTTGATAGAAGTAAGTCTCCGAGCTGGTCCATCAAAGAAAGGAAAGGAAAGTAAAAGAAAGAAGAGAGCGAATGCCGTCTTGCCCCTTCATGTGTTTCCTGTGTGCGTTTCGGACAGGCCTGGTTGCTATCCTCGAACTGGCAGCTGCTAAAAAAAGAAAAGACCATTCTATCGCTACCTGCCTTGTGCATGATTCGAACGAGTGAACGACGTGAATGGCGACAACGCGCGCCTTGCGTTTGTTCGTTCATGGCGCTCACTCAACTAACTTGCCTGCTCCCATTCAGCTTTCCTTCCTTTTCTTCTCTTTTTCTTCTCTTTTTCTTTCGTTTCATTCATTTGTACCTTACTTCCTTTCCATCGCTACTTTCCTCTTGTTGATATTCACCACTTTCCCGTGTCTGTGCATGGTTTGAACACAAAAACAGCCTCTGCGGGCAAAGCAACAAACACGAAAGTCGCCTTCCATCCATTTTGTTCTCCTTTTTATCTTACATCCCTTTCTCTCCCTCTTTCCTCTTTTCCTCTTGCCCCTGCTCAACATCCTCAGACACAAAGCAACAACATCAACAACAAATACCCGCTCCATCCCACTCGCGCCATTTATCAATCCTTTCTCTCCTTCCTACCTTCACTCTTTCTACTGCTTGCTTCACTCAATCCTTCCTTCCCCTCCCTTCTTTCTCAACTATCACCCTCTATTTTTCATATCCACATTCTCGCCCTCTTTCTCTTCTTTCAATTCTCATCATATTTCCTGTCTACCAGCAACTCTATTGTCATTGCCATTGCCCTTTGCCCACCATCCCTCTTCCACTCTCCCACCAAAGTTTTTCTCAGGAACAATAATTTCCTTTTTAACGTCCAAAACCATCTGCACAAACACACAGACCACCCACCTACCTTTCACCTCCTTCCAACTCTCGATAAAACCATAACAATGCGTCTCTCACGCTTTTCCTCATCGCCTACACCACTTCTCATAACCCTCCTCCTCTTCATCATCACCCTATCCACATCCCTCCACACAATCACCGCCTCTACCGTCAACTCCAGGAACAACAAACGAGACCTCCTCGGAAACATCTTCCCCCACGGCAGCTCCTCCGCTCCACCAGCCGCCACACCCGCTGGCTCTCCATCCCCAACAGTCCCCACCGCACCAGGCACTGGAGGCACCGGCGGCACCCAGTCCAACTCCACCGCTACAGGCCCCTTACCAGGCTTGATCAGTCAAGTCCTAGACCCACCAGTCCTCGGCAATATCGGCGGTGTCCCCTCCTCTACCACACCCACCAAAAAGCTCCCCTCTGGCGGCTCGGGCGCCAATGACGACAGCACCCCAGACGATGACGGCAACCCAGCAACACCCAACCAGTCCTCGAACGCCAAGAGTGGGAAGGGCAACAACCCTAACAGCAATGGCGGCCCACTGTCTCCGGGTCTGATTGTTCTTTTGGTCGTCATCCTGCTTGCAATTCTTGCGGGCGTGCTGTTTAGTTGTTACAGAATCCGTCAGTCACGTCGACGACGCCATCAGAGCTGGGATGAGGATATTCTCAAGAACCATGCTGGCTCTGTGGGGTATAGCGAGTCCGGTGGAGGCTATGGCATGTATGTCGGCAATGGAGGGAAGGAGAGACCGGACCTGTGGCGCAAGAACCTCGATCTGTTTCATCGCGAATGATCCCTCAACCTCAAGCAACAAATAACTAAACGACAACAACAACAGAAAAAAAAGAAGGGAGAAGGGAAGAGAGAGAGGGGGGGGACTTCTTTTTTGTTTCTGCTCAAACACACAACATTTTGTGAGCACCAACAATATTTCTGGCGGCAAATGTCACTAATTGAACCCCTTTCGCGTTTGCAAAAACTGGGTGCCCTCCTTCTTTTCCCTCTTGTCCCTGTGTCCCTGTCCTTTCTCCCGCCTCCTTTACGACCCCAACCATATCTACATATCATCATATCTTGCTAAATGGACATTTTTTTATTATTCAAAGCTACCTATGATTGTGTCTGTCTGTCTGCTTGATGTTATACCAATATGTCCATGAAAGGGGGGGAAAGAAGAATGCAAGATAGAAAAAAAAGCTGAAGATGTCGCATATCAAACTGAAAGTTGAAAGAAAGGTGTTGTGAGAGGACGGTGCCAGGGTTGTCAAAGCACCGCACAGAGGGTGACCTAGAAGACCTTCCAGTGGCCACCCTTAGTCCTCCTTGAGGGTACTGCTCCACCCCCAGGCTTTGTTCGCCTCGGCGTTGCTTTCCTTCTCCTTGGACTCGTTGGCATCGTTGATCTTGTCGAACTGAACCTTGACGATCCATAGGTGGATTTCTTGCTTGACCGTGAATGCCAGCATCTCCTTGACATCGTTGCGACCGCCCTGGAACGACAAGACAATCCTGATGTCGCGATGCGCCAAGGGCATGGTCGGGATGGACATGGGCACCTTTGAGAGCGCGAGGACGACAACTGTGCCATGGTTCGAGACCAACGAGAGATCAACCTCCCAATTGGTCGATTCGTTAAAGCTGTTGACCAGGAGCAAGTCGATCTTGCGATGCTCCGCCTGGAAACCGTCCTTGTTGGAGAGGCTAAAGGGACACGGAAGAAAAGATGGCTAGTATGCCGCTCAATAATAGGAGTCATTATCTCTCATCTGAGAGAAGGTGATGAAAGAACAAAGAATTTACTCTATGCAGCGAGTGGCGCCAAGCTTGGTGACATCCTCAAAGGTTATATCGCTGCCGTTGATAGCAACGATATCCTTCGACCCCATGGCCTTGGCGTACTGGATCGCGAAGTGGCCCAAGGTACCGATGCCCTTCACTCCAACCATCTTATTGGCTCCAGCGCCGTACTTGCGAAGAGCGGTAAAGATGGTGAGACCATCACATAACAGAGGAGTGGTTACCATAGTGACTTCAGGAAAGAGCAAGACGGAAAAGGGTTAGCGATCCGCGCTTGCTTTGCCTGCTAATGTAATCATGACGTCAGTATGCAACGCGAAAACTAGGAGAGAAAAGGCTGGGACATACCATGGGAGAAGTCAATCCCGTCGAGGCGACTTGTAGACAAATTTGCTACAGAGACGGATTCGGTTGGCGAAACCACCGTGCAAGGGAGCGGGGCATCCGTTCTTGAAAGTGTCGTGGTAGACATGAGTTTTCTTGGCGCAGTAGTGCCCCTGACCGGCCTTGCACTCGCCACACTTCATGCACATGTCAATTTATGATGCTTCAAGTATGATGTAAATAATAGTAGCGAGTGTTTTGATCGCTGATCATTAACACCAGACTCTTCTCAACAGTGAACTCTTCTTGACATCAGTCCCTCCTTCTTACTTCCATCTCTAACAATGGACTTTCCTTAGAAAGGAGAAGCGTTGATGAAAGCAACTGGTTTTTATTTCAACTGGAGGAGAGAAAAAGACGCGTTGGTGATGGTGATGAGAAGAAAATGATGCAAGGGTGAGGTGAGTAGATCCAGGGAGAGGAACCGTCAAAGCCAGGCATACTTCCACCTCACTTTCTACCACCAGATGCGGCGACCATAGCCCCATCCGTAGTATCTGGGATAGCCCCAGTAACCCCACCCGCCGGGGTACCACTTGGTGTTGTCGCCGATATCGGCGTCGTAGGCCTCGACGGTGGGGCCCGAGCCCGTGGATTGGGTGCCGGCTTGCTGGGTGTCCTGGGCCGCGACTTGGGAGATGGCCAAAGCGGCGACGAGAGCGAGCGAGGTGATAGTCTTGAGCATCATCTTGGGGGCTTGGAGTGAGAGTGGTTTTTGTTACAGGGGAGTGGAGTTAGATTTAGTTGTGGTTGCTGATTGCTTTGTTATTTGTGTAGATCGAGGACCTGGGGATTCTGAGAATGACGGCGACGGGTCCGGTATTTATATCTTTGGAGTCGACGTGGATCGTGATATCGCATAGCTATGGTAACAAGCCCCTGAAAGGTGTCTAGATTATCGTCGGACTGAGATCAGTGATCAGGAGAATTTTCCTGAGGGAAAAGGTCCCGATCAGTCCGACTGGCGCCATCAGTTACCTTGCTTAGAGAGAAGTCGCGATGCATTCGCAGGCATGAGCAATCATTGCCATTCCACAGAAAAGATCCGCGCGTATGCATGTACAAATTGATGTTTGTGTTCAATGAAAAGAGATAAGGTTTAAAAAGAAAAAACGATATGCCCTGGTTTGGTTCAAGGGTTTTCTGGGAGCGTGTAGGACCAATGGGCGGTTCAGTCACTTGAGGTAGGGGCAGACGATGAAGAGCAATCGGGAACCGAAGGCGACGAATAGTCGTTTGAGGACGAGTACGAGGTGTCGTTGTTCGATGAATACGAGTAATCCGGCGGCGAAGGGTCGTGGTGGCTGCTGTGGCTGTGGCTGTGGCTGTGGCTGTGGCTGTCGCTGGAATCAAGAGGGTGGCCGTGATCATTTCCACGGCTGCCACTACTCTGTTTTGGGCCATCGTCACCGTCGCCCGGCTTGTAACTGTCCGGGTTGTAACTGTCCGGGTTGTAACTGTCCGGGTTGTAGTTGCTCATGTCGATGACGACAATGTCAAGATTGTTGCCAGACGCTCTTGCGTATATTTTTCTTGCGTTGTCTCTTCTGGTAACGAACTCCTACGACAACGAGGAGTAGAATGATGGCGCCGAAGATGACAATTGGCAGGAAATAGGGATATGTGGGTCCTGAGGTAGGGTCCATGGTGTTTGTGTTGACGAGAGGGTGGGATGATACGCCTAGTGGGTAGGACTGTGGGTCTGCTTGGTGAATGGGTGTGTGTTGAAGGCTTTGCTTTGTTGTGGGAAAGCGCTTTGGGTGCTTGGTGATTTTTGGTGGCTGATGGTTGCTGCTTTGCTGAGGTGGTTGTGTGTTGCTTTGAAGAATGAGAATGATAAAAAAGAGGTCAACGGCGGTGCTTATGTACATGCATAGCGGCTTCATCTCATTTTTTTATGCTGTCGACTTTTGTTCCTCTCATTCCATTTGTCCATTTTCACAATCAACCGACCGTTAGATTTCACTGCACGCCTACATACATTGACACAGCTGCAGCCATTCATAGTATGCCATTCTAGGGTTTGATCTGTTCGTCGCTCCAGGCCAAAAGGTAATTGTTTTTTTTGTCATGTCCAGCCCAGGCTCCTAAAAAGGTCGTCATATCTGGGAGTAACCAAAGGAGACCACTTGGACGAGACTAGACAGGAATCTTTTCTTTGTCCCTCTTCTCTCGGCAATGTATGGAGGACAAGGCCAAGCAAGCCCTTATTTTGTGTCGTTGACATCTCATTGGCTGCCGGACCGTGTGCGCGTGTGTGTGCCCGCATGGGGTTGGGGGTTGAAGGGGAGGTCCTCGAAACGAATGAACGTGTTGCATAAAAGAGACACCAGAGATGAGAGAGGATGGACACCTTTCTTTGATTTGACCTATTCCTTTGACTCAATTTAACAAGAATAGTTGTTTCCTCACAAACACACACACATCGCACGTGCATGTAGACACTACCTTTTATGGCATCATGGCATCACTTGCCAAATCACAATGTCAAGAAAAGTTGAAGTATGAATTCAAAAGGTCTTCTATTTTTTTTATCGATTGTAAAATTACGCGTAGAGGGGTATCAAGGCGCCGAAACGGCAGGTGTGGCTTAACTCGACGGAGCAGCTGCAACACCTGATGATGCTTGAGGCAAAGCCGACAGAGGAAGAGAATTCCTCTCGGTCTCTTCCGCATCAGGAGTAATCACGACATGGGCACCGGCAGGATAGCTTGGAGGTGGCACGGATGGAGCTACATAGTTAGGCAACACACCCTCACCATTAGGACTACCGGTAGTCGTGGTGTTATCCTGAAGCTTGCTCACGTCAATGCCATGGCTTGCAGGTGTAGGTGGGTGGTATCGGTAAGGTTCGAAATAGGGACGTGGGGAGACGATGGTGGTACCCGGTAGTAATTTTTCGATTCTTGCATCTGCCTGCTTACGGGCTCGATGCATATGGATGCCACAGATTATGGCGAGGATGACGCAGAGGGCTCCAAAGATAATGACTGTGATACCGCCGATTCCACTTCCGAAAAATGCCATAGTTGTAAAGATAGTGTGTTTGTGTGTGTGGAGAGAGAGGGGAGGGGGAGAGAGGAGGTGCCTGATTGAGTGATTGGGGGGAAAGGAAGAGGCGATATATTTAAGCGATTCTGGTACTAATGCAAGCTCAAAAGCGGAGATGAATGGAGCCACAATTCCTCCTATGTAGTACACCTGCATGTGCCCTTCACCTTCAGTCGATGACTTTCCTTAACTTCTAAAAAGAAGAATCTCAGGAATTCAGGAGCTCATGGACACTTCCATATGTTCTTATTTTTGTCCTTTCAGACCGGCATGTCGTTGTACAGGGAAAAAAAGAAGGTTGGGAACTTCCATGAATGGCGGCGTGTACCAATATCAAGGGGAGAATCGAAAAATAAACATTAGGGTTTCTAAGCAGCAAAGCAAGAAGGCAATTACAAGTGGTTAGGGAGGGGAAGAAGAGAAGGGAGAGAAGAAATTCTTGTCTAACGAGAAGCTGCGGTCATGCGGGTTGACGACATGCTCTGTTTGAGGCTGAACAAACAAACAAAAGCTAACGTTTGCCATGAGATGACAAGGCGAGTCGGTGAACGTTTACATGTATATTTACGGGTACCAAAATAGTAGTAGTAGGGTCCGATTGACCCTCTAGGATAGCTATTTACATATGGGCGGGGGCATCAAGGGTGGAACACGTAACAGTTGCTGGTGTATCCATCAGACTCGATTTACTCTGAGTAAGTCATAGAATCATCATAGGCAGGCTGTGTTGCTTCGGAGTCAGCGTTGGTCCTCTTGGTTTTGGTCATCATATGATGCGAAGGAGGCTGGGTCTGAGTCATCGAAGGGTACATTGTAGTTGGCGGTGGCGGCGGCGACGTGGAAGTAGAAGGCACGGGTGGATGAAACTGATACGACTAGTATGTGGGCGCTAGCGCCTCAATGTTTGTAATGACTGTGGGTTGAGCAGTTGTAGATACAGCAGGCTGCTCAATCCTCCAGGGACGTCCTCCAGCAGTGAGGATTCTCTCAGGAGGTATAAGTCGTAGTCGTTGCTGTTGTCATTTGTGTCTGATTACACACGCTCTGCACAGATGAAAGAGTGAGAAGCCAAGGGCGATAGCTGCGAGAACGATCCCAAAGATGGCGACGGCGCGCTTGGTGCCAGAGTCGTATTCCATTATCAGCGGGGGAAAAACGATAAAAGTGTCGTGAGTGTGTTGCGCTCGTTGTTTGTTGGTGTTTTGTACGTTTTTGCTGTGTTAGTGTGCGTGTTGAGTAAAAGGCGACAGGGTTGCAAATATCAGGGCGGTATTGTATTTAAGCACTTTTTTTTCTCTTTCCCACAGCAGATATCAAAGTTTGTTTTCCCCATCAAGATCGAAAGGACGGAAAGAGGTAAGGAGGGGACACATCGTTGTCATTGTGTTTCCTCCTCGGAATGGCCACCGGTATGGGAGAACCTCCTAGCAGCCATGGTTTTTTGTCCATCCCACCTGTGTGTTTCCTTTTTTGCGTGCCACGCCATGCCATGCCGACCTCCAGACAAATTATCCGTCAAAAAGTAAATAGCAGTAGAACGGCACACGGTACCAAATGGCGCTCAAAAAGTAAAAAACAAGAAATGCCTCACACTAACAACCAAACAAAAAAAGGACAATTGTATCGTCCTCATCTGTACCGCCATCGACAATGAAAATTACCCGTTCATGGTTCCTGAGAATGAAAACAGATCTTTTCTTCACGGAGAATCGTATGGAATGAGAGAATGGGGAGATAGAGTTTGCACGTTTGTTAGTCTCGAGATGTGTTTCAAATCGTCACTTCCCAAAAGTCGACAACGACATGAAGAAGCTTATTTATGAGAGAAAATGAAAGGGATCACCTCATGCGTCTATATTTTAATTGTCTAAAGTTTATTTACATTGGTATAAAGTGCGGATGCGGGTATCGGCTGGTGTGTCCATCTCACTCTGCTCTCAGGAGGTGGCCGAAGCAGAATAGGCGGGTGGTGTTGAATCTGCTTCGCTGCTGGTTGGTTGGGTTCTGGTCATTGAAGAATACGAAGGAGGCTGAGGCTGGCTCATTGGAGAGCAGGTCAGTGCCGGTGATAGAGAAGTGGCCGCCAAGGGTGGATAAGACAAATGCGACGAGGACGAAGGGGATGATGAGGAGGTAGGCATGGGTGGGTACGTGGGATATGCTTGATATGTCGGTACTGGTGGCTCGTAGTCGTCGATAGTAATAACAGTGGATCGAGGGTTCGAGGTTGGCTGAGCGGCTGGCGAGGGACGAGTGACTGGCTGAGAAGTAAATGGTCGAGTGGCAGGTTGGGCCATCAGGGGTAGTCGTTGTTGAACGAGAACGACTCTCGCCTGAGTAGTAGCAGTAATAGTTGATCGCCGTTGGTCGTCCTCGGGAACACGCTTTATGCACAGGCGAATGAGTGAGAGAAGAGCACCCGTGGCGGCGCAAGCGATCGCCAGAATGACGAGGGTGGGGTTGGGGTTGGAGTTGTACATTTTTAAGATGTTGGTGTGGAGTGCTACTGACGATTTATTTTTGTTGGCGCGAACTCGTAGTGGTAGTGTTGATGGTGGTGTTGATGGTGGTGAATAGGTATATATTCGAAAAGGTGGATCCCAACCTCAAGTACTTATGCCTTTTCTCTTCATGCTTACAACCACCATGACAGATGCAAAAGAAAAAAAAGATAGGGAAGAGAGCAAAGAACGAAAGTAGAAGGAAATGATTTTCAGTTTTTTGTGTTTCGTCATTTTCGGTTTCCTTGACAGAAGGTATCCAGTCTGGAAAAACGTAATGTTAATACACCCGAAATCAAAAAAAAAAATGTTTGTCTCTCACCCGCATGGTCATACCATTTGAAAAGATAAAGTTTTTTGCACGCTTGTTCCTGAGAAACAAATGACCGCTGCAGCCTACAGCCTTTTAGGATTTTTCTTTTGTTTCCACATCATCGTCATTTCTTAAAAGTCGAAAAGGCGGAGAAAAGCTTATTTTGAGAAGAAAAAGGAAACTACAGGTGCTGTTCATACAGCGGGCAAGGACAGCTGGGAGACTGTTGCAGTTATGCAAGTACAATTGGTCAACACTGAATGAACGGACGTACTAAAGAACCACGAAGTCAAGCGAGACTGTTACGGTTTTTTTTGAAAGCATGCAGCAAGTAATGTAACAGTTTGTGTGCGTTTATTCACAAGTGAGAGGAGAGACTTTGTTAGATCAGAGGGTAGTAAAGATGGAAGGGGTATCTAATGAGGCTGCGAACTATCACAGTTGCTAGCACTGGAATAACCTAGCTAGGTTGTATATGGGGTATACACTGGAGATGTCGAATCTGTGGTAGAGGTCGCCTGGTAGCTAATCATCGGAGGATACGAGGTCGGAGGAACCTGAGTCATTGAAGGGTAAGTTGTGGGCATTAACGATCGAGAAGGACAAGGCATGGGTGGGTATTGCGCAAGTGACGGTGATGATGCTGGTATAGGTACATAGGATTGGTATGCGTATCTTTTAATTGTACAATAGAGTGAGACGACGATGATGAAAGAGGCGAGGATGCATGCAGTGATGAGAATGGTGCGCCTGTCGTCGTAGGACTCGGAGAGAAGAAGCGTGTTCTTCTTTTTATGTTGTTTTGTTGGTGGTGAGGTGGTGATAAAACAAAAGGATGTCACTCTAGAATGCGAACATTAAGTATTCTCCAGGATGATGGATGACAAGAGAGTCCAGAGACAAGAGAAAGGAACCAGGGTTCAGGCGCCAGGGCATGACTGGCTCAAAAAAAGAATAGTTCGAGACACATCATCATCACACCTCCCAAGGAATGCCCTGGCGCCCGAAAAGTTAAATTTTCTTTCACTCCACCGTTTGTCCCCCCTTTTCGCACGCCATCCATGAAACGGGAAGACAAACCAAACAACAACAATCATCTTCAAAGGTGATGGCAATCGAGTTAAGAATGGCGGTTCATTTGGTCTGAGCCAGAGGAACGCAGACCCTCTCCCATCTACTCCCATTCGACGTTCAACAATGAAAGTCGCGCATGCCTGAGGTTCTTGACAAGCAGCCGATCAAACGGTTTAACATCCCTATTTTGTGCGTGTTATGCGGAGAAAGGTCAGGAGTGCAATCCGGATCAACTTTTTCGGAGCAACAAAGGGAAGGGGAATCAATAATGCTTCAAAAGGTAAAAAATTAATAGGAACGCCCGTTCTTTTTTCTCGCTTTTCATTCGCCCGCTTGTCAAAGTCGACCCAAGGGCAAAGTACAAAACAGGTAGCGAGATCGAGATCTGAACAGGTTATTGGATGTTTATTATGTGTATGCGAGAATGGGAATCAGTATTAGACTGCAGTTTACTGCGTTTTAGTGGGAGCCTTTTGAGGGTTGTGCTGATTCGCGATAGGCAGTCAAAGGATCGGGGTATGGTGCGGATGATGGTAATGTGGATGTGGCCATTGGCGGGAAAGTTGATGATGATGCTGGGGCTACGCTGGAACTGGCCACTGGATTAGGGAGAAGAGCGGCGGGTGTGTCACTGTAAGCAGGAGGCAGTTGATCCGGTCTGGTCTTTGGCGTTGGCATTGGTGGATATTCTGTCTGTTGATGTTGTTGAGGCTGAGACATCAATGGATACGGCTGAGGTGGCGAGGTGGCGACAGGCAAGAGTGGATAGTCGGCGACTGGTGGTGGTGGTGGTGGTGGTAGTGAGCTGGGAGCCACGTATAGGTGGGGTTGATATTGGACATAAGCATTAGGATTTACATGTACAATGCAAGGGGGAGGGACAGGTGTTCCGACGACTTGCACCATAGGTCTTTTCTTGCTTCTGCGACACATGCCAAACCCGACACAGGCAGCGAGAACAAGGACACCGAGGCCGATGTGGAATATGTAACTCTTGGATTCACTGCTTGTTGAGGGAGAGCTCCCAGAGTGACTATATACCATGATGTAGAGTGTGGTAGGAAGGCGTGTGTGTTGTGAGAAAAATAAGTGTCTGGAAGAAAATAAGGCAAAAGGTATGCGGTGGGTGGTGTGTGCAATGGGAATAAGGAGGATGATGGTGTGGGCGATGGGTGCATATATATGGACGGACATTGAAACCAGCAAAGTCGACTGGTGAAGATATTTCTACTAAGAATTCCAGGGAATACTTGCCCTGCACATCCTTAAAACTTTAAGCTCCCACTTCTATCCCCATCATCCGCAACGGAGATTACCCGTGTCTATTTGCTCCCATCAAGTGATAATGCACTGTGTTGTAGTGCCTTGTCATGCATAATAAACAAACAGGTAGATCGGACTCCACTGTGTTGTTATAGCTCCTTGCGTGCCCTTGGTTGCACGCATGCGACATGTATAGAGTACGCTAGAAAACAAGGGGAATGATGATGCAAACACCCTTCAGCTCCCATGGTTTTTTGTTCCTTTGGTTTTGCTTTTTCTCTCAACTACGACTCTCCACATTTTCTTATTTGCACACCAAAAGGTCATTGAAGGCCCGGCAGCTGGGTAAAGTGAGGCTTTATAGATTCGAGCTTTTATTACAATGCGATGCTGAGAGAAAGCTGAAGGGCATCGAGCTCTTGAATGTGCAAAGTGGTGAAGGTTTAGTAATAGATTTCCGAAGAACCTAGCGTAAATATTAATATTAATAACGAGGGCAGTGATACAGCAGCCAGATGGACAAATGGAGTAGGTGCAACAAAGCGATTGTCGATTCCTTCTATCTTACCCATGAGCTTCGACAAGCTCTTGTACGACATCTTCGTGCACGTGGCCGGATCGTCTGTGGTTGTCGCTCAGAAGCCGACACCTGCATCGGATCCAATTGCAATCGTCATCACCCGTGACAGCGACGCGCTAGTTTACAGCAACATCAATACCATCTGGAGACCTTCGGTCGTGACAGTTCCACAACCTGGCAGTCAGCCAGAAGGCCGTCTACCAGCCGACATTCAAGCACAGACGATGGCTCGAACAGAGGAAGGGACGTGCAGTAGAGGGCAAGGAGTCAATCGCTCACAAGGAGACCAACTTGCCGCCGCTCCGTGGACCAGAAGCATTGATCATCGAGTATGTCAAGCGGTCCAGGGTTGTTGAGTCGGATCTGGACGCGTTTTACAACAATGTTACTCTCAAGAAGCATCAGTGGGATGCAAAGCGAGCAAGGGATCAAGAGTTCAAACTAGTCGGAAAACGCCTTTTGGAGTTGGTTGGAGGTACTCCAGGCGCGAAACGGGACAGCAAAAATAAGGTCATCATCGGTGTAGGACTCGGAGAGTTCTCTTCGAGTCCACGGTTGCCGTCCCTCCACACAGCATTTCTCAAGTACTTTGTGCAGTTGGTAAGCAGCTGGGCTTTTCTTGAACTTTCCTCAACATAGACCCGATCATTGGATTACATCATAGTCGGAGTCAATAAATACTATACGTCCAAGCGGTGTCCAGTGTGCCACGAGTTTGTTGGCCAAGTCGACATCCGTCAGCTGTATCGCCCCACTTGTGGCGCCAAGATTCACAGAGACGTTATGGCCGCCCATAACATGTGTAACATCATCCAGGGACACTTACTTGACCACAAGCGCCCTCACTACTTGCGGCCGTACGACAAGAACGGAATCTACATCTGGGAACTCGAGGAGAACATCAGTCTGTCGAGACTATGTGGGCACATTTGGCCGTAAAGGACGTGGAGGCAGGCGTTGATCGGATGGCACCTGAAGCGGAGCAGGCTGAACAGCGTCGACGCAAGAGAGCGGCGGTTTAGCTTTTCTAACATGTTAGACAGACCAATTTATGTGCATGTCATTACAAAGGTGCTTTTGGATTACGGAAGGCGCAACGATTACTCACTTCGGTGACGTAATTCATGCGCCCATTGTTCCTTTCTTCACCTATCGTCTCTTACACATACACACATACATACTCTCTCTCTCTCTCTCTCTGGAACTACTCCCGAAGTCCAATCTGCATCACATATTCCTGCTGCCACAACTCTCGCGCCCTGTCATAAGCCCTCATTGCCCTCTTTTCGCGCCACCTCACTCTCTTCAGGTAATGTATTCTTGGATTTATTGAATTGGTTTACAACAGGCTGGAAAACTCCACCAAGCGCATCCTATCGCCATGCACTAGTTCTTTCTTAGCCTCGCCTTCCTTGTAGCTGGACCTATGTATGGTCCGCGGAGGAAGGGCGGAAAGTGGAGTGAGATAGGATTATGGTTGATGATTGAATGCCTGAACCGCCAGTGCTGGTTCCTTCTTAGCCTCACCTTCCTTGTAGCTGAACTTGTATTTAGTTCGCGGAGGAAGGGCGGAAGGTGGAGTTAGGCATGTTCGACAGACTTGTGTTCTTCTAATTCTCACCTGCGCTACAATGACAGCTAACTTGGCATTGATCCTCCAAATCTATTCGTTCTTTCTCGAGCTACAAGCATGGACTCCGAGAAGACTGAAAACTGTGACGACAAGTACAACGAAGGCAGCATTGAGAACAGTGGGAGCGATGGCAGCGCTGGCAACAATGTCACCCTTTCGACGCCCAAGGAGGGCAGATTATGGTTCCTGAATAAGCTCGCACAGAAAGAGGACATCGGCATGCCTGAGTTTTACCAGGAAGATGATCACGCGGCGTTTTCGAGTCTCTTAATAAGAATTTCAGGCTGTAGAACCTTAAAGCTTTATTCGCTTTTTTTTTTTTTTTTTTTTTTTTGGGGGGGGGGGGGGGTGGGTTGTGCATCTCACTCCTCCATCCCATCCGCCACAAGTCCACAACCAAATGCCCCGGTGAACAGCACTTCTCTATCTGCTAGTCAAATGTAGTAATTGAGACGATGTCTTTTCACAGCAAACAGAGCGACTTTGTTTTCATCCTTGCTTTTTGCTCCTTCCTTCTCTTGTCACAGCCACAACCGAGTTTTCGTTTTTGCCACAATATCATTTCAGTATCTTGTTTCAGGGCTGCAAGAGTCTGTTTCGCGCTGCTACTGGCCAGGAAAGAATGAAAGAAACACAGAGGGGGGGGGGGGACCACGCTCGACTGCGGTCGCGTTCTGGTTGGGATAGGTTAGCACACGTTCCCCGGTTCAGAGGATATGTAAAGCTCGGATGTGAAGAAATGCGGCGCGGTGAAATAAGGTTGGCGATGCAGATAGCCATATGCAGTATACTCGTCAAACAAATAAATAAATAAGCATTCAAAAGCTCTCTGTCTTTCACGTTGAAAACAAGAAATAAACAGGTTGTTATGACACTACTATTATTTATTTTAAAATGGTACTGATAGAAAGAACAAAAACCCCCCCTTTGAAAGTAGGGAGGTGAAAAAAAAGGATAAGGAGATTTACAGGAAGTTGACTCCAATTTGACCAGGCTGTTGTGGTTGAGGAGGGTACTGACCGCCAGCAGGGGGAGCGAATCCACCAGCGAAACCTCCAGGCTGGCTCATGGGAGGGTAGACTGCTGGGGCAGCGTAGGGAGTCGTGGGGGTATATGGCGTCGAAGGGGTATAGGGCGACGCAGGAGCGTAGGAAGATGCAGGGGTGTAAGGCGAAGACATGGGAGGGTATGAGGTAGGAGCTGGACTCATGGGTGCGTAGGCGGTGGTCTGCTTGTAGGTGTTGTTGGCAGGGGTGTAGGTCTGTTGTTGAGTCATGACAGGGTATCCTTGTGTTGTGGTGGCAGGGACGGGCTTGTACTGTGCCTGAGCTGTTGAGGCTTGGGGGACAGCAGTTGGTGTGGCAGCAGCAGCCTCGGGATCCTGAGCAGCGGCAGCCGATTTGTTCGCGGAACTCTTGTAGATCTTATAGATGATCCAGATGATGATGATGGCGACCACAACTCCAATGATTGCGTAGGTGGCCTCCTCGGAGAGTGCACCGCCGCCGCCGCCACCACCACCGCCATAGTGTCGAGCCATTATCTAAGAGGGGGTGTGAGGAAGGTAAGATGGAAAAAGTAGGAAAAAGAAGAAGAGAGACCTGCTGGCTTTTTTAGCGGGTGAAAGGGAAGTTTGGTGAAGGGACAAGAGGGTGAGGAACAGGAAGAAAAGGAGAAAAGTGGGAGGGTGGGTCCTCCGGGTCACATTTAAGTATTCACGCGAGATGAAAGAACGATACAAACGACATCAATAACAAAAAAAGCAAAACAAACAAGGTCGTAACCTACAACCCAATGCTCACTCGCCCCATTTTCATCCTTTCTACTTCGGTAATGGTAACAGTGTCCACTTGTCACCACTCGTTATGCTTTTCGACCTTTCCGGGGTTTCTGAAAAATAAACAAAAGAAGACCTTTTCACCCTTCTGACCCCCAACCTAAAGCTTAAAAGCATCCCAGAGACGCCGCTTGCACACGCCGCACTTTCTCCCTTGTTTTGGTTTAGTGTCTTTTTTTCTGTATTTTGAGAGCTGCGGCCCAATGGTGTCTACTCTTCCTCTCTACCTATCTTTTTTTGCTTTCCTCTTCTTGATTGATTAGAGAGACACACCTGTTGGGTCAGTCTGTGGCAGGCAACAACACCGCAAAAAGACACTGTGGCAAATTGGGGTTGGTGTTCATCAAAACAAAGGTGATATGACATGATGCATGCAAGATGAGTGCGATGCCATGGTAAGCACTGCAATAATAAAGTGTGAGAGAACTTAAAGGGAAGAGAGAGCATGCCGCAGCGAATAAGATCCAATGCCATTAATCATCCTCCGCCGCCGCCACTCAGTCATAGCATGAGGAAAAGTGAAAAAGAAACCCCCTATATTTTGGGGGATTGTTTTGAGGGAAATGCTGTGGCGTTCTTTTTTGTGGCCGCTGCGATTAGCTTTATTGTTGACAGAGAACAAACGTGGTCAAGCCAGAAGCAAGCTGCGTTAGAAACAACAACGAGTTCTAGGAGAATGGATATAGTCTGCAGATGTCGAGCGTGATACTGGGTGGCTTGTTTTATCCTGTTGCTCTTCAACTTAAACCATTTAACGCGACAAGTAGCCGCGTGAACACTGCAAGTGGACGCAATGCAAACAGTGGATTTATTCACTTGTAAAGAGTGGAAAGACGACGCGAGCAGTAGTAGACAAATAAAGAGGTGGCTACTTTGGCTCAGAAACACCGACTGGGGGCTTCGTAGTGTGAGCATCATCCATCTCGACGACGGTGTAGGGAGGAAGGGCGGAGTCATCGGTGGACTCTTGAGTGGGTGTGACCGTGGCGGTTGGGTTGGAACGGGAGGTCTTGAACCAGCGGAAGCATCCACCCATGTTAAGCATGGCGCCGACCGCGCCAACTGCAAGGATCGAGCAAACGACGATGAAAAAGATTCTTGAGGTGTTATCAAGGCTCATGAGTGAGAAAAAAGCTGGTTGGACAGTAGGGAGGTGGGGATGGGAAGAGTGGAAAAAGGAGTGTGCGGCTAAGTGGCTGCAGACTAAGAGGATGTAGAATAAAAAGATGGACTTTTGGTCAACTTCGGAGTAGGCTATTTATCCTTTATTGCAGGGGTGTGGCGCTACCTTGGGGACTTTGAACTTGAAAAAGTCGACAAACTTGGTATATGCCTGTCCTTCCATCCTAGTATTCTTTCATAGATATTCTAGACTTTGTGGTCAAAAAATCTTAACCTTGCCGTATTCCAGGCGTGGCGTTCTGCGGCTGTGGACTTATGCACGCGCATTGGTTTCAGAAAAAGATATAAAGTAAAAAAGAATTGAGAGAAGAATCTGATAAGAGGCACCATGGCGAGCGAGAAGGAATGTTCGATGATACTCTTTCATGCTGAAGGATCCCAGTTGATGTGGCTTGCCTAAGGAAGTAGACCAGTATTGAGCATGTATGTTGTCGACGTGCATTTCATGCTTCGGCTCGATATTTCCCGTCAAGGTCATGGTTCAATTTTTTTTCTCTGTAGTGCATAGGAGAAAGAAGTGCCTGGGGCAAAGTGACGGAGGTTCCTCGATTAGAGTGGAAGCGCCTCCTCTCACAGCAGCAACATAAGAAATGGCAACCCTTGATGCTTCCGCCTATGTCTGAAGAGTACAAGTGCATTTTCTCTACAGAGAGCCAAGGCCACCTCTGGCCATCGGGTCAGTGTTTTCGTGATAGAAATGCGTTAGGGCAGAAACGGTTGAATGCGCGTCACTTTTTTTCGGTTCCTGTGACGTCGCTTTTTCCCTTCCTGGCTTTTGTCGTTAACCGACTGACACCTTTGCCTCCCAACACCAACAACACCACCAATACACACGAACAACAATGTCCGAACACACAAAGGAACTGCACGACTCCGCAACAGAGACTCATCTCGAGGAACCCATGGAGGACGGCGACAACGCCTCATCAGGAATCCTCCTCGAAAAGGCCGATTACGAACACTCCTCTCCTGAAGTCTCCTCCCTGAACTCATCGACCATTCTGGACCACCCCGAGGACGACAGTAAAGCTGAACACGGAGACAGCAAAGAAAACAGCAGCAAGCCCACGTCCACAAAGCACGCTGCTCCTGCGATCGTCTCCAACACACCCGCCACCCGCCCCTTTGTCACTGGAGTGGTCCCTGCCAAGCCCGCCAACCCCGCTGTGCCCGTGTCTTCATCCACGGAGCTGTCAACGGATGTTATCGACTTGAATCAGGGCATGCCCTGGAAGATTCTGGCTCCATTCATCAGCCGTGAGACCGTCCTCTCGCTCGCCAAGATGACCGCCATCAACTTTATCTTGCCCTTTATCAACGGCGTGTTCCTTGGATTTGGCGAGATTTGTGCGCACGAGTTGGCATATCGCTGGGGCTGGATTCATTCTGCACATGTTGCGAGTGTGCCTGGAAGACGCCCTATTGGAAACGAGGTTGGCATCCGTGCGGCGGGTGTTTCGGGGGCTGGTTCGGTCGGTTCGATCTCGGGCACAGCAGGGTCGGGATATGCAGGCAGCCGCTCTGGCATTGGTGGATTGGGCCGTTTTGAGGATGAGTTTGAGGTGTCGAACAAGACGACATCCAGTCGTTTCTAAATCGATGTAACATGTATATACAGCATTAAAAAAAAGTGGTTGTCTTGCCACTCATGTGTAAAAAGTTTTTTTTTTCTTGCTCCTTTTCTGTTTTACTAGCCCACTCACCCTGCATCGCCAAATAATATAAGAGTTCATTTGGAGGAAGAAAAAAAAACACCTAGGCAACTTGGTGTTCCTTTGATGATCGCAACGTGCTCAAAATCGGGGTTTCTTGTTTTGTATCAACATCACCCAAAACCAAGGAAGATACAACGATGGAGTGGGTGTCATTCTCGCCACGTAACGTTGTAACAGTGATAAGAGGAGATGAGCAGTGATGGTACGTACCATTGCAGCATTGAATGTGAAGGAGAGGAGAGAGGAGGCATCCAGGAACGGAGGTAAGAGAAATAATTTTTTGAGACACTCTTCGCAGCACATGCAGCTCGACGGAAGGGAGAGGTGAAGGGCAAATATTGCAACAAACAAAGCAAAGGTGGACAGCACAAAGCGCAAAAAAAGGTTTCATGTCTTCCCCTATCTCTCTCTCTCTTTCTCTCTCTCTCTCACTCTTTCTCTTCCTCTCCTCCCCTTCGCCCAACACTCTGCTGAAGTTGACACCAACGGACCACCACCGCCGACTTCCTCACCCACAGGCCACACCCGCCAACACCACCACCCGACCCTGGAAGAGAAGCAGACCAAACCAAGGATTGTCAACCGCATCCACACACACACCCCTTCCGCTGTCGTCCCGCCGCCCATGTTTGCCCGTCAGGTGAACCCGCTTGCCGCATTCACATCATCCCTCTCGGCAGCGGAAGCGCATCTCCGACGAGACAACGACATCAACCTAAGCCATCATCAAAGCCTTCCATTCACTACATCACCCACCCACTCACCGTCTTGCTCCAGTACATTCCATCCCAGCACCAGCACCAGCAACAGCAATGACAGCTACAACAAAAAGGAATCCACCGCAGCAAGCAGCACCTACAACCCATACAAACGGAAACATCCTCTTCAATTCGAGCCAGAGTTCTTTGAAGCACTCGATGCTTCCTTGCAGGAGTTCCATGATGATGAAACGCAGCGCAACGACCCCGGTGGCTGCCGGATGGCCTCCTTGTCGAACCTGAACGGAAGCTCACCGTGGCCGTCAAGACCCTGCAAAAGGGCTAAAAACTCGCTGTTCAAATGTCCAGCCTTTTCACAGTCAACAGGATCAACTTCACGGGCACCACCTTCATCTGGATCATCCTCCGCAAGTCTTCGGACGCCTTCGCCAACACAATCCTTCAATCCCACCCAAACGACAACGATATCCCACAGCGACAGCACCAACCGAACCAGCGACACCGAATCTGATCCACCACCCTCCGATCAAAACACACCACCTGTCTTCCCACAAGCCTCATCTCCTATCTCGGCTTGGTCGCACAGGAATGTTTTCTCGAACTCCCCAGCGTTTGTTCGATACTCAAAAGGGCCAAGCATTATTGATTTGTCATCCGGCGAGGAGTTGGTGCCCATACACATGGTCGACAAGGAACAGCACAAACGACGCCGGGATTCCTCATGTGAGTCATCCTCACCACCAGAGTCCGTCGACTCGCTGCATCAAGTTTTCGAACTCCAAGCGGACGGAACCCTGCTCCCCATTCTGGATCCCTCGCCTTCCGACCCCTCGCCAGCCAAAAGGATGCGAAACAGCAGGGCCAATCGGTGTCGGTACTTGCACTTTCTGAGCGACGACGAGAGCGACATTGATCGACTGTCAACAAAATTGAAGGCCGACTTGCGGCGCAGGAAACCACTCAGTGGTTTTATTGGATCCAACCGGACACACCGAACTACCGCTATGAGAAGAGTTTCACGTAGCGGAGGATCAGCAGCAACAATAGTGGCAGGATCGTCACATGCTCACGAAGAGCCATATTGCGGCTCCAATGGTTTCTGGACTGAACAAGCTATGGATGCGACTGTCAGCGGCATATCGCAGGAGGAGGAGGAGGATGCATTGTCCGACCAAGAACATCAGATGCATCAGGAGGAGCTCATCGCGAAAGGAGAACAGTCGTCTTTAGATTCCAGCAACCCAGATCATCAAACGATGGTCCTGTACAAGGGTCCCAGGAATGTGTCTTTGACACCTCACCCCCAAGCCGTCGAATGGAGTCGCTGGATGGATGATGAGGCGAATGGCCTTGCCAACCTGGACGAGCTGCAGGGCCATGGCATGGTACTCTACCAGCGGGATCATATTGGCCGAGAGCCCTCCTCGCGGTTCAACCAAGGACGGAGAGTCATTTGGGTGGAGGACGATACTCTAGACGATAATCTCGACTCGTCTGTCCTGATTGAGGAGCTGAGCGACGACGATGATGATGACGATGATGGCAACTTGGCGGACGATGAGGAGTACAATCTATCCAGCGATGCGCCCCTGATGGACTTGGAGGAACAGGCCACAGACATGGACATCGATTAGCCTTTCAAGCCTACACGCTCTATTTTGCACTCTCCACTCTAATTACTCATTTCATATAGACACCTTTTTTCCTTCTCTTATTTCTAATCCTTGTATAAAACCGCATTTGTAAGAACACAAATAAACTACGTATCCTGAAGACCAGTGTCCGGGGTATATTGAGCAATTGACCCTTCCGGCAAGTTGGACGCCGATACAAGGAGGTGGAGAAGTTTTGATGTCCAAGCCCTTCGGACAGTCCGGGTATGATCGAAGGATCCGTGGGAGGGCACCTGGACCAAATGTGGGGGAGCGAAAATTTGTGCGGCTCAGAATCACATTGGACCGATCGACTTCCGCCAAACCATACCTTGATGCACATACAAATAGCTAAAGCATTTCATTATTTCTCGCATTCATCTCCCCCTCTCTTCTTTCATTCTCTCATTCATTCTTCACTCCAACCAACACTTTCACCCACTACCTTATCTATACAACACAATATATACACAATGACTGTTATCGAGAACACACAGATCGTCCTGGCCAGCAGACCCGTTGCCGATATCGATCCCAAGACCACCTTCAGAGTCCAGAAGGAGTCCCTCTCAGCCGAGCTTGGCCCTAACGAGATCCTGGTCAAGGTCCTCTACGTCTCGCTTGATCCCGCCATGCGCGGCTGGATGCGCGATGTCCGCTCGTAAGTCCTCTCGCTCTTATCATGATTGTGCCATTTCTTTACCACCTCAATTGATCCCATCTTACACGATGCAAGTCAAATGACACTCCAATTGACCTTCTCTCGCCAATGTGTTTCGCTAGATACATTCGCCCTGTTCGTATTGACGAGGTGATGCGCTCTTCCGATGTTGTCCAGGTCATTAAGACCAACAACACCAACTACAAAGTTGGCGAGCTCCTTCGCGCCACCTGCGGCTGGCAAGAGTACGCCGTCTTGAAGCCCTCGGAGGATCTTGTCAAGATCAAGGCCTTCCCCGGTGTTTCGCCCTCGACTTACCTCGGTGTCTTGGGATTGACCGGTCTGACCGCCTACTTTGGTCTCTATGAGGTCGGCGAGATTGTCAAGAAGGGTGGTCCCAACTGTACAGTTGTCGTCTCTGGTGTAAGTCCTTCATCCCTAACATGAGTGAGAGGCCTGTGCTTATTGAATGTCGATTGTGATCGAAGGAAATGGCAACTCACACTGACATCAACGCTTACTATTCTTCTTTTAGGCTGCTGGTGCAACTGGTATGGTTGCTGCCCAGATCGCCAAGCATGTCTTTGGCTGCCGCGTCATTGGAATTGCAGGATCTCCTGACAAGTGCGACTTCTTGGTCAAGGAACTCGGATTGGATGCTGCCCTGAACTACAAGTCCAAGACCTTCTTCAAGGACCTCTGCGCCGTTACTCCCAAGTTGATCGACATCTTTTTCGATAACACTGGCGGAGACATTTTGGATGGTTGCTTGAGACGCATTGCCTTTAAGGGCCGTATCATTGTCTGTGGTGCCATCAGCACCTACAACGATGCCATCCCCAAGGGACCAGGTAAATACTGTGAATTGTGCATTTTGCTAGCATCGGCTGTTTCAAAATGACCAGCTAGTATCAAAGCTAACATTTTTCTCGGTTGATTCTTCATGATATAGCTTACTACAGTGCGCTGATCACCCAGCGCGCAAGGATGGAGGGCTTCATTGTGTTTGACTATGCCGCGCAGTACGGCAAGGCCATTGAGGATATGTCGCAGTGGATCAAGGAGGGCAAGCTCCAGAGTCGCGAGACGATTGTCCATGGCATTGAGAGGGCACCTGAAGCTCTTGTGAAGTTGTTCAGGGGCGATAACACTGGCAAGATGCTTGTCAAGGTCGCCGATGAGGACTCCCGCAGCCGCCTTTAAGATTGCTATCTGATATCCATGAAATAAAATCATTATCAATCTCACTATCCATTCCATTTCAGGGGTCACGTGGGAAATGTGATCTGTTGTGATTTTTCTTGATGTCAACTCCCTCTTTATTCGCAGCTTTTTTTTTCTTCTTTTTTTTTTTCTTGACACTGCAGCCTCCCTCCCAACTCTGATAGACCATGTCTGCCGCTTCCCTGCCACCCACCCAATTCGCCTGTATGTATATCGCCACATCCTTCCACCTCCTCGCCTTCGTCACTACCCCTCCAAGGAAAACGCTCGACCTTGACCTTCAACTCGTGGAAAGAAACCACGAGAACGAGATCTCACTTTTTTTTTTGCCTGATCAACTTTAACTAACCAACAAACCCGCCCTCTTCTCACTCTCATCACACGCCTCTTTCTCCGCCTCTTTTTGACCGTCCTTTCTTGAACGACAACATAGTCCGTTCCGCCTCAGGAATCGGTCTCTCCGAGGGAGCTCCTGCTTTCGGAGCCCCTGCTGGTTTCGAAAAGTATGAATGCGACACTCTCTAATGGAACTCTGTGGTTTTTGGATGGAACTGGCTTGCCTGTGTGATCCGGTCTCTCTCTCTTCGTCAACCCCGCACTGTCCCTGACCAACTTGTGGTAACTGCGGTTCTCGACCGTAACCTCTTAGACTAATCGTTATTCTCTTTTATTGATGATCACCTCTACCGACCTTCACCCCATAGGCAAACAGGCAACATTCGTGTGCTCCAGTACAGCAAGAACGGCCAGTACCTTGCCTGGGCCACCCCCGAATGGTAAAGAAGTCGTCAACATCTGATCAGTCGGAAAACTGGAGGGTGTCAACGAACCCGACTCCACATGAATTGGTTCTCGTTTTCTCCTCCGCGTCACTAAAACCCAGGACTCTCGCTTTTTCATTCATATATGATAGTGTCAAGGTGATGGACGCTCAGTCGTTGGAGGTCATCCAGGAGATCACTGTCAAGGACATTATCGAGATCGACTTTTCTCCCAAGGGAACTTTCCTTTCGACCTGGATGCGACAGAGTAAGCAAAAGTCAGGAGGGCGGGCGTGTGGATCATGCCATAGGATCAATTCATTCAACTTCTGTTTTCCCATAGGAAGGGACACGGCGAAGAAAAGATCGGCAACTAATCAGTATACCCTTTTTTTTATTGATGATTATTCGATGGTCTAATAGTCAAGACTGAGGATGGCGCGCACAAGAACATGTCAATCTATGAGGTCAAGACTGGTCAGGAGTTGACCTCATTCTCTCAAAAGTCGCAGAACAACTGGTAATACCCCACACTTCACTCGCTCTTGTCAATCTCCTCTCACCCCTTGCCCTACCTCGATACCTCTCTTATCAGGACCGCAGTTCAGGAGTTACAATTCCAAAGGATTTCCCCCTTCTCCCCTGCATTGCATCCCGCCCTTAGCCCTTCCCCCCGAGGGAACCAACCACAGGAGAGCATGCCTCCAGTCGCCAACCGCTTCATCTTACTCGACCACAGTAGAAATTAACACTCATTGCAACATTTTTCATATAGGAATGTTCAGTGGACTGATGATGAGGCTTACTGCGCCAGGATGGTCTCAAACGAGGTTCACTTCTGGGAACCCAAGAACTTGACCAAGACCCCCTTCACAAAGCTGCGTCAGGAGGGAATGTCCCAGTTCTCGCTCTCGCCAGGAAGGAGTACCTCGGTCGCCGTCTTTTTCGGTGAGCGCAAGGGAGCTCCAGCCATGGTCCGCATCTACTCGATCACCAACTTCACTGTCCCACTGGCCAGCAAGTCGTTCTTCAAGGCCGATCGCGTTCAGATGATCTGGAATCAGCTTGGCACCAACGTCCTTGTCTGGGCCACCACCGACCACGACAAGACTGGAAAGTCGTACTACGGAGAGACCAACCTGTACTACTTGGCTGTTGCTGGCAACTTTGACTGCAGAGTCCCTATCGATGGCTTGATTCACGATGTCGCCTGGGCCCCCGCTTCCAAGGACTTTGTTGTCATTCACGGACAGATGCCCAACCCCAAGACGACTCTTTTCGACCACCGCGCCAACGCAGTTCACGAGTTTGGACGGGATGCTCGCAACACCATCAAGTGGAACCCTTGCGGACGAATTTTGGTTTTGGCAGGATTCGGTAACTTGGCCGGCATCATGGACTTCTGGGATCGCAAGACTCTCAAGAAGATTGCCAGTGTCTCTGCCCGCGACACCACCGCCTGCGAGTGGTCTCCCGACAACCGCCACATTTTGACCGCCACCCTTAGCCCCCGTCTCCGTGTCGACAACGGTTACAAGATCTGGCACTACACCGGTACTTTGGTTCACACCGCGGAGTTGAACGAGCTGTACCAGGTCAGCTGGAGACCCGCTGCCCCTGAGCTCTATGCCATCCGCTCTGCATTGTCTCCTGCCCCCAAGCCCGCCGCCAACTCGGCCGTTGCAGCTGCTAACCCTGCTCCTGTCCGCGCAATGGGCGCCTACAGACCTCCTCAGGCCCGTGGTACCCCTGCTCCTTCACTCTTCACTGATGCTTCCGCCAACAACACATCCGCATCTGCCGCCGCTAATGCTGCTGCTGAGGCCAACCTGTCCAAGGCTGCGTTGAAGAACAAGAAGAAACGCGAGAATGCCAAGAAGAACAAGGATAGCGAGGATGGAGCACCAGCATCTACTCCAGCAGCACCTACTGCAGGATCAGGCGCCAACTCACCAGCCCGCTCTAATACCCCAAGGCCCAACTCGAATAACAGCAGTAACAACAACAACAACAGCAACAGCAACAACAACAGCAACAGCAACAACAACAAGAGCAAGCCCCAGAACGGAGCCCTCTTGCCAGCGACTACGACCTTGGCTAGCAGTCAGATGACAGAGACTGAGAAGAAGATCCGCAACGTTACGAAAAAGCTGAAGCAGATTCACGAGCTCAAGGAGAAGCAGGCTGCAGGAGAGACGCTCGAGTTGACACAGCTCCAGAAGATCACTGCCGAGGCAACCCTTTTGAAGGAGCTGGAAGCTCTGAAAGTTTAAAGTGGAGGCTCTTCCAGCATGGTGCCCTCCAGCGTTTGTTTGTTAATTGAATAAAAAAACATCAATCACCTGACATCGATGACAATCAGATCGGGTAGCTTGAAAAAGATTTCGCCCAAAAGGAGCTAAAAATGAAACGAGAACCCTCGTCTCTTTGTCTCTTTTTGCTCTTCTTCATTCCCTCCATTCTTACTTTTCATCCATCAACTCATTCGTAGACTTTTAAGCTCCACGCTCTTTTTCCCTACTCCAAGGAAGCAGAGTAGACCCACCTCACAAAGGTAAAAGGTCTCTTGTGTTTCTTTTTGTAGCGCTGGTTAACTCTCTGCCGATTTGTTTTGTGTTATTCACGTCTATTGCACGAAAATGATATCATCCAAAGCTTGTTTACTAAATATACCATAACAACCATAATAGGAGGAGCCAAGACAAAAAATTAAAACAATATGCCACGACGAATTTGCAACAAGGACGTTCAGGAGAACTCGGAGGCAGAGTCGGACGACGACGATATTTATCAGGAGGAGGAGGAGGAGGAGGAGGAGGAAGACAGAGACGAGTCTACGAGCCCGGCGCTGAGTCAGAGTCCGAGCCAGAGTCCGAGCCCAACTCCTAGCCTGAGTCTACTCCCAGAGACACCACCTCCCAGACGAGTGACTAGGAGCACAACGCCCAAGGCGAAGAAGGCAGTAGTAACAACTCCCAAGACGCCCAAGACGCCCAAGTCTCCCAAGGCTCCCAAGGCTCCGAGAGCGATCGTCACACGTACCCGGGTCATCAAGAAAACAACAACAGCAGGACGAGGAGATCATGCAGATGCCGACATGGAGTCGGTGGGTGATACCGAATCGGAGACGGGCCCACAGCTGTTGAAGACTCCTACGACAAAGAAACCACGACCTAGGGCCAAGAAAGGAGCAGTCACAGAAGGAGGGAAAGCTCATCCTGAGGGAGGAGAGGTTGAGTCAGAAGGAGATGTTAAGTCAGTGACGAAACCCGCGCCAAAGAAACCTAGAGCCAGGGCCAAGGGACGTGGAGCAGGAGACCAGCTAGAGGAAGGGGAGTCCTATGCCAAGCTGGTGAAGACACTCACGCCCAAGAGATCCAGAGCCAAGTCTGAGAAATCAAAGGCAGCATCAGAACAAGCCAAGACGCCGGCGACGCCCAAGAAACCACGTGCTCCTCGACCAAAGAAGATCGCGAAGGCGTCTGCTGCTGTCGCTGCCACAGCACCACTGATCGCGTCGATCCAGGAAAATGATGATGGTGGTAGTTCCTCTGTAGGTCTGCCAAGCAAGGTCTCGTTTCCGTTGGACTCTATCATGGACGGTATTGAGACGTACAGGTCTGCTGCTGGGGTATTGAAGACTTCCAACTGGGATTGCGAAATGATGGCGATGCCACTACAGGAACGTAACAGTGGAGGTCAGTCACATCGTCATGGGTACGGTACCATGTCGCGATCTGCAACTGTTCTTCCCGAGGTATGCCACTCTGTCTGTTTATTTCTATTATAGCTGTCTGTTGCGACGACCTGCCAAGTAGTAGACCAAGTTATTGACTATTCTTCCTTATGATTATGCTTATAAAACAATAGACACCAACAATGGACGACACTGGCAGGACTATACAAGATACAATGAGAGCCACTCACGTCAGGTCTGTGTTTTCACCGATCATCAAAGAGGAGCCCCACTCGCCTGAGGGAGCTGGACCGACTGTACCGGCGGATCAATATCAAAGAAGATCCTTGATCTTCGATGACAAGAGTTTGTTTCCGCTGCCAGTTAAGACGGAACAGCATGTGCCTGAGCCTCTTGAATCAAGATCCATTACTTCTGCTCCTGACACTTGGCCCGCGACCGCATCGCGATTAGTTGGACAGAGATTCGACTTGAACACTGCGGTGCCCTGGAAAAGGACAACCGTCCCGACACCCTCGTCGTCAATACCAGGCTCCCTCGCAAGAACCAACAACTCTCTTTCTGCCGCTTCCATGCCCTCTGCAGCACATTTATTAGCCCCACTGGCAACAATCGAAGATGTGGCAAAGACGGTTGACAAGACCTATGACGTGGCTTCGCAACATCTTCTCGGTGCCATGAAGCTGACGAGGCGTGCCCTGGAGGATCAAGCACATGCTATCCAATTCCATACGGTCGCCTTTCAAGTGTTTGGACAAGGCCTGCTGATGACAGAGTCTCAGTGTCAGACACTGTTCCCACAAGAGCGTTTTGCTGATCTGGCTACCAGGAGCGTTCTTTCCCTTTTGCCATCACTTCAGGCTCCCTCGGCATCTGCTGCCACTCCTCTTTCGGCCATGTTTGATCCTCAGGTACAGGCGAATACAAGCACACAGGACGAGAACTTGTTGATCAACATGGTCAGCAACACGAAACGAGGACTTGAGGTACGCGACTGAAACGTTAACACAAGGAGCCAGCTTTGTTCTTCGACAACATTTTACTATGGCTTTGACTAACATGTATCCATTTTATCCTTCATTCATAGTTGCCGTTGGGTCATTCAGGCTATGGATCGGCCATGACACGATCCTGCTCGTACTCGACGTATATACCACCATCAGGACCACTCTCACCAACGTTTCCTTCTCCTCCCTCGACACCCATCAGATGTCCAATGACAGCCCCGATCCCCATACAGCACAGTGTCACAAGTGCTGTCCCTTGGCTGTCGAGCTCGGACTTTGCGAACGATTCGGTCCAACCGTCGATATTTGCACACGACCGACAAGGTTTCCCGACCACTACACGGCCACCGCGGCCATCATTTTCATCGGCTCAGGCATCGGAGCCCCTGGACGCGCCTTGTGTTTCTACGTCGCTAAGCGCCATGATGTCCGCGGAGAATCAGCACAGCTCTCTATATGCACTCAAGGAAGCGAGACGAAAGGCCCTGTATGAGCATTTTCAGCGTCGGCGTGAAGAGAGTGCTACCCAGAATGGTACACATGATCAGCAACGCGATTTGACTCCGAGCCAGCAGCAGGAGAGTCGTCTGGTGATGTCTACTCTCGCGGGACAACCGGAGTACCGCATCCAACAGCAATACAACCAACAGCAATACGACCAGCAACATTACGACCAACAACAATACGACCAAAAACAATACGACCAACAACACAATCACGAGGTGGAGAGGGGATACTTGAAGACGACAACTGCTGTCGGAGAAGAAACAAGAATCAAGGACGAGGGGCCAAGGCTGATGCAGGTTCAATTGACGTCGTCGCTGTGGAGTGAAGTCAAGGAACGATCGACAAACTTGTATCTGAAGGCGGTCAAGTCATACGAGGACTCGAGAAGCGCCGATCGGATTGCGAGCGAGAGCAACGATCAATTCATGGAAGCGAGCAAGCGCTGGTATGCCTTGACTGGTCATGCTTTCCCTTATGACTGAGAAGCTACGGAGGAATAACATTCTTCTCTGTTAAGAGGATTGATCACTTTCTCGCTCTCTTTGCTTATATTTCTGTTATCACCAGTTGCACTCTGTCACTTTCCTTTCCCTTTCCGTTGCTGCTTCAACTTTTCTACCACCTTTCACTTTCACATTGTATGTCCCTTTGTGTTCTTTTTTTGTTTACTTTTATTATTATTCTCATTGCTACGCTCATGATTTAACATACAATATCGACCGAGAAAGACGAGTACCTAATTGCACAATAACACCAAACAAACAAAGAAACATGTCAATAATTGATACTGAGCTGCTTTGTGCGATTGAGCTTTGAGGATTGTGTTTCTTTTGCTGTCGTTCGTTTTTGTTGATGAGTTCTCAAATGAGAGAATTCATATGATGGGCAAGGGTCAGGTTACGAAAAGGTTCTCCTCACTCAAGCGTAGGAAGTCTAACATATATATTGTAATACATCATATTGCCCTCAATTGAACAGGGTGAAAGAAGGAAAGGAAGAAGGGTGGGGGGGGGTTTGTTTTTACCTTGTGCAAAAGTGAATGGTTAATGGAATGGAGAGGGGTGGGGTGGGAAGAGGAGGGAGGGGGAAAGGGTGAAGAGATCAGTGAAAAGCGCGACTTTGGTTTTTATGTGTGAAAATTTTTCTCGCTTGGTGCGGCTAGAAGAAAAAACGCGCTCCTTAAGAGCGCCACCAAAACGCGAGGAGAGCAGGATATTTTTAAAATGATACTTTTTTTTTTGAAAGGAACAACAACAGCGATGAATGAGAGGAGTGGAAGGTGTAAAAAAAAAGGATATGGAGAGGAGAGAGGGGAGAGCTTTTTGATGACATTGATGAGGGTATACATGAGTCTAGAGTAAAAGGAAAAAAAATGCTGAGAAATACATACAGGAAATGAAAGAACGTAAAAACAAAGTAATGTAAAAGAACAAGTGAAGAAAAAAAAAGAGAGTCTAAGATCGTGAATGAGGCTGGAACATCTGGGAATGGGGCGACTGCAACTGAATGGGCGTCAATGCTCCTGGAGTCGCTGCAGTGGGCGTCATCTTGGTGGCTCTGGCAATAGGGGCCACTACAATCGGGGCAGACAACGCTCGTGTAGTCGCTGGTGGGCGTGGTGTAGGAGAACTTTGCTTCTTCCTGGCCTGTTGTTGTTGTGGTTGCTGCTGCTGTTGCTTCTGTGTCTGTGCCTGTTGGTATTGATGCTGTTGCTGCTGTTGTTGTTGTTGCTGGTGGTGGTGTGGCTGTTGGAGTAAGAGTTGTTGCTGTTGCTGAAGATGTTGGTGCTGATGTTGAAGTTGAAGCTGTTGTTGTTGGTGTTGCTGCTGCAATTGTTGCTGTTGTGCTGCTGCGGTGCCCATGATCCGCATGGCAATCTGGTGAGGTGGCTCAACACGACCGTTCATCTTCATGCCGACAACCTGCAATGCCAGTGCAATCAGGTCACGATCGCTCTTGTCCTCCTCATACTCGAACAACACTCCAATGTCCTCATCTTGGCCGCTCGTGTTTAGGCTGGTGGCAACAGAGGTAGTCGATGGTGACGACAACGAGGACGACGTCGGCGAGGAAGGGGAGGAAGACGAAGTAGAACTGGGACCATTGCCGTTCAGGAGCTGGTGCATGGTTCGGACAAGCTCAAGACTGGACGACGCAGCCGCTGCTGCTGTGAACCGAACCTCGTCATTTGCAAGGTTGCTTCCTGGAGGGTTTCCACTTTGCTGTGCCTTGACGAGGACAGGCCCAGTAAACCCTCTGGGAGGCAGTTGGCAGATGACAGTTTCGGGTCCATAGAACTGGATGTTCTGCGCAGGCACTCCATCGAACGTGGGAATCATCCCAGGAAAGAACCCGCTGCCCAACAGCGTAACCTCGACTCCGCCATCGACTGGTCCCTTGGCAGGGATGAGCTTCTGGACACGGGGCTTCTGGTGTCGCGAGAGAACAGTCTGCTTCTGCTGGTGCTGCAATTGCTGCTGCTGAAAGTTCAAGTACTGGGCTGCAGCTGTGGCCGAGGTGCTGCCGATGCCTGTGAGACTATGGGTAACAGAGGGCGTCAGGAAGGGAGGTGGCGATGGAGAGGGTGGCATGTTGGTTGAGGGGGCCTTGGGCGAGACCATTGGAGAGCTCGCGCCAGAGGGAATGGCGGTGTTCGGCACAACCGAGATACTTTTACGTGGCCGACCTCGCTTCTTGGTGCTTTCACCGGCAGAGGCAAAGGTGGATGGACCGTTGGCCTCTGTCGAACAGACAGCAGCCATGGTGATCGCATGAAAGTTAGGTTCGAATCCTGTAGTGTCAGGCAGTGAGGTCGGGATAGGGATAAACGAGCTCAATGTTGGACTGGTCACCTGTGACATGATGCTCTTGTTCTCTGACTCAGCGTTGGACCATGGGATCGTCATCGCTTCTTTCTGCTGTTGCTGTTGCTGTTGTTGATGCTGCTGTTGCAGTTGTTGATGCTGTTGCTGCTGTTGCTGCTGCAGAGCTACTCTTTGGAGTTGCATGAGCATCTGCTGTTGGTGTTGGAGGAGGTCGCTAGAGTTCTGAAAGTTGGAAAGTTCGTGCAACTGAGGTCCGTCCATGACGCCGGGTGTGCTCGGGACAGAGTAGGCTGCCGATAGGGTAGGGTAAGTCGTTCCGGGAATCGAAAAGGAGGCACGGGATGGAAACACGTTGCTGCCGATCAAGGAGTTGTGCTCCATAAGAAGGAGATTCGGCTGGAAGCCGCTGGACGGAGACGACATGGATTCGTCCAGGTTGGTAAAGTTCTCCAGCATCGATGTCGATTCGGCATGCAGCCTCTCCTGCTCCGAAAAGTCACTGAAAGAGTTGAGAGAGTGGATAGACCCACGTTGGTCGGTGAGCGAGAACAGATTGCCTGAGGTGGCGGTGTTCTGATCTATCAAACTGCCGCGGTGCACAGACATAGCCTGTGCAAATGAGGGCGCGAAGGCATTCTGGTCATCATCGGTGGCAAAGGGCGAGCCTGGCATGAAGGGCGACGGCGACGAAAGCGATTCTCGCTTGATGGTTGCGAAACCGAGCGATGACGGTGCAGGGAAACCAGCGGTGGTCGTGATGTCGTGGCTCGTCTTCCGCCGAAAGTACTGCTGCTGGAGCTGGACATCGTCCATCGAGTTGTCATCGCTCACTCGCCTTTTGGAGCCCATGCGCGCCGTCGATCCCAGGGGAGACAATACATCCGCCGACAAGAGCTCCGCCTCGCCTTCAGCTTCCGTTTTCATGGCCGAGAGGCGTTGCTGTTGCTGTGTAGACTGTCCTGCCTCCAAGTCCATCTCATCCATGCCTCTGTAGTTTGTTCCTGATTGGCCGTCCCATTGTTGCGTGAGAGGCACCAGGGCAGGTGAGGCTGGGATAGATATTGACCCCCTACTGGCATGCTCCGATGAGGTCGCTGGCTTTTTTCCTGACTTGTGGTCGTCCATCATCATGACTGGGTTGGAAAGAACAGAGGCGACGATTGCGCCTGTTGTATCCCGAGCTGTGAATTGGATTCTATACACATCAGAGGACAAAGGGAAGGATTAGGACAAGAAAATGCAAAAAGGAGGCGGTAACATGTGCGAAAAAATGACACACTAATATATGTATAATTGGCTGTCAGCTGAAAATGCAAATGAAAAAAAAAAAGAAAGCAGCACAAGGCTTGTTGTAGTCGTCTGGCATGGTCTTCCTTGCCGAGCCCTGTCGAATGGACGACTTCACGAACAACGGGAAAGGGAATGAGGGATGGTGGTAGTGTTTCTGTCACTATGACTGACGCTACGTGTACTTCCGGATGTGCAACGCCATGGTCCCTGTGCCTTTCATTTATCCGTTTTCCGTGCAATGTCTTGACCGATATGCCTTATTCACTACATCGTTTGACATGTCCTCCGGTCTATCCGTGCCTTTGCATGCCAGAGAGCAAATGAACGTAAACAATCCTTTCAGAAGGAAGAAAGTACTTACCGAAAGCCGACCTTCTCGTTGTGGTGCCGGCAGTAGCATGTGATCCGCGTGGGCAACATACACTCGCCAGCCGAAATGTCGACGTATTCCGTGCTGCTAAAGACCATGATTCTGCTCCTCTCCCAAGCATGGTGTTCTGTTGGATCTGTTGGTGTTGGTGGGTTGGCGTCTTCTGCGGGAAAGGCGGCGTCGACATTCCGAGGGTGGATGGCGCCAAAGACAGGGATGGTCCCGAGGGCGCCGGGAGGCCTCTGAGTCTCTTTGCGGCGATGGGCACGCTTTCTCTCTCGGCCAATGCAGTTGTCGCAGCATTCGAGAACCTTGGTCATGTCATGGTCGCACACAAGCCTGGCGTCAAGCGTCAAGATCTCGGAGTCCTGCAGGTGCTTGTCGCGACCTATGTGATGTTTTTGCGGGCCATGAACGTCAAATTGTTAGCATTCCAATTCCCCTTTTTTTTTACATCCTCCTACTGCGCGTTAATCCTTTTAGCTCTCTTTTCCCTTCTTCTTCTTCATCCTCCTCCCATTGAACATCAACCTTTTTATCTTTTCCCTGTTTTCTTCTACAACCTCTCGCTCTCATTCAAGGGGGAAAAGCGCCGATCTGTGTTATGCATGCAGGCAACATGGCTTGGTAGTACCATTGAACTTTTCCATGCGGTGCTTCTCTTTGGCGATGTAGTGCCGTGGGAGACGGAGCTGCTTATACTCTGTGATGGGGTTAGAGTTGCCAGATCGAAGATGCAGGCCGATCTTGAGCTGTGTCTCGACCCTGCACTTGCCATTCTCGGCAGGGATGCCCGAGATTTCTATCTGGAGGTTTCTGGGTACGGTGACGGGTACGGCACGACGACGAGGAGGTGGAGGCAACAGAAAGGGAGTATACTGCATTTAGTGATGTGTAATTGTTATGAACAAAAGAACGGTATGACTTGTAGGTTGTTTGTTTTGTTTGTTTGTTTGTTTGTTTTCTGTGTTGCTGTCGTCGTCGTTGTTGAGGAAAAGAGCACAAACACAAAATGCACAGAAGAAAGGGAATGAAAATGAAAAATGGGCGAATTGAGAAAGAACGGAAAGTCAAAAGGGCAAAGCCCAAAAAAAATAAAGGAAAAGGTCTTGACACAGGGGTACGAGGTAGAAAATATGTGAGATATAACAAGAAAGCTCGTTGGCTAGGATGCAATGGGTTTTGGTTTAGGTTGTGGCTGCCAGGTTGGCAACTCAGGTGAGTATGAGTGGCGAGGGTTTTTTGATGGTGACTCGACGATTTGATCTGAGGCCTTGTACTTGCGAAGCAGGGGTGGAAAGGCGGACTATGGTCGCGCGGAGCATCAAATAGAAAAAGAGAAAGGTCCCCAAGGAGCAAGAAGGGGCAAGACAGTCCAAAAGGTGAAAAGGGAGAGGTGTGAGGTGTGGAGTGGGAAGACAGGGGGCGCCAGTAAAATGGACTACTCAAAAAAAGTCCGACAGGGAGCAAAAGAGGGGAATGAGAATGAGGGGATATGAGTGTGGAGAAGAGGGATGCGGAGGTGAATGATGAATGAGAGCGGAGTATGAGAGAGAGAGAGAGAGAGAGAAAGAGAGAGAGAGAGAGAAAGAGAAAAAAAGAAGAGAAAAAGGTGTGTGGGTGAAGTGGAGGTGAGGATAGTTGCACGGAGGAGGAGATCTGACGAATAAGAATGGGCAGAGGGAGAAGAGGAGAACAGAGGGAAAGGGGAAAGAGGGAAGGAGGGGAAGAGGAAAGTACGAAGGAAAGAACGCATACGGTCTCGATGGCACCGAGAGGAGAGCGAAGGATGACCTGATGGGAGGGGTCATCGATGATAATAGCTTGGTCACACACACACACGAAGGCTAAGAACCCTCGTCTAGAGTACCGAAAGTCAAGCGGACACAGAATGACAAAGGGGGAGGAACGACAATATGTGTCTGTCTTGCCCTCTTTCCTCCTTGCGCGTAGGGGACAAAAAGGAAGAAGTAACAAAGGGCCCCAAGGAGACAGAGGAATCTCCATTCCCATCTCATCCCTCATGAACAAAGTTGATCAACTGACGTGGAGAAATAAGGTCAAGCCAACCCCCTTCTGCCTTTGTGCCCTTACATCCTCTCTCTCTCTCTCTTCCTTCTCTTCCTTGACACCCCCTTTTTTTATTTCAGACCTGTTCTTTGTCTCTCTCACTCTCGGTGTCGGTGTCTGTGTCTGTCGCGCTTCTTGTGATGTCTCCTATACCTTTCACATTCACATTCCTTTCGACCGTTGCATGTTCTTGCCCCGAGTCAAATGGAGAATCCTGATCAGCCTTGCTCTTCTGGTTCTAGAGCAATAATTATAGAGGCCCTTCCTTTCCTTTGTCACCTTTGTTCCCCTTTATTTTCTTTTTCTGTTGCCACCGAGTCAAAATATTTTTGGGGAGAGGCACAGTTGGGACGCAACGCGGGAACTTTTTTTTTCTTGTTTTTGGATGCTTTGCTATCCTGTACAGTAAAATCCCAGACGGAATGCAGAGGAATAGAAGAGTGGGAAAAGGAATGGAAGTTGAAAGGGAAGGGGGTGGAGGAGAGAGATGGATAATAGCCTTACCCTTCCCGGACGGTCATCGATTGTGCGTATGTGAGATGGGGTATGTTGCGGGAGGAGTGGGAGAGTGAGAGTGGAATTGAAATGTATGCGGAGTGAGAGAGAGAGAGGATGGGGTATAGGGCGAGTGAGTAGAGAGTGAAGAGAGGGGAGAGTGGAGAGTGGCGGTGGCGGAGGCAGGGATGAGTCGGATGTCGAGAGTGTAGGAAGGAGGGTAGAGCGGAGAGTCGGGAGGAGTGAAGGAGAAAGAGAAAAGGAAAGGAGAGAGAGAGAGAGAGAGAGAGAAGAGAGAAGAAGAGCGACAATTCAACCAGGAACAAGAAGAAACAGCTGTTTGTCTTCTTGACTCAAGGGCTGCAGTCCATAATAATATGAAGAGAGGAAGGAAAGCAGGCTTGAACTCGTTCCGTTTTCTCTTTCAGTCTTCAATATTGACATTCATCCTGAGCAATTGAGCACACACCTCCCTCCAAAAGGCGTGGTAAAAAAAACAATGAATGAATTGCATTGCGTTACATTGAATAGGATGCAACAAACGAAATGTCATCAGGGAAACCGATGGCGCATTTCATGGTGCACAGTAGTCGCTTCTTTCTTCCTTCTTCTCTTTTCTTCTTCCTCTCTTGCTCCAACACCGCCGATGCACGCAATCGTGCGCGCACCACCCCCCGCACTGAACTCCTATCGCAACAGCAAGAAAGCGATCCCTGCGTACATTAGAAACCTTTTTACTCCAAGAGAGTACTGTAGTCAATCAATTGAGCTCTCTCCACTCTCTTCACCTGGTCTTATTTCAAAACTTATTTTAATATCCAAAGGTGGGGGATACTTTCTTCCCCACACCACTGCATGAATCCAAACCAGCGAATGGAGTACTGGCCAACAGAATGAAAGAAACCAAGAAAGCAGCCGTGGCTCTCTTTTCTCGTTTGCTCTTGTCCTTCGTTGTCCGTCTGAGTCTGTAGATGTGTCAACTCTTTTTTTTTTTTTTTTTTTTTAACTTCAATTGCCAATTGCTCGACCAATTTGTGAACGAGCACGACGCCCTGTTTTCATTCCTGCTTGGCAGTGTTCCTGTTTGCATTTTTGCTTGGTTTGTATGCATAGTCGATGAGTTGTTTTCTTTCCCTTATCACAAACCTATAATCCATATCCGTATCCATATCTTCTATCTGTATCCGTAATCTAGAGACATGTTTGTGATCCCCACTGCAGGTTCTCCAATCGGCAGTCGTTGCATGGGCAATCGTTTACTGCACTGCACCACTATTGTTGTTGTTGTTGTTGTTGTTGTTCCCGACGAACAGGCGGTCGAGTCGGCGACGCATGGATGACCGTGTGTCTCTTTTGTGTATGCGTTTGTGTGTGTATGAACGCAAGGGCGATCAGGGGATTCGGGAAAGTGAGGGTGTGTTAGTTAGCCTATCCCCTATCGCCCATTGATTGTTGTTCAGAGAGAAGAGGACCTCTTTATCAAAAATGAAAATGAATTCGTTATCTTTTTTGCATCTAAACACATGGGACACATGGGCAGAAGCGCATCGACCACCAGTGTTTCAATCCTCCACTCCTTCCTTTCTCCACTTCGTACCTCATTGCTTGCTTTCCTTGCAGGCGTATCTTCCCCCCCCCTGTTTTCATTTCAGGGCACACACTTCTCTAACCCCTCACTCACACACCCACTCAATGCCCCTCCCCTCTTCCTTCCCCTTGCTCTTTTTTTGCCACCTGTCTGCTTTGTTCGTTTCTCCCTCTTCCTACCCCTCGCTTATGTCCCACCTATGACTCTGTTGCCATGCGTGTCGTTCATTGCTTACAGTAAACAACATCAACAAACCAAGACAAAGGAAATGAACGGGTGTGACGAATGTCTGGCCATCCTTCTAGCGACGACTCTGCTGATGGCAATGACGAGCAAGAAGGAGAAGGACTTCAAGCTACACGTAATATCTTGTTTGGTCCTTCTTGCACGAACACAAGAACGACTTACCCCTGCCTTTTTCCCTATTTTCTTTTACATCTGCCTGGTCTAGCCTCAATGCACAAACCTGCAGGCAGCAAACATCAAAAAAGAAAGGCATAGTTTTCGATAGGGTAAGAAGTGGTTGCAAAAAAAGAGTCATGGTTGTGTGTACATCTGACCAGGTACTACGGACGAATACCCTTTATTTGTTTTTATAGCAGGTATGCACGCTGGACAGGAAGGGCCAAAAGGGCCTTTTCGAGAGAGAGTGAGACGGTGCGAGAGGGAAATCAAAAAGAGCTACTTGGGCTTTTTTCTTGGGGACCACACCATAAGTGGGAGCGAGGCGCATACGAGAGATTACCACACGAAAGTGACGAAAGTAGATTATCACATCGCCCATTTCGATTCATGGTCACATCGCTCTCTACTTCTCATTTTCTCACCGAAGTTGAACTGAGCGGACTAGGAACATACTGTACACAACACAACACTAGCAATAAAGCACAACAATAACAACAACAACATCAACAAAGCAGCAAGAATGACAGTATGAATGAATGCAAATGAATGAAATGCAGGCCATGCAGATGAGCGATATATTTTCGCAGACAACAAAAAACGCGCTTGGACTCTTCGTCCTCGTTTACCCCCCTATACTCTTTTCCATTTTTCTTTATTCTTGGGATAAGCAAAAGGCTTTGGTCTTTCCTATCTCTTTTTTTTCCTACTGCGCTGATAGTGGATGAACTCGCCTTCCTCGTTTTTCCTTCGGTAGGTCCGGTTTGAGGCCTTCTTGCTTCAAGAAGGTAGAATATGTAGTTCTCGACATTGTACCCTTCCATCTCACCAAGCCCAATTCGATTCATTTTTTTTTCTTGTTCTCGGTGCGTCGGGAGAAAGTTTGTCATAGATGGATTGGATAGGATGGCATCATGGTTCCTATTTTTCATTCTACTCTTCCTCTCTTTCGGCATATCCAATGCTCCGTTTCCCGCACTCAATTTTTATTTTCTTCCTTTACATTTTCCCAAGCCTCAGTAGCGACACTATCAAACAAAAACAAGGTTCCGGAAAACTTGGAGAAAAGAACATACCTTTCAATTAAATGGCATACATCTTCAATATTGAGAGCTAGAGAAAAAGTAAAAGAGATGGACCACCTGGGCTACTTTTGAGTGTCCCTGACTGGAAAGATAGAAGAACGGGCTTGCAAGTGGAAAACAAGGGACGATTGAGTGATTAAGTAGAGTGAGTATGGGCGAGGGAAAGTGGAACGAGAGCAAGAGTAGTAAGGGGTGAGGCAAGAATCCAATCTCCGCTCGGTCGATCCACCCCAGCCTAGAACACAAGCGCAAAGGCACAGGAGGAAAGGGAGCGGAGACAAAGAGATGACAAAAGCCAACGGGCGGCAGAAAAAGTGAGAACAGGACACCCAACTCAACCAAAACGCGGAGAGAAAGTGAGACGAGAGTTAGTCGGTGCGTGTATGTGTCCCCGCTATTGTTCTTGGAAAGAAAGAGTAAAGGAACGACAACAGGCGTTGCGCATTGTTCAACTGAACTGAGTAATTGAGTGGAGGTTCTTGAACTATCCTTGCCAACGTGCATACATAACCCAGATAGCTCTCGCTCTTTTCATCCTCGTCTCTCTTTTGAGTTCTATTTGACTTTACTTGCATGAAAGCAAACACCAAACCAACCAACAACAAAGGACAACAACAAAAGCGGAGTAATAGTCTACTCGAAAAACGTGATCCATCCACACAAGCTTGACCGCGATATTCAAAAGAGTTTGGTCCTGAACACAAGAGGCAAAGAAGGGAGAGCATTTTGAACACTGGAAGTGAAGTCAAGAGAGAGATAGGGAATAACAAGAGGAGGACGATGATAGCGTTGTTGAAAAGATAGTCGGGAGCATTCTCTTCTGCTAACCTTCCACAACACGGGTCCATGCAAAGTCTCGCCCGCCGGCGGCGTCCGCTTGGATAGAAAAGCAATTGTTTCATAAGGAGAGAGCAAGATATGATACCCTTAGCTCGTTCGGGATAACGACAATTCTCGAGCAAAATCTAGTTTCAGCTATCTCTCTCACTACGCCACTTTCTTGCTGCCCCTTTTTCTTTTTTCTGTTCACTTGTTCTTCCTCGTTTTCCAATCCAACCATGCAAGCAATGCGAATTGACTACGAGATTACCAATGCCATTGCCATTGATACGCGTCCACCTGTATCACTTCAGCGATAAAGTGAGCCATTTTGACATCTTTATCCCCTTATCCTTTCCCCCATTCCGCTTTCCCCTTTCCTTCGTAGTTCCAGGGCAACCCCACGCCATATTGTTTCAACAACATTGACAATAAAGCTGACAATGGCCAAAAAGAAAAATATATGGAGAACGACGTGCAGGATCAACAAACCAAAAAGGAGTTTGAAAAATTACCCCATGGCCCGCTCGCTCACCCATCCATCCGTGTCTATCACACACACGCACCTGCATACTTTCAACTCCACTCTCCTTCTTTCCATACTGACCGTGGTGGCATTTTTTTTTGTGGCATCAAACGCCTCCGCCGTCGAGATTTTTGACTGGATGAATAATAAAAGTACATCGCGTTGTGCAGGCGGGCTAACGAGAGAGGGCAGGCGTTCCGTACATGAAGCTTGGCAAGAGTGAAAAAAAAAACCAGCAATAGCAACCACATTCCTCTCCTATTCGCTCTCGTCATTTCTCATTTCCTTTACGCAAAAGCACAAAAAAAAACGCAAACAAGAGCACAACAAACAAACAAACAACACAAACACAAACAATAGCAACCACGGGAAACACACAAAAAAAAAAAACACCCACACTTTCCACACACAACAAATACGTGATCGCTCTTGCACTGACCAACCCTTGCAAGCCTATTTTTTCATTTCTCATTGAACACAACAAAAACATAACAAAACACAATGCACAACATATTATTAAAATAGAGAACAAACTGGATGGGCGTGGATTGAGCGCGGCGGCGCGAGCGCCAACTCTTTTTTTTTTTTCTTCTTTTTTCGTTTTCGTCCTGTAATCGCTTTGGGAATCTACGATAACGGCTGGGCAAGAAATGAAGAGGAATTGGAGAGAGACGGGACATAAATGTCACCATCGATGGCCAAACCGTGGGAGACCTTGCGCACAATCTTCCATCTGTCCTTGTCTCTTGCCTGTCATAGTTTTGGAATGAATGGGGAAGAGGGGTGGAGGGATTGATTGGTTGATAACTGTCGCGACCAAGGCAGCGAACGTGTGTGCAATGAGGGGTGGCAAAAAAAGGGCAAATGCAACGCTTCTTTTGTATCTGGCCAAGAGGTGGACAAACGGTGGTGGTGGTGGTGGGCTGGAACACTGAGGATAAGTATGGTGTGGGAGAACACGCGAGAAAATCACCAAGAAGAAAAAGGGGATGATGACGTGGATCGATGCTAGAGATAATGTGGCTATGATGCTTGGATACGAAAACAAAACCACTCTTACGAGCATAATATTCCGCTTTCAACTGGCCCACAACATCTTTCGTCTTTGCTGTAAAGGGACAACAAGGCCCTTATTGAGTAAACGACTACGTGTTCGAAGGAAAGGGAGAGAAGGAAGGACCATCGCTCATTCAGGAGTGACAGCAAGGCAAAGGGGTCAAGGCGAAAGGAGAACACATTCCTTTGAGGCGTATGTCCTTGACTAATAAGAAAAAGAAAGAGGACGTGAAAAACTCCTTTCAACTCGCATAACATTCTTTCGATTCAGGCTGGGAGTTCCCTTACGTTTCTGGAGTAGGTGAAATAGATCTTGAGCATCTTTGTCAACAAAAGGGTGTACATAGCTGACAAGGGTCCACTTGACATGATGTGGTACATTGTGAACAAAAGAGAAAGTGGTGAAAAGGGGACGAAACTTCCATTCATCGAGTCCTAGGACTACCTTGTCCTTCACCAATGCCTCCCCTTTTTTTGGTTGACCCCATCCCTATCTTTTCTTTTGAGTGTTGTTGTTGGTGATGATGCCCACCCTTCTATTTCCTTTCTTTTTCTTCCTTCCTTCTCTTTAGTTATCCTTTCTTCTTCTTCCTCTCGATCCGAGCATCCTTCTCTACTTACCTCGCATCTCAACCATCTACACCATATTTTTTTTCTCACATTCATTTTTACATATCTGTGCGAAAAAATCATAAACAACCGCACACAAACAATCACGTCCTTTCTTTCAACCTAGGCTAGAAATGTCGTTTGGAGGATACAACCCTGCCGGGTCCTCTGAGCTCCCCTTCAGCACACCCAGTGCAGGGATGCGATCCAGAGCCAGCAGTGTCTCCTCCGTCCACTCCAATCACGGTGGTGGCTACCAACAAACCCAACAGCAGCAGCAACAACAATCCAACAACAGTCCTTATCAGAGTCCTTACTCGTCTAGACCGGGAACACCCGTGGTCGGTGGCGCCAGTGAAGGCTATTTCAGTAACGGAGGAGGGTACGGTGCTGGTGGGTACGGATCCGGTGCTTCGTCTCCAGCCTCTGGATCGTCCTACATGCCAACACCCCCGATCCCCAACCAACAACGCCAACAACACTACGGAAAGGGCGGCAACAATAACAGCAGCGGATACGAATCTCCGACGGCGGTGTCGAGTTCTATCCCGACATTCTACGGCCATTCCAGGACTCACAGCAATGCGTCCGAGACATCGCTCAATATCGACACGGGCCTCATGGGCGACGATGGTGCAGGTGGCGGTGGCGGGCCTTATTCACCCGGCCCGGCGTCGTCGCTCTCGTCCAGTGCTTCGTCCTCTCGTCGCGGGAGCTTTTCCGATTCTGGGAATGGGGGAGGGTTCTTTAATCGAAAGTTCGGCAAGACCTTCCGTCCAGAGCCTCACCAGTCTCCTGAGGATTACCCCATGAACCGGTTGGATGGCGACGAGACGAACGGTGACGATGATGATCCTCAAGGTCGTCGCAAGATGCGTGCTCGGAAAAGCAACCAGAAGGGTGGTGGTGGGAAGGTGGGAGTGAAAGACATCTTTAACGACTGGGACTTATTGTTGCCCAGTACAGACCCATACGAGAACGACGATGACTATGACGATCAGGATCTGAACGAGGACGAGAGGCGCAAGAAGCGACAGCTGAGCAAGAAGGGGTGGGAGAGTGCCAAGGGACAGACTATCCTTTTGACCATCTTGGTCACCATCGCTGTCTTTGTCAGGATCTGGAAACTCGCCATCCCAAGCGCTGTCGTGTAAGTTTACCTTTTGTCGGTGTTTTGTTTGTTTTGCTTCATTATTTTCACTTTTGAGGAAAGATCCATGTATATTCTACTTTGTCCTGGGAAATTGTTTCTTTTTCTACTCTTCATGGTATATTCATTTCTGTGAGAGAAAATGGGAGTAAGGGATTAGGAAAGAGGAGGCAATACACATAGAAAAGGGAGGCATACTAAGACGGGGTGAACCGAGACGCGAAAAGAAGGGGGTGGGTTTTCTATGAAAAGGAGTGTCAATTGGAGGGGAGGAAGAAGGGGTGAGTGATTCGGATGATAGCGTGCCATTGTTGTCACAGTCTTCCTCTCCTTGCCTTTGTCCGTCTGCCTATCAATGAAGTATTGCGTCGTACCTCACACAAGGAGTATGCCAGAAAACAGAGCGCCCTCGTGAATGTGAACGAATGAATTGAAGCACTGGACATCCAAGGACAGAAGGCCACGGTCACCTTTTCCACAGTGCAAGTGTTTTCTAACAACTATCTACTTTTCATCCGTCTAAACAATACAGATTCGATGAGCAGCACTTTGGAGGGTTCGCGGCAGATTACCTACGGGGCGAATTCTTCATGGACATCCACCCACCTCTGGGCAAAATGCTCTTTGCCGCTGTTGCATACATGCTCGGCTTTGACGGCAACTTTGACTTTGTTCCCGGAAAGTAAGTTCTCCTTTTGATTCTTTGAAGAAGAAAAGACAAACATTTCAAGGCGTGCTTTCATGCTTAAACAACATCGAGCAGACTTCTCACGAAATTTTGTTCGTTTGTTTATTTGTGTGGACACGATGAATATGCAGCCTGTACTCGAAGAATGTCCCCTATATCGGCATGCGCATGTTTGCAGTAGCCTGTGGAGTAGGACTCATTCCTATCTCGTACCTGACCATTAAGCGATCCGGACATTCGACCCAAGCTGCCATGCTCTCTGCCGTCTTTGTCACCTTTGGTAAGGAACACACCTGCAAGAGACATATGCCTTGTTTTGTTTGCTTCTTTCTTGCTTATTACTAGAGAATGAAAAAGAGCACAGCCTACCAGAAACAAAATGAACTAAAAAAACCACGCTTTCCTTGACCAACCAACCTTGCAGAGAACGCGATGATCACGCAGAGTCGATTCATCCTACTGGACGCGCCGATGATGCTGTTCATGGGCTACACTATGCTCGCCTGGATCAACTTTTATAACCACCGCAACCGCCCCTTCACTCGCGGCTGGTGGTTCTGGCTGATCCAGACCGGATTCAGTTTGTTCCTCTCCAGCAGGTAAACCACATCTCTTTTGTACTTATGTGTCTTGCACTATAAACTCCCTAGTGCTGATAGAAAATTTGTGAGCTGACATGCCGTCTCTTTCTCCTTGATATCGAAATAGTGTCAAGTGGGTCGGTCTGTTCACGATTGCGACCATTGGACTGTGTGTGCTCAAGTACTTGCAGGAGTCCAGGACTCACCTCTACATCAGCACCGTAAGCAGATCATCTTTTTCTTTTGCGCGGGAACAGAAAGAGAGCGATGGCGGCATCGTTCATATTGTTAACCTCTCCAGTACTTTTACTATTACTTGCACTTCTTTAGAGGGATATTTCGAAGCAGTTTACTGCATTGTTCTTGTGCTTGTTGATCCTCCCAGCGACGCTCTACGTTGGACTATATGTCATTGATTTCAGACTACTTTCGAATTCAGGTTCGGGCAATGCGTGGGTCAGTCCTCAGTTCCAGATGACCTTGAAGGGACACGACGTACTCCCCGTTATGGCTGGTAAGATATCCAAGTTTTTTTGGTGTATTTGAATGCGTCCGCACCCTAGTGAAAGAAGGATGATTTTGCTAATACGAGCTTTGTGTTGATGTGAGGATAGATATTGCATGGGATTCCAAGGTGCATATTCGACATGCCAACACGAACGGCGGATGGGTGCATTCAATGCCCGGAGAATACACTCGGGAGACCTCCAAAGGTAACCATCCTCCGTGGATCATTTGCTGCTTCTCACCAAGAGTCTAATTCGATGGTGCCACCAATCAATAACCCTTTTTTATTTTCATTCCAACATACTAGACCAAGCAGTCCAGTTAGTGGAATGGGACGACGATTTGACTTGTTGGCAGATCTACCCCGCAGACCCCAAGCTGCGCCAACGCCATAACCGACATAAGCTGGACCGCAAAGTGAACCCCGAGGTCGAATTTGATGGCTACATCTATGACGGCGACGAGATCCGTCTCCGCCATTGTTATTCCAAGGTTTCACTGGCCACCAACGATATCGAGTCTTTGGGATCCAACAAGACTTATTTGCGTGAGGTTAGGGGGATCAAGTGGTTGAAGAAGCCGACGGAAGAGACTGTCTGGAGGCTTGAGTTGGTCGCGGAGGGGGTGGTCCCTGGATTGGCGGATGATCATGGTATCCAGCCACCTGCTTCTGCTGTTACGAACACCGGGGCAACACCCAGGATGGCGGAGAGGGAGATGAAGGATAGATCTGCTGAGAGCGATGCTGATATTTCCGTTGGACCCGACGGCAAGCCTATTCCTCTTCCTAGAAATCGCAGCAAGCAGTGGCACTCGATCAAGGGATTCCGACTCTACAACAAGAAACAACAATGCTACTTGCAGTCACACAAAGTCTTCCGCGCGCCTTATTCTACCTACCAGGAGGTCGGATGTATCCAGGGTGCTCGCCAAAAGGCTAACACCGTCTTTATCATCGACCAAAACGTCAACACCCACTGTAAGTTTTTCTCATCTTAACGTTTTCGCCCCATGACCATGGTGCTGTTGACTCTGAATCGTTTGCTAACAAATTTCTTCCCTCATGTTCTGTGAACAGTGCCCAAGTCGACACAATCGCGCTCGTACCAACCCCTGTCCTTCTTCCAAAAGTTCCTGGAACTGAACCGCGTCATGTGGTGGACCCACCACGACCTCAGCGCCCCAGTCCACGGTGACGACCCTGCCAATGTCCAAAACCAGCAGAAACTCATGAACGGTCTCCTGGTCGAGGGTGGTGCCTGGAGCTGGCCGCTTCTTAACAGGGGTATGAGCTACTATGAAGCCAAAGAGACCAACAACTATGTCTTCTTTATGGGCAACCCGCTCCTCTGGTGGGCGGCAACTGCTGCTGTGGGGGCCTATATGTTTAGTTGCTCCTGGAGCGTCGTCAAGTTCTTGAAGGGTAAACAAGAGACCAAAATCGAGCGCGATCGTTTCGGTAAGAGATCTCTGTTTTATTTTTCTTTTTTATTTCGATGTATTGCGGAGGTTGTTTGTTCCGTGGGATTTAATTTACTGACCCAATATTCTGGAATCCCCTTACCTCCCTATCATAACTATTGTCGATGAAAATAGGCATTACACCGTTCTACTCAGTGGCATCAGGAACATTCTACGCCGGCTGGGCAATCCACTACATCCCCTTCTTCTTCATGTCCCGCCAAGTCTCCCTCCACCACTACCTCCCCGCCCTCTACTTCTCCATCCTCCTCCTCGTCTCCCGGCTCGACCGGACCCTCCAACGTTGGCCTGCCCGGATCCGATACATGACCGGTATCTTGCTCATGGGGGCTGTCATATTTTCGTGGTTCCAGTTTGCGCCGCTTGCGTATGGGACTGACTTTGGGACGAGGCGGTGTGAGAGTTTGAGGATGTTGGGGAGGTGGAAGTTTTTGTGTCAAAGGTCGCAGTTACCCTGGGCAAGACCTGATGGTGCGATTGCGAGACGTGCTGTGGCCGATGCTGTGGCCTTTGAGGAGGATGATGGAGAGAGTCATTTTTATGATGGGGTGAATGAGGGTGAGCAAGGAGGTATGGAGGGCCTTGTTGAAGAACAGGACACTCCTTCCACTCCACCAGCGCCTCCAGTGAAGCAAGCGCCACCAGCAGCACCGGTAGTGGACGAAAAGGCAGCAGCCAAGCCAGCAGCCAAGCCAGCAGATAAGGAGAGGCGAATGGAGAAGGCCTCCTCGGCGTCTGAGGCGCGTGCCAAGGAAGTCCACGAGAAGAACCAACTTGTTGCGGATAAGCAGGCGCTGGAGATGAAGCAGCGTGAGTTGGAGGAACGGTTGGCTGCTCAGGAGGCTGAACTCGAGCGACAGCGTCAAAAACAACAGCAGCAACAACAACGACAACCGCCAGAGATGTCGCGTGAAATGTTGGAGGAGCAGCTTCGGATACTTCAAGCTCAACTCCAAGCCAAGGAAGCCTAAGCCTAAGCCTATACCGATCTTCTTTTTTTTTTTGTCGCGCTCTGGTTTATCCTCTCATAGGATGAGTAGGGTAACAACTATGTTCCGAGTATATCTTTTTCTGTTTTTGCCTCTCATAATAAAACCGCTCTTTATCTTTCCCAACGGTAAGATACTTTCGTTTTTCATTGTGAATGTCAATGGAATATCATCTGGATTTTTTTTCTTTATATTTGGGATACTACGAGAGGAGAGGTCTGTTGTTGACAAATGGAAGGTGGCATACAGATTGAATGGATAGGTGTGTGTGGGGGATTGGATTTTGTTGTTTGGAGACGAAAGATCTACAATAACTTATTTGTTGTTTTTTGTTTTGTTTTGTTTTTTTTTGTATTCTGGGGAAAGGAAGGAACTGAAGAAGGAAAAAAAGGGGAGGGAACTTCCTACGACAAGAATCGACGATTTTACCGGCCGCCATAGGGAGCGTTGGATGTGGGGACAGGGTGATCGTAGCCATAGTCATGGTTGTACGCGCCCTGTTGATCATGGGGAGGATAGGCCTGATCATGGTGTCCGTAGCCCTGGTGACCATAACCTTGGTTATATCCTCCATGCTGCTGCTTTCCGTATCCATCGTCGTAGTCGCCATAATTGCTTCCAACAACAGTGCTGCCATTGCCCTGGTGGTAGTCGTACTGGTCGTATTGCGCATTGTCGTATCCACCAACCACACTGCCGCCTCCAACGACGCTTCCGTTTCCGGGACGGCTTTCAAAGGGCGAGGGACGTCCCAAGCCACCAGCACCACCACCAGCACGGGCTCCAGAGGCAATGGGGGCAGGCATCATGGGGGGCGTCTGGGGGCGAGGTGGCTTCTCCCACTGGTTGTCAAGTGAGACATAGGAGTCGTCCAACTCGAGAGGGGTATGGCGACGACGACGACGCTTCATCATCATGACGGCGGCTACTCCGCCGACGGCAGCAATACCAATGATGCCGAGCGAGATACCGATAGCAGTTCCGTTGGGGCCCGAGCTCTCTCCAGTACCCGAAGTCGAGTCTCCAGTCGTGCCCGAGGGAAGGGTTCCTGAACCAGTGCTGGTTCCATTTCCGTTATTGTTGCTATTGCCTCCAGTGGTGGTGGCAGGATTAGGGTTGGGAAGAGGAGATGCTGTAGGGTTACTAGTGCCGCCGAGAGGAGATGTGGTTTCGGGGGCGACAGGACCAGTGTAGGCCGAGTTCCAGAGCGCAAAGGGCTGTTTCCATGCGGTACAGGTCATCTGGTACTGGGTGGGTGGTGGGGACTTTGCTTGAACTCCTGAGCCAAGGACAATGCACTTGGCACAGTTCCAGAGCAACTTCTGGATGACCGCCAGGCACACACAGGGGCCGTCCGATTCTGGGGGGCTGTAGACTCCATTGATCGAAATGTCTTTCTCTGTGAATGTGCCACCACAGGGCTTGACCACCATCGCGTAGGTCTGGCACTCTGCGCAGAAACCTGAAGCTGGTGCTCCAGAAACCAGAGATGAAGATGAGGAACCGGAGATGTTGGTGGTCGCCAGGAAGGAGGTGACGAGGATGGACATGCTGAGCAGCGTCCAGGCTGAGGTGGTCCTGCTGAACAAGCGCATGTTGGATAAATATAGTTGTAGTTTTTTTTTGTTGGTTTTAGAGGAGCCTAGAGGTTGTCAATGTTGATGGTATCGTTTATCGAAGATGCGCATAGTCCAATGTTTCGTAGGTTGGATGGGAGGAGGGCGCAAGTAAGTGGATAGTTGTTTCGTGTTGGTTGCGGAATGTGGATATGATCGCGACAGGAAGTGTAGTAAGGAAGAGAAAAGTGTAAGAAGAAGAGAAGTTGTTGGAAAGTCGAAGGAGGCGGATATGATCATTGAAGGGTAAAAAGAGGAAGAGAAAAAAAGAGGAGGTAAAGGTGTGGTTAGCAAACAATGTTCAGTTCGAATGTGGGATTATTTCAGTCAACAAAGCCGGGGCCGTCGTTTCCCCTTCTCCCCGTTCCATCCTTGCTCTCTCCTTTACAAGCCCGGGCCTTTTTTCTTTGACTTTTGTCTCTGCAATTGACCCATTTGTTGTCACACCTCAGCCTGCATATGGCTCCGTTGGAGAAAGGGAAGGTGGGGGAATGCAGGGCGTAGTGCGAAGGGAGGGAAGGAGAGTATTTGTGTGAGAGAGATGGGAAGGAGGACTACTGAACTGGGCCAACGGAACCTTGGCTGGTAGACCCATATCTCTTGCTTGTACAGGCTATTCTTGAACACAGGGCTCAAATTAAATAATTGGAACCAAAGGGCGCCTTAATGCAGCAACACCACTCACTCAACTCTTAGTGCTCTTGTTTATTTGTGAACCAGAGAGGGTGGCGAAACGACGTCAACTTGCTGTTGTTGTTATTATTTCAGCACAGGACAAGACACACACAAACACACACAATGCACACAAGGAAAAAATATCCACGCGGACAGGGCTGGGATGGAGAGGAGGTGAAAGAGGGCACCCGTTCCGTTGTTGACAGCCTCCAAAATTAGGGGGATCACAAATTAAGTATGCTTTTTGCTGATCCCCTTGTTGGGTTGTTGGTGGTGTTGTGATTCCTTTGGGTGGCGAGAAAGAGAGAAAGGAGGGCGCAGAAAGGGAAAGGGAGGCGGAGGGGCTTTGACACTCTGTTGAGTGAAAATGATTAAAGAAAAGTGTGCTTCGTTACCTTTTGTTGTTGCTGTTTACTCTTATATGTGTGTTATTTCAAGGAGACAAAGGGGAAGAAACACACACACGAGAGCCAGGAAGGACGATTTATATAAGGCTGAAAAAAAGTAAGGAGGTGTCGACTGTGTCGTATGTCCTTGATATATGGTCTTTGTTGGGGTTGGTTGTATTAGAGAGAGGTAGTCGTCAATGAGTGTAAGTTGTGATAGGGGTGGAGGAAGGAGAGGAAGTGGAAGGTGATGTTGATCCTTTGATGCACGGCGCTACAGGTTCCAGGATGGGAGTATGATGGCGAAGTGCGAGTGTCGAAGGAGTGTAAAGGGGAAAAGGGACGTGAAAGAGAGAGGGTGAGAGAGGAGGGGATTGGGGTTCCTGAAGAAGGATTGTGAGGGTTGTGAGAGAGAGGTAAAGGAAGAGAGAAGGAAGGATGGGTCGTGAGTGGACGGACTGGGCGGGTAGAGGAGAGGAGAGGAGAAAAAGAAGAAAAATAAACGAAAGAAAGGAAAAGAAGAGAAGGGGGGAACCAGGAACCAGATGGGGTGAAGGTTGAAAAAGTCTCAAAGTCAAAAATGAGAAATGACTTTTTTTATTATTAGGTACACAGTACCGTACTTCATTCATTCATTCAATGTCCTTCACCAAGGTTCAATTTGGGTGTGGATACAATTCTATCTATCTAACGACAGAGTGTAGTGTGATATGACAAAGGGTAATAAACTAGCGACATGTCATATCCATCCTCTCGCTAATGCTAATGCTAATGCTATTGTTGTCGCTATTGTTGTTGCTGAGTGCTCTCTCTCTCTCTCTCTCTCTCTCTCTCTCTCTCTCTCTTGCTGCCCTCTTGGGCCCACGATCTACCACTTGCAATTGCACACGCCTTTCATTCAACTGTCAATTGTCGGATCAGATTTAGATACTGCGAGTGGTCGGTGGTCCTGAACAATATGCTCAACTAAAATACTTCAGGTAGCAAATTCATCTCTCTCATTCAGTTCGTGTCTCTTTACCATGGCGATGGCTTTGACTCCACCATAGGCCGGACGGAGAAAAGAAAACGAGGTCAGACGAGAGCCATAAAAAAGTACCGATGATGTGTGTTGAAAATAAAACAGATTTGAGCTTGCTGCAATAAGAACAGTAGCAAAATCAAAGGGTCTCCCGATGGTCATCCAAGAGAAGAGACAAGCTCAACAATGACCTGTATTTGGAAGGCTACCCTTCTTTCCTTGCCGATACAGCAGAGGCAGGAAAGAACTGTTTACAAGTAAGTGTCGAACACCTTTGTCAATCGATGCAAAAACCACCCGCCCAATTTCGAGCCTTCTTTTTTGGCTTTGCCCTTGCCTTCTCCCTCACCGAGAATTGACGAAAAAGAAAGATGGGCAACGGCAGTTCAAAGTACAAAAATATAGACCAATTGGGCACTAATTTAAATAAGATATCGAGCTGGAAAGGTGGATCGAGTCAAAATGAACATGAAAGTAAAAAGAGATGTGAGATGTTGGCATCTCTCTTTACTGTCTCTTTATCTCTCTATCATTCATGCGCCTAGATGCCACCCCCATGTATCAAGATTTCATTCTTTTCACTTGCTCGGGCTGGCTGCAGAGTAGAACAACGAAACCCTCCCTTCCTTCTCTCATGTCTCTTGTTTGTTCCCTTCCGCTCTTTTTTTTGTTCTCATTTCCTCGGAGAGTACTCGGCGTGTACCTTTGTCCTTTACACCCCACCCCTCTGGTGCAAAAGCATCATCGTCATCGTATTTTTTTCCAATGGTGCCAAGGTTTGGAGAAAATGAAATTTCAGGCACCTCGTTTTGGATTGGTTGTGATCAACTCCCTCTATTTGGCTACTTTGATCAGTTATGAACGAAATGCTACTTTCTATGCATCACTGGCAGCAGGCGATCTTTTGACGACAACTGTGACGACCACTGTCACTCCGCCACTTCCCTGTCGTGTAGAAGTGTTAGTATATATATATAAAAAGACAGCCTGCAAAGGACTAAAGAGTAACCAAAGCCTCCTACTCTATTGTCCATGGCGAAACGACAGCGGTTGATTGGTCCGAAGGAAAGAAGAGCAGCCAGGTCCAAGTGTCTCGGTTTTCAAAAAAAAAAAAAAAAAAAAAAGGGCGTTAGGCGCACAACCCCTTCTTCGTACCTCTCCTCGCGCCAAATTTTAATCGGCTCTGTTCCCCTATCTTCTTTTCTTGACTAGTCTTGTCCCCTTCTCCTCACTAGTCACAATAAAAAGATAGCAGCATCGTTTCGTATGAATGAGACTGTTAGAATGTCAGGAAGGGGAATGTCTAGGCTTGCTTATTTTTTGACACACCGTCTATTCTTCCTTGAGTAGGGGAACACCTTTTTTTTGTGGACCAAGTCAAACATGAGAGCTAGATGCTTGAGGGCGTTTATTTTCAGGCTGCATTCCAATGCACTTCTCGGACTGAAAAGTGTGCAGTTGTGCGTGTCAATCTTATTCTTTTGTCACTTTTAGAAGGTAAAAGGGGAAGGTAGGTGGTGCCGCACATGGTTTTAAGCAACTATTAACAGTATCAAAAAAGAGTACATGCATTCTCGTGAGTGCGTCGGCGCTGGGGGCAACCAAGGGGTCACAAACAATAATAACGCAAATTAACAGTCGACAGGAGCAAGTGTTTTGCAGGGCCTAAAATGCAATGCTGCTCTCAACTTTGCTATATACAACGAGTACCTAAAAAAAGAGGGTCATCTTGGATGGATGCTAGCCATTTGTACGTGAAAAAAACTACACCCTCCTGCCCATTGCTCACTGCAATCAATTTAGCATCTTTTTCACTTTCAGCTAGCAATAAGGAGGAGGGAAAAAACAAAACTCCACTTGATGTTCCCAATTGCAATAGTCCAAAAAGGCGTTAAAGAGGGCGTTGTTGTTTGGGGTAGGTGAGGAGGGAAGGCAGTAAGAAACCGGGCTGGACCCTTTGCCTCTTTCTAATTTACTATTCTCTACATTGCAAAAAAAAGGCTAAAGACGTTTGTGTCGGCGATGAAAAAAAGCCAACTTTCTCGACTTGTCTGTCCGTTCCTCTTTGCTCTCTCCTCTCAAGAGTGAAATAAAAAGAGGAGGGAGCCAAGTTGGGGGGTTTGTCTACCTAGGGCCGCACCAAAACAGCGATCTCTTCCTTCTCGGATCATCCAAATAGCAAAACGAAAAGAACAGCCTGCATTCCAGTGGGATTCATTTTTTTCCGAGTTAGCAATTGCTCATGCTCACTAGGGCTCCTCCTATCATCCATCACTACACCCACTGCCTAGAAGATTCACATCCACACCGCAGGGCATACCTTCTCGCTAACACATACAAGACTTGAGCTCACATCTTGCAATGTATGCCTTTTGCTATGAACGCGAGTTTTATAACTGGAGAAGTGAATCTGTTGACCCTTCAACACCAAGCAAGACATTGTCGAATTGAACAGTGTACGCGAAAAACGCTAACCATTCGCTTGCTTGGTCTCGTCCATGCCAGTCTCATGCTTAATCGGTAGAACTTGGTCGCACCGCCAGCCTAGAACGTCGGCAAAAAGCAAAAGCGAAAGCGCATTCGTCAGCACCGGTCATCCTTCTTTGCTCTCCTTCAACACATACCGACTTGAAGACGCGTTACATCCTCTCCATACTACTCACCTCGACGGCCTCAATTTCGGCTTTAGTTAGTTCGGGATGGCGATACCGGAGAGGAAGCTCTGCAAAGTCCAGCGTATGTCTCGTCGCGCCATGGGGTCCTGGAGTTGTTGTCACGTTTGAAAATTGTTTTGCTGATGTCTTTTAGGGGGATGTAGAGGGCCTTCCTGCCCTTGAGAGGTTATTCCGCGTCCTTTGGGGCTGCAGGATGGCGGCCTGCCTCATGGTATGCTACAGTATCAAGAATGGACCAGCCGGTGTCAATGCAATGTTCACTTGTTTTATTTCATGCATAAACGCGCTTTGTTCGACGTCTAGATTCGACGTCCTTATCCATCTCTGCAACGATGTCTGATCAAAAAAAAAAAAAAAATTCATTTCACGAGAAATGACGATGGGGTTGCGCGCTCTCGGGATGGAGCCAAATCCGTGATCGTTCGCCTTCTTTTGCCTTTTCCACATAAAAATGGGTCCTGGCGCTCAACCATCCGCACTTCCGCGCTTCCCCAATATCTTCTTTGACGGATGGCGGTAAGCCGTACACCCTTGAGCGAATGAGGGTATGAAAAAAATATATGGGTACTGCGTTGATTAAATGCATTGATGTTCTCTCCTTAAGAACATGACAATGCCTAGATTTCGACGCCACGAAAATTGAAAGAAGGTCCGCCACGACACTTACCGTCAGATAATGCCTTGCGAGGACCGAGGAATCGAATGAGGGAAGTGCATGCATGAGCAACGGCAGCCAGGCTGATGGTTGATGGAGGGAATGAGTGCAACGAATGGAGGTTGAGAAAATGTAAAGGAAGAAGAGTGAAGAACAAAGATGAGGGCGTGTGCAGATAGAAAATGGACGCTTCGGTTCCTGGCACTATCATGCTCAAAAAAAAAGCCACTCTGACACAATCTGGCGCACAGGCAGGACACACACACCACTTTTCCACCTGATTGAAGTTCGCTGGTAGAAAATGGGGTTTATTCTTGTTGCAAACAGCATTGGGAACGAATAACCCACAAGCGAGATGAAGCGATTAAATAAGTCCTTGGCGCTTGAGATCCTCATACGTCTTCTTATTAAAGACGTTTCCTTCACTGTCCTCAAACTCCTCGATCTGGTCCTTCTTGGCCCCCTCAGGCTTGGTGCCCTTGATCTTCTTCCACAGCGCAAGTGCATCCTCGATCCCGACAATCTCATGGAACTGGCGCGTGTTGGGAATACCCAGACACCGCATTCCATGAGCATGGCGCCATTCCTGGAAATGCTTGTCGAACGCCTTGCGACCCTTATAGACGTGGTTTCCACAAATCTCGCACGAGTACTCGACGCCCAATCCGTGCAGCTTGAACAGCCAGTATGGGATAGGCTTGCCGTCCCAGCCTAGTGGCAGCTTCAATGGGTTGTAGATCTTCTCCTCATCGTCTGAATCAGAGTCCTCCAACTCAATCTGATCCGTCTCCAGCTCCAACTATCACAGTTGCAATTGAAAATGTATCAGCGGGCTAAATTGAAGTACATGTGCACACCAATACGATATTCAACATAGATATTAGAGTGCAAAGTTGCAACTTACATCACGCTCACGGCCAGTCAGGGTCTGGCGACGCTCGACATTCTCCTTGGTATCCTCGATCTGCGTCTTCAAAATCTCGGCGTACTTCTGGATTAAGAACTCTGACCAGGCAGCATCCTGCTCTGGCTTGGCCTTCTCCGCCAACGCCTTGGACTGGGCCTCGGCGACGTTCTCCTGATCGCTAGGGTTGCTACTGCTTCCGTTCGCTGCCAGCTGTGCTGCTGCCTTGATATGTTTTTTGCTCGTCAAATGTGCATTGTACACTGTATCCTTGGCGTACTGCTTTTTACAGGCAATGCAGAAAAGGTCTGTAGTAGGAGCGGCATCCTGCTCCTGCTTGGGCCATCCAGGCAAAGACCCTTCCTCCCACTTTTTGTCAAACTCTTGACGACCTTCCTCCTTGATCTTTCCGATGTTTGTCAGTGGTTTGATCCTCTTCAAATAGCCCTCCAAGTACGTGCTAAGTGCATCCAGATACCTATCGAGTTGTAAAGACATAATTACGTGTCAACATCTTTTGAATAATCCTGTGATCACAAGCATAACTACACCCTTCAGCGCGCATGACACCATGTCGGTCATTTACCTCTGATAGTCCGCGTCCTTGTCTTTCCGCTCAATCTCCTCAAACAATGTAAACTCTGAGAGGTATCCAAGATAGTTTGTCCGCTTGAGGCTCTTCAGGTTCATATAATGTTCATGGACCTCGTGCAAATCCAAGTTCCGTCCTCCTGCCTCCTCACCAGAGAAAATGTCGTCCAATGCGCTTATCTTTTCCTCCGTAGGCTGTTGATCCATGAACTCCATCTCCATGGGCTCGACTGCCTCGTTGGGGTATTTCCTGTGATAGTCCTTGATCTTCTTGAGACGGTTGTAGAACTCTCCAAACTCGTTTGCTCCAGAGATGGCATCCATTTCCTTCTTCCGGCTCCTATTAGTGGTTCAAAGAAGATCAGAGGCGCTGTAAGTAAACATGGACAGTGGGGGTTCTGAACTTGCACAGTGACACAGCTGTAATGAAGAGGTTGGGGGACACCTACCCGTCGTCATCCTTGAAAATTGCTGCAAGGTCCGCACTCCTGGCGGTGATCCGGTCCCAGTAACCATTCACTGTATGTTCTTGCAACAAATGTTCCTTGAGCTAATTTTGGAGTTTCAACAGAACGCAAAAAATATGAGTTCACACTTTCTCGTCAAACGACGTACATTCGGGTAAAGAAAGTAAGCCAGAAGCAAAAACAAGAGGTAGAAACGTACAGTTTTGGGATTGAGCATAAACTGGTCGACGACGGCCTGCTCCAGGCGATCAATCTCCTCATGGAGGCGACGTTGAGTCTCTATTTGTTGATTGTCCCAGGTTGTTGCGAAAGAAAAAAAGAGATGTTAATCTCGTGTCTGCGATGTCACTGATATGTGCTTCGTTTTCGCTTGTTTGTTTAAGATTGGGTAGTGTATTCGTCCATGCAAGCAGCTGTCCTGTTGTCGTACCGAGCACACTGTCCATGGTTACTGAAGTCGAGTGTGTTTTTGAAGAGAGAGGTTTGATTGATGCAAGCAAACAGAGATCTACAAAAGGTTCTGCTGAACGTAATACTAGTGTTGTTAAGGGCTATTGTTAAATGCACAAGGAAACCAGCTTGCACCCAAAAGGAAGCAGTCAATCTTTGGAGTCCGTGCTCCGTGGGCCTGTGTTCTTCGGTCATCATGATACCGCTCGCCAACCGTCCTATATATATACTGCCGATACTTTTTCTTTGCCACATCACCACATCACCCTTCCCTTTCTTACACAACCTCCTCCAACCAACCTCCACAATGTCGAATATCACCGAAAAGATCGCAAACACCATGAGCTCCTATATGGGTAGCGCAAAGCAAGTCCTCGGCGAGAAGCTCGGTTCCCCGGACATGGTCGCCAGCGGAGTCATCCAAAAGACCCAAGCCGACAACATCCTCAGAGAAGCCGCTGCCAAGACCCACGCCCAGGGCCACGGCCACAATGTCGAAGGCCAAGCCCAGAAGAAGGTCGGCTCCCTCACCGGTGACAAGACCATGTATGCCAAGGGCGAAGTTAACGATGCCATCGGCGACGCCCAGCGTAGCGTCTAGGCTCACCCTTCGCATCAAGTCTCAACTCTTTCAAGCACGGCTCCCTTTCCTTGTAAATACAACTTCAATTAAATCACCAGGGCAATGGATATCTTATTTATTTCTGTAAAAAATGTTCTCTTTCTGCTTCGGCGAAGTCTGTCAGCGCCCTAAACACGCCCACTGCCTCCAATCAGGGACCAGCTGGCATTGACACTGTTGTAGCGAACATCTTGGTCAGGGTGAGCCATGAGCTCCATGATCCTTTGCTTGACACCCAGCTCCTGCAAGAATCTATCGACACAGAGATCAAGTGGGATGAAGGTTAACGAATGAATTGCATAACACGATCATCATATCTCAATGAGAAAGTAACGTACTTTTTGCTGCTGGGATCGCGCTTGACGTATTGTCCAATGTCGTTGGCGGCGACAGACAAGACAACAGGATCACCAGCAGTACTAAGAAGTCGAGCAAGGATCCTCAAAAGAGCATAGTTCTCCTTCTTGAGCTCACGCCAGTTCTTTGTCCAGAAAAGATCCGATTGATGAGGTGGCGACCAGATAAGTCTTCCAGACAATAACTCCGCCTGATAAACCTCGAAAGTTCTATACACAAGAAAGAAAGACAAGGTTGAGCATCGGACATGGAAAGAAAAGAATAGGCCAAGGATATGTTCTTGTGTGATGCTGCGGATTAGTACTCACGTCAAGGTTTGAAAGTTCTCTTCCAGCTCTGCCTTGAGGTAGTTGACATCTTCGAGAATCTCGCCGTCAGACCACTTTCGTGTTGACAAGTTCTCTGTGAAGGTCAAGAGCTTGACGGCAGCCATGGCGGCCAAGTTTGCCTCAGGTGCCCTCTCGACCAAGTTCTGAGATTCGTCACATTTTTATCACACGCAGGGAGTATTGACATCGAAGGTTAGCGTTGAAATCGTCGTAGGCTGTATGAAAAAGTGTTAAAAGGCGACCATGGACTTACTCTCAGGGTGGAGATGATGACACGGATGACCTTCTCCTTGATAGCCGACTTTGCAATCTCGACCAACTGAGGGATGACATCGTATCTCCTATGCATAGTAATTGAAAAAAATGACGCGGCAGTTCAAAGGTGAGAAAACGACTGCCCCAAAGTCCAATTTCCTGCCATAAAACGAACGACATCTTGGACTTTTGTCCTTAACCTTTCAATACCTGTTCAATTCTTGCGCAATCTCAGTGTCAAAGGTCAGGATCCAGAAGCAGTAGATGACCTGATACTGCATCTGAGGGGTGGGTGCTTCAGTCTTCAAGATTTTAACAAGAGCGTCCATAGCATGAGGCGAGTTCCAGTAGATGGGTCGGACTGCCCTCTGTCGAAAAACGGACTCGAGCACCTGAACAGCCAAGTCAACCACTGCGGGGTTGTTGCTCTGAAGCTGAGCGGTGGTCCAGCGGAAGAGCTCCTCTGCAGCCTCCGTGCTTGGCTTTGGGCTGGCGCACAGAATCGTAGTCAAGATCTTGCTTGCCTTCAGTGGCACAAAGTCATCCTCGCTTCTCAGGCACCTATTGTTGTTGACAATACGTCAATTGAGTCAGCGTCGAATTAACTTTGGCGTGATACGTGATCAACTCGGGACTACCTCATCCTTGCATGGTTTCTCTTTCACTCAGTTTGATCCTTACTTTAACAGAGGCGCGTAAGGGAGGCTGGGGTCTTTCTTGGTTAGATCGAGAAAGTATGTCGCCCGATCCTCATGATCTGTCGTAAAGAAGTCCAATAGGAAGAGAAGGTCAGACGCACTGTGAAGCGATATAATGTAACGCGTTGCAGTGGAGAGGGAAGGACCAGCAAAAACGAATATGTACCCAAGAGTAGATCGTCAATCAGGATGAGGATTGACTGGATAGTGTCGACACGAACGAGTTTTTGGAGGAGACTGACAAATAAATCCGCATAGACCGGCCCTTCCTATGAATGCGAATATCAATGCTGTCAATGAGTGGTTCATTTTATAAGGGAAAAGAGAGTAAGTGAGACCTAACAGGTCGAGCAATTGATGCTTCTTACATTGTCGACTACGCGTGAGAGATCTTCTCCAGTCTTCTTTTCTACCGCCTTGATGTAGTTCAGCTCCGTCTGGGTGATAAGCGTGGCTCTTTGGTAACCCTATTAGGAGCCCAGCAAAGCAAAGAAGAGCAAGGCGTGTAGAGTATTCGTTGAATATAATAGGAGCCACAAACAGTTGGGTTGACTTTTTTGAGAAGTGCAATGATTCCAGAACCAAAGTCGACAGCGCGAACAATAGGTGAATGAATGTTGTTTCTTATCGAAGCGTGAGTAAAAATGAGTGTATTATACCTCCCACGGAATGGGACGTGCTCTCAGGCCTGCGGTGAGTTCGTCGAGGTAAAGGTTGGAGACGAGGGCGAGAGGCACCTCTGCGACAGAGTCTTTGTTCTGAATGACCATTTACAACGTTGCTTGTTGGAGTGTGATGGCAGAGTGGAGTGAGTAAAGAGGAGAGTGGAGTGAGTAGAGAGGAAGAGTGGAGTGAGAGCGAGAAGGGGGAGGGGGTGTGTGTGTCGGTCGAAAGACGTGCGCGTGAACAGACGTCAAAAGTGAGCAAGAGAAAAGGGGACCTATCCATGCTCCCCTGCCCAAAGCACGTCACACTCCTCCCTTCGATTTCGAGCCTCATAGGGACAAACGACTGACAGACAGGGGATAGGTCAGATAGACACACTGCAGCGAAAGCAAAGGTCAAAGTAACCCGTGTCGAGAAAGCATACCAATGATGCTCTGTGTTGTTTGGTAATGATAATAATGTGTATTGCGGATATGTTCCTGAAATGTCTATGTTTGTGCTTCCTCTCCATGCAAAAAATTATGCCGACTTGGCCGCCTTCTTGGCCTGAGCTGCCTTGTCCTGCTTGACCAAACCTTCCAGACGGAAGGCACGGCCTGGGTTGTCGCGCAGGTAGAAAAGCTTCGCCCTCCTGAATCCCTCTCCACGCTTCATGATCCTGACTGACTTGATCATAGGCGAGTAGAGCATATATTTCATCTCGACGCCGACCTTCAACACAACGTTGCGGACGGTAAAGTTGCTGTGAAGACCCCTGCGATCCATAGCAATGAGAACACCGACGAATGTGCTGGTCTTGTCTGCCGACATCGAGTTGAGGGTCTCAACAAGGACAACATCACCGGCGCGGAGGCAGTCGGGGTGAGACTTGTTGAAAAGTTTCGAGCGCCCGTCGGCACCCATACGCTTGACTTCCTCCTTGGCGATAAGCTGCATCAATCCCTGTCCCTTGGTGTTGGGTTTGAACTGAGTTGGTACTGTGACAGATGCTGGCGCTTTGTATGTTGGCTTGGCGGCTAAGTTAATATACAAGTATTCGGCAACGTCGTTAGTCTCCAGGTAGATCAGTTGCGTTGCCTTTCCTGTTCCTGAAATACTCATTCGTTCTCGTCTTCGGAGAATGATTGAGTCCTGCTGTGTATTTTTACCATTGGCGGCTGTGGAGGCGAATCTTGCGGTGACGCCTGACAGGCGAGCGCCGAGTGTCCTTGTGAATGAGAACATTGCCGGTTGTTGATGTTTACTGATGGGAGTGGAGGATTCGAAGCAAGAGGCGGAGGTCTCAAGGTGATCAGCAGCAATATTTCGCTCTCTCTCGGTGTCCCCGAAGCACAGGGACCTACCCAGGATAAACAGGTGGCTTTGCTTCCGATGTGACTACTTCCATCTCACCCCATGCGGAGGAAACGAACAAGCAAGAAGGCCACTTTTCCCACACCTTACACTTACACTTCTCGCCACCAGTCAACAGCCTGTGCCTGAGCCGTATCGACAACTACACAGACAAGCAAGCAGACAGGCAGCTTTGTTCGTCAATATGGCATCCTCAAGACATCTAATCTCCAAAGGTACCATCGACTCATCCTTCTACAGCACTCCAGCAATTGTTCCGGAGCGTGTTGACAGGACTAAACAGTGTCTCATCCTTCACACGGCTACACATAGGAGTCACAGGTCTCCTCCGACAGACACACCTGGAGCAGCGATGTCCCAATGCCATCATTACCCGCCAAAAACACACCTCAACCAGCGGGAACACTATCCATGAAGTCTCTTCCAAACGCTCGGCGGCATCCAGGAACGACGCCTCTTCTTCCCTCGAGGCTAAACTCTCTAGACCCTCCACAGGATTCCCTCTCCTCTCCTCCCCTACTCGTTATACCCAGCTCTTTGGCAACCCCATGGGCTTGTCAGCGTTGCTCTTCAGACGCGGCATAGTCACCAACCACAACTTTAACACCAACAAGATTGTCACCAAGCTGGAGAACAATGGCTTTCTACGCGGACAGGCCGAGATTGTCATGCGCAGTATCAAGGCACTTCTCGGAGGACAGTACGTTTATTTGTATTTTGTTTCTTCTACATCGGATCAGGGACAATTGCTTTCGTGATGCTCAGGGTATGAACGCAGCAGCTAATACGTGCCTGTTATTTGGACTCCCTAATTAGCACCAACCAGATCAGGAAGAACATCCTGACGACTGGCGATTTGGAGAACGAGTCCTATCTGTTCAAGGCAGCATTGACGGAACTCCGGACAGAGCTTCAGATTCTTCGCAAGAATGATGCCGCTGCACTCGCTATCAGGACAGAAATTATTTCACGAGAGATCGACTCTCTGAACCAGAAGCTGCGAGAGGACATTGCCAACCTGAAGAACGATATTGCGATCGACATGAATAGCCGCAAGAGCGACGTGCGGGAGGAGCAAAAGGCATTGGAGATCCGAATCCAGTCGATGAGTAACCACTACATGGCACAGTTGGGCGACATGAGGACCAAGATGGAGGCTGCCAAATGGGAAGCGACTCGCAAGGGAATGGGTAAGTGCTCTTTGGCAGGACAGTTGCGCTTATCACAGAATCACTCCGATTACTTGCCAGGACGAAAATGTGGACAGGAGTGCTAATATTCAACCATTGCTTGGTCTCAATTGTTACTAGTGGCCATCTTTATTTCGGCAACGTTTGTGCTTTTGACGAGCAGGATATTTATGTCGAGGAAGGAGAAGATGTCGGACGACTACATCGACCCCTACATCAACCACTCCAATGCCCAAAACACGGACGATGGCATGGTTCCGGATACCTTTGTTGTCTCGCACCGATCATGATAGTCGGACGAGAGTACAGTACACGCCGTAAGATGACGAAACACGGAAAGGCACCTGTTACTAGACACAATAAACGCGAACGGACCCCACCTTTCTCTCCCACACTCTTGCTTCAATGCCGAGTGGCATCTATTAGAAAAAAAGGAGGCCTTATTTTTCTCAACAGCACAGTCCTCTCGTGACCCTTGGTCCACACCCTCAGCTCGCATTTTTTCCCCACCTCTCCCCGCCTCCGAGCGACCAACCTCTTTGTTCCCTCCCCCTCTTTCTTCTCCTTTACTTCACTTGCAACAACACTCCCTACTCCTTCACTAGTACATACACCCTTTCAACAAAGCACCCATACACAGGAGAAAGACTTTTTCCGAAAACCAAAAAAAAAGACCATGCTGTACTCATTCAAAAGAACCATTGCTGTCACTGGACTGTCAAAGCCGCTCCTTGTGCAACGACAGGTGAGCATATTTTTCTATAAATTACCATTTTCCCACCCTATTCCCATGACTTCGAGGTGTTGCCTTTCCCAAAACCGCAACAATGAACAGTGAATGTGTGTGTGTGTGTGTGTTTTTTTTTGCTGAGAAGTTCTGCAAAGGCTGGTTTCTTACTTCTCATAATTCCAATATGGTTTTCAGATTCCCATGATGCCCGTCAAGGCCTTAATTGCCAGTCAGGTGCGCCACTTGAACCTGCACGAATACCAGTCGAAGCAATTGATGGCCAAACACAACGTCAACGTCCAACGGTTTGTCATTGCAGAGTCCATTGAACAAGCGGAGAACGCCGCCAAGGGTTTGAGTAAGTCGTAATAATGATGTGAGGGGAAAAGTCGACAGCTATGTCATGATTGTTTTTACCGAACGAGAGGATTTTGTATCTGGTGAGAAAAAGGTTTAATACTCTCTCACGGACCATGGTCCCACCTGTCTGCTGAGGAAAGTTGTGGAGAGAGACGAAAATAAACTGCAAGTAGGGAAATGAAGTAGAATATGATGCAAGGACGGGATACACCTAATTGAACTCGCATGAGAGTGTTGTAGACACAGAAGGAGAAATACTGACCGCATGCACTGTCTTAATATTTGTTAATAGAGGCGGACGAGATTGTCATCAAGGCTCAAATCCATGCTGGAGGACGAGGCAAGGGCGAGTTCTCGAGTGGACTGAAGAGCGGCGTCCATTTGACCAGAGAGTAAGTATGCTCTTCACTCTGTGCAAGGTGCATGACAGGTTTGGCAAAAGGGCGCGCGAAGGCCTTACTTACCAATCACTATCTTTCTCTAATACAATAATAGTCCAGCCAAGGTGCCAGAGCTGGTGAAGCAGATGCTTGGCTACAAACTCAAGACAAAGCAGACGAGCGAGGATGGAGTCATTGTCAATAAGGTCATGATTGCCGAGGCGCTGGATATCTCCAAGGAGACCTACTTTGCCATTCTGATGGACCGTGATAGTGGTGGACCTGTCATGGTCGGAAGCCCCGATGGCGGCATTGATATCGAGCAGGTTGCCGCCACCCACCCCGACCACATCTTTAAGGTAACATCAACGCGACGTGTATTTGATATAGTTGCTGCTACTGACGAAAGTGGTTGATTGCTTCAAGTTCATCACACTGATCAATGAACCGTGTGTCGGCCATGGAATAGTCTATTGTCGATATTGAGACAGGCCCAACAGAGAAGCAGACACTTGACATGGCCATGAAGCTGGGATTCCAAGGCAAGGCTGTTGCCGAGGCTTCTGACCAGATGCAAAACCTGTACCAGCTCTTCTTGGATGTCGATGCTACTCAGGTCGAGATCAACCCCTTCGGTTTAACGCCTCAAAACAAAGGTACCATCAAATTACGTTCTTTTCATTTTGCTTGCTATGGCATGTTTTCTTTCCGCGAGTACACGTTGACTAACAGTTGCTTTCGACTGCGGTCTACTTTGATAGTTGTATGCTTTGATGCCAAGATATCGTTTGATGACAACGCGATATTTAAGCACCCTGAGCTGAGGGCAATGCGTGATACGACGGAGGAGAACCCTCGTGAGGTCGACGCTGAGAACTGTGGACTGAACTATGTCGGCATGGACGGCAACATTGGCTGTCTCGGTAGGCACATGGGAGTCGAGGCAAAAATATAGGTTGCCTCATTCGCGGATGCTGCCCTAGTCCTTGCATTTAACCGCATTACGTTCTATTGATTCACTTTTTGTTACGCGATAGTGAATGGAGCAGGTTTGGCGTTGGCGACGATGGACATTATCAAGCTGCACGGCGCTTCGCCAGCCAACTTTTTGGATGTCGGGGGAGGAGTGACGACCAAGCAGGTCGGCCAGGCATTCAAGATCCTGACAGACGACAAGAATGTGAAGACGATCTTGGTGAACATCTTTGGCGGTATTGCATCCTGCTTGACTATTGCTGAGGGAATGGTCACGGCCTTGACGGAGGGACCCAAGATCAAGGTGCCTATTGTTGTTCGCCTCCAGGGGAACCAGGTCGAGGAGGGCAAGGAGTGTCTGCGACGATCGGGTCTCAACATTACTGTTAGGGACGATCTTGATGAGGCTGCCATCCTGAGTGCCCAGCTCGCCGCTGCATAGGAGCGAGAGACGTTAATGTCATGCTTCGTCACTACATTTTGCTAAAACCTTCGTCGATGTACATATGAAATCTGGGTTACACCTTGGGCGTTTGAAAATAAAAACATCTGTTGTGAACGTAGTTTGAGAGCAGTGTGCATTAAGTTATGGAAGTATAGCTGGACAAGATAGTCGAGACATGGCAACGATTGCAAAGAGAGAACATGCAATTTCCATGTGTGCGACAGGCGATTAAAAATAACAATTATTTGATGTATGTCTCGAATGCTTGACCGAGGGTAGTTCTTCGAAGAAGAAGAAGAAGAAAGGGTTCTTTTGTGCTCCGCTGGCTTTTGTTTTTGCCTACAGCTAAACGAGAAGCAGAGGTGAGCAGCGCCAGGGGAGAAACTTACCGGGAAACGACGGTTTTTTATTTTCATTACTTCCTTTTTCCTTTTGGCCCCCTCCTTCCTTCTCTAGCTACTGCTCTCCTTGATCTCCACTCTCCACTCTCTAATCATCCCAACCTCACCAATACAGAATGCAGTATACCTGGAAATCAGGCCTCCTCCTGACCCTTACAACCCTCCTCCTCGCCCTCACTTTCACCCCCACCACAACCTTCACCGACGCCCAATCCCCTCAATGCCACACCTGCATCGTCCAAACCATCCCCCGCATCACAAACTGCACCACCCTCCCCCAAACCTCCCACACTACCCTCATCAAACTCATCCACGGCGATGAGCTCTTCAACGTCACCTCCGATTTCCGTAAAGGCGACCCACCCGCATTCGAGTGTTTAGTCTCGTTGATGTGGAACGTGGTGCATTACAAGGATACGCTTTGGAGTGCTTGTTTGCAACCCAACAAGGCTTGTGTTTGGGCCGAGATGATGCAGTATTTGCAGATTGTTACTAAAGTTGCATCGATTTATGGCATGACGACTCCTCCTGTAAGTTTTGTTGGTTGGAGGTGGTGGTGCGTTTGGGGTGAGAGTGGATGGATGAAGAAGGACTGAGGCGAGAAGCTAGGTGTTGTGTCGTGTTTTCGTACTGACTTTTTTTCTCTCTCTCTCTTTCTCTCTCTCGTTGCTGTGTCTTGTTTTTGTTATTAGGCCGCCGTTCTCATTGACGCCCCAAAATAAGCACCCAAGACAACGACCACAAAGAATAAAAATCAAAAACAACCTCAATTTATGAGTTTGCAACAGAGTGTGTGTTCCTGAGAAAATGGTAAAAAAAAAATGGATCTGCACCATTGTTTTTCCTGTGCTCGTGAAGACCATATTTTGTTTCGGTTGTTTTATTTATTTATTCAAGTAACAGTCTTTTGACACGAAGCAAAGAGTTGCTCAAAAGGGGAAGGCAGGAGAGGAGATGAGATGAGAGAAAGGGAATGAAGGGAAGGAGGGAGAGGACATGAATAGTTTTTGTCTTATGATGCGAAAAGGCTTAGACAAGGATATGTTGTTTGGCAGCAATGGTGTTGGGCGAGGGGAGGTTTTCGATGGGTGCAGACGCCGAGGTGTCGAAAGTGCTTCGATCCACATTATCATCCCGCAACGCTGGGTCCACCTCCGATTCTATATCAAGCCAGAACAAAACAAAAAAAAAGACGCATGTTAAGATCCACTTTGATGAGTATTTTTACGATATCACAAGGGGGCACTCATTTGTAGTTTGAACATACCGTGAAGGATGTGGTGCTCTACAAGCTCAGAGGGCCGAGGGCGGGTCTCGAGCTTACCCGCAAGCTTATCCTCCAACTGCGATTTCTTCAACTCCTCCACATGCCTCTGTAGCCCCGGTGCCACATTCGATTCTACCATCAAAAAAAAGACATAAGAGGTAGCAGATTAGCACAGTATGCACAAAAAAGAAAGCCGTCGCTAGCAACATGAGGTAATGAAGAAAAGAGTGCAAGGAGGGGAGGGATGAGAAGGGCGTTGTGGCGGGTTACCATGAAGAATGTTGTGATCGATCAACTCGGAGGCTGGGGGACGATGCTCCAGCTTGGAGCTCAGGGCATCCTCGAGCTGCGACTTTTTCAGTTCTTCAGCTTGTTGCTGCAACTCAGGCGCGATCTTTGGATCTATCATAAAAAAAGGACATCAGAAGACAGGTTCGCAAAGGATTCGAATCTCATTCACCTCTGTAAAGATATATTTTCTCCTTCTGACTCTTATACCTTTCAGGATGTTTTTTTCGACGAGCTCTTCGGGCGCTGGGCGTTCCTTCAAGAACTTGTCGAAATCTTGGGCGTTGTGGAGAATGTGTTGTGAAGCTGTGGACATTGAAGAGGAGAAAGAGGAGGAGGGTCAGGATCAAATTCACCACTGGTCGCATGTACAAGGAAATTGAAGAGACGTAGATTATCATTACTCGTACCCATGGTGGAATGAATTGTGTTGTTTGTAGATGTCAATGGTTGAGAAAATGAGAAACAAAAAAAAGAAAAAGTGAGGACAATGGTTGCTTTTTATTTCTTCTTCGATGCTTTAAAGGATTGGCGGCGTCATGAAGTCATCATCGTTATGTAGAGTTTAGCAATGACGAAGACGAAACAAAATACAGCGAAAAACCACGCCAAACTTAAAAGGTGCTCCATGACCAATCGTGGGGCACTGAGGGCATTGGCATCATCGTCGTTTGATCTAAGGCATTTTAAGAGGCACCACGTTAGTATCTTCATGCATATAGTTGTCACCTGGTGAGGACCCTCTATCGTCATTCTTCTTCGCTGTTACCTTTGGATGGACGCCTCTTGATTGTAATGTTGCTCGTCTCAGTCTTGGATTGCTCTATGGGATCACAAGCGTCAACAAGCAAAAAAGGTTCGTCAGTATGTCAGTAACCTCTTCGATATCCTGTTAACTACACTACTCCGGAAGGCAGACGCGCGGGTGTGTGGAATAAGAACATACCGTCGGTGCCGAGATACCCTTCAGGAAGCTGTCCAGTATTCTTTTTTGAATTTGAGCCAGAGGATTCGGCAGCAGCAGCAGTAGGAGCATTGGGATGTGTTGACTCGTGTGCTTCCCGGAAGGCCGAATGTAGATATGCCTGGTCGTATTCTGGGGAGGGAATAACTCCTTGCCACTGCTCATACGCCTCGTAACAACCGACACATGCTCGACTCATGATTCCATCTGACGGGTTAAAGTCCAATGCTTGATCCAGCGGAACTTCCTTCGAACAATGCGCAGAGCAAAAGATATCTCCGCACCTAGAAAAGTAAAAAAAAATGTTTCGGTTACGATGAGGTGTGAGGAAAATAGAAAGGGGATTCACAAATGAAGTAAATAAGGCTGTTCCTCAGCGTACTTTCGGCAATGGTGTCTTCGGTCAAAGAAACTAAACTCGCGGCGGCAACCTGGCCATGTGCAGACAAGAGTGCTGCTATCCGGCTATTATTTGTTGTGCAGTGCAAGGATAATGTAAAGAGTTAGTCATTTCACCTCCTCCACAAAAACAACTAAGCTGGCTTTGCGCAAGGGCGATCTGGAATCCAATTGCCTGTCCACTTGGACCGTTATTTTCTTCTCTTATATAAAGACTCATGTCAACCATGCGCAAAAAGAGACATCGTTTTCTCCATGAACGAAAAACGCTATTCCTTTCTTCCAGAACAAGATCACTCCTGCTCCTCGAGGTTAACTTTGACTTGCCTTCCAGTGGGCTCGACCAGGTCCAGAGGTGACAGAGTATGTGCTAGCCGAGTCGGTATCGCGGGCTACTGCCGCTGGTCGGTATATACTGGTGAGGGGTGCGGATGCGACACGTATCCTGTTCGAAGTGGCGCTTTTGGCAGGCGATGAGGTCAAAGAGGCTGACTGCTGTCCCCGAGAATCGGGTGTGAGTGTCTGCCGTTGTGGTTGGGGCTGGGGTGCTTGCTGTGGCTGCTGCTGTTGTTGGTGCTGTTGAATTTGTTGTTGAGATTGTCCGTGGAGTTTCTGCTGTTGCTGTTGCAGCATCTGCATCTGTTGTTCGCGCTGTTGCTTTTCGAGGACAGCCTGACGGTATTGTGGCGGTAGTTGTGAGTACTGCTTCTCGATCTGGTCTATTGTCGGTGCTTGACTTGTAGTTGTTTGTGGAGGCTGTTGCTCCTGTTGCTGTCTTTGCTGCTGCTCGGGTAACTCCTGGCGGTGCTGCAGTGGCAGTTGTGAGTCCTGCTGAGGTTGTGCCATGGTTGAGCTGAAGAATTTTGTTGGTGATGAGGTTGTGTGTGAGTGAAGAGAATGAGAGAGAAAAAGAGAAGAAATGAAAAGAACGATCACCGAGGCGAGCCAACAAAATAATTTTTGCTCTTTTCCTTTCCCAAAATGCAATACCGGGTGCAGTGCTCAGACAGAACACATTACAATGTTCATGGTGCTGTTGCTTCCCACGATCAACATGGCACCAAAAACTGGCGTCCACAATCCTCAAAAATACAACAACAGCAGTAATATCTTTCAAGAGTACCGCGAAAAACTACACGTTGTTGTTGTTGTGGTTGCTAATACTACTAATAAATAAAACACTGCTTGGGAGAGAAAGAGAGAGCGATTGATAGTAGACAGAACAAGGGATCCAGGTGAAGAACTACACTTAGTTGATCTGGAGGAGCTGGACCTCAAAGGTCAAGTCGGCGTTCCGGGGGATGACTGGTGGGTATCCGTTAGCGCCATAGCCAAAGTCGGGGGTGATCTGCAAGACAGCCTTCTCACCAAGAGACATCTGTGGGACACCTACAAACAATAAAAATCCATGTCAGTTCAAAATAATCTCGTCAATATTTGACTCGAACTGCTTGGGCGTGAACAAACAAAAAAAAATGAGACGTACCTTCATCCCAACCCTGGATGACTTGACCAACTCCGATTTTGGTAACGAAGGGCTTCTTACGGTCGACGGAGGAATCGAACTTGGTTCCATCGGTAAGCTATTTTTTTTTAAAGCAATGCATGTTCTAGTACGTTAAGCAAAACACAAGCAAACAACACCGCAGAAAAGAGTCGCCTCGTCTGAACTTGACAAAACACATAAGTTGAGATTGACTTACAGTTCCGGTGTCTGATTACGATAAGGAGACCCAGGGTAGAATGGACACCATGAAAGAGATAGATAACAAAAGAGAAGGACTTTGTGAGTATGGCTTTGACTCCTTGAATGATACCAAGTGAGTGAACAACGCAGTGGTTCGACAGGGAAAAAAAAAAAGACTCGCGCGCAAAGGACCAGGAGTGAAGAAGAGAGACGTACAGTGCATGGTGACGGTGTCACCCGTCTTGGGGAAGTTGATTCCGTCTCCGGGGGTAATGACAGTCTTGGTAACGCCCATTGCTAGTTAAGGATGTAATGAAGTTGAGGAGAGGTGGGGTGTGTATGGATGAGGAAAAAGAAAAAACGACTTGCGATACCTCTTTTGTCTTTTGTTCTGGCCCTTGTGTTAGGCGATTGCGTGGAAGAGGTGCAGTCACAGTGCTTTCGGAGGCATGGATTTCAAGGGATCCCACGCTGCTGGACGGGGGACGCGTCTCCTCTCTTCGACACATCGGACGGCAATCTTCACCCCTGACACAAACAAACGGCACAGAGGAGACACAACACCCATGCAGTTCAGGGGCATCTTCTATTGGAACAGAGAAAATAAAAGGGACGACAATCGTGCTCATCGTCATCGCGCAATTTCTGTCGAACTAGTGCGCGACTAAAAGATGCACAGGGAAGGTGGAGGTGCAGTTGTGAGGGTCGTCCTTGGCTCTTTCTCTCATGTTCGCGTAGAAAGCGAAAACAGCTGTAGAGTACAAAAAGGATGACTCGCTATCAAAGATCCTCGGCTACGCTGACAATATAAAAAAAAATGATGAAACACAACGCGTCAAAGATCCTTGACCGGAGCAATTGGGCCAATCTCCACCACACAGTACCAGAATTCTGACCTCCACTGGATCCACCCTTGTTACAACCTTTCTGCACCATGACGACCAATCTAGACCCTTAAACTAGCATTGCATGTAGCTGGTTCTCTTTTGCCTCCTTATTTCCATCTCTCACTAGAATCGTTTTATTCAGGCACGCCAGATAGCCTAAAGAAAAAAAGACAGCTCTCGCTTGCCACTAAACACACTTGCTTCCTTCCCTCGGTACCTTAGGCCTTCGTTTGTAACCAACAACAGAGAAGACCCTTTGAGTAGCCAGGAGAAATAGAGACGCGTCCACCGTCTACCAGACCTACTATAAGAAGACCCTTTTCAATGTTCTTCTCCATTTCTCACTCACTGTCCACATTCAACCTCTTTTTCAATACATTATCTTCTTTCATATCTCTCATTTTTTGCTCATCATATCATGAAATCTGCCATCATCTCGATCCTCAGCTGTGCGCTTCTCGCTAGTCAAGTCTACGCCCACTCCATGATGACCATCCCTCGTGGACGAGGAAACGTCGAATGGTGGGGGACATGTGGTAAGTCACCCCCTCTGATTCCCTTCCTCGAACAAGTTACCCATCACTCACTCCCCTACCAAGTCTCTCCCGTTCTCACCCCACCTCTCCTCCATCTTCTCCCTACACTAAAATAGCCTCAGGGTTCGGATGCCATGGCCCTTGCGACTCAAAACGTTCCCTGTCCCCAATCCTAAACGACCCAACCTACCCCGTCCAAACAATCCGCCGCGGCGACGCCCTAACCATCAGCTGGCAACGGTTCAACCACCCAGGAGGGTTTGTCCGTCTCGCCATGGTCCCCTTTGAAGAATCCGACGACTGGGCAGCCTTCAACGCCGCCAACGCCGCAAAATTCTCCTGCTACGAATCCAACTGTGGGCCTGACGATCCTAATGATTCTTACTTTGGTCACATGAATGGACCGGGAGATGGGCTTTGCTCGACTACTTTTACGGTCCCCCAGGACTTGCCCGATGGAAAGGCGACATTGCAGTGGATCTGGTATGGCGGTGGGGTGTACTATGGACAGCCAGAGGCCGGGTTCGGAGAGTATTATACCTGTACGGATTACGTGGTCCAGGGCGGGAATGATCTAGTCCCTAGGGGATCGTTGGGTGATCAACGTGTCTGGCAAGGAGGGGATGCCTCGAACCCTGGGACGGACGTCTGCAAGTACTGGAGCTCCAACCGGATCGGCGATTGTTCCTTTGGGGATCAACGGCCTCCCAACCCCAGAGACGACGATCTATTGAGTCAGAGTTTGGAGCCTTGTTCGAGGACGGGAGAGTTTATTGGAAGGGCTGCAGAGTTTGAGGCTGGTGGAGGATCGAGACATTTGAAGAAGCGGTTTGGTCGTGGTGTTCGTTCAGATGTCTATGTCAACGCCCATACCACCAATGCTACCCACTGAACAACAACATCATATCCCACGACCTCTCTATATACAAACAACACACTGTATTCACGTGCATCATTAATAAGGCAAACAAATATCTACAAGCAATGATTACGAAAAAAAAAAAAGAATAATGTACATCCAACTACAACGCGCAATCAGAGCTCCATGTCCTCGTCACATTCGTGTTCAGCAAGGTCTGCCAACATGTTGGCCCCCGTGAGATGCGAGAACGAGATACTCAGCGGTCGCGTGATAGTAGGAGCCATCGAGAGACAAGGCGAAGGGGATGATGATCTCGATGGCATCAGTCGGACAGCTTCTTCTCCCATCGACACATCCTCCTGACTATGGTGCTGGTGGTGAAGGTTATGCTGGCCATATTGCACCGGACTTGATCGACCATACCCGCCATGCCGGGCAATCCCCAGACTCTCTCGGTATCCGCTCTGGCTCTTGTGCAAATGTTGGTTCCAGGACGACATCTCCTCAAGTCGTTGACCATGCCCGTGTGACGAGCTCCCAGGTGACCCTCCTCCGGTAGTCGAATTCGTATTTGACGCATGCCGCGAGAATCGATCGCTTGGAGCGTTCACACTCCCGTCCAGCGCCGTCATTGTCAGATCCATCCACGGGGATTGTGGACGTGCAGAACTCGAAGAGCCGGACACAGAATGACGCAACCGGGGTGAATGACCAAGACGAGACGATGCATTATCGATAGCTCCATGATCTGCCCATGCATCGCCATGGTGCGGGTAGAGGTGGTCGCTGTGATGGCGGGGGGGATGTCCTGAGTGCACAGTGTCCTGAACAGACTGTCGAATGTGTGGGTCGTGGCGCGGATGCGGATACAGTTGGTCAGCAGCCCTCGAAACATCGTTGTTCCACTGCTGGGAGGGAGAATGAGACGACAGTGTCGACAACTGAATCAATTGCTGGTGTGAAACTTGTTGCTGCTGTTGGTGGTTTTGGTGTCCTTGTCCCAATTGTTGCTGCTGCTGCTGTTGTTGGTAATCTTGATATTGGGTATAAGGATAGATGTTGGTCTCGCTGAATGACCGTGCTCGAGATCCAAAAGAGGTCCTAGAGTCCTCCTGTGTATGCCCTCCATTGTGCTTGTCTCTTGACTCGTGGAGTGATCTTTGCCGGCCTAAACTGCCTTCCTTCCCCTGGTGTTGGTTGTTGTCGTGGTGGTGGTTGGATGAAGATCCAGAATTGATCTGCTGCAGCGATGATGTGCCTCTCTGCATGTCCGTTACTGACTCCGCTCCCACTCCTGATGAGGTATGTACTGGTATTACGAAGGAAGGATACACCCAACAAAAAACATCGTCTTGGTGAGTTGCAATGTTTTCATCTTATTTGTGGATAAAAATCTAAATCGTGACATGACATAGGCGGTTACCATTGGTGGGACGGCCCAGGACGGCAACTTCAGTGGCGGATATTCTTGTGATGGCGTTTGCAGCAGGAAGTTGAGGCTGAGGTTGAGGTTGCTGACTTGGAGGACTGGGCAGGTCAGGCGCGTGGGTCGCCTGGACATCGTGCCACTCCTGCCATTCTTTGCTGACACTGTTCCATTTCCGCTGTCGTAGGTTCAAAACCTTACTTTGGGATGAGGAATTGTCGGTGCTGCCTACTGCCACAGAGTGTTGGACAATAGGCGCCTGCTTTGGAATCTCAGTGGTCCCTTCATCCATGGCCATAGAGATATCCATCGTAGTAGGTGGGGGTAATGGTGAGGGCGACATTGGTGGCGAAAGGGGCGAATAAGATGACTGTGAGAGTGAGCCAAGTTGCATGGTGGAGTGTTGTTGCAGTCTCCCTGTCTGTTGATCTAAGGGGCGAGAAGAAGAGCTGGTACTGGATGACGAGGATGATGACGACGACGATGATGATCCAGCTGCACTTTGATTTGACTCGACGGGCCTGGACCCTATCGACTTGCCATGCACTGCACGACCAGGAGCTATCGGAGAGCTCATTGCACGACTCCTATGCGGATGCGACTGTAATTGGAGCAGCTGTTCTTGTTGTTGTTGCTGATGAAGTTGTTGTTGCTGATGAAGCTGTTGATGATGCTGAATGTTTTGGCTGTGAAGAGAGATAGAGTGGACGAGTTCCTGATCCCGCTGCGCCTGACTCTCCTGGAGACTGTGAGCAACCTGGCGCTGAACAGAGGGATGCCGCTGGGGCGAGCTTGGGCTATCTGCCGCATCATCGAAATCCACCCGGTTTGTTGAACCACCGTAGCTGTTACTGCTGCTCAATGACAATGACTCGAACCTACGATTGTTGGAAGGGGAGGAGGTGGCAGCAAAGAGGTATTTTCGTTAGCCACCGAGAACCACATAATTGTAATTGACTTTTCCCCTTTGTATTTGATTGACAACAGATAGATAGGGCGTGGGAAGCTGGACTTTGACAGTTGTGAGTCGTAGTAAGCCGAGGACGAAAAACATAAGAGAGAGTCGACGATACTCGCCCAATACAGTGTCTCCTCAGTAAACAGAATGACGAAAAGAGGGAACGTTACTCAAATGCCATGAGCTCGGAGGCGACTTTTTTACGAGCACGGGTAGTGTCGTCCTTTGGTCTGGCGCGCTTCTTGTCTGCGATGGGTCTGTTGGTGTCCATGGTTGAGTCATGGTCGTTTGAAGGGGAAGTTGCGGTGGATGAGGGCGAGGAGTTGAAGGAGGTGAGCATGAAGCTAGGAGGGAGGTGGAACGGACGTTGAAGTGTAACAAAACACTGGCACAAATAAAAAGGTTCGGTGGCAAGTGCCGACAACTTTTTTTTTTTCCTTGTTGAAAAACGTGTTGCAACCACCACTTGGAAAGAAGGGCTGTTGATGCACGTGACTATTCGCTCCACTTTTTCATGGACTGTGTTCTTTGTTTCTTTGCCCCGCAGTTCTCCATACAAGATGCAGACAAGACCGACTCACCCAAGACACAGCCCGCAGGAGAGACAACAAGTAAATCGCCCTTTTGTTCAACTTTTGCATATCTTGGTGCGCGGATCTGCTGAATTGGGTCCACTTACCATGCAGTGGTACACTAGGTGCAGTACCCTCTTGATTCCTTGGTACAATTGATACCAAGGTTTTGTTGATTCATATAAAAAGAGCAGTTGTTATCTTTCTTTTTCATCTCACACAACTCTTTCACTCAACTCACCCGCTCCAAGCCTATCGATCAATCAGTCAGTCATCCAACTTCAAGGACCATTATCCACACCACCACACCACATACATCAAACAATATGACCCAGCAAGAACAACATCAAGGAAGACTCGCCTTCATCGGTGGCGGAAACATGGCCGAGGCCATCCTCGGTGGACTCCTCGCCTGCGGCTACCCCCTTTCCCAATGTGTCGTGACAGAACCCATCCAGGCTCGCTGTGAATTCCTTCAGTCCAAATACCCCGGTCTCCAAACCCTCTCTGGCCCCGATGCCAATCGCCTCGCCGTTCAAGGATCCAAATCTGCCACCACCACACAAACGCTGATCCAGGACGGATCGATTCAAGTCAACCCCACTGCAGCTTCAACCGATTTCGCCCCTGCTGAAGTGATCATCTTGGCTGTCAAGCCCCAGGTCTTGAGGAACGTTGTCATCGATCTTGCCCCTGCTCTTCGTGCTCTTCAGCCCCTTGTCATCTCGATCGCCGCCGGCATTGAGACCAGCGCGATCGTACGATTCATGGCCGATGGAGTTGATGAGGACGCAATTGCCGCTGGATCGGTCAAGTTGCCCCCCGTCATCCGTGTCATGCCCAACACCCCCGCCTTGGTCCTCGAGGGCGCCGCAGGAATGTATGCGACCGCCGACGCAACAGCTGAACAGCGCGAGGTGGCCGAGTCGCTCATGGCCGCCGTCTCGAAGCAGGTCTCCTGGGTCGAGACCGAATCGCTGATCGACACTGTGACTGGTATCTCGGGATCAGGACCCGCCTACTTTTTCTTGATGATGGAGGCCATGGAGGAGGCGGGCGTCAAGCTGGGCATGGACAGAGCTACAGCCAAGGCATTGACCATCCAGACCTGTCTGGGCGCTGCTAAGATGGCCCAGTTGAGCTCGGATGATCTGGAGACGCTTCGCATCAAGGTCACCTCGCCTCAAGGAACCACCGATGCTGCAATCAAGGCCTTTGAAGCCGGTGGGTTCCGGGATCTGGTTGAGAAGGGTGTCACTGCTGCCGATGCCAGGAGCCGTACCCTCGCCAAGGAGCTTGGAGGTGCCAAACTTTAGATAGCCATTGTTTCTTTCAAAAGTCAAAAAAGCCTAAAGCGATAACCATCAATCGAGATCGATTTCTTTTTTCCCTCTTCCATTCCTTCCCTTTACCCCACCAAGCATACCCCCTGCAGTTATGCCCTTTTGCTCACATCTCTCTCCTTCTCCTCTCCCTCCTCTTTGTAAAATAAATGCATACTCACTCATACTCTATTCTCCGGTTGGAGGCCGTTTTGTTTGTTGTTTGACCCTGCTGAAATTGTTCCGAAAACAAAAAAAAAAAAAGCATTCAAAAGATGACACGAGTGAGTCACTCCTTCCTATGAGGTTCGGTTGCTGTCGTACATAAACTATTTTTCTTTTCAATAAAAATCTGGAGAAAGAGACACACGCAAAACGCAAAGACAAAGAGACACTGACACTGACACTGACACAGCATATAAAAAAAGGGTCCATCTAAAAGGGAGAAGAACGAAATGTCCTTTGGTTGTCACGGTTCACCTTTTTTGCTCGTGGCTCCAATGGTTCCAAGAGGTCCAGTTGTTTCTTTTCGTCTCCGCACACCAGTTCACGAATACATCAAAGATCAGTAAGAGCCTCAGTCATAAAAAAAAGGGTCATTCTAATATGATCTAACACACCTAGACAACTCATCCTCTTTTTCTCGTTGACTTTCTACCAGTCAGCCTATTTACCGCTTAGACTTCTCGGCAAGTCTAGCGATCTGCGCCTTCAGAACCGACTGGGCCTCCTCCTCCTGAATATACTTCACAATAGTCGCCACATCCTCCTCCTCAGACGCCCTAAAGAAGTTCAAAAAGTTCAACCGAATCACACGCATAGTCTCAGACTGAGCAATCCGAGGCGCCTTGTTACGACCAACCAGGTACCGGACCACAAACTCCTCCATCTCCTGCTGGCTCGAGAAATCCGCCTTGTCGACCAGACCCGTCTGGACAGCCTCCTGGACAGAGAGGATGCGACCCAGGGGCAATAACCTCTCTGCGTGACGACGCGATGTGATGTGGGCAAAGAGTTCAACCAACCAATGGGGAACGGGGACACCAACAGCGACTTCATTCAAGCCGATGGTAGCGGGTTTGGGGGTGTTGCCGACCATGAAGCGATCCTGACAGGCCATTCCCAGAACACAGCCGAGTCCCAGACTGTGGCCGTGCATTGCGGCGGCTGTGTTAAGACGCGATGAGTAGATCACGTCAAAAACCTCGCGGATGGTTTTCCAGTAATTGCCGAAACTATTATTTGAAAGGGAGTAAGTAAGAGGGGGGGTCAAGTTAGTCAATTGAGTACTTGGCATCTCAATCGGGCTGTAGAAATATACCTGCACATCAATTGATTATGAGGGGTGTGCTTGTTGCCGTTACCTCTCGGGTCCCTTCATGAACTCGCCGAATTCGATACCGGCACAAAAGATCGACTTGAGATCGCTCTTCAACATCACTGCACGAACTGACTGGTCCTGCTCCATTGCCTTCCATTCCTATTCAGCAGAGAAAAAACGGTTCAATATCATTGAGTGGTCAGTCAACCGCCATCTATTGCCTTGAAAAATAAAACCGTACGTCTTGCGAAAAAAAAAATCCGCCAAAGAAGTAGCCTTGATTGCTGTGTGTCGGTTGTTGCGGTACCTCGATCATAAGCCTGGCGGTATCGTGGCTGAAAGCGCTCTGGCTCAAGGTCATAATAGCAACCTCAGGCGACTCGGGGTGCTTGGTCACTCTGACCGCAGGAGGACGCTGATCGTTGGTCAAGGAAGCCAAAGAGCGTTGTTGGAGCACGATGGGCCGAGTCATGGGTGTCATCCATCCCTGCTGATGAATCATTCCTTGGCGGCCGGCGGTCCTGGACAAGAGGCTTGCGAATCGTGTGCGTTGCATTATGCTTTGTGTGTTTTGTGCTGGTTCCCTTGAATGAGAATGAGAATGAGAGAGTGGAGAAAAAAGATGGGCGTGTGGAGAATGGGAAAAGGGTAAAAAGACAGCCGTTCCTTTTTTCACACGCGTGTGAGAGAATAATGGCAACGGGCACGTCGGCGCGTGATAACTCTCATTGCCGTCTCTCTCGATCACTTTTTTGTGGGAGCAGTCACTGATTGACTGAAGAACGAGCATATGGAAACTTCGAGGAATGGAATAATTGGCAAAGTGATCAGGTACGAAGATATCAAGGCGCCAAAATAGTATAGATTGTGATGCTAAATGCGTTGGATATGACTTATGTTATGCTAGATGCTAGGGTGGCTGTTGCGATAATGCAAGGGGTGGCGTGGAGAGGCGATAAGACAAAGTCAGGCAGGAAGACTAAAGAGACTTGCGACTGGATGCAATCCTGACCTCAGCTGGGATGGGACCAGGACCATGATCATGAGAATGACCATCACCTGGGAATGTGACCCCCTTCTTGTGGCCGGCGAAATCGTACAACTGGATCGTCTTCTTTGGCATTTTGCCGTCTTTTGAACCCGCAATCGTGACATCCGCGCAGCTATCAGTTCGAGACATCAACGAAAGAAAGTAATGGTGAATACGACATTGGTAAGTCTACTCGACAAGCGACATGATGTCATGGATAGTATCCAAAGAATAATAATTACTTGTGGTAGAATTGGGGAATAAGAGCAGCGGTCCAGCTCCAAGCGAACAAGCATTTGCCTACAGGAACAATAAAAAATCCATGTCGCGTTAGCATTCATTGCTAATTAATATATCCTCAATTCTTCCTCTCACACGAGAAAAGCGAGCGACATTGTTTACCTGGATTGTTGCATGAAGGAACGTTGTCAGGAATTCTAACAGGCCACTCATACATCACATCAGGACAGGTCTTAGTATAGGCGGCAATAACATGAAAGCTCTTGCCACCATCGTTCGACAACGAAAACTCGCACATTCCACCTCCATGTCGAGCCTCAGGAACTTTTTTCGTGGGTAGCTTGTCCGTCTTTGTCAGCTCTGTCGTCCAGAACCGCACGGGGATGAGCTGACCCGCCTTCATGTCTGTTTTTTTTATGATGTCAAATGAAATCAATGATACAGTGGAAGAAAAGCAATGCGTCAGTACAAGAGTTCAAATGTTACGCCCAATGATACCCTGACAGGCAAATGTAAGAAAGAAATGAGGCTAACTTACGAGTGTTGGGTCCTTTTTTGTATCCACCACATGGGTATTTGAACCCTTTGTAGCCAATAAACTCGTGGATTTTCCAGTTAAACTCCTTTGTTCCGTACCCGCCTCGAGGCGGTGGGTAGAGCATGGCCATATGTGCCTCGGCCGATTCGAAAGCCATGGTCACCAACAAGAGGATGCCCAGTGCAAGCGCTGACGAGAACTGGAGTCGTTTGGGTGTCATGTGAGGTCTGGAAAGGGCGTCGCAACGTTGATAGTTGAAGAGTAGGACGGTTATGGGAGAAAGTTGAGAGAGACTGAGTGAAAGGTCAACAGATTGGGTAAGAGGCAGGAAAGATGTGATGAAAGGGGAGGGAGACTGAGAGTAGGTATGGTCGGCAGTGTGAATTGATGGCGCAACGTGAAAACAGTGGCGAGAGTGACGAGGGAAAGGAGCTGATGGGTATTTATATGAGGAGGGGGATGGTCGAGAAACACTAAGCAAGAGTATGAGAGAGCGTGAATAGAAGTGACGGAAATAAACGAGTGGGAGAATTGAAAAGAATGGGGCGAGAAAGAAATAAAACAAACGAAACTGGTTAAAAGACGGCAGGAAAAGAAGAAAATATGAGCTACGGGCGAAAGAAAGGAAGACAAGGGCGAGCGAGAGTGTAAGAGAAAACGAGAGGGGAAAGGAGAGAGAAGGGGAGAGAAGAAAAGAGGAGGGTGGGACCCCAGAAAGGGAGCTTAACAAAGGGCACAATCTCATCGAGTCGCCTATTGTTCTGGCAACGGCGCTAAAATGCACAAAGGCGAATGAATATCAAAAAGGCCTGTTAGCGTGCTCAAATGGACTCATGAAGTGCTCCCTCCCTTTTGACGGTGAGGGTGCGAGAGAGAGAAAGGCTCATTGCTTCAGGCACTACTACTACAGACACTACAGATAAACAACCTTTCAGTGCGATGCCCAAGGGCACAGTTGGGTGTCTAGGCACAGTTGGGCGTCTAGGCAAAGCGGCAGGTGTTATCAAGACGAACACCTCCTTTCATTTTTTCTCTCCTTTCTTGATCGCTTCGTCATTTACTCCTTAGGTCGACAGCAAAAAATAAATCGAGGAGAGAGAGATGATGATGATGAAAGAGAAAGAAAGGGATGAACGCTAAACGTAGTGAGGGAGAGAAAAGGGACGAAGGAAACGGAGCTGCTTCGTTTTATTTTATTATGGATCTACGAGTTCGGCATTGACTTTTGGGCGTGATTGACAGGATTAAACCTACGATGTTCTTTGTGTCCTTTCTACCATCAGAGAGAACTAGTGTTGACTTTTCTCTAGTCTCTCGCAGGAAAAGAACATGAACAATACGTAGAAGAAAAACGATATTAGTGATGAATGGAATCATGCTCCATGTAGGGATGTTCTGTTTCCTCTCTTGCTCGCTAAATCTCCCCCACTTCTCTCTTTCGCTTTGTTATCATGGTACCTGTAAAATGAATCCCTCCATGCCTCCGTAATTTAAGAGGTCAGTCCCTATGTCATGCAAGGTACCCATGTCATGCAAGGTACGCATGTCACGTCAGCAAAAGAATCAAGTACGAGGTGCTTGATAGAGAGCTATGATGCGGTGGGTTCAAAGGGACGATAAGAAAAAAAAAAGGTGGGGAAGGGAAGAGCTGTTTGCATGCATGCCATCCTTTTTTCTTTTGTCTGCGCGGTGCATTCCCCTCGAGTATCTCAACAACACCAACAGCAATGGAATATTCGGACACTCAAAGCCGAAGAGTGCAACCATGGAATTAGAAAGGAGCAACCCTTTATCGATTATTAAGGCAAGAAGGGGAATTAATAAAAGGCTATCGACATACTATGTACATATGTAAGAAGTGGGTCCAAAGTCTACACAACTATCTATACCAGAAGCTGCAAGTGGATAACATTCGTTCCAGCTACCAAATGTCTTTTAGCGACCGCCAGTAGCCGTAGTATTGGTGGTGTGATGCTGACCATTGTTGTTGTAGCTGGCATTGTTGTCGCTGTAGTTGACGTTCTGGTCATAGTGGCCACCGTTGTTGGGGCTGGTGTTGGTCTGCTTAGTACCGTTAACGGCGTTCTGGGCACGCTGGTACTGCGCCTGGTTCTCGGCATCAATACCGGCGGAGTAGTAATCAAAGTCCAAGTAGCGGAACAAAATGTGAAGACTGGCAGCCAAGATAGCACCGCAGAGAGGTCTATGTCGCATTGGAAGAAAATTAGCATAGAGGATGTATTAGGCAACAGTTCTAATCGTATTTACTTTGCAATTATCACTTGTGTGACAACAGCAGGCTGAAAAAGATGAAGAAAGACCTACCCGAACCAAAAGATCCAGTGGTCCCTGGAGAACCAGCGGGCAACAACGGAGGTACCGAAGGCACGGGCGGGGTTGATAGCGGCAGTGGTGTAACGGTAGGCAAAGAGGTGGCAGGAGAAGATGGCCAGACCGTAGGGGAGGGCAGACATGAAGGTCGAGCGGTTTTTCTCGTGGACGATCATGTGGTAGACAAAGCAGAGGATGGTTGTCAGGAAGAACTCGAGGAAGAAACCGCGAGCAATGCCCTGACCATTGGCCTATGGGTAACGATCGTTAATTTGATTGGATGAGGTGATGATCTGTAAGAAAGAAAAATAATTGGTGGCAAATCAAAAAAATATGTTTCACTAAGCCATTTCACTTTTCTCTTTGAGTGACACAGCTCTCAGTCACGCTCGCACGCGTGTATCGAAAAAATGACATACCAACTCGTTGACTTGTCCGATGGTTTCACTACTAGGAGTTGTACCACGGACCAAGGCAATTCCGAGCATAGCTCCCAAGATCTGCGCAATGAAGTACATGACGAACTTGGGGATATTAAGGTGGCCAGTGATCAAGGACGAGAAACTGATCGCTGGGTTGAAGTGGGCTCCAGAGATGCGGAAAAAGGCCCATGCGGTGACAATGAGCGCAATACCGAACGCGAACGCCTGTCCGAGAGCGCCACTATGTTCGTCAATAGTCAAGGCAGTTGTCAGCAAAGAAAGATCGCAACATTTTCTTCAATGTTCATGTAGATGGCGAGCATGATAGCGGAATCAAAGCCACATTGTTTATGCCTGCTTGTCAACTTACGACTGTCCGTTTGTTGCGCGGTTGACGGCGTCAGCACCTCCGATAGCGAGATACATGTACATGGCCGTGCCGATGAGCTCGGCGAGGGACTGAATAGCCCATCCTTTAGCGGAACCGTGTGACCTCATAATATATTACGCTGACAAGTAGTCGTGCGGGTGTGAATGTAGGAAAGGTTTATTAAGGTAGTGCAGAGGAGTCGCTGTTGGAAGCGGGGGTGAGGAAGAGTTGAATTAGGGCGAGACAATAAAGGAATGATGGGAAATGTGGAGAGGCGAAGGGCGAAAGTGGAAGTAAAGGTAGAAGAAGAGAGAAAAAAGGTGAAAGAAATTGAAGGAGATTCTCATCACGCGGATCTCCGCTCGATCGCTCGTCGTTGGTTTACCCATTCGTTCGACTCGTTAAGTCATCAATGAACTTGAGACCAAAGTAGCAAAAAAAGTTTTTTTTCTTCTAGGCGCGTTGGGGCCTGTCTGCCTATGCCTCGCCTGTCTGTGGCTGAATACCATTCGAGTTTCACCTATTGCCTGCACTACAAAAAAAAATGAAAAATCTCGCGTCTCATCAATCGTCGCGCGTTTGCGCAGAACACGCTTCCAAATTATCTACCGTGACATCATATTTTTCGACTCCTAAGTCGCTCGTCCCCACTTCCACTCGCTCGCTCACTTGAGCGCGAATCGACGACTGAGTGGTGGAGATGCTCTACACTCTTCTTTTTACTCTTCTTTTTTTTTCTTTTAAGTAACTTTACACACAGCCATGGTAGGGCATGCACGCACCATCACACTACTACCTATGACAAACAGTAACAACAGCAACACATCAACACTCGACATCCATCCTCAGACTCAACAAGCGGATTCAAAATCGCTCTTTTTACCTTTTGTTGATTCCTCACACCTCATCGTCCTGGGGACACTTTCAAGGACGTGCACGTTGTCCAGCATACCCGCCCTAGTACTCACATCCCACTCTTCTCTCTCCCTCCTACTTTTCTAGTTGCCTCTATCCTTGTTGAACACATCCCAGACTCACCCAATAGTAAGGACTCGATTCTGGAACACCCCCAGAATGCCTCTTGGTTGCATTGTTAACGGATGGAACAGCAGATCAGGAACACACCTTTGCTCACCCCCTTTTTTCCCACTTGTCTATTTACTATCTTAGTTGGTGGAGCTGAAGAATGGCGAGACCTTCAACGGACATTTGGTCAACTGCGATAACTGGATGAACTTGACCCTCAGAGAGGTCATTCAGACCTCCTCGGTAAGGCTCCCTTTCTGGATACAAGTCGTCAAGAATCGATCACAACAGGAGAAGGAAAATATAGAAGAGCAGGGAGGCAGGCAATGATGAAGACGCCAACAGCTGACGCCAGCTGGGCAAACCAGTGGGCACAGATCAGGAGCCATCATCGTTTGGGCGCACTTTTGAATCGACTTTTATTTGACTTAAAAAAATATCGACGGCGCACTATCGACAAAACGATTGAACGGTATCCCTAGTGAAAGTTGACGCAGCACACTGCAGCGGCAACTCACAGCAGGAGCCATTTCTCTGGCGCGATTACACTAGCAGGACGCATACTATTCAGCAGCTCAATGTGCGATTGTCAGACATTGAACTAACCTCTTGGCTGCTGTTTTATGTTTCGATAGGATGGCGATCGTTTCTGGCGCTTGACCGAATGCTACATCAGAGGAAATACCGTACGTCTGAACATATTATTTTCGCATATCTGCTTACGCAAACGCGGGAGAACCAAAGACAGTTGATAGCTAACCTAATTCGGCTTTGACAACACATCTTTCGTAGATTAAATATCTCCGTGTCCCTGATGAGATTATCGACATGGTCAAGGAGGATGCTGCCAAGCAAAGGGTCGCTGGAGGACGCAACAGCAATCGCGGAGGAGCAGGACACAGCGGCGGTGATCAGCGCGGAGGACACCACTCTCACCAGGGTGGCGATCGTGGCGGTCGTGGCGGTGGCCGCGGTGGTCGTGGAGATTATAACAAGACAGGACGCGGTGGCTATAACAACAGTGGTGGTGATCGTGGTGGCCGCGGAGGAGGAATGCGTGGTGGCCGTGGTGGTCGCGGTGCCAGTCAGGCATAGACAAGGTCAATGGAAAACCTCACCAATATTTGATTTCTTGGAAGGCAGGGGAGTGAGTACTACAACACATGGATGAGATGAATCCGAGGCAGGCCAGCTCTGGATGGAGGGCATGCATGGGTCGATCTGCTTACTCGCTGTTTTTTTTTTTTATTTGCGAGCCAAAACACATTTATTTCCTCTTTTCTTTCAAGCAGACGATCGTACTCATATTTGCTTCTAGTACGATTAGTAGTCCTTTTACTTTTGCTCTCTTTCCTTGGTTTTTGCTTTCTTCGATTTGGCGTTTTCTTTGTTGTTGACGCTCTACTTCCTCCACTACCTTCCCCGTTTTTCCCTTGCTCTTAACTCTTTTTGCTTCGTGTACAAAATACAAAAACAAAAAAATGCAAAAAATAAAACCAAAAACAACCCAGAAAAAAAAAAACTCGCTCATAATGATTTATTCTTTCCAGACTTTCCAGATGGCTATGTTGGGTTTCCGGAACTGAGAGTCCATGTAGACAGAATCCTGGTCGGCAGCGTTCTCCCCATCCAGAGTAACTTTCTTCCTCTGGAGCCCGAGTTGGTCCAACGAGTCGAACAAAAGCTGGTCACTTCTTGTCGATCTGAACTGGTACGCAAGCAGTAGCACCGGCGGCTGTGGACGCGGCGTTGTGGTCTGTTCGTCCTGAGAAGAAGACGACTGGAGATGATGGTGTGTTCCACTGTCCCGTCGTTCTTTGGAGATGTGCATTAAGTCAGCGATCGTCTCAACTAGTGCCGGGACGAGATAGTCGACCCAGATCACATCCGATGCCAATATATAGTCCAGCCGCGGCTTCGTCGTTACTGCCGTTGTAGAAGGTGGCGTCGTCGACGTGGCAAGGAGGTCGTTCCAGATATGTTGTAAGGCTTGTGAGCGATTGGTCCAGTCGAGGGCTGTGACTTGAACCTGTGGAGTTTGGAATACGTTCAAGCGGACTCCGCGTTGGAGAGCGGGCACTGCTGAATCGATGTCTGTCATGATGACGCGTTCGGCGCCCAGAGCCGCTGCGCTTAGGGAGACAATTCCTTGCCCCGCGCCCTATTGTATTCAGACAAAAAAGCAGAGTATATGGGGTTAGACGGGGATACTTGGTTGATTAATGACAAAACATTCATTTTTTTTTTTTTTTTTTGGCTGGAGACAAAGCGAGAGAGAGGAAGGTAGGAAACTTACAAGTTCAAGGACTCGTTTGTCGGTCCAGAATCCTTGTGTTTTGTTGGCCAGCGATTCCAGGTACTTGGCCAGCACAATACTCTACAAGGAACAACAGATAAAAAAACGATGTGTAACAACGTGAGAAAAAAAAACGCTTGCCCCCCCTTGCGAATTTTCTTTTCCCACACTGCGTGATTTTTGCACTGATTGTCTGGATCCATTTGGTTGTTACTTACGCAATCCCAGACGGACTTTGCGGTGCTGGCGGTATGGGATAGTGGTGTTGGTGGTGGCACTTCCTTTGCGTCCTGTGAATCTGGCTGGTCTCCTTCTTTGATGTCTTTGGTCGGGTCTCCTTCTGCTTCTTTTGGCGGCAGGATTATCCGGTGACCATTGATTTCAAATGGTTCTCCGCCTTGTGAGGAGGACGAGAAGTCGAAGCTTGAGAACTTGGGACCTTCAATCATCAACATTGTGGTAGCAGTGGTATGTATATGTTTTGGTGGTCTAGCTTTCCTTGACGCGACAAGAGCTTGTTGTTGGTGGGTATCGCCGTCCTTTGACCTGTGTCGTGCTGGTGCAGAAAAAGAGTCTTGATGTCCGCTTCTTTGGTCAATTGGTCCTGGGAGGGTCCAAATATCAGTGTCCTCGGGGTTTCTTGTTATCACTGTTGGTACTGTAGGAGTAGCGAGTAAGTTCGAGTGTGATGGTGGTGGATGGTTGCTGTTATTGGTGAAGGGAATGGGTATGAATGAACAGAAGAATGGTGGAGAAAGCTTTGTGGAGAAGGTATCACCTGTCAAGTGACTGCCATTGTTGTGGAGAAGAGGCGGTGTGAGCACTGTCGAACAAAGAGGCCACAGGTGAAGAAGAGGAAGAGGGGCGGAGAACGAGTTCCTTGTGGTCAATGGAAAGGACATGGTTGCAGTGCAAAAGTGGTTGGAGAGGGGAGGAGAGAGAGATACGAAGTGCCCCTTATTCCCTTTTCTGTATTGACATGCGTACGCAGATGAAGTAACGTGGTCTTTTGCTCTAGCAATTGATTTTTGTGCGCGATTGGCGCGTTTCAAGGATAGTGGTGACAGAGGTCAAGTATAGTACTGTACATGGAGAAAAAAATGGCCTTTGACGCCTTATCGAGAGAATTAGGACAGCGAAGTTCAGAAACTTACCGGATCAAACGTCGGTCGCCTCTCTTACTTGTATTGTTACTCGTGCAGCCACGGTGGAGCCAATGTCGAAACCACCGAAGAAAGCAGAAATCAATGAGATGACCACGACGCCGGTTCGGTAGGGGTCTCAACCATAACAAGTTCTCTTGTTAGGGTTGACCATTTTGCTTATGTTGTTGCGGTGATATGGGATGAAGGAAGGGTGATTCGAAGTGGCGATTAGAAAGAAATTGTGTATGTGAGTAAAGAGCATAGTAGCATAGTATGAGAAGTGGAATGCAGAAAAGAAACAGGTCGAATGTGGGAAAGGGTCTATTGTCCAAGCGTGAACGACAGTGCCCATGACAGCTACAATGGACTGTCACGCCCTCATTACGTTAAGCTAGTGGCAAATGAGGGAGCAGAACCTCAGCAAGGCGCGGATGCATATATTGGGGTGGGGAAGGAGAAAACAAGCGAGGCTATGGTTCGCTGACGAGCGAACATGGGGGTTTGGACTTTGGGATTCAATCGCCAGAGCTCAACTTGACCAAAGTAAAACACGCGCCGTGCGCCTTTGTGGTGACCCGAGTAACATTTCTTGTTGTGAGGGCTGGGGAATGGAGAGTATGGCGCACATGGTTGTCTTGTCTAGGTCCACGTCCAGTCCAGACTGGCAAAAGAACCAAAACAACATTCATCCAAGCTAAAGAAAGTGCTAAGATCCGATATCCTAGATTACTGGACAAACCAACTAATTGCGTCGGAATAAGGCATGGGCTTCATTCTTGCGCTTGGATCATAGTTAATGAGTCGGTAAATTGAAAGCCGAATCCATGTATGAAGAGCACATTGGAAAGTCGCATGTGTATGATTTTTTTTTTGTACTTTTAATATGTCATTTTGGGATTATTTTTTTTTGTTGTCGTTGAGTGTTGTGCTAGTTTACAGACAGGCCATGGTATTTTTTTTGGCGAAGAAGAGCTCTATGAAGAAAAAATAAAGGTATTGAACTATTTACAAAGTAGAGGAGTATGCTGTGTGTTGTGTACTGCATACTACGAAAAAAAGAACTCTTCTCTCGTCCTGTTAATCGTGCTTCCTTCTCACCATCACTAATGGTTCAAGCCCCCAGTACCACCATTTCCGTTACCGGTATCGCCAAAGGGACTATACTGGCTCGACCACTGATCCGCCAGATTGCTCGTCGACAATGCGCTTGGGTTGATGCTGGTGATGTTGCCTCCAGGGACCGTCATGGGCATCGCATTGGGGTTGGCGCCAGCAATACCTCCTGCACCACCAGCATCATCAGCGGTGCCCTCAAACAGATTCTCGACCCAGGTGAACTCCTCGCCAACTGCGTTCCTCATGGGCATGTCCTGAAAGAGATCCGAGTCGGTGAATCCAGGGTTCAAGCTCACGTCTGGAATCGCATAGTAGACTCCGACCTCTTGACCATCGCCGTTGAATGTGGTGACAACCGTCGAAGCTGGCTCGGGGGTGCTGTTGAGGTTGCTGTTGTTGTCAGAGTTTAACATGGGCGATCCAGACAAGGAGCTATGGGTGCTGGAGACAGACAGGTGGCGTTGATGCTGATGAAAGGTTGGCTGCTGAGGCGACTGCAATCCCATGCTCAGGCTCTGGTCAAATAAGCTGGGGAGGTTTCCGTTGCTGCCGTTGCCAAAGGATCCAAAGTTGGTGTTGATGGCCATCGAAAGCTCCAAGGGACTGGGTGGCAAAGGGCTCGCCTGCAAGGGGCTGTTGGCGCTGGGGCTGGTGGGGTAGGTACGAGGAGAGCGGTAGTTAGACAAAGACTCCAGCTGAGGGGACTGTTGCTGTTGTTGTTGTTGCTGGTGCTGCTGGACCATGTTGAAAAAGGCCTGAGGGTAGGGCGACACCTGGTTATAAGGGTGATTCTGGACGGGCTCAGCAGTGGTTTGGGTCTGAAGTGACTGCTGGAACATGCCGTAGTAGTTCTCCATTGCGTTGGGCGAGGCACCGAAAACATCCGAGCCAGGGACGGGGCTCAAGCGACCTGAAGAAACTCCCGAGAGATCAGGGTTGACCATGGAGGCACCCTTGGAAGCATGGTACATCTGTGCGGCCTGAGTGAAGGGGCTGATTGAATTCCTGGGTGAACGTCCGCCGTCAGTCGAGGTTGTCTTTTGATTGCGCTGATATGGGTGTGGGTGCTGAGCCTGCTGGAACGAGCGCTGCTGCTGCTGAACTTGCTGCTGCTGCTGGGGATCGATGGGCGACAAGACTCTGAACTTTTGGGGTCCCTGAGAAGGCGATCCAGTTATGCTATTGCTATGGCTGGCGTTGCTGCCAAACGACGATGGCTCTCCGACAAACGATCTCTTGGATGCATTCGAGGGGGACACTGGAAACAAGATCTAGATGAAAGAAAAGGAGAATATTAGCATTTAATTACGTTGTAGATTTCGTTTAATGCCTATGCTGACCAAGCAGCGACAACATGTAAAATAACCTACATTGGTTGGAGCAGCGGCGCTTGGGTTGTAGTAGTTGTGACCCAAATTCAGAGGAGGCACATCGTCGTGATCAGGGTTGACACCGAGCATCTATTGCAAAGTTATCAAATGGTAATGGTTAGTGTCGGTGAACAAAGGCAGAGGACCAATTGAGCCGAGTTGAAGAGAGATGGGGGGTTTTGCTTACATCTTGTGCGAGGAAGGACTTGATCCTATTGTTGTAGACCAGCAAGTTGGGCTGGCTCTTGATGAACTCGTACAGAGCCATATCGACGGCCGAGTCCATGTCGCAGACGATTGGGATCTCGATGGTCTTGAGCTGAACCTCCTTCTTGCGGCCACCCATGGCCTGGATGACCTTGGCACGGCACTGATGGCGACCAACACAATCGGCAATGTGGTAGAGGTGGACGGTGGGGGTAAATGTGCAGGGGCGGTTGTCCTTGGCGCAACGCCTGCACTTTTCACCGGTGTCGGCGTCCTCGCGGACCTTGTCGCAAGTCTTGCGGTTGAGAAAGCAGTGATCGCAACTTTTGCGAATGATGGCCGCTGGGCTGGACAGACTGACAGAGGCATCGGCCTGAAACTCGAACGCCTGCATTGGCAAAGTATGAGGATGGGGTGTAAATGTGGGAAAAGGTGAAGGGAGAAGGGAGGGCTATGGTAACAAAAGTGCTGTTGAAAGGAGCAATTGAGAACCGAGAATGAGACGGAATAATTGGAGAGAAAACGTGGAAAGGGGAAGGAGGAGGCTTTTATGTACAAGAAAAAGGAGAGGGGGGGATATTATCCGAGGAGCGTTCCAGACACAACAATTGAGGCGGTGCGATAGTGGATCACAGATGAAGTCAAGGCTGAGCCCTCAAATTGGGGTTTTGGAAGTCTAAATAGAATATGTCGCCTCAAAAAGCAAAAAAGAAAGCGCTCTGCTCTCGTTTTGAGTAGAAAAAAGGGAGATGATCGGACCAGGTGGTGCTGAGTTATCGTTTGGGTCGAAAAAATGAGAGTAGGCAAGGGACGGATGAACGGGATAGAGTTGTTGGGCGGTTTGTTTGTTTGTGTGTGCCGCGGTCGGTATTATGAAAACGAGGGAATGATGGCGCAGCTGTGTATGATGATGTGTGCTTGCTATTGTGTCCGTTTAGGGCGATTGCTCCGATAATCCCGAATACGTATTGCGGCAAGTCCTGTGCTGGCAGTTTGTCTGCGCACGCAAGAAGAGTCAAGAGGAAGACACCGAGGAACCGATTGGCGGGTCGTTGTCGTTGGTGTTCCCGAATTGATGCTGCCGTCTTTAGAAGGGTAGGTACTCGTTGCTTTCACAAAACAGCGGGACAAAGAAAAGAGCGTAGAAAAGGAAAAGGAATAATGGTATGTAATAAAAAGGCGGTGAAGGAGTCGACAGAAGACGAAGGAATGAGCGTTGCTGTGTAATTTGTTGTTTTGTGTTATTATTTGGGCTGCTTGTGTGTCTAGTTGTTGTTGTTTGGAGAAAAAGGAAGGGCGATGATGTCGAGATGGGGCAGAAGGGAGTGATGGAGCTGAATGGAGTTGGATTGAAAAAAGAAAAAGGGGTGGGAGGAGGAGAGAGGAGTGGAGGAAGGAGGAAGAGGAAAAGGAAGAGAAAAAGAGTAAACAAATAGGTCGAAAAGTAAAATTAGCGGGGGGAACAGAGAGGAGAGGAGAGGGGTGGTGGCAATTGATGGTGGTGGTTGTCGTTGGTTGTTGTTTGGTTGGATGAAAAGAGAAAAAAAATAAGGGAGGGCGGACCTTCAATCGCCGCTTTTATAGGGCATTGCGAAAAGTAACAAAGTACTCTATTCGATTCAAAAGTAAGCTATTGCATACCACAGTTAACTTAATTGCTCTTCTTCTTGCTGCTGCTGCTCATTTGTATATACAATTCATGGTAGTATGAAAATTCGTTCGCTCGGGGTTTCCAACGGCAACATCCTACTGGCAGTCAATCGACTGTCAACCGTGGTCACCCCGTCAATCAACCATGCCCGTGTGCCAACAATTGGTCATCGCTGTCAATCAAGTCCCCCTGTTCCCTCCTTCCTTCCTTCCTTCCATTATCCCCCTCCCCCCCTTTCACTCTTCTTTACGATCCTTCAATCTCTTCCTTCTATTCTTCTACCCTCGTGTTGGCATCCGTGTGCAGAGTTTCGCGATGAGAAACGAGGGGCCATCATACTGTGTTAACTGGTCAAAGCAACAAAAAGGACACCATTCATTCCTTTTTATGGTCCCTTGTCAAAGAGTAGACAGGCATGGCGATCCTTCCTTCACCTATCGAAACACTTCATATCCTGTAGACTCTATTTTATTTGTCACACGGCCCCTATCGAACTAGCGAAAGAAACTAGCATCGTCTCTCCCTGTGTGTTCTCACAGTGGTTCTTGGTTCTGCCATTTCGCCCCAATAGTCCATCCTACCCTCACACTCACACATACCGTCAGTCAAATGAAGTCTAATACACCCCTTTTTACTTGTCACATCAACCCTCTTATGACATTGACATTAGCAGTGGGTGCTTAGATTGTTCCACCTCTTTCACCCTCTCTTAAAGACATCAGGACTGTCGTTCATGATACTCTACAGCCAATTGACGGAATGTAGAGCTCTGAGAGGGGTGAGAGAGAAAAAGAAACAGGCACCGGCCCCACGTCATCAAAAGTAACGAGCTAGGTTCTACTGGATTTGAAATAAAGTATTCGCCCTCCCACATGGTCTCAATTACTGATTCGCCGAGTCTCAGTGCCACGCACATAGACTGTTCATCACCAAAATTATTTGTCGATGAAGAACGCGACGAGGACGGTAACATTTGACCACACTGTGTCTCCACTCTATCATGAGGAGTGAAAATAACAAAAAGGCATTCTATCCTCATGAAAGAGGGCCGCAGAAGGCAGTGGAGTGTATTGGAGATGTATAGCCGGACGAGACAAGGAGGGACGGAAACGGAAGGGTAACAAGGCTAGGCTAAGACTCAATACTTCTTTGAAACAAAAAGAAGCATGGCCATGGTAAGGATGTCCAAGAGTAAATGGGAAGAGAAGGAGAAGGGTTCAAGATAAGAAATGGGCCAATTGGCATTTCGGCCACGACCACAAGGGACAGGGTCTGTTAATGCTTGTTGATGGGATGTGAAGGAAGGCCAATAGGGTAGGTGAGCAAAAACAGAAAGCATTCTGCTTTTTGTTTCTCGGTCGAATTAAGCCTATGTGGGTTTGCTTCAGGGTCGAAATTGTTTGTTGTTGTTGAAGCTGATTTTTTTGCTGTGAAATGAGGAATCCTTAGCCACTTTGTGTTCAAAAAATTATTATGACCCCCTGCCAGGTGTAACCTGCAACATTCAGATAAAAAAAACGTACACGAAACAAAATGGCTGCGTCATGTGGCAGTGGGAAGAAGGACGGATGAAGAATCGACAGCTATTTTGTTAGGTGGTCATGCCTCGCTTTTCAACTCCCTGCTCTCTTCCCTCTCTTCTACACTTGTTTATTTCTCCTCACTCCAATTACTTCCGTACGACAGCACAAAACAAAAAACAAAAAATGATGATGATGGCAGACCACGCAGGAGCACAAAGGGAACCATCGAGCCAATAGATTTGCCATGCGATCTCTGCGTGCAAATCCATTTGAGCTTGGCAATCCTACCGCAGCGAATCATCTTCTACGAATCATAGACAGAAGGTCAGGGGGGTGAGCTCGGTTGGAGGCTCTGCTGCGTTCCCTTTTTCCTTCTTATTATCGCGTTTCGATATCATTTCCCGTTCTTCATCATGGCCAATTCACTCACGCTTGTTCACTCCTCCCTTGCTTTCAATCCCCCTTTTTCTTCCTCCAAAGTGTTAATCCGTTTACTTTTTTTTGATCATGAGCAATTAAAATTCATTTTCATTTGTTTCCGAACGTAGCCGGAATACAGACAGAACACTCCCGACCTTCCTTCCTTCCTTCTCACAATGATGGCAAAGCCATGCAGGTCCCTACCTGTTTTTCATTTTGACGCGTGGTCGATTTTTGGGATGACACCTTTGTTTCATGCAAACAAAAAAAAAAAATATCCCTCACAAAAAGAAGATCATTTGTCAATCGTTGTTTGGTGCAACCCAATCCTTTTACATGTTACGAAAGCGTGGCATCCTACAACAGCAACCATTTGATGACCGATAGGTCCATTTCAGCCAGTCAAGGACATTACCGTGTGAGCTATAGGGGTTGTTTATGCTTTGCCTTCATGACTCCTACCTACTTACCAATCTACCATTGACCCCCCATCGATGTTACATTCTCCATCGCCGCGCGTCGCGGATAGCATCCAATATTGCAAAATAACGATTCTCACTGCCGCTGTAGTATTAAATTCCTAGTGGTTGCTCCAATGATTATTCGTTGAAGATTCCTTTGGAGTGAATGAGAAATACATCAGACACCCTTGATCATACATATATTCGCTCTCTCCCCTCGAACTTTCCCTCCGCCCAGCTGTGCCTGCATATCGAAGAAACGGCTAAAATAAATGCTCAATGGATCTCCATACCCTGTAGAAAAGGGGAGGGAGGTAGGCAAATATGGAGATGATCGAGAGAGAGGGAGAGACAAAAAGAACAAGCGAGAAGAAAGATAAAAAAGAAGGTTTTTCGACTACAGTGCCACGCTGTTTTGCATCATACATATAAAATGACGAGCGCGCAGCTCTCACTTATTTCTCCCCTCAGTGCGGAGATTTTGATATAGAGGTCTAGATCTTATCAGTTTCTCAAGGCTATGGTGCAATTGAACCATTTCTTCCTGGCCTCCCTCCGTCTCCTTCCTTATGCTTTCTTAATGGCCTCAAGAGAGGACGCTTATTCCCTCTCCAGCCCTGGTTTCCTGGTTACCCTTTCTCCACCATCCGTTGTAGATGATCCTATCCTTAAGGGAAGTATCACCGCCGTTTTTCTCTTTCTTTCCTCCAGTCTTTTTTTAGCCTTTCGTACGACAAATCAATTTCTCCTCTCCTTCTAGTCATCTGGTCACTAAAATCAACGGTTCAATGGGATTGCTTCAAAGCCAAACCAAACACAAAACACACAAAACAAAAGAAAATAATTCTTTGTCTGAGCAGTCGACGAATGGGTCAAGGCTCAGATACACGCAAAGCAATTTTTGTTTATTTCTTGTTCAATTGCTATCACTATCTCTCTTGTCAGTGAGCAGAAACTGTAACAAGAAAAGACCAGGGGGACATCACGCATTTCATTCGTTGCTCGATCCCCCTTTTTTTGGATCAGGGTATCTCATGCACGTACAACAGCATCAACATGGACTCATGGACACAAAAGCAACACAAACGGAAAAAAAAGAACAGCCCAGAGAATTCTTTTTTTTTTTTTTTTTTTTTTTTGTTCTTCGAAACACGAACAGGCACAGGCATAACTAGGTTAATTGCTCCTTGCCCCCAAGTTCACCTGTCCTCTTTTATTTGCAACACTTCTTTCACTGCGCGGTTTGAAATTTGTAATGATGGTGGCAAACAACGCGTTAAGGGGAAAGGGAAAAGGGGTGTGTGGGTGGAAGGGATGGAAACGTCTACGATTGATGCCGTTTATGGAGTGATGGCGAAGACATAGACAGAGAAGGGAGGAAAACTCTATGGATAGGGGGTATAGGGGCTGCGACGACACAAGGAAAGAGTAGAGGAAGTGAGTCATTTTTGACCATAGGCGAGTGTAAGTAAGGTGGACTGGTGGACACGCCGTTGCTATTGCTGTTTGTCGTTTGTTCTGAATGACCTACCCGTCACCCGCAGTTAAGGAAGGTCACTCACATTTTGATTGTGATTTGTTCACAAATCAGCGAAGATTGAGACCGATGGTTTATTCTTTAGTTAAGAAGTGTAAACGAACGACTGAGTGTTAGATAATGGAGTGAATAGAGGAAAAACAACAAAGCCGGGGATCCTCCGCCATTGTGACTAAGCCTAGAAAAGGCCTCTCGCCCTGCCTCTTCATCTTTCTGTCCCCCCCTCTCTCCATCCCGTTTTCTCTCGTGGCCATCTTGCAAAGGGGGAATTGCCGTTTGGAAAACTGCTACAATGCAATATACAATACTTACCGTTGCTGCTCTGTCGACTCATGATTGCTGCTTGGAAAGATAGACAGAAAGGATCAAGAGTGTGAAATGTCAATAATGCTGCAACGTACAAAACTGTCTTTTTTCAAGGGCGTGCGTGTGCGTGCTGTTTTTCTGAGTAAAGGACCAGTTAGTCAGCCATGGGTCAGTCGGATTGTTTCGCGAATTGAAAGGCTCTGGACTCGCAAGATAAGGGGTTTATTGTGTGGACACCGTTGCTTGTTCACTTTGTTTGTTCTTTTGTCCGCGAGGAATCGGAAGAGTCAGGAAGCAACAAGGAAGGAGCAGGGAAGACTAGGGAGGCGAGGGAGGGAGGAAAGGAGAGGAGTCGATAAATGGCCGATCCTGCAAGATGGATGGATAGTCAGAGAGGCGTGCCGTCCACCAAACCTTTCACCCACATCTACGCACGCGTGATACTGCCGTTGTGTCCATTGTTCCATTGTTTGAAGATTTCGCCCAAACTCGCATGTGCAAATTAAGATAGATTAAATGGGGGAAGAAAAAAAAGCAGACTATTTTTGCCGCCACCACCACCACCATGTGCATGTCCGAAATGAACACAAGAAAAAAACAGACATGTCTTCTTTTGCTTTCATCGTTCCTCCTTTACCCTCTTCCGCTAGTCCATCTTTTTTTTTCTCCGAGAGAGAGGGAAGGCGGGACAGAACGACAAAAGGCCAGAAAAGCAAAAGGGCGAGAAGGACAATTGGCCCCCTTTGTTGTGATCTTGAATGATTGGAGAAGGTTGGACACAAGAAGAAGGAGCTAAAAAAGCAATGGAGGATGGAGGATGTGCATTAAACAGACGGGTGGAAAGACAAGGCGCTCTCAGATGGACGTCCAATGCAAATTGGACATGAGGAAAAAAAAGAGTTATCGAGGACGCATAATAGAATCGTGCACGCGTGTGTCTGTTTTGGTTGTTGATGAAGTTCCCAAGAAGAAGGGGTGTACAAGGGAAGCAAGAAAAGAGAGAGATAGGGTACCCCACGTCTCCATACATCCGTCTATCAGGACACAATTACCACAAGCAAAACAAAGATAAAAGAAAATGAAGGGCCAAACGGCTCCTCTTTTGTTTGCGAAATCCTTTGCGGCCGAAAAATCTCGTGGTCTCATTTGAGTCCAGGGCCAGTGGACACCATGGCATGAAAAAAGAAGAGCACACGATAATGCAAAGCCTGAAGGCTGAAGCCATGCCATGCCACGAGCAGATAACAGTAAGGTAACGCCTTTTAGTCATGAACCCCATCATCGTCATCACGACACGTCCCTTTTTGGTACTGCTTCTGTCTACTTTGTCTTTTCTGTGTTCAACTACTTCGACTGTCCTATTGTGCTCATGGGAAAAAGTCTGTCTCCACAGACGAATGATTTCGTCCCAACTCACCTCCTCAAAATCATCGTCATCGTGTGCTCTCTCTCTCGTTCCCTCACCCCTCTCGTTCTCTCACTCGCTGCATTCTTTCTTCCTCTCTTCTCCTTACTTAACCTTTCTCACTTCCACTTTCTTCACTGACATAGCTGGAGCAGAGTTCCTACTCGATGACGATGATGACGGTGGTATTTAAACTTTGACCCCTTTTTCTTTCCGGCACCTCCCCTCCCCACTCAAACCCATGCAGTCTTGTCCATTAGCTCAATGCAGCCGGCTCAGCGTTCCTTAGTGTCTCAGTTACGTATGATTTTTCTCCTGATACTGGAACCGGCACGGCAACAAGGTTACAAGGTAACCTGTTCATATATTAACCAACCTAGAATCAGTCACTTCGGAAGCCCCACGTTGTGTTAACTAAAGTTTATGAAAGACACTCAACTCGGTTATGAAAGAAAAGAAAAAAGGAAAGGAAAAGAAATAAGCCAATAGGGTTTCCTGGGAATGTGAGAAATTGTCTCCATGTTGCCATTTTTTTTATTTCGGTTATGCTCTTGTCCACTCGGGTGGAACTGGGGAGAGGGATCATGTGAACCCAGCGGGCCGGAAAGGGGGGGGGGGGGACCGGAGACTGGGGCCTGTCGAGGTATGAGGTACTTCTTTACCCATGTAAGTCTGTGTCTCGTTTTTTTCATTGTGAGTATTGGTGCGGTAAACAGTGCAGTTAGGAAGGAGACCTTGATGTTCAAGTGAGCGAGCGATCAAAAAACAAGGTGCACACGATCCTTCTTAACCTTTGTATCTGTTTAACGCAACGACAGAGAACAAAGAGAAACCTGTTTATTTTTCACATGAGCGAGATGCAACAAATCAAAAGGGAAACTATATCTCTGAACTTTCACAAAAGCTTCTTCAGCCTTCTGTGACAAGGATGGGAGCCAAACATAGTTTAATCGCAGTCGAAGACGAAGAGAACGGTGAACAACAATGAACAAAGAAGCGACCATCATGGAGAGTAGAGAAGGTGCGAGAACAAAGAGTGTAGCGAAGAGGCGTTAGTAGAAATGTGAAGCGAGAGAGTCCTTCAGAACATGACAGAAAGGATGATTCCATTGCGATGCGACATATCCGCAGCAACACACTCACAAAAGAAGGTACGATCACATACCTGATGGATTGATCGGCTCATCAGCAACGTTCCTGGAATCTGATCAACAGGGATGCAGACACGTTAAGGCCTGGGGGCGCAGAGGAGGGGGGGGGGGTGCGTGTGAAGCCGCATTCCTTCTGTAAGCCCGCTTTTGACAAACGCAAAGCTGTTATTTACGCATGCGCGTGCAGAGATCTCAGACCGGACAGTGATCTCTTCCCGTCCCCGTGTCGTCTTCGTCATCAATGCTCAAAAGGCAAACAAACTGGGTTAAGGTAAACTATTTTTTTCTCCTCGGATGTTGAACCCGATAAAATTAAGTTAACGTCCTGTCACCACAAGACAACCATGTTTGCTTTGATGGCCCGCTCGGGTTTGTAAAGGGGATAGGGAGGAGGAGAAGATGGGCTCAGGGAAAAAAACCAATAGGGCTCCTTGCAAAGCTTACTTGTGGACACAAAGAAGAAAGAAAAAGAGAAATAAACCCATACACAAGAACGGCGGACCTTGCGAGGGAAAGGAGAGTGTAATAAGGTAGGAGAGCCAACAAAGAAACTGAGAACCTTCTTGAAAGCTGACGGTCAGGAAAGCGTGAATATGAGCCTTCGCTCTACACTTGAGTTTGATCAAAAAGCACACACCCTCCAAACGCTGTTTTGTGCTCTGCTCTTAGGTTTCTTTGGGTGAAGTTAACGGCGTAACGCCTTGTGATAGATTGATAGAAGGGGTTGTGGTTGCAAGTTTAGGATCATTGGTGAACGATGTGAGGGAGTCGCAAGTTTTGTATCGTGGGGTTAGAATAGGATGAAAGTATGAAAGAGGAGTTGAGGACGAATGTGCCTCGGCGCTTTGTCAACAAAAAGAAGGGATGGTGGCAAAGCTCACTTCCCTGCCACATACCAGATTCCAAAAACAGCCGACCCAAAAAATGAACGTGCAAGGACAATGCATTTGCTGCTGCATATGAGCGAGAGATGGGCGTCGAGAAGTGACATGGATAGGGTGGGAGAGAGAGAGAATGTCTTCATCTTGATCGGTGCACGTGGTGGCTCAGAGGGAAGGGTCGGTCCTTTCTTCGTTCTTTTATTTTAAGAAAGCCATGCGCACCTTTGGAAGAAACAGAAGAAAGAGGCATAGTCGGTGAGTAGGTCTACAATGGGCGTCGTTTTCAAAAGAAAAACGTGCATTCATTTTTGTCCTTGGCAAGGAAAAATAACTGTGGCAAAGGACAACGAACAATGGCAAGTGTAGGAGGCAGTAACGGACAATTCGCTATAGAAGGAACAGGAAGATTCTTTGGATATTTTTATTTTAGATCGTGATTTTCTTTTCGAACAGAAAAGATAAGGGGAAGGGTAGAACATGACCCATGTAACATCAATTGGGGGTTGTTGTTTTGCTTGGAAGGTATGTTTTGCTAGGGAGTTGAGAGGGTTATGATTAGAATACATGAAGAGTAACAAAAAATAGAAAAATACTATGTAAGAAACGATGGTGGGGGGGGGGGGTGTATGTACAAAAACGAAATGTAAAAATGAGGATTTAGATGTCCCTTGGTTGACTTTGCAAAACGAAGCTTCTTTTTGCAAGGCGAAGCTTGCTATGCAGGCATTTGGACGGGAGAGGTGGTCGCTGCGGTTCAGTGATTGTTTTTAGGGTAGGGTGACGACGGTAGCCGTTCTCCGATAGATATGGAACTCGGGAGCGTAGCGGCTCTGGTTGACGATGAGGGTGGCAAAGCAGGTTAGGACCGCAGCACAGGTGGCCACCGCAGCAATCGTGCACCGTGTGCCTGAGCGCACGATCGCAGCGGAGCTGATAAGCACAAGGATGGCCACAAGAGGTGTGAGCGTGGTGTAATCTTCTTGTCTAATTGAGACGGTGCATAAACACAAAGATAATGATGAGTTCATGGTGCGTTGGGTAGGCGTGGGTGTTGACGCAAGAAAAAAGAAATTTGGGGACCCGGCGAGTGTCGTGTTTGCATCCATGTCTCGCGAAAATTGAATAATATTGACACCAACCAAAACGATTGTTTATCCAGAGACGAATCTCTATCCTTACCTCCAAAACAGCACCTTTGCTGAGGTCCATTGAAGGATCAAGAAGCCCATCAAACATCCGAGCCAGAGGCCCATGAAGAATCCACGCATCTGCTGCTTCGATCGCGCTAAATGGTAAATGGCATTAGAACAAACATATTGGACTCGTTAGCGTCAGCGTTCAAAACAACAACAGGTGAAGAGGGTCGCATGTCCTCCATCTCTTGGACCTGCCGTGATTCGATAGGTCGCTAGAACGGATAAAATCCACACATGACATTTGCATTACAAAAATAGGGGAAGGCACAAGTGGAAGAACACAACCAACAAAAAAAAGGATGGATGATGATGTTATAAGGCCAATGGTTAGGCCAAGGAGGAGAGGGCACAAGGTCCGTCAGGTACTCAAATGGGTGAAAATAAAAAGGTGGAGAGATAGATCCTTCCTAGGCCTTTGTGCAAATAGAGCACATTCATCCGCCTTTGTTTTGAGAGGGTCAAACCACCCTGGGTGTGAAGGGAAAGGTGGTGGATAAAAGGGGGGAAAGGCTGGGAGGATGGGGTGAAAGGACGAAAGGAATGATGACAATGAAAAAGGGGAAAAAGCAGGACTGGATGATTGGACAAGTGAAAGGATGAGAAGGGAAGAAGTGGCAGGGAGTGGGTCTCATGGATCCCGGTGCTGGTTACTGTTTAGTTGTAATTCTTACCTCGCCAAGCTTCCCGCTTCTCAGTTTCGAGCTGCTTCTGGAAGGCCATGTCGGGGCCGTTTTCCCATAGCTTCTTGTCGTCGAGCAACTGTTTCTTGTCGAGAAAAGTAACAGGGGAATCGACAAGGCTTGGGGAGAACAGCTTCATGTACCGCCTGTTATTATGGCTGACAAAGGTGATGTTCTGTAGACGCTCGTCGGAGGTGTCAAGGCTGAGTCGAGGCTTTGGAGTGGACTTTTCATACATTTGTTGTTGTTGTTGTTGTTGTTCCTGGTGCTGTTGTTGCTGCAGTTGCTGCATGAAGAGTTGCTTGTGCGAGGGCTTTTGCTGCAGCTGTTGCTGCTGTTGTGCTTGCTGCTGGAGGCGAAGGACATTAGCGTTGGGGAGGGAAAGGCGGTTGGGGTTGAAGGTTGCTGGTTGTTGCTCCTGGTATTTGTATTGGTTTTGGAGGTGTGAAGGGACCAGCTTTGATCCTGGGACGACGGTTGTGAGCATGGACGGTGACATTATCGAAAAAGATGCGAGGAGAAGTGTTTGTGTGATAAATGGGGTGAAATAGGTGAGACTGATAAAGGTCCCTGAAAAAAAAGGAAGAAATGGATCAGTCGGATTCAAGTGAAGGGATGGAGAAGGACGAATGCAAAAAGCAAGAGGGAGAAAGAAAAGGAAAACAAAAGGATGAGGGAAGAGAGAGAGACAGGAAAAAATAAATGAAGCGAGGGAAAAGTTGTGGTGGGTATGAGGGAGAGGGTGAGAGTGAAGTGGGCACGTACTCTTTTCCCTCAGCCCTTTTTATATCATCAAGAAGGAACGAGATGTAAAAATAGGATTAGGTGCTTCTTCGGTCGCATACTTTCCTCACCCCTGGAGCAATGGACAAAACCTGCCTCAACGTTCTTGCGCGAATGTGCACTGCCCAACTGTCCTCTTCGGTAGCGTATGTGAGCCTTGTTCAAAGAAGGATCGATATCATATCTAAAAGTATGTGCGCCTTCTCGTGGTCTGCCTGCCTGTGCAGCAATGCTCGTGCTTTGTCCGTTGTTCGTGCACCTTGCTCCTTTCACACGGAATGTGGCTGGCTGGCTGGCTGACTGGCTGACTGGCTGGTGAGGAGGATGTCTTCTTTCGATTGACTGTTTACTCTCATCTCGTTGTTCCGTCAAGCTTCTCTTCTTTGCCGTCTTGTTCCCGCTTGGTGGCAAACGAAGAAAATCATTCTTGGATCATAGCACGTGACTAGTCTTTCCTTGCGGATGTTGTTCTCGGCGAATGCTTCGCATCTCTCCTTCATCACCTACGCCCTCACTCACACTCGCCACCCACACTTACACATATACACCATGGTTCAAACAGCAGACTCAGACTTCAAGGTAGGCCTGCTACTCTACGTTTGTCTATCTGTCTGCTCTGGCGACACCGCGGAAACCCATTGTCCATGCACTTCTCCTTCATGCCACTCATCCTCCGCCACGTCCCTCTCCTACTTTCTATTCCGTAGACCGAGTTCGCAGTCGAAATGACTTGCGAGTCCTGTGTCAGCGACGTCAAGAATGTCCTCGAGGGTGTCGATGGTATCAAGAAGTACGACATCAACCTCAAGGAGCAGCGCGTTGTTGTTGAAGGCAGTGGTAAAGCAACATCTTGATTTTCTATTCTTTTCATATTGCTGTTGCTGCGCTGAAACTTGATTCGACACTTTCCGCATGCGATTTGGTATTCTGCAATACTCTAACACTCTCTTCCATGATGATGATACATGTTCATCTGTTGATGCCACTTCTTGACACTAATAGCGCCTCCATCGGCCATTTCGCGGTTGTTGAAGAACACTGGCAAGACCGTGATTGTGCGCGGTTCAGGGGTTGCCCAGGGTAGGAGTTGGAACAATGGAAAACATTTGAAGTCGTCACTGATCTTAGTTGTCTTGATTTGTCACACCCTCAAAAAAATCACCAACTGACTAATGGCTTTGATCTCTCATGAATAACGCCTAATTGTAGGATCCCATGCTGGCGCCGCTGTCTGCATCCTTGACATCAACTCCGATGACCCAAGCTACACAACCCTCCCCGGCACCGAGAAGCCCTATGGCCTCGTCCGCTTCCTCCAAGTCAACACCGAAACCTGCGTCGTCGACGTGACCGTCCAGGGATTGACTCCCGGTAACCACGGTATTCACATCCACGAGCTCGGCGACACTTCAGGTGGATCGGCCACTACCGGTCCTCATTTCAACCCCACAAATACTACCCACGGCGATGACTTGACTGGTCACGTTGGAGATCTGGGCAACGTTGAGGTCGACGAGAAGGGCTGGGGTGATTTGGTGCTCGAGTCCAAGAGGATCAAGGTTTGGGATATTATTGGACGCTCAATGGTTGTTACCGAGAAAGCCGACAACCTGGGAAAGGGCTCCTGTGAGGCTTCGAAGGAGGATGGCGCGTCTGGCAAGGGAATCATCTGCGGTATCATTGCTCGCTCGGCCGGTGTTTTTGAGAACGCCAAGAAGGTGTGTGATTGCAGCGGCACGACACTTTGGGAGGAGGCTCGTATTATGGGCGGCGAGAAGGGCAATGAGTTTTACTGACAGACACGGTCTCCGGTACTTGTACCTAAACTGTAAACACCGACCTTGCACATACACCTCTTTTTTGTTGCTACCATTCTCCATGTTGATATACAAACAGGAAATAAAATAGTGTCAAAGCGTTTGAACACTTGCGCAAAGAAAATACATCGTCCTGAAATTATTGCTTGTTCCTGGAAGCAAACAGGATGAGTGAAGAAGGAAGACTGGGAATGTCCATAAAGAGGAATTCCTAGTCGGCTCCGGTAAGATGGGAAGGGCTCCAACGTCTCATTTATTTCGACACAGGTACACTCACCACAAAAACGGGAATGTCCTTGGTTCCGTTTGGGTTCCGGGACAAACACGAACGATCCAACTACGCAAAAAAGGAGATTGAGAGCCCGGTAGGCTTTATGTTTGCGGAGGAATTGGGCACAGCAGCAAGAGCAGGAGTAGACGAAACAATGACCTATAAGACTTTGTACTTCAGCTCAAGCATTAGTTTGCATGCAATGGTCAAATATATCATTTACAATTTGGAAGAGTCAAAAACGAGATGTAGATGGATGTTTGTTGCCAGCTAATCAACCGTATTGCAGAGAGATCAGGGATGGGGTGCGCGGCTAAATGGTTTCTTGTTTGGCCAGTATAGCCATGGAGCAGCAAGATATGCCATTAGGCATTGCATTCATCGAGGCAGTGACAAGAGAAGAGGACAAGCAAACGCAAGAGTAGACGAAGAAGTCCACCTCGTATTAAGTGCCAGGTACAAGTGTGCCGGTGTGGATCCGAACAGACGGTGATATGCAACAAGAGTGCCCAGAGACAGGAGAATACAAGGAAGAATAGCGTTTGTGCCATCAAAGGAAGAAAGGATTGACCGATTCTTTTCTTATATCCTTCTTGTGTGTATCAGTCAGTCCGATGGAACATCCATCCATCCCCATCCATTGCGACCAATTATTGGCAAGTCACAAAGAAAGGTTGGCCGCCTTTTTCTTTTTGAGCGCTTTCTCTACTTCTTTTTTTACTTTCTTTGCCTCTTCACTTACTTCTTCATTCGCCTTCATTCCTTTTCTTTCTTTTCTTTTCTTTTCTCTTCCTTCCCCACCCCATTCCTACAACAGCTGCTTCTCTCCTCTCATTCACCTGCGCTCTAGTCTCAGCCCATCCTCCAAACTACATTCACACCTTGCAACAAAAAAAAAAAAGTACCCACGCATGAATCTCGCAGAGAGTCCATCGACCGTCGGGATGGACAGCCCTCGCTTCGCCAGCTCTAATGCAGCCCAGGAGCAGGACACTCCGGCACCGAATGTCGTGCCTGCCAACGAGTACTACTCCAGCTCAAACTACATCTCCCGCCACAGAACCCTCGGCAGCGTAAGTCTCTTCTTGTTCCTTTAAGATTCACTTTTTAATTGGGGCGTTGTGTGTAGTGTAGTTTTGCATACCAATATGTGTGTGTCGGATGACGCCGATTTATATCTTCTCGGTTGGATCATCCACTTTTTCCGTTTTACTTTGGACCTGTCTTTTAATACGCCAGCCTAGACGAGTCAACCAAACAAACCCACCTTGTTGGCTTTCGATCGCCCGTTGGGCAAAAGAGGAGAGAGAGAAAAGTCAATTAGACAGCCAGATTGCCTTGCACATTTTTTACCCTTTTTGATTTCAATGGTCTGATCCATGTTCTGAGTCAATGCTTATCAGAGTGTTCCCTCTGTTTCCTTTCCTCGTCCGGTCATCGTCGTGTGCCCATGTTCACTGTGTGCTCCCTTTCCGACATCCTTTGTTTGTATTGAGTCGTCCGTCGAACTCAGCGCTGCAGGATAAGGAACACAACAAGAGCTTATCTTGGTTTTCCTTCCACCCCTTGGCCCTTTTTTTTGCTTTTTCATGCCCCCTTGTTGGTGTGTTTGGACCCTGTTGTGTCTTGTGGCACATGCTTAATTCCTAACGTTTATTTATAATGGAACCAATAGTCAAGGAAGCCTGCAAGCATCCACAGCCCCAACGACCCAATGGCACATTCCGAGGCAGCGACAAAGTACAGGCGGCCACGGCGAGGTTCACATGGTTAGTGGTGTTCATATGTCTATTATCCTTGGGAACACAAACGCGAATATCCGATGAGGAACAACAAACGACGTCCAGGAAGAACTTTGAAGGAGCGAGAGAAATATAATTAACGACTCCGCCAAACGAAACGGAACTCTTATCGGACTGGAATTTTCTCTTTATCAACATTATTGACAGATAAAGACTGACAATTAGAAAGGAGGCTGACCATACATTCGTTCTCGTTACCTATCTCTCTCTCCATCTCATCGGTCCCCTCTCATCCTTTAGACGACAAGGCCACCAAGCCACGACGCTTCCTCATCGACGTTGATGAGACCCAAAAGCTGATTCTGGAGCAGGAGGACACGGATGGCGACTTTCAGATCACCGTCAACGATGTCGGTCCCAAGGTCATCACCCTCGGTACTGCAGACTCTGCTGGATTCAACAAATACGACATCCGCGGCACCTACATGCTCAGTAACCTCCTTCAGGAACTGTCGCTTGCCCAGGACTATGGACGCAAATACGTCGTTCTGGACGAGGCTCGCTTGAACGAGAACCCCGTCGATCGCCTCTCTCGCATGATTAGACATCATTTCTGGGACGGCCTCACACGCCGCATCGACTCAGAGGGACTGGAGCTGATAGCCAACGACCCCAAGAACAGATCCAAGAACACTGCGCCCAGAATCTACATTCCATTTGGCGAGGACGAGGTCCTGGAGTACTACAAGAATGTCAGTGTGCAGAAGCCCCATCTTAAGCTCGACGTTGAGCAGCTGCCCGAGGTGATCACCCCGAAGTATGTCCAGTCCATCAACGATAAGCCAGGAATCCTCGCTTTGGCCATGACAAAGTTCACGAACGACGAGGGCCAAGAGACCTTGAAGGGTGTTCCATTTGTTGTTCCTGGAGGTCGATTCAACGAGATGTACGGATGGGATTCATACTTTGAATCTCTCGGATTGCTGGTCGACGGTCGTCTCGAACTGGCCAAGGGCATGGTCGATAACTTTGTCTACGAGATCAAGCACTATGGCAAGATCCTGAACGCCAACCGCAGTTACTACCTCACCAGGACTCAACCTCCGTTCCTGACCGACATGATTCTCAAGGTCTATGATCGCCTCCCTTACAGTCTCGAGATCGAGAACAAGCAGTGGCTCGCTGTTGCTTTCACGGCGGCGATCAAGGAGTATCTCACCGTCTGGATGTCTCAGCACCGCTATGATCCCGAGTCAGGATTGTCGCGCTTCTACAGCGAGGGTATTGGAATGCCTCCAGAGACTGAGGCTACCCATTTCGACCATGTCATTAAGCCATACGCTGATCGCAAGGGAGTCTCTGTTGAGGAATACAGCCGACTTTACAACGAGGGCTTGGTAGACGAGCCCCAGCTGGATACCTACTTCAAGCACGACCGTGCTGTGCGTGAATCAGGACACGATACCACCTACCGGCTCGACAATTGCGCTGCTGATATTGCCACCGTCGATTTGAACTCGCTCCTTTATAAGTACGAGATGGACATTGCCGAGACCATCCAGTCGATCTTTGGCGACTCTTTCGAGACACCCTACTTTGCGTCGTATGATACCTCGTTATCGACCGACCATCCCGAGACTATTGTGCATACCTCTGCAGAGTGGTTCGAACGTGCCCGCGTTCGCCAGGAGAGAATCAACAGGCTCTGCTGGAACGAGGAGCGCGGAATGTATTTTGATTACGATACCCGTCTGAAGGCCCAAGGAACTTATGAGAGCGTCACGACCTTTTACACCATGTGGTCAGGACTCGCCGATCGCGAAAAAGCAGAAAAGATGATGTAAGTTTTGTCTGCTGCATCATTGCGTAGTTTTTTGAACTTTGTCTGGAAGATTGAATCATGAACCTGAATTGACCCATTATTGCATTCCGTGATATTCGCTCATTAGGGTTAACGCCTTGCCTCTCTTTGAAGTCACTGGTGGATTGGTCTCTGGAACAGAGTCATCGCGTGGTACGATTACCCTCTCCCGCCCTAACCGTCAATGGGATTTCCCCTTTGGCTGGGCGCCTCACCAAATCATGGCCTGGATTGCCTTTGAAAAGTACGGATTCATGGACGAAGCCAAGCGAACCTGCTACCGTTGGCTGTACACGTAAGTCAACCGTCTCCGTCTTTGAAAGTATTTTCGTAGGATTTTACTTGTAATATCTTAATGTCATTCATATGTGCTAATCGTGCTAGGGTTTTCCTTCATCTACCTCATTAGCATCACAAAATCATTTGTTGACTTTAACGGCGTGGTGCCTGAGAAGTTTGATGTTGTGAACATGACTCACCGGGTCCAGGTCGAGTACGGCAACGTTGGCTTGGACTTCAAGTTTATTCCTCGTGAAGGATTTGGATGGATGAATGCCAGTTACCAAGTCGGTCTGGGTTACATGGATCGTGGCCTTCGCCGTGCACTGGGAGCTGTGATGGACCCCTGCAAGGTGTTCAAAGGCAGGGCATTAGCTGTTGAGAAGTCACAACAGAACAACACCAACGAGAGCATTGCCACTCAGCCTCCAGATGTGACTACACGCCTCGTCCGCCCCAACTCGCTCCGGAGAGTGTAAAGTGTCAAGGCGCGGGTTGCAGATCTGGCATAGACTGTTTGCGCTGGACGTAGCTATGGAACACTCGCAAGAATGGAGGCTGAAGGGGGCGGGAGAGGTCAAAGAGATAGGAGAGGAAGGAGAGACGACTATTTGAATCATATTTTATTCTGTACGATCCAACCACATGCGCGCAACGTCTTTGCGATTACGGCTCCATGAAAGCATTATGTATTAGTTATCTAGCTGTGCGAACATGTATGTATGAGTAAACGCCAATATTACCATGTACGACAAAGAGAATAATAAGATGCTGGCCAAATACTGAACTTGCGAGTTTATTTATACAGGTGCGGCAGTAAAAGGAGGGTTGGTTGGTTGGTGTATGTACATATGTGAAAGGGTGGTCCACAAAGACGCCAAAAAAAGAAACGATTGTGTAAAAGAGACGAGAGTACGGATGTGTTCGTGGGTGTGAGCGAGTGAGCTAGTGCGTGGGAAAGAATGACCCACTCAGCCTTGTCACTCTCTACACTTAGGGACGACGCTCGATCTCGCCCTTGGTGATGTTTCCTTCGCCAGAGGCCTCAAGAGAATAGTCGCCAAGGGCTCTTCCGGTGGCGTTCTGAGTATGTCCCCCGACCTTGTGGCCAGCGGCTTCGGCCTGGGTCTTGGCATCGGCGACCTTCTGGGCAGTGTCGGCGTGGACTTTTTGGGCAGCGCCGCGGGCGGCCAAGTCAGGGTTATTGATGGTCTCGCCGATGGTCTGCTTGGCGCCGCCGATGTAGGAGTTGGCGGTGTTGGAGACCTTGGCGGAGACGTTTTCTGCGATGTTTGACATGGTGAATATGTGTTGTTGTTGTATTGTTGGTTGGTTGGTTGGTTGTTGTCGTGTGGGGTTGTTTGTGGTTAGGGTGAAAAGGGTCAATAAGAAAAAATAGCAAATGATGGCTCTTTTTATACCGGTCTACTGCGATCATTACGCGCCTATTACATCATTTGTAGGGGACGGCAAATGGATATCTATCAGGGTTGCAGCTTATCAAGGTACTTCTGAGCACGGGATCAGCACGGGATCTGAATGACGGTGTCATCACACAATCGTTGAGAGGGAAAGGGCGCCATTGGGATTGACTTTCCTAGAGAAAGCAACTTCCTAGGAAAGCATAGCAGAGGAGAGGATCGTGTTTCATCAACTTCGTTTATTGCACAGTTGCAAGAGATGAAGACGCGCATCTAAGCCACTTCGTTGTTTGTTAATTTATCCCTTTTTGACTTTCAAAAAGTCGCGTTAGTTTTGTTTTCGATACCTTGACTTGACTCGTTTGCCACCACCAACGCCGTTCTTCTTCCTCATCCTCTCTGCTCTCATTGTCTCTCGACACTTCGCTGACTGAAATCAACAAAGAAGACAACCGCCATACACTTCGCTCTCCATCACACTCCTGGCTGTACACCCACTCATTCGACTGACCGGATTATACACAACCCCTGAGCCAGTTAGTTGACAAGTTACGCCACCATGTCACAGGAAGCACACACCACCAAGAAGCGCAGAATCCATGCATCACAGCTGGAGCCACAGCCCTCTTTCTTGGAAGACCTGGAGCAACTTCAGGAGACTAACCAGGCTACCAAAGGTACAAGCAGGAGCCTTTCTTTTTTGTTGTCGGTGAGTGCTCTACCCCCACCTCGGACTTTTTATATTTATTTACATATATTTTTGTTGCCGTTTGTAACACCATAGTGGATGATCCTTCGGTGCTCTGGCCAAGACCAACTTGCAACAAGCTCAACGCTACAACGGATGCATTGGGTAAGTTTACAGTTCTATTGTCGGGGCTATATGTTAGTTTTACTTCTTGTTGGAGCCTTTGTCGACCTTCGCGCTAACATGTGGTATGACTTTCAAATTCTAGTGTTCCAGCAGATCGAAGCAGATGAGTACATGGACGCGGCATCTCACACTCCCGTCGTCCGCTTCTACGGTATCACAGAAGTAAGCCTCTGTCAATTTATCTTCTCGAATATGACTGCACGCACGAGCTCCGTACTTCGCAGGTACTGACTGTCAATCACTGTTGTACTCATTAGGCCGGGAATAGCGTCATTTGCCATGTTACCGGATTCTTGCCATACTTCTATGTGCCAACACCCATCGGGTTCAAGTTAGAGAACATCCCAGCATTCAAGACTGCATTGGAGGTAACTTTGAAACAATTGGCAGCTCCGCAGTGCGTATAATGGCACATATAATGTGCACTTGATCAGGAACTAACTAGCGGATTTTTTGTCGCTGTTTTAGACGGCAATGGAGAAGGGAAACACCATTGTCAAGATCGAGTGGAGTTTCAAAGAGTCGATCTACGGATACCATGGAGGCGAGAAGATCCCATTCTTGAAGATCACTCTCAAGGACCCCAGGAACATTGCGGCAGCAAAGCGTGCCATAGAGCGAGGCATTTCGTTCGCCGGATTCACCGACTTTACCGAACAGACATATGAGAGCAACCTGGCATATCTTCTGCGCTTCATGATCGATTGTCATATTAAAGGAGCAAACTGGATTGAGCTGCCCGCAGGATCATACCAGAACAGGAACGACAGCAACTCTAATGCCCAGATCAACGTTCAAGTCAACTACGAGAAGATCGTCAGTCACCAACCTGAAGGAGAGTGGTCCAAGATTGCTCCCCTCAGGATCTTGAGTTTCGATATTGAGTGCGCTGGTCGCAAGGGTATCTTCCCCGAGGCCAAGATCGACCCTGTCATCCAGATCGCGTCCATGGTCACTGTTCAAGGAGAGTCCAAGCCATTCATCCGGAACGTTATGGTCCTCAACACTTGCTCGCACATTGTCGGCACCCACACCATGTCGTTCGACCAGGAGGATAAAATGCTGGCTGCATGGAGCGACTTTGTCAGGAAGGTCGATCCCGATGTTGTTATTGGCTACAACACCGCCAACTTCGATTTCCCATACCTTCTGGACCGTGCCAAACATCTAGGAGTTCTCAAGTTTCCCTTCCTCGGACGCCTCAGTGGTATGCTATCACTCAGGAATTATAGGTGCTGTTTTCTTGTTGTTTAGGCAAAAGTGCCTGTAACTGACTTTTGCACTTTCTTCTGCTAAATAGACATCAGGACAGAGATTAAAGACACAAAGTTCTCGTCAAAAGCATATGGAAACCGCGAGAGCAAGTCGATCAACATGGAAGGTCGTCTTCAGCTCGATATGCTTCAGGTCATGCAGCGCGATTACAAGTTGCGATCCTATACTCTGAACTCCGTCTGTGCCGAGTTTTTAGGTACGTTGCGCAATGCGGTTTTCATGGATGATACCTCTGGCGTTCAAGGAAAATACCATTGATATTCATGGAAAATACCTTAGTATTCATGGGTTCCGGTCCCCCATAGTATCAATGATACCACAGACATTGCTGCATACTGACCAGGTATTTATTTTGAACATTCAGGTGAGCAAAAAGAGGATGTGCATCACTCGATCATTACGGAGCTTCAAAACGGAAACGAGGAAACCCGTCGACGTCTAGCGATTTACTGTTTGAAGGATGCATACCTTCCACAACGACTCATGGACAAGCTGATGTGTCTCATCAACTACATCGAAATGGCAAGAGTAACAGGAGTGCCTTTTAATTACCTTTTGGCCCGTGGTCAGCAAATCAAGGTCGTCTCTCAGCTATTCCGTAAAGCTCTCGAGAAGGACTTTGTTATCCCTGCCGTGCATAGTCAAGGTGAGCTACTATACATGCTCTGGCGATGAGCTGTAATATTACTTTTGTCTGCAGAGACTAACCACGACTTCATTTGTTCTTTATAGGTGGAGAGGAGCAGTACGAAGGAGCTACAGTTATTGAGCCTCGCAGAGGTTACTACGACGTGCCTATCGCAACCCTGGATTTCGCATCGCTATATCCTTCGATTATGATGGCCCACAACCTCTGCTATACTACGCTCCTGTCCCCAAGCACAATCCAAAAGTTCAACCTCGTCAAGGATGTCGACTATGTGGTCACCCCAAACAACGGTAAGATTAACTGCATATTTTGCGAGTCTACATGAGAAGAGTTCTGAGTTGTCGCTCACATATGGTAACTTCGCCATGTTCTATGCGACATAGATTCCTTTTTGATGGAGAAAAAACGCAAGGGATTGTTGCCTATTATTCTGACAGATCTTCTGGATGCGCGTAAGCGTGCCAAGGCGGATCTCAAGAAGGAGACGGATCCTTTCAAGCGCGCTGTGTTGGATGGTCGTCAGTTGGCCTTGAAGGTACATGGTTGACAATCGTAATATGGCGTATACTGATTGGTCTGAAAAGATTGTTCTAATGCCTCGTGTTTCACTCTGATCTTATAGATTAGTGCCAATTCTGTGTACGGTTTCACTGGAGCAACGGTCGGAAAGCTGCCATGTCTTCAGATCTCATCGAGTGTCACAGCCTACGGTCGTGTCATGATTGAGAGAACCAAGCAGGAGGTTGAGTCAACATTCACTGTTGAGAATGGGTACACGCACACCGCCGAGGTCATTTACGGAGATACAGATTCGGTCATGGTCAAATTTGGCGTCAAAACATTGGAAGAGGCCATGGAGCTCGGACGCAAAGCAGCGGAGATTGTCACGACAAAGTTTGAGAAACCCATCAAGCTGGAGTTCGAGAAGGTGTACTTCCCATACCTGTTGATCAACAAGAAGCGCTATGCCGGTCTCTACTGGACAAGACCCGACAAGTACGACAAGATGGATACCAAGGGAATTGAGACTGTCCGTCGTGACAACTGTAGATTGGTCCAGAGTGTTATCGATACCTGCCTCCGAAAGATCCTGATTGACCGCGATGTCATTGGTGCCCAAGAGTAAGTCTTGAAAGGTATAGCTGCGTGTAACTTTAGCTAGCCGGTAAGTACCGAATTTAACCTGCGTCCGCTTATTTTCCTAATAGGTACACCAAGCAGATTATCGCAGATTTGTTGCAGAATAAGGTCGATATGGCCCAATTGGTCATTACAAAGCAGCTGAGCAAGACAGGTTAGTATCTGAGCGAGATTGAAAGCAAATGAACAGACCATTGCTAGACCGATGCTAACCAGACGACTTGCCTGCTCCATAGATTACGCAAACAAACAAGCACACGTGGAGTTAGCAGAGCGCATGAAGCAGCGTGATGCAGGTATGTGAACTGTCTGATTAACTTGGTTTTTCTTGTGCATGCTAATACGGTGCAGTCGTACTAATCGACCCACTCATTGCTTGTACGATTAGGTTCTGCGCCTGCGTTGGGAGATCGTGTTGCCTATGTTATTATCAAGGGTAGCAAGGGTATGGCAGCGTATGACAAGTCTGAGGATCCTCTTTGGGTGCTGGAGAACAATATCCCGATCGACACAAGATACTACTTGGACAACCAGCTGTCCAAACCATTGCTCCGTATCTTTGAGCCTATTCTTGGCGAGAAGGCAGAGTCTCTACGTAAGTTGTCCTTGAATTCGCAGCAGTTGATTTGGGTTAAACATGCAACGAGGGAGGTAAAGGGTGACGATGCTGACAGCCCTTGTTTCTCTGTATTTGACATTCAATAATGATAGTGGCTGGTGATCACACAAGGACGATTCAAGTGTCGACTCCTTCGGTGGGAGGATTGATGAAGTTTGCAGTGAGGACGGCGACGTGCCTGGGATGCAAAACGCCGCTCAAGAAGGGCGAGTCTGCGGTTTGCGCCAACTGCAAGGAACGTGCGCCTGAGTTGTACCAGAAGCAACAGAACATTGTTAACGGACTTGAGGTGCGCTTCTCACGACTCTGGACACAATGCCAGCGATGCCAGGGATCGCTGCATCAGGAGGTTCTGTGCACGAGTAAGGATTGCCCCATCTTCTACATGCGCAAGAAGGTCCAGAAGGAGATCCAGGACAGCACCGCGACCCTCGATCGGTTCGTGGACTGGTGAATGTTGCTTGCGAGTATCGCGCGACAACTGTAATTTGCATCTACATAAAATATATAATTTTTAACGCGTTAACACGCGCCTCGCAAGTGTGGCTTCAATGCTAAAAGCAGTCCACTTGACTTTTTCAAGTACATTGAAAGGTTCCATCACTCTTTGACAACGACCCATCCACGTTCACAGGACAAGCAAGCAAGGACAATTTCAGGACTATTCAACATCTCACACTCACTCACAACCATGGCAAACATCAACATCAGCTGCATCGCCATAATCGGGAAACAGGCATGTACTTTTGTCTGGTTGTTTGACCATTTTTTTTGCTTGCACCAGGGCTTAGATGGAAACAGGAAGATGACAACGAGCGTCAGGAACCATCTTTTTGCTAACGGTCCCATACCCAATCGATACCCTCGGACTCTTCTTTTTCTTGTACCCGTCTATAGAACAACCCACTGTTCATCAAGAACTTCAACCCATCACATGCAGACCTCAAATACCACTATATCGCCCACACATCATGCGATATCATGGAAGAACGAGGTGAGTGTCCGTTCTCCTCTCCCGACTCCTATTCAGTTGGTTACTCAGAAGCGTTGCAATAACATCGGGACAATCGCAGACAGCATTGGATATAGAGGAAGCAATTCGTTCTTCGAGAGCTTACCTAACTTCCATGACATTTGGTTTTGCTACTTTGCTCTGGACATTAGCGGCGATGAAGACGCAGGATATGTATTTGGGAGTGCTGTTCTCGATGGAGGACCTGTCAGTGTACGGATACATGACCAACACCAAGATCAAATTTATCACAGTCCTCACGGTGCCAGATGTCATTATCAAGGACACAGACATGAAGAATGTAAGGAACTCGTTCTCCTACACACACGCTCACCTCGTCCTCCCTGTGTCTGTCCAAGATGTTGCTTATTACTTATATTCAGGGACGATGCTACTGACACTTTCTCACATACTTTTTATTTTACACTCTCTCTTATGGACAACTAGATCTTCCGCAGGATTCATGCGGCGTATGTGAACCATGCCAGCAACCCATTCTATGAGATTGACTCTGAGAAGATGATCAAGAGCAAGAAGTTTGAACAGGAGATTGAGGCTATCGGAAGGGGGCGTTCTCTTGAGGGCGGCAATAGGAACTCTCTTCCAGCAGCCGCACCATAAAAAAAAAGGCAGGATTGCGACAAACAACTATTTATATCCGTTGCTTCCAATAAAAAAACATTGAAAGATAAGAGGACATATCAATTGAGGCGTGAGAAGGTAATATATTAGCATGGAACGGAGCAAGGACACCATGCGCCATGTAACGAGTAGCAGGCAAGCGCTAGACATCTGCGAATGCGTGGCGTTGAGAGCAGGTTTGTCCATGAGACCCTGGGTTGCCAAAATGAGAGGATCAATGCGTCACTCAGGTGCAAGAAACCTTCATTTTTTTGACCGCTCCTCGCTCAAACGGAGAAAGGAAGGGCCGATTCTTTTTCCTTCTTTCATTCCTTTTTTTTTTCTTCTTCATTCGTTCATTCCCTTCTCTTCTCCACCTTTCAACAACTCATTCAAACTATGACGGGTAAGAGCACACGTCCCTTTGGTTGCAAGGAGACCTAACGTCGATAGTCATACCGCCACCATGCTCGTCAATTGATAATAGTAACGGAGTCCTCGCTGACATTCTTGTACTTCTTGCCCCTTCCTCCCCCCTTCCACGAATCCACCCTTGTACTCTAACAGGCAACGATACAGCGGTGCTGACGCCGAGTCAGGAGCACTACGTGAAAAAGTACCTCCTCAGTGTCCTCATCAAGAACGAGCTCAACCGACTCCAACGAGACCCTTACGACATACTGCCCAACCTGGGAGGACCCTTTGACCCCAAAGACGAGCACGCCGATTCCACAACCCCTTTTCTCCGTTACTTATTTGAATCGATTGTCGTTCCCTTCCCTTTCCTCACGGGAAACAAGGGCGAGTTATGGCCGAAACTACAGCTCTTCCTGGAGGAGCTGGCCAAGATCGATTCGGGCCATGGGGTGGAGAGAGAGGAGATGGCGAGGAGGAGACGGTTGAAGAATAAGGGCGAGCGGTCGATTGTGTTAATGTACACGATGGCTGTCAAGACTTTGGAGCAACGTGAGCAAGAGAAGAAGGATATGAGTTTGGAGGATGGGGTGGAGGGATTGTTGTTGAGTTCGGATGGTGCCCCTGCGGCTGCTGCTGCTGCTCCGACGACTGGGCCCTTGACGGTCATTCATGGAGTCCGTATCAATGTTGCGGGTATCCGGATCATCAAGCAGCGACGACACGTCCGCGAGCACGAGCATGCGGTAAGTGAAACAGTTTACACGTCTTCTTTCAACGTGTAGTATTATGCACCCTGTCAGCGGAATGAAGGGGTCACGACTGGATGTGGCACGAAAGAGAGAGTGCTTTTGGTATTTCTTATCATTTTTTCCCATTCACGCTTTGTTGGGGCTGTTGCAAAGCGTACTTTTGGAAGGCGTACTTTTGGAAGGCTGTAGCAAATTGCATGTTTCGCGCAGTTGGATGTAACAACTCCACTCCACTCACTCGCCGCGTTTTTCACTACTTATTTGTAGGAGTTCTTGGTTAGCAGCACGTTAGCTGACGGCACAGAGTCGACGGTGGCGAGGCGCCACGGTCAATTCAGACGTCTTTACATCGCGGTAAGATACAACAGCATCGGGTCATGGATGTGATAGGCGTATTTATTACCATCAAGCTGCGTGCTGACATCCCTTGCTTACTTTGACAATGTTATGTCTACTAGTTGAGAGAAGAATATCCACAGTTTGAGTTCCCACTGCCGCCTGCCAAGGTGTCGGCCAAGTCTGGATCGGCCGGTGTCAAGGCAGCACGCGAGAAGGACCGACTCAGCCTGCGTGGTTACCTCCACAATATCGCCAAGGTGGCTCCCGAGATTGTCATCTCTACTATCTTTGTCAGCTTCCTTACCAAGAACGCGATCACGTTGACGGCCGAGGAGGCCAACGATGTCCGCGTCCGCTTGGCACTTGACGAACACCGCTTGGAACAACAGGCCCAGTTTGCGAGGGAGGTTTCCAAGAAAGTGCACGAACTGGATTCACATCTCAAGCAAGTCAAGCAGGATCTTTTGCAACCTGGTGGAGTCTCGCGCTTGTTTGATGCCTTCCGGCAGTACGAGAATGTCAAAGACTTGCCACCCCTGTACCAGACCGTGTTTGAGTGGGGATGCATGAACTTTGCGTCGACCTTGTACCACGTCTTTACGGCCTCGGATGACGCTGCTCTCAACTTAACACACCTCAAGCGGACCCACCTTTTGATGCCTTACCGGACCATGTGGGGAATCCTCAAGGTGTCGAACCCGATGGCAATGATGAAGGGGATTATAGATCTGTTCCTGGCTCAACCCTTTGGCAAGAGCAGTTTGATGCAGCGGATCATCTCGGTCAACATCCAGGAGGAGATTACAGAGTACAAGAAGGACATTGTTCAACTGGAGGCTGCCGTTGGAGATCAAGACCTCTGCGACAAGCTTCGTAACTATGTCTATGCTCCCAAGAATGAAGTTGCCAGCATCTCTCCCGACAGTGGTATGTTCTTCTCTTGGCTTTTGTATTGCATATAACTGCGGGTGTTGTGAAGTTGACACACGCTAACATTCTTTGTTATGTTGCAATTAGAACAGTATGATATTACCGAGTTGGGTATGGTGTTGGAAATTCTTCAGGCAACCCAGATCCAACCCACGCTCGATGCACAACAGATCAACCGCGTGCGGGATGCAAAGGAGCAGTTGGAAAAGGACCGCGCAGAGAAGGAACGACTCGCCGAGACCTATCAGCAAATGTTAATCCACGATCTTTCTGAATCCGATGAGAGCGAGAGCGAAACCTCGAGTGTGGACGAACCACCAAAGCTGTACCGGTCCTCATCCAAGAAGAGCTTTGCCAAGGCGACTGAAAAACTCCGGTCCCTGAAGCAACAGAAGCAGGAGCAAAAGCAGGAACAGGCTCAAGTTCAACAACAGCCTCAACAGAATCTGATCCGATCGCTTCAGCAGCTGTTGGTGACCCATTTGCGTATCCGGGACAAGGAGAGAATGATGGGCCTTGTCTTCCAGGGAGTGACGGGCGAGATCTTTAAGGAGCTAATCTCGATCTTCTATGCGCCCTTGGTCAAGGTGTACAAGAGTGCCAATGTTGCGGACAGTCTGATGGATGTCAAGGACTTTGCTGACGAGTTGATCAAGATTGTCGAGCAGGCCGATGTCAACGATGGTAACTTTGTCCTCCTCCTTGCTGCACGTTACATGACTGTTTTGTTCTATGTTCAATTACTAGTATCAATCTCTAACCAAACCATGGCTTTTTTTTCAACGATAGATGGAAAGGGTGGGAACCCATCGACGGCGACACTTTATCTGGATCTGGTCAAGAGACATCTCCCAAGCTTCTACAAGTTTGTCCACTCTGTCCACAAGCAAGACGACGGCCTCTTCCACGACCTCCTGGAATGGTTCGAGAGTATCCTATCCTTCATGCGGACCGGTTACGCTCACACGCGAATCAACTACAAGACCGAGGAAGAGCTTCGGTACGCGATCAACCTGAACGGCTTCCTCGAGACCCAAGTGGGCGCTTCTGGCAATGTAGAACAGTTGAGACAGGAGGCCGACTCACTGAAACGGTTCTATTTGGAAGTCAAAGACAAGAAACGCGAGGAGGTCCGACAGATGGCCGGGTTGGATAGGGCTAGTGTGGATGAGGCGGCTTCGTTGGCGTTGAACAAAGATCGGGAGAGGGTGTCGAAGGAGTTGAGAGGGTTCGGGTTGCAGCAGGAGGATCTTGATGAGCTGGAGATGATAAACTTTGAGAACCATGCTAGTTTGAGTGGTGATGGAGATGAGGATGATGGGTTGGAAGGTGTGGCGGCGTTGAAGGTTCCCAAGGTGCCTGTTATTGATACGCTGAGAGGGCCGTTTGTTGAGTTGTTGCAGCCCTTGTTCCTTTCTGCTCGCGAGTAACCTTCGTTGACTGTTTTGTTTGCTGGCGTTGTTGGATTTAGGGTTTGGTTGGCTGTGGCGATTGTACGTTGTGCGACCAGACTTGTGAAATAAAAAAAACGAGGCTTGTTAGGGTGCTGTCACCGGCTCTGGGGGACGTCCTTTGCATAAAAACTTCCGACTCCTCCTCCCCGTGGCACATATCGCCTCCTCATCTTCCGACCCGCCCCTGCTCCTGCTAATGAAGAATAATGCTGTGGTAGCGGCTGAGATATCGAGGCGGGATATCCTATTGCCACTGAAGAGGAAGCGTCTAAAAAAACAGAGCTAAAGAACAACATGAGGAAGGTGGCGACGGCTATTGTTCTGGTCGTGAGGAATGACAGTTCGGAATGCATGGTATTTTAGAAAGGGAAAATGGTAGGGAAGGAAGGAAGGAAAATGGGACTAATCGGTTGTTGTTTTTTTCGTTCGATAACCTCCGCGATTCAATAAAAATAGAAGAGGCAGAAAAAAAAGAGTCGAGAGCGTGTCTTTTTTCTCGGGAAGGTAGGAGTAGTTTGAAAGAGAAGTTGACGATGTGTACAGATGAAAATGTAAGAGGGGGACAAAACATATAGGGAACGATCGAGCTCACGGTGTTCGATCCTTCGGAGAGTAGGTTCTCTTCGCTTAGGCCATTTTTTTCGGAGAGGTGTGTCCCTGCAAGAGAGGTATCAGGACTCTATCGTCCTTCGTCCCCTTTTTTTTTGTTCTTTCGCAAGAACGAACGAAAGAACAACGTGGTCCTTCTTATCAAAGGTATGACATAGAAAAGGAGCCAAAGACTGAATGAAAAAGAGAACACAGGAAGTCAAGGACGTTAAGTGTCATTTTTTTTCTTGTGTGATCTGTGAGACAGGCCTTCCTCGGATGTTGGTTTTCAACCCCGAATATGCATTTTGTAAAGTGGAGTTTTTCGATCTTCAGGGGGACTTAATCTTTGGGTGACGCGAAGTATGTTGCCGAGAGAAAGATAGATAAGCGAGATGGCTGGTACTATAGGGTGATGGAAAGGGTTCACGACGGACAGAATAGTGATCATTGATTGATAAGGGACGCGTCAAGAATTGATGGTCCATCTGAGACAAGACGCGTTTTTATTACGCTTTGGCGTGTTGATACCTACTTCATTGATATTTTGGTCGTGTCGAGGAATACCTTCTTGGATGAGCCACCTTTCTGAAGGGAAGAAACTATAACCCGTTTTACTGACACAGCGATAGAATGGGTACATTCTCGTATTACATATCCACACAGCCAAAATGATGAATGGGAGAGAGGAGCGACTACTGCTGCTGCTGGCACCACCTCCTTATTTTTTGACGTGCTAATTCATTCGGTTACAGAGTGGTTGACGCCGTCGCCACCATCGGCTACATTACGCACAAGGGACCATGATAAAAAATAAAGGAGGTTAAAAAGACGATATGCTCGTTTACGACAAGGATATATCCAAAACCTCCTTGAGATACGACGGCACACCCCCTTCCTCCCCCTCGTCTATTGTCCCGTCCAGTACGTCGTCGTCCCTTGTTGTAGTAGCCTGTAAAAGCTCTTCCCTTGATATCGATAGTAAAATGATTATGTCTCCGTGCCTTTTTTTTTGTCTAGTTTGTCATATCCTGTCCCTTGTTTATTTTTGTCTGCGCTGTTGTTTTTCCTTGCGCACAAAAATGTGTATGTGCTGTGGGTGTGTGGATACCAAAGTAGCGGCCTTTTCGTTTCGTTTCGGTCTTTGAAGAAAAGAAGAAAGTTGTAAATTTGACTCGACGAAGATGAACTTTCCTTGTTCTGTTTGTTATAAACGAGGATGATGAATGATGATTTTGGAAGGGATGGGAACCTGCAAGTATTAGCAACAGTGACAATGAATGGGATACTGAACATTGGACAGAGAACAAAATGAGCTGTCCTTGTTTGTTCAACTTTCTTACAGTCCTTTGGACGCTTCCCCTTGTCACCATTTTGTGGACGTGGTTTTCCCGCCTCTTTATCCGTGCTCTCAATGTCCCTTTATCGCTTTCACTCTTTTTTCTACGTCGTTTGAAATCTGTCACTTTCCTTTCTTCCTTTTCTTGCTCTTCTTCTTGTCTTGACCTTTGTTGTTGACCTCAAGTAAAGTCCACCATCATCTTCTTTCTTCCTTCTTCCTCCTTCCCGCCTATCCTAATCTTCATCCTCTCCTTCCTTCCTTCTCTCTTTTCTTCTCATTTCCTCCACCTTTACACCTATCCTCCTCCATCCATCCAATTTTCCACACCCTACAACCCTCGTCCACCTAGTCGACAGGCACATATATTCATCCTTCCTTTCACATCTACCTTAACACTCCGATACCTCTCCCTCACCACCCCTACCCCAGGAGGCAAAGCAACTCATAACTCTTATCAAACGAGTGCGACAACAACTGTATACCAAATGTTCCTCAAATCTTCATTCGTACTTTCTGTGATCGCGGCTGCGAGCTACACCTGCCAGGCTCAGAGCCAGCTCGTGGCTTCTCAGATCATGGCTTCAGCCATCAACATGGGTATGTAAGCCTCTCCATTTTTTCATCTTTCTCAAACTCAAACACGCACTCGCTCCACCTTGACTATCTCCTACATTACCTCTCTCCACTCCTGAACAGAAAACATTCCTGAAGTTCCTTATCTGACACAGCACAACACATCCTCCTTCCTTACACATTGCCAAATTTCTTATCCTTACTTACATCGCATGCTTCATTCCTCCAATGCCACTAGATGGAATCGAGGCGAACTTTATGTTTGCGCCGCTGGCGAACAACGGCGGTGCACAGGTGTGGATTGAGGTTAAGAGTGGGCTTTCGAAAAAGTTTGCCATCTCGCCGACAGGAGGTTTCGAATACCACATCCATGTCAACCCTGTGGGTCCCAATAACGATTGTATGGCGACCGGGGGACATTTGGATCCTACTAATGTCGGTGCTGCCAAATGCTTGGCTGCCAAACCTGACAAGTGTCAAGAAGGCGATCTCTCTGGTACGCCACTTTTTCTCCTTTGTTGGTGTTCTTGATCTCATGTCCTTCTTGATCGTCTCTGTCTTCTTCCTCATCCTCTTCCTCTTCTTGTTGGTTGATTTGGCGATATGTCCGATGTTGCCATTCCGAGTCGCGTGTTTTCTCTCTAACATTTCCGCGTCTATTTCTTTTCATTCAAATCACGATATTCATTCTCGTGTGGACATTAGGCAAACACGGTGAATTAAAGGCGACAGAGTCAGGCGCAATTCCACCGCAGTCGTATAACGACAAGTATATTAAGTTTTCTGGAGAGACAACGACGATCGCCGGCCGATCGGTTGTGATCCACAACAATGGTACCCGTGTGGCCTGTGGCAACATCTACCCGTTTAAGCAATCTTCATCACCCTCGACTTCGACAAACAGCGCTTCATCGGCGCCCGGTGGTGAAGTCCAATCGCAACATTCGGGTGCCAGTGGTGGGCAGGTTGTTGTGACGATGGCCATGGCTGTTGCAGGCACTGTCTTTGGCGCCTTGATGGCTCTTTAACCAACGAGAAACATAGACCTTTGATGGATGATGTTGGGATGGGAGACTGTTCTCTATCGCGAAGGATGAAGATGGAAATAAAATAAAAAAGAGGTACTCGGCTTGACTGTGCAGGGTGGAGTCGAGCCGAGTATCTAGGCTGCAACTATTGTTTCTTTGGAGTGCAAGCGTGAATGAGCAACGGGGAGTGGTCCAAATGTGTATATGAGAGCGAATCACCGTCGACGCCACGAAACAGTCCGACGGGGAAGGAAGGGTGTGCCTGTGTTGGCTGGGAAATACACATTCGCACCTTTGGGTTGGGGCCATAGGACAGGGAACGGGAAGAAGACGCCTGCACCTGTCCTCTGCTTTAACCCTGCCTTGCTTCACTTTCTTTCTTCATCCTTCTTCTCTTCTCTTCCTTCATCACACCATCCCTTCATCATTTTTCCTTTTTTTCTTTTTCTTATTCTCACTTCATACCCCCTATCTAGACCTTCTTCCTTCTTTCATCACATATTGCTACTCTCATCATGGACATCGTGCCTGATGTCGACAACCTTCTAGTCAACGACCACGTCGTGCCTGAGGTCATCGACTCCCCTTCTTCTCCCACAAAGCCAACACAGACACCAACCGTTCTCTCGCGACTCCATCTCATCGACGAGGAGCAAAAGTTCAGGTACGGCTTCTCATCTTTGTTTTGACTTGCAAGTGAGGGTTGTTCTTTCTCTCTTTCTTCTTTCTACCTTTTCGTCTGACATGCATGCATCTCTTTTTGTTGAAACGAATCTAGTCCGGTGTTGTCAACCTACATCAACGAGAAGTGGACACTCAAGGATGCAGGATTCAACTACAACCTCGCTGCCATCTTCGGAAGTCAGAGTACCGGCAAAAGTAAGTTCCTTCCTCTCTTCCACTCCCTCTCCTTCTCCTTTGACCCTTACTCTTTCTTTCACTTTTTTTTTCTACTCGTCCCTTTCTCCCTGTTTCTCGGTGTTCTCTGGGGCTCACTTTTTTCATACTCCTTGCTGTTTTATTACACTACTCCAAACCAACGAGGACCTGGACCCTCGGTCCGATCGCCTACTTTTTTGCTGTGTACAAAGAAGAAAATGGGTTTTGCTGACGATATCGCAACAATTGCTAATTTGCCTGCGTGCCACATGGTTGTTTCTCTTATTTTTCAGGTACATTACTGAACAGATTGTTTGGTACCAGCTTCGATGTCATGAGCGAGTCTGCAAGAAGACAGACAACCAAGGGTATCTGGATCAGTCAGGGCAAGGACATGAAAGTCTTGATCATGGATGTCGAGGGAACAGACGGTCGCGAGCGTGGTGAGGACCAGGTATGGACAAGCTGCAAGGCAATGGAAGATAAAAAAAAAAAGTTGTGTCATGGGCTTCAATTTTCAGGTGCTGCTTGTTGAAATGGTACATTGTCGTCATATGGCAAAGAAACTAATTCGTTATGATTACTCACATATGTAGGACTTTGAGCGCAAGAGTGCGTTGTTCTCGGTTGCGACTTCAGAGGTGTTGATTGTGAATTTGTGGGAACACCAAGTCGGTCTGTACAACGGAGCCAACATGGGTCTTCTCAAGACTGTCTTTGAGGTCAACCTCCAGCTGTTTGGAGGCAACCGTGGGTAAGTGCAGCCCTTGATGTGAGCATGTGTGGATTACATTACTCTTATTCATGTACCACTGGACGACTTTACATGTGTTCGTCTGCCCTTCAGACTTGTCAATGAGCATGTGTGCGACAAGCCAAGAGAGCGAGAGAGAGAGAGTGTGTGTGTGTGTTCAAAGGGTGACCCGACCGAGCGTATAAAAACACGACGTGGGCCAATTTAAGACGCGGAAATTCTTTTTATTATTTTGGATGGACCAACAAAAAAAATGATGGGCTTCTCAACACCCCTTGCATGTGATACTCGTCCATGGGGTGTGTTTTGTCACTAATAAGACACCAACGGCATTCCCTCATCCTTCCCCTTCCTTTTTCTATTACCTTTGGCTTGGCAACTTCACAAGTGCATAGTTCACTAACTCATTCGTTTTTGTACTTTATAGAAAGGAAAAGACCTTGTTGCTCTTTGTCATCCGTGATCATGTTGGAGCCACCCCCCTCGCCAACTTGGCCAACACCCTGACGGCAGATCTTGAGCGCATCTGGCACGGTCTCTCAAAGGTATAGTGCGGTAACAATCTCCAACGTTTTTAGGAATGAACATCAATGAACAATGACTAACCCTGAACTTGTTCTCTTTTATGTTTGTAACTGCTTACCCATCTGGAACAGCCCGAGGGTCTTGAGGACTGCAAGATCACAGATTACTTTGATTTCATGTTTACCACATTGGCCCACAAGCTGCTCCAGCCTGAAAAGTTCGAGAGCGATGTCGACCAGTTGCGTCTTCGGTAAGTCATGCATGCACTCAAGCCAGAAGGGAGGAATAGGAGTAATGCAAAATGCTTTATCTAAGCAGTTGAGCAAATGTCTAACCACATTGTGATTGTAATGATCTCTTCCCATCTCTATTTCCAGTTTCACCAACCCCTCAGACCCTAACTATGTGTTCCAGCCTCAGTACTCCAGGCGCGTCCCTGCTGACGGTCTTCCCTTCTATGCAGGAGGCATTTGGGATAAGATCATGACCAACAAGGACTTGGATCTCCCTACCCAGCAGGAATTGCTTGCCCAGTACCGTTGCGACGAGATCGCCAACACAGCCTTTGTCATTTTCCAGGATAAGATCAAGGAGTTCAGACAGCCCATTGAGTCCGGCAACATTGTGGAGGATCTCGGTCCCAAGATGCAGGAGATTCGCGGAGTTGCTATGAGTAAGCTGGGGCACCTTATTCATCTGCTCTCATGCTGAGTGACCCATATTTCTATTTTCCCCCGGCGCTCTCATTAACACCCAAAACTCTTTTCCATTCGAACGCATCGTTTTTGTTTCATAGAATCATTCGACAAGGATGCTTCTCGCTACCACGCCGAGGTTTACAAGCGCAAGCGCTCGGATATGTTGACCAAAGCGAACAGCATGCTCGAGGCCTACTTCTTGGGTCAACTCAAGAACTTGCACAAGAAAGCCGTCAACATGTTCTCGGCCAACTTGCAGCAGGCTCTTCGCACTGAGGGCTCAGAGTTTTCCGTTGTGGTGAACAGCTCCAAGACGGAGGTTCTCGACTACTTTTTGCAGGGCGCCAAGGCTATCAAGCTGGAGGAGACCGAGTGGTCCTACGATGAGGAACTTTACCAGTTGGAGCAGGGTTTGAAGGAGTTTGCTACTGCCCAGCGCGAGAAGGAGCTCAACAAGATGCTGAACAACTTGGAGAAGCACTTGCGCAAGGAGTTGGATGAGCCTGTTGGATTGGCCCTCAACAACCCTGGCCCTGGCATGTGGGGGCGTATCATCACAATCTACCAGAGGACGGTCGAGGATGGCGAGCAGCTCTTGCACAAGAAGGCACGCACTTTTGACCTCAACCAGGACGAGCAAGGTGAGCTCCTTCTCAACTTGCGCCGCCAGGCTTGGGTTCTGATGACCAAGAAGGTTCAGGAGGAGTCGGTCGATGGAATGATGCTGTTGAAGCTTCGCAACCGCTTTGAGGAGAAGTTCCGGTACGACGAACATGGTCTTCCCCGTGTTTGGAAGCCTGATGATGATATCGACACCCCTTTCCGCAAGGCTCGTGATGAGGTATGCAAACCTGAGATGTTGTATGCGCATGATGTGCATTTTCATGTATCCACTTATTGGTACACAACCAACTCACATGTGTTTTATTGGTTATTTCTTTGCATATAGACTGTTGAGCTGGTGCCATTATTCGCCAAAATCAACACATTGGACCCTGCCAAGGGCGAGAAGTTTGAGTTGGAGCCCACAGAGGACTTTGATTTCGACCAGTCGCTCAAGGTTCTTTCAGAGACGCGCCAGCAGGAGATCACAACCAAGTTCAAGCGCGAGTCGGATGCATTTTACTTGGAGGCTAAGCGGTCGGTGGTTGCTACTCAGGCTAAGGTGCCTTACTGGGTGGGAGTTGCCTTGATTGTTTTGGGATGGAACGAGTTCTTGGCAGTGATTACCAACCCACTGTACTTGATGGTGGCGGCGATGGTGGGAGTTCCTATGGTTGCGATGTGGTATCTCGATATGCTGGGCTTGGTCGAGACGATTGGATGGAAGGTGTATGACCAGGGATATAAGCTGGCTATGGACAAACTGAGGGAGACGATGGACAAGCGTGAGGGCGAGAAGCCACAACCCCAGCGTCAACCCCAGCAGTATCCTCCCCGGTATGAGAGCATTAGCAAGGACGAGGGTGACATTGAGCTGAGCTCTTTGGACAAGAAGTCGCAATAGTTAACCAAACACCGTAGATATCCAAATACAAATCATATACATTCTGAACATGGAAGAACACAGGGCAAAGCCACTCGCCCCCTTTTGCGCAATTTGCCACCATTCTCTTAAGTTTGTTTGGTTCAGGGCAAAGAGCATCTTTAACTTCTACTTCCCCATCGGACTTGACACAGACATGGGCGTAGCCTCAGGATCATCAGCACCGGCGCCAGCATCGGCTGCGGCTTCATTGTCGTCGTCTCGCAGACAGGCCCGAGATGCAGGCTCAAGCAGAAGCAACAGGAACAACAGCACAATCAACTATGCCAATGCCGACATAGCCGCGGAAACAGAGGCCAGCTCCTCACAATTACCAACAGAGACACAACCCAAACCCCTCGAGTTTCCTCGGACTTTGGCACATAGCCTCAGACCTGCAATTGCGACCTTTACGCCTCACAACGACTCACTGGCCAAGGGACTCCAGTACGTCACCGAGGCAACGGTCGAGTACGAGGAGTTTCATGGTAGTCAAAACTCCAAGACTGCAGGAGCCAAGGAACCGACGGGCGCTACCAAGAGACCACCGACATCCCGAGCCAAGGCTGTGCAAGCAGCGTATGCTGACCAGATGGCGTTCAGTGCTGATCCCAGAATTCATACGATGGAGGACGCATTGTTGTCGGTTAAGGAGTTTCAGCATCAGATGGAGGCCGAGAAGCAGGCTTTGGAGCGGTTGACAAGTATTATCGCTGCAGGAGCAGCCCTACCGGTGGCGAGCAGTCTCGAGGAGTCGTATGCACATATCCTACAGGGAGAAATCAAACATATCCAGGCTCGACGGAAACAAGAGGCGATTGCGACGGTGGGGATGAATCCGGATTTGCAGGAATTCCGGGCCAAGGTCTGGGAGGTTCACCACAACACGAGCGCGGTTCCTACATCTGGCTTTGGGAACGGAGGTGAAGATGAGGATGATGAAGATATGGAGATTATGGTGACGGGAGATGGAAACAACCTGCAGAGTCTGAAGTGTCCGTTGACGACACAGTTCTTGGAGGATCCTGTGACGAGTGCGGTGTGCAAGCACAGTTTCTCGAGCGCCGCTATTCGTGCCTTAATCAGGTCCCGTCCCCGCTCCGTCTGTCCCGTGCATGGTATGTTTTCCGCCCTTGTTTCTTCTGGAAGTAAGGAAGTAATGGAATGACTGACTAACTTGGCCGGATCACTGACCAACATTGTATGGCACTTGTATTAATTGTAGGATGCAATCGTCCTATTGCGTTGGAGAATCTGCAGCCCAACAAGGCGTTAGCAAGAAAGGTTGCGCGACAGATCATGATCCAGGACGAGATATCCCAGCGTCCCGAGGAAGAGGTGAGTTTTCGTTGTTAACGTCGCTCATTGTTACGAGGACTCGTATGCTTGCCTTTTGTGATTTAGCTTCGTCCCCTGGTTCTAACTAGTGACATTTTCTTTATTTTTCCTCTTTTTGCAGTACGCTACCGTCGACTGAACAAAAGTAACAAATGTATCATGGCTTCAGTTGCATTAATACAGGACAGCGCAAACGAACAACGAAAAGAAAAATGAGGAAATACTGAACAAAAGACCTATGGAGCCATGGCTATGGCAGTAAGGGAGGTGTGTTTGATAGCATCCTTCGGTGGTTGAGCACCTGGATGTGCTTATTCGAGTCCACGTTCACAAGTCGTGGCCAATTTGGATGGCAGCAGAGCACAATTTATTATTAGCCTTTTTCTCATAATTGATTAGGCTCTGGTAGTCAATCTGACCACTACTGGCCTTCAACCTTTTCTCCTGAACGTTTTTTACTTTTCTTTTTTTCTTCAAACATCCTTTCCCCATTTTTTAATCACCAACACACGAACAACAACCATGAACCCCAAGGCCATCATCCTCGTCGGCGGACCCTCGCGCGGCACACGTTTCCGCCCCTTGTCGCTCAACGTACCCAAGCCCCTCTTCCCCGTCGCGGGCAAGCCCATCATCTCCCATCACATTGCTGCCCTCTCCAAGGTCGAGGACCTCAAGGAGATTCTCCTCATCGGTTTCTTTGAGGACTCTGTCTTCTCCTCTTTCCTCCAGGATGCTGCTCGCGAATACCCTAACCTCCACATCCGGTATGTCCTCCTTTTTCTCTTCTTTGCCAGGAGCTGGATGGGCATAGAGGATGCATTTCAGGACAGATCAGCAAAAGGGCGATGGTGGGAAAATAAGACATAGTTTGGCGACACATCAACGTGGACTCATCCACTGGCTGCCGAAGACAGCGTGGACATTTTTTGTTATCGTCAATCGGATATAACGTACACGATGTAGGTGTTTATCACCACTTTCAACAGCCAGGACATCCCCTCGCACGACCTAGAGCGAACCAGCGAGAAAGCGACCTTTTTGACTGTTCAATTGCTTCGTTTGTACCTTCATTACTCACCTCTCTTTCCCCTTCACTTATCTAGCTACCTCCGCGAATATCAATCCCTCGGCACAGCAGGAGGACTTTACCACTTCCGTGACGAGATCTTGCGCGGCAACCCCGACCAGGTCTTTGTCCTCCACGCCGATGTTGCCTGCACTTTCCCCCTTGTCGCAATGAAGAAGGCCCACGAGGGTCACCGTGGACTGTGCACGATCCTTGGAACCCGTGTCCCTCGCGACTCTGCCAACAACTTTGGATGCCTCGTCGCCAAACCCGATACCAACGAGGTTCTTCATTACGTCGAGAAGCCCGAGACTTTCATCTCCAACTTGATCTCTTGCGGTGTCTACCTCTTTGACTGTGCCATCTTTGACGAGATCCGCAAGTCCCTCGAGAACAAGAAGGGAAAGTAAGTTTTTTTTCTTCCAAGAAACATGGGATCTGTTCGTCATTTTGTTTTTTGTCAGATTATCTGTTCGTCACGCTTCCTCTACCCCCCTGTTTTTTTTCTTGCAGCGGTCAATTGAATCATTGAAACTGACGCAGTTGTTTTCCTGTACTACTAGTGTCGAGACTGATATTTACGGCAGGGAGGTCTTCCAGGATGGCAACAAGTTGCGTTTGGAGCAGGATCTTCTCCGTCCTTTGGCTCAGTCCCGCAAGCTCTTTGTCTACGAGACCAAGGATTTCTGGAGACAGATCAAGACCGCCGGGTAAGCATTGGTCTCTGGAAACTATACTCATCTGGAAGGCGGACTTGGTTTGCAAGACATGGCGCTCATATCAATTGTTACTTTTGGGCAATGGAAAAAAATCATAGATCTGCTGTCCCTGTGAACGGATTGTACTTGGAGCAGTTGTTGCAGGCCAGCCCTGAGAAGCTCGCCAAGAACACTCCTGGAGGACCCGAGATTGTTGGCGCTGTTTACATCCATCCCACCGCCCAGATCGATCCCCAGGCCAAGGTACGCATACCTGCCTTTTATTTTACCGTTGTTGAATGTACCCTGAATGCCTGAATGTGGTTTGCTGACAACGCCTTTCTCGACAAATATCATGGTCTATCATAGCTTGGACCTAATGTCTCGATCGGCCCTAACGTGTCCATTGGCAAGGGTGCCCGTGTCCGCGACTCGATTGTGTTGGATAACGTGGATGTGAAGCAGAACGCCTGTATCCTGCACGCGATTATTGGCTGGAACTCCAAGATTGGATGCTGGTCTCGTGTCGAAGGCACGCCCTCGGCAGCTCACAACAGCACAGCAGTGACCAAGTCTGGCCTCAAGATTCAGTCGATCACCATCTTGGGCAAGGAGGTCTCGGTCAAGGACGAGACCATCATCCGGAACTGCATCGTCTTGCCCCACAAGGACCTCAAGTCCTCCTGCGAGAACGAGATCGTTATGTAAAGCGCCTTATTTAGGGAAGTTTCTGAACGACTTTTTAAAAGAACAGCAAAAATAATAAAAATTTAAGATATTCCAACGCGCCTTTTTCATCATGACCAGTGATTTGGCTCCCTGTTTTCTTAATACATTCAGTTATCATGGCTGGACAAAGGAAACAAGTATGGAACAGTGATTTGAAAGGTGGAGGTTAAGGATTAAACCCAACCAACAACGCAAGACTGAAGGAGCCGCCAGGATTTATTCTTTTGCAAAAACAAAAAAAAGTGGTGATATTTCTCATCAAGAGTTGTTGAAAATTGTTGGAGTTGCGAGTGGAGCTGTTGTTTAATCGAAGAGACCGAATCCCATGTCGTCATCAGACTCCTCCTTGGCCTCCTCCTTCTTCTCCTCGGCCTTGGTCTCGGTAGCAGCGGCACCAGCAGCGGGGGCAGCGGCAGCGGCGGCACCACCGGAGGGAACGGAAGCGAGCTTGGAGGTACCCTCAGCAATGAGCTATTGGTGATATGAGGATAGAAAAGAGGAAGATGGTTAGCGTCATGTCTTGCTGAGTTTGAGTTGATTTTTCCTGGTTGACTTGTTGTTTCGTGGTTCGTGTGGTAGGCTAGGTGTTGATTGATGAAAGAACTTGTTTCCTGGTGCAAAAAAAAAAATATGTCCTCCTCAACTGAAAGCTATTGGACATGGGGTCCAGTTCCAGTATCACCGTTCCCATGCCCAATATGTCTGCTGTTCCTGACAGTGTTGCTAGTATGCATCCAGAGAAGAAGTCCTTTGTCCAGTGTTTCCTTTGCTGCCAAAAAGGAAACAGTAAAAAAAGTAGTATGTACCTCGTTGATATCCTTGCCGGAAAGCTGGGCAATCAAGGTCTCGATGCGCTCGGACTCGGCCTCGATACCGACGGTGGCAAGGAGGGCAGTGATGTCCTTGGCAGAGGGGGCGGCGTTACCACCGATGGTGAGCAAAAGGTAGGCAGCGAGGTACTTCATGGTGACTTGAAGATGTTGAAAAGTGTAAAGAGAAAAGAAAGGGTTAGGGAAAAGGACAGGCTTGAAATATGTGTGTGAGGTGGGGAGGTGGGTAGGTGGGTGGGGGGTTCAGGTACCCTGGTTCCTGTAGGGTGCGTTTTTTTTTTTGTTGGGACTCGGGGCTGGTGCAAGTTGAAGGGGCGATCGACTCTCCGTGATGATTGTGATGATGGGTTCGTCATGGACTTTTTTGTTATTTCCTCTTACGCCATTCTCAACACCACCTCCCCTCCATGCGCCGGCGAGACTTAGTTCCTTCCACCATCCGTACGGATTCGTTTCAGACGGCCACGCAACTTTAGCGCAATATCCCGATTCCTGGCGATCTTTGGATGACACGCTTGTCGACTGATGGGTTCCTGATGTATAAATGCATCGATCGATGGATGTTCGATGACGCTGGCGAATGGATGGATGTCACACCTTCTGAAATGAAAGTAGTTTAACTCGAAGTGAGGGCAATCAGTTCAAAGAGGCGGTTCAAAGCTCTACGGCACTCCGAAATTTATACCCTCTCTACATATTTTCAATTGAAGAGGTTATCTTGTCTGACAGCAAGGTTCGCCAAAGACTTTTGTTTGCTACGCGAGGATGAGATTTTCGGCAGTATCTCGGTAGCTCCTTTTAATCGATAACAAGTAAACCATTCGTTGCTTGAGATGAAGTGACATTTCGTCTTTGTATACGAAGAATTAGGGTGCTTTGTTTTATGTAGTAAATTAGTTCTGCGAGGATGGGGTTTACGCATTGTCGGGAGGAGGAGGAGTGGCGCCATCTTTGCCGTATCCCAGTGCCCAGAAGCCAATAACAAGTAGCGCCGTTCCAAGCACATCAATCAATGAGGTCCTATTAAAGAAAGACGGGAAAGCAGAGAGGTGAGTGACGAGGAACTTATGAACAGGTATCAAAAAAAAGTGTACCTCCAGAAAGCAAACATCCATGAACTTAGGCATTTTGTAAAACTTGAAAATGGTGACTTACAGGATGGGAAGGGCATAATTATCGGGATCATAGCCCCACTTCCAGAACAACCGGGTGATCCTTTTGGCAAGGACCAACGAGATAGTGACCAGTGCCAACGCGACAGCCGTGTATCCCGCTACAACACCAAAGCTCCACTGAACATCGCCCAATCCCAAAATACTGATCACCGCCAAGAACAAAACCTCAATCGGGATATGAACCAAAAACAGTGTCTTCTCCGTCGACCGGTAATTCTCCTGAATGTTGGCATGCAGCGCAGTGCTGATACGACTGGCATAGATCGATCCTATGTTGCCCGTGAGTCCGTTGAGGACGGGTGAGATCATGGCCATTCCTGGGAACTGGTTGATATATCGCTCCAGCGTCAATCCTGCGGTACTCGCAATCACCATGGCCGAAAAGACCGGTCCCCATCCTTCCTTGACCACCTCTGAGACATATTTGTTCTTGCGAACAATGTAGAGCCACACTGGAATCAATGCCAGCAGGATCAATAGCAAACTGATACACAATGGCGTTTCTATGGGGTTGGTAAAATGTGAGAGCAAAATAAATTAGTGAGATAATCGAGCCTTACTACATGCATTGGAATGAATCCTTCATTAATATGCAGACACGACTCATGTCACGTACGGACATAATCGCCAAGGAATACTGCGATTCCAGACAGAATGACCAGGGTGACCAAGTCTCCAAACGAAGAAGCCAACGGAACCGCAATATTGTCTATTGAGACATCAACAATGAAAGCATAGAAAGGTCAATAAATCTTGCATCGATTGGCATCGACATGTTCGTCCCTTCCGTTATAGTAAACTGAATAGCTCCTTTTTGTACCAGGGTTGACGCGGTAATGGCGACAGATGAGAACGAGTCCGCACATGAAGCTTCCGAGGACGAAACTACTGGCAGAGGCACAGAGCATGCTGGACGAGATCATGAGAGCAATCTCCTCCAAATTGTTGGTCGTTGGGTGGACAATCATTCCCAACACAAAAGAAAACAATCCTGCAACCGATCCGACGGTCAAACTCTGCAACTGCAGCAATGCCAAGTTTCCTTTGATAAATGCGTTCCTGGATGAGGGCGTATCCAGCAATCCCATATTGCACTATAAACATGTACAATTGAAATAAAAAGTTAGCAACCCATGGAACAAAGTTGAAGTAAGCGGCTCAATTTGAGATGAGTCATATACAGAAAAGCTGTGAAAGAACAACTTACGGCGGTGGAGAGGCGACTGGCAAGGTTCATTTCCAGGTTTCCTTTGAGGTTGAGCAAGATGGGTATCAAAATGATGAGCTCTGAAATCTCGAGGAAAACTGGCCAGTGCTACAAAATTGGCATCACATGGGGGTGCGTTGGTTGGAAACAAAAGAGAGAGAGGAGCGTTCGGGGGGAGAAGAGGAAATGAAGTCCGTGTGTCATATGGTGAGAACAATTACTCTAACAAGAAAGGGTCGGACGACCGGTACCAGAAAATACCGAAAAACTGACAAAAAAAAGCGCAGTTGTGACTGAACATCTTCCGAAATAGTTGTAGTTTGTTCGTACCTGAACAGCATCCAGAAGCCAGCCCGCACAGATCAATCCACTGACGGCAATGACCAAGGTTGTTAATGCCTATTCGTACCAACAACGAAACGACAACGCAATTACCCAGGGCAAAGAAAGTTGAAACGAAAAAAAGGTTAATCCAAGTCCCATGCCTGACGGTCTTGGACACAAAAAAGAAACGTTCGCAAAGCAACACCCGTGGAGGGTCGTTTGTTCGTTCGTTCGTTCGTACCTGCATCCACAATCCCTTGTCTGCGTCACCTTCAATGGCTCCACGAAGGCCTCCAACGTCTCCAACTCCTTGTTCCACAGGCAGACCCTGGCCAAACTCCCTGTCGTGGCCCGGTTCCGAATACTCAAAGCTCTCGCGTGTATACTTGGGTGGATATGCGTCGTCTGTGTTTGAGTCAATCGACACAATAGTGCTGCTGCTGTCTGCCGAGCCCTGTCGCTGTTGTTGTTGATTTGGGTAGTTGCTGCCTGACTCGTTAACGGCACCGTCCTTGCGAAGATCGCACTCCTGCTGGTCCTCATTCTCAGAGTCAGAGTTACTGGCGAGAACGTGGTTGTTGGAGTTGGAGTCAATGGTGGCGGAGGTCATATTAACAATGGATCGACTACTGCGTCGGCTATGTTGTCTTGAATCTGGGTCGAGGTCGTCATCTTCTTCGCCTGGGAAGGATTCTGTTGAGTGTCTGGTTTCCCGGAGAGGAGTGTAGGAAGCCTGAGCAAAGGACGGGGTTGTGGATGAAAGGAGTTTTGACATGGTGGAACCTGGAGATATATATTGTTGCTTTTGCTTGTGTTGTGTTGTTTGTTTTGTTGGAATGGACCGGGTATACTGGAAGGATAGAAGAAGGGGAGAGTAGAGTGGATAGTGAGCTGGGAGACTACAGTGAGTGCCAGAGTGTCAGAAGAGAGAGAGTGGAGAGGGTGTGTGCCAGGCTCGGGTCAAAAGGCAAGAAGGAGGAGAGAATAGAGCACACCGATGGAAGAAAGTGGGCGAGAGGGGGACGGAAGGGAGACGCAGAGAGAGGTGAGAGACGGGGAAGGAAGGAGGCAAGGAAAGGAGAGGGAGAGAGAGGGACAGGAAAGTGCGAGGAAGCAGGAGAGGAAGAAGAGAAAAGGTTTCCTCGTGTCTACGTTATTAGAAGGATGAGAGCGAGAGGAGAAGAGAATGAGAGGATGATGGCGAACAAGGGAAGGGATGAAGGAAAGGGTGATGGAGAGAACAGAAAGAGTAGAGAGCTCAGAAGAAAAAAAAGAAAAAAAAAAAAAAAAGACAAAGCCCGTGTGGCCAATTGACTGTCTCTGGAGCTAATAATACGTGTGAGGTGGGAGTGACAGGCAGGACAGGCATGATGATGATATATTATGTATGCCGGGGGTTTGTTTGCGGGGGACAAAACACAACTGAGGCCGTTTTCTTCCTCTATTTGCCCTACGGGCTACGACTGGTCCAAGGGAGCATTCTCTCTTCCGTGAACTCAAACGAGTACAGACGAGAAAATCCTAATTTCATTTCTCTGCAGGACGATCGCATGGCCTCTTCCGTCGGTCTAGAAGCAATGGTACCACCCACCCACACAAATAACGCACACAACTCTTGTTGTCCTGTCCTTAACTAGAGAGTCCACTCTTGGGCTACATCCAATGGATACCCTAACACAAACACCCTTGTCGATGCCTCATTGCATTGATCTGCCTGATCAATTACCAGCCTGGCACCTTTCTTTTATCTCTCTTTCTCTCTCTCTCTCTCTCTCTCTCTCTCTGCCAGAGATGAACCAGATCAATCCAACTATTGTCGGGATCACATGAGTCCAGAAATATCACCTCAATCATTCCCTCTCATCAATCAATCGAGCCATGATCAGTCCAGCCAATCAGCCGCCACCGTTGCCCTGATCTGCCCACTTTTTCTAAACCAGTGTCGCTGGCTGTCCTTCAACTCTCAACAACAAAAATAAAGAAAGGCGATTACATTTCGACTTCCATCATCCCCTTCTCTTTCATCTCTTCTTTCCTCTTTTCTCCTTTTCCCCTCTTTTCTTTCCTCACACCTCCCCCCTCTCACCAAATACCCACAACCGCCCAACCAGCAACAAGAATGACAGCTATCTTCGAAGCAACCTGCACCGCTCCCGTCAACATCGCCGTGGTCAAGTACTGGGGCAAGCGCGACACCTCGCTCATCCTTCCCACAAACTCCTCCCTCTCCGTCACCCTCTCCCAGGACCAGCTCCACTCCAAGACCTCCATCCGTGCCTCCGCCGACTTCACCACCGACCGCCTCTGGTTGAACGGTATCGAGGAATCTATCGAGAAGAACAAGCGTCTCGTCGCCTGTCTCCGTGAGACCCGTGCCCTCCGCGCCACCCTCGAGGCCGAGAACACCACCCTCCCCAAGCTTGCGGGACTCAAGATCCATATCTGCTCCGAGAACAACTTCCCTACCGCTGCTGGATTGGCCTCTTCGGCTTCTGGATACGCCTGCTTGGTCTACACGCTCTCCAAGTTGTTCGAGCTGCCTTTGGACGCCTCGGATCTTTCGGTCGTCGCTCGTCAGGGCTCCGGATCCGCCTGCAGGAGTCTCTTTGGAGGATTTGTCGCCTGGGAGATGGGCGAGAAGGCCGATGGTTCCGACAGCAGAGCCGTCCAGATCGCGCCCGAGACCCACTGGCCCGACCTCCAGGCTATGATCTGTGTCGTCTCGGACGAGAAGAAGGGCACTTCCTCTACTGAGGGCATGCAATTGACCGTCAAGACCTCTGCTCTCCTCCAACACCGTATCAAGGACGTCGTCCCCAAGCGCATGGACGACATGATCGCCGCCATCCACGCCAAGGACTTCCCCAAGTTTGCAGAGTTGACCATGCAGGATTCCAACCAGTTCCACGCCGTTTGCCTCGACACCTACCCTCCTATCTTCTACATGAACGACATCTCCCGCGCCATCATCCGCATTATCACAGAGTACAACAAGGATGGCGTCAAGGCCGCTTATACCTTTGACGCCGGCCCAAATGCTGTCATCTACGCACCCAAGGAGAACATGGCCGAGATCTACTCTATCCTCTCCCACTACTTCCCCGGTGCTGCCTTTGACGACTCCCTCAGCCTTGTCAAGGAGAACTCTGAGAAGGTTGCCGCTGGTTTGCCCCAGAACTTTGACGCACGGATCTCGCCTGTCTTCGCTCAGGGCTCCGTCAAGCAGATCTTGCACACCAAGGCCGATGACGGCCCTCGTACCCTCGACTCTGCCCAGCATGGTCTCTTGAACGCCGCCGGTCTCCCCAAGCGTCTCGCTTAAGGCCACACACTTATCCTTTCTCTTATCTGTATTTTCAATTCTCATCCCAAAAATAATATTAAGCATTTCTTTCACAAAAAAAAAAAAAAAAGATCATCCCACTCTAGACTCTGTGAGAGCCAATTGAACAATTACTTTGGGTGCCATTAGCAGTTCCTGAAGAACAAAACGTGGGAAATTTCATTCTGTCCTTTGGTTCACGACACACCTCTTTGAAAATGTGTGCATGAGTGTGTGCAGTGCGCCATGCTGGAATGATTTTTTCTCTCTCTCTTTCTTCCCGTTCATAAAAAATGCGGATCTTTGAGAAGGAATGTCGCACAGAAAATGAACAATCATTGCCAGGATGCAAAGAACACATCCGTTCCATATTAGTTCTTTTTTTTTGTTGTTGTTTTATTGTGATTTTTTTTTTCTTGAGACGTTTTGCAGAACTAGGCTTGAGGCTGCTGAGGAGGTTGTTGTCCTCCCTGTTGCTGTTGTTGCTGTGGCTGTGGTTGCTGAACATGCTGAGGTGGTTGCTGAGCCTGTTGAGGATGCTGACTATTTAGCTGGGCCTGTTGCTGAGCCTGTTGTTGGGCCTGCTGCTGGGCCTGCTGAGCAGCAGCCTGCTGATGCTGCTGAGCCACCTGCGTAACCAAATGGGCCGGTGGAGCCGCATACGTCAAGCTAATCTGATTGCTCAAAGACCCTCTCAACCACTCCTTATAACACCCAATAGGCGAAGGAACAGGCATGTTCAAGAACGCCGTCTTGGCCGCCGTCGTCGCCGTGAAATCTATCGCTCCCCCTACTGCCTCACTTCCAGAGAGTCCTGTAGCTGGTGGCGCGCCGCCAATAGTAATCGACGCAACAGCCGCCTGTCGAGCCTGAACCCACTGATCATAAGCCCTAAAAAATTCGGAATGGACCGCCATCAAGACATGTTGAACCATCGGGAACAGATTCACAGTCCAGACCGAAGCCCCACGTTGCTCCTTGACCACAATCACATTGTCGTGTTGGTCTGGAGGCCACATCTGAGTCAGATCGTCCAAGATGAGGGGGAGCGAGAACCCTGTGCCGATATCAGGTAACCCATCCGTGGGGGGTTTGTTCGCAGCACAGAAGGCGTACAAGGAAAGCAAGTCCTTGGGTGGTGTGGGGGGCTGTGTGGCTGCGATAGCAGCTGCAGTGATTGTTGCTGTTGAAAGACCAGCGGCCGAGACTGGCGAAGGTGGCGTCGTCGTCGTTGCCGCTGTCGTTGTCGCTGCTGGTGGTGGTGTCGATGTTGATGTTGATGTTGAAGTTGATGCGGCAGCTGCCGTTGTTGATGATGATGCCGTAGAAGTGGAAGATGTAGTGGCGTCGACCTGTCCGTTAGGTTGAGCACCACCTGGTGCGGGTGCTGTCAGTGCAGGGGATGCTGCCGTTGTAGGTGGCACAACGACAACAGGGTTCAAGAAATCATACTCCTGACGTGCCGAGTATTTGAGTCCTCGTATCCGTGTCTTCAGCGGGTCCAGCACATCCGCCACCTGTTCCACATAGCTCTGCTCACTAATTGTATCGAAAAAAACCAGCCTTTTAGTTAGTTTGCGATCATATGAAGAATGGCATCAAATGCATATTTTCTCCTTCGCAGAATACAAACAAGAATGGTGATTAAGACTTACCCAAGTGAACAGACAGAGATCTCATAGAATCTGCAAGCCCATTCCAAAAACTCCTCCACATGGTCCGTCAAAACCACTTGTCGTCTATCTTTCAACGTGCGGATCCTTGTAGGAACTATACAATAGTAGGACGAGCGCAAATACACAAAGTTAGTTAGAGCAGTCTTTTCCTGATACGTACCTATACTCCCTTGAGGCGGGATAAGAAATATCAAAGCAGGTTCTTACCAGTCATGGCATCGGCTTCAGAGACATATCGGGTGCGTTCATTGCCAATGAGCCGAACGAGAGTGTCGTCCAGATCCAGGACGAGTGGTAGTTTCCTATTGTGAAGCAAGTTCATCTTTTGGCCGTTGATCACATTTGCCAGGTAATCGTGCTTGCAAATATATCCAAAGATGTTACTATCAAATAAACGAACAAGGACGACGTGTTAGAAACCCATCGTTCAGCGCGCATGAGTGCAAAATGCATACCCGCGCGAGTACAGCAACCGAGGAGGAAAGAAAGACTTACGATCGGTCGCGCGTTGGCTTCAGGTGCAGTTCCCAACGCTCCGACGAGTTCTCGGCCTTGATATCAACGTACGTGCTCTATGTATGTCAACAAAGAAAAGGAAAGGTTAATATATATATATATATATATATATATATTTCACACGACTTCAATGAAACACAAACAAAACGACAAACCATCCAACAAAAGTCGGGGTTGTATACCTTTCTCAACCCAGAGAGTTCACTCCACCACTTGCTGCCAACAGGGAAATCAAACACAATGCAGTGCTTGATACCATGCTGGGCCATGATCATATAGAACGATCTTGGCAAACTAGCTCGGACGACATAGTTCTTTTCCAAGTAGAACACAGGAAGAGGTTCTCGGATAGTAAACATCTCCCTCGTGGCCAATGTTAAGGGACTAGCTCCGGGTGAAATGAGATCCAAAGACATTGTAGGTTTCCAGCTGGCAGCAGCGTCGGGTGGGTTGGTGGCTCTGTGCGCAAACGAGTACCGGATCGGTGCTGCCTGCTGTTGCTGTTGCTGCTGTTGTTGTTGTTGGTTCAGATGCTGGGCAAGGTTGTCACCGGCTGTATGAATACTGTTAAGATTGGTATTCGTGACGCCACTACTGCTGTTATTATTGTTGATGGCATTGGTAGTAGAGGCAGCACCGTTGCTACTGCCGTTGAAAGAAACATATTGTTGTGATGATCGCGCATGAGTGGATCCATTGGCCTGTTTGTGGGGTAAGACGGGGCTGGCTGGAGGCGGTCGATCTGCTGAAGAAGCCGCTGAAGAGGCATTATTGATTCCTGCGATCGGGAACGCTCCGACCGGGGTTTCCAGAGCCATGACGGGTCGAATTCTTGCCGATGCCGACACCTTGGCTATTGTCAGGATGTGATATGCACAAGCAAAGATGGATGATTAGTGGTCTGACACCATGGCTATACCTTTGCCGACACGCTTGTTTTTGCTATTTTCACAAACTCCTCAAATAGACCAGGAACAAGTGCACAATTAACTATATCCCATGATTCGCTTACCTTGTTTGTTGGGCGGTCTGGTTGTAGTATTTGTGGAAGGGGTAGGGGCGGCATGACCGAGTGGGTTGTCGACAGTAGAGGGCTGTGTCGTTGTCGTCGTTGAGTCGTCGTCAGTGATAGGACGTGCCATTTTCCCCTTATTGTGCTGCTCCATAGCCATCTTCATGCCGACCAGAAGACTGACTGTCGTCTATTTGAGTATTCCCAATGAAAGCAATCGATGGAAAAAGAAATCAGGACACTGTTAGTTCGGCTCTCTTGTTTTAACAAGAAAAAAGGGGAGGGGAGGTATGATGATGAAGGGTTGAGGGACGCAAAACAGGGATCTAGACAATTGAACCACCACCGTGACCCCAAACCAACCAGGACCCCCTCCTTTAGCCTGGAAACACGCCCAGAGTGAAATAGCCCTTCCATGTGCTGCAGCACAACACTTACTCCTATCCATCATCATTCTCAACTGACACGACGAACACCCCGCTCCAACAAACGCAAACACTTGCGACTCTTCTTAAGATGATCCACAAAGAACAAAGTACGGATGGGGTGGTATAAAAAAAAGAGAAAGAGGTCACACACACTCCCACTTTCAAACACCCACCGACACACACAGCACGCACACACGCTGCACACGGAAATCCCCCCTCCTCCCTCTATTTTTCCTCGCTTCTTTCGTTCGTCCATAACTTTCAAACTTACCCTTCCTCTCACTCCCTTCCGCTCGTCGCCATATTCCAACAACGTTATCCATCAAAAAAACATAGCGAACTCCTCTTTGAATGCAAAACGCACGCACGCATTCATTCACAACTCGCTCTCCTCTTTCCCATCAGCCTTCGCTTTCCCTCCTGCTCCTCCTCGTCGCTCGTCCTTCCGACACAAAGACACTTGTAGATAGGCTCTTATTCATCATATCATATCATATAAAACGTAAAAGGCTCTTCCGCATACAACAACAAGCTCGTTTGTTGGCTTTACCTTATCGCGATGATTGTTCTCGATATCCATATCTCTGCTTGATGTGATGATCCTCTGAAATTGGCGCGGGGCGGTATGTGATCCGAGGTATGTGTGCGTGTGCGGAGGATTAAGGTGATAAAAAAAATGGAGTGGGGATGATGATGGCGAGTGCAAGTAGGGTAGTAGGCCTTGAGCAGTGTACTCAAAGTACGAGTGAGAGGGATAGAAGAAAAGAAAAGATATAAAGAAGAGCGTAGGCGGGCAAGGGATAGGAAGGGCGTAGTAGGATGTATGTGCCCTTTTTTTGCTCTGTTGTGCGTGCGTGTGGTGGAAGGGGGTGAGGGTATGGTAAAGGAGAGAAGGTTTTTGTTTTGTGCAGCAAATGCGACTCTGGAAGATCTCTCGGTTGAAGAAAAAAGAGTCAAAAGGGCCCAACAAGTAAGAAGTCAAAAAAAAAGTTGAAGAGAAAAAGAAAGAAAGAGATGCTGGGTGTGGAAAGGCCAGATCGAGTTCTTTTGTGAGAGAAGGTTCGGTCGGTGGAGATGGCTGGGCCAACTTCTAAGCCACAGCACATCGCCAATCGAGACTGCTCTGGTCTACTGTTAAGGGCATTCAACAGTCAAGACGGCTTACAAGGAAAGGCGAAACGCTATCTTGGCTCTGAACATCAGTCCCCACGCGCAAGTCCGTAGACCGCGCGGAAAAGAAGAAAAAAAAAAAATATGAAAACACGAGGGTGAGCAAACTAGTAGGTGTGGTCGAAAAGAAAGTCCATAATGCTCTTCTATCTCAAGATATCCCCCCTCCTCCTCAAATCATCTACTACTCCTCCCGCTCTCCTTCTCCTTGCACTCTTTCCCACAAAATGAAAGAAAGAAAAGACTTTAGGAGTGTTCTCGCAAATCCAGGTGGCAATTTGACACGAAAGCAAGGGTCAAGTTATTTACAGCTCAAACACGCATACACATACACATCCACATCCACATCCACATCCACATACACATACACATACACTCACGAGGATCATCGTTCCACGAAACTGCCCATTCATTCATTGTTTTGTTCAGGATAGTTGTTTGGTGGTTTTTGTTATTGGCTTTTTATAATTGTCACATTGAACTCGAAAGATAAAAGAAAATGCAGGAGATACTAGGTAATATGGTATGCGAGGTGAAAAAGAGAAGGAAATAAAAAGAACGTGGGAAGGGGTTGTACAAGAGCAAAATAGAAAAACGAAAAATGCAGGCGATGGGACAAGAGAAAAAAAAAAGATATGAAAAAAAACCAACTTTTGGCGCCACAAGGGCAAAAGAGATCGACAACAGGCAGCGAGAAAGCAAAAAAAAGTAATGAAAGAACGAAAGACACAAAGAGACACAAGGGCAACAGAGAAAGGGAGAGACTGATAGACACTCCAAGGTGCGCGCATTTTTTTTCTTTCGCTCCCTTCTCTGTCTTATTTTTCTTGCTGCATGTGCCTGACCAAGTGCTATGACATGGCTGATATGACCATGCATAAAGGAATTCTTGCAAAAAACAACAACAGTGGTTTAGAATGAACGAATGAATGAAATGAATGAAGGAGAGATAAACACAATAACAAAGAGATGAAAGAAAAGAACGTGTCGCATGTCGTGATCCATGGGTCGTTGCAAACGGGAAGGACACAGACAGAGGCAGACAGACATTATGCAAAACAAAGAGAGAAAGAAAGAAAAAAATGAACAAACAGCTGCTGCTGCACAAAAGAGTAATAATAAAACTAATAACAGTCTAACAGTGCCACGAGTACAGGCAATGCAGAGAGTAGGGGGTGAAGTAAAATGGAAGGAAGGAAGGGAGGATAAGTGTCGACAACCAAAAGTGGACAGCAAATAGGAAAAAGAAAAAGAAAAGATAACGGGCGTGGCGAGGCAAGCAAATGCAAGGCGAGGCAGAGGACCGAGACGAGAGCGACTGTGTCGAAAAGAGACAGACAGGGCGGACGATGGTGGGAGTATCGACAATCGAAAAGAAAAGCGCTTTTTTGTTTGTTGGCTGGTCGAAATCCCATACGATCGAGGAATTGGTTGTGGCACGAATCAAAGGGCCGAGGCTGAGTGTTGCCACGGGAACGCGTTGCTTTGTCGATGATGATGATGATGATGATGACATTGTTGTTGTTGGGACATGATGCCACCCTCATCTCCGTGGGCCTGCTCGTGTCTCTCCCTGTCTGTCTTGGTTGCCTGGCCAAGGATTTGTCGGTGGTACTTTTCTGGAGTCGTGGTTATTTGTTTTTGTTGTTGTTTGTTTGTTTGTTTGTGTTATGTCCGAAATGGATGCTTCCTTCCTTCCAACTGCTGTTGCCCTGTTATCCTATTATTTTATTTGCTGTTGGGGAGGACGAGGTTGTGGTTTGCAGCTGTTGTTGATTTCTGTTTTGCGATTGGTTGTTATTGCTCGCTTGAAGGAGAGAGAGAGAAAGAGAGAGGCTGGTACATTGGTATGAGGGTGTTGTCGAGTATGCAAAAATTGAATATGGTGGTTTTTTTTGTTTTGTTTGTTGATGTTGTTGTCAGTGCTGTAGTTGTAGTTCGGTGTGGTGTAGTGCTGGTATGTTGTGGTAAGGTAAGGATGGCGAAATAGAAAGAAAAAAAAAAGATATGAAAAGTGGTGGCGCCGTGTCAAGCGAGCAAGAGAGAGAGGGAGAGAGGAGGAAGTTCGGACCAGATCAGGGTTCCTATTTTTCTCATTCTCATTCCCATTCTCATTCTCATTCGCTCAGCTTCCGCTCAATCTCCCTGATCCTTGACTTTGCGCGCATCATGTAGTCGTTCAGGCGTTTTTTTGTCTCCTCTGCCTCGGCCTTGTCCCGAAGGACCTGCGACAGTTTCAGACCGAGCGCGACGTGTTCTTGTTCGAGGCGTTCGAGATTTTGGCCATGTGCCTGAATGCCGTTAAGGAGGTCCTGGTGCATATGGTTGTTGAGGGGGGAGAGAGGTGACGGTGGCGAAGAAGCATTTGAAGTTGAAGAAGAAGAGGAAGTTGAGTTGGTGATAGAGGGGGCCGAGGAGGAGGTTGGCGTAAGGCCCTTGGCATGGAGGAAAGCCTGCTTGGCTGCGGCGACCTGGGCGTGGGTGGTGAGGACGAGCTGTTGATAGGATGGGATGGAGGCGTGAGCGGCGTTGTAGGCGGTCTGAGACTCTGCGGAGCATTTCCGGATCTGGTCAAGCTCGTTCTGGAGCTGGGCACGGGCGTCGGGCGAGAGAGGACCGGCGGGGATGGGCGAAAAGTTACAGTCAAAGATGGGGAGGGGGGAACCCGGCGAGGGCAGGCAGCTTGTGAATGTCGTTGCTGTCATTGTCACTATGGCTGTTTTTGTGTATTGGTATGTGACGGGAAGGCGAAGGAGGATGATAGGATACGACGCGAAGCCAAGGGAGCGGATGAGACGGAAAGGGACGAGAGAAAAGGTTAAGAAGAGAAGAAAGGGCGAGGAATTGAGTTAGGAAAACAAGTACACAAAAATTGTCGTTTATCGCTGGAGTGAATGGGAAAGAGAGAGAGAATCGAGAAAGAAAGGAGGAAGGATGGTGTGCTGAGGGGCGAAGAGAGAAGAAGGATGTGTGCGTGTGTGTTGATGTAGGGGGAGGAGAGAATATCAAAAAGCGGAGAGGACAACGAATGACGATGGGTGAGAAGGAGAAGGAAGGAGAGAAAGAAGAAAGAGAAGGAAGGAGAGAAGGAAGGAGAGAAGGAAGGAGAGAAGGAAGGAGAGAAAGAAGAAAGAGGAGGAAAGAGACAAGGAGAAGATGAAAGAAATGGACTTTTTGTTGGAGGGATGCAGGGACAAGTTGAGAAGAAGGGAGGAGGCGAAGAGGCGGATGGCGGAGGAGGAAGAAAGGAATAATGGGACGGGGAACAATCAATAACGGAGCGAGGAAGGGGGTGGAAGAGGAAGAGGAGAGATCGAATGGAGCGAGAGAATCGATGGAGGTTGACAAACGAACGGTACGTTGGATTTGATTGAGGGTGCTGGCGAAGAAGTGAGGAGGAAAAAGAAAGAAGGAACGAAGGAAGGAAAAAAGAACAAGTAACGATGATAACGAGACGGGGATGTGGAAAAGTGGAAAAGATCACATACGCCCCTTCTTGTGTTCATTCCATTCGACACGATTACCGAACACGAAAGCCGAAAAAAAAAAAAAAAAAAAAAAAAAATGTAAACAAAAAAAAAACTCTGCTCGCAAAGGGCGCCATTTTTAACGTGTGTCCAATCCATGGCTTTGCATATGTAAGAAAGAGAAAGGCTCCGGGAAAGAGATATTACAGGTTCCTGCTGAAATCAGGGTCCGGGGTCAAATCAAGAACAAGAACAGACACAAAAAGGAAAAGAAGGGAGGAGAGAGGAGACAGGGGGTGTTCGTGTGGATCAAAAAGGAGACGTAAGTTGTTGCTGGTGATGATGGTGGCACTCATTCACATATATACACTCGAACACGCACACACTCGTACACATTCTCACACACAGAGAAAGGAACAACGGACAACAAACACACAATAAGGGAGTGAGTGTGTGTAGCAAAGTGGCAAAGTGTCAAAGACGGAGGCTGGAATTTTTTTTCTCTTCCTCTTCTGTTCCTTTGTGTTCGTTCGTTCGTTGTCGTTTCTTTCTTTCGTTGTTCACCAATTATTATTATTTTTTGTGCTTTGCCCTCGATTGGATCGAATCTCTTGTATCTGGGTGTGAATTCAAAAAAAGATTATCTTCTTCTTTTCTTCTTTCTGGAAAGGGAAAGAAAAGTTGTTGTGAGTGGACCTTTGAGGAGATGGCAGACTTACCGGACGGGCTGGCAGGCATTGTTTTGGGTTTGTTTGTTGGCGTCAATCTGAGAGGGAGCAAGGAGTGGTATGTGTGGCGGATGGGAGACGACAGGGGGTCCAGAAGAACGAGGTCGGAAGAGGGGTGGCGGTTTGTATGTAGAGGGAAGGGTCACTGCTGGTAGGAAAAGAGTGTAAAAGAACGTGTGTTGATTGGTGTTTTGTTGGTGGTTGGTTCAAGTTGAAAGATGCCTTTTTCTTGGTCGTGAAAAAGAGAGATTGATAGGCTGGTTGTTTGGGACGCGTATGGTTGGGATGGTTGAATGAGACGAAACAGGTCGCAAAGGTGAATAAGCAAGAAATAAAAGAGATCTAATACTAGCTGAAGGGGGTGCCCAGTGAGCAAGAGAGTGAAGAGAGAGGAGGATGTGACAAGTGAGTGATAGAGATCGATCAAGACAGATTAATAGTCGATTTGACTGATGAGTGATGGGTGATGGAGGGTATTAAGTGATTCGAGATGAGTGATTTGGATGAAGTGAAGAGATAGAATCGACTGATAAAAATAAATGAAGGTGGAAGAAAATGTGAGTGGGAACAAATGAAGAATAAAAAGAGAAGAAAAAAGGGCGAGAACACTCTCTCTTTATATGTTGTTATGAACCATTCCTTGTCTCCAATTGGAACCAATAAGCACTTCACAAGAATGAGACTAAGCAAATGACTTTCCTACATGTCGGTACGACAAACATTATCATCACTTTCTTCACTCCAAACAATCAACTACAGCGCCATTGGAAAGAAAAGTCAGGCAGGGCGGCCGTTATTATTTTCGCCAAGGCACACAACAAATGATTGTGTTAATTGTTCCCTTGTGCTCCATTCTTCAACCCATTCGCCGGTTGCACAAACAAACAACAGCAATAAAAAGACATAGCCGATAACAACAACACAGAGTATTACGGGTTCAAGTATCTGACACGGAGAGACAAGATTGGAGACATGGAGGTGCGCTAGTTGCAATATACCGTAATATGCTTCATAAAGAGCACTCAAAGACAGACAACTAAGGGAGGGAGGGAGTGTGATAGTCAATTTGTGGGAGATTACTGCTTCCACATCACAAAGTGCTGTCCATATTGTTTTGTCGTCGTACCTCACTATTGTTGTTTTGTTGTTGTTATTTTTGTTTGTTTGTTTGCCAAAACGTTGGAGTGGAATGGACGATGCAAGCAAGAAAAAAAAAGGAGCTCAAGAAATGTGGGGGATGTGTGCGAGATATAATAAAAAGAGAGTTTACGAGAAAAAATACCAAACAAACACAACCATGCGACAGATGGTTCCATGCATGCAAAAAAACCACAATCACAGGGGAAGAGAGAGAGAAAAATAGAAGAAAACAAAAACAAAGAGGAGCATAGAGCATGGAGCATGGTCCATCCTCTCAAAATCCAAATCCCGCTCAACACATGCATAGTCTGCGCCAAAAAAAAAATTGCTCCACTTTTTTTGGTTGTACATTTTCCTTTTCTTTCTCCTTCTACCCCAGTCTCATTTTACTAACATGCTCTTTTAGATAAAACGAGGTGCCAATGAATGACTTTTACCTTGTGGTTTGGCTTGAGTTGTGTGTGATAATATAATATGTACGTTAAAGATGAAGAGGAGACAGAAACAAGGTGAAAAAAAAAGATACCGCTTTATGCTGTTGATCAGGGCGCCTACCAATTTATATATCGACCCTTGTTCTTTTTTTTTTGATTTCGAGAGCCAAGTGGAAAACGATAAAGAAAAACAAATGCGCCTTTGGTTAGTGGAATTGGGGTCAAATGACCGGGTCCTCTTTGTCCACTCTTTCGGAACATTGGTTCCTTTCTTCTTACATGCTTCTTCTTTGTCTTAGTCCGAAATGAACAATTTCACAGCCCCTCCGATGAGAACCCCAGTTCGACAAAAAGAAAGTTGAATAGGGGGAGTGCGATAGAGAAGGAAATAAGAAGTGGGGATGGGATAGGTCTAAGTTTGTTCGCTTGTGTTCTGCCACATGAACCAAGAAATATAAAAAAGAGACTAGAAGTAAACCTTCGCCTCCTTTTCCCGCCTTACACCTACCCTACCCCTACCCCTACCCCTACCCCAGACTGAGCTAGACCTCGGGCCAAAAGAAACAGACAGAGAGAAAGAAGAGTAAATTGGGCGTAAATTGCAATTCGGAGCAGGTAGAAATGAAAAAACGTGGTGAAAGAACAACAACACAGAAAATAGTGGCAAAACCAAGCGCCGATTGAAAGAGGAGTCGATGGACTTTGAACCGCGACCAACCCAAACAACCAACCCACTCGATTAGGAAGCCGAACAATTCAACCGCCCAGGAACTAGAACCCTCTCTCCGCCCCTCTCCCCAAGCCCGATTCGCAATCACTCATGCACCACCTCCTTTCCAAAAAAAAAAATCTGCATCATATCCGCCTGTTTGCATAACGCTTGGGTCCCTCTTGTAAGTCTTATTCGCCTTTCTCTCTCTATCCCTCCCTGGACGTTGTGTATGGATTGGGGTGAAACCCTCAAAATAAGAAGCATTAATGCAAGTGTTGCATTGACCAGGGACGGGTTTGGCGAATGAACAGTTGGGACCCAGACCAAAATGCACACGTAAAAAAACATCCAGAGTGGAACATACATACTACACATACACGAAGAAAAAAAAAACAGTTTCGCACGCAAAATAACACTGGAGATGGCCTGAGTTAGAGTAGCAATCCTTGTTTTGATTTGCTCACAGCCTTATTCGCCTCTACGTGCCCGCACTTATTTTTCTTTTTATTTTTTGCTCAACTCCCAGAGTTGCACCACTCGCCCAACAACACCCTCATTAATAGTTCTTTCTCTCTTCCCTGTCCTCATGTCGATGCTAACGCGAATTGCATTTCTTTCTCTCGGCGACCATATGGGTACACGACAACAACATAGGTGTAAGGATAAAACGCCTGTAATAGTTGGTGATGCATGAGGCGTAGTTTTTGCGTCGACTCTTGCTCTTCCTCGCGCAGCTTTCTTTCCATCATTTTCTTTCATCTCAATTATTGAAATATACATGAGGGCCATACGGCTGAGGCTGAGAGTGGCCTGCCGTGACGCGCTGGGTCGTGAGCGCGTACTATCGGGGTATCTCTGAATGGATAAATGAGGAAAAAGAGGGATCGGGAACTTGCATAGAATGAATGTTGACAATTACCTAGTTCACGGATTGCGTAACAGTGGAGGCTAATGCTGATCTGAGTGTGTGGTCGTGTGATAAACGCGCGTTTCTTTGTTGTTTTGAAAAATAAAAAATAAAGATTTCTGTGGAGAGAAAGAAGTGAAACGATATATGCAGGAGCTGTTTGAAGGTTTGAAAGCTTAAGAATGGTGTTGTGGGAAAAGAAAAAGATGGTGGTGCAGGAGGAGAAAGGGGTGAGAGAGAGAGGGAGAGAGAGAGAGTTAGAAGAGAGAGAGAGAGAGAGAGAGAGAGAGAGAGAGAGAGAGAGAGAGAGAGAGAGAGAAAACTGCAGGGATAACGGTTTGCAGAGAAAGCAAAAAAAAGGTTGAAATCGATTATCAAAGAAAGAAAGAAAAGGCGAACTGTGAAGGAGAAATTAAATCGGACGAGTGGACAAAACAGGGGGGTTTGCAGGTGCAGGTGCAGGCAAGTAAGGATGATCAAAAAGAAAAAGAAGGGTAAAACAGTAAACAATAGGATGCTGTGATAGAGAGACAGAAGAAACGAGAAAAAAAAAAAGCTGTATGAAGAACCAGTTTTCCCGTCTTTTTTATTCCTCTTGCAGTGATGGATGAACGAAGGTGGGGAGCACAAACGCACACGCCCCTTCCTCAATTCTCCTCTTCCACTCTATCTCGTTCTCCTATCGCATGTGCACCCAGGCCATTGGTCATCCGCTCCTTTCCTGAATGTAAATTATGAACAAGATGGGCTGTGGTAAGACGAAAGTCGATGCGCAACAATGCACGCGTCTCTATTCCTTCTGTCCAAACCTACACTGAAATGGACCAATCAGCTTCTATGGCTCTTGGTTTCTCACTCAGATTCAGCCTAGCGTTCTCAAAGCCATCAGGATGCCCTATGTACAGTTATGTTCAAATGATGGATGGTTGTTTCGTTCTCAGCTTGTAAGCTTCTTGTTCGCAAACACAAATAAAAAGAAGGCTGCGAGCTTGCATTTTGTTTGAACGGTTTGTGGAGCCTTCCCGTGGCCTTCTTACTGGCAAGTTTTCTGAGGCTTGGTGACCCTTCACCTAGTTATTTTTCCTCCTCCGTTTTTCTTTCTTGGATGGTCGGTCGTTGTCTTCCGAGTCAAATGGCCTTTGCCCTCCTTACTACCTCCCTTACTTGGTCCATTCAACTGACAACGACCAACACGCTACCAAAGATGAGAGAACTCATAGTAAAAAAAGTAAAGACTCAATGCCTAGAACGTTGTGCTTATCCTCTTCCGATTCGTCCCTTTATTGAAAACTAACTAGCATCGGGGTTTTACACTAAGTCCAGGAAAGTGGGATGGGGGTTACTGTTAGGCGGCAGTGCGGGATGTAAACAAAAAAACTTGTTTCCTTGCCTGCTTTCCTGTCATCAACTGACTATGCAAGCGTTTCTATCGATCATTGTAATGCTTACGGAGAAAGGCAAATAAAAAGAGAACTTATCACACCATGGGAGATAAGAATGGGATATAAAACACACATAGCAAAAATGGATGGAGGTCAATAAAGACAACTTGGCGATAAAAAATAAACCTACGTCACATTGCACGTGATGAGCTCCTACAACTTGCATCACCTATTTTGTTGTGCTCTATCACCATCTCTCCTTTTGTTCATTAGCCCTTCAGTCGTCCCAGGAACAAGATCGCGTCTTCTTTGTTATTATCTACACGATAGACTTGCCAGGATTCGCATTTCACTCTTCACCACAAACACGGTCAGGACAGGATGACGCCGATGCTGACGGTCGATGAAAGGATCGACTCATTCACTCGAGGAACACGGTCCTGGCCTCATCCCGACACATTTCGAGCTACGCCTTCGTCGGTACGACATAAGCTACCTGTATCAAGAGGTGTAATGCAGAACACGCCCTTGTTTACCGACACAATACTGCAATTGGAAACTAACCTTATATCCTCTATCTTTGGTTGTGTCCATCGTAGCTTGCAGAGGCGGGGTTCTACTGGAAACCGTTCTCGACTTCTCCAGACAACGTGGTCTGCTTTCTCTGCGGGAAATCTCTAGATGACTGGTCCGAAGACGACGACCCCTTCGAGGAGCATATGAGCCATTCGAAAAACTGCTGCTGGGCTATTGTCAAATCCATTTACCCTGTCGAGGATGGACTCCCCTTCCGCTGGGATGACGAGGAAAACTTGCCCAGGGGCGAGAGGATGACCAAGGCTAGGCTTCAAACGTTTGGGAAATGGTGGCCTCATGAACGCACAAAGGGGTGGTTTGGCACTACCAAGAGGGTAGGTCATTTCACGCGTATATGATATCTATGGCGGTATAGGAGAATTTGTTCATGGATGTGCATACTAACATACTGCGCACCCTCTTATAGATGGCGAACGCAGGATTCATCTATGCACCCACCGACGATTCGGACGACAATGTACAGTGTCCATACTGCGAGACTGCTCTTGACGGATGGGAAATCGAGGACGACCCAGTGGACGAGCATAAGAGACGACGACCCAACTGCCCATTCTTTGCGACCAGAGCCGCAGCACCAACTAAAGCTTCAGCAGCCAAAGCCGCAAAACAAAAACGGAAAACCCAGGATGTTGATGGTGAAGAGTCAGACAGTAACCTGGTTAGTTTCCTTGTCACTGCTTTTGGCTTTCTTCAGCATCTTGCGGGGTTAAAAGCCCACTCATATTTTGAAAGCGGCCGTTAATTTTTCGCTTATTTATTCATATTTACAGCCGACGCATAGAGCGGGAACAGCAAAACCAGAGACTAAAAAGTCCGTGAAGAACAGTCGATCTCAAAAATCAACAGCATCCGAGTCAGCATCCAGTCGCTCATCAGAAGCCACCGGCGCGCTTTCTGCAGGACGCAACGTTGATTTCGATATACAGGACAGTAGCGAGGCGACATCAAAAGCAGGGTTAAAACGACAGCCGGCGGCTTCAGCAAGGGCATCTTCTCGTACGGGCACTGCCAGGATCAAGGCTGAGGAGGAAGACGAGTCCATCAGCTCTATCCTTTCAAAAAAGAGTACTAGAAGTACGTCGAGTGCCAAGAGTGCATCAAAGAGTACATCGAGCACCAAAAGCACCGGGAGCTCTAAGAGCATAGGAAGCTCCAAGAGCAAGACGATCTCGGCCAGTTCAACTTCTGCCATAACGATATCATCCTACGAATCATCAGGATCATCGCAGGCGCAGCGGAAGAGAAACCAGCCCGCCGACGAGGATTCAGTGGACCCGTTTTCGGTCGATACCCGGTTTTCGAATCTCACGAAATCCCGCAAAAAACAGGAGATCCCAGCAGTCCTCAAGAAGCGGCGGAAACTTGTAGTAGCGGACGAGGAAGAAGCCGATGAAGAGGAGTGGGGCGAGATGATGAGTGATTTGGAGAGCGAGGCACACGCGCGCCCATCCGGCAGCGGGGGCGATATCGAAGACGTGCAGGGACAGAGGAGAGGAAACACACGGCAGCGACGCGATTCACCCAAGGTCGATTTTCCAGAAGGTTCTGAGAAAGGCTCGTCGAGTAGGAGCGTTTCACCACAACCAACAAGGACGAAGCGTGATCGACTCAAGAAGATCAAGCTGGAGGACGAGGACTACAGTATATCTCGGCCGTCGACCAAACCGAAAAAGAAATCGGCGCCCACAAAGGCTACGAAACGGACTGCCAAGTCGACTTCATTGTCGTCATCCAAAAGGCGGGCTACCAAGCCGCTGATCGAGATTTTCGAGCAACCAGATGTCGATGTCGTTATGGGGCAAGAGCAGGAGCAGGAAAAGGAGGAGAAGGAGAAGGAGCAGGAGGAGAGGGAGAAGGAGGAGAAGGAGCGGGTGGTTGCCTCAGCGGATATGCCTGAATTCGAGGAGAATGGCAAGAATGGAACCGAAGCCGATAAGCAGGACACCTTGGCAGAAGCACCAACACTACCCATTTCCGCAGAGAGCCTAGCTCTGCCAGAAACTGAGGATATTCAGGATGTTCTTAAGGATGTCCGTCAGAATGATGTTCCTCAGGATATCCTTGAGGATGCCCCTCACGATAATCCACAAGATGTCCCCAATGATGACCCTCAGGATGACCTTCAGGATGACCCTCAGGATGTTTTTGAGGATGCCCTCGAGGAAGTCCCTCATGATGCCCTTCATGAAGTCCCTCCTTCGACTCCACCGCCCATCACCCCATCAACGGCCACGACACCTATTCGAGGACAGAAATCTGACTCGATCCTCCGCCAGAGTCGCAACACTACGGACATGCCATCAACCCCTGCCCGGAGGCAAGCTGTTACCTTTGAGGACATTGAGGATGCAAACGTTGTTGTTGTCGACCCTTCAACCCCAGTCAGGCGAGCAGCTTCTCGGGTGGATATTGAAGGCTGGGAGGATGAGGATCGACGTGACAGCACTGCATCCGAGCTCACAAGCCCCTTTGTCTCGCCTTCACAGTGGCATCTTGACGCGAGTCTCATGACGTCGACGCCCAACGGCAAACGCACACCTGCGCAGCCTTTCCGCGGGATCACGCCTCGTCAAAAGCGGATCAAGGATGTCATTGGTATTGCACACGTCAAGTCGCCTCTGCGATCTAGTTACAGCGACAGACTGGGTAGATCTATGCAGCTCGCGTCACCAAGTCCTAAGAAGGCGGCAAGCTCACAGCAGGTTCCTCCAGAGTTGAAGCAGAGCATGTTGATTGATCGCCTTGAGAACCTGATGCATGAGAATGCCAACTCGGAAGTGATGGTCGTCGCGGAGCATGCGTTGAGGGAAGAGGTCAAAGAGCTTCGTCGGTCACAGAACAAGGAACGGAGACAAGCAGCAACATTGGCAGAAGCAGCAGCAATAGCAGCAGAGGCAAAAGCTCCAACGGCAGAGACGGCAGCAGGGACAGTGGCACCGATATTGAAGCATAAGGAGATCACCGGGAAGTCGGAAGCTGATACATTCTTTGAGGACCCAGAGGTGTCTGAGGTTGAGGACGACCCCGACATGAGTTTCATGTGGACACCGACCAAGAAGGCGGCGAGAGTTCTCTTTGGCTCGACTACCCCCACGACCCCGAACAAGACGCCTTCTGCATTGCCTGTATCACGCGTTCTCTCGGCCATTGGAGCGGCATCTCGTCGAAACAACACAACTGCAGCCAAGTCACCCTTTGTCAAGACGCCAGTGAAAAAGTCGACGACAGACTTCCTTCGCCTTGAGGATCTGGATGTTGACGAGGACCTGGATGTTGACCCGGACTTTACAGCAAGCAGATCAATACATGCGCCACCACCACCAAAGCAGCCACCTCAACCTCAACCTCAACAACAGTCAGCGGCAACAGCAAAGGCAACGGCGTTCAAGTCTAGTGTAAGTCAGGCCAAGCCAGTTCCTAGTGTAGCAACCACGGCTGCACAAGGCCTTGTCGCGTCTACGGCGAATGCAGCTCCTGGTATTGGTCTGGACCCTACTACTGCTTCTTCTTCGCGCAAGGAAGTCTCCCGCCATCACCAACAACAGCAACAGCGAGGAGGAGGCGATGCCAAGGGAAGGAGGCTGCATCCGGACCCAGAGGAGCACAGGCGGCGGACACGATTGTTGGAGGAGACCAACTTCTCCGAGGCGCAGCTCAAGATGACTGTTGAGGAGTTCCATCGGGCTTGCATGGCTGAACAAGTGCTGGCGCTTGAGGTCGCTGCTGAGGCGTGGATCCAGCGGTTTGAAGAGGAGAGTAACCGTGTCAGGAGAGCTCTCTTGGACGATGGGATGTCTGGATGATTAGTCCACCTGTCTTTATTTCACTGTCTCGTTTTTCTATCTACCACGGCAACACACCCGTTTGTAACATAATAATACCTGTAGTTTACGCACTTGAGTTCTCCAATCTTTGTTCGATGTGAATATGGTTTGAGGAGGAAGAACGCTTTGAATGCTTTATTTCTTCCATTTGGCGTCGCCGTGTCGGCGTCTATTGATAGTGGTGATGAATGTAAAAGGGAGAAAGTGGGACTGCGAGTGTTTTGGCAGTGGGAACAAGGAATAAAAAAAAATACAAAGGGATCGCTGTTCCCTCTCTCCTACTTTCTTCCGTGGCTTTGGAAGGAGCAATGCGGCGCACGTGGATATGCATGTAGCCTTGGTAAGAAGGAGGACGCATCCAAACGACCCTTTCTCGTTTCAGTATGTTGTTTGCTCGCGCCTCCTCTGCCCTGACCTTGGCACCTTTGTTTTCATTTTTCTTCTTGGTTTCTGAATCGACAACCAAAATTGGCAAGCAAAGTGGCGCAGACACTGATTTCTATCAATGATCCCCATCCTATCAATAAAACAATGTGGAAACCGCGTCGACAATCGCAAACTTTTAAGTCAAGAACTCTCGCTGTTCCTTCCATTTCTAATGCCACGAGCCATAACCAAGAATGCTGCCAAGAGCTGGAAAGGTAAGCAGCAAGTGAACGTTACATTGATTCATCGCGTGAGGAAATGCAAGTCGCTGAAGGGCGAAGAACGGGATACGGAAGAAAAAAATTGAACAGGTATGTTTAATAACGCGGAAGAAAGCACTTTGGTCACATATAGTTAAAGGGGACGAACTCTACGTGGGGCAACATGGATCGGAGCCACGCAACAGAGGACAGGATGTCGGCAGAGTCGACGGCATGGTCTCCTGTATAGAACTCGATCCTCTCCAGCTTTGGCCAGTTCTCAGCGACCCATCTGGCATCCTTCTCTCTCATGATGAAACCTGGCAACGTGGCGACGTTGAATGCGAACAGGCCTTTGAGGACTGTCAAGTTCTTGAGCCCAGACAGCAACTGAAGGCCACCCCAAAGTCCACCATCCTTGCCCTCGTCATTCAATGTCAACAGGCCCGACATGACGTAAGTTAAGGGTGGTGGGCCAACATCCACATTGAAGTGACGATCAGCAGTAGACGTGTACAACCTCAAGTCCAACACCTTCAGCTCTGTGAGCATGCTCAGTTGTCGGTAGAGTTTCTCCAATCGCACCACCTTCTCCTTATGCTGCATGCTGAAATGGCGCCGGTTGTTTGGTCGGATGGGGATCTCGGGTTCGCCTGCGTCGATGCTGATATGGAGTTCCTGGATCCTGGTAGATACCCACCTCTCCTGAATCAGGCGCTCTAAACGGACCGGAATCTCCAATGCCTTCAGCACCTCGAGGTTTGCGCAGTTGACAAGGATCAATCGAAGCAGCCCAGCACCAATCCCGCTGCCCTGGAACTCGAGTCGTCGTAGAGAGGTATAGTGCCTGGTCAACCTCGATGCCAACTCGTTGTGCGAATAGTTGTATCCATGAAGGTTGAGGGATTCTAGAGTGTTTTCCTTCATGGCTCCCATGATGGCAAGCACCGGCTCTACTTCCCCACCGCTCACTCGGGCGTTGAAGGACAGGTTCCTCAATCCCCGGCAAGTGTTGACGATAAATCTGGCGTACGCTAAACTGTTCACAGAAGTGTCCAGACGTATGTTAGGAGACTCCATTGAGACGAGGTTAGGGAGCCGTCGCAGAATACTGCGGTAGGTCTGGTAGTCCCAAAGGTAGGGGCTGTACACGTTCCATTCAGTCAGATTGGGAAGGAGAGAGTCCTTGTCCCGAGTGATGGTCGGCTCGCTGGGCTGGGCGTTCAACAGCAGCTTGAAGGTCGGATCGTTGTCTGGGTTCTCGCGGAAGAGGAGACGCTGGGCATCTGTATGGCGATGAACTCCGAGCGATAGCGACTTGAGCGATGGAGGACTGCAGAGGACGATGGTCGAGAGAAGGTCATCCGGCCGAGAGGAATCAGGCGTTACAAACTTCATGGACAGTGTCTCAAGCATCCTGAGTCCTGAGATTGTCACCGCCCAATAGTCAGCATAAATACGGTTTGGGATCATGACGTTGTCAAGACGGAGAGCTGTGAGAAGAGGGCTAGCCTGGAGACAATACCGCGCCTGAGCAGGAATGACCGCCTTTGCGCAAAGATCCTCGAGAGACCACTGGAACCGAGTCGACGTTGAAACCAGAGACTGCCGCTGCTGCCGGTGCTGATTGACCGACGCCATTGATGGGTTTGGGGACGTATCTGTTGTTAGTACTCGAGGCAGGAGCTCCCTGTCACGCACGGTATTGCGGAGACAGGTGTAGTAGTGGCGCAAGAGTTTATCGTCGTCCAATACGATGGTCGTGAGAGAACCGGCATTCCTGGCTACGCCCTCTAGACTGCGCGCTGGTTTGGGTACATTGTCGTGTGAGGGTTCAAGTAGAGCTGTGAGGAGCAACAGCCTACGGAAGAGGTATGGCTCGCCGACGGTGTGGAGGAGTCGGGAGGTTTTTGTCACACTAGACACGTCTTTTGAGTCGAGGTTCTTTACGACCAGGAGAACCAATTCAGGAATCTGAAAGATTCGGGCCGAGGCAGATTCCGTGTCTGTGATGGCGGAGACGGAAGTCGACGATACGAAGGGTGGCATCAGGAGCGGGGTCGATGGATTTTGATTCGGATGGAGAGTCCAAAGCAAACAAGAAAAAAAAAACTCACTTCTCACTTTGTACCAAGGAAGACACGTCTCCCTTTATTTATTTCGTGGCTGCTTTAGTTCCCACATGACGCCGTGTGAGAAAGATACATCGGCTGGGTTGTTCCCCTTTCAACGAGTGCGTTGGTTCCTGAATCGATTCAAAAGTGGTAAGTAAAGCACTGATCTGATCACCGCTCTATCAATTGTCTGCCCTGAGGAGAGGGCGGGGGAAAGAGCAAAGAGGGCTTTGCCTTCTGGCGCAACTCGTGAAGGGGGTGTTGATGAAAGAATGCGCAGGGGGAGATAAAAGAGCCCCTTCCTTCTCTCTGTTGCTTAATCATTTCTACCTTTTAATTTTTTACACTCCCTATCCCTATGCTGACGAGACCATAAAGCGTTGACCTGGGTTTGAAACGGACCACTTTGAAATATTGAGCCCTTTGAACGTTGGTTTGAATCAGACATTACATCTCAAGCGTAGAGAAACAGTTCGAGATGCAAGGTCAACTCAGGGATGTTAAAAATTCGAGCGAAGGCAGACTTTATGGCAGCGGTGGTGGTTGGGAGTCGAAGACGGGAGGAGAGGAATGTGGGATGCATCGCGTTGACACGGGTGAAGTGCAAGGAATCAATAAACGTAACCCTTCGCCTCCTTGTTGGATCTTCGTGGCTTGGAAGGTTGGATAGGAACATATATCATAGAAGCGTATTGTGTCAGTGAGGGACAACACTGACAACAGGTATATCACTTTATGGCTACGTTCAGCGGCAGCTGCGACAGAAGGAGGAACGGCCGTTATTTTTTAACCTTGGTTGTCTGGTCATATCACCACCCTATCATGGCGCCACCCTGGGTGCTTCGTGCGAGAATTAATTGATGTTCGTATTTATTAACAGTCATGGTTCTGATCATAGTACATTTCTCTCGAAACGTCAACGGCCAGGGGCAGTCTAGACGCCAGAGCGGGCTGACCATTCAAGACCCATCCACTGCAGCTTGTCGACATCCAACAAGTGGTCTGAGAACCCCATCCCACACTCATAGGGCACCGTCTGACAAACCTGACTCCACTGTAAGGACAATGTCACCAACTTGGGTAACGCATTCAACCTCCTGTAAAACTCCAAAACGTTGCGCACCATGCTAGAGAACTTGACGTAGTCTTGGTAAGTCTGTGCTGCCGTCGATCCTAACTGGCTGCCCTTTTCATTCTTCGTGTCCTCCAGCGCCAACGATGCAAGGCCATCATACAGCGTGCCTGTGTCCTGTGCCGTCGCGACAGCCGCGAGCTCGTTGATACTGATCGACAGTGTTTCCAACTCTGAGCAGACCCACTCTGCGCTCAACAAGTCCTGAAGTGCAATCTTGGAGAATGGTCGCAGCTTGCCAGGTGCGGATGAGACAACAAAAACCTTGAGTCGCGGGCAGCGGGCGAGGATGTCGGCAATATATGTGGATCGCAAATTGGCGAATCCGAGCTCGCCAAGACGAAGGACTTGGAGTGTTGATCCACATTGCTGTAGTAGTGCTGGCAAAACGCGGTTGGCATAGAGAGGGGTGATCCGCATGGTGAGTCCCTGGAGGCCTTGTCCTTGTCCTTGTGGCATGCCCGTGATGAATCGGAACATGTGTTCCTCCGAGATTAAGTTCTCTCCAAAGTTGATGTTGGTTAGGGTTGGGCAGGATAGGGTGAGGATCGAGACTAGAGCTGAGCCCTACTTGAGATCGCGGCAGGGGATCTTGGGCAGAGTCAAGTCCTGGAGTCTTGGGAAGCAGGCCAAGAGAGGGTAGAGGAACTTGTCCAAGTCGACTACATCCAGCTCCTGTCCATCGCGTGCCGAGTACCAATTTACACTCAAGAGAGGAGAGATGGAGTCTGTCGTCGAGGAGAGTTGTTGTTGCCAATGGTGGCGGTAGTGGCTGTGTAGTTGGTGGCGTTGTCCTTCAAGGAGACCAGTCGCTGCTCAAGATTCTTGCTCCTTGCAAACATGGGCGAGGAGTTGGAGTTGGCATGGAAAGAGCTTTGTACGGCGAGTTCCTGCAAGCTGGGGGGGCAGTTTTCGATAATTGAACAGATATCACCATAGGACTGGCAGCCTTGGATAGCAGGTTTCAGCGAGTACAATTTGCTGATACTGATGGTTGTCGCAGTTGCTGTCGTTCCTGTCGTCGTCGTCGTCGTCGTTGCGGTTGCTGTTGATGATGGGCGATGCTGAAGAGCCTGAAGGATCCGAATAGAAAACGGCGGCCCCCTCAGTTGGTGGTCGCCAGCAATAAGCATACGAAACCTGCAGCTCCGCAGTCTCGGGTTCAAGGATATCAAGGCCAAAACTCGCTCCTGAAATGTCCTGTCCGCTGCCCTCCTCCCTTCCGCTGCCTTGACTGTCGGATCTATGTTGTGGCCGTGTCGACAGTTCATGGTGAGCCGTGTCAGGTTGACGAAGGGCACATCCAGAAGAATAGCCGCAGAGTAGTCGATCTTGAGCGACCGGACCCGAAAGGCATTCGAGCAGATGAGGTCCCTTTGCGTGCTGAAAATGAAGTGCGAGCGGGCGTTGGAGTGGATTGAAGGTTTTTTCTTGCGCTTGTCGCTAGTGTCGTCGTCGTCCTTCTTGTTGATGGGTTTCCACCATTGCCTGCGTGGGTGGGCTGCAGGGTCGTGGTTCTCGGCCTGGTAGGTGTAAAAGTGGGCGATAGTTCGCCATTGGTAGGAGTGGAAGTGGGTGTACCAGGCCTTGCTGACTTTGAGACAGGCGGTTATGTCCTTGGAGGAAAGATACTGGGCGATGTTGTTGGTGATGAGGATGTTGTCGAAGGCCGATATCAAACTCTGAGATTGTTCCATTGAGGGCGAGCGAGAAAACGGTGGCGGCTGGTATCGAGTGCAACGTTAAGGAAAGGTAAAGAAAGGACAAAGATCGATTGCTTCTTATGTGTGTACGTTGTCTCGTCTCCCCCTTTTTCTTCTTTGGGTGACTTCCCGTGTTGGCATCGCCCTGTCAGGTGACCATTCTTGACACATTTCCTAGCATAGCATCTATCTTATTTCTTGTCCCTTCCTCTTTTTTTTGGTCCTCTTTGACTCACTCTCTCTCCGACAGCACCTACACAGCAACTAGACTCATCATCTCTGAACTTTCGGCGCGTCGAAGATGCGTCATAGAAAATGTAACGCGCCAAGTCGAACCATCATGTTTATTTATTTCTTTCGCTTCCTTTCCTCGTGAAAACGTCTACTACTCCGCGACTTGTACGCATCATGAAGGTCCTCAAACGACGCTTCCTCATAAAAATAGTCCACTCCCGAATAATTCTCGTACCCCGAATCCTCCCAACTGTCGTAATACCCTCCATAAATCCCCATCCAGATCTCGCATACAGAGATGCCCGAATCTTGGAGTTTGCGCTGTAAAGTCAGGTCGCTCTTCTTCTCCAACTGTCTTTGTATCACCATTTCCAGAGCGGTTGTTGTGGACTCGAGACCACCGGAGACTGGGAACCATTTGAGATTCATCCAGCGCAGGTTGTCGAGAAAGTTAATGTCGTGGCTGTAAGGATCGTAGGAGATGTCTTGACAGAGGGGATTCCATGTCAGGTCGAGGGTTTGCAGACTGGGGCTCATGGCTTTGAGTCGGCGGTGGAACTCTGACACGTTGTGGATCTGGCGGAGGTACAAGGCGAGCTCTGCGTCGGTATCGGAGGGTGAGCTATGATTCCCGTCCTTGTCCATCTCTTGCTCGACCTCGTATTCAGCAAGGTCCCTAATGCAGATCGACAGTGTGTCCAGCCCTGAACAGACCCACTCCGCGTCCAAGAAGTCCTGAAGTCCGACATTTGTGTCTATTAGCCCCGTGTGACATCCCCGGGGGGGGGGGGCAGCACAACAAGAGTTTTGAGTCGTGGACAGGCGGACAGGATATCCGCGATGTAGGTGGATCGTGCGCTGCTGCCATCGAAGTATCGTTCATTGAAACGGAGGACCTGTAGTGATGGACCCGATCGTCTCAGAAGCGTCGGAATGACGCGATCGAGATAGCCTGGCTCGATCTCCGTGGTGAGTTCTTGGAGTGCCTCTGGCATAAGCTTTACAAACCTGAACATGTGCTCCTCTGCGATCAGATTGTAGCCAAAGTTGATGGTGGTCAGGGCCGGGCAGTTCAGCGCGAGTGTCGAGATGAGGGTTTCGTCAGTGCAGTTGGGACTCAATCGTCCTTCAGAGTTGTATTGATTAGTGATACCATAGGGAACGTACAGTTCTTGGAGGTCTGGGAAACAGCTCAGCAGTGGGTAGAAGAAAAATTCTGGGTTGTGGGCCTCCATTTCGTCTCCTCCCTCCAAATCGATCCAAGAGACGTTCAAAAGCCGAAGAGATGGGATCCTCTGATGTCGACTGGCGGAGGGATTGGTGGAGGGGTTGGCGCTATTGCTGTTGCTGTTTTTCTTGATGGACTCGAGTCTCTGTTGGATGATGACAGGTATGGATAGACGACCCTCGCAGTGGCTTTGCAGAGTGAGCTCCTTGAGATTGGGAGGACAGTTCTCGATGATGGAGCAGAGATCCTCCAAGGATTGGGTACCATGGCAAACAAGTTTCAACGAATAAAGGCTGCTGCTGCTGACATTGGTACTGCTAGATGATGACGACTGATGCTTCTGGTGGGGTTGTCGAAGGGCTTGGAGGACACGGATCGCAAAGGGCGACAGGGATGGATCGCGTCCGTGAGGATTCACCAGATTTTCGACGTACGAGATATCGATATCCTGCAAATGAGGGTTCTGCCCGATCAACTGCAGGGCGGCCTCCTTGAACTGTTGATCCTTCTTTACCGTCACCATCCTTTCCACTATCGGGTACCTGGTGAAGCGGTATCGACAGCCCATACAGAACCGTGTCAAGTTGGTGAACGGCAGGTCGAGGAGAATGTGACCAGAGTAGTCAATCTTCAGCCAGCGGACTCGAAAGACGTTCCTGCGGACTAGTTCCTTCTGCTGACTGGAGATGGCCGGTTTCAGGGTTGGGCGGCCATTAAAGTAGTTCCTTGGCACTCTATTGTAGAGTTTGTCGTTATTGAGCGTCGTCCACCTTAAATAGGGTAGCGACCAATACGTGTCGACGTAGGGGTTATATCCACCGTACATGCGTTGAGAGACGGAGATGGATCGCCATCGGTGTGGCTGGGCGACGGCGTTCCAGGTCTTGCAGACTGCTCGGTAGGTTCCAATGTCCTTTGAGGAGAGGTACTGGAGAATGAGGTCGACAATCAGAGAGTTGCCAAAGGCGGATATTAAGCTTGGAGACTGGGTGGTTGAGGTAGAGGGTGAGATGGGTAGGTGTTGTTGAGGGAGAGAAGGGCGGCGATGTCTTGTGGCGAGAGGTATGGGTTCTTTTTTCTGGGCATTAATGGAAGATGTGCTGCAGAATTGAAAGAAGGAAAGAGGGATTGGATAGATGCTAGAGGGTGAGGATGTAGAAACAAGAGGAAGGGAAAACGGAGTGGTGTTGTTCAATTGAAGGCTGACATGAAGCAAGGTTTGTCGACTCAAAAATGAACAGCTCCCCTCCCAGTCCAGGCTGGAGGCTGAACTTTCACAGGCAGCACCAATTGATCCCTAAGGTTATGCAAACTCACTCTTCAATGCTACTGCTCTCTCGGCAACCGCAACTGCGCTCTACTAAAATCAACCAGTCAACTTGGCCCTCACATCTCCGTATATCCGTTCTTCATACCTCTCCAGTTTATTGTTTCTATGATCATGAACCGAGTTCGCTCTCAACAGTTCTCATAAACGCCTCAACCTCCTTGACCAAGCTGGCGTTTTGTCCAGTACGCCCGTGAGAGACCGTCAAGATATTCCGGGACAACTTCAGGATCTCGTGCGACAACCGGACAGATGTCATTCCGCCCTCTACATCGTTCCACAGACACTTGGCCAGCGTAAAACAATGCAGCCCGACAAGAGGATGATGCCTTGGGTAGATCATCAAGTACAGTGCCAGAATAAACGTCCCGATCTTGGAAGCCAATGCCCAGGACTGGTGTTCGAGAGATGTGTTGAAGAACGAGGTGGCGTTGGTCATGACGGTGGTGGTGAATGGCTTGGGCGTGCAATGAGGCGTCGTCCGGAGAGCGTCGTAGATTGTAAAGAGTCGTTCCGTGTACGCTTGCTCTGTGGCTCCAGTTTGAATCAGAGGTACCAATGAGTGGATCAGATAGCTTGTGAAGGAGCTCCTGTTGATCATAGTTGGAGGTTGGAGAGAAGGTCCTGCAACTTGTAACGACCGTGCGCCTGGGAGGATAATGGTCTCGAACTGCTTGGTCAACCACTCACCGTCTACCTTCTTGCCATCCTCACCATCCTGGTCGCCCTCGATCAAGTCATCCAGTATCCTGAACCCTGCCTTCTCCGCCGTCTCGCCCGATTCCTCGTCTCCGCACCGTGGGCACAGACAGTCAAAGTGGTACTTTCCTCTCAACAGCTGCCTCCGCTCCGCTCTCTGTACACCATTGTCGACGTAGGAGGTGCATACCTCTTGTCCAACAGCAATGTCCTCCAGAATCCTGACCACTTGAGTTTGCCCCTCGTACATCACAATGGCGTTGGGCCGACAAGAGTGATTGAAAAGGGCACCAATGGGGAAGGTCCCTTCGGCCATCGTAAACAGCTGTGAGTCATGGATCGAGAAGTTGTTGCAGTGAAATCGACACAAGTACCGCATCAGCTCTGCGACCGAGGGCGGCTCTCCTCGGCTGCCCTCGCTCTTGAACGGAAACTTGGTCACAATGAGCTGTTCCCGAATCTTGGTCGCAATCTCCTTGTACTTTGAGATCTCTCCCGGATCCGAGATCGCCTCGTGCCCCATCAGTGTCGAAAAAACATACTCTGTCAGCGCAGGTGACTCCTGCTCTCCTGCTCCATGAGATCCTGCGGCTGCTGCTGTTGATGTTGCCACTACAGACTGCTTGGACTCCTTGAAGGCGCCGTTCCGGAGTCGCTCGATCGAGATGACGACCATCTTGAGCATCTCGTAATCGAGGTCGTCCATATCCTTGTCATGACAGATCCACTTGTGCCAGCCCTTCCACGCGACAGTGAAGCATTCCCTGTTGCAGTAGTATCTCTTCTTGCACACCGAACATCTCTCGAGCTCCAATCCTCCCGCTGGTGCTGACGTGCCACTGTCGCTACCCTTGGTCTGGAAACAGGTCTCGCAGTGCTGGGCGCGATGGGTGGGGAAGATGATCGGGTTGCAGAGTGGACGGGAGGTGATGACGACAGAGCTTTTATTGAGTGGACGGAGGGCTACTACTTTGCGGTACTTGTGGGTGTCGGTGATGAGGTCGAGTCCATGGCTGTGAAGATGTTGGTTCAGGATCGTCGCGGACATGTTTTGGCGTCTTGACTGTCAGTCGGTCCGGTCGGTGAAAGAGAGCGTGAACAAGTGAGCAAGGAAGGGCTCTCCCTCGTTTCTTGTATGCAAATGCAAACACAAGAGTTTGAAACGGTCACAGCCAGTCCTGCATTTGGTCAATTTCAATTGCTTCACAATATGGATAGTCAACTCTTCCAACTCTCCTCGCAACCCAGGGACAACGCCAGTCTCTGCCACAACCGCCTTCAACAACTTCCTCATCACCGACCTTATCTTCCACCATCTCGACTCCTCAGACACCAGCGCCTGTTTTGCTGTCTGCAAGGACTTATATCACTGGCAATCCATCTCCCACTATTACATTTATTAACGCAGTACTGGATATCCACCCAACCGATGGTGGGAGTCAAGAGACAAACAGGTCCGCCTGTTCCAATACCTCCGTAACCAGCCCAAACACTCCAATGGCCGTTCACCCGTCATCTTCAGTCAGCAGAAGGAATTGATCCGCAGGAACGCCTTTTGGGTTCGGTCGCTGAAGGTGGATTTTACTCGGCGTACAACCTACTGGACGTATCGTTTACCAAACCTGACACGACTATGGGTAACCTGTGAGTGCCACCACGACCATCCCCTCGTGTCATTCTTTTCCTCCTCCTCTTCCGAGCGATGGGCTTTCAACCAAGATTCGGGAACTTCAGGTCACCATCAACACAGGGCGAGACCTGGATCCCCATCGAACCGAACAACAGGAGCAGATTCGACCAGCACCAGAAGAAGGTGGGGCGACTCGAGATACTTTTCCGACAACTGGGCGACCTAGGAGAGTTGAAGGTTCTTGATGCGAGGCTAATCGTCGGAGGCCCGACTTGGTCATTACTTTGGTAGTGACTAATGGCCCAACGCAAAGTTCATTTTGTTATGACTACTTACAGTCGGCGAGGAAGGGTGAAAACGGTGGGCCTAGGAGAGGACTTTTAGTTTCTGTCGGGCCTCAAGAATTTTATGACCCTCCGTGGAGTACTTGTAGCCGACGCCTCGACTACGCCAGGACTCAGTATGAAAAGAGAAGGATGTCGCGTGGGATAGCGGAGAACTGGTCAAGGCTGGAGATAGTTGAGTTTTTTACAGGCGGGTATTTCTACCAATTCTTGTCATCCATCGCTTGGCTTCAGAGCAAGTTTGCTTCAAGTAGAATTCCATCCGATCAATTAAATAAGTGTTTATTAGGTGATTAGGAAAGAAAGGGGATTAGGTATGATACAAAGAGATGATGTGAGCACAGAGTGCTTTTGATGATGCGCAGTGTTATGACCGTGAAACATATGCAGGCGTAGCAGTAGGAGTAGCTTGGTTTGAAACTATTGGTGGTAGTGGTGGTGGTGGGGTCCGCAAGGTATCCATTGCGATAGCTGTGGAATACGGCGGCAAGTATGCATTATCATAGTCATTATTGTCGAAAGCAATGTGGTTGTAGTCCGGAGCGGCGCCGTCTCCTGTGACGGTAGTAGTCGTAGTGGTGGTAGCTGCGGCTGTGGACTTGCGAGACTTTCTAATCCGGAAGAACCTCCACCATCCACAGAGTTGGATCAGGAGGGGGATGCAGACCATGGGCACGCCGACGGCGACCGCGTAGATAAAAATCTGGTCATATAGCATCGTCAATTTGGCGTGTGAATGCAAATGTGTTGGAGGGTTGAGAGGCAGAGAAAGAAGTAAGGAGAGAAGAGTGTGAGAGGGGAGAATTAGGGAGGAGAGAATCAGGGATGAGATAGAGGGTGAGGAGGGTTAGTGAAGGATGAAATGAAGAAGGAGATGCTGGTTAAGCGTTCGTGTGTGAGGGTGTATGTATCATGGAAGGTGGACGCTGTCTTTCCCAAGAGTCGATGAGACACTTGGAGAGTACAAGCACAAAGGATTTTCCCAGGTTTCCATTTTGTCGGACCATAAAAAAAAACCTTGTGGTCAGCAGCAAGCATGTTGAAGAACGTTACCGAGGAAGCGATTCAGGAGTACATATGCGGGTATCTGAGCGGTGCTTTGGCAGGTTGTGGAATCTCGGCCAGCGGGGCCGAGATGGTGTGGGTCAAGGGACACAACAACGTCCATGGAAATGAGCTCGCGGATCAGGCGGCAAAAGTGGCGGCAAAGAGTGGTACAATGCCCTTGATGGTGGATCTCACTCAACGGGCGGATATCACACATTGCTACGACGGACTAGTTCAAATCAATCTACGATTGTCCTTCAAACGACAAACGACAATCCGGGTTAAGAGGGCGATCCCTGAAATCGACGATGTGGAATGGACCTCAACCTTGGCTCACATCCACGACAGACACGCAGTCTTCATCTTTTCACAGCAACAGCAAGGACTCCCATCAACGTACACATCACGTCAAAAAGCTGGGTGGAATGCTGCCCACCTGGTCTCCATGCAGGCTCGCAAGTCCAACCCGTACCCAACATGCCTGTGCCGATGAAGCGACCTCGAGAAGGAGGATAACAAACATGTCTAGAACTGCACCTTGGCAGCTGAGACTACCACAGTGATCTGGAAAGAGGCCATGGACAGAATGACGAGTGGGGTGCGCAGGCGACAAACAGCTACAATGCAGCTAGGAAACGGGAACACAAACGCGCGGTTGATAAGGGTTGTCAAATGCCAGGGGAGTACCCATACGCTGGCGGTTCCCCTCGGATGCGGATCATGTACGAGGATTCTCCTTTATCGGCGGAGCTCGAACCGTGCACAGCGGCAGTCCTGTTCTCGATCGCGACGAGAACCCAAGTGGAACGTGTCGGATCTCCTTCGCGGTATTACTCCAAAGAGCATGTTGACTGAATGGTCCGCGGCCTTCCAGACCCCAAAAATCCAAAACGGTCTTGCAACAAGGGTAGGATCGTCATACTGAGGTCGCAGCTGCCTCAAAACACAACTGCTACTAAGCCAACACAATGAGGGTATAATATCTGTGAGAATAGCTGGGGCCAGAGTAAAGTCAGGCACTCCTTCCTTGCCTTGCTTGTCAAATCCTTTATCATTTTTTGCGTTGTGTCCGAACGAAAAGGAGTAAAAAGAAAATTGAATCCTCATACTTGGGCTCACACATACATACACTCATGCACATACACACATTCCCTTGATTGTTTCTCGACAGTTGATTGTTTGGAGGAAAAAAGGAATAACGAGATTCGTTGTATTGTGCCTTTCTTACAAAATGAGGCAAAAAAATTAAAACTAATCCAACAAAATTCAGTGGAGAGCGGAGTGTACACAGGCGCGGAACAAAATTTTAGTTGTGAACAGCAACTTAATCAGGGTTTAGTTGTTCGAATTAATTATTTTGGTTGCAAGGCGCAATACCTGCAAGCTTAAAACACGGAAGAAAAATGTCTTTTGAGAGGAATACAGCAGGGTCCTTCTTGCCCAGAATGTCTGATTTTGCGCTTTATTTAACATCTCGTAAGGAAAAAAGTAAGAGAACGAGAAGAAAGAGGTGGGAAGAAGAGTGGACGTAAGAAGTGAAAGAAGAGAGGGGAAGCAGAGGAGAATAAAAAGGAAAAGTAGAAAGGTCGTAACCAAAAAAGAATGCTCGTAAAAATAATAATAAATCACCAATGCTGACCCGACATCTCACCATCACTCTCCTCGTCTCCACCAACACCAGCGCCACCAAACCCAAGTCCAAGACCATGGACGTGTCGTTCAAAAGCTCGCTTCGCAGCCTTAAACCTCTGCAGGACGGCATGCGATCGTCGCGACTCCTTATTGAACTTCAGCAGGAACTCGTTTGCCTTTGAGAGCGATTGGAAATGGTAGCCGATAAAGACCGATGCCTCGATGTCGTTGTAGTCGTCAATGTCGGGAATTTCGTTGCAGTCGTTAGTGTTAGGGATCATCACCATCACCTGTGCTGTTGCGTTGTCTGTTTGTATTGTGTTTTTGGGCATCGTGGTTGTTGCTGTTGATGAAGCTGGAGCCGGAACTGGGATCGTTGTGGTTGTTGTTGTCGTAGATGTGACTGTAGCTGATTGAGGCTTGACATCGTCCTTGACATCGTCCTTGACATCCTTAGTGTGGGTGTTGACGACGGTAGGATCAGCGCCAGAGGTGACAAAGCTGCGAGACGATTCAGACTCGCAGGGTTGAAGGAGGGGAAGAAACCGGCTCCGCTGATCTCCTTGGTCGAGTTCGAGAATAGGCGTAAGGGCCGAGATCGGACTGCGTACAGAGTCAGACGACCTGACACGTCCCGCCCCAGAAGAAGCTGCAGAAGCAGAAAACCCCGGATGTATACGACAAGAAGGTCGGGTCCGGGAATAGTCGTTCATGTCCGGAGAAGGGACCGAGGGAAAGTACGTAGTGCCCACGATTCCGACGGCAGCGTTTGCTCTGGTCCAAGAAGGGATGTTGATAGGAAAGGTTGGGGGTTTGGGACGCTTGGGGGCTGGGATAGGAGGGGGTGGAGCAATCGGTGCCGAGGAAGTGACCAGCTCTCTGATCACCTGGGATAGTATCGGTCCAGTCACGAGTCTGTTCGCCCTTATTGGTCCTCTCCTCTTCGTCGTCGCGACGACACCCCTAGGAAAACTGTTGACTGTGATAAAGCTTGGAGTGATGGAGTTAATGGAGCTCCTGCGGTTGCTGCTGGTAGTATCGTTGTCCTCTGGAAGCTTGGGCAAGGGCTTGAACAAGAGCTCAGGTGAGTTGACCTTGATGATTGGGACCGTTTGCTCTAAGGGTCGCATTGACGACGATTCGGTGTCGATCAGTCCAAGGGTTGTTGACTCCATGGCGAACTCTTTTGAGAACGCGGCTCTGAACGTTAGAGGCTGCGGTTGGTATTCGCTACCACCAGTACCACTATCCTTGAGAGAAAGGTCGGTCGTCGAGTAACCCAGCAGTCGGGACTGAAGGATCCCCATCCGCTCCAACTCGGGGTTCGAGACGCCAGAGACACCAGAACTGGGGCGATCATTTCCTGAGGTCTCAACACCGATGCCATGACCACCGCTGCTTATCTCTCGCGTCATACCCAAGACCACAGGATACTTGAAGGGGGAAGAAGTAGAGGCCGAGATAGTGGTGGAGTTGTTGTTGTTGTTGTTATTGTTCTCAGCCATTGTTGTCATCATGTAGTCCAGTCCCCGACTGATATGGCGTGTGGTGCGGATGTATCGACTGAGCCAATGACATAGGTTCTGATCCGTTTGCCAGAGATCCAGGATCGCTTGCTGATACGCCCGGATCGCAGAGTCGTGTTTCTGGATCAGACGACGACGACGCTTCTGACAGTCGCATCCACAGTCTACATCCGTCGCTGCCTCCGCATCCTTCGGGTCCCTGTTGCTGCTCGTCGTCAATACTGCCGCCTGTGAGGCCGACATGAATTCAGGTTTGTTTTTCCGTGAGGCTGCTTTCACTGTCGCCTTCTCGACCGAGTGTGCGGGATCCTTGAACACAGACTGCTGTTCTCTGCGTTGCTGATCCAGAGCCAAGAGGTCAACCAAGAGTCCAACAAGGACCTGCTGATGTTTTCGGAGGGCCACCAATCGAGTCCAGGCATACTTTTCATTCCTCTTGGCGTTGAGACCAATGCTGTCGTCGGGGATGTGCTCGGGGAGGTCACGGATCACAACCACCTCAGGCAGGATTGGCCAGTGCATCATCGACAGCGGCGACGGGACTAATTCGCTGTCCGCAACAGTGACACGTGCAGGTACAGGGACAGGGGCAGAGGCGGCGGTGGCGGCAGACGTGGTGGTGTTGGGCAGGTTCTTGGAGAGGCGCTTCTTCTTCAAGACGAGTGTCGCACGAGTAGGTGAGGTGATGCTGGAGGTTCCGAAGGCGGTTGTTTTGGTTGTTGGTGCGATAATAGTTGTAGTGGTGGCGGATGATTTTGTATCCGTCGCTGGTAAGGAGGGTACATTGGGGATGAAGGGTGGCGAGGATGAAGAAAACCGTTTCGAGGAATGTTTGTTAGATGTTGAGGGGCGCACAGACTCCTTGTTGCGTCCTGTAATAAAAAAAAGCTGCGAGCGTGGCGATTTTATTGTCTGCTGCGGTTGCTGTTGATCCTGTTGCCATTTCACCGTCTGGTGTCGATATTGTTGCTGAACTTGCTGTTGCTGTTGTTGTGTGAACCCAAGAGAAAGCTTCGACAGCGAGTGGTTGTGGTTGTTGTTGTTGCTGATAGTATTGTTGTGATATTGCTTCTTGAAGGTGGACGCCAGGTTACTGAGGATCGATCCTGCACCAACACCACCGCCGCTCCCACTTCCTCCTCCACTGGTCGCAGTTGCCGCGGCACCCCGACGGAAAAGGAAGTGGTCAAACTTCTTCTTCCTCGATGTCGGTGATATGACTTCCATATCCAAAACAATGTCCTCGGTCGAGTCATCCCTGTTCACTATGAATGAATCGAATCCACTGTTGGAGTAGTTGCTGGTGAGGATAGTGGGCACGGTGGAGACGGTGAGATCAGGGGCGGGGATGGTGGGGGTGGTGATGAATTTCGTAAAAGTGATGGTGACATGACCCTGGGTGAAGGTGTTGTTATCGCCCCTGGGAGATAGAGGCGAGGGACTCTTAGGCCCATTGTGCGCGTGAGTAGGAGTAAGGGCACCTCCAGAACTAGAACCAGCAATGCTAGCAATAGAAGGAGTAGTAGCACTATCAACCGAAGAACTGCTGGTATTGGTACCGATAGAAGACCGCCGCGGTGGCAGAATTGGCATCAGAGACGGGCACTCATTAAGTGGCATCCCAGTCCCAGTCCCACGACTACTAGTGTTGCTGGTTCGATTGCTGTGGCAGTTGTAGTCAAAGTTGTCGGCAAGGATCGAAACTGGCGGAAGGAGGACCGACAATGTAGAAGTGTTGTTGGAGCCAAGGGTGGAGGGGTACTTTTCCAAGAATGTCGAGGAGATCGGGAAGGGTGATTCAGCAACCTTTTCGTTTCTGATGCTGTTGTTGTTGGCGGTGATGGAGTCATTAATATCGTCGTTGTTGTTAATGTTGTTGATAGAGGAAGTAGAACCAGAGGAAGTAGAACTAGAGGAGGTAGAACTAGAGGTAGAGGCAGGGTTGTTGGGTGAGGGTGACTGAGACTGTTGTTGTTGAGCTCGAAGGTCGTTGTTCCTCTTGTGGAAGATGTTTCCGAGAAACTGTCGTGTCGATCCAGGGAGCGTTGATACAAATGTGGGGATAGACATTTGTACTGTGTTTCTGCGCTGGGGAAAGTGAGGAGAGGAAAAGAGGAGGGAAGGAAAGGGGAGGACAAGGTTGGAGGGCTACTAAAGAGGGGAGATACCATCAAAGAAAAGCAAAGAAAAACAAAAGAGGATAGTTTTTGGCGGGGACGTGGAAGATTATATACATATATTCGCCTGGGAGAACTGGAGCATGACTGGGCTTATTTTGTGTACCCCAAAGAAGTAAGCAAAGTCCATGGGGATGTCTGTTGTTGGTAGAGGAGTCTATTGTTGTCGCTTGCTTGCCAGTGTCGGCAGTGGTGGGAGGTAAAAATACCTTTCTATTGTTGAAAGGATTGAGGATGGGCAGCAGGTTGTTGGTATTTATTATTTCTTTATCAACCTAACAGAGGTCAAAGAGGCGGCAAAAAAATATGGAAGGATGCATAATTGAACATGCGCACAGACAGGGGAGGCAATTTAGTTGCCAGGAACGAAAGGTTTGTATGCACTTTTCAACGCGAACAATTAGAAGACGGACAAGGTTAACTGTAGAATGAGAGGCAAAAGGAATGATGAAGAGAGAGCGTCACAGGAAGGAATACCTCTTCGTTCAATTGTGCTCGAGTGTGTGCTTATTTGAGTGGATGAGTGGATGAGTGGATGAGTGGATGAATGAGTGAGAGAGAAGGACTCAACAAACATGCAGCAGACAAGCAATTGGACCATTTGAATACCCATTGTGTACACTCCTTCTTTGACATGACCATGCTAAAATCCTATATGCCTATCCGATCCAAGGTTGCTGATCTGGCCATGTAAGGAAATGCAAGGAATCTCTCTCTCTCACGCAATGAGAATGTTGTTCATGCAATTGGTGTCGATGGCCTATCCTGCTTTGTTGATTTTTCTCGCTATTATTGGCATGCGAGTTGTTTGTTGTTGCTTTGCCAAAAGGGACATATTATCGCGCCTCCTCTGGTCCTCTAAACCATAACCAACCCTTGTGCTCTCTCTCTCTCTCTCTATCTTTCTCGCTCGACGTCGTTAGCCCCTATCAGTGATAACCTCGATTATTAGTTGGTACTAAGGGCGGCGAGGCGGGCGAAGAAAACAATGGTGCTGTCATGTCGGATGTTCCTAAAGAAGAGACAGCGGCAAAAAAATAGACTGGCACCCATACCCCCCCTGCATTTTCTTTCCTTGTCGATGTATGATGCCATGACCCACAGTCGCACTGGAGTGCCCCACCGTTCGTGTATGTTATTGTTGCTTTTGTTATGTACGTGTTGGTTGGCTCCAACATTATGCATTGATGGTATCCCCGATGGTACATCTGCACCCTTCTTTCTCCTCTCTTACCTCTCTATTTTCCCTCCATTTTTATCCTCTCCCGCCATCCCCGCCAGACCTGACTAGGCTCATCTCAGCTGACCGGCTTTCGAACAATAAAACTGGATAAGATGAAACAACAGGCTTTTTGTTGGCATTGGGTCATATCTCTTTCACCTCCTGTCCTCTCAGGGGATGGGGAGAGGACAGCTATTTTTGTCGATCGCTGGTCCCAGTGCGCGCATATTCAGGGAGAAGCATTTGTGTTTTGCAATTACAAGTAGGTGCTGATCAAAGTGACCGTTTGTCGTCTATCAGTATCGCCCGGTTGACGCGTTGAATCGGCTATCCTTAGCGGGGTCACATCTACAGAGAGGATCCTTTAATGGTTTCCTAGCAGTTTTCTTACCCGACAGAGAGCATAGTCAACCGAACAGAACTAAAAGTCGAACCTGAAAAGGTTTGTGGTATTGTTATTTTTATTAACTGATATGCATGCATGCCTTGGCCAGCAAAAGACGCACACTTTTTTGTCTCTCGCCGGAGATTTCTGCACCAGGCAGATTACTTTCACACAAACTTAAAGCAATTGTACATAGTTTTCCGGGACAAGGCCAGACTTGCCCTCCTTCTCGCCCAGGAACCAGCCTGGAAACTGTCGATAGTGGATCCACACAACGTCGCCCTCCTTGAAGCTGAGCTCGCTCTCATTCTCGGCGTCAAAGTCGTACAGTCCACGGGCCTGCCCCTGGGTACGATCCTCCTCGTCATCATCATCCTCGTTCTCGCCTCGGGTGCCAAAGTTCTCATCATAGTCCTCCTCAATGTCCGACTCCTCGTAGACCGGCTCGGGAGGATAATCACCTCGATGGAAACGATGTGAGGTTGGATAAGCAAAGTCGCGGACGGTAACAACTATTATTACGTGGCACAACAAGAAAAAAAAAAAGGCGATATACATATTTAGTTTTTCTTTCCTTTGAAGGGGGACCCTTTCGCGTGTACGACAAACATAATGTCTTCTTGCTTTTTTCGACCATGTTTGTTTGCAAGATCATACCTAAATCACAACCCGCTGGCTCTCTGTCGCTCTATGAAAAGATAGAAGAAACATAAAGGGCCGAGTGGTCAAAGGGTCAGTGGGAGAAAGCCATGCATTTGGGTCTTGTGAGAAATTCGGGGGGTAAGGAAGATATTTGTTTTACAACCGGATGAGCAAAGATACCAAAAAAGACAAAAAATGAGAGCGGTTTTGCGTACCAGTCCAGCCGATGGAAAGAATCCAGAGTCTGTCGTCTTGTCATCCCAGGTTGACACGGTTGATGACCTGTCCTTGGGATTCCTGTCTTTACTGCCCTTGCTGCTGCTATCCGTTGCCGATGTTGGTTCCCCTTGACTTTGAAGAAACGACGAAAGCGTCTTGAGCAGCTCCTTGTCCATCTCCTCATCCAGTGCGCCGGTATTGCTTGAAGTCGAAGCCAGGTTGCATGCCTGCTTCTTCTTCTTCTCCAGAGACTCTAGGAGGACAGTCTCTGTCGGCATGAATGCCCACGATTCTGACAAGGAGCGGCAGCGATGGCCAAAGTGCAGCGACAATCTCTTTGCTGCCGTCGAATCTATCAGATTGTGAAAAAAGATGTCAATGCGTGCGAGGTGTGAGCGAGGAGATAAATTGCGCATGCAATTGACCTGTTTATGCACGGCATTAAAGCAGATTGGGAGTATGTAGGGGAGACGTTGATATTTACCATCAGGATAATGAATCGAGGCTCTCTTCTTGTTCAGGAGGCCCTCGGTGTTGACAGCATCTCCGCTTGCGGGGTGGCATGGTGGCATTGAAACAAGGGCCATGGTGCTGGTGTCGTCTTTTGTTGTAGTGAGTGGTGATAAATGTCCTCGGTGTGGTCGTTAAGTCGTTAGGGTTTGGGGTGCGGTTGAAAGGGTATGGATGGACACTAGAAGAAGGTATGAGCAATCAGCAAAGTGAGTAAGTAAGAGGTGAGAGAAAGAGAGAGAGAGTGAGTGAGAGGGTAGTGGTTGGAGAGAAAGTGGCAATTGTGGAGAAGAGAGAAGAAGAAAAAAAGGAGTCAGCGCCAAGGCCAATTGTTGTGTAGAGAGTGTGAGAGTGTGATGAGATTGAGGGGGGAAGGGGTAAACGCTGAGTCGGGTGGTTCAAAAAAGAAGGACGACCTGAGCATTCGCCCAGCATATGCTGTTCTCGATATGACGTTCTTTTTTTTTAATGGGAGCACATCCGAATCCGATACACATACGGACAAAAAAAGAGCAAAGGAACGTACCTTTGGCAGAGTAGTATAGACACAATTAAGACGGAGAGTGAGGTGGGTTGAGAGTGAGGGGGAGGAGAAGGGGTGTGTGGCTCGTACAATGTATTTTATGTAGCAGAAACTGCGGACATGAAAGGGAGACTGACAGCTAAAGGGACGACAGACGGACAGAAGAGAGACGGGTTGAAACCCTATGGGAGAGTGTAGCGAGAGAGTGTGACGGAAGTGAGAGAGTGAGTGGGGTTGGGATTAGGATAGGGATAGACAAGAGCCGGGTCGCATAAGAGAAAAGTGTGATAGGGAGGAGAGTGAAAGGAAAGTGGGGAGGGGGTGTGTGAGGAAGAGAAGGGAAGAAGGGGATGGTAGGTAGAGAAAAGAGGGTGTCGGAAGTCGTAAGATGAATGGGTGAGATGGGAGCAGGCAAAATAATGAGGACGTCGTTGAAGATGTGAGGACAACAAAAAAGAGAAACAGAAAAGGGACCAAAGAGGAAAGAAAGAGGAGCAAGGAGGTGAGGAGAGGGGACAAGGAGGCGATTCAAGAAGGAACAAAGAACAAGAACAAGAACAAGAACAAGAACAAGAACAAGAACAAGAAGAAGAAAAGAGTAATCATCATCCCGCAAGTTGCCATCAAAGGACCACAGGAAAAAGTGAACAGTCCCCCTCGTTGTCCCCAAAGGGTGGTCATGTGAGCATGGTCCCCTCTAATTGACAGTCGAGTGATCGGATTGACCCCGAAAGCCCAACTTGCGGGCTGGTGCAGGTGCATTCGAACAAGAAAAAGAAGGAGAGGCGGTGCTCTTCTTTATGCTCCAGGCCAGGAGGAGGCAACACACTCTGCTAAATTGCAATTTAGGAGGAGCAATTGTCCTTCTTGGTGCCTGCCTGTCTCTCATTCATCATCCAGAGACACATAAACAACGGCTCGTAAAACGACACAGAGGGACGAGACCCACATCTCATCAAGGCATAAACGACAAAACAGAGAGGCCCTTACCCTAAAGATATTTTGAGAGCACTTTGCATACTCACTGGTCTCTTTTTCCTCAGACTAGTCCTTTAAAAATAAAATGACGAACTATCGAATGTTCAGTCCCCTGATAATCTGCAGACCATGTTCATCGGTTTGTCGGCCTGTTTGTTTGTTCCAAGAAGGAAGGAGGCCCTTGCCTATTGCTCAATTAGCCATGTGAGGCTCATGCTATTTGTCTGATGTCAATTGACACAACACCCTTGGTCCCTTCACTACCCATGATGCAAAGAAAAAAGGACCCTGTCCTAACTGTTCCGACATGTTACACCATCCCACCCCACTTCCTTCACTCCCATACTTAACAAAGTATACAGCAAAACATAACCAACCTCGATATTTCTTCACAACACGCCTTTTCTCTACGCTCTAGAAATTGGTTCATCACTGATGACTGGCATGATTGATCACTAGCAGATGGTAGCATGCAGATCCTTCTTTTTTTCGTGGATCTGAGGTTGCTGATTCCGGGGATTTAGATTCCTTTCTTTGATCATTTTTTTCTTCTGCGCCAGCCAGCTTCCTGGGATCATATGTCTCTTCTTATGCACCCATAACACCGCATTCCTTCGTTTTTTATTTTCAATGTGACAAAAAAAAACAATACTCACTACACATTCCAAACACATGAAAGTGCGCGCGATCCACCTTTGCTGAGCAAAAAAACAAAAAAAAAACAAAGGGAACTTCAGGATACCCTTTTATTCAAGCATGGCTGTTTCACCTCTGTCACTGTCGCCACCGCTCTTGATTCAGTACAATACCTCATTCGCTATGATGTTGGGGAACCTCATGCCATCTCACATCTCAAAACCGCCCACACAGCCAAAAAAGTTACAGAACGTTCATTCGTAATACGCAACAAAATAAGAGGACAGCTGTGGGCTTACATGCTAAGAACTATGGCACACAGAGACATTTGGGACAGTCGTGATCTCGAATGCTTCAGCTATAAAAAATATGCCCACAGCTGTCCCAATACCTCACTTTGACATAATAAAAAGTTAGCCATCTGTCGCCAGTGCTGGGGAGGTCAGGCGCGCTCTAGGGTCACCTCCGTGCCATTCTACTGAGATGGTGGGCGCATGACCAGTATGAGGGGGAAGCCTATTGACCCCTCTTGCCCTCCTCTCAGAACCCTCTTATCACCAACGACTATGATGAAAAGATTAAGTGTGTTCTTGATTACTGATCGCTGATCGGCACGAATTGATGTAATCAATGGCGATCAGTTTGAAACTAAGGAGGGGGAAGTGATTCTCTTAATAAGTGCCACTGAACCAGCGAGTGGGGTCTAAACGGTGGAGGCGGGTTCCGAAGGAGGGCCAGCAGAGAGGGGCGAAAAGGAAAAAAAGTAATAATTAGTGTGAAATCTTTTTATATGGTCTCTTAGAACCACGGTTGCCAAGGGCGATCCTTTTCTTTTCATCTTCGCCGCTTCCCGCGTTTCCCTTCAGCTCACACAAACAATGCTCCACCAATCTCTCTCAGTATGCAAGAATCAGGACCAACAGCCAAGGACGCGACTTTGTTCGACCATCTCCAGGAGGTTAGGAAAAAAAGCTACACCCTTCCTTGACCAGCACCACCTTACGGCCTGTGCAATTCTTTTTGGGATTTATCATTCCACAAGAACGAATCTTTAACCGTACGATAGAAATGTCCTCATGCTCGGCCAGCGCACGCCAATCAACCACATTCAAAGTTGCTAGATCCCCGCGGATGCGATCACGCTGTCGACATTCAGAGGGGTTGCCGCTAGCAGAAGATAGTGGCAAGAAGATGAAGGAGTAGATATGATGGTGGTTGAGGTAGTGGCAGTTATGTTAGTGGCAGTGGGGGTGGTTGTGACTGTAACTGTACCTGTAGATGGGACATCGTTTGCAATAGTGGCATCGGTAGCCGGAGTTGTTGGTGTCGAAGAGGATGCAGAGGGAGATACAACAGTGTGGAATATTGGATTTGTATAGTCTTTGTCGTCGAAGAGGTAGAGGAGGAGGAGGAGGAGGAGGAGGAGGAGGAGGAGGAGGAGGAGGAGGAGCGGCGCTTGACGTTAACAACATCCGGAGGTGGAAAGAAAGATCTCTGAGTCCCAGGTACTGCTGCAGGGGTGCAACCCATTCCACCATAGGGTCTAGTTAGGACTGATGTTGATGGTGTTGACAGGAGGCGCGTTACTCCAGTTCTCCAAAGTGTCGTCGATAGACTAGTAGGCTTCCTGACTTGTTGTCGCTGTCGCTGTTATGATTGTTGCGCGGACCTTGTAGGACGTGCTTGAGATCTAATAATCCGATAAGAGAAGAAACAAAAACCAAGAGAAAGTTTCGGCCCTCCGCAGATCGGTGCCCGGATCGAATAACAGCAGTTAGATCGCAGTAGCGAGTACGTTCTTTCTTATTCTCATTCTTCTTTTTCTTTTTCTTTTTCTTTTCTGATCCTCATTGCGGACATGAACCAGTTGACGAAATCGAAGCAACCAAGTCGAATCACCGCAAGAGGACGATAATAGAAAGGCGGGCGATTTTGATCATGTCGTCTCTCTTTCTTTCCTTCTGATAGCTACAAAACCATGGAATAAGGAGGAGGACCGGGATAGTAAGGACGTTGAGATTGCAGCTACACGATCATGTTTGATGTGTGGTTCTTTTTATCAACAGAGGATAAGAAACATGACACGATTGACATATGTATGTATGGCAAGAAAAACAAGAAGTCCCTCGTCCCTTCTTCGACTGTACACTTTGTTAGTCATAGGTTCATAGAACAGAGTTATACACTTTACAGGGACGGGAGAGAATAAGGTGCCATCAAAAAACGGCCAATTTCTCTTTGGTGTTCAAACAAGATAAAGCAAACAAAAAACGACGATTGGCTTGATCTGAGCACGAAACGTTTAGTGCCACACCTGGACAACAGATCGCACCATTTCCCGAAATCATGTCGTGCAATTGCCGTTATGTTGCTTTTCCCCCTTACTCGCTGTGCTGGCGAACCTTATTTGCCTTAAGATGACCGACCTTCTCCTCTCTCTCTCGTCTCCCACACCAGGGTAAAGGAGTTTCACCAACCAACTAACCAAACAAACAAACACCTTGTTGGTATCATCATCGCGTCGGGGGAAGAAAACAAAATTATTTACTAAGGCCGGATATCGTCGGATGGAGACAATTAACGCCCAATGCTATCACTTTTCTGTAGGATCGCGTCTTTTTTCATCGTCCGTCAATTCTCTAAGGTGCCTCCCTCCATACGTGATCTAATGGACTACCTGCTGCAATGCAAGATGTAAGTGCAAGGTGCCCCTACTTTCGCCCCTTTGTACCTTTTCTTGTCGTCAACAAACGACAGAAACATAGACCACTCAGCCGCTCTCTTTCTTCGGGTGGACGGGGGTCCGGATGGATTTGCAGCTAATGCGTTGCACGGTTCCTGAACATTACCAACCTTCTCTTTTGACCGCGCTTTTCTTTTTTGTGAACATAAAAAGGACAATGATTCTTTCCTCTCCTCTTTTTTTACTTGATCTTTACTCTTTTGTTCTTTACACTTGCAAGACTTCCCTCCATACCTCCTTGCTCCAAAGTCTCCATCTCTCCCCTTTCTTCCCTCCTCCCTTCCTCCCTTTTTTCTCTCTTTCCTTCTTGTCCCTTGCTCAAAGCCCGAGCTTATTCCTTCCTGGACATATATACTTGACAAGATGTCAACGTTAAAAGAAAACGACAACAAGGTCGACCTCGAGCACCACCATCGCCCCGCCAGCTTCGACAACTCGACCCTCGATGAAGGCGACTTCAACAATGACGAATGGCTCCGGACTCAAGGCGAAAAGAATCCGTTCTATGTGCACGACCTGACCTGGACACCTGCCGAGGAAAAAGAGATTGTTCGGACATTTGATTTCCGAGTCCTTTCCTGGATCGCCGTCATGTGTACGTTCAAAACACCCTCGCATTCATATGATGAACGCATAAACAATCAAGCGCACAGATTCGTAAACGAACACATGTTCGTTGTTTTAGGTTTTTGAGCTGGCGAGCTAATTGCGTCTCTCCGTTTTCTCTCTTGATGGAACGTTCACAATAGTCTTGTTTATGCAGCTAGACCGCGGAAATATGGGCAACGCACTGACGGATAACTTTATGGAAGACCTCAACATCTCGCTCAACACTGTCAACCTCGGCTCAACCATTTTCACCCTCACCTTCTGTATTTTCGAGATCCCCTCCAACATCATCATCGTCCGTGCCGGTCCCCAGCGCTGGGTAAGTTAGCATTCACTAGGCCTAATGTGTCTGTAGATACAGCACACATACTGTGTTTGCAAGCACGAGGAAGCTAACAAGTACTTGCTTTTCATTTCTTTCTTTTTCAAACAGATTCCATTCCTCATGGTGTTGTGGGGATTGGCGACCGCTTCTCAGTTCTTCCTCAAAGACAGGGTCACCTTCCTGATCTGCCGTGCACTCGTCGGAATGTTTGAAGCCGGTTACATCCCAGGAATCGCCCTCTACTTGACATCCTACTACAAGCGTTCAGAAATGGCTGTCAGACTCTCCATCTTCTGGTCCACCCTTGCAGTCGCAAACTCTATCGCTGGTATCCTGGCCTATGGTATCTTGCACATGCGCGGCGTTGCAGGAAAGGCCGGGTGGAGATGGTTGTTCCTGTTTGAAGGTCTGGCCACAGTCATAATCGGTCTTTTGTCCTTCCTCATGCTCCCCGGCGGACCCACTGCTACAAAGGGATTCTTCCGCCATAACGGGTACTTGACCCCGCGTCAGGAACAAATTGCCATGACCCGTCTGATCCGTGATGACCCCACAAAGGCCGACACCCGCAAGAAGTCTGTTTCCAAGAAACATTTCTTTAAGGCTCTTCTCTCCCCCAAGATCTGGCCCAATATCTTGATAGGCTTCTTTGGTCTCCTCCCCTTCGCTCCCCTCACCATTCTTTCTCCATTGATCATCAAGAACTTGAACCTTGGTGTTCCTGCCTTGGTTTCCAATCTCTTGGTCATCCCTGGGTATGTCATCTCCTTGTCGATCATGACATTTGTCAGTTGGAGCTCTGACAGACATAACGAGCGCGCCTTCCATGGTGCCTTGGCCTCGACTTACTATGCGATCTGTATCCTTGCCCTTGCGACCCTCCCTGCCGACGCTAACAAGTTTATGCTCTACTTTGCGCTCATCTTTGCCATGGGCGGCCAAACTTGCTGGCATCCTGTCAACGTAAGTCTTTTCGTCCTGCGATCTGTCGTTCTTTTGCACGCAACAGTACTTGAAGCTAACATTCCTCATCCCTTAACAATTCTGCACTAAATTAATAGGCGGCATGGATCGCAGGAAACACAGCACCTGTCGGAAAACGCTCGATTGCCTTGGCAATGTACATCATCTCCGTCAACGCCTGCGACATGGTCTCTGTCAATCTCTTCCGCGACGAGGACGCTCCCCGGTTCATTCGAGGATTTTGGATCCTTTTTGGTGCTCTCTTGTTCACAATTGCGCTATTTATCTTCCAGCGATATCATTTAATGTATATTAACCAGAAGCGTGACGAAAAGACAAAGACTTGGACATCGGAGGACTGGAGGCATTACAATGAGACCACAAAGGATGAAGGCGATGATCATTTATCTTTCCGCTACAACTATTGAACTCAAAGATCAACTATACCACCCTTTACACCACCATTTCATTTTCATGTTCCTTCTCAATTATTAAATATTATGATTTGTTTTGTCCAGCCAAGTTCATTCTGTCGCCTCAATTTGCTTAGTTTTATTCCTATTTCGCAACTTGTTTACCTGCAATCATACTGACTGCCATCCATCTACATTTAGATCGCTCCACTCACCTCTGTACCTTGTCCATGATTTTGATCCCTTTCTAGCCTCCTTTTTTTTTTTTTTTTCTTCCTACAAGCCGTTCTTGCTCCCCCCCTTTTTTTTGTACACAATTTATTTCTCTGACAAACAACACAAAGGTGGTATTTGGATGTAAAGGAAACTACAGACCAAACTCTTCGGCGCAATCCATCAGTTACAGTCCGGCCCGAAACCTGGCTCTGCACAACAACTGTCGCTGCTACGATCAACATCCTCAACAAGGTCTTACGACGTAACGCCGATACCCCGGAAACCCGAATCCCTTTTAAATCTGCCAAGCCCATGTTAGCAGAAAAAAGACCGGGGAAAAAGACAGAATACTGCACTACCATGCTGGTGCTTTTATTCATTATCTTAAGGGTTTTCTATCTCCAAAGTGAACACCTGTGGGGTTTGTTTCACACAAAAACAAAAAAAATTTAGCTGTTCAGCATGCATCCACACAGTCCTGTGCGACACACCCTGTGAAAACAAAAAAAACTTCTTATTCCGACAGGGTGTCCGAATAAGAACGCACAGGGCTGTGAGAATAAAATCATCCAAGAATAAATACTTGCGAAAAAAGTATCTAAACTAGGAAAAAACAGTTAACAGAGAAAAACATGAAGGACCAGGAAAAATAAGTACAGAAAGGTAAAGAATAAAATACAGGTTAGGTGGGGAAGTTGTTGTCAACAAGGGGGAGCTCGACTGGGGGTGGGGGTTGACGCTCCTCATTCTGGCGCTTCTTCTCAGCCAACTGAGCGCGAACTTGGGTAACGGCCAAATCCACTGCGGCAAGGACCTTGCAAGGTTCAAAGGCTTAATCCTTACGGACAAAGGCGTGATGGTACCTCCAGACGGAAGCCAGGATGGTACCGATCAAGATGAAGATGGGGATGTCATGAAGTGGTTTGACTGGGTCCGGGTCAGGAAAAAAGAGGCTGCAGATGTAGTCCGCAGTCCAGGTTCGTTCCTCCACATATCTCGACAGTGCGCCATGCCATACTTCCAGCTTCTTAGGAAAGCTGAAAAGGAGATGACGGCTTGTCTCCAGATCCGTTCCACAGACCCAGCAGAGGTGCTCAACCATATCACGAATAATGGAGTGAAGGTGGAGGCCAGAGGGAAGTTTGTTGATCAGGAGCCGCCACCAGGTATTCCGCGCATTGTTGTTCCAGAAGGATGTCCAGACGGTGGCAGTGAGTGGTGGGGGCGGCGCAACCATAGGTGGGTGATGTGGTGCTGGTGTTGGAGGGCGGTAGGACTTGGAGAAAATCATCTGTCGAAACGCGTGGGGACTGACTAGTTCGAAGGTGCCGTTCTCAGACGTGTTGATAGCGATCCCGTTTATGCGTTCCGCCAGGTCGTCCATTAAGCCGAACAGTCCGTCATTATCTAGCGCTCGTCTCAGGGCTGGGTGAGCCTTGAAGTGACCTCTTCTGGTGTTCTCCTCCAACCTTGAGTGGGTGCGATGGCCGACGGAGCGTTCCTCCGTTGGAATGAACTCCAGTCTGTCCTCTGTCTTGGCTTCGTCCGTCCATACAGGTCTGAAAATACGATCCATGCGCCAGTTGGGGGAGGGTGAGGCTCAGGAACATTATTCGGCCTGAGCCATTGTGGGAGGAGTGTTGCCATCATGTCCCCAACTTGAAACGAATTCGCTGTTTCCTGGCCCCAAGACAGTCCAGAGATACGCTCGGCCGCCTGCTTCAAACCCTTGAGAGTCGTTTGTGGACGAAAGTATTTCCTCCTCGTCGTGAGGAAGGAAGTGGGGTTCGCGGACAGGACCAGCGGAAACTCAGATTCGGTGGCTGACCGAAGAAGGTCCTTGAGGAAGGATACCATGAAGGAGGTGGTGTCGGAGTAAATTCTCTGAACCGCTCGCAGCTGGAATGCGACAGTCTGGGATCCAATATTGACAAGACCAAGCCCACCCTGGGACCGACGGAGGCAGAAGTGGTTCCAGGATGGAGAGGGGAAGAAAGAAACAGTGAACTTGCCGATCGACCCTTGGACTCTCTTCGTCCATTGGCGCGTTGGCGGGTGGGCGGCGATGACGTGCCAGAGGCGGGAAAGTAAGAGGGAGTTGGCGATGATACTGCGTCCCAGGACCGATAGTTGGCGACCATTTTGTAGGTTGATATGGTGTTTGACTTTTTTGCGTATGTTGTCGAAAAAGGCGTCTCGCTGTGTTCGTGTGAGGGCGATGGGGTAACTCAAATAGACCAGTGCATCCTCCACCCGTTCCGAGTGGATGTGGACATGACCTCGCTGCAGAGCCTGCGAGAGGGTCCCGATGTTCCTGAACAGAGGAAAGACCGTCTTCTTCAAGTTGAGTCGTGCATTCGGGGCTCGTCCAAAGGTGTCTGTAATCTGTTCAGACAGATCCACTCCTCTACCGACTTGATAAAGGTGGTAAGATCATCCGCATATGCCATCAGCTTCAACGGCTTCGCCATCGGGCGGTCGTTGAATCTGAATCCAGTGATACCGGGACTTCTGAGAATAGTGTGGAGGGGAGGTTCAAATGCGATGTGTTGTAGAGGTGAGGTGATAGGGGATCTCCTTGCCGTAGGCCTCGGCGTTGAGGAAACGGGGAGACGAAGTATCCGTTGATGTTGTTAATCTGAGTGCCGAAAAAGAAGGTGAAAACCGAGTCGATGAGGGGGACGGGGAAGTTCATATTCTCCATGACGGCCCGCAAATAGTCTGGGTGGACTCTATCGTACGCCTTTTACTGGTCAAATAAAATTCCAACTCCCACGATCCTGTTCCTCGCAGTGTTCCCGAAAGGCTGCCATGACGAGCCCATTGTCAGAGATGTGTCGGCCCGAGACGAGGCCCGTCTGGAAGGGGGTGATCAGGCGGTTCAGTGGGGTGCGTAGACGTAGTGTGATGATTTTGGTAAATAGTTTGGCGTCAGTGTTGATGAACGACAATGGGCGCCAGCTCCCGAGGTCCGTCGCGTCCCCCTTATACAATAGAATCATGCACGTTTGTTGCCAAGGCCGGGGCATCCTGGCTTCCACAAGGCCTCGCGGCATCACACGGAATAGGAGAGAGTCAACTCCATCGACTAATAGTAGGAAAGTGTAGAGCTCAAATGGGAATCCCACCATTCTAGTGCTTTCCCTCGCGCGCCGCAATCCAGGCCTTCTTTGATCACCTCGGCTTCGATAGGGCGCATGAGAATATCCTGATCCTCCTGCGTGAGAGTTGCAAGAGCGGGGAGGTTGGAGAGTAGTTCCTGGACGGCGGCATTGTCGATGGATCGGGTGTGTATATTTTTTGATAGAAGGATTCGCCGACGCGGCACAGATCGTTGGGAGAAGAGACTGTGACGTCTGAGTCAGGTGTCTTAAGTTGGGTAATGATGCGTTTGGTTGCTCTGGTTTTCAGGACGCGAAAGAAATATTTGGTGCACCGTTCGCCGAGTTCCCGCCATTTGAATTGAATCCTCACCGCCTACGCGTTCATCGAGGCCTCCTGCAGTTTGTCGAGTCTCCGCAAGGTGTCGTGCCATTCTTCCTCCAGCTTGTGGATCTTCTCCGGGTCCAGCATGGGCGCACCGCGCTGCCAATTGATGCGCCGTAGGGCTTGTCCCCGGTCCCGTTGAAGCTTGATCGAGATATCCTGCTTCTCCTTGGACTTCTCTCTCGTCGCCTGCTTGAGTTTCTTCTTCAAAGAAGCCTTAGGGTGATCCAACGTATCCTATAGTTGAGGCTCCCGCATTCTGAGTAGGTCCTCTTTGATCTTGGCGCCCAGTTCCTTGATGTACTCCTTATCGTGTAAAATCGATGTGCTCAGTCGCCAGTCTCCTGGTCCAGTAGTATGCGCCTCCAGACTCAGCTCGCATGAAACATGATGAAAGCATCGTATGATCTGTCCAGTTGTTGTACAAATACGTGTGTGAAGGGGCTATTACACATTCGGCAAGGTCGGGTGACATGAAAATGTAGTCGATTGTTGTTTGATAGTGGTGATTGTTGAAAGCGTGAATGGGAGTGAGTTGAAGGGCTTGAGTGCGTTTATGGTGGTGGTGTTGTTGATCCAGTCTTTCCATGCGCTCGGGGCAGTGTTGCGTAAGTGGTGGTGATAGTCAGGATAATGACATCGTTGCCAGGAGCTTGGATAAAAGGGAGTTGGAGGAGCTCGGTGTAGAAGGCGTTGCGCGGTGTCTAGGCTCCAGATGGTGCATAGCTGGTCACACTTCAAAACAAAACTTTAACCCCGGTGTCGACTGAGTCGACTGATGAAGATTGGACGGTCGTCTACATAGACGTAGGATGAAAGAAAAGTAAGTTTAGAGTGCAAAAGCAACATTGCGCAATGAGGAATCCAGCAGCTGTGGTGAGAGTGTAGGGATTTGTCGAGGTACTGGATGGTGTCAGGGCCGTTTGGCTGGATACATGTCTCTTGCAACTCCAAGATGTCGGTCCTTTGAGTGCTGAGGCATTTGTGAAAATTCCTTGACGCTGTCCGGTCCGTGATCTTGTTAATCGTGCATGCATGGAGAGTGGTTTGATTGTCTTTAACATAACTAGTTAAGACGAGTCGCCGATTGCCTGCTCAGCTCACTAATGTTGTAGGCGCCCCCGAAATGAGCCCGCGGGTGTCGACCAGTAAATTCAGTCGTTGGGGTTGGGGCGCACCCGAAAATGTCATCGTTGCTGTCGAAGTTGTTGTCATCCAGAGAGCTTATGGCCCATTGATATAGTTGGTGACACTGCTTGTACCATTCCTGGTATGGGTGGTGTGGCAGGCGTGGCGGGGTGGACAGGCGTAGTGATTGTAGCAGGTGAGGTCGACTCTATACCTTCCATGGAATATGACACCTGCGTATTCTTGCGGCGTTTCTTGCTGTTGCGCTTGCCGTGCTGTCTAAAGCCTGATGCATCATGTCCCTTGACGTCCTTGGCCGAGAGTGCGTTGTTGGGCTCCTTATTGGTGTTGGACCTGGATGCTACGGAGGTTGACCTTGTATGTTTGGACCTTGGGTCTCGCCGTGGACATGGGAAAACGTTGCCTGCACACACATCTCTCTCACATTACGTCACTTAGGTGGAAGTCAGGCCATCACGTGACAAGCATTCACTTCATATTATTCGTCGACTATGGTTCATTTTTGAACCTCGACTGAGACCTGGCCTTCTTTCTTGTAGTCGACCAAGGGTGGACTACAACTCACCAAACAGAACTTCCAGCGAGAGGAAGCACAAGCTCATATGGCAACTCGGCCCATTGAGAAGTGCCTCCTGTCAGCCTGGACTGTCTGTCCAGTCTGGCGAGGAGTCCACCCAAAGTCGACCGCAAGAAGAGAAGACCAGTTCTCTCCTTGGGCGACGATGAGAGAAGGCTAAGAGAAGGAATGCATGAATGAAGATGAATGAATGAATGAATACATTGTTGGGAATGGAAAAGAAAAGAAAAAGGAAGATGTGGGTTTGACTTTTTATACAAAAAAATTATGTGCTGCCTGTGATTGGTGCAGGTGATCCACCAATAAGGTGCAGCCTAATTTTACCTGAACTGCCCCCACGCGATTTCTCGCCCTTTGTCTTCTGAGCTTAATGTAGGGACCTGAAGCCCGTGCTCAGCTGGCAGAGAAGAAGCGCCAGAGCGAGAAACGCCAACCCCATCCCCCGGTGGAGCCGTCCCCGACTGACACCAACCATCCTACCTAACATTTATACTCTATTTCCTCTGTATTTTATCTGCCCTGCTTTTTTCCGGTTCTCTGTTTATCTGTTTTTCCCAGTTTAAACTTCTTACAAACAAAAAAAATAATGTTGGGACGTGTAGCATTCGTACGGAATAATCACAAGGTGGTCTGTTTCTTTGATCGAAGGGGAAGGGGAAAAGAAGGGGAGATGCACTTAAATCATGTTCCCAAGAGTTGGAATTCCGTAGAAGGACTTCTCAGGACGAGCACGAAAAGACCTGAAACAAATTTTCTATTGTAGATGTAACGTTTGTGTTATCTACCGCAATCGACAATCTACAATCTAAAGCAACGCTATCGCCCCATCCGTCGATCAAATATCCTCCTTACATTAATCCTGTCTCGCACGCGCCATCTCCGTTCTTTTCTTGTCATCCCTCTCTTGTTCTTTCGCTCTTTCTTCACTTTCTACTCGCCTACTCCCTCTTCTCTTCCCTTTTCCCTCTTCACTTATTGCAGTACCCCTACCTATATACCACCGCCACCATGAGAACTCATTTAATCACTTCCATCACCTTCACCGTCATCCCCTGCTTCGTATCGGAATCCTACACTCAGTTTGATGGTACTCTCCACGACGGCTCGATATTCACCTATGTGACTGTCAACTCTTTCCGTCTCACCTTCTTGCTCTGATATTCTTTTGCCTTTGGTGTCAGCACTCGCCAACTCTACCTCTACTGCTCCGAAACCCTTGCGTATCTCGTAAATACACATACTACTATTGGACGATTACAAAAGCCCCCTCCGTCCTCCTAGCACCGCCAAATATCCTGGAAAAAACTAACAGTTCTTTTTCTCTCCTTTCTTTGCTCTTCAATGTGGAACTTTGCATTGTAGATGTTGGTGCCCATCTTGTTTGTGATCCCAAGAGTGGTGCAACAGGCGAAGACTGGGACGAAGAAGTATAGAACGGGGACGAGAGTTGAAGCAGTGATGATTGATATTATTACTATAATACAACTAAATATATATACAAAGTCGCCAACTAGGTTTCTAGGTGTAGTGTCATACAGAGTCAGAGATGATGGAGAGTGACAAGGAATGACTAACTAGAGAGCAATGATAAACCTAATATGTTGCAAATGGTGTTCGATGTTTTTGGTCTACGTTTGTTCCTACACAGGCATGAATCACCTCACCAACTACATCTTTCGTGAGATCCGCGACAACGAACGTGAAATAAGTCTCGTTTGAACGAGATAAAACGACGACAGCACACACACAAGTCATGATACTCCTACAGTACGTGTCAAGGTCACCGAGTCAAGGTTACCTAGGCACTGAATAAAAAAACCACGAGAGAGAACAGATCCAGCTATGTGATCAATTGATCGTCGATCGTGTTGTCCAATTGAGCGTCCAGGCGGAAAGGTTGATTAGCTACCCCCATCCCCTTCTCACCCTACTCCATCCCATCCCCCTCCTTATAAGAATTGCAAACTAGTCGCCACCCCACACACTTTGAAAGACACCGTTTAACCTTTCAATTCAGGGGTCATTTAACGGGAGGATCGGTCGCCCTCTACACAGATCAAAATGCCAATCTTTCACTTCAACGCTCTAGGGATCAAAAGGTTCTTTTTGCAATGTAACCGTTTCCACCTTCCCATCCATTCCTCCAAGAGGCTGCTGAACCTCCTGTCGCCGTCCTCCTCTTCTAGTAGCTCGAAAAACGCTAATGTAAAAGGTTAGAACTCTTATCTGACATACTCGCCCTCACGTTCAACATAATCCTCCTCAGCCCTCGGCAGCAGATCCTTCTCTTCTTATAACTCTTCTTGCTCACTTACCTAACCCCACTCCACCTCTACACAAATTATCTCCACAAACGCCACCCTCTGCTGCCAGTTAATCCTCAGAAACAAAGGCACTCCAGCACACCACCTCACCAGCTCACCAATACAGCAAACCGCCGAACCAACTAAACCAAACTAATCACACAAAACCGTGCCTACCCATTCGTCCTCCTCACTCTCAATAGCCTGGATCATCACAAGCGAGTCTCCTGAAATCCGACCCCCTCGCCCACTAAGCCTGCGACTTTAGTCTCGTCTGGTGGACCGTCAACGCCTACAGTCTTACAACAAACGTCACTCAATTCTTTACGTATAGCCTTGACACTCTTGGACTCCCTGTAAATATATATCCAAACCTGTCGACTTAGGCGCAATGCGTGACTGTACTGTACAGTCAGTTTCCAAAAAAAAAAAAAAAAAAAAAAAAGAGCTTATAAAATTCTTTTTGGAGCCTGACTGTACACAAGGCTAGGACAGAATGTTGCCCTGGCCTTTCTACTGCTATGGTTGCTGGTTGATTTGTTAGAGCCGAATCTCTAGTGGTTTATTGGCTGCTGCTGCTACTGCTGCTGCCGTCACTCTGCATCCTGATATGTGAACTAGTCGTTGTTGTCGACGGAGAGCGTTCAGGGCTAGCGGTACGACTACCATTCCGGCTATTATCCCTGCTATGGGTATCTTCTTCCGACTCTGCATACGTCGGTAAATGGATCCGAGCCACAAGCGCCCTCAGGACATCATCATCCTCCTCCGTCGGCACAGCATCCCGCTCCGCATTGAACGACACCCGTGGGGTCGAAAACGACGTCAAATAAGAAGGCAGCTCACTCAAGGGCTCCCCATTCTCGCCAAACGCCTGCATCTCCAACCCATCTGAGAATGCAGGCGACTCGTCCTCGAACGCCAAAACCTTGACTTCCAACTCATTCTCCAACCGGAATCGCTTAACGCCATCGAATCCGAGAATTGTGAACCGCAAATGATGGGTGACTTTCATGAGTCCATTGTCGCACGAGGGATTACATTGGCTGGATCTCTCGGGTCCCAATTCCGGCATTTCGAAGAGCAGGACCTTGCTCCAGGTGACGGGTTCTGTTGTGGGGAGCCCCTCGGCGTTAACGTGTGGCCAGCCGCCAGACTTTTGGATCTTGACTAACCGCATGTCGATTCGTTTTTTCTGCTCATCTGCACGGTAGACGACTCGTTCCCAGAGGCCGACCTGGAGCACCTCGACTGCAATCTCGTTGTTGGGGGATGTGATAGCGACTTGGAGAGGAACCCTCATGGAATGTGGGAACCGGATCTGAGGGAGCGCAATCCTGTATTTGACTTTGTCATCAATATCATTCACCAACCGCCCTCCGCGCTGGTACGCCCGCGACAGAGGTCCCTCCGCAACATAGCGCCGCAAGATGCAGACCGATGTAGTAGCAGTGGTGGTGCTGAAAGAGATTCCTGGTTTGGTGAGGTTGGCGGTGAGGCGGTAGACGACCTTTCCGTGGGTAGTCGTCATGGTCTCGGGGAGGTTGTCGGGTAGTTCCAGAGAGAAGGGGAAGGCGTGTTGACCGGTCTGCAGGACTGTTGAGGGCTGCTTGTGTTGGTGTGCGATCAATGGCCATGTATGTTCGATGTGCGGTGCGCTCATAAATCGTGTAGCCGGCGAGTATGCATTATCTAATTTATGGTAGAACGACAACACTTTATATTTAGCAAAAAAAAAAGAAAAAGGGTCAAGTAGACCATTTTTTAACGCGATAGGGCAACAATCACGATGAGGCTTACCATCGACCCAAGTGAAGGAGGAGTGACCAGAAAACTCGAGGTTCAAGGTCTTGATCTTGGTAGTCTTTTGCAGAGTGAGGTAGAGAGTGCCCTCCAGAAGAGTAGTCTTTCCTGTCGTGAGAACAATGTCCTTGTTTGCCACTTCGATCCTGAGGGTCTTGATATGCTGAGGAACAGGGTGATCGCCGTGAGAGTGAGGGGTATGTGCAAAGAACGAAAAGGGCGAGGGTATGGTATGGTGGTCGTGACGGTTATGATGCACAGCTGGTGGAGGTGATGAAAAGAAACTGGTCACTGCCGAATTGGCTGCCGCAAGGGACCGGGTATCGCGTGAAGAAGACGATTCCCCTACGGGTGAAGAGAGCATGACCTCAGTCTCTGCAGGCGTAAACGAGTTCGAGAGGGGCGAAGTCCTGTGAACGACCGACAAGGTGGTCGCAGTTGTCCTTGGAGGAGCAGGCGAGGATGCTCTTGTGGGTGTAGTGGATGAAGGGTGATGGCGGATGTTATGGAAGGACTCTTCGTCGACGACAACGATTTCCGAGTGGTGTGAGACCATGTCTGAGTGGTCGTCTGAGGGGGCGGGGGTGGTGCCCACGGAGCTGAAAGCCGGGGGCAAGTCATCCGAGTGGATTTCTGTTGAATCGTCGACGGCAGAGGCAGAGGAGGAGGAGAAGTAGAAGGGGGGGGAGTCTGGAGGGGAGCCAGGGGGGCTAATCTGGTTGTCGCACAGGAAATGGCCTGTGTACGATGCTTGCGGTGCAATTGCTGTCATTTTTGTTATGGGTATGCGAATGAGTGATGTTGGTACAGAGATATTAGGGGTGAGGGAAATGAATGCGAGTGAGAGTAAAAGTGCGAGTGAAAGAAAGAAAGAAAGAAGAAAAAGAAGAGGTGATGATATTTCAAAAGCGGGATGTGGAAGAAAAAGGGCGGAAAGGAAGAACAGAATTAAGTTGGTGAAAAGGCAAAATTGAAAAAGACAAAAAAAATGTGGGTGAGTGCACTCTATTTATTCATTTCCTTGGTCAACAGGTACTCGTCGGCAGTCAATGCTCAACTCATCTTTCTTCTCTTCCCTTCGTTCACTAATTCACACAAACCCGACTTCAACCATAGCCCAGACCATTCTCTCGGTACCACCCCCACTCCACACCGATTCCCATCGCTCCTCACGCTCACATCCCACCTTTCACTGTCCCCCTTCTTTCGTTCTTCCGGTACTTCTTCTCTTCATTCCTTCTTCCCTCCAACGCGAGACAAGTCCAGGAGCCAACGTTCTCATCATCAACGAACATGTTGCTGGATCGAACAAAAATCGACTGTGAAACATTAGACCATGACCGCACCCCCATTTCCATCCACTCCATTCGTCAACGTGCTACGTTCAATGGAAACCCTGGAAAGAAGAAGCCGATTCAAATCTAAAACGACTGTTGGCGAGAGATCCTCAGATCCTACGGGTGTAGAATTGCCGTTCCCGTTTGGTGATGACGGAGGGAATGGTGTAGAGAAAGTGACGAAGAAGGGGGTCTTTGGAACTTGGTGCGGGGAGAGTTTTGCCTTGGTGTGAATCTTTTTCCAATCGAGGAGAAGGGGCTTGGGTGTCAACATCTTCATCATGCAAGACAGAAGGGAGAAGTGGTGGTCAATTGGGTGCACCTTCATCTTGGTTGTCCGTTGTGCATCCTAAAAGGCAAACGCCTCCCTTTGCACGTCCCTCTTCTCGTTATCCCTGTGACAAATCCTCTCGGATGTCCCTAAATACATAACCCACGCTACATACATACACAAACAAAAGATTCAAATTTTCCCTCACAACAATCATGCATATGTGCCACACCCATGACGAAGCAAAAACGTCTCTGCGAGTACAATTGTCTTGGACGCACGAGGGATGGAGGGAGCAAGAGCAAAGGCAAGCTCGTCATTTCATGTATATATTTCTTACGAGTCCTTCTTTTCCTTTCTTTTACCTTCTCGTTGTACCTCATTTTTACTCCTCGGTGTCGACAGCAAGAGAGAGGAGGGATAAAGGAGGAAGGAGGATCTCGGAAGTGTTGAAATGAGACGAATGGAAATCGTTCATCGGAGAAGGAGCATCCATCCAATGATGTTTGCTTGTCAATTTTTTTTGTAAGAGCGCAAAAATGCAAAATGCTAATTGCTAAGGCTATTCAGGAGATGGGAAGGCAGTGGACGATGATTCTGTCGGTGCTATCGCTGTTGAGTCTGTGAAGGGTTTGAGAGCAGAAGTTGCGACATGATGGAACGAACAAAGACAATGGGGCGGAGAGGAAAATAGTAAGGGAGAAACAAAAAAACGTGGCGTTTGTCAGAAGAAGAACTATGGCCGACAGAACTCGTCCATCAAAGTGTCAACAACAACACCAACAGGACAAGGAAACAAGAATGAGTCATGAATAGGGATGGGACATCGAACGAGAAGAAGGAGGATCCCTGCGTTGTTTGTCATGGGTAGCATCGGTAAACAGACAAAGGGAGGACTCCCACGCATCCAGTAAAGGAAACTAACACCGAAGGGGTGAATAGACAAACAATCAAAAATCTTCCCCTCTCCCTTTCTCACCCAAACCAAAACCAAACCAAAACATAATGACGATCGGGACAACATTGTGAACCATAAACTGCAAAATGGGCGTAGACTGATCACACACACAAACAAACACGCGAGCGATGGACACGACGACGTCGTAATAGCAGAGGAACAAAGAAAGAAGACAATGTGAAATTACATTATTTTTCTATTGTGCCATCCTTAGCTCAAACGACGACCCACGACAATTCCTCTATCGCCGTTCTCTTTCTTCCCTATCTTTCTTTATATCTTTTATTATCCCTCCTTTGTCAACACAACCCACAATAATGAAAAGAGCAGAAAGGCTGAAAGGATTTCAAAAATAAAAAGACTTCATCATTGATCTGCTCTTGAAAAAAAAAATGAAATCAAGGAAGAATTCTAAATCCGCTCCGATGAACCCCACTTCTCCGCATTTTCTAAAAAATGGGTTCTTGTAAGAAAAAAACTGGGGTTTGCTCCCTTGTCCTGGGGTTGTCATGCCCTCGTTCTCCATGCCGTCCTTTCACCGTTAAACCCAGAGACTAACTGGAGTGACCCACATTTTTTCGGTCTTTCTGCTATTTGTCCCCACGCCCCTGGTCTAAAATCCACCACCCCAATGCTGCTTCGCCGAACCTGTTCCTGAATGCGCGCCATTAATTTTTTCGCAAAGGCTCGATCAGTTCGATCTGCGTCGCACGTGATGGCTTTCATGGCATTGGCAAAGGCAAAGACCAAGATTGCGAAGAGGACGCCCACGGTCGCAATAGTAATCGAGCGAGCAAGATAGACAAACAGAAGAGATGATTGTAGAAAAAATAAATACAGTTGATGTTGTTATTATGAGAAATGTACAAGAAACTACTCTCCTACCGGTACGAAAATGAACGCTAAAAAATGAAATGCAAGGAGAGAAAATGCCCAACCGATGAACACTTCATGGGGACCAGGTCTCACGATGGAAATCAACCGACCACTTGGCCTTCCTGTTGGCCTTCTCAACAGTGTCCAAGAACCCATCGGGGCCACCCACAAACACCGTCGTCGTCTTGCCAGCTATTTCCTTCTTGCCCGAGTCAGCCTTCACAGCCTTGGTCTTGCCCATTCCAACATCCTCGGCCATCAGGTCAACAATATATTTCTCGACATCCAAACGCGAGGGCTGGAAGGGGATAGTGCCATCATATTCCATGATCTGGGCATGGAGTACAGACTCGAGGTAGGCGCGAGTGTTGCCAGAGGTGGCGCCGTCATCCGCAGCGGCCTTGGCGGCATCGGCCTCACGACGGGTGGCGCGACGACCAAGGTAGATTAGGATGTATCCAATGATTGAGGCAACACCGATCTGGACAACTCCGGGGGTCATGGTATAGTTCCACATGCATTTGTTGGTCATGTTCTGGTCATAGATGCGGGTCGTCTGGCACCAGAACCACTTATCCTCGCCGTAACCCTCGATGGGCGTGTAGCGAATTCCAATGTAGGCGGCAAAGGGGATCAAAAGCATAGCGGCCGTGATGAGCAAGTCGCGGGTAGCATGGATGGTCGAGACGCGTGCAGAGTCGGCAGCCAAGAAAGTAGGCAAAATACGGCCCTGATACCGCTGCTGCTGGTTGTCAACGAGGATTTTACCGGGTACAGACTTCTTGGCATCTCCAAGGAGCTGAGGCTGTTCATCCTGGGCGACAGTTGCGATGGACTCGACGGGGGAAGTGGGAGGGATGATATCGCCACTGTGATGCTGCGATTTCTGGCCGGCCTGGGTCTTGGTGTCGATGATGGTGCAGTCCTTGTTGGAGTTGGTGATGACGCGGGGAATCTTCTCAGCACGCGAGACATGGATCGAGGTTCTCAACCAGGACGTGAAGCGAACGTCGTGGGTGATCTGGTGCAAGAAATCGCCATAGGAGTAGAGCTCGCTCTCGTAACGGAATGTGCAGATCAAGTACATACGGAGAGTCTTCTGTGGAACACCCGAAGCAGCCTCGGCGTCGATGCGGGCAGCAATCGACTTAATTAATGGCATGAAAGTAGTAATAGCGGCACCAGCTATTTAGATGAAGAAAAAAGAGAGGCTTGCTTAGTTACTTGTTCACGAGCTAGGCTTACTTACTCCAATTCACTGACTATCGAATGTAGCAAGAGAATACAACTTACCGGCGAAGATAACGATCTCATCAGCACAGAGGTAATCATGCATACGGTCTCCAAAGACACCTTCAACATTCATGGGAAGGAGAACAGACTTTCCGCTCTGTCCACAGAGACCAGCTAACTGACCAGTCCAGCTGTCCTTGTTCTCTCCAAACGTCCTGATGTAAAGCGTCATCGAATAAGGATCCTCAGGCCAATACGACGCAATGGTAAAGGGATGATAGATCTCTCCCAAGGATCTCAACTGCAGGGAGATATAATCGCCAGGGTAGTAAGGCTTCAGGGGCTCCAAGCGGTTCCTGGAGGTGATGACCATGGTGAGAATGTCCGAGTGCTCGTCAAAAGTACAGATCACATCACGACCGACAGAGAAGGCCTGGACAACCTTGGGGATGAAGCGATCGGCGAGGAAGAGACACATCGAGGGGACGACGTAGTACCAGGTCATGAAGTAAGGATAGTGCATGAGGGTACCGGCAAGGGAGATGATGGTCAACCAGCGGTGAGAGACGATGAATAACCAGTAGCCGCGGCGACGGACTGCGGGAAGCGACAACAGTCCCAATGCAAACATTGCAGCCTAATGAAACAGAGAGTTATATAGTAAGGTGATATGTTAGTACTTTGGTCCTGAATGCCAAAAGAGCAGTAGTATGCATGCATGCATGCATGAATATGATTACATACCAAGGCCACAAAGCCGACAATGTTCTGAGGCCCTCTGGTCTCGCCGTCAAAGTTAATTTGACCGGCCAAGTCGTTGTCAAGGCCAATATGGATCATGTATCCGACTATGCGTGTTATTTTTGTTGATAGGGTGATGAACAGAAGATAACAAAAGAGATGTTAGTTCAACGTTCACGAACGTAAACGAGCATGCGTCTTTTTTGACACCATAGGTAAACATCAAAGCCATATTGAAGCTGGACAAGAGCAAAACTTACTAGTATGGACAGTGGACCAGAAAATGATGGCGAAGCCCATTCCACGGTGGAGGGGCAGGAGATCGGCATAGGTGAATCCTAGGGCGTGAAGCATCGAGCGGCGTAGGACCAGAAGCAAGATCATGCCACAGGCTCCCATTGCTGCATAGCCACTTCCGAATCCAATGTAAACTAGTTCACATAAGGAAGGATGAAGGACAAAAGAGGATGGATGTTAGAAGACAAATAATAGGTGCTAAAGGACCGCATCCCCGATCAGCAAAATAGTACGCGGTTATAGTCCAAGATGAATGGCCAATAGTTGAACAAACGTACCCGACCAGATGGCAAGAGGACTGTCCTCGCCCGGATCATCAAGTGCCTCGCCGATGTTGTGCGAGATGGGCTGAATGAACCAAACCATGTTGACCGCAAAGGCAATGAACGACAGGAACCAGTACTTGACCGTGTACCCAAAGTAACCATCCTTCTTCTCCCAAAACGAGATCTGGTTCAACCTCTTGGCAACACGTTCGCTCAACTCCAAGGCGGACGGCCAGGAGACCTGGCTGATGCTTCGCTGGAAGATCGAATCAGCGCGGTAGTAGTGGCCCCAGATGGTGACAAAGTGAGAGATGATGGCCGGCGAGATGCAGTAGCCCCAGAAGTAGTAGTCGCGAAGACCAACAAAGTAGACCTCCAAGACCGTGTTCTTGGTGGTCCAGAGCCAGCTGTAGTCTCCAATCCAAAAGATAATGAGCACCAGCGCGAATAAAACTGCGACAACCTTGTATACTTCCACCATTGTGTGTGTAGGTGTAGTGTGGTATATGGGGAGTGGTCAAAAGAGTGTAAAAAATTAAGGTATGTGAAGGTACACAAAAGCAAAGGAATGGGGAGATGGACAGCAGCGCTGAAGATCTGAGGGTATTTTTCTTAGGCTGAATGAGGAGGGGAGGTAGTGGCGGTGGTGCAGTGGTGAAGCTGAGCAACGAACAAATGCGATCAGTGGGAGGAGGCCCTCTTTTATAGACAAGTCTCCTCCCTCGGTTATTGTACTGATTTCCCGGGCATCCACGTCCCGAGGAAGCGATCACACAAAAGGTACATTAGTAATCATAGTATGAAAAAAAAACAAGAGAAGGAACAAACAAAAGGTACCACCGATGTTGATGGTGAATGGTTGAGGGGTTGTTTTTTGTCGGAGAGGTCTAGGCCGAGTGGTCGGGGAGGAGGATGGAAAGAGGAAGGAAGGCGAGGGGTCATACAATCTGGCGTTGTCCTTTGGACTGTGAGCAAGTGAATGAGTGAATGATTAAATGGATAAACGAGTGAGTGTGTATGTGTGAATATGTCTCGGATGCGCGAATGACTGCATGGCATCGTTAAAGAGTAGAGTTGGATACCTGCCCGTTGTCCGTTTAGTGGTAAGCGGTAAGTGGCTAAGGGTAGAGTTGACGGGCCTGAAAGATATCAACAAAAAAGAGGGTCAACGAAAATACACCTGAGATCGAAAAACAGACAGAGAAAGAGAGATGGGCGTAACACGAAAGGAGAAAGAAGCGAAAGAAAAGGACACTGTTTTTTCAGGCAACCAAAGCTGTGTCATCCAGCGATCCTTGCTCCCTTCTTCCTTCGTCCTGTTCTTCCCCTCCTTCACCCTTGTTCCTGATCCTCGATCCCCACCCTTGCAATCTGGTACAGTAGATCAGTGTTGTATACCTGCGCTCTGCTTTTTCTTTCCTTCCTTCTCACACTTCTTTGTATCCCTTCAGTCATTCAACTGCCAAAGTGTGCATTCATTATCAGATGGCTGTCTACACCAGTTGGTGATGTATTCTCCCGTGCCATAAACCTAAAAAAAAAAGTGAAAATGTTTTGCCTTTATCTGATCCCTTTTATGTTTTATTATCAGATCCTCCCTTTTTGCACTGACCTGTGCCTGTGAGTAAGAAAGAAAATCATGTCCCTCGTCCCTCACTCTGTTTTGTGTTTGAATTTTTAAGCCCAGACACCTGTTCCCTGTCTGTCTGTCCCACTATCCCTCTGTTTTTCACTCTTTTTCACTCTCAGAGTCTCCTCATGGCTGAAAGCGGAATGGAATAGGACTCGTAGTCTAAAAAACGACTAGGGGCAACAGCACACACAACAGCACACAACAAAAAAAAAACGGCCCAGGGTCCCTCATGCTACTTTGGGAAGCACCCACACACGCTCCCCAACCAAAACAACTCAGTAACACTCAAGAAACCAAAGCGAGACGCACATTTCCTACCCGATTTGAAAGTCCACACCACAAACCACACAACACACAATACACAACACATTTGGCGCATTTTCTTGCTTGTTTGTTTTTTCAAACAGTGCCTTGTCATTCGCCTCATAGAGTACTGTAGGTTGGTTATGTGTGCCTGTGTATTTTTTTCCCACCCCGTGTTCACTCTTTTTTTTTTTCTTCTTTTGCCACTGTTACCCGAGTCTTGTTTGTTGCGTTCCGTGTGTAGATAGAGGAGGTACCATCTCACTCTATCTCTCCCTGACATGCAGTGTCACCCAAAGATACCGAGAAAAAAGTCAATAAAATCCACCTCCTCCTCTTACCTCACGTCTTCTTCCCTTATCCTCTCTGCACGACTGTAGCCATCAACATGTAAAATGATGAACAAAAAAAACACAATACGAATCGATGTCCGCCTCCCATCATCTCGAAAAGCCCGAACCATTGAAAAAGGAAAAATCAACATAACAAACCATTGAAAGAAAATTCTGTGGTTTTTATTTTGGAGGATAGCAAAACAGATGGACAACGGACTTCCGACTTTGTCTCCCCCCTCCTCCTCTTACCTTTATTCGATCATTCTCAGGCTCCCGAGTTCCGTCTCGGCCTTTACCGAGGATGCAGGAGTAGAATGAAGGAAGGAGAAGGAGTAGGAGTTGAGAAAAGTAGGGCTAGACCGAAAATTGAAGGAAAGAGAGAGAGATAGAGAGAATGAGCGGACTGATATTCAATGTATGTAGCAGAGCTCATGTACGGTAGATCTAGAAGCGTGGCGTAGACCCTCCTTGGAGGAAAGAAGGATATGCAGACTAAAAGATCTTGGAGGTGGAAACACAAATAGGGATCAAGCGACCCCCCCCCCCCCCCCTTGATCAGCCGTGTACCAGGAGACATGGAGATCTTGGACGAAAAGATGGAGAAGTAGTCGAGGAAAAAGTGAGAGAAGGAGAAGGTGGATGAGAGTGTTCATCTCCGAAGTTTTTCATGCAAAACGATGCAAAAGATGCGCCGAGCAAGGAGTGGGAATATCGGCGTTTGTTTGTAATTACGTTGCTGTATGGCCCATCCAAGAGATCGAGGAAGATCTGCAGTAGCTGTAGCTCGTTGATGTTGTTGTAGTTATCTTGACGTCGCGGCATTGTGGTTGAAAGATGGGAATGCGGATATGGCTCAAGAAGAGTAGGTAAACAAGCGAACAAGCACAATTACATGTGGCCAACAACCGCCAAGAGCGGATAAAATAAATAAGAACAACAACAAAATCTGTCCAGTCCCTCTCCGTGAGAATCTCTCTACCATGAGGTGTACTGTACCTCCAAGTAAAGAAAAACGAAATGCTCTCCCAATTCAGCATCGATCGGCCGAATTCGTGGTAGAGCGATATTCTAGACCCGCTCACTTTCCTACAGCCGCGCGGGATGAAAAACATGGGCACAAAAAAATAAAGATCGAGTGGCTAAGCCGTCCATATGTGAGAGCGGAGAGAGGTTCCGAGGGTCAGCGAAACATGTCTTTAACTCCCTATTCATGTCTCGACATCACTAGGGACACCTTGGAGACTAGGACCGGCGCCTGATTGTAGCGGATCAAATTCTTTTGTATTATGGATTGTATTTTACGTCATTGCCCAGCCGGAACTAGATAAGTTGGTGGCGTGACAGAGTTCAAACCAAATTCGTATTCAAGATAAGGTTGTTTGCTGGGTGCAACCGTAGCGGTTATAGAACTTTGAGTGACACGGCGAAAATAGAAGATTAAGAGATCCTTATCAGTCTGGCTGTGGGAACTACTGTACTGGAAGATCTGACAAAGGAATACAACACCAGAAAGGGACAGAAGCTCTTGAGCAAATAATCGCGTCGTGCACATTAGACGTAGCACGAGTCGCGGTTTTACTTAGATCGCAACCTGGTAGAAGATGGCTAGGAACTGTTGCTACCAACCAGAGATGACCCGACGAAAGTAAACAAAAGCTGAGGAGAGTTCGTAAGGAGTATAGAAGAAATGGAACTCTAGTGCGACGAGCACAGTTATGAAAGGGACAGGGATGAACAAGAGACTTTTGACGGAGCTGGGCACTTCTAACGATTTCCACTAGGCACTTGAAGACAAGTATTCATGTGAATTCAAAGAAGAAGTAGAGCCACGTCGATCGAAAGGAGGACAGAGGAGAAGAGCGGAGAAGTAGTAATAAAAAGTGACCACTTGCCATAGGAAGGGAAAAAAGAGAGAAACAGCGTCAGCTCTAACAACTCGTATAGCATCATATAATACAACGATGTCATGGTTGTTGGTGGAAGTGTTCCTGAGTTTGATTTTAGCATATGTATCAGTCTCGCTTCTCCAGTGTGAACACACGCGATGGGACTGGTCAGGTTTGAGATTACACTGTGAGCGAACACAACAAACGAACAGAGACACCAGGACACGAAACTTGCCGTTTGCTCGAGGACCGTACCTTCTTGCCGTGGAGTCCTTGCACAGCCTGTTTGACCTGGCTCACTTGCTCGTCTACTGCCTTTTGGCATAATAACCATCACCGGAAAAAAAGAACTCTCAAATGAAAGTATTGTCCTTAACTGAGCCTCTCTTCTCTCGTTCCGTTCCAAGTCAGTAAACCTAACATAATGTCGGATAGCCAATGCGGTGGATACCAGATGTCTATCTTAGTGACCCATAAGAAAGCTGCTCTTCGCAAAGCCCAGTCCAAACGTGTCTGATACCCCTGTTGTCGAGCGGATGTACTTGATGCGAACACCAAAGCGGTATAAGTGTGTAAACGTCGACAATAGTCTCCGCTCTTTGTAACCGACCTCGGGCATTTCAGTAGAGTCTCCATGCCAAGTGGAAGGTGAGAGTGGCTCAACCAGGGTCTCATGTTATCGTGTTCTTGTCTTAATAGTAGAACCCACTCCAGGAACTGCCACCAAGTTTAGATCGAAAGAAGAGCCGACGACATCCCACCGGATGTAGTCACATGGATACCCTGGTATAAAGGTTTGTCTCCTCTGTAAGCTTATATATTGGGGCTGTTACTCAACTTTCCAAGTAGACACTTGAAAAACAGCCCTCCAGTACATAACGCTCAAATGTTTTGCAACAAAAATAATAAGAGCTGGTTTTTTTTGAGTGGGAGAGGGAAGGGTCCACCATCGTGTAGAACCACCTTTATTCTTAATAACTGCTTTCATTCTTTCTGGTATGTCATTGATGAGTTTGTCGAGGTAGCCCTTGGAGATATTCTCCCACTCCTCATTTAGGGCCGTGATCATGTCGGTGGGGGTTCTGGGTCGGTTACGTCGAACGTGAACAGTGTGTTTTAAGAGAGACCACACGTTCTCGATGGGGTTGAGATCTGGGACTGCGCCGGCCACTTGAATGTCTCGAGCAAATTGCTTCTCCCTCCATGCCTTGGCTACTTGTGCACGATGAATAGGAGCCTCATCCTCCACCAAAAAGGCGTTAGAGGTCTGTCCAAGAAAGCCAAGCAACTCCCCATTGTAGACGATCTCGACAAAGTCCACGGGTTTGTTTCGACCCGGAGGAATAACAACAAAATTGGACGTACAGGTTCCAACAAAAGCCTCCCCCCCCCCAAAACCATCATATATGTCCTCCCACTCTTGGATGATGGGGCAAGACACGGATTGGAGTATTTCTCGCTTATGGTCCTCCAAACACGAACTTTGCGAAAGTTCTTCCCAATTCGAACGACGAATTATCGGTCCACACCACCTTCTTCCAATCATCAGCGGTCCAATGTTGATTCGTTATCGCAAACTCCAACCTCGCCTTTTATGCTTCACTGTATGTGATTAGATACGGAGTCTACTAAGAGTTCTTCTAACTGTGGCCTTGGACACCTTGGTGGGAAGGGAGTTGACGATCTCACTCAGGGTGGCACGGCGGTTCTTGTTGACAACGGAAATAAGAGAACGTTCATCTCGATTGTTGAGCTTGCGAGGACGACCAGAAGACAGTTTCCTCTCGACAGTGCCTGTTTTTTTGTAGAGCTTAAGGATCCTTGAGACGGTCGACTTGTGAACTTGAAGAGTATGGGCAATCATGGCGGCTTTAGAACCAGCGAGGCTCATGCCCACAATCCGGTTGCGCAAGGCATCGGACACAACCATTGACGGACAACGGGGAAGGATGTTGTGAGAGTTATAGGGTAAAAGTAAAAAAGAAGTTTTTTTGCTCTTATTTTGTTTTGTTTTGTTGCAAAACTTTTGGAACCGCGTTCTACAGGAGTGTGCTCACGACATCGGGGCAAAAACGTGGACCAATGTTGCTGACGCGGATAGAGGGAAGGAATACTCACAGCAGAGAGAGAGGAGAGTGAAAGGTGGAGGTGATATTGTTGTGTCTGGTTGTTGTAGTAGCGGTGGGTCGAGTTGTTGAAGTGTCGAGTTCTCGAGGTGTTAGAGTTGAGTGGTAGAGTGGTTCAAAGTGACAAAAACAACCAGGAAGAGAATAATCCATGGAATTACGCTATCGGTGTATCTTGTCGTCGGTCCACTGTTACCGACCGAAGAGGACTCTGGTTGTCGTAAAGAGCCAGCGGGTTTTTGGTGGAATGGAGAGAGAGTATAAGCTTGAGGGTTGTCTATGGCCCACTTGTTCAGGAAGCGCGATCCTGCCGGGTCTCAATGAGTATAAAGAGAAGAGTAAAGAAAGAGCTGGCAATGGTTCTTCCTGTTCGTTTTTCATATTCCGTCTCGCAATCAACACCATCCTCTCCACACTCATGTACGTCTCTAAGTAACGATAGCTTCCACTGAGATCACGCATCCGTACCAGAAGTAGTGAGTGTATTTGGTGGAATGGCGCCTTGGACTTGATGGACAGGAGAGGCGAGGCGATATGTTGTTTAGATTGAGCGGATTCATGAACGGGATGGTGTAGTGAAAAAAAAAAGAAGGGAGGAAAACGCTTTAACACCTCTTGGTTGGGGGATGGAATGCTGAACCTCTCGTCCAGAATAGTGACGGCAAAAAAGGATCAACAATTCAACGAGGCCGCCCTGCAGTTGGTCGCGCAGAACCTTCGTATGTCGAAAATCTGGCGAATCCTCGTGCACGCGATCCGTCCCTGTCGTCCTTTGCGTGTCCACCAAGCCCACCAGAAGCATCAGTCGTCACCGTCCAGCAGTATCAGTGTCAGCAGCAGCAGCCTTTATTCGTTGAAACTTGTTTGTCGTGGTGCCCAAGCCTTGAAGGGTTTCTGCTCCATAATCGAGAACAGTCCTCCCAACCTCAAAGAGCTCACTCTGCATAGTCATCAATTGCAACACCCATTCTACAAAGTCTCGAGTCCATCAAGAACAGCAACAACACCATCCCCTCCACCGATCCCTCCGCCAGTCGGGACTTGTTGGGTCTGTTCAGGGTTGGAGACACTGTCGATCTGTATTTGGGACCTTGCTGAATACGAGGCCGAGCTGGAGTTGGACAAGGGCGGGAATAGCTCACCCTTTGACACCGACGCGGAGCTCGCCTTGTACCTCCGCAAGATCCACAACTTGACAGAATCCCACCGCCGGCTCAGGTCCATCACCCCCAGTCTACAGAACCCCAGCCTGGCATGGGCCACCTCTCCCAAGACACTCCCTATGACCCTTATAGTCACGACATTGACTTCCCCGACAGCCTGCGCTGGATGAATCTCAAGCGGCTCCCAGTCTCCGGCGGTCTCGAGTCCACAGCAACCGCTCAGGAGGTGGCGATACAAAGCCAGTCGAGGAAAAAGAGCAACTTGGCTTTACAGCGCAGGCTCCAAGATTCGGGCATCTTGGTTTTCGAGATCCGGATGGGGTTTATGCGAAGTATCCGTTCTGCACCTGTTGGTATTACGACAGGTGGGAGGAAGTAGGGTGATGTTTGGGAGTGGACTGTTTTGATGAAGGAGGTGTCGTTTGAGGACGTTCATGATGCCTACAAGTTGCGGGGTAGTAGGCGTCGTCGCGAAGGGATGAAGCGTGGGAATAAACATGATGGTAAGCCTTTGCGCGTCTTTTTTCTTTCTGTACGTCTGTACGGGAGAGCGACAACAACAAAGAGGAACCACGAAGCTATGCGTTTTCAAGATGCGTCCAAAAAAGTGACCTGACAGGGGAAACGAAAGGGTCGCAGCAAGAAACGAGGGTTGGTGTTGATTGTTGTTGGAGTTCTTGGCAGTATTTTTGGTTATGGATCTTGGCACCTTAAGTGGAAGGAGCAGCGAGTATGGTTGATGCATGTGTTTGCAGGTATTGACGTTTGTATCAACAAGTCCCACCCTGGGGCCTACTGAATGAGAACAAGGCGTACGAAGCAAAAACGTTTCAGGGCAGGTCATTGATAGGCTGGTGATCATTGATTGAAATCAGTCTCCGCGCCACGTTGCTTGCCGTGCTTGGGTTTCGATTCAGGAACTAAAGGAAAGGGGCAAGAGCAATGAACGCCTTTCATCTGAGGACCATTGTGCTAGACGGAGGCTCCTGTCGTGAATACCATGACGAGTTCAGAGAGTTTTATCCTACACCAACGCCGTCATCGTCCTCTCCACTTCCGTCGACCTAACTCTAGACCCACCTTCATCCAGCCAGCTTATTTCTCCACCACCGCTCATATTCCTGGAAAAAAAAAGAGAGAAGCCTCCCATACCAAGCCAGATGCTTCCTCCAGGGCAGCCCTCGTCTCACATCCTCCACAACCACAACATTGGGATCGAAAATGACTTCACAGTCAAATATTGGGCAACAACAATATCTGCTGTCAAGATGCTGGAGACGTTGTATTTGGATTTTAAAGTGCACTCAGCATATGGTGTCGTCCACATTATTCCGACCATCTTTGCGGACTGTCCCAGTCGCTCAAGTCCGTCACCCTTCGATCGTACGGTTCCAGAGGCCTCCACGTTCTGCACGCCCTGGTCGACCCGGCTATTGATGATCCGTTTTCAACGTACCGGCTCTAACCAACAACAACAACAACCTCCCGAATCTGACAAAGTGGAAGACGATCATCCCTTCACTTTCGTTCTATGACTTTACATCCTTCCTTGAGATGTAGTTTTAATGCCAAAATCTGGTTCCGATGGACAGTCGACCGTCAAGGCCCGATGGTTCTTCTTCTCTGTCTTCTCTGTCTCCGTCTTCTTCTCTAGTGGTACGACTGTTTGTGGCAGGTTCTTCCGATTATCGCTATCCAGTTAATAGGATCATTCCGCATCTGAAAATTATTCAGAACATGTGCGCGGCAATATTTTCTGCCGTGATGGCTGTCCTGCAAGAGAACACGCTGGAAACCGTCGAACTCACGAGGTATAACGGCATGGAGGAAGGCGACGTGGAGAAGATAAAGGACGAAAAAGTGAAGAATACCGAGTCAATGGACACAGTGGAGTTGGTCCCTTGGACCAAGACAGTGATAACAGATGAAGGTACGAGGGTGGAACGAAAACCGTCGATGCGCCACTTTGAGTCCCTGCGACGGTTTGAAATGAACAAATGTCGTCGACTGGACTCCATCCTGCTCCAGAAAGTTCTGTTCGATTGTCTACACCTGGACATATGTAATGCCTTGACGACCCCAGTACGGTTGGAGGATGTGACTGAGGAGGCGTGGGCGTCGACAGGGATTCATGACCTCTATATCACCATCAACAGCAGTATGATCCGGATACCTGTCGGATCGAACAACACGGGCGAGTCGGATCACCAGCAGAAGGAGAAGATGGAACGACTCGAGATTTTTTACCAACAATTGGGCAGGCTGACAGAGCTGAAGATATTGGACACGAGACGGTATGTCAAACGCCCTGCACCACATGTTAACTTCCGCTCTGCCCTCTCGACGTTGGAATACTTTCTGCCAGGGCTGATGAACCTGACAACCCTCCGTGGACAGTTCCATGCCAATATCAACACTGCGCCAGGATTCATCTTGGGAGGGAAGGAGGTCGCGTGGATCACTATCAATTGGCCAAGGCTGGAGAAGGTTGAGTTCTACACAGGAGATTATGCCGTCGACTCGCCAGAGGTCTCCTCCTCTGTTGAATAGCAGCAGATAAAGTTACCTCATGTAGAGTTCCTCCCTTTTAATTATTAGCAGCAGTAATAATGCGCATTCACCGGCATATGCGAATACAGGAAACAGTTTTATTCAACATTCATATACTATCGGAAGGGAGAAAGATATTCCTAACGAACGCTGCCATTGTGATTGCGAACCCATACCAGGAGTAGCGAGTGTTGTTGATATACGCCCTTAAACTTGGTAGACAGGAGAGGAGGGGTGAGTGCGAGTTAGATGGTGTGGGAAGCTGCTTAAATACTCGTATAGAGTCCACTATTTTCACTCACTCATCCACCCAAGCATTTCATAAAAATTCTTGGCGGTTGCAATCATTATCACTCTACATTGACAAAGCCTATCGACCAGTAGTAACACACGAACAATAGGATCAGCCACTAATCAGCAGAACATGACCATTCGCAACAAAGCAAGATATATTTGAGGTAAAGTATGCTGTCAGAACCTCAGGAATGTCTCATACAGTCAAAGCTGCTAAATGACCGGCGCGACAAAAAAAATGCAAAAAGAAAAACGCCCAAAAAAAAATTGACAAGTATTGGAAGCACGAAGGCTACTCGCCACGCTCCAGCTCGCGTCTTTTCTCCCACTCGCTCATCGTATGCTCGACCTCGGGTTCACTATGCATATTATCCCTCACACTCGACCCACGCGCAGAGGAACGTCTGCGGCCTCGTTGGTCCCGTGAAACATCCGGTCGTCGACGACTCTGTTCCTGTCCTTGATCGTAACTTTGCTGACTCGCGCCTGGCGACGATGGACGCCTCGAGCTCCGTGCTCGCAAAGACTTGTCCCTGGTTCGTCGGTTGTTGTCCTTCAAGCGGTGGAACTTATCCACTTCGTACTCCTCAAATTCGAATCCACGATAACGGTCGTGGCCGCCAGTCCTCTGATGCAACTGTTGGCGCTGACCATTCGATCTTCGTCCGTCATGGTCGCCTCGGTGGTGACTGTGGTTGTCATGATGTCGGTGGTGTGGTTGGCGACCAAATTCACCGTCGCGGTGCCCTCGGTCGCGGTGTCCAAGATCACCGTTCGAGCCCTGATATTCCTCTGTTGAGCGGCGTCTGCTGTTGCTGTGTCGACTCTTGCTACGTTTGCTGGGCGCTAATGGGTGGCCAGACTTGTTTTCACCTCCATCATCGTCGCCTCGAGAGCGTCTAACGCTGCGACGACTCAAAGTTCGGCTAAGATCTTTCGGTCTTGCTGTCCATGAATCATCACGCTGTGAAACGTCGTTTTGGTGCTTCTCGCGAGAACTGAAATTCGGAAGTGGAATGACGATGGCCGAAAAAATTGGAGGCCGATCCAAAAGTCGGGGTGGTGAAAAGGGTGGCGGTTGTGGTGGCAGGTGGGAAGTATGAGGCTCCAGATTGATAGGCCGAGGACTGTAGAACTCAGTTAGAGAGAGCTGATGTGGTTGTTTATGAACATCCGTAAAGTCTTCGTTGTTGGAGGAAGAGTTGCCGTTGCGATCACCGCTGGAAAAGAACGATGCTGGTGCGGTCGGAACTATTGTCATATTAATGGAACCATCAAAAACTATGCATTGGAAACAAAAAACGTGTCAGCAAGGCTTTCGGCACTACGAGAAAAGCAAGCAACTCATGTCATTCAATACGTGAACATATACCCGGGTTGACACCTTGTGAGGCACGTTGATGCTCATGATGCGTATCCCAGTGGGCTCCAGGATCAACGTTTCTGGAAGAGCGTCTACGATCGCCGAGCGGATAGTGACCTCCCGGCTGGGCATATTGGGGTTGGCGAGGAGAAGTGGCCACATGTGGAAGTGACATTTGGGGTGGAAGGGATGTTGTTGTGAAGAGCGCTGGATCAATGGCTTTTGGAGAGTACGGCGAGTGGGCTGTTGTGAAGAGTGCTGGATCAATAGCCTTTGGAGAGTACGGCGAGTGGCTACCATCGCGTGAGTATCGATGCTGCTTATGCAGTTGGGGCGACAGAATTTCATCCGCATGGTTGTTGGTGCTTTGAAGGCCGTCATCCCTGGGAGGAGAGCTCTTGGACTCAATGGTGGTTGCGTGGTAGACCTGCCGACGAAGGATGAGTGGGCGCGGCCTGAGTGACCGTCCTCGAGACTCAGGCGCAGGTTGATCCCGTCTATGTGATGACCCTTGGGAATCCGATCGACGCCATCTGTCTCGAGACCAGCCCCTGTTCTTTTCATCCTCTGAACGACCCCTGTCTGTACTGTACCCATCTATGCTCCTGTGTTCCTTGCTCAACTGGCCATTGTCATACCCTCGGTGACGCCCGGCTTCCTCCTTCCTGCGATCCATGTCCCGCTGTCGACTGGCGACTCTCTCCAGTTCAAGTGCCTGCTGGTCACCATAATCAGCAGATATGCCTGCGTAAGCCGTGAATGACCCGCGACCATCGCACGTCGCCCCTGGGGTTTGGCCAAGGTAGGGTGGCGAGTGGTTATGTGGGTGGTGCTGCAGATTCGGTTCACCAAAGTGCGCTTGTGAGGGCAAGGTCGGCGTTGTTGGATTTGCAGGCAGAGGGTGTTGCGCGGTCTGCTCGATAGGCGCCATCGGTATTGCTGCTGGTGACCGAACTTGTTGCAGGGCTGCTCCTGGTGCTGCTGGTAGGACTATCTCCAGAATGTTGGTGGTAGACTCGGACGGCTGCTCCTGCACTGGCTGTTTTTCACGTCGTTTCGCAACGAGCCCGCCATACTCCTTAAAAAAAGGCGGTGGGTTCCCCAGGGCTGGACCCTTGGTTGTTTCTACCCTCCTGGCGTCACCAGCGTTCCTCAAAGATGAAGGGAGGTCGTGAGCCTTGGAGCCGCAGTCGTCTTTGTCCTTCGCATCCTCCTCCTCATCGTCGTCTTGATCGCCGTCATCATCTTCGCTCAAATGAACAATCTTCCGATTATTAGGCCCGGATTTCGCTCGCGATGATGCAACGTTCGATCCTTTTGAACTTCGAGTCCTGGAAGGAGCTGCTGATCGTGCGCGATTCCGTTCTCGTCGCTGTTGTGCTTCCACGCTCTGCTGTTGCTCCAAGAACTTTTTCCTGCTCTCCGCCCCCGCCATAGGATCCCCTACAAGACCTGGTATCGGTACGCTGGGCGAATTTGTCGTTGATTCTGTTGACGGCACTGTCAATGAGCGTGGTGCTGGGAGCAAGATGATCGGCGTCAAATATCGTCCGTCGATGTTTGTTTGGGGAGGGTCTGTCGGTTGTGAACGATCGAATGTAGGCACTGGTGCTGTTGACAGTTGTTGCAGTTCTGTCAGTGCTGTAGGTGCCAGAAGTGGCTGGTTCATGGTCGATGTTGGCTGCAGCTTGCGCTTCTTGTTGAAACTACCTAGAGGTCGGCCTCGTTTCTTGATAGCTTTGTCGTTAGGTCCTTGCACGAATACCTTGAGCAGACGAGAGGTTACTAAAGAACCTCCGGAAGCCCGAACATTGCCTCGTGAGCGGGTGCCAAGTGTATCAAACTCGTCAGAATCGCTTTCCTGCTCCTCGCCATCATCCTCATCCTCGCCAGAATCTTCCATGCGTCTGTGTTGCTTCCGCGTCGTCTTTCTCCGCTGGGTTTCAGCGCCACTCGTTGGTTGCTTGAGATGGTCGAAATTCCTTGTCTTGATCAGGTCAGAAGGCGGTGCTGCGACAGACGACCTTTTCTGTTGCTGTTGTTGTGATGGCGACGATTTTTGGCGTCGTGTCTGTTGCGGTGCTGTTGCAGATGTGCTAGAGGGTGGTTCCTGCCCTTGTTCCTGAGACTCACGATCAAAGCCCTGATAGTCCCAACCAATGTCGTCCGAAAACCTGTCCAAGAGGTGGTACTCCTCGAGCAACGGCAATACAATCCCAGCGTCGGACCCTCCTGCGGCACTCCGGGCGAACGCGCGCTTGATTCCATCGCGATTGGAGCGACAGTAGAACCAGTAGCGGACGATTTCAAAGTCGAGGTCTATGATGGCAGCGATGAACTTGATGGTTGAGATGTCGGGGATCGCTTGGTGGACGAGCCAGGCCTCGACGAGGAATGCAACCTTTTGGGGAGTGACCTTGCTTAGGGCTGAGTTGATGTCGTCTGTGGACATTGTTTTGAATCAAGGGCAGCGAAGATGTGTGGGTATATATATATATATATGTGTGTGTGTGTTGATGTTGTAGTTGTAGTTGTTGTTGGTGTTGTTGTTGGTGTTGTTGCGTGTGTGTGATCGTGCTCCTGCTCGCCCGTGGTTGGTGTTCCTGGAGAGGCGTGTGATTAAGTGGTCTAGTTGAAGTGGGGAGAAGGAAGCGCGGAACAAAAGGAGCGTGCTTTTACTTTGACCACATAAGCAGTCACCGTGCATTCTAGCTCAATCCGCACACGCGACGAGTTTTCTTGGATCAAACGAGTGGTCAATATATCCGAGTTCTGGGTCTGTCTGATATTTACTCCTCCAGAGAACCGCGAAGTGATGATGATCAGCAAAGGTTCTGTCCGCACGCTCTCCATCTAACGCGTCTCTCTCTCCTTCAAAATAATCGTTGAACGATATGAAGACGTGCTCTTTCAAACAAGTGTTGGATCAAAATTCGGGACAGTGCTGTCTTGACTACCGTCTCCTGTTGTATGCCATATGGGTCTCTTTCTCTGCTCCATCCAGGGTCTGTAAGATCGCCATCCTCCTCGAGGGCTGAGGGCCACACATTTTTTTTACATGGCAGTTTGGCGGCAATGTTCAATCGCGCCACCAAATTTCACTCGTTCCACGTGATGCCTCCCGCCCACAAACCAACGATGCCCGCCATTGACATTCCTTCCTCCTCCTCCCATGAACAATAACTCACACCCAACACAATGTCCCTAGCAGCAAAAGTCGTCAAAGGAGCTACACTCAAGAACCCACGTCCCCGGAAAGCCGTCCTCACCCTCGTAATGTCCTATCGATCCTCTTCTTGCGTCCCTTTCTTTTGGTCACAACGAACTGCGCATGAATTATTTAGCCTTACATTATGTCCTTGTCGCTTTGCCCAGCTCACAAATACATGCGCACACTGAGGCTGACCCGCTTTCCCTTCCCCCCTCCCTTTCTTCTTTCTTGCATCCTTTCTATTCCTTCCTTCGTTATCTATTGTCTTGTTGTGAATAGACCCCTTCGGCAGTTCAACGTCTACGCACATTGACAGAGGGTCCAGAGCCAAAGATGGTCCGTGTCGGGATCCGGACCAAGGGCTGTTCAGGCCAGCAATACCAACTCGATTACACCACCAAGAGAGAGAAATTCGACGAGGAGGTTAAACAAGATGGTAAACAACACGCATTTCTACAATTCATCCAAACACACGGTTACTAGTCAAGGCTATGCTAATGTCTCGTACTCACATTGTTTCTGGATCTCAAAATATAATAGGTGTAACGGTACTGGTGGACAATAAGGCACTACTGTCGGTTCTTGGATCAGAGATGGATTATGTCGAGGACAAGCTGTCAGCGCAGTTTGTGTTTAATAATCCAAATGTCAAGGAGTCCTGCGGATGCGGTCAAAGCTTCATGACCTGATGAAAAACGTAACGTCGCCGTAGATCGTGTGAATCCCCTAATAACAGCACCGTTTTTTTCAGGCGTGCCAAGTTTTGTTGTGTCCCTTACCTTTGTCTTCCAATTCAACCAAGGTACACCTTGATCCGTTCATGTCATGCTACTGCATTTCGCGCGCATACAAAAGAGATAATTGCAAAGAGGATTCCTGCAGCAGGGCTTTTGTTTTTTGACGCGAATCCAGTAAGAATAATCTCGTTCATCGACCCAGAAAAAGGGAAGAAGCTGCGAATAGACTTGTTACTCATCCACATCATAGGGCCTCACATACAACCTGGGCAACTTCTCTTACAATGGCTTCACACAGGTTGATTCCGTCTGAAAACATCAGTTCTGGCGAGGATACTGTGCCGCCTCCGCATAGTACTCGATCATCATCAATCTCGGCCAGTGTAGCGTGATCCAGTCAATGTCCCGAAAAGCATCCTGCGACAAATCCCACTTTGTAAAGAAACTCATGTACAGGGTCTCGAGTGTCATAATTTCAGAGATCGTGGTTGCCAAGAAGCTAGAGTAGACCCGAACATACATCTCGATGCAAGATAGAACGTCCTTGGAAGAAGTGCGCACGGCAGGTCTGCATAAAGTTGAAGAGGTCTTTCTTCGGTAAGTGCTAATGGAGGCTGTCGACTAGCTCTGCTGTCTTGAAGAACCATTCCGTAGCTAATTCCATTGCGAGTGAAGATATGTGCAGTCGTGGTGGTCGTGAATGAATGGGTTGAGAAATAGTTACACGGGGTTTAAAAAGGGGGGCATACACTCTATCGAAAAAACAACTCGTCAAGAGGTGTCCCGTCAGTGAGGTGCCGAATCATCATCAAACTATTCTCACTCTCATCCATCGGCGTATAATGCCCCCCTCCTAACTCCACAACCATTGTCAACCCTCCTCCTTCCTTACCCTTCCCCATAACACTATTCACATATCCAGCCGTAAACCCACCAACCTTCCAAACCCTCCTCTCCGTCTTCTCAAACTCCTCCTTCCCCTTCCAATCCATCCCTTCAATCCACCTCGTCGACCCTGCCGGCTCATCCCTGAAATCGAAAATCCCCTGATACGCCAACACCTTGACCCCATTATCCAACAAATCTGCGACCAATGGCTTTGTCGACCGCATAATGTCCACTCGCATAGCCTGTTTCACCTCTGGATCTGTTCGGTACTCAGTATCCCATCTACCCAGTTCGATCCGTGCCACTTCCTCCTTTGGCACCTTCTGTTGGAGTAGGTACGCCTTGCGAGGCTCAAACATGTTCAGAGAATCCTTGGTCTCGGGCTGGTTCAACAAAGCGGCCATAGGCTTCCAGTTCATCCCATGAGAAGCCTTTCGGATATCGAACGTGTCGAGTTGTCCGGTCGACTTTCGGAAGAGATTAAAGATCTTGCCTCGGAACCGGTTCGCGTCCAGGAAACGGCCTTGCTCGACCAGTTTGACTGCTTACGTTGGTACTCTCGCATTTGGTCTGCTTGAAGGGTGGTGAGGAGCCCTAGGTAAAAGGCGTGGTCGGCGTGGATCTGGATCTGGGTGATGGGGTCTGTCATTGAATTGCCCACCGAGATCCCTTGATCGGGACACCGCCTGCTTGGGAGTCGCCTGAGTCTCGATCGTCTCTTCCGTCGCCGTCTCGGTCTCATGACATCGCCACTCGCGCTCTGAGGCAACTTGGACTGGAACTTCTTGTTGCGCTCAATGATAGCGTGCGCGATCGACGGAATAAACTTCCCCGCATAGCTCTGTCCCGTGATATAAAGATACGCCTTTTGTTGCTCAGGATACCGTTCATAGAACTGGTCTAAGAAGACCATCATGCCTTTGACAACCGTCCGCTGGTCCTTGATATATCCCGATTTTGTGTATATCGTATCTGGATCCTCGTCAGTGTTGTTGCCGGTCTTGGCCCTCCCCCTGCGCCGCTTGCTCGCCGCCGCTACCTTGAAATCAAACGGTAGAGAAGACGGGAGAGTCGCAAAGAAGGCCGCTTCTTCCTCCTGGTCCCTCTCCAACTCTGCATCCAGCTCCTCAAACCTGCCGTCTTCACCCTTTCCCTCCTCGTCGTTGGCATCGAATCCTGGAGTATCATCTCCGCCATCACGATCACCCTCATCGTCATTCCTCTCACCACCGCGACGCGCCGACCCCCTCTTGCGCTTCGTCCGTTTCTTGCCACCTTGATCAACAAAGGAGTACCCAGTTCCGACAGGCTGCTCAACAAACAACATCGAATACTCATTCGCCCAAGTATCATTATTCCTCACCAACTTCAAATCCTCCGTCACATGGATGGGCCCCGTCTCGTAGAACAATCCAATCATCGAACTCGCACCTGAACCTCCCTGTAGCTAACTATTTCTTGTTTGATGTTTGCAGAAAATAGAAAAAAGTTGTGATCAGTAGTTTGAAGGCAGGAGTAATTATAGTTTTTTTGGTCTTTTTGTTTACGGCGTGAGGATGGTGGGGTGAGACTTACATGATGAGAGGTGGGTTCTTTACTTTGGTTTAAGCGCTGGGAAGAACCAGTAGAACCTACAAGCAAGATAACAACATGGGGAGAGGGGTGTTTTAGTAATTGTAAATCCTAAAGGGTCACACATTCACTTTGTCAGAAAGCCACAACCTTAATGACAAAAGAAAAAAGAGACAACTTACATCTCAGCATTGGCTTTAGATCCATTTTTATTTGTCCACTGACGGGTCGGGAAATTTCCTGCATTGCTCTCAAGGATAGGGTCCTGTCCAGCGGCCCATGGTAACGGTCCAACACGATGTTCCTGTCTATCGTTCTTTGGTTTTCCTGTCGCCCAGGTTTCGACAGTTGGTGGTTGTAGTGAAGATGTTGCGTTGGTGGTGATGGTGGTAGCGAGCATGGCGACTGTTGTTGTGAGGACAATTAGGGTCGAGAGACCGACTGTCTTGCTCAGCATTATGTATCTTGTCCTGCGGAAAGCATAATAATAATAATAATAAAATGTGGTGAGAGGAAGAAAGGGGAGAGAGAGAGAAATAAATGTTGAGGAGAGGAAAGAATGGAAAGACAGATAGACGACTGAATCGAGAAACCAAATGATTTTTTGTTCGCGAAAACGAAAACGCGAAAACATTCACCAGATCTCAATCATCACTGAGTGACGCTGTTTAGCGCGTGTGTTGGCATTAGCATCGTTTGGTTTTTGCTTATTTTTATTTTATTTTTAATTTGTATGATATGGTATGATGATTTACAAGATGGAAAGGAGTGAGGGGATCAGAAAGTAGGCAAAAAGAACGCTTCTCTCTTTCTACAAACAGAATCTCTCTAGTTAAGGAGGAAGTGAACAGCGACAGAGGGGACGCCATTGTTCAACATATGCATGTAATGGGGACCAGGAGGCATAATGTTGGCGTTGGGTGGCATCGCAACCTCATACGTAATCTTGGTTCCCTCGGTATGAGTAGCTTGAGCAACCAACTTGGTCATCCTCTGCGACATGTGTGTGCTGTGGGTCACGAACCCGCGATGACCCAACATGAACACAACCTCGGGGTCGTACTTGCTCGTGTCCTTGACATCGACTGTCACCGACACCTTCTGGGCATAGGCCACCTTCTCGGGCACCTTGCTCACAATCTCGGGGCGAGCCAAGTCGGTCGACAAGTATGGGGGCGTAAAGTTCTCGACGCGGTATTCGGTGGGGAAGGGGACGTCCTTCAGACGGACTTCAGAGTTCTCGTTCGAACCAGCGACAAAGACAGAGCCATCAGGGAGGAGCATGGCGACAGAGTGATACATTCTTGCAATGTTGCTGGGCTCCCATTCCGTGAATCTCTGTCCGTGGGGTGCGGCTGGGTCGTAGACGGCAGGGGTGAAGACAGGGTCATGACCGTGGCGGAAACCAGCATATCCAGTCATGCATCCGTTCAAGAACATAATCTTGCCGTCAGCCAACGCAATCGCATCGCCCATCAGACGAGGGGTAGGCATCTCGTCCATCTCCCATTGAGGATCGGCATCGGCAAGGTTGATACGGCCACAGCTCTGAAGGGCCTTGGACTTCTCGGTCTTGGCCTCAGATCCTCCACAAACCAAGATCTCGTGTGCATAGTTCTTAGCAGGGTCCAAAGGCAACAGGATATGCGATCCAGTCAGGGGGTACGAACGGGGTCCACCGGGCAGATCGGGCATGCGCTTGATGACCTCGTTCTTGGCAACATTAAAGATCATCGACTTTTGGTTGGCAAAGATAAAGATGTTGCCGTCGGGAAGGGAATAAACGTTCGGGTAAAGGTTGTTGGGCAACGAATCGACCATGAACTGCATAAAGTTGGGCGTGTAGTCGGCAGCCTTGACATTGGCGGGTTTGGGGTAGATCTCCCAGGTGGGGTTGTTGGTGGCGAGACTGTTGATCGCCAGGGACTCGTTACTGCCTCCAAGGATAAAGAGCTCGCCGGAGGGGAGGGTCGTGATCGAAACATACCAACGGTTTCCGGTCATGGTCCAGGCGGGGTCTGCGGGGTTCTCCATCCATTCGCAAGTCCCGTCATCGCAAGGGTTCCACATACGAAGAGACTGGAATCCACCTTCAGTGGCGAACGCGCGCGATTTCTATTGTTTGAGGAGGACAACGACAGCTGTTAGAATAAGCGAACGATATGACAAAAATGAAAGAAAATGAAATGAGAGCAAAAATGTGACAACTTACGCGTGCCTCAGCACCTCCAGCGCTGATCATGGTACCATTGGGCAGGAACCCGCCACCCGAGCAAAAGGTGTTGGTCGTGACATCAAGTAGACGAATGTTGTTTGTCACCAAATCATACTCGGCATTGTAGGCAGAGATACCGCTCGGCAGCTTGACAGGGTTGGCCTCGGCCTTGTCGATGATCAACATCTTTGTAGGCGTCACCAAGGCAATATGTTGTGCGGCCACACCAGTGTTGCCCACCACCTTGAAGGCACCATTGGGCAGTGAGGGGACGGGACGGGGTTTTCCGTTGGCACCAGGTCCGTCGGTCAATTGTTGAGCTGTGCCGAGGGAACGCACACATCGACCATTGAAACTTGCGGCGGCATTGCATCCGACCGCACAGGCAACGCGAGAGTTACCACAGTGTCCGTGCTAATTATATGTAAAACGAATAGTTAAACAATGGGTGAGTTGGGAGAGAGCGGAATTGTCGGGTGTTTCTCAAGGCTTTGTGCGTTTACGATGTGTTGATTTGGGACAGGTTTGAGAAGGAAAGAAAAGTCAGGACAAGCTGGGAGGTATTTGAGGGATGATGATGGGGAAGGATAAGGTGTACGCTCGAAAAAAAACCAGTAAGCTGATGGGTGGTAGATGATAACTGCCAATGTCGTCAGAGTAGATAATCACACAACTACCTCCTGTGTCGTCGTTGTGTGTTGTTATCATGACCCTGTTCGATATCCATGATGACAGAGGAAGAGGGAGGGAATAAATTCGACAGCGAAAAGTGGCAGCATTGTCAAGTAAAAGCGATTAGATATCTTACAAGACTGCAGCATGGCGTTGCTTGTGGACAGGCCAGTCCATTGTTATATTTACAGGCTGCAGCGTCTGCTGTCGTGACTATCAAGCCTAGTGACACGACTGAGAGGGCAGCAAGCAGGAGACCCAGCTTTCGGACAATCGCCATTGGAGCTGTCTGTCGTTGGGGTGGTGTTGGTGCAGGGGTTGGTCGAACGGGTGATCGATATCGTCCAGAGGATTGTTGATTCCTTGAACTTCGGCTGTGGTGTTTTTAGCTGAAGGGGAGATGGACTCGGTGTGGTCGTGAAGGAGGTCGAGTTTGTGAAGGGCAAGGAACTGGGGGGACTTTTGTTGAAGAAGGAAAAAAGGGAGGAGACGAGGGAGGTAAAAGTGAGGAACTTGATCCGCAAGGATGACGGTGGAAGGGAGGAGGAAGCGAGGGTAGGCTGGGCGGGAGATTGGTTTAGGGAGGGGGATGGGGTTGGACTGCAGGAGCGAGACGGAGGTGAGGCCTGCGGAACGAGTAGCGAGAGACTGAAGGGACGGAATGGTGAGAAGGAGAGAAGAAAGAGAAGTGGAGAGTTGGAGGATTGGAGGATTGGAAGAAGTAGATGGGTATGCAGAGGGTTGAAAATAAAAGAATGAAAGAGAAGTGGGCGTAGAGGATATCTGTAATTGACGATGAGGGTGAGAGGAGTGGAGGTATTGGTGGTTGTTGAAGGAAGTTGGGCTGCTGGTTGGTTGTAGGTATTGGTAATTGACAAGGAGGATTCCCTGTCTTTTATAAGATTTCGAGAGAGAGAAAAGTGGGCGTAAGAACCCCGCTCCCGGACTGACCATTACAGCACTCAAATGTGTTCAGCCTGCCGGTTGTGAACATTTGTGTCGGTGCTATCTTTGTCAGTGACCTTTCCCTCCTTCTCTTCGCATCGCCATTCCCTTTCCAGGCACACCGGTGTTTCACTTTCTTTTCTCATTTCGCTCACCCCATTATCCTCACATCCAATGCCATCATTCCCACTCATTCATACACACACACACACACACACACACACACACACACACACACACACACTCATAATTATTTGCTCTATCCTCGTACGACTCTACTCCAAAACTACGCACCCAACTAACTAAACAAAAGCACCAATCCCCCACGTACAAAACAAACACAAAACAAGAACAGCACATGCACGCCTATCCAACCCTCCCAAGAATAGAACTTTTTATCCCATGTTCACACCTCGCCCTTGCTTTGCCTCCGAGAGTTCCTCCACCAAAAAAAAACATGGCACGAGAAAAAGAGAAACTATCAGTTAAACCGCGCAGTTTTTTTGATGCAACGAACAATTGAATTGAGGTCATGCTCGATACTTTGGCCACGCTGATGCTGGTTGTTGTCCTCGCAGACTCTGAAAGCAATTGGATTCTCTAGAAAATATTGAGGACATGCAAACAAAAAGAAATGAAAAGAGGATGTACACGCCGACACAACACTCGTTTCGTTCCAAACAAACGCGAACCGACTGTTGTTTATTCATATCTCTCATTATCTACCTTCCCTCCATTGTGTGTTTTGGCACATTAAATCCACTGTTGAAGAACAGCTGGTTCCCATCGTTTCCCTTTCTCTCACCTGGAGCAGGTCTTTGTCTTCAGCCTCAAGAGGAAGTCTGACACCTCCGACTCTTGCACCAAAATAAACAATCTAGGTCCCAGCTCAGCCTCTTCTTTCAAAGAAGAAAATGGAAGAGATAAAAAAACGATGGCCTGACCATTCGTTGTAAAGAAACGCTGTAAAGAAAGTAAAGGACTGAAAGCTTTACGCCCAAAAGAAGTTTGCCCGAAAACCCAATTACTTACAAAGATCGCTTTTTTATTTTTCTGTTCCGATGCGAACAGGGCGCACATCAGCGTCCGTGTGTTTCTTTCTCCTCTCTCTCTCTCTACCTTCCTCCACCCGCCTTTTTGAAAGCTCTTTGTATTTTATCTCGGCCATTGCTCTCAATATCGATTTCACTTTTTTTTCTTTATTGTCATTTCAGTTTTTGGCACTCACTGCCTCTTCTTTCCCTCCCCACTTCGGAACAGCGGAAAAAAAACAATGGGTTTCACATCGCAATCGGGAAACGCCGACTGGAAACCGTTTGCATGAACAGAGGGCTCACGACAAAAATAACTTTCAGCCGGTACTTCCATAATTGACAACGGGTTCAATCATATCTCACAAACACATTCTCACTGGGCTCACTCCTATCAGTTCGATTAAAGGAAGCATGATGGATAGGGGTTCTTTTATTCTTCAAACACGAAAGCAAAAGAGAAAGCGGCGTAGCTGAATGCGGAGCAAGGGACACAGGCATAAAACTACATAGCACGCGTCCAAAAGAGAAGAGAAAAGAATACACAAAATGGAAAGAAAGAAGAAAGAGACACTGAAAAAGAGGTCGTAAAAATAGAAGAAAAAGAAAGGTTGGTAAACAAAAAAAAAAAAAAAAAAAAAAAAAAAAGTGGGATACAAGGCTGTTCCTGAGAAACTGCAACACTCTCGAAACGGGCGTGTGCATCGAAAAAAACATTATTGTGGTAGGGCGCATTTTTTTTGTTATTCTCATTTTTTTTGGGAAGATGTAGAGATAGGAAGGGCAACAGGACGCAGAAAGGTAGAAGAGTGTATTTGCGCCTGCTGTTGGAGTTTTTTTGTTGCATTAAAAAAAAGTATGAAAGATCCTGCTTCGAGAAAATGGAGGGAGTGTCAGTCGGTGTGGTCGGTAAACTGGCTCGTCGCTTTGCCTCTTGCCTTGCGTCGTCTTTGCAGTTCATGGTTGATCCAAATCGCGTCCCACTCTAAACATGACTCGGAACTCCACTGTGCTGGTTTGTTGTTTGTTGTTTTTTTGGTGGTGGAATGGTTGGGGGGTCTCACGAGGGGTGTAGCGTCTGTCATTCGTCACACTGAAATAATAACAGGTGCGAGTAGTTGTTGTTGCCAGATAAAGTTTGCTCGCGCTTGCAGCCGAGCAATGCTTCTCCTCCTTCATCGCCAATCGCCATCTCTCATGGCCTGTGGGCTGCCATTCCTGTCCCGCTGCGAGTAGTGGTGCTGAGGTTGCTGCGACGCCTGAGGCTGGTACTGGTACTTAGGTCGGACTTGAGGAACATGGCGAGGCTGCTTCTGACATTGCTGGAAAACAGGATCGTCACTGAATCCAGGGGGGCTCGCAGCCAAAGGGCTGGTCGGAAGGGACATTCCTGGAGGTCCTTGAGTCGGAATAGATGTGAATCCTGCAAGCGCGTTCGCATCCCGAGGCTCATAAGACGTAGGCGAGATCATGCCATTTCCCAAGGCGTTCGACGAAAGTCCACCCCAAGTAGTGCTGCCGCTGATGCCATCCGTAGTGCGCGAGGTGCGGAGTGAATTGATCGAGTGGCGCCATTCGTCCGCCACATCAAACTGAAATCTGCCGAAAAGACTGTCGACGGTGGGCGAGGGGTTCATGCGCATCTCTCCAGGCGATCCAAATTTAGACGAGGATCCGCTCATGTCCAAGCCAGGGGACGACTGGTTTGATCCTGAGGGAGACATGGACGCACGCCTCCCCGCTCCAATGACACCAGTGCTGGTCTTCAGGTGGGCTGGCTTAGGAGTTGGCTTGCTGCCAATAGTGCTGCTTCGTCCCTTGAACAAAACAACTTCCTCCGCATCATCCTCATCTTCGTCCTCATCGTCATCGTCCTGGCCAACAATAAGCGAGAGGTCATTGTCGTCGTCCGAGAGCAAAGCAGCGACAGCCTGGCGCTGGTCGATATCCTGATCACGATGAGCGCCCAGTACATTTGAAACCGATGTCTTGCGGATGTGGAACGGATTCATATCCTCATCCTCCTCCTTGCGCTCGTAATCACTCTCCTCTCTGGCTTCATCCTCTCCATCATCAACCTCGTCATCATAATCCTGCTCGGCAGAATCCTTCATGTTTGACTGAATGGCGTTGGCAGTCGATTTGCCTTCTTCGTCACGCTCAACAGAGAATCGAACAGTCTGCATGTCATCCTCGTCCTCAATAACTTTTCCGTAAAACTCGGGCCAGTCCATCTTGGCAAGGCTAAGAGCATCGTGGAACATATCGCCCGCCCGCATCTGCATCTCTGCTTTAGGGCTGATCCTGCTGGGTGGGATGATCGACAGGGGGCGCTCATCAATGGTCCTCTTAAGCGCAGCAAACCCCCTCAACTCGTCGTCCTCCTTGAGCACATCACGACAAAAGATCGCGCCCTCCGCAAAGGGGTAGGCTTGCACGAGCAAGTTCAAAAAGGTAGAGAGGTCTCCCCAAATCTGTCGCAGATGGAATCGGTTCTCTGCGTCAACATCGGAAAAGCCTTCCGAAAGTCGCTTGACATGGTGGATGTTGACCTGCATCCACTTCAGCGAAAGTCTCAGAGTCGGCATCGAGCGATGAACATTCGAAGGCAAGAAGTCGATGGGGCGTCCGTTCTTCTTGTGGTCTCCGTTCCTGTGGTTCTCCAGTTCCGTGGTCGCGTATTGCAAAACGGTGGCAAAGCAAGTCAAAATCAACTGCAGCGCTTTTCTCTCTGACTCGATCTCCTTCTGAAACGCAGCTGGGTTGTCGTCCTGAAGGGGGATATAAGTCATGGTGTAGAGACTCGCCATGTTGATGATCTGGATCTTGAGCAACAAATCTGGCTCCAATAGGCGCGCAACGAATAAGCCCTCCAGAGTATCGCCCATTACATCGTCATCAACTTCCTCGGCTGAACGCATGAAGAGTGCACCGTGCAATAAGATGAACCTCAATAAAAAGTCGTCCAGCTGGGCCGAATCCTTGGAGTTGATTGCCTGACGATCCGTGTAGCGCTCGTCCTTCACAAACTTTTTGCCCTTCTCCGGGTCAGACGCGATCTTTTGAATCAGGACCTTGATGTTGTTGCGAGCCGTCATGAAGGGAAGTGAAACAGCCAAACTGCGGTAGTAAAAGTAGAGCGCCAAAAAGTTGTTGGGGGTGAATGTTGCAACGACTGCGAGCTGGTTGTAAGGGTTTCCGCTCGAAGGGAGCATGTTCCTGGCTTCGTTGTAATAATCACGTGCAGCGGACCAATTCTTCTTGAAGGAATCGTTGAATGTCTGTCGATAGCGAGCTATTATGATGAAGAATTCAATAGATGGGTTAGTCATCGATGCACTGTGCATAATTAATTGTCCTGTGCTGGAATCACAACAGGCATACGCCAGTCGCTGTCCTGGTAGATATCAATATCGCTTGTAGTTATCCGTCTGTCCTTACAAAGATCTCCCAAATAGACGTAGCACTTGTGGCAGCTGCTAGTGGCGCTATCTCGGGCGACATCCGTAATATCCGACAACGGACGCTTGTCTAGTACCCAGAATGGTGAGGGAGAACGGAAGAAAACAACGGCAATTAGCATCCAATTATTTTTTGTGTGTTTGATTTTTTCAGACCCATTTTAGTGGCACCGATTGGCAAAAAGAGAAAGAAAAAAAGGTCCTATAGCTCCATACCTCCAATGGGGACCGCATGCATGCTGTGACCAGATTCGTTCAGGTCATAGCAGGACGCCAAGTTCTGGATGAGCCGATGATAGAATCCGGTCGCCTCTTGAATGAACGCCCTGAATTTGGTCGACACCTTTCGATATTCGACCGAGGGAACGGCGGTTTTGTTGCCACGGGTACCATGAGGGCGAGATCTCCCACCATCACGGTTTCCCCCACGACCGCCTTCACTACCTCGTCCGCCTCCGCCTCCTCGTCGTCCTTGCTGGTGCTGCTGCTGGTTTGAAGGCTCATTGCCTTCGTCGGGGCGACTAAGCATGGCCAGTTTGCGCCGGTAGCCGTCGATGACAACGTAGAAGACATGCTTCCAGAGTGCCGACTCGATCTCCTTGGAATGCGCGAGCACAATGTCCGTCAGAATCAATCGTTCATAATCCTCCCGCAATCTAGTTGAAAAAAGAAAACAAAAAAAGAGAGATAACAACTTGATTAGCAAAAACAACGAACAAAACCAGCTTAACAATGGTGCGCCATTGGTGTGAATCAGAAGTAGATAAGCGCAGTCCATCCCTCTTTCTTCGTCTCCTCTTGATTTTTATGCTAGGTATTTGTGCAGCAAAAGGTAGAAAGAAATGGAAAAAGGAACGTAACAAGAGTAAGATTTTTTTTGGATTGGCATTGGCGCTGTTACCTGTCTCTTGCGCTGGTGACTGACTGCGCTCCTTTATGATGCAAAAGGTCCTTTAGGTTCTTCTCCTGTGCCTGGGTTGACCTATTGAGGAAACGGTTGAGAAAACAATGTTAAGAAGGGGTGTGTCAGTACTGCAGGTTGACTTGTTTCGAATCATAAAGCAAGGAACAGGTGTCGAATGGTTGACATTGAATCTTTTTCTCAAAAGCTAATTCTCCTCGTAGTCGTCGTATGTAGTTGATGTAGTTCTTGTTGTTTTTGTATTGGTTCTCCTGGGCATGGGAAAAAAAAGGAATGATTGTTATGATTGTTGAATGAGAGAATGCCGTGGACATACTTATACAGCTCCAACCAAAGAGCCTGGGGATCTTCAGTCATCTGAGGTTCTCTTCCAGTTCAGCTCTTTTTTTCTCTCTGGGTAGTCGGTTCCTGGGGATTCGGGTGTATTTTTTTTGTTGTTGTTGTTGTTGTTTTTGTTTTTGGTGGTTTGTTGGGGGTGGAGAGGGGTTTTCTTGCTGTTTGGCGGGTGAGTGACGATAAGTGAATAGGTCAAACAGTAAACCAGGGGGGGCAAAAAAAAGTTGTCGATTCCTTTGTTTGTTGAAGAACAAGAACAAAGAGAAGGAAAAAGACAAAGAGAAAGAAGAAGAAGGAAGGGGTGACCAGAGAGAGAGGAGAAGGATGGATGGGAGATGGCAAAGAACAAACAGCAAAAGATGATCCCGCTTTTTGCCTCTCCTTCAAATGTCCAAGAGTCAAAATCTGATATGATCCCCTCACGTGCCCGAGCATATTGCTAATCGCAAATACTGCGGCGCAGTGGAGGGCAAAGCACACGACCGAAACAACGAAACTTAAAGACCGTTCGCCACCGTTTTCTTGTTTCCACATCTTTCTTTCACTCCCTCTCACTCGCTCACACTCTCTCACACACTCACACTCACATTCAACCAACTCACAACAACATGTTCCAAAGGCCAAGACTCACCTACTACCGTACCTTCTTCCCCAGAAGCACTCGCAACAACTACAACATCCCTACCGCAGCTCACAGACACAGAGTTCCCCTCGTCCGCCCCGCCGCCCAAGAGAATGCCATGGCCAAAATCATGTCCATCATCGGCAAGGCTAACCCCCTCAACTCCACCGTCAAACCCTCCGTCCCCTCTGTCCAAGTCCGCGTCCTCTAAAACCCGTTGCACGATACTGACCCGAGAGAGTAACAGCCAGCAACAGCAAGCAGGATTTACGAAGTAGGGTGGAGCTGGAGTACGACGACAGCAATGATAACCGACGATGGTCTTTCCCTTTGGCTTTGCTCAGTAACACCACTCGGCCTCCATTTGATGACATTTTTTTTCTCCCACACGACCACATCAGCTACGCAACAAACAACAAACGGTGCATCTGTACAAACAAAACAAAACAACGAGCCATCGCCGGCTGCGAACAACAAAACAACTCCCCACTCTTTTCTGTTACCCCTTTTTTTATCTTTCGGCTTACCAGCGAGGCCTTGTATTTTCTGTAAACTACTTTTCCAATAAACCGAGAGTGTTACGCTTCTCTCGTCCTTTTGTTATCAGGTTAAACTCGTCTACCATTGTGTCTTGTCACTTCACTTCACTTGACTGTCGTTTGTCTTTCTTCTTCAAAGCTCAAACTGCAAGAGACTTGTGTGTGAATGTGTGTTCCTCTCCTCGTCCCCATTGTCATGTCAGATTTACCATGGTAATACCATTTTGTGAGCCTCACAAATGGAAACGACCCCATGGTGAGCAAACGAAAGAGTTTGGGTCACGCAGTAGTCATGAGCAATCTTGGTAGTAAAATTAGCAGGTCCACACAAAAATGTTGTCATAGTCATAACTTGTTAGAACATTCGACCATGATATTAACATATGACGTGGATGACTTATCCCCCGATTCTTACAGAAACATGACTCCAACGACTTGAATGCACTGCAGTGTCATAGCATTCCTTCCGAGTTGTATCCATTACATAATGTGAACCGAAGAGGGGAAGTGAACCCAGAAAGTTCGTTCGTTTGGTCATGCGGTTCAGTCTCACTAAAAAAATTTACTGCGACCGGCCCGAGCGGGGAGGAGAAAGAAGAGTTCCATCTTGGCTGTCTCTCATTGGTTCTATTTATTTTTTATTGTTTTATGTTTTTACATTCCCATTGATCATTTCAGGGACAAGACGCGTTTGCTTTGATCTCTCCTCTTGTCGCCTGACTCTTTCTTGCTCCCTTCTTTAATGCACTACTGGGTGAATTGTGAACCATGGCCACATCTTTTACATCTTTTATTAAATAGCACATTGCTAAGATATAGGACGATTCCTCCAGAACTCAACCTCATCCAAAATCAGCACCTCAAGCTCCTTCAATTCCTGCAACTGCACCAACTCAAGCACCTGCCTCAACTTGACCATATCAAACGGCTCAACCTCATACTCATCATAATCACCACCATCCTCTTCCTCAATTGCCTTCACCTCCACCCACCCGCCCACCTCAGAAAGTAACGCCTTCGTGTCCACTCTCTCAGCCCGAGTCTGCTTCCGATACTTGTGAAAGATCCCCAAATCCAGACTCAACTCCCGCAACCTCTCACAACACCCCCACCTCTCCTGTTTCAACGTCTCCAAAAACTCCACATCAAACGGAGCCGCCCTTGAAAAGAATGCGAACCGTGTTAACCTCGAGCACGCAACAAGCAGCCGCAGATACAGCGGTCCATCCATCTCCTCTTGTGTCCTGTAAATCTCAAAATCCTCCAGTGTCGACGCATGCGGGAGGACCGCTAAGACCAGTCCGAGTTCATTGGGCCCATTGACTGCAATCCGGAGCTTGCGGAGCTGAGGTCGGTTGGGTGAACAGTGACGGATCAAGGTCTCGACTTCAAATGTCTCGATGACTGGATCGACCTCGAGTGTTTCGATGTCTGGGCAGTACCTTCCCAGACTGGCGGCCAGGCGATCAAAGTCCCATCCGCCGTGATTCACATAGAGGGTCACGTTCTTGAGTTTGGGACATCGCTTGACCAGCTCTGAAAGATACTCGTCGTCCAGATCGCCGCCGGACCATACCAGTTCTTCTAGTCGGGGTAGCATCCAGATGTCTGTTGTATTGCTGCGTCCATTATCCACGCCATTGCGGGGTTTCTCCCGTAACGATTGCAATGCCGTTGCTGCTGCTGTAGTTGCTGGTGGTGGTGATGATGATGGCGACGCTGACGATACTGGCGGTAGTGGTACCGAGGAGAGTCCCGTTTCAACACCACAGATCCAACCAACAGAAAGCACCTTCAACGATCCTGCAACGCTCTTCAAGACCATATCCAACCGTCCGTCAGAACAATCCCAGCGGTCCAAACTAAGGTTCTCCAGTCCTGCGAGTCCAACAAGGTCTTCGACATCCAATGCAGTCGTGGAGCGGGCGGGTCCTGCCCAGGAGAGACACTTGAGTCGTGGGTTCGTCCGAAGAAGTCGCTTTGCGTCCGGTAGAGGTACAACAGCTCGGCTCTCAGGTTCTTCTCCTGTTCTTTTTCCTCTTCGTCCTGTGCTTGATTCAGAAGATGCTCCAGTCTCTCCACGCCTGCCATCCTCTCCCCTATTTGTGTCCTGTTCTACCGATCCACCACCACCGCCTTCATCCAAATAAATGTTCAACTCCACAAGCTTAGTGCACTCAAACCACGCAATATCAAAACACCGATACGACCACTGCGAGATACTCAAGATCCTGAAATGCGGGCTGTTCCGACGGATAACAGCATCTGGCACCCCATCCATGAATCCCGACCTATAGCTGTACCACAGGACGGGTAGTAGTGTCTTGTACCAGAGATTTGAGACGAGGAGGCAGGTGAGGATTGTTTTGGGTTTGAAGACGAGGTCGGTTATGTCTGGGGGGCGTTTGCGGTTGCGTTTGCGGTTGCTGTTGCAGGTGGAATTAGGGGTGGGGTCTACCCAGAGGGGGAGGAATGAGCCGATGACAGCTAGGATTTCTGGAATGTCGAGTGGGTGTGGTTGCATTGCGGAGGAAAAGGTAAAGAATGGGGGAGGAAGAGAAGAAATGACAGAAGGAAGTGGATGGTGAACAAGAAAAAAAAAAAAAAAAAAAAAAAAAAAAAAAGTGCGGCCACAAAATAAAAAAGGAGCAAAAAAACGTAGCTGTGGCTGTTGGGTGATCGATCGACATTTGATCAGATGTCACTTCTAAGGCAACCGTTTTTATCTTACGCTGAAGGCCTCTCAACTCCTGAATTTGAACAACGTACCTTCCTGAGCCCATCAACGTCCACCACCCGCCCAAAAAACCAAGCAGATTTACCATTTCCTGTCTCTAATATCTGCCTGTGAAAGATTCTGACCTTAAGGCTCAATTCCTGAAGGCCACGGCACCCCCATGGAAGGAGTTGATGAGAAAAGGAAAGAAGAGATGAGACGGCCGCCGTGCGTCAATTGATCTGGAACAACGAAGAATTATCTAAGAAACAAAGTGATGGTTGGTGATGGTGGCGTCGAATCGCACCCTGCAAGAGAGAGTAATCTTTGTCCGCATAAACACCATCCTACTTTAATTCGGGGTATATTTTTTTTGTTCGAGAGTCTCTCTATCATCAACTAATACAAGAAACTACAATGGAACACGCCGGAACGTGATCTGGTCCAATATCAACAACTGCAACCCCTCCAACATCTGCAAGCAAACCAACTCAAGAGCTTCCTTCATCCTAGCCCCATCGATCGGCTCATCATCCTCTTCATCCTTATCAACAATCTCCCACCCCATCTCAGAAAGTATCTCTGCTTTCTCCTGTCTCTCTGCATCCGTCTGTCGTCGGTTTAAATAAAAGGACCCAGGGTCCAGTCTCAACTCTTGTAACGTCTCTCGACACCCCCATGTCGCCTGCTGCCGCTGTTGATTCTGTTGTTTCAATGTCTCCAGGAAGTCCAGATCGAAAGGAGGATGCCGTGCGGAAAATGCAAAGCGTGTCAGTCTAGGACACTCGGTCAACAGGCGGAGACACACAGATGCATCCTTGCCATGGTTGATCCTGCAAATATAAACATCCTCCAGTGTCGAGGCGTGTCGGAGAATCGCTGCAACAAGGCCTCGATGACCACCGTCCTCGAGACTCTGGACTGCAAAGTGTAGCTTACGAAGTTGAGGTCGACCGGGTGAATGGTATCGAATGAGTATCTCCAGTTCCTGGATCTGCAAGAATTTATGAAGCTCCAGGGACTCAAAGTCGGGGCAAGAGGTTCCGAGGGTTTCGGCCAGTCGTCGTAGACCTCTGTCGCTGTGCTTCGCAAAAGACACAAGCGTCTTGAGTCTGGGACTCCGTTTGACCAACTCTGACAGAGTCTTATCGCCGTCGCCACGTTCAAAGTCCGGCCATGCAAGCGACTCAAGTCGGTCCAGCATGAAGTCTTCACAATTGAGGAACACCGGCTCGACATTGTACATCCTCCCAATCACAAGTTCCTTCAACGTTCCTGCAACTTTCCTCAAGACCATTCCCAGCCGCCCATTAGAGACATCCCAATTGTCCACGGTAAGGCTCTTGAGACTTACAAGCCCCACAAAGTCATCGACATCCAGCAAAGGCGCAGGGGTTTCAATTCCATTCCAGCCTAAGGTCCTGAGCTGATGGTTCGACCGGAGAAGTCGCTTCACGGGCAGTAGTGGCATCACCCCTTCTCTTCCTCCACCTCCTCCCTCTGATTCCTTCCTGGTTCCCTCCACGTAGATATCAAGGGCGACAAGGCTGGTGCAATTGATTTGCGCCAAGTCGATGTCTCCTGTAGTAAATCGATTCAGGTACAACATCTTGAGGTGATGACTGTTGTGGTGAAGTGTTCTTGCTGGTATGTACCGCATCTCTGGTATCCACGACCAGTACCCTGCCCATAGAATTGGCAAGAGAGTCTTGTGCCAGACCTTGGAGACCTGGAGGCAGGTGATGAGGGTCTTGGGTTCGAAATAACCCCAAAATAGGCGGGTGGGGTTGTCATGTGCCCATAGGTGGAGAAAGGACCCAACGAGGGCGAGTATTTCGGGGATCTCGAGCGGATGTCGTTCTTGTTGTTGTTGCATGCGGAGAGAATGAAGGGTTGATGTTAGGAAGAAAAAGTGGATGGGGGGGGGGGGGGTTGACAGAAAGGCCACCTGCGTGTGAATTTTGTGACTGACCTCCTCAACCTCTGCTTCCTCAATATCCAAAAACATCGATGGCTAAAACAAGGTTGGTACGCACAAAAGGCCCCGGATCAACTTTCAGCTTTGGCGATTTGTACAGCTCCAACGCCCTCAGGAGATGACTATTCCTGCGGATGGCGTCCGCTGGGGTGGGTTTTATTGCGTCCGAATTCCAGTACCCGTACCAAAGGATCAGTAAGAGAGTCTCCATGACGGCGGGTGGATTCTCAGAGAACGACCTACAGTGACATCGGCGATATAGGGTTATTAAAATCCTGGACTCTGAAGGAAGAATGTGATCCGCGGTGAATGCATGAGGGGTGAAAGGAGAAGGAGATGGAGTACCGACTTGGATAGCAGAGGTGCCGTAGATTTTGCGAGTAAATGTGGGGAGATCTCAATGTTCTTTTGCCTTGCCAAAGGTTTTATATTCACCGAAGCTTAGAGAGCATATCTTTTTCCAAGAAAATTCTTGCCGTGTTGGTTGTTATGCTACATCCGTAGTGCATGCATGCTCACATCAGCATGTTCTTTCAGTTGCTGTTTCTCAGTGTCGACTCTTGACGTGCTATCGCTTCCAACTGTAAGGAGCATACATTCACATCAGATCAGCAGGCGAGATGGTATCACATCATCAAGCGCCAAAGATATCATAAGCAGTCTCCCTTGTCTCAGTCAAACGCGTCCTGTCAATCAAACACATCCTCGCCCAGTCTATCAAAGGCGAATAGTAACTTTATGAGACCCTCAGTTACGATCGACATTTTATGAAGCCATCAGGTACGATCGCAACCCTATCAATAATGAAAAACAAGAATGCGATCGTTTTTTTTATAACTTACGCCAGGCGCATGTGGTTTGCATTTTCTTCCATGGCTATACCTCAACGAACCTTTCGGAAAGTAAAGTCATCCAACCACATCACCTTCATATCCTTCAACCCATGAATCGTAATCAACTGAAACATCCTCCTCAGTGCAATAACGTCAATCGGCCACTCACTCACCCACCCCTTCACCCCAACAACCTCCTCCCACCCGATCTCTGCAAGCAACCCCTCCACTTCCCTATTCTCCTCCTCGGTATACTGGCAACATTGGCTAAACATCCCAGCCCCAATTTGAATCCTGATCTCCTCAAGTTCACGGCACCCCCACTGCTGCTGCTCCAAGATGCGGAAGAAGCCAATTGCGAAACATACGCCGAGTGGGTTGTAAACCAATCGTCGAAGGCGCGTGCACTCGACCATCAGGCGGAGGTAGTTGTTGGCGTCTCCACTATCTCCATGCGGAGAGAGATAGATTTCTTCCACTGTCGCCGCATGGCCGAGGATGAGACCCATCACCATGTCTGTGCTGTCTACGAAGGTGAGGTTGAGTTTGCGGAATCCCGATCTGGAACTGTCGCGGATCAAGGCATCCATGTGCCGTGTCGTCCTGGTTGCGTGGAGCCTCAGCTTATCAAATTTGGGACAACAGGTCCGGAGATGGCTGGTTAGACAAGAAAAGTCCCACCCGTCGTGGTTGACTTGCAACCTGAGTTTTCGGAGGTTGGGACACCGCTTGACCAGCTCAAACAGGTAATCTTCATCGGGCGCGCTGGAGTACCACTTGATCGACTCCAGCCGGTCCAACACCCACCCACAATCACCTCCCTCCTTGAGCTGCTCTGCTTGAAAGCCATAGTTCGTACCAACCTCCAGCTCTTTCAACGTTCCAGCCATAGTCCCTAACACCTGCTCCAACCGCCCCTTCGAACAATCCCAATGATCCAGCAAAAGTCTTTCCAAACCATCAAGTTTCAAAAAATCCTCAACATCTAGAACTGGACAGACGACGTCGGTATTGGCCTCGTTAGGACATTCAAATCCTTTCCACTCGAGGTTCCTGATCCCTGGGTTTGCTCGAACAAGTCGTTTTTCGTAAGGTAAGGACACCTCGCCCTCTCCAGCCGCTATCACCTCCCCAGATCCTTGAATCGCCCCTGCCGTTTCCGCCTCTCCTTCTGCCTTTGGTCGCTGGCGATCCTCAGTTCCATCGACGCCCACATACACAGACAGCTCAGCAAGATTCGTACATTCAAAAGATGTCATCTCAACAGTAATTGGCGGGCACTGGTCCAAATACAAAACCCGCAAGACATGACTATGTCGGCGGATGACCTCCCTTGGTATGCTCCCCATTGTGTCAGACGTCCAGTAGCCGTACCAAAGAATCGGGAGAAGAGTCTTGTACCATGACTTGGAGACCCGGAGACAGGTGACGAGAGTTTTGGGCTCGAAACGAGCTGATGCGATAGATGGGCGGCAGGGGTTGTTGTTGTGTGCCCATAGGTGGATAAAAGACCCAACGAGGGCGAGTATTTCGGGGATCTTGAGTGGATGATGTTGCATGTTTGACGGGGGCACAAGGAGAGATAGAAGAGGAGGGAAGGAAGGAGGAGAAAAGAATGGTGGGGGTTGTGGTGGGAAAAACGAGGATATGAGATGGTAAGAGGAAAAGAGGAGGAAATGGGGTTTTTATGTGACGCAGTTGATCAAAAAATATACGTGGCAATGCATGAAAGATTCCGCGTGCTTTTGAATAAGAAACCTCGTCATGGATGAATGGTTGAAAGGGGCGGCGTGCTAAAAGAACAATGCCATGGCCGACCTTACACCCCAACGACCAACAATCTCTGCAACAATTGCCCTGAACTGAACTGAAAGCACAACCAAGAGCTAGGGTATTTCGGCCATTAATAATAAACCACGTCCATTATTCAAAGGTACCCATCCATCCGTCTCCAGCTTCAATTCGTCTAAAACCAACACGCGGAGACTCTGCTGCCGTTGAACTTGAACCAACTCGAGCGCATGAATAGCTTTTGCCGCACTCATTCTTTCGTACACGTAGCCACTCCCACCGCAGCCACCACCGGTGCCATCCTCTACTCCCCTCCATCCCATAGAAGACAACATATCCATCATCTTTTTTGTCTCATTTCGCGTTCTCTCGCGACCCGTGGAAGATTTTCAGGCCCAAATCCGATTCCAGCAAGGCACCCCGACGCACACACACACACACACACACACACACACACACACACCTGCTGCTTCAATATCTCCAGAAAGGACGAATCCAATCGAGCGATTAAGGACTGGCGACTAAATCGTCGTAGCCTTGTGGATTTGACCCGCAATCGAAGACAGAGAGGACCGTCTTCCCTATCCTGGCCTAAGGCAAGATGCACCTCCTCCTTCAGTGTTGACGCGTGCGCAAGTACCAGAGAGCCCAGACTGCCCATGTCGTGATCGAGTGTGATGTGTAAGTCATAGAATCCTGATACTGAGCTACCCCTAATCAAGGAAATCGACACTTCCGCGTTCTTTGAAGATGCTTCCAGCCGCAGGGTGTCAAATCAGCGGGGCAAATGGTCCGAAGGCTCTCGGGCAAGGGCGAGCAAAAAAAAATCCATACTCCTGCATTCTCGTCGTATTCTTCTTTCCTCATCGTCCTCATTCTCCTCGTTATCTCTGTTGTCCTCATCCTCCTCAACATAGATAAATAGCTCAACGAGGTTTTACAATGGAAAACGCGACATATCGAACTTGAGTGGAGCCCCATCCGCAGATGTGTAACTCCCTCAGTAGAAGGCGATGAGCGCTCAATAGCTGCTGCCGGTACATGTTGCGTGCTGACCAAAACCCATACTGTAGAATCGGGAGAAGGAGGGTCTTGCACCAGAGCTTGGAAACGCGGAGACAGCGGCAGAAGGCCCTATGTTTGAAAGCCGCCCTCTCAATGAGGGAGAGTATTTCTGAGATCTCGAGCGGATGTGGTGGCATGCGGACGACAAAGAGCGACGGAGAGGGATGGAGGATGTTGATTCTGAGTGGTGTGAATGGCTGTGAACAGCAAGTTCTGGAGAAGCGGTCCAAAATCAAAAAAACCGCTTTGAGAAGCGGTTCAAACGATTGGCCAATAAGAGCCGGACGGAGGCCAGGACCGCTTTGAGAAGCGGTCTTTTTTTGATTTTGGGCTGGTGAATTCCTCCATTAGGAACTAAAAAAACAAAAGGCAGCGAACGCGCTTATTGACCACTTGAACAATTCCAAAGCCCTTCTTCACACGGTGTATACAATGATCATCTCTTGATGGACTATGCAGGCGCAGTGGCACAGAAAGATTGAAGCACGATTAAGGACGGAAGGTGTTGCATGGAAAGGGCCCGACCCTTTCGTCAAACATCCATCTTCCTGGGGTGAAAGAGAGGTATTCCTGTAAACGCTCAGTAAAGATCAACAGTGTTCGAGTGTCCAATGGGGACGAGTGTTTATTGGTGCAAACAGTCAGGAAAAAAAAATGAAGAAAACATTGAGGGGGGGTCTATTTACAAGCCTCCAGCAGGTTGGCCATGCCAGGTGGAACTGGAGGATGAAGTTCTATTGAATCCACTTCGATGCGACTGCTGCTGCTGCTGCTGCTGTTGTTGTTGTTGTTGTTGTTGTTGTTGTTGTTGCTGTTGGTGTTCACGCTGCTGTTGACGATCCTCTTCCTCCTGGTCCTCATCTGTAGCAAACACTGCGAACTGCTCCAGGTCATCCCGGTTGCTGCTGGTGCTTAGGCGACTTGGGTGAACGGGCACGCTCGATGAGGACCCAAACACTCCCGAAGACGACCCAAGGTTGGGCGACGACGATCCTCCTTGTGGGTTGCCAGGTCCATGTCCGTGACTGTGACCATGTGTAGGGACTGACGTGCCAGTCGCGGTCGTGTTGCTGACACTTACAGTCGTGCCCATCGCAGACACAGCCGACACTCCGATCTTGTGGGGCGAAGACGACAATATCATTGGCCGAGGAGGGCTGTTGGTGGCGAGCGCTGTTGTCGACGAGCCACTTCCACCACCGCTACCCCCCAGTTGCTGAGCCAGCAGTGAGGAAATTGATCCTGAACCTCCCGATCCAGTGCTGCCAACAGAGCTCGAAATCGCGCGGAGGGCACTCGTCGCAGCCGATTGATAAGGAATCGAAATGGGTGCTGAGCCAGAGACGGAGGCCCCCAGCGACGAACGATTTCCTGCTCCAGATATGCCAGAGGGGTTTGTTGGAGGAAGATGAGCGGTCGTCAAACTCTCGTGGACCGAGGAGGCTGTCGAATCAATGTGCATCGAGTCGGGTCTGCGAGGCTTGGAAGCTTGATGACCGGCAGTCTTGTTGACATCAATTGCAAAAGCTCCTCTAGGTGTAGGTGTGGATGATGTCGCCAATGTTGACGCCAATGTCGCTGTAGACGCCGGGCTGGCTAGACTTTCGCCTGCAGCGAAATTCTCCGGACTTCCGCCACCGGGCTGGAGCAAGCTCAAAAGAGATGGGTTGGCGTTGGAGGTCTTGGAAGGGTCAGCCTCAGTAGTCGTCATTCCTTCCTTGCTGCGAACAGATGAAGCATCATCCTCCTGGCCTTCAGCCAGGGTTTTCAACCGGGCCGTAGATTCGTCGTCCTGAGCGTCCCCCTGTTCGCGATGCTTGCGACGTTCAGAATCTTGCTCTCGCTCTCTCCTGTCTCGGGCCCGTTCGTGATCGCGTCTGGAAGAGGACGATGACTCGTTCAATGCCGAGGTGGAGGAGTGATGTCGCAGTTTGCTACTACTGCTGCTACTCTCGCGCCCGCTGCTTGAATGATACGATGATGACTTTCCATGGCCGTGGCTGTGACTTTGGTATCCATTCCAGCTCGTCGCATCTAGCAAGTAATACTTGACGCCATCTGCAAGACCAAAGGGATTGTGAGCAGACACGGCGTTCGAGCTGGATGATGATGTTCCTCCGGTCTCGTCTTCCGTTGCCGCCGCTTCGACAGCCAAGCGTTTGTCAACAACAGCCTCTGTGATGGACGTGATCCTGGCAACAATCCACTCCCGGTTCCGCAGCTGGTTCGACATGGATGGCGTCATTTGCAAAAAGTAGTGCGGGAAGTTGATGTTGAACGCAGCCCAGGGCTTGGAGATCGAGTTCCTTGTAGGCAGGAACAGAGTCAGATCGTCCACCTTGAAGTTTCGGAAGGCAATCTTCTCGTGGGCCTCGGCCGAAGCACGGTTGTACTTTTCCTTGAGGTTCTTGCATTCCCGCTGCCATCTCTTGAGAAGATGCTCCGTATCAAACAGCTTCTTCTTGATGAGGGCTGTGACCTCTGGGACGTTCAGGTCGGAAAAGTCAAACGTCTGAAGAATGTCCTTGGGCAGAGGCACAGTCGTGCTAGAGCTGCGGCTGCTTCCACTGGTGGATCCCAACACGACCGATCCTGCCACAACTGCGGTAGGTGCGAGCAAAGCGCTTCCTGATTTGCCTCTCTTTTCCGACTGGTCCAGAAGCACAGATGAGGTGGGATAGGAGGCAGCATCCTGATCGTCTGCAGAAGAGAGCGTGGGCAAGGGAATGCCCAGGTCAAGGGCCAGAGTGCTCAACAACACACGGTCACGGATACGAAGCGATTCCACCATAGAATCAGCGGTGGCGGATGGCTCCGTGAGTCCGTGGGGCTGAGTCGGAGGCATAGGGGTGACGGGTGAAGTCGATGCCTTTGGCATTTCAGAGATGGGTGTTGTGGACAGAGGCACGGGGATGGCAGACGCTCGTTGCTGGACCTTGACATTCTCTAGCTCCTCCTTGAGACGGTTGACAGTGGACTCCATCTCCTGTCTGACTGCAGCTGTTCCTTCTGCGGCATCCTGAGAGGCTTTCTTGAGACTGCTAATGGTCGAGTTCAAGACGTCCTGGCTTGTCTCGTTCTCCTTGCGCAACTCTGTCAAATGAGCCTCATGTGCCGCACGCTCTTCCTTCTGCTCATCAGCGTGCTTCTTGATCAGGGCCTGGATTCCATCCTCAATCGCCTGCAACTTCTCACGGACCTGCTCCAAGTCGGAAATCTCGAGCTCCGCTTGCTGGATTCCAACGACAATAAGGCACTGCTTGAGGGGATTGGCGAGATCCTTGGTTGCGCGCTTCATTTGATCCAACAGCCCCGACTTCTCCCTCCAGTCCGCCTCTGCACGTCGCACCATCGTTTTGGCCTCCTCCAGTCGCATCTCCACATCAACATTGTATGCCTCCCGCTGCGCCTCTAGGTCCGAAACTTGTTTGCGATGGGCCTCGACTTGCTGCGCCAGCTCATCTCGAGACGACTCTGTGTCCTTAAGAGACTCGGACAGAGCCGCATGATCTTTTTTGAGTTGGGCGTGGGTGTCCTGCAGATTGGAGTAGTCCTCCTGTATCTTGGCATGGACCACCTTGGCCGCTTGACCATCCTCCAATGCGGTGGTGAGTTCCTTCTCGCGATCCTTCAACTGGGCCAGAATATCATCATGCACAGCACGGTGTGACTCGAGTTGTCTCTCCTGCTCTTCTGCGCGAGCCGTGACGTCCTTGTGCTCCGCAGCATGATTCTCCAGCTCCTCCTCGAGTTCTAGAACCTTGTTCTGCAGCTCCTCGTTGACGACCTCGAGTTCATTCTCCAGCTCGACCACCCTCTCCGAGGCCTCTTCTGCGGATCGTTTGACCTGATCGAGTTGACCTTCGAGAATTTCCTTCTCCAGTGCCATCTGGTTGGTGAGTTCATCGATCCGTTCCTTGAATGCCTTTGTCTCAACCGCCTGAACCTCGGTCTCCTTCTCGTGGTGCTGAAGGAGGTGGTCGTATTTGGTGATCATTCCTTTCAGCTCCAGCTCGAGCTCGTCAGATCGACGTTGGATCGCGGTGGTGCTGACAGAGTTGTCATCCGATGTTTCCTCAGACGTCGCTGAAAGCAACTTGAGTTCCAAGAGTTCTTGACGAAGCTGCAAGAAGTAAGGTTGAAATAAAAATAAGTTCGTTAGTCAGAATGAGTTCTGTAGCGACAGTCTCACATATGATATTATAATTTCTGCAAATAGTCAATAAAACATGCCTCTTCGTTGACAGCGGTAGCCTGTTCGTTGTGGGCGCGCTCGTGACGGAGTTTCACCTCTGCTTGCTCCAACTGCTGAGCCTTTTCCTGTACTTCCTGTTCCAGACTCACCAACCGCTCCTCATCACGCTTCCGCTCCTGTTCCTTGGCTTGCGATTGGGTGCGGGCGGCTTGGATATCCTCCGGATCCTTCCAGGGCTGGTCAGAGTTGGGGGAGACGGACAGATGATGGCGAGATTCCTTGCTCGAAACCGAAGAATCGGCACTGGATCCAGTACGGAAGTTCTGGTACAGCAAATCCTCAAGTGACCGAATCCTAGCCTCATAAGCTTTGATCTTGCTTGCGAGTTCGCCATTCTCCTTTGTGAGGCGCTGATTCTGTTGAACTTGCTGTTGCAAGCCCGGCTGTTGGTCATCGGTCTCCGCGCTACGTCCAGCATTACTGCTGCTTCCTCCTCGCGAGGGCTGTCTACTCAGATTGGGCGAGGCCGGTATGTTTGCAGATGCCCCTCCAGCAGCAACAGCCGTCGAAGATCCTGCACCGACAGAGCCACCGGCACCTCCCACTGGTGTGTTATGACGTGGATATGGGAGCTGAGCCAATTGAGGAGTTCCTGAACGCTGCTGAATATCAACGCGCGACATGTCCGCTCGAAGCTTGGCATTGTCCTCTTCCAATCTCTGGATCTTCTCTGTCAAGAAGCTCTTCTCGAGAATCCTGTCAAACTCGCCGCCCATGACATCCATCTGAGCCGTCATCTTGACAAGGGTTACTCGCAGTTTCGAAAGAGCATCCTGATTGGACTCGCCGCTGATGGAGCTCGCTCCTGCCATGGATTGGTCAGCTCCCAAGACGTGACTCTCGGCGGTTTCCGATCCTTGTCCTCCCAGTCCGACACTCAGCTGATTCACAAGGCGCTCGAACTCTGTGACATGTTCTCTGGTGAAGGGCGGGAGTCGGTCGCGGGTGTGGAGAGCGTTGATCTCGCAGAATGGCGGCACATCGTCCAGTCCTGGGACAACGACAGGCACAAATTTGGCGACCTCAGTTCGGAATGAGTCTCGCCGCCTCTGCTCCATTTGTCTGAATCGGGACATGACCTCGGCTAACTGCTGGGACTTTTGGAGAAGGAGTCTTGCGTACTCCCGTCGACGTACAATCTCGACCACAAGGGCACCGTATGCGATTGGGATCCGCTGAACATACACAAGCTGGCTAAAGTCAGCATCTCGTTTGCGAAGTGCATCGTCTAAGCTGGCAAGATTGGGCGGTATACTGGCGATGGTGGACTGCAGTTTGGAAATATGCATCAGCTGGGAGATGAGGTTGGCGGTCTGCGATCGCTTGGCGGAAATAAAAATGCTAAGCTTGTCCCGCAACATTTCGTCCGACTGGTGAGACGTGGCGATGTAGTCGGTTTTGTAGACCTCTGCCAGACGTCCCAGTGCCTCCAGCGTTGACGCCGATCCTGAAAATCCTTCAGCCCTAGAGATCTCCAAGACGCGTTCCTTGACTCGCGATTGATCTAAGCATATGTAAAAGTAGTGATGCAGAGTTAGCATTGGCCCTGTAGAGTCGACAGTCGTGCAACTACAGTAAATAGACTAGAGGCATTCATACCTCGCTCAGCGCATTGTCGGATCTGACTTTGTTGCTCAACAGTGTGAAGGATATCTTCCATTGCGCTCTCCAGCTGTGCAAGACTGTTTGTAATTGGAGTTAAAGAGAAATGCACCGTGGTTAGTAGTTGCCCAATTAAGAATATCACTGTGCGGATCGGATTGAAGATCGAAGACTTACTTGATGCCGCTGTTGCTGCGGATAGCAACGGTGCCTTCCTGCACCTCTTTGATCGACTTGGACAAGTTCTTCCCGTCCCGAAGAAGCTCCTCGTGGATTTCTCGACAGCGCTCCGCCCACAGAATGAGTTTGTCGGTCGGGATAAAGTCGGAGATGTACCGTTCCGGTGAGTCAGGTGGAAGTAGCGCAGGGTGAACTCTGATTTGTCGAAGGGCCTCAATGTCCCGAGGAAATCTGTCATGAAAAAAAAGAGGTGCGGACAAAATGTTAGCACACACCAATGCATACCAACGTAGTAACAAAATAATGGAATAACGGGAAATGTCAACATACGATTGAAGGAGTCGCGCTTGCTTTGTGAGTTCCTTGGTAGCAAAGGCATTGAACTTTTCAAACGTCTCCAGTACAGACCTATTGTACGAAACATGTTAGTCATGTGCTTCTGGTTATAAACACACTGTGCAATTAAGGTTCCGGTCTATCAAGGTGTCCTGATACACTTACCGACTGTGAGCGTCCAAGTTGGTCAAGGCGACTTGCACAGCCAAGGACTGCATCCTCAGCTCCTCCATAATCCGTTCACACACTCCAGCATGAGCCACAATGGCCTTGTAATAAGCCATGATATGGTCGACGTAGGCTTCAAAGGTCCGCTGAAACCGACTACCCCATGCCCTGTTTGCCGAAGGTGATTCTGGTCGAGAGGGTGTTATTGTTGCCTCTAGTTGCGATACAGTAAGTGCGAGGATGGTTGGTTCTGTCCGTGCTTGTTCCGTGAGTGTGAGGATGCTGCTGGAGATGTCCGTCGTGAGGACCTCTCTGTTGTAGACCATAATGGTGTATTCATCCTAAGGGCGCAGCAAGAGAAGGAAAATGGGTCGATTAGTTGTCTGGATGCCACGTATGCCCTGGTTGGTTTGAAAGAACGTGAAAGGAAGAAGAATGACCGCGTGTGCCCGTGTTCCGAGTCGAGGACCCACGCAAGCAGGTGTGCGTCCCGTTTGTTGTTATTGTTGATAACCCGAGTCATCTGAGCGCTCTCTTTATCCTTCCTTCCTTGTTCTTTGCACCTCCCCTGGGTTAGCGTTTTGTCCCCTCTTATTAGAACCATGTGATGTCTTCCTTTTGTACTGCATGCGTCTGGAAGGGGAATTAATTTTTGCGCTTTGCAAAGAAGGGGGGGCAAGACTGGTCGTCTGCCATTGGTGCTGAGTCGTGTCATGGTCTTGTAGTTAGGTGTGTGTCCTTGCTATTGTTGGTCCGTTCTATCCTACTTGTGCTTGTTAATGTTACGCCAAATCCACGTCCGAAGAAAAAGAAGGCAGCGCATAAATAGCGAAAGAGATGGCTCAGGTGGTATGTCTTTTGGAGTGCCATCAAAGAATTATTGTCCCGTATTGTGTTGTGTGGTTGCCCAGAGAAGGTCAACAAGTCGAATGTATGGTGCGTGTTCCTGAAAAATCAACCTTTCTTTGTTCTTATTATCCTGCGCCTCCTTTTTCGGGCCCTCTTCACTGACCCAACTTATTCTCCTTCGATCTCATCGACGCCTCCTTGCGTCCATCCCTCGAATATCCTGCTAGCCTTTCTTCATTCCCCAGCGACATTAATGAGGCCCAGGCGATATTGGAATCAGACGATTGTCGAGGTATAGAGAAATAAACCATATGCGCCATTTTTTCTCAATTTTTTACTACTTGCTTTTGTCCATGAAAAGAAGAAGGTTCGCTTCATTCGCCCAATGATACACCTTGTAATGCCAGCATGTGTGATTTACCTTGCCAGTTGATGTGATGGCGTCGAACATCATATCGGACTTCAGTTGCAGGCCATCAGAAGTCATCAGGATCTGAGAGCCTTGCGGGACCCTGGTCGCCTTTTCAATTGCAAGGCGCAATGTGTCGAGTCTATACGAGACAAGGATTCGAGAATATTAAAAGAGGAGCAGACAATGAAACGAACGACAGAATATTAATAAAAAAACGTCAGTCAGTCAGTCATGAGAACAGCTTATTCAGAGAGCGATATGAGAGATCCTTGTTGTTCGTGTTGTTGGGTTACTGTTGTTGTGGGGTACTCGCTCATATCGTATTTCACTCTGGCCCTTTTCCCCTTTTCTCCCCAATAAACACGTTCACACACACTCTTCCTATTGTTCAAGGGCCCTTCTCTCCCTTGCCCATCGGGACTAGGACCCATGCAAATAAAGCTTGTTTATAGATCACACTGTGTGAACGAAAGGAAGGGTCAATTCTTCCCTCAGAGAGGGATGCTTTCATTGCAAAATGGTGGCAAAATGCAAACCAACACAAGACTTAACGAGTTAGGTGACCAAAAACAAAGATCGTCAGAGTTATCACAAAGCATGACAACTTACCCGTCATTGGGCCGAAGCTGAGGTATAACCACGCGCTTGCCCGTCTCTGCTCGATAGAGCTTCATGTCCAGGCAAGCGTATCTCGAAACCCGATGGTTGTCAGACGAGACACAATAGGAGACAAAGAGTTGAGGACAAGGAGATAATAATGCGAGGTCAAGGGGTCGTCTGAAGAGGGGTCGAAGGTTGAAATCGGAATGTCGAGGCTGGGAGTTGTTCTTTTAGTTAATCTGGTCCTTGTTTCCTTGTTGATGGAAAAGGGTGTCAATGGCAGAGAGTGAGAGTGAATGTATGGGAGTCTGTTGGAGATACAAGAAAGCAAGGAATGAAGGACGAGAGTCTGGGAAGAGTGTGAGAGGAGGTGGTGTTGGTGCACAAGCTCAAGGGTGGCGTCAGTGCAAGTCGTTGTGGATAAGTTGTTGGAGCGAAAAGAGAAGAGAGAGAGAGAGAGAGAGAGAGGAAGGAAGGAGGAAGGAAGAGAGAAGGACGAAAGAACGTAGAATGAACAGGTTAAGCAGAGGATAATAAAAAGAAGGGAGGCGATAAAAGGGTATGGCGAAGCAAGTCAAGCGAATGACGACTCCAGCAGATTAACAACGAAAAGGAGTATGTTCAAAGAGTATGCAAAAAGGGTGACTAGGGTTTGTTGTAGTTGTAGGTGCTGTTTGCTACGTTGAAAGGTGAAGCGATTGTTGCTGTTGGTCGTGTATGGGTGTGGGTGTGGGTGTGGATGTGATCCTTTTTTTTTCTGTTTTTCAAAAGAGTGATTAGTATTGGTATGGGCGAGTGCAAGAGTGAGTGTGGGATCGGGGTGATGGTAATAAGTGGGGATGTATGAGATGAGAGGGGTGGGGTGACAGATGGGAAGGAAAGGAAGAAGGAAAACAAGGACGAAGAGGCAGCAGCTGCAGAGTGTGAGTAACGAGAAGAAAAGAGAAGACGACAACAGCAGACGCGGCGAAGCACGGGGGCGTGAAAAGAGAGAAAAGCGCTGCGGGGGTTTGTCACTTCTGTCTTACGTCGTTGTAGAAATGACTCTAGAAGGTGAAGGAAGGAGCAAACAAGGAGAGACAGAAAGAGGGATGGGAACACAAAGAGAACAATCAATAATAAATATTATGCCTCTTGGTAGTTCTTTTAACGACACATACACACTGCGTGTCTCATCGATGTACGACGTAAGAAACGGGAACGGGGGTCGCTTGCTCGCTTGCTGCCTCTCGCTTTGTGTAAATGTACCTTCTTGGACATATGTAATCCATCGATGCTACCCATGCCTGCCCCATGGCTTCCCTCACCCAATTGGTCACATGTCACGTTTTCTTAATGGTATCTGAATTGCATGTATTTCTGATATTTCTGATCGCTTCTCCAGATCTTCAACACCTATATGCTACTCCTGCTTGAGCTCTGCTTGTTGCTTCTTAGCAGCTGCAGCAGCCGCAGCGGCACGGAGCCGCTTTTTCTCCTCTGCCATCTCGCGAGTGCCTGCTGTTCCATGAAACCAGTCCAGCACGCCCACAGGACCATAGTTCTTATTGAACACCTCGTGGTGGTAGTCATGTCCCAACGGCGACGGGAACAATGGCAGTTGGAACCCACAGTGCGAGTTGATCGCATTCGTTTGTCCTAATAAGAGGTAAGATACCAACAGTAAAGAATGTGTTAGTCCAGGGCATTTGTCAATTGGGGTTATCGTTGAATGAAGTGACGAGAAGAAAGAGAGAGAGAGAGACGTACCGATGGTGATCCAGAGCCAGAGGGTCAAGACATGCGACTTCATGACAACAGGTCCCAGCAACAAAGGCGACAAGTTGCACATGAAATGCTCCAAAGGATGGCAATAAATCGCTAATCACACATCCCAATCGCAAAGTAATAGAAAAGGCAGTTAAAAAAACATGGACTAGGTCAACTAAACACAGCAATTTCAAATGCCACAAACACGCCTTATTGCATAAATCCATCTTAGCAAGCTTACCGGCGATACCAATGGGCGCAGTGAAGAGATGGTGCTGCTTGTGAATCCTCTTATAAAACCTAGGAAGATGCAACAACCGATGTCCATAATAGAAACCCACTTCCTCAATCACCAAAAACCCAACCATCTCCTTCGCAACCCCCAACATCGTGGGGAACTCCATCCCAATCGGGTTCCCCCTCAACTCCATCAACTTGTACAACAACAATCCCGTCGGCACTCCTACAAGAAACTGATTCTGCAACGCCACCCAAAGTGCCTTCCAATACCACTCCTGCGTAGGTACCTTTTGGGGTTGTATCTTGTACCTCCAGAATGACTTTGGGAATTGGTAGAGGTCGAGGATGGCGAGGAGGGAGACCCAGAACCAGAAGCCGACTTGGGAGACGATGAAGGATCCGCCGAGGATGATGACGGGTTTTGAGTAGGTCGCGAGGATATGGGACCAGAATCGCTCGCCGTAGGTGTGGAGGGAGCCAAAGAAGATGGCAATGACGACAGAATAGAAGAAGACGTCGCCGACTTCGAAGAGGGCTTTTGTGGAGTGAAGGACGGTGGGTCCCCATTCGTCCGTGAGGGAGGCGTCCTGCTCTTGTTCGGGATCGACATGCTTCAACTCGGACGACAATTCGGACGACGACGCGGTCATTCTTATTTCCTGTTCTTGGTGGGTGTTGAATGAGTTGGAATGAAAAGTAAGAAGAGTAAGAAAGAAAGAAAAGGTGATCAGGAATGAGAAAGAAAAGAAAGAAAAGAGAGGAACAGGTTGTGTGACCAGAGATGTTTTCTCTAGAGAGGTGTGCGAGAGTGTGGAGAAGAAGGTTTTCCAGAGCACCGTATCTCGGACTATTTGTACTCTTTTCCATGCCCATGAATGGACGATGTGGAGAACACAGTGCAAACAGTCAACTGGATCCTTTTCCTACACAAATGCACATAATTCATTCAGTTCACAGGCAGCTTGGAGCGCAGACGCCCAATCAAGTAGAATGTCTGACAAAGCGCAATTGACCTCTTTTGGCAATGCATCTCATTGCTCTGCCAGGCCCAGGGTGCTCTCACATGTTCACAGAAGCCCCCCTTTTTTTGTTTGTCTCTGTGGGTGATTATAGACAGTTACACTCTGCTTTAAAGAGGCTGCACCCGCGCTTCATGGATACAGCAGCACCGGATAAAAAACGAGTCAGGCACCCTCGTTCCTTCTCAGCTTGTCTCCTCGCCACTGAACCGCTTCCATGTGCTTTTTTGAACACCCCGCGTAAAAAACTCAACAAAGGCTACTTGCCTTCTGTAACCCAATTAGCCTTCTTCACACGCTCACACATCTCAACTCCACGAGCGTCATAAGCCGGCTCCGTACTTTCTTTCTTCAAGTTACCCTTTCTCCATTTCCTTCCGAACCGAGCATCATTAACCGAAAACGATCATAGTCACCTCATCGTTCCCATGTGTATCCATCTCGTTCGTCGTAGTTTTGCGCGTTCCCCAAAAAAGAAACAAAAAAAACGCCTAGAAAATCATTCAACTTCGAACACATCAACGCGCGCGCGGCAAAATATCTTCATAATAATCACAACAGGGTGACAGGCCGGAATGTATTTATTGTTGCTGACGAGATGAATCATCTCCTTTAGGTACACTACCTTTGCGTCTGGCCTGGGAGGGCGACACCGTAGACAAATCCTCATCCTGAACAATAGTCGCTCCACTGATACTACCAGTCTTCTTTTTAGGTCGCTGGGCTTGATGAGGGTTATGTTGACCTGCTTCAGTTAATGACGACGGATGCAATGGTGGCAATGCCGACGCCCAACCCTCTTGCTCATACGACGACAATGGCGGGTGAGTCGATCCCGTAGGTGATTTCAGGGTCCGGAACGAATACGCTGACCCTTCGCCTGCCGGATGATGGTGAAGCTTAGTCGGACTGGCGGTCATAATCCCTCCAGCTACAGGGAACTTTGAAGACGCCCGAGGGGTCGAAGACGAGACAGAGTCGATTGACCGAGCGACACTTGTCATAAACTCGTGTTCACTGGGCGACGGAAACGCGTGCCGGTCTCCTCTCCGTCCTGAAGAAGGTCCTGGGACAGCCACTCCTGCGGATGTCTTGATCTTTGGTGGCAATGGCGGTATTTCTCTGTGATTGTTGTGATTGTTCTCTCTCAGCATGGGTGTCGAAACCTTGCGCCGAGGCTGGTTGTAATTTCCATCGTGAGACTGAGAGCGCTCCTGCAGGTGAGGCGCATGAAACCGTGGATCAATGGATCCACCACCGCCATTTCCTGGTTGAGTTGGGCGTGAGAACTGCATATGTGTCTGGTATGAACTGCCATAGTTGTGGTCATGGGGTAGGAGGGATGTGCTTGAAGGGTATGTGGTGATGGAAGGTGGAGGGAAGACGCCACTGCATGCTGAACTCGATCGTGATCCAAGTCCCGGCCGTGGTGGTTGCAATGGCGCTGTTTGATTGAGACTGTGTGTGCTCCCGCGCCGTTCATCATTCTTGTGAGTGTAGTTCTCCAAAACTTTTTCTATTGTCGTGGAGTACAACATCAGACATTAGCAACCACACCTTCATTTTCTTTGAAACAGACATGCACTTCGTCAGCATACAAATGTGATGTACCTAGACTGAGTAGGCTTGTGTGGCGAGCGCCGACGGCGGCGAGGACATTGTGCATGCTGCTGGTAAGCGAGAATCCTGCTTCTCTGGGCACTGGCGTTGACTGCTTGGCAGACGTTCCCAAGAGCGGTACAGAGGCATCCCGACCGAACGAATCTCCTGCATTTGTTGGGCGCAGAGGACGGTTGGGGTGCGGTGGGATTCCGTAGCTCATATCCCGAGGTTGAGCTCGTCCTTGCTCCAGGAAAAGATCCGACCTGCTGTGCTCGGGTTGGTATACCACTCTGTTTGGTGGGTACAGGTCAAACGACGAGCGCTGCGGGATAGGGACGTAAGGTTGTTGTGAGGCCACGGTCCAGTCTGGATTGACGATAGGTGAGTCGGGCTCGTCCTTGTCGCGGTGTGAGGTGATGAAATAAACGCCAAGGTAGGTCATGCAACAGCCAGTCAAGAAGTGAAGCCCCTTGTTGAAGTCCATCTCGTCAAAGTCGTTGTACAGAATTCCTGATCCAATGATTGCGCTGGTTGTAAAAAGGACAAACTGGGTAGGGATAACTTGCTAAAGTCGGCAGATGCAATAGCAGACATCCATTGTTAGCTGAAGCCAAGGCTCAAAGGTATAGAAGTAAAAACCTGCGACGTGTTGGCACTTACAGTGGAGTCAAACCGCTGGAGAGACTTGTTGAGGAACTTGATTTGCAAGACAGCAGTCGAGACGAGTACAAAGACCAACAAGTAGGAGATTGGGTATGTGAACATCTTGTAAAAGGACAGACTCAGCAGAGACGAGACACCTTTTGTTGCCAAGACGGTGTAACCACCTATGACATATTGGGGATGCAGGCACAAAAAAAAAAAGATGAGAGCACAGTGTTAATTGTCCGCCGCCAATTTTTTTTTCCTTTCTCATCTCCCTGCGCATCTCCAATCTTCTCCAATCTACTAACAGGTTTTTTCTTTTCTTTTCTTTTCATTTTCCTTACCAAAGATGGCTACAACGGAGAGATCGATGAAGATGTACTCGCTTCCAATGGTGTCCGAGAGTGAAATAAGCACCCCAAGGGCAACGCTGCTGATGATGAAGTAGACGAGGAACTGTGTTTGTAACAAGGCCGCGGCCATTGTCTCGGGGGTCAACTGTAGATACAGTTCGAAAGAGGGGCAAAAAGGGAAAGGACAACAAGTTGTTGTTAATAATGGAAGTGCACCCCCCCCCCCCCCCCCCTTGACTGCACAAAAAAAAGCCAGCAACAGCAACAGTGCCAAGAACACAGCCATCTTCTGTCTGTACCTTTATCTCGCTTTCCTTTGAGTTGACCACGACGACAACAGTCCCGATGATGGCAATAACAACGCCCAAGAGGTCGCGGCGTCGAAAGGGTTCCCGTAACATAAGTGGTGCGAGGATGACATTGCTGATCAGAGCAACGGTGCCCAAGGGTGCGATGATGGACGCTGCAGCGTAGCCATAGGCCATAAAGTTGCCGCACTCGCCGAGAATCATCAGAGTCATTCCGGTCCACCAGGCCTTAGAATGCAGATAGGCCGTGTCGGAGCCAGAATCGGTGCTCTTGCAGTCGTCCTGTCCGGGTCTTTGTGGTGCCGCCGCAAAGGTGTCGCTCTGCTCACTGGTATCGCTGTCGTGGTTGCCATGGTCATAGTGGATGCTGATCCCGCTACTATGACTGCTCTGATAACTGTGTACACTTGCACTGTCGGTGTCCACATGGCGTTGATGTTGGTGTTGGTATGAAGGGTTGGAGGTGACTACGCTTGAAAGTCCCTGGGTATCGTGGGTGTCGAATTGATCCTCGGCGTGGTAAGGAATCGGGGCGATGGAGAGCTTAGGGTCCGTGCTCGGCGTCCCTGCGCCAGGCTGGAGTTGGTTATGAGCATATTTCTGGATATTAAGCGCCACTGAGATAAGAATCTGCTCCATGACAAGAATCCAATGGTGTGGAAAAAAGTAAAAAGAAAAGGGCCCGGCCAAAGGTCAGTCAATTGTCCCAACGTCAAGGTCCATGATAAGTTCGGTTAGGTCAGCTTCCTTGCTGCGTTGTGTCCGCTGTTCTTGCTCCTTGAACAACAGTGGAAGGTGTATGTGTGATGAGGCGACTCTTGCGTTCGTTCATGTCGGTTGTCGTTTTGTTGCTACTCACGTTTCCAGAGATGGCGATGATAACCCCAATGTACGAGTGGACCTACAATAAGTAGAAAGGAAGAGGAACAACACCGGGTGAACTGTCAGTTCCAAAGAGAGAAAGGCTCACTGTCGAAATAAAGAGAGTTTTCATTCGAGATCGTCGGGATGCCCAGTTTGTAACGAATGACAGTGTGTTGAAGCTGTCGATTTTTACATTGATTTCTGGGAACTCGTCGATCGGCCACATTGTACGAATGAGGCTCGGGTGGAAAGGAAGGAAGGGGACAAGGTGAGTGCTGTTGCTGTTATGTTGATGGCGAGTAAAGTGGGGGTTGAATGTGAAGAGTGAGAGTGAGAGGAGGAGGAGGAGGAGTGTTCTACACTGCGGGTATCGAAGGTATGCGTGCCAAAGGGTATCTTATTATGGATGGCGGGATAGAGAAACAAAGACAAGCAGCGAGAAAAGAAGGGAGAGAAGTAGAAGGAGAAAAGGGCGAGAGAAGGAGCGGACAGAAAGGGGAACGGAAAAAGGAGATTAAAGGAAGGGAGAGGAGATAGAGAACAAGAGAGTAGATGCAATGGGACAACTCACGGAGGGACAAAACGAAAGGAAGGGAAGGGATGGGAAGGGAAAGGGAAAGAAAAAAAAAAAAAAAAAGAGAGCAGTTGGAAGGAAGGTAGAAAGGAATCAGACAAGGGCTATCTTTCTTGTGATTACCTGCCTTCTTGCTTATTTGCTGACACAAAACAAGCGAGGGCATTGCACCCCTTCATTACTGTCGTCAATTGCTTCAAGAACAAACGATCGGATAGATACAGACAAGCATGTTTGCGATGCACCACATGTATTTGCCCAGCCCCTCCTTCCTTCCTCCCACTTTTTATTTTTATTCGATCGAATTTTTGTTCCTTGTCTCAGGAATTAGTGGCGTATGTTTGTTTCACCGCTGACCTATCAGCGTTTAATCCCTAATGGTTCCTAGGTCAATAGGAACCAGATATATCATGTCAATCACTTTATCATTATTGTTCCTAAACAATAGATAAGGCAACCCATCACACTGCCCATTAATAACTACAGTAAGTCTTCGAAAAGGTGTTCCGCGTGTGAAGATTCGACTCGCATTGTCATTTTGGTGCTCGGCCCCTTGGAATGGAAAGAACAAAAATGTAACCGTGCGTCTTCTTCGCAATTATCATAGTTGGAGTTCTCAGCTTCCAGCCTTCCTTGATTGACTACTTTGGCGACCCCGCAAAATACCATCACGTCGACACCTGCTTCCCGCACAGAGGTCAACTCCTTCTTAAACGTCTTTTGTCCTAGCCTGCAAGAAAAAAAAGGAAAGGGCTCAATTTGTACCCTAACTTCGAAAACAAAACAACACAATGCGCGCATATTTTTTCTTCTACCTTTTTGCTCGTTTGAGCCGATACCCTTCTTACCCAGGATTCGCGTCTAGTTCCACCAACTACCACCGTTGCCTTCCTTTCCCTTCTCGCACTCTCCTCACGTTCTCATCTCAAGCACTTTTACTGCTCCACCAATCGCCTACGCGTCAGATGCGCTCTTTTTATCTGCTGCCAATCCCTGAGCCGCCTACCTCAGTGCGCTGTTTTCGTTTACCGATGCAATCTCTGGCACTACCTCTCTCGTACTGTCTTTGTTTCTCTTCCTCTTCACGCCTAACCACTTGTGAAACCCCTGTTGGGTAGAACCCTGAAGGACGTGCCTTTTTTTATCGTGGTTCATCCATGCCCATGTCTTCACCTATTGGGCAAGGTCGCTAGGCTTACACGATAATCCCTCAGGTGCATTTTCTTTTCTTTCAATTTCCATAGTTGTTCAATTATCGCTCTCCATATTTTGCTTTCTTACCTTTCCTTTCGCTTCTCTCCTCTTTCTTTTTCTTCTTCTCGTCTCATTTCTCTTTCTTTTCCACTTTTTCCACGATCTCACATCATCACCCTTCTCAGCTTGCCAGAAATTTCAGTCTCTCGTTCACTTTACATCATTCTATATCCCTTCGCTGACCTTTCCAATACAATCGTTATTTCTCAGGCCCACTCTGTTACACTCACGACTCTTTCGCTTCTTCCTTCATCTCACCTCTACTACTTCCTTCAGTGAAAAGTTTCCATTCCAACCCCCGCCTTACCCTCTGTCGTGTTGAAACCTCAGGTTCATTCCACTTGAAAAAGATGCCGACAGGGCTTGTTTTCAAGTCAACCACGAATGTCAAACAGGTAAGTTGTGATTTTTCAACTGTCCAGGCAGAGACGAGTAGGAGTTGGAAAAGGGAGAGTTGGATGAGAGTTGAGAGGGTGTGGACGAACTTTTGCCCACCCATGCTGTAAGAAAGAATGCACATCCGCTTCACATCATAACATTGCTTCAACTTCACCTCACGCCTTGCTTTGTCCCTGTTCTCAAGTGCACCCATATCAACTCCTCTTTCTTTCTTCGTTTGTCGCCTTTGGTTTTATTTCACGACCCTTAAAGGTACCCATCACTGCCTTCTTGTTTGCTTTGTTTGTGAACCAAAAAAAATCCCTCACAAACGATACTATCAATCAAACACAACGCGTGAGAGAAGCATTTTGCTTGATAACAACAAAGAAATCAACCCCTGTCGGGTTACAACCAGCCAGCCTACTTACGCCTAGAAAAAAATCCCTCACAAAAAACCTATGGTTTATTTTCAATTGCTCTAACCTTTGCTCCACCCCTAACCCCCGCATCCATCGCATGGACTGTGTGAAGTTTGTTTTTTAGTTTCGTATGGTGCACAGGGATTGTGCTCAATGACGTTGAATGAGGAAGAGTGAGGGAATTATTTTGCTTTTGTTTGCAATATGCTTTTGACTCTGCATTGTACTGCAGGTCCAACAAAGAAAAAGAAAAATAAAAGAATGCTCTATGCACCACATGTCTCTCCATCTACACCAAAACTGCTTTTGCTCTCTTTTATCGTAAACGTGGGTGGGTCGTACCTGTGTTTTCTGTTCGTTCTCTTCTTCTGAACATTCGAACGAACCAAAAAAAAGAAATCGCGCACTTTTGGACTTCTACGCCAGTCAGATTAATGCCTCACCGAAAAGATAAAAAATAAGAGGGCTGAGATTGCTGCAGGTAAAAAAAGATGGAGCGCCCAAAACCAATTCGCCTATTTCTTGGTGCTGTAACGTACAAGGGGGCAGAGAGGATATTTTGTCGTTTTCACCACCCAGCTCGTATCTCCACCAGACCAGCCCAGAACAAGCCTGGCTATAGCAGAGCAGGCGCAAGGACAAAAGTTCAATTGTGCTCAAAGTGTGGCGGCTAGTTGATTGAACGTACTAAGGCAAGGAACCACAAAGAAAAAATCCCTCACTTATTTGTCGTTATCGTTCGTTTGCCACTGGCTAGAACCTACTACTATCCTTCCCATTGCTAATAACTACGATGATGTCCAGATGCACACTAGACAAGAAAGGAAGCCTTCTCTTTTCCACCGATCAATTCTCCTTTCGCACTCAGGCACATGTGCAGTACAGCAGCAACAGCAACATACACTAAATAAAAAAATCTCCTCGCCCTTGATGATTGCTCCGCCCATCTCTTCATTTTTTTTGCTGCCTTTTGAATAAATACCTCCGGAGGTGTCGCCACTTTTTTGTTCTTGTTCTTCACCAAACTTGCTATCATCTTCATCCAAGAAAAGTTCGTCTGGCGATCTCTCTCTCTCTCTGCTCTCACTCCTCCAGTACAATCTAGGCACCTGAGGTCTCCCTCTGCCCACCCTTCTCACACCCCCAATCTACACATCGCGTTCGCTTTTCTCCCCTCTTTCCACCTTTCCACCCCAAAAAATTTTACAAAAAATGACCACTGAAAAAGAAAACAGAAAGTCGCTTGCGCTAGTCCGCACCCAAACCATGGAGCGCGCCCAGGGCAACGCCCTCCCCATCGAGTTCCGCACTCTCTCCATTCACGTCACCGAGACCCACCGCTCCAACAAGGGAGGAACCACCAGCGCTTTCGGGTCCAAGGGCAAGTCCAAGTCTAAAGCCCCCAAGGATGAAGGCATCACCTCCGAGACCGATTTCTTTGCGACCGTCGATTTCCACAAGCTGACCCCTGCCGAGATCAACCTTCGCTTCAACTCAAATGAGGCCCTGGGCCTTGAACAGGTCGAGGCTGAGCGTCGTCTGAAGACCAACGGGCCAAATACTTTGGTATCTCGCAAGCCTAATTATGTCAAGAAGATCTTTGGTTATGTCTTCGGAGGGTTCTGTTCGGTCCTATGGATTGGTGTTATCACCTTCTTTATCTGCTGGGCCCCGATTCTGCAGCCTGACCCTATTCCTACCAACCTCGCCCTTGCCATCCTTGTCGTACGTTATCCACTCTTTTTTTTCTTGTTTGCTTTTGATGCATAGCTTTTTATTGAACAGGAAATGCTAACCATGTCTTACACTTCGTGCTTCTCCTTCTGATAGATGTTTGTTATTCTGCTCCAAGCCAGTTTCTCTGCCTTCCAAGACTTTTCAACCGCCAAGGTCATGTCCTCCATCCTCGACATGATCCCCGCCGACTGCATGGTCTACCGCGACGGCCAACTCATCAAGATCCCCGCATCAACTCTCGTCGTCGGTGACCGCGTCCACCTCTCACTCGGCAACAAAGTCCCTGCCGATCTGCGTCTCGTTCAAGCCTCAAACGACACCCGATTCGACCGTGCCGTCCTCACCGGTGAATCTGAAGCCATTGAAGCTGCCACAGCCTCGACCGACGACAACTTTTTGGAGTCCAAGAACATTGCCTTTATGGGTACTCATATCGTCCAAGGATCGTGTGTCGGTGTTGTCATCTTGAAGGGTAACGATACCTTGATGGGCCGCATCAACAAGCTGACGACGGGTCGCAAGGAGAAGCCGACGATTATCCAGCAGGAGATTAGTCGTTTCGTTCTGATTATTGTCGGCCTTACTGTCCTGCTTGCGGCTATAATCTTTGTCGTCTGGATCTCGTGGCTTCATCCAAAGTACCCGGACTTTATGCCTACCCAGGTCATGCTCGTCACCCTCATGGGCTGTGTTGTTGCTTTTATCCCTGAAGGTAATTACCTTTGTTGATCCTTCTCTTTTTTTCTTTCTGTCAGTTGTTTTCACTTGGAGAGCGTAACATGATCTCCTTTGGACAAAGATGTCTAACAGTTTTCTTATTCTCATCCTTTGCCAACTAGGAATGCCTGCGTGTGTCTCGTTGACGCTGATGATGATCGCCCGCCGCATGCGCTCCAATAATATCCTTCCCAAGGCCCTAACCACCGTCGAAACCCTCGGCTGCGTCAATGTCATCTGCTCCGACAAGACAGGAACCTTGACCGAGAACAAGATGTTTGTCACCAACTTTGCCTTCCTCGACAATGAGTCCACCCCTGAAGAGGCCCGCAGCCGTCTTGAGAAGGAAACCCGGCCCAACTCCCTCCCTCACCCCGACGACTCAGCCTCAATCCTTGCCCTCCGTCAACTCCAGCTGGCGACTCTTCTATGCAACAATGCCAAGTTTGACACCGACACCCTCAACCTCCCCATTACCGAGCGCAAGATCCATGGTGATGCGACTGATAGTGCTCTTTTGCGGTTTGGTTCTCAGTTTGCGGATGCTTCGCTTTTGGAGTCATGCTTTGAGCGGACTCAGGAGATCCCTTTCAACTCGCGCAACAAGTGGATGATGGCTGTCTATCAAGGATCGGCACAAAATCCCCAACCCATCAAGACTCTCTTTGGTTCCGACATGATGAGCGCCAGCATCACTGGAAACGAGAAGGATTCCCAGCTGGTTCTCGTCAAGGGCGCCCCCGATGTCCTCCTGCCCTACTGTACTTCCTTCCTCTCTGGTGCCTCCAACACCCCCCAGAACCTGTCATCTGAATGGATTGCTGAACTCTCTCGGATCCAGATGACTTGGTCTCGCCGCGGTCAGCGTGTCTTGATGCTCTGCAAGGGCCGCTTCGTTCCTTACTTCGCTAAATCTGCTACTGGTTCTTCTGGCTCTGGTCTCCAGGAAGAGTTGACTCGTCAGGGTCTTCAGGAGCTCTGCATTGTTGGTCTTGTCGGAATCATGGACCCCCCTCGCCCCGAGATCAAGGACACGATTGCTGCCTGCCGCGGTGCCGGTGCTCGCTTCTTCATGGTCACTGGAGATTTCGGACTCACTGCTGCTGCGATCGCCGCACAGATCGGTCTCTTCTCCTCTGAGCGCGAACCTGATACCTACGAGGACATCGTTGACCCTACCCGTAAGGGCTACAGAATCAACTCTGAAGGCAACTTTGACGATCTCGGAGAGTATGAGCTCGGCCGCCCCCAGTTCCGTGAAGGTTCTTCGTTGGTCTTGACTGGCTCAGATATTACCAAGATGAGCCCCGGCGAATGGAACCTTGTCTGCGCCTACGAGGAGATTGTCTTTGCCCGCACCTCGCCCGAACAAAAGCTCAAGATCGTTACCGAGTTCCAGCAGCGCGACGGTGTGGTTGCCGTAACAGGTGACGGTGTCAACGATGCCCCCGCCCTCAAGGCCGCTGATGTCGGTGTCGCTGTCGTTTCTGGTTCCGATGTCGCCATTGAAGCCGCCGACTTGATCCTCCTCGGAGGATTCGACTCTATCCCTGTCGCCATGCGTCTCGGTCGCTTGGTCTTCCAGAACTTGCAAAAAGTCATCGGGTACCTCCTCCCCGCTGGCTCCTGGTCCGAAATCTTCCCCGTCCTCATCAACACCTTCCTCGGCACGCCTCTCTCGTTGTCCTCCTTCCTCATGATCATCATCTGCTGCTTCACCGACTCCTTCCCTTGCACAGCCCTGGTCATGGAACAACAAGAATTCAACCTCCTCGCCCTCCCCCCGCGCAACGCCAAGAAGGAGCATCTCATCACCGGTCGCATCTACCTCCAATCTTACATTTTCATCGGCTCCGTCATGACCTTCTTCTCCAACATGCTCTTCTACATGTACATCAAAGAATACACTGGCGTCCCCTTCAAAGACCTTGTCTTCACCTTCGGATCCCCCAACTTCCAGAACCGCTTCGAACACATCGACGACGCCACCTTCAACAACTACTACGTCAACACCGGCCAATGTGTCACCTTTGTCGCCTTGGTGATTATGCAATGGGGTAACATCCTCTCGATCCGTAACCGTCGTCTGTCGATCCTCCAGGCTGATCCTATCCGTGCCGAGCGCAGGAACTTGTGGTTGTTTGCCGGTATGTTGGCCGCCTTGTTGATGGCTATCCTTGTCACGGAGGTGCCCTGGATCAATCAGGTCATGTTGACCAACCCGGTTCCTATCAAGTACTGGCTTTTGCCTATCCCTTGCGCTGTCGCAGTGTTGTTGTTGGATGAGATCCGTAAAGCTGCTGTTCGCGCCTTCCCCAAGAGCATCATTGCCACCCTCGCTTGGTAAAAAAAAAAGGCGAGGTTAATTTCTCATATCACTCTTACATGCACAAGCATATACTCCACTCATATTATTCATAGTACATAGATAACACAAACATCCACATACCCCCCATTCTTTCTTTCTTTTTTCTTCTTATCTTTCGACTTTTCTCTTTGTAACAACACATCATTAAAATGCCATCTTGAATGTTTTGAACACACAAACAACAAAAGCTGCCTCGTTTTCTCGTCTGTCTGGAATATTGATGAAGAACTCGTCGCGCATCCATGTCTAGCAAACCTAGCAAGACTACCTTTTTTTTTTAAAAAACTTTCTCCTTCAAGAATGAAAAAAAAAAAAAAAACACGGCAACTCGCACTTCAACGAATCCAATCCTCATTCCTCTTGATCTGAACCAAAAAAATCCAATTGAACTTTTTCAATCAAAAAAATTAGCCCCCTGCCTGAGTGTCTCCCGTCAAAAAGTGTCGGTTTTATTGTATTACGAAAAAAAATCCTGTAATGGGCGTGTAATGGTTGTATGATTTTAATGTCGATCCAGTTCCTAAATGTATTTTAAACGTTCTTGGTCTGGTCCTCCTCGGCGGCCTTGATAAACTCGCGGATGAAGGCTTCCTCGTCCTGAGAAGCGGCCTGGATGACGTTGACGGGGGCCTCCTTCTTGCCAGCCTGCATGAGGATGATGGGGGCGGCAACGGCAGCGTAGGTGGCAAGAGCCAACTAATTTGGTTGGGGGCAGGTATGAGGAGCGAAGGGACGGTGGTTAGCAGATGTGTGCGTGGTACGTGTTGGACGTACATTTGCTGATGGGTCGCGGGTATGATTGTTGGTTGTGACGAGAGTGATGTGAACAGGCGAGTGTTCTCCTCTCCTGGAGTATTCTTGTATGTGTGGCGTTCCTAGTCAAAATTGGTGATATGTCCTCCCTGATCGCCTTTCTGGGTCCTTTAAAAGGTGAATTGATCTCGTTTAAGGTACCAGTGCTCGCCTCCGTTTTCCAAAAAAAAGACTATGAAAATATCTCCTGTTGTTCCTGATGCCTTCGTTCCCGGCACTCTTGGGTATGCAATCCGCGGTGATCTGTTATGAGTTCCTTGACGCTGATCATCCGATCTACTCTTGCGGCCGTTGTCGGAAGAAGTCCTTGTTCTCGGGTACTGGCTGTGCCGTTGTATGTTGGCTGAAAAGTATAGCTCCTGCAAGCTGGCAGCCAAAAGTACCTTGTAGGTGGGGATGGCGCGGCCAAAGACGATGTACTCAGCTCCCATGTTGGATGTGTTGTTGGTTGATGAAGAAGGTAGGTGAAGAAGGTGAGATGATTCGCTGTAGCCAGAAGACAACCCGGGCAACCGGAATCTCTACGTCACGAGTGGTCACGTGTATATAATCCTTGAATCATTGCCGTTCTGTTCCATTCTCAAAAATGATGGGGGAGGGGGTGTGCACTGGTGTGCCCTGTTGTGTGCCCTGCCCTGGTTTGACTGACTGTTGGTCGTCTGCCCCCCTTTTCCTTTCTCTCCTTCCCTTTGCTCTCCTTTTAACCTTCCTCCAACCCACAACGGCTCCATGTCAAAGTACCTCAAGAGTGCAGCTCTGGTCCTCCAGGTTGCCTGCGGAGTCCAGCTCTTCAACAACCACGTCGCCGAATTCACCTGGGTAAGGCATGCCCTCTTCGAATTCACTTTTGCTCTCCTCGAATGAACACGTTATTGTACTATTTCGTACCTTTTTTGCGCTCTCCTCTAAACTCACACTCGCACCCATCACGCGACCATTTCAACAACACTCTTCACAATTTCAAATGTCAACACTCACTCATCCACTCAACAAACACATTAACACCTTCTTTCTTTCTGCGCTATGAACACTCCTCCCTCTCCCTCGACACTTTACAACCCATTCAGTGCTTTGGTCCTTCAATGCTGCCAACACTCAACATGACAGGTGACATCGTCGGCTTTGAACATCTGACCCAACGGTTCTCGAAGCTCGGCACTGGAGATTTGGTCGTGGCCGTCTCCCCTACAGACCCCTCGAAGCTCGTCTGCAAACGGATCATTGGTGTCCCTGGAGATAAGGTTGTCATCGATCCCGTCTCTCCTCACCGCCAGTATATTACCGTACGTTTTCTATGCACTTATTGGGTTTGTTCTGTTCAGATCATGGACCAATTGGTTGAAGAACAAGGCCGAGAGACATTCGGGACTATTGTATTTACCAAGCTTCCCTTTGTTTTTGACTGTTTATAGGTCCCACCTGGTCACTACTGGCTGATGGGCGATAACCTGAGCAACTCGACCGACTCGCGTGCTTATGGTCCTGTCAGTGGAGGATTAGTTCTCGGGCGCGTTTTTGCCCGGGTAAGTTAGTTGGCCAGATCCTACTTTATTTTCACCTAGGATCAACTTGACGTCCGTGTGTTGTTTGCCATTGTCCTAACTGCCCGACTTCTTTTGTTTCTAGTTATGGCCTAGCCCCAAGTGGATTAACAACGGTCTTGAGGAGATTGTGGAGTTCTCCTAACCGGTGCATAAAGAACAGACGGACAGAAAGATGTGGTTGCCTTTGGGAGACCATGGGACTTGGTCTATTTACGGTCGTCCAGCTATCGTGTCAAGATGGCGCAGTGTAAGTCTGGCATACTGGGCCATAAAGACAAACAGAGTGGCGAATTCTTACACATATGCAGCATCGTCTTGGACTTCGCAGCAGGCCAATTGGTGCAAGGATTTGCTATAAATGCACTGGACACCCCTTTCCCCTAGTTGACTGACTCCGCCCTACCCTTTGACCAGCTGAAGAGAGCAAAGGACCAGTCATTGTATTTGTAAAGAGTGTGAGCGTGTAAATAATAAAAACCGCGAACGAGCTGTATGAACTGTATGATACCTCTCTGTTGATAGAGCAAAAGAGAGCAAATTATTTTGAATGGGCTGTGGTGGCTCCAGGCCAGGAGACAACGGAGAAAACTTCGCCTCAAAAAGCTACGATGTCCTGCATTTTGCCGGAATGAAATCGTCTATGAGCAAGGAGAAGTAATGATGGCATACACTCACTTTTACCCATAGACTGTCGAGATAGGTAGGGGGCTCCTTGTTAAGGCTGTTCTTGGCATGGGTGAAGGCTGGTCATAGATGGCAGCACACCATTGAAACGAAAGCCTATCGAGGGTGTCATATAGTGTCAATAATATCATGCCTGTGCTTTTTTTTTATTTTCGTTTGCCAGTTATTCGAAGAGAGAACGTGGTCCTTGCGTGATTCGATTCGTCCAGCAGATGCTGATTCTCCCAAATACAGATTTTTCACCTTTGTCACTCCACACGCCTTTGAGGCAGGGTCTTTTTGTCTTCGGAGAAAGGGTTGCTCCGTGGTGTTCTTGAATTAGCTCGACACCTTTAAATACCCTGGAACCCTTTCGCTTCTTTGCCAACTTTGTCCATCTTTATTACACCATCTTTTCTCCTCCTTTTCATCTCTTTTTGCTTCCCTTTTATCACATCTTCACCCTTCTTACTTCGCTTTTTATCATATCGTCACTCCTCTTATTTCTCGTTTCCTTCTTCACCCATTCCCACTCTCCCCACTCTCCCCATTCTTTACTTCTTCATCCCTCATACCCTTCACCAAGAATGCTGCTCAACTTCTCTGCCGCGATTGCTCTGCTGTGTGCGTCGACAACAGTCGTAGCAGCAGGTTTGCACACGTATGTTATCCCACCTACCCACTCACTCACCCACTCTCTCCTTCCCCTTCTCCATTCCCTCATCAACAAAAGGGATTGATACTCGACGTGTGTGATATGCGACATCGTTTGATCTTATCACCTCTCATAACTGATCATCCCTTTCTTCCCTGACTGACAAATTCCTTCCTTCCTCTCGTTTGATCACCCAGCGTGCAGATGGATAGGCATTCCAACTCTGCCCACAGAAACGCAGATTCTGCCACCAAGCGATACCTCCACAAGCGGGGCATGTCCTCCACAAGTCCATTAACCAGCATCACTGGTGACGTCATGTATAGTAAGTTCCCATCCTCCTGTGTTCTGGTATTTGGACTAACACCAGAAACAAAAATAAAATCTAACGAATAACATCGCATCCAACTGTCTCGTAATGAAAAAAAAATATATGCAACAGCTGTCCCTTTGGGTCTTGGAACACCTGCCCAAAAGTTCAACCTGGCGATCGATACAGGTAGTCCCGTCACTTGGGTTGTCGCCAGTAGCTGTACCTCAAGCCTCTGCAGTAAAGTCACCGATCGCTTCGATTGTGCCGCATCATCGTAAGTTTTTTCTTAAAAAGGAGTGTTCGTTTGACAATACTTTCGCCCATGTCTGACTTTGACCTGCTTGACTTACTTGACCGCCTTGTTGTGTTGCTTCTCCTCGTAGATCGTGCCAACAGTCGACAACGCCTTTCAACATCTCATACGTCGATGGTTCCGAAGTCGCAGGGTCATACATCTCCGTGAGTACACCCATTTCACAATTACCCGCTAACTGTATCACTACGCGCATTCACCTCCAGCTAAAGCATAATACTCTATCCTTTGATGTTACTAGGAGAAGTACACTTTAGGATCATTATCGTTCAAGGGTGCAGTCGGCCTAGTAACACAGGACAGCTCGGCGATGGGACCAACAGTCGACGGCATCATGGGGCTCTGGTACTACCCTGCAGGATCCAACGTGCCTATCCTTAACGTCCTCAAGAACTCTAGTGCACTGACCCAGCCCCAGATCGGAGTGTGGCTCAAGGGTTCGTCTTCTGAGGAGAATGCGCCTGGTGGAGAGATTACTTTTGGAGGCGCAGATACGTCGAAGTATTCGGGTGATATCTCGTACGTCGATTGCGGTGGCGACAGTCCCTGGACCGTAAGTTTGTCATTTATAAACGAACAAGAAAAAGGCTGTTGTATTTGTTGATTGTTTGTTTGTTGAAAGTCGAAAAGCGATTGGCGACCATGCTCTGTGTATTAATTTTGTTCCATGGAATAATCTTTTCTTGAAAATAGATCCCAGTGGGAGGGCTAAAGGTGAACGGTCAGACCATCAACACCTCGGGTGCTATGGCAACCCTCGACACCGGTACCTCCCTCATGCTCGTCTCTCAAACTGTCTCGGACGCCATCAACGGTGCCATCCCCGGCGCTATCAAAGACGTAAAGATTTCTTCATCTCCAGCTCTTTTGTTATGTTTTTCCTTGTGTTATGTCCCACCTTCCCCCCCCTTTCGCTGGATTTTTTGCGGCCTTACTAATGGTTCTCTTTGTCGCATTTTTTTTCGTTGTGAATTAGTCAAAAGTGGGATGGTTCTTGCCATGCAAGGGAAATTACTCTATTACGATCACATTCGGGACACGCCAGTTCACGATCCCTTACACTGCCTTGGCAGTCCAGGACCAGACTGCCACCACTGACACTGGTGCAACGGTCTGTTTGAGTGCTGCCATGTACCCCACCGGCGACACCGCCACCATCGCTGTAAGTTTGCTTCTCTTTTTATTTTCACTTTAAAACGCATTCACTTGTTTCGTTGAATTAACCTCTCTCCACCTTTTTTTTCTTTCGACGATAGGACTGGTTGTTGGGAGACGCGTTCCTGAAGAACGTGTACACGGTGTTTGATTTCAGCACCCCGAAGGGAAGGATTGGCCTTGCTTCCCTTGGGTCGGGCGGCAGCAGCAGCAACAGCTCGCTGGATAACAGCACTGATAGTAGCAGTGGTAATGCCGCAGGAAGTAGAGGAGCAATGTTGTCGAGTATGCTTCAGGCCTTGACTGCGATTGCTGTTGCTGTGGCCATATTCGCCTAATGCCACTTCCAGCAAGGGCGCGGGGATGGGGTGGGGGGAAAGAATTTATGTACATGTATAATCTACTTTTATCTATGATGTCGATGACAAAGATGTGGAGCAAAAGCCAATAAAGGTGTGAGGGAGGTGATCATTGCGTTGTCTCTCCCATACCACTACGACTCTCGGTCCATGACGCTCCAATTGAAAGGACGAGTTGACAGAGGGAAAATCACATATGAATATGGTGGGAGAAGGAAGAAGAAACGAGTGCGTGGTTTTTCCCTGTGTCTTTATTTGTGAGCTTCAAGATGAGATGTCAGTCCCTCCTTTCCTCTCCACTCCCATTGAGCAAGTGCGAAACAGGCTGCCCTCTGCCTTGTTGACATATGCGGCGCATTTTGTATTCTCTTTACTTATTGCTCTCAATTTTCAACAGTGGCGAACTGTAACCACTTCAAAACCGACGCCCCCTGTTCCCTCTGCTCTGCTCCCTTCTTCTGACCATGCCCAGGGAAGAAGAATAAGAGCGTCAGTTTCCCATTCATTCATCATCCATACCCTATTCTTTGACCTGGACTCTCTACTTCCTTGGTCTACTCTTTCTTTTTCTGTTTATTCTATCTGCCTCTTGCCTTTACTTACACCTTCATCCCCTTTCCTTCCACTTCGCTTTACCCCTACTTTCGTACTGCCCATCCCTGTACTGACCTGCTCCCTTCTCCTTCACCTCCTCTACTTCCACCCTTCCTCCGCTCTCCTTACGACGCCGCCCTCCTCCTTCTCTCCCTTCCTTATCTTATTTTAATGCTCTTCAAATACTCCCTGGCGGCCGCAGTCGTCCTCGCAGCCGCCTCGGCTGTCGCTGCTGAAGAAGAGACGGTAGTAGGAACCGAACTAGGAACCGTCTTCACGTACGTTCTCGCTTCTCTCAGGGAAACCCCTTCCCATATAACTTACAGCGGAACCCCACGAACCGACAATAAGACGTTGCGACGTTTGCGATTCACTCGGAAAGTTAGACTTTCTCTCATTCCTTACACACTCATAGGAGTAATCGCTTTGAATGACAAGGTGGAGTGACACTACTATAAAAAAAGACTGGTCCTCCTTGCTTGCTTATTTGTTCCCGAGCCAAGAAAAGAAAAAAAGGACGAACTAGAGAACCTCCAATCATTTCATTTACCACACTCCCTTTTTCTCTCCAACGGACCATTTGTATAACACTTTTGATCATTTACCGCCTATTAAATAGTGTCCCAATCGAGGTCCACAACATCCCCGAGAACAGGAACTCGTTCGCAGCAGCAAAACACTACCTCAGGAAGCGCCAGGCTAGTTCGGATATCACCCTCACCAGCGTCTATGGCGATGTCCTCTACAGTGCGTCTCTTATCTTCCTTATTGAACCGGGTTCGGGTTCGGATTCATTGTTTGTTTGTCCCTGGTACCACTAAAATTAACACTAACGGGAAATACAAATGTCATCGTCATTCCCTTCGCTCTCTTTATTAGCGGTGCCAATAACATTGGGAACGCCTCCACAAAAGTTCAACCTGGCCATCGACACTGGCAGTTTTGTCACCTGGGTCGTTTCCAGTGGCTGCATCGCAGGTGCATGTGCAAACATCACCAATCACTTCAACCCCGCCCTCTCCAGGTTAGCCCTTCTTTTTTCATGACTCTCTCGTTTCTCTTTTACAGTTTGGGCAAAATGCTTTCCTCACTTTTTCAACTAGATCACCTCGTAACCCTGACAGGCATTTTGTTTTGTTTCTGTTTGATATATAGCTCCGCAGTGTTGTCGACAGTCCCGTTCGCTGCTCAGTATGTCAGTGGAGACAAGGTTTCGGGGGTCTACATAACAGTAAGTTATTATGTTATGATGAAACTGACCTTGGTCCTCTCTCATGGCATAAGAAAACAAGCAACTGACTAGCAGCCATATTTTTGAACATATTACAGGAACAATATGGCATTGGAAACCTCAACTTCAAGGGCGTAGCTGGTCTCGTCAATGTCAATCAGGCATCGTTGCCTCCCACTGTCGATGGAATTATGGGTCTCTGGTCCACCGCACCCGGTAAGCCTAGCAGGACTTTTGTCGTGCCACCCCGGAAACGAATTGCAAGCTTCAGTTCTAACCTTAATTCTTTGTTTGGACCAACTGTAGGCGACGCTCCAATTCTGAAGGTTCTTTCGACATCAAAGGCTCTGGGCAAGAACCAAATCGGCGTGTGGCTCCAGGCAAACGACCCAGCCACCCAGGCCTCTAAGCGTAGCAATGCTGCCGGTGGAGAGATTACATTCGGAGGTGCCAACCCTGCTCGCTACAAGGAGCCCATCACATATGTCAACTGTGTCGGCGATACCCCCTGGATGGTACTACAATCACGTCTGCCTATGTTGAACATGTCTTGGCTGCTCGCTGCAAATATGATTGTCAGCTATAACAACGTTGTCTTTATTCTTTATTCGTGAACATAGGTTTCTGTCACTGGTATGAACATCAATGGAAAGGAGATTGCAACAGGAGGCGCCAGAGCAACTATTGATACAGGCACTTCCCTCATGGTTGTCCCTGAGGCCGTTGCCGACTCTATTCACGCCGCCATCCCCGGAAGTTTCAAAACCGTAAGCGCAAGGCGATCCACCTTTTTTTCTGTTGGCAAATGGAAACGAATGAAAGAATATGACACAGGAAAGCAGTAGGTTGCTAATATGTCGATCCCTCTTTGTGAACATAGACGGAGTATGGCTGGTTTGTGCCATGTGATGGCAACACGCCCATCACGATCACCCTCGGCAACTTTGTGACAACCATCCCCTACCGGTCGTTTGCTATCCAGGACAACTATGCCACGCTCAACACTGGACGCGTCATCTGCTTGAGTTCTGCCATGTACCCCATGGGTGCCACCGTCCCCATCAAGGTACAAATTAATACGCGTTTGTTTCCGTTTCGACCCCCCCCCTCATCCCATCCCCGATGAAATATTAACTCTATAGTTTCCTACCCATGTTTAGGACTGGCTGTTGGGCGCGGTGTTTTTGAAGAACGTGTACTCGATCTATGACTTTGACCCATCTGTCCCTGGAGGAAGGATCGGGTTCGCCCAGTTGGCTGTTGGAGGAAACTCTGGTACTGGACCAGTCGGAACTGTACAACCCGGGACAGGAGACTCTGGAAATACTGGAAGCGGAAATGGTAGTAACGGTGGAAGCGGTGGTAACAACAACAATGGTAATAGTGGTGTTATTACAAGTGGTGCTGGCCAGTTGTTATCAGTGTCGCGTGCGTTGACTGTTGCAGCTGTTGGGGTTGTTACTGCGTTTGTGTTGTAAGGACATAGAGACTATTTATTTATCCTTGTAACGACCCTGGATGAACGATTGTGATGATAATAAAAGAGACAACACAACATAATACAACACTACAAGGGCGTCCTGCCTTCAGCAAAGACAAGCAGAAAAAGATATGCGCCACCAAAAAAATATACCACAGTTCTTGATTGTTTCGTGAACTGATCAAACACGCCGTACACATGACCCTTGGCTTTGCTATGGATCGCCATCACTATCTCTCCTTTTGTCCTCTTTTCGTTCTTTACCTCTATCTCTATCTCTTTTCCCCTTCCACCCGCTTTTTTGTTGTGTTAACACTATCCCACTTCTTTCTTTTACACCACACCCACACGACCTTTTTAAACACCCACCCACGATCACCCTTTCGTTTTCACCCAGACTTGTAAGAATCAAACACACGTCTTTTGTTTTTGCTTCTTTGTCGTTTGGTTCCTCGTCACCCTTTGTTGCCTTGAAGAAAAACGCTCTTCTGTCTTCAACCCCACAGATTTACTTTTCTCTCTTTTCAAAGCAACAACAGACCCAGTGAGTCAGTCTTCAGGATCTACTACCTCTACTCCTCCTATTCTCTCCTTCCTCTCCTTGGTATCACTCCTCAAAGAAGACGCAACATCACCAAATTTCACAAACTCCAAGAAAAACGACAACTCCCCTTTCCTTCTTCTTGCTCCTTGCTCTCTACTACGACCGATCATGACTGAACCGGCGACGCCGATCCCCTCGACAGGTGGCCTATTCACCGACTACCGAGAGCCTCCACCCAGTACCGAAACAGCCCCGCCAACACCAGACGACCACGATGACAGCGATGATGACGACGAGGAGGAGGGTGACTGTAGGGATTACCATGAGGAGAACATGATGGTCGAACTATTGGAAAGGCGACGGGAGTTATATGCGAGGACCCGGTCTTTGAACCCCTCCACGGTTCGTGTCTCCTATCCTACTCCTTCTCCTCCTCCTTGGCTTGTTGATGATCCGAGTGAGAGTCCTACTGTGGCCATGGGGAAGACCAGGAGGAGTAGGAGTAGGAGTACGCCGTTGTACGGCCGCCGTCGAGGTCGGGTGTCTAACAAGATGGCAGCTCACAGAGGAGATAAATGCGACAACTACGACAACAAGATCAGGGCTAGGAGGAGAACCATCGATGTTATGACAGAGCTGTGGTCCTGGGTCCGAGGTCTTTGTCGCAGATTGGATGTGAGATGCAATTACACTCCTGAGGAGACCACCATTGTTGCAACTGCAGGTACAGCTCGTAACCACCTCTACTACCACCAGGTCCACTATTATACCGACAAGGTGGCGACTACGTATTACAACAACGAGGCGGCTATCGTCAAATGGATATTGATCAGTCTCTTGATGGGGCTGATCATGACGTTAGTGCCTTGTCTAATCGTCCCTCAAGATGAGTCGCCGTCGCATTCTCCTTCGACACCGCGCTATTGTGGCAGGTTGAATATCTCCTGGCGGACACCTGTAGTTGTTGTTGATACTGGAGAGGTAGGAAGTGGAAGTGGAGTAAGGAGGACAATAAGAGGGAGAGATGAGGGGTCGTGGCGGTCGTCGTTGAGGTCTCGCTGGACTCGTACCCGCTCCGCCTTCCACTTACTGACACACCTTTTCTCAACCTCGCGATCAGCCTCCAAGGACAGGGATCCCCATCATCAATCACCGACCAATGATATCTTGGATAGCTCCTCAATTCGATCACCAACGGATCGACTTCCTTCGAGTTCCAGCGACGTGGGTATGGACTTGAGGACGGAATACGAATCTCTCGAGCGGAGGATCACGAACCTCGAACGGTCGCAAAGGAATAGAAACGTCGACTTCCGGTTGATCTACGAGCAATTGAGGTCTGACCGGTGGGTCGAGAACAAGATCTTGGAGGTTATCCGCAATGAGCTCCCCGCTGAGTTGGTATTGGCCAAGGATCCTATTTCGGGGGAGGCTCGGGTTCCGGAGGAGTTCTGGGATGCGGTTAAGGAGATTCTAGGGGCGAGGGATGGGTACCTTTCTGCGGTTGTGCAAGAAGAGATGAGGAGGACTGCAGAAGGGGAGAAGGGGAAGTGGGAGGAGATTTTGAAGGAAAATGAGAACAGGATCAGGAGTTTGGTTTCGGATACTCATAACAAGCTTTCGCGACGGACTGCTGTGCTCTCGAGGCATGAGTTCTTGTATTTGGTCGTGACAGAGTCGAATGCTGTCTGGGCTAGTCTTGAGGGGAGGGTGGATTCTTTTGTGCAACGACAGCTTGCGCAGTGGGTGGAGCGGGAACTGGATGGCGGTGGCAGTGGTGTTCAGGAGATCGTGTCGCGTGTCGAGCAACAGATCCTGACAGAGGTGATCGACAGAGCCATCGAGCGATACCGCGCCCGCCACAGTATCCATCGCCATATCGACGCACAACCAGACTACGCGCTCTACAACTCGGGCGGCCGGATCATCCCCCACCTCACAACCCAGACCTACCACCGCTACAAACCCACCACCATCCTCGGACGACTCTTTGGACTCCAGAACTGGATCCCTCCTCCCTTACCTCCTTCACTTTCGGATAGTGACCAAGTGCAGGTGAACAAGGTGATCCAACCAGAGATGAACCCTGGGGACTGTTGGCCTATGCAGGGTGGGTGGGGTCAGGTTGCGATTCAATTGGCGAAGAGGGTTGTGGTGACGGAGATTGTGATCGAGCACGTGGATCCAAGGGTTGCTCTTCATCGGGGGACTGCGCCGAGAGATATTGAGATTTGGCGTTTGGCTGCTCCTACTACCGAATCTTCTTCTTCAACTGAGGAAGAGGAAGTGAGAAGGAGAATGACGAATGATGAGGATGCGGGCGAAACTCCGATCCTGGCGACTTGGCACAAGTTTGGGTCGCCCTTCCCTGGCGCCTCGCTCCTTGTGACTATCACGTACCAGCAACAACAGGAACAGCCCATTGGGACTTGTGATCGTAGCGGGGATGAGGATAGGGTTGGCGTGGCGGAGTCGGAGATAGAGACGGCGCAGAGGTTCTCGATCCCGCTGTCGAAACAGAACGTACCTGCGTATGGTGTTGTTGTCCGGGTGCTGTCAAACTGGGGCCACCCTGATTTCACTTGTCTCTACCGCGTCCGTGTCCATGGGCGTGCCGTGTAAAAAATAATGAGACGATGATTCGCGTTTTGTGTTTTGATCTCTTTACACTGCGGCTAAAATAAAGAAAATAATACGCCCTCCAGCAACCCTGTTGTTTTGCGCCTCCTTGCTGCTTTGGTTGTGACAGAAATCGGCAGATCAGGCGAACGGGCAGCTCAACAAGGGAGACAGGATGGAATCATGGAAAGGCAGTGAGAAAAGCGTTGAGTCGAACAGCGCTCTTTAATCCATTTGTCCATCCATTTACTTTTCTACAAGAGCTGCAGAAAACTCCAGCACATTACCCTCAGTAACCTATTTGACCAAGATAGACTCAAAGTACTCATCCACTTCCACCCACGCAGCACTGTCAACATTCGACACCCGGAACGCGATATGCGTGTCAGGGCGAAGAATAACAATCCCTCCTCCGCTCTTCCTAGTCGACACGCCCACGAATCCATATCGCTCATGCAGTCGCCCTCCTTCGCGATCGACATAAATTTTTCCAAAGCCTGCTGCCCTATCCGCCATTGCTGTTGTGGTTGTTTCATGGGGATCCGAGTCGAAGGAGGAAGAGGAGGGTGTGGCGCTGGAGATGACATGAACCATGAACTGAGGTGTCGACTTCGTCTTCTTGCTACTCATCGCCTCCGAGCTCGCGTTTGATTCCAACACTCCTCTGAGTCCTGGCCATCTGGACAACCATACCCGTTGGTAGTGGTCAACATCCTTGACCAGACTGGAATCAAAGTCCTTATCCTTCGCGAGACGATCGGCCGCAAAGATGAGAATATGAAAGACACCAGGGAAGGCGAGGAGTTCGTAGAGTCGTGTTGTTGCGGGTTGACCAGTCGAATCATCCTCCAGTTCAGTTAGCGACTCTGACCTTGGCATCGATGTATCTGCAGGTGCTGTGAAAGGGACAAGGATGTCGTCAGGGGCTCTTTGTCCGATGGAAGCAGGTCCTGTGACCGAGTAGTGTTGAGATTTGTGGGCCTTGTTGATCGAGTTCTCGTGGTACCGAAGTCCCAACTATTGTTGCATTTGGGCAAGTTGGAATTAAAAAAAAAAAAAAAAAAAAGGTTAGACAGCGCTGCGTTCCCACCATGTTTGCATAAGAGAAAAAAAAATAACGAAAGACAAAAGCGCCGTGTTTTTTTTTTTTTTTTTTTTTGTACCATGGAGAAGGAAGGACGGCTTCTGCCATTGGGTAAGTAACGAGTGAGAAAGGGCGTGATTGAAAGCATCATTCGCTTCATGTTGGACGACAACCAGCCTCGGTAGACACCATTTTCAAGGGTCTTGGCCGAGAGCTTAATAATTTCGTCAGCGATGGGGATGCGTTCCTCGCTGTAAGAGTCCAGGAGCGATTGAGGCGCTGTTCCGTTGAGGACCAGCGCGATCTTCCATGCCAGGTTGTATGAATCCTGCAGACCCGTGTTCATTCCTGTTTATTCCATCCGTGTGTGTGTAGCAAGTAGTACGATGAGAAAGGTTCGCGCGCGTTTGGATAGTATGATGTAAAATGTAAGAAAACGCGCAAGGGCACAAGGGGCAACAAAAAACATTTTGATTCCTAGCAAAGATACATATAACAACATAGCTCCAGTAACGTACCTTGACCACCAGCAGGAGAATGGCAATGGGCAGCATCGCCGGCCAAAAAAATCCGTCGCTTGTGCGCAAACTTGGCAGATCGGCGCTCATTGACCCTGTAGTAGGCCAGCCAGTTGTAGCTGAGGACCTTGAGCTTGAGGGTACCCAAGGTTTCCTGAAGGAGATTCTCAAAGTATTCCTTGGTCGGGGTCTTGGGCTCTCGTGCGTTGAACTGTTCTTGGGTTAGTATACCGTCGTCGAGCATCAAACGGACTCTGTTGTCGCGGATGGGGAACATTCCGACAGAGCGACAATTATCTCCATTGATGAACCTTTTTTTCAGGGAGGCGAAAAAGCAAGAAGGGGTCAGGGGAGATGAGAACATAGAAAAGGAGGAGATACAAAATACCGATCATGCATTGTGCATGTTGCAGTTACACAAGAGAACAAGGGACAAGAGCACCATGTACAGATGAACAAGTAAACTTACGTGATATGGGTGTTGGATAGGTCGGTCTCGACATGTCCATCAAAGAGAATGAAGTTGTTGTCGCGAGTACGGCCTGGGAATGGGATGTTGAGTCGGTGTCGGACCGTCGACCGGCCACCGTCAGAGGCAATCAAGTACTCGGACCGGACTACCTTGACCTCGTAATCCTTGTCCTTATCCTCCCCTGCCATGTCAACAGTGCCCAACACCACACTCTCGCCCTTGCGCTTGTTGCTTCCCTCAATCGCCCTTCGCATCGTCGTCTCCACCCATGAGGTCGTTGCAGTCGTCGTTTTCATATCCTGTGTCGTTCCATCCTCTGCCTGCTGGTGCTCAACTTGCTCCTGTTCCTGCTCAACAACCTTGGTATCCAACAACTCCCACCCACGCTCCACCTTCCCGATCCCCGTCTTCTCATACGCTTCCGTCAGAATCTTGACCGTCTCTGTCTGCGCTAACATCCAGGGGACATGAAACTCTGAATCCTTGCTTGGGTTCGGCTTGATGTCTGCCACCAGGCTGCTCCCAAAGTAGAACCGCATCGACTCGGACTTCCAGGATTGGCCTCCAACCTCCTCATAAAATGCTTTGTCTGTGAGCTTGAAGATTTCGATAGTTCTTGCGTGGGTTCCGATGGCTCGAGAGTCTAGGGTGGGGGCCATGTCACGCTCGATGATTCGACTGGGGATGCCCATCTTTGCGAGGAGGAGGCCGGCCATGAGCCCTGTTGGACCAGCACCGGAGATGAGGACGGGAATGTCGATGTTGGATGAGGTGGTGGCGTTGAGGGATGGAGAATGAGGTGGTGGTGGTTGTGTGAAGGAGGAAGATGAAGATGCAGGTGAAGCAGGTGAACCCGACGAGGACGGCAATGATTCTGAAGCCATGGTTGGTTAAACTTGTTTGCTGTTGTTTTTTTTCTTTGCTATTGCTGTTGTTTCGTGGTGGTTGTTATTGTTTCGTGGTTGCGGTTGTTGTTTCTTTGCTTTTGCTGATGTTTCTTGGTGGGTGTTGTTGTTTCTTGGCTGTTGTTGCTGTTTCTTTGTTGTTGTGGAGGTTCTGCGGTGTTTTTTTGGGAAGCGATGTTTATGTCCGTTTAGGTTTAAAAAATGTTATTGTGTTCCTTTTTTTGTATCGTTCTTCGACGCCATTGAAGAGGTTCCTTGTTTGTTGTCCATTGTTTTCGATCACAAAACAGTCCACCATCTTCACAATGTTCACTGCACATCGTTATGTCCCCAATGAAAATGGATATGCTACGTAGTGAGTGATCTCTCTACCATTCTCCTCCTGACAATGTTGTGCGGCATATCCTATTCCCGACGTCATCCCTCTTCATTCCTCATCCTTCGTTGCCTCCTTTATTTTCTTGCTTTCAAACCCTTTGCTCCAGCATCTCCAAAGACATGAAAAAGAAGGGAATCGTGATGCCAGCAGCACAAGAGGACAAAGGAAAGAAGGGACAGTTGAGGCAAATAAATATTCTCTTTTCTACAAGTGGAGAATGAGGCAGCGCGATATGCCCCCCACTTCCTTTCATGCTCGCAAGGGAGGTATTCTAGTGTAACTTCGTAAGTGTCCAGGAAGGACCGAGCCTCTTTTGCGCTTTTCTCATAACGCCGCCTTTTGAATTAGGCTTGTTAGCGCGGCAATAAAGACGGAGGGGGCTTTGTTGTCACTTGACGAAGTGACAACCAGCCAGTCAGCCGGATAAACCGCTTGGTTGGCATATGAAGTCGACGATCTACGCATCTTTTTGCCTAGTATTAGTTAAAGAAAACACGCTGGCTGCTATTCTTAGGTGGCGCATAAAAAAAAGTACGCCTCCATGGGTCTGAGCGTGAGAGGTGGATGGACATGGACTTGCCTATTTTGGAGTCGACGTGTCCACCCCTTTCGAGACTTTGGATATGCGCATCCAACTCTTTTTCTTGACGGACGAGGAGTACACTTTTACCAAGCATTGGTTTCTTGGATGGCGTGCTGGCTGTTAAGAGGAGCACCGTGGACTTCCGCCTCCCCTCCAAGAAAGTTCCATCACTCAAAAAAAACCCGTACGTCCCAGGTCTGAACGTAGACGCGAGAAAGTGGACGTTGTGGACATTGTGGACGTTGTGGACGTTGTGGACGTTGTGGACGTCTGCGTTTGAACGCTCCATCCATTTTGTTAACAATTGCTGGACTCACCATTGACCCCCTCCTTCTCCTCAGTCATGTCTCTTGGGCATACAGTCATGTTCATGTCGTCCGAATGGTATATTTATTCTTTGATTGTGGAACCTGATATGTCTTCTTAGCCACCGCCTCTCGTTCCTTCTTCATTGAACCCTCACGAGCTCTCGACTTTAACAATCAAGGCAGCAACAACAGAGGGGTCAGCAAGGGTCGAGATATCTCCCAAGGAGTCCTTCTCACCGGCCACAAGCTTCCTCAAGATCCTCCTCATCAACTTGCCCGACCGCGTCTTGGGCAAATCCTCGACCAGATAAATCTTCTTGGGCGCCGCAAAGGGTCCAATCACCTTGCGGACCTGCATGACCAGCTCCTTGGGCAGGTCATTGGAGTGGGATGAGATGCCGGGCTTGAGACAGACAAAGGCATGGATACACTGTCCTGTGACTTCGTCGTTAGCACCAATGACAGCCGCCTCGGCAACGGTCGGGTGCATAATCAGCGCAGACTCGATCTCGGCCGTCGAGAGACGATGGCCCGAGACGTTGATCACATCATCGACACGGCCCCGGATCCAGATGTATCCGTCCTTGTCCCTCGTCGCACCATCGCCTGTAAAGTAGTAACCAGGATAAGGTCTCAGATAAGTCTCCATGAACCGCTTATGGTCACCATAGATGGTGCGAGCGATCGAAGGCCATGCTTTCTTGACGGCCAAGACTCCTGTGACATCATTGCCATCCAACTCCTTGCCAGTGACAGGGTCCAAGATCGCCAGGTCGATTCCAAAGAAGGGGAAAGTGGCCGAACCGGGCTTGGTCGCAATGGCTCCAGGAAGAGGTGTGATAATGTGGGATCCAGTCTCGGTCTGCCAGTAGGTGTCGACAATAGCACAGCGGCCCTTGCCGACCTTGTCGTTGTACCAGTGCCAGGCCTCGGGGTTGATGGGCTCACCGACAGTTCCGAGGACACGGAGGGAGGAGAGGTCATGACCCTCAACCCAGGAATCGCCCAATCGACGAAGAGCACGGATGGCAGTGGGGGCAGTGTAGAACTGGGTCACCTTGTGCTTCGCAATCAACTCCCAGTATCTCGAGGGAGTAGGGTAGGTGGGAATGGACTCGAACAAGACCGTGGTTGCTCCCAAAGCCAGGGGACCATAGACGATGTAGGTATGTCCGGTGATCCAACCGACATCGGCCATGCAGGCAAAGATATCTCCTGGGTGATAGTCAAAAACATACTTGACCGTCGCCGCAGCTCCCAACAGGTAACCTGCCGTCGTGTGCATGACACCCTTGGGCTGACCAGTCGACCCAGAAGTGTACAACAAGAATAGAGGGTCCTCAGAGTGCATAGCCTCGGGGGCTATGTAGTTGGGCTGTCTGGAGACTTCATCGCCCCACCAGACATCTCTTCCTAGAGTCATAGGCACCTCCGAATGACCTGTCCTCTGGCAAACAATGACCGTCTCGACCGAGGGGCAGGATTTGAGCGCCTCGTCGACAATCTTCTTGGTCTCGATGGTCTTGCCTCCACGCTTGCCCTGGTCCGAGGTGAGGACCACTCGAGAGTTGCCGTCATTGATGCGGTCACGAAGAGCCTCGGACGAGAAACCGGCAAAGACGACAGAGTGCAAGGCACCGATACGGGCACAGGCTAGGAAGGCGACCACGGCCTCGGGGATCATGGGCATGTAGATTGCGACAGTGTCCCCCTTGCGGATTCCACGGGCGCGCAGGGCTCCTGCGAGTTGACTAACTTTGCGGAGGAGTTCTCCGTAGGTGATGTTCTCTGACTGGTTCGGCTCGTCTGCCTCGTAGATCATCGCCACCTATTTTTTGGAGTGTTTTATTGAACAATGGGGTCAGTGAGGGATACAAACAAGGGCCGTACTGTAGTCCTTTTAGCAATTGTAAAACACCATGGTTTCGACAAAGTGTAAAAGCGGTAAGAAAATAAAATATACCTTGTTGGGGGTGGAGATGGCGTGGCGGTCGACACAGTTGTAGGAAGCATTCAACTGTCCCTCCAAGAACCACGCAATATCGCCGTGCTCAAGTCCTCCATGGCGGACCGTGTGAAACGGCTTTGACCATGACAACAGTTCCGTCGCCAGCTATCCCATCATATAGGTAGAAAACATGTACCGATATGTTAAGAGGCGAGTGCATGCAGGTGTTTCTTTTGTTCCATCTTTTTTTCTTGAGGAGCAATTTGCTCCACTTTCGAGTCAATGCTTGTCTTTGATTAAGCAAAGACAAAAGTACCTTGCCGAAGAATTCCTCGGGATGGTCGATGGACTGACGGTACATCTTTTGATACTGCTCGACGGAGGTAATGTAAGGCTCGGGGCACTGAGCCTTGTCCAGCAGACGAGCGGGAACTGGGAAGAAGGTATCTTCAGGGTGGTCGGACATTTGCTTTTTCTAACAAAGTGAACAAGGACGGAGAAAAACAAAAGGAAGTCAGTTCGAGAAGCATTGACTCGACAACGCGAGAGATGTCGTGTCGTCAGGATGAAGTGGCATTCGCAATGGAGTGACAAGAGCAGGTGATGAGAGCGCGTGTTATTGCGAGATGCACAATAGTGCGCATAATGACCGCGAGTGATGAGGTGCAGCTGTGATGAACCTACCGAGAAGGATGGGGTTATGAGAGAGAAGAGGCTGCTGTTGTCTTTGACGGAGGTGGAAGAGTGGAAAAGACAAAGAAAGAAAAAGAAGACAGAAACAAAAAAGGGCGGCGGAAGATAATGGGAAACAAGTGTCTTGTCCTTTTGTCGTTCTTGACTCGACGGCAAGGGGCAGGCTGGGCACAAGGACATGGAAGTGAACAAAAGATGGCCAATTCGATTGTACCACGGCAGACAGACACACAACACACGCACTATAACAAGAACCCTTTCACACACCATCGCTAGGCTATTGTTGATGCTTTTTTTGAGATGGACCTTTGATAACGTAAAGAAGGACAAAGAGGGTTCTAGACTTGCACACACAAACACCTTCCAGGGTCAAAAAGTGGATTACTATTACCTCCTCTCACTCTTACCAGCCCTTGCTTTCCTTTATGCTTCTTCTTTTTCTTTTCTTCCCACTCACCCCTTCGCTCAGGTCATTTAGTTCAAGGGGCGAAGAAAGGGGAGAGATGGAAGGTCGAAAAGGACGTGTGAGAACCAGAACGATACATAGTGGATTGGAGATCGACCAAAAAAACATGCTGCTTTCCTTACTCTCTATTCTTCCGGCACGACCAGAGTAGCTGACAGTATGTTGAAATTGATGTCTGCGTTTGAAGAAACGTAAACAAAAAAACCCAAGACCTCGAAGTATTTCCGCGCCTCCTCCTCCACAACCCTTTGTCTCGCCGCACTCCACAACCAAAGCGCACCTTGTTTTTGTTTGGGTTTGTTTATTATCGAAAAAGGTATTTGCAAAGAAGCGAAAACGGAAGATAGAAGAAGCGGAAAAATTCTATAAGCACAAACAGCAAAGCGCGACAAAAAAAAAGAGCAATGGTAATAACAGCAGGTGCAAAAGCAAGTAGAAAAAAAAAGTAGCAAACAAACAAAGCAAGAAAAAAAAAAGGTCTACTGAGAACAACAGAAAGCAAGCAAGGAAGGGAGAGAGACTGCAACGAAAAAAGAAAAAAAAAGTATGAAGGAGGAGGGTCTATAGCAAAGGCCAGGAGAAGAGGTAGAAAGGGCCAATACTGAAAGTTTTGAGAAGAAAAAGGAGGGATATATACACACCGCGAATGGGTTGCCGTGTGACGGTTTGCGGCCAAAAAAAAAAAAAAAAAGAGAAGAAAAAGGCAATAGAAGTAAAGGAGGAGGAGAGAAAGGGCGCGACAAGCCGCGTAATGGGTCAAAGTAGAAATGAAAAGCAAAAGACACACGAACACCAAGTTACATAATAAAAGTGAAGGCGGATGGGAGGAGAAAAAAAGAAAGCCATCCAACCTATTTACGAGATGCAACCTCATTGAGACCAGAAGTGAGGGATGAGGACATGGACATCAATGGGTGAGGAGGCAACGCAGCCGACGTCGACAGTGGAGGAAGGGAGCCGTAACCCGAATGCTGGAGCATCTGTGGCGTTGCTGCGACCTTGGATTGGTACGAAGCGTGCTGGTAGGGCTGGGGATGGTGAAGATGAGAGCTGTCCTCGTTCGATGGAGGAGATGGCGAATAATGCAAGTCAGAGTCTCCACCAGCACCATGTGAGCCATGCGAAAAGTGAAGCGACTTGAAGTCGGGCTCAGAACTGAATCCACCGTTGTGATGTGTGCTGTGCTGGTGCTGTGAGTGCTGCTGTTGTTGGATGTTGTTGTTGCCAGAGTCGGACGAGAATCCTGGAGGCATCATGGGCATAAAGTGGGTCGATATCGATGACGGGAAGGAAAAGTGCTCGTACTGGGGCAAGGGCGAAGCGCGAGGTGACTCTCCGTTAGGGTTCGAGTTCGAAAGCAGTACCTCCGACTGGTTCGCGTCGTCGTATTGCTTGTGAATATCGCCAGGGTTGACCGACTTGAGGTCGAGGCGGATCGAGTCAAAGCGGGGGACCATGCTGTTAAGATGGTCCAAGTGGTCCAAGGCGTACATCGAACTGTTGCCGAACGAATAGCCTGAGTGACCCATCATGTCGAACGAGTCATCGTCGTTCATCGAAGACGATGTTCCCATGGCCGAGGAAGGGCGCCCCATTGGAGTGCCACCAGGAGAAGGTGGGGGCGAGTAGTCGCGGCCATACTCAGACGCGTCTTGGCTGATAGATCCGGCGCTGTAGCTGTTTGGCAGATGGAGAGATGGGTGGGGCATGAATCCAGCCATACCCCCGGAGCCATGCTCCGCCGACGACGAGAGCGACTGCGACGAATCCTGAGACTCTTGCTTGATACCTGCGCTTCCTCCCGTCTCGAGTCCACGACTGTCATAGCGACGATGGGCCAGGGCTTTCTTAGAGTGGGTACGGAGATGGGCCGAAAAGTTGTCCGAGCGACTGAACGACTTGTTACATCCGGCGAAATCGCATTGGAAGGGACGTTCCTTTGTATGAACCAACATGTGTCTCTTCAAGTGCTCGAATCGCTTGAAACTCCATTCGCAGCTCTGGTGCTTGCATGGGTGCTTGTTGTTGGAACCACTGCCGGTCGAGGAGACCGATGTTGTCGAGCAGATCGAGTTGTTGCGCTTGACCTTGGTATTGTTTCCGCGGATGGCACCTGTCGTGCTGCCGTGGTGGCTTGATCCAGAGCTGAGGTGACTACTGTGCATGGAATTGCCAGTCATGAAGCCATCGGGCATGGGTGAGGACGAATTGGATGAGGGCATCACCTGGCTGAGGGTATGTTGCTGAAGGTTGAGTTGCTGTTGTTGCAGGGCATGTTGTTGAGAGAATTGTGTCCGGTAATAGTGCATAGTGGCAGGGTCCAGATGGCCGGCGTCGATGTGGTGGAGACCGGGTGGTGGCTGGGAACTAACCATTCCACTCATGGGGCCGCTGACCAAAGGAGAGTTTGAGGTCAAGGATGACCACGATCCTTGTCGGTGCATATGCTTCTCTTCAGAGGCCTTGCGTTTGTGCTCGGCCTGGTCGACCGTCAGGATGGGGACAGAGTTTCGTCGGAATGGCTCATACAGACTGCTGTTGTGACCATGCATCGCCATGAAGGATGGAGGGACAGTGGGTCCAGAGGCGACCGAGTTGGGGAAGGAGGGTGAAGAGGGTGCAGAGAGAGGGCCGACGGGCGTGTTGGGTGTATAAATAGAGCTGTTGCTGCTGCTTGTGCTGGTGAGTCCGCTGTTGGTGCTGGTGAATCCGACCGAGGCGGAGGCTGTTGTGTACATGGGGCTGCCGGAGGTCTGGAAGTGGTGGAGGGAGCTGTGGCTGGATGAGAGAGAGAGGGGGTGGGGGGCAGTGACGGAGCGCAGCATGTTGCTGCTCTTGCTGCCCTTGAGAGGTGTGGGCCTCTGCTTGGGAGTGGAGTTCAGAGGCATGGGTGGGATCATGGATATGTCTTCGTGCTTGATATCTTCCATGGGGGATGTGGGGTGGTGACCAGCTTCGTTGGTATAGTTGTCGGCGCAATGCGCATTGTTTTGGTTGCTTTCGGTCGCCGCGTCCATGGAGGGGTTACACTCAACGATAGCTATTAGCGAGAGAGACCAAAAAGGAGAAGATAACAAAAAAGGCATTAGCGTCTGTGTTCCCATGATATATAAACATATCGGGAAGACCGCATGTGACAAGGTTGCACCAAATACCAATAGGGTTGTTACCAGTGCTTTCGGCCATGCTTATTCGACAAGGCTATGGTAATCCGACTGGGTGGATGTGAATGGATGGAGTTCAAGGCAAGGTGAGGAAGATAAGAACGAAGGGGTGGGAGTGATTGGCGGCGATAAGGTGAGTTACGTTGGATTGAGAGAAGAGGGAAGACGAGGAAGGTAAAAGTATTTAAGAGAAAGAAAAAAGAGAGGGTCCTGTCGGGGAGAAGAGGTATCCAAGCAATGGTACTAGAAGTGGATCATGAAACGTCAATACACAAGGGGTGCGTTAGTGTTAAATTGAACAACAACAAGAGTGACAAGACGACGTTCTTTTCTTCCTCTTGGTTAACTTGTTGGTTGTGCACCATCCATCCAACCATCCACCCATCCATCGTGCATGTAGTGTATGCATTGCACAATATAAATATCAAGAGCACAGAGCGGGGGGTAAAATGCAAACAAAACAACAAACACAAAGAAAACATTGACCAAGAGAGCGAGGCAGGGAAGGGTGGACAGTGCAGTGGTTTACGGGAAGGAAGGGTACAATGCAATGGTAAGGTGGGGGGGGGGGGGGGGCAATGGGAAAAATATAGAAATAAACCATTGAGACAACATGTATACGCACACATACGCAACGACAATGACGGGATAGGAAAAAGGCTGTGCCAAGGGTGGTTTCTTTTCTCAAAGGCGAAACAATCATACAGTTGAGGTAGCAAGGATAAGAAAGATAACCAACCATCATCATTGTCATTCTCATTGTCATGTTGTCAAAGACGAAGAAAAAACGCCCTGTGCACACATGGGGGTTGGCATAGCATCCTCGTCTGGGGGGGGGGGGGGTGACTGAGCGCAAGAGAAAAAATGAGCGACGAAAAAACAAGGACCATCGATTAAGTCACGAAAGTCGATACCCACGGATTGTTGCTAGGCCGCGCTCTCTTTTCTTTCCTCAGGTTTGTAAAAGGGGGACGAGATTGAAAACGAAGGAAAATAAGGCGTGTATCTTTTTGTTGTTTTTGTTCTTCCGCGTGTCATGACACTAATTGAGAAATGAGTTCATTTAAACATGATAGAAGACATTACAGGCAAAAGAGAACTCGCGAAATAGGGAGTGAAGAAAGAAAAACAACAAAAGATAATGCCCAGCATCTCGGCTGAATAGAGCTGAGCTCAGGAAAGTTCCAAACAAGGTGGAAATCTTAGGGTGACTCTCAGGCCCACTTCTTTGCTTTTGTTGGTGATGTTATTCGAAAGGACGTAAAAAGAAAGGGTAACGACTACAACACCAACAAGAGAAAAAGAGGAGGACTGCATTCTTCTCCACATAGGTAAGCAAGTTAAGACAATGCACAAGAACCAGTTGTGGTTGTTCGAGGAGGACAAAAACAAGTACTATACTCAATTATTCAATTGAAGGAAGAAGGGGAAGAAAATGAACGGATCATGGCTCGTGGAATGGGGGTACAAACTCACAGGCAGCGCGTCGTAGGAGTAATAGTAATGGTAGTCGTCGTACTCGAAAATCGACAGGAGAGGCTCAGAAGAGGAACCGGCAGAAGACGAGGAGGCGGTGGTGGCGGAGGAAGGAAGGAAGGAAGGAATTGAAGGAGAAGGGAGGGGTGCAGGGAAGGAATATGTATTGTGAGGTGCAAGGGAGCAAGAACAAGGATGAAGGGGGAAGAGAGAGGTGAAGTAGAAAGAGAAGAGAAGAAAAGGAAAAAGAGAGCAAATTGTGTCGAATAAAGAAGGAAAAAGTGAATGAAGGAAGGAAGGAAGGAAGAGAGGAAGAAGAAAAGAAAGAAACGAAAGAAGGACAGTGGTTGAAAAGGAAGAAGATAAAGGAATGACTGAAGTATGTTCTCGAGTAAAGAAAGAGGCACAACGTGAATTGAATGTTTTTTTACACCATTCAACCTTGAGATAAAAGAGGGGCAAACGGAGAGATAGGAGAGCAGCGATGTTGGAAAAAGGATAGCAAAGGTATGATGATGCCTTTGTGCTTACCCGAGGTGCAATGGAATGGTTTGTGGTTTTCTTGGATGGGTCAAGCTGTTGACTCTTGATCGACGGGGTCAACGGGATCTGAATGCTAGGCTGGGCTGCTGGTTCAATGACTGCTTGACTGGTTGGCTGGATGAGGACGGGATGAGATACGGGACCTGGATTTGTCAGAGATCGAGGGAGCAGGAGGACGATAGGACGAGAGCGAGAGAGCAAGAAAGTGAAAGACGTTTTCTGTTCTTGCAAGAAGCAGTTGAAGAGATGTTGATTTGCAAGGAGAAGTGACGAGGAGAAAAGAGGGATCAGAAACACGAGAGGAAATGTAGAGTCGGGGTTGGAACAGAGAGCCGCTTCGGATATATGTGCCTTTGAGTAATGTAGATGAATGTCAACGTGAACAAAGTAAGGAAGTAAGAAGGTGCAGGAAAAAAGAAGAAAAAAGAAGGGGTGAAGACGAGTAAATTAAAGAGCAAATCGAATCAAGCTACTAGTTACTGGTCAGTGGATGGATAAATGTGCTGATAGATTCCTGAAAGCCAAATGTATGTACAAGAAGGCAGAGAGAAAGAGAGAAGCAAATGCGTGCGAGAATGAACGATGAAGAAACAACAAGAGAGTGAGAGAAAAGAGAGAAGAGAGAGAAAAGGAAAGGAGAGAGAGAAGGGGGGATGATCAGAAAGAAAAGAAAAAAAAAAGGAAAGGGGAGGAAAGTGTGCTGAGATATGTGAATGCATACCAATTGACAGCCAGTCAGTCATTGAGTATAGACGTGGATTTATGGGAACAGAGAGAACAAAAGGACAATGATGATGGTGAATGGACGAACGGATAGGATTGGTAGGTGTCGAGGATGAGGCTCAAGTGAGGCTATGAGGTTGATAGGGAAAGCACTAACACTAAGACTCGAAGGTAAGCAATGACAGCACTGAATGAATGTGGGGTCCAATGCCCAATGTCAATGGGCATTGGGCAATGGAGCGATTGACAATAGGGATATGTATGGGTGAAGGTAGAGCACAATTGAAAAACGAAAGGCAGGTCCATTCTTCTATTCTTTTGATTTATTCTTTATTTTTTAAATAGAAAAAAAAAGGGGAGACATCGACATGGGGTGAGGATGAGGATATGGATATGCCTGAACAATACAATTGAGCATCAAATTAGTATAACAAACAAGGAAACAAGGGTATGTTCTCTTTACAAACAAGAGGCACAAGGGTATAGAGTAAAAAGCATCACCATAGGTTCCTTCGGTGGGATGCCATTGGCCATGCACTTTGGTACTCACACTCATTTTGCTTCCCTTCCTTGCTCTCCGTCAATTTTTCGCTCACCTTGACTCTTACCCTCCGCACTCACCTCTCTTCTCTTGAGCGAATTGCAACCCCCCTCCCTGTTCCAGTCTGTCCTATTCTAAGAACTAAAAAAAAACGAACGCGCAACAACAAAAAATAACTGAAGGCTAGATTCTATGCGTCTTCTGTTTATTGCTGCACCCAACTCACGCCTCCCTTTCTCGCCTATTCTGTCTGTTCACTTTGTCTCTGTCTCTCATTCTCTGTTTTCTGGCTCCCTCTTTTTTTTTCGTTTGCTTTCAACAGAAGAAGGGTAGTAAATACAAGATGTAAGGCAATGGGGGAGAAGGAGCGGACAGAGGAACAATCACAGGAGGGGGAAAAAAAATCAGGGGCAAACACAAATCAACACACAGAAATAAAATAGGCAACAGACAGAGGCAAAGAGGCAGGACAGGAAAAGAGAGAACAGACAGATGGATGGGCCAAGGAAGCCAAGAGGATACAAAAAAAGAAAGGAAGTCGCCTTGCCGGAGCAATTTGAAATGCACCATTGAATGGATGAATAACAGCTATTTTAATGACATGGACTGGATGACTGGACCGAGGCACTCTTTATTTTATTTCTTAGTTATTTCGCCCACTTTCTTTACCACTGTACGCACTTTGAGCATGAATGACATCTGGTTTTCTAGGGACGGGGGATACGAGAGAAAAGCACTGCAGATGAACTCACACGCGTTATTTTGTAGTTGTTCTTTTGTGTCTTTTGTAAAGATGCGAATATGTTAGAAACGCAAGCTAGGTAGAGCAAAATCACAAACTCATACACAGAGAGACATCCTACCCAAAAGAAAGGGGTGACGCTCCAAAGAGACGTACAAAAAAAAGCCGGCAAGCACACAAGAAGGCAGGTGCTGCTACTTCTTAAGCTTGCTGCTGCTTCTGCTTTGCCTGCATCATGCGTTAGCCTTTGGTCATTGCGCTTTTCTATTTCTTTTCTCTCGCCGCATATCTATCCCTATTCGATGTTTTTTTGTTTTGTCAATCGTCCATTGGTACTTTTTTTTTTTTTTTGCTCTTGGGTTTCTTTTTACGCGCGCACTTGGGTGTTTACAATCTTTTTGCCTCTCTTGACTTTTGCTTGGTATTTGACAAAAACAACAACAACAAAAAAGCAAGTGCAACATTCTTGGCCTATCATGCAAGTGGACGACCATCGGATCAAAAAAGACTGAATAGATTGGAAGGAAAAGGAAAGACCAGCTGCTTTGTGATGGAACACATGCATCTAGCCAAGCATATGCGCAATGAAGAAAGCAAAAAAAGGATACAAACATAGGGAGTGATGAAGAAAGGAGGGAGGGAAGAAAAGAGAGGGAAGCAAGAATAAACAACAAGTCGGGCGAAGCGACAGACAGCCTGATGTACAAACATGCAGAGAGACAAACATGCAAGCAAGACGAGAGCACAAGAAAAACGGCGTTATGGAGAAAGAACCAACCAGCGCAGAGAAGGCATGATACAAGATAAAACATTGCGCGCGCGAAAGAG